GGTTCCCCTTGTCCAGGGGATTAATTTGATACCCCACTTGCCTTTAGTTGTGAGGGAATGATATTTAACCCTTCAAGGGCTCCTAGTTCACGACTCAAGGGTCATAAAAATTTATAAAAATATTTTTCTGGTTCCCCTGGTCCAGGGGATTAATTTGATACCCCATTTGCATGGGGTTATCAGGGAACGCTATTTGACCCTTCAGGGGCCCTTAATTCATGACCCAGGGGTCATAGAACGCTAAAAATAATTTTTCTATACTATTCCCATGCTAGACTTTTATTTTGGACCAGTTTGGAGGAAAAAATTTTTTTGACCGGTGACGTCGTGAAATTAATACTACAAAGCGGTGTAATAAGTCTGCAGGGTTAGAACTTCATCCACAGTATATGTAGCTGGAGTAGATGAGTTACGATAATTCCCTGCGATTATTATTACCTTCCTTCCTCCTCATCCTTTCTAAATCTTCTTTAGTGCATGAAAAGGATGGAAGTTGTTGCTTGGATGGTGGTTTGTTTGTGAGGTCCGAGCGCATATCATGAATCTGAATGAATGAGGGAGGAAATTGAATCTCTCGTGGCTTCTCTAGACGGAGGTATTCCATGGGTGGCCTATCATTACCTCAACTCATTTACACCCTCCCTTCTGCCACACACGGTCAGAATACGCGTAGCATCGTGTAATACACACAACAAGGGATTAAATCTCAAAATATAGAGAAAGCCCTTTGCAGAAGGAGTAGCCAACAAGTTTAAAGGTACGTTTATGTACATGTACATACATGCGCATGTATGTATATCCGATTCGCCTCGTACAAGATTTTACACACACCAAGAACGTTTCTCTGATCCTTATTTCTACTCAAATGTCACTCAATTTCAATCAAATTTAACCATTTTGGGTGTTATTATTAATGCACTTCCTGTTCTCAAACAAACTTCAGAGATGTACGATACGTAAGTTTGTACTTGTTTATGACAGGTTTGAATTTGTTTCCTTTTTTACTCAAATTTCATGTTGTTTTTTTAGGTAAAATCCACTGCCCTGGGAAAACTTTGTAACAAAGTGGGAAAAAATGCCCTCAAATTTATTATTATTATAAATTCTTCGCTTACTTCATGACTGGCTGACTTTGCAAATTGATTTAGATTGTTAGTTTCATTTCATGAGTTCGTGACACCAAAATTATTCGCACCTTCGTGACACTGTCATGACAAACGAACCGACACGAACAAGGAGACAAACACAATAAATATCAACACACCACAGTGCCACACACCGATCCTTTATTTTTCTAAAATCATACTGATAATAAACAAGTTTCTGTTTTTGTACGGACCTTAAAGTAAATAAATAAATGTACCAGCAAAGGACAAGTAATGGGATTAAACAAGCCGCCCGGTTGCCACCAAGATAATCTGTATAAGTCACGCAATAATTTCAAACAAATAACAACAAACATATTGAAAGTTATGCGCGTATGCCGACGACAAAAAAAAGACACATTTAAAATTTTCACCTGTGGGGGACCAACATTGCATGCATATACATTCTTGTAAAAAAACGCAAAAAATTTATAAAAACCGAGATATGCCAAGTTATGTCAGTTTTGCCGACTAAAAGCCTGCATGTATTTATTTATGTGGAAGCTATCCACAAGTTGCTGTCCAGGGAGCAGAAGCTAAATCCACAGCAGAGATGGAATTCGAGACATGTCACTCTCCTGCCATTTTTGTCAAATCCACTCCGACACCGGTCTCACGATCAGGTAAGAACATACAAATGTGCATGCCTACGAAGAATAAGACCAAGAAACGAGTTAAGAATGAATCGCCATAATAAAAAGTCAAAACTTTTTACAATTTCGACTTTTGAGCATCCACTTCTTTCAAGGCGCGAGTGGGTCGGGTGAGTGATTTAGTAGGTTCGGGAGAGGTTGGATGGGAAATTCACGTTCCTAGCGAATAACTTGTTAAGGACGACGATGAGAGACGTTAATACCGACACACGCCCTGTTTGAATTTGGATGGAAGGACATTCGAATTGTTCAAATCTTAAAAGCTTTGGAAGCTTTTAATTTTACCCTGCAACAGCTCCAAACTAGTTAATGCATGGATATGTACATGTCTTACTGCGAAGGTTAAAGAGGTTGTCCAAATTTATTTCGCAAAACTTTCAAACCTTTCAAGTGTTTTAATTAGAGGATTTATTAACAAGTTCCGTATTTGGATTTTTAAATAAACAAGTAAAACGTTAGTGAAATTAAAAATTAAAACATGGGATTTTCGATGCAAATACTTTACAATTAGCTCGGCGTGAATTTTTCATATCACGATTTATTAAACCCTCCTCCAAAAGAAACAGTATTAAATATGTGTTGTGCGGAAGGGAGTTTTCTTATTTATAATGCACGAATTATTTTTTAGTTACAAATCTCTATCACTGTCTAATGAATGCGAAATCGTGCCCCATTCTTTCCTTCCAGCAGCAACTCATTCGTTGCTTGGTATTTATTTAGTGAACGAAATCTGGCGTGATTTTACTTGCCCTTTCAGGCGTCATCTCATTGTTGTACATATATTCGGATTTTTTATTTATTCGTGTTAAGTTGTGGATTGTTTTAAGACTTTTTCCATAAAATGATTAAGAAACACAAGTCAAATACTGCTTTAGATACAAGTTCAAAATTGCAGTGTAACCAAAAATGTGACTGACTTTGATTTGATTCATGTCAGAATTTGACCATAATTTCATTTTTGTTCCATATATATTTCGAATTAAATAAAACTGCTGGTATTCATTAGAAAATATACCAAAGTTACTTCCAAATCGAGAGATATCTATGTAGCATAGTGAGTTTATTAAGTGGCTACCGCCTATGCATTTGGTTGCAATTTTGCCACCACGAATAAATAAATAATCAGCAGCAAGTCTACTTTTGGTAATCAGTTGTCAATCTATGTTTGTAGACAATCGCCTTCAATTTACTTTCTTCCATTTACGGATCCTATTAAATCTAGGATTGGATCACACACGGAGGAAAGAAGATGCAGAAATGTAAACGAGTTGAAAGATGGATAGGAACAAAGCTCATTATTTCTCTCATATGCATGTCTTATTGCAAACGCTGAAATATAAATTGGAAATTTTCTCGGTATTGCTTACTGTATAGCAATTAATATACTAATTTTAAAAGACCGGTTGACTGTTTGTGTACAAAATACTACCACAAGAACAATTGTATGCTTAATTATTCATTCAAAACTATTCCATCAATTCAATCCACGAAAAACGTTTTCGAATTATTTTCAGCTTCTCTATTCAGAACGGAATATATCTAAATATGTAGTCATCAAATTCTTAACCTGTGCATATATCCCACTACATGCTACACATTTTGAACTCATCTCACATTACAAACAAATTTAGGAGTTTTTATTGCCAAAATTGTTCACCATCATCATCATGTCGAACCGAAATAATGGCATGAGACCCAGAACAAGAAAGAGGTACATTTTTATTCCCATACCTACACCTACTTACACATCTCTGCCGTCGTGTAACAATCCCACTAAATTTTGTACAAGTTGAGGCAACAGATATAGATATCGCAAACCCTGTCATCCAAATTGGGACAGTGGAAAATGAATGTGAACAAATAAAAATAAATTATAGTGTCACTTTTCTCTTTATTGATGGCGGTTCCACTTTGTCTATCACTATAACTCACTTCCACGCCAAAACGGGAGGGGAAAATATATCGCTAATCAATGCAAAAGAGATCCTTCGGTTCACGGAGAAATCCATAATTTCAAGAAAAAAAACTTGTACCGTGAAGAAAACGGATTATCTGTGTACTCCATTCCATAGGTAGATGGATTATCATCCCTTTATGAAATCATCATCTCGTATTATCTTCCAAACATATTATGTAAATATGTATGTGAACTTTATGTAAACTCAAAAGCTATGAACTTATTCCTGATCATGCATCCGTAAGAGTCACACGAATTTATAAGTATTTAACAAACTTGTCATCCTCATCCTCTTCCGTCTGAACAATGTAATGAAGACATATCATTCCAAACCATTAAAAAAATGGTTAGGAACAAGACCGATTTCACGCGATATAGGTGCTTGAAAGTGTTAAAGCGAAGAGTTATTGACTTTACTTGACTCCTCGGCCATAATCACGAGCAGAACACGTAAGCGAACGGATGACTGTATGATGTAATTGTCCACCAGATTTGGAAAATTAAGCAAATAATAATAATAATTGTGTAGGGTGTAATGGAACTTGAACTTTTCTTTGGTTTGGGATTGCATGTCTACTATCGGGTTCTTCTTCTCAGAGTCAGTGCGTATGTCTATGTACATATGGACGGATGGGTGCATGGGAAGCTCAAATATTTGTCCGAATAAATAAGAGAGAGATAAGTGTATCAATTAAGAGAATTTGGAGAGTGGGAACCATTTCATTTCATTACCACCGCATTTTACATTTAGTTCTCATAAATTCAAGTCCTTAATAATGTATAAGAGACAACCACGTTTATCTTGTTGGATGGATGTTTGGAGGGAGCGAGAGCGTGAGTTGGATCTCATGAAATGACGATGATGATGGCAGAAGAAGACAACGTATCATACGGAATGGCAGATGTTGTGCCCTTTTCTTTGTTGCTCTTTTACTCGTCTTCTTTTTCTTATTATTCTCCAAGAACCAAAGAACAAACATTGAGATGGATCAAGTCGAGACGACGACGATGTGCATGAACATAGTGTGGAGTTAGTGACCTTCAACCCTCCATTCTTCGAGACCCATGCGGCTTTAGCAATATTTCATGCAACTTAGGAACATGTAAATGTGCACGTTCATATGCAAAATGATGCAGTTTAATGATTTTAATAAAAGTCTGGGGAAAAATTATTATCGTTTTCGGTTCGAAGAAGGAAATTAATGGATTGGATTGTACATAACTTTATGATTAGTTCATGCTCACCTGGAAGTAGTGAAAAGGGAATCGTCTTGTTCTTTAGACAGAAAATGGTATATCCTTGTTATTCTTCTGCTTCTTTGTACATCAGGGTCTCTCTATCGTTGAGCTGACGACTCTGTCAAACTTTAAAATTATACGATGTCACTGCCCAAAATCAAGCAGGGTCGGGAGAAGGGTCTCTCTTTCTATTTCTTCATTTCCTTCCGTGCTCCCCAAGGATGCGTAAATATTCCTTTCAGTTCTCTATTGACTGATCTCCCAATGGAACCGGGCACACTTTCACAACATGCAAAATGAATCAATCGGCTCTTCTTCACTTTTACTCTAGATCAACAACAACATCAAAGTTTAAGTAGGGTTGAATTGTCCTTTTTCTTTTCCGTCACTGTTTGAACAGCCTTGCACGTTCCTTATTTTTCAAGTATTAACTGACGTACAAACATTGTTCGAGTTAAAAATTATGCAACTTGTCTCACAAACTGTACTTCGTAGAACATACTCCACTTGTTTTATTAATCGTTAATACACGTCAAAATCCAGAATTATTTATGTATGTAACTAAACTTTACATCCTCCTGCTTGTCCAAATCAGTATTGACAGCAAATATCACAAAATGCGTTCAAAAAATGATGACATCCCACAAAAACCGTATTCGGTACTGCTTCGTGGTATTCATGTACAAGCGACGCTCTCCTTAAACTACAACACACCACCAAGTTCTATGAGCGACTGACAACTTTGCTTTTCTCTGTTGGTTTCATGAACCAGGTTGCTTGGTTATTGCAACGTATGCGTACATATGTACAACGTCGAAAGCATGGTAATGGAACGATGCAATGATAACATGATGGTGAAGGAGACGACGACGACCACGAAGCAACAGGCAAGCATTCCATTCCCAACAAAACAACCATCCCTCCAGCCAGTTACGTACATAAACGACCATGATGTTCATGTGGAGGGATGTAAAACTGTAATGTGTGGACCTACAATATTCCTTCTTACCATTCCACGACCATCATCATTTTCTTCCGAGATGGAGATCTTTGTCTGCATTTGCATGGCGAAGAAGAAGAAGAAGGTTCACTTCATTAGTTGTCTCCAGCCAAGACTCGCTCGATACCTTTTACGTACATGGAAGACCAAGATCCGACTCTATCTTATGGGGTTAAAACTTTCAAAAAGGGTGTCCATAAGTTGTGTGGCAGAGTTTCAGAAATTGTCTCTTTTAAATTTTGTTTTCAAAATTCACTCCAATTTTACCATTAGATCAATTCTACAAGTAATTACCTATGTGTTAGATTATCCACAACATGAACGTAGGCACATCAATATGTATGTGTTACAGCGCATCATATTTGTGCATCTACACTTGACTATGAAAACGATGACTTCGAATATGAGTCGTGTAACGCTTAGGTACATGCGTCTGTTGGGAAAAGTTACCCGACAAGTAATGCCCTCGATGGATGTAGAAAAACGTAACCAGCATATCATCTTCATGATACATCCCTTGTGGATGAAACATGAGATGGGCTGGCCAACATACAGGATCCATGAGATGGGCTGACGGATCTCCAGGCAATATCCGCGTTGAGGGCTTGGAATGGTTACCATATCAGCCACATGTATTTACCGTAAACTTCTAGTAACACTTGCAACAAGTGCATGATGTAAAACCTATGCAACTACATTAAGCAGTACAAAGAGTGTAAATAAATAGGGTTAAGAAACATGACCCACTTTTAATCGGGATGATTCGACAAAACATGTACAAAGCTGAATTTTATTTGCTTAATGTAATACGGTATTCATGACGCACGTACTTACATAAATTCTTATGTAGTTGTGACTTTGTTTCGTATGAAACCCATAGTTTTGAAATTAATTAGCATTTGCATATAGTGAAACGCAATTGATCTTTTAATATGTTGTATGAAGCTCATGTCACAGTCACCACTAAAATGGATAACTAGCAATAAATTCTGAATTGTCGCATCATTCATCTCATGCTTTCACTCCAAACAGGACAGAGGCACACATCTCCCATAATAAAATCTGTAATCTCCCTCACAAATCGCTAAACTTTTTTTCCTCCCTTCCAGCCCTTATTATTTATTTCACCTCCTCTCGTGTGAGAATATCACTTGGGCCGCAAGTATGCAAATGTATTGTTGCATCATCACACCTGATTCCAACGAAATGAGAAGTGAACCATATAAAATTTATGAAGGTGGTTGAAACGCAGTCGAATCCTAATCATCCTCTCACTCGTCCCGTGTAGCAATAATCCATGCATTGATAGATAAAAACTAGAAAGGAAAAATGGTCAGAGTTTTCATTTGGTGATCAGAAGAAAACGATGAGCTCCTCGCCTGGAATTCCGACACTGCTCAAACAACTCTCTGATTTCTGGACAAAGGGGTAACGATTAGAATTAAAGGAGCATTGATTGGCCTGATAAGCGTTTTATTGTTTGGGAAGACACATTTGTCTCGTTAGGGATAATCTCACTGCGAGCAGGGAACAATCATCCATCATTACCATCAACGAGTACCAAAAGAAGAGAATCTTTCAAACAAGTAGTCGGGCAATAAAATAAAATGCATTCCATTCCATTAAATTACAGGGGACACTCTTTCAATGTTGCTGTGCATGTTGATCTACATATGTACATGTATTGCCACGCATATGTACTAATATGCATGAATGTGCATGTGTATCTAAGTACATATTATTCACATATTTATTTATGCATTTTTAATTTTTCATGCATTTAATTTCACACGATTTACGCGATGATGGTATCGCTTTGAAATCAAAATTATTAATGGTTTACATCAATTTAATACAATTGATTAATAAATACTTGCGTTTCATCACCGTCACATTTCATCATCGCATTATAATTCTATAAACAATAGATTATCATCATTCTCGCCCTTAGATAGTTGGTCTTCATACATATGTACTTACTTACAAATTCATACTTTAAGGTAGGCATGGATTTTAAAACGCACAAGGGACGTACTCGTTTTGGAAGCAATACTTCTTGTCATTTCACGATTACTTATGAATAAAAAATGAACCAGGGTGCAATTAATCATAGTAACTTGCCCAAAGTGATGGTTTATGAATTTTGTTTAGATGGAGTGACAGAGTAGGATTTGAGGCTGACATGACATGACACCTAATTAAGCTAAGTGTTCAGACTCACTCCTGCATTCGTACTAAAATCCAGCATTTTATATGTAGCAACAATAACAGATACTCGCGATAAATGGATAGATATTTGTGAGTGAACCCTTTAAGGGGTCCACCGAATTGTAATCAGTTCATCCTCCTTCAGAAAAAAAAACAATAGCTACCCTGTCTAAATTGGGGCTGACTATTGTTGTGCATACATATATTTATCGAAGGTATGTACATGTGTGCATATACAATAATAAGTAATCATGGGATGACTTTGTCTTTGTGGCGGAGCCGATGATGATGATGGTAGATGGATGGATAGTAGGACTAGATGGACGGATGAGCTAACGAGGCTGAGTTCTTTTACAACCTAACTGATTACCTGCCAAGTCTTCTTGATCGTGTTAACTCGCTTTGAAAAGGTAATGAACAATCTGCCAGCCATGAGCGTACACGCCTGTCCGACAACACATCGTCCGAGGAAGAAACATCAAAATGAAATGAAATATTTAAAAAATCATGGAAATATCAAGTCAGAGAGTGAACAGGGTTGGCCAAATTATTGATTCAGACTGATACAACCGAACCAATCAACTAGTTATGAAAAAATTAGAACGAATGTGAAACACATGCGTGTAAATTCATGACTTATAAAGTAAAACAACCCTTGCCAACTGTTAGAGAAATGCATTTTTCTCAAAATAACAACATAAACAATATTGTTTGCCAATGTCTCATCCGAAACCCTGTTTTGCTATGTGTATTTATTTGTGTGATGTGAGATGAGTAATGTGATTACGGAGAGATTCGACTTCACGCTGGGACTTGTTAGAAATTCCATCGGGAATAAAATAAGGGCGGATGCGGAGTGCCTGCACATACGAACGTACAAAGACGATGGGGCCTCCAGGGACTCTTTTCGCTCCGTCCATTAGTCACCACTCGCTATTTATTGGGCATCAACAGGTCTTTAAAAAATGAGAAAATGTTAACTGGACATGATCATGCGAGCAAGAGAGTCGACCGCATTTCATTCCTGAATCCAATCTGAACTATCTATGTACATATAAATAGCTATTTATTTGACGTAAGTATAAATGCACGAGTAGGTATGGCATAAATGTTCCCAAACAAATATTTGTTTTAAAGGTTTCACGTAATTATGAGAACGTGTAAATCTCGTCACCTGTCCAGACCTAATAACAACCTTTCTTTGCTTCTTTCTCCATACAAAATACAAACACCAAACCAATTTGGGCAGTTTTAATCTCACTCTCAGCCCATCGTAACTAGATACAAATTATTGAGTGAGAGGAGAAACACGAGGAAGGATTGGAAAAGGGATGATGCATCTCATCGCATCTAATTAAGGATTTTATTTTCGAGAATTTCTTCCAATAAACTAGGAAACCACTTGTTGATGGTTATAGATATTAGATATTAGATGCGTGTAATTATGTAGGAATGTGTGCATGACTTGGTGAGAAACGAGGCGCCTGGAACAACGGGGAACTTCCACCCCTTCACAGGAACGAAATATTGCCAACACATCCTCCCACTTTGTAGATTATGCATCGTGTTCTTGTAGTTTTAACACGAACACTCTTCCAGGATCGATTTTACTAACTTGAAAATTATAGTGTATTTATATAGACTGCATATTGACCTTAAGAATCACTCTCAAATTTTGTGTTTTTAGCCCGAACCAGAGCTTATGTAATCGTCATGTCCGTCCGTCCGTCCGTCCGTCTGTCTTTCGATAACTCTCGAACGAGTTGACCGATTGACTTGAAATTTTTACCATATGTATATTGGACAAAGTTAGGAAACGAGTTCGAAGATGGGCCAAATCGGTCAAGTGGTTGACCGGTGGGGGTCATCGGAGTGGGTGGGGTCTTATGCACCAAAATTTCAAAATTGTTGCAGAAAGCTGAAATTTGGCACATAGGTTGCTAATGGTGTCTAATGAAAGAATATGAATTCAAGTTGGAAAAATTTTCATCTTGAGGGACCCTATGGGGTGACCCATACTAATTTTTCAAAATCGTCACATAGAGCTGAAATTTGGTGGAGAGGTTGCATATGGGTCGTAATGGAATAATATGACATGAAATTGGTAAAATTTTTATCTATAACGACCCTATGGGGTGACCCATACCGGTTTTTAGAAATTAACATAGAAAGCTGAAAGGACCAGAGATACTTACTGCTTTCTCATGAAATAATATGAAGTCAAATATGAACAAAAATTAACCAGAGGGACTATAGAGATGACCTCCAATGGGACGTAGTCAAGGGGAAGGGATAGTAAATATTTTTTTAGAACTTGGAGCCTAGTAATACGAAGGATTGATACAAGAATTAGTGCAAAATAGTAGCACATAATTTTATAGAACACTACTGACAAACATGGGTTTACTAATCACTCCTGGTTCGGGCTAAGCAAAGCTGTACTGATAGGTTTTAATGTATTTTTTGCACGGAATTAAGTTGTTGATGAAATGTACGTTTTTCAGTGGGATGAAAAACGGTGAAATTAAAAAACTTTCAGATTTTGTTCAGATTGGATGGAAATAACGTCATTTCGCAACCCTTCGGATCATATATGTATGTACATAGTCATATAAACCCCAAAATTGCTACAAGTGTTAAAGCTTGATTAAAGCCCTTTATCCATACTTTCGAAAGACGACTAAATCTATTCGGTCGTTATTTCAGACTCGTTATTTCAGAAAACTTGTCTCAAAGAAAAGCTAGATATGTTCGCTCCCAGAACAATTGCATTGACCACGCACTACAATTAATAAGAATCACAGAAGTCTGATAGTTTCTTAATTATCCAAAACGGTATCGAGTCTTTAGACATATCATTTTTACACATAAACGCCATAGAAATGTCGCTTAATACTGGCTTAATACTTTTCAATTTTAATTCGACATATGTACATACGGCGTAATTTGACACATACAAATTATAAGAACAATGCCATCTTCTAACTGATATGGTAATTATATAATTACATCTTATAATGTGCGATTCATGCGTAAATGTAAAAAATTCTCCTAATTTAGCACTCATTATTAGTATTGAACATTTTTGGAAATTAATTCATACCCAGTGGGTCACACCCCAGATTTCAGCGGATCCCATTTCTCCATAGGAATGCATTGAAAATTTATCCCAGGATCCAGTTTGAGGTATATGTAAAAAATAAGTTGAATGTGCATATATGTGTGCATAAGGCCAGTTTACAGGTCATGTTTTTCAAATCGCCTTTGCGTGAAAATTTCACGCAAATTTAACAAAATAGTTCTCCTGTCAACGGTGAAAACAACGCGTAATTTTCACTCAAACTCGATGAAAGGTATTTCCGTGAAATGCTTGCACATTATTTCACGTGAAAATTCTGGTTATTGGTCATATTGTATATTGTTATCATAACAACAAGTATGGCAACGTTCAGAAAAAGTATTCAAATTCGAATAAATGACCTTTAAAATGGTCATGGTTACTTCAACAAGTAACCAATAATGTAAGATTTAAAGTAAATGACCTGTAAACTGAGGAGTCCTGAGTTTCAGAATTTTCGTGAAATTAACCCATTTCTCACTCATTCAAATGTCATTTTGTTGTTGATTCACGACAATTTCATTCCGCGTAAGTTAGAGACCTGTAAACCTTACTTAAATGGGGTTTGATTCCGAAAAAAAACAATGTCGGAGATGAAAGTGTTTATTTTTATTTCAAGGTCCTCAATCGCATCTCTATAATATTTTTTCGTAAATGACCAGTGGCCGGGGAGTGTGTGGGGACAGAGGGACAATGTCCCCACAGTTGTTGTCCCTGTCATCTTCCCATATATGTTATATGAACCCTCACCTATGCCAAACAATGTTAATCTTCCCAGATGTCCCACGGGTTCTGTGGGGACACTTTATATGACATACTGAGAAACCATTGAGCATGTATTTCGAATGACCACGCATTCTGGGTAGAGTGTTCGGCCCTTGAGGGAATGGGGCTTTGCAGCGGGATTCTGGCCCATTAACCAAGATCACTCCACCAGTTCCGAGACTACGTGGGTGTGGGATTTCGAAACCTAAAGATCAAATTTACTTCGTCTACGGAGGAAATACAATTTAACAAAAAAAATGAGATTTCTGATGTCATGATTTCTGAAGTGACCAATTAACGAAATGCAACCCAGAAATAATGAGAAAATCATACGTGTTTCAAATTGTTTATGGGGAAGGGAAATACATGCCTAATTAATTGCATACTATATCATATTACACATTATATTATATAACACATTTAAAAAACGCATGATCGTGATCTAATCTCAAACTCGTGATATATGCATGTCTTTGACCAATGAGAACTGTTGTTGTCATGACATATTTCATTATCTACATTCCGGTCTAGATTATTAAGTTGTGTCAAAATTGATTTATTATGATGTAGAACTACATCATAATAAATAGGATAAGAATGATGAGTAATTAAAGTTCGTAAAACAATATGTTTAAAGAGACGACGATGAGTGTGTAACATTATCTAATGTTGAATGGATATCAGTTTAGTACTCCATGATGGCAGTAGTACACTTATATGCATACATTGTGTAATTCCAGTAATGTAATTTCTCACGACATATATTTAGTTGTATATAAAGTACAAACGACTTAACGCCCCCACACTAAATTTATTTGTCACACAAAACTGGCAGTTTCTCGCATGGCTAGAAGCCATGGAATAGCACAATTCCATGCAGGCTAGCTTGTTTTGTTTCGTTCTATACTTTGCACTTACACAACTACCTAAAGCCAGCTGAGATTTGCAGTTTTTTGTCAAATATTCTTTTTCAATAAAGATAACCCAAAAATGTCAAGCATTGTTCCTGCAAAAGTGGGCAACGTTCCTAAAAGGAGGAAGAAGCCAAAGAAGCCTGTGATTTTTTGTAGACCTGGCGTAGTCCAATTGCCTAATGCCAAATTGGTTGAGGCAAGCAAGCAAGATTTTAACTCGTACTATTATACTCGTAAAAAGTACAATACATTACATCATTTAATACACTACAAATTATACAGGAAGTCGGATTAGCTATTCGATTTTCGGCTTTAAACATCAATCAAAATGTGTTGGAAAGTTTTGAAGACATGGGCTTGAGTGACCAACTTTTGCGAGGGATTCACAACTATGGGCTGGAGAAACCTGCATTTATTCAGCAACGAGCAATCGTCCCCTGTATCGGAGGTCAAGATGCAATCGTCCAGGCCCAGTCAGGGATGGGCAAAACTGCCGCACTGGTAATTGCCGTGCTCCAAAGATTGGATAGAAGCGACCCCCAATGTCAAGCCTTGGTCCTAGCGCCCACACGAGAGCTGGCTGAACAAGTATGTCTGCACATGCTATTTTGCATGCATATATTTTCAGACCAAGAATCTAATCTCTGTGTATAATTTTCAGATTCAACAAGTATTTCAGGAACTGAGCAAGTTTATGATTAAACCAAACGTGACCAGCTACACTTGTGTGGGAGGACGAGGGGATATGAAAAAGTGTAAGAAGGCATGTCGTGCTGGAAGACAAGTTATCATTGGAACGTTGGGTCGAACAGTGCACATGTTAATTGGGGATGGGGACGAATACGGGCCTCATTTATCTACCGATGGTATCAAAACTTTAGCTCTTGATGAGGCTGATCAATTGTTGGACGGCACCTATGGACGAGATCTTACAACGGTAACATGTATCTATCTATCCAAAAATATATTATTACCTCAAACGAACTGAAATGTATCAATTTAACTCTGGAATTCAGGTCCTAGAGAAAATTCCACCTGCGGCTCAAGTAATCCTAATGTCGGCCACAATGCCTGGGAATATTCTCAAATTAGCGTGGAGATTTATGAGAAATCCAGTAACTTTCCTTGTCCGAGATTTTCAACTTACATTGGATGGAATTCGACAATATTACGTTAACGTGGCGGATGCAGCTGAGAAGATACTTACCGTAGTTGACCTCTTCCCTATCATTGAAAAATCCCGTGGCATGATTTTCTGCAACATGAGAGCAACTGTTGTCCGAGTTAAAAAGAAGTTGGTTGACGCTGGTCACGTGTCGGCATGCATCGTAAGTTACACGAGAATATTGTAGTATGTCTTTTTTAACGGTTCATTTTATTACTTTCTATCCGGTCGAAATAATGTAGACTGGTGACATGACACAAAGGGACAGGGATGAGATAATGGCTAAATTTCGTCGAGGTGAAAGAGGCTACCGGGTTTTAATAACATCCGACCTTCTTGGAAGAGGAATTGATGTGCAGCAAATCAATCTTGTTGTCAACTATGATCTTCCAACTCACAAGGAGACTTACATTCATCGGTAATTTACATCAGACGATTTAAAGCTCACACATTGATAAAATTAATTATTATTAAATTGAAGGGTTGGCCGAGCCGGGCGCTATGGGAGAAAGGGTTTGGCGTTGTCGTTTGTGGAGACCAAAGAGCTTAAGATGTTTGAAGGGATAAAGGCATTTTACCAGACTGACATTCAACCCATGCCAGCAGAGCAAGAATTTCTTGCGCAGTTGGGCCAGTGCTAAACTTGAAATTTTTGATTTTTTTATACAACAATTTATGGAGAATAAAATTCCCATCCTGGTGCTACTCATTTAAAGTGATTTAGTTTCATCATTATTCCATTAGATGCGTTGAACATACTTCGTCATTCATTTTCGTTAATTCTTATGATTCATTTATTAACATTTGTTCATTGTACCAATAGTTCTGAAGACAAACAAATATGTTTGTCCGAATCTAAAAAGAACATGCATAATATGCATATTCGTGGATGTGTGACTAAAATAAAGTTGACCAATGAATAAGTTAGCACCAAATAAATTATGAAACGTTTGAATATCTATGCACTGTCTGGGGTAAAAAAAATAGCATTTCAAAGTGACATAAATATTGTACAGTTTTACTCATTTCGTGGTCAAGTTTTCAAAATAGTCGGCGTTGAGAATGAAGAGGAGATGCCAGTGCGCTATACCTTTGAATGAATTTGCGAAAATTACGATTGCCAAGAACCATATCCTCAGCAACAATTTACTATATAGGAAATCGTTTATCCAAATACATATGAACGTAATGGTGCAGGTTGCTCGACAAAATATGATCATAAGTAAAACTTTATCCAAAAATAAATCCAATTTTACAGGTGGAACGGTTAAATTAAATCCTCAGAGCTTAATTCCTTGAATGAATAGCATGTCATAATAATTAGGGTGTCCGAGTGAGTAAAAATATTTTCATAGCGAATTTTCTCCGGTACCACACCGTTCACACCACTTTGGGAGGGCCTCCGGTACTCCGATCACTTTACATAATTTCTGCTGCATAACTACCATATGACATAGTGGTCATTGTACATAATAATATTTTAGGTAAAGCCAAACTTTGCATAAGTATAGATTGCATAATTGCTGCCAAATCCCATTAGCAAACTCATTCTGTAGTCAGTGACCACTTATACTGAGGAGGAATACGTACGACTTTTGCAATGTCACATCTTGATGCCCTTCAAACTAAACAAAATGTCTTTTGATACCGATATAAATTTACCAAAAATTAGAAGAATTATTTTATGTCTTAAATGATGTCAATTTGCGTACAAAAATCTTGCAAGTGGCCGATTCGACATGCTTGACAACTTATGATCACTGCATTGGTCATTTTGGTGAGGCTGGACGGCGGACGGTGATTGTTGATGTCCATCCGAATCAAGTGGAGGTTTTTCTAATCTGCCAACATAGAGTTGTTCCTTTACTCCCCAAGCCAACTAAATGTGAAATTATAAATTATTCAACTTCAAATAATATGTGTGCTTTAACTACACTTAAATGTGCATATTAAGTTTGCATGCATTTCTCTATATAAATACTGATAAATACTGATAAATACTGATAATTGAAACACTTGTAGTCACACTTATAATTATAATACTGCATAAAGCTTTGAATCCTATTTTCTTAGAGTACTTTCATTTGCAATTTGTAATACTAATCAAAAATTAGCTTTTGGAAATCTAGCTTGAGAAATGATGTTTTTTTTCCTTTTCATAAGCTGCATTCTCATTCTTGCCAGAATCTCCACGGCGCGGTTTACACACTGCCTGCACCGGCTGTAAAAGTTTTGAGATTGCTCAAATTTTTTAATATTTGTTAAAACTAAATAAAATTGTTATGTCGTTTTTTATAATAAATAGCTATTAAAATGTGGTCAAATTCTTTACATCGTATAGGCCGTGCTATTATCCAGTTTGGAGTAAATGGTAAAATTTTGAATATTCCAATTAAAGTATATAATATTTATATTATTCAATTGTCTTTCTTGCTGTAAGTAATTTTCATTTCATGGGGCTTGTTTTATTTTTTAATAGAGATTGTGAAATAGTTTGTTTTGGGTACATTTTCTTTAATTTAAATGAGTGACGCGATATGCTGATAATGCCATGTGGTGATCGAGCCTCATTTCACATTTCTTTTGTTTCTGAGGTGGAGGATCTCAAGCCATCGTAACTAACCCTTGGTCCCTTTCCTTATTTGTTATTATCTTTCTCCCCTTGCTTGCCAACTGCTATTATTTTACATATTTTTCACAGTGAGGTTTCTAATTTGTTCACGGAATTCAACCAATTTCATCCTTTTATTTCTGCAGCACTGCGAACACCAGTTAGCGGTAGTGAAAGCCGAATTTCATCCTCCTTGTTAATGCTAAAGCACCAGAACAGTGCCAAATTGTCAACAAGATGCGCCTTGGCTCATCAATTTCCAATCAAAGCTTCCTCTCCAAGCCCAATCTCTCCATCGTCGTCTTTATTCCAAAAAGTTATGTGGTAAGACAAAAATATTAATAACATGATTTTATTTAGATACAATGTATATTTTGTTATAGTCATGACGGATGATTAAATGGTTGATTTTTTGCAGCTTATCTGAGAAATTAAATACTAACGGTTGCTCTCGGAGCTTTGCTTCATTAGAAGAAATGCATCGTTGGGGTGGACCTCACAAAAAGTTTCGACCTCCACGTAAACCCCTTGATGGCAAACCCATGTTGAAAGGTATTGTTCTGAAGACCCTCATTAAAAAGCCCAAGAAGCCAAACTCTGCAAACAGAAAGTGCGTTCTTGTTCGACTCAGCAATGGGAAGGAGGCTGTTGCATATGTACCCGGCATTGGACACAATCTTCAGGTTATTGTTTTCTTTCTCCTCTTTCTATTATATATGTATCACGTGTTTTGAATTTGAAAGACGTGCTATTAAAATGTCAATACGTTTTATCTTTTCATACAGGAGCACAACATTGTTCTAGTCCGTTGCGGAAGACTGCAGGATGTTCCTGGAGTTAAATTAAAATGCATTCGAGGAAAATATGACTTGGCACATGTTCAAAAACAGAGTAAATAATGAATAGAATTAGAGTCTTGTTAAACAGTCAGCTTAGTTTAAATAAGTTTAACTTGTATAATAATATACATAATAAATTTCTTATCACCGTGAAGACAGAACCTCATGTATATATGTGTGCTTTTTAAACCCTTATAAAACATACATATATATGTAGCAAGTGTAACACTAACTACTAAAGTTCAGTGGCCTGGTCAATCTATTTTGTTTATTCTCCCAAAATAGTTATAAAAGCTTCAAGTTAGTTAAAAAGTTCATTGTTTCCTTTTTTCTTTGCCAAGAAGAAGAAAAAACGTCCCACTGTATAAATCACCCTTTTCTGAATGAAGGGTTTGTATTATTATAGATTTTTGAGTGAGAGGTTTAAATCGGATTTAGTCCAAGTAAATGAGCATCGAGCAACTTGTACATAATTTACGTAAAGTGTTAGTTTGCTCAATGTTCCTCCACCTGCTTATTCTTTGAGAGAAAGGTGGTTGGTGCCTGTACTGTTCTAATCAAAGGGTTCCCGACCCAGTGGGTGGGTAGGAGAATAGATACTCTGGATGGCCAATCCTTAAAGTTTTTGGTGCATTATATTTATTATGCTTGCCATACGTTACATTGCACAGCTACCTAACTCCTGCATCATTTGTGTCACTGTCAACTGCTCACATCTTCATATTCAATATTCTATGTACCAAATTTATTTTGGTCACCACTGACGAAGAAAAGAATGACCGTACATGTGGACGTATGTACATGGGTACAAATGCACATGGTATGCATATGAACATACGTTTGGTTTTAGTGCATGTGTTGCGGTGTGGTCTTGATATTCGTCTCACCGTGTGAAATGAAGTGGTCATTTAAGATTAAACGCCTCATTCTCACTCAGACCTGGAATCTTTCCTACTCGAACAAAAGAAATTATTCCAAATTGTTGAGGAAATAGAATAGCTATGAATTTGTAAGAATGGGACATGATGAAGATGAATGAGAATTATTTAGCTGAGCCCTTGAAATCATTCATTCATGATGTAGTTCCGGTCCTTTGTAGACTTTTGCGACAGTCGTAGAAAGAAGAGACAACTTTTGAAACTGAAAATATGATGTCATTCGTCGGTGTGTGAGTGCATGTATTGAATAAATGCAGACGGAACAATTTGTAAAATTATTATCTCTTTACCCTTTCCCTGCATTAATAATCGAGGACGTTCACATCGAAACACAAGGACACATGGCACGATCAAACATGTCCTTTCGCTTTTTAACTTTTACTCAAATTGCATCTTTGATACAAGCCAAGATAAGATTTTATCCACTCTCCAGGTCTCGTGGCATCTCTTTAACTCATGATTTTCTAGAAAATGAAAAAAAAAAGTTTCCTACTTGGCTTGGGTTGCCACATATTGCATATGTGCATATGTATGTATCTATACGTTGCAGAGAAGGGGTAAAATTTAGTCGAGGTGTGAATAAATAAGTTTACTTATTTGTTTTTAGGGATATTCACAAATTTTGCGTTTTTCTGAGAGCTTGTGAACATGTGCATAATATGTTTCCCTTGGTGCCTGAATCCTCCTTTTATATAATATGTATGTACACACATGTACGTAGGTATACTGCGTCTACTATAGTTCTTAGCCGTTGTAGGGCTAAAAGCTTGACCAACTGTCCATCCATACGTAAATATGTATGTGTTGTTTTTCGTAGGGGACATTATTACAAAGACCTATTTTTAGCCCCGAGTTCATGCACCATTTGTCATGTCATGAGGTTGAGCCCTTTGTATAGTTGGCATTTTTCCCTGATTGTGGAAGGGTTGAGTCTCCTATTAGCTTGCCTCAGTCAGTTGAAAATGTAAATGTACGTGTGAGGATTCATAATAATAATATGTATTGAATAACGAAATGAATGATGGTTTTGGCATTTTGAATGCTATTCCAGTGTAACAATGATGCATCTGCACAATAGCAAGGTTTGAGACTTGAGACAGTTGCGGTGTCAAGTTTTGACGCAATTTACCACTTTTAGAGAAGATCGAAGTATTAAGAATGAGAGTGAACCTTGGATAAACACCTTACCTAAAATACCTTATGGGCAGAGTATGCTGCACAAATTTACAAACTATTTTGTTTTGCCAATTTTTAAGCGCTATTTAATTGCATAAACATGGTTGAAAAAAATAACATCCTGCGTTAAAGTTTAACTGCAACATGTTATGACTAACACGATGTAATGCAGTTTCAAAATTATAACATTTGTGAGTCGCTTTGTTATTGTGCTTCGTAAATGTGACGACTTCTTAAGCATCGGTTGTGCAACGTATGGCTTCTGTTTTCATGATGGCGTTGGCTGATATGTACCAATATCATGGTTCACCTCTAACTCGGCCAGTGCAACTACACCAATACATTCTACTACCTAGAAATACAAAATATTCTACTTGCTCCTGAATTTCATAAAAAAATAAATCCAGATTTATTAAGTTAACCCTAACTTCATCAGATATTACACTACTTATAAACTTGAAATCAGCAAATTTCCATGTGTATACTAACCCAAGTTTTTTTTTAACTGAAGAATTTACAATTTATCCTCCTGCCTCTCAAGTGACAAAGCATAATGTCATTTGGCATGATGTGTCTGTCCGTATAAGTACAAAAATGCTACTGTTTGGCAATGCGTCACTTTTTACTTTCGCTACACAACTAACAATCCGACGTGACCGTGACCTTTGTAGGAACACTTGAGCTAAAAAGTTCGGAGTCATGTATACAAAACTATGTAGCTTGACAGAAAAAGAAAACCAGAGGTTGATCATTCCTACCGAATAAATCAATCACCACATCATCTCTCTGTCTCATTCGTAACCCATCTCATAAATCCTGATGAGGAAATGTAAATCGGAAGGATTTATTTAAATATAATTCATAAAAGTTTAAGCTACCCATGATGATACATAAAACATTATTATTCCTTCTCCAGCTAAAAACTTATTTCATAATCATAATAAAAGACGTGAACATACATTCACAAGATGGAAAGGATCCGGCTTAGATTGTATTGTAAAATGTCATTATTATTTCTTTGTGATCAAATTTAAATACTTAATTTGCATCTTGGATAACTATAGACATCATTTTCTTTGATACGTTGTCTTTTGTGCTTTGATTAAGACGGAAGTCGTCCGATTTCTCTCATTCTTTTTGTTTATTTGAATCAAATGTTCGAGTTGACAAAAACTGACTTTGTTTTCATACTCAAATGACATATGGATTACTACATATATCGTAAGGAATGCGTTTTTATTTATATGTAGGAAGTGGTGGTGGGTTTATTGTTTATTCTTATTTTACTTGTTGTCCAGTTCAATACAATAAAATAAACGATGCATATGAAATAACAAAAGCGATAGATTGAGATTATGCATTTCAGGAATGAATAAAAATAGTATTATATGGATACTTCATGTCGCATGATAAGCACTAAAACCACCACCAAGTCAACGATCATACGCACAAACTACCTAGCTAGAAATGTCGGAGGATTATATATTTCGGTGGGCGTCTCTTTATCTCTCCTATTTTCCAAGCCCTTCATAATGTCATCCCGTCATTTGCCGCATACATAACATTATGCAGCGTAGTAGAAGGAATGGATAAACAAGTTATGTATGTGTTTGGTGCTATTGCCCTCTGTCTCTAATGTCACAGCCAAGCCACGCCACACCACAGTGTTCAAAGAGGCCAATTTATTGGAAGTAATTCCCCGAGCACTTTTCTCTTAATATTGTTGCATTTTCCGAGCTCTGGGGGGTCAAAGACGTGCCCATAAAAAAATTGACGAGCCACACCCACTTTGGGTGTGGTTTTTTCCTAGTGGGTTTAGGGTCAATCGCCCAGTCCAAACTTGTGTGCTAAGCGATTCTACACCTTCTAAAAAAATTTCATCAAAATCGGTCCATAAACAAAAAAGTTATTGCAGGTCAAAGTTTGGCGAAAGGCAAAACACCCCTACTTTAGGGGCGTGGTTCTCCGAAGAGTGCAAACTTCAAACTCTGAAAATGGTTGTAAATGATGGCCCCCCTTGGTGTGTACATATTCTGAAAAAATGGAGTTCTGAAATTTGCACATTTCCATGATACATGGCCGGGAACATTGAAAAAATTCATGTCGAAATTGTCCAAAACAGGCGAAACTCAACATGACGTAGAGTAGTAAAAATCGATATCTAGCTTCAGCTAGGGCTAAAAAGTGCGTCGCAAGTGAAATTGACCCATGTCGTAAGGGAATGGCGTCGACTTGTGGAAATTTCGACATGATCCTATAAAGCTCAAATTTAAAACCAATACTCCTCCACCATTCAAAATAATTATTCTAGCACTTTTGGCAATGTCGACAGTCAATTTCGCCGATTTTGAAATTTAGACATTTTAAAGGTCAATATTCGGCGAAATGGGCTGTCGACATTGCCAAAAGTGCTAGAATAATTATTTTGAATGGTGGAGGAGTATTGGTTTTAAATTTGAGCTTTATAGGATCATGTCGAAATTTCCACAAGTCGACGCCATTCCCTTACGACATGGGTCAATTTCACTTGCGACGCACTTTTTAGCCCTAGCTGAAGCTAGATATCGATTTTTACTACTCTACGTCATGTTGAGTTTCGCCTGTTTTGGACAATTTCGACATGAATTTTTTCAATGTTCCCGGCCATGTATCATGGAAATGTGCAAATTTCAGAACTCCATTTTTTCAGAATATGTACACACCAAGGGGGGCCATCATTTACAACCATTTTCAGAGTTTGAAGTTTGCACTCTTCGGAGAACCACGCCCCTAAAGTAGGGGTGTTTTGCCTTTCGCCAAACTTTGACCTGCAATAACTTTTTTGTTTATGGACCGATTTTGATGAAATTTTTTTAGAAGGTGTAGAATCGCTTAGCACACAAGTTTGGACTGGGCGATTGACCCTAAACCCACTAGGAAAAAACCACACCCAAAGTGGGTGTGGCTCGTCAAATTTTTTATGGGCACGTCTTTGACCCCCCAGAGCTCGGAAAATGCAACAATATTAAGAGAAAAGTGCTCGGGGAATTACTTCCAATAAATTGGCCTCTTTGAACACTGTGCACACATGGTCCTTCTCTAGACAATGTAAAGGCCTAAAAATAAATAGACCCCGGACAGGACTGGGAATCTGCATCCAGCTTGAGCCTAACCTGAGAGAGAATGGAATTAGGCTAGTATTTCAAATCGTAAGCTGTGAATGTCCACTTATTTCCCTTCTATGAATTTGGGTGGTTTGGTTTTCCACAAAAATATAATAATCAGCAAGTAAGTCGGGTGCCTATATTGGGTGGTTGTAATGTAACGTGGACGCAAGATTGTGCTTCGTTTAGTCAATATTTCTACATGCATACGCGCAGGCAGAAGACCAGCAGAAGACCAAAAAGGAAAAGCAACCCTCTCTCTCCTTCCTCCGCAACGACTCGGGGTGTCATTTCATTTGTGGTCAGCTCATTACACGGTGAAGACGCAACCCTTGACTTGAGCCTCAAGTCATTAGCAATCCGAGACCTTCTTAGCATTTACTCATTTATCATTCGAAAGACGGCTCTTTTGGTGTGGTGACAATTTTGGAAAGTTTCCTCAGAAAGCAGAAACATCATTAGCCTGGTAAGAAAATATTGTTTACTTGGTTGGGCTTATCTATCCTGCATGCGGAACAGCTAGTCTCATTCTACCCCGCGATAATAAATTGAGGATTTTACACAGTACTTGCTGTATGGGATTAAAATAAGCAACAAATAGTCGGACGGAATCACCATTTTTTGCAATTCTCATGCTGTCTTTCTCATCCTGATCATTCAATTTGACTCAAGAAATAGCATATGTCCATCATCATCACCAATTTTTAATCGTAAAGACATCCAAGTTAGCATTTCACAATTTATCCATCTTCATACATATGTATATATTTTTAAGAGAATACATTCATGTCCATGGTTTTACGTCATATATTCAAATTTTAAGTTATAGATTCATAAGAATCCGTTTTGTAAATACTTTATACCGATATAGTCGTTGTTCGTAGTAGTGGTCTGATTGTGAGTGAACTGGACATGACAAAAAACTCTACAATAATGCATGAACTGTGTACATATAAAACTTTTTCATATATAAAGATACATAGATTATGTTTTGAGATAAGATAAGGCATAGCATTGCATTGGGATTGAATAAGAATAAAGAAATAAGAGAAAAATAAGGAGGATGCGATAACACGAATGACAGAATACATAGCTTTTGAGCTCATTGTACATTGTAATGTAATCAGTTGCATCCTTCTTCCATCCATTCCATCCAGACCAAAAAGATGAAGAATTGAGTGGACATTTATATTGTCTCAAGTTCAAAGGAAGAAAGGAATTAGAATTGAATTAGTTATTAGATCGACCACGGCAAAGGTTTTGACATCTCCACAGTTCATCAACTCTTGTCCTCCGGTCTGGTCAGCAGAATCGGTCATCTCTCCGGCTTCTTGTCATTAAACAAATAGATAAACAAGGTATGAAAATCTCAACTTTCTTTAGTAACGATTTCTTTTTAAGGCTCTAAACGAATGGGTAATTAATTCGTACCAAGTTTTATTGCTTTCCCGTGCGTGGTTTTTGTGAGAAAAGTGAGAAAATTCGTCTCTTAGAAAACTGAGACATTTCTTGTTAGTGGCGTTCATGAAAATATGGTTGCTTCTTCGTAATTCACAACAAACACAACATGGCCACGAGAAGAATACAATGTTAGTGGTTGGTTGGAGGGTGGAGCGCGAGTGATTACATAACACACGACGCAATGGGTTCAGAATAACGGATTGGAGCGGGGTTGCTGGTGGGTTGGCTAGACTTTTCTCTGCCGTGGGCTTTATTTTCTTTTCCTGTTTCGCGTAGTCAGAATCCATGAAATTAAATATCTCCCTCCACAGATCAGATCAGACCATATTTTAAATCCGGAGATGCAGATTGATTAATAAATAGTATACAACTATCTATCGCAAAGGGATCAAAGGTTGGTAAAAATTATTGAGTGATTTGTTACTTTTTCTTGGGTTTGACCGGGGTGAAGGTTGGTCACATTTAAACATTGATTCTGTCTTCAATTTGTACTTGGTGTAGATGTCAAATCTTTGTTGGTTACAAATATGAGCACATGAGGAGGATGACAATATTGTTGAATTGTCACCTTCCCTTTCCTTGGAGAGTCATTTGCATCTGCTGCTTCCCCATTGTTGTCAGTCATTGTCAAGCATTTTCTTTCTCCAGTGCAGATCATCTTGATATTTCTTATTCTTAAAAGCTGGCACGCGAAGGCACACTGCTCACTCTCACCTTCTCATCACCGAAGGCCAGACATTTTGTGTGCCTCTAAGATAAGTTATACTAGCCTATTGTCGACATTTCGTAGTTTGTGGGTGGAAGCAGGTGAACTGTTTCATCCTGATCTAACTAAAGTGAACAAATTTAGAGTAGTAAATAACCCTTTCAAGTTTAACAACAATGTGGGCGTTGTATACATAGATAAGAATTATCAATTAGTATGTAGATAGATATTAATTGATACATGAAAATATTCGTGTTGAGTTTCCAATGAATCGATTCGGGAGTTATATACGAATGAATGAATAATGTTCACGTACTTACTTTTCCAGACTATATTATAGTAAAATTACTTGTCCATTCCACTATGGCGTCTTCCTCATCACTGCCCCCAGCCCGATTCAACATCCTGGGTCACATGATGCAAATGAATCCTGCTGCCCTGCTGTCCAGGCCGCCTCACTTGTCATCAACCCCACGCGTACCTGTGTCTTCGTCATCTTCAGAGGAAGATGAGAGTCCATTGGATTTTTCCAATAAGGCGAAATTCTCCACTATTAATAACGAAAACATCCCTTCTCCAGTCGACGTGGATGAGGACGAACATGAAGTCGATGTGGATATCGATGTCGTAGAGAATAATGAGCAATGCTCTCAAAGACTCAGATCCGCCCTCAGTATGAAGTCACCCTCTACAATTTTGAACTTGTCCTCCGTCACCACCAAAGAAGAGTCACCCATGTCACAATGCAGCAGCCGTTCTTGGTCAAGAGCAAGTTCCCCACTGTCTCCATCCCCAGTGGGAGGAGAAGAGCGACAATTTCATCAGCAACAACAGCAGCCGGCGACAACTACAACGACTACGCTACCCATGGGTCCATTTGTTGGGGGTAACAATGGATATCCACTCTCATTCTCACCCTGGGGTGTGCCTGGGTTTCCCACAAATTTGAGTCCAGGTAATGGACTGGAGCAGAAACAGCAACAATTTCACCAACAACATGAATTATTGAGAGAGTTCCAGCAACAGCAAACAAGTCCAAATTTTGGGGTCAGTGCCACGCAACCCCAACAACAACAGCAGCAGCAGCAAAGCACAGTATCTGGGTCTTCTGGTGGCAAAGTTAGGGCGACGAGGCCGTTCAAGGTAGAAATAATTAACATTTGGTTTATATTTTTTGCAGTAATGATGGGTTTTCAAATGGGGGCACATTGAGAAATGTATCACTTATTATGTGTTTCTTTATGCAGGCATACCCTAAGGATGTCATGTCTTTTCCTACCGTCGGTATGTATGGGGTGCCCCTTGGTTCTACCCCAACTGGATCCGAAGCCTTACTTCATCAACAGTCACACCAGGTATGCATTGGCATAATCCATTGGCTACTAAATTGTACGGAATGATCATTAATTCCATCTCTCTTATGAACGAATGAACAGGCTTACACCGAATTTCGCAAGCAAATGTTAGCCTCGTCACAATTGGGTCGAGGTCGTAGGGTAAGCAGTTCTATGAAGAGTGGATCGAGTGAGGAGGGTCACAGTTTTGGCAGCATGTCCGTTGAACCACTTATCCAGGACGATCCACTTTCCAATTCTAACAAACGGATCAGTAGTGGGAGTAGTGGTTCCGTCATCATAGGAGATGCAATTGGGGGAAAGAGCGAACAGCAGGTGGGTGATCCATATCTGATTGCTACGTACTTTTATAATTTTACTATTGCAGTGGTGTCGCAACAATTATTTATCTCCGGTATTTTTCCATCTAGATGAAAGATGAGGCCTACTGGGAACGCCGGAGAAAAAATAACGAGGCTGCCAAACGAAGTCGAGATGCTCGTCGCGCAAAAGAGGATGAGATTGCTATCCGGTAAAACATACTCATTTTATTTCATCCTCATTTTACGTAGCCCACAGCTTAACTAAAATTTTATTTTCAGTGCCGCATTTTTAGAACAAGAAAATCTTAAACTGCGCTTTGAAGTTTGTGCCCTCAAGAGTGAAGCCGCAAAATTGAGGTGTATGCTTTATTCTACATAAAAAGCAAACTACATTCATAACTTCCTACATACTTAATTACATATAATGGATCCGTCCCCGAGCTAGATACAACAAAACAACATTGACAAGAAGATACGATGATGTCGTAGTCATTGAATAGATAAAATATATATCTATGTATTATAATTTATTGTGGTATTTTTGTAGTTCTCATATCAGAGGCAAGAGTGCATACGTATATATTAGAGACGTGTTGGGTAGTCATTTAATTATTTATTTAATTATTATAATTAGAAAGATTGAGGGCGCAAAGATACTTAATTATTCTTATTTTACCATGTTTTTTTTCTATGTAGATGCATATAAGTATTAGATAAATGACAACGCAGTATTTGTGTTCCCTAATATTATTACTATTTCCAGTTTCTGACCATTCCAGTAGTATCTACATACATTCTGCTGCTGTTTCCTTGTTAATAAATCGTTATGCAATTTACTTGCTCCACCAGGTCAAATTATTGGATAACTTATTCATGTCGTGGGCTTCTCGGTGTCATGTGTCACCACTTACTTTACTTGACTAACTTTATGGAATGGTTTATTATCGGTGATCCCATAAAATGCTCCCCGGGTTCTACTTACGTACCCGTGACTTGTTTGCTTGTGTCCTTGCTTGGCATATACCATGACTTGTATGTACACAGGTTATGTTCTCCTGTGGGAAGTTTTTCACCTGGGCCACGCCATATAATATGTACGATACCATTCATTGCTCATTATTACCCGATGTGATGGCTGTTGTTGTGTGTTATTCGGATTATTGGTCGGTGTCAGTCAGTGTGTATCAACTAATCGTCATCATCATGCAAAAGCCGTGGTGTATGTATGTGGTATTTATTATATCCATGTGCATATAGTAACCCACATGTCTACGTTGTGCACGTAAGTAGTGGCATGCTCACCAATAATCAGAGGAAGAAACGGAATGAAATGATGTTTGCTTTGGCGTGAGAACCGTGGTCTGGATTGCTCATTATTGTATCAACCCGACCGACCAACACCAACCCAATTTCCAATTCTCCGACACTTATTATTCCATTCTCATTCTTTCCAACTACAAACTGTTTGAGTGAACATGAAGTAAGAAAGAAGAATCGGCGAATAGTAAAATAAGTAAATTACACAGGCCACAGAGATAACAAACACAACCCCCAACAATGGCATAACATGAGTAATGTAATTTGCTTTTATTTTCTTGGTTAGTTCGATATCTGATTTTGCCGAGGATTGTCTACCTTTCTGGATTTTGCTGGAACAAGTAATACGAAGAAAATGTATACATACGCAGTGAAACTAATAGGGATACGTAAAATGATTACCTGGTAATGCTCAATCAAAACCATCAAAGCAGTGCATATTTTACAGAATTCACGTGTAAGTATATTCTATTGCATAAACATTTATGCAATCCTGGACTTGGTAGTTGGTAGCAAGCCTCACAAGTTAACAGCATCTAAATAATTGCACAAAAATTCCACACTATTCGTGTTATCTTTTCCCAAGGCAAAGCCATGCACACATTTTTCTTTACAATACTTTAGCATTATTATTTAGAACTAATCAACTCTTTTCGTATGAAATAATGCATATACAGATTACTCACAAAAGCAAAACGCAAAAGTGTATAATACGGGAAATTCCCATTTCAACCCATAAACCTGTAGACCATACTTTATCATTATACAGTATCACACAGTAAAAAAAACTTGAACAGAAATCCATATTTTTGTTTTAATTTTGCATGTTTACGAATTTTTACTACATAGTTGAATACTGATGCGTGCTGTTGGATGACGATCTGCATCCGCATGCATAACTTATTATCTGTATTTTTCTTAGGTGTATTTTTTTGTACATATATCTATGAACCACTCTAGCACAATCGTCATCGTCATTATTCGTCCTGGCCAATTTACCTACATACATACATCTAACCCATCCTCGCATCATTACGTAAAAGAAAACAATGTGGTTTTTATATAGCGAATTTAATAGCTGACTCACCTGAATGAGCATCCACATAGTACTACCTTCTTAAATACATAGGTATATTCCTTCTCCACATGTACATATCTATCTACTTTGCTGGTCATCATGTGATTACATTCGCCATCAGTCTGCGTCCATTATTATTGCATCTTCTCTCCTTTATGCACCCGTTTTGTCAAGGCTGCTAAGAGTTTGGGCGTATGTACGCTAATAGAAATAATATTTATTAGAAGGGACTCACGGTGCATATGTATATTCAATACTATTCATGTAAATAGTTTTGCTATATTGTTACTGCAAAATCATGTGATTGTTACGAAAATTTTACTACAGACACAACGTGTAGAGTTGTTGAGGCAGGATAAAATCTGTTATCTGTCAACCCTAGTAAATTCTAGTCTGAATTATAACAATGACTTTGATAAGGATGAGTATGTTCGTCGTGGTGTTTATCGTGCTAGTGGCTGATTCTGGGAACGGGTTTACCGTTGGACCACCCCCATTGCCTTCCGTGTGTAAAACCATGAGCCCACAACACCACGACTACAAAGCACAGACCGGAGAGTCTCCGTTTACAGTTAGCATTGACCGGAAGGAAACTGCTGGGGGACAGAGTGTGTTTGGTAATTGGAAAAATTCGTTCATGAAACTGACAACTGAGTGAAATACTTGGACGAAGGAATTAAATATCTAAAATTATGTATATTTTTTAATAAAGTAAATCTGGCCACAACCGATCCGGAAACAAAATATATCGGATTTTATGTGCAAGCTAGGGATGAAAATGACAACCCTGTTGGGGTATTTACCCCAAATACGGATACAAAAGTCCATAACTGCTTTGGGAAAAGATCTGTAAGTTGTAGATAAAAAATTTCAGCAAGCCATTAATTGGTGCAATTTTTTAAATGATGCATAGAACGCTGCTCATCACGCTACCGGACTTGTGAAGAAATCGAACACGACCATAATATGGACAGCGCCCAGAAATTTTCAGGGTGAAATTGTTTTAACGTACGCAGCATTGAAATATGTATTAAAAATTGTGCCATAGCAAATAACGTTCTATAATTGGGTTGCAGGGGGACCATGATGCGAGACTTTGTGACTTACTGGGTATTCCTGCAAAGTGAACCACTAATAGTGACCGCGGCGGATGGTTTGGAAGAAGTCGTAGGAAATACGCTCCCACTTTCAGGTTCAGGTTCCAGCGGCAGCAGCAGCAGGCCAACGCCACGACCAAGGCCAAGCCTAAATGCGACCCTTTTCACCTTGATTGACAATATTGGATCAATTTTTAGATTTCGGCTCACAAATTCCAGCTCTGGCACAGGCATCGGAAGAAGATGCGATACCGACAGGGTTTTTAACCAGTGGTTCTGTAATCTCTTCAGTAACCCAAATGCTGTTGGGGGATGATTTGGTATTTCCTGCTCTGCTATGAGATCATTTGTACTTATTGTGAATAATAAATATGTGATATTTCCGGATATTATGCCGCTGTGATGAATACAGTGTCAATGCATGCCAATAGTAAATATAATGTGTGTATGAGAAATTAGTACTAATTAAGTAGTTATATAAGTATATAGTATATTGTGTACGTATAATTGGTATCCAAACTGTTGATAAATAATAATAAAAATGAAGATGTAACTGAGGAAATCATATCATACCAAATCATACCAAGTCTATAAACCCTACCAGCTTACATATTAGTAATGTTGAAGCGCAGTCATAATAATGTACTTACATACGTTGTATTGATGTTGTACACTTGTACGCAACGCACATGTATGTACTTACATGCATACATACATATTTAGTATCAGATAAACACTAAAAATAAAAATCTGGCCGTCACAATATAAATTATACTGTCAGGATCATGATATGGCCTCTAAGATTTTAAAACTTCATGTCATGTCATATTTTATTCAGTCAATATAACTTAGTTACCCTATTAGCCAATTATCATAAGTGGCTTGAACAGGAAAGACCTACATAATCTAGGTAGCAGCTAAAGTTAAAGGTATATTTAGATTGGGTTGGGTTAATTAAGATGCTGGTTATTATTTTTATATGCTAAATACATAGACACATATGTACATACACAAGTTTTATTCGACTACCAAAAATGATCCGTACTACATAATACTGCTACACTACTCTATATACTTAGATAATACTAATCAACATATCTTAGAATTGTTATATTCTGAATAATAAATAAATAAATATCTAGATCTTATAAATATACCAATAAGTTAATTAATCGACTTGTCTATAACTCAGCCAATCTTTAAAATTAAATTAAATTCTAGAGAAATAAGTCTCTTCGAAAATAGCTAAATTAAATGGATATCCATGAAATGAATATGAAAATAAGTATGGTATGAAAATTTGCATTCTGCATTTACTGCTCTTTCCCATATGACCTTCCTCAAATGCGGTAACTTCACATACGCCGACAACATTTAACAAGATGTCAGAGCTGGTTTGGCACACATTGTCGCTTAACTTTTGGGCGAATAAATATTTATGGAAAACCTCTTTCCAATGGGATCCAATTCAACGACAATTCCTCCACATTCATGAAACATTCCGAACCTTCTTCTGGTGGTATTTTGTTACGTTTTTCATCAACATTTACATCACTGCTGCTTATACGTTGTCCTGGGACAGTTTTACAACTATCATCCTCGTATCCCAACTTGGGTCACGATGCAATTTTTTATAGCCTCAGGAGGGATTTAGGCAGCTGGGGGCATTGCAATTTTTTCATACTCTTTGGTGATCATACCGTCCTTATAGTCAATAATCAAGGTTTACGAAGACTTTTTTTATGCTGGACTGAATGGACACAATTTCTACAGTATACAGAAATCTATAATGACTAGTTATATTAGGGCCATTGTGGATTACGCCATAAATCTACTTGTTTCGTTTCCAACTTTAAAGATAATCACGAGTATATGCACATACATACATAGTCTGAGATTTCATACTACTAAAATATATAAACACTTAACTTTTTAGATAATACTAGGTTAAATATAAGTTATTGTACTCCTCAAATCGAGGAATGTTATCTGGTTCACTAGTTGTATGCCAAATGATCCATCACGATGCCTGCATGTGTTCCCATTCTAACTTTGGAAATACATATTTACATATGTACCACATATGTATATGCAATTGGATATTTTGTTAATAAATTTATAACTCAAGTGTGAAAGACATGTTTATTACACCTTCTATTTACAAAAAGATAAAAATATTTGTTTTAGATGACATGATAATCTCTGTGATTTATTAAACTTCTACGAAAAATATACACTTCAGTCTTCATTTAGGATTAGCCTGAGCTAAAATAATTATAATTCAATTTGATCCGATATATAAGTCAAAAGAGAGTTATTGTAACGGACAAAACGACCCCATATGTATGCCTTTGTAAAATTGATATCAGCTACGATACGGATTTGAGAGACGATAACATGTTATTCATGCGAAATTTTTTTTCTTGCTTACTTACAAATAAATTTAATCTTGAGTGGATTCATTTTAATCACCTGAATGACATATCGGGCATAATTCAGCAGCAGATAAAAGTATAAATATGAACAGGTCACGCCTAAAAGTTGGTCAGTTCCCAGATAGACTGCACGTAGCATCATATTAGTTAAAAATGTTTAGGATGCTGCTATATCTTATTTTCGGTGTAATATTTTTAGCTTCTGGTAAAGCAAATAGCAAATAAAAATATTTATAATTGACAATAAAACTTTAAACTACAATTTTGTCATCTTTCTATCTTTCTAATCGTGCACATATTTGTAGGCTTGTCGGCTCAAACGTGTGTCCCTGATGCGGAACGAGTCGATTGTCACCCAGACCCAAATGCCTCCACGGAACGGTGTCTCGCGAGAGGCTGTCTTCATTGCCCACCCGACGTGCCAGACCAAAACGTTCCGACCTGCTACTTTCCGAAAGACTATGGGTATTCCATGGTATGAATTTTATTCCTAATTATCGTTTGAATCAGTTCTCCTAAGTGGGTGAAAGTATAATACGCGTCTGTTGAATACATATCTAGGTAGGTGAACCGGTAGATACGGGAAATGGTGTCAGGTTTGTACATAAATAATACACATGCCTGGAAATCATGCAATTATTGAACATGGAAATCAATCAATCAGTTAATATATACGCAGAGTCGAGCTTGTTCGCACTACAACAAGCACATTATTTGGGGGCGATTCCATGAATCTTACTCTTGAAGCTGATTTTCAATCCGACTACAGACTTCGAATCAAGGTATGAATGATCCGGGGTGACAGTTATTATGGTACAAAGTCTGAGGTACTAATAATACCACAAATTTACAGATTACCGATGGCACTCCACGATGGGAAGTTCCGCTTCAGATTGATCCTCCAACAGGCGGAAATGAAAATAGACGCTATGAAGTCATTTTTACCAATGTCCCCGTTTTCTCCTTTAAGATCTTGAGAAGACCGACAGGCACAACCATATTTGACAGCTCCCTGGGTGGCTTTACATTTTCTGATCAGTTTCTACAATTAGCGTTCAAATTGCCAAGTCGAAATGTGTATGGCATTGGAGAAAATGAGCAACACAGTTTTAGACACTCATTCGATAAATTTCCACGCTGGGTGCTGTGGGCACGAGACGCTGCTCCATCAGTACATACATATAATTATAGCCCAATAATTGCACATATTCTTGCAATTATCATCTCATTTTTTGTCCATATAGGGAGATGTAAATCTTTATGGGGTTCAGCCACATTACACTGTTTTGGAGGAAGATGGGAACGCTCATGCTGTAGCAATTGTCAACAGCAATGCACAAGGTACTCTTTTTCTCAGGATATCATAACAAAACTGACGAGGTTAAATGCGTCATATTTTCACGCAGAGTTCGTTATGCATCCCAATCCTGGAATTGTTTATCGTACAATTGGAGGCATTTTCGATATGTATTTCTTTCTTGGACCGACACCTGAGAGTGTAGCACAGCAATACAGCGAGGTTAGGAGAATAGTGTTTGTTAATAACAAGATGTTCGTTGACAGTTTTCTTGTAGCTATGTGGTGTCTTGTATTCAGGCAGTTGGACGATTTCCACTACCACCTTACTGGTCACTGGGTTTCCAACTTTGCAGATTTGGATATGATCACATTGACAATATGAGAGCAGTTGTTGATCGAATGATTGCGTCAGAAATTCCTTATGTAAATATGCACCTGATTTAATTCACATTTGATGAAATGAAATGAGTATATCATACTAGTAAACGGAAAATTGCATACTAGGACGTTCAATACGGCGATATTGATATTATGGATAGACGGCTGGATTTCACGATCGACCCCATAAATTTTGCTGGGCTTGGAGCCTATGTCCAAGAACTGAAAACACAAGGAATACGATTCATGACCATTTTGGTAATTAATATATTTTAGACGATATTATTTCAGGAAAATTATTACTTTCCAACGGTCAATAGCCAAATGAGCTGAATCAAATTTGATGTACATATTAGTTTTAATGTGTATTCTGCATGTTATACACATTTAGGATCCCGGAATTTCTATTGGCGAACCTAACGGTACATATCCACCCTTTGAACTGGGTCAAGAAATGGAAGTTTGGATTACAAAACAAGATGATACGCCTGCTCAAGGTCGTGTGTGGCCGCCTGACGATGTGTACTTTGCCGACTTTTCTAAAAATTCAACTAGGGAATGGTGGAAATTATTAATAAAAAAGTTTCACGATGAAGAGCTGGAATTTGCTGCTCTTTGGATTGTGAGTGCTAATATTTTTCAAAGTATATACCTGCATAAGTGTGCATTTTGTAGGCACTGTGAGCTATGAACATACTGCTAAACATGTTATATTCCCTATATAGGACATGAATGAACCTGCAAATTTTGTCCACGGAGACATAAATGATGGCGGATGCGTTACAACTTCAATAAATGATCCACCATACCTTCCCCGTAAGTAATATATCACTCATCCAGTCGTAAAGATTACTTATAAAAGGGACACTTATTAGTATTCCTTGAATGCTATCTCATTTTGTAAAATTTTAAATAGGTGTCCGAGGAGATTCTCTTTACAGTAACACATTATGTCCCGATCACAAAGATTCAATGGGGATCCACTACAATACGCACTCACTATATGGCTGGAGTCAATCAGAACCCACCTTTATGTTAGTTTGATTTTTGATGGAAATCTGATAATTTTAACAATTTATGATAGTTGACAAAAACTTGAAACGCAGAGCTAATAATGAAGCTGTGGGAACTCGATCATTTGCCCTATCACGCTCCACGTTTTTAGGATCGGGACGATGGGTACAACACAAATTCATATATTGAAATACTCAATTATCCAGGATAAGTCAGCACATTTCAGTTTACAATTAAAAACTATTATAGATAACACATTGGCTGGGAGACAATCATAGTAACTGGGATAACTTGCTCTATTCCATAATTGGGATGCTGCAATTTAATCTGTTTGGAATTCCGTTTGTTGGGCCGGACATTTGCGGACATAACAACAACGCCACTGCTGAAATGTGCGGAAGATGGATGCAATTGGGGGCATTTTATCCTTTTTCTAGAAACCATAATGGTTATGGACACATTGTAAGATGCGACACAAATATTTATATGCGTTGTCTATTTAAAAAACAAATGTATTCAACGGATAGGATCAAGACCCTGCCGCATTCGATGGCGCTATTATTGAAATTTCCAAATCCGCATTAAACACCAGATATCGACTTCTCCCCTACTTGTACACACTTCTCGCCATGCACTACATGAACGGAAACACTGTGGCCAGAGCCCTTTGGCACGAGTTTCCTCAGGACCCTGAAACTCGTGGAATTGATCGACAATTCATGTGGGGATATGGTCTCGTTATAAGTCCCGTAATTGACGAAGGTGCGACCAATGTCACTGCCTACTTCCCAGATGCTCGATTTTATGACTACTACACGGGCGGAGAAGTGGCTGTCCGAAAAGGCTACGTTGAACTCGATGCTCCATTTACACACATTCCGCTTCACATTCGGGGTGGGGGTGTCCTTCCGGTCCAGGCATCAGCAGTCAATACGGACCTTGCGAGACGGAATCCGTTGGGCTTGATTGCTGCATTAGACGACAGGGGAGAAGCTAGAGGAAACTTTTACTATGACGCCGGAGACAGTCTTGGTAATACCATTTGCTGCGAATTTTATATTTTTGTTATATTTAGGTTGAAATATTTATTTTTGTGAAGAACCGATTGCGTCTGGGACATACTTTTTGGCGGATATTGCTGTCAACCAACCTGGTGTGCTCACATATGTGGTCAGGACCAATGGATATGTTGAAATGAACCAACAGGTCATGGGAAATATTACCGTTATGGGAGGCGTGGCCGTGACTAGCGTTACAGTCAATGGAAGTCCACATGCTGAATTTTCATTTTCTCCAGTGACAAACCAACTTGATATTTACGAGCTGGGTTTAGTCGCAAATCTAAATTTTACTGTAGAATGGGTTTAATTAATAATCCAGAATAGATTATTGATTGTTTGAGACGTTACATTGTGCATGACAAATTAGTTTGTCAATAAAATGTTAATAAAATTATTGAAACAATAAGTTAATTGCTGCATAAATATATGGAATAATAATTCCTGATATTCACTCCACAGTCATGCATACGACGGCAAGTTAGTTAAACTCTGTATTATTCCCAATGCACACAAACAACATTCTGACCTTTGGCATTACATATCCAGACACATTTACCACACAGTACACGCATTTGAGCAATAAATAACAGCCAAATAAAATTAATTTCTTGACAAAAACAGACTCACGAAAAATGTCTTCAAATAACAGGTCCATCCTAGACTTGAATTTTCTACAAAAAATTTCGGTCGCCAGTGGTCATTTTATAAACGATATCACGGCTTCGATATGGTTCTCCTATTATCTCCTGTACATACAGGAAGTAGCCGGCCTAAGTTCGGATTTGGGAGGAGGTCTGATGCTGTTGGGTCAGGTACACATTTTCAAGATTGCCTGACATTTACTTAAGTATTACCTGCGAAGTATTAGCTATTATTTTCGTTTAAAGATTGTGGACGCCGTTTCGACACCGCTTGTTGGATATCTTGCAGACCGTGCTTGGGGCAGCGGAGGTTGTGGCTTTGGTCGACTCAAAACCTGTCATCTTATTGGTATTAATTAATATGCTTGTCTATAAATTTCAGGTCATTTTATTTATTTGCGAAGAAACGAATAAAAATATAATTTATGCTAATTTAACAATCCTCAGGAGTTGCAATGGCTGTTATCAGTTTCCCTGTAATATTCTGTCCTCCGATCGGACTCGGCAATAATTCTTCCCAAACAGCTATAATGGCATATTACATACCATTTATCATAATTTACGAGGTTTCTTGGGCTGCAGTGCAAATTTCGCATTTGGCCTACATTCCAAAAACGAATCCGGATATGTTTGTGAGGTATTTAAAGAAAATTCAACGTTTACCTAATTTAAATTCCACTTGAAAAACATAATCTTGTAATAATTTTTACTCTTTACTTTGTTGGGTCCTCTCTATCAAAGGACGGAAATTCTTAGCATTCGGTAATTGCATATTTATTGTTTGTATCATAATTCATCGAGTTTATTTTATCGATGGACATAATAATGTTGATAACGTAATAATAACTTTTTAAAGGTATGTCTTGATGGTGATTGCTAACGTTATTGTGTTTCTTGTCACATGGTACTCTGTGGGTATGGAAAAAAATTGTACCATTGACAAGGGTGACGTATTAGTATTCCAAGTAAGACCAATTTCAATTCCCTATGTGGGTACATATTTATTTAGATTGACGCCTGATTGTTTTCAGGATCTTGCAGCTATTGCGATGGGAATAGGATTACTGACTGCTCTATTCTTTTACATTACAACAAAGGAATATGATGATCAAGATGTGCGAGATGCTGTGATTATCTGGAGACGGGAAGAAGCGGAAAGTAATTTAAATGATTTTTGGCATTACTCTAGCTCGAATTGTTTTTCTTGTAAAAGAGTAAATATGTTGTTGTATCGATTACAAAAATTATAGAAATTCAGTCAAACTCCAGTCAACAACCGACTTCTTCTGAAAGGACGCCTCTACTAAATAGTGAAGGACAGCCTCAACCTCAACCCAGAATTTCAAGTAGTAATAAACGTATCAGCCTATCTACAAAAAATCTTAACCCTGGCAAACCGAACATGACCACTTTAGACTGGGTTAAAAGTCCGCAGTTTTTCATGGTCAGCATGATTATTTACTATCAAATTAATGTATTTGTTACTGCATAATATCTTTGCTAATCACAATTCCTAGGTAGCTGTAGTCTATATTCCTGGCCGCCTAATTATCAATGTACCTCAAGCATTTCTACCTCTCTACTTGCAAAAGACATTACATCTCCCTTGCAAGATGTTAGCCATATGCCCATTAACCTACTTTTTATCCGGGCTACTTGTTGCGACAACGATGAAAAAGCTGGCTAAATGGGTTGGAAAACAAATGTCGTTTGGGTTTGGAATCGTCCTAAATGTTGTTGGAGCGTCCCTTATTTTGTGGGGCGAGTGGGGTGAGGGTTCATTTCTACGAGAGGCTGGAATTTATGGCGTCTTCGCGTTGTTGGGTTGGCAAAAATTTTATTAGCAATAAATAAGTGAGTAGAATACATAAGCGATCATAAGGGTGATACCAAGTATACATACATTTGCAGGTGGGGGCGCTTCAGCCGGAATGGTACCTGCTGCAGGGTTTTAAATAATCACAGTTTGTTGATTATTGATGATTTCATCACAGTGTGATAAACTGACATCAACCGTGATTTATGAGATTAACTGTGATAAAATGTGAATACATAGGAACTAATCGTTTCACACTCTTTTCGTACAATCGATTAATACAGTTGATCCCATAAATCACAGTCAATATATAAAAGCCGGCTATTACCGGTCAGTAGACATCAGTTTATCACACTGTGATAATCACACTTGAATTCCTGGTGACTGGATTGTCAATAACGGCCGATTTGATTGGGAACAATGTTGAGAGCTCTGCAGTTGTGTACGGTTTCATGAGCTTTTGCGATAAGTTGACCTGTGGTGTTGCAATTATGCTAATTAGCTTGTTTACTCCGGAAGGGTAAATTACATAACTTACATTCTTCCTAATACATAACTTAGCACACATTTGAATAGTGATTTATTTATTTGTTGTGTTAATCATATTCTATTATAGGGAGCGAGCTACTGCATTTTTCCGAGACGTCGTAGCCTTTTCTTGTTTAGGTAAGTTTTATAATCATATCTATCGGGTTGTATTTGTATACTTCGTAGTATATGAAATATGTATTTACATATACAATTTCCTTGTAGGTTGTTCTCTCCTAGCTGTCTTTGGCCTTTGTTGCATCACAATATTGATTTTTCTGAAAGGTGTCCAAGAAAGACAGCAGTCAACGCTGATTGACAGTGGAAGAAATTCTCACACAGAAAATTGTTGACACAAATTCGTATATGTATTTCTTAAATCACAATAAATTTTATAGTGAATGCAAATATATTTACTATCTACTTTACTTTACTTACTATAATAACCTGAAGCAAAATTTGCAGATCCAAGGTTTTGTGAGTTGTCCATCAAAGTACAAAAACTTGTTCTTGTTGTGATTAATCAAAACATCATCCTCAATTATTCACTCCTCGTCATCAGCCTATAATTAATTCAAGACTGATCACAAAATTAGAAATTTGCAACGGTCCACCCTTTAACAAAATCTTGGAATCATAAACCGAATGATTATAGATGAAATGATTTTTAATACATATGCATGTGTACTACACGTGTTTACAGACAAATGTCAATCACCATTTATTTTTAGACTGCAATTATACAATTATGTAACTGCAAACTACAATTTCTTTCATCCTACATAAGTCAAAATCAGTCATAAATAATTCCTTTCCTTTGGTTTATTGAACATGTATATTTGGGGAGATCAACTACCATAATTGATAATAAACCTGTTTTTTCTTGTAGTTCATCTTCACTCACTCAACTTGATCTTGTTTCGTTCTATACAAATTAACTCTATATAAGTTCAGTTGTATCTCATGTAATTTAGCTTAAATTGGTCATAAATGCACATCATCTTCTTCACCTTCTTTTCGAGTATCTCTTGGTTTGAATAAATTCAGTATCATATCAATGCCTGCCTGCCAAATAATCTACTCGACGCTCATGATGGTCAGGTTGTAATCCAACAGATTATTATGTAAATTGCAAACAATTACGTTCCTATTATAACATTTGCGAAAATTCACATTAATTGAAGCCACACGCATATGTATGTATCTTTAGTAAATAACTTACCCTTTGCAGGTAAAGAGAGTAAGCACAATCACTTTTTTACATGTATTAAATCTGCAAAGCTTACACATATACACACTTTACAATTATAAATATGTGTGTATACATATACGAATTACTTTTATTATTAATATTTATGTTTGAACCAGATTTTGCTAATGTACATTGGTGGAAAGGTCGTCATAATGCCTAAAAGCTACCGAGGTATAAAAGAACTTTATTTCAAGGGTGACTGCATCAGTGTCTCTTGTCATCTCAGCATCTACAATAATAACAAGGAAAATTGATCCAAAAATCAAGATGCAATCCGTAAGTTGTTAATTTTATATATTTCGCTTTTTCAATTCTAACGTTATGATCTCCTTCCAGGCTATCGTTGCTCTCGCCCTTCTCGTCGGAGCGGTCCTTGCCTACCCCCAAAAGGAAGTTACCGTGACCCGGTCCGAGTTTGAGAACAATGGTGACAATTTCAACTGGGTGTCTGAGCTCTCTGACGGCAACACCCATAGTCAGCAGGGAACTTTGAAGCAGATCGGAACGGAACAAGGAATCAGTCTGACTGGATCCTATTCCTACACGTCTCCCGAGGGTCAATTTATCGAGGTCAAATATGTCGCCGATGAAAATGGCTTCCAGGTATGCTTAACTTGATAAAATCAAATGTCTGAAATCTGAAATGACAATGAATGACATATTTTCCAGCCAATCGGTGACCATATTCCAAAACCTGAAGGAGGTGCAGCTCTCCCAGTTCGATCTAACGCTGGTGGCCGCGGTCCAGCTCGACGATTTTAATTTACAATTATCAAATAATGTGCTTTTGTCCATTAAACTGGTACAAATAAAATGATACGTTTTGCTTAAATATTGATATAAGACAAGAAGTATTGATATTGATATAGTACAAGAGCTGTATGGATTACATGGGAAAGTAACTCCGACTCATGCCAATGAACGTTACACAAGCACCATAAGCGTCGATAAGTTGGAACATATTATTAAGAATTATTTATTTCGATTTGTTTCTGTTTATGGTTTTAACTTATGCATCTCGAATTTCATGGCTAAATGTAAATACAAGCTTGCACATAAAAAAATTATTCGCTTTTCAAGCTAAAAATTTCAATTGGAAGACGATTTATTTGAATTCTTAATAGTGTTTTAAGACGAAATATATAGACAAGCATCAGTTCCAGACCTGTGTAATTTTTCTGAAAACCCATGATTCAATGTCGTGCCCACCTCCCCCATTGATATCCACGCTGGCGTACAACTTGTACCCAACCTTTCGAAATGATGCAATCAAGTGACACAGAAATAATTTTGCTGCAATGCTCTCCTTCCCGTCCGTCGTCCACCAAGGGTTTCCAGAAAGTTTCATCTCGGTAGAGCCAAAATAAGACCGTACGTGTTGAACGCCCGCTGACCACCCGTCCCGAACTGTTTGTTTAAAATGATCTGAAAGCCATGATTCTGGCGGATCAACGAGCCTACAAGTACAACAAATAATGGTAAACGGGTTTACGTTTTATTATTTGTAAAACAATATATTTATGTTAAATCAAGATGAGCTTGATATTGTTTAAGCGACGTAGATGATCAAGACATTTCCTACTAGATAGGGTTTGATCATTTTTGTAAATTATTTGACAAAAATTTGTGTGCTGAAATAAATCTATTATTATTATTATTATTTTACAGATACATACTGTAGGTAAATGGTTGTATTTATTTGTGACTGATTAATTTGGTATCTTATGGATGGGTAGATTCATAATACCTAATTCTATCGTCCCGATTGAAACTGATTGCAAAAACTTGAGTATCTGGATCCTTCTCAGCACATTCAAAGAACATTGTGTCCTTGTCATTGGTTTTTTTAGTTGCGTCAAAACTTTGAAGTAAAATCCACCCCTCATTTGCCAGATATTTTAGAATCGTTGCCAATACCCTGCATGAAAAGCTATGCATTTTAAACATTGTTGTAAATATTCTGCATATATGTATGTAAACGCAGAGCTGGGAAATTAATGAGTTTCGAGATTAAAAATTAAGATTTGAGATTAAAAATCCCCGAATCAGAGATTAAGATTAAAATTATTCTTCCGCTACTAAATTAAATTATTAAGATTAAATTAATCTATTTTTATGACACAGATTAAAGATTAAAGATTAATTAATCTAGATTAATATAATAGTCATTAAGAATTATTTTATTTTATCGCCGTTTTTTATAGTTTACATCGATATTATAATTATATCGTAAATTCTAAAATTTGAGAAAAGTATGAAGTATCGGTGCTTCAAAATTGTTATTCAAAATTATTAAACTTTTATCAGCTAAATTTAAGGCGAATACAATAACTTGTAATACGAGTAAAAATTAGTCTCACCTCAAATGCAACGCGTTTTTAAATTTCAAAAAATAATAACTCTTAATTTTTTTTAATTAAATTAATTTTTTCATGGCAGCAAATTTTTTAATCTTTTTAAAGAATACAGTTTTAAATAACGTTACTTTCAAAAAAGGGAACCTGTCAGAAATTTAGAATTGTTTTGATTTTTAAAAATGGTTCCAGTGTTGAAAGACGATCGTGCGTTGAAATTTAGAGATTTACAAGGAGTCGAGTAACAGATGGCGTGATTTTAATCATAATATAAATCGTGATTAAAATTAAAGTCGAAGATTCAAAGATTAAAAATTAAAAATTAAATTAATTAAATTGACTTGTGAGATTAAGATTAAAATTATTGATTAATACGATCAAATTTCTTGATTAAAATTATGGATTAAGATTAATTATTCTTAATCTTAATCTTAATCTTGATTATTTTAATCTAGATTTTCCCAGCTCTGTGTAAACGTACCTTCTGGATTGAACACTCTCTTTACCAGTGCCTACCCATGGCTTCCCAATGAGTTTAAGAATTGGCTATATTTCATGTTAAACAAATCCTTATCCATCACATAGTGGCGAAACTGATGAACTCGGTGGGGTAAAAAGTTCACGAGTTTCGGTGGGAATTTTGAATTATTTGCAAAAAACTGCAAAACTCATCTTGAGTTGTTTACATTTTTAGTGGTTTCCAGTGGGAAGAGTGTGTGGTGGTGGCTTCCCGCCACACATACTCTATGACGAGTTGAGACTAATCTCAAAAAGTAGTACAATTTTTACATCATTTTTCACTTTGCGGGTTTCAATGTACACGCATAAGTTTGAAATTTTCAGAATATAGCTGTCAATAGTTTTGCAACAAATTACCATTCATCGATAAGCAATTGTGATTGTAGTTTTATTTATATTAATCAATATTTGTGCAAATTTCGGTAATATTGAGATTATTGATTAATATAAATAAATCTACAATCACAATTGCTTATCGATGAATGGTAATTTGTTGCAAAACTATTAATAATTATATTGTGAAAATTTCAAATTTTTGCGTGCACTTTGAAACTCTCAAAGTGAAAAATACGGTCAGAGTTCTGGACTCATGCGTAGTATAGAGAGGAAATGCAGAGCGAGAGCTTTTCTCGCTCAATAGAGCGAGGAGATAAAATATCACGCAGGCTTAAATTCGTGAGCACCGTGGAAGTATGCTTCGTCCTTAATCCCACTTCGCCAACTCGATTCTATCGCTGAACGTAATGGAATTATTAAGTCTCCAGGAAATGGTAATCCATTTAGACGGATTCGATCTGTTCCTGAGAATTGTACTGAACAAATGCTAACGTCTAAATTGGCGGAAGACGACTGAATTTGGTGTGTTCCCATTTTGTATTATATTTGTTTCAGGTTATTTCATACACCATGCTATACTTAATAATTAGTAGAATATTTGTTGGAAGTAAAACCTGAACCATCGTGTATTTATGCATATGTACATATACACTTCCCGTATATTCCCGGATTTCAGTAATGTCGGAAAGTCTCCGGTCCCCTTCTGAATATCTTTTGGAATTTCATACACATCAATGTAAATTTGTGGTACATACATATTTTCAAGAGTAAGTTTCATGTTGTGATGTTTGTTGTTGAGATTGTAAAACCTCATTAACAGACTAATGTGCTGGAACGAGAATAATTAGAATGTATTTTGCATACGATATTAACTACACATGAAATAAGGTGCCTGATGATGATCTGCGGTAAGCCGTCGAAAGCTCGCAATTATCAATAAAAACTAGGTATAAATGTACTGAAATAGTACAGTCCAAAAGTCCAAACACACAGATATTAAATACATTTTTATGTCACGACTTGGGTATTTGTCATCAATAATAATTTTTAAAAAGCATAGACTTGTGTATTGATAAAATATTTATTAACAAAACTAGTTTTTTAATTTGAATATTATAGTTTGACGAGGTAATCCAATATTAATCTATATTCTGCAAGTCAGTCTTATATGCTACAGTTTCTATCTCCAAATTATTTTTTCCGAATTTCATGGTTAGTTATTTAGTTAATAGTATAGTCAGTGATTCCAGTCTTGTTAGATAATTATGCATCTTCGTCTTCCATTTGTAGGTGTAGGTAGGGGTATGCCGGATTGTTCATCTTTTTTCTCTTGGCTAAAGCCACGGCCAGCATGGATACAATTAGCAGGACAGAGAAGAATGATCCTAAAATTAGAGCTGGGAAGATAATATAAAAGGTTAAGAAATGGATACGACAATCAAGACTATTGATGTATATATATTACACTTATGTACCAGCTAGGGAGATACCGTTCAGTCCTAAAAACCCACTCTCACATTCGCTCTCCCAATTCAAGGGTATAACGCTTTGCGTAAGTTCCATGAAAGAATCGAGGGGGCAAGACGAATTGCATCCGGGTAACGTAAGCAAATACGGATCACTTTTGGTATCATTCCTATAGAAAATCTACAAAATAGCACACCAAATAAGACAGGCAGACATTACAACACATTTCATATGTATGTATTTATAAGCAGATTAATAAATATCCACCTTCACAGAATGGGAACCGCTTGAAATATTTCGGTACAGCTCTAGCATTACGGCACATGCATAAGGTGGTGGGATGTCGTTATACATTCCTAGAGAGTTGAGTAAACTGGCGACTGTTGTGTCGTGACCTGAATACATAAATAGTTTACGTCGATGGTCCATTTTTTCGGATCCTACAAGGAAATAATAATTATTGTTAGAAAATAAACAATTAATAGTTGCATTTTTAAGGATATAAAAAAGCTATAATTATTAATTAATTACCAATCGACTTTTCATGAAAATGTGAGACTAGCTCTTTCACTAGTGGACCAGCCTTCAACCGCTTCATTTCAGCATTCCAAGTAATCACTTTAAAAGAGAGTGCCGTCAAGTTCAGGAATGCATTACCAGGAAAAACTTTCTTTGTCCAATCAGGTAAACTATAGTTGTGCAAGTTCTACATGGGAAACGACAAAAATTTAATTGGGTACATGTATATTTTTGGTGCAAGTTTTAAGAAATGCTCTTTTAATATTTAAAAATACCTCAATAAATAAATCGTCATATAAATAATCTACGTCCTGCAAAGTTCTGATAGGTTTTCCAGCATTTTTTTCCAAATATTCAAACAGCTCTCGGTTCTCGTTATAAATCTGACTCATTTCTGGTCCTTGATTGAAGGCATCAATCAATCTTTGTAGTTTTGGACATGGTGCAGACATCCTCACTATCTATAGTAATAAATAAGAGTAAAATTACTAATTAATTTAAACAGCGTATCCAATATCAATGATTATGCTTACGTTATCTGAGTTTAATGGTTTTGTATGAACAGGGATTGGTTGCCACTGAATTTTGTCATTCCACACCTCACCAGAATTAGGTGGATATAGACCAGCCAAGTCCACTTCAGCGCTCATCAACGTCCTATTCAATAATGATGATCACAATTTTGTGCCAAAGTTCTTGGAATTTAGTTGAATTAATAAACTAACCGATCCACGTCTGATGCTTGAACATAAATCTCATACGGGGAGTAGGACGAGTTTAGAAAGTTATTGTAGCGAACACGAAAGTATTTTCCGAGAGCGTAATGCTGTTGCTTCCCAATCTGAAAACGCAAAACAGTGACACGGTGCAAGTTTTTATAATCTATGTCAAGAACAAGATTAAGATATTTATGATGCATGTATCTACCTTTGTAAGTTGTGAAAACCCTTCTGGCCAAAATGACTCGTCCTGCAGGATAAGAAAATGCAATGAACATCTATTAGTACTGTTTAGCTAGTCTAAAAATATTACAACTAATCAATATGTCAGAGCAAATTTCAATGCTTCCATCGGTATTCAGTCATTTATTTTACCTTGTAAGGGTCTGAAAATAAATTAAACGCACAGTAAGAAAGCGAAATTAATCAAGGGATCCTTTGATTGAGGAAGCTTAAATCTAATACCTGCAGGATAAGGATCTATTGGATTCCGAGCCCCGTGGCGGAATAACTGAAAATTTAAATAGAAAAAAACAATTACTACAGGTCATAATGCAATAATAATGGAAGCTATATTATATTGTCTTATTATGTAATGATTTACCACTTGTACTAGACGTAATTCCATATCTTTCTCTTTCGCATAAGTGGGCGTTATTATCACAGAAAGTATAAATAAGAATAAAATTAGGAGGAAAGAGCTCTTGACTATTCTTTCACGTTTAAAGCATAAAACGGCACTATGATGACCTTTCATTTTTAAACGCCCCATATATCTAAATATTTGTTAAGTACTACGGTTAAAATTTTTGATTGAAACACAATACATAGAACTATCTACTGACTACTCCTTTGTCTCGATTTATTATTTTAACAAAACCTACAAATAAAACCTGCAAGAATTTGTTAACCTGGAACAATTTTACCTTTACACTACTTTGCTTCTGACAGCTTAAATTATAATTCCCAGTATAAAATTAATTTGGATTTATATCTGCTCAGCCAGATTGGCTAAACTATCCAGAACCATCATCTCTCCCACATATTACGTCCCCTCCTATCTTAATCCCTTTTGTATTAGGCTTTCCTCACACCCTAACCCTAATTCATGATTTAATTGACAACTACAGTGCTTAAAAAATTAATTATTCTATTACAATCAAGCCCAATGTCGTACGAAGTAAAGTAAAAGTGATCTTGATTCACACACAGGATACGAGATGAAAGGCGAAAGTGAGTGGGAAAAATGAGCAGCTGCTTTTACTACTTTTCATGATGGCTTCTGCATGTGTTTTTTTCTGTCATTCATTACATTAACGCCACACAAAGAAACACATGGGTTTGTATTTGCCAGCGTCCTGCTTCTTGATATTTTCATACTCGGCCGATTAATAGCTCTTTACTAATTTGTGACTAAATGGAGTAGAGGAATTCATGTAATTGATCTGACAAGTTATGGATTTGTCGTATGCAGTAAATAGGCGACGGGGGCGAGATGCGAGTTGCTTCGTCGCAGCGCAGCAGGATTTATTTCGTGCCTGGACGAGGAAGAAAAAAGCACCGAAAAGCACTGAAAACCAGGATCACCATTTCCACGCGCAGGTAGTAATTCCTCCATTTTCATCAACACCAACTGCTCACACTTTTACTTGTACGGTTTTACTTGTAGTAATAAATCTCCACCATCTTAGAATTTATTCTGTCGCTGACGAAAATTGCATACAGATTTGGTATTATTTGATAGTGTTTAATTTTTGCGACATATTTAAGGTAATTATTTTTTTAAATTGTTTGTCCCTTCACCCTTCCTCAGAAGAAAAAAGAAGGAGAATATAGTTTCCCGATTTATATGAATTGTTTTTTTTTTATTTTCAGTTAATGACAAGTAAACTTGGAGAATTATAAAGTATGGATGGAACGGCAAGTTCTTCCATTAAGACCTCGAATAAACCTCACGTCCCCAGCACCGTCTTTTTTGACTATTGTCTTGTATGCTACAAAATTTGTTACCTGCCGGAAAAGGTGGGTCTTCAAGTATTATTATTATGCAAGGAGATGTCTTCCACAATTAACTTAATTGATACATAAATTATCACTGCAATCATTTAATTTTTAGATATCGCTAGATGAAGAAGACCGTGTTACAGAAGTTCGTGAGTTGTTCTACACACTTTACGACATCCCAGTGTCACCCCATAGTCTGAAAAGTCTGAAAGGAGAGATTCCTCTTTGTCCAGGTGAGAACTGATTTAACGATATAATCAATTTGCAAATAACATTTTTTAGCAATTATTAAATCGTTTGCGTTTCTTGATTGAGCAGGATGTCTTTTGAAACTTGGACGAATTCGCGAACTCCGCGACCTTCTCACACGAATTCAGCTTGATTTCAATCAGTTGAGACAAGGAATCGCATTTGATATTGTTGATCTTGTGGCACGATGTGAGAAGGGGATCGCTTCTGCAGGAATGAATTACGGTTGGCGAGATATACCAGAAGAGAGTGTACGAGAATGTCTCATCAAGGCAGAAGTTGATACTCTACAACAAATAATTTTTGATGGTAGTTGCAAATTTTACACATAAATTTTAATAAATAAGTACATATTCGACAAATAAATATTTGTATGTTGACCTTGTAGATTGGCATGAGAAACATCTGTGTGAGCCAAAAGGGAACGGGAAGCAGGACGCCGAATTATTAAAATCTCCTGTGACTCCCGTTTCCAAATCTTCAAAACCTGTCATAACCTCATCATCACTCACACCTACATCCACACCTTTACAGAAAGTAAATTCTCCACCAAAATCGTCACCAGATCCGGTATTCCGTACTCCCCTGCCACCACCTCCAAGGAAGAAGTCGTCTACATTTTATAACCAAAGTTCCTCCGTCTTCAAGAAGCTTCAAAACCTTACTACCTTACAACTAATCTCACCTCCACCATCCCGTATCAACATGTCTAAAAAATTGGCCAATAATCCAAACCTTTTCAACAAAAAAGTTGCATCGTCTTCCATACAAAATACAACAAGCAAAGTTGGGTTTGGTGCAAAGTTTTCCAACTCACAACAGTCACAACAATCAATAACCTCATCATCGCGTATCAGTGGGGATAAATTGTCTCCGTCGTCTCCTAAGACCACGGTCATATCTATTACAACAACTTCGAATGAATCAACCAGAAAGAAGAATGATAACGGAAGTGGTGGGAAACAATCTAGTAAGCTCTTTAGCACCGCTTCTGAAACCTCAAATCTGTTCACAAAGAGGAAACTAAGCTTAGACAATGAAACAAACAAATCACCAAATTTTGGAGCAAAAAGCATCGAAATTGTTGTCGGTGATGATACACCACCTCCCAAGAGAAGGAAGAGTGACCCGGAGAATGATGACGTTGTTATTTCAATGTCACCGTTGTCGACAGCTACAACCACTACTAGCTTATTACAAAAGGATGATGAACATGACCTGAGAAGTGACGACGGAATCAGTGTCACAAAGGTGCAAGGAAGCATATCGAAAATCTCCTCCTTGAAAACCCCACAAGATGATGGAGACGATGACTTGGACTTTGCGGATGCTGAACCTGACTGTCTCCTCGACGAGTATGGTGATATTGGATTGGGGGACTATTTAGAGGGTGGTGGAGGCCAACTTGAGGAACTTGAGGCTGATGAGAACAACGAAAATTCAAATGGGCAGGTCAAAGATGATGTTGATGGTAAGTTGTTATCTATGTACATATGTATGAATGAAGTACATGTACCTAAGTTCGATTTGGAATAATATGCATTTTTAGATAATGGCGAAATTATGGATACAACAGATGAGCAAACGACAAAGAGTATTGTTGACTCAAGTTACGTGGAAAGTTTAATTGCACAACTTCAATCTGGAGAGACACCAGGAAACGGTGCAAATATAGAGTTTCTACAAAATGAGGAAGGACTTTTTGTGTGCATGTTTTGTAAAAAAACGTTTATCCACAAGTACCCATATCGTGATCATCTCAAAACACATACGGGTGAGTGAATCAACACACGCTCATGATTTTACATATGTATCATAATAAGGGTATTGCTTAGGGGCTTATTCATTTACTTGTTACAGGAGAGGGTCCACAATGTTCTATATGTTTCAAGATATTTCCCAAGTCTCACAATCTCATGTTGCATTTGCGCACACACACAGGGGAGAAACCCTATCAATGCGACGTCTGCGAGAAGTCATTTGCTGATAAGTCCAATTTAAAGGTATATTAATCTAAAGGTTATCTAAAGGTACATTAATCTAATCTAATCTAGGTACATTATCGCTGTCATACTGGAGAGCGTCCTTATCAGTGCGAATTTTGCGAACAAAAATTTGTCAACTCATCCCGACTTGTGGTGCATCGGCGCCTCCATGTCCATACCGCTGAAAAACCGTCCCATCATTGTGACGCCTGCGACAAATCATTCGCCACTGCTAATCAACTCACTGTTCATCGAAAGGTTCACGAAATACCAGAAGTAGATGTTGCACTAGTGGTAGAAGGAGACTAGTCGTAAGCTTCTTCAGGCAGAAGCATAATTTAATCATAATTTTGGATTTTACCCAAAAAGTCGTTTTGTTTACGTGGTTTATCATTAAGTATTTCATAGTTACCAGTATTATGATCCAGACGCTTAGAACCAAACTACTCCATAATTCCAGAATTTTATGCTATAATGATGTTGTACACAGTTTTAACCGTAGATCAGATTTTAAGCTGTATTGATAATTTTATAACTTAACAAAAAAAATTATTAATAAACTTGTTTAAACTTAGTAAGACTAAATATAACTTTGCGTGTTTTTACTTCCTTCCAAATACAAATTAAATTCGCCACAGCACTTTTTAGTCCGTAGGGCGAATCATATGCAATCACAACGTTTAATTGTTAACAAATATAATAAATTGAAAGAGATTCGTTCATAGTTGATTTACTAAACATAAAGTATTGTATTGTATTATATTATTCGACATAATTTATATCCGGTAATTCTCTTCCTCTTCTTTGAATCCGACTATAACAAAGTTCGATCAAGAAATCAGCAATTGAAAAAAATGCTCCACAACCCAACAGAAACCATGCCCCTGATAAGTCACTCAACTCCAATTTTCTTGTTGGAGGTAGCGTCGTTGGAATATAATTTACGGCATCCACACACCACAACAACTGCTCCCAATGCAATGATTTCCACTTTTCAAGTAATCCCGTTGTAACTGCACGAGTAATTCTGTAACAAAATCATGAATAATGACATAAACCCTTGAAATTTTTTTTGAACGGAGACTCGTACTCTGTATTGATGAGGTCCAGAAACTTTGAAGTTTTCGGAAGTATAAGAGCAGTTTCCACTTTGAAAAAGGTATTTTTGGCCACGGTCATTCTACAAAGACCTTTCGTAGCTCGGAAATCTTGCCCAAGTGCCACATCCAAGAATGATTTTTCCTGTAGTGAGTGATTGTGTTTTAAACAGAAAATTATAATTTAAAAAAAGTTATTTAAGTGTGAATAACCTTGATAAAGGCAAACTTTCCACTTAAAACTTTCTAAAAAATTTAAATTAACGAATAAATAAAATTTAACTTTAAACAAATTTATTTAGCTCATATTAAATTAAGCTTACTACAATGCCTTGCTCATCCGACATTACTAATTCATCAATACTCACGCCATCTCCTACGGATTTATAAACGCCAGCAGAGGTGTCCGACTGTAAAAAGGATGGAATCACATGATTTATTAATTACACTTATTCAATGCAGGTAAATATATCTACAATTATTTGCATACTTTAAACAAGGACTGATGTGCTGTATTCTGTCGAAACGTCCATCGAATTTTGTTTTGTTTCACGAGGTCTTCCAGACTGTCCACAACATTCGTTAATTTTGGGGCTGACAAGTATGACACCAAATATGCTACATAGATGTTGGCAAGATTAAGAGTAAGGAACCACCACAACATTATCAGGAAACGAGAAGTTTTATTGACCGGTGAGACAACACCTGAATGAAAAGCATTAATCAGATTACACATAATACATAAATAATTACGGTTGTATGAATTATCAAGAACGCTTACTTTCTTGTACAAGAGAGCCAATCATGAAGTGAAGTAATTCCGCAATCATCTCGATAAAACTCTTTTTTTCTTTTTTACTCCTGGAAATGTAAAGGCTGGCAACGTGCATGAGATAAAAAGTGGGGGCGAGGACGAGAACAGTGATGAGAAGGCAAGCCCAGACCTACAAATTTATTTACCAGATCTTAAACAGGTCAACCAAGGAGACCGCTCAGTACATCGAGGCATTTTTCCTTGACTATGCACATACCACGTCCGACAAGGGTCGAATCAGGATTGTAAGTTTAGGACCCCCCTCCCTTGGGGGTGGTATGAGAATGGCAGTTTCCTCCTGGTAGTACGAAGAGGAAAAAGCAATAACTTGGCTGCGTTGAAGTGTCACGGAAAAACCAGCAACGCCAACGTCTGCTTCACCTCGGAGGACTTGTCCCACCATCCCGTTCCACGATCCGTTTTCCGTCTGAGCACCCCAATTCCCATCGTAGGGGAGAAATATTTGCATACTAAAACCCACATTATATAGCTTAACCATTACGTGGGAACAAAAGTTGCAATGTTACAATAAAATCCAGAAATACCTAAAATTATACTTGTCACGGATTGCATTCATAAATTCGAAACAAACTCCGGTGTAACTTCCATCACTTGCCACTTTGACGAACGGATGTCTCTGATTTAAATATTTAAAAACTTTTTTTTAATTGAAATTCTCTTTTCAAAGCTATTTCTTTTTCATGAAACTGTGGAAAGATTTGTATTTATGTATATACCACTAATGTAACAATTTGGATTTTCCTCCCCTTAAGAAATGTAGCTCCTTCCGCGATGCGCCAAGCTTCCAACTGCTCAAAACCATTCTTCAAACATCCCACGCCACGTGAACATAACCTTAAAATGCCATCAATATTCTAAAATAATATTCTTAATAATTTATGCAATGAATTTGTCATGCAAATATGCGTACCCTTTTTCATCAAATAATATAAACATTCCACTGGTTACGACCAGTTGTCCGTCAACGTAATTGTATATCTGTATCCATAAATTAGTTGTTTTGATAAATACTTTTTTATACTTTTACCGACTTATGGCTTTTTAATCGTACCTTCTCCCTTATGAAATTGGAACAGTTCTTATTAGAGCTTGAAGAACGGGTTGAGTACCTTTTATGTTGAATGCAGTGAACACATACACCTTTAAGAAATACAGCATCGTCGTAATGGCACGGAACAAGAAGAGATTTTAAATGTAATTCAGTTTCGCTCTTCGGAATCCTCCTTCTACCGATGATATCTTTAAACAAAACTTTGTATTACTTAAATATTACAAATGAACACCTAATCATTCTAAAAATTCATGTGTATGCAATTTTGAAATATTTTTTTAACCCTTTTGTTTATACACTTACCCATGATAAAAAATCCACAAAACAGAAAAACATAGACACAAAAATTATTCCACATTTTTCAACAAACATATTTTCAAGCATTCAGAGCCGATACTGTTTGACCAAAGAATCCGAAATGTCTACTAAAAAGCATAAAAAATAGCGTAAAGTAGCTTAGATATGGATCGATGATATTATTTAATGAAACTCTCTGCACAAAAGTCATAATTTATTACGTCGTATACATTACTTGACAGATATCACAATCCAATAACCCAACACATGTCTCCGCATAGTAATACAACGGCTTTGTCCAGTGAATATGATGCCTTTGTCCAGTAAAGACGATACTAGAACACGTTTTCTGTGGTGGCGTCCTACAATATTTGATAGTGACGTGACATTGACCTAAGATATAACAGTAAATAAGACAAAGTTAAGAATTTTGCAAATATCACGTTACTAATTTCACTATTACTTTGCATTAATTTTACGAATTAATGAAAGTAAATGTAATTTCATAAATATTTCAACGCCACTAAAAATGACGATACACATTACACTTTCACTTTATCACTGGGCGAACCATGTCATGCGTTGGATTCGTGTCAGTGAAAGCGATTACCTTACCTCATTCATGATGTCAACTGAAATACGATGGGATATTTGGTGTAATATGACAATACTTGAGAAATGAGGGAGCATTGTGCAGGTGTTCTACCAGATAGCAAGAAATAGGTGAAGACATTTACAAAAAACGAGGAATTGTTACCATTCACTGGAAATAGAGTCCAGTATTATACATTTATATTACGCAATATTCTTCACACATAATTTATGAGCACCTAGAAAAATCTACCTAAATAAAATATTAAAACTAAATGGATTACAATCACCTTTCTTAGGTTTCAGACGAGTTGAATGGAAAGTATTATATAAATATGTACGTACCATCATGCTTAGCGACTCAACATATCTGTATTTTTTATATTTTGTAATTGTGTTCATTTTTACTCAGAAATACAATACAGGATTGACAGGGTCCGACGAATGAGCATGAATTATAAATTAAAACAGCGAGACAAGAAGTCAATATTGTCGAATTTATTATAAATTAATTCCACCATCCCCTTTACTATAAGAAAACGCTATGCACTTTGGATATTTCTGGCATGATTTTGCAATTTAAATAGTTAAGATCTTCATAACACTCCAAACCGATATCATGTAATAATTTCGACCATACAAATATACAACTTTGATTTGCACGCAGTAATAATTTATTAAATCAATCCATCATCATATTTTACGAAACAAATTACTTGAAGCTTTCCGTAATGGTGGAATGAAATTCGCCTCTGGAGCTGGAATAATTTGAAATAAATTTAATCCCCATTTTTAATAGCGACCACCTAAAGATCAACTTCAACTCACGCAACACTAGCCTTAGCACCAATCGCGATTGCGCCAGAACAGGAAGCGTCGTTGCAATTAGTTTGGCAGAAGCATGTTGGGGCCAAGAGTGGGTTGGTCGTGGAACAAGGACAAGCATACAAATCGTTTCGACCGATTGATGCATTGTATACCAGCCAAGAATACGTATGAGCACAGTACCCTTGAATAGATTGAACTTAAGAAATTAATACAGCATGAACACCTAGATACGCAAACAGATAAATAATTGTATATGTAAATACCAGGGACCACTTCAAAGGATGTGCATCCGGGTTGTGTAGTACCCCCATTAACGTACACGTCAATGTCTCCAGTTCCCGTGCGAGAGTCGCCCATCATTCCTCTCGAAGTGTGGTAGAGGTCAACAAATATTCCATTGCCTTTGTAAATCATGTCCGATGAAGAGAGCGAAAGATAATACACTGGACCAGCAGGGTCCAAGCCAGTCAGTCTGGAAGTCGGGCGTTGAGATCCAGCCTTACCAGCTAAATATACGTAAATATACATTGTCAGGGGCGATTTGAAAATTGCAGAAATTTATCTAATATGCCCAAATATGTATGTACATTATAGTATTTCTTATCTTGCATACCAACATGTGCACCAAGGGAATGTCCAATTATGTGCACTTGACTTTGATCAATTCCTTTGTTAACTCTTAAAAATTCGAGAAACTCAGCCACCCTTTGTCCTGCGGGGACTACATTGAGCAGTACCAACGGGTACATGGCCAACGCTAAGGGTGCAGACCAGTCCGTAATCAATGACTTCCCACCAGACAAGGAGGACCAGTCGACTACTATGATATTTCTCTGGATGTTGTTTTGTACGTTTTCGGAGAGGAGTGCTAAGATTTGGACAGAATAAATGCAAAAATATTACTTTGATTAGTTTTATATACCTCCACTTGTTTTATTGAAATATTTAGCGGCTGACAATTTCTTAGCGTGACGGGCATCGGAGTCTCCGAGGAGGACAAAAAACCATCGATCAAGACCGTTGTTGTTATTCCATTAAGCAGGCCCGAGGATGTTAACGAATTGACATCACCATACTTGATTTCAATCTTTTGGCTTGGCGTTCTATACAAATAATCACGCATGTATTTTTGTAGAAATAAATGTGTGATTCAAGTTCATCAATTAAGTATCTGTCTGATTTACGGGAAGTAGTAGAATTTAATCAGATTTACATCGGTCGAGACGAGAAGCTTTGCCACAAGATCCAACAAAATTGCAGAACTTCCTGCGACCCCAATAACCAGTAGAAATATTACTTTACCCCACATTTTGAAAACCAACGTAAGGAGAGCTAATTGTCGATGAGGTTCAAGGTAATTCTAAAGGAGGAGTGGCAAGCTTTGCAGACAATGTCAGATTTATTGTGTTAATACCTTGAACTTGGACCCTGACCAGACTCGCCACTTTTCATAAGTCAATCCCCGCAATTTACTATATAACCTTTGTTCGACCGCCATGTTATCGTGTATGGAACTGACACGTGTACACATATCCCTCTTAAGACTATATATGTGATAAGGTACATTTATTTGCAATTGCACAACTTACATGCGTCACAGGTTATATAGTACAATGGTAAGCTTTTGAGCATTGTTAAACGTAAATATGTACATATGTATTTATTACTTACCTGTGTAGCATTTCGCAAGGAGCAATTTAATATTACTTGCTTAGGTATTAACGGATTAGGATAAGGGAATCTTTTTTATTGCCATTTATGTATTATTTTTAAAAAACAATTCATATTTAGTTACAATTAGTATTAATTGAATACGAAACTTGAATCATATACTAACTAACAAGGGAACCTTAAGTACTGTCACATCTCGATTTCCTTTCGAATCGTCTTAATTGATAGATAATTTAGTGTAAATAAAACTTTGTCATGGAACATACGGTGCAAAATCACGTTTTTGCGAAATATTTGGTGAAAGCTGCACTAAAACGTGCCATTTTTCCAATGCTTTTAACATAGAAAACAGCCTTCGGAATGAAGTTTATAAATTATATACCTGTCCATAATTTCAAGCTGCTCACCAATATGCAAAAAATGCAAACATTGGCCAATTTTTTTTCAAATTGCGAAAATCTGCAAAATTTTCTAAATTTTAATTCCGTCGTTTTTTGAAATTTTAACCGAATTTAAATGTTAAACTTCTTTAAGACGTCCTATACTTATACTCCATAGTGGAGGGACCCGAAGGGTCCCCCTCAAATGAATTCTTTCAGTTTTTCAAAAAGCTTAAAATCTTGAACGAGGCATGGAAAAGTTATTTTGTTGAATATGTTAAAAGCTGACGGCAGAAACTCCCAAAATTTATTACAACTTGCAAAAACAAATATAACCAACAATTTTGAAAAATACGTAAAATAAACGGGCATTAGTCATTATATCTTTTTTCATGAAAAAGTATGAGCTTCAATTTTGGAAAATTTTTGGCAATTTTGTTGCAATAAGAAAAATAATTATTCTTTCAAAACTTTGTTGCAACGCTTAAATAAAAGAAGTTTAACATTTAAATTCGGTTAAAATTTCAAAAAACGACGGAATTAAAATTTAGAAAATTTTGCAGATTTTCGCAATTTGAAAAAAAATTGGCCAATGTTTGCATTTTTTGCATATTGGTGAGCAGCTTGAAATTATGGACAGGTATATAATTTATAAACTTCATTCCGAAGGCTGTTTTCTATGTTAAAAGCATTGGAAAAATGGCAAGTTTTAGTGCAGCTTTCACCAAATATTTCGCAAAAACGTGATTTTGCACCGTATGTTCCATGACAAAGTTTTATTTACACTAAATTATCTATCAATTAAGACGATTCGAAAGGAAATCGAGATGTGACAGTACTTAAGGTTCCCTTGTAACTATTATATTTATTTTGTGGCAACAAAAGTAATCTAATCAGTATTTAAGTGTCCCCAATGACATTTTTGATAAAAAATTTCCCCAATTGATTTTTCAATGGAATTTTAATTTCCATCGCAGAAGTGCTAAGCGTCTAATGACTAAATATAACTTCCACGAGTTTCATAAATTGGTGCCTGAAAGAAATCGACCAAGGCGTCAAAATTCTGCTTATCTAAAACTTCCATAAGTTGTGGAACTCTCGACTTCACATTTATGCCATTGTACTTGTGTTTATCAATGTACAAGTCAGTAATCATCCCAAATAATCTATCCAAGTAGTTTGGTTGCCTCTTATGCATAGCTTTAAGCTTATCTGCGTTATTAAGAATGTACTTGTATTCCGAAGATAATATTTTTTCGAAATCGGGATCATGGGCTTGAATTTCCTTCAAAGCTTCGATCAAGGCTACCTATTAAAAATTCGAAATAAAGTATTTATTCTGATGTCATAAAATAGATACGTTTGTATTCATTTATATTGCTACCTGTTTTGTTAACGAGAGATATCCATCCAATTTGGGTCTTATTAGTTGAAGCGTGTGCAGTACACTTTCATCATTAAATTCTGTGAGAATAAATCGTTTTAAATATTGTGCAACCTTAGTATGCATATTTTTATGCATATACCGCAATCAATGTCCAGGTTAATTTTTTTATTGGTTGCTTCTTTTGTGATCCAGTCTTTCAAGATGGAAATAGTTGAAACGTTATCAGACTTGAACTCTGCAGTTCCCTTGCTGTGCAATCAATGAAATATATTTCTTTTAGCTAATAGACACTGAATATACCATGTCTTATTTACATAATGTACCTAAAAGTGCAATGCAAAATGGTATCAAAAAATGTGGACAGGAATGTGATAGCTGCTTCCCCTGAAGACGGTGCTCTGGCCGGCATTTCCGGAATACAATTGGACAACCAGGAGTGCATTTCCACTGCACTGAAGGTGCCATTAATTTTTAAGGTATTATATGGTCTATAATGGGGTCAAAATATTAGTCTCGTTTCCCTTAATCTCATATAAGTTGATTACAAAAATAAGAGCACCTGTTAACATCAAATCCATGTGATCTGACATGCAGCGACAATGATTTCACAGAGAATGTCCGCACTTGGCAACACTTTGGTAGAATCCTCGGAGTCACTGCAAATAATGTTGACCAATATTATCTCTCAAACCGTGAAAAGGCAAGATTTCCATGTGCTCACCATAAGCTCTCACAGTACCGTGTTGTCCTTCTATGGTTCGCAGCCGCACTTCAATCCGCGTCGTGTTTGCTTGGCAGCGGAATGTCACAAGTAGAAAGTTTCCACTCTGTGATTATTATGTGTAAAATATACTAAATAAGTAATGATTTTGGTCATCAGATTGGATTTTTTCGTAATTTTAACTCACGTCAGGTTCGCATTCGCTGTATGAAACCACGGCAGAATTACGCTCAACGTCCAACAAATCTATAGGAACATCGCTCTGAATAAGAATTGTATCGATGGGAGACTCCACCTCAATTGTTAGCAAATATGAGGCATCCTCTCGATTAAGTACCATCTACATAAAGTAAGAAAGGTACTTGTTCCAATGTGCAAACGGTCTCATGCATTCAATAAATATTAAGGTATTTACTTTATCATTAACTTTGAAGAATGGAACCACTGAGAAACCTGACGAAGCTGTTTGTGTAGCTGTCTGGTACTTGTCCCTTTCTTGAATTACGCGTTCTTGCAGGTCATCAATTTCAGTTCTATAAATTATTATAATGTCAGACTTACATTTTTATGTAGTGACCTGGAGTCTAGGTCTATTTACGTATGAAATTAAATACATGCCTGAGTTTCTCCAATTTTTGCCTTGTATCTACCGAAATGGAAAACGTCCCATCGTCAACCCGAATCTTTTTATCTATTGTTTCTGTAGTGAGTCCGTATACCCAGCCAGAGTATGTAACCACCAACACTTCTTCAAAGTTGTCCGCACCAAAGATGCCACCGGTAATGCCAGTCACACTTTCATTACAGGTCTACAGCAGAGGAAATTGTTAATTGCATTAATTAAGTAATTCCTATAAGTACCCACGTATTCGAATTTTTCGTATTTCATATGTAAATATGCGCATATAACCTGTGAAAATAGCAATCTTGGAGGAACAAGTTGGTAATCGTCACCATCAATCCCGTAAACTTGGACTGTGCCATCATCAAACCCAACCAATAATTCTTTTCCCCCATTTGCAGTCACGTCATAAAAATCGACACACGTCACTCCTGCCGATGTCTCTGTGTCGTGAGTCCATCGAAGGATTGCACTCTCGTCCCCAATCGACACGAGGCACAGACATCCGTCCGAACTGCCGACCAAGACGTCAGAACCAATGTCACCACCATCCCCGTTAAAAAGACCGAGAGCTGTGGGAATCCCGTCCAGGTGGAAAAGATATCGGACTTTTGCTTTATCCATGACTTTTAGCGTTCGGTCTCGACATGAAATGACCGGAACAAGTTTCCCCACCTACTAACAAGGTTTTTTTAAACATGGACATTGTACATACTTATTTTATTATCCGCCCTATCTGCCTTTTGACCTTGTCTACTTGTAATGCCAGCACGGCAGTAATTTCGTCATCAGACACGTAGAATCCTGTATCTTGACAATCTTCATATTGATTATACACATTTTTTCCACAAACGAGGAGATGACTTCCAGTAACAAACCTGACACAAAGTAGGCAAGTTGTTGAATGCATTGTGTACACACTTAAATTAAATTAAATTGTGGTTGTACATATTTTGAATGGATTCGGCCAAGTTGGTGTCAAACTCTAGAAATAGTTTGCCCTTTTTCGTAAAACCACGAATCATGTTCCCTGAAGCCAAGAATATTTTGTCTTTGGCTGTTCCTACAGGTAAAAATCCAATAGCGAAAGAAATAAATAGAAATGTGGCTGGTATTTATGTATTACATAAACATATGCATTAGAAGACACTTACCCACCGCTCCCCCCAAACTGAGGGCGGAGATGAGGGTGCCTAAATTGAACCTGCATATCGTGATAACCTCTGATTTGCCCCAACCGACTACTTGCACATTCCCTTCCCTGTTGGCCACCACCAACTAAAGTTTTAAAATTGCATGTTAATATTGGACATAATTATGCATATATTAGTTGATAAGCATTCACGCAAATCTTATGTAGTTAGCGTATTACCCGATGCTGTGCCTTGTCCTCGCTAAATGTGGGGAGTATCTTGATGCAATTTGGAAATGATGACCCACCATGAAGGTAATCAACTCTCGATAAGTTCAACTCCATTTTATAATTTTATAAAGCTTGTCGGTTGTACTGAGAAAAATTTTCTAATTAAAACAGCTTCCCATTACCAAAACATACTGCACAGAATATAGGTATTTGAATACGATTTATTTGTTGTGCTCTAGGCGTGCTAGGATACGATAATGTGCACACATAAGCCAACACGGAATGCCCGGATTTACGTAATGCCGGATTTCAGACATTAATTACATATGCACTTCCAAAATACCACAGTTTTCACCATCAGAAACTACACGCATAACTAATCCTAAGGATAAGAATTTTCATGAATGCACGCTTTCAATTTATTCAATAAAATATTCGAATTATGTTGTTCGAATAAACTCTAGTTTCGGATTCCTGTAACAGCTTACGTATCTAGATTACGTATTGTAAAAATGAAGCGATCTTCCTTCAAATATAACCTGATTAGGAGAAACATATTTTTCAACAAAATAAATTTGGTAATCCGTCAACCGTCAACCTTTATACTCTTTTGCCATTATGATCACTTTTTTAGAATCCCTTAGAAAACTCTTCCCACACTGATGATGATCTAACAAAGATGTCAGAATTGTTAATGATCTCGTACTCACTCATAAAAATGAAGGGTATGGTAGTTGCTGTATTAACTAAAAAATTATAAATGACCAATTCAGTGTTTCGGACTTATGTTACCCAAGGACCAAGTTAAGGTCGTTAATGTGGCTCATTATTACGTACATATATTTCAGTTCTGTGTATTCTGCCAAGTCCTCATCCAAAGCATTTGTTCATTTACAAGCAAGCTATGGCTCACTAATTTTGGTACAAATTGGTAGGATGGGGAAGAAATCATTGGAAATAAATTGCCAAAATTTTCGCCACAGAAATTACCAATTACAACTCATGTCGCATTTTCAGGAAAGCTAGCTTTCTTGCAATTGTCAACCGTCACGTACATAAGGACAAATTTCAATCCGACACATTATTAAGGGGTGAAAGCCCTTTATAAGATCGTTATGTCCGTCTGTCTGTCCGTCCGTCCGTCCGTCCGTCTGTCTGTCCGTAGCTCCGATAACTTTTGAACGAAAAGACATAGACACTTGAAATTTTGAACGTAAACTCCTAACGTCAATGGACAGGACGAGTTCGAAGATGGACACTGTGACATCGTCACCTGTGACGATGACGTCGTCACAGTGACGAAAAGTGACGAAAAAGTGTCACTTGTCAGTTTTGGCATGTGACACATCATTTTTAACTAATTTTCAATGAGGAATTCGAAAATTCATGTCATTTTGCGGTTGGACGTCACCTGTGACGATGACATCGTCACGGTGGCGAAAAGTGACGAAAAAGTGTCACTTGTCAGTTTTGACATGTGACACATCATTTTTAACTATTTTTCAATGTCAAATTTAATGGTGACCTCCATTTTGACCTCAGAGGTCATGTAAAGGTCATAGGACATATCTATTTCAATTTCAACTGAAATTTAACCCCGAATTCAATGGTGACCTCCATTTTGACCTCAGAGGTCATATAAAGGTCACATAAGGGTTATCAACTGTTAAATTTGACACAAATAAGACACAAAAGTCGAAAACACGTCAGAAGTGTCAATCTTAACAAATTTTCGAACAATTTGATATTCACATTGACGTATGACACTCCTTTCACCCCTTGGTTACATGCGTTGTAACGGTTTATTTTACATGGACATAAAGTTTCGCAGAGGTCGTTTCTTGATATGCCGTATTATTATTTATAGTTCCAATGCCCACATATAGATGTTCTACTTATCGTTACTGCCATCACGTAAACATTTATTCTCAACATAGGGATAAGAATCGCGATAGGATGCAGGATAAGAATGTGAACACTATCTCTCCATGTGAGGCTATGCTGAGAATAAAAGCCTACGTGGTGAATGACACGAATGAATATGGGACAAAATACCGTATATATCTCGAAGAATAAATACAGACAGTTGCAAACAAAATGCACCAAAGGGGTGGAGTGACACCGTCACGCGGTCATTGTACGTCAAAACTATATCGATTTTTGAAATACTCGCCCAAAACTAAGTCTAAAACGGTCGAAACCAAAAATTCGACACGTTCGACCTTTAGTCTAATCCCCGTGACCTTATGACCTACAACGCCCATCTTTGAGCATCTTTGAGCATCCGTACTTCAAAAATTAGAAACACGTTGACGAAAATCGCATGTCGAAATTCTAAAGTTATCGTGCATAGACAGACCGATCGACGGACAGACAAGGCATTTCCATAAAGGGATTTTGCTTCGCTTCACCCCCTAATACATAAATCAATAACTATAAATAATGCAGATATGTGGTATATACATAATTATGTTTAACAAATACATAAAATAAAATAATCGCTTCATGTAATATGATAATTTGACTATGGAACGTGGAGAATAAACAAGGATGGGCCATTTCTTTACTCACCTACATACTTACATTCATAGATAATTGCATTGGGGACATTTATCCATAGTAAAGTGGTCCTCCCCATTTAGGTTAAATTCATAATCACAAAATTGTCGGAACTATTTATAAATCCAAATATAAGACTATACTATCTGTACATTTACAAGTTTCGTGTATATTTCATTAACCAAAATTTTTGATGGGACAATGTCCCAGGGACATGAGGATTTGATTGACTTGACTTACATAAATAATTTAGGAACATATATAAATACATTTGCAAATGCTTCTGATTTCTTCTGCTTCTTACAGCAACCACCGGCACAGAAATTTTGCTAAATTTGTTGCGTGCTTTGATGATTAAACTTGGGCTCCCAAAATCTAGTCAAATCTAAGATTTAAATGCAAAATCAATTACATATATTATTCACGCGATTACACCAACAAGCTTCTCTAATTACAATTGGCCTACAAATATACCTATTTATGCTTTAATAATTTCGAAGTTTCGTCTTTATTCAAGTATACGAAATATTTCATTCATCACACGGGTTTAAGATAGTTAAATAAATATATCTACATTGAATCCTGCTCGTTTAAAAATTTGAAAATGTTTACTTCAAGATTTCTTAAATATTTCGGCAAGTGTCTTGACTTTCTTTATTTCACACGAGCTACGCCATACTCGTGGGATACAAAATCTCAAAAAATGCAAACCAAGAGTAAAATAAATTTTTGGGGATTCAAGTTCATTTTCTTAACACACATCATGTATTTTATATTTGATGGTGCGGCGTTAAAGAAACAATTGGATGGACGTGATAAGGACATTTACGGATTCACGATAACTTTCATCTGGTGTTTTGCATATCTATGGGTGACGGTAATAATGATGAACATGTGGACAAAGAAGGAGGACACAGTCTGGATATTTGACCAACTGGTCAAACTGGATCACAAGTCTCAAAGTAAATAAATACCTACATACAAGTCAATATTAAAATCTCGAATTTCAATTGCTCTTCCATGAAATACTTGTAGTTTTGCTTTGGTTTTGATTTGTTTTGATGTTATAACTCCTTGCTTAAATTTTAAGGGGCTGTTCCATCTAAACCGAAACCTCGTCTGCTGGAATATATCCTGGGCGTGGTGGCATACGGCTATACGGTGGCCATCTTGATTTGGGGAGTGGTTCTTGGAGCCTCAATGCATAAAGATGGCTTCATCTACTCCGTGCTACCCACAAAATGCAAGAGTGGTATATCTTTTACTTCATTCCTCTTCGTTGAAATTTGGACAAAGGGTCAAGCTATCTCTCATATATTCTGGGACCAGTTGTTCTTGTTGGTGACCATACTAGTTCCATCATTCTGGATCAGTGAGGAAACGTAAGGAAAAATTATATAGCGAAGATAGTCGTGTTCCTCCAACCTAATTTTTTTTCAGACTGAAAGAAAACTCGGCGAAACTAAACCTCACAAAATATAAGGATTTCCAAGTTTTAAGCAATTATGTGAACGCATGTCATATCAGAATCAAACTTCCGCTGACATTAGAAATTATGTTTTGTTTCCTACTTGTCGGATATTACGGCTGTTTCCGGCTATTTGGGAAAATGTCTTTGTTAACGTATCTTTTATTTCCAGCCGTCGTTAATAACTGCAATATCATTCCTCTACTAATTTTGCTCCCATCGGCGAGGCTGGAAAAACTTTCTGAGAAATATCTCCTAAAAATTAAAAGGACCATTCTCACAAAGAAACGGGCGGATAAATCTCAAAGAAAACAATTGCACGCATTATGGACTTTTGGAATGAAACTCGGGTACTTACGAGCTATCGAGTATTCACATATTGCTATTTATTTCATGGCAGTAGGAAATTATACAATATCAATGCTGGTTGCATTTCATGAGCTGTGAGTGAATAATATGTAGATATGCATGCGTGCATGAGGGTTATATAAGAATTGTGTAAGAAAAAAAGGACGTTGTACATATGTATCAATAACTTTGGTACTCAAAACGAAACAATCGATGTATGTAGTGGATATCTCAAATGAATTAGTTTAATACAAAATTAACATAAACATGAGAAATAGCTAAAAAACGGGACAAAATTCTTGGTCAAAGACCACCTGAACTGGTTTCATCATTATCGACCATAGCCCTGCCCAATACCCATTCTTCTCGACCTGGCGATTCAGATTCTAGTATTCTGGCCCCTCTCTTTCGGATCCCTTGCCAATGCGAAATTTCCTTCCGTAAAGCTTGAAGTGCCTGGGATGACGTCGAGTCGGACTCGTTTTGCATACGTATCTGGTCCATTATAAAAATCCCCTGGCCTTGCTGAAGGTAATAATATTGCCTTCCTATAGAAATAAAATCGATCCACTTTGAGGCATTATTTTCACAAACAATCTTTTGTTTTGGTTACCTGCATGAGTCGTCAGTCCAGGCGCCACCTTTTCCAACAGGGACAAGCATTTTGTACTAAGCTTGACCAGTATTCCAGCCAACCGAAGTCTTTCTTCCCTCTCAATCTGAAACTCCTGTTCCTGAGCTAAAATATAGGAAATCCTCAGCATGATATCCTGCTCTACTTCTTGTATGAAAAAATGTGTTGGAGCCAGCTTGTTAAGGACGCTTTCGTCATATTCTTCCAATCGTTGTAAAATTGTCCTCCATCCAGACCCCATTTCTTCTGGACTAGGACAATCTGATGTGACTGCAAAGTGTGCTTCCCTTAGTTCTTGGATGAATGAGTCCACTTCAAGCTCTTGCATTGCTGATGCTTTACACTGATTGCAAGCCCATGTCGAACCCACCTGCGCCGGATTCTGGCTTAATATGAACCCCGAACAGGACTCAATTTTGCATTTAATTCCCGAAAAGAAAGAGCCGAGTTCGGTAGGATCTGCACACCTGCGACACGTGCAAGAGAAAAACTTGGTTTTGAGGAGATGCCTTTGTCTCTCAATTGTACCCGTTCCACCCCACGCATAACAGTGACAGAGGGATTCATCTTCCTACAAATGCATGTATAATAATTACTAAAATCTTGACTTCAAATCTTGATTTGTCTCGTACTAAAATTTGTCTACCTTGATATCGCGCAAGGACCATAAACGTAATTCTCCTCCCTGCACAATTATCCATCTACAGTTCGGTGTACAGTCATGTGCTGGCATTGAACCATTCCAGTAAACAAAAGATCCAGCATGGAAATTTGGCGAACTTGTCAAGTTATCTTCTGTTACGTATGCATTTACCATAACACATCCGAGAACATGGTCGATCTCTATGTCAGAGAAGGCCTCAGATAATCCACATCTTTATGATAACCAAAATATTCGACAACTTAAATGTCCATCAATATAGATATTAACTACGTATTTTTATTTTGTAATACTTGTTCTGCACAAATTCCACCATTGTCTTGGACAAGTTGGCTCCATCAGTAGTTCTAAATCTGTCCTCCTTATGGTCTTGTAACTTTCCAACGCAATCCCACTTTTTCACATCCCTCAATTTTAAAAGGCATCCACGTAAGACTACAATTTTGTCGTAAATGTTTTCTTCTCTAGACGACGGGGTGATCCCTACCAAATTATAATATTAATAGTAACTACTCTATGCATAATGCTAAATCGCCCATTTAATACGTACCCATTTTTGAGAAAATTGCACATTCGTTCTCGACATGTTCCTTGCTTTGTACACAGTTTTTATGCAGAGGCCATCCGCATTTGGTGCAGAGTTGTGGCGGCTGATCCGTGGGGACAATCCCATAACATCCAAGGCAAAGGAGAAACGCACCATTTTTTCCGTTGGGGGCTGAGAATAGGGGCTTCTCCTTCAGAATCAGCGTCCCCTCAGGAATATCTCGAGTGGCGGAGAGGTAGCGACCAAAAATGGGACTTGTCGTCAATACGGCAGGAAAACAGTCGCTCCTGTGTCGACTCCAGTCCTCTTTTTGATGAGGACGGGAGCAGTACCAGACTTTTCTGTAATAAATAAATGTTTGGTATAAATATTTAATAAGCGCTGTAATATATTGGTGACATGTGTAATTAAGACGCTCACTTGCAGTTTATGCATCGAGAAATAGAAACCTTTCCACAAATTTGGCAACAATTCAAATCTGATGAACACCTTTCAGTCATATTCTAATGTATTCTTGTACTTGCTTTAATTTTGTTTTAAATTTATTCTATGAATTACAAAAATGAGATGTAAAAATTCAATTTTATAGAAACATCTGTCTAATCTTTTAAACTCTAAACAAAACTCAGAAGACGATGAATGGTGGATAAGTATGTAAGTAAATAAGTGTGAAGATCAAGAGGCGAGTTAAAAATAAAACAAATGAAGCTCTGGTTTAACTTCATGTATGTAAGTACGAGACGAGTACATTATGTATATGTACATGCTATGGATTGCATGTGCGTTTGATATTTATTATGGCATGAATCTGTCCTGATACAATATTGAGCAAGTTTTAGTTCATTTTAAATATAAATACGTAAATTATTTTGTAAACATAATTTAGACGAGGATCATTTGTATTTATTAATGGCAGTTCCTACACTTTGGGTGGCAAACTTTTCCCTTTTCTCTGCAATGACACCCTCCCGACTTGTCGCCTATTCCTCGAGGTCCCCAGCGAGGACCCTGAGATAAAAATGTACATATATTGAGACAGGAATTAACAAATATGTATGCATTCCGTTAATTCACCTTGGTGGCCCAACAAATATGTGTCTTGCACATTTGGCAAATGACGGCATCGCATCCAGAAACCTTTTCAATGATTACTTTACATGTTGGACACTTCATTGCTTGTCCAGAAGTAATTTTTGCCTGTAAAATATACACACAAGTATTATTTTAAAGACTAGATTCGCCTTTATGATTAATTACCTTAATCATTTGTTTAGTTTTCGTATCCATTTCATCTTCCTGTAATTGCTGCTGGTATTCCGTGCACGACACAGCTTCGTGAATAGCTTTACATTTCAAGCAATTCTTTCTTTTGCACACTGGACAAAAGAAATGTTCCAGGTCTGCAATTCCAACTTCATTGTCGATCTCACACCATCCTGGACAATTGACACTTTTACAGTGAAAGGAATTTGACATTGCCATTTCTGCCTGGACCACGGATCTCTTCAAAAATTTCTCGTGCTCCTCTTGACCCAGCAGCTACACATGTAAATATACAAGCATCAGCAAATCGGAAAGAGAGAGAGAAAGCATTTCGAAATAATAGTTCAAGTAATCATGATTTGTGCCTTACTGCTTTAATTTCACCGCTTGTAAGGAATGAGTTGCACATGAATTCGTTCACAGTGTAAGGGCATTTTACCCGAAGATCTTCACAGTGCATAATTGTGCCATTCAGACAATCCCTAAGTTAAATTATACAATTTTTATACTGCTTTCCCATGTCTTACTACATATTTAGATATTTCTGCTTACTTGCAAAATAAATGGAAACATTCCTTCAGAATAACACCCTCTCCCGATCCAATATCACAAAAGCAAATATTACACTGAAATTCACGCGTATTTTGGATCAACTCTCCACCATTTGCTCCAGAAAAAATAATTGAACTCTGTGCGTGGTTCCATTTTTCATCCCAATCACGTTTCAACTCGGGATCAATCTTTGCAATTTTTCGATCAGGTGGATTAATGCACTCACATTGTCCAACATCATCTCGCAAAGTCTAAAACATAAGGATATTCTAGTACTAAATTCATATATAAATTTCATACAAACGAATGACCCATCGTGTATTTATTACCTTGCATTTCAAACAGTTTAACCTGAAGCACTTTCCACACTTAAATTCAAACGTATTATTCCTATCGTGCAAAGCAAAGAGAGCATTGCACCGTGTATTGAAACATTGTACAAAATCATTCATTTGTTGCACAGCAATGTTGAGAGATCGGGTAAGATATTTTTCATAAGCTTCAGGGCTGAGCATCTACAAAAATTTAGAGTTAGAACAATTTCAAAATGTCACAAAATTTTCAAATACTAAATTAATATTGTATGTATTAAATACCGCTTTAACTTCCCTATCCAGAAGGGATCCGTCACATCCAGTTTCTTCCGCTACTGGACATCCCGTTGTTGCAACGTCGTCAGTCACTTCAATTGCTCCAAGCAGACAATCCCTATAATTCGTTCGTAATGGTGTACACTTTAGTTCATTTTGAATCGAAAACCGAGTCAAATTTGTCTTACCTGCAAAAGTTATGCAGACATTTATCTAACACGACTCCAGCCCCAGGTTTTAAAGGAATACCACAGAATGCACATATCGTGTCCTCGAATGTGGACATAATTCCTGGTGAACTGGTGGACGTCGAGGCCTCGTCATAGTTTAACGACGCTGCGTCAAATACAAGTTGGGAATGGTGGGATGAACTACTTTTCTGGCAGGAACCCATCTTCCCTTCAGTCTCACAAATGTATGATGTACATTGCTGAGTAAAATTTAGCACAAATTTGCTACAGACAATTATTAACTACAAAAAAATCACGCCCAATGTACTGAAAAGGTGTACCATGTATTTTTGTAATAATGCTAAAAATCAAGGTTATTCACGATTGCTTGAATTTAAGTAGCTGAGTTACCACCGTAACTCATTGTTAAATCTTTATTAATATATCTTATTCGATAAAATGGGCACCATACAGATGGAGAATTATTAGTCAAGCATTCTTGATTATTAATATGTACATATGTTGCTTTGTCGAATAAACAAGTTCTCATGTCCGTTAAGGAATTGTACAGATATAAATAAACCAGCACGTGGAAAAAGCTCATCCGCCCTCAAGTATTAACAAAAGGGCTGTTTCTCTCAACCCCGACCATAACTTGAATAGATTAGATAAGGGTTTGTGTACCTATTTTGCATATGAATTCCTCTGAGTCGCAAGTTCACCTCACCTCTATATTTTTATGTAGAGAGCAGAGAAAAAGTATTGAGACACTAGAATTTGGTCTTGTAAAAGGTCAAAAACATGTTCTAGAAATCTTAAATTTGTGTAGGATATTGTAAATATATATAGCGTTCAGGGTCCGGAACCAATAAGACTTGAGTGCATTGTCCACTTCGTATTGAATGTTCTTCTTCACGCCCGCCATTACTGCTTTTTCGGAAGACTTTGCAACTTCAATGTTATTTTTCTCCCTCCAGAACCGAAATTTTCTTTAACTATCGACTGTTTCACGAAGCTGGGAGTATGCCCTTTTGTATATAGCCCAAAATTTTTTTATTGAGCGAAGAGGAGAGATGTATGTGGGATTTCCATTTGTCAGCATCAAAATTCCATTTGATCACCATGCATTTATATGCCTGCCAAGTCATTTATTCCTTGAGAAATTTTGAACAACATTTTAATTTCTCTTCGGTTTTCTCTTGAGAGATATATTTGCCATGAAAAAATGGCCTTCCCGGAGTTTTTGGCAGTATTTTAACGATGTAGGGCTCATCACAAATGACCAACTTTTTTGGTGAAATTTTGTTGTAAAGCTTGAGAAGCGTTGCGTTTACCATTTGTTATTGACCTTCTGTACATTTTGCTGCAGATATTTTTGCATACGTTATGACCCACAAATTATGGGCCTTAATATGATACAAATAGTTTATATTAATCTTTGACTTCATGGCCGCATCAGGCATGGACGTGGATGGGAAATTTTCTTACAAAAATTTAATCATTTTTGAATTTCGAGGGGTCGATATGATGGTTTTTTCCCATGATGCTTATTTGAAGTTGACATTTTCGGATTCTCCATACTTTTTTATGCATGTCTTAATTTTTGCACGACCGCATCCTTCCGCGTTGAAATGTAGTTAAGTCTTCTTCGAGTCTTTGTAACCCAAGTTTTGGGGCTTACGAAAAACTCGTTTAGCGAGTTCGCCGCTTTGAAACGGTGTTGGAAATTTATGTTTTATTTAATAGTTTTGAAATTTTGGACTTAAGCCGGTGAATATATTTCGAATGCTGCCCAAAAATTTCAGATTCAAAAAAGTATTTTTGACTACTTTCCCGCCAAAATACAAAAGTATCTCAATACTTTTTCTCTGTTCTCTAATACATGATACTTTCATTCAAGTCAAACTTGTGCATGCGAAACTGTGATGCGAAATGAAGGCACATTGATATTTAAATTTATCAGAAGCGTGTGTGTATTAATTGACAAATAATGAAAATTGCTTCAACTTTTACATGTTGTTCCCAAAATAATTTGCAATTTAACGCATAAGTAGAGTATCACTATAAGTTGTATTCACAGAGCTGTATAAGATTGAGTACACGTTAATATTCTCTATTCAAGGCCTCCCATTCATGAAAGCATTCAGCCATCATATTTTGTGGTCTTTCAGGTAATAGTCCACCTTTGAAACAAGCTGTCACTCGTACATCTCCATTGTAAGTTAGCAGCCCAATTTTAAATCCTGTCATTTAAACAATTGAAATATTTGTATGGGAAATCAAGTATTTAAGTATTTTTGCATGTATCTGTTGCATATGTATAATGCATCATATTTAATTACCCGGTCCATCTTTTGTAGTGTTCATTACAGATCGAAGTCCAGATATAGTTTTCTCTCCAAGTGTAAGTGTATGGTTCTCACTTCCTCCACCAATATTTGTGGCCACAAAATGATTTTTGAATATTATTCCTTGATTTCTAACCCATTTTAAAAGTGGGTGTGGCAGTGAGCCGAGCCAGGTGAAAATTAAAAATATAAATCGCGGAACTTGCGATCTCGTAACCCTTTTTATTTGCTGAGATATCAATTGTAATCTCTTTATCCGATCTGATTCTCTTAATGGGAGAACCAGATTTGCTGCAATGCTGTAAAAAATGCGTTTTTATACAACAAAACGAAAATAATATTGCAGATTATGAGACATGCAGTTCTATGATTTTGCGTTACATGTAGTTGGACATTGTCCCTGGGTGACCTGGCATGAGAAGGACGACCCCGACGGTAGCATCATGATTTATAATATGACCACTTGTTAATAAGACGTTGCGATAAAATGCTGTAATTCCAGCGACATAGACAGAATTGAAATCAACTTTGTGTCGCCATTTTGCAGCTTTTATGATCTCCAACTTCCCGGCATGTGAGATAACATTGAAGTTGGTTTCATGCTCTGTAAAATTGAAAATCAAATTATTATAGCAGTCAATTTCTCAAATTTTTGTACTCGGCTAAATATGTAAATACATACCACTGCTAAGCGCAGGTAGTTTACAGGTTACTCCATCAACTGAATAGAAATACTGCCATACGTCGATCGGAGCTATTGCAAGACTTGACACTAATTTATATATCATGTTCCAATTTCTTGTTGGTTTTTTAACCTGGTTGATACAAATCGCTTTCATACTTAGGTCACCTTGACCTAATAGTTGCCCTAACATGTTAAACGCCGCGAAACCGTCCATCATTCCGTGGTGGTACTTGACGAAAATTACATCTTTCTTATCACTGCCAGCTCTTATTTCACTGTTTGTTGACGCTAATATAATTTCCCACAAGGGTTTATTCTTCTTCCAAGATCGACATCGAATTAAATTTCTAGCCAACTCGTCCACCTCGTTTGGGCAGGCCAAGTCTGCTGAAGGGACTTTGAGATCTGTGCATATTGAAGCAAACCTATATATTTCTGACATATATATGTACTCACAATAATTGAAAACTTGTAGAACCTTTCAGTTCATTGATGTGATGCTCGATCTTAAATTCTTCATCCTCTTTCCAAAACAAATACCCCATAAATTGAGTCACTGTAGATCGTAGTTCTGAGTACTTTGCGTCATCAATGATTCTTTCTTGAACAAGACGACGGAGTTCCGACAATTCCAAGTGTTGTCCAGAATCGAGTTCTATGATAAGCATGGAAGTGTAGCTATCTTTTAGGTGAAAATCCTCTGCAAGGAAACACGAACTGCGCGATTCGACCATTTTCATGGAGTAGAAGTAAGACACCAGAGTTGAAAGAATGAGTCGGTACAAGATAACTGGAAGAGTTATCACAATACCAAGAACAAAGACGCACAATTTCACAGTTGTTCGAACAGCCAACAACATTTTGATAATTAAATGGATTAATTATCTGCGTTTAGATTAGATTTTACAAGTTCTTATCGTAGTATTTATTAAGAATAAGCGCTGTAATTTAAATACATATATACATACAAATGTATATGAAAGACTAGGTCAAACTGTAATCTACATAATTTGTTCAAATGTGAAACTTATATGTGCATACAGAAATTATACATTTGCCATAAGATTATTCAAGCTGTAAGGAAAAATTGGTTATATTTGGTTATATTGCATCGCATGACATTCCACACGCGATTTTTTTAAATTATGACCCATATTTTCCTCAGTCCGATAGGTTTAAAAATAATTGAAATAATTTGTTTGTTTGAGACATGCAAATATCACTTTTCTAGAGAAATGTCCATAGTCCATACACTTGTATAATATTATTGGAATATATCAAAGTAAAACTATTTACGAAGCGTCATTCAAGAATCGATGCCAAAATAAATACTTCCATGAGAAATTGTACTTTTGTTTCCCAACTACCTATAATTTCGGGGATGATAAACCCGAACCTAAAAAATAGTTGTGTAAATGAAGACGAAGAAAACGTTCAATTATTCTTTGCATAAGTACAACATGGATATTTATCAATTTAATTTTTCCGTGACATTGAGTGTCATTGTCACTCAACTTTTGCAATACAATACCGAATGTCGTTACAATTTTTGGGGAATTAGTAAACCTCAAGCGTCAAATGTATAGCATTGTGGAGGATTTTTTTCCAAAAAACGAAAGTCGAAAAAAACGAGTCGCCGATTTGAGTGAGAGCAACGCAACGGGGCAACGGTCCTTTCTCTCTCTAATTATCTTTCTCTCTCAAATATACGAAGGCGGCAGTCTGTGTCTGTCTATCCACTTCGTTGCACGTGCTAATAAAACAGGATTGGGTGACTATTTTTTTAAGATTTTGATTAATATTTCGTTGAAGAGAAAATGTCCAAGAAACGAGGTCTTAGTTTGGAAGAAAAAAGGACTCGAATGCTAGAGGTTTTCTACGAAAAGAAGGACGTTTTCCAACTGAAGGTAAGCAAAAAGCAAAGTTTGCTTAGCAAACCATAAATAAAAATTTTATTATCAAATTTACATTGTAAAAATACTTGTCCCTTCTTCGCCTGAGTTAGTATTAAAGGAACAAGCCCATAATATCCATACCATACTCACGTTATATATTCTACTGATTTTATTGTATTTTTCTAGGAATTGGAGAAAATTGGCCCCCAAGAAAAAGGAGTTGTTTCTCAGTCGGTAAAGGAGGTGGTCCAAAGTTTGGTGGACGATGGTTTCGTTGAATCCGAAAGAATTGGGACTTCTGTCTACTTCTGGTCTTTTCCCAGGTAAAGCAATAACCTGTTTATTGAATCCTTCTTTGCATATTTATATATGTTACTATATCTTCTCTTGTCGTTTGCAGTAAGGCTACTCAATCTCGGAAACGAAAATTAGAGCAATTAGAGACGCAGGAGACAGAACTTGGAGAAAAGGCGAATGAAATTGTGCAAGAGGCGAAACGAGCAAAGGTACCAACTCTAGTTTTTACGTGTTGATAGTTAAAATTCATCTCTAGAACAATTGATATGCATTTTAGTTAAGTCGAAACGAAACTCCAGAGAGGGAAGAAATGATTGCCACAATTAGGAAATTGGAAGAAGAACAGAAGCAACTCAAAAAAGTTCTGGAACAATATCGGGATTCAGATCCGGATGCGATTGCACAGGAACGACAGGATATCAAGGTTAGCTTATGTCTATGCATACTATGTCTATAATATATATGTAAAATTGACCAAAATGGTATTCTTATACAGCAATGTAATAATCCGTATGTTTGTTGTCTTGTTCTACAGGATTTTACACAACATGCAAACCGATGGACCGAGAATGTCTTTACTTTTCAGACTTGGCTACGGAACAAGTTTTCCATGTCCGAAAGCGAAATCAAAAAATCCTTTGGTATTCCGGAGGAGTTGGATTATTTGGAGGAAGAAATTTAAGGTCATTCTAAAATACTAATCTACTACGGTTTTTTTCAAAATTGTACCCATATTTTTTCTTGCTTGGCTAACTTCATACCTACCGAGGTTGAATCGGTAACACGTGAACGTTTTTGACCTTAAATTACTGGTTGAACGGCTTGGAGTGGAGGTCCCGAACATTTTTTATGTGAAAGCCCTTTTCTCGAGCTACAAGTCGGCATCGGTGATTTCAACTTTTGTACACTGATTTGACCATGGCGAGGTCAACTTTTGACCACTCGTCTCTCAAAACTTTCCAAACTCCGTCAAAAGTTTTTGGGTGGCGGAGAAAAGATTTTATTTCAGATATCCAAAGCCGAAAAAATCCATGGGACTTACATAGGGTGACTTAATAGGTATTTCACTATCCTGGATGATTGTTATCCCGAGTCTAGCTTTTAAGTCCTTGGCGTAATCCTGGGTCAAAAGGGCGGTGTGCGATGACGCTGCGTCGTGATGAACTATCACTTTTATGGTGTCCTGGCCATTTAGTTTTGAGACATAAATCTCCAAAAGCGGTTTTAAAACAAAGTCAATATAGTACTTCGTAGTTACCTTCACTTTTTGTGCAACTTTGATAAGTGGGAGGACACCACGATCAGATAATGCACCTACCACCATGAACTTGTTGCAAAAGTTTTCCGTGTGCGGGATGGCCAATCTTCTGGAATTATTTTCTCCTTTGGTTGTATAGTAAATTTTTCTCTGACTGTTGGTATCTTGTAAGGAAAATAATTCTTCATCCAACGACACTAAAAAGCCACTTTTATCTTTTGTCAGGTAATTCACATAAATTTTTTTTGCAGGTCAGACGACTATTTTTTTTATGCTTCCCAGTCAGCTGATGGACTCGGATTTTTCTTCTTTTTTGCTTCTGCAAAATTTTAATTGCTCGACGCACACTAGTCTCTGACACTTTGGTTAGACGTGCCACTGCTCTCTGGGGTGGTGAGTTGCCCTTAGAGGTCAATAGGTCAATTTTCTTAAGCACGGGCCTAATTAGCACTTTTCGGACTCGTGTTTGAGGCATGATGGTTTTCCTTTGGTACGAGCTTGTCGTTATTGACCTTCATTTTTAAGTACCTTATGTATCTGGCCTTTCGAAACTTGTTGTCCTTGAGTTTTGAAGTGGTTACTTATGTATGTGTACGAAGAATTAAGTTTGGAAAGTGTTTTTATGGTACCCTCTTACTCTAAGGTCAATGGTCGGGTCATTTTTGAATCTAGAGAGCTAATTTTTTGCTCAGCCCTTGTCAACAATCACATGTCGTTATGCTCAAAATTTGGAACCGAAACTCCAACCCGTTTCGGAGCAAGTCAAGATCGCCCGCGTTCACGTGTTACCGATTCATCCTGTATTCAGGCAGCTTGCATTTATTTCACGAGTCTGTCAGTTTAGTTAATGAACTTGTCGAGTTCCGTATTTTATCATTCATGCTACTGTTTTTCGTATATACTTTTTTGTATTGCAGCTCATTTTAATATGGGTGACATTTATGATATTACTGAGCTTCTTAATTGTCACTTTCTATCAATTAGCAAACGAAGCAAATGGATAATCAATTATAATAATTTTATACACCTTCTATTAATTGTATCATAATAAAATTTTGTCCTTCTTTATTCACTTATTATTGTTTTCTTTATCCTGCGCCTGGATAAACACCAGGATATATCCCTCCTGGTGGACTTCCGGGGTAGAATGGTACATTTTGTGTGCACCTACAATGTCGGTTCAAGAAATCTCCACATTCTCCACCAGCTATAAATCCTTTCTCCATGCAGCAACTCTTGCAAGTTCCGGATTTACCGAAAGGGTTCACTGTTTCAAAGGTCAAGTTCGTAAATCATTGCAGGATTAAATACAACATTATTTTGAAACATACGCTTAGATCCACCACAAAAATTATCGCACTTGTCCACGTGCATTGTCTCGGGCGTGACGAGCTCTGAAAGTTTATAGAGTTATGTATCTCAATTTATTCCCCACATTTGACATTTATTGCTTACCAAATGTCACACAGAAGACAAGAAGTATTATTACGATTGCCCTCATCGCAATGAAAATCTAAACCAAATTAGGAGTTTCTACAGATTTTTTACCATATCACTTTTAACACGATAAAGAAAACTAGAACCGATCAAATATGAAGCTGAGGATGAGTGCTAGCTAGCACGTCGTCGCCGAGTTGTAAATGGAGGTATCATAAATATTCCAAGGTTATATATGCATATTAGCTCATATGTAAGTATGAGACAACCATTCCAGAAAGGTAGAGGTAAAACATGGCGTCATTTGACAAAAATATTTAACTGCCAAGTTTTGGCCAAAGTGATAATTAATATTTCGCTACCACTCGCTTTACTAATTATTTCGGAGAGGTAGGAACTATCTCCACTTGTTGATGATGTAAATATGGTGAGTCGGATTCCTTTTACTGCGCAAATTTAGACTCGGTCAGCTAAACAACACGCCACTACTCTTGGTAATTGCATTACCCATAACATACTCAGGAGAATATTTAATGGCTGTTTGAATTATGCATTTAATGATTATAATGATTGGAAAATCTGAGTCATAATATTAACGTTACGGCAGAAAAATACAGGCAAAAACAGATTGGTTTTCAACTGATGTTAAGTTTACGTGTAATAAATGCTATGAACATAAACAGATAATAGACTACTAGATATGCATTTGATAACTTATTTAATCATAACTAAAGTTTCAATTTAATCTTCATGCATAAATATTTATAAGAATTGTCATTAATTATTGATTTATCTGTTTTTTCCGTTTTTGCATGCAAGTACAAGATACATAAATACGTTATGAGTTTCCATTGTCTTGTTACAAATTCAAGTTGTTATTTCGCATGAAGTTTCTAAATGCATAACCAAATTCATAATCATTTTTAGAATTAATAAGAATAACTCACACAAACTATACAATTTATGTTATAGATGTAACTTCTAATCTGAGCCCATCTCACCATTACTTACTTACATACATAGATGTATGCAATGTGTCAGATTATATAGCTCCGTAGCGAAAGAATTACTTCAAAATGTCATTAATACATGAATAGTTAAATCAAATATCAAGTGAAATATGACTGCTGTGCAATGCTTTGTCACTTCTGCTAATCTTGCTCCGGATATTCCAATGGGGAGACTGATTGGGCGCATTGCCTTCAATGATCTGTCCACTACTTTGTATCCCGGATTTCCTTTAATGTTTCGTTTATGAATTACAATCAAAAATAAACGCGATTGTTCAAAAACGTTGACAGCCATGTCACCTCCGAGTTTGGTGCAGATTATTGCTGTCAAAAATAATGGAAACGCTACTGTAGACATTTTAAAGGGTAAAGATGAGTGAAGTCTGATCAAGATGTATGCACATTCAACAATAGATGATCCACCTTTAAAGTAAAAAAAATGTTTTATTAAAGTATTACATTACAGTGTTATTAAAAAAAATAAATGTTGCATACTCGCAATTGCTCCAAGACTGGCCACATTTGATAAAAGTATCTCTGGAATTTGGAACAGAATGCGGACACCGTTGTACCATTGGATATGGTTCCAATTCGATCTTGCATTATCAGAGGTTGGAGTTAGGAGTAGAATTTGCCTCCTGAGAAGTATATCTATAAGACCATTGGTAGCATACAATCCTAATGCACCAAACCAAAGACCAAGGCGTTCTATTTCGTAGACAATTCCTAAGATTACAAGATATCGCCCTCCAAATACACCCAATTGAAATAAGACTTTACTTCCCAAAGCAATCTTTATAGCCAACACCTTCATAAAAGGAAAATGCTGCCAAAACTTTTCGACAAGTTGGGCTGATGGATCGATATCAAAAAGAACTATGAAGAAAATCGCAATTGGAGTCACCAAGTAGGCTATCCATATCCAAAAGATGAGAATTTTTCCAACCAAATTAGGCTTGGACCCACTTTTCGCTCCTTTCTTACTTTCTGTAAAGTGCACCCATCGTAAAATTAGTAGATATGCATTTTTTATCTATGATAAGTTAATGGATACTCACAAACCTTGAGCGTTAACCAGTTTTCCTCTAATATTTCCAAGTTCCTCCAAACTTTGCATGGTTTCCAAATTAAACTTGACAAAAATGAGATAGTAGGCACATGTCCCGCAAGCAACCATGAGGGCCAACCAACTCCACCCCGTTACTTTGAGGGGGAGCAGGGGGCAGGATTGCAGCGCGCATTGGCGACTAACAAGAATCGTAGCTCGAAATAGGGCTATGACGGCGATAGCACCGCCAATTAAAGGAATGCTTCTCCAGACCTTCTCCAGGCCAAAAATTCGATGCACTTTAACCATTCGGATGGTATGCTTGTACACTTGCATTTCCATCGGGGGTTTGTAAAAGTAGGGATATCTCTCGATAAAAAGGTATTGCAATGTTTCCAAAGGTTTTGTAAGGTCTCCAGCCATTGTTTTTCTCAAAGTTTCACGTACGAGTGAAACGAATGCTCGAAAAATGACAATTATTATTGACTTAATATTTACATAGATATCTCGTTTTATGTGTTACTGTAAATATTAAAATATGATTGGATCTTATCAAATTTTAGTATGGCATGTATGTACAATGCATATGCATATGAAAAACTATTAACCGACTTGCATGCATTATGTATATATTCATTCGCATATGTAACATAATTTAAATGGCGATCAATAAGTATGTAGAAGATTCAAGATTTGTACTAAATTGTATTACTGAAAACATAACAATTTTCATCTACGATGGATTGAATATGGCAAGGAAAGGTTACGTTTCATTTACGTTGCTTGATGTCACAGATTTGCATAACGATTTCTATTTCAGCACTCCTTTTTATGTATTTATCTATATGTATTTATCTCCGAAACTTATTTCATAAACTTTCAAGATTTAAATGTGTGACCTTTAAATAATTTCATGCAAAAACTGACGTGTTTGTGTATGAGTGAGTTCCTTATTTTATTTGTAAATATCATCAAGTAAATACAGTTGTGCACGATTGAAATATATGCGAAATTACTATAAATAGATTTTCTAAGGTTAGCAAAAAACATTTAATTTATTTTGCTTTTGGTTCCAGAATACCGTTTAAAGAAAAACTTTACAAATAACGCCCAAAGAGAAATGTAGATGATAAGACTCCAAAGAATTGAACTAGGGTGACGATTACAGGGTCCTGGTAAAATAAAGCATACAAAATTATGACATCTGCATATGTAAATTACAGAAATAGATGTGTAGCAGCAAATATTTAGTACTACTCACGGGAAATCATAATAGTATATAAATTGTTCCAAGTGTTTGCCACCATCTGGAGAATTTGAAGCGTAGTTATGGTCTTAGCAAGTGAGTCTGGAACACGATATCCTAAACCCTGAAATAAGTCGTTCGTACATAAATTATTTAAATCCACCTCATCGAAGGACTCAACTGCAATCGTAATTTCTTAAATTAGTCTTTACTTTGACAGCGAAATAGCTGTACATAAACGAATGGATGCCGAAATTGATGACCGCATAGTACACAACGATAGGTTCAGCCCAAGGAAACAGCTTCCATGACACTATTGTAACTAATCCATGGTGGTACCTACAGGCACATGTAAAAGTCCCCAAATTAATTAATTTTTTCAGGTGTTGTATAAAGCAAAAATCTATATCTTTACCATTGAAGTGCATGCAATTGTTGTTTTCGCAAAACAATAAATATTGTGTCGCCTGTGAACATTTCCAATTTAGATTTACAAATTATACACATTTTTGAAACTCGAACAGACTTACCAAGCTCAACGAATTTAGAAAGAGTGAATAATAGGAGCCAAAAGTCTGTCGTAAAATTGCGGCCTTCTCTGTGTCGAAAAGCATGCAACCCAAGAAGGGAAATAATTTTGATTTAACAACAATGATGATCAAGAATAAAAAGATTTTATTGTGCTAAAGTTTCAAATGGAATCACCTCAGACAAACCGTTCCATAATAGCCTTCAGGTTTGCCAAACTTGTACAGCAGCTCTTGCCCCACACGATAGAAGCCAACTGTCGAAAAAAGAGCTAATGATGCATTCCAAACGATCAATGTTTTCTTAAGTCGCATAGAATCCCTGTGTTTCATAAAGGCCTACATAAAGTGCAATAATAATTTAAAATATTTGCACTTTGGGACCAATTGTGTCACTGATTCCTAACTGTGTGTAATACCTGGAGTCCAAAGATTGTAATAAGGTATAGAACGGTAGAATACCAAGCCAAATTAGGGTTTTGTACCATAAATGTTTTCCACCATGTAATATCTGCTTTTTCAAACCAATAAGGCTGAACCTTTGGAGGGTGTTCGTAATCAATGGGCCACACCTCTCCTTCAAATGCAGTCGTGCTATTTTCCATGCTTCTCGATCCGATGCTATGAATTTTCACAAGTCCAAATTCTTGCACCTGTTCAGTTGAGTGGCTCCAAAAAACTACTATGGTCAAACGAAAATTACTTTAACTGAGGTTTTTCCTGAGAGGAAACACTTTATTGTTCATTAATTATCCACTGTACTATTATTACTACACAAATTAAAATTATTAGAAAGTAAATTATATGGTTATTATGTAGGCTTGTCTATAAACAATTTAATTCAATTAGAAATAATATCTATGTCTATATCGTAAGAGTGTTCTTATTATTTTCTAGGAGAATATTGCATGGATGCCTACTACTGAAAGTTTAACGCCTCAACAATGCCCTTGACTTCTTGTTTTTTGCTGTATGTACCTGCTAACTGGCTGCTTAGCATTTTTTATTGGCATTTCAACTGGAACTGCAGGCACGTTACCAATTACCCGATCTGGTAATTCCTGTTTCTAGTGTTATTGTGTACAAATGCATTCCTAGGGAACGGTTACGATTCTTGGTATATGCATGAAATTACATAAATTTCATGGGCTACCATTACCACCTAAATATGAGTGTTCATACATATATTTATTATGCAAGAATTTGATATCCAGAGCATGGGAATTCTGCTTAATATCGTTGTACAATTCTGCTTAATATGTAATTTAATTATCAATGCAGTAAGTAATAACGACAATACGAAATAATGACGAATAATATATTTTTATTTCAATCAAATTAGATCAAATTTCCAGCCTACTTATTTTGTAATTAGATGCACGCTCAATTCTGACTAGTACATATAATTGCATTTCAAAATTACAATGGAGTTTACCAGAGGTGCACCGCTCCTCGTCCCCTCTTACCACCGTATGCTACCATAAAACTCCAAATTTGAAATGCATGACCTCGGGTCGACCCATATATCAAATTGAAAGTATTATGAGTAGATCATTTCTGCGTAAAAAAATTCCCAACTTTCCCGTTCAAAATTTTGTAGCAAAAATCAAAGTATGCGCAAAAAATGAGAACAAAATGCGATTTTTGGGCATATTTTGATTTTTGCTGCAAAATGCGGTTTTTGGGCATATTTTGATTTTTGCTGCAAAATTTTGAGCTGGAAAGCGGGGAATTTTTTATGTAGGAATGATCTACACATTAATACCTTCAATTTGATATATGGGTCGACCCTAGGTCGTTCAATTTTAAAAAGGGGAATTTAGGGTAGCATACGGTGCTAGGGGGGACGAGGAGCGGTGCACCTCTGGATTTTACTCCATTTATCCACTCATTCTAACTATTCATATATCTACAGCTTAATATTGAAACTAAGCTAATACTCTAAATAAATAAATAACACAATAAAACACTCCAGGAATCTCCACCTTGTTAAAAATACTGCCTGCCTTGACCCACCAGCTTTCTCGTTACCATCAACCACACTAAATTGATATGATTGCCGAATTTCTCTCGCTTCACCCACATTTTCTACAAACATTCCATCAACACCCATTTCAAAATAGAAATAGAGTTCCATTTCTTTATTTTCTGGGTCACAATTTCCAGAGACGCATCCACGACGAGATGGTTCGCGACTGTCGTAAATTGTATAAATCCCCACTTCAAGACCTAGAAATGATTTTATGAGGCTTTTTCCTTCCATTTTTACATCTCCAAAACAAGTAATTTTAACTTTAACATTAGGAATACCTAGAGCGTGTGCTTCTACTACAATGTCACGAGCTGGAATGAAACCTCCAAGTTCTGCTGAAAATTTCAAGCATTTTTCCGTTATTTTCCAAAAAAAGGAACCAAAAAACAATAAATATACTTTATACACGTTGATTGACACTAACCAATAATATTTTTATCATACTCAATTCCCTGTGCTTCAATTTGTGCCTCAATTCCAGTATACAAAAGTTCTTTCCAGACAGCGTAATAATTTGCATAGTTTGTCACGTCCTGGAGACCTTTATACGTCAAAAGGGGGAGTTGTATGTCGATGAGCATCATTCTGTCCCTGTGTGTCACTTGAGCCAGGTATTTGATGCATTCAAGTTCGAAACTTTGCAGGATAAGATGACCACATTTAATCTGGGCACCTGCATCTTGAGGACTAATACAATTTTCTGGAGTACCATCGTCTGTCATGGGGTAGCCCCATTTGGATAAAGTTGAGAGAACCAGCTCTTCCATGTACCTTGGAGAATTGGGATAATCTAAATTGTGGAACATGGGATGTTTCAGCTCAGGAATAATCCCAACAGATTTGTTCAATCTGAACGCATTGTGGTGCACAGTGGTCAAATAGTCTTCAAATGTTGGGATGCCAAACATATTGTTGAATCTCTGTGGTCGAATGCCAACATCTTTCTGAATAACTTTCAAAACTTTGAGCTCGTCCAGAGTAAAATCTTTGATAAACCAGTCGTCCGTGATGGTAACATTGCCCATCCCTTCGTCAATCACTCCGGTAAAGTTTTTCTTTTTATGATCAAACTGGGACAGAAGAGCTACGTCCGTCCCTGTTTTGAGAGTCAGGTCGTGAAAGCAGACAAGGTGACCGTCCTTCATAATTAACAAACAAAAATAACAATTAAGAGTCATCATCCATGCAATATATCCTTTCTGAGTTTATGGTTTACCTTGGTCAAAACCAGGTCAGGTTCGACATATTCTGCACCTTCAATTGAGGCAAGTTCATACGAGCCAACGGTATGTTCAGGCATGAAAACCTTTTCTCCACGATGTGCCATGATTTTAATGGGATCGCCCGAAAGAGTCGGCCATTTCCCTACTTGACGACCTAATTGAAATTACATTTGCATAGCTTAATTAATTGCATGTATGGTTATTGAGATTTTTGTGAAGATTAGTTTACCATTTCTCATGCTAATTTTGTCTGCACGAAATTTACTTGGGTCCTTCAATTTTCCGCCGGAAGAAAGTCCCAAACATAATAAAGAAATGGTTAAAATTGTTTGGAAATTCTTCATCTTGTAATAAATAAATATCTTCTTATTTCAATTTATTTCACACTTTCACACGCTTAAAACTTAAGAACGGGATTAACTTGCATACGCATACTTATTGAACAAAGTAATTAGTGCAGCTTATCTCAAAAATTATATCGTTTGGGTTTTAATCACTTTTTATTGTTTCTGATCTAATCATTTGTCAATCATATTTATTCGAATTATATAAATTTCAATGGGAATCTGTCATGTTTAAACTTTATCTGCTGTCGTCAAATATGAAACAAATCAAACGAAACACGGAACACGATAAATAATTTATAAATTTTCGTGGGATTTAGGCCTAATTAATTTGGGCTGAATTTACAATGATTTGTCAAAAGCAACAAATTGTCAATATAAGTATCTATGTATGCATTATGTATACACTACACCATGTGCATACATAATTGTGTACTCCACTATGGTCTAATGCATATACACATAAATAACAATGTAATAATTATTGAACTCTGCTAACTCATAAACTGACAAATTCTGGGTATTTATGTACGCATTTAACTTGGGAGAGCTTAGATGATGATGATTGGATATTAAATGGATTTTAGATACGTTGTCTGATGAACTCTACCTTCAAAATCGTGATGATCATATTAAAATGTTTATGGCAAAAAATTATGATGCGCCAACACGATAATAATGTCTGAAAACAGCAATAAATATAACTTTATCTGCAAGTTCTCCAATTTATTCTGACTTTCTGTCTGTCTGATAGTTAAACTGTATTGTGATTGACATCTGAATAAACCACACTTTATTTGTGTGCTAAATATCTTGACTAAATCATATTAATCTGAATTACTTTACAATTTGCTAAACCTGCATAGTGTCAGCAGAACTTGGCACTGGACACACTTGTTAATACTTACTTAATATGTACATGAAACTAAATATGGAGTCATTGCACAACAAATCGACGCATCTAACCGGATATATATTGTATAACAATCTATTGTTATATTTCAAACTGGTATTACTTGGTATTTTATAAGAAATAATTATATAATTGTCTGCATTCCAGTACACGCTGTACGTACCGGTTATACAGGCACAGGAATTACACAATATTTGTTACACATGTTACAAGACAAAACAATAGAAATGCTTTACGGTTACATTACAATTGAATACCAAGTAAAGTTGCATAACTTTCTTCAGATCTTATAAAATATATAATTTTGTTAAATATCTTTTGATTTAGCCTATTTTTAAACCAAAGAATTCGAATGATTTAATTTTTCCCATGTCGTGTTTCTACATTAGATACACAACCTACTACAAATATGTACATATATATGCATGCAAACTTGACATATTGTCTTATACATATTCACACGATTTACTTTATTAATCTGGACAGAACTGTGGACAAAATTCCAAAATGTGGTAATTCAATTCATCCAGGTCTATTTGACACCAAGCATGATTTACGTATTTGCAGAGCTTTAGAGAACAAAGATTTTCTCCTTATGTACATATCAACATTCATATAAATTCCATTCACATCAACGTAAAGCGGGCCTTCTGTTTTCAACTGAAAGTATATCAACTGAAACTTAAAAAATATCAAAACTTATAAATGAGATCAATAAATAAAATACAAATAATTACTTACACAGCAAATCATGTTGTAGTAAATAAAGATTAGTAAATCAATTCATATCCAATCTAACATCAAATACTACTTCAAAAATGTGGGTATCAAATGTGACAGGTATTTAAATGAATTGAACCTGCAGATGGATTGATTGATAAAAATAATGGACCCACATAAAGTAAATACATGGTATTCTTTCAGACATTTTCCCGTTCAGTGAAATTTGTGATGCAATGTTCTCCTCCATGAAAATTTAATTGGAAAGGAAATCCAGTGCTACGCCACGTCATGTCATCGTCTTCGTCCTCAGAGCAATCAAATTACTGCCGATTGTGCAAGACGACCGCCCCCACGCGCCTGGCATGGTTGACCCATCTCGTGTCATCCGTCCATCAAATGATGATGAGAATAGCTGAAAACCAGAGGAGGGGTTTCCGCCTTACGGACCGCTGGGATAAGAGTCGTGCCCTTCGAATCTTAGACTGTTTCCAGGTTCCGGCACGGTCAATTTTAGAATATCTCGACAGTTGGGGTCCGGTTGAAAATTTTAGCTATCTCTCGAAAACTGATGGAGGGATGCATAATTGTCATATCCTTATGAGAAGCAAGTACAGTAACGTAACAATTAATGCCCATTCTGAATAGATATATAAATAACGGACTACTGAAGGAATTGTCTTTTATGTATAGGATGAACGCGATTTCAGTGTCCGGATTTGGCAAACCTCATTTTGTGTCAGTTCCTACAGGGAAGGCTATAGTTATTCGAAGGTGGTCCGATAAAAAAGAGAAGAAAAAGGATGGACCAGAAATTTGTAAAGAAAGAGATCGTGCTCTAATAGATAGCCATTCTTCATCAACGCATTCCTCGAGCTTAGATGCTGAGCTCGAAAACACAACAGAGTTAATAGGTTAGTTATTACCTAGTTGTTACAATTATTATGAAACTATACTACTTATTCTTTATGTAATTCTTACGTGCGCAGTATCGCCGATACCTGGACATTTCCCATGTTCAACTTGCAAGACAATCTCATATACCTTGTCTGATTGGGCATTCCATCTCATCTCTACGCCACACCGAAAATTTAAGACAAGTGAAGTTAGCATGGGATTGAAAAGTTGGGATTACCAGAAAGGCGTCTTACTTCAAGGAGTGAATGGTTTAAGCAGAATTCGAATCATTGCTTGGGCCCTGAGCTGGGGCCAAGTGACAGACTTTATTGACCCGGCTAAAGAAGATAAAAGTCCTATTGCATATCTTCTATTCGAGAAAAAGTAAAGTGTCATTGATATATCTATTCCATCTGTTTAAATTTTGCCCATACTGCAGCTTTTTTGTTCTACATATCTGTATTGTTCTATAGGGAGAATGTGGATGCACTAATAAACTTTAAAGACTACCAAATCATCTCTCACAGAAGAATTGATGTCCTTCCAAGTCCGGAATTCTCAGGTTATGCAAAGTTGGAGAAGCAAATGTTAAAGGCAGAAAAGCTTGCGTCAGAAATGATCTCTATAGCACCATCATCAACATCTACTCATAGCAGTACTAACCAAGACGATGAGGATTCCAAGGAGGCTGAATGTCGGGCACTAATTAATCTACTGGGAAAAAACGTAATCGAAAATCAGCTAGCCCTTTTCATGAGACATAACACGTGGTCAGACTCGGTGTACGAGAAAGCTGACTCATTTATTCGGAGTGTTCTTATACCCAATGTGATAAAGCGGTTGGAACTTCCGGTAAATACAACTTGTCAAATTCTCCCTTACGGAGCGTATGGATGTCGTACAGGAATTGTGAATAATAAAGCACCCCCAAAACTTCACCTACATTTAAATATGATATCGACATTAAACTCTTCGTTTGATATGGACCTTTTTCCAACTCAGGTTGAACTAGTGCATAAAGTTCGCATAGGTCTCGAATCTAGCCTAAACTTACTCCCTGGTTCAATCCGTGCATTATCTGATGCTTCTAATAGGCCAACATTGGTCTTTTCAACTGACATGGAAGAACAGAAATTCGAATTTCATCTCCGGATAGATTCAAATAACATACTTGCTTCTCAAGAGAGCTCTTTAATCGCTCACTATTGCAACTTTGACCCCAGAGTGCGACCACTACTTTTGATAATTTTGCAATGGAACGAATTATTGTCTCAAGTGCAATCTACAGATGATGAGATATTTCCATCACATTTGATGTCAGTGCTGGTCCTGTTTTTCCTCATTCACAAAAAAATTGTCCCTAGTGTACACGAACTTTGTGCTCAGAACGATGGTAATGAAAGCAATGCAGAACCAATTTGGTTTAAAGGATATGACATTTCCTTTTCAAAGTCTAGGGGGAATATTAAGGTAAGAAAAAGTTGAAATAAAAATATAAAAACATTTGTAAACCGAATGAGTTATTTACTAATTGGTTTGTATCTATTTCTAGCACCACCCAGAACTGAGTGACCAGTCCATCTTGTCCCTCAGTATACTGGCACTGCTCAAAGAATTTTTCCATTTTTATGGTTGGGTAGACATGCAAGAGAACGTGTTTTGTGTTCGACTTGGACGTCTGATCTCAAAAGATTTGTTTTTTTACTGAACGCACATCAGACCTTCCGAGTGAGATTAAGGAAATGTATTTCAAAGGAGAGGGTAAACTGTATACAGTTAGTCCACTCGTGGTTCAAGATCCTCTGATCCTTTCCCTAAATCTATGCAAGAGTCGAGGCCGGAAAGTCGTTTGTTTCAGATTCTCTGGAATGTGTCGAAAAGTATTTCAAAATCTTGAGGACAGTTTTAACGAAGAACAACCAAGTTTGGAAGCTATATTTAACAACGTGCATAAATATTCGAACAAAGAGCTGTTCAATAAAAGTTTGCAATTGTGAAAAATGTGTAGATGTTCAATTGATATTTGTTTGTTATGCATACATACTTCTGTGTATGAAAGTTATGAAAATTCTTTATTTATTTTATGTACGTACATACACACTACATGCTACAGTTTTATAAGCATTTTTCTCTAATTACAAACCCCTACGGTGCGTTTTATTTCACCTCCCAAGGCTTCTAACCTCTTTTGTCCGTACCCTTCAAATTGTGTGAGCCAAAATACAAAAATATCATCGTCCCCTACTCGGATTTCATCGATACCTGCAAATAAGATATGAATCTTCCAAGATGATTTCTCTCAAATATAATAAACACACAAATGGTAGTACGTATGCTTGCAAACCTCTGTCAACAGCCGTATCCGGGGGTGGTATAGAACGTGGTTCATCCTTAACTTTATACAAAATCCAATACTGACTAGTTGCTTCATCCTCACTTACGCCACCAATGGATGTGACATACCTCCCAAACGAGAGAGTGGTGTAGTTGAACCTGTTTCAAATTTGGTTTCATGGTCAGATCACTTATCACTACATGGATTATTTTATAGAATTTCATCCACCTGAAGGATGTGCATATTTTTTTCTTACCAAAACCGATCATGTGACTCCCTCTCTGCATGTTCTAAAACGGCAAACATTGTCACATTTTCGGGCACCTTAAGTTTTATATCATGCTTTGAATCAGTCAGTTGTCCCACATGATACTTGACTCGAATGGAAGGATATGCCCCTGTTCAAATTCAAATTCATTCAGTTAGACATAAAATAAAACTTCTTAAAAAACTTTTACCCTTTAGCTTGATCCCAAACACAATGGTGGATGCAAGCAAACCGACTCCCAGAAGGGATACAATCGCAATCGCAATCAAATAACGTCGCCTCTGTTTGGCCAACAATGCATTTGTCTCACTATTAATAAAGAAAACAAAAAATGGATGGTTTTATTTCAGCAATTCGGTCAAAGAAAAGCAACTCTTACTGAATGTTGCTCATTTTGTGATCCATGCTTTGCTTGGGTAAGACGAACTTGAATACTACTGAAATATGTATGTTATCGTCAGAGGGGAGCCACACAGGGTTTCACGAGGAATAAGTCAAGTATATAACTAATTGTAAAAAGCAAGTTGGACGGTACTAACCCTCTGTCTTTACCTGTCAAGTAATTTATGCAATTGATAAGGCATGAACATACTAAAACACAATAGTCATTTATTTGATAAGAAGACAAGTGCATGTTCAACCTATGATTGGTTTTACATTGAACCATGAACCCATGCACCGCTGTTGTTGCAACTTGTAAATTTTGATTGCGGTAATTCTTTAACTATTATTCAAGTTATCAAAGTCAAAGTAAAACCAAAATTGGAAAACATATTTCTCATTACATCACAATTTATGCTATGAAACTCGTGGACATAATTTCCATAATTTCTCATGATTGTTTGATTTATAGTATTTGAAAAGTATAACGGTCACGCAAAACTATATTGTTTCAGCACCGAAATGAATTTATAATATTTTATAACATTTGTAACATTTTATTTGAAGAAAGCATGGATTCTGAAAACATGATACTTATTGTAATTATGTGACTTTCGGAATGATTACTGCTTCATCTGGTTTTTACGATCAACCATTTTGCATAACCATTGTACAACCTACTTATTTGCACTCAATCAATTATCGTTTCATGGTACAAAAAATAAAAATCAAGAAACTTAGCAACAAAAAAATTATGTGACAATGACACCAAAAAATATTCCGTTTTCAAAAAAACACTTTTCCAACAAAAATTTATTCATATTATCATCTTTGCTTACTTACATCCCGGAAATCAAAACATTTCAACGACCTAATGGCACCTTCAAAAAAAGGACGCAAGAAAGGTACAGCACCATCTCGGCGAACTCCTCCTCGTGCACCAAAATCTGCTGTAAAGCGACCAGTGTCCTCTCCACCTTCTGTTAAAGATACAGCTTCCAAACAGCCTAAAAATCCCAAGCTGCATTATGAAGTTCTCCCAACCCCTGCCAAATCTAGCATGGATCAAAATAACTACAAACTGTTAAAGTTACGAAACAACATTAAAGTACTCCTCATACAACAACCCACTAAACCCAGCCAACCATCATGTTGTCCAAGAAGAAAGGGGGCTCAAGGTAAAGGCGACATTCCTTAAATGGTCATCATCATGTAAACAGATTGATTTCATGTTTGCTATAATATTTACAGGTCTCATCATTGACTCGGAATTGTCGACCTTTCCTCCCTCTACATTCGGTTCCCAGTCTCTGACCGAAAAGTCGGAACCAAGATCTTTTCTTCTGCCTTCTCTCACAGAGCCCTCGTCAACTAAAAAGAGTTGGAAGTCGTCCCAATTCATAACTAATCCCTCAGAAGTCGACCGTTTAATTCAAGCGTGCACTGAAGATGGATCAACTCGAGATTTGGGATGGTATTTATTTATTTAGTCGACTATTTTTTCAATTCCGAGTGGTCATGTCAAAAATTATGGTCATTCAAAAATCCTTATATCTAGTGGACCAAGTGATCCCTGTCAACTGGGGGCAGAAAAAGCAGAGTCGGAAGATGAAGCGGTGTCAGTTTCTCTGGTGATCGGGGTTGGTTCGTCCCAAGACTATAAACACCGTTCCGGATTGGCACACTTTTGTGAAGTATATTCAAATATCTCATTTCTACGATCGCAATGTGTGCTCATTATTATAATTATAACTTATAATACTGTTCACTCTCAGCATATGGTCCACCACGGGTGTGAGAAATTTAAAGAGGAAGACTCGTATTTCAAATACGTCATGGTAGGGCTTACTTTTTTCAGTTCTAAATTGTATTAAAATAATGGTCCTATTTTCAACCAAAATGTAGACAAAGGGTTATGAGTTCAACGCTTACACCGCTGCTACTTTGACTGCGTACTACTTTAGGGTTCAGGGTGCCCATTTGGAACAAGGACTTGACTTACTATCCAATATGATGGCTGAACCCACCTTTGAAGAAAATATGTGTAAACGAGAGGTCCAAGCCGTCGATAATGGTGTGAACATGAAATCACTTAAATTACCCATGAATAGATATTTTAACTGACCCTGACCACTGTGCTTGCATAGAATACATGCTCAAGGAACATAGTGATTTGGAAGCATACGTACTCCTTCTTTGGTCCCTGGCCAAGAATGATCATCCTCTGAAGATGTTTTCATGTGGCAATTTTGAAACTTTACTGATCAAGGATGAAAAATCTAAAGTTCAGGACCTGAAAAAAGACTTGGTTAACTTCCACAAAGAGAACTATGTCGGTTCGGCGATGACGTTTTGTATACAAGTATGTACTATACATGGAAAATGCATGTAAACGACAATGCAGGCATTAATTTATATAATTATTTCTAGGGATATGACACACTTCTAAACATGGAAGAGCTCGTAGTAAAACATTTGGATGTGGTCCCAGTGGGTGATAAATGCTTACGAAAGGAGATGGCGATCCCCTCAAATCATAGAGATCCATATAATACTTCAGAATTCAAAAAAATGTACATCATGGAGGGGAACACACTTCAGATGCTAATTGCCTGGGCCCTTCCTCCAGAAGTTGGTCAGGATTTTAAGAATAATCCATTTGAGTTCTGGGGTTCTCTTCTTGAAGACGAGGGGACGCATGGTTTGCCTTATCTTCTCCGCCAACGGTATCGTTCTCATTATCATTATTATTTTTGTGATAATGTGTGAATTCCATTTTTAGCAATCATTATTCCATATTATTACTTTATGCACTTTTGGTAGGGGGTTGATTACAGACTTTAGTGCGTCAATTCCTGATATCGACTATTGGAGGAATGAATATTGCACAATGTTTGAAGTCCGTTTAGTTCTCCGCAAGAATGTCGTGCTCAATTGCGATGGTCATAAGAAGGAAGGCAACCTTTTCATAAACCTCGAAAACATTATGGAAACAGTTTATGAATATTTAGGGAAGGTTAGTGTTTTCATAACGTTTGAATATAGATTTAAAAAAATAGCAATAGGTATGAAGACTTTATACTAATACTAATATTAATATTATGCTTTTTTCTATTAACTAATCTGTTATCTTGCTAACTACTGTGGCACCAAATGAAGCTAAGGCAAACATCTCTAAAACAACGAAAAGCGGCTTGGGAGGAATTTTCGAAAACTAAAAACGAGTATTTCGACTACTCCATTCCAGTGGAAGGTGTAAACTATACGACAAAATGTGCCGTTGCCTTACAAACTCTGCCTGATGAGGCAATCCTGACGTCAGAAAGGGTTGTCACAGAGTACAACGACCAAGTCATGCGTGGTTATCTGGAGCAACTTACTCCTTCCAACATGAATGTGATAACCATCCTTCCGAGAGAAGTGGTCAATACGTATGCGGCAGAACTGAAAAAATGTGACGCTGCAGTTGAGCCCTACACAAAGAGGAAGTTTTGGTCGAAACTTATCGAGGTCGAGCGTCTCAACAAATTGTTGAAGAATAAGGCAACCACGCCATTATTGATTCCGACAAATAATCCGATCTCTTCCGAGTCTCAAACTCAATTTGCGTGTGTCCATAAAATTCCTCCAAAATTGATTGGTATGCATGCAATATAATCCTTTTATGCTTGGTATTTTTTATTTTATTGCTCTTAAATGTATTACAGCTTTAAATGCAAAGTGTCAAGTCACACACGTGGGGAACTTTGGAGACGACTGGTTCATTGGGAACGTCAATATACACACATTTTCATCTGCCAGTGTTTTTCGATTGAACCACACAAAGTATTCAAATACATACATATACATATTCAGCAATTTGATTGGATTTTATATCCAAAAACAACATTTTTACTTCCAGTTTATGTAAACTCTACTTGCTGCAATCCTATTTGCAACAAGTTGTTCTTCCTGACGCGAGTGAAATTGGCAGAGCTGGACTACAAGTGTCGATTGATCTTGTTTATGGTACTTTTAATTTATATATTTAAACAAAACTTGAATTTTCCTGTTTTATTTTTATTTTTTTTTTTCACGTCATCAAAGACTCACTTCGTATTCAACTTTCTGGGTTTCCAAACAACCTACCGCTGGCCCTGAAGAAAATCATGCTGCACATATTTCCTAATGAGGAATCCATTTCTCAAGTTGCGTTCGATGCTGCCAAAGAGAGTTTGCTATATGGCGTGTCACATTCGTTGGGACAAGGAGCCTTCTTGATTAAGTATGTAGCTTAAAGCATAAACCAATGCAAATGCAGGCCATGCACTTAATCTAATTCAATCACACCCATTTTTACAGCAATCTCCTTGACGAGGCAGTGACGTGTGATTCGCCTTCTTTTCGAAACGCTATAAACACAATTTGCAATGTTGACTTCCAAACTTTTGTTACTTTTACAAGGACGTTCGCAAATTCTACATTTGTGTGGGCGAGTTTGGAAGGCAACATGTCTGCCAAGAATTGTGAAGATATTGCTATTATTCTTAGCACTCTCAATTACTACCCTGTAATTTCTGGTTGGAAAAATTCCACCTTGGTATATTTATATTTTTTTAAACTTCATGTACATTACACATATGTACACATAGACAAATGTAAAAAACTAGTTAATTTCAGCTGGTGAAACCGGAAAGGTTTGCGCTTCCCTTGGAGAAAAGGTGCATTCGCGTCAAAAGTGAATTTAGGAAAGAAAAGAATTCGGTTGTTAGAAATTGCTATCAATTTGCAACCAATCTCCACCAAACACATGCTTCTGTCATCGTGAATTTTTTAGGGGTAAGGATTCATTATATTTCTAACTATTTCCCGATAATACATTAGTAATTGTTAGTAAGACGTTCGATTACAGATGTGCATGCGAGCCCCATACTTTCAAATCTTAAGAACCGAGGAACAAGTTGGGTATAAACTGCACATTCTTCATTTCCAAAACTACTTACCTTATCCTTGTATTTTTGCGGACGCCGTATTTCCTGCTCACAAAACAACGTAAGAAACTGCGCAAGGCACATGCGCATACACATTTTAAGGGGTTCGAGTAAAATTAGTTAACTAATTATATAAATGCAGCCTTTGTGAAGTGGACGCCAAGATAGACAACTTTTTTGTCAAATTTTGGGAAAGGAATCTGAAAAACATGAATGATGCAGAATTCAGAGAACTGAAACACTTGGTAATAATAATTTAACTAAAAATTTATTATTTTAATTGAGTTTGCTTAAATTGTCTCTACTTTTTGTAGTGGGGTATACCTGATGACCTGAATTTACAAGATGTAAAAACATTTTATGAACATGCCTTTATTCAAAACGGACCAACTGGAAAAGGGATAAAAGTTCACGTCAGTAAAATTTCAGTTCAGGTAATTGGTTTTCTTGTTAGATTATTATATGTATCACATGATTTTACAGATTAATCATAGAAATGCCCATTTGTATGTAGGTGTTAGGAATGGATAGAGAAAATTGTGAAGGATTTATTAAGTGCAAAGAAAGTAATTGGGCTAAACCCATGAAGGAAAAAGACCAGCCGATTTCCTTCTGCACGGACGCGGACGATCTTTGTGAAGGGGTGCATTATTTTGTTCGAGATATTCAGTGGTTCCGGGATGGGAAATTTCAATGATCATAACTTATTTGCATAATCTCAATGCTGGGTGTACTATTTGCTTAGTAATATACTAAATTCATGTAGCTGATAAAACCAAACTGCCGCAGTATTTTTGTACGCACACAAAATTATGAAAACGAATAAAATGATTTTAAAACATGTTTTAAAATAATACTACAAATTGTGGGTATTGCAAGTATTATTGTTGTAATGGTGTATAGATATGTATGTATATACGAAGACAAGATTCCATTGGGGTGCAATTTATGTATTTCTATGAAATTGCGTTCTGCAATGTGCATACAATTCAATTACTTACAATTAGTCAATTGTCAACGGGCTCAGTAATCACGAGAATTAAAAATAATAAATGTTTACCTATTTGAGAATTTTAGCAAGATAATTAATATCTTATTATATAAGTGATCAATTCATTAACTGATTGTGAATTTTCTAATTGATTTATTGTGTCACTAAATCTTGGTAAATATGTAGATATACTTTTATGCACATTTGCTATGTGTAAATATGTATAACATTTTGTATGTGATCCATGCTAGTTGAATAGTTTTGTCACTTGTATTGGAATACATATTATGTATGTACATTTATAAATAGTATACATAATTGTAGATTTCACAAAAATAATTCGAGTTTCTAGACACTGTTAAATACTAAAAATATTTTTCATGTCATGTTAATCTAGAGAGCTCTGTTGTGTTAAAATAATAGAAGAGCTATGTACATGTACTTTTGGTCAGTGATTAAATAAATTTCCTCCTTGATGTGTAAATATTACCAACAATTTTGTTCACATTGTTTCGATTGCGTTGGAATAGAAGCACCAATAAATTGGATACCTGTCCAATTCTTTCCATTTATGCTTGCCAAATGCACATTGACCCCGGCGGAGGGGACGTGGGTCGACCTAAAATAGTATTATTCGTACATGTAAATAATGTTGGGGTATGAATGGTCATACTCTAGTTATAAAATACATACTTTTTTCCTGCCTCCTGTTACAACGACGTAGACAGCAATAAATCAGGATACTGGCGACGATAATGGTGACAATTAAAGCGACAATCATAATTGTTCTCCGTGATGGGGCCCTGAATATTAGTTTAATATTTTCCATGAGAAATTCTTATTACAATTAATATCTTTTTATTACCAACAATAATCCCTTTGATATTTGCTGCAAAAGGAAAACTCTTGTGTTTTGTAGTACCCACAATCCCTATTTTACCACAGAAAGACTAGAATATCTTAAATCTTCTTATAAAATATCGATATGCCATAAATTGACATTATTTAAATGCATAATAGTTCCTTGAAAACGGCGTCGAGATGCTTACCTCCAACAAGAGTACGAGTACTGATAACCGAAATCCGAAGCAAGTGCAAGGAGTGGAGCAGCAATCAACAACATCACGGTTTTGAGAAACTTTTCCATGTTTTCTGGATTTTTGTGTACGCAACTAATTTGTTTTAAAGGGTACAATTTTTATTTATTTTTTATTTCGCCAATTCGAGATGTACAAATTAATTTCAACAATAAGAAGACCTGTATGTTTAACAAACCTGTTTAAAGCCTTCTACTCGTAATAAATGTATTATGAAGTCACAGTGCTGCAGAGAGTGGTCTGCGTTGTAACCATGTGTTGAATCGATAACAATAACAAAAGCACGCCACCCCTTTACTTCACAAAGTTGGTCTATCCACAATACGTATAAAAAACATACTGCATATGCAATTTCTAGGCCAGGTGCCAGGTAACTATTCTGCCAGTAAATAGCTGAAGCTGGCTATGCATGGCTATAAATGCTTGCAGTGGAGTGGAGGATGACGCCAAATTTTGGAAGTTTGCTAACTTGTAAAGTTTTTTGCAATGCATAATGATGAAGTTTTTCTCCCATGGAATTATAATGATGATTCATATCCATGATAAATACTTGTGTGTTTATGCTGAGCTTAAATTGAAATTCCATGCTCCTTTCGTTAAAAAAATGTACAATTATGTTTGCTAAAGTGATGTCTGTTTATTCTTTGCATAAAGACGTGTAATATATCACAAGGTAAAATTTAGTTTAAATCGGTACAGCAATTCGAGCACGAAAATATTAAGTTTAACGTTTAACTGAAAGTTTTTTTTATCGGAGATATGTGCAGAGTGGGTTGAAAATTCTAGTATCTCAAAGTATCCTGGAGAAACTACACTTTGAACTTAAATTATTTATTCGTCTATGAAAATTTCACGTATGATGAGATTGATGAGGCATTGGGTATTCCTCTGCATACTAATTTTGTGGCACAATTCATTATTTATGTATGTGTGTACATGTACATGTATATTCGTCCGGTCCATTATTCGATATCCGTTGCAATTGTGTATAGAATGTCATTCCGCTCAAATTGTTTGTTGAATTGCCTATGTACATCAAGTACAATTTATGATAAGTTATAGGGTGCATTACATTTTTTGCATTGACGTGTGTATGTAAATTCAGAAGGGAACTTGATAACTAATTCGCTAAAGGAAATTTGTTCTCTTTCAGTGTTCACAAGCTACGATCAGTAAAATTAACTTCAATTTTAAAATAGATATTCTATGTACTTGAATGGAAAAATTTTTCCGGGTTAATTCATTTCCATTCTTGTTACCAAATAATGGATTTGTTAATATAAAAGTTTAATAACGCCGAAAATATATAGCAGAACTTGTACAGAAAATCAAAGCATACCTAATGTAAAACTTTATTAAGAAAGGACAAACATATTGGTATTTATTATATAGAATTTTGGTATTTCAGCAGTTTGAATTTAAATGTAACTTATTTATATACACATTTGCCTCATAGTTTTTATTATCCGAATAATTTATTCCGCTAGGAGCCATCAAAACTTTATACAGTCAACAGTTGAAATGGGCCCAATCCTCTAGTCCTGTAAATATTTGTAAAACTAACTTAGATGAAACAAATCTTATCAAAATTATATATTTGTGCATTTACTGGGATTCAAAAATTTCATTCGAAAGAGTAAAGTGTAAGAATTTTATCGTAACCCAAATTTTTCCATTCTTAGAAGACGATTGGTATGCATCCTAACAAATTTATATCAAGCATAATCCAACTTCATTGGATTAAGCTTCTTGCGGTATCATGCAGCAATCTTCCAGCGAGATACTCACTACAAAATGCATATGGAAATTCACTCTCTCTATTTGCCAGTCCCGTTAACACAAATTTCAAACCTTTCAATGATTTAATTCCTGTGCTGATTTCATCACAAATAAGCCCCTCCCGTCCTGAAAGGTTTACAAAGTCGGAGAAAACTTTGGGCATATTTTTGAATCAAATAAGTGATACTAAACATGCCAACCAATCTAGATTTTTTGGAACATTTTCTGGCCTTATGGCTTCAGACATATTGCAAGTAGTGTTAAATCACACAACTGGAAATATAACCCCCGTAAACAAACGAAAGCAACGCGATTGCCTCATAATATCGAACTCTATCTTTCAATATTTCCCATCCGGTTCCCGTTTGGATGATTATTTTCGCCGGATCGAAAGCATCGTGTTGGATTTCTACAGTTGGTTCAAGGATGAAATGGAAGCCACCTTAAATATAAAAAACAGACACATCATGCTTCTTAAAGTGATTTCCACGCATCTCAACCTAAGCTTTTCCTCCTGCGGTTCGGACCAAGATCCCGATGACAGGGACGAACGCGACATAGATTTCGCCATTTCGTCGTATAAACTGCAAAAACAAAAGTTACCAAAAGCTGTCCTTATCCACTCCAGAGAAAAGTATAAAATTACATTTGCTTCGGTAAAGAGTCGAGATTTCACAGCAATTTTTGTGACCCTTGTGAGACCTGTGGGTTGGAGAGTGTTTGCATGCACTGCTACATGTATCACCGTTTTAACCCTTCTGCTTACAATGTATTCAAAAATATGCAATTTCAATGAAATTACTACCGGAAAAGTGACATTTCTCTTAATTCGTGCACATATAGACCAATGCACGACTTCTTATGAGATTCGTCAAATTCTTCATAGAAAATTAATGTTGCAATTCGTATACGTAATTTGGTTATTTTACTGCCTACTTATTGCAGCAACGTATAAGAGTAATTTAGTTCAACAGTTACAGCAGCCTACGTCAACTGTGTGTGCATCTACTTTTAAAGAATTATTGGAGGATGGCCGCCCAATCGTTGGACTGGGTGGCAAACGACCTGGGGAATATCCCAATTTGAGGCAGATTATTAGAACGGAAGCGGAGAAACTTGCAAATGATAAGGAAGCAGATAAGGCTAATGTTTTACTAGAATTACTAAAAGTCTATGAGTGGTCTGAAGGACGAAAGCCGGATCACATTGTGAAAGGGAAATTCAACATGTTAGAAGATGAAGTCATGTTGAAAGTTATTTTCGCAATTATGAAGAATCGTTATGCAGTTCATCACTACCAAATTGCTAAAGATGTCATTGTTAACAATGAATACTGGGCGGTGAAGTATGGACCGCGGACAAGGCGAATTGTAGAAATCATTGGTCGTTTGGTTAACGGAGGAATAACTGACCACTTCAGGTATTATGACATAAAATACTGCAATTCGTAAAATAATATTGTTCTGAAAACAATCTAAACTTATGAGTATTCGACCAATCTATATCACGCTAATCTAAATACATCCTGTGTGCTTGTATGCATATAATTATCTAGATCTCAACAGGAGCTCATGGAGTACGCTGCCAGTCAAAACGTGTTAAAAGTGTATTTCGCCCAATTTTATGCAGATGCAGATGGGGATCCAGAAAATGATTATCAAGACGAAGATATACACACTGACTCGTTGAAAGAAAAAATGTCTTGGTTTCAACGCATGAAAAGTAATTTGGGAAAGTTTCAGGCAGATTTGTCTGCCGTACCAATTTCTTTAAGTATCCGACACTTTCAAATTATTTGGATACTGCTGGCGACGGGGACATTTGTGTCACTGGCTAGTTTTGCGTATGAATCACTTCATAAAAAAACCAGTAAAAAGTGGTACATATTTTAATTCTCTTATGACAAATCCTTACAACATTTGTGCACTTCACATGCACTTTTAATCACTAAAAGTTTGTATCATTTAACTAAAAGTAAGGCATTTGTACTTATTAATTAAGCATCATCTTTGAGGTCAGCATCCCACAGCATTGGTTCATCCCAAGAACACAGCTTCAGTATGTTGGAACCGATTTTGGAACCCCTTTTACCTGTTCCGCAACTGTAGAATGAATTGGTAATACATTTATTATCGTCCTTTAATGCTGGCTGTCCGGTATGTTTTTCACAAGCAAATTTCCCCTCGATTTTCAATCCACACTCCCACCCCAAGGACATATCTGGATGGATAATCAACATTCAATATTTACAAAGCAACTTTAAAAAATAGTTGACAGTTTTACCCAGTCCTACAATCAGGAAGATAACCAATAGATGTTTCATTCTTTCTTTGTGAAAACAAATTTTTAAAATATTTATGTATCAATGTATATAGTTTTAAACCCATTATTTAAAACATTTGAATGAAATAATCGGGCAAACATAAACTTGTCAACTTTGAATGCCAGTCGATCATGGCTGTGATATCAAAAGTTTTCTTTACAATTGAGAGCCATTATTATAGGTCTATTCATTCAAGTTTATGTCTTTTGTTGAATACATTTCGTCACAAAATTTGTCCATGCACAAATAACTCTAAATAAGTACCTGGATATTTAAGTATGTACATAAATATTATCCTAACATGGGTTCAGCCATTGTTTAGTCAAGTTGAAATGCGTCTGAGTTTGTGCCCAGACATGCTTTGGAACAAAGAAAAATAAAACCCGATTCATAAAATTTATTAAGAGCAATTGACAAGCTACTTAATTTTGCTTTAATAATGTACATACCTCAAACTAGCAAATTCTTTCCGTGGGCACACGGAATCATGAATGAAATTATATTAAACTATGATAAGTATGTGTGATATGATGACGTATGGATGGATGTATGTATAGGTATATATGTACGTGTATGTTTGTACATGCATACATGCGTCTGTAGTTTGAGTTTAAGATAAGTACAGTAAATCATGACTATTCATTTCTTTCATAGTGAATACATGATTTCCTGGATCATGGTCTAAAATGTGGAAAATTTTGTAAATGAGCGGACACAAGTTGACATTTAACCCTTGATGAGTATGTAATGATGTAGCTATTCGATTTCATTCTTATCACGTATATGTATTTAAATCCACATAATCCTGTACAACTGGATCATATGTAAATATGTGAAAATAAAAATTATTTCAAAAGTATACAACGTTTAGTAAAATTGTATTTGCAATCATGGACAGCACGAGTATCATTGGTACTTTTGTAGCGTACCTGTACTTAATAATTACAGAGTTGTATAACTCAGATCAACAAGAATATAGTGCTTTTACAAATTCCACAGTAAATTTAACTGACTTAAATACAAGTGATACCAGCAGTTTTCCTGAAGTGCAATTTGAAAGTATTATCCATTCTACCAGGTAAGTAAATCTAAACTTGAGTCAGACATTAAATATTGAACCGGATTAAGATGATTGCTAATAATTTGAATCAATTTAAATTTAACAGCCTTAGCCCTTTACATGGAAGTTTTGGTGGAACAAACATTACAAAAATAGGCAGACAAAAATTGTCCTTGAATATATTTACAAAGATGAAATGTCCTTCAGGAAAATCGTATTCAATAAAACAATTGGCTTGCATTCCTGTGACGGAAAACATGGATAAATCAACAATTGGATAGTTGGACGCTTAAAATATGTATAAGATAATCCATAAAATAGAATACAATTTTATTTATAAATATTGATTAATACACATATATATTCTTAATTTTCGAGATTGCCAAAGTTGCATGTTGAGTTGTGTTTTATAATTAAAAACTGACACGACATTAGAACTAGATTAATACCAATAATTCCGACGTGTAGTACACATTATGCAGTAACATAGAATACAGCGCATATTAAATAATTATGTGCATAAATTATACATTTACAATTTATGTGGATACAATTTTCAAAAAAACCAAAGCTATAATTAGTGAATGCATAAGAATTGAGTCAACCTTCGTCCGAACTCCACCATTGCTGTTTGGACTTGTTGTTGGAACTGTAGTGGTATTTGGTACTTCATTTGATGTACAGCCATATTTTACTGATCCTATCTGCCAATTAATACCAAAGGTAGCATACGTAAATCCAAATCCCCTGTCCCGCACACCCATCGTGTGGGTTATACAATTTCCGACCCCCACATTCCCACTGGGTTTGTGTTCCCAAGAGTTCGTCCCAGTAAAATAGTACGAACGAGCTGTTCTCGTAGTAAAATTTGCACCAATTTCATCAACAGAAAAAGATGCACCTTGAAGACCAGGTTGTTCGAAAAATGTAATTTTTCTCTCGTTTTGGGCTGAATCGCCGAATCGTGTAATTTCAAGAATGGTATTCTGTCCTAGAGGAACGGGTGAACATGTCGTATTTGTCCCAACTCTTATGATTCGTTCATTGCAGTTGTTTGCAGTGTTGCATAGTTGGATGGCCCACCTGCATGGAGGCAATTAGCGTAATATTATTTCAGGAATTATTTAGAAAATTATCTGTATTGTCGAATTAAACTTACAGGCCGTTTAGTCTATAATACACTGTCGGCGTCGTCTCGGGCAAGGAGTAGACGTTAGTTCCGGATGAATTAGCAAAAGGGGCTCCCTCACAATTTGGAGTTGTCCAAAGGTGTAAAAATTGTGCATGTTGGCTAATGGAATCTTGTATTGTGATTAACAACACAATTGTTAAATACACAAGAGTTCTGAAGTATGACAGCATTTTAGGTGAACAGAGAGAATGGCAAAACGAAGGAGAATCGTCGAAATATTAACTTGCACTAACAATTATTATATAGTTGCTGCATGTTTTTATTAGATGGATTAATGCAATTTTATTACTTCGATCGAATGGAACGGGAAGACCAGAAGCTTTGGTGGCATCCATAATTGGTATGAAGAAGATAAGCCCGTGATACCGGGGAAATTTCAGGCTGGGAATTTATGTAAGGATTATCTTTAAGCTTGTAATTTAATCTTTGCATACACAGTTAACGTGCTGGTTTGGAGTTGTGTGCATACGTATTTATTAAGTAAATACATACCTATTTACATGCTGCATATTGTCTGTGTGACACTTGATGTTAAAAATGCTAAAATCCAATAAATTCATCAACGTCATGATATATTTTAAAAAGTAGTTGCGAGGTGCTGTGGATTTTCCTGGTGGGGTTATAAAATAATAATTAGGGAAATCCTGTAATTTTATTTTGTAATAAAGAGCGAATTTCTACTAGAATGCAAAAGTTTTGCAATGCTATCGAATAACCAGTGATTCAGATCAAATGTGGTCAGAGAGAAATGCCTCCAACGTCTCCGAAATTGGATTCGACATCAGCTTTCAATACGACAAGGCATACTTACATATGTGCTTTTTTAGTTTAAGGAAGATTGGTATTCGATTCGTTAATCTGTAATTTAAAATTTGTGAAGGGATTTTTATTACTAAACTTGGCACAATTATACTTATATCGATATATTCGCTGGTCTCTCTGGTTTTCACGTCATATCGACGTGAAACCCCCTTAAATCAGCGTTTTTTCATGCTATCTCGAGGTACACTTGCTTATTTCAATATTATACATACACTGAATTTGTATACATTTTTGGGGCAAAGCCTAGCATGTGTCCTATAACAAAAGGCAGAACACTTCTCAATTACCACGATAGGTCACATTTTGAGCCTTGTCTTCCCATCTGACGATTCGACTTATCTATTTCTATGTTTGCCTAATGTGACGTCACCATGTCCATTTTGCTTTGAGTTTTTTGACAATACAAATGTGTCATTGGTGTTGGTAGAATGAAAAAAATAATGATAGTTTGAAGTTTTCTTGGTTGTCCTTGGAATGGGTGCTCGTAATGTTCGTTCCATTAAATTTAGGAACAGCAAATGGCCAGACTGGTTATGCTGGCATAAGGCTATTGGGTACAAGAATATACACCCATAAGCATTCCTTCATTGATTTCCCTTATCACGTGAAAATATGCATTCATTGAGGGTATTCATTATTTCTTCGTATCCATCGTATCGTAAAATAGTTTACGAAGAAAAAACAAGGGGTCAAGTTTAGTAAAAATCGTAAGCGTAGTAACGTGATTTTCGATGACAAAATCTTACGACGCTTACAAAATCTCGTAAGCTTCGTAAGTTATTTTAAGATACGAAGAATACTAAGGATACGAAGAAATAATGAATACCCTCATTGACAATAAGGAAATCAAAACCGGTTTTCGAACCTATGTAAACAGTAAAACAACGTCCTATGTAAAAGTATGTGTTAATGGTTGGCAAATTTATACTTGCATATGCACTTTTACATACGTATAATTTTGCATGAGAGGACAATGTTGGAGTTTCGAAACTAGTAATTATGTACTAAACAACTGAAGATGCTAAAAAGTGTCTCCGTTTCGAATTTAACATATTAAGTAAGGATTATTGTTTTCGAGTGGATTCCGAATTATTTCAGCCAACCCATCATTGTAAGTTATAAGTAATCTTATCGATATATATCGACAAATATGTGTGCATGTGTTTCAGGCCACTAGAGACAATGGGAGAGGAGAGGACCAACGGAATTTGGGGGACTCCCTTATTCCGTGTGTTAAGATGGGTTCCAGTGATATTTATGGTTGTAACGATGTTATGGGGCTACTATGTTTTTGTCGTTCAAATTTGTTTGTTTGAAATGGATAGCTTGTGGGGAAAGGTACTACTAATAAAAATCAAAAAATCATTGACCGTATATGAATATTTTACTAATCTGATTGTTAATTTAATATGTATGATTATTAAAGAGCTTCACACTGGTCATCTATCACTTATCATTTATATTTTTTTTCTGGGCCCACTTTAAAACTATGATAACTTACTGCAAACCTGTTCCTCCCGAATTCAAAATTCCTCAAGGTCAGTAAATCTATTCGTTACAGCTAGAGAAGCTCCAAAGCTAAAATATCCACGTGTCCCATTTGATCTGATAACTTTGTTTTGTACGAATAGATATAGTGCATAAGATCAAAACTACAGAGAGTGACGAAGAGATTTCAGAGATTCTACAAAAATTTACACACAGCCGGGTAAATGTAAAATATTTTAAAAATATAGACTTTATCAAAAATATATAATGAAAAAAAACTAATTGAATTTTGTTCACAAAACTAAAGAAATTAACATTAGAAATGCGGTCAATTAAAAATCAAATCCGTTATTGTGAAATATGTTGGATTATTAAACCCGATCGATGTCATCATTGCAATATTTGTGGCCGCTGTTTCTTAAAAAAAGATCATCACTGTCGTAAGAACATGTGCACGATGTAACGCTTTATTTGCATTAAAAAATGGTCAAGTTATAATTGTTTAATTGTTTAATTTTCCAGCCTGGGTGAACAACTGCATAGCCTTTGACAATTACAAATTTTTCGTCTTGTTTGTCAACTATGCTTTCACCTACTGTTTTCTGGTCACATGTTTAGCACTACCGTACTTTATCCAGGCATGGAATGAAGAGATCCGCACTCTTGGCCAACATCAAATAATGTCTGGTTTCTTTGTCGTAGTGATATGGCTGGTTAGAAATCTGGTTTACGTATGAAATACTAAAAAAGTGCATACATCGCAAAAATTGTATCATATTTTTTCAAATTTTAGATCCTAGTGACCCCGTTATATGCTACCCATTTGTACCTTGTTCGCATGAACCGGAGCACAGTCGAGTTCTCGTACCCACCAATATTTACCACTGGTCCGGACAAGAAAGGATTTTCTCTTGGCATTTTTGACAATATAGCGGAAGTTTTTGGGCGTGATAAAAGAAAGTGGGCTTTCCCCATATTTTCTAGTCTAGGAGATGGAATTACTTTTCCCACGAGATACTCAAGATTAAGAAGTACAAATGAAGAGTGTAGTCCAATCTCTGCTAATGTTGATCCTTGATAATGGGTACATAATAAGCATGAATAATTTGGTTACGTTTGGTTCTATAACGTTACGAATTTTAACTACATACAATTCATTGGTTAATTTAGACGTGCCATGACGAATCTATCTGCCGAAATAGTGAAAGAAAACTCGATACATAGTTCAACCGGAGCGCAATTAAAGGTGCATGAAATATGTAGATAACCTAAATATGTTCAGTGAGCAAATATTTTGAACGCACATAGATTTTTTGAAAGCTTATGTATATTCTATTTTATTTACTTACTGTGTCTTCGAGCGGCACATGCAATTACATATGTACACATGTACTTATTGGGATGTGTGACATACATAATATGGTTCTCATAAAATCATGAGCAGGTATCGAGTGGATTATCGACAAAAATGTATTTGGTAAGAAAGACGTTTAGAAAATTCTTCACTAAGGATAAGCAATTTTACATAGTGTGCTCAATAAATTCGAGAATTTTTTCCCGCTTTCATATCACGATAACCAGTTGAGATAAAAATTTATTTGGAATTAAATTAGAAAGGTAATTTTATGAGGAACAACATACTATGAGCAAGTTTTGGTTAGTTGCGTAGTTTTAATGATATCGAACGGGACAAACTGGCGTAGCGTAAAAATAGAACGCATAATAATTTTCACCACAACTACTTGATTTTCAATATTTCATAGTTCCGAGGAATTATGCGATCAAGAGCGTATGGCACCACTAGACATTACCCTTAGGTCCCCTCCCTTACTGACAGAAAAAGATCCGGCGGACCTCGCACAGAAAGGGCAAAAACCATGGGGAAAGCGCCAGAAGTGAGAATTTTGTAAAATCGTCACCGATTTCAAAAGAATTCAAAACTCCAATTGAGTGTGTCAAATAGGATTCTTCAAATGACACTTTTGGAAGACCTTAGGGTTCCCCGAATATGTCGATACATATGCCATATTTTGAAAACCGAGGTGGAGAAGAACGAAGCAATCGGATTCTGAGCTCCTCTTAAGAGGCACGGTAGGGAAAGTTACAAAAATATCATCATTAAAGATGATAGGGTTTCAAACGTCAAAAAAATATACCAGCGACGAAATGGACGGAATTACACGCATCTGGAATCAGACAACCCTAATGCGCAAAGAAGTTTTAAAAAATATTATTATTTTCGGTCTGAGATGACGTGAATTAGAAAAAATCGGGTGGTGAAAGCAGATTCGCACTTTTTACGCCAAAGCGTGACAATACGAAGGGTTACTTACACCGACGAGGTCATAGAGCTGGTAGGTAAACCTCAGAAGTCCATTCTATTCGAAACTGGACGTTTGACCTTCAGTAGGTCTCTATTCTGGCACACGGAGCAAAAATTGTCAATATTGAGCGGCAAAACTATATTGTAGAGTTTTTTTCTTACCAACTACTACATTCCGTGTCACCCGACGTAATTTTTCTGAACTGTGACATATGATTAAAGTTAGGGGCCTGGGTCTACTCTAAATCTCACAAAACTTTGGAGCCCCTGAAACAGTGCTATCAAAAGTTTTGATTTAATATATAGCAAAAACCTATCGTGCCTCAAGGTGTAGATCTGCATGTATAGTTCGGGCTCACAATTTTCTCACAGATGGAAATTTCTCGATGTAACTTCAGTTTCGTATTCCTATATAGTTTAGGCATTCCATGTATATGGAAGTTTGTAAATTTACCAATTCATCAGAGGGAAATTTAAAATAATTCAATTCTCGAAATTATTGAGCACACTATGTATTTCATCACAAAGTCAAATTTAAACCTTTTCAACCAACATCCTAAATATGTACTTATTAAGTAATATAATATTTATAATATTTTTTTAATATAGAATTGTCAAACTATATATTCCTGGCGATGGCGAAAATCTCCTGTTTTTCTGTCTGTTAATTTTTAAGTTATTATGGACATTTTGTGCTTGTGACGTCAAATAAATAAATGTTTGTCATACATACAAATACAAATATATCATTTTATGTTTATGTCATTTTATGTTTTCACTAACAAGGCGAATTAAGATGTGTCCGGTGATATTCTGATTCCGGTTATCCCAATCTGATCTATTTAACTTCTAATTTTGTGGGCAAATTAATGATTCAGTTAACCATATGAAAATCAATGGCTATTACATTTGTGGCACATACATAAAAACCGTGAGAACGTGAAAAAACGTATGACGCACTGACAAGGGAACATACCGAGGTGTCCAACGAGTTAAGGGTCGACACCTATACCAAAATGACCACAATACATGACTTATTAAACAAACTGAAGGAATTTCCGTGTAAAATTCACTTTTCGTCACGTTGTGACGATATTTGTGACGAGCGCATGACTATCGGGTTGCCAGCGGGATAGGTCGACCGCTAAACAATCAGGTCGAACACAGAGAAGCTTCGTCGTCTTCAGAGATTTCAAATTCTTTCAAATTTTGAAAACATTTTGAAATTGTGAAGAAATTTTGAAGAAATTTTGAAAACATTTTTTAATTTTGAAGATATTTTGAAAATATTTTGAAATTTTGAAAAACTTTTTGAAATTTTGAAGAAATTTCGAAATTTCTAAAAAAAATTGAAATTTTTAAAAAGTTTCGAAATTTTGAAGAAATTTTGAAAAAAATTAGAGGTGTGTAAGTTATTTGAAATTTGAAATCTCTGAAGAGGACGTGAAGACGACGACGCTTCTCTGTGGTCGACCTGATCGTTCAGCGGTCGACCTCTCCCTCTCTGGCAACCCGATGGTCATGCGCTCGTCACAAATATCGTCACAACGTGACGAAAAGTGAATTTTACACGGAAATTCCTTCAGTTTGTTTAATAAGTCATGTATTGTGGTCATTTTGGTATAGGTGTCGACCCTTAACTCGTTGGACACCTCGGTATGTTCCCTTGTGAGTCTAATTTAAAAAAGTACGATTACATATGTGAGTATAACGTCAACTAAATAGCTAAATATGTGAATTACTGCTTTCATAACAAGAATGAGACTATATAAATAAATTTGTCAAGTTAAAAGCGCACAGTGTATTAAACTTATGATTTACCTGATATTTCCCATTTAGAGTGGCACGAATTTCTGTAGGATTTCACAATGCTTCTATTGCATAATAGGCTCATAAATACTGATACTCCCCACGGACACCTATACACGGAGTACTAACACGGAAATTAATATCCCAAAAGAAGTTAATCGTGATAATACACAGCGGTTGACTTTTTCCACAAGGCGGACTGACAATTCAGCCGATGGATTAGCTATCCACAAGAATTTATTCCAAAGTATGTAAATTATGTATACATAGCAATACTACAGTTCAATATAAAAGGAAGTTTTGTAATGGAGTTACAGTTACAGTTGAAGTTATATTAAAGGATAATAGGTCCGCTGTCTTGACCAAATTGAAGATCACACAAAAGTGTTGTCTGTCATTTTAGCCCAGCATTTAGAAAAATCAAAAATTATATCAAATTCCATCTTACAAGAAAATTACGTGCATTCTAATCACATTTCAGAAACGCCTATACCATCTCAATTGTTCTATCACATGTCATTTTGAGGTGATTCCACTTGTAAGGACACAATGCTAGGCTCTGGATATATGAAATATCTACGTCATCACATGAGAGTTCTAAACCTTCTCAAGTGCTTTCCCCTCGAATTAAGTCCAGACAAGGAAAGAATAGTCGTTAGCAAAAGTCGGTTAAAGAAGTATGTCACCTTGTTCTCCCCAATATACGAATTATTTTACTTATTCTGTGCATTGAGCGTCGTACAGAGCGACTGGAAGAATAAGTGCATAGGCAAAGCAGCCGAAGGTGCTATGATTGTTAATGTAATTCTTCTAATGATGATATGGAGCTTTGGAATACGTCCCAACACGACGGCGATGTCAGTAATCAATTCTGATCTACATTTTGCAGACAAGTTCAAAGGTAACGATTGAAAATTGTAGCATATCTAAGTACACATTTAATATTTGATTTTCTATATCTCGTTTCTTAAATGGGTCCTTATTTATGTAATCATACGAATATCATAGACATTGACTTGAAGAAGATAAGAACTGACCGATACTTGGAAATGTTCATGATGATTGCATCTATCGTTGCGTTTGCATCGGGGTTCATAAATCTGGGAAGAGTAATTGTAGATCACTGTGCACCTCCCTTCCTGGGTGCATATTTTCTCCAGTGTCCACTGTGTTCAGGCCCAAACCCCACTGTCAACTATGTAACTTGGATTCCAATGCTTACGATGGATTTTTACTTTGTTTTCACCATCTTGCACAAGGGCTTCTTTTATCCAGTTCATATTGTATTCGCCACAACGGGGCGGATGGTGGATTATTTGGAGGTCATAAAAAAGTAGGTCAATATAACATTCTAATTTTATGTTCTGTACTGTGTATATTAAACCTGAAAATATTTACAAAATTTTCTCAGGTCACCGTCTGGTGTGAAGCTCAGCAGATACAGAAGTGTCCAAATTCTGGAAGCACAGATAAATGACTACTCTCGAATCCGCGTCATGCCAGCGTTCATGTCAGGCGTCCCATTTGTCGAGGTATTGAGTTTATTTGTAATTATAAAGTTGCACGACCAAGTCCCACTGCCTGGATTTCTGCTTTTCCCGGAAGGATTCATAACAGCGGCGTCGGCCCTGATCGTCTATGAAACCGTGGCCGCCATCCTAAACACAAAGTCGTTTCAAATTATAGGCACATGGAAGCAACAATTTTGTCGGGGTAAAGTGAAGCGAAGAGAGGTCAGGTCGTTGAGACCGTTGATGGTCAAATTTGGGTCAAATTACATCGACAAAGGGACGCCTCTGGTTACGCAAGACTTTTGCATTAATCAGACTGTGTCAATGTTGCTAATGAAGAGGCAGTCACCAAATGTGGTGAAAGCACGTATCACATCCAGTTAATTATGCGATGATGCATATACGTGTATGCTTACATATCACCCTAAGTTGTACGGGCTAGTGTAATGTTAATTCTTAATCGGAATTCAAAATTTATATATCCTTGCTACGTGTCAGAATATGTAAGTACAACACCAAAATGTGAGTTTGAATGTTGTGTTAGGACTTTAAGAGCTTGTAGTGAATTGTCACGAAGAAGTTGGCGTATTTAAAGTATTTAAAGATCTGATAAAACTGTTGCCTAATTCCAATGACTTGTGTAGAAGTCACTCACTTGAATGAACGGCATGTGTAAATGAAAATGACACATATTTTAACAAAATTCAAAACATCGAAATTTGCTACTGTGCACATTATTATTGAGCTTATGTAGATTTTTATAAAAATAGTTGATACAAAGTTTCAGGTAATATGTAAGTCTTGAGCCATTTTAATCCACGATTCGATTTCAGAATTTAACATAATAGTTAGAGTTAATATTATGTTAAAGAGTTAATATTTAGAGCAAATACCGATAAAGAATAAGTAGGTATGTACATAAATCTAACATTGTTCTAAATCTTTCAGTTTCGTTTTATGTAGTATGTATGTGCTATACATGTCCATAGGTACCGAAAATTAAGTAAATTACAGTGATTAAAACAATAAGGTGAGGTGATGCTACATAGATATTACTTACATACAGGGAGAAAGAGATGCATTAAATCTTCTTATGGAGTACTTACTTACTTATAAATATGTGCATACTTGTATTGATTAAATACATGTGCGTGTAATGGTTTACAACATTGGAAGCTCAAAGATGCACTCCACGCCTTTCTCTCGTAGTTCGATCAAACCTGGTAGTTATCCCATTTGCAATTTAATCAAGCAAAAGTGAATAAATGCAGTGAAATTAAGAGTTTTGAGTACAATTTTAAATGCAATTTAACAAAATTGAAAGCCACTAATAAGCTAAAAGAAGATCAAATGCAAACTTCTAAAATTTTCTACTTTTAAAAACTTTCCAATTCATTAATCTTTGAAATAATTCAATCACACTACGCAACAAATCCATCCATTTATGAATTTCAGGTGATGCCCTTGAAAAATTATACCTAGTCAAAGATTCAGTATTCAGTGAACAGTTGACTAGAATTGAACCACAAATTGTGCATTAATAATACAAAAAAACTCAAAATCCTGAGAATGGGAGCTTTACTAGCAATAATCCTCACATTAAATGTAGTTCTGTTTGCCACAATTCTGCAACCTTATGTTTTTAATAATAAACGAATCGGGGGTGGTAAACCTTCCTTACTTTTGGGGTCACTGGGTTCCGTGGACGAGGACTCGAAGGAGGAAAAACATTCGAACCTCCTCCTCCCTCCGGGTAGCAGTAAACCACCAGGAATAAATGGTGAAATCGTGGCTGGAGTTTACGGGAGTGGTGTGTCGCATATCGTTGTTGGACATTTGCTCATGGCTTGGATTTACGCAATCGCTCCAGGATTAGGAGTTCTCTTGGCACTTTTCACCCTGTTAGTGAACACGGACTTTTCCTATCTACAAGACCCCGACCCCTACAACTTGCAAAGCCTTCAGCACGAACTGGATCCATTATTGCCACCGTCACTTCTTGACCAGAAATATGGACATGATTACTTTGATGGAGTACACGGAGCTTCTACACATGTCGTTGAACAATTTGTGAAACCTGGGAACACAAATGACAGATCCAATACGGTGGAGAATAGCAGTGTCCAGAAAAAGATAGATGTACTTAGAAAAGTTGCAGTTTTTAGTAAAGATATCATAAGTTAAAATAGTAATATAAGCCATTATCTTATCTTTGGATATGATATAATTGTAATAGCATTCTAAATACTTTTGTAGGCAAAGGCTATAGATGACGAAAAATATTAATAAATATTTATTATGTAAATACATACATATATCTATTTACTAATGTATTGGAAAAATCTAAAAAATATATTTTGAAAACCCAATGATGAACGTAGTTTATTTTTATTATGTTGCGTCATGTATAGCTAAATACATAATTTTGTATGGGGAATATCATGTCAGACATACATACGTATCTATGTATGCAAGGTACAATAATTAATGATTATAGTTAATTGCCGATTTCTTCAGATTCAGCTTTTTTGTACCAATTAATAAAACACTATTTGATTTGATTCTGTTTTCTTCATATTTCTACTCATGTAAGTTTGTACTTGTTGTTGCGAGTCTACGTATGTACATACACATGTACATAAATACTTAGATACATATGTACATGCATCAGGACTTTAGTACGGTGTATATTCGTAACTCCAGAGGAAATTAGGTTACTTTAGTGGCATCAGGCGAAATAGAATCTCATACGCAGCAAATAATTTATAAATAATTTTAGTAGAATTACAATTTTAAACTCAAGTCAAGCACGTACTACACGTACAATTAGCCTCCGTGATTGTTTAGAAATTAATAAAATGGGTTTATGCACCTTGGGCAAGATTCATCATAAATTCTTATATAAAAGACGACAAATTGCATAACATCAACAATGTGTTACACATTTGAACAAAAGTCTGCGTATATATGTAAATGCAGAGGGATTTGGCAGTGTTGATTTAAAAAATGAAAATAACATCAACTTTCTCAATTTTTGTTGCGATTCTTACTTTTGTGACTTCACGAAAGGTAAATTAGTTGGTCACAGTGAGCCTAAGATTCAAAATTTATTTTCAAATGCTCTTTTCCTGCACGTAGACTGGTAACAAGGACAATGGCAAACATCTCTCACTCGGAGGTAGCAAGGGTTGTCCGTCGACGTTACCATCTGGTCCTCTTGTCGCGGATAACCACTCTTTGCAAGAACTCTACCAAGCTGCTCTTGCTGAAGGAGGAAAACTAATTGTATACGCTGGAGGTGACTCCCCAGCCCAGCAAACCGGAGCAAAGACATCATTTGAAGCAAGATTCCCTGGAATGTCTGTCGAAATGATTGTTGACTTGAGCAAGGTTCAAAAAATTAACGAATTCATTTACCATTTTTTCACAATAAGTTTCCTCAAAAATGAATTCGTAAATTTGGAAGGTTCACGACGCCCGTGTGGACAATCAACTTGCAATCGGAAATCTGATTCCTGACGTTGTCCAGCTCCAAACCCTGCAAGATTTTGATCGATGGAAGGCACAAGGTGTTCTTCATCCTTACAAACCGATCGGATGGGATCAAGTCTACCCAGAGTTTAAGTTAGTCAAAACCTAGTCTGCAACTTTGCTTACAATTTTTCTTTATAACTCGATTAGCGAATTTCAAAATATCCTATTGAGTTTGTAATTTTTGTCACAATACACTCATCCGAAGTCAAAATAAAGTGTATGACTCTGTTTTAATTCAGAGACCCGGACGGCTACTCAACTGGAGTTCATATCTGGGCCTTCTCCAATAACATAAATCGGGACTTACTTGGAAACAATGAAAACAACTGGCCTACCGAAGCGAGCGACTACCTGGATCCTAAATTTAAAGGGAAAATAATATCAACTTATCCTAACGACGATGATGCCGTGCTGTTCATGTACAAACTGATAATTGACAAGTACGGGTGGAATTGGCTTGCAAAATTCGTAAAGAATCGTCCAGTTTTCGTAAGATCGACCCAAGTCCCTGCTGATTCCTTGAGAAATGGTACTTTTCCAGCATCATTCACGACCGCTGGACCACTTCGACCTGAGGTAACACGCCCAGTTCAATTTGTCCTCCCACAGTCAGACCCATTCGTTACTTGGGCGCAAAGGGCAGCTATTCTCAAAGGAACGCGGAGATTGGCAGCAGCAAAACTTTACCTGAGTTGGTGGCTGGATGTAGATACGCAAAATGATTGGTTTCAGTGGAGTGTCCGGAAAGATGTTCCTGTTCCCAAGGGATTTAAAAGTGTTTTTGAGTATCCTGGTCAGACTGATCCGGTTGCATTCGAGAAATTTATGGCGGATCGGACTGCTTTGGAGATATTTAAGAATCAGGTGCAGCTCTACGTTGGAGAGGTTCAGGGAATTCTTCCTACTGGGGATTTGAGCATTCTTCAGGATAAAATGTTACCAGCCGCCTTTGCATGAACATAAATAGTTACAATGTAATCTTTATAAATATTCATTATACTTCTTAATCTTTATAAATTCTGCATTAGAATACACGTTTTTAAAATCCTCCAAGTCTTCAAGTACTAATTTTTTCACCATTGGATGTAATGAATCATGTCGAAACTGTATGAAATAAATTATTACGAAAGCATAACTTGTAAATATTTATTCAGATTATTGTAAGTATTCTGTTTTTTTAAAAAAGATCAATCGTAACATTCGGAATGAGAGGGCGACAAATATATGCATACATTTACATATGGACACATGTACATATTTACATATGTGAGGAATTATCTAAACCCACAGGTAAGACTTGATTATTACTTAATTAAGATTCTCATGTGTACATATCTATTTTTTAGTTTTATTCGCAATTAAGCTTCGTAGTTGAAATGAGGTGTCTCAGTCACACTCAAAGCCCATCTTAAAAATATACACATATTTCAGCTTACACACAATTTTATGAAACTTTCAAATTGGTATATGTATAGCAAGCACCTTACCTTCAAATTATTGTCACCATCTCCCCCGTATTTTTTCGGGAATTGACTAAACGCTACCATTGCGCCAATCTCCTTTCTCCAAACAGCCGGGTCTGAACCAAGAACCGTTATCTTGCTAAAAGTGTTCTTATCCAAAACATGATGCAGAATTTTGTAGCATAGACGGAACGCTGTAGGGGCTACAAGTACAAGATACCAGAGTGGATAAAATTATTCATTTTTTTACATTTACGTATAATGAATAGCATTTAATTGGTGTATTTACCATTAATCACAAATCCCATTCGTAACATTTCCGGATAATTCTGTTCAGAAATTCGACAAACCTGAATAACTAACTGGGTTGCTTCATAGGAAGTAACTTGGGAGAAAGAAAGACCGGCCATGTCAATAATGAGGACTGCTTGACCCATAATTGGTTTCCCCAAAGATTTACGTTGACAACATCTCCAAATCAGTTCCATCCGTTTAATGGAAGATTTTTTACAAAGAGACATTTCACCTCTCGAAATTGCACCTCGAATGTCATAGCGTCCACATAGAAAACAAAACACTACATGCATGCACAAATTCACTCATTTTCTTTCTGCTTTACCATATAGTTGTCTAAAATTTCATATCGCTATAATACCTGGATTTCCGTCCTTGTCATTGCCGAAGAAGTACCAGGGAAAGTTGTTTGCATAACTATCTGGATCCCCTTCTAGTACGAGCAGGTCAAGATTCATCGCTCGGATCCATAATTGATTCTAAAAAGTTTTAGGCTTTAAATAAGTGGCATAAATAATTTTGGTGGTAGTTATATTAGAGTAAAGGGCCTGTGGGTCCGGTACCTGTCGTATCATTGCCTCAGCTGCATCCAAGCTGTGGTTTCGAGCTTGAAATATTTTCAGAATGAATATCACATTAATTATGCAAATACGAAAGTTAAACAATCGCACTGTTTAATTTTATGGATTGTCCGGTGAAAGATAGTGTCAAGGTTCCCCTTATTTTTTCAATCACTTAAAAACCAATTTTGGATAAGTAAAAGAGCACCAAGTAGCAAAGTAGCAAAGTAGCAAATTTGATAAGCTTTCTAAAACTGAAAACAGAATTTGATTATCTCTTTTGGTTAAAAAATGACAGCACAAAATTTAGAGGAAGTGGAAAAATTAGTTTGCCACTCGTGCGAAAAAGTGATTTTTTCGGATCGGAAAAAGGCTCGTGACCACTTTATCCGTCAAGGAATGCACCCGGCAAAATTCATCACACACTATACATATCTAAGGGTCGTGAAAATGCAAAATATAAAATTTGGCCTTGTCGACCTGTCCGCCAGAGGACCAAAATACTGACGAGAATCGTGAAAAAGTTTTTCGGAAAAAATCCTAACAGATCCATGAGGGTTGCGCCCAGACAACTAAAAATTTCAAAAACCTAACGCCCCAAACTCAATAAGATGGGCTTCAAAACTTGCAACACTAAAACCGCGCCAAAATACAACGAACATAAAAAAGACGTAGCTAAAACAATTTTTGGAAAACTTGTTGAGAAAATGTGAAAACCTCGAATCGTCAATCCTGTAAAGTTTTACTCATGTAGAAGTAAAAATGACGTTTGTTCGAAATATAAATTCAAAACCAAGCAAAATTTCCAATGAAATGCATAAAATGGCCTGGGATCGACAAAAATGGTAACCTCTCAAATCCATTCGCTGCCACCAAGATTATGAACTTTGAACTTTATTTGAAAGAGTGTGTCATCAAGCGATAGACCCCCTCTTTCAAAAACAAACGCGTTTTGTTTTGGCCGAACATCTGTACGTGCCATAGCACCAAAATAGTGACAGAGTATTTTCGAGGAAAAAAAGTTGATTTCATCGATAAGAAAGACAGCAACCCAAAAATACCTCAATGTCGACAAAAGATTTGAAAAGAAATGAAAGATTTGAGGCATAAATTAAGAAATAATGCTCTCATAAAAAAAGGCCACCAAAAAATTTCAAAAAATTTCGGCGGGTTATGGAGAAATTCGTCATATGCGTCAGTGGCAAAGCGCTCGCGAGGGGTCCTCGACAAAGTTGTCTCTCCACCGGTACGGAAGGGGTATCTGAACGACTGAAGGGTTGAAAAACTTTGGTATGTTCATCGTTCGCATTCCACCAAAGTTTCGTTAGATTTGATTCATGCATTCATTTGCTGCAGGTCAAAATAGCTTGACACTTAACTTCACCGGACAGTCCATAGATGCGTAATTAATGTGTGTTCGTCATACTTATAAAATTTCGTATTTATGTAGTGTTATATGTTTGCAGTCTATGTGATGTTCATATGTATATACGTAGCACTTACCTCTTAGCCATCTTACTAAACATTTGTCCTCTTCTTGTACTTGAGGTAAATTCAGGTCTGAAATTCGTCTCCTTAACTGATAATAAATTTAAATCAAGAATGATAGCACGATAGCATGATAGCACCATTGAAAAAATAAAAATAGGAAATTTCTAACCGCTTACATTTGTTAGTAAATCTACTTCCTTGAAAGTTATTTGCTGCATTTCAATTTTTTTTCGTTGAAGGATTTACGAACAAAATAATTCTATATGCAAAAGTGAGAATATATGTATATGCATTTAGCTTCACTCGTGCCAAGCTAAGATTAGCATGTGGCAAAGGAAATTGATATGCACTAAAGTTTAGTCTTGTGACCCCGCAAGGCGATAAAATGGTTATCATAATTTGTCATAATGTGCTGCAGCATCTCCTTCAACTTGATGCAAGTTCAATGACTGAAAGAAGTTGTTCATTTCACTTATATATTTACATCTATGGAGATTTTCTAGCTGGATAATAAGTCCAGTAATGTACTTAAATGATCCTAGGCTAAAATGTAAATATACATGAATGTGGTACTTATGATCCCACGTGGACAAAGAATTATTTCTAATTTCGCCCGACCCCTCCCCCCGCATGCGTATACACATATGTAAGTATGCACATAAATACAAGAAAGCGGTACTCCCGTTTGTTTCAGTATTTCGCTTTCACCAGAGTTAAAAATCTAACGTATCGCTATTTTGAAATTCGAAGACACGATTCCAAATTTTATGCATTCACACTTATGTAAATATGTATGTATATAAATACATGCATGCACATACTAACATACATACATATGCGTGTATGTACGTATGTACCTGATATTGAAACTGACCTTGGATATATTTGCATATTTATTTGTACTGGAATAAAAAAAATATTCTATTCCTCGTGAATTGTGCAACATTAGGACGCATTTCTGAATATGTATGAATACATAAATCTACTCACAAAGTGTGAGCTCAGATTTAATTTTCGCTTAATTGCAATATTCTGTTACTTCGTAGTAAATACATATGTAGAAATTTTTATTATTCTAATCACAATAACAAAATTACATAAATTATTATATTATTATTACACAAACTGCTAATTATTATGTGCCCCCAAACCCATTTAATCACCAATGGGATTGACCCGTAAGCTTGTCCTATTCTGGCGCCCACCACTCCCAAAATATTGAATTATACAATTACTGACAATATCCTACTTGGTACTTTCGTTCCTTTTGAACCCTATTCCACTCTTGTGATTGGCAATACCTTCGAAATTCATAGATTGCGTCCTCATCTTCATAGTACACTTGCGGATATGACGTATCTTGTGGGTGCGGATGCTCACATGGGAGCGGCATTACTGAAGACGCGGCCGCCATGGATTTCCCAAAACTACGAAATCCTTTCTTAAACCTGCGACTGATTGGGCCATCCTTGCTGAGGACGGCAATTTGATTTCTTTTTATACTGTTTCTCGACTCCTGGGGTGTTGAATTGTGATTGTAGGAATCAGTAAAAGTAATCTCTTTGCCCACATTATTTTTTCTTCTGACAATTTTCCTGAAGGAGCGTGTAATCCAACCACCAGTCAAAGTGATGGAACGGTTGGCACCAATGGATTTGGTTTCCTCAATATTATCGTAAAACTTGGGATCTTGCTTGTCCACTTCGCTTTGCTTCCTCCTTAAAATCCTGTTGTAAAGTCGTCTTCCAGAACGGCGGAGCGTTGACTCTTTTGGGAGGTGGAAGTGATACTATAATGAAACAATTGTTTACAAAAAATTCTGAAATATAATACATCATGCAATCAAATGGTGACAAGCATACTCTGTTTTCTTCCATCTCTGGTAAGGTTAAAGTCAAATTCGCGGAAACAATATTTGCCTCCATCGCTTCGATAAACGTCTTTGTGTCCACTTCAACTGGAGCTTGGGCTTCAAGAGTGCATTCAGTGATCGTCGTATCACTTGTTTCCTGCGTGTCTTGACCTTTGTTAAAATCATGTTCAAAACATTCCCATCGAGGTTCAAATTCATTTGGATCCGAGAACGAATGTGTTGACTCGGTGTTTGCCACAACCCACCATTTGTCGTCACATTCATCTTCTCTGGGATAATATTCGATGCCATTGCTTTCATTTTTGATAGCTGAAGTTGTGTCTGCGAATCCATTAACATCAAGGGATGGATTATAGTTCAAACTATTATGCAGCGTGTACTGGTTCATCAGTCCAATTGTGGCATTGATTTCCTCCACCACACCAGCCAGATTCTCTTCAATGAGAAATTCAGGAATACGATTTTCTTCTAATGTGGTGTGTATTGCAGCGTTCTTTCTACTTCGGGATGACCAGGTCCGTTTAAGAAGGGAGGGTTTCTTGACATTTTGCAAAGTTTGTACCGACGAAAGGACAATTTTGGCAGGTAGGGGGATCACGTAGTTTTCGGATTTGTGTGAGTCTAGCTGGCTGCCTACGGTACGCACATAATAAATTATGCTTATAGTTATTCGCAATAATTTGCGTATCTTTGGTTAAACTTGTCCATTACCTTGACCAAATTTTCCTAGTTGTCCAACCTGAGCAAGTGTCACTTCTGTTTTGGGAGTGAGGTCGTTTTCATGGTCTACCAATTCCCACTGGCTTTGACCAGCTTCTCCGACAAAGGGTCGTTTGTTCTTAACAGTGCTTCTAAACGAACCAAATAACCTGTTAAGATGTCGCTTTACATGCATTTTTAAGAACTATTATTTAAAAATGGACTCTGGCGATTAAAGCAATTCAGCCAGCCAGCTTGGCAATTTGTGTTACCAAGAAGAAAAGACAATTGGAGCAGAAGAGCAGGTGATACTGCGATGGAATTCAGGGGTTTGATATGCAGTTTTATCACCTTTCGGTGTAGATCATTAAGAGAGGATGTCAATTTGTGTGGAATAGTCCTTGTGTTGTACAAGTATTTTTATGATGAGTTGGATCCAGTACTTTTGCATGAATTCATGGATTGTCCTCTCCACCGATAAGATAACTTTTTATTATTCCATGATCATTCTTACCCGTAACCAGAGGTTGAGGCTGTGTTGAGGTTGCAAATATTTGAAGAGCTCGAGGTTGAGTAATTAAATGGAGAACATGAGATTCAGGTTAATAATGACTCATCAAACGATATTAAAGGTTATAACTAGCATTGTACGTAATAAAATTTTAAATAATTTATCTGCTGATGCGTTTGTTAGCGTAACTGCGTGTCCGATGATTATTGACTCAAAGAACAGATTTTAGGTAGGAAGAACAACAAGTAAATCATCGTGACAAATTATAAAGGGTGACGTTGTTACAGTCAATGGAAAAAGTATTGGCAACCCCCACGCCAGCTAAATAAAATTGGCTGTAGCCATGGAATGCATTATACAATTGGCATGAAAATTTGTACGCATTTAGCAAATATAATGTAGTTTTCGATTATAATCATGTTTTATTGATTAAAATTAGATTAACACAGTTTTTAAACAATTTGTTGGAAAATTTGCAAAATTAACCCGCAAAAAGTATTGGCAACCCTTAACTTAAAAAATTATAAATCAATAAAACGCAAATTTTATTGCGACAAACTGCTTCTAGTAATACATATCACCTCCCCTCGACACAATAAGAGCAGAAATACGCATTGTAATTGATTGGAAAAATCTTTTTATAACGCTTTTTAACATGTCTGCCTAATCTTCGTTTGAAATTTTGTCCAGCTCGTTTTTTGACGAGTGGTTTTCCATCAGTCTCTCCTTTCTCAACCCAGACAATCAGATTCACATCGGTAGACTGTGCAACCAACGAGAGAAGCTTAACCTCGTAGATCCCCAAAAACTTGCATTGCTAATTTGGCTACATGTTTGGGGTCACTGCATTTTTGGAACATTAAATTCCTTCCTAGGTCAGGTTTTTGCAAAATAATTTCAAATTATCGCTTGGAATGATTATTTAGACCTCATTGGTCATAACTTCATCGATAATGACCAGCTAACTACGCAACGACCTAGTCATTCAACCCCAAACCATAATCGATCCTATTCCGAGCTTGACTCCCAGACGGCAGCATTCATTTTTGAGGGCCTCATTTTGCATCCTCCAAACTCTAACCATCGAACCCGCACCGAATAAGTTAAATTTACTTATGTGAGACCACTAGACCCTTCTTCATCCGTTGGAAGTGTATTTAGGGTGGTATTTAGCTGATTTAAATACCTTGAGTTGGTTCGTTTCGGGGGCCTTCTCTTCTATGGGGCTACTGGACCCTAAAACCCCTTGGTAGGATTTTTGATTGATCACCATATTGTATGAAATATTGACTCCACAGTTGGTTCTCAAATTCTAATTGGTTTTGGATGTTGAAATCTTCCGATTTCAAGTAATTTGTTGCTTGATTCATCATTTACCTTTGGGCGAAGGTGACTTTTTTCTTCCGCAACCATGGAAAAGCAGAAACTAAAATTGCCATTTTATATTTCTTGGCTACATTTCCAATAGTAAATATGAAAAAGTATGTTTTCCATTGATTTTTAGATATCCAGGTTTTTTTTGCGAAAAATAAATGAATATTTCTCGCCGCGCCAAATATAACTCGTTTGGTGTCGCCATTTTGGTTCCAGACAACACAACTGCTGACTTAAAATGTAGCTATCGTCATATTTTGTCACCTAATTAACTTACCGTAATGAAATGGGGTAGGTGATTAAGAATATTGTTCCGCGTAATTAATTTGGCCACATGTTGCCAATACTTTTTGCGGGTTAATTTTGCAAATTTTCCAACAAATTATTTAAAAACTGTGTTAATCTAATTTTAATCAATAAAACATGATTATAATCGAAAACTACATTATATTTGCTAAATGCGAACATATTTTCACGCCAATTGTATAATGCACTCCAAGGCTACAGCCAATTTTATTTAGCTGGCGTGGGGGTTGCCAATACTTTTTCCATTGACTGTAAGATAAGTTCATGACTAAGTCATATAAAATATATGTCCATGGATAAAAATAGTTATTCATAATCATAGATAAGTTACATGGGTTAATTTCTGATGTTAATGTACAAAATTTAACGTTAAGAAAATCCTGTGAAAACTTGTTCTCTGTATGTTTCTACATTATGGTTGTTCTTAAACCTAATTTTTGCCCTGCCAAATCTGGTTATGGTTCAACCATAACCAGATTTCCAGTACCAGTTTGTTCTAAATAAGGGATATAATTGTACGAGTGACGAGTATGCAACCCTGAAAAGTAAAAGAGTCGAATAATTGTAACGTAAAATTAGCACTATTTCACCAACATGTTAATTACTTGATCCTATTCAGGAAGAATGTGCAAACAGCTAAACCTCGCATCTATCTCTCAGTAGTGCAAAAACTTTTTTCCAGCAGCTCAGGCGATTCTTCTTATTCAAAAAGCAATTTTCTGTTGTTTTTTATATTTATTTTCAAGCATAATGGCAAAGAAAGGAATCCAGCTTGAAGAGCAAAATGGGGGAGAAAATAAAGGTTACAGCAAAAGCTCGACATCGGGGGAATCGTCAACACGTTTGATAACATTTCTTGGAAGGACGCCAATTTCATGGGGTAATATTTTGATGAACAAATTTAATCATATTGTAATTCGTATTGTAATTTGTTATCGTACAATATAAGAATTTTGAAGATCTTGCGCATTTTTGTGGTTACTTACTTAATTATTAAACTGATTACATATTCATAAATTAGCACCCTTGGCCTGGGTATAGAAACCTATTGTAATTCAAGGAGATATTGGATATATATCTGTACATACATACAATAGAACATTCATACATGTACTTACTTATGCAATCGACCAATCTGAAGTTCTGAATTCCGGATAAAAACATTATGATCGTAGTATTTTTTACGAAAAATCTTCTTGTGAATATTCATATGTAATCGTTGAATTAAAGTTATTAATTATTTATTCAGCCATTTTTGAATTAATTTTACTGTTATTTTCTCTCAGTGAAAGTGATCATCTATTATTTCTGCTACTATTCCACCCTCATCACATTTTTGGGTTTAAACTATTATGCCTTCACCAAAACCATGAGTACCACCAGCCCCACGTGGATAATGGAGCAAGGTTTAATCGGGTCAAATCCAGGATTATCTATCCGACCCAGGACTGGAGCGGATGATGATGAACAAGGCGACGGACTTTCTATTCTGATCTCATACCGCGTCAACCATCACGCCCACGCTGAAATCATGGCCAAGCAGCTCGATGAAGCAATAAAAGGCATGACAAAATACAATAAATATTAAATAACGAGTAGTAAAATTTTAGGACTTTACTTTAAAAAAAATAATATTTAATTACGTAGAGACACAAGTCGCACCTAAAACACCAGGGGTCGTAGATTGTTCATCTCCAGCAGGTTCCAAATTAACCACTTCAGCTTCTACTGTGTGTGCCGTTTCTCTTCAAAATCTTGGAAATTGTACAATGCAAAACAAATATGGATATGGAAATGATACTCCGTGCGTTCTTGTAAAATTGAACAGAATTTACGGCTGGATTCCGGAACCGTTTGGTCTCCAAGAAGGAAAATTTCTTTCCCATGATTTTCTTCAAACTGAATTAGAGCAAAAAGAGGAAATGCCACAAGAACTCAAACAATTTATCCTTAACGAGGTGAAAAATAATAAAGGCAATGAGACTCAAGTGCTGAATAAGGTCTGGATTTCATGTGGCGAAGAGAATACAACGACCAATTCTGCTACTGGTAAATTGCCACATAGCGGCGTGTCATACTATCCGGAAAGAGGAATTCCAACCAACTATTTCCCTTTTCTGAGTCAGCCAAATTATAAAAGCCCATTTGTAATGGTACAGTTTCAAGTTCCTCGTATATCCCGTAAGTTTTGCATCAATCTTTAGACGTGGTTGAAGAGTAAATTATTTACGATGCGCATATTTCGATAGGTCACACTGTCATACAAATGGAATGCCGAGCCTGGGCTAAAAATATTCATCACGAAGGAAATCTCATCAATGGACTTGGAACCGTGAAATTTGGGTTGCTGATTAACTGATTACTAAATAATACTTATAAATTTAGCTGAATTTATGTAGTATGGGGTCGGGTACAACTAGGCACCTTGTTTACATAAAATGAAATTATGTAAAAGCTAAATATTTCAGTATGAGGTCAATAAATGCAATAAAGTGCTAATAACAAGTTTCAAGGTTATGGTCACATTACGATTGTGATGAATCAAAAAGTTTAAAATAATTTTAAGTTAAAAATAATTTTTTGAATGTCATGATAAAAATGTTACCACCAGAAATTGATACACGAAATATGCTCCAAAGCACTTTATTAATGATTTTTATTAGTCTAGGGTCGGTGTATGATAATATTGTCGAGACATAAAATTATATGTGTAATAAATAAATAGTATTTACATTTACAATGTCGCATTTTCCAGTAAGGTGCTCGGAGTTTTGAAAATACCTGATTGGCAACTTCAGGTATTAACCACGTAATACAAGTTGCGTAACCAGTTGAGTTACATGTTTTTGATTTTGGTAGTCTGAGTTTTTGAATTTTTAAATGTCCCATCCCAACATCATTGAATGACTTGACCTATTCTCTCTACGCAATAATCACCCTTTAGAGAAGGAAGTGTAGCCATTGTGGAAAATTAGAGCAGTTTTATGTACTACAAAAAGAGTCAGGTTGATGGTGCATACTTACATATTTAACGGGAGGTCCAACAATATCCTAACCTGTTTTTGAATATGGCTCAATTAAAAGATGAAGCCGGTTCTCATCTGCACACCGGTTCATTATTATTGCCAGAATGTCAAAACTGGGACCAAGTCAGTATAACTTTGTGAATCAATGTGAATCATCAATCAGCTCACCCAAAATAAAGCATGCATTGGGTACACATTTTGGTAAAAAGTTTGGATTGTATTGAAAAAGTATTTCGTTTCTAAATTACATTTTGTTTTGGTTTAGTGTGCATCAGTTTTCATAGGGCTAGCACATCCGGTCATTGTCCGTGGAGAAGGAGACGTGCCCAAAAGTGATGTCCTAACCAAACGTCAGGATTCCGAAGACGATGAAGCTAGTCAAGAAGAAAAGGATCGCGAATTGAATGAAATTGTTGACGGCAAATCACATTATGACGGTAATTTTGTTTTCATTAATTGATGTTAGCAGCGATACAATTCGTACTTATGTACATGTGTAATGACGCTATGGATGATTTCGTTCCGTTAGACGTGGACGAGGACCCTTCTGAAATGACACGGGAAGAACTAGCAGCAAAGATTGGACAAGCTCGTAATGAATTTGCAAGAATACCATCCGCTTCTTCGATAGGGTGGGATACTTTTCCTCCCCTTCCAAATATTGGTCCTCCTCAAATTCCTGGAATGCAAATGCAAATGCAACCCCGACCACCTGGACAGGTAAATAATTTGAATTGCATATACAGATAGGACGTGGTCCATAAATGATGCCAGGGAAAGATCAGTATTTTTCATACCTCTTATCAACATTTAGCATTTGGTGCAAATGAAGTTGTCACGATATGCTCTTCCCATCTCTTCCGCGATATCATTTATGAATCACCTCTAATTGTGTGTTCATTAATTCCAATATTTGAGGTACTTATACGTTGGTATGAATATTACTAGACGGGTTCGGCATGTTGCGGTTCGAAACCAAAACCTCCATCAAATGGATGGCAACCTCCAAACAACGGCTGGCGACCACCCCAACCATCAAACAACAACGGATGGCAGCCGCCACAACCGCCAAACAACAATGGATGGCAAAACCCAACTAATGGCTGGCGACCTCCAAACAACGGTTGGCTACCCCAACAACCGCCAAACAACAATGGATGGCGACCACCACAACCGCCAAACAATGGATGGCTACCCCAACAACCACCAAACAACAATGGATGGCGACCTCCAAACAACGGCTGGCTACCTCAACAACCGCCAAACAACAATGGCTGGCGACCTTCGCAACCGCCGGCAAACAACGGCTGGCTACCTCAACAACCACCAAACAACAACGGATGGCAACCACCAACCAGTGGATGGAACCCTCCTCAAAACAACCCACCTTATCAACCACCGTATCAGCCTCCATCAGGATTTCCACCAGGCTATCCTTCGCTTTACCCAAACCCACCATCAGACTACTATCGTCCACCCCAACCTCAAGGGCCTGGTAATAATTATCCACCCAGCTATCCCCCAAATCCTTTCTACCCTCCTCCAGACTTCCAAGGTGGAAATTACGGCTTCCCCCCGTCTTTCGGGTTTTACCCTCCATACAATCCTTTTGGTCCTACATTCCCTTACAATCCAAGCTCAAGATCAATTTCCACAAGCCCTCTCTATCCCAACCCCCCATTCAACGACGGTGGAAGTATCCTCGGCAACGTCATTTCTGGTCTACTGCCCTTCCGAAGGAAAGGAGGATGGGACGACACTAGTGACGACCACAGTGACATGAGTACAAGTCAGTCCAACATGAGTTGGTTACAAACAATCCTTGGTCAGCAAAGACTTAGAAAATCTATCCGAACTCCAAAAATGGATACATTCCTATTTCCGAGTGAATTGCCATTAAAACAGACAAAGATTACCTGAGTGAAATTAAACTATAGGGGTATTAATTTGGGTATTTTGGTCAAGGGTAAAATGGGTTTTCTAGTTAGTCAGAAAAGTGTACAGCAAATATTGTTTCTAGATAGTTTAAGTTACGACACATTTTATAAATAAAGTGAAAATTATTATGGATATCGCAAGCACTCGTATATTGAGAGAAAATAATTTATGATTAAACAGTCCGTTTCCAAATTTTCAAAGCACAATTACAGTCTCATTTAACCGTAATGGTTTCTCAATTTATAGGCAATTTCATCTTCAGTGGTAGCATAGCAGAACTGCAGAAAGTTCTAACCCGTGGGGTTTGTCGATCTGCAAAATTTTTGTTACAGACAAATAAACGCGCCTGAGCATTTAAAAATGATATAATTACACTTGAAAATGCCGATAAAAAACAGGTTAAACCAGCCAGAGTTCGAAAAACTCCCTCGTACAGAAATGGGGTTTTGTTCGTTGACCCATTTCTACAAGTCAATATATCTTCACCTTATTTTTCAATAAAATAAACAAAAAAAACTATTAAAAAAACTGGTTTTACATTAGCATCCGTTATGTCATACTTTTACACAATTCAAAAAATTCAGTTCTTGAAAATCTTGTATGATATGCACACACATACATACGAGTACATATATCCATAAATGCCGAAATATTAACCAATGCAAGAATATAATAAATGTAATGTAATGTCTATTCAACGTAAAGGTGTTCTAAAGCTATTATGTAAATATGGATGTATGTGCTATGAATATATACATGTATATATGTATTAAACATGTATACACAATGCACATATGTAATACTGCATACCATCAAAAAAGTGAAGCATTTTTTACTGCTTCAATGGTATAATAAGTCCGGATTTAGCATTGTTCAGACTAAAAACGAATAATAGGCATTATTCTCAAATTTTGAAGGACAATCATCCGTGACGTTGTTGTAAACTGCATTCAAGTTTGTTTTTTAAACCAGAAGACATTATTTTCTGACTTGGGTTAGTTTATCACTTGAAGTGATTGACTTCAAATGGAAAACCTACAGTGCAGACTGTCATAGCCCGAGCCAGTCATTTTTCTTATCACTTTCGGACAGCAGCGACTGTTACAATTTCCGTGACTCCTGACCAAAATTGATAAAAGTGGTAACGTCAATGTGCATCATAAAATTGCTGATATATCCAGTATACAAAACTCGATTTTTTTAATCAATTTCAAAAACCAGTGTGAGTGGGGTCTATACAGCGCAATTTTTTTACTAATTCGAGAATTCCTTAGTTGCCACAATTCATTAACAATCCTCTCACCGAATATGACTTCCAATGGAAGATTTCTCAGTATGGATGGTACGGTAGGGTACCTCTGGTTGAAGATTTTTCAAATTCCTTGTCAGAATCTGCCCAAATTTTCCTAACACCTATCTTAAGTTTTGCTTCATAATACCCCACCCCTTGTATCTGTATAACACCCACCCACTGAACCAATTTGGCTCATTTTCAACGTTAACCTCACGCCCCATACACACATGGATGAAAATTTGAAGTCAGTCAGTTCAGTCGTTTTAGCTCTATCCTGGCATAGAAAGACGGACAAACAGATGATGGTTACATAAGCCCTGGCTCGGGCTAAAAATATGGAAATGAAGAAATTCGGGGTCATCCTAATATTGTCTCTATTTAGTCATCAAGGTTTTCCATAAAATTATTGCACTAGTAAACATACTGATTGCAATCTGGTTAATTTAAATTCATTAACAAAATTCGCAGCGACCCAAACAACGCCAATAAATAATGACGAAAGTGAAAGGCCAGTTGTCCAGAAAAAGACTCAAAACCCTGCCGATAATGCGACTCTTACCAAAGGGCGTTCCCTATACTCTGCAGTATCCAGATGGTGGTATGGCAAGACAACAGAAAAACCGGCTGTTAATGGTAAGAATACCCCCTTTGAAAATTAAGCAGTGTTTATGTACCAATCTGCAATTTGTCAACATGTACACCAGAGGAAAGGTTTGAGTAAAATTGTGTTCTTGTTACGCATAGGCACAATATTATAACACAAAAGAATCACTTATAAGTACGTTTACCTCAATCAAACTGGAAATAAATCAAATATTTCGGAAATTGATGAATTTGATGTCGCCAATAAAACATTTCTCATTCGCCATGATGGAATGCCAAGTACTGGAGATGCATTTCTTCCTGAAGAAGATAACAACGGAAGTAATGGAACTGCAATTAAAAAAAGAATCACTTATAAATACGTTTACCTCAATCAAACGGGAACTAAGTCAAATATTTCGGAAACTGATGGAACCATCGATGATGGAGGCCATAGCACTGCAGAGGTCAATGCCACCATGCAATTGAACTTCAGCGAAATCCAAGGAACTCGAGATGAATTCACCCCTGAAGATTCTGGGCAAAATAAGGTTTTGAACAAAACGATTCCCACGAACCACATCCAACTAAACGGTACAAGAGATGCGGTCGTATCCGATGACAAAGTTGTCACAAATATGACAAGTTTACTTCTTAGCTATGATGGGTTACAAGGCACTGGAGACGAGTTTGTTATGGATGCTGAAGGCAATAAAGTTTCTAATAGAAAAAATGTTGTGAAGAATTCTGTGAAAAATACTGAAATCAATTCAACCACAATTGTTCTCAATAACGTTAGCCGAAACACAACTTCAACAGTCATGAGTACGGCAGTTTTACTCCGTCACGATGGACTTCAAGGCACTGGAGATGAATTCGTACCGGAAGATGCGGAACGCAAAGTTATCTCAGATACAACAACTGCCGCTGTCAACACGAGTAAAATTAAGGACAACAGAAATGCCACGTCTGCAATCGCAAACGAGACAATTTCCACAAACAACACTACAGTTATTAAATCAACTGTAATCAGCTACGGCGCCTTGGAAGGTGGTGGCGACACATTCTCACCGGATAACTCAGACAATAATAATAAAGTTGTGAACAAAACAATTATAAATTCCAACATTTTAGTCCATTCTTCTACAAGTTTGAATGAAATTGACTCGTCTAAACACAACCGTAATGATGCACACAATTTAGAAGAAACTCTTATACTAAACTATGATGATCAAAACGTTGAAGACATTTTAGGAGGCGATTTTCATAAAAACGACTCCACTTGGATAGAAAAAAATGTTGGTAGTAAAAAAACAAGCCACAAAAAATCATCGCATGATCTAAAACCCCAGATGAATTCATTGGATATAACTGAAATGCAGGACGCTAATGACGAAATGCTTGAAACACACTTCACAAATAGTTCAGTTTATAAACACAATTTCAATTTTACAACTAACTTGAACCATTCGATAGCAAGACGTGTGCAAGAACAAGAACAAAATGAACTAATCCGAACTACTGGTTCCCATAGCCAATCAGGCAACGAGGACAACTCGGAAGAAATGTTTTTGTCAAATCAGGTAAACCATGAAGTATCAACGATGGATGACGAATTTGCAGCCAGCAACGAAATTGATCGCACTTCCATGAATATTGAAAGCCTTGAAGTAATACAATCAAAATTTACTAGCAGCCACAATTCAACAAAAACTGAAATAAAAAATGTCAAAATAATTTCGTCTGACAAGAAAAATAGTAAGCAAATACATAAAGAGCGGAAAAATAACCAAACAAAGAAGAGTTTAAAAAAGACTCAATCCTCCAAGAAATCTACCAGCAAAAGTAAACTAAACAAGCCACAAGATAAGGTAGCATCGCAACAAAAATATAAAGGGAAAGGTATTGTTCCCAAGATTGATGCAAGTTTAAGCACGAAACAGATTTCCAAATCAAAGATGAATCACACCACAGAAACAAATGAGACTGATTTGAATGCCATCGATGAGAATTTTAGGCTTAATAAAACCAATGCTATGAACACAGTGATAAATTCAACGCTGCCTAAAAGCAAGTCAAAACCTCGGAGAAAGTGTCGAAAGCGTAAAAAGATTTCCACGACTACTTCAGCTCCTGTAAAAAGATGAGGCGACAAATGAGTAAAGCACGTACTTGATTGATACATGTACATAAAGTGCAGAAAACCGGCTTGCGTCGAAAAACAGCTAATTGTAACAGAAAATTAATACCAATCAACCATTTACACACTATATGTAAATACTTACTTGTGTGTAAGGATAAGACCGTTAAACTAAAAATGTTACGAAAATTACATCTTGTTTAATTTATTCACAATTACATATGTAAGTAATAAATCATTGCTAACAACAAAATTTTCTCGCGACAGCTGCCAAACATGCTCGGTAATTTTTGTTAAATACTTTAGTCAGAGGACAAGACAACGTAGAATTCCTAACGCAGTAAGTTTTACTGCAAGTACAAATGACGCCAACTTTGCACTCATTTTGGTAGTGATACTTAAATCCACCTTGTGAGCACTGAAAATCTACAGAATTTTTTTAACACATTGTGAGATTCACGACTTACTCGAGATTTACATATATTCACCTGTTCCGTTTACCCACGGCGTAGATCGAACACAAACTACGGATGGTGCCGGAATTGGCATGCAGGCTTTGCAAAAAAATGCTGAAATGAATAAACTTGAAGCGAAAACGAGACCTTTCCGGATTATTAAGGTTATCAACATTTCAATCGTTACAGTCAAACCAAGTAGACGAAACTTATAACGGAATTGAAATAATTATAATGAAAATCCTTAATTGTAAATTAATAAATTTATTACCAAGTAGGGAAGTAAATAACCTTCTCATTGTCATTTCTAAAGCGCGAGTCAATGTATTTGCATGTTGATCTTTAACTTTTTTTACATTATAGAGTTGTTAAATAAAAATATTTTTATGGCATTATACGCAAGTGCATACAGAAGGCATGCAATTCGATTATTTCCCGTGTTTCTGCACTATGTAGGAGTTGTAACAATTGCCCATGAGCAAGTCCACACGGCATGTCCACCCCCTTTTTTGGAACAACATGCATCAAATACGTCGAGTTTGTTTTTGTCCAAAATTTGGCACCAGTACTTTGTTCCCTTGATAACCGGTTTAACACAATTTCCGTTCTTTGGGCTATCTGGCCTTTTCAGTCCTGCAAGTATAGCACACTGCCTCGTCATATCTTCTCCACTGGGACATCTTCCTATGTTCGAAACTATATTTTGGCCACAATTTCCTGCCTTTAGTTCCTTGTTTTGCTGAAGCTTTTTAATGATCCCAACTTTTTCGGCGTTTTCGCCAGCATTTAATGCAGTGAGGCCTGCTCCTAATCCGTGGATGAGAGTTGTCGGCCAGAAATATGCAGCTACCAGAAGTGAAAAGTAGCCTTTGTGGGGAATTGGAGAAGATCCGGAAGTTGGGGACAAAGTTGGTTTCAAACTTGATGTCACTCTTGGGGCACGTGTTGTTGATGTAGGGGTTGGACGTGAAGTGGAATATTTAATTGTAGAAGTAGGGTTATCATGTTTTGAGGCATTTTGAAAATTTTCGTGTAGGTTACAACAAATTTCGTTTGCTTTCGTAATGGCGCCCTCGTCCGTGGTATTTTTAGATTCATAGTCGCATACAAACAACTCCGATGAGGTCGATAAGCATCCTTGACTATCGTTCTTATCGCATTTACAAAACTTTACATTTCCACAAGTGTCAGTAAAATTATATCCTCCAGAATGACAAGTAAAATCTGCAAAATCAATAGGTTTATTTCCTTGTAAAATCAAAATTCAATTAAAATGAAGTACTTTTAAATGAACTCTAACTTTCATCTCCTTTGACCTTAGTTAATGTCTTCTTGTATGGCTCAAGTTCGTTATTCATGTCCTCCGTTTTCACTGTAGGTAGCGGTGAGTACAACAAAACTGCTAAAATTAAAATTGACAATAATACCGTAATATTTTCTTCCATACTTAGCAAACTTATTAAACAAATAACAAATACTGATAACTGAACGTAACGTACTCTTGTACCAAACTAAGGAACATGCATAATAATGAAAATTTAATAAAATACAGTATGCAGTATATGTGATAATAATTGCGTGGAGCGAATAAGTATGCAGTAGTTTATAATTTCCATGTATGTATGTACGTCCATTATAGGTATTTTCATTTCTGGTGGAAGTACGTAAATATGTATTTAACTGAATTGTATTGCCGAGGATGGTTTAATGATGATTGAATTTAAATTTAATGATAAAATTCGCATTAACATCGTCCAGTCCATCTTTATTCGCATTGCGTGACCATTTGCAGCAGATTTGGAGTTGTACTAATAATACCTACATATGCCCCGAGCAATTTTTGCATTTATATCCATATTCATTTGTCTTATTTGCTTCCAAATCGAAATTAATGCCCCCACGGCAAATATAAAAAAATGTCAAGGCCATATGCCCATCATGGATTGAAGGTCCTCAAACCTTCATAATGATTCTGCTGTGGAAAAAAGAGCGTATTTCTATTTTAAAGTTGAAAAATTGTTTTTTTGGTGTCTGTCTCGAGACACCAACAAATTGGTGTTTCGAGACAAAGTGGAAGTTATTTGTATTGTATTTAGTAGACCTGTGGAATCACACATTGCAAAAAAATTTGTAAGAAACAAGTACTCATTATCAGCGTTGGAATTTTGGAAGAGTAAATATTTCAATTCTAGACCAGTGTGAATCAGCTAGATTTATAAGATTCATGCCTGCATACTTAATTCATGTATGAATACATCCTCATCAAATGTAATTTATTCTACAATTACCTTAAAAAAATTTGTATTTCAATTTTATTGTGAAAATTCAGCTAGAAAGTTGTCCATTTGACTTGGTCAAATTTTGACTGAGGAAATATTAAGATTCAAAAAATTTTGAAGCACAAACATAAATTAACCAGAATCATCTACGTAGTTCAAGGTTGCTTACACAATAAAATACTAATCCATTTCAATATCTGAAGGAGAAAAAAACATTTGTACGCTTAGAAAGTTTTGCACAATTATTTAAGTACACAAGTACTAATTTTATAGGGTATCTACTCAAGTTCTTATTACAAGTAGTTACATTTGTATCCAAATTTATTTACATCGAGGTTGTCGAAAATATCAACATCAATATAATACTTTACGTATATCATAATGCATAATACGTTACATAAATAATTTTGTTCACATTTTTTTGTAATAATTATTTTAATTTGTAAATAATACTTTTAGCTGATCATCAAATCTCAACAGAATTAAACGGCATTGAAAACAACTTGTACGGCCCGTTCCTCTTTACTGACTCGCAACTCTTTCACATACGAGTTCACAATGTGGAGAAAGTAGCAGTTTAAGGAAATTGGTATAATTTCAGAGACCACTTTCGACAAGTCTTGAGTAGCCATCGCATTCATCAAAGCAGCACAAATCCATATGGCGACAAAGATAGAATTCATTACTAACCAAATTCCACATTTAGTCATACTTTCCTGGAAAGCGTATTCAAATATTTAAGGCCATATGTATAGCTTATGTGAGTTATGTACATATGTATGTAAGTATACAGACATACCTGTTTGACGCCAATGTATAAGACGACGGCCAAAATCAGACCAATGACGGTACTTCCAATCATAAACAGCAAGATTTTTGTAACTAAATTATAAAATCAATATTTAAACATTATCCAGTTTCAATCATTGTAAAATCTGACTAAAAAGGAAGGTGCATACGATGATCCATTTTGCCTCTGTTTCGCCTTTCATTTTCAGAGTTTATCCAAATTAATAATCCCATGAGAATTAGAAGCACGAGGGTGCATCCAAACTGAAAATTTATGGAACGCAAAATATTTAACTATACACAAAATATACTGTCGCAATAATATTTGAGCAATAAGTAATTTCAGTTTTTATGCTTACAATTTGGAAAATGGCAATATTTTTAGCCTTTGCCCGTAAAGTATTTCCGCAACACATTATTTTCACGAATGCAGTGATCGACAATACTCCGATAATAGATGTAGGTGAATATAGCTAATTGCTCATCTGCGAACCTACTGTGTGCAACTGGTTACGTAGTTAGTACTCACAAAGTCAGGAAAATCCTTCAAAACAGAGTCTCAACACATATTTCTTAACTTGCAGAGTGTAGCCATCTGCTCTATGAGACAAGATTGTTTATTGATTTTTGAAGCAATTTGAGTATCCTTTTATTTGGAGGTTGCATGTATCGCAGTTTCGAACATTTAGTTATATTTATGTCGCGTTAGTGACTGACCTATTTTGTATATGATGAATTTGGCAATGATCCGTAGTAAGTTTGTATACGCATGTATTGTGTGTGTGTCAAGACTGGCACTGGATCAGCTAGTCATGTATTCGGTGTATACGTAGTGCAACAGGATTCTTTCCAATAAGAGGAGAAAGTCGATCCCGTTTAATGAGCTTATTAGGCGAAAACATTAAACAGGTCTGAGTTCAGTGTAACTTCATCACCACGACTTTCAGGATACATAAGAGAAAGATGAGTGCATTGAAGGTTAGAGGAAGGTTACACGTGCTGCAAAACCGATGTCCCGTGTATTTAGAAGAATCATTTACATGGTCTAACTCGAAAATACCAAGTGAATTTTACTCAAAGAAACCCATAAATAAATAACACATTTAAAAAGTAAATATGTACATATTTGTAGCGATATCTATAATCGGACTTGGATAGGACGGTTCACAGATCAAGTATCAGAGATTCAAAATATAACTGAGAAAGTATTGGTTACAGTAAAAAGTAAAATTAGCATAGCAAGCATGACTAGTATGCATGGACATATTTAAAGTATGTGCAATCAATTGGTCAACTTTCACTGCGAAGATTTGAAATGGTGATCTAGTGTGCGAAACGGAATATGCATTTCCTTAGAATACTCGTTCCTATCTAAAACTGTAATCGGAGGCTTATCTGTACCCTTGCCATCAAAAGTCCTTTATAATCAATTTCTGTATTCCGTTAGCATTTAAAGAAAAATTTAGGGATTTAGGATTTTTGGATGTGACATGATATGGAGGAGGTGAATTTTTAATTTGGTCCCTATTACCTAAACTTACTTTTTAGCTTGATATTTTTAATATCGATTAATATTTGTTATTCGTTCACTCAATATCAATTCAGTTTAGCATTGTCAGATATTGCTAAATATGTATTTAGAATTTAATTTAGTATGGTTTCTGATTAGCTGGTGACTACCAAGTACTTGTTACATAATTTTCTTACACTTTAGTGTATGTAGGTATGCATGTATGTACTAAAGCATTTGCAAATGTACTTGTCTAATTCATGTAGATATGGCTATTGCCTATACATTATTTGAATGGAGTACTATTATCTGTTAGTATATTGATACCGAGATAAAAAACATTTTCAGAGAAATATTCTTCATGTGATTATTGATAAGTTCGTGACCAACGTGCGCCTCAACATATCCATGCACTCCTCATAAATATTTCTGCAAATTTTAGCTAAATAAAACTATCTGCAAGATAGATATTTACTTATCTCAGGATATAAAATATATTAAATTAAAACTGAAAAACGGATCATGACGCGAAATAGTCAGTTATTATTTAAATCATATTATGCAATAATTCTGCCAGTTTGTTGTTGTTGTTGTTGTTGTTGTTGTTAATCCTTTATTCACGTGTCAACAGAGATCAATTCATTACAAATTGGTTTACACACCATGACACAAGTAGCATATATTTTTTATAAGCATCTAAAACTAATCTAATTAATTAAGTAGGGCAACTAAATAATTCATGAAAATCATATATATATCATTCATTTGTCCTTTGATTAATTATAAAGTCGCGACATAAAATAACAAATTGGGTGTAAGATACATTAAAATCCCATGATCGTGGCAGCGTATTCCATAATTTCCATAAGTTTTGCACTCATTACTTGTTACTTCAGGAGAAATTCAACTAATCCCTCCTGATTTGCAAGTACAAGTGGATAATTTAATTCAAGAAGCTCTTACGGTCGAGAATATTCCAGCTTTAGGATTGTCAATTGTTAAAAATAACGGAGAAATTTGGTATACGAGAGGTTACGGTTTTCTAAATTTGGAAAGTCAAATTGAAGCAAACAATCAAACAATTTTTGCATTAGGGTCAATTTCCAAGGTGAGAATACTGTATTGCTAAATGGTGAAACCCTGTTATGGGAATGCTCTGTCTGTCTGTTCATCCGTCCGTATTCACGACAACTTTCTCCAAATTTTAATTTGCCGAATAGCGTTTCAAAAATGCTGATTTTTGTTAACTTACAATTGTTCTATACGAGAATTTCAAAAGTCACCATAATTTCAACGTACGATGACCCTGTGAAGGTGTAGCGAGTTCAAAGATAGAAAGTATCGAAAGTCTAGTTTTTACAGTTTAGACGTTAAGCGTACATAACAGCCAGATATCCCATTGGGTTTCACCCTTTTGCTACATTTCGTTTGCAACCTACATATATAAAAAAATATATTACAAAAATTTCCCACTTATATATTTCCTTTTCTTGTCTCTTGTAAATTTTAGAGCTTTACTGCTTCTATTGTTGTATCAACACTGAACAAATTATTTCCCAGTTATGGTGAACGAGCACTGGACACACCAATCCGTCAACTGGCACCGAATTATAATTTTACCGTTGGAGATAGGTACAATTTGAGCAATGGAAAAACTAGGATACATTATCCATCATATCTATTGGCACTTCTTGTAATAATGCTGTGTAATGCTATAATTACTAGGTTCCGATCTGAGAGTATAACATTCCGTGATATTTTATCCCACCGGACGTGCATGGCACCAGAAGTATTGGGAGGAATTACTAACCCATATAATGGCAGCAAAGATTTCTTATTGTAAGTTCCTCACCAAATCTCATATGCATATATCTTTTAGTTTCTCTTTTAGGTTATCTTTTAGTACACAAATACAAGTTATTATCTGCATTCATATAGTCGCCAAAGGTATGCCCCAGAACAATGTGGGTTCCGAACAAATTACGTGTACAACGGTATAATCCACATGGCCGCCGATATCATTGCAGACATGTCAAACTCAACAGTTGAAGAGATGGTGGGTGCTGGGCACTGCTGGGCAGGGCATATACATTCGCAAGGGCGTTACTATATAATTTATTTTCAATATATACATATAGCTATCCAACTTTTTAAATCAATTGGGTATGACTGACACCACCTGGATTAAGGACACGGATGACCATAACTCTATGCCCGATCGATCAGTGCCATATTACAAAAGTGATGGATTTCTGCGTCGATTTAATCCAGAACTCCTCAAGTAAGACCGAAACAAGGCATCCAATGGTGCTTATGGTACATTTGAACCACTTATCCTGATTTCAGAGTTGTCAAAATTGGAATTGGAGCTGGTGGTTTGCTAAGTTCCGCAAGGGATATGGCGAGGTACATGCAATTTCATCTAAATCGTGGAACACTTGATGGAGTTGAGCTTGTCCCAGCGGTATTAAAAATTTTACACGAATAATTAGTTTATTTATTTAATAAAATTATATTTAACTTCTCATAAATATTATACGACTATTTTAGGAAGGCATGGATTGGCTCTACAAGCCTTCAAACTTAATGTTTGCTGACGCCATTTATGACGCCAATGACATAGAGAACAGATATGCCTCCGGGTTGGGATTACATCTAGGATTATTTAACGGCAATTTATTTAATTAATTTCTTGAAATATATGCATGCATAAGCATTCATACAAAATCATAAAATCTAATAATATACATACAATTTAATTCTAGGTTTTGCAACGGTCACCCACGGTGGATTTTTACCTCCATACGACAGCCTGATCACAATGACCCCTGGATTAAATTTTGGAATTTTTACTGCTGCTAGTGGACCGGGAAAATTAACCGAATTTACCAGGAGTCGCTTACACACGAGAATTTATGATATCATTCAGGGAACTTGTAAGTATGTTTTCTATGGAAAAAAATTAATCTGGTTTAGATATCGTAAATTGTCACTGTTTTAGGTGGGTAAATGAACACTTAGTGTCGAAATGTTGACGCTATTTCTGTGACATTACCACAAACTAAGTATTTTATTTGTATTTCTGCAGCACATGGTGAAACCAAAAACATTCAGAACCCATCAAAAACTGTCCATATCAAACCAGCTATGAGATACAGTTCGAGCATAATGGTTGATCCTAATGATATTGTTGGCAAATATGGAAGCGGATTGTCAGGTATCTGCATACAGACTTATATTGTACTCAATTTACAAAACCGTTCAGATGTTTATGCTTTCAATTAATAGGCGACTTAGAAATCAGTCTTGAGAGAAATCCAAGTGGAGCTTTACAACCCTACTTGAAATATGGTGTGTGGGGTCACGGCTGGTTGAATCAGATTTCCAATAATTCGGACCTTTTTGAAATCGTCTGGGACTCTGAAATTACGCAAGTATTTTCCACCAGGAATGGAGCTGAGTTTGGAATGATGATGCAGTTCCAAAATCTGAATACGACTGAATTTGTACAAGATGGCATTTCATTGGGTAGCTTCACTAGGAATCTTACAATCGATCAATTGCCGGTAATACCTTGGAAGCCAGATACTTGCGGTCCTGAACTTCTTGGTTAAGTGGGGTAGAAATTTTTTTGTTATTCATATATTTATAACTCTTTTGGGCTTGCTCACATCTAATTCTAATTTGTTGATAAATATTTTCCCCGAAAAATCTTGATTCCTTTTCTTCATGGAAAATGTAACTATCTAAATTATAAAATAAAAATAAAAAACATTTTTTTAATTTGGTCCAATTACTTAAAGTACTACTAATTAGTAGTTACGTTACTTTTATTTATTTTCCAAAAAATCCTATGCATCAATGTACAAGTTGACATCTAGTTTATCGAATTGATAGACCTGATGAAGGAATAAGTATTCCCAAAACTAGTGTCACAATTATCTAAATAGGTGCAGTAAATATCCTCAGAATCCATGCAATCTTCTTCAAATTATAACGGAGGATGGAAGTCACTCACCGCAACCGTAAGAAATGATCATTTTTTGATGTTTTTCATGTTTTTACGGAAAGTCGACTTTGACGAGTTTACTTATCTTATTTATTTATCGTGGAACCGAGAGAGAATTCTTTGAAAGATGAAAGTCAGCAGGTCTCTTTTTAGAAAGGTGTCTTAATAAAAGCTATTTGGACGTGGTTTGGGCGTACGTAGATGAGAATGATAAAATTGTGCAAATTGTGGTTTCTGGCTGGTTTTGACATGACGCGAATAACCATTCCAAGTTTCAATGTATATGCACAACTATCAGATAACAAATGGAAAGACATTTGATTACATGGAGGAAAATGATAGGGTAAAATTGATTTAGGACTCTAAACATAAGATAAATTTAGTATGGTGCTAATTGTGAGACAGAGTAACAAGCAACTATTTATTGCTGATTATGCAACGAAAACTGAACCACCCGCTTAAATTACAAATAGAGGTTAATTAGTTAGTTATGATCTATCGATGTCTATCGATAACATCATTATCGCAAACAATGTTCACATCAAAGAGAATTTTGTGCTCTGATTATGACGATACATCACGATTCAGTTTAATTTTGTTACATAAACCCTGAAAACTTGACCCAGCGAGTCTCCTCAAAAGAATAAAGCAAGGATTCATGACTTCCTTTCGTTTGTTCCGTTGGTATACAAATTTTTTCCGAACACAATTTATATACGTGTCAGCATAATTCCAAAACAAGCATTAAATAATTGTTAGTAAATTCGATTCAGAATGATATTCGTTGAAGTATTAAAACTTCATATTTCTCAACTTGTTCACAAGTTTTTTTTGCTGTGGCAATGACAGCAAAACTCAGGATTACTCAAGTCAAATAATGAAAAATGGTGAGATGACAGAAACTTATGAATGTATGTCTTTTGCGACTTTCAATGATTCACTTCTAATTATTATAAGTAGCAAGCAAATCTGAAACCAAATGTTACTTCCTTCATCGGAGACATGCACTTCCAATTATGTTGTAGCAGAATGAAGTTATGTCACGCCGTCAACATCTGTAATTGGCAATTTTCAGATTTAGGAGTTGGCCTCCTGTCCGCAACATTGTGGTTGCCAATTAATGCGTACATATAACAAACTCTTGATTTACGTTGTGATGTTCAGTGATGTCATCGTACACGGTAGGAACTGCTCCTTTCTAATGGCTATTATGTTTGAATGTAATTCTTACATGATTTATTGAGACGGCGTAGGTCAGTTGCGCTAATATATAATTAAATTTCACATTTAAGGCAGTGCACAATTATTGTTGCAGTTCTATCAGCAAATGATCCTTCATATAGTATAGTGGCTTTCAAATTACGTTGATATAAAACAATGCAACTGTACATCACCAACATGCATAATCCACAATAAGAACGATAGGCAATAAAAGAACATTTTCGTATTTATTCCGATCCCAATCTGATCTGATTTATGCACCTCAATATTTTCTTAATGTTAAATGTATTTTTTACTCGTTTTTTGATCATGATTGAACAGGATTGGTTCAATTTGACTTAATTCAGCGTATATGCGAATGCACTTATTGCTAACCAAATCTGAAGTTTGAAACTGCTTGTCATACATACATTAAGTAATAGGAATGATTTTCAGAATTTTAAATAAATTGCTTAAAAATTTTCCGACTCGAGTAGAGAGCACTCTTCTGCCATCCAGTTTAGCTCATTTGTTCATTAATAAATCATACTTCCTTAAAGACACAACAATGTTTATACCGATTAATGTCTCTGTTAGGTAATGCACTATGTAACTATGCTGCATGCCGTATAAGATCACCACAAATAAAACTAATGCATTTCATTGCTTGCGTTGAAAATGCCTGAGCAATCTGAATTATTAGTGAAAGCCCGTGATAGAAATGTGGTTCGACCAAATATGTTGAAGGAAGGAAGCTAATGCCGGAAGACTTGGAATTGCTAATTTTAAACCTTAGCAATGTCAATATTTGTCAACCGTGTGTTTCACCATCCAGCATAATTTGTATGAAATGAGCTACTCTGGGATTACTCACCCACTCGCTGACATACGCATTCTATGGCAAGTACACATATAACAGGTTGTACATACATACAGGCGATGGTCATGATGGGATCTCTCTTCGGGACTGGGTTTTCTTTCACTTGAGCCCAGAATTTCATTTTCTCTCCCGTTCGCCAAAGTCGATCTTGTCCCGTGCAATACACAGCGGGGCATAAATAAGCTAACCAACGTACATGTGTATGTAATCATCTCACTTTAGCCTCAAATTACTTGCTGCTAAGTAAGTATCTACCCATCCATAGAATTTATGTATGTATGTATCGTCGCTTTGCCTAATTAAATATCCAGAGGGCTCGAACGATTGTCAAAGATCTACCAGTTTCACTAACTGGAGCGTAAACCCGTCAAATAATTATTACGCTTCAGAAACTAATCACTCATCTGTTCAAATGACACCACAACGGCGTCCTAAAATACATTCAGTAACCTTGCAAAGGGGCCAAATAAATCCCTTTGAACGAGAGAAAGCCACAAATCACTTAACACAGCAACAGGTGGACTAGACACATTTTCGCACGTCAGGTAATCTCGACTTTATCCAACGCTGCCGACCGAGAAGAACAATGTTGCACGGTGCCAGACTCATGGTGGGTATGTGTTTCTCTGCTGTGCAGGGTAATCGCGTGAGAACCAATTATTTGGCGAGTATAAATATGTATGTCTGTACGAGGCGAGGTCGTCAGTTCTTTTCTTGGTTATTAACACTAATCCTAAATTAAAGGTGAGATCATGGTTGAATACGTGAGCAATTGCAGAATAATTTTGCCATAAGTGGGGGTGGCTGATTACACTACACATCATTATATGGCTTGAGGTTGAATAAGGAGTGGTAGGCGTTATATTGGTCTCAATCAATTAACTTTAATACCGAGTTTTGAAGAGCAGACTAATATGTAGCACAGGTTTAAATTGATTGCGTATTATATTTATCCTTAGTGCTATCAGTGCCTAAGAGGAGTGGTCTTGCTCAGCCTAGGGTGGTACAACATGTGCAATAACAATGCCAGTCACTAAAATCCAGGTAAACAACCCCACAACAACAACTACCAAATGCCACCAATATGTACATGTGCAGAATCATTCCATGATAATTCCATACCTATTCTGAAGCTAAATCATTTAATCACATCCAAGAAGAGAGTATGCAGAAATGAGATGGTGAGCAAACTCATCATCATCATCATCATCTGCACATTTTCCAATTTCCTCATGTCCGTAACCCTCTCTACATATGTACATGCACACTTTGAAATCACATCCTCACCTAAACTGTCACAAAATTACTCTGCGAGAAATAAAAACATATATATCTATAATACATCATTGCACATGATCAATAATTTGAGCAATGGAAGCGACTCGTATAAAATATAGGTGAGATCCAAGGAGAGAGATTAGTTGGGAGGGAGGCAGCCGCAACAGGAAGGTGAGCTGGTAAAGACACACGTGCAACGCTGCTGCTCCTGATGCGAGAGATTATTTGCATGCAAAACTTATACAACAAGTAATAATAATAAGTATACCAAAAAAGCATGCCAATCTCAATCACATCAACAAGTTCAAACTCTTCTCCTGCTGCTGCTGCTGGTGTGCGAAGGCATAGTTCTTTCGTTGTAGAGGTGAGTGCGATATTATTATCATCGTGTCGTTTATTGAGACCAATTAGCATCTCCATTCCATATCCACACTCCATTCAGAATGGGGGGTAGCAGTAGTGGATGAGCATTTTTTCTTCTGTGTCTGTTACTCGATCTGCAATCATGCCATTCATTCAAATTGATAACGAGAGATGAGATAATTTACTCACTCACTACATGTCGTTGTGATTTTTTTTGTATACATAATGCAGACACCACCATCCACTGCTAAACTACTACATCAAAAGAATAACGCTTCAAAAAAACAGAAAAATACGAAAACCACACCCACCCCGATACTCTCGAGGGCCTGTTCCAGCTCAGGATTACTAGTCAAATATAACGTAAAGGATGAGACTACGAAGGCTTCACTGGTCCCGGTAAAAAAAAACTTATTGCTTTACATACATACATAATATTTCGACAGACTAATTTTGCATGTCTCATATGAATCATCATATCTACATGTGTATGTACAAGGATTAACCAACATTGACTTTTTAGCCACCGGAAGGAGATCCCCGAAAGAGTAGAAGAAGAAAAAGAAGAAACCCATTAACCAATGCCTTTGAAGATGAGCAGGTACATACATAATAACCAACTGGGTATATGTTCATACATCACTATTAATAGAGCAAATAATAAACAATCAATCTTTCTTCTCTCTCTTTCTTTCTTACTCAAGACGGAGTCCCTCTACCAAAGATACCTGCTTAAAATCTCTACCACGACGGTAAAATTAGTCACGGTCATACTAACGTTATCCACGAGTGTGGACCTCATCGCAGGACTTTTCACTCGACCCACGTTCCAACCATGGGATTTGGTACTCGTGGCAGGCATTGGAATTGGGGCTGTGCTACTGGTGAGTTATTTAATAAAGACGCACAATGCAAATACAGTTTGTCCAGTCGCCACTCGAGAAAATACTTGGACAGCAAATACTACTTAATACTTTCTTTCTTCCCCTCAGATCACATTTTCCACTCGATCCTCCAAATTTATACGGCGAGTGACGCACCCAGTGCACTTGACCCTGACAAGTTTCTCCTTAGTGGTGATGTGTTTCCTCCGGTTTGTTCATGGCTTGGGGAATTTAAACGAGTTAGTGCTGAGTGTTTTTGTCGGCTGCGTGTGCATCCCACTCAAGGTTTATTTGCCATTTATAATATTCATGGAAAGTTCTAAAATGGAAATAAGTATGATAATTTCGTTTAAATATTAATATAAAAAATTAAATATACAGCTTCCCATCCCGTTCCTCATCCCACCACTTCTCCTCGTATTGAGAGTTCTGCTCGTTGGGGACTTTGTGGTGGTGAGTGAAACTACTTCTTGGTCGACAATCCCTCTCTTGATCTGATCCTTGTCAAAATATTATCAAAAGGAAAAGATAACCTTGTAAAAAAATTGGCATATTATTCCTCTTCACAGCCACTTCTCATCACTCTCTCTGCCACTGCGACCTCTCTGATATTCATCTCTCTCCCGACCGACCGACGACAACGAGCCGCATTTATTGAGACGAGAACCTGTGTGGAGAAAAGGTTGGAGATGAAGGAGGGAAATCAGCAACAGGTAAGTATTACGGGACGATGATATGTGTAAGATCCAATATATGTTGTATGTCCTCTCGTGTTGTAGCATAGCCTGGCTTGGGCAGAGATCAATAGAGATCAAACAGTTTTGTTTTTTATACGTATGGAAAATACAAGAAAAGCGGATCACAATTTTGAACTGAGAAATAACATAAATATAGGAAGACGAGGAGGGTATTAGTGAGGATTGTGAGAATATTAGACGTGAACGAGTGAGTGAGTGAATGAGGGAGATTTATTGTGTGGAGAGGGTCTATTTCGGGAAGAATACATACATGGAAACGACGAGACGAAGCCTGGTTTATATGTATGTACACACACACATAGGCAAGACGAGAGGGGAAATCTAATGCAAAATGTAATACCTTTCACTCCCCGTCAACATCAGGGCTGAGAGAGAAAGAGAGAGAGAGAGCTACAGGTACAAAAAAGTAAAATAATGTGATCGTGTGTGTCTGCTCTGGGAAAACGTGAGTTCTGGCCGGAGAAAGTTTCTCCATTCTCTCCAACGCCGGAAATGCCGTGTCTCTCACTTTCCCTCTCCCTGCCAGTTATGTGGTCTGGGCCCACTACATACACTAACTGCCTGTGTGCCAACTTGTACATATGACAACTACCCTGTTTAGTGGTGCTGTTGAAACTTTCTCCGCACACAGGACTCCTCTCGATCCTCAGGCCGTGTGTTGTGTTGGTGAGTTGCATTGTGTTCAACAAAGATCTCAAGTTTCCCATCTTCCTTTTACCTGTCTCAGCTTACTTCATTACTGTTCTGTGTGCTGTCGTTCGTGTGGTATGGTTATGTTGTCTATGTGAATGTCGAGTTCCTTTGTGGAGCATTTTTCGCTGTGGAAATTTAATAATAGCTGGAGCGAAGACATGTAAATAGCGTCGCCCACTTTGCCCGTGCTATGCATCAATGCATCATCGATGTATGTTCGTATGTACGTAATGTGGATGGGATTTCCAATCATAAGTAGTTCTCTTTAGCCTCTCTTCTCTCCTTTATTGTGTAAGACATGCACAGCCCAAAACTGGGCCCGTTTTCTCCCAGGGAGATTCAAGAAAACCTGGAATTTAAAAATTTAGACATTATCTTTGATGGCATTTGTTCAAAACTTAGTTTTTGTACTGTTTGTAAATCGATAAACACCACGAGCTCGTTTTTTTCTAGGGTCTCTTCTTTCAAGAGACCAACTTGAAATTTAAAAATTTAGGTATTCTCCGAGTAGAAAAGTTACCTTTGTCCTATTTGCAAATCGAAACTTTCCTTTGATCTTGTACATTTGTCGCGTAACAATGAGCAACGTTTGACACGATTATGGATACATAACAACTAGATTCAGCCCACTTCAAAGATTGCAATAAACAATTTAATTGGGATGAAAGATATTATGTTCTTCTTTCATGTCGTCACAGTAAGTAAAAGTAATTGAGTGTTATTAGTTTCGTGCTCATGTTTTGTCTTTTTCCACTGATTTTTCCTGGAAATCTTGTCATTAAAATGGAACTCAAATATATGATTGCACAGCTGAAATGTATCATTCGATGGATATTTCCTCTTATAAAAGCAAATTTAGGTCGCTCCGCTCCAATCATCCTTTCATAATGTCGACTTATAAATATACTTCATCACTACTTTGCATTGTGTAGTACGTGCTCGTCCTTTTTCGCTAGGAAACTTTTATCAAGTCAGAAATTTAATCATGCTGATGCTTTGGAAATAGTGTCGTCAGTTTTTTGGTGGCTTCGTATTTATTCAGAGTAAACAGAAAGGTCAAAGAGGAATTACATTTTGGTTTGTTATGAGATCCATAGACGTTCGTTTTCATATTTCATGTATGTAAATACTTGTGACTGGTGCGGAGAGAAAATTGAAAAACTTGTGGTCATTCGCCATTTTGGAACCATTTGGGACATTTGTTAATCACGACTATAGACTTTATTCTGCTCACCACCATGCCTGTCCATTCCATAGATTTTCACACCTTTCCGTTACACAGACTATTGAACTCGACCACTTTGCACGTCGTTACATATGTCCAACGCGTGGGTAGAAAAGTTTGCTTCCCATCAAACACATATGTACACGTGTGACAGCATAGCAAACTTTTATACATTTTTGGTAAAATTTCTAATATACATGGTAAACTTATATACTTATCGTATATTAGTTTTTTGACGACTAAATATAACAAAAGTATTAAAAAGTTTTGGCAAGTACGTTGATTAATATTATCTGAAGCAGCCCAAAGAGGAACGAAATTGATACATACATGTGTTTACGACGATATAAAGAAATGTATGCAACAAAATACTCGCATCTATTAAAGTGAGTAAGTTAATTACAAAGTTTGTGTAACGCGAGACTTCAACCCTCCGGCACCACTCAGTCATATTAAATATTTTAATTTGATATTGATTTTTGCCCTGAATTTTTCATAGCTTTTTAGAGATTTTCAAGTAAAACTACGCTGCTCACTCATTCATGTCATTAAGGTAGTGATAGTGATAGTTGGTTACGCAGGAAGTGCCTACAGCAGTGCTACACTGAAATATTCAGGGACGCCGTGTTCGTGCGATGGTAGAATGTATGTTGTAGAAAAATGTCCAGCAAAGTCTACACATTTCTCATCATTATCATCACTTGCTATTACTTTTCTCTGTAAAATATTACTTTGCCAAGCCAGGTTTTATGATTACATGAAAAATGTAAGTCTCTTTCTTCCCGAAATAATAGGAACGCCTACTTCTATCCGTTCTCCCACGTCACGTCGCCGTCGAAATGAAAGCTGATATTGCTGATAGTCGAAATTCTTCTGGAAAAACGGAAATGTTCCACAAAATTTACATCCAACGCCATGATAATGTGTCAATCCTCTTTGCCGATATTTGCGGCTTCACTACGCTGGCAAGTCAATGTTCAGCTGAAGAACTGGTACGGCTGCTCAACGAGCTTTTCGCCAGGTATGCTCATCCCCTGACGCCCACAATGATTATTATATTTCAGTTGTATGGCTTGGATAAGATTTCAAATATGATTAAAAAAACTAATTCAATCCAACTGCATTGTCCAGATTTGATTCCCTGGCCCTCCAAAATCACTGTCTCCGCATAAAAATCCTTGGAGATTGCTATTACTGGTTAGTTCATGGCTTAAGAAGTACTAATATTTTTTGAGATACGTGATTACCGAGCATTTCGAAATTTTGTAATACTAGTGTGAGCGGACTCCCCGAATCGCGTTTGGACCACGCGAGCAATTGCGTGGAAATGGGTTTAGATATGATTGAAGCTATAAAGTTAGTCGGTCGTTTGTTCATTTAGCAAAGGTAGTTGTACTTTATTCTATGCTGACCATTTCCAGACTTGTTCGTTCATCGACGAAAGTAAATGTAAACATGCGGGTCGGGATTCACTCGGGCCGGGTACTCTGTGGCGTTTTGGGGTTGAGAAAGTGGGTAAGTTAATTACAAAGTTTGTAAATATAACATGAGATCCCTTTCTGCAGGCATTAGTTATAAATATCACTTTTTGGACAATTTTTGGTCAAAAATTGCTGATCAGCAATTCGACGTCTGGAGTAACGATGGCATGTGATACATATTAACAATTGTATTTATATGAAATGTACATATTTATAAGTAATATATACTATTGCCTTGTCGCAGTTACATTGGCGAATCACATGGAAAGTGGTGGAATACCAGGGTATGTATATGTGCATGCATGTATAATTTAGAGCATAATGAAATGACTATGATAAATAATTTGAACCAATTATTCAGCCGGATTCATATCACATCAGAAACGTTGGCATGTCTGAAGTCCGACTACATTGTCGAACCTGGTCTAGGTCAAGAGCGCGACTCTTTTCTCAGGGATTACAACATTACGACGTGGTTGATTGTGGGCAGCAAGCGACCTGTTGTGAAGGATGTAGTCAAGCTAGAGGATGAACAAGTACTTAGCAAAGAGTTGAGGTTAATGGGCGTTGGGGTTGGTGGATCCAGTGGATGGTAACTGCATGCAGTATTTTCTACATATGACAAGATTTTTATGAGATAAGTGTCTTCGACCAAAGATTAATTATGTTTTTATTTTTCACTTGTAGTGGGGACTCAGGGTCTAAAAAAACTACTCAAGACGAACTTAATGAGTATCTTTCACGCGCTATTGACGCCAGATCCGTTGATAGATTGACCAAGCAGAATATTCACGGCGTATTTCTTGTAGGATTTAGGGATCCTGGATTGGAAGATGGGGTACGAATAACTTTATGAACAATGAACATACTGCGAATTGAAGAGTAATGGTGGTTGATTGGTTTCCAATTTATATATTTTGTAGTACACCGCTACCCCCGACGCTCAAATCAAGTTATACTTCTTGTCCAGTATACTCATCGACCTAGTGATTGGTCTACTGTTCGCGATCAGCTTTGGATTCGATTGGTGCTTGGGGTAACATTTTGTATTTGTGTAATTTCTTTGGACGTAAAATGACAATATAATTTCATCGTTTAATTCGTATAAAAATAAATCCAGAGCTGCTCTTATACTCATAACTTCCATCCACTTTGGAATTTTGTTCAAAATTGAAGATCTTAAGAAAATGTGGCAGAGCTTGTTGGCAGTGGGGGTGGTTGCAACACAGGTTGCAGGAGTGATTGCTGTAAGTACTTATTTTCACTCCAATGATTATCTGGAGTTATGGGCAAAAAATATAAACTGTTTATTTCACTAATTTAGGCAAATTGGTGGTACAGATACCACTCAGATGTTGGGGCGATGTCTCCTTCAAACTTGACATTAAATTACAATACGTTGGATTTTACCAATTCTACCTTCTCCTTAGACTTTATAAATGAGACTTTATCTGACCCTGTTGTTACTCAACCTGATCACGCCTCGTATTTAATGACAATACCCACCACCACAATTATCCTAGTTTCTCTGGCGGCTTATCAAGTAATCCCATCCTCTTGGAAGATCTTAACTACGCTTAGCTTAACCATAGTAATAATATTCGCCCTGCCTGACGAGTACTCTCATTTCATGTGGATCCACCACTTGACCCTTTTTCTCACACTAGCCCTCCACGCCAAGCAAATGGAGTCAACTGGGAGGTTAGACTACTTATGGAGGGTGCAAGCTGGGGGTACGAACCATCTACATGCATCAATTTACTGAATTAGAGATACGTGTGAATCAGCTTATGGTATTTATTATATGTTTGAGTTACAGAGGAAAAGGATGCAATGTCGTCACTTCAAGCGTACAATAGAAAATTACTCGCTAATATTTTACCGTCCCACGTGTGCGACCATTTCCTAACCAGTGTCAATTTGGTAGGTTGGTAGTTCTACATGTACTACTGGTTTTGACCATGTAAATATTTGTGATAATTGGCTAAGATAGGTACAATATATATATCTGTCTCTATGTATATGGAATAGGATCTCTACTCGTCATACTGCCCCTCCGTCTGTATATTATTTGCATCTATTCCAAACTTTTGGGAGTTCTATGTTGAACTTGAAGCAAATAATGAAGGGTGAGTAATACCGATTATGTAATGAATTTCTTGACTGAACTATATAGGTGCATGTTTAATGTACTTCATCATCAATTTTATTGCAGGGTCGAATGTTTGCGTCTGTTGAATGAAATAATGTCAGATTTTGACGAGATTCTCAGCGACGAGGCAGAATTTGGATTTGTGGAAAAAATTAAGACGACAGGGAGCACTTATATGGCTGCTAGTGGTTAGATTATTATGCACATGCACTACCCGTACTTTAGTTTTTTTATTAATGCTTTTAAATATGTGTATGTATATATAGGACTCACTCCCACAACTCGAGACCTCAAAACTCATAAGCATATCTTGCAAATGGCCAACTTCTCATTAAGACTGCGCTCCCAGTTGAACACAATTAATCTTCACTCTTTCAACAATTTCAAAATGCGGATCGGAATGAATGTGGGGCCAGTTGTTGCAGGGGTCATTGGTGCCAGGTTTGATTTGATTTAAACGATTTAAACCTTTATTTACGTGTTAATAGTTATCAGTTTACAAAAATGATAGGAAGCCACAGTTCGACATCTGGGGCGATACCGTCAATGTAGCCTCGAGGTACTAACTAAATTAACTAGAAATTCTTAAGTAATATAACGTCAATTTAAATGATATTTCAGGATGGACTCCACATGTCCATTGGATAAGATACAAATCACACAAGATTTGGCACATATTCTCGAGTCAACCAATTTATACAAAATTACTCCTCGAGGAACAATCCAAGTTAAAGGAAAAGGAAGCATGACGACACTGTACTTGGATAGTTGATAGCCCAAAATTATATAATCAAACCGAAATACCCTCACTTCAGGAAACATACAATGCAGGCAGACTTCATTTAGCCTGAGTCAGGGATATACATTTTCCCATATCCAGAATCCAAAATTTAAGCTCTTTTCAACCAATTTTAAAAAGTGGTGCGGTCACTCTGCTCTCGGATTTGACTTCATTTTTGTTTGGTTTGATTTGTACCTACCCTGTGATACTAAATTTCAAGTTTCCACGAAAATTTATAAAATATGGTGCTATTTACTCCCTCCCACTTGCAAGGCCCTAATCGGTCAACCATTTGACCGATTGGGCTCATCTTCTGTATTTTTGTCTCATACAGACATGATTAAAATTTCAACTCTGTTGGTTCAGCCATTTTATTTCTATCATGTCTCGGACGAACAAAGTATTGATTGTCGATCGAGTACGTAGATGATTGATTCTAGATAAGGTGCGATTTTATGAAGATTAGTTCCCAGCACTTATGCAATAATCACGCTCGGTGATTGTAGAACAAAATACAACATTTTAAGTAGTCACATGTTCAATTCAGATGCCAAATTTTATTCCAATAAAGAATGTGCATAATTTATTAATTTATTCTTGTGATAACCAAATAAATTATTATTCGAATTGGATTGCGATGATATTCTGCACAAATTGTCATTTTTTGAAAATTTAAAGTTTCTAAATTTTTGAAAGAAATGCATACTTATTTCTAGTCTCATTTAAGTCATTCACCTATCATTTCTGAATGATGGGTAAATATTAGCAAATAATAAATCAACCAATTTTGTCAGACTGTCTCAAATTTTAGGCACGTGGATATTCTTTGTTTACTGAACTCGTTGACGTGGCATGCTGGGAGGTGGTTATAATGTGTGGCAATGTTTGTTGAGTTTGAAGATAAATTTTATGTACTAATCAATTTCATTCAGAAACTACTGATGTATGGAAATGCCAATATTTGCTGTATCATAAGTTTAAATTCATGCATGTAAATGAGGTATGGAAGGTAGATAATTAAGATACTCTTATACATATCTACATGCATACATACATAATATGTAAACATGATAATCACTATACATTCCTGAACTGAAACTACGCCTGTACTACTACGAAACAATGTTGTTGTCGAATAAGTCAAATTCCTTTATATTTAGAACATTGCGTTTCAGAATAAAGCATGATCTCATTCAAACTCGCACTGCACAAATTGATCAGTATCAAACTATGCATTGATACATAAATATTACTCATCAGATTCGATATTGCGTGGTCAGTATGAGTTATGTGTGATTAAGTCCTTCTAAATTGTTTACCAAACACATGCGCCGCATGATTACAACAATTAAGTACATAAACGCAGACGTATTAATTATGTAATGAAAGGAATCTACAAGAACACTTCATAATCGATCGATTAGATTTCAATAGAAGTCAATAAATTATTCCCATCGTTTCCGACAGTCGATTACCCACTTTACTACTGACTGATACACACATAAATACATAAATGCCACGATCTTATAATTAATATCACAATAAATACATGCAATTATTTATCGTTAACTCTAACATTAAGTACTGATTCTATTGTGAAAATGGTCATTTCTGATTTCTCGGATTTAATTATAGCTTAGGGTTCTGTAGATTTGATAGTCCATTAAACTCCTCAATTTCCTAGTTATCACTAATTGAGTTTAACCAAATGCCAACAGCAATCGTCAAAATTTAGTATTAGAGATAAGTGTATGACAATCAATTTGTCATCAACTCTTACACTTACTATTTCCTAGCTGGCACTTATGCCTGAGCAAGATGCCTCATCAAAATTATAACATCTTATCTACGGCCCTCCCATATCTAGATTTCCATTTAAAAGTTCAATCCATCTATTTTTGCAAAGTTTTAAAATATGATCTCATCACAAATAAATTTGCCGCAATCAAAGCCTCCATTCGCAATAAAATTCTTTTGCTCGTGCTAACTTGCTACTTTGTATTTCACTCGATCCTCTTAATTCGTATGCTGACAATACCGAAATCTACAGCGGAGGGCACAACAACAACAACAGCCACCAAACTCCCTGCAGTTATCCATTGGGTTCTCGTTTTTCTTGGGGTTTCCAACAGCATCTTGTTTGCAAAGAAGGCGTCCCTCGTCAGTGGATGGTTCAATGCTTTGTTGCAGTACATGAAGGGTACTCATTTGCATATGTATAATACAATATATTTATTGCAACATGTATAAACTATTTAAATTTCATTACTTAGCCGAACCAGCAAGTAATGTCATCGTCAATAATTTTTTTCGTTTTTGGATCCTTGAAATACCTACAATTTTTAAAAGTTTTCACAAATTCCTTCTATTTTCTCCAATCGGAGCTCCTTTGCTAAATCCACTGCTTTTTGCGGTACACACGCTGCTAAATCCCTGCGCTCCACCATTGATTCGATCATCTCTCTCTGATTGTGGACACAACGTCGCTCTGATTCCGCAGTCCATTTTAGATCCATTATTCAAAATCGTCTTCTTTTTTCTTGACACGATTGCGCTCGGAGTTGGATTCACACTTACGCCGTTCGGCTGCATACTTATAATTTTACTGGGCTCGGCGTGTTTCTTGGAGTTGATAAAGTATATTTTTCTATGTGATTAGAAATTGGTTTAATTATGGTTGATATGACTTGAAGTTTTCTGTGTTAATATTCCAGACCTTATGCAACAACCACATTCCAAGATAAGTTACAAATGGTTAGATTCTACCGAGAGCTGCAAATCTTATCAGTCTACTACAATAAACTCATCACGGGCGTCCTTCCCGTTCTCATGATGTCCGTCCTTTCCTTGGCGATTATGGGGATATACAGCTGCATTGCACTGAATCGTATAATTCCTGGACCGCTCTTATTATTTTGGGTCACATTGGTGTTTGAAGCTACAGTTTTCGTTCATGCGGCCACGTATACTTTCCTGGGCCTTGTCTTTGACAATACTAAAGCTCTCTTGTGGACGTGGAAGAAGGCACTGGGATCAAAAAATAAATATGTTCGAAAAGTATTGACAAGTTTTACACCTATCAAAATAAAATTTGGTGGAAGTGGAAATTTTATGGAAAGTAAAACTAGCTTAAGATTCAACAAATTTTCGGTCGAGCAAGCTGTGAGTTTGGTGTTAATGCGGAAGAAGAGGGGAATTCAGTAAAGTAGAGAATCTGTAATAAGTGGTATTATATTATATTTTTTAATTTTATGTAATAGCATTACATGGATTTCGTAAGAAGATTGTTGTCCATATATTCTAATTTTTAGATATTATAAAAGAAACCCAAAAAAGGAAAGCTTAGATGAGACTACGAAGTGCGATAAAAAGTATTTAATAAATTTATTCTCCAGTCAAGGATATAGAATTTTAATATTTCCAGCATCAGCGCCCCCATTTCATTTAAGAATTTACTCAAATGTCTGTACATAAGCAACATGTATGCATATATGTACATATTATTAAAAGTCGACCATGCTAGGCTACACCTGTATATCATGTATCAACTTTCAGTAGATTTGTAAGCATTTATAAGTTTTTAGTAACAAGAAAAATTCACAAATGATTTTAATATTTCTCTCTGCGTTATATTTTAAATTTGATACTTATTGTATATTTTTATGTACATGGTAGTGAATGAAATGGGGCGCTGATGCTGGAAATATTAAAATTCTATGTCCTTCACTGGAGAAGAAATTTATTAAATACTTTTTATCGCACTTCGTAGTCTCATCTAAGCTTTCCTTTTTTGGGTTTCTTTTATTTATTAGTTTTTATTCGTATTGAAGAGTAATTTATGTGACCACCAACCATATTACTAATGACCTACTCTTTAAGAGACCCAAGCATCACCTAGACACTAAATGGGTTCTGAATTGAGAAGTCGTTGTGTCGACCTTAGCAACTCATCTTTGGGTTGTGGTGGGAGTGGTTACATTTCACCACCATCAAAACTTTCTCACTTTTAAACCGATTTTGTCTATTTTAATTTTGTATTTTTATAGAAAATATGTATCAACTTTTTATCCGTGTACTTTTTTCATATATGCCTTAAATTTTTTCAAATCTCCAAAAAGCACACTATTGGTTGGGTTTCAATTGAATATCTCATAAACCGTTGGATGCTTCAGGCGGCCAAATCAGGGCTCTACTCGATGTAGCTATAATTAACTCTGGGCAAAATTTCATTAAAATCGGTTGGAAATTGACGGAGATCTGAAAAAATTAAGCTTTTCAAACCTGTAGTGAATGCTTACTTAGATGATTTTTTTCCATATAGTAACTATGGCCTCATCTAAGAAAACTAAAAATTTGGACCTGAAAAGCATCCTCTCATATTTTACTTTTCTGCCAACTTTTTGTAAATACTTATGTATAATAATTGTAATTATTACAAATATTTAAGGGGAAATATATTTGCATGTACATAGTAATATTACGATGTGTATTATCATTAACAACATACAATTTTTAATAAAATAGTAACAATTGGGATATTTTACACTAAAGTTAAATTTTGATTATCTAAACCCATTTCCGCTTTTTATCTTCGTTTTTGAAGCTAAAATCCTAAGTATATTTACAGGTTAGTAACTTGTGCGGAATGAAATTGTTACGAAACTTTCACCACAACAAAATAGTAGAATGAAAGAAATTTAGTAGAATGAAATTTGTGCGAAATGAGTTAATTTCACGCAAATTCCGTAACTCACAAGGGAACCTTAAGTACTGTCACACCTCGATTTCCTTTCCGATGGTCTTAATTGATAGATAATGTAGTGTAACTAAAACTTTGTCATAGAACATGGGGTGCAAAATTACGTTTTTGCAAAATATTTGGCAAAAGCTGCACCAAAGCTTGTAATTGTTCCAATGCTTTCACCATATATAACAGTTTTCGGAATTATGAAATGAAGTTTATAAATCATATGCCTGTCCGTATATATAGGACGTCCTATATATATACCATATATATATTTTGGAGGGACCCCATGGGGTCCCTCCCAGATGAATTTTTTTCCAGTTTTCCAAAAAGCTTAAAATCTCGAACGAGGTTATTTTGTTGAATATCTTATAAGCTGACGATACAAATTTCCAAATTTTTTGCAACTTGCAAACATAAATATAGCCAACAATTTTTGAAAAATACATAATATAGGTAGACTAACATTGGCATTATATCTTCTTCCATTGTGAGTTTCAATGTTTGAAAATTTTCGCAAATTTTGTTGCAATAACAAAACAATTTCTTTTTTGAAAACTTTTTTGCAATTCTTAAATAAAAGACGCTTAACATTTAAATTTTGTTAAAATTTAAAAAACGAAGGAATTTAAATTTAGAAAATTTTGCAGATTTTCCCAATTTGAAAAAATTGGCCAAAGTTTGCATGTATCCTTTTGAATATTGGTGATCAGCATGAAATTACGGACAGGCATATGATCTATAAACTTCATTTCATAATTCCGAAAACTGTTATATATGGTGAAAGCATTGGAACAATTACAAGCTTTGGTGCAGCTTTTGCCAAATATTTTGCAAAAACGTAATTTTGCACCCCATGTTCTATGACAAAGTTTTAGTTACACTACATTATCTATCAATTAAGACCATCGGAAAGGAAATCGAGGTGTGACAGTACTTAAGGTTCCCTTGTCAGTCATCATTTTAAATCTTACATTAGTTGTTTACTTAAGTGAAGCATAACCATAACCCATTTATAGATTATTAAGTTGTCACATTTGTCGTTATAACAATGTTATGAAAATATGACCAATAAGTTAGATTTTCAAGCGAAATAATGTGCTAGTATTTCACTCAAATTCAGACCAAATTTGATGAAATTTCACTCAAGTGAAAGTTACTTTCACCGTTGACGTGAGAACCATTTTGAAAAATTCATTCCAAGATGATTTCACGTGAAAAGCAAGACCTTCAAGGAAGTTATATGACGTCATGATTTCAAACATTAATGGAAAAATAGGGATGCTCATTTGCATAGATGACTTTTTTGATGCCGAACATAGACTTATATTAATATGATGCCGAATGATGACGTTAGCTTTGTAGGAATATTTAGATCGAAATGCATTATGATAATGATGGATTCTGGTAAACTTGAATCTGTACACAAGCCGTGTACAAGAGCACCAATTTAACCTCTGTAACAAAGATTATACACCTAAGTCTGTCTACCCTTTCCAAAAAAACACTTTCCAAAGGACTTGTTGATGAATAATTAGTATTATTCAACCTAATCACTCATTCATGAATTATTGTTTAGCAGAAGGAATTATTCTAATTTACAACGACAATGTCCGAATAATCTATTTTCCTACTTTAGTAAAACACGAATGCTATACAGAATACTAATCGCCAGGCATATACGAAGCCTTATTGGCCAGCACTAAAACATGCTGAGTACCTGGTGGGGTCCGTCTGGTGGAATTAATTATTATTTTGTTCATTAATTTACTCGTTTGCACTCTCGGAACAGACCATTCTTCGAATTCATCCCACTCACTGTCGTGTATTCAATTACAAAAGAAGGGGGTACAATGTCGCTCAAACTATTAGTGCTGTTTTGGATTTGTTTGACGCCTGCATTTGGGGATCAATTTCTAAATGGTTGAAAAACTAAAAAAAAATATTATTACCAAACGGGTTATACAATTTGTTTTCGTAATTTATTATCAGAATTGAGGGCGGACACCTGGGCGGATCGACTTGCGTCCTTTCCCAGTCAAATTCTTCAAAGCGCTGTCGGTACTTTTTCAAATAGCAGTGGCGTACCATCAGGTACGGTATGCATTAATCAAATATTATAATTTGCACAATTATTATAAACAGCCAATTGCATGATAAGTAACACGATTAACAACAGTTTGTATTTTTTAGTTGATATGAAATAGTTGATTTATTAAAAAAATAATAGTGAATTAGAGAAACAGGTCAAGTTAGTACATATACAACAAATAATGGGGATAACTTTTCGCTAAAATATAACTACAACTACTAGTTGTCTAACATGCTGTCTAAGTAGGTCTGAATACATGACAAATCAAATATTGGCCGTCCGTTAATGTCGCATTGAATTGGGTGATGATTTCGGATAAGACGCTTTTTGAACATAAAGTCATACATATCATCCAACAGTTGGAACTGGGTCACGGTGTAGTGGTTAAAATGAGAGAACAGGGAATTCCAAGATTTCGCTGGCTGTCCATCAATCTCCTCGCCCCTTAGTTGCCCGAATAGGGTGGCGTAGATGGCGAGGGTTTCGACACGTTTCGACTGTTTGGCCATTTTCTCACGGATTGCAGTATGGACTTCAGATGTGTTTGTCTGAATTAATTTTTTTGTAGCCTTTTTGGTTAACTCCAACTCTTGGATTGTTCTTGGGTACTGAAACATTTCGTATGAATTCTTCATCTTGTCATAGTCAAACTTTTGTCTCCCTTTAATATATTGAAGGGCGTATCTGCCAGAAGTTTTAATTTGAAGTAGGTTGGTTGGAGTTGACACCTCGCCGTGGTAAATCTCTCCCGGCCAGTACAGCAACATATATGTAGATGGCCACAAAGGATCAACTTTTGTGTTATTGGGTCGGAAAGGGGATACAGTCAGCTCTCCGAATTTGGATCCTTCGTGTGTGGTGATCCGGAAACCATTATCTTGTAAGATCTGATCCAAAAGTTGGAAGTCCACAAGTTCTACGATAATTTCCGTATTTGCGAGCCTTATAGACTTCTCCTTTGGATACAGTGTGTTGTGGGAAGCTACCATATAGGAAAGGGCCAACTAGAAAATAATAAAAATGTAAAGCTTAAAACTTAAACTGTAGAAATCATTCTCCAAAACCTTGTAGATACATTTAGTCATACATTAACAGTGTTTGTTATCATGTTGTACAAATCTTTATGGATGTAAGGGACGCTCCACTGCCATTCATGATGGATTTGAAAATTTACGAGTTGAAGTCGTGCTGCGATCCATTCGTCCTCCAACCGTTGGATCTGGGCCGATGTGCGATGTTGTGATTTGTAGTCTTTCATCCTATCCGGTTTCTTTGACGGTTCGGTTAAACCACGTGATTTCATATAGTTTGATGTGCTGGAATGATGCTCCCAAATACGATGACCATTCATATATTGTGAAATCTTATCCTGGTCAAAACGGTCAGATCTTGGAGCTGGTTGCACCGATGTGATGATGCACTCGTTATTGTTGATAATGTCATGTAAAATGAGGAATTCTTGATTCCTTGGACCATGCTCTTCACAGTTGGTAGTTGTTGTGCATAGTTTCCAACAAATGAAGGTCACACATAATTTCTGAGAATTTAATTTAACGTCTAGTTTAAATTCTTGTGGTTGCTCGTCTCCAACTTTTGGATCTTGTTCGATGGGGACTTCAAACACATATCTCAGCTGTGTTCCGGTCGAATAGACATAAATCCGGCGTCCTTTGGGGTCTGCCAAGTCGTATTCTGCTAAATTCTCCCCACATCGATCATAGTCGTGCATATCTTCGAGAAGTTGGATGAATTCTTGGCTCCCTTTCATATCTTCATCCACGCCGTTCCAATTATAGTTTGTCACCAATTCTGCTTTGATCGCGTTGAAAATAGAACCAATCGTTCCTGTAGGTGGAGTCCAAGGGGTCGGGAGAGGTGGGGGCAATTTTAACCAGGTGAACCTCGTTCCTTTCACGAATATGTGATCTGTAAACAAGTAATATTTATATTAAATATGCTATTTCAACAACTAATCCAATGTTTGGAAATTAATTAGTAAACCCACCCCCACTTCGAAACTCATTTTCTCCAAGATCTTGAGTCATTTCGACCTCCTCCACATTTGTTGCCTCTCTCTTTTCGGGTACAACTCCCATCCTTCGTCTTTTCGGTTGTGGCGGTGACGTTGTGGGTTCCTCTGCAATTAAATATAAAGCAACACATAAATTTCGCCGATAAATATTACACAATTTCTCCAATAGTTGGAATCATCCTTACTAAATCTGTGTATGTTTTCTTCATAGTTCCCAACGTTAATGTACAGAGAACGATCTAATTTGAGCCGTTCCGAGTTTCGTGGAACTAAATAAGTGAGACATAAAAATAAGTAATATAAATTTTGCATATATTTCACTACATTTATTTACAAGTTTGCTCACCTAAAACCTGACCTGTCTGCTCTAAAAACGAGTCCAAATCATCCCACCATTCTCCATTGATAAAACATGACGACTCTAAAACGAAAAACAAAATTCAAATCACTTAAAAATATTGGACATTATTCATTCCAACAGTTGGAATACGGTGGGACAAATTATTTACCTGTGGGAGGAGGATACTCTTCTGTCAATTGTACGTGTTTACTTTGTTTATCCTCCATCATAAAACTTCACTCCATTCTTCGTCGCCGTCGTCTTTTACTAATAAGTAAATAAATTTCCTGGTCATCATACGGGATTACTACAAATACTACAATTCCAATTTTTGGAAAACTTACCAAACTCCGTTTCCTCTCTGCTGACACTTATTTTGGTTGATTAAATACTTAAGTTGAGTTTATAAATTTACACTCAAACTTGCAAACTTGAAGAGAGCAGCGTCCACACTCGGCAACTTCCAGTTGAGTTATGGTCAAGACATGCATTATTTTTCTCATGCTTTGCTGCTCTTATCTATCGCGTCCCCAAGCCAAGCTCATATTTTCAAAAGGAGTCTATATGCACATTTTATTTTGCAGGATGCGGCAAACCACCAAACTTTCCCCTGGGAATAACCCTCCTTTCTTCCGATTTCCTCAATTGGTCAGAACTTTTAAACATGAGGAGTTTATGGGCAGGTGAGAGCCACAAAAACACCAGAAATGCGTAAAATTGAATGGCCCCTTTAATTTAACAGCGGAACCCGAAACACCTGAGGATGTCGTGACCCTTGCCAACTGGGCTTACAAACACGGGTATTCCCTGCGTCCTCGTGGGTATTCACATTCCTGGGCACCTCTCACAGTCACACCTGCTTCACAATGCTCTCGTACACTCATCGTCGACACTACCAAACATTTAACAGCTATGCGCATGCTGACCAATTCCTCCGGCCTTCATGCCCCAATTAATGTCCTCACTCAGGTTAGTGTCGCACACATTGGTGAATATAATTTCGATTATTTATGACATGTGGTTTTATTAAATAAACATCGTAGACTGGAGCAAGTTGGGAAGATCTCTTAAACTATTTGGAATCCAAAAATTTGGGCATATTTTCATTCCCCGCAGTGGGAAAGATGACCATCGGTGGTACTTTGGCAGTTGGTGCTCACGGTACTGGGTTTCCAACCCGGGCAGCGAAACTGGACACAGGTTTCAGGACAGGGTCAATCTCCAACTTGATTACTTCCTTGTAATTATCATACCCCGGACAAATATTTTTTTATCCTACCCTACTCGTGTTGAGCTCAACATGAGTAGGGTAGGATAAAAAAATATTTTTCCGGGGTATGGTAATTATCAATGATTTTTTGGAAAATTTATTTTTATTTTAGTCCCAATTTTAAATTTACGCACTTTACACACTTTGATAGGGACGCAGTCGTCTGGGATTATAAAAAGAATGAATACGCTCTGAGAACATTTACCAGACTTCAGGATGAGGATATGCGAGCGTTTTTGGTTCATCTTGGCCGAGCCTTTATCACTCAAGTCTCTCTAATGGTCGGCCCCAACTATAATTTGAGATGTCAATCGATCACTAATATCCGAGCAGATGCACTCTTCTCAAGGGATCATGATAACGAAAATGCCCTCGCAAACTTTGTCGAGAACTACGACCGAGTAAGTTACTGGACAAATACTTAAACGCAAATTTTATATGCATAAATAACTCGTGTTATTTATGTATATAAAGTAATATAAACATAAATTGTTGATATTATCCTCAGTACCACACATTGTTACTTAATTCTTATTATATTTTCCGAAAGGTTGAAGCCCAATTTTTCCCATACACGGATAGAACTTGGCTAAAATTGTGGACCGAAGAAAAAGTAAAATCTGGAAATGCTCTCACGTGAGGTTTTTCATATTAACTTTGGTATATGACTTGAGACTAACTGGTAAACTTATGTTAATTATTTTCCAACCTTGAAGAATTGATAAACCATACCCATATACGCATGGAAGACAAGGTAAACTTTAATGCAAAATATAAACTTAATAAAATATATTATTACACATGACATTTAACATCGAACATTACTTCTAATAATTTTTTTTTAATTTTTGAAAAGTATTCCGGCCAGCGGATCGACTTATTTCTCTACTGGCTTCAGGAATTACTCGCCTTACGCCAGTCATATCTAGAATGACCTATGAAATCGGAGTGTCTGGAGTTGCCTTAACTAGAACGGCTGACGTTTGGGTGAGGAAATTTATTATAACGTTTGGACTTGGGTAAAGGGAATTCGGTTACCATCGCCACGTGAATTATGATAAGTTCCGTGAATTAATGACCATGTTTTATACAGGGGCCATCTAAGAATTCCTTGCTGTATTATCACCATCTAGCTCATAAGGTAATGAGAATTGTATGATAGGTTTTCGATTCCTGGACAAATATTAATTAACTTTAAGATGCATAATCAACTTTAAAATAACGAAAGTTAAATTGAGAAAAACTCTACTCTTTTCATTTTCTTTTCGCAGTTTGTGTCATTGGGTTATAATGTTGTCACATCGAGAGCAAATATCCAAAAAGTGGTCAACCTTTGCTACCTGTTTTACTCGAGGTTGTCCGATGAAATGGCGACGAAGGGCATGTGGTATGTTCTTTTGCTTGACGTTGTAAATAATTTGCGCATTATATAAACTAATTTCTTATATAAATATCACTAGGCCAATGAATCAACCGCTCGAATTCAGAATTACTGGCTTGGACAAAGTCGAAGTAATGGAAATTAATTCAACAAAGACAACAATCAAACCACCAGCACTCAGTTTTCTGAGTGAAATAGAAGGACATCCAGAATACGATGTCGCTGTATTTTTTGGACTCCATTACTTTCCTGGTTGGTGATCAGACTTTTATTTTATTTTGTCGTTTTATGATGTATGTATGTACATGTATCATTTCTTATTTGATTATGCACAGGGACGCCAAATACTGCGACTTTTATGAAGGCGTGGGAGTCATTCTTATTCACGAATTTCAATGGTGGTTATGCTACGGCCCGTGTAGAGTGGGCAAAAACTTGGGGGTTCGACGATGACAATTCTTGGGTCAATTCGACAGTGTTTAACCAAATTTTGCCAGCCACCTATGGATCGGAATGGAATTGGGCAATGGCGAAACTTGATGAATATGATCCACATAACATCTACTCGAACGAGTTCCTTCAAAAACTAACACTTCCATTACATTGAAAAACTCACAAAAAGTTAAAACCATGCAGTCATTTGTAATATGCGAGGAGCAAAATAAACGGAAAAGAATGTTCGGAGTGGATAAATGTGTACTATTTAATTACTACACGAAGCATTATTTTTTGTCAAAATTAAATTTGAACAGGATATCAGCATTATATTTTTATTTTGTTAATTCATCAAATGAGAAATACTGGACATGTCACTAGAGTGCATTTGTAAGGCTAATTTTAGTACTATTACAAACTATTAATATACAAACTTTTAGTACTATTAATATACAAACAACGGTAGTTTCGTGCTGCACGAATCGTGCAACTTCAGGTAAGATGGCCCTTTATTAGGTGTGAATGTAAATGTAAGGGCATCTTTATGCAACTGAAAATCAGAGAGCATTCTAAATATGCTAAACCCTAATTTTGAATACATGCATGCATTACTATGCAGCTCTACGCCATATACAATGTCACAGGATTTTGCATGCAAAAAATCTGTTTTATTTTTCAGCTCGTCTCATTCATCCATAGCTCATTCATATCATGGGAAAAAGTCGTTTACACCACATCCTCACCTAATACGTCATCCTACTCACTCGGGTGCAATGAATGAGATTGGCTATATCGCTCATATGTACATATTTACGTGCATACATTGCTCCATGCAAAATTATTAAGTAGCATTTATTACGTCATTTTCGCATCCTATTTTTTTAAACTGATAGCTCTTTAGAACAATTCAGCTGGTCATAGCTCTTAAAAATGGACAAAACCAGTTCATTTTATCCAATAAAGGTTTTCAGCAGCGTATGCAATTATCCCACAGAGCATGGCCGAATGGTGGCTTTGGTGGTGGTCGTCGTCCGCCCTCGTATATAGTAAGTTGTAAAAAAGATTCGATTGACTACGTCTCAGCCGAGGGGGCCCTTCACCAACTTCCTCAATTTGATGACCTCGCCCCCCATCAGCTCTGGAAAAACAGATGCCCCCACTTATTTCAGTTGCCATGGTAACGGGGGCAGGCCAGGGTGGATGGATGCCTCATGTATGTCTGGCTGTGGTTGTGATGGAATATAAACGGAAAACGGAACCATCAAGTGGTTTAGCCATTGGTTGTCCATTCATTCGAATGTGCAATCCACCAATGACTGATACTTCAAAAGTATGATCTTCTACATGAATATCTATTCTATGCTTGTTGTTCATTGTGAATGTGTATGACTCCCTTCGTCTTCCTTCTTATACTTATTTTCTGCTGCTTCTCTTTCCATTGGGTTGGATTGGATTTGATGAGTTTGACTGGACATTGTTGTTTGTTGTCCTCATTCTTCTTCTCCTCATCGGCGGCTGACCCATTTTGCTTTGTCGATTCAACAAAATAATAATAAAGCGGTCGTCGTCACTCGGCCCATGGTGAAAGAGGGACCGCAGAAAAAAAGACGAACCGGTCGCATAGTGTTGCATAGTGTGGAGGAATTTGCAAACTCCTGAGCTGCTGGATCGACTGTGAAAACTGGAAATTTTGCAAGAAAAGGAGGAGGATATGAATTTTTAGGTGGGTGATAATTTTTAATGGTTCGGGTACTATGACGGTAGTGCAGTTAGATGTTTTTTACACTGTTATTGTGTAAAAGTTATATGGGAGGAAAATGTGTAACTGCGTCACAACTTTACAAGGTTGGAATAAATGGTGCTTGGTGTTATGGTATATGGCATGAATTTTACGGTTGTTGAGGTGGATGCTGATGTGTGTAGAGTGTAGATTGCATTGATAATAATAATGTAAAGAGTTAGTGAGTAAATCATTGGAATGAAATGAATGACGGAAAATATATCTCAATTAATATATTTATTATTCATTCGATCATCGAACGAAGCTAATGGATAATGGTCTTGTGTTATTTACAGAAAATAGAGTTTGGCCAGCAGTGAGTAGTGGCCGTCGTGTCGTTGTTGAGTTGAGTACGACGAATAGAAGAAGCACAATAATAATGGCAACTCCTAATGGGCCTAATTCACCTCCTCGTTTGGTGAAGGAGGGTCTCGTCTTTAAGCGAGGTTAGAATTTTCACTTAATTACTTAAAATATATGCATCAATAAATAGAAAGTAGAAAAACCTATGTGTTAACTTCTTATATGGTTGTATTCCTCAGGCGAGACAATCCGCAACTGGAGACCCCGTTATTTTTATCTATATGATAACGGATCCTTCTTGGGGTTTAAAGGTGTGTTACGTGTAATTTTTTATATATATATTTGAAATGAATAGTCTCTTTAAATATAATTATTTCTTGTGTTTAAAGGGGGCGTGGAAAACCCGCTGGGAACCGAACCACTCAATAATTTTACCGTTAGGGGCTGCCAAATCATGAAAATGGATAGACCCAAAGCTTTCACCTTTATGATCCGGGGCTTGTCTCCGAATCGAACCCTGGAACGAAGTTTTTGTACAGATTCCGAGAAAGAAAGACAAGATTGGGTGAGCTGTATTGAATCGGTGGCTCAAGCTTTGGGACCTGGGGCAGGTCCAAGTCCACTTGGAGCCCCTATGCATCATCTAGCTCCTGGAGCATCTGCGGCCTACTCTGGATCAACAGCTTGGATTGATGGAGCAGGATTGGCCTCTTCTGGAACGGTGTCAGAGAATAAAATGGTCACAGGGACACCGGTTGGGAGCGTGGATGAAATGAGTATTGGCAGCGCACAGTCTTCTTCACATATGGACGTCGATTTATCTAGCAAGTTCCAAGTTCAGGGTGTGTCACATCCAAGAGGATCGGGAAAGGCTAAAGTTGTAAGGACAATATTAGGCAAATTGGTCTCCGAGAGTATGATATAAAATAAATTCACTACCTTGTTTTTATAGACCTTTGAAAATTTCACCTTTCTCAAATTGTTGGGGAAAGGAACGTTTGGAAAAGTTATTCTATGCAGAGACAAGATCTCGGAGAAATTATACGCAATTAAGATTTTAAGAAAAGAGGTAATTATAAAGAAGGATGAAGTTGATCACACCCTCACCGAGAACCAAGTACTCCAACAAACTAATCACCCCTTCCTAATTGTGAGTAAAATTAACTTGTTAAATATTATTAATGATTATGTTTTTAAAATTTTACCTGCTACATATTTCACGCAGTCATTGAAATGTTCCTTCCAAACTGCCGATCGTCTTTGTTTCGTCACCGAGTTTGTCAACGGTGGCGAACTTTTCTTCCATCTGTCAAAGGAAAAGTTTTTCACGGAAGAAAGAACAAAGTAAGCATAATATTCAGAGAACTCTTAACCGTAGAACTCTTCCACATATAAATAGAGCATTCTTTTTCTTCCTTTTAGATTTTATGGGGCTGAGATCATTTCTGCAATTGGGTATCTTCATCATCTCGGAATAATTTATAGAGATCTTAAGGTAAGTTACTTTACGAAGTATGCATTTATGAAAATCGCATTGACTTTTACATTTCTTTAACAATTTTATATTCAGCTTGAAAATCTTCTACTCGACAAAGACGGCCATATTAAGATTGCCGATTTCGGGCTATGTAAACAAGACATTACTTTTGGGAGCACCACTAAAACATTCTGTGGAACGCCAGAATATTTAGCTCCAGAGGTACCACAACTTTTTTAAAGAATTGTATTACTAAACTTTTAGTTTTACTGGCCATGACAGTTACTGTATTTAATTGAACGAATTTTCTGTATTTTAGGTACTAGAAGACACCGATTATGGCTTGGCCGTGGATTGGTGGGGAGTTGGTGTGGTTATGTACGAGATGGTAATGTTTTAATTATTTCTTACGTCATTTTAAAATTAATTAATTAATCAATCTAATTTCTTCCTTCCTTCCTTCATGCCTTTTCACCTCATGGGTAATGTAGATGATTGGTCGACTACCATTCTATAATCGAGATCACGACACTTTATTTGAGGTATGTCAGAAAATTGTGTTTCTTAAAGAAAGCGTTACAATAGAAGGATTGCTTATCAACATTATTTGACTGCAGCTCATTGTCCTCCAAGAAGTCCGTTTCCCATCCACTATTTCCCCCGAAGCCAAGGACTTATTGAGGGGACTGTTACGAAAAAGCCCTCGTGAACGGCTGGGTGGTGGTCCCGAAGATGCGAAAGATGTGATGTCTCACATCTTTTTCAAGGTGAACCTATTTTCATTAACTAAATTAATGAGATTGAGAGATTGAAGACGCTGAATGAATCTCATTTTCACCTCTATAATAAGGAAGTGCCATTAATGAATAAAAATAAATAAAACATGTTTTTATTGTAGTCGATTGACTGGAATGCTCTAGTCCAGAAAAGGGTATTTTACACATGATATTACTTAAACTTTCTTGAATGTAATATGTATTTTATCTTTGTCAATTTCATTTCTAGGTTGTACCTCCATTTAAACCCCAAGTGACGAGTGATACGGACCTACGGTAAGCATTATACTGTCCTTGTTATTTGAAGCTATGAAGAATGCCCAATAATGTTGTCCACCTTATTTTTTTTTGTGGATAGAATTTTTTTGAATAAGGCTCTGTTAATTACATATGTTACCCTTCATTCATTTCTGACATTGCTTTAGATATTTTGACGTGGTGTTCACAAGTGCACCTGTCGAGCTCACCCCACCTGATGAATCACCCTTGGCCGCCATGGAAGAGGATGTCGATTTTTCTGGATTCTCCTATCGCGATCTCTCCTCTACCCTCGGCGCATCGCTCCGATCTGGCCCCCTCCATTCCTAGCCGACCTAATAAAACCAACATCTCTTCCACTACAATCAATTCGTGTTTGCCTTTGTCTGCCAATAAGTTAGACGTAGTTGCCAATTAGGATAAGCTAACATTGATAAACAGTTTGTATCTCGTGAGTGGAGAATATTGGTGGTGGATGCATGTATGGATGGATGTGTGAGTGGGTGAGTGGGTAGATGCAGATTAATTAATTAACTAACAAAGAATATCATTGATTTTACTACTATTCTTAGTTTTGCTCTTCTTTTGTAAAATTCAGAATCACATCAAGAATTCTACATCATTGTTTAACTACTACTCCCTTTTCTGGATAAAATTAAGATAACATGTACTCATACCCTGTATTCTATTCTACGCCTTTAATAATACCTCTGACTACATACTATACAAGGTCTGTAATTATTCTAAAACATTGTGGGAATTAAGAAATTTTTAAGAATTGTTGACTTATCTGAATCTTTAAGCTAATAAGTAAGAGGTGTACGATACCGCAGTTATGTATTGTGATATGACAAGACGATCAGGTAGAGAAAGTAAGCTCACTTATCAAGTATATACTATTCCTGATTCCTTTATGCATGATGATTACGTTATTATTAGTACTATTTATTAGCAGCAAAAGTTTGTTTGAAATTGTTTATTGATTGTAATATTCAGGAACAAAATTACGAATAAAAAACAACACTGGTCCTACCGGATCATCGTAGCAATTGAAAATCAAACGTCATTTGAATTCACGTGGTACATACATACATAAACCCATAAAAGTATCATATTCTACTAGTTATGACTTATGCTTCACTCTGTAGTAACTTGCGCCAGTGCTATATTTTAACTATGGCGCAAGTTACAAGCCATGGAGTGAAGTGTCCATGCAGCTTCAGTTGAGATGATTTGTGATAACATTTCTTATAATTACTATGTTCATATGCATGTACATAAGCGTTAAAATCATAATTTTTCAAAATTTTTACTAAATACCAACTAAAAAATGCATAGGATCTCACATTTATTTCCGTACGTGCTTATGTACGTACGTAAGTAGATAAAATACGTGCAATGATCCAAAATAAAATTTAATATTTAATTCCTCACAGTATGCCATGAAATATAGGTCCCATTTCCACTATGCATCATGAATGCTGTCTATTATCGTTCCAAGATGCTAGACTATACTCTACTTCTTCAGAGAAAGTGTGTCCCCTGCTCCAGATTATTTGCTTACACTTTGCTACTTTCTCCTCAGCCATTAATGCACTCACTCTAGTGCCATTGACCATTTAGTTGGTCACTAATCCATTTCGTCATTCCCGAATACCAATGACAACCCCTCTTTAAATTAATTCCCATAAACTGTCCCAATATTTGTATTCTCTCCATTGTTCCCCCAAAATATGGACGTTCTAACAACCCAATGTTGCTGGCTGCAGGTGGAATGGTGGAGGCGGAAGTAGATTCGCCAAAATGTAGCTGTCTGTCTCCTCGTATTGCATTATAGACAAAGACGAGCGAATCCATACATCACGACGAGCAGGGAGACCCGCATTTTTGCAATGTTGTCGACAATCCCGGACAAAAAGTGGCAGGTGAAAGCATTCTCCGATATGAATGGACGCCCCAGCACGACTAGTATCTTAAGTCTTTTGGTGTGTGTTTTGTGTGTGTGTGTGTATTCGTGGGTATTATTGTAGTCGTGGGTGAGTGAGTGTGCTATAGAGAGTAAGTTAGAGAGAAAGAGAGAGCGGAGAAAACGAGTGCTTTCCATTCCTCACTTTCACTGCTACAGACACCAGCAAAACCCTACCCAACTTTACTTTCCTTCCTTCCTTCCATCCAACCAACTCCTACCACCATCCACACTTGGTCGTCTTCGCTCCTTCTGAATTATTCCACTATACGCGATGGGCAGTGGGTGGGCAGGGTTGTTGGGGTGTGCCCTTCTACCACTCCTCCTTCTCCTCCTCCACAAGGGCGACCAGTAGCGAGTTTATAATGCAAATTAAGGACTCAGAAGGAGCATCCCGGAGCCGAGGCGACACAAAATTTATTTATCGGGCATAAAGTAACAATCTTCTTGGGCGAGGTAGTACTAGTCGTGGTGGTGGTGGTGGTTTTGCGGTATGTGAAAAACATGAATAATTTTTATTAATACGCGAATTATTTCATAGTATTTTATTGCTGGCGAATAAGGTGGGTGGAGAAGGAGGACGTGCACGTATATGTAAAGCTCATCTGCAGCATGTCGTCCTCAACCGTTCTAAAGAAAGGCGCCCCGTCTCGGAGCTACCCGTCCCGTCAGCGCAAACTAGGCCCCGCCCCGTTCGCGTCGTTTGAAGATTTAAGCGATGAGTTAGAATCCCCCTCCGGAGATCAAGGCGCGAGTGCAGGAGGTGGTCCTGGTCCTTCTTCCATGGTCCAGGCCCTTCCGGGGATAGAGGAGGACGATGGTGATATCAGACCCCACAAATCCGTTACGGCAACCTCTTCCGGGAGTACCGTAACATTCGCCGTGTCACAACCAACTTCTGGTCTTCAAACGCCATCCACCCCTCGGATTGATATTTCATGTGCATCCTCCTCCACGCCACCGTCGGAGGAGTCGGAATCTGAAAAAGAACTGTTTCAAGGCGGCCTTGGTTTCGCGTTTCATGAAGAAGGGACGGAAGAGTTGAGAAGGTGCGGTTATCATATTCTAACTTTTTTGATCTATCCAGACAATTATGTAATTACTTAAATATTTACTACGATACAGTTCGACAGAAGAGTTGGATCTTGGTGGCGAGGTTTTGGAGATGGACTCGGAAGAGGAACGCAGACAAAAGAAGAGAGAGAAAGAAGCATATTCTGAAGATATTTATAGGAGAGCATCTACGCCTGCAAATATTTTCTATAGGTACGCATGCATAGGTTACTACTTACATATTCACTGCCACTCGTTCATTGTTTTAATTTTGGCCATGTTGTGTCAGAAATATTGACATTTTACGTACGTATACATTGAATTATGTAACAGAAGGAAATCATCAAACACAATGGCGAATGATGATTACGGGGCGGATGACGATATTCACAGAAAACCTTCAGCGCACACATTGTTCTTGGATGGCCTCCTTTCGAGACCGACTGCACGACACAGGGGAGCTTCCTTTGGCAGTGGGGACTATGGACGACCTGGAGCACTTTCCTCAATGTCGGCACATTCATCAGGTATGCATTTAACACGACAAACTCGCAGTTTAAACTTAACGAGTCTCATTAAATGACTTTGCGTATAATGTATGCACATACGTAGGTAGACTGAATGAGAGTCATTAAAACTCTGTATTTTACAGCTTTGTTTATTAAATGATTAAGCAACCGTAAAAAGTGTGCGCATATAGATATCTGTATTGTGCAAAACTTTAGCAGGGCAGTTCAATTCACTTTGCTCATTTTTGTAGCACACGACATATTTAATGACAATAATAATCTTTAATGTAAACAGGAAGTTTTGGTTTGCGTAGTATCATATTCAAATTTATGTACATATGTATGACTCTGACTCTAGTTTATGTATGCTATACTAAAATGGTTTCAATTTTGATCATCGTTTCCCCGTAATTTCCAACAGCATAAATAAGTATTACCAGTTATTTATGTAGACTTCCATTTAAATGTATACTTATGCATGTATATTGCTATGCAGGGTCTATACGGGGCCGATCGCGGTCTCCCTCTCCGCACAAAATGATGTTGGAGACCTCATTTTGTGGGTGTAAACCAATCCCTACCAAATCCATGGACGTTCCAGATGACAGTAGTAGTTCTTCGAGTAAAGTAGTAACCAAACCTCAGGAACAAGGGGAGGTAAAAGTAGCAAAAAGGTCTCCCAAAGTTCCCATAAAAATAAAACCTCCCAGCACTGATCAAGATTATCCTCCTCCTGAGGAAAAAAGTGCCCGTTCTCTCTCCATAAAATCACTCACAGCCCCCTCAACATCACGGTCACCAGACCCACCCTCCAGTCCCACAACCTCTTCCACCGGCGGCGGGGATAGTCGTCGACCTTCGTACGGTCGAAGATCGGTATCGCCATTTAAAATGGTGTATGAAACCTCATTTTGTGGGAGTAAACCTATTCCAACAAAATCCATGGAGGTCCCAGATTCACCTCCTAAAAACAAGGACGGGTTACCTAATGATCAAGATCTTTCCGCCTTTCTTTTATCGCAAACGACGGCACAAGTTCACTCATCCACGTCTCCAAGACCTTTATCGCCATCGTCCCCCAAATCCTCAGATCATTGGAGACCCATCACGCCCAAAAGTGAATCAGAGTTATCCCCATTTCCTCAGACAGGGGGACAAGGTGTATCGGAGGAGAGTAGTCCTTCCATTTCGACATCCACTGCAAAATACGTGTCAACTCCGAATCCGAATCTTAAACTTCAAACTTCCAATATTTTCAAGTAAGGTTATACAATATTTAATTAGAGATCTGCATGTGTGTTAAAATTTAAAACAACCTTCAGTGTTCAATGTTGATTTAGCCAGAGACTGTGATCTCCTGTGAGCCTGATCACAGTCCGCTAAAGTCTACTTCTAAATTTTTCATGTGTACCAAATTTCAAGTAGATACAATGAGTTTAACGAGAGTTATCATGAGACGGACACGATGGTTCCATGAACCTTGACTCGGGCTTAAAGACGAAAATAACTAATTTATTCACTCTAAAATTAGGTGGCCTGAAACCAAGAAAGCTGATGAAGTCACAAACGAAATCCATTTTTCCGAACCCCCTTCTTCTCTTCCAGTCGAGGACGCGTGTAGTACTTCATCCATGGGCGGGGGCATGGAAGAAGCAAAATTTCTCCAGTCCGAGTTTGACACTGAGGCGGAAGTTGACGCGGACGACTACGAGGATGGCGATTTGCCTTACATTCCAACAACTCTGCCACAAGAGAAGCCTTCGACAGAGTTGGTATTTCCATCAAAGGAACGCCGCAGTAGTGAAGGGCTGACACCCTTGCAACGTCCAAAAGTGATCCGACCCCCAAATCCAGCTTCGTTGAATGACTATATTGCATACGCTTCTGGTTCCGGGAGTGGCGACAAAATGAAAATCAATCTCCCAAGGGAAGACTCTTTAGGCGGTGGGTCTGCCAGTGCGAGTGGGTATGTTCCCGTTGGGGGTGGGGTTGCTAATGAAGGGGGCAATTTAAGAAATTCTTCTCCAGGAAAGAAAAAGGGATCCATTGGTGCCACTAATTGGGCAGACTTTGCGGAAATGGGGCTCAGATCTCCAAGAGAATTGAGAAAAAAGTTAAGAGAAGAAAATGGAGAATCCGACTAGGTACAGAAATATGCGACTAATTAGAAATATTGCTGAAACATATCTATAAAACTGGTATCTTTTTACATTTTCAGTGATTTTCTATAGGAATAACATCAGCAGGACTGACTCCAATCGTAACTCCAAAAACTTTTCAAATTACAATACAAAAAATGCATTTAACGCAAAAAACTTAACTGATTCCAAAAATATCATTAAAAAATTAAGATTGTAATTATTAAATATACGTAACATAACCGGCGTCGTGACTACAATTTGTTTAAGCAACGCCTCGAAGAAGAATTACTAAAACTGGAGGAGGACGCGAAGAGTGTGCTTAATAAGTCAGTATTGTATTCATTCCTTACTACTCAAGTATATAATTACCACATGACATAATGACACACATGACATCTTACGACTTATCATCCTCACCGTAAATAAATATAACACATACATACCTCGTTATATACCTTATCCTAAAAGCAATATAGGTTATCAAAGTGAAACTTATATACAAACAAATAAATACTACCAGATTCTTATGCAAATTAACAAATACAATTATTCTATACTTATGTACTTGGTGAAGCAATTAATTAATTATATTCTAGATTATTTCCATTTTCTTATTTTTTGTATATCAAAGTATGCAATGACAATTGTGCATATAAATATTACTAAAAAAACAATTTAGGTAACATTGTCCTGTTATTATAAACAAATAAAAGTAATAATATAAAAATTACTTAAGGACGAAATAGTAATAATCAAATAGCACATGAAACAAGAAGACAAAATGAAATATCTCCCAGTAATAAGGTTTATACGTATTCTGATTACTTACATGTATGTAAAAGCGATTATATAATTACTGGTAAATTTGGGTGGCACATTACTGGTCCTTCATTTCTCGAGTATACGTTGCAAAACATATTTATATATTAACTGCTCTCTCTGGCCGGTGATTGTCGCATTATTAAGAAAAACAGGAATTACTATTCGTGTTGTGAAGGAATTTGATTTCCTCTAAAGGACATTTATCAAGACGTATAAATGGTGCCATACATATATATATATTACATATATAGGAAACGGTGGCGAAGAAAATATGAAGAGAAAATAGCCAAAAAATTGAACAAATAAATGTCCCCCTCCCCCAAATCTAAATACTTTGTCGAAATTAGTCTGATTTAGTTTTAGTTCAAATGATACGAGAGAAATTACAAAAAACGCATCATTATTTCCATCTAAAATTTGTCAAATACAAGATTGGATAAAGAAAATAAAATTATCAATCAATGAAAATTAAGCCCATTTTCATTTATCTTTCTTATTCCCTTTGCATTCAAGACAAACTATTTAATAGAATTGCATGCATTTCACCCGAGTGTGGGTTGTACATTACAGAACAAAAATTTCATTCATGCGCCATACCACGGTTTCCTCTTATCGATCCATGACATGCTTAAGACTATTCCTGGTACCTAGTCGACTCCTCTGGAGCTAATTCCTACCCGGGTATAAGAATCCGAATTCGGGTGAGTGCTTTAGCTCCCACCACCCAGCAGAAAACAGAAGAGAAAGTAGTATTGGTTATGCACAGTGTATAGAACTTCTCGTTACTTTGCTACTTTCTCGTCGTCCCAGCCCAGACTTACACCACCATGACCACCCGAGAACCGAAAAGGCAGACTTGTACCCTTTCTCCTTCCATTTACTCATCATCGCCACTATTCACCGTGCCATACCATCAACACCACCTTTCCTCTCCCCCAGCAGAAATATAGAGCACGAGTTACACCCAATTGATTCACCCACTCACACTTTACACCACTGCAATCATTCCATCGACGGATGAGAGATAAGTGACAAACAAGTAACAAACTAATTCGCGACAAGTTTTTGTCGGATAAAAAAGTATCAGATTTAGAAGAAAGTTTGAAAATAAGAAATGAGAATTTCTTGGGACATGAGTGAACCCACGCTACGATCATGCTTATCCATCTGATCAGGTGATTATCTTGGGAAATACTTGTACCATCAAAATTAAGTGGTTATACTAATTACTTACTTAATAATCCATCATTCATTTCTCATGTCTCTAGTTTCGACAGTAGTTTTTGCTTAGCAGAATATGTTAAAGGGCGTAAAGAAGGGGCTGAAGGTATTGGAACAATTTGCATATCTCAATATTTTTGAGGCTGCATGTACGTAAAAACCTACAACTAATTAATTACTCCTTAAAGAAGAAGATAAAAGGGAAGAAGCACGGCAAAGCGGACGAGGACGACTTATTTGACCCAGAGCAGTTGGAAAAACTTAAGCGTGAACTTGAAGAGAAGCGTAAAGCCGAAGCAGCGTAAGCGTCATTCATTTGCATATCGTATCAATTCTTTAGATAAATTTATATCAGAAATATCTCTGAAAAATTTATAATAAATTAACAGTGAAGGAGGCGAATCATCGTCCCATAACGGAGGTCAACAAGCAGCTGCGTCCAGTGCCGCACAAGACGAGGAGTGGGCAAAATTTAAATTACTCACTGCCGGAGTTGACACCGGTTAGAAATATATGACACGATCTGAAAATGTCCAATTACGACATAATCAAATATTTTATGATTTTTTAAACAGTCTTAAACAAAGCAACTGAAGAATTAGGAAAAATTAAAGAAACTTCATTCTTTCAAAGAGTTGTCACTGATCCTACAAATCTTTGGAGACCTGATAAAGGCCCAGGAGCGCCAGTAGTAGAAACTAAAGTTGAAGAAGAGGTCGAGGTTCCAGTAGAAGAAGAGGTACATAAATTGACCCTTCGAAAAACCAAAATTTACTTTAAATTTGTCCACATAATCCCTAAAAACTGTTTCATTCGTCTGATTAACTAGATTCCAGAAGAGCCTGTCGTCGCTCCAGAAGACGTTGAACCAGTTGAACTTGACGATTCCCTTTTCGACACTGCTTATTTAGATGCTATCGCCGCTGGTGAAATCAAGCTAGCCTACATCCCCGATTCCCCCACAGAAGAAGAGGGCGACGATCCATTTGACACTTCTGGCGTAGCAGACGTCGTCAAACGAATCGAGGAGGCCGAAAAGAAGGCCAAGCGACAAGTCAACCTCGGTTCTGCCGCAAGTTTTCTTAGTGGGAAGGGTGCTACCGAGGGGGAGCTCGACAACAGCAGGGCACGCCCCAGAGCAGGTGGAAGGACTGGGAGAGCGCGTCCCAGGGCTGTAAATCTCTTAGGCGACTCTGAAAACGCTCCTGCCGCCCCAATCTTTGAAAGTGCAAGTAAAAAGGAAGAACAAAAGGATATTTTTGACGACCTCCTCAACTCTGAACCAAACGACGCATTACCGCTACCAGAACTCGAATCTTGTATTTTGGCAAGCACTTCTCCCGTTCCGAGCGTCCAAGTTGTAAAATCCGAGTCACCCACTACTGACAAAGCCATACAAGATATCCTTGGCGAATTTGATGATATCTTAGCAAAAGCAGAATCATCCAGTAGCGAACCACCCACACGACTTGTTGGAGGAAGTGCAGATTATTTAAGATCAATTTTAGAACCGGAGGAAGACCTCGACGACGAATTTGCAGCCCTTGCAAGTGAGTCCTTAGCAAAAAGCCCGTTGCCTGTGAAAGAGGAGGAGGCAGAAGCAGAACCAGAAGAGGACGACCCCTTCGACACAACCTTTGTCGAAAAGGTTGTCGTTGAAGAGAAAGAAGTTGAACAAGTTGAATTAAAAAAGGTTCATATTTTTTATAGCCACTCTGCATTATAAAATTTCTGGGTTATAAAATTTAGAACTTAAACTCTTGATTTGCATAAAAATCTAGGACGACGACGATGACTTTGATTTTGATCCCCGAGCTGACGAACCTGCTCGTCTGACCCCACCACCACAATCTCTTTTAGACGATCATTCCCCCACTGGAGAAAACTTGCCCACACTCGAACTTCAATTTAGAGCCAAAGCAGCAACTGGGCATTTAGTTGATCACGCAGAATTAAAGGGTATGCACATATAAATATGACGACTGACTAAATAGTTGAGAAAAAATGTAATTATACTCTATTTACTTTCTGTATTTTTCTAGCACCCGGTGAAAAAGAAACCGATCCTTTTGATACATCAACAGTAAAAGTTGTCCTACCTGGTCGAGCAGAACTAAAATTACTAGAAGAAGAACTTCTTAACGCAGAGGTTGCCCCATTGACGGCAAAAATCCCCCACTTGCCAGCTAAATTTAGCGCCCCTGCAAAACCAGTAGAACCAGAGGACGACTTTGATTTTAATCCACGGTAATCATTAATTTTACTTTTTGTTAGAAAAATATCTTTCAAAATTTAAATGTCTACTATGAATTTAGTTCTGAGGAGGAAAAGCCTGATCATCCATTCGATCAGGGAGACGAGATCGTAAATCCACCCCTAGCCGACTCTGAGGATCACAGAGTTTTAATTCCACAACAAGAAGAAGAGGCGGAACTAGACCCATTCGACACGAGTTGCGTTGCAGGTCTCAACTTGGGTCCGGGACAGTTAGAATTAAAACTACTGGAAAGCGAATTGGTCTCCAGAGACGAAACTCAACATCCTGTTACAGCAGGGACAAGTGGTTTAGAACAACTTGAGGACGACTTTGATTTCGATCCACGTGGTGACGAGGAACCCGATCCATTCGTTGTTGTTGTAAAGCAAGGAATTCTCAAGACAGAGGACATATTTGGTGATCACGAGGAGGAGTTTATTGGCACGGACAAACCTTTAATTCCTCAACAGGAGGGTGTAACGCTATCCCCTAAACCACTTCAACCAGAGAATCAAGGAGACCACGACGACGACGTTGACCCATTTGACACTTCTTCCATTGAAGTGATTAAGCTTTTGCCACCCTCAGAACTAAAAGCGATCGAAGCTCATCTCATCTCAGCACCCGAATTTTCTCAAACTGCTCCTCAAATTAAACTAAAAGCTGCATTTTCTGCACCAGCCGTTCCCCAAACGTTTGTCGAATTAAAACCGCAACTTACTGTGGACGAGGAAGCTGCATCGGAAAAGTAAGTTTGTGTATATATTTGACGACTAATTAGTAATGCTAATTATTTATTTGCATTGCAGACCACATCTTTTGGAAGAGGAGGATCCATTTCATCTAGAAATTGAACACAAACCACTGACTCCTCTAGAAATTCCTGACTTTGACCCCTTTGATACATCCATTGCAGAAGGCGTGATTCCAGGAAAAACTGAAATTCGTGTCCTTGGTACGTGGCTAAAAATAAAATTTATTCGATTAATCAAAGGGTTACACTGGTACAGAAACATGACAATGTATTCATGGTCGATACTCATACGCTCAAATGATACTTACAAAAAATTGTAATCAGTAATCTGAAAATTTCTAGAGCAAGAACTTCAACTTGGGTTTGACGGATTGAGTGGGAGGAGATTATCAGACCCAGACTTTGACCCGAGAGGGGCAACCGTTGTGAAGGAACCACAACCCATTCATCCGGCTGCGTTATCATACGTCTCAAAAATTTTGGAACCAACTCGGTCAGGAAGTCTAAATCTAGGCGCCGATGAAGACGACGTTGACCCCTTTGATACTTCCGCAGCAGATAACTTCACAAGTAATATTGGTCCGCCAGTGACAGCATTAGCAACAAATCAACAACCCCCAGATTTGAAAGCCTTGGAGGCTGAACTTCTCTAAATCCGCACTTTGGAATCTCAATTGTGCGAAATTGTTAACTTTTCCTTGGTGAAAGTGAATAATCGCTATAAGTTCATTAATAACTATATTGTGACTTTATTGTCCCCTTTCGTGTGACTTTGCGTGGGTGTAAAAATTACCTGATTGAATTCTCCCCTGAATTGTAATACGTACACGATGGCGTTCAACCCTTTCCTGATGGAGTCCGACTACGCGGCGGCCCAATCCTCGTCTGCCGCGACAATGTATACGTCCCCCGCCCCACAACAGCACGTCCCAATGGACACTGGGGGCTCATCTAACCCGTTTCTTTCCTTTGGGGCACAAGACGAACCACCGGCTGCAGAGATGCCTCCAGTGGTCATGCCATCATATATGGATCATCAAAGTAGTTTATACGGTGCCACTGCAGGTGGAGCAGGTGACAATCCATTCTTAAGTTACGACATGGGTCCCTCCGTTCCAGTTGCTGCTGCGAGTTCCAATCCGTTCGCCGACTTTGCTGCACCCGAACCACAAATGTCGGCGGCAGATATGGGGATGGGATCGGGTACTACGATAACAATGGGGGCGAATGCATACTTTGCTTCGACGGCGGATATGTCGTATGCACACATGGTAAGCCGATTAACACCACATTCTTGGGTCGCGTGGGCCAGTCATCAAGATATTTAAAGAATGGCTTCTTGGTTTATTCTATCCAGTCTGTCGCCTACTTTCAACAAAATTCAGAACATCCAAACCTGATTGATACCTCTGAACCTGATGTCATCCATTCACAGCAAGCACAAACTACTCAGAATCTGTTGGAATCAGTGACAGGTGTACTGGAAGCCACGTCGGATTCTCTCCTGGACCGACTCAGGGTATGAAGAAAATGTTGCATGTTTTTAGGCGATATATGTCAATACACTAATACATATATTATCGATTTTGCAGGTAAATGCACCAAGTCCCACCCCCGAACTGCCAAGTCCAACTCCATCTCCGCGGTCACCCAGTCCTGATCTACTTGGTGGAGACTTAATGTCTGAACCTCCCCCTGTTCCTCCACCATCCGCCAACCCGCTTGCCCCATCCCCTCATCAGCTCGATTCAATCATGGACCTATTTGATGCCAGCAACAAGACGTCCTCCGCTAATTCTGCACATGTCGACCTGATGGGATTATACAATACTTCTCAAACTGCACCCGTGGTGTCTTTAGCCGAGGATACAGTTCCGCCAGCACCTCCAAAATCAATCCCCATGGAGGTTGATACTGCCCCTCTTTCAGCCCCCCTTGTCGACTTTGTTATCGAACCTGCTACTCCACGAGCGAAGGAAATTCCGCAAGAGCAGCCGATGAAAGAATCGTCACCATCATCGCTCAGTCCTGTTCAGTCCCCTGCTGAAAAACACCCACCACCGCGACCACCCCAACCACCATCCCCTGTTCGAAGTCCAGTTCTATCCCCTGTGCATGAGGCCACACCACCTCCAAGACCCACGACAGCTCCACCCGCCCGACCTGCCCCACCGCCAGTGGTGCCGACTCCAAAGTCGCCCGTGTTGGCAGAGAAACCACTCCCTTCTCGACCACCCCCGCCAGTTCCTCCTGCTCCAAGGGCCACACCTTCCCCGCAACCACCAACTTATTCAGCACCACCGCCACCAGTGGTAAACCAAACACCACCGGTAACAAATATTTTTGCAGCTCCTGTCCATGAATCTTCATCACCTTTTGGCGCCGCTATTGTAACCAGCGCTCCTCCACCCACTGTAAAAGGTATACATATTTACGTAGTGATGTATTTCCTAACGTTTGGAACCCATTAAACCCCTGTCATAACAGTTCATCAATTCTAACAAATGACTTAAATTTTTCAGGTGGATTCGACATGTTTACCGCAAGCAGCCAACCACAATCTGCTTTCAATTCTAGTTCAAGTGGAGGAACTGCAGCACTCCGTAAAACAGACACGTTTGACGCATTTGATGCAAAGTTTGAACAGTTGGCTGAAGCTGGGGGTGGCAATGCTAATAATGCTTTTGGACTACCTCCAACCATAACCACGACCAACTCGGACTCGGGTTTGTTTAAATTCTACGCATTTTTTGCATAATATTTACAATACTTATTTAATCGACGATAATTTTACAATGTGCAGCTTGGGGATCGGACGGTGATTCTTTTGGAGGAGGAGCTGACACCGAAATGGGGTTTGGCGTGGGGGGATTCGATTCCTTCCTCTCCATGACAGAACCACCTCCTGTACCGCAGAGTACCCCAGCCAAGATACGACGAGGCGATGGAGGCGACGATTTTGATAATGACGACGAAGATAAGGAAATGTCTGTCACGATACGGTACTTACTTTTTTTTAAATCTCCCTCTCTCTTTCTGCATATATGTACTTTTTGTGCATCCTGATTCTCACAACCGTGTATGATACATATATAACTATAATTATTGTTTATTGGCAGACCTCGTAACGAAAACGACTTGACACTAACAATCGCTCCATGTCTGGCTCCACCCCCCAAAAGCCCCGCAATCTCAACGGGTTCGGCGTACTCCGAGGAAAACAATACAGCTGCGTACGTCCCATTCCTCTCACAATCAAGTGCGCCCATGGTGGACAACAGTTACGCTGAAGCCCGACGCCAAACACAGATGAATCGGACCGAGAGTGGAGAATCGCCTCAAACTCCGCTTTTCGAAGAAGACACGTCTCAACCGTTGGAAGACTTCCCACGCACAAAGTATACTTGCGAAGGTTGGGACATGCAAGTCCGGTATCCCAACAAGAAGGTCACATTTGGGGGACAGAGGTCATGGAAAGCTGTATTCGTACGAGTGGATCATCAAGGTGATATTCCCGTCGTCAAGATTTATGGGAAGAAAGGAGACAAAGAACCAATTCAGGAGATTCCGTTACAGTCGTCCTACTCAGTTTCAGACATCAGTATGGATAATTAAATATATATTATTCATAGCTAATATTGATGCGTATTGAATTGATCCCTATTTCATTCTTTAGGCGCCCAACAATTTGATCAGTATGGAAAAATATTCACAGCCAAACTACAATTTGTCTATTATAAAGAGAGGCCGGGCGTAAGACCTGGACAAATTGGAAAAGCCAGCCGGCTTTCTCATAAACTTAGCGCATTTGCCGCATATGCAATCACTGGGGATACATCGGGTGTCAAAGAATTTGGTAGTGATTTAAAGAAACTTGGCCTTCCTTTGGAACATGCGCCACAAGTGAGTACTCTCTATACGCAAATTTATTTCTGCACATTCAATTAAATAAATGAGTGCTACATATTATTGCTAAATTTTTGCGGTAGGTTTCTCAACTGGTTAAACTGGGTACCCAATGGTAAGAAACTATGTATTACATGCTTACATAACAAATGGAACTATAAGCTTCGTACTTCATGATTAAAAGTAAATTCGTAAATTAATCTGTCAAAATTATTCTCAGCTATGACGATATGAAGCAATTCTCCGTCTACATCGAGGAAACCCTTTTTCGACTTTCCACACATCGTGACCGCGCCCTCAATTATAAAACAGAGGAAATACAAGTGACCATCGTGGATGAATATTACGTGGAACAGGATCTTTTTGGCGTTGTCACCCGACAAATTGCCCGAGGTAGGTTTCTCATTTGTACATATTTAAATATTTAGTATTCTTCATCTGCTTAATTTGTACTTATAATAACGGCGAATGTTTCATTTCAATAGTTCGCGTCATGTTCCTCTCGTTTTTGAATGGCGTAGCAGGTAAGCGGTACTGTGGTACTGATACATAAAGCTGAAGTTTCATAACTGAAATTTTATCCACTTTATGCAGAAATTGAAATGGGTGTCAATGATATGAGACGACAAGGAAAGGAAATTGTGGGCCGACATGACATCTGTCCCGTTCCGACCGAAGAGTGGATTAGGATGGAAGACATTGAGTTTTCAAACATTGTCGATCCTGTGGTATGCAATTTTGACAACTATTTTTTTAAAAATCAGATGAAAATCGAACGAAATTTCACTTTATATTTAAATTTATATTTCTTCATGGTTCAGGAATTCGAACAAACTCAAACAATTAAATTCAAACCACCCGACGCTTCATATCTCGAATTGATGAGATTCCGCGTACGACCTCCACGTCGCAGGGAACTCCCTCTTCAAATAAAAACAACCTTCATTACTACTGGACAAAGGATCGAAATACGATCCGATATCCTTGTTCCTGGCTACACTTCTAGAAAACTTGGTCAAATTCCGTGTGAAGATGTCATGGTTAGATTTCCCATCCCGGAAACATGGATCTATATGTTCCGAGTAGAGAAACATTTCCGATATGGTTCAGTAAAAAGTGCGCACAGGAGAAGCGGTAAGGTGAAAGGTGTGGAAAGAATTTTGGGAGCTTTGGACGTAGTGGAACCAAGTTTAATGGAGACAACTTCCGGTCAAGCGAAATATGAGCATCATCACAGAGCCATTGTTTGGAGAATTCCACGATTACCAAAGGAAGGACAGGGTAACACCAGCAACAACTATTTTAAATGTACAATATTGCTTAAATACTGGAATCAAATTTCATTTCTCTGCATAGGTGCCTACACCACCCACTCATTCTTTTGCCACATTACGCTCCAACCTCATGAAAAAATCCCTGACAATTTGAGCAAGCATTGTTACGTTGAATTTACTATGCCCCATACGACCGTATCTCACACCGTGTGTCGGTCCATCTCTGTCCCCACGAGTGACGAACCTCCCGAAAAGGCGTGCCGTTACCTAAGTCGCCATGAGTACACCGTGGAAATTGAGCATCGAGAAGGACTCACGCCCGCGTCGTACAGCGTCGCTGCTGCCGTCACAAAGGAACCCGAAGAAGCGCAGCAACCTGTACGTGGAGAATTTGAAGAACAAAAATACGATTCGGATTTCTCCGACGATTAAATGATTATGTGTTAATTTTTGTATATAATGTAAATATGCCATATCATTTGTTCTATACTAAATAATCCAGAAACTTTAACTAAACCATAAGTGATATAAAATATAAGACAAAGAAACAGAGCCAAAAAGTAGAGAGGAAAATAAGATGAGATTATCATTATTCTCCACAAAATACAGCAGATATATAGTTAACTAATGTGTAGCTCGAAATAGTCTCAACACAAGAAAGCTTATATTTAACAGTATTTTAGTACATTGAATAATTTTTATTTTGCTCATCAATATCGTTCGGTATTTTTCGTCCAATTATTTTTGAACTTCAAGTTTTCATAGGAATTTGTCATTCCAAAAGTAATAATTTTTTTGGGTAGTGGGAGGACAATACTAAAAGTAAAACATCTCAACAAATATTTACGTATATAAATATATAACAAACATTTATTTATTGTCAATTCTGAGTGGCTCAGCATAAAATTATTTTGTAATCGAGTGCGCTCCTTACTTAATTCAGGTTTATTATTAAAATATATATGTGGAGAATCAGTCAATTCATTTTATTTTTAAATATTGACTTTCTGAAAATATTATTATCTTTGTCATAGTAATTGATCTGCAAATATTTTCAAGTACCTCATAACTAACTATTTACCTTCGATATACATAAATAATGTAAGAATATCCATACACTAGGTGTCTTAATTATTAAAATATTTACTTAACCAGTCATGCACAAGTTGTAGCTGGGACGGAGTGCAATTCTAGTCAAATGATGGTTTCGATTTTAATGACGGTCTTCTACACTGCTCTTGCCCGAGTTAATTGATGCTACTTTACAATAAAAAGTGGGTGTCGTTTTCTCTATCAATCGAGTACGTTAGAGGCGTCGTTGTCGTCCATCACTGTAAATTGCTAACGATTTTAAACCTACATTAGTGTATAAAAATAAAAGAAAGTTCAATGCCTATTGTGACTGGATATCTACATAATACACTATATTTAGATGTTACGTTATGAATAGTTTGCCTGTTATATATGTCAGAAAAAAGATTAAATGATTATAAAGACCAATAATGAATTATATTGAAACATGCAGTAGAGTGGAAATATAGTAAACGAGTTGTAAATAATAATTATATAGTGCAAAATCTAAGAGTCAGTTAAATAACGACTATTTTGCATGTAGATATAGATAGATAATAAATATACAATTCAAAGAGTCAATCAATCAATCCATGTCAAAGAATGATATATGTAAAACTAAGGCGATATACAGTTATTGCAGTTACGATGAGAAAAATACCGGGTATTGTGAGGTGACAAATTTTGTATACAAGTTTTTTAAAAAACAAAATCTGAGATTCACAAACTCCTAATGTTTTGAAAAAAATTGTACAAAAAATTTGTCGCCTCGCAGTACCTGCTATACTTCTCTCCATAACTGCAATAGCTGTATATCGCCTTGATGTATGTAAAACTGTCGTATTTAGATCTGATCATGATCTGAGAGACCTATTAATTGTATCCTAGTTGTTAATTTGATGAGAGATATTATGGGCAGCGTACATTATTGACGTCTAAAACAAGAAAGCAAAGTAATACGACTGTATGTATTCGTAGTCAAACATAGTAAAAATAAACAATACAACTAATACAATAAGAAATACACATTCCTACGAATTTATTGCGATCATTATGTCTTGGGTTTACCATATCGAATTATGGATCAAAATACTAACGACTAACTTCCTAAGATCAAAAAAGGTCCATACAAGGGAAATTGAAAATTGCAGATTTTTTCCTTGTGAAAATGGTTTTAGTCTTAGTTTCCATACGTCAAATTAGCTGTCAGCAATTAATAACACCTACAACCATGGAACTCATACAATTAATGGCAGGCCGTCTTTGCCAAATTTATTTCTCCAAAAGCATTATTTCCATTAGTAACGTATGTATGTCAACTTAAATTAGACTTCAAGTTAGCCTTATCTCAGGACGTACTGTCCCACAGATAAAGTATATATAACTTGCATGATGTCAGATTGATAAGAATTTATGTTTTACATGAATTATGAATTAATATCAATAAAAAGTTTGTGACATCTCCCAGTTCACAGTTACTTCATCAAATAATTGCATCACCACTCATTCAATTGATTGAATTGAATTATTCAAGAGAATTGCTGCAGATTATTCACACATCCAAAATCTCACCCTCATTGTCTTGCATTCTTATTAATCCTAAGATGAATACTTTCTCAACCATGAACCTCCTATTATGCATCGGTTTTGCATTTTGTCTGAGCATCGAACTTTGTCAAGGACAATACACAGTGCGAAAAATTATTCATAGCGACCTTGCGCCGGGGACCACTTTACCTCTCAGGTTTAATTTAAATAAGTATACTCGTGAGCGTCTAATCGGGATGATTTCAAAACGAAATATTTGTTCTGCCATAGTCAAGCCGTTCAGGTGGACAACATGATCTATGTGTCTGGGAATTTGGGAATGGACGTTAACGGAACATTATTAACCGGAATTGTGAATCAGACCCGACAGGCTTTCGACAATATTGGTTTCATTCTGGGAGAAGCTCAATCATCATTTCGACATAGTGGGTTAACAAAAAAATGTGTAACAACATTTAAATATTATTATACACAAATTTGTCATACATGTCTGTTTGCAGTCGTCAAAGTCACAGTGCTCTTGTCTGACCTAAACAACTATGATGCGATGAATGTCGTCTATGCGGAATGTATACCTCAAAATACCACAATTCATACTTCCTAACATTAATTTGCAATTAAAGGAAATTTTATAAAATTATTCAGATTTCCAGAACAATTTTCCTGCCAGAGCAGCATACCAAGTGGGCAGATTACCTAGGGTAAATATTTGACTTATGTACATACACACTTAAACTAGAAATATTTTAATGAAATGGGAATATTTAAGTATTTTATTTCTACAATATATTTTCTTTCTATGTCCTTCCAAGGATGCCTTGGTAGAAATTGAGGTAAGCACCAATACATATACAAAAATATTAATTACCTTGTACATATGTAACATTTACATAATTATCAATCAAGGTTGTTGCCATTTCTGGTGAAATTATTGATATAACTCCATGAAAGTATGAGGCACATACTGCGTCAACATTAACTGCACAATTTAAGATTTTCGTTGTACTATTAAATTAAAATATTTGTAAAGTACATATAGTGCAACAAGTTTCGAATAAATTGCAATTCAGCATAAATGGAAAGAAAGCATTACCTGATCAATTTAGTCGTCCTTTGTCAAATATGCAGAATTGATAAGAAGGTGAAAACGGTACAGTGAATTGGATTGATAATGACACATGCACATAATAGCTTACGTTTAATTAGTCAGGCTAATGACAGTGTTGTGTGTCTAAAATTAGGTAACTAAGAAATCACCAGGTAGTACTTACAGTTATATAAATAGGTGATGACAAAAAAATGTACCATAAATAGATCTATAAATTTAAAGCTAACATTTTCATAGTTCAAAAATAATTAAATTTATTGATTAATTAGTGAAAATCGTTGATGAGATTTAATCTTCATGAATTTTTATCACTCATGTTATTCTATCTAATCACTCGTGTTTACTAAATACCGAGGCAGTATGAGACAAGTTTATGTTTCATTAATTATCGTACAGCTCCTGGTTACAACTGACAACAATTTGGCATGTATTTTAATGCTATCAAGCCAATATACACTTTCATAGATATCCATGTTGACAAATTTTGAACAACTGCTTATTAAATTTGTAAGCATGTTACATGTGCATACATAAATTTTATTTTTTATTGTCTCAAATTTTCATTGTGCCCCAAATTTGTATAATATCGCAATTTTCCCATGGAATTAGATTTTCTCACTCATCTCACTCTGCCCAGAATCTCAACCACCACGCTCAAAATAATTTACCTTGAAATATTGTGCTGCTGTGCAAAAATGGAAAATGTAAATATTTAACAACAGCTCACCCCCCAAAAATACTGTTATTTTCATAAAACTATGTTCCGGAGTCGCAGTTGGTTTTTCTCTTCTTCTTCCTCCTCCTCCTCAACGTCGCTATGGAAACCGAAAAATCCACATTCGACGGAATATTTAAAGTAGGCTGAATAATTAACATATTTTTTTTACATATTTAAACTCCCTGCTCTACTAAATTATTTATTTGGTTGCAGATATCTTCACACTGTCCTCACGAAAAACCAGACCGTGACCGAACAAAATAAATCTCTACTTGTGGAAGCACTCAGATCTATTGCTGAAATATTAATTTGGGGAGATCAAAATGATCCTAGTGTTTTCGAGTGAGTAAAAAACATCAATAAACTTCTTGGGAAACTGAGCATTTGTTTCATCAATTTTGGAAATGTTATCATTATTTTCATGATTTACATTGCAGCTTCTTCCTGGAAAAAAATATGCTCTCATTCTTCCTCAAAATCATGAAACAAAACAAGTGCGGTTCGTATGTCTGTGTCCAATTACTCCAAACACTGAACATTCTGTTTGAAAATATACGGAATCAAACGTCAATATATTATCTACTTTCAAATAATCACGTGAATTCCATTATCGAACATAAGTTTGATTTCTCGGATGAGGAAGTTATGGCATATTATATTAGTTTTTTAAAGACTTTGAGCCTAAAATTAAACTCTCAGACGATACACTTCTTTTACAACGAGGTAAGATGTTAATTGTCTTAGGTTTTCTTGAATTAAATGATACAAAGAATAACAAAAATACATATGAACTAATTCATTATATATTTTTACGCAGCATACCAACGACTTTCCTCTTTACACGGAAGCTATAAAATTCTTCAATAATTCGGAATCCATGGTTCGAATTGCCGTCCGGACTTTAACGTTAAATGTGTTCCGCGTAGATGACAAATCTATGCTAAAATTTATTCGGGACAAAACTGCAGCTCCTTATTTCTCTAATTTGGTTTGGTTCATTGGAAATCATGTTGTGGAAATTGATAAGCTTATCAAAGTCGTGAGTGAAGAGGGCGGTGAAGAGACGTAAGTATTTATTTTCTTTTCTTTTTGTGCTATATAAATTCCCTCTTACAAATTCTCATAATTAAATGCTGTTCTTAATTTTGATACAGCTTTATTACAACGAGCAGTAGCAAAACAACTAATATCACTACGCAATCACAACAGAAAACCTTGCTGGATGACCTCATAGCTGAGCATCTCGACCATCTCCATTACATTAATGACATCCTCCTGCTAAAAATTGAGCCATTGAATGAAGTCTTGGTCGATCATTTACTCAACCGTCTCCTCCGCCCGGTTATCGTCTCATCTCTGATAACAACGACCAGTCCTTCAAGCCAGCCTAAAATATCGAGAATCCTTTCACTTTACTTGTTAACGCAAATATTTTCTATCGTAACACATTCCGCCCTGTTGACCGAGTTGTTGGAAACTGTTCTGGCAACGGTGGATGTACTATCCTTTTTTGACTGTTCAGAAACCGACTATCTATGCTTTTTTGTCGTTACATTACTAGTCGCTGTCGAACGCGTAAAAGCAGGTGAGTGAAAGCTACACTTTTTAGAGTATTTGTTGCTGTGACAACGTTTGGTCAATGATAATCAATCAATAATTTTATTTAACATTTTCTATTGTAGACAACCTCCTAACTAACCCTACCCATTTGGAGTCATTCTTCTTTTCTGAGCTCCCCTACAATCCATGTCTCCTTCAAAAACTTCTCGCAATAATCCAAACTGCTGTAAAATCTTCCACGAAAATCAGAATAGCATCATTATCTCTAACAACGGAACTAATTCTTAAAATAACCTCAAAGTTGCAAGATTCGGACCTAGCCATGTTGGAATCGTTTCGAGAAGAAAATATTTTGACGCTTCAAAATTATTTCAAAACTGAGGAAATGTTTCTGGAAATGTTTGAGGACGAGTATTTCGTAAAGGGCTGTGATTTGGAGTCGTTGCTGGGCGATAGTTGTATGTTACTGCCACCCGTTGGAAGTCCTCTGAGCGGTGTTAATGCACTTGAGAAGAGACGACCATGTGGGGAGGTGCGTAATATACACCTCAAATCTATAGTTTGAGTAGTTTTCACTTTAAATTGCTCTATTTTGCAGACCGAACGGATTCGTAGATCTATGAGAGTTTATTTTCTATTGAGAAATTTATCTCTAAAATTACGAGGTGATGAAGAACGATATTTACCACTAAGTAATATTCATCGGAATACTGTCACTTTAGAACAGACATTAGATTTAAGTAAGTAGCCTCTTAAACAATTTGGTCAGATTTATTGTACAGTAGTAGCTGGGTATTTGTTTTATTCGTCTCTAACTGAATTAATTTTTTTTTCTTTACAGCCAACAGTGATCTCCTTGCTTGCACCGTATTGACCGTAACAAATACAAAGGAAACTCAAAAATTACGCCGCTTTCTAGTCGTTGACAGTTTTCAGATTATTCTAGGTATGTATGACGAACATAATTTATATTTATTATACCCTAACATCATTTATTTCTCATTCTAGTCGAACCCAGTCAGAAACGAATGGGGTGGGGAGTGGTGAAATTTGTCGGGTTTTTACAGGTTTGTAGTTTAAGAATTCGATTTTTATTTAAAAATAATAACAGACAACAAAATAACCTCGTTGTATTATCAGGATCTTGACGTCCAATCTGACCCATCTGATACACGCTGCCTCCATATAACAGTGAAATCATCCCCAGTATTAAAGAAACATTCAACTTTAGTTATAAAACAGCCGATTCTAAGTGCCAAATTTATTTTTGATGATCATATTCGTTGCATGGCAGCAAGGCAGAGGTAGTAGACTTTATAATTTGTACAATTGTTTGTGTATCTCCGTCACTAAAGATACTTTTTCATGCAGGCTAATAAAAGGACGCCATCGTGCTCGGGAAAAGAAGCTCACCCTGATATCTAGAGCACTTCTTAATGACAACATATCAGCGAAATATTCGCCTCCGCAAAATTTAAAGTCTGTAAATTCGACCACTTCGTCTTCCTCTGCACGATATCAACCCATAGCAAAAACACTACCTGGTGGTGTGGTTGTTGTTGGTGGTGCTTCAGCGAATAGGAGTCGCCCAAGTAGCGCTTCACGATCTCCTAGAAGAAAAAAACCAGAGGATGTCATTCCAATGGACGCCGGGGAAAATCAACCAGAATTGTTGTCGCCAGGAAATGAAATTGCAACGACTAGTTTTTGTATTGATAAGGGGAGTGTATTTGACGTCTAGCTGTTGGGTGGGCTAATTATTTTGACATTTTATTTCAAAAAGTAAATAAAATCAATAATACGTACACAAAACTAAAAACATACGACTTGGCCTATGGTATATTTCGAGTTGTTTGCCAAAATTGCAACAACACAACAACATAGGTTGAGACCACGCCCCATACCTACACAAACCAAATTCGGTCAAGAACAAAATATTTATAATTCGACTGTAATAAATGTTTGATAATTTTCTAAATAGTACACACGCACCGCAGTCAACGTTTCTCGTCCCACTCCAAAATGTCCTCTGGCAGTGACAGTAAGAGGACGATGTGCAGAAAGGGCATGCAGTTGCACGACAGCGAGTTCGATCTCACCCCCATTATTATTACTCCGCTCCCATTCGAATCTAACTTCCACCAACAAACGCTCCAAGGATGCCACTGATTTATGCAGATTATGTGCCGCGTCAGTGATTACGACCAACTTCATGGCTAAACAGACGAATAGAAAGAGGAACCCAAGAGGAATTCCATTCAAAGGTCCGAGGTCAACAGCAGATGAGATCAGGTTGAACGTGACCAAGCAAAAGAGGGCACTCCAACCCCACAAACAATGGAGGAGAATAAGGCCGAGAAGTGACAGGGCTTGGTCCCAAATGGTCCATATTTTCAAGCATAAATCCAATTCTCGTTGGAGCAAACCACCACCAGGGAAAATTTCAGAAAGTAATGGTTCAACTCCACCCTTGCGCAAACCTTCAAGAAAAATTTAGTACTCCTGTTATTTGTGTAAAAACTTGTAAATAATTATAATAATGTACATCGAAATCAAGCAAAGTATTTCCTTTATAGAAATAATAATTATTAAAATTGCATACTCATTTTATGCCTCTCCACGCCACGGGAGACACACTGGACTAAATCCGTAATCCAAGTCATAAAGACAAGTGCTCCGAAAGAGACGATGTCCATAATTGGCATCTCCTGCCAAACCACGTCGACAATTTTTATTATAATGAAACGCCAATTTTCCAACGTATAAAATTTACGATTATCCCAGTCGAATGGCGTCGGCATTTGAATTGATGTGTAGGTGGTGTACACAAGTTGAAGGATGCAAGCGCCCAAGAACACCCATACTCTCGCCCCACACTTGACCTTGGTCCAAAGTCCTAAAGTCCAAAGACGATCCACATTGTCCTTTAAGGGGCGAAGGTTGCCGGGGCAATGGAGCCGGAGAAATAGAACTGCAAAATGGATAATGCTGTGATAAAGTTGCATTGTGAATGGGATCACTGGACCTCCTCCTCCTGCTTCTCCTACTTCTTTTCTTCCTCCTCCTCCTTCCGTCCCGCCAGGCTTTTTCCCAACAGCTGCAGTGATGCGACGAAGGTTATCCATATCCTGGACAACAAGAAGAACTGTAATTATGGTCAAAAAGAGGGCTAAACATTTCCCAGATCTCTGCAGCCACAATCTTGAAAGAAGTGATGGTGGGTAGAAGCCAGTAAAGATTAGAAGACCTCTAAATATTCTTAAAAATATGGAGGAAGTCATCGTAAAATTGTAACCTCCACTTTTGAGACGCAGTTCCAGACTGCATGCTGTTTCAGGTTAATGTAATTTGTATTTAATATTGATTCCAGTGAAGTAATAGAAATGCATAATTTATTACAGAAAATGGGTACTCAAGAAGGTTTCTTTTGTACTTTATACTTATCAAGATTTAATTTACTTTAGATAGGCACTCATCACTACCCACTCACTAACTAACAACATTATTATAATGTAGTACATGTACATATATATGTATTTTAGGTCATAAACTCTTAACATATCATCTCAGGTATGTAAATATGTCGTTGAGTGCAAATTCAATAAATGACAACGAGCAGACTAATCGCTGCATTTCTCGGAACCCATGAAAACGTTGGCATAATACAACGGCCACGGCGACAAAGTCTGTATTGACAGGATATACAGTTTTGCGTCATTGCAGAATCTATGCATGTACTTGTGTATCCGTGTTCACCAGTGGTGAATCACCACTATCACATTCGCATTCATGTGCACAGATATTATGCATGTAAAGTATATGTACGTTTTGCAACGTATTTGGGGATGTTTTTTGTCTTTGTGATCTTCATATTATGCATTGTATTCATACAATTTAACCCATATCAAACTCATGAGTTAAGCACTGCTAAAATTATTCAGTAATAATTTAAAATCGGTTGAATACACTCGATACACGCAGAGCCTAATTTTTTAATCTATTCTAAAATAAATCTGTCAAGAAACTACTTAATACACACATTTAAACATTCATTTGAAAACCCTATTGGAATATTATGCTGACAATTGGCGTGATAGGTGATTTCGGTGTAATCAGCCCAGACAGCCTCAGAGTTTCAAGGCTCGTTAAATCATGGAATCCGACAGTGATTATTACCACCGGTGATAATATTTACTCTCCACCAACTCCAAAGAATTACTCGTCCGTAGTTGGCGTCCTGTATCGAGAGTACCTTTGTGCACAAGAAAAGAAACGAACAAAGCCAGGAAAACTTCTCGTTCTTCGAGATTCAGAATGCACAGAACTATCCACGTTGCCAAAAAAGTGTAATACAAAATTTCTACCGTGTGTCGGAAATCATGATTATCCATTTCCCGGCTACATGAAGTACTTCCAACTCCCGACATACTACTCTGCAGAATTTATCAAACCGACAGACTTTTTGAAGATCATTTCGCTCAATAATTATGGAGATCTTCATGGGAGGTTTGACGATAAAATCTCTGAACAGCGGACTTGGCTAGAAAAGGAACTAGATTCTTCAGCACACATTAAATGGATCATCATTACCTTCCATTATCCTCAACAATGCAGTAATAATTCGGATGAAGAAAATGAATATTATTTGAAGCGATGTTTTCCATTCCATAAGTACAAGAACGTTGCTCTAATCCTTAGTGGGCATCAGCATATCTACGAACGAGTAGAATTTAACAATGTTACAAATGTTGTTGTGGGAACTAGTGGGTCCACTGTACGGAGAAAGTCGAAAGTGGTCATTGAGCAATCTAAATTTTTGGATGATAGTGGATTTGGAGCATTGCGGTTGGAAATTGGCGAGGAAGAAATTCATGGGTTTTATTACGCCTTAGAATACGTGGATGGTCAGCATAGGGACGTATTAAAGGATCAATTTTGTATAAATAAAAGCTGATAAAAATATTCGTCATGTTTAGCAGATACAGTCGTACATGAGAAGTCCTAAAGAACGACGATTAAATAATTAGCGTATTTTAACAAAAAATGAACAATGTTTTTTATGAAATCCACCATTGGGGGTTTAAAAATGTAATATCAATAGTTGTTATGAATAAGTTTGGCTAACGTAGCACTAATAAAGATTTGTTATTTTTTTAAATTTAGATTTTCATGAAAATTAGTAAAAGTACTTAGGATTAGTTGTAATAATTCAATAATTCATAGAAAATATATTCTCTTGAGTCATCCTGCAGACGTTATGCCGTGTTCGAATTATAAATTATGTATAAATGCATAAAAAACGTACATAACAATGCGTATGGCTTCGAAGTATTTGATGTAACTATCCTTTGTGTGATCTACTCATGAGCACTGAATAATAAATGGTTGACAGCTTTAAATCATGAGCACAAAAGACACATTAGTGCATCGAAAATGACAATTTGCAAGTAGGCAATTGATTGATCTAAATATGTATGTGCGTGCATACTTATGCATGAGAAGTACGACTCAAGACTGATATCGATCTCCATTCAAATCCTAAATGGAACTTCACACTCAATTGAAACAAAATCCAATACATGTTAACATTATGTTAAGTTGTAGCTCGGTTTAAAAAATCTATTCTCGGGATGCATGTGAGAACACCATTCACCACTCTTAGATTTTCTTCACTGAAAAGTTTCTCCCAGTGGGTGAAAGTAAAATTTTCACTCTTACAAGTGCGCAGATGTGTATGAGAATGGACGGAGAGGTCTGTCACAGAATACACGTATTTATGTAGTTGCAGATACAACAAGTCGGTCCACAAACTGTTGTATTAGATTGATTGAGCAAATGAACCATTTATTATTGATAAACAATTAAGCACTAAAAATAACAAACAATGTCATTCTTACAAATTACAAAGAATTGATAAAATTTTTAATCTCATCCCTTGCTAAAATCTCACTAGTCTCGCTTACTGCGTTACAATTATATTTAACGTACATAATTCATACGAAAGAGTTTGTATTAGGTCGTTGCATCCCATTCTTATTGTTTCTTTCTTGAGATTTAATAGTATGTCTATTTTTGAGTTGTATAATCAACCCCTCTTTTCCCCCAATAATAATTGATACAATAATAAATACTCCACTTTTACATATACCATTCGAATCTTATTGTTGTTGGTGTTCATTCATTTAATTATTTATGTATGTATGTCAACTGTGTGCAACTAGAGAATTAATTGAGATCATGGGACGAAATTTGGAAGAATATGTAGCACGTCGTCGTATTTTGTAATTTACTATGTAGCACCTTTGTGATTAGTCAAATGCCACAAAAGTACATATTCCGATTCATCAAATTGTGTGATCTACATACTTCTTCTTGTTACAGTTCTACAAAAAGTATACAAGATTTCACCAAGTCGGCATGCACAAGCCGTCGCCCGTCATTTTTTAAGATACTTTTTTAATTATGCACCCTGTCGAATTTTTATGATTGATAATATTCTTTGGTATCATGTCTTGTGTGGTCTACGCTCTACCACTCAAAAGTATTTATAATAGCCAATCAACTAAGTAAGTAGTAAAAAATAAATAATAATGGTTCGTCATTAACAATTACTGTAGATACATAAGTATGTACATGAGTTAACGTTATACATAAATGGAACAGGTTTTCTGTAAAAGCACCAAAATGTCTTCTTGTACAAATTTATTTGCAAGTTTTCTTCTTCTTCGCGATACATCTCACTTCTTATTTTGTTACTTTCACTGCTTTCACTTTTATTTTTTATGTAGGTTTATATATGCGTTTGGAGTGGAATGTATAGTGTGTGCATGTATATATGTGGTATTTATTATGCATGGAAATGTGTATGTGTATGTAAATGCGTGTAATTACTTATTGTTTTCTACTAATTTGTAGTAATACATAGATTGTCTCCATTACACACCACGTGAATGGGAAAGGTAAGTTCTCGACATTATTATTAAAAGTATGTTGAATGTGTGTGCTTACGACTAATTGCGATTATGTTGCTTTTGTATAAACGTTGTGTTGTTACATAAACTGGATAGATCGGTGTCCCTGTTTTAATCTTCATTGAAAGCAATTCGTGATTATTATTGGTTGGTTGATGATTTGGTTGGCTAATTAATTTGGTCGTTGTGATCAAATATAATTTCAAGTTCATTATCGCAGCTCATATTGGAAAGAAGTTGTGTAATTGAGATTTGGTGATGCGTTGCGTTCTTGACTAATTACACTAATAATAACAAAGAAACGGTCGCCGATGGAGTATATAAATCGCGTTAGTTATAAATATGTATGTAGCATAGAAAGTATTATTAATCGAGTCCTTATATTGAGTTGATCTGGTCTAGTCGGGTGGTGGAAGCAGAGTCAAGTCACCCAAGTCCACGTCGGAGATGTGCAAGTATGTTATCCAATACAGCAAGTTGAAACACACTGAAATACATAAAGTATACATAAATTAGTAAATTTGCATAGTGTAAAACCTGTAAACCGACATAAATCCGATAAAGCATTCAATGACGAAAGTAAGGTGCTCATATATAAAATCGTACCAAAGCAGACTGGGAACATGACGCGAGAGTATTTATCAATGTCTAAATTAAATTTGAATTAAATTAGTTTAAATTTAATTATTCATTATTTATTTTTGTATTTACCGGATGGTGCAATTCCACAAATTTGATTAGAATTGACTTGAACCCTAATTTTTCTTAAGGTATTCTCCAAAAGAACGGCGTCTTCTTCTCCGAGGAGGCGTTCTTTTGGAGCTCTATTTTTCACACGGTAGCCCGGCGCCACCATTTCATCGTCCTGTGAATAAAAACAAACTTACAATCACTTTCAAAACCATTTTCTAGCAGGGATATCGTTCGTGCTAAGATTTTTAAACGTAGCTGGATCCATACTTTCGTTATCATCATGTGCTGCGCTGAATCCGATTTTTTAATTGGTCGAAATTTTTAATTGTCGTTGATTAGTCAATCAAAAAATCGGATTCAGATCATCCCATGAGGATGACGTGAGTGAGGTCTGGGGCCGGCTTATTACCCGACGTGATGAGTATGTCCCCATGGTCGACGCGAAATGAGACGATGGTGCCATCGTTGGTTGATGGTGTTGGTACATAGGTTCGGGGGTGTGCTTAGCCTGAATTACATTTACATACGTATCTATGTTATAGCAGTTTGCGGACAATTTTTTTCTATATTATTCATATGAATAATTAATTGCGACCCACCTGCGCCATGGGGTAAGGACTATTATTGGTCATTGACATGGCAGACATGGACCTCGTCTGATAGTGGTGCTGTCGCTGATGAAGTTGTTGTTGCTGCTGCTGCTGTTGCATGTGAAATAGCCGAATGGCTTCGTCCGCCTCTTCTTGAACGCGCAATTGTTCCTCGCGTTCTTTTTGCAGTTCAGTCGCCATTTTTTGTAACGTTTGAAAATGGTTCTTTCTCATCTGTATGCGTTTGGCTAAATAGCCCACCGTTGCGTATTCTGCAAATGTTTCACATCAGCAGAACGGTCAAGCGTAATATTTATAGGGAATAAGATACTTTTCCACACTAAAGTATGCGTAAATTACCTAACAAGGCTGCAAAAACCATAACGAAACAAGTCCCCAAAAATATATCGATACTTTTGACATAACTAATTTTGGGAAGTTCCTTATTAACCGATGACATTAAAGTTGTCATCGTAAGGACCTATGTAGGAATGAAATTGACAAATATTTATGGTAAATTCCTACACAAGACTAAATCGAGTAGTCTATTGATGCAACTTACAGTGGTAATCCCAAGTGGGACACGGGCAGGACTTGCGTTTCTATTTAACCAGAAGGATACCCAGGACATGATGACAATGAGCGACGATGGAATATATATCTGGATGAGGTAATAACCCATTGATCTCGAAAATTGAATTTCACACGCTAGGCGAGAGTAGTTTCCAGTGAGGAGTGAAATTTCAAAGGCCCTTTGACGATACCCCACCACCTAAAAGTACCATAAACAAATTAGTATAATTATAAGTAATTATATACGCACAATAAATATTGCCAAGCTTGCCTTAAATTGAGGAAGCGATACATCATGTGCGACACCGACCTGGAGAAGAAAAATGTTTGAATAGGATATTAATTTGGTAAAGATGATGATGATATGCAATTTATATACAAATTTAATTACGAATTGAATAAAAAGTTAAAATTTATAGTTTTAACTTACGCTGGTCGCCCCACGAGCCCAATTATACCGGATATCACTCATTGTATAACCAACTGAAACATGGGAGACATAAATATTGGCAAGTGCTATATATTGCATTGAAGTACTTATTAATTCTTAAAAATAGTACGTACAAGATTCGATTTCAATATTGCATAATTGGGAGTCCATTGGAAAATGACGGAGATCCATGTTACACGCGGCCGTTACTGTGAGCCGGATAGAACGAAGAATATCGCCATCCTTAGAAATCCGGAGGAAAATTAGGAATTAACAAAATTCTTCCGGATGTTTTTATTTACATAATGTTTTTTTTATTCCGGTTTGTCTAACTTACCTTAGAAATCCGGAGGAATTCATTCGAAGTAGTTGCCGTGTGGAAATAGGACGTTTTTTCATTAACGAAAAAAGTGTCTGTAAGAGCGAGAAATTATTATAAAACCTGGCCGCGTAAAAATAGCATTACTTAAGTACGCATCAGATACCTGGGACCCAAATTGACTTGAGGAATTCGGATCCCACAGAAAGCGTAGAAATTCCTTCAGTCCCCTCAAACTTGAGCCTTGGATCCTTCTACAAGATAGATATTTCTTGCAATAACTGCTAATAATACTACGTAGCAAACTAAATGTTTAAACAAAACTAAACGTTGTTCACTCACCCACATTTGACGAAAGTAGAAATCAAGTGTAAAATCCTAGTATAATCGAGAACATTTGCAGAAGGTACATAAAGATAGTATGAAAGAGTAGAACAGTACGAATGTTGCACTTACCATGAGCACTTCTAAAATTTGTAATTCGCATGAAAAGAATTATTGTTGTTATTCAAAACTATGCATATATGTAAAATAAAAAGAACGAGTTACAAACCTGAGATGCTAGAAATCGATAAGACGTACATGGTAACTCCAACGACAACTGGCTCACCTACAACATGATAAACAGAAACCGTGTTACATAATACCTCTCATGATTATTATCATTTTATGAAATTTCTTTGTCGAAAAATCATGGAATAAATGCCAAGAGAGAATGATTGATTCATGTTGACACAAAAAATTATGGACGCGTTGAAAATCTTATATATTGGCATTTGATACCTCCATAATTAGGTCGGACCTAGAAATACGATAAAAATTATTAGACTTGGTTCAGTTTTATTAGTAGAATTAGTTCATAAAATTAGACGAACCCTTTTATCATAATTCTGAGAGAGTGAGTTGAGGATAGTGGAAATATTTTTGGATAATGTTTGCAGTTGTTCCGTTGGTGGAAATGGTTCCGGAACTAAGTGATTCCTTCTCCTCCTTCCGGCACGGTCGCGTCTTCTCGTCTCCTGAAGGAACGTACGCTGGGATTGAACTTTCTCCGCATTAACATTATTTTTGTACTCGAGGTCATGAGAAGAGTAGTGCGAGGAGGAACCAACTGAGAAGTGAGACCGTGTGTGGGGGTGGGGAACGTAGTGGGGGCGAAATGGCTCGGGCACTGAATTGTGTAACCATCTGAAATCAAGACACAAACAAAATTACAATACTAATTTCTTTCTACTTTGAATTACTGAAGTTTCATAATTATGCATGGCAGTAATTATCAGTATGTTGTGTACCTTTCGAATTTCTCGTCATTTCTCTCCAAATCGCGCAAGGATCCTCTCGTCCTCGTCGTCGTGGTGGCAGGCAGTAGGAGGAAAGTAGTGAAAATTAGGAACAACGTGTCCTCCCCCCATCCCCACCTCCTCGGCGTTGCCGTGGCCGTGATGGTGTGAGTGGTTTAACCGGATTCTCGTCGTTTGGGGATGGAACGAAAGCAAGTTTTTAGGCTAAATCGAATTGGAAGACTTGTGAAGGAGGTTAGGCAAAATTAAAGGTAGCCTAAATTTTCGGAGAGAAAGTGCAATTTGGTGTTGGGTATCCTTCGGGGTGAGGTTGGACTCGTAGGAGAAAGCAGTAAGGAAGTAAACGTGAGCGAGTGAAAGCAGCAGAGCAATACGTGCAATAAGTAAGTCCAGCATGGGAGAGAAAGCACAAGAGGATCGAATCGAGGGACAGGTGAAGGTGCGCAGAATTTCTGGACGCACGCACCAAACTCCGTCCTTGCTTATCTTACTACGAGCAATGAGTGAGTGAGTCTAGGAATGGCAAAACATCGATCGATCCTCCATTCCATAGCTTCTGGTGCTCGTCGTGTCTTATGCAATGCACATTTTTCATCTCGGCCTGCTTTCTCCCTCTGTCATCATCACTGACATTACCATCAAAGCATGCACTACGGCTACAACTACTACTCAATTCATAAATATGTAACTACGTATGTACATACATGACACGTAGTAACCATCTAATGATGAATATGTGTGTATAAATGTAAATTGTATGCATGCATTTTTCCGCGTTGTCACTAAATTTTTCTTGCGAAATGTACAGCTGAATACATTTATACTATTAAAGAGATTATGGTGCCACACTTTATAAAATTTTCACGTTCTCATAAATGCACACCTAAATTAAGAGTGAAATATCGAAATATCCGAGTGAAAGCAGTACAAATGGAGCTAACAATTAAACACTTTACAACTCTACATGCTCATTCAACCGATACAATGCAGTTCTGCGATGTAATAATGCATTACCATATTTTTTTTACAATATAACACACTTATTTTGTTCCACAGAATGTAAGTAAAAGCTGGTTTTGATTCAACGATTCTCATCGGTTGCATGAGAAAGCCAGTGCAGAAGACTTTCTCTCTGAAACGAGTTCTCATTGCCCCGTGAAACCTCCAACCTCAAATCAAGCACATGCACCTCGCATGTCAACCAAAAATATTTTGCAATTTAGAATTTACTTTACAACTATCAGTACCTTCTTAATGTTATATTTTTGACTAATTGCACTTATTTTGCTTCTCCACTTAGTTATAATCAATTGAGAGGAAGCATCATGGGGAAGGTTAAGTCTGCAAAAGGTAAGTTATTTATTTTATATTTTAAATGATACGTGTTAAATGCCATGCCATGTGAATTTTGTTTTATGAAATTTTGAAAAATTAACTGTGAACTTTAAACAGTTAACCTGAGGAGTTGTTCGAGTTAAATTTAAATTTATGTATTGGTAGAGAACGATGAACTGAAAATTTGAAGTTGTGTATTTATTCGGTTTTAGGAAAGTCCAAGAAGATAACGTGGAAACGTATTAAGCATCTTGATGTCGACGATTTTCTTGTTGAAAAGCGTCGTGACGAACGACTCGGTCTATCTGAAAAACCGGATGAAGAGCTTTTTCAAATTGACCAGCTTGGTTTTGATGACGATTACGCTCAACTTGCACAAAAGAAGAAGGATGCGGTCAAAAAGAAATTTAGTCGACAAAAAGATGGACCCCTGGTCGTATTGGAGGACCTACAATGTTTCAAAATCCTTAAACCAGATTCAGCCGTGAAGGATCCAGTAATTAAACGGTAGAAATAAAATAAATTTCAATCTTATCACAGTACCTTTTACAAAAGCATCCTATATTCTACTATGTAATTTCAAAACTTATTCTCAATTTTTTTACAGGAATCCTATCTTAAAAGGTGGTCTGAAAAAGACGCTTGACATGAAGTTTAAGGACGAACTTCGTTACTATCGTCAACGTGAGACAAGATCCCAGACCAAGGCGCAGTCTTCCACCAATGAGTTAACTGATTTATGGTCCACTACTGGTACTTCCACTGCGACGAACAGTGTACTTGATAACGAATGGCTAACTCCAGATACGAAACGCAACATTATCCGAAATCGGTCCAACTGGAAGCCAATGCTTCAGAAGAATGAAGTCGCTGCCGTTGAAGTTCCGCACCCTGGCCTTTCATACAATCCATCATTCTCTCACCATCAACAACTCTTGGTCACAGCCGTGGCAAATGTGAAAGCTAAACTGAAACAAGAGCAGAAAATAGCGAGGGCAACATCTACACCTAAATTTGAGGGCGATGGAACAATACCAGAGGTTAAAGATGAAGAGGAAGATTCCGAAGAAGATGACGACAAGAGCCGCTTCAGAAAACTTCCCAAACCAAAAACGAAACAGCAGAAACGCAAAGAAAAAGAACAGAGAGAAAGGGAAGTGAAGTTGAAGGAACAGAAAGACAAGGTAGGTAATAAATAAATGTCTTTGAAGATGTTGTATTATTATAATTGTTTTTGTAAATTGTATTGAACAATATTTTAAAAACCATGTAATGATTATAAACAATTGTAGGCTAAGAAAGAGTCAGAAGTGTTTCGTGTCAAGACTTTAAACAAACAAATAAAGACGGCCGAAGCCAAGAGCAAAGCCCGTTTGGAGAAGAAGGTCGCCAAAAAGGTCGCCCGTGAGAAATTTGGGGTTAGGACATTGTCGAAATTCAAATTTGAACAGAAAGAGACCCAACCCCTCTTGAGTGACGAATTACCAAAGGGACTCATGGGTGCAGGTGGCTCAACCGCGACAGGAGAACTTCTTCTCGACAGATTTAAATCACTTCAAAAAAGGAACGTTATTGAACCAAGAATGAAACACAAGTATGTCGAATCTAGGGATATTTTTTATATTGTTGTCAAAGTTGTTATTTGCCATACACTTTTAGTTCAAATGTTGATGTTAATTCTTTGTTCATTTAGGCAAAAACGCAAGAACAAGCCTAAACTTTATATTCGCGACTGTGACAAGATGGAATGGGAAAAAACTGGAATGTGGAATGGTGAAAAACTGAGCCTTCCCAGTGGGCGAAGGCGACCAAAGGTTCCCCAACGCAAGAAGAAGACGAAAAAATTTAATAAATGACGCAGCTAGAAATTTAGTTTATTTTTATTGCGGATTAAAGATTTTTTAATTAAAAATTTTTGCAAAAATCAAAACGTGACAAGTCTTCCTATCAGACCTATATATACCAAGCATCGTGGGTGACGAGCAAAAATAATGATAAACATATTTTTGCATAATTTTCTTAACACATACTAAAGATATTATGCAAGGTCTCTTATACATACCAATAATTTTACAGATATTTCGAAATATTTAGGTTTATTTAGGTTTTAGTTAAATCATTCATCCTCCTCCTCCTTCTTGGGCATATCTTTGGACATATGATTCGATTCTATTTTTGCACTTGATGAGCATATCCATCCCTGAGACGTCCAGCATTTTGGGACGGGTTTCATTCCTTCAACGACTCCTTCGTAAACAGTCCCTTTGGTTGATCGTGGCCCATATAAATGCCAGCGTCGGAATCGTGGATGCAAATCTGGAGTACTTTGCATGACTTGGACAACTTCCATCTTGTCAGTGTCGTCTGCATGTTTGTAAGAATAACGAGAATATTTTTACTGTTCAACACCATCGACCATTTCATTCCTGAATTTGGTACACAATTGCTTACCATATAATTCATTCGGATGCGATGCCACTGTTCCCACTAATCCCAATGTAACCAGTAGTGTCAAGATTATAATTGGTCTCTGCATGATTTTGTAAGACGAGTCAAATTTGGATTGGATGAATATATCCGGCTCGGTAGATTTCTTATTTATCTTGTAATATTCAAAGGCCAAATTTCTTATTTCAAAATACGTAGTTAATTAAATACACCAGATTTAAAATTTAAATGCCTGAAACAACTATTTATACACCCATGTACAATGACAAGTAAGCACTCGCAAATGTTGATTTCACCATGTGGCAACATTTTATTATTTTACATTTTTGCAAAATCGAATTGTTATGCAATTTGTAATCGAAGCGAACGATTAAGAAGGTGACTGAAATTAAAGCGTACAAGGTTAAGCACAAACAATATATGTAGATGTACTCGAATTTATATATTTCACAACAAATTTAAAATGCTATACGCATACATAAATATATCTACGTACATACATGCATAAAATCAGACATCACGATGTAAGTAAATACAGTAATAGCAGGATAATCGGCATTTCGTATATCTAACTATCTATGACTGATTTAATTTTAATTATAAAATTTTGACGCTATATGTACAGCATCAAAATAAATCATGTATAAATTTTCGAGTAATTTGCTAATCACAATACTAATTTTATTCATCAAGACTGGTCATATTTATTATGAGACGACGCCACCATACTACAAAACGTTTTGTAGTAAGCATTTAAGAATTTTTGTCACCCTTTGAAATACGAATCCATCACGGAAATACTTTCCTTAAGCTCTTGTGGTACTTTGCCTCAACTCCAATCGCACAAGGGAACACAAATGATGCAAATCCAGACAAAAGCACGGCCGCTTCCCTCGTGGAAAATTCCGATGTGAAGAACGTATATCTGACCGGAAGTGACATCGCGATGAGAGTGAGACCCATGAGTACAGAGCCAATGAAACTCCACCAATTTCCGGCAGAAATGGAGATTACAGAATGCGACAGAATGGCGAGGAGAGTGACCACCTGTGTCGTTATCACGATAAGGCTGCTCTTCCTCTTCAACCATGCTACGATCGGAATCCCAATCAACGCCAAGTGCACCTGATTAATCAAATTTATTTTGCTTTACAAAGCAGTTGATACGAATGAATAATTATGTATTTTTTAAAAATAATTTTACATACATGTGACATTCTCATCCGTTGATGATAACACAACCAAGTCTGCGTCACGAGGGCCGCATATCCAACGAGCACATCCATCCAAGAAAAGAAATAGTGGTATTGAAGGGCTTGAAGGGTTTTAAGTCCTAGGCCACCAGTCGAACTTCGACCCTCCCACCATTCTAACACTGTATATCCAATTAAAATTAAAGTTACCAACAAATTTTTCAGAAATTTGTTTAAAAAAAATCTTACAAATTGCGACAAGTCCGAAACCATTGCCTAGTATTGCAAATATGAACCAGATGCAGTTATGAATATTTGCAAAGATGCCGTCATCCAGATAAGCGATGTACTGCAGACCCTGAACTGCCGTGAGGAGGGCGAATATTTCAACCACTGCGAGAAGAACTTGACCCATGTTTCCAAGATTTGTCGCAACAGTTTGATTCGAGATCCGAGTGCGGTACTCGGCCTAATTTTCAGAAAATTTTTACTCCCCTATACAAAATTAGTAATTAATTTACGAACTAATAGAAAAGATAAATGTTTTGCCGTTGTTTTTTGTCGCTATATTTCGACTGGCATCTTTGACGTACCTTTTGTTACCATGTTACAAGCGTCAAAAATGCAAACTTGGATTCTTTTCTGGCCCCGGAGTTGGGAAGTTGGTGTAAATTTTGCCGGGATAGGCCATCAACATCAGTTCTTTGCATGTTTCATAATATTTTGTTCATTTCCACTAACTTTATTTTTTACTTTCTATTTATTTTTGTTATTGTTATTATGGAGGAAAGTACTCGTCACGATCAAGACCCTTGTGGAAGTGATGACAGCGAATCTACCACCGAGGTTTTGTCCTGCAGCAGCGACTCTGACACAGAGGAAAAGAATTGGGCGCCGGTTGTCGCCGAAAATTTAATTAACCCTCGTTCTCCCCTTTATAACCCCACCCTAGTTCTACATCTGAGTTCGGTAGTACAAAAATATGCCTCGGGTTTCATAGGACAAGTTCATTAATTAATTTCGACACATTTTACAGGACGACGCTTCTGTGGGTACCGGTGATACGGCGAGATTAGACGCATCTGCCCCAAGGTATCTAAATCTTGAGACATATTGCAAGGCTGTCAAAGACCCAACACAAGAGCCTGATACCACTTTCGAGCTTAAAACGACAATATTAACAAAAAAGAGGAACATTCCAATGATATCTTTGCCCTCTTCTTCGTCATCTGCCTCGCCATCCCAACCGCAGCAACAGCAACAAGTGTTTCCAATCCCTGGTCGCCGCTTCCTCCCTCACCAGATGCCCGTTTACGCCCCACGGATAGAGCCACCAGATACAATAAAGGTCATGGCCACAGTAGAAGGCCCCCTGTCTGGCTTAAGGGTGGCGATGGAGGGAAAGAAACGAATTAAGGTTGGTGAGCTTATCAGCAGAAAAAATGATACTTATTATATTTGCATAATAATTACTGTAACTAGATGATCTTATAAAATTTCGACTTGAAGGTCTGGACAAGAAGAGATGCTGGAATTCGTGGCTATTTTACCGGTTTCATTGAAGCTTTTGATAAACATTGGAATCTTGCATTGAGCGACGTGGATGAAGTATTTTGTAGGAGAAGAAGGACAAAGTCTGTCATTGAATTTAATAATTGTTAGTGAAATTGAAATTATTGACGCTAATATAGAGTAATTATGTATGCTTTTGTTACTCACTTATATACTCAGTTCGCTCTCTCTCAAAATTTAGATTCTAATCAGAAATATAAACCTGAGTTACGTCAACCAGACCCGATAGTTACCTCTTCACAAAGGCGATCTCGTTCACCAACAAAGCCGTGTAAACCAGTACCTACAACTAGTCCTACCAAAAAATCTAAGCGAATCGCAGCCAGATCGAGGTCCCAGACTAGTAGACATGTAATGGAAGCTGACTCTTCGGAAGATTTGGTGACTTGGTGTAGACATAAAATGAGAAATCTCTCCTTAAGTAATGGTAAGCATACTTATTGTTTGGAAAAGTAAAATTAAGAGAAGCATTTCACCATCAAAAATATTTTTTTAATTGTAGAAAAATCTAAGAAAGCACCATCATCCGTGTGCCCAATATCAACTCCCATCCACACAAAATCCTTTCTACAAAAGCACAGTGTCACACGTTTTACCCAACCTATCCGAGATGCAAATGGATTTGTGGTTATTGGGGTGACACAAAAAATGGAAATTGTGGAGCGACACGTCAGCCAGTTATTCGTTATGGGAAATGATATCGTGATGGTGGAAACAATGCAGTGAAAGAGAGAAAATAAAGGTGTGTACGAAATAATTTCATTGACATATCGTATATCTCTTTTTGGTAATAACCACGGCATCTATTTTAAGGGACGAAAGAACCTCTCGATGAAACCAACTTATCGAGCTCAGCGCAACCACTCACGCTGTAGCATCACTCTGCAGTGAATGAGGGCAGATTTGCGGCCGGCGGTTATTGTGGTATCATCCTTTTCCTTTATAAAGGAGACACTTCAGAGGAGGATGCTGATGAGAGAGTGAAAACCACTGCGACTAATTTATCATCTCTCATCCCCGAGTAGTCCAGGTAGAATGGAGAAACTCCTCTCCTCCAGACCAGAAGGGAACCCTTCTCCAACTTGTTCTACCAGCACTACCACTACTTTTGGAATTGGAGAAAGTACAGTAAAATGACTGAGTGAGTGAGCAGCTGCAAGAGCGGAGAAAGGAAAAGGACTTTCCTTTCTGGAGCGGGCATCGTATCCCTCCTTCCGTCAGTTGCACCCGGGATCTCACTCAACTCACTCTCTTTCTCTCGTATACTCCGAGAAATGAGACTGGCCTCCCACCCACCATCACATCACGACATCATCTAACATCTGCTCTCGACAACCCAAAGAGATTTACAACTCCTTCATTCACTTGACCTGCCGCTCTTTCTATATTCTACCCCATTTTGTGACAGTTTTGTTTCAAGTCAAATAAGAAGAGTACAAGAGGAACTTACTATCAATCCCCACCTATCTCCGAGTCGATTCTCGGGTGGAGAAAAATCTGACAAATTTTAACGAAACTAATTAAAAGGCGCAACTCGTACATAGCCAAACCTATTTTCAATACTCATTGTATTTATTAAAGATCCTTCATCATTTAACAAAGGGGGATCCACCATTTAAATATCTAAATACTACCATCTCAAACCGAACTGGTAAGCACGAATTCTATACTTTTACATACATGTGTATATGCATGCACTTACATAAATATTTCCGATAACATGTAACATTCATGATTCATCTCTCCCTCTCTACAAGCTCTCTCCGTCAGTGTGTTACGTTTAGCGTTTGTTGTCGTTCTTTCAGACGGATTAGATTAGATGATATCATCAGTCATCATCCGTGCGGAGTTAGTTTGCATATATGTACGTACATATGTAGCACCATAAGCATATTCAAAGTAAGGCATGAGAATATAAATGAAGTTGACACAGCTTTTTTGAGCCAAGCCAACAGTTGTTGCTTGTTTTTGCTGCGAGACGAGCACCAGAGCTTCGACACGATAATAATTCATTGGGGACAGGTGCAGTTGTGCTAACACTTATATACGGAATTACGGACGGATTGTGTGTTGTGGGGAAGACGAGACTTGAGACAAATTATCTCTGCTCACCTGCTTTCTTCTCTTCTCTTTGCTATTATTATATATAGATTTAGGTGGGTTGGTGTGCTGGTAACCTTCACTCTCCAACACCAGGGTCGGTGATGTGATGTATGTCAAGTCGTATAGTCGTCATCGTCAGGTGTTAGGACGCTTCTTTTTTTAGTAAGAAGGAACAAGATCTTGTCCAGAGAACGGGCATGGAGAACGCGCAAATGAAAATATTTTCTTTACCTACTTAGTTTGCTAACAACGTCTCACTTTGTACTTTGATTTTGCAACAACATAGTTCAGTCAGATCCAACCGAAACGGCGTCAAATTATGTAATATCTGACTAAAACTGGTAGGAACCCAGATGGAAGACAACATTATCGCAATACTTCCCATATCTCTCTGACATTGATGTTGCATCTCTTGACACGAAGCACATGTGCAGATGTTAAGTTTCCTATTTTGAGATATTTCCTATTTTCCTCCGTTCATCATTCTCTTTGTCTCATGTCACAAATCACAATTACCCTTTTTCACATTTGTTTAGTTGTTCCTTATCTGGCATAAATACCCGGTTTTCTTGTGCCCCGATATTCGGTCCTGTCTCAATTTTCCCGTAAATTCTCCCCTCTGCCCTGATGTCTTGTTCATCTTCTCATTAACCATATGGATTCATCCATCTACCTCCTATACGCTTTAGTATTGCGTACCGTGGCGCAAAATAATCCTTCCTTGTTCCACCCATAGTGTGGCACCCTGCCAAAGACATTGTGCTTCTCAATGGATCCCACATGGCATATATACATTTACATAAGTATATACATATGCAATATATCGTATCGTATATCCTTGCAGAGTTTGTCCGTCGTCGTCATTTGCATGTTCCATTTGTTCCTGGCACAAATCGCCCCCATCTGTTTCTTCCTCAAGCTGTCGTTGTCTTCGTTTTCCTCCTCCTCCTCTTCGAAAACATAAACTAGGACCGAAACTATTTGGCTATGACGAAAGGAAATAAAATGCAGGCGGACAGAGTGCAGAAGAGAAAAGGGAAAGCACACGCTAATGGGCAATACGTATATTTTATGTACATATACACACACATTATTTATATGCATGTATATGTATGTCCTCATCCCTACTACAAACATAAATATATATGTACATCACCTAGCCTTCTTAATATTGATTGATTCCTAATGGGTCAGATCGATTATTGACGATGCATAATTGGTAATTGCTTCACCACTACTATCAAGATGGAAAGCATAGTTTGATGACCTCAACATGCACACGTGTAGATATTTATGTGTATGTGTAAAAGGAAAGCAACTATTTAAGCCATTTATGTGTACATAAAAGTTCACTTCCATTATCATTGATTCATCCTGATCAGATCGCAACAACCTTTAATTGCCAATCGGAAGCTACCAGCTGAAGTCCCACGTTTCACGAGAAATCATCCTTAATTTAGTATTCGTACCTTCATTTATTATTACCACAGCGATAGAAAGGACTCGGCGAAGGTGTAAGGTTACAACAACTCTGTGTATTCTACGCCGCACAGCCACACGACGACGATTATAATACATGCATACGACCCTTCTTGATATTCTGCTTCTTTGTGCACATTTTTGTTATGTTATTTGTTACCGAGTACTCGCGCACACAAAGAGTGAGAAAAGCTTGATGAAAAGGTCGCCGTGTGTTGCCTTACGTACATACTCTTTTCAGAAAAAAATGCTTTATCTGAATATCCATGATCACAATTACATTTGCACATGAAAAGTGAATAGCTGCAACAGCCATGCTCTCTCTTGGAGGACTTTTAATAAGAAAAAGAAGGACTTTATGAAAGCCAAACTAAATCGATGGGTACACACTTGCATTGTTGTCGGAAGACGAAACGCAACAGAAACAGCACACCTGTCTCAGGTGGTTTGGTGTGTGTCCCATCATCATGTAGCAGTTGGCAGACCTCTCTCCTCTAATTATATGTAGTCGCGTAGTGGCAGTTGAGCTATGGTTAGTTTTTACTTGATGATGCATTTGTGGTTTAGTTTGGGTTATGTAGTTTGCAAAGTATGGTTGTATGTATGTACCGATGATGACCGTCCAAAAAAGAAAGGATGGATAAGCTAAACACATTTGCCACCTGGATCAACTATAAGGCCGGACTGTCATAACTTCCACTGTATGCCTGCTTGCTAATTGTTGCTTTGTTGCAATATAGAATTACGTAACCTTTCTCATATTTTTGATTAAGACCAAGAATTATTTGCATGGAATTGATTATTTTTTGACGATCTGCTATATCAATCCAAGGTGGTAATGTATAGTTGAACAAAATTGACCTTTTAATGGATTCCGATCTCTCACACCCATTATTAGCCCATCTCGCATCATCATAATATGCATATAGGTTCAATCCATCTGGGAAAGGTGGTTGAGACAGATGTGCATTCAGCCTCGCAAAACCAAACCAAACCACAAGTGTGCATGTACGGTATTCAAAATCCAATCCAGACGTCATGTTTATATACATATATACCGATATATTTCACCCCTGGCATAAATTCCATACCACCACCTCACCCAGACCAGCTTTGATTACAATTAACTTGGCATAATTCTACCAAGGAAATCCCATTTTCGAGGAATAAATAAAATGGCACACAATTTATGTATATTTATTGTTAATAATTTATCAAGTACGAAAAATATCTTGAAACTCTACTCGACATTTGCTACCACATTATTATAATTGCTCTTCTCTATCTCTCAAAAATACCACCTGATATTGTAATAAAGGAAATGACGAATAAAGTTTTACATTTCAAAGGGTTGGATTTCAATAAGTAATAAAGCACCCCAAAAAATAAGGCACCCTTTCTTCACTCTTTTAAACTCTAATGATTCATGATGAGACGAACAAGCAGAAGTTTACTCACTACATGCATAAGTCGCACATCTGTTACACAAAGAACAAACAAGTCCCCTTCAATTCCACGCACTTCCTTATTTTCTTCCGCATTCGTTTACTACGAACGATGAGCACAAGCCACGAGTGAACATACACAAGGAAACCCACCCTTTCTTCGCCTGCTGCTGCTGCTGGAAAGGTATGACACAAGTCGGAAGTAGAAGAAAAAGGGTGAGAATAGAACAGCTATTTATATTTGGAAGCATGGGAAGAAGATGCAAAGAGATAAAGTCTTCTTTCGCGTGCTTGCATTTTTGGGGAATCCCTTCTCCTCCTCTCCAACAAGACAAGATGTCACGACATTTGGCCAGGCAGGGCAAGGAACCAAGCAACAACCCCAACCCTCACCTTGGATAATACCGCTAAGGGTCTCCTTTCTTCCCTTGCTCCTATTATTACACAGTTTAGTTTAGCATAGCGCAGTTCTACATCATCGAATGTAACATGAACCCATAATGTTTCGCGGAGGGTCGCAGACCGATGTCGAGATGATGATGAACTAACTCAACTTGAAAGCGAGTCAAAAAGAAGTAAATACTTCCGAGTTCCGATCTAACTCAGTCGTCAAAGGGGCAGATGAGATGGCCAACCAACCAACCAACTGGTGGTGTGTGTGGTAAAAGGAAAAAGGTGTCCATCTGCACTTTTCATTCTTCTCCCTTCATCCAAATTCCTGCTGGTACTGCTTCTTCTGTATTTACCACCTTTACAGAGTAATGGACGAGTTGAGCGTAAAATTCTACCGGCGAGGGTAGTACGTATAGAAGAAAGAAAATATGCGGGCATTATCAGAGTGAAGAATTCATACATGCATCTCCACCGCGTTTCCTAGGAGGAGCACTTCTAACGATGCAATCGCTCTTTCGTCAAATTATACACACACCTCCCTGACTTCCTTCTTTTCGGCTCTTATTGTACATACCCCAGGATCCACCTATTAAAAATGTTGTACAATATGCAACTATGTATGTATGCATATACTGAACTGAATTCTGCCTGGATAACTGCATGCCATGCCACCCTTTCTTTCACTCTCTTTCTTTTCATTTCATTGATGCGAGCAATGATCCACAACTCGGATCCACATGGCTTTTGCCCTATTCGCTATTAACACATACCTACGTACAGCATCCCACATGCGAGAGAACAAAATGTGGACGAGGACGGAGGAGAGATGAGAATATGGGAGAATCAGCAGCACAGCAGAGCAGCGGTGCAGTAGTAGTCTCGTCGTGTTGGTATTTGGCGTGTGAGTGAGAGCCACTTCATTTTTATTCCATTCTCTCTCTCCAGCATTTGGCATCAACATCACACAATTCTCATCCAGCTGTCTCATGTTGCCTCTTTAAGTCCCTTTCACTCCGTCTCTCTCTCTGTCTCTGTCCTTCTTTACATAATATTCCTTTCCCTTCTCCTTCCTTAGACTCTCTTTCCCTTGTGTGTGCTCCCTTAATTAAGATCAAAGAAAAGACAAAACATAAAGGATTGACAGCTCTCTCTTTCTCTCTCTTTTTGGATCGATCATCTTAACGTAAAGAAAATACAGCAAGAAATAATACACGACTTCAAAGAGTTTCCAAAGAACAACTGGCTACTACTGTACTTTTACTTACTTAATTTAGCTTAAAGAGTTAATTAATAATACCAAAATGGTTGCGGGGGTTCGACAAGAAAAGTGATCATCAAAGAATCCCGGCTAAAAGAACAACGAAAAGTCGTTTTGTTTTAATATACTTTGTGTCAGTTTGTAAGAAGAAGACGAGTTTTAAAATGATGAAGTCTCGACTTCTAGGCGGTGTTATCATGGAAGGGAAGCAGCAGCAAATTATCAAAGAGGAGTCACATTCACCCAGCTCGCCAAGAACGACGACACCCACGCCTCCAACCCCCCAGCAAATTGTCCCCTCCGGGAAAGAAAATAGGATTGGGAGTCGAGACAACGGCATCAGTGGGAGCAGGGCGTTGACGACTTCGCCAGCTTTAAATACATCAACCACCACCACGGTCACAGCCCCCAATTCTGGAACCGCGTCGGGTCATCAACAACACGGAAATCTTACAAACTCTGAAATCCTGACGAGATCCAGGTCAAAAGGTGAGTCAATTATTTGTGAAATTCTCAACAATTCAACTTTTTGAAAAACATTTTTATTTGCACATTATTCAAATTTATAACAACATTTTTCATTTTACACAAACAAAATATTCATCAGACAGCAAGTGTATGCATGCACATTTACGCGTTACTCTATTGTTGTATTAGTTTTGCGAGAACTTGAGTTTGGTATAATTGTATAGGTGTTTCGTTATAACCTCTTTCCATGTGTTCCTGAATTAAGAAGAGAGTTTGTATGATCTGGTAATTTGATGCTGCTGCTGGTCTGGTTTTGGGTCTGTTTCTGCCTTATTGTGCATCCAACCCATGAATCCAAACTTGGAGATAGTGTATGTATATACACAGTGTAATAATAAGTAATACAATAATGCAGCATAAATGTGGATTGGATGGATCTGCCAGGCTGCCTTCAAAAGCAATCTGTTTTGCATTACTGATTTCTCACGAGAGAGGAGAGAAGAAGAGCAAGCCCTCTTTGATCCAATCCACTCGTTGTGAGAGTATTGATATGATAAGCACTCATCTGCTATTCCCATCATCATCCTTACTTAATTCTGGCCCGTGTGGAACTGTTTATTTTTTTCTCACGGAAAGCAGCAGTCACACTGGATCGTCCACATGACCACACCCACATGCATACTTGTGATGCACAATGAGCATCATATGCATTCTGCTTTCTAATTGTTGAACCCTTTGCATGGAAGCAACCATAAAGATGCAAACTCTTCAACCATCCTCCTCAGCGAGCTTTCTTTTGCACATGCAGGCATCCATCAATAATATTTCCTTAAAACCCGGAAAATCTCGTATATTTCTGGATTGGATATTACAAGAATTATGGGCGTATGTTTGCCCCGTGTGGCCTGGCTTGGCGTATAAGAGTGAGAGAGAAAAAGACCAGATGTGACCAAGCCAAGCCACACTTCGCATCAGAGAGAGAGGCGAGTTTAGTAAAAATAGGTTGTGTTGTAAAGAGGAACATGTGTTGCGCTTCTTCTTCGACTTCTTCTTCTTCTGCACTTTCTGCAAACACTCACAATCTGTCAGCAGCAAAAACATCGCAGCAGCAGCAGCAACGGAACACACGCTTCGGAATTTATCTCCAATGAGAGAAACATATCTTGAACCAGACTGCACTTTATGTCATTCACTTCTTCTTCTTTCGCTGTTCTGTTGTTTCTTATCAAAAAGACAGACAAACTGCATAAAATAGCAGCAGCAGAGACAACATGCTGCTTAACATGAACGGGGAGAAATTTGAGGACATACATAACGTTTCATACATAGTTGCACCCGTTGAGGGGAAGAAACCAAAATCTAAAAGAGATTCTTATCTATCCATCATCATCTTATCTTGATTTAACCTATGGATAAGGTTCAGAGAATGATTTGTTCCCTCGAGCAAAGGGGTGAAGATCGAGCCGGAGAGAGAAACACGGCAAAGAAAAGATTCCTTAATGTGTGTGTAATGAGGCGTAGATTTACGTAAAGGTCAAATGAATGCATGCGTTCATATGTGTGAACATGAATGGAAGTTCTAGTTGTTTATATTTTGTACCGAATTCTAAAATTTCCAAATTCTCAAACGAATAATAAGGATACAAACTATTTGAATTATTTCTTGTCTGCATAAAAAAGTTTACTTGGATGTAAATTGCATCTCTCTCGCACACACCCACCCACACAGCACAGGTCTTTGTTGGGTTATTGTCTGTCTGTCATTCTCATGTTTGGTCAGTCAATCTCATTCCCTGGTTCGGCCCAACTTCCTCCTCCAGACCATGCTACCCTTCTTGCTTGGTCTCCCTGGATAGATCTCTGGCCTGTTCTGGATTGAATATGTGTGTGTGTCCCAAGCAGATAGATATTCGAGAGGGTGGCAGGAGAGTCGTGCTTGCACCATAAAGAGTGGGATCAAGTGGGTCTTCTCTTCAAAAAGCTTGGTCTGTTTTTGGCATTTCGCGATATCACGCACTTATCACTTGCACCAGCACATCTCTCCAGAGAGAGAGAGAGAGAGAAGAACTGTAATCACGTCGATGTCGTCCTTGTCGTCTTCCATTCCTCCAGAAGAAGACGAAGACGGTCTTCTGCTGGTGCTCTGCCTTTCGTGATAACACACACGCCACTTCTTAATATTACTTTTCACTCTCTCTCTCTCTCTCTACAAGTATTTGTCAAACATTTGCATTTTAATTCAAAGTCACCTTTTACCATCGTCACCACCTGCATCTTGCCTAATGCTGACTTATGTGTGTGTGTGTCTGAGGATACGGTGGCAGCAGCTTTCACCAAACAACGCAGTATTGAACTGATGGAGAAAGCCCACCTGGGGACAAGTTCTCGTTATACGAGGATTCTCTACAACTCCTGCATTTGACGCTTCTTCCTTCATTTCCCAAATGTTTGTTAAGACTTTTTCCTCTCTCTCTCACTCACTCACACATTCTCACTTTCTCTCTGCGTCATTCGCTATGCTTATGCAATGAGTGTAATTATTATTATTTGCATTGCATTATCAACAACTGATTGAAATGAGCACTTGGAGTAAAAGTCCTCAGAAAAGAGAAATCAGCGAGAGAAAGCAGGAAGAAAGAAACTGCACACAACAAAACTTGGCAGAAAGAGCAGCACCAAATAATTAATTTTGGCACAATATTGGTGGTGAAGGAGGACAGCGACGGACATCTCACCAATAATCAAGCAAAGAAAGGAGTCTGTCCTCATTTAATTAGTTTGTTTAACTCGAAATTTAATTATTGTCAGCTAGACGAATCGTTGTATTGGTGTAGTCAAGTAAAAGCTGTTCTCCTCTCTCCACATTTTACATAATTTACATGAAACGAAAGAACCATTGTCATGATTGTTGTATTTATAGTTTGTCATTCGTGGTGTATGTATGTACTGGTAAAAAGTTGTCTGGTGCTGTCATCTCATCTCACCACTCTTGTGTTGTGTTGTTATTATTATTATTTCTTCTATGCCATGTATTCTTGTGTAGTGTTATTATTGTGTACCCAGCATTGGGTCTGACATGAACTTGAAACGTCGTCATCCTCCTTGAAATAATACACAAGAAGCCCTCGTACAAAAGCTGGGACACATGGGCGTCTCGCGGTTTTTGAAAATCACAGAGAATTAGAATCTATCCAAATACATATGCACATACATACCTGCACTAAACCAATCCGAATCTGCAACCACAACCAGAGGAACCAGCCCCACTACCTGTAGTCTTCTCACTCTGGACGCGATCGTACGTGGTAAAGTAAATTTGTGTGCCCGTCACTTGCACCACTTCTGCCGGTGACGGCTGGGGACGGGGAGAAAGTTGGACGTTGTGCTCAAGAGTTAAGAGGCTCGCCGTGTCACCAGCAGAGCAGAGACCGGGTCGGACTAGCTGAGAGCATAATGCATATCTTACATGCTGCATATGTACATCTGTGCCACCTCAAAAACCACCCTCTGCTTTCTCCATGTTCATGCTTTCCAGTTAACCCCGCATGCCAATGGATGTATGCATGCATGCATGTATGTAGGTGTGTTCATATTATAATAACGTGACAATTTTTAGCAGGAAAGGAGTAGGAGTGGGAGCAGAAGCAGTTTAATTATTCTGAGGTGTTCTCCTAATGTAAGTGAGAAAAAGGTGTAAGTAGTGTCTCAAACGAGATGAGATGGGCACATCTGGCATTTCCCACAAAAAAGTACTTTCACCTCATTGCCACCTCAGGGAAGCAAGGAAGGAAAGTCTTGTTAGCGTCTTATTCTTCATTTCAACGCGACGACCAAGAAATAGTTGAACATCGCTCCTTCGCTCACAACGAGACTGTGCACTATGAGCTGATGAGATGAGCAGGAAAGAAGAAGGCTTTGTCAAAGAAAGTGGAAATTGTGTGGAAAAATTGTTCTTTACGTCGAAATCGTCTGCTCGACTAAATAATAAAGGTGTCTCATCAAGTCTCTCGTCTCACCTTCTTTATGCCAAACTGAATTTTTATGCGTTAAGTGGCAGAGTCCTTATCCTAATTGCATTATGAAATGGTGAAGGGTGCATGCCCACATATTTTTTTACACGTGTTGTAAAAAAACATTTCCCATGTCTCGTAGTCATTAATGGTGCGGTGTGATGGTGGTATTACTATTGGGGCCACATCTGGCCGTGTGGAAAATGAGGCTCGCTGCCTGGGTCGTCTGGTGGGGAAGGATTACGACGACGACGACGACGACGAGGAGGAGGAAAGTAAAGCTTATAAAGACGGCCGGCTGCTGCTGCTGGGTGAAGTGGTTCTGGGAGTTGGGAGCGTTCTTCTCAGCTGCTGCTCCTGCACCCGATGCCTCCCTCCCTGCCAGCCATGTATGCTTTCTCCAAATCAAAAACTGAGGAAAATCTTGAGAGAAGGAAAGTCTGTCCCAATCATAAAATGTGTGTGGCAGGGTGGAGCTCCCCACATTTGTGTCATAGCTAGCTATCCCCCAAATTAATTTCAGTTCAACCAATAATTCCCACACGGTGTGGAAGTAAATGGATTGGATGTAGAGAAAGTGGGCAGGTGTCAGAAGGACGAGAAAACATCACACTCGTGATTCTCCTACGTCGTCTTCCCTTCTGCTTTGCTCCTCACTTTGGCCGGTCGTCCTTACTGCTTTGGGTGGTTATGGATTCATTCGTTTTGTGTTCTCTTCTGTCCCAGTCGAAATTATCACTTGAGAAATTTAATGACAAAGTGGGAGTATTGTGATGACTGTGGGATATGTATGTGTGTATTTATATGTGTACGAACGTACGGCATAGAATGGAATAGAAAGTAAGTAAAGGTGTCCACTTTCCCACGGATGGAATAAGCAGGAGGAGCAGTTGTAGCATGGTTTCTTGAATGATGTCGATGCTTGGTTTGTGTGTATATTCCTGTGCTGTGCTCATCACTTATATTTTCATTTGTTTGCCCCTCCAGGCAGGGCACATTATAATGCCTTCTAAGATAGCGATGGGCTGGTGAGGAGGTGAGGTGTACATGCTCCAGTATGTGGTAGTAATAGTTGGTTGAATGAGCATCCATCCAGTTTGGGGAATAGTTAAGGCACTGACAAGTCCACACCCTCACTTTTGCAACTTTCTCCTTGAACACCCCCAAACTTTCTCTCTCTCTGTGCCTCCTGCAGGCTGTATGATTATGCGGGTATTTGTTTTCCCCATTTTTGTTCGCTGTCGGCAGCAGTCCTTCTTTCTTTCCTTCCTTCTGTCGCCTCCACACTACTGCTATTCAACATCTGGTTAAAACTTTCTCTTGGCCGATGTGCGATGGGACCAACACCACCTGCGACCATCATCCATCCATCCAATCCACTGCACTCACTAGTACTCCCAGCAGCAGCAGAAGTAATCCTTCTCCTTTTCTCCGATGAGATTAGTCTCAATTTGCCCCCGAATGAATAAAAGTACAAAACTTTCTCTCATCTCATCGCTCTCCTTCCTTCTCTCGCTTTCTTTCGGTCGTCGTTTCTTTCTACTTTCACAATCACAACCAACACCTTTCCTTCTTCTTTTCACAAAAGACATCGCCTCATCCTAACCATCTCCTACGCATTCTTGTACGTAACGTGATTGAGGAAGAGAGATGAAATCCATCAAAAAAACTAAATTGATCGGTGTACGATAAAACTGACATGTCTTTTCTTCTTTATTCAATTCCATTCTGCTCAGTGTATATGCTAGCGTCTACTCATTCATTTGTCACCATACCACAAAATGCAGATCAGATTTCTAATCATAAATCACTTGCTTTTGTTGTATAATACTTATAAAACTTAGGCGTGTATTATTTTCTTGTGCATATGTGAATATGTACACTGAATAGAATAGGATCTCAACCAGAGGTCCCACTTTCTATGTATATTTTTCTTTCTTTGTCCACTAGTCCATGATCAGCAGAGCACACCACCTGGGCTGTGATGTGAATATGAATAATGACAAAAAAAGTGAGATTGTTTTCTATCGTCCTTCCACTTCAATATTGGGAATCGATTAAGAGGGGCAGTTTTAGAGAAAAGAAATGATTGATAGTAAACCATTTCCTTGTTGTATCGGGGGTCACATGCAGAAGAGAGAAAGCTCTCAAATAAATCTGGGAAAGGCTGAAACAACACCAAGCAGCAGCATCTGCGGATAATGGGAAACTTGAAACAATCATGAACATGTGTGGCTTATTGGCTTGCTTATTTGTGTGCACATACATATGTACACATGGATATGCACACACACACATACGTAAATACATTTCGAAAGGCAATTAGTTTTTGTTTTTCGTTTCATAAATTGTGCAACATCAGATTTTGGTTTACATGTTTTTACATAATGTTCATGTACGCGTAGACATGTAAGTACATGTGTGACTGTACAGAAGGATATTGCCATTTTGCAAGTATTATTAGTTTGTCCATAAGTAACTACGGTAGCCTCGCTGGCACGTGTGTTTGTGCAAGTGACAACTAATTAAAGTTCCAAAGTCAAACTATCGCATAGTACACATAATACAGTGACGTTGTTTGAAGTGGGAAAGCTTTTGATCTCATTCTCGGATGACTTTGATCCCAATTGGATTTGAATTGTGTGATTTCATAATTTCATGTGACTTTGTTCCACGTTCGGTCCATTTAGTTCCAGGTAAACGCAGTGGTACATAAATAAGTACAGATATGTGGGATTGATGGGTGGGTGTGTAATTTAGTAGTTTGTGTGCAAAAGGAATGTCAATCAGAGGAAATGTTCAAAGGAATAATGACACAACCATTTTATTAACTGATGTTTCTAATAAAGAGAGAAATAGTAATTTGAAGTCGTCTCAGTTTATAAAATGCTATTTTTAACACGCAAGGTATTTCGTAATTCCAGTCCACAGCAGCGTTTTTTATGTGGTCTGAATTTTAACTGGGTTGTGCATGTACTTTTATTTACGCATAAAAATCTGTAAAGTTTGTTTGCAGAGTTGAGCAATTTTGGGAACACAAGGACTTGTTGTATTTTGTATTCCTCATAGTTTAGCAATAATGAAGGGAGGATTGCAATGTGATTGTCTTGTGGTCTGCCCTATAACGTTCTTATGGCGGATATTCATCTGTCACCAGCAGCAGCAGCCCTCATCTGTTTCTGTTGGGTCGGAGGGAAGACAATGTGAAATTGATGACCACCTTTTCACCACCAACTGCTTCCCTCTTTTTTGGGGTCACCACCAATTGTCCTGTACAAAGTATGATTGTATTTATATGATCAAATCAAGGCTGATGCGTGTGCAGATGTACATAAATTTACGTCAGTGCTATTTCAAATTAAAAATGAACACGATGATTTAAATTGTCGTCAAGTTTTTATCTGGAATATGGCAAAAAAATGTGCATTGCATTTTACACCTTAATTGATTTCGGATTATCTAAGTTAAGGGTGCCAAACTGTCCTTATATCCCATAAAGGATTGACAGAATCTAATTTCAGTGCGGGCACAGACTGGGACTGGCTATGTAAATATTTGCATATATTGCATTATGTATTTAGTTGTCATAAAAGCGTATTTAAAAAAATGTTGCATCTTGTTACGATAAATTTTAAATGGGACTGCATAAAGTTTCACATGTGCAATACTTACTAGATATATTTAAAATATATGTAGTTTTGGCAACAATTTTAATTTTTCTGTCTCACTCGAGGCTTAATATATAAAGCCAGCAGGTGTCTCAACATCCTGCCACATTATATACCGCCTCCCGTATTCCTCTGCCTGGTTTGTAGCTCCAATTCCAGGAAAGTGAAAGCAGTAAAGTATACGCGAAAGTCTGGTCGCATCTGGTAAAAGCACAACTCTCTTCTTTCCTTCCTCCCCAACAGAACCACATGTCCAACCTGCACCTCCTCTTCCACCTTTATTAATTTGATTCGTAACATAATTTTGCAACATTTGTTGGCGGGGAAGTTGAGACTGCATAATCCAATCCAGAGAAATAAGCAATAAGTTATTTGCTGTTTCCAATAATCTCGAGTTGGAAAAGTAGAGAGAGAGAGGAGATGTCTAATTGGGAGCAGATGTTGTTTTTACTACTATGTCCAATCCCTACATATTCTTCAGCACCTTCTGCCTGCTCAAACAACCCACCAACCAATCCAACCACCCAAACCAGTCCAAAAGCAAAAGGTAGTTCATTTCATGAGAGAAAGAGCCAGAGCGAGAAAGTTTTACGATAAAAATAGGCTGCTGCGCTTTCTCCCGTGGTGAAAGTATACACATACCCAATTAATGAAAAGGGGCACAAACAGTGTGAAACGAAACCTTGTGACATGACGCTGTTGACGAATTCAAGTATTTTTTTACCTTTTTCTTAGGAATACCCAAGGAGCACATCCACTCTGGTCGTCATCGGAGTAGTGAGTCGCCCAAAGGGGGAGGAGGTCAGCACCACCATCATCATCACCACCGCAGAGACCGGTCTCAATCTCCCCTCATGGCCCAGACCAGTATGAATCTCTCCATTCCACGGTGGGGTTTTAATTTCTGCATATGCATCTACATATTTTCTTACAGTTTTTTGCAATTTTTTTTACAATGTTCATTATTAGTTCTTCATCAACACCAAATACAACGTTCCCCCAGAATAATCACATCCACTACTCCCCACATAGCACAACCCCCACACTTCTCAGCAATGGGAGGAGAACACCGACACCACCATCACAGCAACAACATCATCAACAAATTCATTCCGGGAGTAACAACTCTTTTAGTGCTGTAAGGACGCCACCGTCCTCATCAACGGTAGCTTCAGGCTCCTCCTCTTCTGGATCGTCATCCGGTGGTGGAAATAATCCTGGAAATTCTCGTCTTCTTATAAAAATTAAACGTTTTCTCGGAACTCTGCTTCATTTTGGGTCTGATATTTCTCCCGAAGTTGGTGACCGCGTGAGAACGCTTGTCTTCAGTTTAGTGGTGAGATAATTAAGTGTTATTTGAAGTGCATACTTCCTTAAAAAACATTGAAAAAAGCTTTAAAACATGTAATTTTTCCAGAGTGGTCATTTAAGCATAGAAGAATTTCACGGAGGTCTACAAGAAGTCACGTCGTTCCCACTGCGTCCTTTTGTCCTCCCATTTCTTCGTGCTCACCTTCCCCTCCTTCAACGGGAGGTTGGCTCATTAGCCCGTGGAGCAAAGGCAGTCTCCACCTTGGCATATATTACGACGCATGAAACTTCCATCATCGACCCTGCAGCTGGGGAACCTTGTGACATATTCCATTCAGAAGCATCAGACCTTTCATTGTCTGGAAATAATAATAAGAGAAAAGTGGACAGGTATTTATTTATCTATATGCTAAAATAATGAACAATGGAATACGCATAATATCTTAATATTTTATCGTAAAAATCCTTAAGGTTTCACGGGTTCAATTTTGTAATTTCAGTCTGTACGAGAATGGCGACTGTTCATCCGAGCATCAAGGTTACACAACCACCCCAAAACGACACCATGGGGGTAGCTCAAACAACTCTTCCTTTTTCTCCTCCCCACCAACTTCATTCTTCCCAGAACTGAGGGAATATTACGCCGCAGCCGCCGTTTCTTCTGCAGCATACGCCAACCTCCCACTTTCACTCACAAGTAATTTGTATAACCATCTTATTTAACATTGTCAAATACCTGATATGAATCTTCCCGTCTAGACTCATCGTCTTCTGGATCTCAAAATCATTCTCAACACCATTCAGACCCAGGTCCATCAACACCTCTCACGAACGGACTTTCTACTCCAAAACCGGCAGGGGAGGACGAATGGAAAAATATTCACACCATGCTCAATTGCATTCTATCAATGGTTGGTTATCTGAATACATAATATAAAGACAAGCCCCACGAGAATGTCGGTGCATAAATGGTTCGTTTCTAGGTGGAGAAGACGAAACGAGCTCTTGGTATTCTTCAAAGTCGTGCATCTGCAGATCTGGGCAATGGCGGTGACGCTTCAACCTGGTTACGCAGACCCGGCCCCCTCCTCTTAGATAATTCGGAAGAATTGAAACGAGTCGGTACATACCCACATCCAAAACATTTCAACATAACTTATATTTATATAATTGTTAATCAAAATAACAACCGTTTTATTTTTATTGAAAATTGAAAGTTGGTGAAATGATGGCTCAAGCATTCCGTAACACGGAGGATCGAGTAATCGAAGTGAAACGGAGAGCTGGTATGTAAGAGATATGCAGCAAGAATGGGAGGCGGAGAACTATTTATTTTCGGATTAGGTTGTTTTTGACCCCGCATGATAAAGATAAAGTAGTCGTGGGAAGGAAAGCAGTTGAGCAAATCTAACCGACACAACAAAGTGATGGTTGCAAGAGATAATATAATATTATGCGACCAGCACAAACCCTCATTTTCTTGCATTTCTCGTCTTCAAGGGATAGACAATCTGTCATTCCATAAAATTATGTTTCGTCAACTCAATTTATCTGATGCAAAAAATGTTTCTTCCCTCCATTGTAGAGGAAGCCGTTCAAGAGGTGAAACGCCAAGCACTTGCCGAGCTGAAACGTGCCGTAGCATCAGCCGAAGCACGGGCTTGTGAAGCCGTCGCATCGGAGAGGGCACGTTTAGAGAGGGTACTATTAGAGTCACGAGGGTTAGGACAGCCAACCACGTTGTCGTCATTGTCATCGTCGACATCATCGGTACCGGTAATACCACCGCCCCCTCCGGCGCAGACAGAAGCGGAGGTAATGCAATACAGATTAATCAACATCTAATAAAAAACAAACCTGAATAAAATTAGTATACATCTGTCCAGGCATGTTGGAACTGTGGACGCAAAGCCCATGAAACTTGTAGCGGTTGTAACACAGCTCGCTATTGTTCCTCGTTCTGCCAACATAAGGATTGGGAGAGTCATCATAGTGTTTGTAAATCGTCCACTGTCAATTCTTCAAGTGGTGGGGTCAACAACAGTAGCGGTGGTTCTAACTCGCCATTAACTGGGAATACGAACCATAATCACCCTTCACCTCCTGAGCAGCATAATGTTGGATCACGGTCACCCAGATCGAACCATAGTAGTAACTAAATAAATTGCCCATTTAATTTCTTAAAATGTACGTAGTCATATAGTCAGTCATCCATTTAATTTACCTATTTTAGTCATTGTTGTCTTAACTTTCACATTTAAAATATTTTTTCAAAGTAATTCAGCTTTAATTCAAGATACCATTTTGTTGGCCACCGAGTAGACTGATATCAATGTTCTGTTACCTTTGTTGCTTTAGTTTGGCGTGGTTATTAATTACCAGAATAATGAGTTGCCAAATATGTACACGACTATACAAAATATGTTTAATGCTAAAATTAAAATTATTATGACAAATTTTGGAGTGCTGTTTGAAGTATTATTGTGCTTAATTATATACAATGGATGTTATTACAATTTAATTCTGATACCTTGATTTATCATTGAGCTAATTAATATACCCAACAACAGAGTACGATACGGGTTTAATTTAATACTTTTCTTTTTTACTAGAAATATACATGTAGTATTTAGTAAATAAGTTGTTTAGTTAATTACTAGCTTAATTGAAGTAAAATGTGGTTATTAAATAAATAGTACGAATTCATGTATTGAGTTAAGGGTAACCTATGCCAAAGAATGTGTTAGTGACATTAAAAACTTATACATAATCCAGCGTACATACGTCCTTCTCCAATTTATTTCAATTTCCATACTACTAAATACTACAGACTACGCAAATTTAAGAAACCGTAGTTTTGCACCTCCAAAAATCTCTTCCCCAAGAAGAGCATTACAGAAATAAAGAAAGTCATATGCATTCAAATTCAGGGGCTACGGACGCCTACACATCAATTGCAGGGCCAAATTGCTATCTTTGGATCCTCCCAGGGATCCTCCACAAAAATGTCTACATTAACCAAGGAAAATACATGTCCTTTGCTAAATTGCGTTATTTCAACTCGGAAAAATTACATGTATGTTTATGACGGACTGATGCACTATGTTTTTAATATATACGCAGTATCATCACTTGCATGATACATATTGAAAGTTGTCCACCAACTCAAAGGAGTTGCATATCTGCCCAAAAGCGACAAATCTCCACCAGAACATTTCAATCTCGCAAAGATACATACAGTTGCGTTAGAGATGGTCCATTCTAATCTTGGAAATGAAAGGCATATAGTGTTTCCTACTACACTTGTTGAATCTGAGAAAGTTTACAATCAATATGTACCTTTCACTCTTCTCATCCATGGAAGAAACTCAACTCAGAGGAGAAAGTAGAACAGGACACTTTCCCTGATGTTATCGATCTATTTTCTCCCACTTTCTCCATTTATTCCAGTACAATAATGTTCTAAATAAGTTAAGTAAAATTTAGTACGTCCTACTATTAGCTAAATATATATTGAAATACAGTGTAGTTGTAGTATGGATCCAACAGTTTCTCGATAATAGTTTGGGAAAACTTAATCATTTGCCAGCAAAATGCTTCCTGCAGCTGCAATTCTGGGTCGTGGGCGAAATAGGATTCGACTCACGACCAACAATACTGAGGAACTACCTTGCAAAATCCACATTCAAAGTTTGTCTTCGGACGAAATATTTGGCAAAGTTCAGATAACTTCAGAAACTCCACTGCAACATTATGGTAACACTTTGTTTTTCAGCGTTTGAGGGCAAATTACGAATTTTCCAAGGCTAATTTAATTATATGATAAATATGTATTTGCTTGAATTATTCAGGCTTCGCTGTCGAACTTCAAGGCACCATTACATTTCCCGATCAGAAACCCTTGAAACTACTTGCTGCAGATGTAAACTCTCCGTACCTTTTCAAATCTGCGGTTTACGACCACATTTCTGGAGAACTTGAAGGTTAAGAAATATACATACTTATTTATAATATGCGTATATGTTGTTTCAATTTATGCAAATTCAGTTTCCATAAATTCTCAAGAATTACTCCTTATTTAGCCATGAAAAAAGCTTCCCCCTCCGCGGATCAGAAACGAAGTACAAAAACCGGAACAGTATTTCCATTTAATCTTCGCCTCCCAAATACTACATCTCTGCCAAAAACATTTACGTCAGACTTTGTAAAAATCGAGTACAAAGTTGTGGTGTATCAAAGAAATGAGTTTCGTTACGTCCTCCTGGAAGAGAAAGCTTTAAATTTTCCAGGTTATCTTTTCCTCACGCGGGAAGACGCTGAATTGCATGAATCTGAATACGAGTCCAGCAACAATGGGATCACAGCACGGTTGCAGAGTCGTAAATCCATCCTGCCCAGTGATTCACTACAATACACTCTAATTATTAAGAAAACAGAGAAGGTATTGGTTACCAAAGTGGCTGTAAAGTTAGTCAGACACATTACATATCGGCCTCACACTGGAGACAGTGAAGATAAGAGACAGTCCGACGTCATGGATAGCTTTTCAAAGCAGAAACACTGGAAGGGAGAGATGGTCTCGATCAAGGAAAAATTTAAGGGGAAGGGTTGCATTCCGTCGTACGTCGGAACACAGTTTAGGATTGAGTATGTCATCGAGGTAAAAAGAAACAATAATTTGCAGTAGCATTTATTTGCTTATTTTCGTAAAAAGTAATTATTTCTTCACATGTACTTTTAAACAGTGTGAAGTGACAACTACAGATCCATCCACTCCCATAATTAATATGTCCCTGGGTGTTGTTGTTGGGACAAGAAAACCTGTCAGTAATCGGGATGACCAAGATGACGAAGATGGTATGCGCGTTCCTCGTTTCAGATCAAGATCACTGTCTGGAGCGTCATCATTTTTGTCACTGCTGCCCCCAGCGTATTCAAATCTATCGTCCAGAGTGGGGTCACTGCTTTCTTTTCAATGTATGAAGTCCATTTCAAAAACGAACCTCTATTGAATCACATAATTTAACTTTGCTGAACTTCATTTACAGTGCCACCACATTATGACGACGTGAAAGGAGACGATAATCCAACCGAGTGAGTGATGTGATGACTCAACTCAACTCAATAAGTTTCACATATTTATTTATTTCTTCCTTTTACTAAATCTCAATGTTCAATGTGTTTCAACCTCGTCATAATTGTAAGCAGAGAAATGTTAATAATTATATAAAATTATTATATAAAATTATTACTAAATATTCAAAATTGATATTTCACTCCGTATTAAATAGAGCTTCGTGAAACTATGAATCTTACCTGTTGAATTAAAAATGACAAGTGTTACATTTACACCACGACGTTACTTAAGTAGGATCTTCCCTTAAATATAAAATGAATTGACCTTATAAATAATATTTATTGTTTTGTAATTTGCCATTTATGACCTTGTAAATATTCACTGTTAAAAATATATGTACATATGTAATTCCTTGTTCCTTCATCCGACTGTTGTGGGTAAATTATATTTACTACATACCATATGCACATCGATAATATTTGTCGTCAAATATCGATTTGTATGTACAACAATGTTGATACTCTGTACTCTGATTATATTATAATTGTGAAATCATTTTATTTTAATGTCTAGTGTAATTCTTCTCTGTACAATAAATTGCAGCTTTAAAATCAATCCATGACTTTAACATTTCCAACGTACAGATACAATCAAATAATCCATAATGAATGAGTTTTACCATCGGCATTGTATATTGAACACATATTTTCTGAGGCAAAAATTAAGCTGCACTTGAAAACAGACGTCGTTGCCATTTTATATGGAGAAGGTTGACGTCGATATTTTGATGATAATATTGACAATAATAAAAATGGTTATTCCCATAAAATTACGCACAATAACATTTAGATGAACAAGAATGCTTTGTAAGACATTGAAGTCTCTTTTCGACAATAATTTTCTACCACTGGCTTCGTTACCAAGAACTGATGACGTCATAGACGTAAGACATATGCACCTGTAAACCAGTTTCATCTACGAAATAGCCAATATGTAGTGTGCATGGTCATGTACACATGTATGTACATACATATAAGATCTAATAGATTGGGTAAATTTCTTGGCAACTTTAAATTTTTGTCAAAATTTAGTGCACCCCACAGAACGTATGTACATTAAATACATAACAGATATAATGCAAGTTAATAGAGTTAATTCGTAAATACTAGAACATTTTACCAAAATTCAAACCCAAAGTTAAATAACTATGCAAATTTTTTTAAGTTTGACGGATTGTATTTTTAATGCAGTAGCAAGTAGAACATGTTTCTTTGTAACTTAATTGACCTCCCAAATTTTCGCTGTTGTTTTGTTTGTAACTACTTCGTAAATGTCGTAGTTAAAAGGCTTACTCTGTAACAAGCAAATAAATTCATATGCATCTGCACATTGTTATAAACAAGCTTTACTTGGGCACGCCATTACGCACTAGATCTCTCACTACTTGGAAATACCTGCAAACCTGCTTCGCCTCGCACAACAAAGGTAAACTTAATCTCACCTTATTTTATATTGCTTGTTTAGTTAGCTGAGCATCTCTCTCGCGAGTAAATAAATCCATAATCGCATGAAATTCCCAACTTAACTTAGCCTATAATGTGTCGTTCGGAAAAGAAAGAAATTTTACACAATGGTTATTTCTACGATGTTACCAATTTTTCCCATCCTGGTGGAAATATCATAAGTTTCTTTGTTAACAATGGGGAAGATTCAACCAACACTTTCAGACAATTCCATCACAGATCTATAGCAAAATCATCCCTGATGCTGCAATCCCTGCCTAGAAGAAAGGCTGAACCTGGAGGTAAGGAAAGCCAGGAATACTTATTTCAAAAGTGTATAACCTGTTTTATCTTTTAATATTTATTTATGCTTCAGAATATGCAACAACAATTCCTCCCGAGCAGTTGGAAAGGCACCGGCAACTCACTGCTGGTTTTCAAAAATTGTTCAAGGAACTGGAACGAGACGGATTTTTTGAGCCGTCTCCAACCTACATTTGTATCAGGATAGTCAGTCTCTTACTCTTTATCGGTGTCGGATTCCAACTCGCTTTCCTGGATGCGACCGTTCTCCGTCTTCTGGGTCTCGTAATGCTCGCCGTGGGAGGAGCTCAAAGCGGTTGGGTTATGCACGAGGCAGGTCACTACTCATTGACAGGGAGGCCCAAGTTGGATCGAATTCTCCAATCTCTCATATTTGGCCTCAGTACAGGCTTCTCGGCTGCATGGTGGTAAGTGGGAAATAGAGAGAAATTTGATTTTTTGACCTATCTGACCTATTCTTGAACGTTATCATCGTTAGGCGTACTTATCATAATCGACACCACGCGGCAGCGCAGCGGGTCGGAAAGGACGAAGATGTCAATTATCTTCCGCTGATTGCTTTTAACAAGGAAACTGTTCCAACAGAGGAGGAAGGAAAGTCTTTCTGGGTACGAAATCAGGCCCTGTTGTACTTTCCAATTGACGGCTTTCTAATTATATTTTACTGGAAAATGTAAGTGTTAAGTCGTTGAAATATACATATTACTTCTGTCCTTTCACGTTTATCTAATCGCATGTTGTTCCTTTCCCAGGGTTAAGTGTCCCCGATACGCCTGGCACAAAGGAGCGTATCTCGACCTATTCTGCATGGGTGTACATTACGCGACCGTGGCTTACTCGTTAGGCCTTCTTCCGTACCTTTTCGTCATTTGGATGACTGCAATTTACACATTGGGCCACTTGTCGTTGAATCATACTCACACTCCCGTTACGGAAGTGGAAACACACTGGGTGGAACATGCTCTGACACACACGGTCGACATTGCCCCCAGTTGGTGGGTTGACCTCATCATGGGATATTTAAATTATCATGTCCTTCATCACTTATTTCCCACGGTAATTAATGATGGTATAATGATTTCATGCAAATGATTAGCTCCTCCTCACATTGTTTTGGGTGTTATGTATATTCCAACAAGTTTGGATTATGAATCTGATTATGAATCTGAATTCAGATGCCACTTTTCCGAGGAAGGAAGGTTATGGACAGGATTAAACAATTCGCACAAGAATATGGATTACCTTATCAATGCCACTCGTATTGGAAATCCATTCAACTCACAATTACCAATGTGAGAGATGTGGCAAGAGAATTACAACAGGGGATTTAAAAGTAGCCAATTTAGTATTAAGTGGAACCACGATACATATTTAGATATTTGTTTGCTAATTTATATTTCTTACATTGTTAGTATGAACAATTTTATTCGGTATGTATTTATGTACAGGATTACGAGTGACTTATTGACCGGACCTCTGAGATAAGAAATACAATTGGTCCATGTTATGCATATGCTTACGTAAATAAATATATGTACTACGAATACGAAAACTAAATTACTATACACAAGAAACAGTGTTGATTTAATTTAGCATTCATAAATATCAGTACATATAAGCTCTGAAAGGTGAGCTGAATGATAGAACTTAGACATTGATGTCTTTCAACAAGTATTCAAGTTTATTATATCGGTTACTTGACTTTATATATTAAGATTTAAAGTCGTCTAGTTTTCTCAATAAAAAATCCTCCATTTCATCAAGTTTGTGTTCCATTCTGCTCATAATTCTGTTGGTCTCCGTTTGATTTTCAATATCAGATTTTATATTGACTGAAGAATTTTTTGTCCGTTTTCTCTCAAATTTGCATCCACTTTTTCGATTTTTGACAGGAATATCGGTATGCTTTTGAATTAAGTGTTTGGTTCCTATGCTCAACAACTTGTACACTGGATCATTATATTTCGTATTGAATACGAACTTGTTTCCATATGCGGAATGTAATGAAATTTTGTTGGCCATCCAGTTCCCCATTTCCGAAGGACACAAGTCAGCAAGCAGGAGGAATATCCTTTCAATTTCTGCGGCATGCACAATGCAACGAATCAAAGTTTCCATCTCCGCATATTGCAAGCATCCCTATTAAAGATTTTCATTAACCATTTGTTATGACAACTTCGTCTAGATTGAGGTCTTGCCTGAATGTCTGATACTGCAATTCCCACAAGAAGGTTCGACAATACCAGTGTGACAGCAATGAGAGCAGCGACGTACCAAATGTGCCCCCACACCATAAAGTCAATATTATTGCCCACTTGCTTGTCAAAGAGTGAGCTGTACTCCACTTCCCCCACCATCATGGTTAACATCTTTATAAGTGCAAGTGGAATGCTTGATACAACGTGGTCCTGTATTTTACGTGTACATAAGTATGCGTATATGTATTAACAAATCTGGATTTTAAAAATTGACCTTACTGTTGAAAATAGAATGCAATACGTTAAGGCAAAACCACCCAAGACGAACGAGTACATAAGCAAAGACCATAGAAAGTTCTTTAAAATCTGCAACAATACGTTCAAATTTTAATGATCAAAAAATGCTTTTCAGTGAGTAGGGAATTTAATTTGTAGTAATGTATTACTTTGAGGAACATTATGTAGTATATTGTCCACCAATTTATCGATCCCATCAAAACAAATATTCGCAACCATGTCCCGGTTAATGCCACCTACAATATATTCTATTAAAAATTGACTGCTTGCAACAAGGCTTTGCCCTCATTTCGATTTTATCATTGATATACCGATCCCGCTTTGCAAATCCACGTTGCTGGAAACTCTTCATGTACCGCCGTACTGAAACTGATAAGAATAGAGAACAATCCACTGGCAAGACTCATAATGTGGGTGTGGTTGCTCATCTCGGACATCCACACGCGGAACCCACTTGAACAGATTCGCATTTCAATCACCATCATAACCATTCCGCATATGGCATAGTACACCGCAAATCCACGGCTGAGAAACTGGATTTCACAATATAGGTCAGATGTCGCATTATGCACATTTTGGAAGGTGCTTGTGGTGTGCGATATGTTAATTTTGGCGATGTCAACAATGTTTCGGGTCAAATCGGTCGGATTAAATTTAAACAAATTAGGGCAGTCGTAGAACATGATGGACACAATGAAACCCGTGTACGACAGAAGCATCCCAATCTGAAAGACATTGTTGGCGTTCAATTCAAGTCCTTAAATATGCATACATATCAACGTGAAAAAGAGCTATCGCAAATCGCTATGTACTGCACCTGGATAAGAATTGACATTAATTTGATCCAATGCAGCTTTTTCCATTTCAAGTCCATAAAAATATGTACGAGAGGGTGTCTGTAGAGATCTGGATGCATCCTTCTTGCCTTTGTTTTTTGGTGAGTATTGACCAAACTGAGGAGCAGAGACATTTCGTTTTTCATACTGCCAACATTTTCTTTCTGTGTTTCAGACAAACTAATTTCCTGTGCAAGCGGAGTTATTTTTGTTAAGTTATCTGAGACTAATACGCCCTCGTTTGATCCATTGGGAAACAACATGCTAAAAATATATTGTTTTAATGAGATTTATAAATTTTAAGACTTAACATGGGAACATCTTCTTACGACATATCACAGCTTATCTGAACCCCATTGTCATAATCCTCTGAAGGGTAAGATGTTGTTACAAATGACGAATTCAGGGTCGTTGATAAGATGTCTGGAATATTTTTTTCCACAAAAAACAAAAGTGGCATTCCATAAAAATTCCACCTGTCAAAAGTATCCAAGAATAAAAGAGTTGTTTGGGTTGTCAATAGCTGAGCACTACTTTCGTTACGGCAGATTAAATAAAGTCATACCCATTATTAAGTAATGCTCCATTCTCAATTAAAACTTGTGCAACATCCAGCAGTTTATATTTAACAGCCAAATATAATGGTGTGTGTCCTCTACTCTCTTTTTCTTCAAAGTCTGCCCCATGATTTGCTAAAACTTGTAAACAATTTACGCCCTTCCGAATGCATGAGTTACATGCGCATTCTGTACAAAAACATTATTATTTAGGATTAGTTTAATTATATTGTTCAATTTCACGTACATAAAATACTGAAAAATTTACCATGAACTCGTTTAACTATCAACGTCGCAAGTGTGTTCCCCATTTCATCAATAAGATTGTTGATATTTTCTATGTTGTGCAAAGTCAAATCAAGCAATCGTGAATCCAGATTGTACGCAGATTGGTGACAATCAACACCGGGTGAAAAATTTACACGCGACTTTGTCATATTCTTGAGTTTATTTGAGGCATGTAAGAGTTTCTTTTAATGGTTGCAGGAAAGTTACGGTTTAGTTACGTATTTCAATTCTGCCAATACAGGTGCAGAGTGAATATGACACGTAATGACAGTTCGGGAACAAAATTTACTCGGTTCAGCGAGGATCAATAGCGCATAATAATTAATGAACAACATGGTCTTATCTTCTAGAAATGAAATTGCGAGCTTAATTGTAGGTATTAATAATCAATAAGAGTCAGGAAATCAAATATGCTTTATTTTATATAAATTTTACTTTTAGACCAATGTTGAATCAATATTCTGTAATTTTAGACGTACACATAGCCAGGTTTGGTTCCCATAAAATTTCGGGAAAATTATCATACAAATCGTCCAAGTTTTATAATCAACGAGTTACATGGTTTTTTGGAGGCTAATCCTAAGCTTATGCGACAAAATTGCATTCTTTATTTACAAGCAATTCATGAACTTGCTCAACTATTGTCAAGGTTGCAAGGTTTCAATGTAATTCTATCCACCAATGAAACTGATAATTACAGGTATCCGTCTTTCAGTTGGAATTCCATTCTTATCAGATTCCTCACTATTTAAGAAAGTCTGGATTTTCATTTCCCAAGAAATAAAAGTCTGCATGAGCTGGAGAATTGAGTAGCTCTGTTGCATAACATTAATGATGTTGTGAAAAATCTTTAGTAATAAAGTTTTTCGCATGCAAAGTTCAGGATGTTTGTTGTTTCGTTTCGTTTTATTGCTAATTATGCATTTTATTTGCATATTATGAAATACTTTCACAAGATATGTATGTACATACCTATATATGTATATAAAAGTACTCCAGAAACTCCCATATAAATGCATACATATAAACATACTGATACATATGGTGCAACATCGTATGCACAATTAACGAGCAAGTAATTGGATGGTAAAAGATTCAAAATTCTAGAATTTTCCATTCCAGTTTGCAATTTTGACCTCACATAACCTGCTCATTTGTGCATGTTATTTTAATCGAGTATTAATATGCTTTAACCCTGGGCAACAAATATCATGAGTGATCTCATTAAGATCAAATAATGACCATCCTATGAAATTTCTGCAACATTATTGTTCATAACTGAAGGAAATAAATTATCCCTAAGCAAAAAATTTGAAAACATCCCACTTATCAATATATCAAATTGTATTATTATTCCAGGATATTTCCAATGATAATTGGCCTTGGCGTGAGAACAAACTCATATTCAAAATTTGGCGTGGGAATGAACTTATATTGATAGCTTTGAATTGAACAGTGAATGATTTTATTATGCAAAATTGTGCAAAAAATTTACTGCACGTGACAAAAAGTTTGTTACTTTTTAATTATGTATTGAAAAAATTATGTTCGAAGTGGTAAATAAGCCAACCAAGTGCGCATATCTGTACAAGAAATGTCTCTTTTGGCCAGAGGCACACGTTACCATGTCAGCCAAAGTTTCTGATTCTGTAAAATCAGAAACTCAAGTTTCGAGTAAAGTTTAAAATGCTCGTCTCTATGATTCATTTACTGATTACAAATATAATTTTTTACATAACTTAAATATGCAGTACATATTTTAAGTACTAAATATATACTTTCATTTTCCATTAGTCTAAGAATTTCCCCATTCAATTTACTTAATTAAAAATTATATGGGGCTATTAAATAGTCTGGAAAGCAATATATGTATTTATACCCATACGAATGCAGTTTAATCCACGGCGTAACAAAGGTAGCCACTTTTAATCGGAACATATAAACACATCTCTTTGATCGTGGGAATTATGTATACTATTCGACCACATGCATGGATAATATTTCGCTTAAAGCTTTTGTGCGTGTTGGTGAACTATTTGTAAGTATTAGATGCATTTGAATGAACTCAACTTGTAAAGAATTTTAAGAACTATATTTGTTCATGGACAAAATATGTCAGTTCATCTCTGAATTGTCTTACGATGGGTCAAAAATTGATAATCTGCTTGAGTTGTCTTCAATTCTTGCTCATATTTTGCATACCTGTGGTAATTCCATCTAGGATTTTGTTTCTCCTCCCGCTGTCCGCGAGCTCGGAGTGCGCATCCATCCACAACCTTGCGGAAGAATTACTCTACAAAGGACACACAATTACGTGGGTGGCTTCCGTAGCGACAGAAACTCAGCATGAAAATTATACAGAAATTATACCAATTCCACCACCAGAATTTCATGATTACTTGGGTAAATTAGTGTGTATGTACATATTAGTACCCCATAAAAGTATGCATTTATATTGATCCGGAAATTGCCCAAATTTTTACAGGAAGTGAAAACGACAGTATTCTCACTCATCGTCTCAGATTTAAGCAACTTATCCCAATTTTACTCGGTTGGAAACTTGACGCCACTAGTGCCCGATGTCACGCAGTGTATAATCATCAGCGCTTCCGTGATCTAGTGTTGAAACCAGCACACAAATTTGATCTAATTGTCATTAACGGAAATTTGCACCATTGTCTCCTCGGTTTAGTGGTGGACACTCCGTACATTGTCTTTCACAGCATACCTTTCACAGGGAACGAGTTTCGTTTCTGGGGAATCAGAATGCCGCCATCATTCGTCCCATTGTCCATCTTAGAACTTGGAAATCGCATGACATTTCCCCAACGTCTCCTCAATCATTTGACCGTCTGGGGGATGTCTTTGACATATGATGTAATTATTGGTAGTAGAGCTGAAGCCGTATATCGCTCCCACCTTGGAGAACATCTCCCTCCAATATCCGACATTGAGGGAAATGTGTCCCTCATTTTCTCCAATAGGTAGTGTTTTTAAAACGTTTATTTCTTCGAAGCTTGTAAAATTGTAAATTATTTCTACATTTACCAAATTATACATGTAAAATAGGATAATGTGGAAAGTCTATAATTAAAGGTTCCTCATTTTCCTCATTTTCTCTAACAGCCACCCAGTCCTCTCCTTTCCTAGACCGCTTACTCCTGACATGATTGAGGTTGGGTGTCTCCAATGCAGGAAAGCTTATCCGCTCCCACCTGGAGAATTGAAAAAATGGGTGGATGAGTCCGATTTTGGGATAGTTTACTTCAGCATGGGCACCATGTACCGCCTACAAACATTTCCACCCCAACATCTCTCTGCCATACTCAACGTGTTGGGGGGTTTGAAAGAAAGAGTCGTTTTTGTCGGGGATGTAGAAGAGATCACGACTCGTGCGAATATGTCCATTCCAACAAATATTCTGGTACAATCATTCGTACCACAGCAGGATCTTCTTGGCCATTCCAAGATGAAATTGTTCATTTCGCACGTGGGGACTCAGTCGCACTTGGGTATGTAACAAAAATACCCGACTTACTTTATATTAACTCAAAGTAAAATATTACTTTAGAAGCAGGATATCATGGCGTCCCGCTCGTTGTGATGCCAATTTATGGAGATCAAGCATTAGCAGCGGTACATGTGCAGCAAGTTGGAACTGGAATTCTGATTGAAATATTGGAACTGACAGAGGCAACTTTTGGTGACGCTGTTAATAAAGTGTTGCACGATCAAAAGTTAGTAAATACATTATTATTGTGCTGTAACTTTTTATTTAATTGGTTGTAAATATATGAATCCAGATACCGCCAAAAGGCCGAATACATTTCCAAAATGGTTCGGGACCAGCCTCAGACATCTCTGGAGAGAGCCACATTTTGGACCGAGTACGTTTTGAGGCACGGCGGAGCGCAGGAACTGAGGTCATCCGCAAGAGACCTAAATGGCTTCCAGTACTACGGCCTAGACGTTGTTATATTTCTTGTTAGCTTTATTTTGTCAGTCACCCTAATAGCATTAAAGGTTAGCAGGATTAAGTCACTAGGACACGGTAACAGTGGCAAAGCACTGCTAACAATCTGTCTTATTTATATGTCAATAGTTTGGTTAACTTAATTTTGTACTAATAATTGTACATATTAAATTTAAAATTGATCTAAAATGACAATTATTTCCATAAGTGTCATACATACGCAGGTTGGGTTCCTTTTTCTCCAGAATTTTAGCATAATTGAGTTATGTCTGCTGAAAAAAGAAATAAATAACCCTAAAAATATACGTACATATTATTATATTTCACTACTAGAGATTTTAGACTTTACACTTTTGGTAGGATGTTTTTGGGGTTCGATGGGGTTTTCACGAAGAAATTAGAAAAAACACGCATTCCTGAATGGTTCACAAAACTTATTTTACTTCCTGAATTTAATTTTTATTATTTTAATAGTGAGGAATATTTACGACTCTCATATTGATAATTTACATTCAAGTAAATAAATTCTGGCAATCAATTGAGATAACCTGGATATTATGTATAATGAATCTGTATGTATAAAATAATGTCCCGTCAATAATTTATGTGATAATGTTATATTAAGAGCTATCTAGTTAAACTTGTGACTGAATATGTGATCCTTTTACTAACTTAAGTAAGGTTAATTCCTGAACACAAAGACTCAACAACTCGGCTGCATCTTCATCGCTCGGAATATACGCAGTGTCAGCACCCACAGTGATAGACAATTTATTAAAGCTTGTTAATACTCCAAATACAATTCCTGTATTAAAAAACGTATCAATTATGAATTTAATAAAACTGAGAGTTTCATTTATTATCTAAATATGTACATACCACCAGTTCCAGCTACCGTGGTAGTAAAATTGACATCCCGTGTTTTATGTCCACAAATCAAAGGATGTTCCGGACCTGGAACATTGCTCACAATTACGTACTGATTCTGAATGGATTTAGAGGTTATTGAGGTCATAAAAGATGGAGGAATGCAACCCCCCAAAACGGTAAGCATATGTGTTGCACTTGGTATCGAAGATAATTTCATGGAGACAAGGTCTTGGTTAATTTTTAGCACTCTTTTCAATGGATCCGACTCCATCATCTGAATTGTAATTGTTACGAAAGATCTGGAAGTGTACAAATTATGAATAATTACATCATTTTCAATGGAAAATGGATTTTTACGGATTTTACGTACAAAGTATTCCTTAATTTGTCTGAATGTTTTCCAGGGATTGGAATTCTGAAGGCTACCCCTTTTTCTAACTTTCGTGAAGCGAAATACTTTTTCAGTCCACCTGCCATCATGGACACAATAACGGACGTGAACAAGATTTCCAACTTATTTTTGACTTCCTTCACTTCGTTTAAGGGGATCGAAATGGCTGCTCTGGAACTGGCACCACACAGACTTTTATTTTTATCAAGGAATGGATGTAGTTGTAGAGTAGGGGAAGTTAGTAAATTATATGTGAAATCCCAAGGCGATTTAAAAATTGATATCCATTTGTTTGGTCGATAATTACCAACTGTTCGAAAATCAGGTTTGCTTTCTAAGCTCATTATAGAAGTAGAAGTGTCAAGACGCGAAAGAAGCTTCAGTCCAGAATATCCGTCCACAATTCCATGATGAAAACGTGCCAATAGCAAAAAACATCCCTAGTGAATTAAAAATTTTCGCAATTATGTACATATACGCAAAAATGTATTAATGGTTTAATAATCCTGGTATATTAACAAGTTAAATTAATTAAAACTAGTCAACCTCAGGGCAGTCCCTCGACCAGGATAATTGCTCGCCAGGAATGACAACGATTTCCCATAAAGCTTTATTTCTACTCCACCATTTCTCAAGATGAAACTTCACCAGGGAATTAACATCTGGAAGTGGAGATGTTCGATCTGATCCATTGGATCCAGAATACATGTAGACGTGATCGTCCAGTTTGAAATTTGATATCTGTTTCCAAAAATGGAAACCGAAAAACGAGGAAAGATTTTGGCGTAATTCAGGATGTTTCAGTTCGCCTCTAAAAATATACATCTGGATTATATTGACTTTGCTTATTATTTTGCATATACTTTACATATATTATGCTTTATTATATGTACTTATCATTCCTGGCATCCAGAAAAAGTTTTTGAACTAAATCTCGTATGTGGAAAATGTCTGGCTTTCCTTCCAATTCGAAGGCAACTACAATCACGTTTTTTGGACAATCATAAAGACTACCTATCGACATTATGTGTCCTGTCGCAGTTAGCATCTTATCAAATGTGTCCCGTTTCATATGCTTTGCATATTTTGCCACACACCACCGGAACAGCAAACATGGAGTCAATACAAGGAACAGAAGTGGAACGCAGATAACTAGTAAAATTGAAACTGCTGTGACCAGCAGATAAACACAAAAAGTTTTCGCGGACGTCAGGATTCTTTGGTTATCCATTCCGATTTATATTTAGCATTTAATTTGCACTACGTAAAACTTGAAACAATTATATGCGTACACAACGTCTACTTACATTTTATGTCCTCAGCCATACACGCTAAGTGCACTCACGCAGGTAGTTAAGTTAAGTTAAAATGGTTGGGTTAACTGGAACTTAACTTGATTGACTGAAATTGCAGAAAATAAAAAAAAATCCGGAAGAATACAATAGTTTTGTATTTTATAAATTGCTATTACCACGTTATTATTGGCTGACTGATCACACTCATTGGTGGATCATACTCATTTCAAGCATAAAATGTTTGTCTTATACAAGTTATTGGGAACTCCTCCGAGAAATTTCTCATCATTAATGAACACAGCCTAAAGAATGATGTATGAATGTACCAAATCCAGAAAAACTAATGCATATTATATGGAAGCGATATTTTTTATTTATCTTTAATCATATATGTGCATTAAACCTGCACTGAATATATTTTTCATGAATCCACAAGGTGTGCTTCCTTAACAACTTTGCCACAAACATTTTTAGCCCGAGTCAGGGCTTATAGAACCGTCATGTCCGTCCGTCTGTCTGTCCGGCACGATAGAGCCAAAACGGCTGAACCGATTGACTTGAAATTTGTACCATATGCATATTGGACAAAGTTAGGAAACGAGTTCGAAGATGGGCGAAATCGGTCCAGTGGTTGACCGGTGGGGGTCATCGGAGTGGGTGGGGTAGTATGCATCAAAATTTCAAAATTGTCGTAGAAAGTTCAAATTTGGTACAGTGGTTGCTAATGGCACCTAATGCAAAACTATGACTTCAGATTGGAAAAATTTTTATCTGGAGTGACTCTATGGGGTGACCCATACCGATTTTTCAAAATCATCATATCGAGCTGAAATTTGGTAGAGATGTTGCTTATGGGTCCTAATGGAAGAATATGAAAAGAAATTGATAAAATTTTTATCTGGAGTGACTCTATGGGGTAAACCCATACCGATTTTTAGAAAGTGGTTTAAAAAGATGAAATTCAATACGGTGATACTTAATGGCTTCTCATGAAATAATATGAAGTTAAAAGTTTGCAAAGTGCAACCAAAATGGCACTGGGGGACCCATACCGTTTTTAAAAGTTGTTATTTTCATCTGAAATTTGGTATGGAGGCTAAAAACCACTTCTGGATTATATACAGCTTTATGTCGGTCAATTCGGACAAAAATTTAGAAGCGGACTCTGACTTATTGAGTCAGGGACTATGTCCCTGACTCGGGCTATATGGAGTCTGCACTGTAGGTTTTAAATGTAATGAAAGTTTTTTGCAAGACTAGATACAATAACAAGCTGAGATTATATACACAAGTACTAAATTGTATTATGCGCAGGTTCACGTGTTCAATAAACGTTTCTTGCTCAAGTTAAATCTATTTTTATATATCGGCCTGTAGAGTTATCTTCTATCAATTTTGAATTCACATTGTATGCACTCGTCCCAAATTCAGCCAAGATTTCATGAGCCATCTTTTCTTCCAAGATACCCGAGTCACCGGTTATAGCCAGCCTTGCACTATCTTCACTGGTGATCATGACAATAGGCACAACTGTTAACAATTAAATTAGTCAGTGAAATACAAATACATAAAGAAATAAACATCTCTATAGAATATATATGCGGCTGATTATTTGTTACCCTTGCTGCCTGCTGTATTTAACGGGGACCCATAAATTTGTACCAGAGGGTGTCCAAACATGGATACGGGGGAGCTATTGAACATAAAATTTGTAAATGATAGGACCGTTCTTCCCTTTGATCCCGTATTGATTACAGATCTCAAAAATATTGAAATCTGTGCACCCCACAGTGACCCAAGAATTGTCATTAGAAAGGGCATCGTAGAATTTTTCAAGTTGCTGAGGTTGGCTTCAATTAGCTTAATCCTGGTGCTCGGATCAATTTCCTGGATTGGAAGTTCAATCCATCCCATTGTCCTATATAAATAATTTACAGATTTGAAATACTTTTAGGAAGCAGTCGTTCAGTCCGATAACCGCTATTTATGCAAATAAGCATGTACATATACATACATACGTACCCCGCATTTCTTAATTTTCTAGGGTGATTAGGAACAGGCATAGGAAAATGGAGAATTATGTTTCCTGAAACTTTGCCATCTCTTTTCAAAATCAACCGTCTTATCGAACTGGTCAAACTACTAAATACTAACGTGGTAAAAGAAACACCGCGAGCTTTCGCTGATTTTTTCATTTCTGAAACACTTAGCGAGGATACATTTTGTGCAAATGTAGAAGTTCCGGTCAACGAAGGAGTGCAAGTAGGATTAAATATATCTGGAGTATGCCAAGTTCTAAGATAAGCTTCCAAATACAAGGCAACATCATACGGGATCTTAACCAGGGTTTTAGCCCAATTTTGTAATCTCTTAGTTTTTGTAGCACACGTTTTTGGCTGCAGTATCTGGTCGATAAGTTTGGGGTTGCTGATCTTATCCAGTAACTTAAGCATGGAATAAGCATCACTGAGTGCGTGATGGTAACGTACTATCATGTCAAAATCACTTTTTCCCGGAAGGATGATCACTTCCCACACTGGTTTACACCCAAATTCCCAGGGTTTATTGACCAGTGTGCGTAGGAACTCCGTACCAGTGGAAGAGTTGAGGTCATCGTTGCCATCATGGTTTCTGAAGGAGTTGGTGTGGATTGGCAAGTTGAAATTTTGCACATCTTTCCAAAAAAGAAACCCACACCAAGGAACAATTGTCTGTTTGAGCTCAGGGTAAAGTAACGTTCCGTTTGAGTCCTTAGCTTCTAGAATTTTAGTTGTGAACTCAGCTATTATGTATTCCAAATCTGGGATACCTTGAAGTTTGCAGGATATCACGATGGTGGACCAGTTTTCGTTGATGCCGTGCGAACTGGATAATGTGGTGAGCATCTTGCCTAATCCGAATGGCCTTACTAACTTTGCTAAACGGGTGACAATCCATCGCAAAATTAGTGCAGGTAGGAGGAGAATAATAACGAGTGGAAGTATAATACTTAGCAATAAGTAGAGAATTATTAACACAGAAAATCGAAAAACATGACGCCTTAATATACCTGGACCCATTGTTTGAAATGTTTATTTAAATTTAAAATAATAATAATGAAAAACACTAAATAGTAATTTACTAATGGACAATTTACTTTGTCTCAAAATTATTACTTGTTTTTTTATATCGCCTCTGACAAGTAAACAACCACTTGCTCAACTAAATTGCAAATGCATATTAAAAAGTTCGAGTTTTACAATTGCCTGGAATTTGCTTACTTCTTACCAAATTGCTTTTTCAGATTCATGTAGAATGATGGGAAAATCTTGGGTTGTTGATTCGCAAAGGTTTTACGTGCAGTGCTTAAATAAGTTATTTTGCATGCAAGATAAACATAATTCAGTCTTCACATATTTGTATTACCTGGTATCTCAAGCTACAATGAAATTGTATACCTAGAATCTATCCACCAACTCTGAAGCATATGTACAAATTGTAGCAGTTCGAATATTAAGAAAGATTCCAAAAATCCCGTCATGGGCACTGCCCATTGGGCAGTAGTCAAACACCTTCTCTACCAAAGCCTAATAATGTATTGTAGAGTTCAATAGATTATCATAATGCTATGTTATGCATATGCAAAATATTGCAGTTCACCCAACTGACTGAAATTAAACTAAATTTTAAAATTTCTAAAAAAAACATTTATATTCTTCTTAGCACATCAAAGTCAGGAGTTAAATGTCATATATGATTACCATTTCGAGAGAAAAGTCATAACCATAATCATAATCATAACCACTGCACATTAATAATGTGTGACATTTCTCAAGTGCTTATCCTTAGTTACTGCTTATGATATTACCATAATTGGACAAATGCCATGATTGAGTGAATTCCATGAAAATAAGTACATATATGCCTTCAATAATAATAAATTTAGCAAATTTGGCATTAAAGTTAGAACCGATAGAAAGAAAAGTTTATTCATGTCGCAAATTTAGATCGAATTTTAAAATGCAATTAAAATAAAAGCAGTTTAGGCAGCCAGGCAAGGCTCTGTAGTTGGACCCCCTCCTCCAATAAGGTCAATCAGCTCGTCCAAGGTGTACCGTCCGACAATTACGTTAGCCGTTACTCTGATCTTCTCCACAAGTTGGTTCTTCAATTGGTTATTGCCCCATTCGGCGTCAAATCGACCCTTAAAGTTGGCACATAAATCTGCCCAATCCACTGGGGCACCACCAATTTGGAAATCAGCTCCCAAATTAAGGCAAATCTCGTCAAAAGTGAAGACGTTCACATTCAGAACGCGGACAGAGACTCGATTTCCGATAATGTTAACGAACAGAGTGGCACTAAAAAATGGAAATTCACCGTCAAACTCCAAAAATGTATAGTATCCTGTAAAAAAGTAAAATGACCTACGTACCTTCCTTGAACCCTCAAGTTGCGGACTCGAGCAATACCAGTTGTGGTTCCAGTAGTCGTTCCGGTATAATTGCCAACGGGCAGAGCAGTGAACGGTCGAGTGTCAATGTATCCGCTAACGTCAATGGTGGTGGCGTCAGCGTCGATGGATGGAACTGTTATTTCGAAGTTCAGTGTCAAGGTGATAATAATGATGCTGACATCTGCTACCAGTCCACTGACTCCGGCAACAACTAGGCCCCTGTGAAATAAAGTAATAATGAACAGCTATTCCAATCTCCGATACTGAAGGTGCACTGCAAAGTTCAAATAAGTATATCAATTACTGGTGGTTAGAATCCTCCGCCAGGTTAAAGAGAGGATGGAGGGTCAAGTTGAAGATCCCTGGTGGCACGATCAAAGGGTCCGATGGTTCGCACTGGTTGGGTTTGTAGACATACTTCACCTCCTGCACGGGTGTGGACATGACGCCCACAAGTCCGGCGGCGAAAACAATGGCAAGAATAGCCTTCATCTTACGGAAATATGCTGATTTCTACAACTGAGGAGGAAGTTATCAGGGATGAACTGCTGCCAAAATGGAGCTGGATACAAGCTTAAATAGTCGCTCAGCATTCGACATTTTAATCTCAGTTTCAAGGAGAATCACATGTTTGGACAAATTTAGATCTTACATACTTACATAGATTTTGTCATCTAGTTGTGCTTATCTTAATTGTTTTGTGGACGGACAAGGTAATATTTCCCAATGATAAGGATCAGATTCAGGGATTTTGACAAGTTGTGAACAAACAATTAACATTTTTTTTGACGTGACAATTAGTTCGAATGTATTACATATATTGCCAATAACACATTACAACAGATATGTAAATATGTAGTAAGTGCCAATTTTTGCACGCAATACTTTCAATTGGACGGGGATTTCTGGTGATTGATCGGATCGGACCACAACCTCCATCAATCAATTTAACCGATGGCATGTGTATTTGTAGTTTAATTGAATTGATACTCATCTAAAACTGCGTTCCACAAATTAAATCACACCCCTTCGCGTGGACTTTGTTACATACTTATTTGCATGCATTGCCCATATGTATGTATTTAATAGTATTTATGCACTACAAAAATCGTCGTGATTCTTGGCATGTTCTACATTCCTAAAATGATTGATAACGTGAGATTTTGATATAAAATAAATGGAACATGCTTTAAAAGCATAAAATATATATATCAATTGTCATAAGTTATCCAAAATAAAATACCTCCTACTCAAACCCCAAAAACCCCATGGACACACGCGTATGAATTCGATGCATGCATGTAACTGATTAAATTATCGACAACTTATACACGGATGTTAAAAAGATAAAACTAAAAATAATAAGTTCTGAAGGATATGTGCAATTCTAAATGATTTTCCTGAAATTTGTTTTTTAGTAAGACATCATCAAAATGCTTTGCAAATTAAATACTGAATAAGTTTTTATTCAGAGTCGCATACGAATAGAATCATCTGTATTGTGAAATAATTTTGGCGACATTTAGCCGTTGTCATGAGGCGCAATAAATGAGCTATACACAAGTAGTGTCAAAAAGAAGTGTACGTATGTAATCCAGAGACGAGTACATGAACTCACCAAGGCCAAAAATTATGCTTCAACTATCAATTTATTTAAGTACAAAATAGTAATAAAACTGTAAAAGTTCAATTGAAATAAAGAAATTACGGTACTGATGATGTTGAACAGATATGGGAGCTAACAAAGTAGAAAACATGCATAATAAATTATATATCAGGAAAGAAATAGTGCACAAGTGCCTGTTTCTTTGTCGTGGGAATTACAACGGGGGATGAAGTTGTTGGTCCAGTCGAAATGATGGCCGAATTGTCATTGTTGCCCGAACTCAAATTATCACTCTCAATTTCGTGTAAAAAATTATATGCCATTTGAGAAGTTTGGTGATGAACTGGTTTTGTTTGTAAAGCGTCTGTTGACAAAGACGAAGGAATTATCGTGTAGGCAACTTTTGGTGGATCCACCGGGTTGCGATTGATGTCCAAAATGGCATGATAAATCTGTGGGGATACAGGAACTTCAGGATTCTGAATAATGGAGTCAATGCTTACTGGAGCAGAAACAGGGACATGCAGAAAACTTGGTGCTTCATCAACTTCTGCGGGTAAGTCAGAATTAATAAGAGCATCTGTAATTACTAAAGGTTGAGGAAGTTTGAGTCCTGTAATTGAGTAGTCAGGATGATGTAAAGGATTCCCAACTTCTTTTTCGGGGATTTTTTCCAAGCTTAACGAGGGTTTCGAAGTAAGTGGTTCACCATGATCAACTTCAAAGGAGGAAGGCTGCACAAGTTCAGCATGAGGTTCAGATAAGTGCTCGAAAGGCTGAACTTTATCCTCAGGGTGTGAAATAATCGGTGTCACTTCTGGGTTGATTGGGGCATTGTATTGCACAGTTTCGGATTGTTGAGGAGAAACGGGCTGAGCGACTTCTGGGACAAGTTCTGGTTCTGCGGGCTTTGTAACCTCTGAAGAAATTGGTGGCGTCAACTCCGAGATAACTTCTTGCTGTACGGCATGGATAACGTCTTGCAGTAAGGGCTGCGCAACTTCTGTAGAAATTGGCTGGGCTCCTTCTTGAGAAATAGGTTGTGTAACTTCCGGCACTAAGTTCTGGACAATTTCTGGAGGAATAGGTTTTGCAACTTCTGAGACACTAAGCTGTGTAGCTTCCGGAGAAATTGGCTGCATCAATTCTGAGACAACATTTAGCTGAAAGGGTTGGGCAATTTCTGGAGAAATTGGCTGCGTAACGTCTGGGACAATGGATTGTGTAACTTCTAGCACAATAGACTGTGTAACTTCTGGGGAAATTGCAGGCGCCATTTCATAGATAACTCCTGGCTGCACAGGTTGAGTAACCTCTGGCATTAAGGGCTGCGCAACTTCTTGAGAAATAGTTTGTGCAACTTCTGGGACAATAGGCTGTGTAACTTCTGGAGAAATTACCGGCATCAATTCTAAGATAACTTCTGGAGACGTAGGTTTTGTTAATTCTGGGTCAATGCTGTGTGCAACTTCTTGGGAAATTGTCTGGGCAACTTCTGGAGAACTTGGCTGTGTAATTTCAGGAGAAATAGGTTGCGTAACTTCGTGAAAAATAGGTTGTGTAACTTCTGGAGAAATTTCCGGCGTCAATTCCGAGACAATATCTGACTGTAAGGGTTGTGTAACTTCTGGAGAAATTGGCTGCGTAACTTCTGTGAAGATTGGCCGTTCATCCGGCTTGGTAGCCTCTGGTAGAATTGGAAGATTATCGGATCCAACAGACAACATTGGCTGCGTAACTTCTGGCACAATTGGTTGTGTAACTTCTGGAGAAATTGGCTGCGTAATTTCTGGGACAATTGATTGTATAGCTTCAGGGGAAGTTGGCTGCGTTACTTCCGGGACAATTGGTTTTGTAACTTCAGGGGAAATTGGTTGTGTAACTTCTGGAGAAATTGGCTGCGTAACTTCTGGGACAATTGGTTTTGTAACTTCAGGGGAAATTGGTGGTGTAACTTCTGGAGAAATTGGCTGCGTAACTTCTGGGACAATTGGTTTTGTAACTTCAGGGGAAATTGGTGGTGTAACTTCAGGGGAAATTGGCTGCGTAACTTCTGGGAAAACTTGATGTTCATCCGGCTTGGTCACCTCTGGTAAAATTGGGAGATTATCGGATCCAACAGATGTCTCTCCATTGTTTATTGTCTCAACCACGCCATTATCCCCAGGCTGGGATACCGCACTTGTTGGGGTGGGCTGCGTTACTTCGGAGGAAAGTAGCTGCGTTACTTCGGAGGAAATTGGCTGCGTAACTTCTGGGACAATTGGCTGTGTAACTTCAATTGGAGGCGTAACTTCTGAGGAAATTGGTTGTGTAACTTCTGGAGAAATTGGCTGCGTTACTTCTGAGGAAATTGGCTGTTTAACTTCTGGGACAATTGGTTGTGTAACATCAGGGGAAATTGGTTGTGTAACTTCCGGGGAAATTGGTTGTGTAACTTCTGAAGAAATTGGCTGCATAACTTCTGGGACAATTGGTTGTGTAACTTCTGGGACAATTGGTTGTGTAACATCTGGGACAATTGGTTGTGTAACTTCTGGGACAATTGGTTGTGTAACTTCAGGGGAAATTGATTGTGTAACTTCCGGGGAAATTGGTTGTGTAACTTCTGAAGAAATTGGCTGCATAACTTCTGGGACAATTGGTTGTGTAACTTCTGGGACAATTGGTTGTGTAACTTCTGGGACAATTGGTTGTGTAACTTCTGGGACAATTGGTTGTGTAACTTCTGGGACAATTGGTTGTGTAACTTCAGGGGAAATTGGCTGCGTTACTTCGGAGGAAATTGGCGGCGTAACTTCTGGGACAACTTGCTGTTCATCTGGCTTGGTCACCTCTGGTAAAATTGGGAGATTATCGGATCCAACAGATGTCTCTCCATTGCTTATTGTCTCAATTACGCCATTACCCCCAGGCTGGGATACCGCACTTGTTGCGGTGGGTTCCGGTGTTAAACTTTGTTGGGGTTTTCCTTTGTCATCGTCGTCGTCATCGTCATCATCATTATCTTCGTCATCGTCGTCATCGTCGTCGTCATCATCGTTATCGTGATGTTTTTTCTTTAACCCTTTGTCAATTTCTTCTGACGAAGAGGTTTCCTGAGAACTTTCGCCAATCGATAAAGCTGACACTGAAGGTATTTGATCTGTGGCTGCCAACCCGTCCAAACCAGAAGCTGAAGTATCTATTACTATGGCTGAGGAAGATGTGAGTGCCGATGTCATGCCCTGAACTTGGGAAGTAATTTTTCCATCACTTTCCAATGTAACTGCCACATTCTCTACATTTTCCGCAGGCAATAATGGTTCTTCAGCCGGAACTCCATCGACCAATCGCATAATTGAGGCTTCCTCACTATCAATTTTATGAGGGTTGTTGATTTGCTCTCCAACTTGCCTCATGTCAACTGCATGTTCCAGATAGAACGCTTCCTCCTCCTCTTTGTCGTTAAAAGGATTCTCCGTCCTGGCCATTCTTCCGGGAATAGGGAAATCGTTCGAGGTAAAAACCAGCTCATTCAATGCCACTGCGCTCCTTCTTTTGCGGGTTTGATTATGAACTAGTGCTGGCAAGTCTTCTGCTAAACTCGTGTTAGCTACCACCAAAGTCTCTGTAGAAGGGTCTGTGGAAGGGGTAACTTCCGGTTCTGGTGCAGGTGACGTAGCTTCCTCTGAGCTATTACTTGCTAAGTCAACTGGTGGTATTGGAATTAATTCAGTGGTTACTGCTTGTCCTGAAGAATGAGGAAGCTCAGAGCTGGTCGTTATCTGCACAGTTTCATTTTCCTGGAGAGCTGATTGTTGTGTTGTGCTCACGAAAATGGATTCAAATAGTGCCGTTGTTACGAATTCTGTTAAACCAGAAGTTGTTGTTGGCTCAGTAGCAGGACTTGTTGGAATTTCAGTGGTAGTAGTAGTTGTTGTTGAAGTGGTCGTTGTATCTTCAAATGGTCTACTCTTTAGGCCACCAGCAATAAAGAAAATTGGGCGTTCTGGAGAAATGTCAAAATCCGACATGAGCGTCTGCATCTGGGCGAGATCTTCTCGTGCCGTCATACGAATTAAGCGGAGAATAAATTTTTGATTGTATTGACTTAATTCCTGGACTATTTTTTGCACGTATTTTTTCACTTTCTCCAAGGTTTGAGATGGTGGAGTGCGAGACTGGGTGGGTTCAATAGTAGGATCATCATGGTCATCTTCTGTACCCGAGTCCCGTTTTCGTCTCGACCACGGCCAAAGGATTGAGTTTTCCGTATCATGGGTGGTTTCTCCTACAAGAAATACATGCATATGTATTTTTCTCGTAATATTTGTTTAACCATATATTTGCATACGTACATATGTATGTATGCACGCATCACAAGTGCATAGAACGGCATACATAATGTTTGTATGTACACACCTGTCATCAAATCCTCAAATTCGACATCCCTGTTTTTTCGGACATCATCGTCATCAAGTAGCTGAAGCCTGTTCGTTAGTGATGCGGATTCGGCATTTTGTATCAAATTGACGACGAAAAGTAGTAACAGCAGTACCGGAGCAGCAATTAGAACGCGTCCGGAAGAATTCATCTATTTATCAAATAATACGATATACGACTTTCAACTTTACGACTTTACAGAGCTTGCCCTTGAGGTAATATTAAAAGAAATAGAATTACCTTGATACCCCCTCTGTTCGCCTGTACTATATTCACTAATTTTCGAATTTTCGACCTATAACCTATTCACTTGATATAAAATTCCGTGACAATTGATGTAAAACTTGTTACTCCATCCTGCTGAAAGTCTCACTCTCAACTAATCTCAAACTTCGGTCATCTTCTAGTTGGTCTCCTCCTAAGGAATCCTATATAAAAAATGAGGAAGGGTACTCGAAAAGTGAAATCATCATTGCATGCAGTGACGGGTGAAATCCTTACAAATGGATATTTGCTTTGATACTTTGAAGTTTGCCCCTATGTAAGTTGCCCCCTACGTCAATTCTCAATTCTCGGTTTTATAAGGGTGAATTTATTTTGAATATGTACAAGAATGACAGAATAGAATGCGTACATATAAGTGCATTTCGATCTTAGTCGGTGAATTAGGAGAATAAGTGGATCAATTATGACAAAAGATAAAATTGCCGAAACCCCTTTTTACGTAAAAATTAAAAGCTAGAATAGGGGATAAACTTGCGGGGGCAAACTTACACCAATATATTTGCTTTAGTAGATTGGATTATGGTGGAGACAGTGAAAGGGAATGCGAGGTTTTAAGTAGCAATATTCCACAGGCTTGGAAATGCATTGTCGAAATGGAGAGTGGTTCATAAAGGGCAAGGGCACGGTAGGTTTCCAAGATGAGATTGATGTGGGTCAAGGTATTCATTATACCACGTCTTATTTGTTATTGTCATCCAACCTTTTTCCTTATTTTTTAAGCAGATCCTTTTGATATGCTCTTTTTCTCAAGATTGGGGTTTTGTGGATACATACAAACACTTCTATGTATATACCATTGCATAATAATAATAACTGCTCGCTGTACCTTTTCCACCTGCATAATACATACACAGTGAGTGTATAATATATAATTCTATGATGCCAACACCTTTTCCAGTAAGTTTACCCTGCAATGCTTTCAGTAACCAGCTCAAATTGTACCATAAAATGCTTTGTTTGGAAAAAAAGTTTAGGAAGATTCCGCCTTTCGAATAAGCTCGGCATTAGCTATCGCAGTCAATAATCTTGGAAATTTCCTAATGGAGTGGAATTCCCTGACATCCGATGAATTTCATAAACTTTAAAAACATATTGAGGATGTGGAATAAAGTGAAAGCGAGGTTATTAATACGCTTTTGTTAGACTTTGTACTTCTTAACGAGAAGGTATGGCATAGATTGCTGTATTTCACTCTACTTTTGATGTATGTACATTGCTGAAATTAGTTAACTAACATAATTATAAACATTTATGAGCTTAACGTAACCAAACTTCTCCACGTCTGGCATATTGACGAGAAGTGTCAACTCCGTAAACGCATTCTTTGCCACATTCTGAGGGACAACATATCCTGACATCACCGCAGTCAGAGTTTTCTACACAATTCGTTTCTGGGTCGAATACACAGGGTGTATAGGAAGGTGGACCCCTTCGTGGACATTTCAGTCGTCTTGCTTTTGTGGGGGGACGGCGAATTGGGTCCATGCAGCTCTTATTGCATCCATCCGGACAACAAATTTTGCCTCTGGTCGTGCAGTCCATGTCTTCCAAACAATTTATGTCGTAGTCAAAGTCGCACGAACTAACTTCCCTTCCTCGTGGACATTCGCCTCTTGTCTGCGACTCTGATGAACAAATATTAAGTTTTAAATACAAATATATTTTTTAAAATACAAAAATACAATTAATTATTCTAAATGCAATTACGGGTAAGTCCAGCGCCAACCGCTAGCAGAAAAATAAACCATTTAATTAAGTACACCATTTTTACAATATTTATATAGAATGGACGATCTAGTATTTAGAAATTGTAGGAACAAAGTCACAAGTGAATAAGTTAGTGTATGTCTTGAAGGTTAAAGTTATGATGGAAGTCACCATTCCATTAATTCGTCATTTATGCAAACCATTTATGTACATATGTCGGTATACGTCGGTGACCCATCGAAATGATTAAGAAAGACATACTTATGTATGTATGTATGTACATGCTGCATCAAATATTTAACTGAATTCATTCATTCCTGCTCGTTTCTGTAAAACGAATCAAAGTTGCGTATATTTTTATATGATGATCGGTGCACACGTAAGTAGAAGTAGGATTAGTAAAGGATAATGAATCTGTAGTAGTGACTTGTTTTGATGTTTGCATCTATAAAATCGTGCCATTACTGCATATTCAAATATATGTACCCAGCCCAGGTCTGTTACCTTTGCACACACATAATTAAGCATGTATTATAACGTCATTGAAAGATTTACAACAAAGGCACTTAACGAATTGATTATTCAAATATAAAAGCAAACAAAATTTGAAACGTGGATAAAACATTACTCTGATTCTTCTGAAACTTTTGCATAGACACCTTTATACAGATTTACTAATTATGTTTCATTGCAGATTGACTCTAACATACGTATTACACTGCGTAGTTCTTTATAAACCATACACTAATTTGAACCTGCTATTTGACTAGGTAAGATTCGATATCTGGCTTCTTTTATACCACCCATGTTTCGTTTCCATAATATTTATTGGCAAGGTGATTCTTTGTGTGTAGTTAACTCTTTCTTCCTAAAGAAGCCCTTTTCGCAGAGGTCACACTTATAGGGGCGCTCTCCCGTATGCCGAAATTCATGTTCCTGTTAAAACAAAATGCATTTTACACAATTCATATCAAGTTACATACCTAAATACATAGTCTAATGCGTTTTGTATTTTTTGTGAATATTATTATTGTACATGCCTTAAGATTTTCCCTGGAGTTAAAGGCTTTGTTGCAATAGGAGCATTTAAAGGGTTTTTCTCCAGTGTGTATTAATCTGTGTCGTTTCACATGTGTCGCATTGAGAAACATACGGCCGCAAATCTGAAATTAACATGTCATTTTTAGTATACGTGAGTGAGCAATCAATTCAATCCCCTGTGTATATGCATGATAGTCTCGCTTACGTCACATTTGCAGGTTTGTTCATGACGTTTCATGTGCTCGTCGTATTCTTCTTGGGTGGTAAAAGTTAACCAGCACATTGATTTGCAAATAAAGGGTTTATCTTTTAGCACATTTTCTGGGTGTGACTCTATCAAATGTCTTCGAAGCTTTTTAATGTCATTGAACCCTTTTGAACAGTACTCACAATCGTGGACAAACGTCCCAGTGTGTGCAGTCATATGTATCTTGAAGAGAGTTTTGTGGTGAAACTTTTCCCCGCATTGATCACAGTGAAAGCGGTATGAATCACTGTGTAAACGAATATGCTTACTGAGATTAGAAAAGTCGTGGAATGATTTGCCACAAATCTATACATGCAAAATTAGGATAGATTAGTGATAAGGAACATACAAACTTTAATTAAAACTGATTTCTTCATTACGTTTATACCTCACACTGGTGTAGTTTTGGTCGATCGGGATGCGCTCTATATCGGTGTTTCATCATAGAGCTCATATCTGGAAATACCTCAGCGCACCCAGGTTCAGTACAAGGTCTACAAATAGGCTTTGATCTACTGGTCTTCTCCTTTTGATCTGTTTTAGCTACAAGTTTTATTTTCGCTTGAGTCTTCGTATCAGTACAGGGCTTGTCAGATTGTTCTTTTATTTTCTGTATATGTTCTTCTGATTTTTTGTGCATTTTGAGATCTTTGACTAGTCTGAAAGAAACCCCGCATGGGTCACAGGTGGACACTCTGGTTGGCTTTGGCTTATTTTGATTGTGCGAACTGGCCATGTGATACTTTAGGTAGGATGGCAGCAAAAACTGTTGATCACATAGGGAGCACTGCAAAGGAACATCCGAACCTTCGTAAACGGAGTGGACGACCGCTTTGTGATGCCTTAGTCGATTTTTCTCTGGGAAACCAGATCCACACTTGTCACACTTATGACTAGTATCTTTCTCATGTCTGAAAAACATGATAAACTAAATTAAACACTCCAGACAATTAGTCGATTTACAAATATAATTAGTTAAGTGTACTTACGCAGCACGAATGTGTGATTTGAGATTGGAACCCTTATAAAATGCGAGCGGACAAATCTTACACTTGTATGGTTTTTCACCAGAATGAATTCGTAAATGAAGAGTTAAATTTTGTTTTTGACTCAACCACTTGCCACATAAGGGACATTGGGTAGGTTCACGGCGTCGAATTCTCTTCTTACTCCCCGTCGTGTCATTGTTCTGAATTCGATCCGACTTGATATTTGATTTCCGTTTACCTAAACAAATAATGTGGAGTACGACTAAGTAAAGGCAAATAATTATTCAATAACCAGTAATTACCTGAAGCACCAACTTTTGAAGTTGGCTTAAATTCGATATCGGAATCGTCTTGATCGTGGTCGCTAGTATTGCTCTCCTCCTTATCACTAAGGTCACCCTCATCCATCTGGTACCAACTATCATTCGTGTCATCATCAAATTGCTGTTCATCCTCTTCTTCCGTATCAGAAGCTTTTTGTTTAATTGAGGGCTGTTGATTACCACGTCTACTTCTCAGAGATCGTCCAAAAGATGGTCCGTTGAGCTGCTTATCATCATTATTGCCCTTGCAACCTTCACCTTCTAATAAGTCAACGCTCTCATCACCGTGATGTAGCAAAGCATCTTCTTCTTCCTTAATACAAGTTTCAGCCATATCACAGGGTAGCAACTTAAAGTCTTTGTCTAACTTTATGTAAGGATTAAATTCTCCAAAGTCGACTTCTTCTTTCTGTAAATAACGTGTTTTATAAAATATAATATTCAGCTAATATTGCTTGTGATGCACGCTAATTTGAAAATTTCACCCTCAAACTGTCAGGAATTATCATAAAGTCCTCAACATTTTCAGCATTTGTTTGTTCGGATTGATTATTATCATCGATTTCAACCTTGATGTCACAATTTTCAACAGAAATTACTCCAACCCGGTCACACCAAACTGCAATTAATTTTTAAAAATATTTAGAAACTCGACATGATTAAACTTTTATATTTAGAAGCTTAGTACATTTAACGACATTTTCTACCAATGTTTCCGTCATTGCTGGTTTTTCTTTGACAAGCAAAGCGGTCACAGCCGTCTTCAGCAGATCAACTCTCGCCTTATTGAAGACATTCACATATTGACGAATCTTATTGTATTGTGTCATCAATTCTGTCACAGCCTGAGCGCAACTGGCGCAAAATCCATTCACCATTTCATTACTGTCGACATCATTGTAGCAAAATCCCAAGAACGTGTTTGGTTTCATGGACTGAATATAAAACTGGACAAGGTTAAGTTTGATCAAGTCCAGCTCTTCAGATCTTCCACAAAGTGCACAACATGACCCTGATGATGACCAGCTGGGGGTGGAACAGAGAAGGAGCATCAGTGATTTGTCGAGAGCTTTAAGGACAGACAATGGTCCTGGGTTGCCTGACTTTTCCAAAAATTTACGGCATTTACGAGGCATGGTTAGACCCAAATGAGGATAAGGCTTTTTTCCTGGATACGATAACGAAACCTCTGAAATAAATAACTCTTCATTAGACCAAGTGAAGGAAATGAAATGAAAAATGAATAAACCTTTAGCCACTTACATAATTGTTATTCTGTTATCTGTTACTTAATAAATAAAACAATAAATTGAAGACGTTTCACTTCATGGCGAGTTTGTAAAAATATTGTAGATTCAAAATATTTACTACATTTCACTACAACGGGATAGAAAGAAGGTAAACGAGCTCCCGCAAGAAATCCATCCGGCAGTCAGTTGAGAAAAAATATCTCATCTATCAAAATTTCATGTAACCACATGAAAAAAAAAACATTTCGAAACCTTTCAAAAATTAAGTTCAATTAGTTTTATTTAATTTTTGAACATTATGATATAGTTTTCTGAAACAGATTTAACCTTCCTTTGTTCTTAATTGGTCAATTGCGCACTATTTTATTTGTTCTTTATGCAAATTTATTGTCAAACAAGCCGCACATCTAAAAATTTTTGAACGAGAATTGTGATAGTGATTATGAGGGTTATAATTCTTACCACGGTCAGAATTGAATTTTATGCACATATACAAATAAGTATTATACTTACATAAATATATGAAAGGTACATCAGAACCTTGAAAAAATGTCATTAAAAAATTATGTCATCAAAAATAATAATGCTTTTGTATTTTCCTCTCTTTTGTAAGAGAACACCACACAGCCTATACGTTGTCAATGTTCCCGGCCACGTAGGAACGCAGAATTATTTACTACTGTCTACACAAGCAGTCCATGTTAATTTTACCTTTTCGAAAAATCACCAAAACTCCAAGACGGACAAAAATCGCGTGAGGTTTTAAACTTTTTTATTTCCCCAGGCCCAAAGGCATCGATTGGCTTATCTCCCCATAAGCGATTTTTGTCCGTCTTCTTGACAATCAAGTTTTTCAATGCATTTCAAATTTCTGATTTTTTAGAATTTTTGACTTTTAAAAAATTTTTTCTATCAATTAATGATTAATGAATGAAATCCGTAAATGTAACCTACCCCGTTGAATATATACTTTGGCGAAGATTGCATTTTGAATGCATTTCCAAATTTTCTTATAACTGCTAAATCTTTACGAAAAAATTAAATTTTCAAAATTTGATTTTTATTATATGTTGTATTTTATATTATGCATCTATTATAATATTGTGGACATGATATCAAATGTGGGTGCGACGACGACCGTGTGGGTTCAGATGGAATGAGCCTTTTGTCTAAAAATGAACACCTAAACTAATTATAATTCAATAATCTGGTATGAAAATGATTACATACATGGAGGCACATGAATCTTTGTTTTTTCTTGTAAGCATTAGTATTTACATTTATAGACTAACTAATACACATATACGTACATTCGACATACTGTCGCCGCTATCAGTTTGTTCCTTTTACATACATATATGCAATATCTTATTTTATTGCTAATCTGATGTATACATATAAATACAGGTATACAACTATACATATGTACACAAATGTATGTATACATATGTACATGCGAGTAATAATTCACACGCATCTAAAGATTTTGTGTTGTACAATTGTTAAAAACCGTCCATTCGAGTTAATAATAGTAGTGAAATAGAAATTATAATTGTCAATGTCACGCCACTATTATTACATAGAGTAATTTGGTATGTATAAAAGTAACAAAGTCTTATTGCTCATCATTAGTAAATGTGTACGTAGAGATATTGATTTAAATATAACTCACATTTGCATAAATTACCAAAAGTAATATTGTTCGTGTATACTTTTACATATTCCAAAACAATGCATATGCCCTGCATGCACGTGTTATCTAAAAAAAAATTGTATCTTTCGCTGTGAAGAATATGTTATGTGCCATAAAACCGGATTGCATGCTGGTTTATACATACATACATATGTAAATATGTATGTATGTACAAAGAAAATTAGTATCATCAACTACACACTTAAAGTGAGTTTTTTAAACTCAATATCAAGGATATCTTGTGTCTTAATAATAATAAGTACAAAGCTGGTATTTTCAGAAAACCACTTAAATTTAGAATGAGTAGTTTTGTGTAGTAGTCAGTCAGTAGTTTCAATTGACAAATCAAGGATCTCTCAAAATTTGGGTATATAGTGGAATTAATATTAACTTGCTTTACAAACCTGTCTTAAACTATTTAATTTTCCATTTTAATAATACAACTTAAAATGCCAGGGGTAAGTTTTATTTATTCATGTCTCATGCATTCAAGTAAAAATTAGTATTTAAAAAATCTCAAATTCTCCTGTTATTAAATGCCCTTTAGAAGCTAAGTCTTTCCAAGAAAGCAAAATCCTGGTTACCCCCACAAATTGCTCCTGCCCCACCCGTGACCACAACTCCAGTACTTGTTAGTATTACGACAATAGATTTGAGCACGCTAGTTTCTCCAACTTCCGTTTTAAAACCCAGTGAAAACTGTGATTTAACTAAAAATGTGTCAACAAACGATAAACAAAACCAGGATGCAGATCCACTATCAGAACCCATTTCTAAATGCATTGCATTTTGGACGTTGTATGGAGGAATTTTCATGTCACTTTCTGCCTCCATATTTTTCTCCGTTGCTTTCTTACTAATCAAAATCCTTGAGCCACATGGAGTCAAATCGTTTGGTGCTTCTCTGCTCTTCAATCTCGGCGTCTTGCTGCCGTGCACGGTACTCATAATTTTGAACGAGTTTGGTCCAGGATGGAAAAATAGGGGAAGGGTACTCAAGGGGATTTGGCCACTCGGCGAAGAAACCGTTCTTGCTTACATGCTGGTCAGTTAACTACATAAATAAATAATTCTTTGAAACAAAAGTGAGTATGTCAATATTTTAGGTTCAAGGTCTACTTCAAGCTAGTTCGGTAGTGCTGCGTTCTTTATCCTTGCGACATTTATCTGTCGGAGACATGACCGTGATTGTCTTCTCCAGCCCGGTAGTAACCACAATATTAGCCCATTTCCTTGTGGGCGAAGAGATTGGGATAATTTTCATACTGATCGCAATCTTCACGCTTTGTGGAGTCGGATGTGTCACTAAACCACCTATCTTCACTGGGGCTAAAGAATTTGATACGGGTTCACTGGTATGCATTTTAAAGTTGAATGCAATTATTTATTCATATGTATGTAGGTATAAAGTTTAATTAGTGAATTTATGACGCAATTAATTCAAGATAGGAAGTGCATACGCAGCTGGAGCCATGCTCACGTTATCGATGAAGTTTGTTGTGACAAGAAAAATAAAGGATACGCATTTTCTCGCGATGACTTTCTTTCTCGGATTTACTGGGACGGTTGTGTCGCTCCCATTATTTCTTGCGTTCGAGGATGCAAGTTCTATCATTCCGACTTCAGAGAAGTCACTTTTCTTAGAATTGGGACTTCTTTCAGGGTTTGGAGCTGTAGCAAGTATTAATCTTGCGCTGAAATTAGAAGACGCTGGTGTGGTGGCTTTGGTGAGAAGTTGTGATGTCATAGCCGCATTTATGCTGCAATTCATTTTCCTTGGCGTTGTTCCGGATTTGCTCAGGTTTGTATAACGTTACTTTCTGCAAGAAACTCACAAGTTCTCATATACTATTTATTCATCTAATATGAACATATTCTATTAATCAGTGCAATCGGGGCTTTAATGGTCTGGACCGGAGTTCTTGTTGCTGGAATTAGAAAATATTTGAAAGACAAACAAGCACGAAAAGCAGAGACTGAAACTATAGATCGGAACAAGTAAAAAAATATTATGTATGAATTAATCATACTATTTTAATTCTGTGTGCAACTGTATTTTTACTGTATGGCAATTTTTTCAATAAAGCGTCTTGAAGCATTTGGGGAGCCCAATCTTTTAATTATTCTCAGTAGGTGGTATTTGTCTTCATACTTATTTTGAGATATGCGTGCAACATTTTTTTAAGCTTTACTAAATCTGTGATTTTTATAGACTTGAAACTTTCATTTGTCAAAAAATATACTGCATATCCGGTACTAAAGTCAATTTTAATTGCCTTCGTGCATTGTCTCACATTTATGAGCTCTAAATTATACACGCAAATAACAATGAATTCGACTTTTCTTTAAAAACTTCAGGATATAATTTAATTTGGTCAGTTACCACTGAAATCATGACCATGCAACACAGCTTCATGTTAAGCATCATACATACATATGTAATTTGTCGCTTTAGGTTTTATTTTCACAATGCTCTCGGAGGACACATAACCTTGCACAAATACTATTGTGCAGCTTGTTTACTTAATAATGTATGGAAATCTATCTATAAAAATGGTATTGTTCATGATGACTCATCGTTGAAGAGTTACCTCATTCGTGCATATCTGCATGTAGCTGATGGCACATCGACGACCTATCCACCATGAAACAGATCTGGACTTAAAACATCTCATCGACTAAGTCATAAATATGTGTGGAACTTGACCTAAAAAATACCACTAAGTTTATGGAATTACTAGATGGATTCCGTGACCATCTCCATATAGCTCACCAGCATGTTTGCATCCTACTCGTCATTTAGTGCCTAAAGTAATTTCCTCAACTGCAAAAACTCGCTTTGAATACTCTCCTATTCTTTGATAAAATATAGAATAAACGCAACCAGAGTAAGATACATAATACATCTGTACCTGACCTCAAGTCTCGAGACTCGACAACTTTCTAATGGACACATGTGCATGATGATCTTCTGACATAAAATGATTGTAAGTAAATTGGCAAGAAAGCGATATTGCAAAAACATTTCTTCATAGTGTGATTCTTCCTTCTGATATGCATTTGTGAATGAATATGTAGCGTGATAAAGTATGCATGGGTCCAAGAAATAACAATGATTTTGGACCTTGCTTTATCTCCCATTACATGTCTTTATTTATTTATTTGTTTATCATTAAATCGTATGAAAGTATATCTACACGAATACAAATATAATCATCGTCCATCAACTATTACTCGTTTGTTCATTTACACACAGCCAGACTAAAAATATAACTTTGACCTAAATCAGTGCTTTTGTGACAAGTTATAAATGCATGCATTACGATTACGAGCACTTTGATAGTCTCAAGAGGCGTGTGACCGTCTCTGCTTCCTTCGCCATACTTTCGTCTCCCCAGCCCCACGATGCTTCCTTCCCTTCAATCATTGTCGGCAAAATTTCTCCATGCTCGTCAATAATTGGTTCGGAATGGTGATGAGTATCAGGATAGCTTCCGTCTCCCGTTCTTCGTGCTCGATCACGGATGAGTTGAGCTGGAACGGTTTTTAATTCAGTGGCCCATCCCAACCAGGCGAAAAAGTCGATGAAGGCAGTAGACGCGTTAAATCGATAAAACGGTAGCTCGGAAGTCTTGTAATCGTAAGGATACACATGATGGTAGTTATGCCAGGCCTCCCCGACGGTGAAGATGGAGAGAATTTTGTTATCCACGGAAGATATCGACCTAGAGGAAAGGACATGTTCGTGAACGTGATAATTAGCAAGTTTCACTGCAATTTCAAAGACTCACTTGTCGTAGGGACGAGAACCGAAGAAGTGGGCCACAGAATTAACACACGCTGAGATATGTGTGGTCAAAACCCATCTGCTGTAATTGATGCAAATGATGTGGAACAGGGGCTGCGGAAAAACGACCATCATAAAGGCGCACGGGATGATGTAAAGAGTGAGAAGAACGAGCCACCAGTAATATCTGCAAGATGAATGAAACATCATTTTGGCTTATATTAAAGTAATTTAAAAGTAATTGAGCATTGGACTCCAATTGTGCATGCACTTACCTTGCTTGAAAGTCCAAGATTGGATTATCCTCAAGATCCTGCATGGGAATGGTTTTCTCCTTTTTCAACACGTCAGGATGCTCTGGGCTGAGGACCCATCCGATATGTGAGAAAAAGAAGCCTCTCCCTGCGCTGTGCATGCAAATGACAAAAGTGTCACAAATTGGACCAGATTCCTTTGAGAGATTTAATCGTGTACCTGTGCGGGTCAGCGTTGGTGTCGGTGTACTTGTGATGGATCCGGTGGTCACGGCACCACTTGATGACAGGATACTACGAAATATGTATAAAATATTCATATAGTTTTCACAACTGATTCGGCCTAAATTTAAAAAAAAACTCGTAATCCAACACAAACCTGCAAAACACTGGTTTGCTGGAGCATAAGCATAATTTGCAATGGCGTATTTGCTTTATAAGACTTGTGTGTCCAAAGACGATGTGCCCCAGCTGTCACTCCGATTCCGCCCCAGTATCCATAAACAATGACTGTAATTAGTCAAATTCATAATTATTCGTTTTCGTCACATTTTATTTAACAAACTCAAGCAAACAAATCTACACAAGTAGGGATGTGGCACATGTAATAAAGCTGCATTATCCTAAATACCCCGATTACAGGAACGAGATCAAAAATTGCGACCAGACATAAGATTGGCTTAACCTGAATCCTCATAAGGATACATACGAAAAGTAATGCGAAAATGCTAGCCTTAATTATGGTTCTTCGTTACCAAGAAATTCTAGCCACAACCAAAACCTGTTCATATCTGCTACGCATTATTGCCTACCCCACAGCTACATGTGCAAAATTGCACTAAAAATGTAAACTTTCACATCCTTACAAAATAGAAAGTTCCACCATGGATTAGGGGTTTGTCCAGTGAAAGCCAGGTAGCAGCCGTAGAATCCCAAAACATGGGCCGGTCCGAGAAGCACAATTCCATTCCACAAATGCATTGGAATTCCGAACGGAACAAAATCCTGCATTTTCCACTTTTTCAATCCCAACTCCCCAACGGGAGCGGCTTGCTGAGTATTCGCCATTTTAGAACCACCCTTATCACCAGTTTTTGAACTTTTGTCCGTTCCCAATTTGCACATGCCGTGAACTATAACACTTTTGAAAAATTCCTCGAATCTCGCCTCGTCGTTGCTTGTCTATGCACAACGTCCGCTGTCGAAATGCTGTGGTCCACCGTCACACCTAAAGTTATAAAGATGCTTTTCCACTATATCAAACTGTGTCCATAGTCCACCAAGGTTCGTTCATTTGGAATTGTCTTTCTCAAGCAAAGCAGGTAATCTGTCCTATAGTGAAATAAAATTGTATGATTTGAAGCCGTAGATTGCATTCGCATAATAATTTGGGTCAAACAACTAACTAGCAGCAACAAATATGTATGTATAGCGTAAACATTACCCTCAAAATTCTACACATCTTTGGCCTGCCTACACCTCGCAGCATCAAATTGCACAGATAATTCAACTATTACGGTAGATTCATGTAGTGGTCTAGTCATGTTTTGCAGCTTTATCAAAAATTCACGTCATAGCCAAACCAAACCAAACCACGGCACCCCTTGCTAAAGATTAGACATTGGGATGATTCTCCGTACGTAGACGACCATAGCACGACAGAACCACTTTTGTAGTATATTATTTCTTCAATATTAGCCCTCAAGGGAAGGCTTCCTTGTTTATATGTGCAGATTTCAGAAGGATGCTTGTATGTATGGTTAGTGAAATTTTGTCATTACTGTATTTCCTTATCAAACGTTCGTTATTTGTTTACAAATGGAAGATTATGCGATTAAATCATATTGTAAGACTTGCATATTAATTAAGTGATGCATTTTCGCTAAAATGTAGTCAAATTGCATAATTGTGAAGCATGTTACATTCATTTATTAGTGAATTTCGATATGCAGACGATGGTTACTTCAAAAAATCTAAGATTGAAGAATCTAATAATTGCTGGCGAATTATTACGAAAGCATAATTTTTTTATGCAATTGCAACCTTGCATTTCTTTAACTTGCGCCTACAAGCGGTCTGTCAACACAAGCGTCAGCAACCATGCATACTGAGTCATTCAGGTCATGTACCTTCTTGTGACGCAAATTGCGCCACTTGCAGAGAATCAACAATAGCAAACCTTAATGTCCAATTTAATGGTTCATTGAATTTATGGATTACCTATTTCTGGAATTTGACAATCTTTAATTTTTTCCAAAACGGTTATTTACTGCCATTGTAATTGCATTGTATGCAATTGCATTGTACTTTTAATTATGTAATAATCACTCATAGGAAAGGGTCAAGTACGATTATGAGCTATAAAACCTGTGCCAGTTTTTACTTCAATAAATTGCAGTAAATAATAATGTCTTTAAAGGCTTTCATGTAAATATCATATGTGCATCATGATTATGTACATCGTTTAAAGTGTTCTAGACAACTGCTGTTTCAGATCAAAGTGGAATAAGAGATAAGAATTTTTTCTAGTACAAAAGGCGTTAGGACATGGTTTTGACGAATTCGCGGATGAATATCTCTGGCGGGGAGTTGAATTTTGAACTGATTTTTTGTAGGCTGTAAGATCATACTCTCAGAAAGATATGTTTAAAATTTTAGGGCGATAGCTTCAAAAATGCCCCCTCCAGTGCCCCCAGAGTTGGAAGGAGCCAAAAAAACACTTTCCAAACTGAATTACTCATATAGCATGATAACCCAAGAGGTCAGAGGTGGATGATTGTTAATATTACAACCCTAGATAATCATTGCATGAAATAATAAAAGAATCTACATGAATTACATAATGTTGGGCCTCCATCGTCGCTGATACTTTTCCATGAAAAGTGATAAATCGGACCGTGCACCGGGAAATTGACCTGCTGACCTTGAAAACGGACAGACTGGGTCAAATGAAGATTGAGGGTAAAGCTGGAAGTGTCCTAAGTAATATTAAAACAAACAGTCAAGATTTTGTATAAACAGTTTTAGAGAAGGACCCGAGTTAATCAGCTGTCGCGGAATCCTAAAAAACTCGTGAACTTATTTGGAAAATTAATGGTAAAATTTTTTCGAAAATAAATTTTAATAATCTTTTTGTGTCCCCTACTGCAGAACTATTTTATCTACAAGGTACAAGTGCCAAAATAATAAAATTATTGCGTTTTGGTTAGTTAAATTATTTCTGAAGTTCGACATCGAAAACGACGGGAACTTTTCCAAAAATTTTATAAGGTCTGATGAAAACTCAGTCCGTGGGGTATAACCACTTATCAAAATTTTGTCAAAAGTACTTACAGTGCAATATACTATATGTACCTTGGATAAAAACCAGTTAAGGATTTTTAGCATCAAAGTCGTAAAATGTGGGGGCCTTAAAAGTGGAAGAGTTGCGTTAAAGAGCGCATTCCATTAGGACAAGTATGAAATTAGACTGCAAAACGGACTTAAAAGATAAGCATAAGGCAAAAGTGGTTTTATATAGTGAAAAGCATGCTAAGTCCATTGATAATAGTCGCAAAGACGATTTTTGCATCAGGACCTCAGAAAAAAATATATCGCTCAACGCCATTTTATAAGAACACTGGTTTGGAAAACTAAAAAAGGACACCTCTCCAAATTTGACCTTGCCTCATTTCGCAGAGTACACAAAATCGGAAGCCAGATATGCTTACCTATAGTTTGAGACATGGGCTTTCAAATAAAAAAAGTTAGAAATCTTTACGACTAAAAACCATCCCGCAATTAAGGTATGAATTCGTCAAAACCATGTCCTAACGCCTTTTGTATTTTGCTACAGATAATCAGCCGACAGATAGACAACTGTTGAGTTTACTAGCATGCCATTAATAATAGTTTACCGATAATGACCATGCACTCGCCAATTTTTCTAGATTTCGACATTTGACATTCATTGTCTCATTTATGACCCACGACCGTTGAAATTATAAAAGTGCATTACTCTTCATGAAGAGCTTTTGTAACACAGACAGTGATTGGTCGCCTTATAACAATAGTTTTTTTTACATTAACACGAGTAATTTTCAAAGTGTTGAAATCAAAATCACTGTGTCGATTTGCATAATGGTACCTATGTTCACACGTCCAAGAGACTTTTATATAAAAATAATAATTATATTTACTTGTAGACTGACCCTTAAATACCTACTACCAAGTTACTGTTTAAGCATTAGTACAAGTCAATGTAGATAAAATGTATTACAGCTAGAAAACCAGAGTAATCTGCAAAATAGATGTAGTACCTTTATCAATTTTATGGCTATTTTCATTATGAAATTTTGAAAGAACTGGTCACAAACAAATGTAAACCAACTCAATCATAGAAGTGGATCGCTTCATTACCTTTTGAAATTGTGCAATACATCATTATTTAATCTGCTCCAATCACTAACGAAATAGAGATAATGCATGCATATACTTACCCTAATACATATGTAGGTAAATATATCCACAAATTATTGCTTTATGATGGTTAGCAATGATCTTGACATTTTCTTATGCAATTTCACTAGTCATCGATAATGGCTGATGTAACTAATCAGATGCCGTCGTGTTGTTATATGCAAAATATAAAATTTAGTGACACGTGACACTTTCTTTATTTCAATTACGTTTTTCCTATTGACTTATGTACTAGCCGACGTGCAATTAAACAATTCATCATCGTGAGCGAAGTCCAGATATTTGTGTATACAATTCGAGGTAAAAAATGCAATTTGCGATAGAATGAGTCACTCAAATTACTGTACAGACAACTAATTGGACCTTGATTCTAATAAACGGAAGAGGATGTAATAATACGCGTTTATGTATGATAAAGGTTGACGAATGACGTGGATTTTATTTCCATAGCGCAATGGATACGAGGATGTGTGTAGAGTAATTTTGTATTTACGCATTTACTTAATTTATCATCTTGTCTGGAAAGAGACCTAAATTACCCGTCGGTAAATCCCCCTTTACCTCGCCTACGTAAAGTGTGACCTGCGACTTGAACCTTTCTACCTCTCCTCGATCTCGCATCCACTCTTGAAAAGCTACAGGGTCTGTTTGCCCTTGATATTCCCAAATACTTTTAAATCCGACCGGAACTGGGACATCTTTTCGAACACTCCACATGTACCAAGTGTCCCTCTGCGTCTGCATATCCAACCACCAACTGAGATAAAGCTGTGCAGCTGCCAAGTTCTGTGTCCCTTTGAAAATAGCAGCTCTTTGCCCCCAAGATACGAAAGGATCTTTTTTGGGCAGAATAAACTGGACTGGATCTGTGTTCTCCTTCAAGAATCCATCCGTGGAGAAAGTTGCTCCAATTTTTGCAGAGCTATTCCAAACCAGATCCCATGGTTCTTGGGTTCCTCTGACGAAAAGTGGTTCATTTTTGATAAACTGGTCCAACCAACTCCAGCCATATTTCTCCACTACCATCTTGTACCAGTAGAGCACTGCATCATCGTCATTTGGATAAGTTGACACAATTTTCCCTTTGAGCATTGGATTAAGGAAGTCTTCCGCTTCTGTAGGCCAACCTTCCTCGTTGGGTCCAAGAACTTCTTTATTCACGCTGGTTGAAAATGCGTCAACATAAATAGAGGTGTAATACCCGGACGGATCTTTAAACTGAGGGTACACGGAATCCCACCCAATTGGTTTGTATGGTAAAAGAACACCCCGCTGTTTCCAACGGTCAAAGTCTTGCAACGTCTGCAGATGTGCTAAATCAGGGAGGAGAGTCCCAAGCTTTATCTGGTTGTCTATGCGGGCATTATGGTATTTACTAAAGTCGATCACAATCTCGAGATTAATTCCTGGAAATCTGTCGACAAATGCGGACTTGATGGAATCTAATTGACTCGGCGTATCCCCACCGGCATACACGAGCAATTTCCCACCCTCTGAAAGAGCAGCTTTGTACAAGTCAGATAGTGATCTAGAGTCTTCTTTCAGTGGTGCCAATGGTCGTTTACTGCCGTAAACGTGATGTATAATGCACGAAGTTGGATAATTTCCACATTTTCCGTCCCTTTTATTGAGATGCGTCTACGAGGAGGAACTTTCCATTAAGCACCATTTTTTTACGTATAAAAATAAAAATAATTACTACTTATTAATATAAATATTTACCTGATTCCACTGATCACGTTGTAAGCATGATCCGGTAATTGATAAAGTTAGTGCAAAAATCAAAACAAGCATTTTGTGTGCCTATTTTGTTCAGTAGAAGAGTCTCAAGTTTCTAATCGTTATCTCGTTCCTTTATTTATGGAACTGACTTATAAAGTATGCTGTATGCGAAATAAGGAAATCAACAACTACTCATTTTCACGAAAATACCGTTTTATTGATTATTAAATATTTACATATTGAGGTACATATTGCTTGGTTTGTAGCTGTTTGATCACAAATTCAAGGCTAAAATTAAATTAACATTTGAAAACATTCAATTAAACCACAGACACGGATAGGATGCGGCATGGAGACTTTTACTACTGAATCCCTGGATCAAAGTAAATGACTCATAAAAAATATTACGCTGTAAACGAATTGTGTTTCCATTCGAAAGTTTGTTTTTAAATACTCAGAATATAATCAGTAATAAAATAAGAAAAACATTTCCATTGTATGGTCGATACCAACGATGACGCCGAACGGGAAGTTGCAAAACCTATTTATACACCAAACGTAGAGATGCAATTCATTATTCATCTCAACAATTTATGTGGTTTTGAGCTTATGCACAATTTATTTCTCTACTAAAGAGGAATTAATGTAATGACTTCATTGAACAAAATTCGCCTTAAACTATTATAAGACTTTTAAGCTTACTTTCTTAAATTATTTTGGTACTAATGCTGAAAGTACTTAATTAAAGCTCGAATCACTGATAGGTAGTTATACGTTTTTCACGATATTGTAGCGTGTGCACATTTACAGATCAAAGCGCTAGTAAATATTAAATATGCAGCTAAATAGTTAAATACATGGTTATTAATATGAACTTTCAACTGTAGTTTAAGTCATTTTGTAGTGCGAAGGAAGTTACATACTAGATGTCTAATAATCTATGAGGCAATAATTGAGTCTTATTCTAATGGCATGATATGACATAGTATTACTTAAACTGCTGCTTTCAGATGGGCGTCCATAAATCACGTGATCGATTTTTGGACAATTTTGACCCCCTCCCCCCCCTTGGTGACCAATGGTGATAAATCCATTACCCCCCCCGTGGTCACGTGACAGGTTACACAATAAACCTAACTTACTGTAAAACGCATGAAACCTATTTTTCGCCAAGTGTGATTTTTTGTGGCGGATTTTTTTCGCAAAAAGTTTTTTCGCTAAACTGACCTATTTCCGACATGACAACCCATAGCACAAATTAATCCAATAATAATATTCCTGTGTTTTTTTAAATCCAGTTAAATTAAATTTTAAAATTATCGAAAGAATTATTTAATACTAATGAGTAAGTATACAAAGTAATTCATGACATCTTAAGAGTGCATATACGTTGAAAAAGTCTCATAACTAAAAGACAGAGACGACGGTTGCGTCTCCTTGTGTGCTGAGAGACTTTTTTTAATGAGGGAGGGCGGGGCGAAGAGAGCAGCTGATTTTCATGTAAACAATGCAGGCAGTTGCATGCAAAAAGTTGCTTTGGGTTTTGAGAGTGACCGTTCCCACACTGAAAACGGGGCATCGCGAACCAGAAAAGGAGAAAAATTTCGACTAAAACTCCTAATTTGCAGCTAATACAAAATGGATTGATTTCGTTTTGGTGGCAATAAATTCCCAAGTTTGTGCTTTAACATTGCCATGTTGCATAAATTCCATAATAAATCTCAGAGAAAAGTATTGAACTGAAACATGGACTCATATCATGTTTCAGTCCAATACTTTTCACCGAGATTTATTATGGAATTTATGCAACATAGCAATTGTAAATCACAAACTTGGGAATTTATTGCCACCAAAACGAAATCAATCCATTTTGTATTAGCTGCAAATTAGAAGTTTTAGTGACAAAAATCATTTACATTACTGGTAAGTGGCGAGGAGAAAAAGTCAACTCGCTCACTAGGATGCACAGAGTGTACCCGAACTTAAACTTTAAGGACAACTGCATACACTTTATTTCTGAAAGAATAATGAGAGTTCTATTAATGTTTACTGAAATTTGGAAGAGTGGTACATATATGCAAACCAGACCCAAGATTGTCAAGTAAAAATTTAAAAATACGCCGCATAACGAATTTTAGATAAAAGAGGTTCACTATTAAGTAAATACATATTATTAAATTTATTTAAGGCGCGTGATAGTATGCGAAGAGACTTTATTGTTACTCTCTTCACATTTACTGACCTCAGAAATTAAAAGATAAACTTTTCGTGGCATGTCACGTGACTGCCGACCATTACCCCCCCCCCCCTTGGTGATAATTGGTGACAAATTTCAGACCCCTCCCCCCCCTATGATCGATCACGTGATTTATGGACACTCCCATATGGATCATGGAATTTTATGAAATTTTAATTACATATGTAATTGCAAGCAACAATTTTTACCGATTCCATCAAATTCTAGGACTTGAATATTTATTTGTATATATGTACCCACATCCGTTCAATTTTAACCAATTTGTGATAGCTTAAGTCTAAATATATATGTATTCATCGATTTTTAACAATACATACGTAGGAACAAAATTATTAATGGTTTCCTTAACATTTTGCCATTGTTCTCTCCGTATTTTGTTTTAAAAGAATGTAAAATCCAATCGTGATGAAAACATCGGAACTACAAAGAACATCGTAATTTTATGGGTGTCATGAAACTACGCACAGTTTCATTCAATGGTTCAGGAACTATTATATAAATATAATTTATACTTATGTATGACTTAATGTGACCTTGTAGTAAACAATCTAGATTTGTACTCTGTGCACCCAAAGTTATCTCAGTAGTTTAAAAATATAGAGTTTAAATTCGAAGCATACATATTAATTAAGTAATGCGGGACATTTTGAAATGTTCAGTTATAATTTTAATTTTGTCAACAGTCCACTCGAACATTCCTCCTTCAGTTGGTGACAAAAGACGTAAGCTTTTGTGGCATCATTGACGTAGTAGATAAATTGTCTAATTGTTTCTATTAATTTCAGCCAGGCCAATTATTTGCACTCGCGACAGTCTCATGATTTATTTTGACTGTAGACTTTGCATTTGTCCACGACCAAACAAATTGGCCAAATGTGTGAGGAAACTTTGCGAAACTCGAAGTGAGAACACTTATCTTTGAAAGTTTCAAATTGAAACATTTGAAGATTTTATTAAGTGATAAAAATTCATATTTTAGCAAAAAACGCTCAATGTCCCATGGCGGTGCTATGGATGGACTACAGCCAGCTCTGCCCCACAATATCTAAACCAGAATGACAAACGGACGACGATTGTCCTGGGAATCAATTATGTTGCTTTGACTATTGTAATGAGGCGAGATGTCAAAACCCTATTCCATTAGATATCTCGACAGGAATTCCGATCCATCGTGGTTTACAGAAAAGGGCAGAGTTATGATGTTTATGCAACATAATTATACCAGAGAACAGTTTACAAATATTGAAAATATCCATTCGCATTGCTTCCCTTATGAAACACAATTTGACTTAAATTAAGTAATTTAATATGGGTAATTAGTATAGATAAATAAATATGTATGTAAATTCAGCGTTGAAAAATATTATCAAAAATTAAAAATATTATTTATTACGTATCGAGTTTTATCTCTTTCGTAATACTACAATTCCATATGCGTCTCCCTCTTTTTTGGCATCTGCAACAGCGTCATCAACATTTCCACCGGAAATTTTATTGTTATTTCTCGAAGGTGCTCGTGCCACATCTGCTTGATGATTCACCTCCACTTTTTTCATACTCACGTGGGAATTTGCAATTTTATCCCCCAGAACAATGTCCCCACCTTGCGATAGTGGGGGCAGAATATCGTTATTTCCTGCCATTTGTCCCAATGACGTTGGACGATCTCGACTAGATGCTCCCCAACTACTATCCTGAACAATATGACTGAATCCGGTCGACTCTTTCGGTAGCTGGTTGCGATTAACTCCATGATTTATCTCAACCTGCTTGACTTCGGTGTCAGCGTTAGCAATCTTGTCTCCGAATACGATATCACCTCCTCCAGTTGAAATGCTTGTCGGTGGCGATGGTTTAACTGTTGTTTTTGTAATTTCTGTCGTTATTGGAACTGGATGGTGAATTTCTTCATCCCATTTCTGAAAGTTACCACCATCACAATCCGTTGAAATTAGAAGATCTTTTTCAAACCTTCTCGCATCCATACACAATCCTGTGGCGACATTACGAATCTCGTTGTCTGGAGTGAACCACCACTGATTAGACGTGTCTGAAGAACAACCCATTGCAGTTATGCTTTCATCTTTTCTCTTGGATTGTAAACATAAACCTGTAGCGTAGTTTTGGATCGTGAGATTATGATTAAATACCCAGTTTTGAAAATTGCCAGTGTTGCAATCCAGCACATAAATCTTTCCTTCAACATTCCCGTCGAGACACTGCAGAAGAGAACGATTTATGACTTTCCGAGTTTTGAAGACGGATTCAAATCCGAGGCAGTAGGTAGCAAGCAGAAAAATATAAAAATGTGTAGAAAACTTTTGGTAGTACATTACAAAAACTTGTGTAGTGAGAAATGTATTAAGGAATGCGAGAATGATTTGACATGTCGTTTAGAAAGATGCTGAATGACAATGCTTAATGTTTCTCAGCAGAAGTTGAATGTAATTAAGCATCATAATCACAGAAATATGGTCAACAACTAATAATACCTAGCTAATTAGTCCAAGAAATTTCTTACTTGTAACTTATATTCATGCAAATTCATAATTATCCCCATTCCAAAGTCTTCAATAAGCAGCCAATAGTAACGAGGAGCTGAGGAACTATGAATTGCAAATACAATTGGTTCAGATAATTACGCTTATCCTGACTGCCACTAAAATTTAAGGTTTTATGTCATACTTATATTTTCAAGACTGGCATATCCGTAGCAGGTCCGGATGAAAATTTCAACAGCTTTCCAGCAGAAACTTGGACAATTTTTCTACAGAAAAACTTGTGTAGTATGAGTACAAATTATGTAGGTGGAATTTTGCATGATATATAGAAACCGTTCTGCATAATAGACCCGGCAGAAGTTTACTGCAGAATTATGAAGATAACACGATTTTCATACGGGTAGCAGGTTGAAAGGTTTGTATTTAGGATTGCAATAATTGCCAGTCTTCCATTTTGTTCGTCTCCAGTTACTTACCGAGTTATTATAAAAAATAATTTAAAAAAGAATCGCCTATGTATGCTTTATTAGTTGATGAATCCAGATTCTACATATGTACATATATACAGTTTCAAGCATTATCTCGTTGCATAATTTGTTGATTTGATATTATTTGTCACATACCTTCAAATTATCAATCTAAATTTTACTAATTGAATTGGCTGAATTAAATTACTAACTACATAGATTAGTATCAATTCATGAGAATTTATAGAATAATAGGATATAACATTGCTATATTTACATACATCATCAAGTGACATATGTTAATGCTTCCATATTCATCAAGTTAATTCAATGCGTTCTTTACGTGGTAATCTTGTGACAAAAGGCAACATTTTTATCATTGACACAGGGAGTATCAAACCATTGGTGGGGGGAAAATGGTCTAAAATGTGCACAATTTTTGGCTAGTCCTCCATTTGGTGCATTTGGAAGCCAATTTGTGTAACTCATCTGAGCATCACCATCAATCCAACGCCAATTACCTTCGTTGTTAATATCCCATCCTCCAAGCCATAAAAATTCAACGTCTAAATAAAATTAAGTATTCTCTCTATTAAATTCGCTACAATCGTTGTTATATACTTATGATCGATCTAGAATATCACAATTTTGGAAACTTACATCGGGTGTCATTGAAATAGGCAACGATGGCAGCTTGTTCTTCGGCACTCTCAATGCTTGACGTTGTCATATCATTTGCATGGCAAAACTGCAGAAATTCTAGGAAGCTAACATACTGTAAATTATAAAATATAAATTTCACTTACTATAGTAGATAGCATATATTTATGCCGACGTCGAAAATACCACCAACTTACCAAATTGGATGCATCTTTATAAAACGTCTTTGAACCAACAACAGCGACAACGTCTACGGCAGAAATACCTGTAAAGTCGGACGCTTTCACTCCTACTTTGTTTAACAACAGAGATCCTTAAAAATAAATATCTCATATAAAATAGTTCCGCATATATTTAGATAAAGCCATTGTTATTTAAACACAAATACCTGAAACTGCAAAAACGAGAGGAAAAATAATTGACTTCATTTTAATTTACAAAGGTCCAACGTACTTGATATTCGGATTTCTCACAACCACTGATATTTTCATGCCGACGAATAATTTAGCATAATGCAATTTTTGGGTTAACAGTTCACACATTAACCTTGGGTCATGATGGATGACTTATTTTTCATTGTCCATACAGTTGATAATGTACATAAATCATAGTGTAATCTTTAATAAATTATTTTGGGACCGTACTCTACGCACGTCAAACATGCACGAAGATAAGTATTTAGATTGCCAAAACTATTAATATTGTTTATCAAGCTCAGTTCATTCTCTTTCTCAATCTTATTTGGTACATAAATTTTGTGTGCTTTTATTTGATTTATTTTTTAGTAAATTCGTGATCACAATTGTGACTACAGTATAGACAGACTAAAATCATTCCCTCATCCATTCAATTATTATGAGGCCAACTCATCCAAGCAGCATCAAAAGCAACGATGAAACCCAACTTGTCCATCATTTTTCTCGAAGCCGTTGTATCCAGCTCAACTTCACAAAACGGGACCATTTCATGTTCTATCATCTGAGTGCTTATCGATTTCATGATTAGTTCACCAAATCCTCGTCTCCGGTGTGATTCCTGAGTCTGAAGCGCGCTTATGGTCCCCGTCAGGCATAAAATTCCCCACGAGACGAGGTCATCGTTCGAAAACACTCCGGCTGAAGGCAATTTCTCAATTTGATCTCGAATGTGGGGATCAGATTCAAGGGTTCCCCATTTCCAATGAGAGTTCACCGTTGTAGCGTCACCTGAGCTGAGGGGTTTTACGGTGATATCTTTCCCAGCTCTGCTTTCAAAAAAGGTTCAAGAGAGATTTTGTTTTAATTACTGAACTGATAATTGAAAAAATTAATCTAAATAACTATATATCGCGAACCCGTATTTAATCTCACGTTTCCACCCATCAGCTTTGGCTTTGGGCAGATACAACGCCCACGTTCGCGTCCCCATGCTGTCCATCGTCTTTCCAAACTTCGTTGCAATTTTGCACAGAAATGGACGATATCTCATATCTACAGTGGCAAAGACCATTTCTCCGGATGCATTTGACGTTCCAATAAGCTTGGCGAATTCGGTGGCTAGGAGTTCGTCTGACGGATCGGGTGTTTCACGACTATACATCATTCGGTAGGTGTACGGACTTTCGCCTTCCATAGAGTACTGTGAAAGTATAAATCCTTCTTAAGTCAAATATTTTTAGTGGTTTATCAAATAAAACCAATTACCTCGGTAGAAATCAGACAAACCAAGAATAGCGGACGACTTGTGTCACTCCAATCTCGAGATGATGCGTCAATTGACCGTTGTATAGTGCATGCTAAGGGTTCGTAAGAGTAGAAACGGAAAGAGTTAACGCCCTTAAATAGTTTCAGTGTTTTTATTCGGAGAATATTGAGCATCTGCAAATGTACATGTTAATATTGAAGTAACATACATTTATATTGCAGATTCTATTTACGAGTTGTTTTACGATATTTCATGTCACCTGGGCAGACGATGGCATCAAGGATTCCAATGTTTCCACAAGGTTTCCATTGCCACCTCCAATCTCTACTTCAACAAATGCGAAGGGGGATAATTGATTTTGTGTACACATTTAATTAATTTTCGGACCGACTTAGTTAGATTTCTGACGGTTCAAGCAGAAAATTAGCATGTGCTTTGTGGCAGCAGTTACTCTTTTAGAATGACATTATATATGGTAGTGGCAGAAAGAAGCAAGCAAGCATTCATTTCAATTGATGCATACATATTTAGATTTCGCAATAACTTGCATGAAATTGGCATTGACACCGCATATGTGCACATATTTAGAATGACAACTTAAATGAGTAAAGTAATTTCAGTATTGCATAGTTCTTCCAGACAAATCCATTAAGATATTTATTTCTTTGCTTAGCTTAAAATTATCACATCGACAGGAGCTCGCAATATATTTTCAGTTAATTACTGATAACACGTGCATATACCATGACATGTGTCTTTAGGCCCTAATCATATATGTACCTATTATTTGCGCTAACGGTATCTATGTAGAGTTGTACAGTGCGTATATGCAAATAACTAACACCTAACTCGGAATCTTGACATAATTTAATTTTACATACATACATATTTATCGAAAGCGATTATATTAATATAATTCGAACCTTAAGATTTTTTAAATTACAACGCTTGGATGAACATAGATATTATCATGGGAATAGTCATTTTGCACATAATGAACAAGTCGATATCCAGCAGTCATGCTCATGTACGCATGAATCTCCCCATTTACGCTATGCCCTAGGGGGACTTCTATGGACAGCACCTACATTCACGATAGTCATTCAATACCATTTTCCCATCAATTAGTTCATGATTCCAATCTGCCTACCTTAATGAGCAATTTCTTCCATGGAATAGTTTTCAAAATTGATAGTTCTGCACCCTCTACATCCAGCGAGATGTAATCCACCGTAGTGACATTTAGCGATGCCAAGAGCGAAAACAATGGGTAGCAATCGACGCTAAATCTTTCTCCACGCCATGGTTTGGACGTCTTCTTTTTGCTAACGGTCAGTTTAGACATTAGTGTCAACAAGTCATTATTTTCAGACCGTAGCAATTCAGTCTAAAATTTTAACAACTATTAAATCAGTTCACAGCAGTTATACATACGCATTTACGCACTCACCTTTCCAGGAACTGATTGCGTGCTTAGGCAGACCGGAGCTATCCACGCATTTCTTTTACGTTGAAGCAATTTCCTAATGGGTTTAACATCCGGTTCAACCAAAAGCCCGGTCCAATTATGAATCATTTCCAAAGCAAGTGTGTTGCTATACAGTTCGCCATCGTTAGCACCCGATTCGACGAAAAACCCTGATGTCTGGATAATTAAATTTATTTATGTACACACACGTTATGAGCAAAATTTAGGACAGAAAATCTTCATCTTTTCTCACCATGTTTTTTAGTATGTTAATAACATATCTATAAATCTGTTGCTGTACTGCAGGCTTTTTGTGGGGGTTCTTTTCGCTGAGAACTACATTTCTTGGATCATATCTCAATGGTGGAGGGTGTAGCACGGCATTACAAATGTGATTTAATAAACGAGGGTCGTCTTGGTCCAAGTGAATTTCGCCACTTAACATTTGTTCGGGACTCAGTGGGGGTAACTGCACATCATCTTTTTGACTATAATGATGAAATTTTATTGTAAAGTTGCTATTTTTAAACAATTTATCTTTAATCAGTCACAAATAAAAGCTGACCTGTGTTTCATTATGGACGGGAACGAGGATACAGTAATCTGGTTTGATGAGTACCCAGAGTTATGAACTCCAATGAAAGGTGGGTTCAAATGTATCTGACACTGACATTGACATCGATCCTCATTTTGGAACTGTCTCCACTCGTCTGTAAGAATTCTACCCAACGTGAGATAAATGACAAGGGCTGTCCAAATGAAGCCAGCGATAGCAAGTTGTCTCCATGAAATTACGATGCTGTGTCCGTTGAATCCATTTGAAGCGTGGAGATGATGTCTCATTTCCATACAGACTTATCAACCACGCACAAGTTCTGAGAGTATCCTTGTGGTCTCCTTAAGTATGCAAGGGTTCGATGATACTTTTATTCTATCGACTTGTACATACTGAGCTCGATTTGAAGAATGTAATGAACAGAATGAAAGTGAAATTCGATTTAAATAAACAATATTTAAACCGAATATGTAATTCAGTGCATATTTACAATAACAATCGAGTTTAGAAACTAGTTGAGAATCTCAATTATTTAATTGATAAGTATTGCATAATTACAAGTGCATTCAGCACTTTAAACTAGGGGAAAGAGTTATTTATTTAAAAGCATGAATGTTTTGTCGATGTCATAATCTAGCGTTCACAACCATTTTAAATGGATATGGCGTCGCTGAGATGGATGGTTGCGGTGTTATCCTTGGTTTGGGTTCTCCTGGAACCAGGCTAAATTCTAGATCTTTTAGTAGCATCGTAAAGTACATGAATAAGGCTGGCGTTGCAAGTGTCTCTCCCATGCAGAACCTCTTGCCTGAAAATGCATATTTAAATATATGCTAAATCCTGAAAATCTTAAACTTTTTGATAATTGAGAAATATTTATTACCCATCCCAAACGGCGCCTGTTTCTGTGTATTTATCAAAGTCTTTCCATCACTACTTACAAATCTCTCTGGTCGGAACACTTCTGGATCTCCCCATAAAGATTTACTCACCGTACAGGAATAATAGTTGGGAAAAATTGGGGTGCCCTATCAATTCATAGGAGCGAAATGAATTATAAAATAAAATAAAAGTAGAAACTTGATTAAGCAAGGTTCATGTACCTTTTTAAAAAACAATCCCTTGTATTCAACGTCTTTTGTGAAAGCTCTTGGTGGATAGAGTGGAACAATCACACCGAACCGGAGAACTTCATGCAATACAGCTTGTGTATACAACATCCTGATGAAAAAGTGTATTAAGTAATTTATCTACACATACATGCATGCACATACATGCACCATTTTTTCAATAAATGAACGAAAAATTTAAAATGACCTTGGTCTATCTGTCAGGGATACATCCCTATCGAAACCAACAACGGTATTAATTTCTTCCCTGACTTTCTTCTGTACGAGTGGATTCAAAATCATGAACAGCAGAGCGTAGCATAACGTCCCGTTCACTGTTTCTGATCCTGCTTGAAACAGTTCAGAAATAACGAAATGAAACTGGTCCTCTGTGACAGGAAAATATGAGTTAAATATTTGTAGAATATTTTAATTTTTTGTTGTATTTTTGGAGTTGCTGTACACCCACCCGTGAAAATCCTCTCCTCTACTGCCAATTTCTTCTCTTCGTCAATTTTTGCTAAGAATATGTCCACAAAACTTTCTGGGTTTTGAGCATAATCTTTTCTCTGTTTATGTTCATCGTGAATATCTTTTGCAAATAGTTTAATTTCCTGTGAAATTCGGTAAAGAAAGGCCTTGTTAGTTATCCAGGGAAGGATTTTACGAAAAATGGGAAACGCCATTGAAATATCGCCAACAAAGGTGGTGGCCTTAAACAGGTCAGAGTTAAGTTTAAGGGCGTGAAGAAGTCTGGGGTTATCATGACTGAATCTCGTCCCTGTCACCATTGCCCATAACGCGTTGATGATGCTCAGACTAAAAAACATGTCAACTGTAAGGATTCCGCCATTTTGTTGAGCTTTTTCTTTAGTCCGACTAATCAACTCTTTCGCTTCTTCTAACATGACGCCTTCCATTGTTTTTTTCTTGCCGAAACCAAATTGTCTCAGATTTTGAATGGAGAAGCGACGCACTGTTTTCCATGGGAGCCCATTACATATCACAATTCCATATCCTATAAGTAGTAAATATTTATGCATCTAGCTCGTTTTATATAAATAACTTATAATGTAGACTTCCTACGACCAATGTCTGCAGAAACTTACGCAACTCTTCTGTTCCGTTTCTTTCTTTGATCATCTCTAGTCCAAATCTGTCTGATGTCTCATCTCTTGATAGAAGTTCATTCATATCATCAAGAGATGTGAGAACAACTGTATATTTTCAGAAAATAGTTCATCCTTTGTTTTATTCGATAGAGTTGGTGGATTTACAAGAGAACTATTGAAGCTCACCCATATCAATGGTGCCCAACTTGAGGTTCATAATAGGTCCATGTTTATGAGATAACTTTTCAAACGCAATATATGGAAGAATCTCGCCTGTGAGAGCAATCTGTGGAATGTTTCCAAGAAATGGAAATTTTATGGGTCCTGGTGCATTTGTATTTTTATGTGATGCACTAAAGTTATCCCTCCATAAAATGTATGCTAATAGAAACACGATACAGAGTGCAATAATGTCAAACATTGCTAAATATTTTCGATTTATAGATAGAAATCTAATAATGATTTGGGGCAAACAGTGGTTGCAAGAAGAAGAATATTTATAACAAGTTCGATGAAAGTGCAAATTATGTTGTGTGGTTCCATCGCATGCGATACGTGATTTTTATCTGCATTATACATGTACAAAATGGGTTTGGGTTTACGTTATACTTTGATGTGTATCACACGCATGAAGACTGGAAGAAGTTCAAGGTTATAAAAAAACTTGTTGATATTGATAACAGTTTCTGTCCGGTTATAATACAGGTGCTATGCAGTATCACGGGCTTAAAACAATTTATTTCATAGTAAGATTGTGTTACCTACCTATACTTGTGTACATATTTACATATGTACATACAGGTATGTATATGCTGGATTGTGAATGGTCATGCAATAAATATAAATACACGCCCCAAATGTATGTATGCATTTATATGTATACATATCTAGATATATTGGACAACTAAATATGTTTTTGTACATTCAAAATTCCGGTATCTTTACATAGTATATTTTTAATCCTATTTTTTCATATAAAACCTTTGCAGTAAATTTAACCAACAATCTTTCTTCCTGGATAAATGGCCCCACAGCGAACTTGGCTTTGGCGTCTTCTTTTTACACTCTGTCCACTCTTTTAAAGGAGTCTTTGGCGTGGTAGGTGTGGGGTCGAGATCGATCCCGGCGGCTCGACAAAGATTTTTCATATCCTTTGGGATTCTTAAGGCCCCAATTTTATCATGCCCTTCTATGAGAACCATGCCCATGGACACTTCAAAATGAAAGTTCATATGGCAATGCAGCAACCACACGCCAGGATTATCGGCTCGAAACCGAATCACTGTCCATGAGCTCAGCAGTACAGCCATTGTCTCGCGTCGGACCCCAGTTTTCAACAGGTGTCGATGTTTCCTTTCTGAAAATGGTCCTTCGTTCTCTCCGCCATAACCCATGACCCAGAACGTATGACCGTGAAGGTGGAGGGGATGACCCGTGTCACCATAATCGCTAAATATCATCTCAACCACCTAAAACGATTAACTTCAAGTTAGACCTAAAGATTGTTTAAAATACTAAATTGAATATGTACCCACATAATTCTCGCCAAATCCGTTAATTTTTATTGGATTCAACGAAGCTGGCAACACCTCCCCACTCATGACTTTTAGCAAAGCCGGTTTATCCAGAGGTGCGGTTGAGAACGTGATATTATTAAATCCTGGCTTAATCTTATTCCCAGGGGCATCCACTGACGGGATAAAGATGCGAATTGTCTGGTTCACATGGGTCGGTGCGGTCACTCCCCCGTAAGGCAGGCAGTCTCGGTGGTTTAAGATCGTTGGGTTGGGTTCAATAGTTGTTGTCGGATATGGCGGTGTGGCTTATGGTAGACGGGCAATGTCTCGATAATTTCGGTTCCCTTTAACATAGACCATACTTTGATCTCTTGTCGTAGTAAAAGCACTTCTTATTCTGCCCTGATGATGGTCTGGTCGTCCTTGTACTGCATTTGAGTTTACACCCTCGCTCACAGCAGCGACACCAGAACCATCCTTGTAGCGAAGAATCGCATAACTCCAAGGATCATCCCGCAAGATTTCCGGATAAGGATTAATATTTGGATAAGTCAGTTTAAATGGTTGCAAATCTCCCCAAATCCTAATCCAGTATTGGTCCAATTCCCCGTCCATCTTCACTAGGAAGGAAGTTCTTGCCCCTGTCGAAATAGTTGCTCTATCAACCCCAGCTACTCGAACAGTGTCCACGCCATCCGTTTCAATTACTTCCAGCTTATGGCCATCAATCATTAATGCGAAGAGGGTCACTGTTGCAGAATTGAGTACCCGGAATCGGTACGTTTTACCACCAGGGAAGGGAAGTCCACCACGACTTATTTGCAGGTCCTCGTACCAATTCGATAACTGTTGGGAGGGAAGGTGATACCAGTCTTTTAGAGTGAGGACAAACTCGCCATCGTATCTGTGCACTTCTGCTGGAGTGTTGTCCACGATTAGGACACCCCACAGACCGTCGGTTATGTCCCGTGTGATGCGCATGGTACCAGTAGGTTCCAGACTGATGCAGGATGAAGCGATACGTATGGCTGTAATTATACGGAATGTCGCACTGCGTTATCATGCGTGGACCGTCTTGAAATGGAGAATAGAATTGTTCAATTCCGTGCCAATGAATTGTGGTGGTTTCGTCTGGATCAATTCGGTTTGTAACTTTGACAAGGAGTTCGTCCCCTTTAGAGGCTTGGAGAGTTGGTCCTGGTGGAGATAAGTTGTTGAAGACAAGCATTCTTTTAGTAACGCCGTCTAGAGCAACAGAAAGATAAGACACCGTTAAGGAATAGTGAATTGTTTTGGAATCAAGAACTTTGACGAGATTATGCAAGTAAGAAATTATGAGAAATATTTGAATCGTATTTTTGGGGAACATGGTTTTACTTGTTATATTTACAATATTATATTTTGCGTTGTATAGGTAGGTAGTCATTACATTGTGTAGGTAGCTGGTGACTGCTTCTTCATTTTACCAGAATTTAATATTAAGATTACCTTAAGATTTAATTGGGTGATAAGTGGTCTGATTTATGTGCATTAAATATTTGCATCATAACCCGTTACAACGGAACAGATCTTCTGGTGATAATTAACAATAGTTGCATCAAATGTTGATCTATCTAGATTATGTGTAGCTATGTACATAAGTGTGTACATTGTGCAAATCTACATATATCTACGTACATTACATTATTTTCAAGCGTTAGTGCCCTAAATACTGCTGACAATTTTAAATATATACTTATACATAAGTAGTTAGAATGAATTAATGAGCTACTTCTAACGTTACTAATAAACCGTAGTAACGTTAGAAGTAGCTCACCCTGTAATAATGGTTTGGTTATAACTTGCCCCAAAGGTGCAGAAAAATGCAACAAAATAGATACATATTTTTTTTCAATTATGCACCAATGGTGCAGAAAAATCCAACAAAGTGGATCAATAATTTTTATGCAATGTTGCACCAATGGTGCAGAAAAATTAAACAAAATAGATGAATAATTATTATCCATCGAGAAGAGTCCAAAAATTGTGCATCACTGGTGCAGAATTACCTACCAACGATCAACGATAATTTTGAAAAATTTATGTCAAAATTGTATGATCATTGCTCCCGGATATTCTGCATTATTGGTGCGTTTTGCATCCCATCTCCCAATTATTTCGCATCATTTTGTGTTCCCGATTGTTAGATATCAATGGTCCTATTAACTTGTTAAAAAATTTGATTCGGTTTGTTTAGTACCAATGGTGCGCCTAACGTATCCAATAATGGTCAAGGGGCTGTTTAATTAGCATCAATTGATGCAAAAAACTCGTTAACAGACAGACAGACGGACAGACAGACAGACAGACAGACAGACGGACAAGAGGAATTCAATAGCTCTCATGCTACGCAGGGCGAGCTAATAACGAGTTAGAATGATGTTCACAATGTTGACTTAACTTGTTGTCTTTAAGTTTAATATTGGTTCGGAAAAATTAAACCCGTAAAAATTACGCGATGATTTCTTGTTACATTTCTGTCGCATAAATTTCAGCATAGTAATTTTTTATTTTTGTAAACTATGGATTTAATTGTCCGCTGTGCCGTACCAGTGGGAAGGCTTACATACATACATAAGGTTATAAAGAAAAGAAAAATTGCAAGTAACTCGATATCGTGACTGCCGTTGTAACTGTAAATTGCTTTCTGACATGTGGTGAATAGAAAATGTGAATGAGACACTTATTTCCAATTTGTGCCAAATGACTTTTGGCTTGTGTATAATTTCGTTTTTCTGTAATTTAAGGACACTCAACGGAACAGGGCAGTAATAACATTAATTAAAAAGAGTTTTGGAAACCACGCTGTTTGTTTTTACTTTTTACAGTGACGAGACGACTCAAACCAGGTAAGGTCAGCGTGCATAAGCATTTGCAAAATCCGTATAATTTGTACTAATTGGCTGTAAAAGCATTGATCAGATTAAACTTTGTTGTTTCCGGTTTAAAGAAATTTGTACACTGAATGCATATGTATATATGTACATATGTAATTACTAATAGGGCTGGACAACGCAATGAGTTAATACTTGTTATGAACTTTGCAATGAAACAGGTTCAAAAACTAAAAGATAGTATTTTAGAAATTATGCGTTCCTTCAACGTCTCAATACGTACCGCACCAGTGTAAACTCCACAAATATATTTATGCATGTACACGTGTACTGCACGATTATTGTAACAAACAATGTCTGAATCACTATTTCGATCATTTAAACTTTATTCAAAACTTTTTCAATCGTACTACATTTTCATATACAGATTGCATGTGCAATGGGGTCCAAGAAGTAGAAAAGTTTATAGATTGAAACGAAAATTTGAGAAATTATGGGTTATTTTCCCCTTCTTTTTAGGCTTTCTTACAATATGTGGGTCAATCTGTGCCGTATTTTTAATCAAGTATAATTTCAACCCTGAAATGGTACAGTACAAGAAATCTATAAACAAGCTAAAGTCCCAAAATTCCAAATTCTTTGCAAACTCGACCTCTGATAAACAACAATGGAATAGTCAAACCAGATCAAACAATCAAATTCATTTAGTATTCCAAGTCGCCTCATTGTCTGGTGGAGTTTTACTTGTAATATGTCATCAAATTTTGCACCACGGCAAACATGATTTAGAATTTGGTACGAATTCATTTCTGCGACATGACGAGCAGCTCAGACGGGGTAAGAATTTCGAAGTATTAAAATTTTAAATAAGTCCAAGGTTGGTTCATCTTATTAAATATATGATATTTTTTCTCAAACGTCCATGTAGAACTGACTGCAACGCACGTCATCAACAAAGACAGCTTCACCAACTTGGAAACAAGCATTAAAATCTGGCTGTGGACTGGAATCATTGCTCCCTTCATCATTGTAGGTGCCGTGACCTGGGTGGGTGGCGATCCTCCAAATTACGTCGTGCATTTTGTCTTTTCAGCCATCCCTCAAACAATGAACATCTTGCTAACTCTAGTCAATGAGAATACAATACTGCTTAAATTTCTTGTTTTTTGGGCCCGTTACTTTTTGGGAGTGTTCGTCATCATGGAATGTCTCCGTACTGGCATGCTTATGGTGCTTTTTGGTGTCATTGGAGGTGGGGAATCTGCCGTGTCCATGAAACTAGTCAAGCTAGTCTCGGATCGTCTTATCCAACGAGGTAGACAATTAGTGGGTGAACACTTACGACATTACAGACGTCTACAAATTGTGAATTATATACTGTTTGATTTTATTAGTACGTTGGCTTTTTTGGGGATATTTTTCTGTGCTTTGGGTTATACGGCGACATTAAATGCTGTAGTTCATTTGCATGCTCATTTACCACCAAGTGTTACCATTTTTATGTCGTATTTAACTCTGATGTTGTTTAGCGTGCTAGTCTGTGGGTTATATTTTACGGCAGGCTACAATCAAAATTCTAAGGATGTTTTGAGAACGTTTACATTTTATGTTGCACAACTTGGAAGGAATTCGATAAGAAGAAAATTCATGCTGAAGCAGATTGCATCATTGAGGCAGGAATCAATGCATGTTGGTTTGAATGGATATAACATATTTACCATATCAAAGTTTGCAGTAATTATTATTTTAAGAATTGTGATAGAACAATCAGTCAATATTGTAATGTTACTTCGTTAACTAATATTCATCTGTATCAATTATTTAGATATCAAAACAAATAAAGTATTTTTTAAATGCTATTTTTTGCATTTTGTGCTTGGATATATTTGCATAACACAATTTGCGCATTATGAAAATTCACACATTACATCAGAGTAACCACACAATCGCTTATCATGTGATTACATTCAGGATCAGGATCCGTGTTAGTGCTTCTTATTATTACGTGTGGTATTTTTAGCGATGCAGAATACTTGCATTCGTACAAACACAGGAAATATTGCAACGTTTGGTTTGTAATAAAAAATAACTCAAAATTAATATGGATCAGTGTTCTAAATGTGAAAGAGAAATTGAAGAAATTGGTGGTCATTTTTTTCGAACGTGTAAACATTTGATTTGTTTGTAAGTAACATAATTAATTATTAATAAATAAATATTGGTCATAATCCTTTTAAATAATTTGAATCGTTTTACAACGAAAGGAGCTGTATAACGGAACTGGCTACGTTGACTGAGAAAAGGACAATTCGGTGCGTTCTGAACAAATCTAACGACAAGTTGGTGTGTGGAGGGTTTCTTAATTTAGAAGATTTGCAATGGGTAAAAGAAAATTATTCGACGATCGCCGTAATTTTATATGCTTTAAATTCCTTGTTCCTTTTTCAGATAATTCCAGAACAGGTGTTTGAAGCATTTAGAAACAGAGTTGAACAAAATGCAAACGCAGCCAATTCACCAAATGAAACTGAGATGGGTAGACCAGGTCCATACTTGAAATCCTCGACTGAATTACTGGAACAAAAAGATACGGACGGAGACTCAGCAGCCCTCGCAATGAGCGAGGTTGCACCTGAAGATACGCAAAGTGGTTGGAGCCAGATATCTCAGACTATTATTGACCTGCAAGCATCCGGTCTCTCATTTGAAGAAGCAAACTCGCACATGGACCTAATTCCGATTTGGATTACAGATAACATTCACACAAACGAATGTCCCATTTGTTTAGAAGATATTGAACCAAGTCAAGGCATAATTTTGAAAGGTTGCTTCCACGTATTTTGCAGGTACTCAAATAGATAATCAGGAGTACGTGTCCAAAATGTGTAATAGTAATAATAATACTTAGCACATGTTAATAGGGAATGCATCTCCAATCACGTTACACACTGTGACACTGCCGAAGTCCAATGTCCGTTTAGGGAGGACGACTACATTTGTACTTCCGTGTTAACGCCAAAAGAAGTGGAAACTGTGAGTTGAAAATACAGGATTCTTGCTTGATTCAAATATTTGCAAATTCAACTCTGTTTTAAATTTAAAAAATATCTGCATAATCGTCAAATCACTTCGTATCCGCACAGCTCGTCTCTCGACCAACCTATGTCAAACATTATGAAGAATATTCCCTTCTCGAGGCGGAAAAATGTTCTCCCGATACTTTCCACTGCCTCACCCCTAATTGCACAGGCTTTTGTTTCGTTGACCGAGAAGTTGCTGGTGCACTATTTTTCAGATGTCCTAAATGTGGAGAGAGGAGTTGTACTGCGTGTAAAGTAATTCATGCCGGAACTTGCGAAGCCTACCGGAGACAAATTTTAGAGGAGGAGCGACGAATACGAGAGTTTGCAGAAGATGAGAGTAATCGAATAGTGCAGAGGGCAAATGAGGAGAGAAGTGAAATGATGATTCGGGTATAGTTTGACTAAAAATTGGCATACGTAAAAAATATATATTCTATTCGAATATTCTACAGAGTTACATCAACCAGCGGACTTTTATGCAGTGCCCGAGATGTCACATCCCCTGCTACAAGTTCACGGGATGCAACCACGTTGTGTGTGGTAGTTGCAGATTTAAATTTGATTGGAATGGCAATCAACCTGGCACGAGCGGGTTCTCCTAAACACAGATAATTTTTTTGGCATTGATAATTTTAGCAATAATTTATCTTACCATAGGGAGGAGTAATTGCTCATTTCATTTGTCATTTTCATTTGTCATTATAGCAAATGCTATATATCATATTTAATTTATGACTACTACAGATCTAGGTATGCAGAATCACATGGAATGAGACGGCTGATCATAAAGTTTATCCTAAAAGAGATATACATAAATATACCAGTTACATTATGAAACTATGCAATGTGCGGTATTCTGTTATTCGATGAAATACATATACCACGAAAAGAACCGACATCATTATCACAGTCATATCAGTTATTTATCATAATCATACATAATGCATTACGGATTGAGTACTATTCCACTCTTCCATTTCCCCGTGTATGCAACAATAATTCATCATAGCAAAATGTTTTTCCTGGCTAAAATACAATAAAAAACTAAATATGAACAAAAAGGACCTTGCCCCAGTGGGAAGTCCAGTGGTTTTCTTTAAACGGGGCGATCGGAACTATACACTTGGAAAGATTACAGGGTATAGAACCAATAATGTGCATGGCGTTGAAGCAATTTGTGAGGTAAAGTATTTAAATATATTACTTATGGATATACGTATTTTCCCCCCGAATATGAATTAATCTTTAACTTGTGCATAATAATTTTTAAGTAGAAATCTAATCCGGGAGTGGGTGGATGGTTATTAAAAACTTTAACTGGAACAACACAAAAAATAAGTGTCCCTCTCGATGGAATTTATTATCTTAAAGATGTCAAAATTGTACCCCAACCTACTCCATCAAGAGTAACTACCTCAAAACCTTGTAACGATGAGGCGATCCGTGTACGAAGCCGACGTCGGGACCTTAAACTCTTTGCCGTACCCTTGGAAGAAATAAAGCCTAAAGACGTAGTAGTGTGGAATCCAGATAAGACTGAAAACCCACAAGATTCCTACTTGGGACAGATTGAGCAAACATTTGTGCATCTAGATGTAATTAATGTTGCCACTCATTATGCTCAAGTTAAAATTGTGAGTGTTGATTTATGGCATAAGGACATTTATTTATTATGCAGGATTTTCGGAAGTAATTTTTTTTAATTGCATTAGTGGGATGGAATGGAGTGTTTGCTGAGAAGAAACGATCTGAGCCCAAAATTTGAATCGAAAAACGGGACCTTGGAGTGCAGGGTGTGGGCGATGACGACAGAGTTGATGCTGGTGGGGGATGCCGTCGAGGCGGCGTGCGCTGGAAGTGGGGATGTCGGAGAAGAGGGTGAAAATACATGTAACCAGTTTATGGACAATAAAGCGGAGGTTGCAGAAGAAGCGAAGGTTCATTAATTTGTGAACTCTGTAATGTTACCAACATTTCTATGAAATATTTCAATGAACACACAGGAACAACACGTTGTCACAATTAAACCAGATAATTCAGCATTCACGGACGACAATCTGGTCCAACTAAATAAAGATGCTTCTGTGGAGTTCATGGAGACTGACTTGGACGAAGAAAACAATAACGCAATGTCGGACCTGCAGCCATTTGTTATTCAAAATCTTGCCAAGGCAAGATCTAAGGGTGACTGTTAGACATAGTATTTGAAGAAATTTTAGAAGTATAAAAGTACTCACAAATTACACTGTAATTCTGTAGGCAAACATGGGATACAAGGAAAGTCAAATTCTTGTTATATTGACTCTTGTCTCTTCGTCATGTTCTCTTTTACCGAATTATTTGACTCTGCCCTCTTCAAACCCAACGTCCAACAAGAAGGCAGAATTCCGCAGAAGATTAGAAAATCACTAATTAGCATTGCGAGCAAGTTGAGATCCGAGTTTTACGTACATTGGAAAGAGATCGCAGAGCTACGAAGTGCACTAGGTGACATCAACGGACGATATGATGCGGGATGCTTTATGGGTAATTAGTGATGCATAAATACTAAATAAATTTAGTTGTGAGCCTAAGTATTTTACACAGATGCGGAGGAACTACTTCTCGACATTTTTGACTGCTTAACTTGTCCCGACTTTTTCGAATTTTCAAACCAAGCCACTGATCGAATTCATCAGATCGTGGTTCCGTGTGCAGAAAGTGTCAAGTTGAATGAAGAAATAATAATGATGAAGGACACAGATTCCCTTTTCAAAGACAGTTTATGGTATTGCGAAGTGGAGTTAGTGAGAAGACCGGAACCAGTGTTAATTTTGAAGATGCCGTTCTGCGATGGAAAACCATTATTTGGGTGTCGAGCTGTGGTCCCCGGGTTGAAGTTACAATTGGGACTAAAAGATAAAGGTATCAAAATTGTCGTGCTTGGGAGTAACAATTTTCAGCTAATTTTATATCGATTTTCCAGCCAAAAATCAGCAGAGCATGGATTTATTCGCCATCATTTGCCTCAAGTCGAGTCACTACGTATCATTTGCTAAAGTGGGAAGGGAAGCTTCTCCGTGGGTGTACTTCGACTCCAGTCCTATGGATATGCAGCCGAAGGTACGTTGGCATATGCATTTTCAAGCGTGGAAATTAAATAGAAATGAATTACTTTTTAGGTTGAAGTTTTTGATAATTTGGACTCTGACCTCATAAAAGTGTCCCATGATCATACAGTTTTGCAGAAAAATTCAGGAAACACGTTAGAATATCGGGAACACGTGAAACTAATTTGTGGATATTGTTACATGTGTTTTTACAAATAGTTTTGATTTATTTAGAAGAACGTTGCTTAATAGTTAATACAAAAATTATGAAATTCAGCAATTGAGTTATTGTACAATAAAAAATCGCACGCTGCACGCAAAATTATTCTCATCTCCTCCTGTACTTCTTATATTGGCCAAAACGAAACCCTCTGAAAATTTAAGAAAACAATAAACTTAAATTTGCAAAATGTACACACTTTTCGGCCTTTATTCCTATGACCTATATGGTCAGATTTACTGGTCATTACCTGATTCGATATTGTATTTGCTTAAGAGGTCGTCATCCTTTAGACGTTTGGCACGATAATGCAAATTTACTCTTTCAAAACCGGCTCCCTTCCATTTTCCAAATTCTTCCTTCAATTTCTTTACTGTCCAATCTGGTTCAGCTTGAATTGTGATTGTTTTTCCGTCCAAAGTTCTTATTCGAATGGAATTTGTATTTGAAGGAGAATGCTCCATTTTGACAAGCTCAGGCTTTGTGGTGCCAAGAAAACGTATTTATGACAATTTATTTGCACTGCGTCAAGTTGCTACTAAAATAACGCAGGTACATATGACTCATCCATTCTGATAACAGCAGTCGTTGGTTATCAAACAATACTCCAGATATGGATTATATAGCGTTATATGCCTTGTCAGCATCTACATGAAAATGTGAATAATTACATAAATTCGATCTCCAACAGTTTACATAAGTAGTAAATATAGTTGTTGTTTATTATTCACGAAATAATTTTATACGCATTTACATATTCGTTAAGAGGTTAAACCACTGTCAAATCCTAGATTATTCTGTCCAATTAATGGGCAGATAAATGCAAATATGACAATCATTCATAGCTTTTAGTACAAATTGGTCATGGGTCGAAAATGAGGACTTATTCAATATTGACGCTTCCGCTTTGGTTAACTTGCTTTCAAAATCATGGAGAAGTGTAACCTAATTATACAAATGAGGCAGTTAATTGTACAAAGTTCTTAGGCAAATAATTGTATTACTCACCCCAGGACCACTCCCACTCATTGAATCAAAATAGAACCAATCGCAATTATTCTTCCCAAATCCGTCCTCGCATTTAACAATGGACGTATAATGTGCAGATTTTATACAAATTATTGCATGCAACTTCATCTTGTTTCCATTAATAAGTTGTGGTCTGTGACCATGCTGAGTTTCATGTTGTTCTAATACTGCTTGAAAGCTAGTATTCATGCATTGCTCACAATAATATTGCCACTGAGATTGTAATTCATTGTTTCTGCATGTTCTGCACTCCCAGAAATCCCCACAATCAACAGCAAGACAAAAGGAACAGGGTTCTGTAACATAAATATAACCATAATTTGAATGGCTTGAAATATCCCTTCATATTTGCACACATTGTTATATACATATTTCTCACTTTTGTCCAAAATTCCTCCAAAGTTAAGGAACTTATTCGGTAAAATACCATCAAAGTGAATCATGTCTCCATCCGATCGTGGGAATTGAATGAGGAATGCAGGGTTTGGACGTTGCAACAACTTCAAATCTCCCCAAAGCTTAAAACTATTTTCCAAAACAGATTGCAACGTAATTACTTCACCAGCTTTCTTTGAACACTCTTCGTCGTCATCAGTCAGGATTTGGTGAATGAAGTCTTTTGTACCGTTGTTGTACTGGAGAAAGTGTGGCTCCATCAAAATGTCTTCGAGGAGGAGGTATAAAAGTTCTTCAATGTCTGCAGAAAAGGGAACGAAATTAATTATCTACATATTTACGAGACTATAATTATTACGTGAAATGTTACCCATCATAGCTCCTGAAAATCTATCGTCAAACTTTGACAGAAATTTTCTCAGATCAGCTAAATTGGAAGATGCTACGTACAAATCGGTTCGCAACGGGATTACCACATTGTCCGACACTATTTGCCTCAACTCTGCTGCATCGTCCGAGTCTTGTTCTTTCCTTGCGATAAATACTGGATCAAATTCTTGAGTTGTATAAAATATGGAGAAAAGAATGGAATCCATGTAGCAAGAATTGTTAGCTCCGTGAATTCCCTTGTTCTCTCCGTATCGTGGCTGGGAGTTTGCCTTGTTAGTGTTTGTTTTCTTTGTAAAACTCCTTTTTAAAATTTGATAGCCTGGCGATGTATTATTGAGAAGTGTGGATGGGACAGAGTAGAGTTTTACAGAGTCAGGAATGGTGATATTGTCTGATTCTAAAGTTGCATTCTGATTCGTAACCTTAAGTGGAATAGGTTTCTTCTTTTTTGATGTTTCCGATGGTGGCGAATGCAATTTTGTTTCCAAACTCGGGTTTAAATTTTCTGATTTCTCTAATGGTTCATTAGACTTTAGAAATTTTTGCAAGTATATTTTCTCCAAAGATAGCTCATTGATGTTGTATGTCTTTACTAAAGGTTGGGATAGCGTAGAATTTGTACTATTATCCTATTTTCATAAATTATATGTGTAATCAAAACATTTTGCACTATGCATAAGAAATGCTATTTACATGTAAAAATAAAAAAAGTTATTTTGTTTACCAGTTTCAATTCAATAAATATCTCAGGCGATGATGATTTCACGTCTGGCTGTATTCTTATCTGAATTCCGATACATTTACCCCCCAGCATTCTTACACCTTCATCATTATGAACAACAAATCTCGATCCTATTTCAGCCATACGATACTTGTTCTTATCTTCTGACTCGTTATACTGTTTCCAAATGTCGTGAGGAATGTTTTCAAGAAAATGTTCAAGTGATACTGCAACATGTCCCGATTTCTGATAACTCTTTAATATTTCTCGGGGATCTGCATATAAACATAACAAGTAACAATTAATATTTTCAGCCTGACAAAAATTGAAGTAAAATAATGTAACCTTGATTGTCACTATGATCGTGGTAAATATAGCGTAAAACTTTATGCTGCAACTGTCGAAGTGGGGGTTGATTTGGAAGACCTGGTTTAGTAATCAAGTTGCCCATATTTTATTTTTACAATTGGATATGAGTTGTGTAAGTATTTACAAACTTTTGTGTGGAATTACAGTCTGCTAAATAAAAATGAGCAAGATGAGTGACTTATCTCATACATATTTATATGGACGAGAGATAACATAAACAATAATTCCTGATAAACATATTCATTTGACTGGTTCATTCTTGGATTGCGTGCAGCGCATTTGCTTTTCACGTTTCTAAATATCTACTAAAAAATGAGCTCAGCAGCAAAAAAGAGATTACGCAACGATCTAATGAAAATCTACTCTGACCCACCCCCCGGAATAAGTGCTTCCCCAGTAGACTCGGATATCTTTTGTTGGAATGCCATAATCTCTGGCAAGTTTTCCTTTCATAAAGTGGTTTACAAAAATACAAAAAACGACCGTATAGTATTAACCTATATATAAATACATATATTAAGGTCCGGAAAACACCCCCTTTGATGGTGGAATATTTCGACTGCGTCTCGAGTTTGACACTGACTACCCAAATACTGCCCCCAAAGTTGCATTTTTCTCAAAAATGTTCCACCCAAACGTATACAAAAATGGGAGAGTGTGTCTCGATATCTTAGAAGAACCCGAAAAGTGGAGTTCCGCTTATGATGTAGCAGCTATTCTTTGTGGTATTCAAGCAATGTTGGGGGATCCAAACCCTAACTCTCCTGCTAATATGGAGGCAAATATGTATACAGACAGTTAAATAATTACATATGTATATTGTGCCCTTGACTGCTGGAGATTCAAAAATTGGTTTGTATTTTTACAGATTATTCACCACGCAGCCGGAAGTATATGAACAAATGGTTAGACGGGACATTGTTGAGAGGTCTTCGGGGGATGGTGAAGGTTCAGACGACGACGAGAATGAGAACTTGGCTGAAGCTATACAGCAACAAGAATTAGAAGATGCTCTCAATGAATTGGCAATTGCAGAATTATCTGACTGAGGATGAGATGGATTGCGTATCACTGTAAAATCCATAGTGTCAAATTGTTAGTTCCCTTAAAGACTAAAAACTATAGATATATATATTTGTAGTATTTTTGTTTGAATTTTCAGAATGCCTATCAAATATGAACGGTAAAAACAACAGAACTTTTTAATAAGCTTTAATAAGTCGATTTATTTTACATTCTACTGAATGTCCATCTTTATTCTTCTGTAAATCTATAATATACTCACATAGACAAAGAACAAAAGACTTTGAGATGTGTACATTTGAAACAATTATGACGCAATTTTATAATTCATATTGATGAATACATAATTCTGTTTTTATCAAATGTCCTAGATCAAGATTCCTAAACTTTTTAGCTCGTTTCCGTGGAGTGAATGTATTAGGATTATGTAATGACATTACATAATCCTAATACATTCACTCCACGGAAACGAGCTAAAAAGTTTAGGAATCTTGGTCCTAGATACATACGTATGTACATATACTTATGCATCTAAAGGTTACCTTGCATCTCTGCTTGTCATTAATTTCTTTACGTCGCATAATCCACAAAAAGCTGTCAATCCTGCACTTCCCGAGCAGCTACTTGGAACTGGAGCATAATTATAAAGTAAGTCACAAGTGTGCTGACGAGCTGAAAAAGTACAAAAGCATTTCGTTTCATTAATTTGATTTCAGAGTTCACATGCTCCTCAAATCAACACGTGGCGTACATACCCCAGTGACAAACTTGTAATGAATGGTAAACAGGCCCATCCCACTTACACCGACAGGATTATCATTAAGTTCGTTAAGCAAAATTACAAGATGGCTCAATGGCAGTTGTTGGCAATTGTCTTCTTTTGACAGCCAAGTTTTCAGCTCACTTATCTGTGTCGAACAACAAGAAAATTACGTTGACATTGACATTAAACCTACAAAGTCCACCCACCATCCTACCTGATTGCAGATATTCGACCCCACCGTCAAAATTATGATAAATGTATTTGTACTCCATACAATGCGAATCTTGGTGAAAAGATCCGGCTCTACGATAACCGAGTCTAGATACGTGGCAATGGTGGCTATAGACGTGAGCACATAGAGCAGCATTAAGTGTCCAAAGGTTGCATTAAATAAGTTGCTGAGCTCCTTTAGTCCTTTATACTTTGAGAGGACGACTTGTACAGGAAGGTTGGCCTGCAGGTGACGCATTTTTGGGGTTGATGACGCTTCTTGGGGTGGGGTGATGAGTGAATATAACGCTTTGACATGACTCGCCAGCGATAGCGTCATCAAGAGAAGGAATAAATTCGAATGGAAGGTACATAAATTGCGTGCTATGGACATTGCCATTCCGACGATGCCAAAAAGGACGTCGCCGATATTCATATCTGTTGTGGTGGTGCCTGGTATGGTATCATTCTTGTTTTTAGCATTGGGCAGGACGGATGTTGACAAGAAGAGGGAATATTTGGCCTTGGCAGAAGAAGCCATAAGGAAGGAGGTTGGAGTCCATCTCGATGAAGATGACGCTGCCCCAGAGCCGTCATTCGTCATGGCATGGCTGGCGTACTCGTCCCCCAGTGTACCGCAAGCTAGAGCCATAGAAGTGTACATGACACAGAGAAAGATCGTGAACGGGTAGATCTGTGGGCAATATATGTAAAGATAATGGCAAACCGGAAATTAATGTCACACTAAATATCTAAGTATATGCAAGTATAGACATTTTCCATCCTTCATACCCGTTGCACGACTTTATCTGAAGGTGCCGCCAAGTCCCCCGAAAATTCCATTACTTTCACCACTTTCTCCTGTTTTGACCAGAGCATGATGCAAAAAGCAATCCGGTAAAAGGAGTTTGTCACGGTTTGAAATAACTCAAAGTAGACGACTGCATACATGCAAACACAATTAAATTGAGCTTAAAATATGTTGGTTACTATTCTTTTCTTCTGCTAAAATATGTGTATGAAGATATATTACATACCCGGATTTTGAGCTAGTTTTGTGAAATTGACCGAACGAATTGATACCAAGTAGTTGTAAATAATGAGTAGATGAACAATTCCACAAAGAAACTGTAATGCATATATTTGTGTAAGTACATCAATACGTACAAGAGGAAAGATGAGATTTCATGTCAGAATCAGTTTAATTATTACATTAAAACCTAGTTCCACAGGTGCTTACCATTTGTGGGGAGAATTTTTTTAACCTGTAGGTGACACTTTTATCCCACGTACTCGTAATCTGACTAAATCTAAAGGGGCTTATGCACATAAAAAATGTGAAGTTGAAATATACTTTGAAAACAGTTTTGTACGAATACGTTATGTGTTCTGGGATCCTAGGTGGTGGGGAGATGGAATTGGTGGAGGAAGCGGATGTTTTCATCATTTGAATGTAATAGGGGTGTCTGCTGTGGGGGGAGTGGAGTTGTTTTTGGGCAGTACGAACCACTTCGAACATTTTGATCGGACTGAAAACCTTAACTGAACGGGGGTGACGACGAGCTGTGCCAACGATGATAATAATAATGAGGGAAGAAGAAATACGTAGGCACAATGTATAACCTCCTTAATTGGCAGGTGGTCTTATTTCTGTCGTCCGTTTGTGATAGTAATTCATAATTTAAAGAATATTTACAAACGGAGACAAATTGCTGGGTGAAGAAATTCTAGTTTTTTCTGGTATTTGCGTCTGTTCATTGTCACATTTGCCATGGACTTGAATTCGATGACCTATGCATGTGCAAAATTAACGGCTTACAAAAAGGACGATAAGGTTTTCCGCCATAAGAAATAAACGACAAACAAGAATGACCATTACAGGTGCGTTGGTTAATAAATACATATGCATGCATGCTCATGGTTCATACTTTTTGTGCGGAATTATCTAGATAAGTATTTTTAAAATGAATTGAATTGGTTTACTTTCTAGCTTATTTGTAGATTTTAGCGTGCAAACAGTATTAACATTTATGGCATGACCGAGACTGTGCAAAAACGATAATTCAAGTACGATAATTATGAATTTCAGTTTAACTGTTGATAAAATGTTCGTATGATTAATTTGATTAAAACGAATCCTGCTCGTTTATTGACAATAATATTAACTATATATATAAATCAATCAATGATTATGCATACAGTACACCCAAGAGTAAAACATGCTAATATTTTGCAATTTCATCCCAAACTAACCAATTTTACCAAAATTAATTTAAACAATTCCTGAAATTCTAATCCAAGAGTAAAATTATGTGGCAAATTTTCATAGCAAAACTTTAAACACGGCTTAATCGTCTCAAAAGCCAATAAATATTCCCCAGTTTGAAGAAGCTTTTCAATTTTAGCAACCTGACCCTCAAAAATTGGTAGGACACGTCTCACATCAATATCTTTCTGTATGCACCTCGGGCACTGACCAGACAAAAGGAAACGCCCACACGCATTGCATTGCGACTCTGGAACCAAAATCGTCTTCGTGTCTGGCTCCCACCAACTCAAACATGCTTCACATTGACACTTAAAGTTGTACCGATCAAGCAAAAACTTTCTCCTCTCGTGGGTTTCCATGTGAGCAAAATGTGGGGCGTATGAGAAAGTTACTTCATCCCCAGGTTGCAGAGGCTTCATTGCAATCACGGACGTTTTGAGATACTTGAGACTTCTGACCGGAACAGAGTTGGGGTCACATGAGTGATTTACTAAGCAAAGGACTGGATACACACCACCACCGTAGCGCAATGTGGATGATTGCAAATTATTATTCGAGCTCGGGTTGTTCACAAGTTGGCTCAGAGTAATGGCATTATATTCGATAGCTTCCATGTGGCGGAGCAGAAGGGATGCAATAAAGTCCTTAAATTCTAAGAAATCTTCATTGTACTTAACTCTGGAGAAGAATTGGCTCGTGTCGTCAATTAAATTAGTTAAAATTAAAGCCTTAAAGGCATTAGATTTGGCTTTAAGGATATCAACATTCATGTGCGAAATGAGGTGAAAAATTGGCAGGTAAGATTTGGCAGTGTACACGCCGTTTGGAGAGAATCCTTTTTCTTCACCAGAAGCATTCGAGGGTTGAAAATAAGATTCATTTTTTGTTGTAAATATCTTGTATAACTCTTCTGGCCCAACTTTGAATAAGAGACGAGCGGCTAGGATACCTTTGAGAGACATGATTTTGCTGGATTTGAGGTAAGATAAGTATTTCTCGTACTTGTGGGGACCACGCGTAGACTCAATCTTGCAAGAAGTAGAGCAGAACCAGGCCTGTAATTAGAATTAGGGATATGTTTTTTTAGTAATTCTCGTTCCACTAAAATTTTGAGGCATATTTTATAAATTAACGTACGAAAGTGCAGCAGTCACACGCCACGCCGGAGATAACTGGTCGAGAACAATTTGAACAATGTTCCAAATCCCAGTTTAAAATCCTCTCCAGAATTATTGAGTATGGCTCATCGACAAGTAGAACTTCCCCTTTGTAGTTAAATTAATTAATTAGCATAAAAATACATACGTATATATGAAATTAGAAGTATATGTTTACCAGGTTCGACATTTCTCGTTACAACAATCCGTCTTCCACAGTACGGGTCATAATCAATGTTGCAACATTCGGATACATTTTCCACCCTTGAATTTCTTGAGCGGATGTGATAAAAGTTGTTTTCAACAAAACGTGCCTCAACATTTCGTCTAATTGTTTGAGCTTTCTTGCTACGAGAATGAACGAGGGCACTGCATCTAGTCTGCAGATCAATCAATTTTTGTGCAGATTTCATAGATTTGAGAGGATACGCTGGATTCGAGGCAACGGCGTGAATATCGAATTGAGCGAGTTCAGGATAGCCGAGTTGTAACAGTAAACTGGCACGTTTTTCCAGTGCTAGCGTAATTTCTGCAGAATCTGGTGGGGCAAATGCGATAGCCAAGTTGTAGCCTCTCAGAGCTTTTTGTTGCGATTTTGTCTCATCTTGTTCTGTTGAGAATTGCTGTTTGAAGGCCAGTTCTCTGAGGTAGGTTGAGATTATTGGACATTTTTGAAATCCTTATAAAGTAAAGAATTGAATTATTTGCTAATAAATTTTACACCAAATTTTCAGTTAAATATGTAAATAATTTTAGAAATATATGTAATATAATTACTCGTATGAAACCCGCTGGGTATAGATACCCATTTGAAGTAACGCTTCATCTCCAGAATTCTATCCAGCTGCTCCAAACCTTGACCACAACTTGTTTGCTCGTCATTATCTTTATGAATTTGATCGATGTCAATATTATCTTGAGCACTGTTTTTATGAAATGACTCGTACAACAGCTTTAAGTGAGAGGAATCTTCAAAATCTTCACCATTATAAATAACCTTAATCAATTGTTCCTTTATTGGGTCCATTCTAACGTGAGCTCTTCTTTGAGTGATCACGGAAGAATTATTCGGAGTCAAATGCGACAAATAATAATGGACCCACTCTCGGATTAACTTGAGATTTCGGTTGTATGCATACATGTAACTTTGGATTCTATTCAATACGAGTTCGAAAAAGCATATTTACAAGGTAAAATTACCCTGGGAAGAAAGTAGTACAGATCCGATCCGATCCAATAATGTATCCCTACCTATTCAAACATTCATTACCATTAACTTTGGCATTAACAACTAACAACCAAACGTATACATGATCTACATTGTACAGCAGTACTGCCGAGTCGTTTGTGATGTGACGGTTGATGTACCACCGGTGTTCCTCTTGCGGTTTCGAAGTTTTGTGTTGCGTGTGGTAACTGGTTGGTAACATGTATTTTTATTTAATAGTTGAACCCGGATCAGAGCCAACCCGGCTCTCGCATTGTCGCTCACTTTGGCTGGGATTCCTTATCTTTTTCTTTTTCTAAGTAGTCTGGGAAGTGGGCTTTCTTACAGGGAAAAGAATAAAGGCAGGCAAAAGTTAACATGAGCCAAAAAGTAGACTGCATCTGTCTGGCTTCGCTCGTGCAAAAATTTACATAATCTCAAGAGATTGCGATTGAAAGACAAGTGCCATGATCTCCCCAATTATTAGAGGACGAAACCCTCTTAGATAGGAAAGCCCCATCAGTTTGTCTCTCCTTTTCTAATGTTTCATTTTTTCTTAATTTTTTTTCCGAAATATATACATACTTATATTTGCGAATAATATATAGGGATGGAGTGGAGGTGCAATTTTTAATTTGCAAGTTGAATGCGGTGGACTATCATAAAATAACGACGCTGATCTTCTACATATTTTTTTTACTTTTAAAGTTTCCATCAACTAAAGGAAATTAAAGTCTCTGTGGCATATTTGCCCTTGTACATTGAAATCTTGATTTCTCGAGCTTGAAGCAAATCTACATACATATGCATAAAATTGAGAGCACAATCGTACCTTGACCTATGGTTTCAGAACATCATACAGTTTTTTGTATGTTGTATTTGCGCCAACAAGTTACACTTTTAGTTTCCTCGTTGTAGCATGTGGGAAAAATTGCATGCATTTTGGAACAACCCCGGTTTCTCAATTCGGAGCGAGACAATTCAACCTTGATCTCTGCGCTCGTGCAGTGCATGGCCGATGGATTAATAATAATATGAAATATTAGTGCAGGAGGCAAAATGGGAGAAATGGCATCTGTCTAGGATAAGTATTGCTTATCTCGCCCAATGATCAAAAGCTGATGACGTAATTATGGAACAAACGATGTTAAGTAACATACTTTTTGGATGGTTCCCCAAAAGTTTGGAGCATTTTTAAACCCAAGATTTCTGTAAAATATGCTGAATTTTGCTCTTAATTGATCAAGACTTGTTGTCCTGACGGCCTTCACTTTGAAGCGGTGTCAACGCCGTTGCCAAACTAAATTTTTGACATTTCTCAATTAGTCTTGTTGAGGCAGTCGTATCCAGTTGGGGAATAAGTCATAACTCGACCGAGTGATAAATATTCACTTTTTCTGTCTGCTTGTCATAATGATTTCATTTCAATCCTCTCGAAGTATGTACGAAAAGATTCATGAGACTATAGACCACTTATTTTTAACCACATTTTGTTCATTCGAGCTAATCTTAGAAAGCACATTGACGTATCCCCTTACGTACGCAGAGAGCTTGGATTATCAATCATTATATACTATTAATCTGTAACAAATCATAGACGGACGAAAAATCTAGTACAAACCCAACTCAAATTTCTTTACAAAAGCCGTAAATAAAATCACTGTGATTACGTAAGAGATGAAATCAAGAATGCAAACTGATAAAATTAAAACCAATCCTAAGTCGACAAGAGCTGCTATGAAAACCAAAATCCTGCATACTTCAGCCCGTTCCTAATATTTTTGTTAATGCTACTGTAAACACGGATTAAATTCATATTTATTTGCACAACTCTAGATAAAATACCTTAAAATGAAACAATAATGACATCGATGGGCGGTGTCCACAAAAATTTGTGGTGTCCGGTGCCCGAGGTGTCCTGAATATTTTGCGGTCCAGCAAACGAACACCGCAAATTTCTCCCGGGACCGGACCCCCAAGACACCTCGGACACCGCCCATCTATGTATGAATAAAGGATCACTATGCATACGTATGTATTTACTTATGTAATACATTATTATTTACATAGAGTAAAAAAAACTTGAGCTCAACAGTCTATTTTGAAAAATAAGCCAATTAATTAGTTCTAAAAAATATATGTTCTTTAACTCTCGTTACAATTCGAAAAGTTAAAAAATAAATAAGATTTGGGTGTTAAATATTTTGTGTTAAATTAGGTCACAAGTTTAAATTCGAATGTTACGAAAAATGAGAAAATACTTATTTTTTTCATTTCGAACATAATAAAATTACCACCAAAAGTGGGATGAAAAAATTGCTGTTTTGGAACATAGGCCAATGTCTAAGGGTGGGAGTGGGAAAATTGTGAGGAGGAAGCAAGAGTAGTAACACAATTTCTGCCTCAGGATAGCGTTTTCCCGAACTTGCAGCGCCCAGAAGTCGCCCAATTTTTACTTTTACGCACTGACACATGTGCCGAACCAAATTTCGTTTGCAAAGAGTTGGCCTATCAAACTGCATGGGTCACAAAAAGATTGGGGTTGAACATGGTTTGTGCTCCCATTGTTATTATGTCATAGAACAACCATATCTCAGCAAATTCATACATATATTAAACCTACAACAACTACATATGTAGGTGTGTACGTACATATATTCACTTAAATTATTTAAGTTATCTCGCAGCAGTTCACTTTCGTTTCATCTGGAATTAATTAGATAACGAATTCAGAGCAAAGATAACCAAATGAAATGCCATCGGTTGGACAATTAAACTACGCTTACGTAAGCTCACATATTATGAACATATTGTTAAAGTATTTGTATACATACATAAATACCTGATTACTCATCAAGATAAAAACTAATCTGTTTTGTATTAAATTTGTGTGCGAATGCAGATCTAATCAAAATGTTGCATATTTGAGACATATTTAACAGCAATAAATATGTACATCGTTACCTTCCAGCTTGTCAGATACATATGTACAAATACGTTTTATACTTGATAACACAAATTACAACGTCAGACGTAAAGTGAAATCCTAACAGGCACTTACTTGTCCATGTATCTCAAAGAAGAGATAGCAAAACTCACTTAAATATTTATACAAACTTATATTATTCTGGCTTCCGTTATGATTAAAATGCAGGTATTTCATTTAGTGCCTTTCATTTTTTTCGCGTGTTTTGGACTCTTTAATTCAGTGGATGCACAACAGTAAGTTTTTTGTACCAAATAAATAGAATGTTTTCTACTACCAGACTACGTATATGCACATACAATAATTATTTACAGATCGCCCGAATTTTATAACTACACCATTACCAAAACCTGGAACAATCAAACATCCCCTGAAAACGCTATGATTTCCCTCTCGTTCTCGCTCGAACGTGACCCAGAAGGCCACCGTAGTTTAAAAATTCACGTCCAAGCCCCATTTTTCAACGATCCAGTGGGTCCTACCAATGCAACAGACGAGCCGTTTTATGGTCTTTGGGACTTCGAAGTCGTCGAGGCATTTTTTCTCGGCGATAATGACGAGTATCTAGAAATTGAGCTAGCACCATCCTCCCACTACGTCCTCCTCTATCTCAATGGGTACCGAAATGACACCGAAATGTATCTCCCACTTCGTCACTTTACAGCAAAAATTGACAATTCAACTACTCCTCCCATCTGGACGGGCGAAGCTTTCATCCCAGCAAATTACTTCCCTTGTAACGTCACAAAATTTAATGCATACGCGATCCACAAGTCAGATCCTAACAGGAGATACATGTCGCTGTTTCCTGTCGCTGAGGAAACTCCTAATCCAGATTTCCACTACCTTCCTGCATTTGAATCCGCTCCCTTCCTCTCCCAGATTGTTAATCCACTTTGTCAAACATACCAGCACAATGTCAAAACCACATGGGATGGAAAACCGTCTCCAGACATGGCTGAAATTTTCATATCTTTCTTCCTTCAGGAGGAAACACTTGAACAAAATAGATCGGTCCTCATGGAAATCAATGCGCCATTCTTTGAGGACCCGGCTGCCCCCGACGCCGGAACGCAAGAGCCATTTCCAGGTTTATGGTAAGCAAGTTTCTGCCTCTGATAAATCAAGCGTTTTCGCGAATTTGCAGTGACCAGAAGTCGCTCAATTTTTACTTTACGTACATGTGCAAAATGTCATGAGTTGGCCTATAAAACTGCATGCTCATATCACAGCAAACTCATATATTTATCTGCAACAATTACATATGCAGGTATGTACATACCTATATTTAAATGATTTAGGGAGTATGAAGTCGTCGAGGCGTTTTTCCTCGGGAACAATGATGAGTATTTGGAAGTGGAATTTGCACCAAGTGGTCACTATTTGCTGCTCTACTTGGCAGGATACAGAAATGATACGGGAAGATATTTACCCATAAGAAACTACATTTCTAAAGTTGTCAATTCAACCGGAGATTCGACAGGACTAAAACGGAGATGGATTGGAGAGGTAAAAATCCCTGCCGAGTACTTTCCATGCAATGTTTCCAGGATGAATGCATATGCAATCCATAAATCGGGTACAAACCGCAGCTACATGTCTCTGTTCCCAGTGGAGGAGGGAGAGCTGGAAGGACCTGATTTTCATTATTTGGATGGGTTTGGAAGTTTTAATTTGGGAGAGGAAGTGAATTTGATTTGTACCAGTACGCCACCGCCGTCGTCAACTCCAACGCCACCGTCAACTCCAACGCCAACGCCACCGTCAACTCCAACGCCAACTTCAACGTCACCGCCACCGTCAACTCCAACGCCAACTTCAACGCCACCGTCAACAACTACGTCAATGTCACCGTCATCAGTCGTCAGGATTTTTGATCAATCATTTCTGATTTGCATGGGGTTTTTGTTTAGAATTTTGACTATGGTGTGATGTTCATTTATGCATTATGCAATTTCTGTACATTTATCTTAATGTATATTTATAATATTGTGTGTGGATGCATGCATTGTTTAAAATTCTTGAAACGTTGCTATTCTTTATCGCGGTGAATTCTGACCAATAAATAAAAAAGTACCAAATGAAGATCGAAGAGGAATTACTTTTTAAATTGCTCATTTGTGCACACAATTTGTTTCCTTGTCCTGCATGAGATGAAGTTGTACTTCATGTGCTACTGCATAAATGCAATTTTACATATACATATTTAAGTATTAACTTTGATGATTTTTATTAGACATGCAATTAGCAATTTTGTTCTTTTTTGTTTACAATAATCAAGGAATGAATCGGTTTCACTACTGACAAATTTAGTTACTCATTGCTTTAATTTAATTTTAATTGCTCATTACTTTTGCTACGGATGGGATGGATTCGGTTTGAAAACGTTCCAACACCTCAGACTGCCCATACACGGATATAGTCGACCTGAAGAGCCGCGTCATCGCCTTGCCAAGAAGGCAGCCAGTCGTCCCTAGCCTCCCAGAAGGAAAGGAATGTCTGTGCTGTTTCCCAAGGTCGTGGAGGGGTCGAATCCGTCGGGAAAAAGTTTCCTCCCACGGCAACATTCAGGATAAAGTGGAACTAGTAAATGATGTTATACATAGATTAAGACATGCATACTAAATAAAATTGTGCAAAATCAGAACTAACTTCTTGGTCAAACGGAGCCATTCGCTGTAACAAAAAATTGAAATAAATAAATCGTTCATGCATATATTTAAAAATAGTTTAATAGTAACAACAGCTCCAAATTACTGGATTTATGGCCCCTCCTGCTTCTGTCCATGGATTCTCAATAGTTGGGTCGAATTGGCCAAGCTCAAAGAATCCACCTGAAGAAACAAATTGAAAAATCAATTGAAAACTAAAAATAAAACTGAGCTTTCGAAGTACGAACCTGCTGGTGGAACAACGCGAGTCACTGTCTGGTTGTCAACCCTGAAGAGGAATCCAACTATAATTTCGAAGAAATGTTTAAGCTGTATGTAGATAACCGGAAAAAATTAGCATATTTATGACCACGTACACTCGGTCCACTCCAGTTGGTAGAGGTGAAAGTCTTGATCATATCCATTAGTTGCTTCGGAATTTGTCGTATTATGGGCAGCCTAAGCATTTAAACTTTGAACTTAACAATAACTAAAATTATAACCCGGTTATTCAAAGTATTGAAAAATTACCCAGTAACCGTTGTGGGGCCAGAAAGGCTACATATAAAATAAGACAAATGCATTAAAATAGTTTCAATTGATGATTCATGATATACAATTATACGACATACCCCAAAGTGAAGGGTCGACCCGACCTGCTCCGTCCCAATGTTGACACCTGCAGGGTTGAATAGATTTCTATTTCCTCTGCTCTCCATAATGTCCACCTCTCCACTTGACGGCCACCCCCCATAAACAGCATGTTCGGGCATCATCCAAATTGCTAGAAGTGAACCATTCTAGCTAGTAACGACATAATGTGTCAAATTTGCCATCATTTCCAAACTTACCAGGCCACATCCAGTCTCCCCTCGGCAATTTGGCACGAACTTCAACCTTTCCATATCTGAAAGAAAACCGACCTTTGGTTCGAAGCCTTGCTGAATATGCAGGCTGCAAAATGTTTGGGTATCCAGCTTGACGATCGCATGCACCTCCTCGGGGTGGATCGGTGCAGCTAAATATAATTTAATTTACATTAGAATACAATGTTTTAAATCATCAAGGACTAAAAACTGTTCACATTTCTGATTCTTTACCACTCAACATAATGATAACCATTGTAGAAATGTTCATAATTGCCCCCAAGGTGGTCGACGGTTAAGTCAGGCTTAATATGCATGACACCATTGGTGACATATGCGTTGGACTCGTTCCGCTCGTAAACTTGGAACTCATTGTTCTGCAATAATGCATAATTAGTATAATTTACAAAAGTTATCATTTCAAATCCCAGAGGAGCTGCTTACCCCACCACCATTCTGAAAATAAAAATAAGTTCATTATCATAAACTCAAAGATGTTCATTTTTATTATAAAATTATTTCCATACCATGTTAGCTTCATAATCCCATTTCGTTGCGTCAAAGGTATCGAAGGTGTCTTCCCAAATCAAATCACCAGGGGCGTATAATCCACGTAGTCCATTTACGGTGGTAATTGATTGTTGCTTCGCAGCGAGCCCGCAAGAAATCAAGCAGGCCAAGACGATAAGTAAACGCATGATTAAGCTTTTCCTTTCAGAGAAAAATTAATGAAGAAGCCACTTTCACCAATATTGTGTGAATATGTGGACAATATTTCAGTCTGTCACCTTTTATATGGAATGCTTATCAATTCGTGGGCATGATAAATAGGAGTGTTTTGCTAGGCGTGAAAAATATGTGTGTATACATACATAGTCAATCGATTTGTATATCTTGCACGTTGACATTGATTGAATTGGAATGGGTCGACTAATCCGCTGTGTGCAAAATATTTCGAGTCGACATCATCGATTAAGCCAAATTATGCAGTATGCAGAACTAATACATCACGCATGAATGTGACGGTTACACAATTCTATCAAAATTTTACGATGGACAATGGGGTTATCTTAAGTGGGTAGACCGTGTGCTAATTGTTGTAAAAATAGAATTTAGGATAATAATCATTCGCACAAAAACGTGACGTTAAAATAAGTAATATCGTCATAAATATTTTACTAATGGAGTCATCGTTTAAAATATTTGTTGCACCTGTGCTTATCATTTCACCAAGTCGTAATAGATTTTATTTTTTGTAAATTAGGGACAGACTGGATAGTCCGTACGAGTATATGCTTAAATACGTACGTAAATATATGTATATATACATATATTATAAACTTTAATATTTATTCAGATCAGACTTGACAGATTTCTGAAAGATTTTCATACGTATGTAAGCAAGTACATAAATATGTACATAAGTATGTACTTACATATCATCTCAGCTTTTTACAAATAATGACATGTAAAATGATAACATGTAATGCACTCTCTGCGAACAAATTTAAATACTCCATTGAATAAAACCTACCAATATGCATATATCATTGTAAATATTTCCATTTAATTGTTGAACATATAAAATGTCCAGAAACCGCTGAATAGATACGTAGCTTACCTGCCTTGATCAAACTTAAATGGTAAGGCTATCTTACTAATTATGATGCAGTCAAGTACTTAAGATATAAGTAAATAAATAAAAATAGGTGCATAAGCACATAAACCAAGGCTTTCCAATCATTCATTTATGACATGCACAAATCAAATAGATTGTTTTATTGGCAATATTCGACAATGCTGAATGTAGTACCCGCTTTTACTGTGTGGGCTACAGCAGTTTACAAATATACACATATATACATTTAGAATTGGCTTTATAAGGTTAGAAGGTTATAGTAATTTGTAATAACGTCGGTAGGATAAAATTGACCCGGCAACTAGAAGGGTCAACATGAAATTTCCACGTTTTAAGGTAATCTAGACTCCCCAAGAATTTTTTCATTTTCCTTGAGAACCGCAACAATTTCTGTGGCAATGTCCGCAGCTTTTTCTGGATTTTTAGTAACCCAATTAGTAATAGCGTTTTGAAACATTGCCATCATTTCGACAGGATCTTCACTCATGTTTTCAATATCGATATCTTTCAAGGCTCCAATAGCCGCAACAACATTTAGACCGAAGAAAAAGCCCAGTTGGCTTTTTTGACGATAATCCTCCACAAAATCCTAGAAATCCAAATATAAACATATTTATAGCTCCGTAACATTATAAAAAAGATAGTCCCATTTATTTACCTCAAAATTAATGGGGCATTTCACGTCAAACATGGCCAAGGTATTTGTCAGACTATCGAAATAATGCTGAAGCAATTCCATAAAATGTTGCCTTCGTACTATGGGCTGAACACTGGTGTATAAAAAGTATCCAACATCCAAATTTGGAGAACCAAGCCTTGTTATCTACATAAATTAATATTAATATACATATTTTGGCATCTCATGTTCACAAACTTAAAGAAATTAATCACTATGTTTTAATGCGGTTGTCGCTTTTTACTTGAAGGTCCACAAATATGTGATCAGTTATCTTCCTCGTCTCCGGATCGAATTTAAACAACATATTGTTGTTCCAGCAATCTCCGTGGTTTAAAACTTGAAACTTATCCGTGCGAGATTTTAAGAGTGTCGAGACCATTGGATACGCTTTACCTATGTATCCAATCAATGTTTGCATTGCCTCGTCGCCGCCTTCGACTGGAAATCCCTTTTTTCGAATCCATTATGTTGTAATAGTTTAAAATACGTAATATATGCATGTGAAATTCATTGGTGTGAAATTAACCTTCAGTATATTCATACAGCTAGAGACACCGGTATCGAACATTGACTCTATCATGGGGTTGTTATCGCTTATAAAGGCTTCACAGCAAACTAGCTCCCAATCTTGTCTGAATTTCAGGTAATTTGTGCCCCCACACTCTTCGGTAATAAAGACGTGTGTTGCGGCGTGAAATCGGGCTAGATTTGCTAGCACGTGTCTTAAGGAAAATACGTACAACATAAATATAAAGTATTACATGAAATAAGTATTTTTTTAGTATTAACCAAGTCGCATTTTCTCACTTTGCCGTGGTAAGATCCTGTCTTTCTTCTTTATTCAGCATGATGAACGTATCGTCCAATACCAGATTTTCAAGAACAATCATTTCATCATCGCCATGTATGATTTTAGGGAAGAAATTCAGCAAGTTTTCACATCTAAGATGGGTGAAAATAAAAATTACTTTGATTTATTTTCTGCCCAAATATTTAAGAGGGATCCATCAAATTTTAAATTACCCTTTATATTTTTTACAGCATTCTCTTGCCTTGGGTAGAAATTCGTTAAAGAAAGCTGCCTCCTTTTCCATTATCCGCATAGCTTTTGTAAATTGAATGTGAGCTGCATTGCTTGAGAACTTCTTGCAAAATAGATTCTTCGGCTTAACAGAAGTATCCTTGAATTCTACCAAAACATAGACCGTACAAGACGCCATGTGTTCCCCTTTGAGTTCTGGGGGCTCTGTCATTGTGATAGTTTCCACTTCATCTAAGATTCCGTGAGACTTTAAAATATCCACAAATTTTTGTCGGAGTGGATCGCACAAGATTTCTTGATTGGACGAGGGGGCCATTTTTCTAGTGATTATTTTTCAATGAATAATGCTTGAGGACGAAGGAATTAAACCACGTATGTGGACTCTGTTGGGAATTAAAATTATGACTGGTATATAAATCAGATTTGAAACTAACTGTGTGCCAATAAGTGAATCTTCGCTGGATAGAGTACAGAGATGTGGCCTTGACAGCTTCAATGATTTTTTTTGTAAATCTGCACGTCAGACTTTTTACTTTGCTGAGGATATATCTACAATGGGTACATTGGAGAGAAAAGAAATGACCATGACGTTGATTAATGTCGTGGCGTTAATATCCACGTACGAATATACATGAACATATTTGCATAATGTGTACATCCCTCGATACGTACATGCATATATATGCATCTAAATATTTATACATATGTACATACATACATAGACATACATTTCTTCTGACGGGATGAGATTGTTGTTACTCGGTGAATTTTAAATTGCTAGTGAATGTACATATCTATTTTTGTTACTCAATACTGGACATGCAAACAATATTCCCAATAATGAACATGTCTCCAGTGCACTGTTGTCTGACAGTGTCGTTTATGTACATATGTAATTTAGAATGAGAACAATATGACAGACAGCCTCGTTGTTTGTGCAATAGAAAAAAATGCCTAAAAGAATTTGGCGTCTATAGCTGGCAACTAGATAAATATATGCATTATTCAAATCCTATAACATTACTGACAATGAAAAGTTTGGTAATTATTGGGGCGTGAGTTAGTCTTAAGTAGCATGCTGACTCAGCAATTCAAGTTTTTAATGATAATTAATTAAGTAATGAAATACAGGTTACATACGAAATTCTAAATTAAATTTGAAGGTCGAATATAGAGTAGATCCACTCTAATAAGGAAAATTGTAAAGTAATTCATATTTATATATAAATAGGTCTGAATCATCCGAACCATCCATAATCATACACAGAGATAACTGAACAAATTGTTATGCGATTGAATTCAAGAGTGTGGCTTGCCAAATTCACTTTTCTCACACTGATAAGAATCACAGCGAGCACATTCCTTTCTTCATTGGCCGTTTTGTTTCTGCCCCAAAATAATTTGTGGCGATTGTTACATTATTTACGCCCTTGCAGTAATCGGAACATTCTTCCACCCCATTGAAACGGTTCCCGTTTCCTTGGCATCCTCCGTAACTGAACATGTTACAAGTCCCTGTCCCAGGGTCGTAATACCTGCGAATGTAATATCACAGGCGTTTAAGGATTCCGATGCATTGATAACCAGTTTGTTTGAATCTTTATTTACCACATTTGAATAAGAGCTCGACAAGGTCCCATTTCTGGTGGGAGTAGACAATCTGCCTTCATCCTCTCACTTTCCTCTGTTGCATCAATGTCGTCGTCGTCGTAATACGCATCGCCGTTATCATTTGTCATGAGGCAGGATTTAATACATCGACCACTAGTGAAAAAATTGTTGCCATTTCCTCCGCATCCCAGGTAATAGAAGAGCGAACAGCAGTTTTTGTCATGGTCAAAATAATACGAGCGTTTCATGGATTGCATAACTGTGGCAAAGTTGCAGGTCCTGCCCAACTCTAGCGGTTGTAGGCATGGGTTGAGAGTGGATGCTAATTAAATTGTAATAGAGTTAAAATATTGCATGGTTTCTATTTGTGTTTGAATGAGTTTGATATGAGCTTACCGCTAATAGTTGTACTGATTAGTAGGACACTAATAAGATAAAATTTAACAAATTTGATGGTGCGTTTCATTTTTATTTAAGTAAATGCAAATATAAATTTTCCAGTAGGTTATAAATGTTAAAAATTCGGTTTACAATTGCTTGATACTTATTTAACTCGATTTCATGTTGTTTGTCAAGCATGTTGGCATTTATTTGTTTTTATGTAATTGTGAGTAATTTAAAGTACAAATATCAACATCCTATAAAAATGCTAACACAAAAGGCATTTATGACATTCAGACAAACCATTGTAAGGTTCAGGGTATGAATGAATCATAAACTCATTGTCTTGACTGTTTTCATAAGTTGATAATATTTTGCAAACACATATTTAACTGCATAAACTATTTGTTCAAATGTATGTATGTACTTATGTATGCAGTAGTGAACACGTACCAACCCTAAAATCCTTTTAAAAATGTGCACGCGACCCTAGTCAACTAGTCCAATCCGATGATGTCATCCCCTGAACTTTGCTAAATAGTGACTGTCACAAATTTGATGGCTGTACAATGTTCTGTTTAACATCACCGACTAAATCGAAGACGACGAGTGACCAGTTGCATCTCCTTCAGAACTTTGGAGATAGTGTCCCCTTGCTTTTTGATGCTGATTGAGAAGACTATGGAAAGCATACGCTTTTTCGCACATGGGACATGGGAACTTTCTTAAATCCGTTGTGGCGTTATGTGTTAGAAGATTATGGCGTCTGAGCGACCAACGATGTCTAAACGCAACCCCACAATCTGAGCATAGAAATTCCTTAAGTCCAGGCTCCATTTCCTTTTTTAGAAAAATTAAACTGTTAATGAATAATAAATAATAGACAATTCAAAATCATGCTCATTTATTTTTAAATGCATACGTGATATTTCATATGATTCTTGAGGGTCTTCTTACAGCCAATTGATATCCCGCACACCTCACATATAACGGCTGTGCTTTTTTCATGAACGGATTTCAAGTGTAAACTCATTCCTGCAAGTATTAATAAATTACATGCATCAGCTATATGGTGCTTTGATAGATAAGACCTAGCTAAACAGAAATGTAAACATACTTGATCTTGATGTGAATAGTTTTCCACATGTTGGGCATGTTCTATTTGATACAGCCACGGATTTTGTCACCTTTTCTAGTTTAAGAGTAACTGTTTCCTGTTCAGTTTGCATTTCTAGAGCAATTGGAACTGTAATTGATTCTCCTGCAATTATATTAAAAGATAAATCAACTCAAATCTTCAAGCTTACAGTTATCCAATAAAATATAATATAAATACATCGTCGTACTGACCAGTCATAAATTTCTCTCTCTCCTCCGTATTCAAATGCGAATTTAAATGATCCAGATATCCGTCTTTTCTGGTGAACCCTTTACCACAAATTTCACAGGTGCGTAGGACAATTTTTTCATGCCTGTTATTCAAATGAACACGCATCTTCGTAACGGACAAGAAGACCATATGACACACAGGGCATGTTTTATCTTTCACGGGCACCTTTGTTCTCAAACTTGCAATATGTTTCACCTTTTCTTCGGGTGGGAGGTGAATAAATTCATGGTACTTAAGATACGACTTGGTTGCAAATGTCTTTGGGCAAAATGAACACTTGAGCATTTCAGTCTTATTAATTTCTTTATGTGTACATACTAAATGGTGTTTTAATTTGGAAGAACAACTAAACGCTTTCCCATTACATTCCGCGTGTGGACAAATGTGAGTGGATTCTTCCTTTTTGCGACACCATAAAGATGGTGTATCCACATCTGTTCGACCTTTTGACTTATTCGATGAGGTATGAAATTTGAAGTGTTTTGCAAACACAACTTTCGTGTCACACTTTTTCGAGCAGATAGGACACGAAATGGACAATGCTTGCTCGTTTTCTACTTGAGTCTCTTCCATATTTGTAATACAATTAACGTTAAGTTTTGAATAAAGATGTTTGGTTAAGACGGATGGGCGATCAAAAACACGGCTGCAGTACGGACATGTTCTCATCCAAGCTGGTGATTTACGCGGTGTGCCTAAGCGTTTAACTTTGGGGGACGAATTGTTATCAGTTTTTTTCTTGGAGAGGGGTTTCTTTTTTATCATACTTCTATCCTCATCACTGTCACTAATATCTTGAGACGATTCTTCTGAGGTTGGACTCATAGTTCGAATATCCTGCTTGCTCTTGGAGATTCGTCCATTCTGTCGTGTCCTCATGGATTTTCTTCCATTATTCCTAAGTGACTTCGTTGTCTCTGCTAAATGATTAAGAATAAGAAAGTTTAGACCAATACAATGCACTATCATCACTCAAGGATAAAATGTGATATAATATTTACGTTTGTATTCCACATCGCTGTCTGATTGCAAATCGGATACCTCGTAGTCTTCAAAATTATCTAGATTATCCCGTAGTTCTTTCCCCCACTCTGAATCATCATTATGATGATCTAAGGGAGCCTTCCAATTGTCTGCACCAGCGTCAGTTTCTGGGTAGACAATACTATCCATAAAATTTTTATTGTCCAGTTCATCATCAATGTAGCAGGAATCATCAATTTTAGGTTCAACTTTAATTTCAACAGTGTGGGACAACATGGCTCTTTTGACTACGTGTCTTGTTCTTGTTAACCCTGCAACAATCATCACAACCATCAGAAACTCTGGTTAACAAAAATATTAATTTTTGTGTGGACGTACTGCAATTTTTATCCTGCACACCCCCTGACTGCAGAATTGCATTTCGTACATTATCCATTAAATCGTGATTCCCACCCCCACCGACGAGGCTTGTCCTTCTGACCGTTTTTTCGACCTTGTCCTGTACACCTTTCAACTTGGCTTCCAATTCTTTCGAAAGTTTGTACAACTTTCTTCCTTCCGTCACCCATTTTGAGCAAGGGTCACAAAATTCAATCCACTCGGAAGGATTTCCGTTCCTACAAAATAAGTAGTAATAGATAAAACCTATTATCCCAATTTACAAAATAAATTCAAATCTTACTGGACGAGAAGTTCCTCCAAGTCGAAGTGACTATCTTGAATAAATTCCGAGATGAAGTAAATCACGGATAACTGTGCCTCCAACAAATCAACCGTATTTGTATTGTTTTTACACTCGGTAGTACAAATCACACACCTCATCGTTTAGAGTTAATTACGGGACAAAAACTGCTAACTTTGAAAGGGTCAGAATGTTATTTTTTTTAGATAAAGAATGAAAACAACATTCAAAACAATGCAAAGACCAGCTGCTTCATTCCCTCACATTTACCATATTTACAAAGTTGAGACTAGATTTTGCTCAAGTATGTATGTTATGTGTCTCAAGTTGAGACAGGCTTAAATCTCACTAAACGCATTAGTGAGATTTCATAAAAATTCATTGTTATAACGATAAATGTACAATACATAGCATAAATGAATTACATTACATTACATATTAACATACCTAAATGTACAATATGCGAATTCTACGAAGCATGTACATATCTATATTTGTACATTTGCCAATGTGCGTGGGTTCGATTTTGTCACAATTAGGATATAAAATAATTAAGGTATATTGGCAATTGACATTTCTAAATTTTATGAACAATGCTACTACGCTTAAACATTTATTATTTCACTTGCTTACCCGGCACAATTTGCACATGTAATTGATTTTCTTTTATTGTTTAATCCCGTGTAAATAATGTATAACATTCACAATTTGGGTAACCACCTCAGATAAAAAAAACAGCAGTCTATGTGCGTCACCTAGAGTTATCTGGATTAGTTTTATGATTTTATTATACCTTTTGAAATTGTTCAATTAGTGATGCAACTGCCCTTTTATTTCTGGCATATAAAACCAACAAACAAAACTCGGTGTAGGGTCCAGCCAGATTCGACATATTCACAATTTCAGTCAAAACGATCTATTTCACGATACATCCCTTTTTAATTAGGATGAAGCTTCTTCTAGTTTTTGCTCTTTGTGCAACATCAGCGTATGGTGGAGTAGTGTCTACTACAAGTTGCGGTATATGCAATTAATCAGAAAATCATCGATATTTGTTAATTAATAGATATTAAATCCTCAAAATATTTTTTAAGGCGGCGTCGGGACATGGAGAGAACTTAGGATTAACGGTAATGAGAAATTCCGGATGAGAGCAGTTTCCAAGTCTCAACCTTCCCTCTCTCTTTGAATATACTTAACATTGTTTCGCCTATCCCGAAACTTTACATTGACCTTGTGGGGGGAGGACGAAATCGAAAAAACGCTTATTAGTTGATAAATATATTTTTTTCTGAATTTTCTTACGTTGACTCAATTTTTTCGTCCACTAATCCTAAGAGTAAAAGTTGCATAGATCTTGAAAATCAGCTAAAGAATAGCCACTTGATGTGTATGTGTGTATCTGCTTTTTTGACTCCCGCAAGATTGGGGGCAAGTTAAGATTGGCCGACGGGCTTATAAAAGTGGTTCGCAGATGCGAGCTAAACTACTCGTTGTATATGTTTGAATGTGGTTTTCTTGGATTTTAGGCGAAACAATGTTACATATAAGCGAGAGGAAAGGTGGAGAGTTGGAAACTGCTTTCACTCGGAATTCTAAAATTTGTATCTTTTCTTATTTTTTATGCTGATTAGGATCTATTTTAGCGGAAAGTAGTAATAAATTTACGTTAATATTTTATTAGGATGCGAAGGAGCGAGTTGTAATATGCGCCCTGGCACACCGTTTGCATTTGAGGCCGATTTTGTGACTAGTTCGGCAAGTCCATCCCTTTGTCTCGATGTTACAGCAGTCTACTTAGGCTTTCCCATTTCCATAATTTCTACCGAATTGGAAAATTCCAGTGTCCAGCCTGGACAGCTTTATACGGTCCGGTTTACTATAACCCCCAACGATCAGCTATCAGGTAAATTAACAAAAATGGTTCCATGCTAAGTATTTCAAACATGTAACATCATTTGTAGGAAATGAGCTGCCAGTGTCAGCCTCAGTCGGAAGGTGTAATAGTGGGCTCATTGAAATTTGTAGGACGGTTCGAGTCTATGTCATATAATTTATTAAATAGTATTAACGGAATCAACAAAGAGAATTGAAATTTTATTATAAAAAGTGTCATTCATTTATCTATGTATGTAATATGGGCATAATGCATATATGTTGCGTAATTGTGAAAAAATTACGAATAAAATGCACATTAAAATTTGTACTCATCTTTTAAAATATTTCCGCTGAAAGTGTGGAAATTCTGGAAATTCTTATTCTCCCGTAATCTAATCATAATTCACCCGTACTACTGTGTACATACACAACATACTAATCCCAACGCATACAGAATGCCCTATGCATGTTATTACAGTAAGTTGAACAATTAAGAATCATCCAAACAAAATACACTAGGGTTAACGAGCGACAGCGAGCAGTGGTTAAAAGACGATCTTCTATAAAGCTATTGTACTCTGCAAAATTCTGTCGTGTCATTTTGCCTCATCGTGTTTTACTTAAGTAACATAACTTTACATCCACAAATATTCATTATATTAATACCCCTCATGTGCATATCAATTTGCAATAGTTACATAAATATATCTGTGTATGTGGTTTCGTTCATATTGGCATATCAAATTATCTATCGAGAGATTCAGACTACAGTTCCCATATACATAAATAAAATAAACCTAACTTTCAGAAACCTGTCAATTTTAACTTTTCCGTTAATTTCGTTTTATAAATTATAATATTTTTGATTGTTTAATAAAACATCATAATCAATTGTACACTAACTGTATTTGGTTAACTTGGATGACAAAGTCCGCAACTAATTCGGAATCGAGTCTCATGTATTATGGCTTTCTCCTTGATTTGCCCAGATCATTTGGGCAAATGTAACATCTGGGCCAGATGTCACATTGTTTGCCTACTCCAGGTTCTTCTTGACACTTGTCTGAAAAATCAGATAAACCACTGATTCCCATATCTTATATAACTTGCTACATATGAACTCTTTAAGCGATTCGAATATTGAATTTTTTCCAAATTCAGACCACATTTTCGACATGACTTTGCGCAATAGAATTGCGATCATCTCTTGCCCAAGAATCTTTGAAATCGACACAATGAAACATCTGGAATTTATTCAAACTACTTTAAAATCCTATTTTTAGGTATATTATTATCTTATGGATTGCCATTTAAATAGGATTGACGACCACGATCCGACATGCTACTAATTTCATTTTTAAAAAATGCCTATCACGCTTATTGCACATATGTACATATGCAAACATTTTGACTATCATTTGTCTCCCAATAGTATTTTTTATCAATTATACTTATATTTGTTTAATTATTAATTCTTTCGACCGTTTAGACTTTAATGTTAAACATCGCCTAACAAAAACATACAAAAATTTATAATCCACTATCAACATATATGTACCGACAGATAATAATTACCTACAATGCAACTCCATTATCCAACTTTCATTCAAAACAACCTCATTAAAATGCAACTCCCGTTGGGTGTTATGTACATAAGTACATACTTATACTTTTAGTAGTACTTATAAACTTTATTCATATAAATTATTATTTTATTATTTTATTTATTTATTTATTATTGCTTTAGTTTAGTTTACACTTTGAGTAACTGGAACTGGATCTCAAAGAATACGATTTTGCAGTGAAGTTATTCATAGTCCATTTTGATATTCTCATTGACATCATCACTGAAGTTCATTTCTCCTATTCTGTCACAATTATTTAACACTTTTCCATAGCATCTGAAGATATTTTCCGTGTTTGTACAATTTCTGTAATACCGAGGAAATATGGTAGGATCTGGACCATAAAACAAATATTTTTTAACGTGTTTGCACAAAAAGTATTTATTACGGGTCAAATGACATTAAAGTACTCACATTTTTGGTCACATGCTAGTAACTCTTCCGTCATGACGTCCACTGTCATGTGACCCCCAGGTTTCCTCATCCCTTCAAAAAACATGTGATGTGTCCTCTCCTTATCAATTCCCGTGTTATCGTCATTCATAGCACCAGACTCCCTCATTACGCACGTCTTGAAACAAAGCATTGGCGATTCTCCTTCCCAATCCACCAATTCGTCTCCAAAATGTCTCCGGGATTTCTTTGGACGCTTCAGATTTGCACAATGGAATACAGAGTCGGTAACGGCATACGAGAGGTTGTAAAAACCACGTTGACACTGCATACCTCGAAATTCACTCATCATCGCGAGCATGCTACAAATAGGAATTATTTTAAATATTTTAATTTTCGTTGATTTTCTATTTAAATTTTAAATTAAATAAATTCAGCAATAAGGTCTGAGGGAAATCTGTGTATATACTTTATTTCGACTTTTACTCTAAAATCTAAAACATCTAAATTATTCTGACCGGCCCCATGGAGTATGTGTTTCCTGCCAGTCGTTGAAATTTCGCTCAGCTGGGGCAGCATCCTGTTTTTGGCAAAGAATTTAAAATGTAACTTATACCCGTCATTATAAATTATTTAGGTTATCTCCAAATTGAGCTGCTCACCAGGAAATACAGACGCACTAAAATCAACGCAATCCAACACACCAACGAGACTACATTCACGGTCATCTTGCTTTGTCACATTGGGATTGAATACCAGACTCGTTTGTCAGGATCTGTGGAGATGGAAATGAAAATGGTATGGGACGAGAAGTCTGAGCGACAAGTTTTATGCTGCATTGTTCAATAATTACATATAAGCATATTATGCTCACTTGTTGACAATCATGCTCCGCTCGTTCAAGGAAATGCATTAAGTAATAGAATGGATTATTTTATGAACATCGCAAAAAGATGCATACCTATAAATTTTGTGAATTAAAAATTAAGTCGCAAATACATAAAACAAAGCACTACATTGGCGGAAATGAATTAAAATAGGTAGTTATGTATGAATGTGGATGTATAAAATTATTAGGAGTGCAAAACTACGTAAATATGTACATTTACATACAAAAGCAAAAATTTGTAGTAGACTTCGCCTTATGCATATTTAGGAAACCAATTTTAGGCTTTTCTAAAATAAGCGTTTAATAGTTATACAAAATTAATTAGCACTAGTTTGTCATTGGTTGCTTAAACCCTGTACATCATGTTGACTTTGTATTACTTTTGTTATACGGGACAATTATTTTGCTTCACATGCACTCTGCATTTATGTATAACATATGTACTTTGTACTTATGTGCTATCGCACGTTTCATCATCACTGACGTATTTCATGCACACGTGTTACTTGGCATATTTTATTTGATAAGAATATTTTTTTTCAGTATTTGCAGATCTCTCAATTCTCCATGCTTGGCAACATTCCAAGATCATGATCATCTTTACGACAAGCATCTGTGTCTTTATGTAGCTTCGAAAAGGAAATGCGTAAACATTTTTGAGAGCTGTAGGTGTGGGAGGATTCAGTTCGGATGGCAAATATTTAACACATATGTGCATTTAACTATGACATAGTGATCTCATTTGTATCCAACTCTAAGAGAAGAAAGTATCACCAAACTGTTGTAAATTATTCTGCTGCTTCCTTAATAATTAAAATGGGTGACCTTCGTGGGGACATGCGAAAGGCGATGGCAGAAGCCTGCAAGAAGGAAGGTCAACCGCCCATAATCGAAAAGACGGTGGGGTCAATTTGGGATCATTTCAAAAAGTCTCAACCTCTGGTGTTGGCAGAAAAAGGATTGCAAGATGATTGGAGTGAGTGGCATTATACATATTAATATTACACCCATTAGTACATACATAAATATATGAAACAATACGCATTTTTATTAATTTTGATATGCACACAGAGGAGAAGGTGAGCGTTTGGGAGTTGTTACAAAGGAGTCTGGAAAAGTACGGGATTCATCCAAAAATTGTCGAGATCACGATGAAAAAGTTGAAAGCAAAGTACGGGGAGACCCCGAATGAAGCCGCTGCAAGAGTCATGCTGGGATAAGTAGTTTTGTGTAAATAATTCTTATCTGAATATTCCAATCAATAAAACGTGTCGGGTGTTTTGATAATGAAAAACCTACAGTGCAGTGTCGATCTAGCCCGAGTCAAGCCAGAGTCCGCATCTAAATTTTTGCCTAATGACCCCAACTATGCATATTACCATATAGCTTATTACTAACTATTCTCAATCTTCAAAAAATGTTCCCACAATTCAACATGAAAAATTTAAGCTTTTTCAGCCAATTTCAAAAATTAGTATGGGTCACCCTGCTTGGTCCATCTCCCAAAAGTATTCCTAAATTTGACCTCATATTTTTTGGTCTAATGTACACTTGCACCTTCGTATTGAATTTAATCATTCATGCCAGATTTAAGTCTTCTACGACCAATTTAAAAAAGCAGAGGGGTGATCCTACCGGGTCCCTCTAAATAATACTTTGGTTGTTATGACATTGTATTCTCAGTTTAGTACACAAATATGACCAATGTCTCGAATATCAGTCTTCTTCTACCATCATTCTGCACAATGACCTTTATGTCCACCTCCATGTGTGGTAAGCTACTTGACCGATTTTGCTCATATTCGAGCTTAACGCCTCATTTTCCCCAACCTACATGTGTCCCAAGTTCCAAGCCGATACGACAAGTTTTACGAGCGTAATCGATAGAGACAGGCAACCACGACGGATGCATAAGCCCTGACTCGGGCTAAAAAATGAGATTGACCACAGCATCTCTGTTACCTAATTGCTTCACGTTTATTATACATACAGTACAGTTGACAATCTACCTTTCGGTGTACATATCTACAAATCCTTAAAAGCTTATACATTTACATATGTATGTACATATTTACCTACACATATGTACACACGCACAAACCGAAGTATTACTTCCTCTCTCAAATCCCTCAGGATTCCTCATCCCCCATTCCTCAGTTAAGTAATACAAGCTTTATGAATACCATTATAAAATTTAACTTTACCACCGAGTGTAATAAAACGGTTAAACTAGGTCACATTAAACCAGGAAATAAAACATAAAAGCTGCAACATGAAAATGCTGGAAATATTAAAAATATATATAGAAAGTAATAGGAAATACATTATTATATTTGCCCTGGTACTCCTCCAGATTCAAGTTTATCTGCATATTACACGGTCAGACGTAATTTACGAACAACAAACCCAGTTCTTAAGAAGGTTTAAAAAATCAATAAAATCATATATTTACATTATTACTTATTTTTTAATCGAAAATGCATGAGTAATCTATAAGTATATGTATTTACAAAATTAGTGAACGATCATCATCATGCCCCCCGGAAAAGCATTGGACAAACTTGAGAAAGAAATGGATCGTAGTCACATCAATATCTCATCCAACGGAGCAAGTTATCAAGCTCAGTCGCCTCCCAGAATTTCAACTTGTTGTTGTCGCCGATCAGAAAACTCCAAAGGACTGGACCCTTGAGAACGCCATAATTCTAAGCACTGAAAAACAACTCCAGCTGGGATACAACATTTTACAGCACATTCCTTGGAATGCTTACACACGAAAAATGATCGGCTATCTGTTCGCTATTCAACACGGGGCTGAAATCATATACGATACAGATGACGACAACGTTCCCAACATTTTGACCGATTTCGATAAGTATTTTGCTTTCGGGAATACCACGCGTGGTTTCATTGCTCAGTCCGACGTGGGAGAGTTTGGTTACATCAAAAATCCCTATGTCCATTTCGGCCAGAGGTCAGTTTGGCCGCGAGGTTATCCAGTGGAATTGGTGGGTTCGGCCACCAACAATAATTACACGGTGTGCAGATATACCACACCAGTTATTCAGCAAGGGCTTGTAAATGGAGATCCCGACGTGGATGCTATCTTCCGTCTTACGAGGAAAAAAATGTACAAAAATATTGACATCCAATTCGATGGTTACGCACCACAGGTTGTTTACCCAAAAGGAATTCTGGCACCTTTTAATTCGCAAAATACACTTTTTCATTATGACTCCTTCTGGGCGTTGATGCTCCCAGTTTCCGTCGCTTTTCGGGTCACTGATATATGGAGAGGATATTGGGCACAACCACTGTTGTGGAAAATTGGAAAAAATTTAGCCTTCACTGCAACAAATACGACACAAGTTAGAAACGCGCACAACTATCTCAAGGATTTCGCAGAAGAGAACAAAATATTTCTGGAGGCTGGATCATTAGTAAAATTTTTAGCAGAGTGGAAATGTAGCTCGACAGATTTATACAATTGCATGGTTAGCTTGACTGAAGACATGGTCACTAATAAATTTTGGGACGAACAAGAAGTATCATTAGTTAAAGCATGGATTTTAGACCTGAATTGCGTGGGATACACTCCACCGGTAATTGTTAAGGAAAGTAAAGCAGGCTCATCCCTGTGTGTCAATGATTTCCAAACGTACTCAATATTTAATGGGATTACTAGTAATAGCGATAATAATAATAACGCGACGTCTATAAATGAAAAATACGAACTGAGGAAATTTTGTAATTTCGGATTCGACGTTAATACAACGGTTCCAAAAAATATTTACCCAGAAACCTTGTTAGTGATTACCTTCAATTTTCCACATTATGAGCATATCTGGCTACTTGAATTAATTTATAGACCATATTTTCCCAACATACTGTACTGCGGGGATGGAAAGACATTTAAAACTCGGGAGGATTTAGAAATTTCATTTGTTCATGCTAACGTGACCGACGGTTGGTCTTGGTACGAATGTGCCCTGCGTGCCATTGATATGAATTATGGGATTCGTCAAAACTACATATTCTTATCGGATGACGTGGTATTCGAGTTTTGGAAGACTGAAGAATACGACAAGGATGAGATTTGGGGATACAAAATTGAAGATCAATTATTGGATGTTGCTCTTCTAAACCAGTCTGCTCTCGTACCTCAAGACTTTGCTTGGGAGTGGAACCGTGGAGACCTTGGACGAGTCGGGTGTTTAAAAGCGCTCACAAGAATTGCAAACGAATCAGCACAAAACGAGTTACTTGCTCAATTTGTGAAAAATCGAGGCGAATTTGGACTTCCGGGTACCTTGATGAAGGTCGGAATGTCGGACATTTTTCAGCTGCCAAGAATCAAAGAAGATATATTCTACGAGGCTGGAAGAATTGTGAGAGAATCTGAAATTTTATTGGAGATGGCAGTACCTCTAATCACTACGGGGATTAGTTCGCCCGAGAAATACGTAACAATGCCTGGTATCTGGATTTGGAATGAACAAAGATCCGATCCGTTTGCGCACTTTAAGAAAGTACAAAACGGGGTTATATTTCACCCCATCAAATTTTCGTCGATAGTTGGTAATCAAAAGTTGAGGAAAGAATATTGTGATTTTTATATAAAATATTTGCTGTAGAAAAAAGTATCTAAACAAAAATAATAACTACTATTTTCGTTTAAGTTTTGGTGTGCCATATTTAAATTACTGCATAAGCAATACTCGAAGGGTTCTAACTTTATGAAGCTGACATATTGCTTTATTTTTTATGCATATGATTATATTATACTTCATCAAATTAGATATGTGATTGGGTAATTCCATGTCTAAATGTACAGAACTAAATTATTATTTTTCATCGAATTTGTACAGTTTATAATAAGAATAAAACATTAACCGTGACTATTTCTTTGTCAAGCAATAGTGATTTAATATACATTGGTCAGAATATACATACATTCATATGAAAGACATACAATGGGCATAAGAATTCAGAGATCTCATTTTTGGTCTTGTTCCAAAATAACTTATTTATTCTGCAAATCACGTTTAAATCTGTTTCCCTTTGTTCAGGAAGGGACCGAGTTTATAGGCTGTAGTTCAATAACAGAAATAGCACCATTCGACTCATCCACCATCCCACCACCAGATTTAGCTTGTAAAATTGCCTCACTGACTTGTTGCAGAATCACATTAAACTTTTGTGAGTTAACATTTTTCAAGATCCGTTTTAAAATAAACCAGTCATAAACTGACAAATCTGCTAAAATACGACGCATTTCTTCCGGATTATGAACACATTTTTTTAATGAATTCCGCTCCATAAGATCGACCCGTAAATTCGAATTCCTGATTACTCGAAGCCTGTAGGGACAAGTTTTAAGACTGATTAATAAATATAATTATAGTAGCATGAACTCGTTTTATGTAACCTGTATATGAAGTTGCTAATTCCCAAGAGCAGCATTATGAGAAGTGAGGTCCAGAGAATTAGATAAATTCTTTGATGGGTCACATTTAATGCTAAAAGGCATGGAACTTCATAAACCACATTTGTCATGGGTTTGGGCCAGTGACATGTGAACAAAGTTGGAAATGCGCCTTCCAGTGGATTTCCGGATTCTACACTCTCCAAGTAATTAAGCCCCGCTGAATTTTCCGAGGTAGGTGTAGTTCTAAGGCGATGCAAATATGAGATCCATCTTGGACCTATGGACACAATATATTGGAAAAAATTAGCCATTACCGCACCACCGACAAGAAATATATTTAGTCAAAATATTATACTCACACACCCATCAGAATAAAGCGTCCCCCAAGAAACCACTCCGTCGTAAAGATGGTGATCAACACCATGAGAATATTTAACATTTCGCAGAGCATAAATCCAGAAAAGTAACGTTTGTTAGATGAAGAGTGCAATGTACTCGCGAAGGATTTCCAACCAGGAGGAAGAACTAACTGAGGCGTTTGTGTGGCACATTCTTTAATCGATGAGGTCCCATCCTCATCGCAATTGAGAGATTCCGGATTGAGGGAAACTTGTTCCGTTGAGGTTAAGGCGCAGAGTGAGGCTAATCTTCCTTTCTCCACAAATTTGCTCCAGACGAGTTGCGGAATGTGAAACGTTATGCCTTGCAAGAGGAGGATAAACGGTACCCATTGAAAATAAGGATGATAGTGGGTCACACTAATGTAGCCTTCCCCTCCGCCGAAAAATGAGTCCGACTCTGGATAGCGAAAAGTGCGAAAATTCATGAAAAAATTTGGGACAGAAATTTAAGTATATTTTCATGCATACCATTTCTCGTGGCAAAAGTTCCCTTTGTGTAGCAGAACTGATTCAGTGGTTGAGACTCCAGTTTTGTACCTTCGTCCGATGGTCTAATGCATTTGAGATGGTCAGCAAAGAACTGCTGAATGAAGAGGAGCGTTGATGTGACCAAGAGTGCCGTGGAAGCGTATTTTGTGTGTGTTCGGAATAATAAATTGGTCGTTGAGATTGATTCACGCTTGTGATACGGTAAAATTCCGTCTTGGATTATTTTTAGAAATGCGATTACTTGCGCCATAGTGCAGAGTAAAAAAAAAATAATGATCAAGTAATTTTAATTGTTTAATTATTTAGTAACTTTCACTGTTAATTTTACAGGAATTTATTTTGTACCATTTTCCTTCCTTAGTAAAATATACACCTGTCACCGACTCCCAGCACTAAAATAGTAGTGACTAAAACTATAAAGTAGCTTAAGGTGGGTAGATTGTTCTCAATCATGCCGTTTTATCGATTTATTTTTAATATCACGACACCGACGCTGCATTCCGTTACATATTATAGAACTTCATTCGCGCATGTAGTACTGCCAAATTCCCCGTTCCATGGATTTGTTTTTCACTAAACCAGTACTAAATGGGTACATTTGATGCATTTATTAATTCTAAGTGCACTAATGTATCTAACTCTTAATATGCGATTTTGACGCCCAACTAGCTAGTTAAATATGCTAGCAATATATCAGTTTAAAGTTGTATATAAAACTTAATTAAACCCATCGTAATTCCCAAACCTACAACAGCCGCAAGCCACATGGCAAATAAAATAACAAATGCATATTACTATACTACTGACGACTACAGTGCCTAATAATAAGGTCATCGCTGAGTATATTCTCATATAAACTGTGCATATACCAAGGTATAAATTTGCACACCACAAACATTATCATACAGTCAACCAGCAAGGAATGTCAAATAATGGCACTACTCAGCTTTTAAGTATACAAGTATTTTCAATAAGCCAGAATTCCAATGAATGAGTACGCTTAATCCACTATGTGTGCGGTAATCCACTCAATCCACCAGAGATACATATTTACATACATGTGTAATATATGTACATAATGCATTGAAAGTTTTTAACCCAGAATGAATCGTATTCGTATTAGCGTTACGAAAAACCCGTAACTTCCTCAGATTTTGGCAGAATGAGTTGCAATTTGCTGATCATTTTGAATTCTTCCCAATTTTATTGATATATTTAATTAAAGGGTTGAAAGGTTAATTATAGCTGCAGTATGATAAAAATTGATTTTTAGTAATTTTGGCATAGGTTTGTCATCAACCATGATGAGCATTTTCATTGCTATTTTAATGTAAATATCCAGATGTACATACGTATAGTACTAAACAACGTACGTGTAAGAAAGACGTGCTTGATGCAATAATTTAATAACCGATTTATATTACGTCCTGTCAAATTGTGCAAATGAAAAAACCAAATAAAATTTCGGGTCTTACAAGGGAACCTTAAGTACTGTCACCTCTCGATTTCCTTCCAAATAGTCTTAATCGACAGATAATTTAATGAAACTAAAACTTTGTCATAGAACATGCGGTGCAAAATCACGTTTTCGCGAAATATTTAGCGAGAGCTGCACCAAAACGTGTCATTTTCCCAATGCTTTTAATATAGTTACCAGCCTTCGAACGAACTTTATAGAATATTGATTAATTATAAACCTGTCCGTGTAATTTCAAGCCTGATCACGAGTATGCTATAAGCTGATGCAAATATTTGCCATTTGTTGCAAACTTTTTTGCAAAATTTCGCAATTTTAAATTTGGTTGTTTTTTTAATTTTGCAAAATGTGTAAGTGATAAAATTTATTTTTCATGTTGCAAATATTTGCAATTTTTTTGCAACTTGCAAAAATGAATATGGGAAATAATTTTTAAAATTGCTTAAAATTTAAAAGGATTAGTTATTTTAAGTGTTTTCATGAAAAATTTGAACGATGTAAATTTAATATAAATTTCAATTTTTGCAAATGTTCGTAAATTTTTCGAAATTAGTAAAATGATTTTTAAAAAATCTTGCAAAAAAGAGCAAATTTTGTGAGTATGACAAAATTTGAATTTGCGAAATTTTGCAAAAAAAAGTTTGCAAAAATTGGCAAACATGACATCAGTATTCGTGATCAGCTTTGAAATTAAGCGCACAGGTATGTACGCACAGGTTGAACAATATTCTACATATAAACTTCATGAAAAAGCTGCTGGCTATATTAAAAGCATTGGGAAAATGCCAGGTTTTGGTGCAGCTCTCGCTAAATATTTCGCGAAAATGCGATTTTGCACCGCATGTTCTATGACAAAGTTTTAGTTTCATTAAATTATCTGTCGATTAAGGCTATTTGGAAGGAAATCGAGTGGTGACAGTACTTAAGGTTCCCTTGTTAGCTGATGATGTAATTATTTGCGCACTAATATTATATTCGGCTTGTCTTTTAGAGAGATTGAATTAGCATGACGAATCGAATAAATTACTTACGCCATCCATGCCTACCACAAAGTTACCTCTCAGGATATCTAACCCTCTCCTCAGATACATGCTCTCATACATAACTATGTACATACTTATGTACATATGCATATATACACCACCAACGCATGAAACTACTTGTGTGAATATATGTAGTATTGAATACGCGTGTATTAAATTGTCGTACTTATAATAAAACATATAGTCTTCCATCCAACCTTCACCCATATATTTTTACCTCATCAATCCATTCCATCTGTCATTTTTCTGTTGTTGAATGAAGGGTAAAAAATCCTGTTTACTTTTTTACCATTGTGGTGTCACTGCTTCTCGTATTCTGGATTTGGCTCTTGGATTCTCCTGTACTCCGTTGGAAACTTTATATTTAACGACTCAATCTTCAATGTGGAGTGTCAAAACGGGAATCGTATCAATATCAATATGGAAAATTGTCCAGAAACCTCTACACATTTAGAAACACAAGTGTTCTTTTGTGTAACGAAAAAGTTACGCGGTCCGCACCATGTCGTCATAAACCATGATGTCATCCAATTTTGTAAAGAAAGCCTAAAAGTATTAGAAGAATACCGGATCGCCGACATTTTCGGTATTGATATCATTCCAACAAACAGTTCCTCTCTGTACATCTGCCTCTTTTGTTATCCTCGTCAAAAAAGCACATTTTGTTGTGGGAATTTTTCGACGGCCCAACACCGGCAAAAACTTCGAATCCTCATACAAGTTGGTGGAGAAGGGTGCAGTTTGGCTCATAATGAAAATATTGCATGGGAATGGAAACGTCGAGTTTTGGTAGTTCTTCACAATTTGTATCCCAGAATAGACAGGATTCAGCTCACAAGTAAGAGAAGAATTTTGACCATAATCAACCCAAAGAGTGGAAAGGGAAATGGAATTACGATATTTAAGGTATCTAAAATATAGGTAAAAATTGAACCTTATGATTTTTAAATGATTTTGAATTATTATTATTTTTTGCTAGAAAAATGTGGCTCCAATCCTTCAAAATTGTGGGATTGAGCTGGAGTTGTTCATTACGGAACGTGAAGGTCATGCCAAAGAAAAGATGAAAAGTCTGGATTTTTCAACGGTGAATGGTGTCGTAACCGTTGGTGGCGATGGGATACTTTACGAAGTAATTAACGGATTCATGTCAAGAGAAGATGCAGATGATTGGAGTCATGTAAACAGAATTATGTGTATAATTGTGGAAGCTTGTACGCAAATGTGAATTATGCAAATAATGTGTTCAAATTCATAGATCCCATTTGGAGTAATTTCTAGCGGGTCTGGGAACGGTCTGGCAAGATCTTTAGCCCACGCTTCCGGTGAGTCCTCAGATTACCTACGCGATCCTGTACAATCATCAATGCTGGCTGTTGCGAGAGGAAATACTGTTCCAATTAACCTGGTAACTCGACCTATTTCATGATGATGAGGTTACCATAATACATCTCGCTGACTTATTGAAAATATATTTTGTTATTTAAAAATGGTCACACACAGGTCACAGTTGAAAGTGACGACACCTTAACCTACGCTTTCCTGTCCTATGGAATGGGACTTTTTGGCGATATCGATATTGAAAGTGAACGGCTTCGTTGGATGGGCGAACGAAGATACACACTGTGGGCATTTCATCGAATACTGAATCTTAGAAAATATCCAGTAACTCTGACTTACACGCCGCTGGAAGCTGATTCCGAAGTTAGTGTGGAAAAGGAAGAATTTGTCCTAATTCATAGTTCCTGGACATCCCACATCGGGACGAACGTCAACTTTTCGCCAACTTCAGTGCTTGGAGATGGGGTTTTGCATCTCGTTTATATTACGGAAGCTAGTCGATCACAAATTTTGAATGTATTGTTGTCCTTGGAGCATGGTACGTAATTTTACACCGATAACTACTAAACCAATATTGAGTAAACTTTTTGACACTTGAATATTTATTTCTCTTTACAGGGGCGTTTTTAAATTCGAAATGTGTCAAGTATGTCAAAGTGAAGGAATTTTGCATCGATGCTGGAGACCGTGATATACCTGGAAATCCTACGATTGATGGAGAATTGTGTCATGGAAAAAAGATGCGAATCAAAATATCCGATAAGAAATTGAACGTGTTTTGTCTATAATTTAGCATTTATGTATAAGTAATTAAATTGATCTGGTCTACCGAGATTTTGTACTTAATTGATTGTACGTATGCAATTGAGACTATCTTCCTACTGTATGTACACATTGATATATGGGTAATTTGTAGCATATCTTACTGCAAAAGGAGTTCTGATTCCCTATAATATTTAGTATCCTAATTTTAAGTATTGATATGTAATTAATATTTTAAATACATGAATCCATCCATCCATTATAAAGTTAGCATTATTATTATATTGACAACCTAACATACATATGCATAAAATAAGTGAGTTTGAACAATGAATAAAAATTCTTCAAAAGTACGATGTCAATGTTAAGTTCATTATCTGTGTCTGATAATAAAATACATTCATAACTTTTTATACTGTGGGATTGGGTGAATTATTTTTTTCTGTGACAAGCTTATTCTCCTGCTCAACCTTGATTGATTTATGAGATTACAGTCACATCATTATATGCTGGGCAAGTGACACAAATTGGCATAGTACAAATAATTGGTCAGATTTAAGGTGTGTTTGTGTAATTTTGGCTGTGATTTTCATACTAGTCTTAACAAAATGGTAAGGTGATACTCAAGTTGGGTACACTTGTTTTTCTGTTTTTATTTCGATTAATTTCGAAATTCAGTTGAAAGCATAAAAATAACTGGACACATGTACTCAGGGATATCAATCATTTGCCATGCTGGACTGCTTGGATAATCTTCGACTCAGGATTAACAGGCAATTTCCTTATGAGCCAGTCGTAATCGTTGGTGGAACGGCGATTGCAATTCATTTGTTGCACTATGCATCTCAAAGGGTGCCAAGCGATGGTATACATTTGTACACAGATATGTACGTGAAAAAATATTGCCCAGAACCAAAGTGGATAAAATTCTTTAAACTTTCAGGTTTCTATGCAGGTGGAAAGCGAGCCTTGTTTTCCCTTCTGAAAAAGATTCCTGCTGTCAAGAGAAAAGTGAACGAAGAGGTCGACAAAGCTCAGAAAACTCTGTACAAAGATATTGCAAATTTATACAAGGATAAAAATGGAGAATGCACCTTCATAACTAAACTTTCTTCTGAAGGACGCCCATTAGAAACTGTTCTTGCCAAAGTAGCCGAGTACTTGGAAATGGGTACGTCATTTAATGAGCACGTGTCAATGGCACATGATCTGAAACACATTAAATGTCAAGCATAATAAATGTAGGAAACTACGCCTGGAAAAATGGAACCGTATCAGGTTCCGTTTATCACGGTGGGAGTGAACTCACACAACTAAATTCTGAAGTGTATGCCATGTCAACTTGGACAAATCCACTTCATCCAGGTAAGCCAAATAACACATAAATTGGAATGGATAAATAAAAATGGGAGTCACATGTTCGACAGATGTATTTCCTGGTGTTGTGAAAATGGAGAGTGAAGTCGTTAAAATGGCGGCCAATCTATTTAATGGTGGGCCGAATACGGTCGGAACGGTAATTAGAGTACTTGATTTATTTATTCATTTTTTTTCATGTCACATGCTTATGCATTGGTAAAGCCCATCTTTAAGTAAGCAGATCACATCCGGCGGATCCGAGTCTATCATCTTGGCAATTAAGGCATACAGAGATTACGGTCTCGCCAAGGGTATCATACGCCCAGAAATGGTTGTGCCAGTCACTGCGCACGCTGCCTTTGAGAAAGGAGCTCAACTAATGCAGATTAAAATCAGGAAGGTTCCCATAACTCAAGAAACTTGGACAGTTGATGTGAAATTGATGGAAAGAATGATTAATGGAAATACGGTTATGGTAAATTGCATAAAATGTCCGGATGCATAAAATAAAATACAATCTGCTAATGAAATTTTGCGTATAGCTCGTCGGATCTGCTCCGACGTTTCCGTATGGCTGTGTAGATGACATGAAAGCAATTGGCGCACTCGGTCTAAAATATGATGTTCCTGTGAATAAAAAATATATGCGACCTTATTAAGTATTTAATGCGTCTTGCTAAATGCAAAAAATGTAATTATTATCGTATGTATAGGTTCACACTGATGCTTGCTTAGGGGGGTTCCTTCTGGCTTTTATGCCATATGCGGGATTACCCACTCCTCCATTTGATTTCAAGGTCCATGGTGTCACCAGTATCTCTGCAGATACACATAAAGTAAATACAGTGAAAATATCCCATATTTTATATAATCTGAGTGCATGAGACTAAATTTGTATTTATTTTCTGTATTTTCAAAAGTTTGGGTTTGCTCCGAAGGGTTCGTCTGTCTTGCTGTTTAATCATAAGAAATTTAAACATTGTCAATATTTTGTCACACCCAATTGGCCCGGTGGATTATATGCGTCGCCTACAATTGCTGGCTCACGACCAGGGGGTACGGACTTTTCGGGATTATGAGAATTTAAATTTTCTCATGTGACTTTAAAAAAATATTTATTGTTTTTAGCAATAATTGTTGGATGTTGGGCAACAATGTTGCACTTTGGGCTGAACGGTTACACCGAAACTACAAGGAAAATAGTCACGACTAGAAGATTTATCGAAAACAAGTTGCGTCAAATTACTGGAATTTATGTCGTGGGACGTCCAGCTACAAGCGTAATAGCGTTCGCTTCAAAGGAATTTAACATTTTCCGGTTGATGGATTTTCTTAAAGCGCAAGGTTGGGTGCTAAGCGCTCTTCAATTCCCATCATGGTAATTCCCAAACACTCAATATTTCTATTTGTTTATGTAAATGATGCCGTTTCTTTGATTAAATTTTTTCACATATAGCATCCAGTTTTCGTTGACATTCTGTCAAACAGCTCCAGGCGTAGCTGAAAAGTTCGTAGCGGATGTGCAGCAAGGTGTCGCAGATATATTAAAAAATCCCTTACCTGATGACGAAACTAAGGGAACGGTATGAACAATTTTATGTTATCATATTTCCTAATCTTACAAAAACTATCTCATGGTCTACTGAAAAATGTGACACGAGTACTTTGCTAAATTTAATAGGCCGCAATTTACGGAGCAAGTCAAAAAATTCCCGACCGGACGATTGTCAGTGATGTGGCGGCCATGTTTCTTGACGCCTTATATGACACAACCTTGTAGCGATTACAAATTAATTTGAGGCAATCTAATCAAGAATTTTGAACCAAAAAGAATAAATGTACGTAAAAAAATATAATGAAATAATTGGGCTTGTATTTTATTGCTCACGACTATTTGCATCACATATGTATTTATGTAATACGGACTTAAAACCTGGATTTTGGCATGCAATTTGCAAACTGGTCTGAACACTTAATGAATGAATTTTAATTTAATTTAAATATTTCAACCCCTTGCTTTTCCCAAACGATTTATCGTTCCATTAAGGTTTTTGAAATTCTTTCTCCAAATTTCATTTTGAATCACAAGGCGTTGCACTTTTCCAGCTTCGAGCGAATGTACCAGAGATCGTGTGGCATTCATTTTGTCGCCCATTGCGTCGAGCTCACCTTGCACATGCTGTCCAAGTTCGGAAACCTGAATAAAATCGAGTGAGTAATACAAAAACTGTCTCTTTATTGATGGGGTTTTGTTTACCTTTGTGTCGATCGAGCCTTCAATTGTTTCAATTTGGTGTTTCACATCGGTTGCCCCTTTTTCCACTACGGTCACACGCTCAGCCAGCACATTGTAGTGACCAGTTTCCAAACCCACAATTCGGGAAAGTAATGTTGCATTCAGACGAGCAAGACTGGATTGGAGTGAATCTGAAAGTTTTACATACAGCATAATCTTTGCTTAATAAATATAAGAACTTCAATAAATAAATTCATATGCACCAATTTTGGTTTTGTATTCTTGCAGTTTTTTTTCATAATCGGGATTGATCAAGACAGGTTTTTCAGTGGCTATAGTTATGATAACCGGTGGCGATACTGTGGTTGTAATGTTTGACACTGGATTTCCAGAATTCAGCTGCGTATAGCATGGCACTGCCCACACTAAAATGCTCAAAATAAAAGTTTTGTCCATTTCCTACAAAAAATTGTGTCGTCACGTCATGTACTTTCAGGATGTATATTTAAAATGGTTGCGACTGCCCAAATGACACATATTCAGTTTTCACATAAGAATTTGTTTTCCAATTTTATAGCACGTGTACACAGTACAATGAGTTGAATAAGCACATATTTTGGGAAATGAGAGAGTAAATATTTGTTATCGGATTTTATTCATTAGCCTTCAAAATTCACAATTCACATTTTAAATAATATCTTAGCCATGGATAAAATTGAGTTAAAATCAAAATTACACAGGTTTATCAAAGGTGACATGCAAAGGTTCATGCAGCACGCGGGATGACGAGAAACCATTTCATAATTTTACGTAATTGTCGCTGTTAAGTGATTTAATGTATCATCGTAAAATAGCTCAAGCGAAATAAAGGGTGTTAATAAAGTCCGATCCCATGCATTTTTTGGAGCGTGGTTGTTACAAATTCAGCTGGAACTTTTGAACCAGTGAAGTTATTTATTTCAAATTTTTACCATGGGAGGAACAACTAAACGTGTAAGTCATGAGCATCTTAGAGTTGAGATACAAACATTGCATCAGCAGGGGCTTAAACCTACAGAAATTGTGCAAAAATTGGGCTGCAGCCGCAGAACTGTTTGGAAATGGAAGAATAAAAATTTTGTCCTCGACAAAAAGCGACCAGGGCGACCCAGAAAGGTGTCACCTACCACAAAAAGAATGATTAAAAACAGACTTTGCAAGAAAACCGGTAGTTCATTACGTAATTGAGCAAGGGAGTTAAATGACTCAAAACGCTATAAAGAGAAGAAGAAGCAAATTAACTGTGTGACCGTGCAAAAATTTGTGAAAACTACGAAGTGGGGTCACACAGCTTACAAACTAACCAAAAAAACCTCTCATGTCACAAAAATATATCGATGACCGTCTGAAATTTGAAGAACTCCTTCAGAAAAGTGCCCATTTGAGTGAAAAAAGACTTGGTGAAGAATTGCGCAGTCACATCCTTTGGACTGACGAATCTATTATTGAACTATATCCAAAATTGAACCAACAAAATGTTCGTTACAGGACAGAAAACAAATCGGATGTACCATCAAGAGCGATCCCAAAATTCGGGCTTAAAGTTATGATAGCGGGTGGATTTTGTGCACGTTGCGTGACCCCTCTACATATCATACCAAAAGGCCAATCAGTCAATGCAAAGCATTATATGGAAAAAATATTACCTATCTATTTCGATAGCATGGGGAACAAGGAAATATTTCCGAATGAAAGAAAAATAGTTTTCATGCAGGATGGTGCTATAGCCCATACAGCAAAAGCGAGTTTGAGTCTCATCAAGACGCAAGTTTCAACGGTCTGGAGCAAGGGGGTGTGGGCCGCTAACGGCCCAGATTTGACTCCCCTGAAGAACCAGTGGTCCATACTTAAGGAAAATGTATACAAAGAGCCACAACCCCGGACGAGGGAAGAGCTAGTAAAAAAAAGTTCAAGATGTATGGAATTCGATTTCCAGAGGCACATTGGAAAAATTAGCACAGAGCCTTAAACAAAGAGTTGAGGGCATGGTTAAAGTAAATGGTAACAAGACCAAATACTAAGGTAAATATGTCGAACATTTTTTGTAAGTATCACGGGTAGTTTTTTTTTATACTAGCCTTCACTTTTTTACAGGAAAAATGGGATCGGACTTTATTAACACCCTGTAGATTACATGAAATACGTTCATACTTATTAAACTGTCAATATACATAAGTATAGCCTTCTCCAGCATAACGTGCATCTCTGTTTATGAGAAATACTGAATAATGGTTTAATAATTACCCCATCTATTTAAGATTAAGAAGATTTTCACGAAATTATATCGTAAAATTTAATTAAGCGTTTTTATACAAGCACGATTTGTTGCAAGAATACGTAAGCATGCAAAAAATATGCAGAAAATACTAGTGCCGTGCTACTTTTTTGTTTGATCTCATTCATCATTTTAGTAATTGTATCTCAAATTCAACAAAATATTAAACAATGAAACCAACTTTTCTTGCAATTGCAATTGGCACCTTCATCAACATCATAATTATACAATTTTAGAAGCTAGCTAATCTAAATCTAAACAGAACCAAGTTTTACAACCAGGTCACAAATTGGGTAACCATTAATTTAATCTAGTTAACCCACTAACTGACCATAGTACAAAGGCACCTCGTCACTCCATGCATGCGCTCTAAGATAGCAGAACATGAACATAATACGTATATGCCTATACACAATGTCGCATGTAGTGAGTAATCTGTATAGCATGGAAATAATTTGATCTTGAAATATTGACATTTTCCAAAAGTTTTTGACCTAACATGCAAACGTATCAATCAACAGTGGGATTTGGTACTATTCACTGCCACTACGTACGTACGATATACGTGTCATTTTTTGCAGGCTTTTTTTGACTGACATCCCAAAAGTTCAAATCAACATGCATGCACTTACCTGGTCAAACAATTATTCTCAATCGCAGCACCAAATTCTTGGAATTGAAAAGATTTAACAAAATATTATGCTTTCAAGGCTAATAAGATTAGTATTAATGTAGATTTTGCGTACTTTCCAACTATGCAAACTGGCAGGTGCTTTACGCGACCGCGTGGGCGTCAGCTTCGCGTCACTCGTCTGTCAAGTGCAAAATTAAATTATTAAACTAGTAGTAAACCTGATAGCGTGACTCGAACTAAAATCAAAATTTATTGCCCATTAGCCACGTACCATTTCACAACACGTAAAAGATGACATGAAACCTGTTCTTACTTATGTACCAATAAGTCCTAGACTCATATTATGGCCTGCGCTACGTACACATACGCAATGACACACACAAACAATAGCTTCAAGTTCGCCAAACTGCAATTGCAGCAAAATTCTAAAAAGAATCGTTTTCAACAAACAGCGACGACTTGCACTTTCGTTTCGCACAAACATTTGGGTTGAGGAAGAGATGAAAGCGTCTCGCAATAATATTGGACTCGTTGTATCTGATAATCATTTATTAATCAATAATAAATAATTCGAGATGAGATGAACTATGGAATCGAGTACAGAAAATACCTACGCATGTGGTTATGTATTCTTTGGGGCTAAAATCTAGTTGGGTCTGGTCTGGTCTGCTTCGATCTTTATCTTTCGTTTGTTTTATATACACACAAATAATACAAAAACTAAACCGCATAGGAATGTACATTTTTGTGATTACCTCATAATTTTCGTGTTTCATCTTCGAATCATCACACCTACCCACAAACACAAATAAACCATTAAACAACAAGAAATACTTATGATTGCATGATGCTTCCTTTAATTTAACAGAGTCGTCCAATTCGAAATGTATGTATTTTAATTGTTTATTGTCACGAGGACAAGTTTCTCACTGCTAGAATTCCGTATAATTCTCGAATAGAATAATAACACTATTTGAAATTGTACTGATCGGATTCAATGCCATTTATTAACACTTGCAGCAAGCAGGTTGTTATTTGATTAACAACTTTGTAAATATGTCACAGTAATAATAGGAAATATTGCTAATTGCACGATCCATATATTTGCATAAGACATTGTTGTTACAATTATTCACCCAGGAACACACGACTAATTTTTGATTTGCATTACGTAGAATCATGTTACTGATCATGGCAAATTCGTAACATATTTTATAATTCGGGTCAACATGCTTAATGAATTTTTTTGAATAAGGAAGGGGATACTATTACATCGATTTTAAAAGATGTTTAGAGAAAAAAACCAGGAATACTTTTACAAATCGAAGCGTAATTGGCAGAAAAATTATGTATATGGAGTCGTCATCAGGAATAATCAGTCTCCAACTTACAATATTATACAACTTACTATGTACTTTCATTCTTTTTGAATTTCTTGTGAAATAGAATGCACCTTCCCTAAAAGTAGCCGCAGCAACAGAGCAGGCAATGTGCAGTGTCAGGTAAAGTTCACCTGCCTATTCTATAGTGTTCATCGTACATAATGTGGCAGCGGATATGCATACGATTATTAAGTAAGATACGCATTCGACTACCACCACGTTGACCTAAATTATGATTGTGAAGCAAAAACTAGAAATCAAATATATCTACATCACGATGATGACGGCGACGCCGACTACCGACCACGTTCCTTGTTGCCATCATTGTCAAAGAAATCCAACGTACTTACTTATTTGATCCTATGGGGCTTGGGGGGAACCTGATGAATTGGACCAAGACATCTCAACTCAACTTGGAAAAATATATGGTAATGTGTTTCTCGCTCATCATTCCATCATTGACGTTGAAGGCGTCTGTCCAACACCCTACGGAATTTTTAGACAAATCTAAAAGTGTGTTTTCTAAAAATATATACATTTTCATAAACACGGATTACTTTTAATTTCCGTATAATGTGTTACGCCGACACATTGACCGGTGCCGGTGGTGGAAGTGGGGCTGAGACCCGAATTAGGAATAAGGATGAAATTTCAAGCACTGAAAATAGCACCTCGTCAGAATTTGGAGAATTCGGCTTAAAGAAATTCACCATGCGAGAATTTGTACCATTTCATCTTCCTATGCACGTGTGCAATATATTCTTGTTCCTCTTACCTGGACATGTTTTAGGAATATATGGATTTTATCTCATTTTCACGGGACAGACGCCGTACCCGTGGTGGAATTTGTTATTTTGTAAGTGGTGGTGGTGGTGATGATGGTGATACTCTAGTGAAAAAATATATTTCCGTAACAAAAAAATGAAAATATGAAATTTGATTAATATCAATTGTAGATTGTTAATTTATGAAATCTGAAGTAGTTATTTTCCAAGGTTGTTGTAACGTTGGGTGTTCCACGTTTTAACGTTCTGCATTATTCATTAATTACAGCCTTAATTTACGGTTATGCCGGTGGCATAGGAGTCACTGCTGGGACTCACCGTCTCTGGACGCATCGTTCCTACAAAGCCAACACGCCACTCCAAGTACTTTTGATGCTCATGCAAACCAGTTCCCTTCAGGTGCGTTGGTCATACTTACACACACACATGCAGATGTATGTCGCTTATAGTGTCGTAACTTTGACCATGTCTCCCCAATTAAATTAACTGTAAACATGAAGCAATGTTACCACACACACACACCTCACTTGCACTTCACCTTTTGTTTTTTTATTATTGTTTACGTATTCTTTTCCACACGTACGCTGTATGTGTTTAGTACCCCGTGATCAAGTGGTGTCGTGACCACCGGATCCATCACAAGTACACCGACACCAACGCTGACCCGCACAATGCTGCGAGAGGTTTTTGGTTTTCGCACATGGGTTGGCTTCTCGAGCCCGAGCACCCAGACGTTGCCAAGAAAGAGAAAACCATTCCTATGCAAGATCTCGAAAATAATCCAGTCCTAGAGTTTCAAGTGAGGTGAGTACTCATGCACAAAAAGTTGCACAATAATTATTGATGATGCTGATGATGTGTATAATTATATTCTAATTTTATCAAGGTACTACTTGCCTCTTGCCATTCTGACGGCGTTCGTCATCCCAATTTCAATTACCATGATACTCTTCCCACAGCCGTTCTTCAACATTTTCTGTGGCAATTATACCAGATGGATCATGATGTTGCATACTTCGGCCTGTGTCAATTCTGTGGCCCATTTCTTCGGTTCTCGTCCGTATGATAAGTGAGTATGCATAAGAGTTGAGGGATAACCAAATGAATGACAAGTATTTGGTATCTCATTCATGATTAATAAAATACGCGAATGATGTTTGTCATAATGTCCTACTCGACTTGGGTGAGTTTTAGAACATATTTTAAGCAAAGATACCTCTTTTGTTTGAATAGGGACTCGTCTGCCGTGGACAACAAAATTCTTGCCATTTTCACCGTCGGGGAGGCCTGGCATAATTTTCACCATTGCTTTCCTACAGATTACAAGACCTCAGAGTTGCCCTTTTACAGTTTTAACCTTAGTACGGCATTCATCGACTTTTTTGCTTGGGTGGGATGGGCAACAGATCTTAAAACGGTGAGCAAAGAGGCGATTCAAAGACGGATGGAGAGGACGGGAGATGGTTCCGGTCTTCATCATCATCACCATTATGCAATTGAAGAATCGGAATCTGAGCTATCATCAGACGAAAATCTCGACGAAGACGTGTTCAACAACAACAATGGCGAGGTAAAAGGACAGCTTGGCCTAAAACAGACGCTACTTGTTAAAGCTAATTTTAATAATGTCGCAACAAAGTATTGTTTTCGAGTTTGAAAAGACTGCATCCTCGTTTTTATATACGTATTACAAGTTTATTCCCGTTATTGTTTGATGTTATATTAACGGGATGTGTATATAGTATTTGTGCTTATCGCGGGGGAAATATAATATATTTTTATTTATAGTCAGTATATACATAAGTCGAAGGAACAATGCACGAATTTACACAGCAATAATACTATGAAATGAAACACATAATAAAAAATTCCAGCTTGCTTATTTATTTAACATTTTTGTACATACGAACTTACTAAACCAAATTCGATCAACAAGTAATTTGACTTTATAATCCTAAACTGAATGATGATTGAATAGGCAATGTCGAAGATGGTGGATGAACACGGAGATCAGGAAGGAAATATTATTAAGAACATTGTTTCCATCAACAAGGGCCTTGTCCTGCCGACCAGAGGTTAAAAAGTTGGACTGTATTTCACGTTACATTTAACTTTGAGCTTTTTTAAAAGATTAGACATCAGCTTAGATTGGTTTTACTTTTGATTTGTGGACATTTATCTTAGATATGCTACTTACTAGTTCATTCATTGTTTTCTTATTATTCTAGTACAAACTTTAAATAAAATCGATTTTGAGCTTTAAACCAATAATTGAACCATTATGAATTTTGTCGACGGCTTTAATTGACCCATTCTTTCATCTAAATAAACCTAAAGTTTACGGATAATAATGCGATGCATTGAAACGAGTGGAATGCATGTGAAAGACATGCATATTTGCGAATATACGCGAACATTTTGCATGAACTATGCATTTTTACCCAATTTTACTATGAATAATATGAATCATTAATCATTAAACTTGACAGTACATTTTTATTGATTTTTTTTCTAAAAAAAATAATAAAATAAATTAATAATAACAACACACTTTTACTACAATCTTTAGAATTAATTTCCAGTTTTTGCTATATTTACAGTCAAACATTTTGACCAACATTAATTTTATGACACCAAACCATGTCATTATATTATACTGCAGATTTCAAATTATTTCAACCAGATTTATTATGATTTTCAAAAAATTTCTGTAAAACGAGGAATGACCTAGTGACCCAGAGATGGAGAATACGATCAATATGAGTCAATCCAAGCAAGCACGATTGAGAAATGAGAGGCGAAGCGGGCATTCGATCTTTTTCACCTCTCAAAGTTCACAGCGAAACCGTGGAACTTCTATGTTTTTTTGAACAGTTATTAAAAGAACAATAATTGAATTATTTCCCAGTTCAGACTGTCGAACTGTTATCATCAAATAAAGTACGAAAAATTTCTGCCTTTGAGTAGATTCACAATTAGAAAGCGAATATGTAAATTACAATTTTGTCCTGTAAATTTTCAGTTTGATTTGATTGAGCGATTGCAAATTGCAATTTGCAATGAATCGAAAAAACTTATTGTCTGCGGATTACGTGGAAAATTATCTGAATTCTGTGGAGAATTTGCCTCGTGATGTTCAACAATGCATTAGCAGACTCAGGGAACTGGATTACGCCTATTCCCGTAAGAGTAAGAAATATTAATGTAGACCACCATTTAATTGTGGACGTCGCCAGCTAGGCGATAAATTTGCCGAAAAACGTATTTTATTGGATTATAATTTACTTGCGTATTTTCCAGAGTACATACAGAACCTGAAGACAGTCGTGGATTCTTTGATTATTGATGATGATCATGATGAGAATGACACTAGCGGAGAAGATATGCTGGGACCAACGAAAAACAAGTACACAGAGGCCAGAGAATCAGCTGAACAGCTTGTAAAGAGCATGCACATTGAAGACATTGACGCAGAAAGACTTGCCATTTCTAACAAGATAAAAGTCTTTGTTCAGGAAAGAGGAAACATGTTGGACATGACGAAAGAAATGCTGGATGAATTTATGAACAATGATGATAACCAAGATACTGGTAAAAATATTTCTCAGTTAAAAAGGGTGCAATTTAGATATGACTTTACATTTAAATATTACACGCTCATGTTCAGGCTCAGAAAGCGAGGATGAGGATTGTATCGTAGAATGGGATGGGAACGTCGAAAACGAAAATGGGAGCAAGGGACCCGGTCATTGTTTGGAGTTAAATGACTCAACTCAAGATCAACACTTTACCGATTCCAGCTTTGATGATTCCATTAATGGATCGAAAAATTCAATTCCTAACCTGCCTTCGACATCTGCCAGTGACAACAAGTCTTCCGAGTTAAAAAAATTAACTGTCAGTGGAACTGATCGAAATTTACGAAATTCGACAAAAAATTCAAACGTAAATTATACAGCCATCGCTATCGTAGGACCACTTGGTACCCATGTTACCCATAATACCTCTTCACAACGGGGATTCACATCTACAAAATCGTCTTCGGTGGCAATGCCTACTTCGTCAAATAATAAAACTTGCCAAACTATTAAAAATAAGGAAATTATGAAACATAAAGGTAAAACCACTACTAAGCAGAATAAGCCGGAGGCGAAGCAATCTTCTAAAAAGTCTACGTCAACCAGTGATAGTGAAGGCGACGATAGCAGTGTCGAAGTATATGAGACTGATCCTGATGAACCGAAATACTGTGTGTGTGAGAAGGTCAGTTTGATAACTATGATTATAGACTAAAAATAGCTTTATAGACTAAAAATCTTTGACTTTATTCATTTACACAGACCTCACGTGGAGACATGATTTTATGTGACAATACTATGTGCCCCATCGAGTGGTTTCACTTCGACTGTGTAAAGATCAACCGGAAGCCAAAAGGTAAGTGGTTCTGTCCACGATGTCGCCGGGATGAAAACGCATCTGTGATGAAAGATCGTTCGGTTTTGCTTAAAGAGCTGGACGAATATAATAGTATGAAAGAACAAGAGAATGCTGAAGATTTGTAATACGTTTTTGTTAGCTTTGCATTTTGTGTTACAATTCACTACTTTATGGTTATGGTTTAGTTAATATTCTACACAATATTCAGTATTCAATTCGGTCCAATATTTTATCGACAATTTGCATCGATATTTGATATAATTACCTGTTTTCAAAATTAAAGCATCAAATATAAAATCCTAGATAAAAATTAACATCAAAATGCTTGCAGCATGAGAAGTTTTGTTGTTCTACAGTTAATATGACAAATCTGTTTTAGTTAATTCTAACTTTATTATAGATGATTCGTCTTTGTCCAGTCGTTCGTTACGCCTTGTGAGTAATAAAAAATTGTTTTGTCTTTGTCAAAGATCCAAGTCACTTTTCCGAAAATATGCCCTGGATGTGAAACAAGTCTTTCCATATTGACATTCGTACATATGTATGCATACACGCTAAATTTCTGAGCTGTATTTAGAACTTTGTGGGTGTGGAAACAGGTCTTTCTTTTTTTGCTTTTCTCAGTTTTCTCAGTAAGTTCCCTTTTCATTTACTGTCGCCGATTACCTTAATTAGGGCTGAATACTAACCAACATAGTGGTCAAACTTTTAATCACAATAAAGTAAAAAGTATTGAGCATATTATAGCTGAGTGCCTTACAAAGACCAACTCTAATTCCGAAAGGTCTCAACGACTTTAAAGTTTTATTAACTAGTTTTGAATTTGGACATTTACTGAGTTCAACAAGTAACTTTTTCGCATCCTTTGCAATTTTGCCAGATACATGAATAAAAAGAAAGGGTAACAACATACACCAAATTAGTAACTGGACTACAAATATAATTTCATGGATGACAAGATGATGTCTAAAACGAATCAATGCAACTGCCGAATTAACACCGAACAATGCAAGAATTGCAAGCCTAGAAGGAAGTGAGGTCCACAAATAACACTCCAAATGCATAGAATTTAGCAGCGTAAGGAAGTTAAAATATGAGACTCGTTTTTGTACTTGGTCCACAGATCTTCTGTAATAATTGTACATACATATATGTACTTACATTACATAAACTAAAATTTGCAATATGTATATGATTTTAACAAACCTCAACAACGAAAGCGTGGTCACTTCGAACGCCACAGCGAATAGAAACCACGCTGTCTCCAGTATAAAAGCAATCACCCCGATTACCTTTGAGAATATCTCGATGGCCAGAAAAAACAGAAATGCTAATAAACACTCAGTATTTGGGTACGAGCTGTAAATGTAGTAAATTGAAGTCGGTTTCGCAATAAAGTTTAAGGTTAGTAAAAATATGAACGATAATGCACCGAAGGAGTTCAACTTGATAATCCAAATAGCAATTTTCTCTTCTTTTAGTCGATTGCGTGTTCCTTTGATTCTCAAACCTGATACCAAAAGAGAATGCCAACATCACATATGATACATATGATATATCACATATATATTATATAAATTTTTAACAAAATTACCGTCAAATATTTTATCCAAAATGGCCAACTCTTTAAAAAATCTTGCCATTTCGTTTCTTCGGAGTGCTGCTTGTGCCAACCCCTCGTTGCATGACATGTGTCCAAAAATCATCAACATGCACCAAAACCCGTCCATTACCATGACCGAAATTCTTCCAGTCTGATAAAACTGAATGAATCCGATCAACGTATGAATATTATAAAGCACAACATAAGTCGACAAACATTTAATAAAAACACGACGAGCGAGAGAACTATTCACAATCAGAGATTTTTTCGACGCGTCCCATGAAAATAAAAATCCTTTCGTGCCTTCTAAAAAACGTATTACTACACAAAACTCTTGCAGTACACGAACACTTAACATTTTCAAATAGCAGCTTGTTTATTTGACCGGTTAAAGAGTACTTTTATTTGACACGACTCTCTCCAGCAGGTATCATTTTGGAGAAGTAAATGACTTGTCAGATTCAGATAATATAGACTTTTGACATTTAGCTTACTTTAGTTGCAGGCGTTTGTACACGTAATTCCAGCTTTGTGTTAAATATTCAGAATTTCCAAACTATCAATGTGTAGTATGGTTTTGGAGCCACAATACATATTTACCTGGCAGGAAAATCGATTAAATTGCTTTTAATTAGTGCAAATAATGGGGAGAAAGTCTGACACATAAGTCAATTGCGTGAGCATTGTGACCAATCTTATTGTTGCATATTAATTGAATACGGGATCAATAGTATAATACTTTAATAAGTGGGTATAAAGTGTAAAAAGAGTTAATTACAAATATTTCAGTCTTTAAATTAATTAATCGACTTGATATTGTAAAAAATATATATACCGCAAAATCACAACTACGAGAAATTAGTAAAAAAAAAATACATGAACTATGAACTTTTATTTTAAACTGCCACTGAAATTTTTTTAGCTAGAATTTTGCATTTTGTGATTATTTTTGTTCGTATCATCGACAATCCATGCAAAAACATGCAAAAAATCCATTGTTCAAACTCATAGGAAAGCTAAATCATGAGCCAGTTCTCGCTGAGGGAGATACGAGTGAACATGCTTTATTGGTGCTGATTCAGTTTGGCAAGGATTGTTCTCGAAGTTAGGAAATTTTGCCGGTCGACAACTCTCGAGTTTAATATTCTGTTTAAATTTTTAGAGGTGTTATTTCTTAAGCAAACGATATCAAGATGATGGGAGCACAGCAGCCGATCATTGTTCTTAGTAAGTTAATTGTACAATACAGTTATTATTTCTTGCTAATTTCTAAGTGTTTTTAATTCCACAAATAAACTAATCATGAAATTCACTTACCTTTACAGACCAGAACGTGAAGCGAGAACAAGGGCGAAAGGTCCAAATTGATAATATCAATGCTGGAAAGGTAATAAATGAATAGTTAATTTACCTCCTAAAGAAAGCTGAACTTAATTAATTTCTACATTGGTACTCCGTCAAATAGCGCATCGCTGAAGTCGTCCGCACCTGTCTAGGACCTCGTGCTATGCTCAAGATGCTGATGGACCCCATGGGCGGAATATGTCTCACAAATGATGGCAACGCTATTCTTCGCGAGATAACCGTGCAACATCCGGCTGCAAAATCATTGATTGAAATTGCGCGAACACAGGATGAAGAAGTCAGTTAACAAGAATGATACAATTATATTAAACTATTCCCGACATTCTGATTCATGTAACTAAATAAGTAACTAAATAAAAACTTTGTATAGGTTGGCGATGGGACTACGTCTGTCATCATCCTCGCTGGCGAAACTCTCGCCATCGCTCAGCCTTTTCTCTCCCAAAATCTCCATCCAACCGTTATTATCCGCGCTTACCGCTCCGCTCTGGAAGATATGATTAATGTTCTACAAGACACCATAGCCATTACAATCGACTTAAACAATGAAGTCCAAGTCCGTGAAGTTATCAAAGCGTGTATTGGGACAAAATTCATGTCTCAATGGTCCGACTTGGCGGTTAATATCGCAGATGCTGCCGTGAAAACCGTGTACATCAAAGAAAGCGGAAGAAAAGAGATTGACATTAAGCGATATGCCAAGGTGGAGAAAATTCCGGGTGGAAGGATTGAAGATTCTTATGTTCTAAAAGGAATCATGCTGAATAAAGATGTGACTCATCAGAAGATGAAAAGGAAGATTGAGAAACCCAGAATATTGTTGTTGGATTGTTCACTCGAGTATAAAAAAGGCGAGAGCATGACCAATGTGGAGATGATGAAGGAGGAGGATTTTACCAAAATGTTACAGCAAGAGGAAGAATTTGTAGGGAAAATGTGCGAGGAGATTGCGTCTGTGAAGCCAGACTTGGTCATTACTGAGAAGGGGGTGTCCGATTTGGCCCAACACTTTTTGGTTAAGGTAGACACCTATTGAATTTATATAACTTTTGTGATATTATTCAATTTGGTCATCTTTATTTAAAAAATTTTATGAATGAATTTATTCTAAACAGGCTGGAATAACTGTTATTCGCCGGGTTAAGAAATCCGATAACAATCGAATCGCTCGTGCAACCGGAAGTACGATTGTAAATCGTACAGATGAGTTGAGAGAGGAAGACATTGGGACTAAATGTGGCTTGTTTGAAGTTAAGAAGATTGGAGACGAGTATTTCACCTTCTTGTCTGAATGTGAGGATCCGAAAGCGTGTACGATTGTGTTGAGAGGTGCAAGCAGAGATATTTTGAAGGAGGTATACAAGAAGATAGACTCATTAAATATAACTCAACCTATCATAATTACTAGCTCTCTCATAAGTACAATTTTACTATTTTGTATAGGTTGAACGAAATCTCCAAGACGCAATGTCCGTCGCACGTAACATCTACCTCAACCCCAAGGTCGTTGGAGGGGGAGGAGCTGTCGAGATGGTTAGTAAAATTAATTTGAATAACACTAACAGTACAAGGACACGCAATTTTATTAAATTGAAAACAAAATGGTTTTCTCTTCCATTTTTATTCGATTATGTCTTCTAATTTAAGTTTTTTGTAGGCCGTGTCTCACATCCTGACCGAAAAATCCAAAAGCATGACCGGTGTGGAACAATGGCCATACCGAGCCGTAGTCCAAGCTCTCGAAGTAATTCCAAGAACTTTGGCACAAAACTGTGGTGCGAATGTGATTCGGACCCTGACTACGTTGAGGGCTAAACACGCTGCTGGAGGATTGACTTGGGGGATTAACGGAGAGAGCGGTGATATTGTGGACATGAACGAGTTGAAAATCTGGGAGCCTTTGGAGGTCAAGTTGCAAGTTTACAAGACAGCCGTGGAGACGGGAATCCTCCTCTTGAGGATTGACGACGTCGTGAGTGGGAGCAAAAAGAAGGATAAAGAAACAGGTGGTGGAGCCCCTCAGGCTAGTGAGCAAGCCATGGAATGATCGAGGGCTTAATTTAGGATTGCTAATTTTTTTCTACTTACCTGTTTTCCAATTATTCATAAATAATGCAAATTAATTCATAACTTGATAATTTCTTTACTCTGTTGCAACCACCCGGTTTATACTTGAAGTGAGTTAGTTATGTGCTGTGCGAATGGAGCTAAACTCACGAGAAACCCTAGTCTCAGCACAAGGTACTTCAGGAGGCCGTAGGTTTAAGCTCCACCCGCACAGTACATAACTCGTTCACTTTATGTATAGTATTTAATTAAGGGTAGTAATGTGTATTACGTAATATAATCTCACCACACCATACAGTGTATTGTATTTGTACGATGCATTTTCTACAGCATAATAAATCTGGATTCAATTAACACATTACATTATTGGTTGTTTGTAATTATATTTGGTCTCGATTCGAGACTCTCGAATCTCGAAAAAGGTTTGTCAATGACAAATTGTCATTATTGAAATGCATATTATTATGATTTGCATTTGCATGTTTGGGTCTTAAAAAAATGCGAACGAAAAGTAAACTGAGGATGAGTGCCGGCTAAACAAAGAACAAAACCGGCATTTCACATTTGCATATCTTCATTTGCTTCATTTGGTTGAGCAGAGCAGAGGCAGGCTACAAACACACTCATCAGCGTGCACTCTGTCAGAAGTCAGGCAACTGCCAGGGAAGAACGAAGGAGCTCGTCGTGTGTCGTGGTTTTTATCAGAAAAACTGCTTCGACTTATTCAGAAATTATATAATTTTCATAATATTTCTTGCGTAGTTAATTGTTAATCACAAATTCTAAAAGTTTCCATTAGTCAAATTTGGTAATACAACTATACAACTTAAAAAAATTTTTAAGATCGAAATTAGTTTGGCCAATAAGTATTTAACTTGGTGTCTCTTTTTATTTTCCAATTCTAACTAAATCATCTGATTAAAATAAATCTGATATGAAGCTTGACCTACCTAACATATACCATTATTATTATTGTCATATGCAGATTACAAATTTCTTCGCCGATCGAATATTAATCCGTTTTCCCAGTCCAAATGGAGATTTCAAACATGGAGTCGGTTACTGATGCTCTGACTCTACCATCTCCTGCAAGCGTTATTTTGACAATTTATACTAGTTACATAACATTCCATGGCCTAGATTACTCTAATTATCAAATGTATCTACTAGGAGGTGATTTCATATTTTCGGGAATTTAGACCACTTGAATGCAAATGTTGCGGCCAGTTGGTTGGATTTCAGCATCGGGTCACTGGAGTTGTTGTCTGCACTGGAGGTTGCAAGGTGAATAAAAGAGCGTCCTTGAAAATTGCATCAAAACCAAGGTAAATTAAAGCCGCAATTCCGTAAGCTTATATTTGTTAAAATTATTTTGATGTCATTTAACAGGTCTTCGATTGCAAGGATCACTGATAATAAGGACGAAAATGAACTGAACGATCCCCTTCCTGCCGTGAAAAATGCAAATTTGGATATTAAATTGGATGCTAAATCGTACAATGTAGATGTCGTGGACAAAAAACCTACTGGGGTGGTAGAAGATGCTCGGACCAAACTGACGGATAACATTTTGAATATTTCGAAATCCAGTTTGAAGGTATCAATTGATGCATCAAAACTCTGGGATCCAATGATGATCAATCCATTTAAAGCTACTAAATGTGTTGATCTTAAGGAAAAGACTGAAACAATTGAGATCGCAGAAGAGGTCAAGAATGCAAAACAACTAATTACTGAATCGAAACACTCTGAAATTTCGCCACAAACTGAATTAATTGTACAGAAACAACAAGAGTTTACACCCTCTTCTGGCCCCGCTCAAAAGCGGTTCATGTGGCAATCTTGCAAATTCTCAGAGAACTTAACTGACAGTGCCATGGTTAAAATCTACTATGTTTGGAATGCCAATTTGATCCAAATTGTTGCTGAAAAAGATGAAAAGAATCTGAATGAATATATGGATAAGATCTATTCTGTAAAGCCCGTACCATTGGCTGAACCTCCAGTGGTTGACCAAATGGTGTTGGGGAATTATGGCGACGGGCAATTTTACAGAGGACGCGTTCTCAAAGTCGTGGGAGAGCTGTTTCATGTATTCTTTGTGGACTACGGAGACACTCGCGACATTCCTTACACAGACATGTACAATGTAGATGAATTTCTTATGAAGGTATGATTTATTTACTTTAGTTTTTAATTATTATAATAACAAAGTTATTGTTCCCAATCAAAGTATAGATTCCTTTCACTTTGTCTTGTATAATAGATTATACTTTAATTTTTATTTAGGACCCGATCTACAGTGCTCGCGTCATGCTTGACGCTACTCCCACATTGACTTTTCACATCAAACCTGACAAAGACTTGGAGAAAGCGTTATTCAGTCCATTGCAGTTGCAAATGGTATGAACCTAACTTAGATCTCTTTTACATTTTATCAAGTTTATTTGTGTTCATATTGAAACAACTCAAGCTTGTGTCATGTTTTTTTTAGGTTGACAAGATTAATTTGAATGCGCCTGATCCTTACAAAGTTGTTCTGTGGATGTCAGAATCTGAGAATTTGAACGATCTCGCTGGTGCTTTCATTCAGGAACACGATGCAAAATAAAGTCACGGCCAATGTCTACCAATTGTTTTTTTAGTCAAGTCTGAGTACACAATATTTTCAAATGTTAGTTTCTTGATTTTTTCTTATATTTAATATTATATGACTATTATTATTATTATCATCCTGCACATTTGCAGTGATGTGATTTGCTTTATAGCAACATTTATTCTTGGATTTTGGTAGTAATTTTTGTTAGATTTGATCCATTAATTTCAAAATAAGAAAAACATTGCTGTTTTTTATAGTTATTCTCTCATCTATTGACAATAAATGCAAACATGAAATAATTGCAACAATATAACTGAATCGATACCCTGCTTAATTATTATGCGTTCAATTATCATCATATAAAGTAACGCATGCATACGTAAAGACACACGTGTTTTAAGTACGAGCTGTTATTATTTATTAGCAATTTGTGATGACCTTTCGTTGATTAGTTTAGCATTATTGTTCGATTTCTAAACCATGTACAATACAATTTACCCAACCAGTGCTGGTATTATAAAAAAACTGCATCAAGTCAGTTCATGAGATAGCATATACTTATTTAAATGTAGACTTCACGTATTAGAGTGGTCTGATAAGGCTCGACTTTCTCTAGAGAAAAAGTCGTGGGAGGCAAAGTGAGACTAGAAGATGGATAAACTTACTCAACTCATCAAACCAACCACTGGAGTCTCAAGTTGAGGTGAGTTGAGACTACATACATACATGATTGTAGGTGATTTACTAACTTGAAACTGAGGCACACAGTTAGAGTAATTTTTGATTTATTTTGTACACACATGGACAATCAAAGGATTAATAAAAATAATTAGATAATCTATTTATAAATACTAATTTTTCATTGGATACATACATAAATATTTAAGTTGATCCTGAACTGAAATATTTAACTTGATCTAATTAAATACCTCCCAAGCTGCCAACCTCTCCCTCTCCTGCTCGTCATTAAATTCTGGTATGCTTAACAATAAAGTCATCGTATAAGCAACAATCTGCTGATAAAATTTTAATTTGATAGATTTCTTTACATAATATAGCCTGCAATACTTTAGCCTTGCACTGAATTGAATCGGTTGAAGAGCTTTCAGCCTCTTTTGCAGATGATGCATCCTAAATCTTTGGACTCCAACTGAATTTGCCCAATTTAGCCAAGTCCTCAACATTGCTTCGCAATTATCTCTTACTCCAACGGTTATTGATAAAATTAGCATCAAGCAAACCACAACCAGAATGTTCACACTTGGAAAATATATATAAAACCAAAGTGGAAAAATGCTATACATTCGTATCGTGACAAAGGTGAACATTACCAGGGCAAGCATAGACGCACCCATTACCCAACCAATCAAGGATTCCAAAAGTGGTCTCATTGCTGCGAAAGCAATCACCAGTGCTGAATATTCGCCAACTAGGCGATTGTTGAACCAGCCACTGTGCTGTTTCTGGTAACAAAGTATGACCGAATTCAACATCTTTCCAACCATGATGAGCAGAATTAGTACCAGCGGAGTTATTCGACATACTTCAAAACATGCAGCAGCCTGTCCATACATGGAACACATCCTTGCCAAGAAATCCAAAGCAAACGGTAATTTCATCATGTCAACAATGTAAATTGATGCTCCCAGTTTAAAAATGACCATGGCCGGAAAACATAGGAAAGGGTAGAAGGCGAATTGATAGACAATTCCTGTCATGCCGGTCCAAAAGATGTTACCTTCTTTCACAGTTGTTTCGGTTAGGCGTGTTTTCGCACCTGCATTTATATCCATTACATAAATAGTTATACATGAATTAGTTACATTTGAATTACAGTGTGCATAGATATTTATGAACGATATACTGAAAGTCACCTTTATTCGTGCTTCTTAAAATGGTCAAAAGCGCGTTCCATCCTACTACAAATTGCTCCCCATGCGTTATTAGGGCCACTGAAAGGGCAACAGCAAACGAGGTTAGTAGTAAAAGAATAATGTGAAATATCAGGACTGGCAGTGGACTAAATTCTAATTGTCCTTTTAATTGCGATACAAGAAGAAAGGTTGTAAATAGGATCCCACTGACGCCAACGCATGTTATCATGTGAAAACACCACAGAAAAATGGTCTTAAGATTTTTGTTATATTTCCACTTGACATTTTTGACATCCCATTCTATGGCTAGGTGTGTGTAGCGTTGCATAATAGTAGCAAACTTGTTAAAAACTGATATGATTTCAGAAATTTCAGACATGACGCAAGTTGGTCCAGTATTTGTGATATCAATGTAATCTATGCAAAAATTAATTTCCTACTTTCGCACTGACTAACAATTATTTAGCCCAAAGACGATTGAAAGTTTTCTTAAATATCCTCAATTCTTATATAAATATGTTTATCAAAATAAAAACATTAAACTTGTGATAACACTCCTGGCTTGTTGAATGTGTATCGGAAAGAATAATATGTATGTTCTAGCCTCTTAAATGAACTTTTAGTAAGGATCATCGTTTTTATTTGTAATAGTACGAGTAATATTATAACCTTGAGTTAAAATGTTTTTAATTGGATCAATAATGGTTAGTTTTTCAATATATTGATAGATACATATGAACATATGTATATGTACCGACAATAGATAAAAAACAGTTCGATGCCAATTAAAAGGAGCACATAAAAGTTTTTATTATGAGGAATATTTAAGTACATGTATACCATACGTTGCTGTTCCTTCATGCATAATGTAAAAACCAAGCTATCACCTACCCGGAGTATAGTGTTTTTACGAATATTTAATTGTGCCTTGCTCGTTGGAATTAAAGAAAGTGACTGAGTGAATATACGATTATTTTATCTACTTAAACTGGATTTTATTTTCAACAAATTACTAATTTGTCAACACAATTCAGAGCTCTGCACTAACACGAGTTGATTGGTGACTACCAGGGTCCTTTGACTGTTTCCTTGGAGGATTTCTAGACAGAAATCCTCCCAGACTGTCTAGAAATCCTCCAAGGAAACAGTCAAAGGACCCTGGTGACTACTATAACGACAAATTAATCGTGGACATCAATTACAAAGAATTAACAATTCTTACTCTTGATTTCCTACCACGACAACTAAATCCAAAATGTCTGACTCTGACAACGACTAAAACTCGACTGTGTAGATTTCTTCTACCTACTTACTTACTACGACTTATAACAAAGGACGACGCGCACTCAAAATCCCACCCTGACGTCACCATGGCAACCACCACCACGTCACGGGGTAATCTTAGACGCATATTCAACAATTTACCAAAATACATAAAACAATTTCATAAATACATCATTTTACATTTAACATACTCCCACCTTCTTTTGTGAGAGCAAAAGAACTATTCTAAAAACAACTATGCAATTATCAAATTCAAATAAATTATACAAATAAATTACAAATTCCACTTCGGATACCGCACTGGTTTCTTCGAGATCCTATCTTGATCCTTACCACCAACTTCCAGCTCCTTCTGGACTTGCTTCTTCTTTTGACATCTTCTTGGAGTCGGTCGCTCCCACCATTCGGCATTCTTCTCCACCACTTTCTGCACCTTCATCTTCGGCTTAATAGAGGCTGGACGACTGAATCCGATGGGGTTACAAGCTTCCATCTTCCCGCACGACGGCTTGTTCTTGTACTTGTCACTAATTAGACCAAGTACCTTTGTTGTCGAGAGTAATCTTGACTTCTTTGAAGTGAAGCTGGTGTCGTTTCCCAATCCGCACCCCCTAATGGCAGGCTGGCCGATTCTGGGAACCCCCACAACACTCCGCTCGCACCGTCTCAACTCGTCGACCTTTAATAAACGTTTTACACGTTTATCTTGTGAGATCTTGACTCGTTCATGCTCTTCTTGAGTTTTCTTCTCTACAGAGCTCTTGCTTGAACTAATAACGACACCGGCGTAATGTAACTTGCTATTGTTGCCACCTGGAACCACTCCGCTGATAGTCCATCCAAACACGGATTCCACGGCGATTAATTCACAACTAAGTTTGACTATTCTTCCGGTCATCAAACTTCCCCACAGATCACTTCCTATCAATATGTCGACTTCCGACGCTGAAGTGTCTGTCGTGTGGATCTTCTTCCGAGCCAACTCTTTACACCAAGGGCCAGGTGGGATTGCTGGGCATGATCCACAAATAAACTCCTCGTTGACTAACTGGAGATTCATCCTCGCGCAATCCTTCCTATCGATACCGCTGGCATTGACCCGATAACAATTCTTTTCTTCGGTGCTGGTCACATGTCCACCGAACAAACTATTCTGAAGAGTCAACTTGTCCACTACTTGACATTTCAATTCCTGGGCTGTCTTCGTCCTTATGTATGACCTCTGACTTCCCTCGTCGAAAAGTAGCCGGACTTCCTTCTTGACTCCACTTGCTCCGCTCACCTTGACACGAAGCGTCTTCATCAGGACAACTTTGCTTGGGCATCCCTGACTGACGTTGGTGGTGGTTTCTTCCACCGAACTACTACTTGATTCATCTTCATTTATTGACGTCACTTCCTCATCTCGGACCTGACCAGGACACATCACAGAGTAGTGTTTCCATCCACAAGTTTGGCAACTGACCTCCTTGGTACAGTCATTTGCATAATGTCCTCTTCCTAGGCAGATGAAGCATCCCCGGTTCTCCTTCACCAGGATCTTCTTCTCCTCGAGAGGTAATGTCTGAGCCTTATAGCACTTCTGACTTTTGTGATTCGACTTTCCACAAAAAACGCATCGCTGCTCAGCTTGATGACTTGAATAGAGACCGGCAGCAGTGGGGAAATCTTCACATTCACTCTCTGCATACACGTTTACTTTCTCTCTATTCTTGACTGGACTTTGCCTGAAGGTTGACAGCACAAATTTCCTTTCTTTGGCATTCTGTGCCTCCAGCCGCAAAAACTCCATCAAATTTTCTAAATTGGTAGCAGAAGTCAAATCTGATTTCTTCTCGCGTACCCTCAAATTACTATTCTGCCATCTGAGTAACACTTGCTGTGGCAGACTGGATTCCACTAATGGATAAATGAGTTCACTTGGATCACTAACTTTCCCCAACGACTCGAGACTCTTCAAATGACCTTCCAACTGGTCATGCAATTCTTCCACGTCGGCATCTTCTCTTGAATCCGCGGCGCTATTGATAGCCAGGCCCAACAATTCTCTAATATAAATTTGGCGTAAAATCTTCTCATCACCAAACCGGGACTTCAGCTTCTCAACCACCAAAGGATAATTCTGATCCGACCGTGGATAAATCTTGATCACTTTTTCTGCTTCTGATCCGGGGACGATGGCTTGAATCAAATACTGAAACTTCACGTTTACTTGCAATTCATCATCTTCGTGAATCTGACGGTATTGAGCCCACCACCCCAACCAATTCTTCCAACTCCCATCGAATTTCTGTAGCTCGATCTTGGGCAGTTTGAAGTTTCTATTCTTTTTAACTCGCTCCCCATTCACGGTGACGTAACTACTACTTGCACTCGGACTTGGTGGACGGATTTCTGCATTAAGAATCTTCTCAATATCCATGATAGCAACTCTAATTCTATCTGAATATTCTTCATTCATTGCACTCTCCTCCCCATAAGACTCCGCCGTGCAATTGTCATCCAACATCTGGGTAAGCACTTTTTCATCATGTTCTCTGATCGACGTCTGCAGGGATTCCAACTTCCTTAACTTGATGGTAAGTTCTCTCGAGTCCTTTGGATCTTTCGCCAACTCAGCAACTACACCATCCACCATCTTGGTAATGGAAGCTCGAACTGGAGCCCTCGCCTTCTTCAGTCGATCCATGATGTTATCTCAGATTCAACAAACAAAATCAATTAGAACAATACACGCTTATTAACTCAATCAGCAACAACGCCGACCTCTATGGCTCCCGAACGCTCAGGATGGGGCCCTCAACGAGGCAAGACAGTAATTGATTAATAGACGAATAAAGTTGAAGTTTCTCTCGGGTCGGACACGCCGATGTCAATCTGGTCGGTCACTCCGGACCCACGGACTACTTCACAGCAACAATAAAAACTTGAAAGGTATCACCTGAACAGCCCCCGAATACTCAGGGTCGGGTCCTCAATGAGGCAAGGCTTGATGTTGTCATCTCCTTCGAATCTGCTCCTCGTCCAGACAGCAACAATCGCCCAGGATTTCCACGGAACACTTTTTGCACGTACACTAATTCAATCTGCTCCTCTTCCAGACAGCAACAATAGCACAGGATTTCCACGGAACAGTCTTTTGCACGTACAACTAATTCACTCAAAAGGTCACAACTCACTGACCACTATAACTAGTCAACTTTCAACTAAAACTGACCCAACGAGCAATCACGTCGAGGTCACCAATAATGTAAAAACCAAGCTATCACCTACCCGGAGTATAGTGTTTTTACGAATATTTAATTGTGCCTTGCTCGTTGGAATTAAAGAAAGTGACTGAGTGAATATACGATTATTTTATCTACTTAAACTGGATTTTATTTTCAACAAATTACTAATTTGTCAACACAATTCAGAGCTCTGCACTAACACGAGTTGATTGGTGACTACTATAACGACAAATTAATCGTGGACATCAATTACAAAGAATTAACAATTCTTACTCTTGATTTCCTACCACGACGACTAAATCCAAAATGTCTGACTCTGACAACGACTAAAACTCGACTGTGTAGATTTCTTCTACCTACTTACTACGACTTATAACCATTAACCATTCACCATGGCAACCACCACCACGTCACGGGGTAATCTTAGACGCATATTCAACAATTTACCAAAATACATAAAACAATTTCATAAATACATCATTTTACATTTAACACATAATTTGTTTTATAAGCGTCTTTAGGTTTAATAAACTGTCGACGTCAAAGTATAACTTTTCTACTGAAAAATTATTTGACAAACTGTTCAATTCAAACAATATGTATACATTTTAGTTTTATTTGCCTTAAGAAATAGCCATAAGTACAAACATAATTTAGAATAATGAGATTATCCTGAATGGACAATTAAGCTTATACATACTCTACCGGTTCATCATGTCTAGTATATGCCTATCTGATCTAATACATCCCACTAAAAAATTTTAAAAGAGCTTGACCGTGATAATACATATATTTTATACATATGTGTACATACAGATACATATATGAATACTGTAATTGCATGTTAACGAATTTGATTAAAATACAAATTAAAACATCGGGCAGCCTACTTCAAATAATTAATTGTAACCTTTGAGAAAATACAATTTAATAAAGAAATTTTGTAGCTGATTACAGTCAAGTCTATATTTCATACATTCTTCATCGATCAATTCTTTTACTTAAAAATTAAGGATCTCCTTTCCTTTGAAAATTAATAGTTTTAGTATGGCATTAAAAGTTCGCCATTTTTCATCATCAATATTACTTTGCTAATTAACGATAGTAGTAAATTACTCGGCAAATATTTATATTGATTAATCCTAATTTAGCCAAGAAGTTACAATAATACACACATTAATAGCACAATAATACAGGCAGTTTACAAAGGGTGTGTCCGTTCAATTCATGATACTCGAGTTCATCTTCAATATGCACACATTATTCACTATAATTTGTCTAATTCGCTAATTTTAACCTTACGCATTTATGTATAGTTTTTATTACTGCGTTGCATATAATACTATTTCTTTCTCAAACTAAAATACACATGTACATAGATTCCATTGTAATAAAATATTTCAAGATTTAAAATGGTCTATATCTTAATTTTCCTAAGCCTCATATTTGGCTGTGTCATTTTTCTGCCACCTTCATCCCCCTCACCCACAGAAGGTCTCCTCATAAACTCCCTTCTTGCCCAGTACAACAAACTAACGCGTCCAATCCCATCAGAGAGCATCGTTCTCTCCGTCAAGATGGGAATGGCTCTTCTCCAGATAATCGACGTGAATGAAAAACAGCAAATAATCACCATCAACACTTGGCTGCGCCTTGTTTGGCATGATGTAAATCTCGTGTGGAATGCTTCCGAGCACGATAATATTTCCATAGTTCGAATTCCTTCCAACCTGATCTGGATGCCAGACATTCTCCTCTACAACATGGCGGACGAAGAGTTGTTTCAATCCATGCATCATCGTGGGAGCTTTATAAATGCGTACATCAAAAACGACGGGACCGTGCTGCACGTGCCTCCAATGATTTTGAAATCCACCTGCAAAATGGATGTGACCTGGTTTCCGTTCGATGAACAAGTTTGCGACATAAAATTCGGCAGTTGGACCTATTCTGGGCTACAAATGAACTTGAGTCTGATGGAAAATAGCACCCAAAGTATGGATACCAGTGGTTACATACCACATGGGGAATGGAAGCTGACTGGAATTGAAGCATTGAGGAACGAAAAATTTTACGAGTGCTGTCCAGAACCTTATGTTTCGATTACGTTTAAAATAAACATCAAACGGCAAAGCATGTATTTTTTCTTCAATCTTATCGTCCCTTGCCTTCTAATTGGTACAAACTAATTTCAAGTTATTTTTTAGTAAATGTAATTGAATGATAACAAATATTCAATTAAACAAATGTATACAGGGTTTCTGGCCATTCTGGGGTTTACCCTGCCCCCTCATTCCGGAGAGAAATTGTCCCTCGGAGTTACTGTATTGTTCAGCTTGATTGTTTTCTTGAACCAGATTGCAGAATCGATGCCAGCAAATTCCGACAATGTTCCGCTACTCGGAACATATTTTAACTGCATTATGTTCATGATTGCTTCTTCTGTCGTGAGCACGGTAGTTATAAATCTTAATTTGAGATCATCTTCTAATCCAAAAGGAATGGGGGCAACGAGTCAAGCCTTGATATTCAATTGGCTTCCCTGGGTCTTGAGAATGCAACTTATGGAGCCGCATGGTAACATTGTTGGATTAGGAAGTAGGCTTGTGAAACCTGGGACAAAGGAAAATGACCCTTCGATGGAAGTGAGCGACATTATGATGCCGCTGGATGAAGAGAAGGAAGGAGAAAAGATGCAGACGAAGGACTTTACTGAGAAACCAAACGATGAGACGACCTCTGCAATTCGCAAATTCAAGAAACAATGGATGTACGCTGCTGTAGTTGTAGACCGGTTATGTTTGGTAGTTTCCATTGTGTTTGCCTTAATTTCAATTGCAGTTTTGCTTGTTTCCACATACGCCTAACTTGAATAAACTGATATATAATTATGTATATTGATAAAATATTAATAAAAATACGTATATAAAAATGTCTTAAATTAATTATGTAATTGATCAGTGAGTGTAAAATTTATCGGAGGAGTTAACAAATTTTTTTTTGATACTCTACCCATATCTAGCCTAAATCTTATGTATACTTGCATAGAACTGCCTGAGTATATTATCAATCTTCAATTTTTCATTTATTTCCATCAATCAAAATATTGTGCATATAAAGCATAATGGAATCACTCGTCTCAACCCGTTTTCGTATAAGTAGCAAAGAGATGCTCTGTCAGCTCAGTGTTTGTCGAAGTAGCCATCCACATTTTGCAAGTAAGGGTATTTTCATCAACCAACGTCCAGACGCGTTTCATCTGTGAATTAAAACAATAAATAAGTATATGCTTAAGTATTAAAAAATTAATCAATAATACGAAATTAATATGAATATGTACATGATGGTATACCTCTGTAACCGAAGGGTCCTTTGAACCTGTCATTCTTCCTATATTGCTGGACACAACTTCAATAACCTTGTCATTCACGGTCCCTTCCTCCAAACTGGACAGTCCTAAGTATTTAGCATAGTATTAACACATATTTGATAATTTATTAAGAACCATAGTTCCCTGACTTACCAAAATTGTGTGCCACCATAAGTGAAAGGTCCCCATTACCTCTCGCCCGAAGAAATCCACTTTCCAAATGCATGGGGTTACCTTTTTCAGGGTGGGAAGAAGACGCGGTGTATGCAAGTAGAGGTTGAGCCCCGCAAAGTCGAAATTCCATGATATCATGGTATCGAAAATCCTTAATGGTTGGAAAGTACCCAACTCCGTCCTTACTCACCCAGCGACCAACCAACCATCCAATGGATTTCAACATTGGGTTAATTTCACCTTCCATCATGGCTCTGGAAGAAATGCAACAAAGGCAAATGATTGTTGATATATGTATAACACAAAATTTGAAGTAAAATATAAATTGTTAAAATGTCCTAAATCGCAAAGGCGAACTATGTCAATAGGTCAAAAAGTAGTATCATTTCGTTTATACTGATTTAACTGTTTATTAATATGTATAAAAAATTGCACAAGAAACATGAGTATAAATACATATTAGAAGATGGGTAACTAACAAGTATAAAATTTAGCAAATGTTATCAATCACAAATACAATTTGCATAATCGGTATCTGATTTCTAAAGCGTAATAAATTGATCATAGTATCTCAGAACACATTTAGTAAGAAAGTAACAGGTTCCAATTAAGAAAAATGACTTGACTTGTGAGATCCCAGTGGTCACTATAAAACGCGAAAAATACAATAATTATAAAATGCGTTATTAGTTTCAGTCAGACCAATTATTGATAGTATATTAAAATATGTATCGTCAAAATTTAAATATATTTATGTACATACTCACCAAAATAGCATTGTGTATTGCTCAACACAAACAAACATTCAACTAGGAAAATTCTCTCATAATCATTTGCATAGCTCCAAATCAGTGCGACAAGTTTGAACATTTCTGCAAATCCAGACAGACAAAGGCCTTTCCACACAGTTAGATAAGAAAATTGTAAATTCCCTGAAGAAGGGAATGATGTTGATGGCGATACATTTCCTGGAAGCGATCTCCTTTTGTTGCTTCCTCGTTTCATGGAATTTGTTTGTCGTGGTCCAAATCCGAAAACGTTGTTCTCATCACCTCCTGTTTTCGGGAGAAGGAGGCATGACCCCAGAACAGCAGCATGGAACAACACCGTAGCGAAAAATGTTCGCAATAGGGCAGTGTAAAAATTTATTTCTAACTCATAGAAATCAGTCGCGTCGTCATGTTCCACCCCTTTTTTAGAGCACCAGAAGCAATACGCCTCAACAAAGAGGGACACGACGCCCAGTTTCCAAAAACCCTACAAAATATATTTTTAAGAAACATTATTTTGATTGATTTACACTGCAAATTTCAATAACTCTCATTCTTACCTCGAAGGCATGATTAAGCAGAACGTGCCTATACGCCATAGGATTAAGAAGTATTAAATTCAGAGCGATAATTATGTTATCATATTCGACATATTTGTCCATAAGTTCTCCACAAGATTTCTATTCATTAAAGGAAACACAATGAAAATACCAACTCGATGCTAAAAAAATAATAACTTATATGCAAACACTCACACAAGGCAGCAACTTGACAAGATTTCCATTTGCATAAGTTTTGTAAACCTGTGGTGCAGGATGACCACACTGAATACAAAAGTAAGGTGAAGGGGGGCCCATTCTCATTTCCTGTGGGGGCAGCCAGTCAGTAGTATAGTGAAGACTTATCAAATAAGTCACATTGTCCGGTGATACCCGTCAAGGTCGAAGTATGACATCGTATGGTAACAACACGCACATGACACCAAGCCAACTGAGTGACACACAAATACATTCACTGACAATGTGCCAATAAACGGTACAATTTTAAACGTACATAAGTTTGTAAATTATGGACATTCTTATGTTTTATATCGAATGCAAATGCAGAAGCTACCGACAAGACAACAATACAAAATATTGAAGTGAAATAGTGAAGATGTCAGTATATGAATATGAAATCGAAAATTGCAAAAATAAGCTAGCAATTATCAGTAATTAGCATGTATCCGTCATTCATAATATATGATATTTAAATTTACTACAACTTACCGAAACGTTCTTTAATAAAGAATCTTTATAACAAAATTTCCAAAAACACACTTTAGGCTCACTTCAGTATTTCTTGATTTGTTAAGTATAGGTTTGTTTGATTTGTTACTTAACCTCTGATCAGTCAGAACAGAATTATTTGTATTAATTATATCAATAGCTCAACCTACAAGTTAAGTAATGCCGTTCAATTGTTGTTCAAAAATCAGAGCAGGTGAGGAAAATGAGTTGTTGCCGGTTTGTTAGGTTCAAGCGGAAGGCTCAAATCTAAAATACAGCACGGTATTAGATCCTGCCGACCGTGGCTTCTTGTTATTTAAATGCCCACTCTGCAATTAAAAACTTTACAAACATTTACAATGTGGGTTTAAATATTGTGGTGATGACACGTCTACTGGTCATTCATATTGGCTCGAAACATAAGGGTCTGGCCGGGATTTAATCGAAGGTGAGAAATACAAAGTGTAATTATTTATTATTATCAAAATATCGGTACCACTACCATACATGACCTCGATGTGTTCACATAAGTTATAGATGTCTAATGATGCATTAACATTTAATTGCAGGATGTGCTAGTCTTTGATGAACAAATCGCACAGGGCATAGGAGGCATTACAAGAAAGAAGCCGATTTCTTCAGGGAATTTGACATTATTCAGTATTCATTTGTAGTATGGGCTCAATTTCTGCCCCTCCCAACATCCCGGCTCCAATGTTTCAAGATATCCTGAGTGCTAGAAGAAGGTCTAATGACTTTAGGTGGGCGTCGAGACCGTACAACCCCTCCACATATTTTGTTCGTGGAAGAGCAAAGGAACCAAAGGAATTGGTGGCGAGTGTATTGCAATGCGCCAGGGTTCAAGCAGTTGTAAGAGAGGTGAGGTTAAGATATAGATAAAATGATATGCCATTTACAAGAAATATGAAACCATTTATGTAATCCTATAGATCGCAGTAAAGGAAGGACGTGACTCAAGGGATGTTGCAAAACAAGCGGAACAGATCTTGGCTGAAATGGCGCATGATTATCATCTCTACACGGTTCGGTGGTTCGGCTACGTACTCTCTAAATTAGCTAAAAACCACTTTTCCAGCATTTTTGTGAATGTTCAAAAACTACAACAAGTATGCAAACGAATAAAGGTGTTTAATGCATTTCAAGTCTTTAATTTAATTTATATATCTACCTTTAGATCAAGGACTGCTTTCAACGATATCCCGTCATCTTGCTCCCAACCCATCGAAGTTACGTCGACTTTCTTCTCCTTTCTTATGTTTGCTTCACTTTTGACCTTCCCCTTCCAATCATTGCTGCAGGCATGGGTAAGAGCTTTACATGGTGACATTTAATTACCTTCAATCCATGTTCAATCAATCATTTATCACTTATTCCTGATTCACTCAATAATGACTGAATTCACGCGTAATGTATGTATGTAAAATATTTCAGATTTTATGGGAATGATGGGAATAGCAGAATTGCTCCGAAAAGCGGGTGAGTATTTTCAATTTCACACCAATTTCAATTATTGAGCAACTCTGACCAAATATCATTGATTGACCTCATCATGAGGAAAGGCTTTGAATCTAACATTTTCCTTCGTTCTTTGTAGGGGCTTTCTTCATCCGTCGTCGATTCGGGGCTGATTCATTGTATTGGGCACTGATCTCTGAATATGTTAAACGAGCCGTGTTATCCGGTTGTCATCCCATGGAAATGTTTGTAGAAGGGACACGAAGTCGATCAGGCAAATCCCTTTATCCAAAGATAGGGTAAATAGAGTTTTACTAATATTTTTCTAATAATATAATAACTACCCAAGCAACCAAAATCTGCAAATAATGTACCAAATTTGTACAACTGGATTAATGCACATTTTCCGTTAAAATGTGAAGCCGACTTGTGCTTATTTTGTACAAGTCGCATTTGCAAAATTCATACCAATAATTTATCACTGCAAGTTTACTTGTACCAAATATGCACAAAATTAACACAAACAAATGTGTACGAATTTTGTGTAAATTTGGTGATGATTGACATGCATTAACCTTTAGGATCCCATTTCAAAATTGTTGTCACGAAAAATCGTATCACTAAGTCCCTAATTAATCTTCAATTAAATGCCCTTTAAGGCCCAAATAATTGTCAGCTATCTGTCCTCACGCACCCAAGCTGCTGAATCTTTTTCGACCACACTGACCCGAATTTTATTTTCAAGAAAAAACCAACGGAATATATTTGTATTATCACATGCAATGATAATCCACAAAAACTACTTCCCATATACATATACTATTACCGTGGTGAAAAACCTATTAGTACAGCTTCGCATAGCCCGAACCAGAAATTTTTATCCCAGTGAGGCCTTATGTATTTGCCATGTCTGTCTTTCGGTCCACCGATACCATACACCCAAAACGGTTTGCCTTCAAATTTTGCAGGTGCCAAAAATAATCGAGTTCGCAAGTGAGCCAAATCTGTCGAGTGAGGTCATATAGATAGGTGGGTGGAATCGACACCAAACTTGAAAATATCGCTAGAAAGCTGAAATTCAGCACATTGAGTGCTAATGGCGTGTAATGAAAGACTCGGAGGGGAAATCTAAAAATATTTAACCAGAGGGACAATATGGGGTGGAGGAGGGAGATGACCCATACCGATTTTCAAAAATAGCCACAAACCTACATTGTCTGCAATTATACAATGTCCTTAGTCAAGGACGGACCGCTCCTAAATTTTTGTCCGAATTGACCGGACTGCGATTACCACACCCCGTGTTGGGAATGGTCGAATGTGTGCAGAATATTTGTTATTTTGTGGAGTATTTACAAATCCTTCCTTGACTACCAGGACCACTGTGACTTGCTTCTTTCAAATCTTCCAAAGTTTTATTTGCTATTCAGAAGTCATTTTTAGCCCCTATCCCAAATTCCAGCTGAAAATAGCAACTTTTAAAACCAGTATGGGTCACCCTCTAGAGTCACTAAGGTTACACATTGACCACTTTGAACTTCATATACTTTCATGAGAACCCATTCAGTATCCCTATGCCGATTTTTATATTTTTACGACAATGTCTTAAAACCGGCATGGGTCACCCATAGGGTCCCCTCGGTAAGATTTTGCAATTTTACTTCATATTCTTTCAATAGAAGCCATTAGCAAGCTCTATACCAAATTTCAGCTTTCTATGACAATTTTGAAATTTTAGTGTATAGTACCCCATCCACTCAGACGACCCCCACCGGTCAACCACTTGACCAATTTCCCCATCTGCGAACTCGTTTCTAACTTTGTCCAATTTGCATATACTAAAAATTTCATGTGAATCGGGTCAGTCGTTTTGGCTCTAGCCTGTTCACGGACAGACAGACAGACGGACAACCATCACGATTCCATAAGCCCTAACTCGGGCGCCATATCAAAACCCTTCAATTTCATGCAATGTTTCCACGGTCGCCAAATTTGTAATTTTTTGAAAATACACGTATTTGTGTATACGGGATTCAACGCATTTTGTCGCGTATCCATGATATTCATGTATCTGGGACACAGGGTCAAATTTCAAAATTCCATGACATTCGTGGACTTGGGATTTGTGGGATGTTTTACAAATTCCATGACACTTGTGTACATGGGATTTAAGTGAAAATTTAATAAATTCCATGACATTCGTGGACTGGGATCCTAAAGGTTAATGAGGTGAGAATTTAGTGCGAATTTAGTGCGAATCTATTACTAATTGTGTGCTAATGGTACGCATGAAATTAATACAAATTCATTTACACGTATTACTCACATTTCAATTATTATTTATTTATTACAAATTCATCTGCTGTACATATTTCTTATGTTATGTAATGTTAGGTATCTCCAAATACTTAACTAATTAATATATAATTGCAAATTGGGATACACAAATATTTATCGCAATTAATCGGTAGAATACGTACTTACGGCGTATAGAGAAAGACTAAATTAAAATGAATTCCTGTCCTCATTCATAGTAGATCTGGCGATTCGTTTGTAGTTCTTTTTGTCTTCTATTAATTTTCAGAGGGTATACAGACATTTGTATTTATTTATTGCCACTTTTTAATTTCAGACTTCTGACCTCCATTGCCGAGTTGGTCAGAGATCGAGAAATTCCTGACGTTCTTATCCTTCCAATTAGTATGAGCTATGACCGGACGTTGGAAGAAACTTTGTATGCCAGAGAATTACTGGGACAGCCGAAACCAAAGGAATCAACAAATGTAAAATTATTGTGATTTAAAATTAATATATTGATTACTGGGGATTGGATTTAATCAATAATTCCGGCTCTTGCAGGGTCTTATTAAAGGTAACAATCAAACTATGCGTACAATTATTTGATAAATTAATAGCACTTTATACATAATTACTAATTAGTAACAAACTCGTTTCGTTTAGTTATGTTGATTACGGTTTTTAGTAGTCAATCAACTTGAATATGCATACCTATATGATGTTTGATACTTATAAATAAAAATTTAGTCCCGTATATTATTATTAAAGGGCTTCGTTGGTTACAATCTCAGTCGTATGGATCGATGTACGTAAATTTTGGAGAATTTATCTCTGTCCGTGAGACGTTGGGAGAATGCTTAGCCTCTCCATATGTGGATGACGCTATATTTACGAAAAGAATACAAAAATTGGGATTGAATGTTGTGATTGAACAGCAAAAAAACTTGGTCACCCCACTTTTTTCTGTCGTAGCCACAATTGTCCTAGCTAAGGTGAGCAATTACTTAAATGAAAAAAAAATCATATTAAACTTATCCTTTTATGGTTGTGATTCTATTTTTTTTAGATGTCTGAGGGTGAAAGATCTATAGGATTTCCAAAATTGATGAATCAAATCCACGGCTTCAGAGCACTAATCACACCGAATGGCTCTGACTTCGGACTTCCACTTACTGGAGAAACTTTAGAGTGGAATGTTAGGCACATTTTAACTATTCATTCTGATCTTGTTGTTTGCCCAAAAAATGAAGTGAGTCATAAATTACCAAATAATTCAGTCATACTTTATATGCAAAATATATATTTGAATGTATTCATAGGAGCATATTGTCCATTTTCAAATGGGCGAAGATGAAACTGTAGACGGGATGAAGTTTCAACACTACGCGAATCAATTCGTCCCACTTATTGTGCCGAATGCTCTCTTATCCGTGCTCACTAACTCTGCCACTATATCAGATAATGCTCAACGCAGTACGTCTGAAGAGAGCATTCTTAAAGATTATGCATTTTTGAGGGAGCTCTTATTCGATGACTTTATATATGATAGAGGAAATGAAATGCTGGTAAAGGAATAATAAGTAATGTTCATGTTAATGTTAATATAAATTGTACATGTTAAGTAATTTTAATTATACAGGAAGCCTCAAAAGCGTCCTCAATTTTCAACGTATACTTGAACAAAGGCCGATCAAATGGTCACACAAGCAGGTGGACGACGGAGACGGAAGAAATGAGTAAGATTCTTAGATTATCTATAGAACCTTTTCTCATTGCATATTGGGGTGTGGCCAAAACACTTGCCCAGGTAAATTATAAAACTCTAGTAATTATCAGACATAATGTTAAAATTGACTACTGTGCTTATACAAACGACTGTTTCTTCTAATATTGTACAGTTATCGATCCAAGAAGACCAAACTGAATCACAAATAGTTGAAGTAAAACTTTTAGGAAAGATGTCACAAAGCTACATTCGCCAGTTATTGGGATCCCATTTTCCTAATCACTACGGTGCCCTGTCCCTCGATACTTTGAACAATGCTTCAATGGCTTTTATCAAACTTGGTGTCGTAACAAAAATTAAACTGTAAGCAGAAATGCATGCTTTTATTTTTATAAATAGCATAGCCGAAAATATACTTCATTCTATTATTTATTTATTTATCAGAGACTCTGGAAACTCGTTTGGCATGGTTGTGAAGGATAGCCAGCGATTCGCTCAGCTTATTATCCTGATTGGTAATTTTTTGTTACCTTATTACACATTTGTATCTTAATTCCTATTTCAAGTCGTAATTGTTGTATACATAAGCACAACCATTTCTCGACATCTCGACATAAGTACATATGTATGACCTTACATCATCTCTTGTTCTCCCCATTAGTGACTAATTGTGTAACATAAATTTGGATTGCAATGAGTTCAAGTTGATAATTTTGTTATGAAATATATTACAGAAATTAGAAAAGGTGGTTGTCGATCGATATATGTACAAATGTAGTGCTGTAGTGCCTGTGTAGTTTTAAAAGGGTGGACAATCATATTTTTTCCGGGTGATCTATACCCACTGTCGTGCTTTAATGTCCACCGACAATGGGCCAACAGTTAAAGTGGAGACAGTGAGACGAGATCTGTCATGGTAATGGTATTCAATGCGCCATCCTGATCGACCCCATTGTATTGGTAATTGTGAATAATCGATTGAATTGTTATCTTCGTCACTGAATTTGGGTCCAACAGACTGAACTTAATTGTGCAATTTTCAATGTCGAACGTATATATCGGAGGTGACATTTCTGTATCGCAAATGGATAAGTAGTATGTAAATATATAGGTTTAGTTTATGGGCTGACCAAGATTATTATCACTATTATTATCACTGGGACAATTAAATACCTGCTTGTAATTTAATTGACGTTTGACGTCGTACATGATAATGATTGAGTGAGAAGCAGAAATTAGTCTTGGCTCGATTACGGATTTTTTCTTAGGTGAGGCAAAAGTAACAATGGGTGCTGAAAAAAAGCGTCACCATGGTTACGGCGAAGCCTAAGTATGCTTTCGTATACACCCTTTGAAACTGTCAGCGAGGCTAGAGCCTAAACGGTTAATCCTACGCAAATGGTGTGAAGAGCAATCGTGCAGAGGAGAATTAGGAGATGATGTTTTTCAATATGCCCGATAGAAAAACTTTACTCTTTGCTCTCAAATTTAGATTTGAAACTTTAAAATCAAAATTTGAGATACTTGCGCCACAGGACTATATGTATAAAACATGATTTTATCATGCAGAAATCGGTTGTGCGTCATTTAAAACAAATCCGGCTGAGATCGGTCCAAAACTGAAAAAGTTTTGATGGAGGCATCTGAAACTATTCATGTTGCTAAGCAAGAATTACAATATTCCTAGTTGGTTGCTACTAGCTATCAATATAACAATTTTCCTAATACAAGTAGTTGTGTTTACGCAATTGCAATTAGCCAAATTAATTGGTCAATTGTAATTTCCATTTTTGGCCAATCGCCCTAAAACTTTCTTCCTTAGGCATGATTATTAATCCAGATTCCAGATTAATTACAAATTCTTTTGCAAATTCAAATCACATTCGGTCTTCATTTCAAAAAGTTTAACAATTTTGAGGTGCAATTAATTAAATATGTATCACCTAAAATCCTTGAAATAAAATAATTTTAAAAAAGCTTGCTTAGGCGAGGCGCTGCTAAAAGGGAAAAACAAGGCCTGTGGGCATATCTTTTAAATATCTCGTACCTTTATCATTGTAATAGGAGTTGGTGGCTTTGCATCACCGCAAGGCCAAACATTTTACGATAAATCTCTAGCAATAAAGAATATATTCTCAAGAATTCAGAAGAACATAATCTGGGTTCACGAATTTCTCAAAATTATCATTTATCACTTTTAAATTAGAATTGAAAACTAGTTGTTTTACTATGTAAATAAAATTAGGAAATACATCCTCGCGTGGTGTCCTCCTTATTCGTGCGCCGGTATCTTAATTTCTTGCATTTAAACACCTACGGAAAATTTTGCACGTCCATAAAATTTAGTAGCTACCTGAATTACTGGTTAACTATTGAATTAAATCATGAGCTAAATAAATATGATTGATCATATTAGTCCTCCGCATAATAAGTTTACAAACTCCACTCAATTTTATGACCTTTCGAAGCAATAATCGTTTGTTTAAGCATTTATATATATAGATATAATTTTAATTAGCAATAATTCCATTTCTTACCAGAAGATGTTAGTAATAAACGGCGTGGTATGTTATATGGTCAAAATATTTGGCCTTGCGGTGATGCAAAGCCACCAACTCCTGTTACAATGATAAAGGTACGAGATATTTAAAAGATATGCCCACAGGCCTTGTTTTTCCCTTTTAGCAGCGCCTCGCCTAAGCAAGCTTTTTTAAAATTATTTTATTGGTTTGTGCAAGTTACATATTTTTCAGGTGGAGTATGAGAAACTTTGGGATGAGCTAATGAAATTGGATATCGATTTATCTATTGACTAATTTCGTGTAACGTTGTTGTATAAAAGTGTAATTTTCTCTAGTAGGCATCTTTTTTTAACCTTTTTGCTCATTTAATATGGATTATTGAAGGGTTTATTTCATTCCTTTATGCTTGTCAACCATCACTTGCATACATAACGTGCAATGATAACTGTCTAAAAACTGAGGTGATAAATACATACTAGATTTGTGTATACGAATCATTTAGAAAACGTAATGAATTCGAATTTCGAATAACTCAATTCCTTCGTACTCCTCGTAATGTACTTATGTACATACGTACGTAGGTCAAAGTCTTGTTTGCATTATGATTACGAGCTTAGTACTTTCCCACTTTGATTACACGTTATTAAATGGTTACTCTACAGATATTAATGTATCCAATATGCAACACGAGATGAAATTATGTTGTGTGATTTTTGGAAAATATGTTGACAGTTTAATCTAATATGGTTTAGCATAATTTGATTGATTTTTGTATCTCGCTTTTCAGAGAACTACCTCCCACTCAGATCACGTTCAAAACTCAACGCAGTGTCATCGTCATCTGTCCAAGACTTTCAAGATTTGAGTCAACTGCTCCAATTGAAGGCCAAGCTTTAATACTTTGCCATGAAACGTCGTTTTAGTTGCAAAGAGGATGTGTAGATATTATAGAGCTTGACCTTAAATATTTAGTTCTTACGTATATGGCATTTAGATAAATAGTTATAGATAGACTCAATTTTCTCACAAGTATTTCTTGTTATCCAAAGTATTTTGTGTACTGTACACGTATTTTTGTTGATTGTGATTTTTATCGTAGGAAGTGGGAATTATCAAGAGATGCTCAGCTCAGTTATTCTAGTAAGTATTAGTGATACTGATAAAGTAACTTATTTATTGTCATTGTTGGGTGCACAAAATATAGTAAAGTGAGTTTTCTAGTTGATTGTTCCAAACTTTTTTTTTCTTTTTATCCGTATTCCCCTAGTCTGCAACTACAACGAGTTTATTAGATGTACATTATTGATGGAAATCCAAAAAGGTTTTAACTTATGTATTGGTACTTAATTTTGTGATGCTATTTTAGAAGTTGCTCATTATTGTAGTCCCGTTTATTGTGTACAGGTGATTTTTGTCACTTTATGAATTTGTTGATAAAAGCAATAAATATGAAGTACGTGATTTAATAGTGCTTACTGTTAAGTTCTTGGCATTACGTAGTTAAAATTAAAATTTACTAGTTCGTTTTATTTATCAACATCTGTATAATATAAATAATATGCAGCACTATTTAACTTTCCTCAACAGAATCTGACAACCAAACTGACTATCATGACGATGAATGCATTTGACACAGTTGAAAATCCCGACGCCGTCGTTGTAGTAGGTGCGGTGGTAGTTGGTGCATCAGTGGTTGGTGCGCCAGTGGGGGCTGTGGTTGGTGCGCCAGTGGGGGCTGTGGTCGGCTCGCCAGTGGGGCCTGTGGGGATGAAAGGCTCCAGACAGTCCATATTCAGTTCAAGTTTCAGGCACGATGGGTCGGCGACTATTCCGGCCAATGTACATCCCTTTAAATTAAGTGCATTTTACTTACTTAATTGTCATACAAAACGTAGATATAAAAGTATCCTAAAATATGTATATAAGACAATGTGTACTTACGTTTATTACATGGTCTACAGAGCATCGGACAGCTTCGGTGAGAATTGTTTTGAATTCATCATTGTCTGTCCACGCAGCGTCAAAGAATTCTTGTATGTCAGTGCTCAACTTCGCCCAGTCGATAGGTTCACCGTCAATCGTTGCGACTCCCCCGTCCAGACTCAATTCTTTAAATCCAACGTCCAAAACCAAACTGCGCACTAATAGAGTTCCTGTGAGTCTTACACTTGCGTCAATTTTGAGGAAAACATCGGCAACGGATGCAGAAATGTCTCCAGACCCATCAATAGTGGTCGTCACTTCTTCTCCCGTTTTGACTTCTATGTGCATGTTGTAGCCAGACGTGGACAAGGCCGCAGAAGGCAGCGACAAATCCCACGTAATACGGCCTGTTATAACGACAACCTGAAAGTTGTCAACTATAGCACTCAGTCCTGTGATTTCCAAATCGGTTCTAATCATAAAAATGTAACCATTATTAAAATGAAGGCATACAAATCAGCATACACATTTTCTTTGTTTATATAATAAACTAACGTAGTCTGCAGATTCCCAGTGATTGTAATTGGTGGCTCCAAGAAATCTAATGGGATGTCAATCGGTAATTCCCCAGGAGCTACAAGTACCGGATCTGGAAATGGGGGCAGAATAGTGGCTTTTCCTTCCAGAGGCCCGCTATTCACATTCCTCAACTCCTTCACCAAACGGTCCACATAGCTAAACGTGAGTGTCTTGACGAGCCATACCTTCGCAGCTGAAATTAGTAATCGGTCAGATTTCAGTTGTATTATTTGTTATTTTTATTTACATGTTATTATCTAAACGCTTACAATGAGTTGTGATATTCCTGGGGAGAGGGATCTTGGCACTAACGATGGTCAATACCACAGCTACTGTGATTAGCCGGAGAATGGATTTCATTGTGATTTTTCCTGAGATCTGATTCAATTAATTTGTTGCTACCAAAGCGATGCGACCACGAAGGGATCTGGGAACTGACTATGGAAAGATGAACAAATCCTGCCGAATTATATTGCCACTAGTGGACAATCAAGTATGTGACAATTTGATAAGGAAATTTATGTCACGGTTGTTGAGTTTGCATATATCAGACAATTTAATTTATCGAATCCATACTATGGCACATGACAATCTTTTCACTCATTGACATTAGTCTCCAACATCAGATACTTCAATTGATTAGAAAAATATATTAAATGATTTGTCATTTTCCCATTTAATTAAATGTCGATTACGGATGTATATGTCCATACTTAGATCCATGATTCTAGTAGCATCATTCTTCATTTCATGCACTTTTTTACACTAGTAGTGGTATTATGCATAACGAATTGTGGAGACGATAAGTCATAGTAAAACACTGCAAACTTGTTATTTTATCAAGTCAATTAGTGTTACATATGTAAAAGTACAGCATGCGTGGTACGGATTAATACCGAGTCAGTGATGCATAATCACCCAGATAAAGCTGACTTATAAATACATACATAAATTATCATTATCCTTATCACATTCAACCAACAAATTATTACGGCAGGTAATCAAGGAAAATAAGATTTATTGAAATGCAACTTTTTATGCAGAAAGTATATTTATTGTAAAATATAATCATGCTAATTAAAGGATGAGAATTACAAAACCTAAAGTTAGAAAAACGAACGCATTAAAAATGGGGGAGATTGCACCACTAGTAGTCGTCGGGATTGTTGTAGGTCCGGTGGTTGGGGTAAGGCAGGTTGGGTCAATTTGGTCTCTCAAACACTCTGCAAGAATAAGTAGCAAAAACCGTGTTACTTTTTCCGATTGATAACAACGTTCGAGGACAAGATCCTGCGACAAATACTGGATATTGCATACCAAAATTTCCACTAGTTAAGTCAGCTATTGTGCATGGCTAAAAATTAATACATTTATAGTTAGTAAATGAAATCAAGTAATATGAGTCCAAATATTTTCTTACATTGATAATAGAATCCACCGAACATCGAACCGTTTCTACGATAGCCGCTTTAGCATCACTATTCCATGTAGAGTCAAACCATTCCTGCACCTGTTTGCTAACTTCAGTCCAAACAATTTGTTCGCCATCGATAGTTGCATCTCCTCCATCAATGGCCAAGTTACGGAATCCAACATCAAACTCCAAGCTTGTGAGACCGAGATTTCCAGTAAGTTTAAATTGTGCTGCAAGCTTGAGAAAAACAGTGGAAACCGACCCCGTAAGGGCACCACCCCCAGCAACATTATGAGATACAGTAGCCCCCTCTTTAATTTCTAGTTCTACAGTGTAATCATTGGCTGAAACGGAAATCGTGGGGATGGTTACGTCCCAACTTAATCTGCCATCGATAATACTAAACTCAAATTTGTCTTGCAACCCATTGAGTCCTGTGATCTCCAAGTTGCTCCTACGGTAGGAATTTTACATTGAAGTATTTATATTAATTTGTGATACGTTCAATATTGTGAATATTTCATACTTCGTTTCGACATTTCCTGCAATGGTAACAGGAGGATTTACAAAATCCAGATTAATATCCACGGGAATAACAGTGGGCGGAATGATAACAGGGTCTGGAAAGGGGGGAAGAATTGTGGCCATCACCATTTGCTCTTCACGAGTGTTGTTCATGTTCCGAATTTCATTCACAAGGCGATCCATACAGTTTGAAACTATCGCTCTCACCAAGTATTCCTTTGCAGCTGGAAATTTAGTAACGCTTTCAATTTGCATACATGTGTATGTAGATATGTTTCTTATGTAGTTCTTTGATTTTCGAAATGGTAATAACACATATTTTACTTACAATATATCTCAGCATTTTTGGCGAGAGAAAGTATATGGGCGGAAGTGCCAGCAATGGCAACAATTGCAAAAGTGCAAATGGTGAAAATTGATTTCATAGTGATTTCCGGTAGAACGTATTGTCTGGAAAATTTTACTCAAATGCAAAATTTTAATGTCCAACAGAGAACTGTTAAGCTGTATGTGAAAACGACTACTTTTATGTTTATGTAACAAATCAAGCGTCAAGTAATCATGTATTTAACTGATAAGCACGATTTTGGGAAATATATTAGTGTTAAGCCCTTTATTCTGCCGTCGTTTAGCAAACCGGTAAGTATAGAACTGGTAACATAACGACAAAATAATGTATCATATGCGAATTGACAGAAAAAAAAGTATATTCACACATGTACATGCATACGTTAAAATAATTGGATAAAATTTCATCTAGGTACAAAATTTGAATTTCCATCAAGTGATCTCAAATTTCCAGTCGAGTATGGGGAGCTAATTGAAGCCTTGCAGGAGGATCTCAAATTGGAATTCCAATGACAGACTTTAGAACAAGATGAAACTTGACTAAATCCAATTAAACCAATATGGGTTGAAAAAACTTGTTTGCTCGCTCCATCACTCACTCACTTTTACACCAGTTTGTTCAATTCTCACAAATTGCACTTTGTCTCCCGACTACTGTTCCTTTCAGACTTTGTTGTGACTTTTTTTTTGAACTACCAGTGGTTAATAAGTTTCCACATTTACGTAATGGCTAGACATAACTCCGATAAAGAAAATAACGACGTTGCAAAAAATAGAAAAATTGGGAAGAGGAGCAAACTTGTAAAGAATGTACCATGTCCTCTCTGTCCAGCGAAATGCACAACTCTGAAAGCACTAGGCACTCATCGTTACTTGCATCACAACGGGACGGAAGCTGAGTAAGTGGGTTCATAAAGCCAACCAGCCTAAACTTATCATGCACATGTTATCTTTTTATCTATTTTAGGAGGAAAGAGAGAGCGGACAAGAAACGGAAACAAGCCGCGGCCACCAATAAGAAAACCCACGTAGCCTCATTTTGCAACGACAAGGATAAGTTGGATGTTTTCAAAGGTAAATACGTGCATACAATAATAATAATAATAATTTCGTCATAATAATAATATTAGTATGCTTGTTCATTTGCAGGGGATATAAATCAAACAGCCCCTATCGATGATCAAGAAGAGGAATTCATAAGGTTGGCAGAGAAACAAAGAAGTGTCGTCCAGTCGTACTATCAAAATGTAATTTTGATAGTACCAGCAACAGTAGGAGAGGAGCAATTGGATGGGTTCTTTGGTGTTGAGAATGGACCACAATGCTCGGCATATGTTGGAACGTCTGCTGCACCCGGTGGGTGCAACGTTCACCAAACCATTTTGTCGAGAAGTATTTCAGGACCTGCGAAGATGCTATTGGAAAAGAATGATGATGGAACCAACAAATACCATGCATTTCTTCAGGTAATTATGAACCATTTTTTCCCATCCTTTCTCACTATACACATGCACATTACATAGTTAAAACTTATTTTTTAGGACATTGAAATAAACACGGGTATTAGTAAGGAGACTAACCAGAAAGCGGCGTTCAAATGGGAAAGCTTTCATACCGTATGTAACATAACTTTCTCTTGCTAATTATCCATACATCCTCTAATTTTATGTGTTCCTTCAAGTATTCAGCAGCAGGCCAACGCAAAACCAAGACCGAGACGCTCAAAGTTGTCTACTTGAACGAGGTCATTGAGACGGAAGAGGGCAAGAAGGGTGGACTGTCGTTGCCGCAAATCAGGCGAGCGTATAGGCTTGGAAGATCCGGTCACTGCATCATCGGACCACAACAAGAATTTGAAGGAATACAAATTCGATTCCCTCTACGTGATCACCAGGGTCAACTACTGTTCAAACCATTCACAACTGACTTGGCTGACAACTTGAATTGAAATTTTAATTTTAATTTCTCTTCTCATTTTCTGTTGTTGGGTTTCATGTTTATTCTTATCTTCTCATGCATGCAAAAAATACGTCAATGCTAAATTACGATTGATTACGCAAATTATTGGGTCTCCTTATTAATGAGTAACATGTTCAAACACGTTTGTGCTGATGACCGATGACTCAGAACTACTTACGATTAGCACCAAAATTAATAATGACGTTGTCCAGATAAACGTTAGTATTAAATACTTTAAATATCTTGAGGCGTGCAATAATAGAACAAAATGATTAAGAGCAGGAAATCATTGATTGATACATTTGTATGCTGGATATCTCTGTACGACTCACAATGAAGGTCTGTAAAATTTACAGACTTTGAGGCGCGTTTTCTCCTCTTCAGGTGAAAATTTGCATATATCTCTCATACTAATTATTCGGAGTCAGTACACCGAATGGAATAACACATGGTAAATATGTAGATGTATATTTTTGTTTAATTAGATTTGAGGGACGACGATCCAAGTAAAAATTAGATAGGTGCAAACAACATGAGAACATTACATATGTAGTTTGTCATGAAGCGAAAGAATGGCAATTGATCTTAGATATAGATATATATACATGTATATCACTTCAATTTATTCGAAAAGGCATCAAAATACTGTACAGGTACATAAGTGCATGCCATAATTTCAACTTGAAGCTAGCAGAATCTTGCAACTATACTGACTATAATGATTATGATTGAGCTAGACATAGTTGAAAATCCTGAAGACGTTGTTGTAGGAGCTGTGGTCGTTGTGGGGTCTGTAGTTGGTGCAACAGTGGGGTTTGTAGTTGGTGCAACAGTGGGGTTTGTAGTTGGTGCAACAGTGGGGTTTGTAGTTGGTGCAACAGTGGGGTTTGTAGTTGGTGCAACAGTGGGGTTGTAGTTGGTGCAACAGTGGGGTTGTAGTTGGTGCAACAGTGGGGTTTGTAGTTGGTGCAACAGTGGGGTTTGTAGTTGGTGCAACAGTGGGGTTTGTAGTTGGTGCAACAGTGGGGTTTGTAGTTGGTGCAACAGTGGGGTTTGTAGTTGGTGCAACAGTGGGGTCTGTAGTTGGTGCAACAGTGGGGTTTGTAGTTGGTGCAACAGTGGGGCTTGTAGTTGGTGGTTCAGTGGGGTCTGTAGTTGGTGGTTCAGTGGGGTCTGAAGTTGGTGGTTCAGTGGGGTCTGAAGTTGGTGGGACCGTGGGGTCTGTAGTTGGTGGTTCAGTGGGGTCTGAAGTTGGTGGGACCGTGGGGTCTGTAGTTGGTGGTTCAGTGGGGTCTGTAGTTGGTGGTAGCAAACAGTCCATATTTAGTTCAATTTTCAGGCACGATGGGTCGAGGGGTAGTCCGATCAATGTGCAGCTCTTTAAATTAATTACATTAGTCACGTAGTTATATAAATTACATGGATAGCATATAAATTACATGAAGGGTTCTTAATATATACGTTTGTACTTACGTTGATTACATGGTCTACAGAACATCGAACAGCTTCAGTTATTATGCCTTTCACTTCGGGATTATTTGTCCACGTCGTATCAAACCAAGTTTGCAGGTTGTTCCCCACACTTTCCCAATTGATTGGCGTTTCATCCACATGTGCTTCTCCTCCATCCAAGGTCAATCCTTTAAAGCCAAGGTCTAACTCCAATTCACGAACCCCCAAGTTGCCAACCACCTTCAGGGTGGCCACTATATGCAAAAATACTTCCGTCACAGACGCAGTAAGGGCTCCACTTCCTGTTACCGAGTGAGGTGTTCCAAGGTCAAGGATTAAATCCATATTATACAATCCATTCACATTGATCGAAGGGATTGTCACATCCCAGGCTGCCTTATAAGGAGGAAGCTGTAGACTTAATTCAAAGTTGTCTTCCAAATTGCCTAGACCGGTAACTTCCGTGTCATCCCTAAAACGCAATTTTATTTAACGTATATTTTTCTTAAAACGGTCTCTGAGCAATTATGCATATTTTACTCACGTTAAGGCTAACAGTCCCGTGACACTGATGGGTTTACCATCAATGTCAAAACGGATTTCAACCGGTATTTCTACGGGTGCTACAATAAGGGGATCATCAATTGGAGGGATTATGGAAGCCATTGCTTCCCCAGGTGATGCATACATGTTGTCCCGAAGCTCTTCCAGCAAACGGTTGACATAGCTGAACGTTATCGTCTGCACCAACCATACCTTTGCAGCTGTATTGATGAGCAATCAATTATTAGGAGAAATAAATATTTTTTCTATAAGTAAAAGTATTTTGTTTTACATGGAATCGTGTAATTTTGATTAGTAACGGCCACACGACCCTGTGCAACGGTTGTTAGTGCCACGACTGACGCAACAAGGAAAAGGATCGATTTCATGATTATATGCTGTCCCGAATGACTTCCACAACTCTTCACCCAAAATGAACGACTGAGATGGGCTCAAGTATCTTGCATACAATTCATCCCCCAACTTTTGTAAAATTTAACGTAATAATTAACAGGTGTAATCAATCATGGGACAATTAGTTGAGATATTTGCATGACATGATTGAGGTCCAACAGGTTATTCGACATTTAAAAGTATGTGACATTACACAAGACCAGTCGATTGATTCGTTATCTTAAAATTGATACCAATCAATGGAACGCATATGCATGCATATGTATGTTCAAGTTAATTGTATTTAGAAATAATTCCCTCCTTCAGATCGGAATTAAGCACTCATGTAAAAATAATACTTAAATGTTACTCAACGGTTTTTCCACTTTGGTATTTCATGATATAATAAAAATTGTATTGTGTTTTTTTATTTTTAAAATACCATGAATAAAACAAAGAGCACTGGCATCACAAATTTCATGGAATTTTGGAATTGATTTCCTTCACTATTATCTGTCGTACTAGTAGAAGGCGTAGTGCTACTAGACATTTGAGAAGTTGGCGTTGTACTTCTAAACTCCAAACAAACGACGTATGTCTCAAATAAGGGCTTGATTTTGTCAATGTGTCCAATTTCAATAATTGTCTCGTTTATTTTGTAGCATTCCTGATTCCCATAGTGAAAGCAATCTTTAAAACATAGGGCGAGAGGATTGTTAAGTACATGCATATTTCATTTATTATTTTGATTTCGTTCTTTGTATTTATACCAAAGTCTCCAGCAATAAAATGGGCCACTGTACAATTCTAGAAAATAAGTAACAATTATGACATATATGCAAGTTAATGAAATTTCAGTAAAAACAAAACTATGATACTCACTTCAATAATCTTATTGATATCACACACCATCATCGCATTGATGATTGCCCGTGTCTCGTTATTCCAAAAAGTATTAAAATATGTCTGGAAATTGTCACTGAATGTGTCCCACTGGATCGTAACTCCGCCCACGGTAGCATTATTGCCACCATCCAAATGAAAGTTTGAAAATCCCAGATCAAGATCTACATCACTTATTATAAATTTCCCATGAAGTGTTGGAATGTTTGATTTTCCTTGAAGCGTGAAAAAAACATTGTCGACAGATCCTGTTAGCAGATTTTCGCCAAGGATACTTGTCTCTTTTCCCAATTCCTCCACGGTGAGATTCATAGTATAATTTCCTTCCAGTTGGATCAGAGGGATATTAATCTCCCACTTGACCATGAATTCCCCATTTAACGCGACAAAGGATAACTCGTCACGAATCTTGGAAAATCCGTATGCTCTCGTTTCGGACCTGTTTAGTATTAATATTAAGAAAAAATGCATGCAATTAGGATCAGGTAGTTTTTTTACTAACGTAACTCCTACTTCTCCAAGAATCGATTGATTCGGGATGGTGATGTTAATTGGAATAACGCCTGGGCCGAAACAATCTGGGTCTGGGAGGTTGGGTGGGATTACAGTGATATATGGGTTGACCTCATTGTCCTCCTTCGTCAGGAGATTGCCGTTCCGTATTTGTTGCTCCCGTTCACTAAACTGGTGAGAAATCGTTTGAGCAAGAAGAACATATCCGGCTGGAGATATTTGCATAAATGGGAAAATAGCTATTGTCATTATTAACTTCAAAATTTTGAAAATTTTTATGACTTACAAATCTTTTCTTCAGCCACAATACTACTCACTCCATGGTTGTGAAATATGAAAATGTAAATTATAAGTGTAGAAATTCTCATAATGGAATGTTTGCGTGAAATAAGAATGTACACAAGTTAGATATGTAGATCTTTCAGAAATTATGTAGTTCATCTTGGCATGCATAATCATAACATGCTTTGATAACCAGGCAATTGGCAGGCACCATATCAATTCAATTTGATAAGTATGCTGATTGATATCGATTAAAATATAGTGACACATTGCCTTTGTGCCAGGTCCAGAGTGCATGTGAATAACCTTGATCAAAATTTGACAGGTTTGATGAGAAATACATAAGTGCAAATATAATCAAATCGATATATAGATATGTCCAAACATCAAGAGTTAATTTTACTCCAGTTTCATTAAACTCAAATTTTATTAGCAATCGTTTCGAATTATGCAAGTTAACAAATATTGCAACCAATTAAACAACCACGAAACGAGTCACCAAATACATAAGACTTGTGGTAATGAAAAGGAACCCTGTTTCCGGACCTAGCACACCAACAGCAGCGGTTGTGATGGTCGTTTGCTCAGTGGTAACGTCATCCAGAGTTGTAATTTCAACAGGTTCTGGACATTCATTTACCCCAAAAGTATTCCAATTACTAACAAAATTGTTCTTAAAATCCGCGTGGATTAAGTTCGACTTCGAAAAACTTCCAAGTATCTCGTCCAAGTTAGTGTTGAGGCAGGCTAAACATAAACCATAAGTTAATTTCATAAGGCTGATTGTAGTACACACAAGTATGTAAATCGCACAGCGAATTGGGTGCTTTTTACCTGCAGGAGGTTGAAGGAGCTCTAGTATAGAACAGCGCTTAAAAACAAACAAATAAATTGTTGTAAAATTCGAAATCTTGGTCACAATCGACAGAATAGAAATAATTGCTGCATAATGTTACCCACTCCAAAAATAAGGTTTAGGATGCTAGGCAGAATCCCTGTAACAGTTTTGATAATAGGGAGCACGACGGTTTGCATGAAATTTTGTATTGCTGGGGCCAGATCAAGTTCACCATCGTAAGTGTCTAATCCGTTAGTTTTAATGATCCAATGTGCTATACATTCAAACAAATAATCAAATCCTGTTGATTCCTCAAATATTTTCCAATACAATGCATCGGAAAGTTATAGAATTGTATGTCTTACCAAACCAAGACATATTTTTGGTGCCGAAAGAAATTGTGACATTGTCAAAACGTAAGGACTCGTTGAGTGGGAGGAGCTTTGCACTGGCCAAGAAGAAGAAAAATCCATCTTCCATCTTAAAAGATGCGTTATGAGCTTCATGAGAAGTATTGAAAGCGTCTCCCAATCCGAGCTCCATCCTATAGTCGCCTAAAACATCGAGGAGAGGATTATCCACCCTCCACGAAATACTGCCTGGTTGATCAGGATCCGAGAAGTTAACGTAAAGGTCAAGATTGTCCACTAATTTGTCCATCCCTCTGATTTCATAATCGGTTCTAAAATTAAAAAAACATTACTAATCCGGTTCTCATACAAAATGCTGATTGCAATTCTAAATTTGTGTTCTATACACACAGCATTTCATGCTTGTAGGTAAGGCCAATGAGGTCAATGATAAGGTCGAACGTTGTAACATTCATGCACATCCACTCCTTATATTCTGGAAAGAGTGAAGCCCCCTTCGTTCCAATTGGGTTGGATTCGACCGACCCGTATCTTGCAGCAAGACGCGTTACAAATGCCGAAACAATTCCTTGGGTGGCAACCTCGCTAAGAACTGACAATGAGATCGAAATCATAAACAAAAATAAATTAATAATACTTCCGACTCACTATTTAAACCTGTTTTATAAATAAACCAACCTTCTATTTGCTTGGGCGACAAATCAAAAATGTTACCAGGAGGACCCTCCTCTGCAACCTGACCTTGTCCTCTCCCACAGGAAATGGCGCAAAGGACCCCCAATAAAACCATAACCTTTTTGTGCAACATTTTCGTTTTTATTGCTTTAATTATGAATTACTAGACTTGGGCACCAAGCTAAATTAATTGGGGACTGAATATGAGTATTGGACAATTAAACGTGCCCACTTTTTGCTATATATTATGCATTGACTTGTCCAGTGATAAGGAGATCAATACACACATATTGATAACCACGTCTACATATTGCGGATTGTAAATATAATTCTCATTAAATCTATTCCTCACCTTTGTGCAACTTCATACATATGTCACTCGTTCAAAGCAAGATCATCATTTATCGGGTGAGATATGCACAATTTTCCTTTTCCAACCAATAAAACAATTCAATCTTTGATAAACAGTTGACATTGTTGGACTAATCAGTTGAATAGTGTGACCAAGTCCAACACTAGAATATATAACTATACATATTATTCAAGAATGCAGGTGGCATGCAGGTGGTATTGAGCTTTGTGAGAATGCATAATATGTACAAAGTATGCGTGAGTTGATTGGGTATGACTACATAAATGCATATGTGCTTGACTATGCAAATAGGTAAGTCAGTATTGTAAATATTCTAATAATAAATAAGTAAGACAAGAATTTACTCTTCTTACGATGTTAAAAATAAATTACTCAAAGTAAATGGATGATATATGTAAGGATAACAAACATCACGGCACTGGAAATAATGGTTGGCTGCAATTGAGGAGCTCCTCCGGGGGACGTGGTTTCCGTGGAGCTGGGCGACACACCTGTCGTTCCCGTAGAGCTGGGCGACGGACCTTCCGTGGAGCTGGGCGACACACCTGTGGTTTCCGTAGGGCTGGGCGACGTACCTGTGGTTGGGGAGGTCACAGCGGAATCGGTAGTGATGTCGACTGGAGTTGTCGTTATCTCTGGAATTGTGGGCACGGTGGGAAATGGACATTCATTGACGCCAAAAGTACCCCAATCATTTACAAAATTTTTCCCAAAATCATTATCCGTAAGGATTAAGGTCGACGTAGATAAACTTCCAAATATCTCTCTCAAGTCAGTGTTGAGGCAGGCTGAATAAATACATACAAACCACAAGTTAGATGATTGTGCATGCATTTATCTGTGTTCATATTAAAATCTTATGAGCGATTTTTACCTGTCTGATTTTGAACAAGGTCTAGCACAGAACAATCCTTAAAGACAAATATACATAAATATAAACTTTTGTAAAATTTTAAATTTTCATTCGACGGAATTATTAATTGTCACGTAAATATTACCCACCTTAAAAATAATGTTTAGAATGCTAGGCAGAATCCCCGTAACAGTTTTGATAATAGGGATCAAGATGGTTTGCATGAAATTTTGTATTACTGGACCCAGATCATATAGACCCTCGTAAGTTGGTAATTCATTAGTTTCAATGATCCAATTCGCTATACAGATATAATCATGTGGTTTTCGAGATATCATGCAAGAAGGTCACATAAAATAATCTGTTGTTTTACCAATCCAAGTTATATTTTTATTTCCAAGAGAAAGTGTTATATTGTCAAAACGGAAAGGCTCGTCGAGTGGGAAGACCTTCGCCGTGGCCAAGAAGAAGAAAAATCCATCTTCCATATTAAAAGATGCGTCATGAGCTTCATGAGAAGTATTGAAACCGTCTCCCAATCCGAGTTCCATCCTATAGTCGCCTAAAATATCGACACGTGGCGTATCCACGGTCCATCTAATACTGAGGGGAAAGTCGGGGTGCTGGTCGTCAAAATAAATTCGTACGTTGTCCACTATTGTGTGAAGGCCGATTACTTCGAGGTCGGTCCTGAAACATTTAAACCATCAATCTAAGTTACAAGTTGTAGTCGTTTAATTCGTAATTACAGCATTTTGTGATGATAGCGGAGCCCAATGGTATCATCTTCGAATCCAAACTCGGTCGCATTGATACAGATATGTTCTGGATATTGTGGAAGTAAAGGGAGCCTATTTGTGCCAATTCCCTCAAGTCGATTTATAAATGCAGATATGATTCCTTGAGCTGCAATAGCACTGAAAACTGAAAATTATTCATTTCAGTAATAAATTAGTATTTTTAATCTAGACACCAGAATAATTTGTGTTATTGAATTGAGAGCTTATCCATTACATTCAATCTGTTTTTGTGAGAAGGTCAAATTATTTCCCAAACCAAACTCGTTTTGTGCTTGACATCCTTGTTTCCCAAAAAAAAGAGAACAAGAAGACAACCAGCAGTGGAATCAAAAAATTTTGCATTATGATCAATTTTGATATTAATATGTTTTACTAAGAACTCCAATCTTGGTTCCACTGACCACTCGACGACTGAAGCCAGCTAGCAATAATTCGTACTCAATATCCACTCGATCATGATATATAAATTGATAAATTGATACATCAAAACATTAATTCGGTGATAACTCAAGGTTTACTCAAGTGTAGCAAAAATCATCAGTTATAGGCTGCTTCTCAGATTGAGACACAATCAGTAATCAACTTTCCATGTCACTCCACTTCCGGCCTGCTTTTCTGACCAATATTCAATAATGAAATATTGATGAAATATTCAATACTTAGATAATAGATAACTTTTCCTGGGGTCCAGAGACTTAATGATAAATGACTGATACGTAGCCCATAATTTGATAAGCAGTCAGACATGTTACGAAGGAGAGAAATCATTTTCATATACGAAATTACTTATATAGCACATATATTGAATGGTGATTAGATGATCTGCTGCAAATTAATTAAAATTTACGACATACATAAAGTATTCCCAATTATTATTCATATGGTTGGTGATAAGCCGGGTAAATTTCGCAATTCGACTGATTGTAACATGACAATTCCAACGAAATCATAGAATTATTAAATTTAGGAAGAAGTAGTTTATTCCATACTATTATTGCTAACATGGATTACTGTAAAGCATGACTGACTGATAATTTTAAGTTCATAAAATTACGGACACTTTACGACCAGCACTTTTTCTTCAACCTCGATCCCTTCATTTGTCGCCCAGCCCCAATTGACGCTTGCACTTCGCACCCCTTCGGGCACCTGTACGATAACGGACTTTGGCATTTCTTGCTCCAACTCGTCGCGAACATGAAGGTTTAGTCGGAACGTGTTGGATGCCGTGGTTTTCAGAGCTATGAAACATAAGCACAAAAGTTTTTTGAATGATTTGCATAACATTTAGACCGCACATTAAAATATGTATCTCACCGTTCAATTCTCCACCAAAACTTCGAACCAGCACTTCCACTCGGACTCGATGAAGATCATCATTTTCACTCATCCCCTCAACCATGTGACAATTTACGTTTACCGATTTTAGCAACATTCCCCTTCCTGACACAGTAATTTTATACCCGTTGTAATTGATAGTATCGGTGGGAATGGATTCCTCGCTGTGAAAATCAATTTCGGATAGATATTAAATATTATCTATTATGAAAATCTCATATGAAGGAATATATGATTTTTCGAACCTCAAAAAATTTCCCATCCGCTGTAAAAGTCCTGATGGGAAAAAGTTGAAGATGTTGGTGAGTATTTCAGATTCATAATTTGTATCGAAATTGACATAGTTTAGGAGGGACGACATTCTCGATTCGTCAGTCATTGATGACGAAATCTTTCTAAAAAGCTCTTCCTGCACAACGGTCGATGTGGTCCTCGCCAGCATTATTTCTTGGTGGGCATTATCTGTCTCTCCTGGAAGCTCCGTTTTAGTCACGTCCAAATGGGTTGAGATTGTCCGACCTGACCTTCTTCCCCTCTTTATGAGTGTAACGGTCGGGAGCTTGGTGCTGGAAGTTGTGACCGTAATTGGTGGCGAGAATGGAAGCTGGAAGATCTTGTAATGTGGGAGGAGCGAGAGAGTTGTCGTTCTTGTGGAGTGGTTTGGAGTGGATTGTGGTGTGGGTACAGCGGGTGGTGGTGTTGATGAAATTTTGAAAATTCTATTGTTATTCACATCTACGGATTGAGGTAGGATTTCAATTTATTTATGTTCATATGCATCACCAGTTTGGATTGGATAACAATAACCAACCCAATTCAAATTCCTCATCTTCAATTGGGCCCATGGCTGGACTCTCTTGTTCTCCAACTGGGCTACACTTGACTTTGACATCGTTTTCGTCTAGACAGAAAGGTATTGATGAAATAGTGACACAACGTATAAAAAAACTCAAAAACAAGTACCAACCGATGGTGGGAATCGTTTTCAAATCCAATACGGCATCTTCTTCAACGGTCAAACCCACCACCACTTCTACGATTCCATGTAAATTATTAATTTGCGAAAATCCATTCGTACGATAGCTTACCTTCAATCTCAGGTGTTTCTCTCAAAATTTCCAGAATTTTTCTGGAATCTGAAACGCTTCGACGTCTGCTAGAGCTGAGAGATCGTGATCGAGCCGAATATAAAGGAATTTTTGACATTTTTCAAGCCTGAAATTTTGAATACAAAAATTTTGCGGAAATAATAATAAAATTTTACTTGGCTTGTGTGATTTGCCGTAATTGTTAATTTGTTACTGCAAATGTGGCACAGTTGTCAAAGTGATTTGACAAAGTTAAAGTGACCTTGTCAAAATGCATCGCAGGATATAAAGTCACAGGAATTATTGAGATGAATCCAGTATCTGTTCATTTATCAGAAATTTCATCCATGCTACTAATTGATTTGTATCCGTCATAAATATCTACTCATTTAAGTCTCGACATATATAGTTTTTGCACCATTTTCAGAAATATATTTAAAATGCATGTAAAATGTATTACAAAATTGCCATTCCACAAGTGAATAATTTTCAGTATTCATCATTATTTACAGACACTTAAATTTTGACATTTAACCGCCATGCATGTACATATTTAAATCTGTACATATACACAGATTCTAAATAGCCGACCTTTCAATCCAATAAGACCTGACCACTTGTCCGATACCTTCATGTCATGCCAGAAAAAGTACAAATTGTCATGAAATAAAATTGTTTTGTTCCAGCATAATTGGATATTTGTTCTCATGTTGTACCCAACCACAAACGTATACTTTATCCGTCCGTCCTTCAGTAATAGGACAAAGAACACGCATTCCACGATAATAATATAATTCCAGTTCTCCTTTTCCACACGCTGACACGATATCCATCCAGACACAAATGCATATAAGTAACATTAGCTTCTTACCAGTCTCAGCTGGTTGTTGAATCCATTCCATTTGATTAGTGTAGTGTGAAAAATTATCGATTTCTCATGTATTCCGTGTGTACATACATGCATGAAAATATATCTCTAGTATGCATACAGTATTCATTATACATATTTTTCTCTTTGGCAGTGAAAGCATATCCAAACTTAAGTGCCTTTCATCAGCGTCATGAGGATGCACTCAACCAGGACGATAACTATTGACATTGGATTGGAAGCTATTTGTACTATTCACTATATATAACTTTCTATTCTTCAAGTGCTAGATACACACAAGGAACATCAGCACAATAGATAAAATGTCAACCCAGATACATAACTAGGGAAAGAAAGTTTGTGGTTAGTACATGTCCGAATTTCATATCGAAAGGTTTGCGATAAAACCTGAGACAAAACCTGAGACAAAACGACGCCATATAAAATAAATTAATAGAGAACAAAAAAAAACTGCTCTTCAATTTTAAACCGAGTACCCAAGTATTTCCCAGTTTTCTACCTCTTAAATATACCTAAATTTTTGAAATTATTAAAAACTAGACAATGTGTGATGACCTCGATGACTTATTGCAATGCGCTATGTGCGCAGCGTGTTGTTACGCGTGTTGTATGTGCTGCAAAGGTAATAACGGTAATTTGCACATAAAGTTTCGAAATATAATTACTGATTGTATTTATGTATTGTTTTCAGGAGGCGGAACTGGAAATAACGCTATGGTGCATCATCATCCCGGCGTTGTGATGCAACAACCCGGCGGGTACTATCCCCAGCAACCTGCGCCTTATTACGTGCAACAACAAGCACACGGACCACAAGGGGGCTACAATTTTGGACCCCAACAACATCAAATGCCGTTGCAGATGAAGGGTCCACCAGGAAATGATCCATTCCTCGCGTACCCACTGCCATCAGCCCCACAACAGTATCCACCACAGGGGCCTCCTCCCCCTTATCCGTATCCTGCGACTGCTCCATACGCGGCTTATCCTCAACAGCAGACTTACCCACCAGCCTACGAAGGGATATCGCAACAAAAGTTCTAGATAAATAAGTGAAACAGGGATTACAGATGTATTCGACTACTGATTAATTAAAGTATAAAATTACGAGTACGTCAAGTAATATGTGTTAGTGCGATTGTTATCATATTTGAGTTTACGTACATAAATAATAAATACAATAAAAAAACTGGGTTATTAAAACTACGTAAAAATCGAATAAGAAGTTTACGACTGTACAACGTCTGTATACATATTTATTTCAATTAGTGAGTATATAACCTAGTCATCTACATGATAACCAATTGAATTGTGTAGGTACTTATTACATACTTATATTGTTCCTGTGGGCTTAATATAAATTAGAAACTTAACGGGATTGATTTTCTCGAAATTGGAAGCATTAATTCTCAATCTAAATATTCAACTGTACATATTTGTTGAGCAAGATAATGATTGTGTCCAGATTCTGGACTCCAGAATGGACAATTTAACACGATGCCTACATACACAAATGTATGTACATATTCACACCAACCCAATCAATCACAAGTCCAGCAAGAGTGAATATCTGAATATGTATATTATCCATTATGGCTAAATTATTGTCATTCCTGTTAATTTTTGTAAGTACGTAAAACAATTCCAGGTAGTGACTACGCAGTTATAAATAATCCCATTAATAGTGCATGGATAGACAATAGCATGTGTGCCTGGGTTTATCATAGGTTTCATTAAAAAATTACCTTTTTCTGAGACAGTTGTTACTTTCTCTATACAAGTTTATGTAGCAGTGGAGAATCGAGTTTTCATTATTATTGTCCACATTTTTAATATACATATTTGATAATTTGACACAATTAAAATATATTTTCCCTATTGATTGACATCTTCCTTCTATATATATGTACGATATATGTACGATAAAGACCACTGACACATTTTTATGAATGTCTAAACCAAGCAATATCCACATTACACATTGCAGATCGTAGAATGCCAATGTCAATGCGATGTTAACAAACTCTTAACTACATAATTTAACTTAACGTGACGTTAAAAATACTGCATCCCGTACATACATACCGTATTATTGTCTTAATAAGCATCTCGTACAAACACTGACCTCTCCTCCATATACACACATACAATCTTGGTTTATCTCCATGTATTTCTATTCAACATTCTTTAAATGACCAACTCCTTTTCACAACAGTTAAATATTCGTAGATATACTCTTATCTATCCTTCGGAGTATTCTCTTCATAAAAAATTCTGTTATCAAATAAGGCAAATGAGCCTATCGCGCTTGTAAAATCGTACAAATTGGCTCTATAGATAACTTTTTAAAAAGTCCAAAACATGATTTCAACTTTTAAAATCCTTGAATCCGGTCATGGATCCACGCTGCATGTTTCTCCACCAAAAGGAGACAAAGACTTGCCAGAATCTCGTTTCACATATACCAAGAGTAGACGGGATTCTCCTCCTCTTATACCACGCTTCGGGCAAACATTATGATGTGAATCTCTTTAACTCTCCAGCATTTCTCTTTAGTTGCACCCCAACTCCTCTCCGATCCACATCTAAAACCAAACCCTCTCGATCTACTTCTTCTACAGTACCCACATTCATTCTATTATCTCACATGGTAGAAAGAAAGAACAAAAGAGAGTGAGTGAGAGAGAGGGGAAAAGAAATTCATTTCTAAAATTTATTTTACATGCCCTCCAAGCCGTGATAAAGAAGAAGCTATGCAAATTTCCTCCTGAAATCCATTTTAAACACGGCCTAGGATTGAAGCAACAAACTGTGCAAACATTAGCAACAGAGGAAATGTGGAGTGTGTTGCACATTTTTTGTCGGACTTGTTTTGCTGCAAGTTAGTGAACTCGAAGACTCATGCATCCGCTCATACTCGTTCTGTAAAAAGTGTGTTTTTTTTATTTGGACAGAATTTTAAAGTTATTTGCTAAGCTGGAACTTGAACCAGGTGAACAACAGAAGGGTGGGTTTTACCAAGGTAAGGAAATTTTTCGGTTTATTCAAATTGATTAGTAACATATATTCATAGTGAGTATGACGAAGAAAATTAAGTGAGAATAAGCGCTATTACTCATAATAAATGCATAACTCATGAGTAATACAGAATAATGAGACGAGCGAGTTTGGTAATTTCTCAGTAATGAATAATGCTTAACAGTGATTAACAAATTGCGTGGGATTGATTTTGCGGTTTATGTACGTATGCACAATACTTTGATTGGCTTCTATGAAATTACATTGTATTATTTCTTGGGCCATGATTCAGAGTTACATGTTCGGAATAATTTCATTATTTTCTTTTGTTACTTGAAAAACCAAGTCAATTAAATTCGTTGATTAGATTAAATCATGAGCTTGTACAATTGAGTCACAGGTTATGATGACATTAGTTCTGTCCATTTCTCCCCTTGTTAACAAAGTAATATGTAAATAAGTAAGTACAAGAATTTATTTTTCTTTGTTCCGTTCTTTCATCTCGCTCACTCTTTCTGCTCATCTGGTCTGGTCTGGCTTTGGTTTTTGGCTTATCGTTTCTTAAACCGAGTTGCAGATGATACACAAATAATATGGGCCGAGTGGGTCTCGCTTGTTCTCAAGTTTTTTTTTGTAATGCTGCGTTATTACACATAGTACTTATTTCGTCAATATATCATCTGCTTGAAGAAACCACCTTGCTCTTGTGGCATCGAGAATCCATGTCTTATCTACAATTTCCATCTGTCAGTTGCATGGCATGGTATATATGGTGGTTGGTTTATTAAATAGCTGTTTAGTCGGTTTGGTATGGTATGGTTTGCTGCGTCCATGTGAGATGATCCTTCTTCCTTCCAACAAAGAAAACCTTTTCTTCGGCTATGAGCATGCACTGCTGTTTCTTGCATTCTTTCTTTAAGACCATCTTACAAGAAGTAAACGAAGAAGGCTCATTTTACATGACGTCGAAACCATATGCATTTTACATTCCATACCAACCAATGAAGGTTATGCAGGCAGGCAGGCAGGCAAGTACGTATGTACTTGTCCCAATGATTCTTTGTCCCATCCAGCAAGTTTCTGAAGAAATGTTGACTTTTATATTTTTGAAGAACAAGTAGTCAAACTTTGGTAAAGAATTTTAGTACAGTTTTACTCTTAATTGGATCCCACACACAATGACGTCGGGGTCTTCTTTCTTGGGTTGGAAAATCACACATCCCTGTAAAGTGCTATTAACCCGTGAGATAGACATGCAGACACAGACGGAGGCAGAGAGAGACCCTTAAAATCCTACCCATCATCATCATTCCACACCACGGCACTTGTCTGTCTCGGCCAGAAATAGAAATAGAAATAAATAGCTACATAAGCTCCAAAGCAATTCATTGTTCCTCGAAATAAGAAGGGACGACCCTTGAACACATCACAGTACTTTTAACAATTCCTGCGTTATCATCATCGTAGAGCTGCTGCGGCCGAGATTTCTTCTTCTTCTTGGTCTTGAGAAAGGAGGGAAGGGAGTGGACCCTTGTCACTCAATTTTCTTGATACAGAGAGCCCTTCTTCTTCCATATATCTGGCAGTACGTTTAGTTCTCTTGCTCCCTGGATGTTGGATTGCTCCTTTCTTTCTTCTCGATCCTGCTGGCTGGCTGGGTGCATGTTGGGCTGAATCATTTCTCATTGTTCTCCGTAGTATAAGACGAAGAATCATGGATTTCGTGCTCTGAAGTAAGGTTTACAAACTTTAGCCATAGTCACATAGAAAAAGAGAGACGTTCATAAATTCTGTAGATATTCTGATCAAAGGAAGGAATGCATAGTTGTTGCGGGCATTCTTGTTTAAATTTGCAACAACGAGGTAGTTTTTCCGTAATACAGTAAGGTAGCAAAAGCACCATCCAAGTAACAGGAATTCGTGAAACCCAAATAATAATTGGGCTTAGGAAGGACGGCTGCTGGTTGTTGGGAAGAATAAGCAAAGCAGGGCATGATTATTTCTGAATATAATGAGACCCTCATCAGCCTGCCTTATGGATGGATTTCATTTGTCTGAGGACGAGCGAGCCTTTTGGCTTCCTTCTCTATTCCAATAAGTCTCTCTCTCTCGTCGACCCCTGGATTAGACTGAATGCGTCATATGCAAGGATCTGTCCACTCTAGTCCACAGAGTACAATTTCCAATTGCACAGCACACCAAGGGAGTATTCAACTAGTTATTTCCCCTGACTGGCTTGTGTCTGTCTGTTCATGGCATTGTTGGAAGACCGATTATAAAATCCCTTGGTTCGCATGTGTATATATGTATTCGTAGATATGCACAGTTGTTGGTGACAGAGCCGGTAAATAAATAATGTGGATATGATGATGAATTTGGATGGATATACGTCTATAGTTTGGCTCTTATGCACGCTGATCTTCTTTTCCCCAGCCGATGCCCAGAGAGACCTAACCAACCATCGACGTGCATATATAAATACACTTGTTCTTTGTTCATCATAAAACACATTACTCCTCAGTCTGTTGAACAACGACTGGACTGCTGAACACGATATTGTGTTTCACTCGCACGCCACAGCTCAATATTTTTCATGGTGGACGCACAATCAATCCATTTGTGCAGCAAACTCAAGTTTTTAATGATTTTAATTAAGAAAGGTTTTAAAAAGTTCGACTAAACGACCAAGTACGTTTTAATGTGAGTATACTTATTGATTTCCATAAGATAATAATGAGTAATGGGGGTTCGGACGTTGCTCCACTAGTCCTTGAATAGGAATGACTTACACATTTGTGTAGTTATTTAGCTGGTTGTGAATGTATGTAAAGTTTGGTGACATTGCTAGTTTGGAAGGCGACGGGTCTATTAAACTCACGACGACGACGACGACGGATAATGATCCCAGGTAGTAAGTATGTATGTAGATTAGAGAAACTAAGTTTGGTCCATGAAATTGATTTATTAAGTACTGCCATGTGACAAAATAAACAGAATTGGTTAGCTGGCTACTGCGTCTCATTATGTTGGACATGTGTTGTATGGAATATTTTGTGTTATCGGTCAGTAGATAAGAAGGGACACCACGCACGCAATCAAGTGGCTAGTACATAGAACTTACATATATATGAACATGTGAGGTGCAATGTAAATTATTTGTCAATTATATAAATAATTTGTCTTGTTGGGTGTTATTGCATTATTGCAAAATTCAAAGTTTAAACTAAACTACAATCGTTGTAATTTTTCTTGCAGAAATTCGTCCAGTCTTCATCATCCATCGGATACAGAACTCTTCCCTTTACCAAAGCACACAACAATTTTTGCCATAATAGTGAGATAGTGAGTGTACAAAGTAACAGCACATAATATTTATTTACATGCAGTGCAATTCCTTTTCCTGAGTAAATTGCATATTGGTGACGGATCAGAGTCTCAATTATATTTTCTACAAAAATCTACAATCTACCTAACCCATCACACCAACAGCAACAATTTCTCATTCTCGGGAAAAGAGCCAACTCACAATGGAAGCATAATTACGTATTGTTGTCTGTGCTTCTTGTACTCCTTCATTATAATTTTTGCTTAATAATTGTGCGAGCAATAACCAACAGCACTTCAAGTGGTCAGATTTTATTTTCTCACTTGTTCCACGAAAAAATGGATCGAAGCAGCAACTAAATACGAGAAAATGGAGTAAAAAAACTAGTGAATACTAAAGCCCAGTCTTCAAACCCCATTGTCTCAACCTTCCCCCTGTCCCCACCCACTCACTTACTCCATACCGTCTGTCAAAAAAATGCTTCGTCACGCCTCTTCAGCCTCTACCCCCACCTCGACCAAACCCGTCGACTACTTTCGTCCCCTAATTGTCGACGTCTCCGTGGAGTACGAGCTGCCCAAAGAGGTCGCACCTCCCCCTGGGTCAGCCCCACTCTTAATCATCCACCCTTCTGCGTACTATCCATCCCGAAATAGTAAACCATCCTCCACAACTGCATCTGCGACATCGTCCCTTCTCAGCCCACGACCGACATCATTCAACAATTCGTCCGTTCTGGGACCTTCCATTCACAGCAATGCAGCCTCAAATACCTCCAACTCCTACTACTATTTACGAAGTGCCAATAATATTTACGGTCAAATTACACAACCGCAGCCACCTCCTCAACTCCAACAGCAGAAGCAACATGGTGGCAGTAATGCGAGACAGTCATCATCTTATTCGACGTCCTCGGTGTCGAGGTCGCGCTCCATGTCACTCGCGGTAGGATCAGGGCGACGCCAAACATCGGTGGGCACGAACACGACAAATAATTCGTCCTCCATGATAACAACGACTACCTGCACTGACCCGTCTTGTGACAAATGTTACGTCGTCCAGCAACAACAACCTCAACTCATGGAGCTTGATCTCACCCCGTCGAAATCCAACACAGCAACTTCCAATAGCAGTAGTAGCAGTAAAAGACTTCGGAGGGATAGAGAGAACCAAATGCTTCTTTTAGACCCGATCTCTTCCTCTTCAGCTTCTTCCTCGCAACCACTAAATTTGTCGGCGGCGAGCATGTATCTTGGACCAAGTTTGTATGCGACTGGAGGAGTGTCTTCCGGCGGGGGTGGGGTGGGAGTCAGCAATCCACTCTATAATAGGAAGCAGAACTCTGGAACGGCTTCATCTTCCGTGGCACAAAGTGGAATATTCCAAATGATTAATAACGTGTATGCTCAACAGCAAGTTGTCGCAGCGGCGAGTGAGAGACTCATGTTGAAGGAACAGGGGCCGAAAGGGAGTGGTTCGGACTCGGGAGTGTGTTCTGAGAACGAGAGTGATGTTTCACCGTCAACTAACAATTCCAATAATAATAACAACAATAGTAGGAGATCATTGTTTTCGCATGATGTTGGATCCAGTTCGGCAGGTGAGTGTGCAAATAAATGTATAAATATTTCAATAACAGTATGTAGGGCTGTGCTGAATTGTGGATTCGGTCCATTTTACATGTAGTACATTCACAAATAGATAAGTAGTAGTAGAATTGATGAGATGGCGTCTCACACAATCAGATTTTGTTGGTGCATGGCTTCTGACACGATTATTGACATTTTCTCCACATGATGCCACATTAAACGAATTGACGGACATTATAGATCGTCGATCCATATCCTACCTGTCTGACTCAAATTGGCGACATGATTTTATTTCTCATATTGTTGTCACCACTCACTTTATTCTTGGCTCGTTCAGCGTTCCCAATCTACTTATTTATTGACTTTTTTTAAACATTTTGGTATATATACACATATCAAGAGCATGTCGAATCCATGCGTATAGCATGAAACATTAATACCATTCTTATGTACATATACTTATTCCAATCCTTAAAATCCGTGCATGATTTACGACACTGTACGCAAAAGAAGAACACGAAACGTTTTCCCAAACGGTAACAACCTTGCCCTTTTACCTTTGCTTGCGTAGAATAAAATGTTGGGAAAAGTCCTTTGTGAAATTTCCGCTTTTGCTCCTCTATCCAGACTTGTGGAGCCTGAAAAAGGATTTTAGGATTCAGCAGAAGCATAGAATAATTGCTCCATCCCAAAAAAGAATACGACCCAATAACAACTTTCTTTTCGAGGAATACATGGATGGAGAGGTACTCCCAGGTTTAGGCCGACATACAAGACCTGCATAATTTCCTACCTTTGTGCATTATCATTACTACAACAGTTTTGGGATGAGGTTTTGGCTTTTTGGGTACATGGAAATTGACTCTCAAGTCCATACTTGCACTTTACCGTGCTCGGGGCAATGGGAAGACATGCATTTATTTCGGATAGAATATTATAAGATTCGAAAGACCAAGGTACAGAAATATGTATCTATGCGCTGGATGTGAAGAACTCCACAAACGAAAGATAGGGTTGGAGAGATAGCACTTATCCTTATTTCAGCTGTAATTTGGGGCAGTTGTTTCTAATGGCTGAGTACCAAACTCATTACCATGTTGGCTGCTAATCTCCGTAGGTAGTTTGCGTTGCGTCCCCGGTATGCAGCTTGGGTTTAAATGAAATTATAAGGGTTTTGGCTACGTGTCAGATTTGTGTTCCGCTGGACGGAATACAAAGAATGAATAATATTATTAAACAAAAAGGTGCATACTTATCAAGTTCACACAACTTGGAATTTTGAAGAATATTTCGACATCGTCTCCTTCCTTACTTATTCTGTATGTATAATAGATATTGTTGCACAACACAACTGGCTTCAATATTGTATACCTAGTTTCATACGCCTTGACTGGGGGAGACAGGTCATAAATCCCCCGTAAATAAATAAAATGAACATTTATTCCTTATAAGCGTCCAAGAGAACAAAAGGTATTTCAAGATTCCTTCAAAGCGGGCAGGCTAATAGGAAGTGTAAATTAGAGAGAAGGTCAGGTCCAGGTCAGCGTTATAGTTACCAGAAGGGAGCGAGAGGTTCCAGAACCAGACCCAACATTTATTTATTTATTTCTTCCCAATTGAACAAAAGAGCAGAACAAGAAGAACTTGTATTTCTTACATAAGAGAAATCTGAACCTTTCCCTGCCTGCCTGCAAGGGAATAACGAAGGGAGTCGCAACATCAGCACGAACGAATGCGAAGAGTATATACATACGTACAATCTGTATAGTTAATAATTGGGCTTCAGACCGTGGACGTGTCTACTTCTATACTTGCATTTTGTAATAGTGGGCAAAAGCAGCAAACCGGGATTATTTATGCCTTTATTGCTCACAAGGAAAAAGAAAACATACAACGTGTCCAAAATATTTAAGAGGTTGGCAGGAAGGAAAGAAGGCTACAATTTCAAAATGGGTAATGGACAATCAGTTCTTAATGCATGGTCAGTTAAAGTAAAAATTCAGTGTCACAATTTTGGCCACAAAGGCTAAAAATCTGGGACGAACCTTTAATAATCCAGACCTGCAATTACTAACCCTTAAACTATTGTCTTATCCTTGAGGGATCTTTGTAATTTCAAAATTTCAAAAAGTCCATCGTCTCTCATCCACCGTACTAAACCGCATCCAATCCAAATTGTTTATTCGTTCCTGTTATATTTACAAGGCTGTAAGATTGTGATTGTATAATTTTATGACTTTGTTCACTTTGTTCAGAATGTGATGCTGTTACAAGTGAGCACATGCATTTACAAAATCCCTTTTCTTCACAGTGTTATTTTTTCCTCTCATGCCCTTCATTCAGTTCATCTCGGAAAGTAAAGCATAGTATAAGAAATGAGAAAATGAGATGAGACAATGTTTGGTTGAATACTTGTTACTTCCTCGCTCCGTGGTTCTAAAATCGTGTTAAGAAAGGAGCATGCAAACGAAAGACTTCCTTTCCTCACATATTAATATTAAAGCAGTAGGTACACACATAAATACGCATGTACGTAGGAAGAAGAGAGGTTATGTGCTGGAGGATGCAATAATGCAGGTGAAACTTGACAAAGGATGATGATTGTTCCAAGCTCTCACACAACCTAGCAGCCAGGTCTTTGGGTTTGAAGCTTCTCGTCTGGCAGTGAATTGAGGGTTGGATTTAGGATTGGATTTTGGTGAAGGCCTGCCGAGTTGGTTGGTAGTGTTGTCTTGTACAAAAAATATTACCTGGTTGCATTACTTTCAAAGTAGCAGGACGACGACGATGAGCAGCTGAAGAAGAAGTATAAAGTTTTAACATTGTATTTTAAACCAGGTTTTTTTCTCTCTCTTTCTCTTCGTTCGTGCTGCGCTGATGTGAACGCTGTTAAAATATAGTTGCATGGGAATAAAGAAGTTATGTATTTATGAACCAGGATACGTGGCATGGTGGACTTTGTGGGAGAAGGATGATGAATGTGAAGCAATGGTCTTTTAAAGTATTGATTGGAAATTGGAGTAACACAATGTAGTGTCAGCAACAGTATCGCTCAAATATAATGCAACAATGGTATATGAAATTTGACAATTGACGGATTTGTTATACGTAGTGTCCACTTGCACAATGCACATGCACACCTGCGGGTTATCTACTAGCCAAGCTATGCAGTTGAATTTTGTAAAAGCACGGATTATCGCGAGACATTTATGTATTTACTTATTTGAAACAACTCAACAGGCAGACAGGGATTAAGCGATATGTAAAAGGTGACTAAATGAGTTTTAAGCACCACACATATTATTTCTCATTTACTTAGTTTGTAAAGGAGAAAGTCAAAACTTTAAGTTGCATTCCTATTAAGAGTAAATGGAATCATGCATTTACTATTTTCAGCTCGAAATTGCTTATTTTAAAATTCGTAATTAGCATAAACCCAATGTCCTATCAATGTCACGTCCTTCATCCTCAAAATTCTTTCCACATTGGAAATCTTGCGACACAAACTAAATTGAAATTCCAAACCTCTTTCTCCATTTCTCCCCATCATGAATTTTAAAACCTCTAATGTCAAGGGCTGTTCCATAAGTCTCGCACCAGGCGCACATACATAAATACCAGTCTCATAGTCTCGCACAAAGGAAGTTTGCATTTACTTAGCCATCGTATTTCACATCCCATATCCTCAAATTCTCATCCACCCCAAGCACAAGCAAACGCAACCTAGTCGTACTTATACACCGTAGTAAATATGTAGGCAGTTAATAACAGAGACGGGAAGCAGGACAAGCGGAGTAAACTAAACTTTGAAGAACGGCAATATGCAATGCAGAGAAATTCATTCCATGTAATCCACCATCACCGTCTGTCATCACCAGGAAGAATGGCATCCATCCCGACAGCAGCCCTCCGCATAACTCTCCGTGGGTGAAGTGAACCAACATTATTATTGCATAGCTAGCTGCTACTTCTTCTACTTCGAATTCAGCATCAAATATGAAAACCAACAATGCAAATACTTTACCTATGCACTTTACAAAAGTATGTACAAAGCAAGTAGACGGCATAAATAAATCTCGATTCTCACACAACCCAGAGCAAACCTTTGGATCGAGGAAACTTGTGAATTTTAACAAAGCCAAGAATTTCCAAAGTACTAAAGAACCACCATTCACAATTATTTGCACATGAATGAACATCTCCCAGGAAAGAAATATATCCATGTTTGGTTGTATATACAGTTTATCTATGTATGCATGTAAAAGTAAAGCAGCAGCGTTTGGTTTCGTTTGGTGCGTTATTCGTTCCGTGTTCAACTTTTTCTCCACGTTCTTAAATATTTTTGTCCATTTTGGGCAAAATTTTGTCGAAGCACGGTTAAAATTTTTATTTTACTCGGAGAATTTCTCGTTAAGACGGTTGTATAATATAATTCTTTCTTGCCCGTCTTGTTGGATTGCAACACTATAAAACACATACAAACATGGACAAGAGATGAAACTAGCATAAAATCAAATCTGTCCAACCAAACGTGTCGTTATCTCGTCAGATATCCGAGTGAGAATCTTTTATAGTTGTCCCACTCCACCCTTGTTTTGTTTTGTAGTAGGGTTGATGCCGGTATCATAAATGTATTTAGGCAGCAAAGTGAGAGAGAGGACCATCCACAAATTGTATGTGCGTCTTCCATCCCCAACCGAGAATAGATTTCAATCCAAACTGCATCCCCCAAGGAATTCATTAATGAGAGAGAGAGCAAGATTTCTACTCCTCCTTAAACAAAATCTGATCTATTATCCACGAGAGAGAGAAGGTGAAGCCATTGCATCGCATTTTACTGGAGCCTTTCCTTTGTTCTCTCTCACTCGATCTTAAATAATTCTCACACTTAAGAGAAGAAGAAGAAGAACCACGGCGTCCCGGCAAGCACTACACAATCTCATTCCATTCTAAAAAGTCTCTCGCCTCCTTCGCCTCGCACTCTGGTTACAGAACGTTGCATCGTCTCATCAAATATAACGTCGGTCGGGACGTGTGAATGCAGCTTGTATAATAATAATCGGTCCAAATATGTAAGTAATCCTGAGGACGAAATGTACCCGTAATAATCATACCCCGGAAAAATATTTTTTTATCCTACCCTACTCGTGTTGAGCTCAACATGAGTAGGGTAGGATAAAAAAATATTTTTCCGGGGTATGGTAATAATGTTACGATTCCGTATCAAAAGTCCAGTTCAGTCGTGTCCGTCCATCGACTAAGACTGCATCGTATAAATGCACGGCTAATGCCCCGTCATACATATTTGAAGGTTATGCAACACATTTTCTTGAATGGAATTGATGATAACATCCACACTTTCTTCTCGTCGCGTCGTCGTTTCCGAGATAATTTCTTAATTCTCGGTTAGAGCCGTGGGGATGGTGAAGTGGTTCTCCGGAAATGAATGATGATGACTCTGAGAACACGACACTGAGCAACTCTCTCTCTCTGCTTGGTCTGGTGGTGCGGAAGCCAGCCAAGGCCGGAGTGGTGGGGGAGTTGTTGGCGGAATGGGAAAGAGGGTTATCATCGGGACGGGAGAGGGAGAGGGTGGTTTTGTGGGTGGGCACAGGGTTGTCTCTCGCTCTCTCTGGATAAGTGAGATCTCGAGTTTCGAGAGTTAGAACTTGGAGACGAGGAGGGGCAACACGTGCATCGATCCCAACATAAAGTTTAGCAGGGTAGAATCGCAGCTAGCGATGTTCGTACATAGCTCCCATCGCATTTTGTTCCTTCGTTTCGCTTTACTTTCCTCCTGGGCTCTCTGGTGGCTTTATGTTTGGGCAGGAATATATAAGGTTGCAGAAGCAGGGCTCAAGTTTGAGTGAATGATGCGATGGCTGACGACGATGGCAAATGCAGGCATAGGAAAAGCAACACTCTGAAATTCAAAAGGGAAGGTTGGAAATGAAATGGAAATGAAATGTTTTTGGAGAGATCAAGTTATGAAAGTTCAGTATTGAACTTGAAGATTATGGATTGACTATGTATTTGTGTGATTTTGGATCATTTTAAAAATAAAACACGTCATACGCGTGGTTCCAGGAGCGGATTGTGTGTGCATAGGGACAGATAGACGCAATCCATTATCTCTGTCAACCTCACTCACTGCTTTACTTTTGACCAATAAATTCACTTCTTTTTTACCAACGGCAGATATCTTTTCTTCCAGATTTTCCCATACTGCCTTTTTGTTATTGTATTCGTTTCCATTCTGCATATCATAATGTGCTCCCTTCATAAAGTAATGATTCCCTTTTGAGTTGCATGGTAGTCGTCGTCGTCGTGGTGGATTGGTTTAGTTTAGTTGGATGGTTTTTATGCCGGTTTTACTTACTTCTCTTTTAACCGAGCCCTCCTCCTTCTCGTAGCAGAATCTGTGATGGTTTAGTTAGTTTAGTTAGTTGGCTAGGCTCTCTTGGAGGAGGAAATGATGTTTGGTTGTTGGGAACTAGCTAGCTAGGGAGCTGTAAACTATTTGTCATGGCCCAACTGGATCCAATCCAACCTTGGCTGCTGCTGGATGGAAGGATATTATTATACGAACCAAGAACCAACTCAAATTACAAATTACAACTGGACACATACACCACACACACCGTCGTTACTTGGGATTAGCCAGCCTGATATAGCATTACACACATCCGGCCAATCTCAATTTCAACCCAGGCTCAAACTAGCAAATGTTTTGAAACTCTCTCTCTTCGAACATGATCACCCCTTAAATTTCTCACCAAAATTCTCTCATCATTCATGATACGATGCCAACCAAGAAAAGTGGTTACAGTTAAGGAGATGACTTAACTTTTAGACATAAGTTTGTACATAGTTTACACTTGGTGTTGTCGGCTTTCGTATTCGTCGTCTCAATCCATGATGCTTCTCTTTTTCTTCTATCCGAGATGCCCTTGTTTATTATCCGAGTCGAGTTCAAAGATGATGGAGAAGGTGTCGGAGACTTCTTTGTAGTCCGCGAGTAAAAAATGTTTGGATTTGGGGGACGGACAAATTTCTTCTGGCGAAAACATGGTCTTGAACATTACAAATTTTCACAAGCATGTCATATTTTTTTTCTTTTAGAAAATTTTCATGAAAATATGTATCAAAATGTCGACAACAAATTTGTGCAAAATTCTTAAATGTATTCATTTAATTCCAGGTTGCTACTGCTGCTGCTGTCCCCACCCAAGTGGGAGCGATTCATCCCGCTCCAACAGTAACAAGACTGCCTCGTCGACTTCTTCCACCGTGAAATCGTCCTCATCTCGTCTCGCTGGAGGAATAGGAAGAAGTAGTCGTTCCTCCAAATCATCTCAGCAACAGCAACACCTCATCCTCAACCCGACCCCACTACCTCAATCCCACCAGCAACACCCCCATCACCACTCCCACTACTCCTCCATCCTGGGAGGATTTTCGTCATCCACGGCGCCAATGGACGCTTCTCCCGACACCATGATGATTGTTCCGATGGACTCGTCTCCTGCAGCGTCTTATCGCCATGCTGCGAAATGGTTTGTTCCACCAACTTCGACCGATTTTGGAAGGTGGTTCCAGGTCTGAGCAATTATGAGAAGAAGACGAATACGATGAAGGAGAAAACCACATGACAAGATCTCCATTCAAGACTGATCCAATCCAAGCTCGTACTAGATACATACATATTATGCATATACACCAACATAAAACCAACCCACTACTGCCACGATAATCTATAATTTGGGGTCAAACAAGGAATCAAGCAAAAAAATTTCATAATCAATACGTTTATTAAGTTCTAAGTCGTATATATTGTTCAAGAACAGGGGTATGTATGCACAATGCTATTTCTCTTTGTTTCTTTTTTGTGTTCAACACGAGAATAATAATGCAGCCATATCACACGATCACACAATGTGTGTAATAGCGTGGATTCCACACTACACACATTGTTATACATATATAATTCATATGAATGTAGCATATTTTGTTTAATATTAGTTTGTAAGGTTGATAATTTTTAAATTTGTATTCCTTATTATGCCAGTTTTTTAGATTTGGAATGGAATATTTTATTCTGCTGCCATGTTTCATTTTTTCTGTCATATGTATGTATGTCGTATTCCCTTGACTGAATCCGTTTTTTGAAGTGTATATGGATCATCAGATTTGAGTTGATTAGGCCATAAAACATTTTGGTCGATGGATGAATTCGGATGGGGTAGTAGTGAATAAGCAAGGGTGGCGGAGTTGTATGTACGAGTCCTCTCGTACCGTGGGGTGAGTGACTGACTGAGTCGAAAGGAGATTCACCATCTGGGAAATTCATGAGGAAAAGGGGGAGGCTCTTTGTGGAACAAGTAGCCGTAGAAAGTTGCGTAATACGTAATTCCCTCCCGGGCTTTGGCAAGTATGGCACCCCAGCCAGCCAGATGAGTTGCTTTCTGCATTAGGACCACAGCCATGACATCGGAGTGGACGTGATCGTAAAGAGAAAGGCAGAATCAAAAAAGAGAATATCGAATAAGCTTGAAAAAATACAGGACAATGGGAGACAAAATCTATAACTTTATGCACACCAAAAGTCCCCAAGAAGCATGTGTGCATATGACTGGATAGAGCTTTGTTCAAGTTGTGTTACATATTTTTAATTACAATCAAGAAGATAGCACACTAGATATTTCGTCTCTCTTTAAACTGTGGACTTATCAATGTTTCACTTTTTCCAACTCTTTCCACTTTCCCTTTACAAGCCCCCTCAGTCATTGATAACATCACGTACTTTATAAATCCTGTGTTAAATGAGCGATTGTTGGCAGAGCAAAGAAGAGCGACGGGGACTAAAATGCTTCCCCAATGAACCTTCTGCTTTGCTACGACGATCATCAACAACCAGACAGAAATCCATTATTCCATCGATCCTCTTTCCGTGCAATTTTATTTTGCTCCCCACTCTGGCCACCCTAAGCCAAAAACGGCGTAACATGTGCAATCATCCCTCCAGGCAGGCTTCATTTCATTAATACAGCCAAACCAAGCTCCGTCCCCCCTCCTCCTCCTCCTCCTCCTCCTCTTCCAATCTTAGATACAAAAGCCCATCATCAAACATTTAATGAAAAAAAAGAGAGAGAAACCGATTATACACAGCGAACGGACATAAAAGCTCCATGCAGAAACAGAAGGGCATTCTTGGTTCTCGTCGGTATGCAATATTAGACACATACATATACGCACATTTCCATTCCATTTCCAGAAACTGATAACATAACAAGAACCATTAGTTTAATCACCGTCACGAATCTATTTATTTATGCAATATAAATTGTACTTTGTTATTTATTTATTATAAATATTAAGTGTAATTCTATGTTCTATCCACTTTTAGTTGTGCAAGTTTTTAATACCCCATTATTATTATTATTGTAATTAAATTGATCTTATCAATGTTATGCTGCCAAGTTATTTTAAGTTTAAATACCGAATTGTTAGCTGTACAATTGTTACGCACGATCTGCATATGGAAATTTTACCCTTCATTACATACACAAAGCTAAGCTAAATCTAAATACACTGCCAATAACAAAATCGAAGATGATTTGTTTTCCAAGAATTTCTATGTAAATCTTCTCCATTATGTAACATTTAATTTGTACATTTGAAACATACTACATTTGTCATAAAGATAGGAATTCAAAAAGATTGTGCAGTAGCAAGAAGCTAAGAAACTGACCGACTGATGAATTTTAACCCAGTATATAAACTGATTATGAGTTTAATCATGTATTTAACTTATTCTTCATAATTATTATACAAGTATAATGTACCATATTTAAAATAGATTATAGCTGAGTATTCGATTAGAATATTATTTTAATGTCAAAACCTCGGAACAGTGATACAGTTTTTCCACTACATTTTCTTACCACTCGCCACTTGTACCATTTTATGTTAACTATGATGTAACTCTGAATTTCAAACGTAATTATACGACGACGTTTTTGTACAGTTTTCTACTTTTAGAAAAGAGGAAAAGGTCCCATAATATTGTGATGTTAAGATGAATAGTTTTTTTAATACTAAAAGAATTTGCAATATGACAAAAATTTTAATGATGTACCATTACAAATAATTAATGGTATTTATATGTATTTATGTAGGTACATATTCACATAGGCAATGCATATTAATCAACAGAGAGTGTTCGAAAAGTAGAAAAAAGTTAAGAAAATATAAAGCAGTGAGGACGATGATGGCACATATCTCCAAAATGAACCATGAAATGAATTAAATAAATTAAATTACATAATGATGACGACTATTAATTATTATTGATATTGTTATCATTATTTGATTTTCTACAAACTATGCAAACTATGAAAAGACTACAGTTAGGAGTAATAAGTAATTATTAAGAGGTGATGAAAATGAAGTAATAAATTGTCAGGTGAATAAAACAGAAATAAACGTTTTGTGCCTTGTAAAATGGAAAAGTTTAATCTACTTTAATTCTGTTAATTCAATAATATATTGCACAAAGCATCCATTTACTCTGTCGCTATGTAATTACTTTGGTATTGATTCTTGCTGTGTGCACGCCATATGCATGCATGCACATACATATACAATACACATGCATGGTATTGATGTGCCGGGTATGGAGCAGACAAAAGATAAACTATTTTGATATCAGACTTTTGTTTTGGAGAAAGTTGTAGAAATGAGACAAACTTTTGTAGGAGACGGATGGTCGTGTGTCATTGTCATGACATATTTGCTGGAAATATAGATATCGAAATAGATGGTTATATTTACCTTGGACTGTGTAATGTAACTGTAAATTCGAAAAATGAGCTAATTTTTAAATAAGTGATACCGATATATGTATGAATATGTACATATGTAGTTGGGCTTAAAATTAGTATCAAACCAACGAAAACATTAAATGTAGGAAACAAAAACCGCAAACCAGATCATGCTTACATATCAAAATATGAGGACAATTCAGCGTGTCTTTATTGTGAAATTCTCATGCACATACATATCTACAAGCATAAATTACTTATTTCCTTGTAGAGTATGCACATAATAATGTGCAAATTACGTTCCCTGTGTAACAATATTTATTATCTTTAACGCAATTCGGTTGCTCCAACACGATACATCTACTTAACTGCTATAAAATTATTATTTACTTAAAAAAATAAAATTTTGAAATGTGGGGCTGGCTACTAAATCCTCTCAGAAAATGTGGCAGATATATCCAGAGTTGGATTGGTTGGGCCAAGGAATGTTTCAAAACGTTAGTCAGTGCTTTCAAGATATTTCTCAAACTGGTTTATTCCTACGAACTTGCTATTCGCCGGTAAAAATATTATACGAACCTGTACCGAACTTGAGATATAACAAATCCAACGCCATGCACCAATCTTTCTGTAAAAATTTTGACACACTCGTTCAAGAAAATACTTACCTCTCTCCTCACTTAATCATTTTAAAAATAGACGTTGAAAGTTTAATACGGAAGTATGTAGTCATATCAAATCAGTGCAATCGTGACGGTTAACTTTCACTTGCTTGTGTATGAATTAGTCATTTCTTCACCTTCCGGTTATTAATTAAAGTTGCCGATCTAGTTTTCATACTGTCAAATTGACAATGTCAACTTGCAACTTTGCTAGTAATCTAATGCATGTAATGTGCACACATATTGAATTTATTGATGAATTAAATATGAATTTTACATATTTCTTGAAAAACCGGTATAATTATTTTCTAGTGGAGAGGACCAATTGGCTGTGTACTTCAAAAATATGCATGTGCGACAAGATGTGCTCCTGAGTAAAAGTGCTATTTGTGATAATGTATTACGTCTGAAACTATACTTTTCACTGTACCCTTTGATATAAACAAAATGCCAGCATGGCACAAAGATTATTCTTAATCCGCAGTTTTTCAAAGTTCAAACGAAAACTTTCATCTCTTAATCAATATTTAGCATTAATAATTATTGGGTTATTTTATATTATTGAGTTCTCCTTCACCTTGGAAGTGAGCAGAGATCCAAACGATGTACGCTTCTACTTGTATCCACTACAAGGGTAAATTTTACATCGTTATCGTGCCTTATAATACCTTTTGAAATAAAAATATTTGCATATTTTTTTACAGTGATCCCCTCGGTAAAGTGGAACTTTCCATGGAGCTCAAAAATAATCTTCCTGTTGGTGATGCGGAAGGTTGGCGTTTGTTTAAACGGGACCATGTTGCCGTCCTAATGATCCATGATTTCGGGTTGGATTTAGATTCTTATGAAGCACAACTTTTGAAAGATGGTAAATAAAACATGTCACTTGATGTTAAAACTCTTCTTAAATAACATAACGAATAATACCGGAAAATGTGTCCATTAATTTAGCCTACCTCAACTCCAACATTGATGGAAATTACATAATCGTTGACTGGGGACGTCATGCAACGCCGCAACAACAGCCTGGAGAAACCAAGCCTGTCAATGCGAAAGAAGATTATCAAAAAGCCGTTGACAACGTCAGCATGGTTGGCGATCGAATTGGAAATTTCATGGTCAACATGGTCAAGAATGGTTTCATATCGTCGACATTGATCCATTTGCTGGGACACGGGCTAGGCGCTCATGTCGCCGGAAGAGCTGGTGACACCTTCCAGAGACTTCGTGGTGGGTCACAAATCTGGAGGATTACAGGTCTCGACCCAGCCGCCCCACTGTTCGGAATCTCAAACCCAGCGAGAAAATTGAATCGTAAAGACGCCTACTTTGTCGATACTATTCATACAGATGGTGGATTTCAAGGGGATTTGAGTGTCCATGGCCATGCTGATTTTTATGGTGAGTTTTAACCTTACATTAATATCACTATGAGGTCATAAAATTAATAAGGTGTTTTACAATGTGTATGATTTTCTTAGTTAATGGCGGCCTTCATCAGCCCGGATGTGACGACGTGAACACGTTAGGACTATGCAGTCACAACTATGCTCAACAAATTTATATCGCAGCCATCCAAAAACCATTTGTCGGATGTAATTGTCCTCCTCTACTTGAAGAATCAGAACTTAATGACTGTCTTGCTCAATGCCCGAATCCAGCTTATCTTGGGCCCTATGTTCTTATCCCTACGTACACAAATTCACAATCTGGAATAATTTGAAAATCACACGATTTAATTAACGGCTTAATGACACGAGCTTTCATATCATTTTCAGAACAACGGGCCCCTACTACGTCGTAGCGGATAATCCACCTTAACAACTAGCTATCCTCCGAAATTACATATTTTTGGGACCACACCGAAAATACCAGTCACGTTCTATACCACACATCGAATGCACATTAAGCGTATACAATATGTGTTAATTTTATTTATTACAATTAATGATCGATCAATAAATACTAGCAATAAATACGTGGCCTAAAATCTAGCTTTGGAAGTTATTTTCAATTTACATTCACAATAAAATTAGTGCTAATGAATTTTTCCTATTACAATTATACCGGGTTTGTTTTTCATTCGTACGAAACATATGAAAATGCGATAAGATAACTCAATCAATGACCTTCGTCTCTACAAAGTCCCCACCCAACCTGGAAATTTACTAATTTAAAGTGGTAAGATCCTTCATGAAATTCCTTGTTGACCTCTACAGCATTCTTCCAGTACGAAGGCATTAAAATAATTTTAACCAATTATAATACAGACGAATGCTAAAAACTATGATGGAAATAATATAACATTATTAAATGTAACATTAGTATCTATTTATTTTTACATACATTTTTGTATATCCCTCTTGTTACAATATCAGTTTTAAACGTAATAATTTCTTGGACATGCAAACACATTTTTGGGTGTTTATTTATGTACTACTTGACAGCAAAGTACTTTTCTAATTAGCCTGTCCTTGGATCATCTTACTGGTTTACAGAGCTATGCATGCATATTAATGACAATTCCAGTTAACAAAATAAAAATGCACAATCTTGATTCTGATAAAGTGAAAACACTCACTCGAATAAACCATACTTTGTAATACCGGCCCGAATCTAATTTAGCATATAAATATATGTAGTTTTGGGTACAAACGTATGTATTTACAAAAGACGTACCACTAAATTTTCCAAGAATTAGCTGCTGAATAAGTATGTATTTAATTGAATACTGTTACATATATTTATTTAGCATGTTATACGAGTATAAGATGTTACTATACTTTGGTTGAGAAGTTAATGTTCCTGCCTGCTAACTAGTTTAGGTAGAATTACATCCTTAGAAGCGCAGAATGTACATATACAAAGCATTGTATTTCAATGGGGTTAATGGTCAATTTAGCACTAAAATAGTTCCTTAGCCTCTTGCTAAGGAAAGCTTCATCGTTATGTGCTACTCACAATCCGATTTATTTATTGGTCAAAATTTTTAATTGTCGTTGTGGTATTTTTGATTAGCCAATCAAAAAATCGGATTGGGAGCACCATGAAGTGAACAAACAATGGCCGAGGCAAAAAACATCCAGCCATGGATGACGAAATTAAAACAATTCGATACTTTAATGTCGCCTTTACTCGAGTATTTATGTCTTACCTAATGAAATCAGTTTGCATTGAAAAAGTACATTATGACAAATAAGTTTATAGTTTTTATTTCAGTGACTGACAGCTCATGTTCATGCTAACCATGCAAATTTGCGTGAATGAGACAGGGTCAACTATACATGTAATTTAGCTCTGGCATATCCTGACGCACGACGGTATGCATGCTATTGTAACATAATTCGTTGCAAACGTTTCAAACATTTGACTGCGTTTCAATGACCAATTCATAGTTTTGGAATTTCAGTCATTAGAACAGCCAAGTAATTAGTTTTACGTATAATTATTTCGTTACATGTATATTTATTTTGACTTATAATATGCGTGGACGTCATATTTCAGAGTAACCATACAGATACTCATTGCTATTTACTCAATTTATAAGTTTGGTCACATTTTTCCTTGAATTGAACCGCATATATATATATTCTTATAAGTCAAACTGGCGTCTGCCTGGCGAGGCGACCAAACACAAAACTGATAGATCGATATATATATCAAGGAGAAAGAAAGAGCAGAACTGTGACTCACGAGTAAATGCATCTCAGATTCGTCCAGCAGAAGAACTAAGAAGACCATCCGAGAAACATCTGTTGAATATTTTGCATCGCTAATTTAACCGAATAAAAAATAAAAAAAGGAAACATTTTCAAAATGGAACTCAAGTGGAGGACTCCTGCCAAAATAATTGCCATCATAGATGGGGTAAAAACTTAATTTGATAAACAAAAGCCGAATGTCGAAAACTAGAGTTATTTATTTTCAGGCATTTTCGAGTCTGTCGGTCATGATGTGCCTCCTGACTATTGTCGTCGTCTTGTTTGGAAAGGAATACTTGATTGAAGAATTGAACAAGGAAGGTGCACTTGGGGACAATGATGCTGCTGAAGCTGCAGATCTCTTCCGGAGACATTCATGTAAATACATATATTCGTGCATATTTATATAGAAATCAATCGATTTTATACTAATTATTCTCGATCCTAGCTGTCATGATTGCAATGATGGTCGTTCTGATTGGAATCTCTATCGCTGTCGGAATAGTGGTTGTGGTTGGAGCTGTCAAACTGTACCAGGCAACGAAACAGGTATGTCTAGCAAGACCAGTGAATTTGAGCAAATCCATATTCCATGCCATAATATAATACGCTGGCTACGCAATTATTGTAGAGCGCAAACCCGAGCGAAGTGAAAGGGAAAGCCAGCTTTTACCGAACTTTGAGCATCATCATCTTCATCCTGGCGATTTTTGCCCTCCTTGGAGTCAAGGGGGGAGATGGGACTTGCCTGTTTCTCTTCTGTGGAGCCTTCCGTGGAGTGGCCATCCTCGTGGTGTCATTTTTCATGAAGGAATTGGACAAGGTAGCTGGAAGTGCACCACCAGTCTACTACGACGTGGGAAAGGGGGTTTAGATCTGAAGCAGGATGTCACAAATCGATTCTTGTTCTAAATAATGTATGTGTCAATGTTTGTGTCCAAAATATTTGGGCCTATCCGCTTTTTGCAAATCAATTCATAATTAAATATGAGAAGTACTACTGATATAATTTCTTAAAAAACCATATGTCTATGTAGATGCCATCTCTGTACGTTACAATTTAAAATCTTGTCAATACTCGTACTAGAACTGCTTCCAATTCTTATTCCTAAATAATTAATTTCGTAATTTTTCATTAATAATTCTAAGTTCATGTATTACATAATATGTAGATCTGATGAATTTCCAGCCATTATTTAATTTTGCTGCCTCATGCAGTACTGATGCTGCTTTAGTAATTAATACGCATTCTGGTTAACTTGTAACTTTCCCTTGGAATCCGGATCGGATTTATGCTTTCTTTGTTAGGTTTAGGTTATAAAATTAGACGACATGTTTATAGGATTAAGCTTTGTGGAATATATATATATGTATACCTGTTATATGTATACCTGTTATATGTGTACCTGTTACAGAAATGAAAATTGCAGACTGAAATTGCCACCTCAAGTTAAATATTTATTTATTTAGTCGGTCTGAAATGTTGTAAAGAAAAAATAACGGTTTAGCTTCTTTCTCTACGAAAAACTGTACTCTCTAGTTTTGCGATTCGGGTGAAACAGATTCGATGTAAAAATCAATATATATTTCAAATAAAGTGTCATTTTTCGATCAATGTTAATACGCTTTTTCTGTTATTGCTAACAACGTTTTAACGTCATGTGTAATTACTCAAAAATAGAACAAAAAGTTACTATTGCTAGATATTTCGAGGTTATACACATGTATACATACATACATATGTACAATTGAGAAATGGGGAATAAATGATCGTTTATTTTAATAACTGAAAAAGACCGATTGGCGTGTGTTCGGGATTACTAATGAGATGAATCACATCATCATGCACATATCTACATATGTACATGAGTACTCGTATTATTATTACAACAGTGCATGCAACTTTCTCCATATTACTGAAATGAAACTATTTATAATTAGATGCAGATAAAGTCACGGCAGTAATAAACGAGTCTTTCGATAACAAATATATGCTCAGGGTGAACTTACCAGCCAGTGTCAGACAATGATGAATTCAAACCTACTCCTGAAGAGGAAGTGCCTAGTATATCCAAAGGATTGAGAATTACCTATATACATAGTCCGACCATAAGTTCCCGTGAATGCATTTCCGGTGATAAAGCCCAAAGTATTAGAGCTATCTGATAGAAATTTTTGTGGATGAACAAGGTATTAATCTTGTTTAGAAATCATAACTTCGTTTTCACAATTTCCTCCACGGGCTTGTACATAAGACATAAGTCGTGGCGAAAACTGCTCGATCGCGGCACGCACGGATGTCCTGGGAAAAGCGCCAGATCTTCAGTAAGTGGGACCTCAGCACTTCCACACTTGGGTGAAATTTAGAGCATACTTGTACCTATAATTTTGACCACCAGTCATAATTTAGGGGATTAAGGTCTGCAGATACTGAGCACCGTTCTACGGATGAAAAAAAGTCATGAAAATTCGTCTGAAGCCAGTTTTGGACAATTTTGCACCTTGCGCAGGAACAGAGTCTTGTTGAAAGGTCCAATGTCGATTTTCGGAGGGTCCAGGGTTCAGGTTATTAACGTTTGGCTTTAGGACACTCTGAAAATAATTCTTAGCTTCAACTTGTACCCTTTGCGATAAAAAACAGAGATTTCATTTCTCCAGCCAACTTGCTCCCATGCACACCACGGTGATGACTTCGTATTGACTTCCGCATACTTAAACGGATGTCAGACTTCTGTACAACAAATATCTGGCCTTTTTTTTATTAATTTTTTTGCCAACGGTGAAAAGTCTGAAATACTTTTGGCACGAAAATTGGCGCGTACCACGATCAACCTGTGGCCTTCACGAGTTATGTCTTGTCTAATTGCCCGTGGACGAAATCTTGACAAAGAAGTTATGATTTCTAAACAATATTAATAGCTTCTTAATCCATAAAAATTTTGAACAGATAGCTCTAATACTTTGGGATTTATTACCGGAAATGCATTCACGAGAACTTATGACCCCACTATGTACATACATATTTATGTACCTAAGTAGAAAGTCGTTGGGTGTGTGCAAAACTGGTTCACTCGTCTTCACTCAAATTAAACATTCTCTTGTCATTGCAACCTTTACCAGACTATTCCAAACCAATATCTAAAATTATATATAAAGTATACTTATGTACGTACTATATGTACATAAGACAAGTAAAAAAAACAACTAACTGGATGATTTTTTTATGATAAATTTAAAAAAAAACGCTGGTGAATGCATGCGAGCTTTTTTATTATTATTTATTTAAATTAAAAACATATCAGTTAATTAGATTACTTTTTAAGCTCTATGGATTGTCAGTAGAATTTTGTTATGTACAAATGAGGTGGGTATCTGCGACCAATTTTTAAATCATTTCCTCCAGTTATATTCCATCGAATTGGATCGGGAAAAGCTCATCTACGCTGATTCCTTTCGGTCTCGGCAATTATTCTAATAAAATAACAGACAGTCGTTATATATGATCATGTGCATATGAAAATCCTAGATTTTTTGTTGCGTATCATCAAACTTACAAATGCTTTCCCATAACACTTGAAAACTTCTTCAGTGTTTGTGCAATTTGTGTAACGTTGAGGGAAAACGGTTGGATCTGCATAAAAAACTCAGTTGTACATACAACAGCCAATAGTACTTCATTACATTCGTACGTTTTTTGTCGCATTTTAACAGCTCTTCCGTGATTACTCGAGTTGTCATGTTGCCTCCTGGTTTTAACATTCCTTCAAAAAATAGAGCACGCGTCCTTTCTCTATCCAAGCCTGTGCTATCGTCGTTCATTGCACCAGATTCTCTAGCAACGCACGTCTTCAAACACTGTAGAAATACAATTCAGCAGAAGAAACACAAATATGTACTGATTGAAATGTGCAGATATGTATTTATATGTGCTAAATTACAATCATTGGAGTATCGCCATCCCAGTCAACCCGTTCATCTGAAAATACTTTTCTCGTCCGCTGAACATGCTCTAAATTTGCACAATGGTAGACAGCATCGATAAATAAGTCGGATTGGTTATAGAAACCTCTTTGACATTGGATGCCACCGATCTCGCTCATCATCACGGCTAAACCTACCCAAGGGTCACGAGAATCCTGCCAATACTCGAAATTTCTGGAAACCTCGGCAAAACTGATTCCAAGTCGCTATTGGCAAATAAATGGATACAATTTAGAATTTGAGAGTAAGATGAAACGAATCCTTATGTGGTTGGTGCTTACCATAAAAGATGCTACTGCTAGGATCCAACACACCGAACCCTTAATAATCCATTTATTCCCAAACATTTTGATTGTTCTCGTGTATCGATCTCAATAAACTGATTAACATGACGCGAGAGATGTGCCATTTGCAAAAAAAGTATTAATACACATTAAATCTAAACTCAAGTACAATTTTATAAATATTTTACTGTAGAGGAAGTCATAAATTTATTTTAACCACTTAAATAAAAACAATGCTTTGTATGCTATAAAATTTTATTTATTAGAAAAATTGCTTGTTTTGTCGGGATGTGGTATCAAACATTTTTAAAAGAAAATGATTAGTTACTCATTTGTGTTGTTAATTTTTGAAGTGTGCTGAACCATTAAAAGAATGACTAAAATAACATTGTTCTACACACGAAGAGCCATTTCTCCAATTTTATGAATGAGAAAAAGTTTTATAAATGGATTTTTCATCATATATTTGCCAATTATGTACTACCGGTTGTACCCTGAGGATTAGTTGGAGCTAGGCATGTATGCCTTGTACGATCGGAGGCACATATATGAGGTCATAAGTTCTTGGCGTCAAAATGCATGACAATTTATTGCGAGTTTCGAATCTACTTATTTTGGTTAGGGGATTTATTTTATGTCTATAAGCTTCTGATTGAGAGAGAGAATATGAGATTCTCAAGGATATAAGCTATGCGGTAAAACCGCTGAAAACTCTATTTTTTCAATAATATATTATGGGCAAATTAGAAAGAGAGAAAAAGTACAAAACAAGATGCAGTACCCATTATTTGAAACTAATATTTCGGGGAGAAAATAGGAGCAAATGAGAGGTCACTTTGCCCGACGACTGGTACAGATGGCGAATGCGAATTTGGCAAATTCCGGCCCTCTGATATGCTCCTATTTTCTCCCCGAAATATTAGTTTCAAATAATGGGTACTGCATCTTGTTTTGTACTTTTTCTCTCTTTCTAATTTGCCCATAATATATTATTGAAAAAATAGAGTTTTCAGCGGTTTTACCGCATAGCTTATTTAATTCTTTTCATCTTATCTGATTTATGCCAGCCTTGTGTATGCCAAAAATTAAATTAAAGTTAAATATTTCAAATTTCAAATGATACCGATTTATTATCCATTAGTAATGACATTTTAAAAATACATCTACAAACTACGAAGTCGAGCCATCTCCACAAGTAACTTTTCAGACGGTTGAGCCATTAATTTGTTATCGTCCTGCGCCACAATCGCTACTCCCTCCAGTGTGCGAACCCGGCTGAGAGCAACATATGCCTGCCCGTGAGCAAAGACCTCGGCTCCCAAATACACCACTGCACGGTCAACGGTGATCCCTTGAACCTTGTGCACGGTCACGGCCCAGCAAAGAACAATAGGAAGCATCCGCCGTTGGATTTCCTGCTTTTGTTTCCCGGTGTACACGACATCGACAGGTTTCAGCTCGAATAAGCCGTCCTTTGTTCCGGCAATACGCCAATCGTCAAATTTCACCATGACGCCCGATGGCAGGTCACCTTGGTGATGCTGCTCCCTCGCCAACTCCTCCCACTTAAAGTTGACGACTGTTCCCATCGTCCGGATGATTGATGGAGAGAATTTCATGACCGACGGAGAATCTGTTGAAGAAGCCTACGAAAAGCACAAGGGCAGCCTTCGGACCACTGCTGACTTCCCCCTCATTCGACCCGACATGGAACAGGCCCTCGAAACAGCAATTCTTCATGCTGCCGATCTGAACCAGCTTAGCGAACTCGAGGAGGAAGTTATACTTGACCGGGAGGAAAACTTCGCGGACCACCCGGATATTTATAATGCGATCCGTTAACCAGATATCTGTTTGTCTGAGAATTGCGGATCACCATGATTCTTGATCCCACGGCTAATTTAATCGATGCTTGAAAACCCCCACACAGGTTGCTGTCCCTATAACTGTATGCCAACGGAGCTCGGGAACCAGCCTTGGTTCCTGTGAAGAATGTATCCCTGGCCTTGATTTTGTAGACAGAGATATTTGGGTCATTTTTCAGAATATTTGTACTATGACGATTATATTCTGCTGCCTGACTTCTTGTAGGGAAGATACGAATTGCATTTCTGAAACTCTCCTTCATCTCTTTGCTGGATGCTTCGTTGAACTCCCTAGTTCGGAGAAGGTGGAGGTCGTCAGTCGTTATGTTGCCTTCGCGAAGGTTGTTACAGATGTGCAGGAGGGGGTCAAGACCCTGACGCATGTTGACTGTAAGTTCACGGAAGGCAAAGTTTCGCCAAAGATGTTCCTCTGCCCCTGACGTCACCGGCTGATCATAAATGCAACTTCCGTTTACAGGTTCCAGCTGGAATAGGTCGCCAACCACAATGACATTTTTCCCACCAAATGGTTCTGTATTGTCGAAACATTCCCCTAACCGTCGGCTAACTTGCTTGAATACCTGCGAAGAAATTAGATTATTATTTGTAAAAGCATGCAATTGATATTATTATTTGAAATTCACGTTTACACACCTCATAAGAGATCATGGAAACTTCATCCATTATGACCCAATCAACGTATCGAAACTTGTCCCTCATTTTTTGAAGCATCTGTGCCCCAAGTGAGGCGTAAGGGGGCACTGATCCAGACTCCACAGCAAGGTGAAAAGTTTGTCCATTTATGTTTAGAGCAGCTATTCCTGTCGGAGCTGCCAACACTAAACCGTCGAGTCCTGGGCCGTGGTCACTGGTGCGAATGAGATTGGACATCAAGCCGATCAGGAATGATTTTCCCGTCCCTCCTGCACCGGAAATGAAGAGTTGGAGTTGTCCTCGACTGGGATTCCCGATTTGCTCGTCAACCATGTCGTAAATGGCTTTTTGGTCTCCATTCATCTTGGACCTTTCAAGTTGGAAGCTGACCTCGTCCAGTAGAGGTATCGCGTACTCTTCTTGAGCTGGCAAAACATTGCTTGCATTATAAATATCCGGGTGGTCCGCGAAGTTTTCCTCCCGGTCAAGTATAACTTCCTCCTCGAGTTCGCTAAGCTGGTTCAGATCGGCAGCATGAAGAATTGCTGTTTCGAGGGCCTGTTCCATGTCGGGTCGAATGAGGGGGAAGTCAGCAGTGGTCCGAAGGCTGCCCTTGTGCTTTTCGTAGGCTTCTTCAACAGATTCTCCGTCGGTCATGAAATTCTCCGCAGTAAATGGCACGTAAAGGAGCAAGTGACTGTAGACGAAGTTCGCGGCGTCAGATTCACTGTGGAATGGGGGACTCTTGATGATGGCAAACTTCTCTCTCTCCTTCCACATTCCCATTCTCCTGTCTTTCAGATAGAAAGGGCGTGATCCGGCTGGGCGCCCCCGCGTCTGTTGCGCCTGCTCCTCGCCCTCGTCCAAATCATCGTCGGCTTGCTGCTGAATTCTGACCGGGCGATACTTTGAGGCAAATTCATATAGGGATATGCGTTCCAAATCATCCGGACGATGGCAGTACTTATCTATAATGTTACTGCAAACGAAGATACATCTTTAAGTGATTTGCTCCATAAAATAGTTATTAATTATTTTGCACACATAAAGTTAATACCTTGCAAATTGCACCTCTTCTCTTTCCAAGTAAGCATTTTTCTTCAGCAACCGGATGCGTTCGCCTGGGAGGTAGGTCGGGATGAAGACGAACCCACGCGAAGTGTGTCGCATGGGAAGATTGGTCATGCGGTAGGCGGCTTCTTGGGATCCCACTGTCCGGCGACTCAGCAGAAGTCGCGACACCTGAAAAAATTTTCAGTTTCATTATTTTTATCAATTTTTCATACTAGTTACTAAGTACCTTCTCCATTTGAACGCGGACTGGTTGCCGACTGTCTCGAAGAGTTTGTAATGTGTGCCGAATGTCATTCCTAAGCGTCTCAGGCTCATTCTTGCCGATGTATTTTGCGATATAAAATGCCACCGCCGCAACCCCAATGACTGGTTGGATGTCCATGTTACAGCGAAGGAGCTTGAGAAGAACAGGGTGGTAGTTGTTAATTCGCTCCTCCCCTTTGTCACGATGAATGACGGCCCCGCGACCTTTGCATGCATCTTCTGAAACCAGCGTGGTCTCTGCTGCGAGTGGACGGGGAAATCCAAATCTACACGATGCACTCTTTTTGAAGCATGTCGGTGTGTCCCTGTGAGATTGGTAACGACGAACTATGTCCTCCATACCAGAGCGCTGCAGCCCGCATGATACATTTCGGTCAATGAAGGCGATTCCTTCTGGAGTGGAAAAACCAGGGGCACCCTCCACCCATATCAGTGAGTGAAGATGTGGACTGCCACGATCCTGAAATTCCACACGGAATGTGTAATCTGCAACGGGTCCTCCAAAAATTGTGGTGTCGCTAGTAATTAATTTGATTAATTCCTGAGTTCGTAGGTTAAAGTGACGAGCGGCAGCAACAGGATTGAAATTTAGTAGGTCACGACGAATCTCGAAAGGAAGATCTTGTATCTTCTCCGGAGGAGGGTCGTCTGCCGCATGTGACGCCTTCCACATAGCATTGAGGACGTCCGTTGAACCCATGTCGTCATAGGAGACCGTGAGAAAGAATGTGGGGGGACCAAGTCGTGTTATCATGGCCATAATATCTCCGGTATACTTCTTCCAATACGATTTTGATCCCCTTATTGCACTCATGTAAAGATGCAAATTTTCGGCAGCTGGGGCGTTATCGTTTTGTTCATCCTGATACCTCATATTGCCGCAGACATTGATCTTCGACCTGATGATGGACTCCTCAGACCTTGAGAGGGCATAGAAGAGGTACTCGTTACTGTGAAATCTGGGGTCATCACTCGGGTCTGGAAGTATCCATGAGCAGTTAAATGAAGACGATCGTCACGTTCTTCATCAAATCCAAATTGCCCATGAGGGAAGCACTGAACGAAGCATTTTTCTTCCAAATGATTCTCATCGTGGACTCGAATCGGAGGGGCAGCAGTTCGATGAAGTGCGAATGACTCCAACCGAGGCTCGATGAAAGTCCACAGGATGAATGAGACAATCTTCCAAGGCCTCCTCCCCAAACGCGGCGGCTTCCGGTGGTCTCTCAATATTCTGCGGCTGTTCAGGTGGGGGCGGGGGTGGCGTTGAGATGACCTGATGCTCGTCAAGAATTGTGACGTCGAGTGGTGTAATAGTAACGACGGCAGAGTTTGGCCCACCCACACAATTTTTGTTGACGATCGAACCGATATGGTTGACGCTGGCCGGGTGTGTTCGATCAAGTTTGAGAACCACAGCCTTCTGTCTAGCAGCGGTGGATATTTGACCTTGCTTGGTCCTGGCATGGCTGTCGAAGTAGAAAATGTATTCCTCCGTCCGGATGAGTGCCATTGTGTATCCACCTTCAACAATTTAGAATTTTTAGAATTTAACAACTTTTAATATTAATTTGTTAACTAATTTAAACTTGCCTGCCGTCAGGAGTCCATAATTTGATGGTCCACCAAGGAATTCAGAAACAGCACCAGATATAGAATTGCTTGTAATGGACGTGGCCTCCTGCCTAAATTTGTCAAACGCCCCATAAATTACGGCCCCCCCGCGAATAAATCCGATTCTGACAGTTTTCCCGTAGCAGTTGGTGACATCTCCGAGAACTTCGTCCACGGCGAGATGATTTGAGACGTCTGGGCGTTGTTGTCCGTCGGCGATAACTCGTGACGCGTACGCGTCTGCAAAATAAAGAAATTTATTTATTTATTCCATTATAATGAAATACGTTGACGATGATACCTGCCAGACGGTTCCGACATTGATCATTGATTATTGTAGAAGTCGCCCTCCGTCAGAATCCTGTCCCCATCCTGAATAAGCCAGTCATTGGGCGGCTTGACTGCGGCGTATGCGGCGGCAACGGCACAAATTGCTGTGCACTGGTTCCCTGCTGCGTCCCCAAAAATCGGAGCGCTCTGGCAAAAACTCATCTCCAACGTTGACATCCACGGCTTTCCTGGAACGACGGAGTACGTGTTCTGGATACGGTGCCCTCGTCGTCGAGTGATTTCCTCAGGACTTGGAATGACATCCGCTTCCTCTCGAATCACGATGTCCTGGATCCGGATACCGTCCACGTGAAACTGGTCCAGGGTGACGTTCGAGTAACCTGGATTATTTATGAGCAGCCACTGCAGCGCCTCTCGCAATTCTGAAACGGATTTGTTATTAAAATTAGAAATCGTATCAAATTTGTCTGCTCAAATTGTGTCAGAAATATTTATATTGTTGACTCACCTTGTGGGCGTAACTGGTAGACCGACGAGTGAGGAAAGTTCTCCACGGATTCGGTCACGACAACAGTCCCGTAATTGTTATTCGGCCCAAGTCGCAGCTGCTCTTGGACCTCCTCCACACTTTGAGCGAAGTGGATGACTTGCCCTCGTAGCGCAGCTTGCCCACGACCACGACTCAATTTGAATATCTTTAAAAACGCCTTGGCCCGACTCACTGCTCTGGTCTCGACCTCAGATAACTTGCGGATGACTTCCGGCGAAGCTGGAACGAACATGTTATTGAGAAGAGCTACCGCAGGTACCTTTCGCTTACTCAAACTTTCATGACATCGGTGGCAACAGGTGATTACTTCGAGAACGGCGGGGAGGAGATTGGCCTTCACCGTGGGGATGTACTTGTTGGGGACGCCGTCGAGGAGGTCGTAAATTTCCTGGGTCACGGTGAGAGATCTGCATAATTAACGTAATTAATTAATCAGCTCCATTCTCGTGTGATGTGAAAGTAAATTTTTGATCAATTACTGAGTTTTTACTAATAACTTACCTAATCCCCTTTCTGTACCAAATACGGTCACAAATTCGGCACCTCCAGTCAGCCGCTTGATTAATGTTTATATTGAATAACTTTTGTTGAGACGATTCTTCTGAACACTGATGACGGTTTATGTCGTCGCCGGAAATGGTTGTGGGTTTTTCATTACGGTTGTAATTATTGTTAGATCCGGCGATCGGATTATTATTGTCAACGTCGTTAGGTTGACTGTTCCAAATTTCACCAGTACGATGTAACTTTTTAACATATCTATTTTTATCAACCTTTCTGCGCTTTTGTAGTTTTTTCGGCATTTTTCACACGATTCAGATATGTTAAGCTCGGATTTTATTTCCGTATAAATTTGTAATCACATGTGAAATTCAACTCGTAGACTGGGCGGACTGAATTTCGCGCGCCAGTGGGTACCGTGAGACTTGGCTTTATTTACAGTTAAAAATATAAGAAAAGTATAAATCCCTAACACCACATAATATATAATCAATTAGTATAAAGTAACTTAGAAGTAAAGATAAAGGAAATACAATTAATATAGTACATATGTATGTATGTATGTATGTATGTATGTCTTTATTAATATAGTACATATAATGGTCATGTTCACTTTTGACTTTCATGGTTTAGAAATGGTCCAGAATTCATGTATATCTCACATATAAAATTGTGAAGCATAAATTTTTGCACAACACTCATGATCCTATCCATATTAGATTATACCATCTAAGGTAGTACACGTAACCTTATGAAAAATTAAAATTTCAAACCGTTTAAAAAATCGCGCCATAACTCAGAAACCATGACCGAATTCAAAAAAGTATGTCCTCTGAGGGTCATAAGTTGGACCCTCTCCTACATAATTTTCTTAAGGTCCAAGTCTCTAAAACGTAACGCTTTGGCTGTAGGTCCGCGAACAAATTGACACTTTTAATCACGAAAAATCACACAAATTCGAACTTTGCTCCAAACTGAAGCCTTAATCAAAAAAAAGTTTCAAACTAACGTTGTACCTGAAGTACTTCTGGACATATTTGTAATTGCATGTATGTCTCTATCATGCACCCAACCCATTTGGGGTAGCTTTTAAGATTTTTGGCGCGAAAAAACGTATTAACGTTGATATCTTTGGTATGGTTCGAGATACTGTAATTCTGAGAAATGTCATTTTAAAGCTCGGTGAGATGTATCCAACGCCGCTTAGTTGAAACCTGTAGGTCAAAACGTTTCGCCATACGAGCGCCCGACATTCTCCATAAGAATTAGGAACAACATACTATATGTTTCTCATATAGCGCGAACTGCCTCACAATGCCCCACATTGCAAGACAGTTGCACTTCATGGGGAAAAAATAGAAAAATAGTACAATAATAAAATGACAGTGTTAAGTTCTGGGTCGGTCCGTAAGTCAATGCAAGTCGCCCCGTAGACAAAGAAGGAAGCGGAGCAACCACTGCATACACTGCACTGTTCTGCACTGTTCTGCATGCATGAATGCATGCAGAACAATGCATGTACATGCTGCTACCCTACATACATACATCACTCATCAATAGTGGTTATCATGATACATAAGTGATCTTGATAAACACTATTAATTAATTATTTTAGTTTGAGAAACTCCACCCACAGCGAGAGGCATATCAATTCGAATGTATTTTTGACGCTGAATCCAACGCCGTTAAAGGTTTTGACCTCCGAGGCCCCCGTGACCTTCCCGTGACCGTGGGGGGTAAATATGGCTTATTCGTGATGTCGCATATCAATTCGAATGTATTTTTGACCCTGAATCCAACCCCGTTAATGGTTTTGACCTCCCAGGCCCCCGTGACCTTCCCGTGACCGTGGGGGGTATATATGGCTTATTCGTGATGTCGCATATCAATTCGAATGTATTTTTGACCCTGAATCCAACCCCGTTAAAGGTTTTGACCTCCGAGGCCCCCGTGACCTTCCCGTGACCGTGGGGGGTAAATATGGCTTATTCGTGATGTCGCATATCAATTCGAATGTATTTTTGACCCTGAATCCAACCCCGTTAAAGGTTTTGACCTCCGAGGCCCCCGTGACCTTCCCGTGACCGTGGGGGGTAAATATGGCTTATTCGTGATGTCGCATATCAATTCGAATGTATTTTTGACCCTGAATCCAACCCCGTTAAAGGTTTTGACCTCCGAGGCCCCCGTGACCTTCCCGTGACCGTGGGGGGTAAATATGGCTTATTCGTGATGTCGCATATCAATTCGAATGTATTTTTGACCCTGAATCCAACCCCGTTAAAGGTTTTGACCTCCGAGGCCCCCGTGACCTTCCCGTGACCGTGGGGGGTAAATATGGCTTATTCGTGATGTCGCATATCAATTCGAATGTATTTTTGACCCTGAATCCAACCCCGTTAAAGGTTTTGACCTCCGAGGCCCCCGTGACCTTCCCGTGACCGTGGGGGGTAAATATGGCTTATTCGTGATGTCGCATATCAATTCGAATGTATTTTTGACCCTGAATCCAACCCCGTTAAAGGTTTTGACCTCCGAGGCCCCCGTGACCTTCCCGTGACCGTGGGGGGTAAATATGGCTTATTCGTGATGTCGCATATCAATTCGAATGTATTTTTGACCCTGAATCCAACCCCGTTAATGGTTTTGACCTCCGAGGCCCCCGTGACCTTCCCGTGACCGTGGGGGGTATATATGGCTTATTCGTGATGTCGCATATCAATTCGAATGTATTTTTGACCCTGAATCCAACCCCGTTAATGGTTTTGACCTCCGAGGCCCCCGTGACCTTCCCGTGACCGTGGGGGGTATATATGGCTTATTCGTGATGTCGCATATCAATTCGAATGTATTTTTGACGCTGAATCCGAATCCGTCAATTGTACAAGTTAACGGGGTTTATGGAACTTAACGGGAGCGGGAAGCGTGGGAATTTAAATAGTTAGCTATGCAGTTACTCCAACGCGACGGGAATTCAAGTAATTAGCTATTCAACTACTCCCACAGGGGGAAATCAAATTGTACTGTGACCAGTTTAATTAAAATGCAGTATGACTTGGGCACATCCTCACTCTGATGTATGTATGTAGTACTATGTAGTAGGACATAGTCTCCACTGGGAATTATTTAAAGTATAGCATGACACACCCCCCACTGGAACTCTAGAACCTGGCCTTGGCCGGGCTATACGCTAGTAGTACAATAATTTGTTTATAATTCCAAATCACAGCAATATGTGTTACCTCTTAACTATGCACTTTATCGATGTGAATATGAATATGCACATATTTATAATGTAATGATACAATGTCTCAAGAGCACTATTTCATAATGGTTAACAAAGATTTTAATAAAATTTGGCAAACCAGATGGATACAAATTCTCACAAAATTGTATTTTTAATCATAAAAGTTAATGCCTCATTTGTGCCATTACTTGTCCACTATGCTTTTGTAAGGGTGATGGTTCTGAAAATAATATTCTTAGTGAAATAAATTTAAAATGCACACATTTGGTAAACGTTTGCGTACCCTTTCTTTGGAAGAAGCAAGGTGTAGGATCCTTGTGCTACAAAATCGTTTACTTCCATCCATCCAAGTCCAAGTTTCTCATCCCCAAGGGTATCCTCATCCCAAATTTTCAATTTGAACCTCTGCAAATTTTCATTAAATCATGTAAATATTCACAGTTTAATACTAAATTTAAAAATTACCTGATCCTTCTTTCGGTCCCATTGAAATTGGAAAACATCTCCCCAGTTTGGACTGCTAGAACTTGATACAGTTGATGATCTCCCAACTTCGCGTTCCTTCCCAGAAATCCCATCAGTTGCAGTGATTATAACTGAAAATTATACATATTCCTTACATATGTAAATATTCTACACATGCATGCATATTACACACCATATTATTATGTATGTCAAATAGACGTAAAAATTTTAAATATATACTTACCATATGGGTCACTTTTGCCAGGAACAAAGCCGACATCATCCTGAAATTAATGTCAAGTTAATTTACAATTAATTACCTTGTCTAGCAGTGATACTTTATAGTCACTATATTATATGCACCTTGGTTGGAAGCCCACTGCAAAAAAAGTAATTTTATGATAATTTGAAAAGATGGTTATAAATTCATTAAAGTAATGTAATTGAAAATTATGCTTGCCTTGCTGAGACCTTAAACCTGATGGTGTCAACATCTTTGGTACCAGCTGGCATGGGAAGTTGTCCCACTGGAGTGCTGGCATCAATTTGCACAGGTTTATCAACGGACTGGATGATCAGATATCTGAATTTGCATAATAAGTTGAGTTAATCATTGTAACTTTAGTTCTGAAAAATTCTGTATGCAAGGATATTCTTTGTTGGCTCACTAACCCCTTCTCCTTGTCCAATTTAGCAGTGGTTATCTGACCTTTATCCACATAATTTGCGACATTGACCCACACTCGACCCACAGCTAAATTTATTCAATGACAAATGTTATTTTGCAAAACTAGGCAATACATAAAGAAGTTTGAGCATTAAAAACCGGATTCTTTGCTTACTGTCGTCTTCGGCTAATGTATCGTCGTCTAATACTTCAAAAAACCAATACTGGAAAGTAATTTAAAAACAGGATTGTCAAATGCTAATGAATTCCAAGAATACAAGATCCACTTGGATACAATATGCGTGCTTATGGGATTGACTTTGTGATTTATAGTATTTGTTCACTTTTGTATGCATATACATAATACACTATTTTTTTAAATGTCAAAACTCAACTTTATAGCCCGTTGATAATAAATTATTTTTTTTTCTTAAAACTAAACATGCACACGTCATACCTGGTTTTTGCTTCTGTCGAACTCAAATTCGAATACATTTCCCCAATTAGGATTTTCTTGGTCATTAATAGTATCACTTTTAGTCAATTTTGTCTTCGTTCTGCCCCCATCAGTGCTGACATATAGCTGGAAGTACCCATCCGTGGTGCCTGACGAATCCGAAAATTAAGGATCTTAAATTAAGACTACAAATTTCATTCTACATGCAATTTTGATACTTACCGAGTCCTGTATCTTTGTCTGGCAAATTTCTATTGTGATTTCGAAATACAAAATGTTATTCAGCTTTGAAATCAATGAGTAATTTCATATCTTACCTTCCGGAAACTTTAAATCTCAACTTTCCTTTGGAAATCCCAGCACTGTGAACTAGGGCCAGAAATGCGGCCAACACAAGCAAATGAAGGAGTATTTTATTTGCCATATTTGTTTGTCAATCGTTGTCAACTGCTCAAACACAAGTGATGGAGTGGATCCTTGGAGATGTTTTTCTGATTTTGAAATGACCAGCCAAGAAATTGGTGAGTACCTCAAGCAATAAAAATTACCTCATTGTGCACAGATCACCGATCATTAATTCAGTCGTGCACATAGATAAATTTGAGATGCATAAAAGACCAAAACAAGAACAACAGGTTTATTTAATTTTTCTCAAGAAATGAACACAAAAGTGGTGACTCGATAACGATCAGTACTAATTTAAGACAGCAACGGAGAATGACGTCAACCACCAGTCCACCACAAAAAAAACAATTGTTATTGAACTCTTCTAAGTAAATACAGAAAGCTATGGATGCTGAATACATACATATTTAAATCAATTTAGTGGAAGTCTGTCCACTAATAAGATGTCAACCATTTCAACTACTAAAGAGTAGCAAAGATGGAAAGGTGCATAGAGAGTTTGGAAATTTATTTATGAATGACAAGGGCCAACACCTACGAAAATATGTACATACATAAGCAGTTGTCATTAATATTTATACGCCATGAAACTTATTTGCTTTGCAGATCTAGAAATAAGTAGTTATCTCGATATTTTTATTTTCACTTCCTTGCAAATTAATCATCAATTTTACAATGGTGCGGAGTATATACATTCATACATACATACATAGTTAGTACAGTATTGATAATAAGTGCACAAAGCATTAACAACTTTCCGCTTAAAAATACCTAACCTCATTATTTTTATAAGTAGTGCAACTTATCAAAGATTCCATAATCCTCACTACACAACAAATTGCACAACAAACCCCCCAGATTCGTAGCGTTGTTGCAAACTTCGAGCCGAAATCCAACCTCTCCAAGGCCCCAATGTTTGGCCATGTCCAATTAGCATAATAAGGGAATAATTTTTTCGGTCGTGTTCTAATAAACCACTTTTCCCACCAGTTATATATTCCAGAAACCATTAGAAATTTGGCCCTATTAAGCACAAAATTTCTCCTTGGCGTTTGATCAATCTGGATTGCATAGTGCGTTAGGAGGAAATCATCATCAGTTCCCTCCATGAAAACTGTCCCATCCACGTTATCATTTAAGAACGGAATTATATTCTTAATGTTTTCCTTTTCATCAATATACGCCAATTTATCTTCACACCGCGATAAATTCGGATATATGTGAGAAGGCCACTTGTAATGCAAATCTCGCCAGATGCGTTTCATATTTTTGCCCCCAGACGAAGCCCCTCTCCCAGTTTCAGGGTCACTGGCTAATAATGCATCAGCGAATCTTTTGTATCCCAACAAGCGTGGAAAGTCTCCTTTGTAATCGGCTGCAGCTATGGTATCCGCAGAGAATTCGAAAGAAAAAAACGTGTCGATTGGAGTTCCGTTGGCATACCAGTCATAAAATTGCTCCACATCAGGTTTTACAGGGAGGAAGAGTTGAAATCCTTGATCTTGGAGGTCGTAAATATGCGCCCAGGAAGGACTTCGTTTATACGGGAGGATTACTTCTACCGTAAAGGTGTTTTTGTAAAACGAAGTCAATATCATACTGCAAAATATCCAAAGCCAAAAAACATACTCTATTTGGACGGGAACAACTTTCTTAATATTCGAAGTGAGGGATATCTCTAGAATTACAGCTACCGTAACAATACTCACATCGAAATGTAATAGACCATTATAATCGCAAGCACGAATCCGCCAGATTATCAAACCACTTATCGATGAAAACACAAGTATTACAATAAAAATGCAGATCCAGGTATACTTGTCAAATGGGTCCGTAAAAATTTTATACGAGTTCTCTTTCCGAATCCCATAACACGACAAGAAACTATAAGATTGACTTCCGATAAAAACAATTTGATGATTTCCAGCACAGTATCGCATACGTCCTTTTCCAAAGAAAATATGCGTATTTTTATCGTATACTTTCATTGGAAATGTTATATTATTCAGTGATTCAGAGAAAATAGTGTATGAAATAAAATCGTCCAGCGATTCCGACTGCTTTGCAATTTCTATCCAATCTTGACTTTGTTTATATTGAAAGTATTTCTTTTGCATTTCGGCAAATGTCTCACTGAAAATGTATGACAAATGGTAATCATCCAGCCACATTACGTAAACCCAGGAAAATTTGTTAAAAGCGGTGGTAACTTTGTCGGTTGCATCTTCGATGGACTGATAGCATTCCATTTTAAACTTCAGATCGCACCGGATTTGTGAAAAGAGTTCAAATTTTGTCAAAACTGAGGTAGGTATCAAGGTTGGTAGAGCAGCTCCTTGTCGATAGTATAGATTTAAGTGGTAAAACTGCATCTTTGTTTTAATTTTCAAACCTGGTTGTGCAAAGTAAAATTCACGGCTTCCCCACGAAGTAATGCCATATAAGAGGATCTTGGCGTGGATGGTTTGCATTTCTTGGTATGCCATCTCCTGGTCGGTTGATATTAGCCAAATTATTTGTATGGGATAAGCAGATCCAGTGATACCTGGAAATATTGGGGAATTAGCTAAATTTGAGAGCAGAAATTTCACCCCCATATCGGGAAATACATATGTCCAACAGAATTTCGCAAGTTGTCGTCGGCGACTGAATGGCACGTTTTTGAAGAGGAAGTTATTATTTCCATGTGCATAATTTGGAATGGACATAAAGTTTTCAACGTAAATTAGCAACGGATGGAGTGGAATTAAATCTTCTTTATTTGTGGTAAATTTTACGATGAGTGTACAATGTGAAAATATGTCAAGAACTGAATTGAGAGGACTTGCAAAGGTGTTTGAGTCGGACGGATCTATTGCAACGGTGAAGATGGAAAGAAGTAGAATGAGATTAACACATGGAATAAATGACGTAGACATGTTTGTCGCACAATTTTAAGGAATTAAATTTATTAATTTGATTTGATTGTGGTGAAATATGTAAGGAAATAGAAATATCAGTTTCCGTTTCCCTTTTACTACCTAAATAATGAGGACCTACAGTTTTATGTATAAAAATTAACGTCGTTTCTAGCGTACATTCTTTATCGACTAATTTATTTCTAATAACTTCCAAGTACCGGAATATGTTCATATTTGTATTGCACTACAAAATATTGTAATTATTTGGAAGAGGTTCATTTGGCATACAGAAACATTGTAGATAGTACATGGAACTATTATTTAAGCTTTTTTAGTATGCATGTATGCATGTACGCAGAACCTAGGAGGACATTAAGCTTGAAAATTATGTGTAGCTATCGTTAATTGTACCGAGTACACAAGCTGTCAGTGAAGGTTATACAACTTGTCCTCAGCTACACTCTATTTGACCAAATATTTGACAATATTGGGTAAACTAATCCTAAGCTATAATTACTGAAGTTCCCGTAATTTTTCAAGACCCTGTATTGAAGAGGTCTGGTACTTGATACCGTTTTGGATGGATCGAATTTGTCAATGTTTATGCATCGATCTTGAATAAATTGTTATGAGAGTGTACCCATCCGATTTTCATTCGGACAAGTTTTATAAAACAGATTGTCTGAACGTAAGTCTCGTAATTTCTAGAGATATTTTTAGAAATCACAAAATGCCGTTCAGTCAATGTACCTCGCAGGTTATGAACCTTAAGGTCCATGCTTCCAGAAAACCCGTGCAAATCTGCATGCACATATTTATTATTCAAAAGACTGATTATCATTCACAGTATGAATTACTTTGTAAACGTTTATTTAAAATTAAAATCATAATTCAAAAGCTTAATTTTAATTTTGATTTCGAATCCATTTTGTATAATGTACAAGTTTATTACGAATGCATAAATTATGGTCAAGTTTTGATGCATATGCAGCTATCAATATCGATGTTGACCTGGTTGAGGAAGTGTCTTGCCAACATATTGGCTCAGTATCCCAAGTTGTTTTGGAAGATTCGCATCTTGACGAGTTGGACCGAACTGTCCCATGGCCTTTGGATTTGGCTGATAGCTCAAGTTGCTGTACTCCTGTTGATGAATAACGGCATTGGTCCGATAGTTGAAAGGCGAAGTACTCGTTGATGAAGCTACGCCTAATTAACCAGATTATAATTAAGCAAATTTAATTAATAAGTTGGAATTAAGTTTAATTTTTGTAATGAAATTTTAGAATCTCATATTTGTACCTCCTTGGCGAAGCGCCCATTCCCTTCGGTCAGCCATTATATTTCTGTTATAATGACAAATTTCCAAGTTTTTTGTTAAAAAATTCCTGTGCGCCCAGTCGTGTGACAAAATCTAAACTAAAGCAGAATGAACTTTAAATGAACTCTATATCCAAGGGTGAAATTGGTTGCTGAGATAAGCACAAATTACATGCAAGTTGCGACCGTGTGCTGTGTGATCATCTCTAATTGTTTTGTTTAGGTGCGAATAAACATTCCGCCCACATTTATAATCCGTCCACGTCGTCCGATGATAAAACAAATAGAAAAAAACATGAACCTGTACTAAGCGCTGGAATTTTTCATATCAAAGTAATTAGTTTGGTTTGTTAAGTTTGACATTGCTTCGATAATTATTCTCCCGAACTATCAAATTCTGATTTCGTTAAAATCTTGGTACTATTTCATACTTATTGCGTCACTACATCAATTCTTTATCGGAGGAAGGTAATATATATGTATCTCCCATTAGTCATTTAAATGCCATGTATATAAATACATATGTACATTAAACGCGTCCAATATATTGCGTATTGAATCTCTCGGATAAGAAAAAATTACCTAATTTGCCCGATGCAAAATTACAATGATAGATACATACAATTTATGCCATCACATGTCAGATCATAAGTTCATAACGTGATCCAGGTGAGATACATATACATACATAGATACATAGATATAATATTTAGCTCAAGCACGTACAACGTACATATGCACATATATTAAATTATTCTACATATTCATAAATTCTCATATTATCAATATTTGCCAATGTAAAGTAAGACTATTTAGATACATATTTAAATACCACTAACTAATCCTAAATAGAATTACATATACAAAAGCAGAGCTCATGCACCATTAGATAGATGCACAATGTATGTAAATGTCGTGAGCTGGAGTTCAATTACAATGCCATTATTATGTGTTATCTCGATTTAATATCAAATTAATTCAATTATTATGGATCTAAATAAATGGTCACAACTGAGGACTGCGAAACGCGTTTATTTTTATTTATTTGTACAATGCTTTCTTTAGATATGTACATACATAAAGTTTCTTCCTGCTAGGAAAATTGTTAGTGAAACTACATAAATATTAATACATCACTATATGTATGTATGTACGCATGCAAATCACATAATATTAGTAAACATTGTTAAGAGGGGAAAATTGAGACAAAAAACTAATTATAAAATCTGGTTTCAATCAGATCATAAATATATTTATATGCATATTTCAATTCCAGAAAAGTGTTTCGAAACCATCAGTTGACCTTTAAGTGAAAAGGGGACCCTTCAATGTGGTTCCCTTGATACTTAACGTGGATCAAGTAATTCCCAGCCTTTGCGACACGGTAGTTCACTCCAACAGTACCATTTCCAAAATTTTGAGTCACAATCTGTGACTTTCCGGGTCCCTCGATTTCCACGTCTAAATGGAGACAGACTGATTTCTCAACATCCGGATTATCCACAAAGAGTTTGAATGTATTTTGCCCGACTAGTTCAAGTACAAATAATTTACACCTTGAAGCTCAATTTTATTAAGATGCAAATGTACTATTTCTCGTATTAAGTACTGCTTACAAGATGACCCTTGCTTGAGGCCTCGACCCGTCGCGTAGATAAGATCCATTGCCATTGCTTTGTATCAAGTGACTTTATTTTGCGGTTGACGTATTCAACTTGTGCTCCCTTGACCAGCTAAATCAGGACTGCGTCTTAATCTGGATAAATCAACGTCTAAATCTAAATCTCAATTGAATTGGTCGAGTTGTTGATGGAATAGAGAGGAAAATTGTGAATAATCGACATGCATCATCTCTGCAGCATCTTCAACCTTCGTCTTATCCTCAAATTCGGGCTGTATACACAGACACATATATTGGCACGCCCAACATTATCGTCATGTTCCATCCAAATTCATTCTCCATTCTCCAGAGGAGAGGATACAACAATAAAGGCGAGAGTGTTAAAGTTAAAGATTTAATGTGCTTTTTTATTTTGTTTCTCTTGTCCAGTTCAGTAGAGATAAGAATCGATTAAATCTGAATTTATGTAGGTAGGTAAACAAGAAATGCGTTCAATATTTGGCATGCATACGTATGTTCGTATGCCTCAACTTTTCAATTATAACCCTTCCAGTGCCATGGTCTCATCCCATTATGCCAAATCCCTGGGACAGTGCAAATTATTTATCAGCACACTACAATGTAAAATTAAGTTGGCGTTGCCGCATTGTAAAAATAATTATGTTTTAATAGACCATTACTAATAACAACAAACACGTCTTTCGCTCATCTTCTCATTCTCATGTCCATTCCAACAACTTCTGTTCTTTGTTGTGTAGATGTTTATTGTCATAGTTTGACTCTGCGAATGTTTTCTTAGTTGATGGAGTGCGTGGGAAGTGTGTCCCACTTTTTATGCCAAGTTTCAGCTTCATGAAAAAATTTGCGTAATACATTCTTTGATACGAGATCAATTATTACGAACACGTATAAAAATTATCCAGAGTCGACTAGAACCCGAAAGACGTATTACGTATTCAACGTGGTGATCATCATATCGTGTCGTATTCATGCCCAAATTTGACCGTGGCGTGTGAGAAGCTTAGTGAGTGGTGGTAAATTACTTAAACGAAGCAACTTATTAGACACCGTGAAATGATAAATGACTTGCTCAACGTCACGTTGGTGAGATCAGTTGTCCACCTACACGCTCAAAATAAAATATTATTGTTCAGCTTCATATAATAATACACATAAAAGCACGTCATTTTCATCACGTTAGAGTATTTCGTTTCAACAACATTTTGACTGATTCGAGTTTTAAAGGGATGGGTAATATTGCCTGGTCACCTCCCAAGTTGCAGGTTTGGTTCAGACCGCTTATGTCATTCTTGTGATAAATGCGTGCAAAAAATACAATTATTGCAATTTCATGCTTGAACTTCGTATCTTATTGGAACGGTCCCACTATTTAGTTTCGGACCCTCCCAACTCCATCCTCGGACGAGTACGAACCACCGAACTCCGCATTGGTTTCAAATGATTTATTGTCGGCGCAGCTAGAGGTGAAGTTTAATTGCATCATAGTTTGACCAAAATATACCTCGGCCAGTTTAGCTAAAGTTTTACATCAAACTACATACTCGTATGTATGTACACATATGTAAATATATGTACGCATACAGATTATTAGACCACACATATTTGATAATGTGTCTGTCACTTCTCTCGTCTCTTGTTTAGTTGCTAAATAAGTGAACGTCACCCCTTATTTTCGGTACCCCTTGACCAATATTTTGCAAAGTAACATCGGTATTTGGTGCATCAATTGTCGAGCATGTAAAATTTCACACCACTTTCAAAAAGGAGCCTGGTTCGACTTGGGTTGGCTACCTGTGGCAAAAATAGTAATGAATATTGTTTGGTTTAATGTTCATAGTTTCAGGTGACCTGCATGTCAAATTTCACAATTCTACGATAATTTACGGATACAAATTGATGCTAGTTATCCTAACCCCATAAGCACAAATGACCCCCACCAGTGAACCACTTAACCCATAATGCAATCACATTCTTACTTATCCAAGGCTGGTTGAAATAAGCATTTTAAAACTACATAAATAAGTAAATTAGTAAAAATCACGACGATACAGAAGCTCGGGCTAAAAAATAAAATTTCTTTATACTACCTGACTATTAACGAACAATTAAGGTTATACAAATTCTTTTTATGTAATAAATATATTAGTTGCTTCATGAATTTAGATTTGTCTTTTTACTTGACTGGAGTTTTTATGTACTACCTCTGACATGCTTAATTGTAATTGTTACTTTCGACTTCAAATATAGCATGTTTGCAGACCAAAATAAAAATTTGAATTATTATTGCAATAGATTGTTCTGTAATAGATAGCTTGTTGCGTGTAACATGTAAAATTTCATTGTATTATCTCTTTGGTGGTGCACTAAGAAAAATTTTTGTATATCAAAATTTGCACAACCTTCAACTTTTGACCTTCAACTTCATAAATTTTGTATCTTATCAAATATAATCTTATTATGACTATTTTTTTCATGTTGACATGCAATAAAATCCATAAAATTATTTCAAACTCAATTCACCAAAAATATGTATTACTTCATAGACATCTCTCCAACTTCCCAGAACTGCTCTATATTTCCTGCAGTTCTACATACTCAACTTACATTTAAAGAAAACATGCGGCATATATATCCAGCTCCAATTCAGTCCAGCGTGAATGGGTCGACTACTAATCTCGACCTTTTTACGGGGATTTTTTACTTGATCCGAATTCTCGGAGCAGGTGGAGGTGCCATTCGTCCATCAGTCATTCCCTCTGCTAACGGCGGAATTTACTTGGAACAGGATATTTTTTTCGACCCACAAAACAACAATGAAAGCGAGTTTGACCATCTCTGGTATTTCGAACCATCGTCCATCCCATCCTTCTATGAATGGGGAGCGACCTCCGAACCTACAGCCCGAGTGGCGTGGGCCTCTGGTGACGACGAAACTGATGACTTTCCCCTCCAATTGAGAAACATGAGTGAAATTGTGCAAGACATTTACGAAGATCCATCCTCCACTTACTGGGACTTTGAATCGTTCTCCCTTAACGATCTCGGGTATTCAGGGTTTGGATATAAAGTTCGCCCGATGAACTTGGGCCTACAGTCGTCCTCGTCGAGCAACGGACCATTGAGCAGTGTCACTTTTGCGCCACACCCAAAAAGCCAGATGGGGTGGTGGCTACAACTTAACAACTATAATAACCAAGGCCACGATGGGAGCAGTGAGGATTCCGATGAAGAATCTGATTCACACGTCGTCACCAGATCAACTGCAGATCATTTGCTCGTATTTGAACCTCAAAACTTTAAGCTTTATGCACGTATTAGTCACTTTGATGCCGGTAAATTAAAAGAAATTATGGACACGCCCAGAGTTAAAAAATACGGTGGATGGAACTTACTAAAAAACCCAAGTCCAAATGATACCACACAAAATGTGACTTTTATCAATCAAATTCAATACGACTTGTATGTCCGACCTGATGAGAAGAACTTATTTTCGGGCATTACCGTCCTCAGCCGAAAAACTACGCCGTCAAGCAAGTACTTCGATCTGGAACAGGAGGGATCCGACTACATGGAGACTGGTGTCATCAATCTTCAGGCCACAAGATACATCCAAGCTACCGAGGAAATTGAGATGGATCCATTTTCAAGGACGAATGTCTCATCTTATGTCACCTACTTGAAAGAGTTTAAGGGAATCAAGTTAGTATTGAAGTTTTACATTGAAAGATTTTTTTGCATGCATAGATATTTTGTTATGCAAAATTTTGCAATGGACTTTTTAACGTTTTCAGATATTTCTCGTGGGCCGATGTTTCGGCTGTGGTTGACATGATGGGGTCCAATGGTCATATTGTGAAGAATGTGTTGGTGAAAGATGTAGCTTTGCTCAAGCATCTAATTCGAGCTCGTGGATACCAAGGAGAATTTCGCGACTTGCCGAATACAATGGGACAAGAGAAAGATGTTACACAAATTAGAATCAAAACTACGGGCCGCGTTTGGGGAAGCTTCCCAATTCCATTTGTTCAGATCGAGGAAGGTCAAACATTCCTGTCCCATCAATACAAGGAAGAATACCGGCGAAAAATTGGCCAACTGAATAGTTTAAATTAAAATTTATTAATGGCTGTTGTTATATATTCATGGTATACATATTACTATGAAAATAAATTGATTTGTTCATGCATAAGGGAGAATGAGATCTATTGTAAATATGCAAGTACATATATGTATGTTCATACTTGCATATTTATAATGCAATATTTACATATAACTCAAAGATAGGTATATACATACATATACATACGTACATATACCGACATATGTACGTATGTACCTTATACATACAGTCAATGGAAAAAGTATTGGCAACCCCCACGCCAGCTAAATAAAATTGGCTGTAGCCATGGAATGCATTATACAATTGGCATGAAAATTTGTACGCATTTAGCAAATATAACGTAATTTCGATTATAATCATGTTTTATTGATTAAAATTAGATTAACACAGTTTTTAAACAATTTGTTGGAAAATTTGCAAAATTAACCCGCAAAAAGTATTGGCAACCCTTAACTTAAAAAATTATAAATCAATAAAACGCAAATTTTATTGCGACAAACTGCTTCTAGTAATACATATCACCTCCCCTCGACACAATAAGAGCAGAAATACGCATTGTAATTGATTGGAAAAATCTTTTTATAACGCTTTTTAACATGTCTGCCTAATCTTTGAAATTTTGTCCAGCTCGTTTTTTGACGAGTGGTTTTCCATCAGTCTCTCCTTTCTCAACCCAGACAATCAGATTCACATCGGTAGACTGTGCAACCAACGAGAGAAGCTTAACCTCGTAGATCCCCAAAAACTTGCATTGCTAATTTGGCTACATGTTTGGGGTCACTGCATTTTTGGAACATTAAATTCCTTCCTAGGTCAGGTTTTTGCAAAATAATTTCAAATTATCGCTTGGAATGATTATTTAGACCTCATTGGTCATAACTTCATCGATAATGACCAGCTAACTACGCAACGACCTAGTCATTCAACCCCAAACCATAATCGATCCTATTCCGAGCTTGACTCCCAGACGGCAGCATTCATTTTTGAGGGCCTCATTTTGCATCCTCCAAACTCTAACCATCGAACCCGCACCGAATAAGTTAAATTTACTTATGTGAGACCACTAGACCCTTCTTCATCCGTTGGAAGTCTATTTAGGGTGGTATTTAGCTGATTTAAATACCTTGAGTTGGTTCGTTTCGGGGGCCTTCTCTTCTATGGGGCTACTGGACCCTAAAACCCCTTGGTAGGATTTTTGATTGATCACCATATTGTATGAAATATTGACTCCACAGTTGGTTCTCAAATTCTAATTGGTTTTGGATGTTGAAATCTTCCGATTTCAAGTAATTTGTTGCTTGATTCATCATTTACCTTTGGGCGAAGGTGACTTTTTTCTTCCGCAACCATGGAAAAGCAGAAACTAAAATTGCCATTTTATATTTCTTGGCTACATTTCCAATAGTAAATATGAAAAAGTATGTTTTCCATTGATTTTTAGATATCCAGGTTTTTTTTGCGAAAAATAAATGAATATTTCTCGCCGCGCCAAATATAACTCGTTTGGTGTCGCCATTTTGGTTCCAGACAACACAACTGCTGACTTAAAATGTAGCTATCGTCATATTTTGTCACCTAATTAACTTACCGTAATGAAATGGGGTAGGTGATTAAGAATATTGTTCCGCGTAATTAATTTGGCCACATGTTGCCAATACTTTTTGCGGGTTAATTTTGCAAATTTTCCAACAAATTATTTAAAAACTGTGTTAATCTAATTTTAATCAATAAAACATGATTATAATCGAAAACTACATTATATTTGCTAAATGCGAACATATTTTCACGCCAATTGTATAATGCACTCCAAGGCTACAGCCAATTTTATTTAGCTGGCGTGGGGGTTGCCAATACTTTTTCCATTGACTGTATGTATAAGTATGTGTATGTAGATGTGATACATATGTATATTTTACACATATGCATTTTTAAAAATATGTACATTGCCCATATAATTTCTGGATAGGACTTATTGGTTAATTACCCATCTGCTGTTTATATTAACAGTTTGATTTTAATGTCAATCTATCTAACATTTAACATATAATACGTGTGACGAAGCAACTGCAGAAACCTAATCAAAATTGAAGTTTCTAAAGAATTTAAATTGGAAATTTTTATCAAAGTCTGAGAGGTGTCACAGGTGACTCTTCTTGATAATCATGAAGGTTTCATTTCCATGCGTTCTTAAGATGATGAGCACCGGGACGACACGCTCTGGGACGGTACGCTAAATTAAACCTTGCAAGTTAAATAGTAATGCTACTAGAACTAGAACAATGCTCTGTTTTTAATAATAATAGCAGTCAGTTGCTTCGAGCAATTTTTAGCCTACGATGTATATACATTGCATATGTACTTTACAAAATCAAGTTCATCACCTTCGTGTCAAGCTAAAGTTTTCGGTAGTTATTAAATACTATGCAAGATGCAATTATGCTGGACAATCGTCAAAACTGGTACAAGCTTATTCATATATGCAAATCTATACATTTTTAACATGTGTGTATGGATTTAGTGCTGAATTTGTGAATATGCACATATGTGTGGATATCAAAATTGGTCTGCCCTTGGATTAAAGTTGGTTTTTTATCTACCAAAAAGTGGAAGAACCATCATGAAGGCTACAAGATGACCGGTATGTATATAAACATATGCATGCATATAGCAATCAACTTATTTATTTGCTTAATGGTTCATGGTGTTGTAGATATTTGGATTGGACAACTCGATGGGATCATTATTCTGATAAGATTCAAATTAACTAACAATCATTAACAACTACCTTTCTGTAAAGCTGATTTAGACAAAAGTATGTAAGTTTTAAGTCCTGTACAATTTCTCATAAATACTTTCATTTACAGAGTTATTAAATTTGTGCATTTAGATTGTAAATTACCATGATTTCTGCACTGTGGCTTGCCACCTTATCAATATTCGCACTATGCTTGTGGTATATCTTGGTTGAAAGGAACAAATGGAAAAATTCACCACCAGGTAAGATTTGGATAATCCACTGTTAATTCCATGAAAATTATTTATCGTGTTACTGTTGGCCAACTAACATAAAATTAATTAACATTTGTAGGACCGTTCAGGATTCCTATTTTGGGAAATATATTCCAAGTTGAATTATTGGCACATTTGAGCTTCTGCAAATGGGCTGATAAATATGGACCTATCATTCGAGTTGATTTAGCCACTACAAAGTAAACCATTCAAATTAAATTAATCCGATGACTTGCTAACGTCATATTCTCTCATCCAACCTATGTATTTATAGGACAGTTGTAGTTTCTGACTACAAAATGGTAAAAGAGCTCTTCAATGACCCTGCGTCTTCCGGAAGGATGGATTTTAGCATGTTTGACTTTGTTTTAAGCGACAGATTGCACGGTGTGATTTTTACATGTTAATTGCTCCTGGATGGTTATTGTATATGTATTTACGTTATACATACATATTTTGTGACTGTCCACTAGGAATTGTAAACACTGAAGGCCAAGATTGGGAAGAATTGCGTCGTTTCACACTTCGTCAACTTCGTGATTTTGGATTTGGGAGGAACACGATGGAAGAATCGATAATGCTCGAAGTGACTGAACTTATCGAATGGTTGAAAGAGGTTGAGAATAAACCGGTTGAAAATGTTAAAGAAAAACTCACATTTGCAGTGATCAATTCCGTTTGGAGTATTTGTACAGGCGAAAGATACAAACATAATGATGCAGCTATATTGGAAATGACAGAACGTGCATTAAAGTAAAAATATGTACATTACTTCATTAGTTTATGCACATCTTTCATGTCTACATGTTTCAGCAGGGATAAAATATATCAAGTTTGTTTTTAGGACATTTGACAGCGTGATGGAGAGAGGGCCATTACTTCTATTTGCACCAATCTTAGGAAAACTCTTTCCGGTTTTGTCAGGCTACACGTTGGTTCGAGAAGCAGTGGATGGTTTTGCAGATTATTTTAGAAAACCTGTCAACCAGCATTTGAAAACTTTTTCACCCGATTTCGATAGGTATAAATTGTGATATGAGAAAATATAAGTTGCCTACCTATTTATTGTACTTCTGGTTTTGACCCAAGGGATTTTGCCGATGTCTTTATCAAAGAGATCAAAAAGACGACTAACACCGAGTCCGCATTTTATGGAAAATTTGGAGGTTATTCATACATTATTAATAAAAATTGAATATCTTATTTCTTTGTGAACATACATAATTTTATGTAATTTTAGAGGATAACCTCCTTGCTACATTGGGGGATTTATATTTTGCGGGTACCGACACAACCTCGACGACGCTTTCATGGATGATTTTATATCTTTCAAAGATGCCAGAAATCCAGAAAAAGTTTCAAGATGAAATCGAATCAATCACAGGAAATACTAAACCCGTGTCTATTTCGGATCGAGCAAAGTAAATAAGACATAAAATATACACGATTTTCATTTGACATACATATGCAAATATATAAATTTACTCACTGTTTCACATTATTCCTACCCGATTGTAGCATGCCCTTTACGGAAGCTCTAATTGCAGAGACGCTTCGATTTTCTTCCATTACACCTTCAGGAGTGCAACACAAGGCGTTAAGAGATATCACATTTCGAGGCTACACCATTCCAAAAAATACTGTCATCACCTCAAACTTGTATTATATTCATCACGACCCAAAAGTCTGGGGTGACCCTGAAAATTTCAGGCCTGAAAGATTCCTAAGTCCCGACGGGAAAGTCTTCAAGAAACACGAAGCTCTGATGCCATTTTCTACCGGAAGAAGACAATGTATCGGAGAATCGTTGGCTCGAGACAGCCTGTTCCTCTTCGCTACAAATGTATTTCAGAGGTTCTGGGTCAAATTTGATGAAAATGGTCCCCAAAACGGATTTGATTCGAAAGCCTCGTTTACCTTCATCATAACTCCAAAACCTTACAGTGTAATTTTTAAGGATAGGTTGGCGTAAATTTGCAGTTATTTGCGTACAGAATACTTATTGGTACACTAAATAATTATGATGCGTACTGGATGTAAATACAATTTGTATCTATACATACATACATATGTAAGGTTAAAAATTAAATTCGGAATAAAGATGTTTGAAGGATTCCGGAATTAAGCACACCTATTTATTAGGTGTTGCCACTTTAAAAGCGACAAGTAATGACAATTGCATGTTTAAAATTGTATCATTTTATAATCACAAATTTAAAATAAGGGTTAGGAAGCATAAATCAAAATACAACCGCAGTGAGGTTAAATATAAATAGTTATTTTATTTAGTTAATAAACATCAGTAGATATTCACATTAAGCAACAATCGGGGTAATCAAAAGTTTTGAGTCATTTCCTTTCGTGTCGGATAAGGCGCAAATAAAAATTCCTTTGGATCTCACAAACTCATCCACAGAAATATAGGCCTCTCCAATTGAGTCATCCTTTGGGAGTGGATCTTTGTCAAAGGCTTTAAACACCCAAAACTGCAAAGTAAAAAGGCAACAAAACACTTTAGGCGATATGTAATAAGTTGGACAAACACTAGATAACGATTGGAATGCAATACATCATTTCCAAATAAGCAAGATAAGGCAAGATGTAAATGTCTGTTCCCAATTTCATCACCATACCGCACCAATATTTTTTGCAAATTATTTATTTACTTACTTGATTTGTTCCTGGCGAATAAATTGGAAACTCGATGACATCATCCCATTCACAATTTTCCACGTTTTTGATTGTTTTTGTCGTTGCAAATTTCGTCTCCGGTCCGCCCTTCCCAACGGTCCAGTAGCATTCAACGTACGGGTCGGATAGACCGTCGAATGCGTCAAGTTTAATGAGGTCCCTACATTTTTGTTACATTTATTGAAATATCTCCAAAATATTGCATACCTATTCAAAGTATTGTGCATCAACTCACCTCGCCGACAACTTGAATTTGATCAAAGTTACAGTCCTAATCAGCAAAGCTCCTTGTGGGCCTCCAAGCTTGGCGTAGAACTCTCCACCATTTCCGACAAAGTCGTCAACGTTGACTTCAATAAATCCGATGGCGTCATCCTTGTTAAGCACGTCGAAGTCTAGCACTTCAAATCGCCACACTTGTCCCATGCCTTGCATCCAGTCATAGCTGAAAGTGGTGTCGAAATAGTCTGGGTTTGGCTCATTCACACGATGTTTTGTAGATCCTCCATCATTCCAAACTTTAGGGTCGGAATCAGTGTTACTTCTGTGCGTCCATTTGATATACGGGTCTTGCACCGTCGATCCCACACAGCCGCGATCTCGCATAGGTAGATCCCTGGCAAAATTAGAATAAATGTATAAAATTTGAATTTTGTCTAGGTACTAAAATACTTCAAATGTAGTCTTAATTTCAATTACCTCGCGGATACCACGAAACTAATTTTGGATGACTTAGCACCCGGTGCGGAGATTGGGAAGTTTGGTTTCTGGCTCATTTTTGAAGTATATTTCGAAAATTAGAGATATTATGATTCGCAACTACTCAATTGCAATACTATGCGGAATGAGAGATGAAACTTTGCATTTTATTCACCACCACTTATCATTGAGTCACCTCCAGGAAACAATGGAGTCAATGTCCACTCGGTATGATAACGTTAAAAATATGATACCCAGCCGATACAAAAAAAGTCATGATAATGCTTATCTTAGATTAACTTTAACAGCGAGCATCCGTTCATCTCCAGAGGTTAAACATACAGCGATGATAATTGTAATGAATGAACAGGATGAATAATACAGAACAGATCACAAGCTCTTTACAAAGTTCTCTTTCCCTGTCGGCATTTATGTATGTGCAATCTGTTTGGTACAGTAATTAGTGAAATACTTTGTATGATTTTAAAGATTTGCACATTATTCATGTTAAATATTTATAGTATGTGATGACTGTGATGACAAATTGTCACAGTCAATTAGTCATTTATATTTCTGGAATAATTTATAATTATTTAAAATATGAATTCCACCAACGTGGATTAACTACTATTCATGACACAATTTCCACGAAACGGCTAAGCAATTAAACAATTGACGTAGATGTGCATATCAATAACTGCATTAACGATTGACAAACAACAATAAACACGATTATTTAGTTATATTTATGACGTACATATGTGTGTCAAAACTTCCTTCGAACAATAACTACTTCATCGTTTTTGATGACTCACATGGTTGACCTGAAGGAAATTAAATTACGCAGATAAGCTAGATATTAAATCCTCTTATAACATAAAATGGAGGAAATGGACTAGCAAACAACAATCAGTGACTAATTGCTCGGGTTATGATTTCATAAGCAGTGGTTTCCAGGATGTATTGTTTGTACTGTTTATTAGCATAATAACTATTTATTAGTATTCTTTCGAGCTTTGCGGTACGGCACATGGAGAACAATTTTAGAGTAATATACAAATACAATATAATATGACAAGTGTAAAACGGAGAGTTTCCGGATGTACGTATAATGCTAAATATAAATTGCAAATGGTATTAATTAATATTCTTCAATTTATTTTTTAACAATTTATTTATTAATTATCTCAAAACGTATGTCAATTATTAAAACATTTATGTAAGACGTGTCACTTTATCGATCATTTTACATCAAAATGGCATTGTCTAAAATTCGCATTTAACAACGGGCAGAACTGATTCCCTTTGTCTTGCAGATTTTCTGCAATGGCAGCATCCACGCTTTGATACCCCATCTCATTGCCCAACACAGCGTGAGGATCGCCACAATTTGTCGTTGCAGTTACCAACCCAGGTTTTGAGTGCCTCAGAGCATCCTCCATTGAAAATACGATGGGACGCCCTGACGTTTCCTGAATTTGACTGACTCTACCTCTCTCTGTATTTTCATAAAATGGGAGCTCAACTTGTTTAATACAAGAGACATCATATCTTCCAAACAAAGATTCAAGCCCATCAAGAACTCCGTTCAATATATTCTTTTCAATTATTGCGGAAAAATCTCCTGCAAAAAATCCACTTCCATATTTCAGAAATTTAAAATTTATACCCTGACCGTTATCCTTCTCTGCTATCATATTCAGCGCTAATCCTGCCAAAACTACGTCCGTCGCCACGAAGCGTTTATATGCAACCGTGTCAAAATACACACCTCCAAAAACTTTGCTACGACACGGGACATATCTTTCATTTCCGGGGAAAATAGAATTTATTTTATCTTGGCTTAATCTCTTCTGACCGACCACATTTTCGAAAATTTCCTCATCTAAGACACCCTGTGCTATAGTCCCATGCTCGGACAGCAAAACAAGTCTTCCTGTATTAAGCTTATTCTGAAATTGTAACGCTGACAAGTCACAAATATACACGCGTCCGTTTTGTGGCCTGCTCGTCGTTTTGTAACCACCATAGTGAGTTGTTTGCCCCACTCCGACGATAATGGTTTGTCTCACTAAATCCTTCAGGGACAAGATGACCTGTTGGGGGATGCCTTCGGAGTACAATCCTCTCTTAATGGCACCGGTCACATTGTATTGTTCATTTCTACTGAAGAGTTGTAGCTTGATGAGTGAATTTTTAGGTAGACTGTCGAGGAAATGAGTGCAATTTATGACGCCTTCACTACGCAGTGCACCAACAATTTGGAGTCCTATATCGTGGGGTATGAGGTTGGATTTAAGATGAAAGTTTTTCCAAGTTGAATGCATCCAAGATGGTGCACAAATGACAGCTCTCTTATACTTTGTACTATTCAGCATTGAAATGTTTTGATCTTTTCGAAGCTCATAACGCAAATATGGACGAAGTTTACAAGTATTACCGAAGGATTTAGTTGGACCTGGCATTGTTGCAGTATCATCGGCATGTGATACTTTTTCCACTAAATTTTGTGGCGTTTGACAACTTTGTTTGACTCCTGTAATGGTACGTGTCGTTGTGGTGATTGTAATGGTATTGCTTCCGGATGCGCTTTGCTTTGAGGTAGTGGTGACACTTTTAATGGCTACTGATGATTTTTGATCTGTCATCTTTTGATCGTCTCCTTTCGATCGAGTATCTGACATATAAAGCACAATAAATTATATTCAATTCATACAAAATATATTCTACCACATACAGAAACTAGTGGGTGCTGAATTACTTGCTGAATCTCCAACTTTATCCATGACTTTAGCCCAACTAGGAACTAAATTTGTGTATATTTAAATACATGTGCATATTAAAAACAAAACGATTATGGTTATTGATGTATGCTTACTGTTTATGACAGCTTGGTATGCTTCAAATCCTCCAAGTTTAAAGGGTGCTTTTCACAGGATACTTTGATAATTGGAATGTGAAAGGTTGTGTATACACTATTTGCTCTGGTTTCGTCTATCAAGAGATTACAGCAGTTAAGTAGATAACGAATTCGTCATAACGGTTCATACGCATGTAAATACTTATTTACAATGTTGCTATGAATTGTCACTTGTTAGTATGAATGTTCTTAATTACCAACATGTAAAAAGGACTTTAATAAAACATATGAAATAATTCTGGTAATGGTATTTGATGAAAATTCACATTTGGGTATTAATACATAGGACATGATGATGTGGACAATATTGTTTGGTAGTATCACATTCTGATTATGTAGATAGTTTATCAATTCAACCTTTAGATATCCTATAACAGTTTTTGTATTCAGCTATTGTCAACTATTTATGAGTTGGTTAACGAATATGTGATTCTGATAAACCTTATCTTGCCTGGTCCAATTGTCCGGTCTCATCGTTAATAGTATCCTTAAAATGCTACTTTCTTGTATTATTCAACATAAATGAAATGAAATACCTTCATATATTAAAAGACTGAATATTGAAATAAGTATTACATTTGTGTATATAGATTTTGATTCATGTGGATTTCATTTCCACCATGACTAGCTCTCGAGAAGCTCGATTTATTCAATCGTCCATTAACGGCATAGTTTTCTACTCGAAATCTGATATTTCATCGTTCGTCTCTCAATATGGAGATTGTCCTCGAAGATTTCGCGATATTCTAACCCTTCTTCATAGCGATTTGCAGATAAACAATTCAAATCTAAAACTACATTGGGATTCTGCCAAAGCAAATTTCACTGCGAATCCTGACCACTATAAGAACTCCCTCAAGAGGAAAGATGGACGTAATTTCTATGATGAATGCCACATTGCCATTATTCTGTACACTTTGGGAAGCTTATACCACCATTTAAACCAAGATTGTCGGAATTCCTGTGGTGGTGGCAAAACTTTGAAGAAAATTCCAAACCTTTCCATTTTCCTGCTTATTCGTTACGTCATGGAACACAAGACGCCAAGCACAGAACCAAGTAATTTGTATCGAGGTTGTACTGGTGTACCTGCTCGTAGAATTAAACCTGGACAAATTTTAGGCTTTGGGCAATTTACCTCTACAACGGTAGAATCTGGCATGGCTCAAATGTTCGCAGGGACACAAGGTGACCTTACGTGCAACTAAATAACAATAATGTTAATTATAATTAATTAATTAATTAATAATAATTGTTTAAGACAAAGCTGATATACTAATATTTTCAAACTAATGCGTTTACAGGGGCCACGTTTTTTGTGATTGTAAATTCATCAAGCGTTCGTACCAAATTTATTCCAATGCAATCACATTCTCAATATCCAAGCGAAAACGAAGTACTCCTATCGCCGTTTCAGACCTACAAAGTGAGGAATGTTGAAAAGATGCCTGGGGATAATTACTATGTATATTTAACCATTTGAAATGTTTTTTTACTTCATTAATAGACTATAAATTAATAACTTAATTATTAATTGACTTAATTATTCATGTAAATATGTACCGTCTATGGTAAATACATACGAACCAAGTTTATAAATCTGATGGATTCATATGAAATTTTTCCATGGCAAAATCTCAACTTTTTTGCTTCTGGGTTGAGCATGAGCATCACTCAACACGCTATTCCGGTAAAGATGGTGTGTTCTCTACGCTGACATTTGTTTGCTTCGTTGTAGCATCAAAAATAATAACAAATAAATATTTAAAAAAAATTAAATCACAAGTAAATCATAAATCAAGTCATGAGTCAGGACAGAGAGCTGCTGACGAGGTACATTCGGGGACGAGGATGTTGGTGTTGTGGGCGTGGTGCCCGTGAAAGAATGTATTTACGCCAGTTGGGCGACTTAATTTATAAGCGATTCGCCATCCTGCCCAACGTGGAAGATCAAAAAGTACACAGTTTAATTTTTTATGGGATAGAATTTGATGGATAGTTGGTAACTTATAAATCGGTAACTTAATCTTTAAATATTTCTAATTATTATTTTTTTTAGTACACAATCGGCGACACATTCACTAGTCGTGAGGAACAAGGTGAATTCATCTTCTGGACACGACCAGGACATGATGAGGAACAGGGGACAAGTAAGAAATCCAAAAAGGAAAACATCAACAACATGTGCGAAATTTATTGTGTCAAAAATCAGTACTGGGTCAGCCCTTTGAACGTAAGTGCGACAGTTGGACAGAAAATATAAACCATGTACTTATTTTGACTGGTTTTCAGGGAGAAATTTTTATCAATGATGTCAAGATAAATAAGAAGACAGTTTTGAAATTGGGGGACAGTTTATCATTTGGAAAGAAACTGGAGGGGCATAAGGTTAATACGAGAGGGTCGAAACGTGATAAAGATGCTGAAAAAAAGAAGAAGGATACAAAAGATGAGGGTAAAGATGAGCGATATGATGAAGTTTTCTTGTTCAAGGTAAAATTTGCATTATTATTATTTAGTTATTTTTGTATTCTGTTTATGTATACTAATGCTGATTCTTACAATTCTTAACTAAATTACAGTCTGTAATTGTAATTGTATTAAAAATTTGTAATGTTTTATTCCCATGCTTAATTATTTCAGGAAAGGGAATTGGATCCTGCAGCATTCCTCGAGTCTGAAATTCGTCGTAACAGGATCGTGATGGAGAGGCTTGAAGAAGATAAGAAAAGATTAGCTATTGTGAGCAAGAAAAGAAATTTCAAGGCTGTGTACAATGGGAATTCTGTTCCTTTGCATAATGATCTTGTAAGTTCAAATCTATATATAAATTAAGTGACTTGTTCCTCAACAATAAACCTTTTTAGTTGTGATTATAATACACATGTATATGTACATATTATTTATGTGCTAATTCTACAATATCGACTTGTTCCAGGTTTTATCCCACATTCTCTCCTACCTACCTTTTGGTGATCTGAAGACCGTCCGATTCGTGTCGAAACTATGGAACGACGAGTCTCTCAAGATCATAAAAAAGAAGGCAGTCGTAAAGTTTGGATTTGGTCCTGGCTACAGCGCAACAAACGAATCCATGAAACTTTTTCGATATGTTAACGAAATGAAGAAAAATCCACTCCCCAATTGGGAAATTAATCTTCCTGCGCTTGGAACAACTAGAGCAGATGAGTATAAAGTGGACGCTACTCCAGGAAGACCTGGAGCCAAACTGATTGCCGATTTAGACTGGTTTTTGGGCGAAAAAACAGACGTGGTGAAACAGCTAACTCTTAGTGGAGAGTTGGAATCAATATTCGATCATGAAATTCTCGTTAAAGTTATGAAAAACCTACCTTTAGGAACAATTCAAAATTTTGAGCTAGCTGGAGGATGGGCATTAAAAGCTTTATCTGAGAATGGAGAATTAGAATTTCCTACAACAATCTCATTCAAAATGTTGCAAGAATTTACGCTGTCCATGGGAGCTTTCAACGTTGAAGGATATCATGCCAAAGACTGCTCCACAATGACTTGGTTGAGGCCATTGGCTAATGCCGTGAATAGGGTTCGAGCTCTTCATCTTAGATGCAGATCTCCCCTGTCTTTGAGTTTCATTCAACAGGCTGACTCATTTCCGAACCTCGAGCAAGTTTCATTCCATTATGTAAATCCGGAGGGGCTCAAATTTCTCCAAAAATTGGACAAACCTTTGAGCAAGCTGGAACTGAATCGACTTATCCATTGGAAATCTGCTGACGTTCTTGCATTTCAAAAACTCCTTCAAAAACATTCAAACTCTTTAAAATCTCTGCAGTTCATTCTACCCAATTGTTCACAGGGATCAATGGTTTTAGAGCTTCCAATATTTCCTCAACTCAAAACATTGAATCTAGGATATGGAAGTTCTGGCGACGATGAGGATGACGATGATAACGATAATCGAGTCGGTACTAATGAAAAAGTTCTCGTCACTGTCGCATTTCGCGGCGAATATGGTCCGGACGCTATTTCATATGCTAAACATTTTCCATCGCTCCAATCTCTCACATTATGGCCATCTGGTTACGGGAAATATGGAGCTACAGAGAGTTACCGCACGTACTTGAGTGACATTACCAGCTTTTGGGAGAAACATACAAAATTTTACGAAATATTCTTTCCTCTGCACCAAGACGAACATGAACCTCCACAGATTTGCAAAACACTTTACCATCTGGATGTTCCACATCAGTCTTTCGATTATCCAGATCAACAGTTGCATATCTTCCCCAGAGCAGCGGAAATTGCTGCAATGTTTCCAAACGTCGTCAATGATTGGACTACTGAAATTAAAAAACCTGTAACTATTCCACCGCCACGTCCTGAAAAGAAAGTTCTCCGATCAGCTTCTAAAAAAGTTAAGGTCCAAGCTACTCGCGTTCTACGACCAAGGGGCACCACTACTAGGGCTTCAAAAACAACGCCGGCTGCTGCTGCTTCCGCCAAACGACGTGCTCCCAAAAGGAAAATTAATTAATTCAAACTCCAATAAATTATCCAAGGTGGTTAAAAGATGCAGCAGTGTGTGTTGATTAAAAGTTGTACTAATTTACTCAATGTTATCTTTGTTTCGCTCGAGTTCTCTACTTATAATAAGTATGTATTTATTTTGTCATTTTGTTTTTCATTTAAATGAATGTTATTCTTGCAAATCTTTTTATCAGTTGCAATCTTTTCTTAAACTTGTTTGTTACTTATAAATATTTACATACTAATATGTATGAATCCCGCTTAAACCAATTACTCTAATTTAAATCGAAATGTTTACAAACGCGTAAGTGAACGAAATGATGTATTATTTATGCATACACGCAGCAAGAATAATAATTTGTGTAAATTTTATTTTTTACTGAATAAAAATTAAATGAACGTTCAATTAAAAAATTTCATTTTACTAATCTTTATCATTCCTAATAAGCCTAAGATATTAGTTGTATCCTCTTGTTTGAAATTACATTAACTTCGTCGTCATTCTCTAATTGTGTCTGAACATCATTTTGTTCCAAATTAGGTCTAGTTGATGTTGCTTCTTGAACAACGGCACGTTTTAAACTCCTCCTACTTGACACAAAGCTGAGATGCAGCAATTTTGCAGCCTTGACTGAATTCCCCTCCTTATAAGCTTGCACCCAAGGTGGCAATTCTTCCCCACGTGCCTGTAATGTCCGTTCCTGTAAAAACGAAAACAATTGTTATTACTACTTCTCAATAATTTGATGTTCCTTATTAGACTCGTCCTTAGCATACCAATTTCCCCAAATTTCTAAGGATGTCATCCCGATTTCGAGGCCGTTGTTGTGCAATGACAGCCCCGTTACAGTTAGTACATCGAGTATAAGATTGCTGTATCGACTTTCTAGACGGGTGGGACAAGATCCGGAGTGTGTTCATCACTTCAGACATTTCCGGTTCCTCACTGTCCGTACTTGTACATGCGATGGAAGGTCTATGGTAGTAGTCGCATGTTAGCGTCCGGATCATCTCTGAAAATAATTATATAGTTATTTTAATAGTGCCGATGGATCACGGTTTGAGTGTAAAGTATGTATGCATATGTTCTCGCACCACTATTTCCCATTACAGTAATCTCGAGAAAATCCTTCCTTAATAATATGCAACTCTGGGGAGAGGTGTCAACGAGACAATTGAAATCTAAGGAATGAGTTGTCAGTACAACTCTATTCACCTTTATATAGTGGGTCTTACTACATATTCATGATTTCCTTTAAACCCATATTCAATTGCATGAACATAGGTACATGTAGGCAGAAATTCAGAAATTGCACTCAAAACTTTCCACGTAAAAAGTATTAATATGAAGTATAAGTTCAAGCACATGAAAACCCAGAACAATGTAATCCCACATAGCTGCACTTGATTATTTTAAAAACATGGCTGTAGCTCATGTAACGCTCTAACGACAATAAAAAATTTTATTGTCTCAAATTAACCTCCCACCAATGAAGAACATTGGATCAAAAAATTAGAATTTTTTATAGTGGCGTTTTTCCTAAAATCGCAAATATCTGACAAATTTTAGGAGCGGCAAGTCCAAAAAGGTACGGGGAATCGTCACCCAGCAATTATTTTCTGGGAAAAATACAATTATTTTACAGTTATTGTTACAATTATTACGTTATTTTGAGAAAAAAATAATTGTAACACAATTATAACGTAATAATTGTAACAATAACTGTAAAATAATTGTATTTTTCCCAGAAAATAATTGTTGGGTGACGATTCCCCGTACCTTTTTGGACTTGCCGCTCCTAAAATTTGTCAAATATTTGCGATTTTAGGAAAAACGCCACTATAAAAAATTCTAATTTTTTTATCCAATGTTCTTCATTGGTGGGAGGTTAATTTGAGACAATAAAATTTTTTCTTGGAAATATATCCAATTTATGAAAAATTAAAGAAAAATGTTGGGTTCCGGGGAATCGTAACTTTTGCGTAAGAGGGTACCGGGGAATCGAAGCCCGCTAAATCCTGCGACAAGTGGGTTCCGTTTCCCTGTAACTTGCATAACTAAAATGTCCAGGGGATCGGAACTTTTAGGTGACGTTTCCCAGGTACTAAGTTCCAATCCCCCGGCACTTGAACCAGACTGACTAGGAATCAGGGACTGATTCTACGTAATCTAAATAGAAGACACTGTTCATGTAGCATTCATGTAGTAAATATTTAATGGGTTACTTTGCAAATGGCGAAAATAATTACATACACATTATTTGTAATGTATGTATAGACTGCATGACACAGATATGAGATTCATGCAAAGAGTGTGCTTGACGCATTCATAAGGATACAATGCATGAGCACATATCTAAATACGTAAATATATTAGTATGCATATGATAACCACAAAATTCGTTATAGTTGCAAGCATGCATAATCATTCAAATTTATTCAAGTCACGCCTTTGTTTTTTTAATGTTACTGATGGTTTTTTATGTATCTTCAAAATATATTCATTCATAAATGTGACTCACATGTTAGACTACATATGTACATAAATATGTACATATACTAAACGTATGAAATAAGCAATAAAGTTAATGCACATGAAGATCCATGATACAAAACTAAAAAAAACATGAAGTTCATCCCATAAAAAAATATGTATATCAAATTCTTTACTACGAAATAAGCATAAAAACCTGAATTGTTCAATTCCTAGTAAATGAAAACCATTGAAGAAATTAATCAATGGGATTATCAACCTTTATTCCGTTACACGAGTTTAGGAGTACTCAAATTCAAGTAAACCATACATTTTAATTGAATTAATACTACATATTATGTACATATTGTACAGATAATTAACTACTTATTTATAGCATCAATTAGCTAGCAATGCACAATTTATTTACTCCATTCCATTTCCACGTACACACTTATTATCATACAATGGCATACTTACTAATCTTAAGTATGACTATCTACTGAGACTTTGACCATTTCTTCTTCATTACACACTGCCTGTCTTTATTGCACCACCCACTCTTTTCAGTTTTACATTGGTTACAGAATTCAGCTAACTCATCCTCTTCGCTTCTTACACATTGACCTTTATAGTTGCAAACTTGACATGTTACACCCCCACATGACTTGCTGGCTTGAGGCAGAACAAAGTCCATGCATTGAAAATCAGGACCTCTGCAAAGGTGGGGGAGGTTTTTATAGTCTGGCGGTGGTGTTGCAGGGGAAGGAGTGGGTGGCACGATGGGTTGACCAGACTCTTGTCTTGTCCGGGAAGGTCCAATTTCTGACTGAATTGTCCTGGTCACTATCCGACTTTGTGTGGATAATTCTGGTTCTGGCAATTGCCTTTGTAAAGGTGTCGTATCCACACTACTAACGACAGTCCTCACGTCATTTTGTTGCCTTTGAATGGATGTCCGTACAATCAGGTTTTGATTTCTATTCCCCTTTCGTACATGGCACACCCCCTCTGCATCACACCAACCAAATCCACTACAGTAGGTTGGACAGTTTCTTATCTGAATGAAATTATCATCCTGTCTTCCTGATATCCGATCAAGACCACCACCTCTTCGACGCAAATCATATCGTACTCCTGGAAATCAATTTTTTACATACAGCAAGAGCTTATCGGTTTGTTAACAATTAATCTCCATAATAAGAGCATGCTATCTTTAAATTTGCTAACCTGCCAACTCTGTGGTAACACTCAAACACACGAGTATGAAAATCACCGCTTTTAAAGGTTCTAATCTCGCCATAGTTTTCAAAATGTAAAGTTTATGTGGACTTGTCCAGCATGAAAAATTGATTCACTTTGCAATGGACACCAGAACTGATGAAATATCAGAACAAGTAAGTCAATTATATGTGTATGCTAAAAGAAGACAAAAGTCATTATAAAAATGCAACACCTTCATTAAGCAAAAAAATACCAATTTTCATTGACAAGTATTTCTCATTTTATTTGGTCATGATAACAATAAATACTAGCAATACTTGGAATTCTTAATAGCAATACTTGGAACTCGTGATGCATCCTGAAATAATGTAAGAAATAAGACATGCCAAATTCCAGAAGCATTTTATACTTCCACTTCCACGTGAAAAAACGTCTAAATAAAGTCACCGGACAGCTTCATTCATTAAATTACAACTTGTAATTTACAAGACATTAACAATGTAGATATTCCCTTTGAGGCCACGAGCAACTATTTGATATATTTAATATATGTACATACATATTTATTATACAGATCTGTATATATTCATAACACGTTTAGCAAGATTCCTTCTACTCGCTGATTTGTTTTCCTCATGGAATCATTTAGATATGCATGAATATGTAACACTGATAATTGATAATCAAAGTAACTTAGATAATTATCTAGCAGGTAACTGTAACTGTTGTGCCTTGGTTGCCCCATAAGACAATAATTACATTTATTTAGTGTATTTGCATTTAAAAAATATGCAATAATTGTATTGGAATTACACTCTGTATACATACTTACATTTTACACAAGTTTAGTAAGCATTAGAATAACTTCGGGTTAGTTGTTACGTATTTTATGTATCCATATTGTAACGCTCGGGCTCTTTTCATGCGTCATTTGTTAAAATGTTCGCTAATATTTTTATTTCACACGATAGTGAATTACTCGCTCACACCCATGAGATTCCCACCAGGATAAATTTCATGAAGACTGACAACGCTCCGTTGCCTTGTGTCATGGGCTGATCGGTATGATTAAAGTAAAGCACGTTATTCTACTCATTAGTAAAATTAATTAATTCACTTGTCCAGGTAAGTGAAGTACAAATTCTTGGTATAGGAAATGCAGTACTCCTGTTTCAAGTGTACATTCCTACACACTCCCACATACCATTAAACCAACCAATTGATGTATAGAAACGAATATAAACCTTCGTAATCTATGTATATATATATCTAAATACATCTGCATACGAGTATGTACTTGCGTGCCAACAACTTAAACAAACAGGTTCACAACATTGTCGCTAAATATGTACATGCACTGATTAAGAAACTGTCTTTATTTTCATACATGTACATGCTCTCATTTCCTTTAATCCAAAACATTATTGACTGAGAAGTGAGGAGCAACTTTTTGTGATGTATGCAATTCAACTTTTGTACGTTTTTATTACAAATAGAGCGAGCAAACAAATTATTTTACTTATTATCGCCATTTTGTTCCATAAATTGTTTAAATCATCATCATTGATCCACTTTTTTTGACGACACACACTCCTCCCTCTTCGTTGCACATTCCTCCCATTGTCCGGACACAAAGATCGCATTTGTCCTCCTTGTCTCGGAAGGTTTTAAACCTGGAACAGTTTCCGTCCGGAAGACACTGACCTTGTTGACAGTATGGATTTCGATTGCATGGGATCTTCCTCATGTTATTATTGTTGTTCGGCGAGGGGACCATTGGAATACAATCAATGTTTGTATTTTTGTTACAATTGTTCATTGCTTCCATATTTGGGTCTCGTCTCATCATTTGTCCACCATCACTATCAACCTTTGGACTGCAACTACCTGCGTAATCGCAATATCCGAGCTCTCTGCAAAAACGGGATTGATCCGACAAAATGAGGAGGTGTGAGTCCTGCCCAGATGTACGGCGAAAGTTGTCACAACGAGAAGATGCATAGCACTGGCAGCCGAAACCTAGATGTAGAAATGGGAGAATTTTTAAAGAATGTATATTTGAGTTAATATAAATGGCTGACTAACCTCGACATGATTGATGGCAATATTTAATTTGTATCGAATACCCGTTGTTCCCCTGAAGTCCTTGTGCATTTACCTGATGCTGGAGTAGTGCCGCAGATAAAAGTACAAATATTAAAATCATTTTTCTTTTGAACATGTCGAATGAACCTACAATATTAAACTGAATGTTCGTTGATAGTGCACAGGAGATGATAAGGTACTTTTGCAAGCCATGGAGAACCGAGGTTCTTGTAATCCTTGACGTTTTAGGTATGGAAATATATCCAACTATATAATTATGAATATAAAGAGAATCTGCTGGAATAACGTCGATGAAGGTTGTACCTATTTTAATGAGCTTTATCTTTCTATCTACATTATACACCTACTTACAATAGTTCCCATAAAGTCTCAAGTTCCCGTGACGTGTTATTTTATTTTTTCTAACAAAGTTAGAAAAAATGCAAGATCTTATCGGACGTAAGTGTACTATGGTACATACATACATACATATTTTATACGCACACATAATAAAGTTAGTAAAATTGATGTGTTCTTAATCGATTCGCTGATTAATTCGCTTACGAGCAATTAATTTACCGACAGGCAATTTACTTAAATTTGATAAATAGCCAACTTGATTGGACTCAATTATGCCAATAAAGCAAACTGAATTAAAACGTTACACATATTTTTGCACTAGTAGCTAAATAATAGGTTATAGACAGAATAGTAGTACAAGATCATAGTTTAAGTTTTTGAACTCTAAAGACCAACTAAAATTCTTCGAATTTTTTTTCAATATATATATATATATATATATATGTATGCATAGTTTCATTTTACATCATTAATACACGACCTTTAGAATGATTACAGCCAACTTTATAAAAAACTTTGGCTTTTCAATACAAATTCTATCAAAGATTTGCTTGATTCCATTCCACTGGAAACAAAAACCAAAAGCTTTTTACCCTTTCAAAGACAAGTCCAGATCGGTGATTGCTTTTAAAATTCAATGTATTATCCACCCAATTCATATACTTCTTAACGGGGTGCTACTAGGGTACAATTTAATTTGGAGTCCAGCCCTTAACGTATTCGGAAACATGTTGACATTTATTTGGTTTATGACTGACATTTGGGCCTTTCTTACCTTTACAAATTTATGGAACAAGAGAAATGAAATATCATGGATTTTTGGACAATTAGTTGTATTCGACACGAAAATTAGTAAATGTACAATCAACTATTTCTTAATGCTCATGTTCTTGTTACTTGATTTACCCTACATAAAATTTGTTTCCCTTTAATGTAGCTCCTGTCGCTGGAAATCCAAGCAAACTTTTAGAGAATGCGACGTATTTAATTTTATTTATTTTCATTTTTGGAGGATTGTCTTGCTCCGTTGTTGCTTGGTTTGGCCAAAAGCGTTACATGTTGTACGTTCCAGAAAGTTACGAATCCAATTGGCTTCTCATGATTTTTATTCTGATCGAAGTTTACTTTGAGCTGGAAAGTCTTGCGAGATTGTTTTGGGACCTGCTTTTGCGATTGCAAAATGTTTTAGTGTCCTCTAACTACATGCGCATTTTGCTGTACGAAAATATGTATTTATAACCAATCCATAGATAAATATTAATATATTGGTGCCTTACGTTTTAACATTAATGGAGTAAAAAATATGTTTTTCTTTTCTTTTAGGAAATCAAACTTATCAAAATCCAGTCTAATTCGAGAGTTCCGACTACTTCAGATTCTCAACGCTTACATAAACGCTTCACTTTCCATTGTAAAAACTTCATTCGTCATCAGTTACATGATGATTCTCCAGATAATTGGCTATTTTGGAGTGATTCGATTTTATGTAAAGTTACCATTCCACGTCTTTTTATTCTTCCCAATGGTAATATTCAATTCTTCTGTAGTTTCAATTGTGTCACTTCTGCCTACTGCGACAGAGTACAAAATGTCACAATTAATTTTGCGACGGTTAAGAAACAAGAAACCGTTCAACGCTGGTAAAATTGCCAGGAGAGAAATTAAAAGCTTTCATGAATTTGGAATCAGATTTGGTATGTTGAAAGCTATAAAGTTTCCGTATATTTCTACATTTTTATTGACTGTGTCAAATTACACTATATCCCTCCTAGTCACATTTCCATGAATAGGGGAAATAAATTACAAGGTCAAGGATTAATGCGTATACCTTTGACGATAAGCATTTAAAGTAATATATACATATGTTTGCTAATGTTCCGTGTGAAATACTAAATTTCATTCCAGTTTATGAATGTGCATTTCGAGTTGACTAATGTTATTTTAAATTGATAATGACAATCTTCATGTCAAAATGATAACAAAATTGCATATTGTATGGAATAAGCATACCTCAAGATGTTAAGGAAATTATTTAATAATTCATATTACACGCAGAAATATGCATGGATATCATAAAAGTGCTACAAATCCATAATAATAAAGCGTTAGTGTTAAGTCGCTGGCTGGCTGGCTGGCTGTGGCTAATAATCAGAGTCCGGTTACATATGTTTTTATGGATCCCTACTCATGTAGCTCAACACGAGTAGGGTAGGATAAAAACATATCCGCAGTCTACTCCATTCCATATTCCTTTCCTACTGCCTGCTCCCTCTTCCGCATGCTCAATCAAATATTGGTTGCGAGGCAAGAGTGTTTTTTTAGATTACCATCAGAACGACACACAACAATCGTTCCTTCGCATTTTTAGTGGTTCAAGGTAGAAATATAAACTTATTGTTCTTATTTGGCAATGTACGGAAGAGGAGGACAAGACAAAAGGGGTGGTGCGCGCGGGGGAGGAGGATGGACAACGCGGTTCGATGGTCAAATAAAGGTGACTGGAACAGATCGATTCTGTACGTCGTGTGGGTATGTCATTAAGGGACTTGCAACTACAATGCTAGGTAAGACATTTTTTTAAATTGTGTAAATTATTTATCGAAATAATATTTAAGTGATGATTTTTTTTATTTTCAGCCAAATGTCCAATAACTATCTGCGGTGCCAAAATTCCCATGCGATTTGGACCTGATGAAAGCGAGTTCGATATGAACGGATGGGGGCGTTGCAGGAACTGCAAGTCTTTCATCTTTCGTAAGGCTAATTTGATTGCTATTTTGATTGACTTTTTAGTAAATTAGCATTACAAAATATTTTGATTTAAACTCACATGCAGGGGATCATATTTATTGCCAATCGTGCCGATGTGTGAATCAGGCGGCCAAAGAAAATCAGGACTTAATCGTAAAGCAAGCACTGGCGAAAAGATTGCATGCCCAGAAGAAAGAAAACGAAGAAAAAGATTCGAAGATTGCCCGGTTGGAGGCTGACTATCTGGAATTAAGCTTAATTTTAAGCAAGAAAAATGCCGAGAGGAATTCAAAAGGGGCGGATAATTTCAAGCAAAGCGGAATTGTTGGTGAGTTACATGCCCGTCACTTTGTAAAATATAAGATTCTTAATTTTTCATGTTGTGAGATGGAATAACGTTGATTTTCGTTTTAGATACTCATGGGGATTTTGTCGAGAAAACTGCGACAGAGGAAAGTTCAGAGGTTGATGGCGATAAACCGAACAATGAGGACAATGAGGACAAGCAGGATTAATCTTTCACAAATGTCTTAAACTTGGGTGTGATTCATATCTGTAAATTGTTAATTGCGGGAAATATGATCAACTCAATAAACCATTATTTGGCTGAAAATTTAATTGTTATGCACCGCAGCGGCGGAAAATTAAATTGTACTGACCATTACTTTTGAGCACACCCGTACCCGTGAGAGGCTAGAACCTGTCCTTCGACAGACTTTGCTTTACGCCGCGATATTTCTATCGATCAGTCGGATCTGATGAACAGACCGACAACACACATTTCTCCCCAAAATCCTCCAAGTTTCACGCCCACCTCCTCCTCCCACTTAAACCACCCAACTAAATATTATACGTACACATTGTACATTCATATTACACACATATTACACACATATTACACACACATATTACACACATAAATACAATTACATATTACATGCATGTATACATAAATACACATATTTACATATTCTATATACAATACCACAATATAGAAACACATTATCCTTCGGGGTAATACGCGGATAAAGGCCAAAGTGCCGTATTAAAGGCCAAAGTGCCGTATTAAAGGCCAAAGTGCCGTATGAAAGGCCAAAGTGCCGTATTAAAGGCCAAAGTGCCGTATTAAAGGCCAAAGTGCCGTATTAAGGGTCAAAGTGCCGTATTAAAAGCCAAAGTGCCGTATTGAAGGCCAAAGCGCGTGATAGGGTGCCGCCATAAATTTTAGCCTATCGTAATAAGTAACAGGGTGCCGAAATAAGTAATAAGGTAACGCAAATAATTGCAGCGTGCATTAATAAATTGCAGAGAACCGCTACAAATTATACCTAGCGAAATAATGTCACCAAAAAGACAAAAACCCGGAGAGGAAAGTGCTGAGGCAATAAGACGGTATGTTGCAAACAAGCGCCAGCGTCGTGCCAACCTTTCTGCCGAACAGCTTTCAATTGAACGAGCAAGGAACGCAGCAAACGAACGAAATCGAGTTGCAAATCTCTCTGAGGAACAGCGGTCTATTGAACGAGCAAGGAATACAGCAAATGAACGAAATCGAGTTGCAAATCTCTCTGAAGAACAGCTGTCTGTTGAACGAGCAAGGAATACAGCAAATGAACGAAATCGAGTTGCAAATCTCTCTGAAGAACAGCTGTCTATTGAACGAGCAAGGAATACAGCAAATGAACGAAATCGAGTGGCAAATCTTTCTGAAGAACAGCGTTCCCTGGAACGAACAAGAAATGCAGAAAATGAACGAAACCGAGTTGCCAGTCTCTCGGAAGATCAACGTTCCCTTGAACTGCAACGGAACGCAAAGAACAAAAGAAAAAGAATTGCAAATATGCCAACCTCTCAACTCCCTGGCCAAAGACGTGCAAATGTAGCAGCAGCGACAACCTCAAGAGCCGCGACAAGGCTTATAACTTTAAATCAGACCACCCATGCGGCATCGATAAATAGATTCAATGAGACCGACATACAGCTGCATAACTGCGGCGAATTTAATATTTTATGCCTTTTTGTGGGGCAAAACATTTTTTAAAGGAACGACCACAAGACAAAAAATTTACACAATGCTGTCAGAAGGGGAAGGTTGTTCTTCCTCCCATTAAATTAGCTCCGCCCATAGAAAAATTAATGAAAAAAGAGCATGAATACTATAATAATTTTTTGAGAACATTCGCTCAATTAACAGCGCCTTGGCTTTTGCATCAATGGGGGCAAATATCTCCCCACCGCCTGGATATGGACCTTATTGTTTTCGAATTAATGGTCAAATCTACCACAGAACTGGATCTCTTCATCCAACAAATGGTGGCCAAAGAAAATTTGCCCAACTTTATATTCTTGACCCCGGTGAGGCATGTGATCAGAGAATGATGATCCGGGAGAATGCACATTGCAATGTAGAAATTATGCGCGAGTTGAGTTCATTCATGGCTCAAAATAATCCTTTCGCTAAAGCGTTTAAAATGCTTCATGAGGTTGAAAAAGAATGCTTAGCAGAAGCTATTCTTCATGGAGTAGAACCAGCAACAGTATCTATGGCAATTGTTCAAGATCGCAATTCTGACCAAAGACGCTATAATGCACCACGAGTAAATGAAGTTGCAATAATTTTCCAAAATGCTGATGGTGAACCTCCACTTGAAAGAGACATTCTCATCCATTGTAGACCAAATGAAAACGATTCAAATCCTAAGAGGACGGAAAGAATTAGTATTTTGGATCCCAATTTGGAACCAATGGTATATCCGCTGTTATTTCCACATGGAGATCAAAGTTGGGGAATTGACCTTAAACTAAATCGGCCTCCATCATTGGCAAATTTGAGTAGAGCTACTGCTAATCCAAGAACAAGGATTACTCAAATGCAGTATTATGGGCACCGTCTATCAATTCGTGACGAGCTTAATCCATTTCTGTGTGCAGGAAAGCTGACTCAGCAATACTTTGTAGATGCCTACGTAAAAACTGAAGCAAATAGATTAAATTTCTGCCGACAAAACCAGGGTACTTTACGGGCTGAACAATATGCTGGCCTAATGGATTATATACAAACTGCGGCCAACGAACAAGGGCTAATACCTGGAAGAGCGGTAATATTACCTTCTTCTTTCATCGGAAGCCCAAGAAATATGGCACAAAATTACCAAGATGCTATGGCAATTGTCAGGAAATTTGGAAAGCCCGACTTTTTTGTAACTATGACATGCAATCCAAAATGGCCCGAAATAACAGATAACCTTCAATATGGCCAAAAAGCTGAATTTAGGCCCGATTTAATAGCACGAGTGTTTAACCTAAAGCTAAGAGAATTATTGGACGATATTTCCAAGAAACATATACTTGGAATTTTAACAGCAAAGGTTCATGTAATTGAATTTCAAAAGAGGGGTCTTCCGCATGCCCACATTCTTTTAATGGTTAAAAATGACGGCCCTGTGGATGCCGAAAAACTTAATCAGCTTATATCCGCTGAAATCCCAGATATTAATGACTATCCTCGATTACATGCAATTGTAACAAAGCATATGGTACATGGCCCCTGTGGTGCTGCAAATATAAACTCACCATGTACGGGACCTGACGGGAAATGTACAAAAGAATTTCCAAAGCCTTTTCAAAATGAAACTTTGGTAAACTGCGATGGTTATCCAAAATATCGTAGACGAAATTCTGGCCAAACTGATGTAAATGGCAGACAGATTGACAATTCCTGGATTGTCCCCTATAATCCATACATGAGCTTGAAATATAATTGTCACATTAATGTAGAAAGCTGTGCATCTGTAAAAAGTGTCAAGTACCTTTTCAAATACGTGTATAAAGGACATGACTGTGCAAATATTGCTATCTCTGAACAAGACGTCGTTAATCATGATGAAATTAAAACTTTTATGGACTCAAGGTACGTAAGTGCTCCAGAAGCTGCTTGGCGACTTTTTGGGAATTCTATGCATGAGCAGTCACATACAATTTATAGACTGCCCGTACATCTTCCGAATGAACAAAATGTGTATTTCAAAGCAAATAATGTGGAAGCTGCCGCTGAAAGAGCCGCAACAAAAGAAACAATGCTTACGTCTTGGTTCAAATTAAACGATACAGATGAAGATGCAAGGCCTCATTTATATGCCGATATACCCGAGCATTATGTTTTTAACAAAGTAAGTGGAGTCTGGACACCACGTAAGAAAAACACAAATAATACAATCGGTAGAATGTACCCTGTTAATTTATCTACCGACGCAGAAAAATATTGCTTAAGACTATTGTTGCTCCATAAGCGAGGGGCTACTTCCTTTGAAGACCTTAGAACCGTGGATAACATAATCTATCCAACATTTAAAGAAGCTGCCCAAAAATATGGCATATTTAGTGATGATGCTACTTGGGACTTGGCATTAACTGATGCTGCAATTTGGAAAATGCCTCGGCAAATGAGAGACTTATTTGCATATATATGCGTGTTTGCAGTTCCTCCTAACGCTTTGGAACTGTTTGAAAAATACAAATCCGATTTATATGAAGATTTTGCACGAAATCAAAGGCATAATCACACACAGAATTGTCCACATTGCACAAATCTTGCTTTAGTAGAAATTCAAGCAATTCTAATCTTGAACTACAAGAAATGCGAAGACTTTGGCTTGCCCTCTCCACCAGCTAACATGCGTGCGGCTTCAGAAGAATATTTTGATGTACTTGCAGAGAAACAAAAAGGTGACGCATTGCAAGATACTCTTAACTGTGAACAACGAAATGCTTTCGATACAGTATTAAATGCTGCCGAAAATGACAACCTTCCGCACAGAATATTCTTTATGGATGGAGTTGGTGGAAGCGGGAAAACACATGTCTACAAGACCATACTTTCGACAGTGCGTGGCGAAGGAAATATTGCATTACCTATGGCATCAACCGGAATTGCAGCCAATTTGCTTGATGGTGGACGAACTTACCATTCGCAGTTTAAATTCCGCATACCTATAGATGACACAACAACATCGCCAATTCGATCTAAATCAGCAGATGCTGAGTTATTTCGACAAGCAAAATTGCTTATCTGGGATGAAGCTACAATGGCCCCAAGTTTTGCATTAGTAGCAGTAGACAGATTTCTCAAAGAAGTCATGAATAATCAAAAGCCACTTGGTGGTAAAGTTCTCTTATTAGGAGGTGACTTTAGACAAACTTTACCTGTAGTTCCCCATGCAAGTAGATCTGCCATTGTAGAAGCGAGTTTGAAATTTAACAGCTTATGGCGAAGAGTCAAAATTCTACACTTACTTAGTAATGTTAGGTCTGTAGACAAAAGCTATAGTGATTGGCTACTAAAATTGGGAGATGGCACATTAGAAACTCCTCTTGGCCTCCCTAAGGATACAATTGAAATCCCAGAACAACTTATTTGTCGGGAGTCAATAATTTCTGAAATATACGGAGAACGTCTTACTGTTGCCAATGTTGCCAACTTTTCAAAAATGGCAATTTTGTGTCCAAAAAACACGGACGTTGACAAAATAAATGAAGAAATTTTAAATATTCTTGAAGGAAATTCGGTAACTTATTTCAGTACTGATTCTGTGGATGATGAAAATGCAGAGGATAAACAACATTATCCTGTTGAATTCCTAAACGGTTTAACGCCATCTGGAATGCCTGTTCACAAGTTAAATCTTAAAAAGGGCAGCAATATTATGCTCCTTAGAAATTTAAATACCAAGCGAGGACTATGTAATGGCACCCGTCTAATTATTGAAGACTTGAAGCCCAATTTAATAATTGCAAAAGTGCTTACAGGGTCTGCACAGCAACAAATTGTATTCATTCCAAGAATTGATTTGTCCACTGCAAATGCAGATTTGCCATTCGTTTTACGAAGAAGGCAGTTCCCAATTAAATTGGCATTTGCAATGACAATTAATAAGTCTCAAGGGCAAACTTTAGACAAGGTCGGAGTATATCTACCTGAGCCAGTTTTTAGCCATGGACAATTATATGTTGCATTGTCAAGAGTGCGACGCTTTGCAGATGCAAAAATTAAGATAATAGACGGCCCAGAACAAGGAAAACTGATTGAGGGCTCAGACAGAGTTTTTACTAAAAATGTGGTCTACGAAGAAATATTTTCGAAGCAATTAGACCCGGATGGTCAATAATTTTAGTTAATTTGAGCTAGCGGTGGCTCAGACAAATGTACCGTCCGTGCTTTCTTAATAAAATTAAGAAAGCCAGTGGGGCAGCATGCAGAAGGGGGTCCACGTCCCCTGCCCTGGGAGGATATGAAATCTTGCAAACGCTTCTGCAAAAATTATTTGTCAGAAAATTGACCGACAAGAAAGGCGCTTTATATATGTAGATACATTCTAGGACCCGTCCTTGGACGGGCTTTTCGCTAGTATCTAATAAATGTCAAGTAACTATTTTGGTAGCCCGTACTTCCTTAGGAATACTTCCATAATACCAGCATCACCAGAACCAAGGATACTCGCTAACTCCAGTCGCTTCGCAAAGCTTGTCGATGACAGCGTCAACGATTTCTCGGACCATTTTGCCTAGAAAGTATACAAGTAAATTTTATAACACGTATAAATTGCAAAAAAAAATAATTAAACCTAACCTTACGCCTCGATTAATGTGCAGGGTATGCAGTTCAGAGTTTCAGAGTTGATTTTTGAGCTTTCATTCAAATGAAAAACTGAACATTTATATATATCAATCCCAGCATATAACTGATAAGATAAGCGACTAAACAGCAATTTTTCTTGATAAAATTAATTTTAGACCACTTAACCTTATTTTGTAAAGATATGCACTGGGCGTGACAGCATTATAAAATGCGTTGTTGAATGCTTCCTATCTGCCAATCTCTCAGAATTGTTGAAACATTCTGCGTAAATAAATTGTGAACGTCAATAGCTTATCAATTGATTTTAAAATTGCTTCCTGTTATTGCTACGATATAACTGCGTAGTGTAAATTGAGTGGTTATATAAAACTAAAAACGATGTGCGTCGTTTTATATTTAGATCGAATTATGTGTTTGGGTTTGCAAGGCAAATTATTGAGAAAAAATTGGCTTGTCGTGATAAAGAATGACAAATTACGCAACGCTATTTAAGTGAATGCAATATAAATATGTAACACAAGTCGTTAGAAATAAGAATTATATAACTTTATCGTGGTTGGTTATTTTTCGAACCACGAGTAAAAAACTTGTGCATGTTTGTTATTAATATCTCGTTATTGTTGAAACGATTGAAATTTTATAAGCAGATGCGTGTAAATATTGAAACGCGTATGTACGTATCCCAGGCGTTAGAGTTGTGTATTTATATCCATACATTTGAATTCAAAATTTGAGCTTGCGTTCGAGAGATCTTGAACTTAGGAGGTTTTATTAATCTTTTAATACACTAAACTAACACAATCTTTTTATACCTTGTGTGTACATAATACGTATGTATCTATTACCCCATAAGGAATCATACACGATTATTAATGAATCATAAGTAATTACAGTAAATTCTGTAAAATTTTGCACGTTAATAATACTGAAATGTTATATTGGCCCTCCTCAGACACACGAAAAAATCGTCGCTTCGAATTTCGCTTAGTTTTTCGCTTACTTCCTGATAAGCGAGCTCTGGGGTAAGCGACCAGAAACTCAACTCAGAAGTGGGGTTAAGGTCGCTTAGCTGAAGTCAGAACAAAATTTTACAATTTTCATAATTTTTGCCATGCTATCGATAAGCGAAAAACAAAGCCAAATTCGAAGCGACGATTTTTTCGTGTGTCTGAGGAGGGCCATTATTTATCATAGTTAAATGTGGTTCATAAAATATAAGTATGTATAATGTAAGATACATATAAATATAATAATAAATCAGATTAATTTAAGATAAGAATAGCACCATTTAATTAGTCGAGTTCGTACTTTTCTACTAAGGGCATACATTACGAGCCTTAATACTAATATGACTCCGCCGAAATTTACGACAGAATAATATTAGTCGCTTGTTCATAAGTCGGAGGTGGATCTTCCCAAGAAATTTTACGCGTGTTTGGATCATAACTTTGCATGAATACTGACGATCGTCCCCTTGGAATCCATCCAGCATTGCTTTGTTGTGTGTTGTTGTTGAAATGCTGTACCATTGTCGCACAGTCGACGTCGTCCTCATCCTCCTCAACATTTATAAAGGTTGACATCGAGACTGGTCGATCTATTGGGTATGTGGTTTCCGTGTTGGATTGATATGTGCCTTGTACTTTTAATATCCTTACATAATTTGTGAAAACTGTCACGACGTATAATTTATACAACAGAAATATCATGAGAAGAATTGAAAAAGTTGGATGGACTTTGTACAAGACAGGGAGAACAATTAGCATTATAAAAATCGTGACTGTTGCTTCATTTCGGCACCTGATAATTGTGATAGCTTCGTTACTCATACCCTGCAATTAAGCAGTTACATACATCAATTAATTACGTCCTATTGTGTAATTTGTGAAATTCATTCATGAAATCCTAGTCAAATAGATTTAAAAATGTTTACCTTATTTAGCGTCGGTGAAAATAGTTTGGTTACAGAAAAACAGATCAGAGCTATGCCTCCAGAAAAAATGTACAGGACATAAAGGAAAATAACTGGGTCATTATCATACTCTGTACTAATATCAGAATCAGAAAATGAGGATCGTGTAAAACTGTAACGAGGAGCGTGCGGGGATGCGTTACTAACTGCGTCTGAAATTTTTAGAGAAATTTATAAAGAACGGATAATAAATATGTATGTACAAACTCGTCCAATTACCATTTGACGTCCACTTTGTAGTTTTTAGAAACAGAACGTTCGCCACATGAATGAGAATTGTGGGAAGAAATAGTGTCTGAAAAATGTACAAGGAAAATTAAATTGGACAAATATATGAAGTCAAGATTATTAACAAAAAAAATTTACTTTTTCCAACTTTCTAACTCGATGAGCATGCCTTTGCTCAAAAAAATATTCAGTCCATTCCTCAGATTCTGCTGCCATTTTGATATGTGTTTTGGATTTATTCTAGTTTTATGAAATGTTAATGGGCTCAACACGAAGTTTTCTTTTCTAAAAAAAATTTACTCGAGTGTCAAAATGACGGTGATCAGATGAGGATAACTTTCCTGCTCGTTCCTTGTCGGAGAAAGTTCTAAATACTTTCCGGGTAAAATCTTTAGCATCTCTACACAGAAGTAAAAGTACGTATGTGCTTGCTATATGTAGCTTGAGCTAAATTCGCACGGCTATGCATGTGTAATCCACTAGTTTTGTTCCACCTTTCAACTTAGGTCCATAAGTCAAACTAAATACATCACACGCACGAATTAGGAACAAATCAAGTAGTAAGGACATCTTAAAAATATTTTGCATCAAGGGGTCAAGTATTTTGAATTGTGGTACATGTCATACATACACGAATCGAACAGTCACATACAGTCAGGTCGACGATAAAATTGCAGCTAAACTCTGCAACAGCAAACTCCGGAGGAGTGAGCCACAAACTCGACGAAACTCCTTCGTACGAAGATGTAGAACGGGATTTGAACTTTGCAAAAAATCTTCTGTCTCAATTTCAGATTCATGGAAAATAATTCGCATAAGCATGCATGTCAGGCAGATTTGCATAAAAACAAGATGCTTAAGTACTTTTCGTCTGACGGCATTATTTGTACAAATGTACATAACCAAAATAAAAGTGTATTTCTTTGATAACGACTCTTTTGCCGTTTTTAATGCATACAGATTTCAAAGTTGCGAGATAACTCCAGTTATAAGTGTCAAATTGATTTGTATTTATAGGCTTAATATTAAATTAGATATTTTCTACATGTCTATATTATCTAATATAATAATAACATGAATACTTAAATATTAACCTGTGTAAAAACTTATCATGAGTAAATTTATCCAGTTATTATTTCGCAATTATGCATATTAACTTGGTTGCAAGCACAATTTCAAATTTTGTTGATATATTTATTTCATATTCAATAAAAATTGATCATAATTAGTTTGCATACAAAACTCAAGCAGATAATTATTGTACATATTATAATTTATAATATGCATAATTTGATTTACTTACTCTCCTCATTCGACTAATGTGTTGAACCAATTTCTCGAATTTAGTTTGCTCCCTTTTCCATTAATACTTTCCAAATTTTTTAATTTTTTGTCGAATCAGTCCAAGGTCGTAGCCAAAACAAATAAATTCCTCCATCATGAACAACAAGGTCGTTCACAGCTAAAAAATAATGGCATTAAACATCGTAATATCCAGTCGGAATTAATAACTCATAAAAAAGGGAGGTACCACTTTTCGCGAGATCATTATCCTTCGGTGGATTATTAACATCTGGAGGGCTTTGCAGTTCGTAGAGGTACCAAAAAATATTTTCGTTCACATTCTCCATGTAGCCACCAATTCCTCTGATATATATTCCGAATGGGTATTGAGTGAACGAATACCTGTCATGAAGAATTTTGATTTTGAGAAGAAATATTCATGATAAAACAAGGACAACTGCATAAATAAAAGGCATCATACGCATAGTTAGCATCCCCTCTTGCTGCCTCTCCCATGATATCGATAAAATACGTCACATTGACGTCTGAGAAGCTGACTTGTTTGAAAGTTCTGTCCCCATTGACTGGATCAGATGTGTACCACACATGATAGTCCACCCTTGCACAATGACAAGACGCTGTAAAAGAAAAGATAATATCACTGAAATCTGATTAAAATATATATTAAAACTTATTTACCACAAAGTGTGAACAAGACAAGCGTTGACAGGAACGCAAATTGGGATGTCATGATTTTGTATTAAAAGGTTGGTTGTGGAATTTTCGAAAAAATGTTTAATTCTTTAGTGTTTTTATCTATGAAATAGAGGAAACATGAAACTACTTTTACTTTTTAATTTTATGATCAGTAACTGAATCTAAATCGTTCTATCTTAAATGACTCTTTATATAGGTCCGATTTTATAATCTGCATGTAACGGACATCAAATCCGATATTCAGATTAAGTAGCATCTGTTAGATTTACTGAAATTATATTCGTGATTTTGAATTATAAAGCCTGCATACTTTGTGATATCCTGGAAGTTGAATATGTAATTTTTAAACTTTGAATTATTATTATTACATATTCGATATTTGTGTTATGTTGGAATTATTTTAAAGACTACCTATGCGTGCTAATATATTATTACAAATGCGACTCAAAATGCGCAATATTTTGTGTTTGTACTAGAATATTTATTATAATTTGAAATTCTATAGAACCACTTCCTGATGCACTTATGTATATCTAATGGTTACAAGCAGTAGCAAATAAGCAGTGAAGAGTTGAAAGTGACACCAGAAGTTTTAACCGTTACTCTTTATCAGGAGATAAAAATTAAATTAAGAAGCTTAAACGTCACTTTCATATTTATCTATTATAGAATATAAATAGTTCCAACTAACGATGAGTTTTTCCAGTAGTGCTATTGTTATGTATATGTGTTTATACGGAAAGTTGAAATGATAGTCCTGTTAGGTTTGTTTTCACATTGGATTTGAGAATTCGTTACAAAGTGTCATAACTATTTTTAATTTAAGAAATTTATCCATATCACCTATAAGTTTAAATACTATCCTGATCTGGAAATATGTGGCCGGCCCCATCAATACCTGTAATCGGCGTGCGAGCCGATACCTGGGGCCCGCATTTTGAAAGACAAATAAAAATATAAATGACTGAGTATGTAGGTCCGATTTTATAATCTGAAACTGACATCAAATCCGATATTCAGATTAGCATCTGCCAGATTTGTTGAAATTTTATTCCTGATTTTGAATCATAACGCCTGGATATAATTTATACTTTGTGATATCCTTGAAGTTGAATATGTAATTTTTACCTTTTTACACTAAATTAAAGATCTATAGTATCCAACTGCAGTGCTCCAAATTCGGCCCGGATGAAGAAAAGCACAGTCCAACGAAGTCTGCTACCCAACTTCGTGGTTTTCTGCCTCCGTCACAAATTACATACTGATTCAAGACTTTACGTTTTCAGAAATTAAGATTTGTTTTGGAAACAGTTGATTTTCTACATCATGTATAGAATGATAGCGTGTCAAATAATACTGATAAACTATGTAACATATTGAGATTAGCATATAATGCATATAAATTAGTAATTAGTTGTTTATTTGTGAAGGAATAGCGCTCACGTACATAAGTATATAGATTGATACATAACTAGATTTTGTGTTGAAAACTTACCTTATTTTTTAGATGATTCTTAATAATTGACGTTAGTTCGGCAATTTGCAAACCACTATCGATCTGTGGATTTTTTAAGTTACACCTCTTTTTAGATGGAGGGAGCAAATGATGCTTTCAGATGTAGTTTAAAATTCTAGTGTCATTTTGCAGTAAGGTGGTCACCATTTCTTCAGCTTTGACAGCATTTTTATTCCTTATGGAGATCTCATGCCACTTATGACAAACCCCAACTCAGGTAATGCATCTGAAGCCGAGAAATATCGTTCTTTTTTTAACAATATGCTTGATGTAATAAGCGGGGTGTACCATGCAAAATTCGTACCTGCGAAAGTTAGACGTCGGGAATAATTTTTGACAAAGGTTTTTCTACCTTCACTCCGCAAATGGTGTTTATTGACTTGCGTGACCTCATTAAAACTTCGTCTGACCAATAATAATATTCCTGCGAGTATAAGAAATGTTGTGGTGAAAAAAATTCGAGAAAGTCGCAAACGCATTGTGGCTGCATGAAGATGGTAGTAATTTTTGACACAGTAATATTGAAATATTAGTTCAATTAAACCAAAAATATACAAGTTTGATTGAAGCTGCATTATATTAAGGCAGATATTTACGTCAACCACAGCATAGTCAAGCTGCGGACCAAATTATGTTTGATGGAACCCTATACATTGTGCATATGCATATGTATGCATGTATGATTATATGTATGAATTATGAATAGTATTAATGATTATTTAGCACACTATATTTTATATGAAAAATTGTGATATATATTTATAAAATCTGATCTTTCTTTATTATTATCTCCCGGTTTATAATTCTAATGGATGAATCAAATAAAAGATATGCCTGACACTTATTCCCGTCATTATTATGCCGACAGTATCGGGAAGAAGAGCATGCAACTATATAAATTTATGAACACAATTGTTGGGTCGCTCGTTTACGAAAATTAGACCGCAGACGAGAATTGTTTACATAAGTTGCAGAGTTAGTCAGGTATTTTTTATATATTTGAATAAGTGTATTAGAAAAATGGTAAGCATATAAGTGTATTGGGATTAATTGGCTTTGATAGGGAGTAGAGTAGAGGGAAAAGTGGGAATGTTTTTGGGAAAATAGCGACTACAATTATAATTGACAAACAATACTTACATACATATAATATTAAAGTCAATTCTTTTGGTTTTTATAAATATACATTCCAAAATCAAGAGAATGACAATAAGTGGCAGTTTGAATTATTATATTATTAGTAACTTGGAAGGATAATTGCTGTTAAACAAAAAGATTCATGCATGACATGACAGCCTACAAAATATTTAGTTCATCAATCCGGAGGTGGTCGAGTAAAATGAAGTTGATTCGATTGCAAACCTACATTATCCTTTTTGTTGTATGTATATTTCCATCCATTTACATTTACAGCCTGTATTTGCAAATGGTCAACGGTTTCGACTTTGAAGTTTCTCAAATCCTTAAACACACACCTTATCTGTGGAGACGGTTTAATCTCGGGAATGGTTCAGAGCATAGCTCGCGAGGCAGAATTCAAGCTCAACAAGACTGGATTAGGAATCTTTCTCAAACCAAGTGGATAAACGGAGATAAGGTGTGATACATTTTTTACAAAAACATAAGATATGCATATATTTTCATGTACCTATAACTTTTATTTTTATTTCCAAAAAAGGCGAAACCTAAACTCATTTGGATTGAGGATGACATATCAAAATTTCACTGGCCGGATGGAAAAGTACATTGTCCATATGCTCCCAGTTTTGAGCAGAAATGTCGAGTCGAGAAAATTTCACCCATGGTAAAATTACTTGACGACCCGTATCATTTAATGGAAGGCGACGCGATCGTCTCCGTTCGAGACTGGGACATGTCCGAGATGGTTTATCACATCCCGAATTATATGCTTCACGTCATCCACATCGTGGAGCCACCCCACATCACACAGAATGCGTCCCTCGGTGCCACAAATGCGCTAATTAGCTCGTACTGGCGAGGTTCTGATATCCCATCGCCCTATTACGTGTTCATTCCCACAAAGGATAATGTCACGACTGTTCCAGTTCCTCAAAATATTATCAAGTCAAAAACAAAGTTGGCAGTTGCAATGATTTCATCTTGTACGCAGCATGATCGGGTCGAATATATTGCCGAGCTACAAAAATTTATGAGCGTTGATTTTTATGGGAAATGTGGAACAATGACGTGCCCAAACAACAAAAATTGTTTTAATTTATTTGAGGCAAAGTACAAATTTTACTTGGCCTTTGAAAACAGTCGTTGTGAAGATTACATTACGGAGAAACTGTTTTTAAACGCGTTAGGGTAAGATGGTAATTTTATGTAGTACGCATAGCATAATTAGTAGATATGCAAAGTTTATCATTTTTCATATAAAAGTCGACTTATTTTAATTAATTAAATTTAATTTCACTTTTTTCGTGTAGCTATTACATCGTTCCTGTCGTACGTGGACCTCGCAAATCCGACTACTTATCCGCTGCACCACCAAATTCATTTATTCATGTTGATGATTTCGAGTCGATACAAGAGTTGGCAAAATATCTTTCATATCTGGACCAGAATGATGACGCTTATCTCAAATATTTTGAGTGGAAAGGATCCGGCACAATTAATAACAATCATTTTCACGACATGTTTTGCAGAATTTGCGCCATGCTTTATTATGCTCAATGGGTTCCACCACCAATTTGGGAGTCAAAGAAAATAGAGTGGAAAGATATTAATGTTTGCTTGAGTTCGGATAAGGCACGATGGACAGACTAACTTGACGTTTAGGATTTGTTAGGTTATATATGAAATTGAATCTACGTTCATTATTATTCATAGATCTGTACATCTGAATTAGATAATTTATGTAACAAAATTTGTTAATGATATGTACATACATACATATGTACATATTTCTTATAGATCTGCTATTTTTGTATCCATGTACATATTTAATAACTTGCCACTCAAATAAAGCACTTTATATGTTAAAGCTTCGTTAAATATTCTAGGGTGACACCGTATTCCGTTAATATGCTTTCATGTACATAAATCTCGTCATAATCAAACCTCTTCACAAACAGGAGACTGTTTCGTTCCAAAAGCTGTTTCAGCTCTTGTTTCTCTTCAGTTGTATAAAAATGAATTTCAAAAACCAACACCTACAGCAAATAAAAATGAATTACAATTTAAAAATTGCATACTGCTCAAATGTCGTAAAAAACTGATTATTTATGTATGTATATACCTTGATGGTAACTTTATCGAATGGAAAAATTTTGAGCACAGGAAGTTCAAAGCCTTCAATATCAAGCGACATGTAGTCAATGACCTTTAACCCCACAGCGGCGAGAACCGTGTACAAAGGAACTGCCTCGACCTCCATCGAAGTCCAGTTCGAGATCCTTCCTGCTTCTGCGACATTCCAAGATGGGCCCAGTCGTGCACTATCCCATTCTAATGGGATCGACATTTTAAGTACTTGCGGATGGCTACTTGTCGATAAGCACACAGTTGCCAACCACGCTCTTCTCCCAGCATTTTTCAATTTGTCAATAATCTTTGGATTGCATTCCACCAATAGCCCACTCCATTCAAGGTTCATTTCTAGGTCAAGGGTGTGAGAATTTCCTTCTCCATCATTGGAACCGGCCTCTAAGAAAACACCGCCTTTCTAAATTGTTAGAATACAAATTCCTATATCAGTAACATATTATCTTTGGATTGTTATTTATTAGTTGAATTTTGTTTGACCTTATCCTTGTACAATTTTCGGATCAAATTTCCAAACTCACTCTTATGATGTGATGGGTCGGGGTCGATAAGGTTATAAGGTTTTGACCTTGGTGGAGGCGGGATCACATATCTAGCGCGAACGTACCCAATTAATCTAGGATCAAACTGGTCCATTCTTTCAAAATTCTCCTGAACTATGACCATGTCAGCAAGTGGATCACATAAGTTACAAACTGGTCCGTCATTTTTTCTCAACGTGGGTCTCTGAAACGGCTGGCTTTTGTAAGTTTGTTTAGATTCTGGGGGATATCCGTCTTCTCGAACTGCTACGAAGGATTCTGATCAAATTCGTAAATATCCATGAACTTATTCATCGACGATGAATCATCGTTAAATTATAAAATGTTTTATAATTTATTACTCGAATCCGTGAATCCCTTCATTGCTCCCCTCCTACCAAACGTTAAGAGCCAGAAGAAGCCAATTAACAAACTGCATATAATTAAGAACTTCCAGGATCTTCTTCCTCTGATCGATGTAAATATTTCTTTCATGATTTAAAGAATAACTAACTGGGGGTTGGGAATCGGTCGTATTTTTTTCAGAAAAGGAATGCAGATACATAAGTCCATGTAGAATTAAATATTGCATGGTGCAGATTAGATTTGCACCTGTGCTCACGTCATCCATGTTCACCATTTTGTTTGATTAGATGGACAAATACCAAGCATACTAAATATTTTTGTCCGTACTAGACCGATTTTTAATCTAATTGCAGATTATATGAAGTTTTCAATTAATATTTAACACGTTTGGATTTTGTCAGTGTATTAAAATCAGAATTAGAAAAATAAATCATATGCACGGCCAAAAATGATACTGATTTTGGATAGTTTATTATTTTTCTAATGCTTTAAGGCAGATCGTATGTAATGTAGCTTTGGACATATTTAATTTGACCAATTGTGCAAACTCAGGATCAGACCGACTTGTGGTTTAGTGATGTAACAAATGTGAAAAATAGAGTAAATGTCTGTCTTTTTAATTAAAATGTTGAAGTTGACCCCCGCCCTTCAAAAGTACTTAAAATTTTAATTTAGGCGACATGTCCAACCTGCTGTACATTTTCTGCATTTCCTTAATAATTATAAGTCAACCAGTAAACTCAACAGGCAAATTCATTGATAAGCAAGCTACCAATGATGACGTATCAACAAAAACTGTACCATCAAAATCAGTCCTTCTACGAGCAATTGGAGGCTTGGGTAACCAACTCTTTAAATTCGCTTGCAGTTACTCATTAGCCAAAAAACATAGACGCCCTTTGTTCGTGTACGTCCCATTCATTGAGAATAACCCAGAAAACCGAAGGTATTGAAATCATACACAAGTTTGAGTGCATGAAGAGAAAATTTGCTAAAAACTGAATTTAAAAAGTGTATAACTTGCAACAGCTTTGCAGCAAATGATCGCCAATTTGTTCTCGACTACTTTCACGTGGATCGTTATGCCACTATGATAGATGAAACATGGAAATTCGCCACCACGAAGCCAACCAATATACCCGACGATAATCTATTGTCTCAAGACTACAACTCGTCCGCTCCAATTTTCCAACACGTAGATTATTGCCAATCTCAAGCATTCTTTGCTCCCTTCAAGAATCATGTTGTGGATGCATTTCAAATAAAAATTGAACTTCTCCAAAGTTCTACCGTCTCCAAATGGATTCACCAAATCAACAGTACTCCTGTCAGTGTTGCTGTACATATTCGGCATGGAGATTTCTCACCAATGATCCGAATTCCTACTATTTTTTATCAAAAAGCAGTAAAAGACATGATAGCAAAACTTGCTCCTGTGAAACCCACATTTTTCATATTTACGGACGAATTTAATCGACGCCTACTCCAACAAGAGTTTGACTTTCTATTTAATGCCGATAAAATTACAACGCATGTGGTATCGAATCCCACCAGCACGAATAGTTTACAAGAGTTTTACTTAATGAGTAGTTGCAGGCACCAGATCATTCCAAATAGCAGTTTCGGTTGGTGGGCTGCTTATCTGAATAGAAATAAGGATAAAATTGTTATAGCTGCGCATCATAATCCAAGACTGTTTGATGCGCTGCATGGAAGAGACAGTAAAGTGGCGTTGTATCACAGGTTACAATACAGATATTTGTACTACCCGCAAGAGTGGTTTGTTTCCGACCTGTTTAATGAAACTGTATTTTAATATTATCAACAACAGGAATCCTAAGTAGAGATAAGCTTTATGTGTATGTATATGCGTGTGTGCTTAGGTATGTACATATATACATAAATACATAAGTCCTTATTAAAAACTATGCCACAATTACAACTTAATAAATAGTGCTATTACGTGAAAATATGCAATAAATAACGTGACGTTTAACCTTGATTATGTTTTATAAATCATCAATAAACACTTCGATTTTATTAAATATGTACATGTCAGAATACATAAATCAAAAAATCAGATTCGCTAATTTATAAACTGGGTCAATTCTTTGCATTCGTTATTTTCTTGCAGCGTATCTTACGCATTGTTAGTATCCAGAAATACGTACATGCATGAACAGTCTACTGACTACCTTTCTTATTTTTCAATTGAAATAGTTCTTCATTGATAAAGATTAAGTCGCCTAAATCTCCAACTGTTTCGTGTAAATGATAACCATTCTTGCTCATTAGTTCCTTCACCGGCTCTGGTCCCTCCTTCCCGTTGATAACTTCAACTGCAACAGACTTGATATTCACCTTGTCAAAAGGTATCGTTCGCAGCACATCCAGTTCAGACCCTTCTAAATCCAAGCTCAAAAAATCCACGGTCGTTCGATTGATTGCGAGGAGAAGTGTGTATAGTGGAACGCATTGTACTTTTACGGCGTGGTCATTCTTATGATAAAATCTGTACGTTAATCCACCCCAAATTGAGGCTGTCGGATTCTCGTAGAAAGTTGCCTGCAAAATTGTGCTTTAAAGTTTTTTGTATTTCTTTGGATAAATGGTACATGCTCACGATCATAGGTCTCGGTTTCGTTGATAAGGCTGCATTTGAGTGGAATGCTTTCCTATTTTTCCTAATGAGTTTTTCAAACGTTGCTGGAGATGCTTCCACCAAAAGACCATTCCAACCTAGATGGCGTTCCAGATAGAGCGTGTTGGCCCCCTGGAAATTAATTCAATGTAATTTACTTATCCCATTCTTTAAGACGTACATTTCAAATTGATAGAAGTGCCAAATAAGCATTTTTTAAATCCTGACCCATTCACCATCATTCGCCCCCGCCTCTACGTAGAAGCCACCTGGCTGAGGTCACAAAATATTCATATGTAGGTTAAAGTTTCCATAATAAATTATACTTTTCTTTAGTTCTTGTGAGTCTAACTGTATACATATTTACATACATCCTTTCTAAGTAAAGGTAAAATAGATTGCAATTGTCCGGCTGATGGATTTCCGGTATCGTCACCATTATCGAACCGATAAGGAAGTTTATTTGCTTGGAATATGTGATTTTTTCTTAAAAAATGTACAGTATTTATTTGATTCTATACATATTTTTATGGTTTCTAATATGTATCACATCAAAATTTAATTACCTCACAAATTGGACCAATCTTTCGTCATCCTGTTCCACTTGGGATGATTCGTCATTAATCCATTCTTTTAGGGATGAAGTGCTTCTTGATTTACTTTCTCCATCTTCACCACCATTGCCAAGATACAAAAATAAAATAACTAGCACTAAAATAAGTAGAAAGATATGTATAGTTCCATTATACTTATTAATCAAGTTTCTATTCAATTGAAACATTGTATGTTTTTAATTAAAATTAAAAATGTTGCAAGGTATGTAGGCTAGAAGTATACATGTGTACGTATGTGCATTTGAGCGTGTAACAAAAAACTATCTATTATTCATCCTGTTTTTCCGGAACTTCCTGCTTTTCAAAATTGTAACCAAATATCAGAGGATTTGATGACAATGAGTTTAAAATTTATGTATATTTTTGTTTGAGTTTGATTTTTAGAGTATTACGGCGGATATGGTCAATAAAATTTACTAATACTGGATCGCACTAGTCACTAAAAAACTACGTGGTGTCTAAAATGTCATACAAAACCCATGCAACTGTGTAAACTTGTGGAGGAAATTTACTCTACGAAGTGTATTTGATACCGTTGTTGGTGTGACATGACGTGGAACCGGTGACATGATGTGGCTAACTCTAAAGTCGTAATGACTTTCATGCTAAAAAACCTCCACCGCGGTTTGTATCTTCATCATAATAATTTCCACCTCATTTAACACGGATTCAATCCAAATGATGCATTTAGTTTTTCAAGTACTACGGATACATATAATATCGAGGTGAATGTTTAGGTGTTGTGGATTCAAATTATTCCGTAATAATCACAAAATCATTGCGTCAGTGTCAGTGCCAGTTGCACCAAATTTATTGGAAAAGTGCATATTCTTCCCGATTTATTTATAATATTTTTAATTTTAACCAACTTTCTCAATGTTTTCAAAACGACCTAGTAAGTACAGTCCTCCGATAAGAACAAATAAGGATTCGCCTTTTCTTGAAAAAAATTCAAGAACCAAATTAACCGTCTCGGTAATTGTAGTGTGTCTCATAGTAATATATCTTCTCTGCACAAAAAATAGAAGACGCAATGACAGTGATATTGAAAAACTTCTCAACTCGGACAATCTGAATGTGATCTTGGAACAGGATGACCCCGATTTAGTATTATTTGTAAAGTATTGAATTATGTTTTTAGATTTAAAATATGACAAAGCATGTACTTCAGCTAATCATCTTTTATTTAATTGTAATTTTAGGCAGAATTACATCTTCAAAAAATCTGCTGCGGATAGAAGCATCGGAGAACAATCTGAAACTCGACCAAGTAAACTTGTAGAATATTTACTTGGCCAAAACCTGGTTACAAAAGATGTAAGACTAACAGAGTGTTTGAAACTTCCTTAAATTCATTCTCGATAGTTAAAGAAATTTTGACATTATTCAGGTTTCCGATTCCCGTTATTTTGTAGAAATTGGCGCAAATGATGGACTCCGTTTTACAAGTGCATTCTACCTCGAGACGAATTTGGGTTGGAGTGGATTAATTGTTGAACCATATTCAGTACCCTTTAAAGAATTAATGACTCGTCCGACTCACTCACAAAACAGGATATCATTTTCCAATACGACTATTGCAATGACACCGTATGCCAGCAAAGTATATCAAAATTAATCGTTAATTCCCAGTATTTGAGTTTGTGTGCATATATGTATTTACGTAAATATGTATAAAACTGCAATTGTCGTTATGATTTAGGAAAAATTTCATTACAACCCAACCGTTCCGTTTTGGGGAGGTTTAAGTTTTCGATTTTACAAGGGGACCCAAAAACACATGAATGTGGTCACCATTCCACTTTACACCCTCTTGCTCGCAGCAGACTCTCCAAGCAAGATCGACCTGTTAATTCTCGATACTGAAGGTACTGAATTGGAAACGTTGAAAACGCTACCATTTGACAAGGTGGAAGTATCGGTGAGCAGTTAAACATAATTTTATGCATGTCTCAAGCTATAAAGATTTAGCTTATAACCGTGTATCGTATTTCGATTCCGTAGTTAATTGCTGTTGAAACATACAACGGAAAAGAAGGACCTTCCGCCGTTGAAGAATTCTTATTTGGGAAAGGGTACGAGTCTGTCGCCAAAATTGAGGTTCCCCTCGATCCAAAACTAGTTGAGCAGATTTCTAGCATCATTGTAAGAACGGATGTACACTCGGAATACCAAATTTTTAAACTGAAACAAAACTAAGAAAATAATTCCCATTGGAGAATTAAATTTTAAATTAATTATATGTTTTCGCTGAGATTTGTCAGTACGAAGGAATAAATTTTATTAGTGTTATAACCAATTTAAGTAAAATTTTCTCATTCTAAGGGATGTAAGGTTCAATCAAAGACTGAAAATTAGTATCTACACGGTACGTGGAAATAAGTACTTAACTTTCCCTTGGACCAGGCGAAGGGTTAATAAAAAACTATAAATCAATCAATTTAATTAAAAACTTGAATATCTAAAAAATCAGGATATCATCAAAATTGCCTAAAACCTGGAGCACGGAACATTGATGCAAAAATTAGATGGTTTAGATGCTCAGTAAATTATTAAGCACTCGGCTATGCTTACATACATTCAGATCCAATCTCTGAAGCATTTCCTCATTAAATTATATGCGTTATGCAGGGTTCAAATTTTATTGTAGTCAACAATATTTTTGTTTATCTAAACATGTCCTACGTAATTTTTAATTAAGTTCATCCTCGATTCAAACAATACTTACATAAATATTTCCTATTCCTCACCTTGCAATTTTAAGCTGCTTGATATCTCGCGAATTTTTGAACAAATTTTGAAAGAAACCGTGGGATTTTAGTTCGCATATCTACATATTTACCCAGCAGATATGTGTATGTTTTTATTTCCAAGATTATTTCACAAACTTTCCTCTCTAATATGACCATGCAGTGACAATCTCTTTCACGATCTCGTGCTTTCAGTCTCTTTCAGTAAGAAGTCTCCGACCAACCGAACATCAAATCGAATGGGAGTTACGTTGGCGTAAAAGTATGCCTTAAAAACTACAAATAATCCTTTAAGGGAAATCAAAATAGGATAACAGAGCTGTTTGTACAGTTTTGAGTATTTTGCTAATCCCCGCACGATGCAAATTTTTCGAGCTTCGCAAATTGTCTAAATGAGCTGCGATCCTAATTTGTATTAGTACGCTCACTGTTTACCGCAGGTTGTGCAAGTGGTTGCTAAAATACATATTTGCTTAGCTAACCCACCAAGCATGCTGTTTTTGAATATGCATAACGTCTCGCTCATTTAAGACTATAGTTAAAATTAAATCGCTTACATTTTTATAGTAAGTATACGTGTACTTTTATGCCCTTGAACAATTTACTCAGAAAATATTAACTTGTCCGTCGTTTGCAGTTTGCACATTATTGAAGAAATCTCACAAATGAAATTATCATCTTCACTAAGGATAAATTTCACCATACAAATTCACAATAATGAGTACTAAACGAAATAGCGTGCTAAACCTGTCATCACCGTTTTTCGCGTTAAAACATGTCATCGTGTTTTTGTCATTAATAATTTTAAACGTATGGTTTTATCGAATATTAGTGGATTTTCATAAGGTTTGTCAACGTTTCATTAAATTATGGTCATTGATTATCCATTCATTGATACATTGCATTATTCTTGTAGACGCAGGAGGATGACAGGACCGAAAGACATGTGACTATGTTGGATATTCCTAATATTACGGTAAAATAATTAGCTCTTTATTAGTGCACCTGATTTACTTTCAAAATAATATGAAAACCTGTTTTTAGAAAGTAAATTTAGTGTAATAAAACTATTACAATCTTAGACAACATTAGCTCCATGCCTTTTACGAGACTTAGAAATATTGGAGTCCATGGGATCTCGGGATGCCAGACTCATGTTAAGTCCACCCGTTCAAGTCTTACTTTCACCAAGAACAAATGGGGTATTTACACAGATACACAAATCATTCCATATTTAAGGCAAAATTGTATCAATTTGCACAAAAATTATTTGAAATTTAAATTTTTAAAGACCGATTTCAAGCCACTAATCGTCATTATGATCACAAGCATGGCAGAATCCATTTTACAACGGCAAGAAGTAAGGAGAACTTGGATGCAATGGACGAAGCGATTTCGTGTTCAAGCTCTATTTTTCCTTGGCTTAGATGAAGATGCGCCAAATTTCCAGGACATTTATTCCGTAAATAATACAATTCACTAATTAACTTTCTAATTTTATGTCTTATCCAATATTCATGTTTACCTGATCTGAAAGGATTTGGTGCATGAACAGCAAGTTTATGGAGACCTCGTAGTCATCAAGTTTCAAGAAGGTTACTATCGACTTACTGCAAAGACGCTCCGAATGCTGGAATGGTTCCTCCAGTTTTACAAGGGCACAGAAGATAGACCCAAATTTCTCGTAAAGACGGACCACGATGTTTTTGTAAACGTGCCGAATCTACTTCGCCACATGTACTCCTCCGAAACGTGGACATCAATGCGACAAAATGGGTATTATTTTGGTGAGCTAGTCAGAGTATCACATTATAGATACACAATATTTTGCCAATTTTTTAGAGATTTACCACCACCATCCACCCCTTCATATTTATTTGTCCTTCATTTATACATATCTCGTATTATTCATTCATTACAGGGGGACACATTATAAAAAAGGCAGGAGTAAACCTAAATGCGACCACGAAATGGTTCGTTTCGCCAGACTACTGGTATCCCGCCCGGAAATTCTATCCTCACTTTTTGTCCGGACCATTCTATATTATGAGTAGTAACATACTGGAAAAGTTGTTCAATGGCTCCTTCACTGTGCCACTTTATCCATTCGAAGATGTATACTTGACTGGAATGCTACGTCAAAAGGTCAACCTTAAGTTGACTCAGGTCGACAACTTACAGTTACTCTCTGTTCCAAACATGGAGGAATTGAGAAATATGATTGCTGGACATTCTATATTCTCATTAACGTCATTTCAACAATATTGGGTGCATTTTACACATTGACGATCAGGAACAATGAAGCATTTATAATATGTACATAGTTCGCAAAATGTTAATACAATAAGTATGTACCACAGAGTGGCAATAATATAAAATTGCCTGTATGGTCTGCTTTTTGATATCTTCTCTGCCCTAAGTCAGCCTTTTCTGTACCGTAACAACAAGCCATAAACTTACCTATACATTACACCAAAGTATTCATATATCCGCATGGAATGTGTTATAATAAATCTTCCATCATTAGGATAATATACAATTCAGCAAATTGCAATCTTGACTTTCATATACATGCACATGTAAATGTGTGGTATGCGTGCGTTTCAGTTTGATTTGTCAAGCATTCAAACTTTTGTCCTGAACAATTTGTTACATAATTGTTCACACTAAAAAGTTGTGGATAACAGTGTTAAATAAAATAAATTGTTTATTTGTATTTTTATAAATCTCATCCTAAATCAGGTGGTCATGCATGACAAATGTCGTCATCTCTTTGTCTTTCTAAAACTGGATCCATAGGTCAAGTAATTTTATGCCATTCTACGTATTCTATGTACTATAACGCTCGTGACGCCAGAAGGTGGAGGATAAGCGAGAGGAAATGCTGAACTACAGGCTGTCCCGTCTACAAATTACATTTATACAGCTGTTTCTAAAAAGATATGATAATCGCCCTAATTCTGACCTACCTCGATAAACGTGTCACCTATCTGCATAAATATCCAATCTTGCACAAACGTCCAGGTCTTGTCTTTAAAACAATTTCTGACCCATTCTCCATGTTTAATTTCCGCATTTGTAAGCAGGTTTTAGAAAATCACATCACAATTTGATTTTATATGATTTCTATGAAATATGTGATTGGTAAGATTTCTGTGATTATGGGGAAAATGAAACAACTTTCTTTAACATAACGATATGCATATTTATGTACGTTTAACTAGGTTAATAAATTCTATGGGCCATGAGCCTTGTAAGAATTTTTTCAGAATAAATATTATTATATTATTATTATTAACTAGGTTAATATTCTGATTCAGCATACAATTCTGAGCATTTTCCTGGGTGACTCGACGACTCGGTGTGTTTTGAGCAACTTTCATCTTGCAAATCAAATGCTGAATCAAAATATCAAGTTGGTTTTGACCTACAACGTAGTTTAATAAAGTTGTTTCACCCTCCTCCAGTAAATCACAAATCACAGAAATTCCAATTGGCAAATATTAATAAGTAAGGTTATGGGAGTTGAAAATTATTGTGGAAACATTTAATAAAAATAATAATAAAAGAATTCCTGAATTCTGTAGAACATATTTGAAGCAATTTCCCTGCATTTTTATTTAAGAAACAGACTGCATTTAGAATCAGACCACGCCCAATCATGATGATCAAACGTGTTCTGTAATAAATTTTTAAAACAAGCAGTAATTTACTCAGTTGTTCAAATAACTTGTCACTTGTGCTGGTTAAAAGTGTATGCAAATATGATAATTTTGCTGCGCGTCCCAATATTTGTACTGACTTGAAGTAGGAAATGTGAGCTTCTTTCGTTTCATATGAAACAAAATTAACCGACACATGCAAATTTCATTTCTGAGATCGTACATAAATATGAAATGTATTTGCATATGCATAAAATGCAATATGCTTCCAGAATATTTTATATTTCTTTTTCTTTCTTTATATTTTTCGGATGATTCAACTTCAAACAAGTTCGATGAGCCAATTTACAAGCATCAATGACACAAGTATAAGGTTGATACTGCTTGAAATACTCAAATTTTTCATAAATGTCCGTTATATAAAAAAACGAAAAAATCATTGCTGACGTCATATCCAACCATTCATCACTTTTCACGGACACCTGTGTAAACCACGGATATTTCGAAGAATCAATGTCACTATTTAAAGTACAAAAGCTTAACCTTCAACTATCATTGTTCCGGTGAAGAACACACTATAAAAAGAATTCGTTCATCCTCGAAAAGCAATCATTTCTAGTAATCCTTGAGTCGTACACATTTCTCAGAAATATGAGATTCATTTTCGTAGCTTTCCTTGTGGCGTGTTTGGTTTGTGGCATCGTTGCCCAAAACAATACAACGAATACCACCACGCCAACCACGACTCGAGCACCTATTCCAGGTTATACCCATTATTAATTCAATTACTGTATTAATTTCAATATGTTCTAAACAGGGTTCAGCCCGGTCCCAGCTCCCGCGTGGGCTGCAACCTACAGCCCAACTTGGCTACTGTTCGGTTAATCTGCTATCGTACGGCTTTTGAATTTCGAAATTGTTTTCACTTCTGTGTTCATCTATGAACTATGTATTGGCCAATTTTCTATCCGTGTTTGAATAATAAATTAAAATGCTCATATTACATTAGTAACAGCTTTCATTTTTATTTTGTTCCAAAATTCTAATAATTATAGTCGCAAACACCCGCCACTGCCGTGGGAGCGCATACAGTCGTAACAGCAGCACAGCTAATTTGTGTCGCAGTGCAGGTATCGCAGTTTGGCCGCTTACATGCCATCACACCCGTAAATGACCCCGGCGGCTGGAAGCATTGTGGTGCCGCGCCTGCCGTCACGCTACAAAAATAACTATTCGGACAAAGGTTAGAGCAGCACGCCGCTTCAGTGCAGGTTTGACATCCCGTCGCGGGCGCTGCGACAGGTGTTCCAACCACGGGCGTTGGGAGCGGTATCCAAGTTCCTACTAAGATTTAAAAAAATAGGTCCATATATATTTAGTATTCAAAATTTAAATAATTTAGAATAAATAGTACATTTTGAAACGTTTCTGTAGTTCTGTGCATGGCACGTCCAAATTAGTGCCAGAAATGTTGCGAAAAATGAAATTTTGATATCCATTATGACTGTCGTTCCTGGAATGAATTTATGTATGACTTAACAAAAAGTGTTTCAGAAACATCTCGGTTTTATAAGGGAGCTCATAAAAATTTCAAGTAGGTCGCAGATGTGCACAACTTTCTCTTTGCATAAGACAAGTGTGAGAAATTAAAATAGGTCGACAACCATTTTTTTGCAGGTGTATAACAAGAATGTTTCTTATGCAAATGCCAATGTGCTTTAAATAAACGGTTCTCCCTCGAGTATTGCAACATGCTTTTATTTGATGTTTACTAACTGGCAAATGAGCGGTCGCATATATTTTAATACATAAAACACGGAATGCTGAAAGCGTGTGCATTAAAGCATGAAAGTAAATATTTGAGGGAAAGGCATTCCTTGGTTCAAGATATATTTTACTAGATAAAATTTTCGATATTACCGAATCAAGACACTACTTATCCACTATAACCCACACATACTTTTGTACATATATCACAAGCATGCATGTATAGGAAGTATATGTAGATCACATTAAATAATCTTCACTTACACACATAAAATATGACATATTTACAGAGGACAGATGCGTAGATGCGTAGACAGGTTATGTATCATGCACAGATTTATAAGACAACAATAGAGTGCGAAATTTAATGAAGACATAAATTGTTCTGTTCCCAAATAGTTTGGGATTGTCAACCCTGACCTAACAGACGAAGCTGGGAGATATGTATATTTATTTTTCATGAATAATAATGCATATAGTCAAAAAAGAACCAAAGAAAATCAGCGACTTGTTAGAAAATAGTAAACTTTTACTCTTTATTGAAAAACGGCAGATTTCGTATTTCCAAAGTCTTATTAAATTGAGTGTATCCAAAACATTATTTTTAAAACCTGATGTGAAATGACTTATATGATTTTCATTTAGAATTGTAATTTTGAGACGCAAAATTTTTGTTACTGTTTTCTTGTCATACTTAAACTGAGACTAATATGTCCAAGTGATGAAATTATACCGTATTTAGATATATGTACATACGGATGGAATCCAATAATACATATAGACCGACACAATGAACCCTAATACCTTATTATGAAAAGAAAGTACATAAGTACAATTAATAAGTACAATCTGCAAATAAATTAAATAGAATACAATTAATTAGGGGCACGAAGAATTTTCTTTGATTTTGCGTGTTTGCCATGCTTGGTGTCTTTCTTCGTTTTCGAATTTGCTGTATCGCCAGCAAAATTGTTGCTACATTTGCCAGATGTAGATGACTGCTGCAAAGAATATTGGGTTATCATTAGGAAACATAAAAAATATGTATGGAACATGTTACATCAAAAACTACAGACCTTTGTCGACGTATCTGACAATCCTGAATCACTTTGGGGTCGATTATCAAGTTTTTTTGGCATAACGTAGACCTGGGATGAGCTGGCATTACTTTCCAATCTCAAGCAATCACTTCCATCTCCTTGTGAACCTGTTTTCTCCTCAAAAGGATCTTGATTCTCGTCAAATATTTCTTCTTCGTTCTGCTCATCCAATCTTCCGATATCTTCACGAGGAGAACTACTTAAACTAGAAGACTCGCTTTCCGACATAATATTGGGCATTCGAAGGGAACGAAATCTACTAAGGATTCTATCATGTGGTGATGTAGCAGATAACTCTCTAGGGAATCCGTATGCTTTTCTCAATGGGGTTGACCCAGTAGAGGAATCAACCAAATAAGTAGAATCCCAGAATTCGTTTAGTTTACCAGATTGTACATACAACTGATTTTTAAATCCATCTATGCTCGTGGAGAAATCCTTACAATGGTTGGATAGATCGGTTTTATGTTGTTCGATCTTACTCCTGTCAATACAAAGTGAGTCTTGAACTTGTCTTCTTAGAGCTGCCTGGGCAAGGTTCATGGATTGAATATGTTCGATCAGATTTTGAATTTGTGATTCATTCTTCTTAGTTTGTGAATCCATCTCGAGCAAAAGATTTTCATATCTCGCTTCTTTACAAGCCAATTCTTCGTCTAGAAAATAAATATTAATAAAAATTAGAATAAAAATATAATTATTATCCAATAGTACATATTGTGATTTTCGGTTATTATTACCTAGTAGTAGACGATGTACTCCGTTTAATTGGGAATGTTGTTCTCTAAATGTATCCACGTTACTAGCCATTACATTTACATCCTTTGAAAATCCTTCTCGGAAACGTAAACCGGCGTCCAAATTGGTCCTTTCAACTCCCCTAAAAATTAAAATACGTTGATATAAATCCTTCACAACAACAACATAAGGCAAAGTATATTATGGTGACATTTGATATCTGCTTACTTTTTCCTCTCCAACTTATTGTAGAGTGCTTCTAAGTTCACTGTTGTCTCTTCCGCCGTGTTGAGAAGGGTGCTAGCTTCATCTTTGAGTTTTACCTCCGTGTCCATCTGAACTTTGACAATATGTTCCACCTCTTCTTTTTCGTTCTCCAGACTTCTTATTTTGTGCCCTAATTTAGACACCTTCTTTCTCAAGTCTGCTATCAGTACGTTAGCCGCATTCAAATCATCCTTCATCTCTTCCAAGGCGGCATCCCTTTGGGCAATTTCTGAAATTTTGATTTCTAGTTGTTCTTCAATGTTCCTAGTGTGCTGAATCTTTTCTGTCAAATCCTGATTCTGAGATTCTATCTGGCTCATCATTTTGTCGTAATTTTCTTTGTCGACATAAATTCCATTTTTCTCACGAGAAGCTTGCAAATCCTTTAAAAAAAAAGAGTAATACTAAACAGAGGGACTTAATCGAGTGGGGGTGAGAGGAGACGCGACGAAACTTAAATCCCAACGTTGTTTACTTTTCCACTCGTCGCTTCTTCTCCGTTCTCTATCTCTCTTATCAATGTAGTCCCTCTTAAATTTGAATTACTTGCACAAAAAGATAATACGTAATATTAACTAGTCTCACTTCAGTGTAGGTATCAACTCAACTTAGTGATAGAAGATAGATAAGCAGTTTCTCCGGTTTGAGTTGTCAAGTCAAGTTTTAAGTGCGGTGGTGATACAAATAGTGAGAAAATGGATAACACTTTAAAAAATAGCAATCGTGCCGGAGGAGAACTGAAGTACAGTTTATGTGATAAGAAGTACAAATCGGTGGGGTCATTAAAGAAACATATGAACAGTAGTCATGAGAATCGTGGAAAGTTTGTGTGTAACAGGTGCAATAATACTTTCGACTTCAAACACACATTAAAGATGCATATTCAAACAAACAAATGTGTCGGTAGTCAGAAAGAAAACTCAAAAGGTAAACGAAAATTAAAATGTAAGTTCTGCGCTATGACTTTTGACAAACAGAATCCTCTAACTCTCCATCTGAAACGTCAACATTACGAAGCCGTGTATAAGATCAACTGTCCCAAATGTGACAAAAAATTTCCAAACCATGCTGGTTTAAGAGCACACAACAGTACATATCACAGTTCGAACGAAAAAGTACGTTGCCCAAATTGTCCATTTACTTGTATCAAGAAATTTAACCTACAAAACATATTGCTAGCATGCATTCAGAGAAAGCAACCAAGAAAGCGGAAAAGAATGAGGAGCCACTTTCACCTGCAGAGATAAGTCTCGAAAACTACCGTCAATTTAAAGCAAATCCTGGTGATAAAGTTGTGCCGTGTGTCATAATAAAAAGTGATTACTATTTGAAGTTGATTAAACAACAATTTCAAAATCTTGAACTTGTTCGACTTGAGACGCCAATTGTTTTTGATGAAGTGAGTGGACAACGTCATAAGCCGGGATGGGGCTATAAGTCTGAGGATAAGAACACAGACATTTCTTACGTCCCACTTACAGAAAAAGAACTGTGTAAGTAATAATAATAATCAGAAATGATGATTAAAACTAGTAATCTCTTAATAATGTTAAATTATGAAAGTATGTATGCAAAATGATATGATGGAATGAACAAATTACTTATCTATTCTACTTTGTTTGGTTTGTAGTGACTTGTAAGAAGATGTTTGGATATATATGGCGTGATGGAGTGACTTTCGAGATCGTGGATGTGTATTTTGGCCTGAATGAGGAGGATTCAAAAGTAGCAGCAGCGAATAAATGGAAAAAACTCATCCACAACAAAGATGAAGGCTGTACTGATAGGTGGGTATAATATTCTGGAGAGTAAAGTTCAAAATTTTATGTATCTGAAGCTAAATAATTATGATTGTTTTCCGCAGGATTCTGTTCAACAAGGGATGTTTCTTCGATTCAGAGGAGGCGTTTGAGGTCACAGGGATGGTGGCAACATCAAAGTGGGTCACAGGGCAGCTCAAGTGGTTTACACATAACGAAACTGGATCTATCTGTTCCGTCAAACCTAAGGAATGCTACAAGTGGCTCGCTAATTATTTCGAACAACTCCGAGCTGCCTTACGGTCAGTTAATGACCTTTGGCTTGGACCAGCCGTAACTATTCAGTTAGACGACAAGGAGGGGCTAGTTATGGCAAGACGAAAGTTGGAGAAAGTTAGCGACGAGATGTGTGAGATGGAAATTGGGTAATTGAGGAATTTTCTAATTTTCATGATGATTGGAAATGCATAACTCATTTCATTAATACTTGTACTTAAGGCTTAACGATAAGCTTTCAATCCTTACGGCGGAAAATTCTAACCTGACGGCACAGAACTTTAACCTGACGGCGGAGAACGCTAATAATAAAGCGGAGATTTGCAAATTACAACTGCGTTTGCAATCGTGGAAGAAGAAGCAACAACAGGCCAAAAATGTGAATCGATTACTTCTGGTGCAGAGAGGGCGACAAAGGTGTGCATACATTTTGATAATGGTTCCTTCAATATGTGATATAACAATGTGTAATCTAATTATATATAATTTGCAGATCAAATGCAGACGTTCCGTGCTTTATTCCTGTGACCTTTAAGGTGGATGAAGACGGAAACTTGGATCAAGAGAACGAGCCCAACTTCGACATATTCAGGGAGGAATCGGCGCAAGATGAAGAATCAAGCAGTGATGAAGACGACGACGGCGTCGAGTATGCAAGAGTCCCTACAGATCTCATCAACGTTGTCACGAAAGTGCTTGACCGTTCCGAATCCTCTACCGAAACTAGTCTTAATGGTGCTAATCCAAATCAGAAGACTGACCCGTGTGATGACAAGACCGAACCTAACCGAAAAGTGTTCGTCGTAAAACTGTGTGATTAATTATTTGTCATTTTTATACATTACTTAATGAACCTTTTTCGGTGCTATTATTATCTAACTATTATAAATTTATGAACGTGTTGTCATAATAAAACAAGCATTGATTGTTTCATTATCTATAACTAACTCTTACCTTTCGAAGACGTTCGATTTCTTCAGTGTATTCACGTAGCATTGCTTTCTTTGTCAGTTTTTGATTAACTTCTGGCCTGTTTTGAATATTTTTGGCTCGGTGAGCGTAATCTAACGTACTTAGAGTCTCTTCAATGTTGATTGATGCGGGGGATATCGTAGCAATAATTGAAGTCTTGGTTCGTCCTCCGAGAGAATCCTGCAAGAGTCGGGTGAGTTTTGATTCTCTGTATTGAAAATGATGGGAAAAATATATAACATATTAAACCAACTAAAATTGATATTGATGATCAAATATACATACACATATTTAGTTTGCATCTGTTTCTCACCTGTATGGAATATGTGGCGCCCGTTCCACTAATGCTGTGATAACACGGCCCAAGGTCAATAATGATTGATTAATGTTCCCAGCTTCTCGTGCCCTTTTATCAACAGCTCCGGATCTTCCAATATTTTCAGACCCTGCAAGATCCACCAAATGGAGTTTTCCAATTTTCATTAAATCTTCTCCTAGTGGGTTTGATTCCTTGACATGAACAGTCACCGTAAAAACTGTATGCGATCGGCTATACAAAACAACAACATAGATGCTTTAGTTATTTTCTAAACAAAATAAAACACTCTGGTTTACTATTTAATTTACTCAACCTGGAATTAGCGTTGAGCAATGTTGACGCAGTTTTTCTCATTTGTGATCCTCGTTCCATAATTGTATACACTTCATGTTTGTTATGAACAATGACTTCTTCCAAGCCTTGAATGTGAACAGAACCTTTCGATTTTGAGTCTTCAAATAGCCTTACCGTTCTAAAAATAGACAAATTCACTATTATTAAGCCATATACATATCGCATAAATATTATTCTGTAATAATAGTTGTGTAGCATCTTACTTGGGTTTCGAATCCTCGGTTTGTGAAAGGAGATCATAGACCTCCTCGTTGTACATTTCAACTAGTGACACACGAACCGTAAATTCAGAGCTAGTTACCCTTAATTCATCAAATAATTGACTCATCGCCCGGGGAACAATTCCAGCCAGGGGGTCCTACAAACAAGAAACGAAAACGTAATAGCTCGAGTCCATGCCGACTTGACCAACTGCACTACTGCACTCTATGTCACTTTTTTGTGAAGGTCAATTATCTTACCGATTCCCAGGTAAGGGCATCGCCCCCTCCCTCATTGGTTCTTTCCCCCTCCATCGTAAAGGTCTTTCCTGTTCCTGTTTGACCATATGCAAACACAGTGCAGTTATATCCTTGCAGCACTTCTTCCAGCAAGGGGGACACGACTGATTTGTAGACATCGATCTGTAACAAGAAGATATCAACAAAACAAGTCAGAATACTTTGGCATAAAAACAACATGTTTATTAAATGGATGTATTCGCAGATTTAAGATAAAAACTCGACACAAATAACTATAAAAACTGATCAGGAAACATGTCTATACCTGTTTAGAATTGGGTCCAAAAACCCTGTCAAACGTGAATGTTTTCGAAACTCCACCCCTCTCCTTGCAAACTACTTCCCTTACACCTGGACAATCAACTACCGTAATGGCACTCTTGCTTCTTTCGTGGGAATTAATTGGTCTACAAAAATTTTAATTTAATTTTTCCAAAAGTGCTGAGTACTGAATTAAATTCTTATAACAAAATACTTTGTTTGTACTTACCGAACTCTAGCGAATACGAGAATATTTTCTCGTTTATCCTTCCCTTTGGCCTTTGACAGTTGATATTCGGGGGAGAACATTGTCGTGCAATTTCCTCCAAACTCCATCGAAAGTAAAATCGGGTTCACAAAATTAATGTTTGTTGAATAACTGAAAATATGATGTTAATTTATAATTTATTGTTGACGACAAGTTGTCAAGTGAGCAGAGGTAAAAGTTGGCAAGCCTATTTAGTCAAGCAAATAATGCGAAAGAATGCACGCGAAAAATAAAGTTTGCAGTACAAAATTTGCATGCAGAGAAAATTTAACGGTTGGAAAGTCGGGAGCAAAGAGAGTGAAATGTGTACTGGACAAAACCACTCTGGCGGTGGCTCAATCTCCCACCAACCGAAATCAAAATTAAATGCGATGATGGTGCGTGGCATGCATTTCGTAACGCCAAAGACGATTAACTAAAATTACATCTTAGCATAATTTAATTATTAATTGCACTATTCTTTAAAGCTGTTCAATTTGTTTAAGGAAGACATTGAACACTGCAATCAAATATGCGTGGACGCACCCCAGAGGCAGTAGAGACAAAGACAAGAAGTTTGTCTCTCTCTGAAAAATTTTTTCCCAGCGTTCATTTTTAGTTTCATATGTGGACGTAATTAGTTTTGTTACAATTATTTGTGACACATGATGAGTTATGTTTGTAATGCAGCAATAATGCTGCATACCCATTCAATTTGCTAAGAAATGTCTCTATAAAAAAGTGAATATTTATATACAGTAGTTGTAAAATTGAGATTCGTGCTATAGTAATATTAGTAATCTTTCTGAGCTGAAACATTTCAGAAATAATTATAACAATTTTTAGATGTGGAATGTCGTATGTGCATGTTGAAGTTGAATATGTGAAATAATGGAATTATTTTTTACCAGGAATTAATGGAAATAGAAATAGGTGGGGGCCTCCTCTAGGGTCCCTCTATTTGAAAATTTCCTGTCATATAGTCCCTGGGTTTCCCATCTCTGGTTTACACCTTCATTTGGAACATCATCACTAATACTGCCTATAATTTTGAGCTTTTACTACGACCACTCTGAATCTTCTGCCCAATGACCCCGCCCGACCCTCACCGGTTCCCCTATGATTTTGCTCATCTCCGAATTATTATACCTAGTTACTAATTGGAAATCCTGACAATTTCTCACATGGTGAATCGCAGGGCTATTTTTAACTTGAGAAAATTTCAAAAGCTTATGAAGCACATCGATGTGCTTACATTAGAGCAACGCCTAAAAAATAATAGAAAAGTACAAGACCTACCAGTTCCAAATTTTGATAGAAGATTTTTCTGTTTGAATTATTGCCAAAATTATTTGTGTACGGTAAGCCATATAAATCTGTTGTGTATTCTAATATGTATTTTAATACGACATATTAAATGAAGTTTAGTGTGCAAATTTTGGATAAACTTAACAATTTGAAGAAATCGTAATATTTTATGGAATAAATTTCTTATCAGCATTGAATTTGATTACTTGGCTACTTTAATGACACTAACAAGTAATATTATTGTAAGTAGATTCAGGAACATGATCCTGCAAATGACTAATCTATCAACTTTCAAGAGTTTTGATGTTAATTTGTGTATATGGATGAATGGTTAAGAGTTTGTCATGAAACACTTGATAATAATCATAACACTTAATATCTAACAAAATATAAATCGCACTCGAATAAAAAAATGGTGATTCGATTCACATGATTTTAAGAACTTACTTAAATAGCAAAAATATGAAAATATGTCCATATGTATGGATTGATCATGCCGATAAATACATAATTATTACGGTTTGCTATTTGATACACATGATAATACTTATTTGATAAAATAGAAATTATATTTATTTATTAAAAGTACCGATAGGTATTTTGTATTTCATGTAATATTTATTGCAGTATGCCAGTATGCGAATAAAGTAAATTAAAAATACACTTTTGGTATGAATGAAATGTTGCAATTTTCTTTAGCCACTTTGACACGCTAATAAAGTCGTCATACTGCGAATTACTGCGAATAATCAGAACTTAAATGGGGGAGATATCAATGACGTTAAAGTGATAAAATAGCTTTTCAGTTAAAATGCATGCATTAATTTGTAATGCTCAATCCTCGATAATCCTCAATATTTCTCGGTAAAGGTCAAATGTCAGGCGCACTTTTTTTAACGCATGTGTTACATGTAATGTACATACAATCTCGAAAATTATATCGACCTTCCTTCATTTCGGCGAAATCAATTTCCACATTTATCAAGTCTTGAAGTAGGTATAAACCATCATATTAATGTCTCATCAAATATGTAGCTGTCACAATTTAATCTGACGAGTGCAGAGATTTCAGCTATTCCTCCATCAACATTCGGCTCAACTAATTAAGTTCTTCATATTGTTGAACTCTGAAATATCCGTAAACGTATGCATAGCATCTTAGAAAAACAAATTTCGTTTTAATTCTATCAATTAATTACAAAATTGTGATGCATCTTTCTACCAACACTGATAAAATTATTTTATTAATTATTGGTCTGTATTTCTGTAATGTTTCGGCATTCCAAAAATGTGCTGTTTTACAACAATTCACTCACAGTAGCAGTACCAGCAACGATTACGTTATTCCAGATTTATTTAAAATACCGGATTTTGTCCAGGAATATTTCCCAGATGGAAATTTGGTATCTTTCGTGAACAATAACTACAATTTAAAAATAAATTCTGAATGTAGTCTTTCACTCTGTAAAGAAAAGTACTTTGGTGGGAGCTGTGTTAGTTTTACGCAACATGCACAAAATGTGAACAATTTTGGCAATATATCGTCTGGAATTTGTGAGTGCAAAAAAGAGGTAATTTGTACATTAAAATTAACTTTAATTGATTTTAAAATATGCACGTGTAAATTTACTGGATTTTTACGTATGCATTTCTCACCGCAGAATTGTGACTGTTCTATAATCCCAGTTAGGAAGGAAAGTTGTGCTTATGCCTTTATCACGCCGTGCAATTCTTGTAATCCAGAATACGTTGAAATTAAAGAAGGTTCATCACCCGTGTTCCAGGAAGCTTTTAATTCCAACGTAAGAACCATAAGCGTTCGTGGTGGATGTGTTTTAAATACATTTGACGAAGAAGATTTCGAAGGGGTGGAGGCAACTTTAGATAATGAATCGGGTGGGGATCCTCGAACATGGGTTGGTCTCAAAATTATTAAAAATCAAAATGAGTCGAAACAGGCACAATTCATTTTTTACATACAAGTTTCTTCATAAATTGCAGAATAACTCTGCTAAAATAGGTTCAGCAGAATGTAAATGCAACTGGTCGAGCCAATCCACGTTTGATACAAATGTCAAAAGTATGTACATACACTTTGGGTAGCAATACGATCAAAATCTATTTCATGTAATAGATGATTAAACACATCTTTAAAACCAAATTACAGATAACATTTCAATAATTCAACTACCAAATACAGTTCAGGACATTATCAGCCTTGGAGAAAGTGAACGTAATCATCCGGGAATTTCTGCGGCACTGAGTTCTATAAGGAAACGCCGAAGTCCTACCACTGCGTATATATTATTTCTGGGTTCCTCGGGATCTGGAAAGTCCACTCTGGTACGCTCATTCTTCCTTCAACCTCACAAATCAAAATACTCTTCTATATTTCTCATCGTAAATAGATCAACTTGATGTTTGGCAACCCCACTCTTTCTCCCGTGGGTGGATCCTCTTCGACCACGTCGGACATTCGTGAATTTCGCGTCTCCATCCCACTTCCAGAGCTCGGTCTAAACAATACGGAAATCCACTTGATTGACACGCCCGGCTTGGGTGATACACGAGGACTGGAAAATGATGGCAAATTTCTTGCCACTCTGTCAGACTTCTTATCAAACCACGATGACCTTCAATATTACATTCCAAATGTGATAATTATTTGTCACAAATTCACCGACAACCGTTTCTCTGGGGTTGGTTCCAGTTTTGTAAGAATGTTACGGGCTCTGAATTTCGTTTCGGATAAAATTACTGACGACACCTACTCAAATGTTATCTTTACCTTTACCCATTTCCTCTCTGAAGTGAGCATGAAGAAAAATCCTGACCCAAGACTGGCAGAATTTTCTCGAGTTATCTCCGAGTACACCTTGTTCCCCAAACCAATTGTAGTCACTGTTGCAGAGAACATGGCTGCAGAACACGGCTTGACAATGACGCACTACAATTACTTGCTTCCAAATGGAGAACTCTTTCCGAAAAATATTTATGACAAAATATTCCGAATTTGTCACAATTCTAACGATTCAATTGGATTAGCCGTATTTGAGTCGGCCCTCCATCAAGGGATGCTAAAATACCCTGAACTTTACCTTGGCTCCAAGTTAAACTCTCTATTACCAAGAAATGACTCGAAAACTGTCCATTATACAAGTAAGCTTACCGCTGCATTGTTGGATATTCAGGACAGTGAAATTTCTCAACGTTTAGCACAAACATTTGCGAATATGTCGTCAGAATATAAAACAGGCTCGGGAAATACTCTCCCACTATTACAGAAGGGTTTAAATATTCGAAATCTCCGAAATTTGAGAGATCTTCCAAAGACCAATGTGGACAAGGCTGAGCTGTTTTCATCTCTAAGACTTAACAAGGCTGGGCTGATTTTAATGGAGAAAGCCTTGCAGTTACAACCACCACCTTTTCCTACAACAAATTCGCATAGTTTACTTGTCGGAAATTCTATGAATGTGGCGAGAGGAAATTTCGAACCACTGTACAGTAGAGTCGTACAAATTCAACCCGCTGACAATAACAAGGAATTAATAGTAGCATCCGAGTTGGGGTATACGTTTCCATCCCATATTAAATATTCTTACAATTCCGTACCCCAAATTGTTCAAACATTTACGACATTTGCAAACATACAGGATTATTTTGAGAAACGAGGAGCAACGTTGGGAATTAAGGAAAATCTTTCAACAGTTAAGAGTACCGTAGTTCCACAAGGAATTAATCTCATATCAGAAAGCCGTATAAATTATAACTACACTTTTACAGCTTATCAAGGAATCAGGACTTTTAAATTGGAGCTAAATCATCAAAAGCTGATTTTTGCTCCAAGCTTCGTAAAAGATGTGAATAATCTGACCAAATTTAATGAGCATTCGTACCGAGGGATGGAAAAGTGGAAAGATTTTTTTAACAAATACGGCACTCATTTGGTCGATTCTGTCCACGGGGGTGGTCTAATTACATTGGAGTTTAAAAAAGATATCAATAATCCAAATATTCCAAGTGTGGAATCCGTCTTTAAGCTACTAGATTCTGAACATGGTACAAATAATAGTTCCCTCACAGCTACTGCGGCGCTCAATAAAGGTTATCATGGCCAGCAAATTATTGACTTGAATAGAATCTCGTTCCAGGAAAAACAACAGATTTTAAATTTGTGGAAAAAATCCTTGCATTCGAAGCCAACCATTTTACCACAAAGTGTACAAATAATTTCCCTTGGGGAAATTGTTGGAGCTAAAGTGGATCGAAGCATTGGAGACGAGATTAATTCTGCTACCAAAAGACTAATCTCTGGCACTTTGATTTACAAACCTTCCCCAAGAGAGCAACAAAATTTACAAATTTGTCAAAATAATTTGGTGGCAGCTAGAAATTCGTCCGCAATAAGTAATCTAGAGGCAGAAATTGCATCAGTGAAGAATAAAATGGAACTATACGTTCAAAAACTGCATAACGACGGAAAACAACACCTTGCTCGAATAATTCCTGTAGTAGCTGAAAAGTATGGTGGATTATATACTTTAAATTTATTGACGGAAAAGGTAAAGGAAAGGAACAAATGTCAGCAGAGGTTCAAAGTTTAGTGCACTTAATTTTCGAAAATGTGTGTTTCGTTTCAAATGTATATATTTACTTTAAATTCTTGTCCTGCACGAATGTGTGTTTGTACACAGCTTAAATTATTTGAATAAATTGTATGTATTTACTTGTACATTGTTTACCGAATGTGATACCGTAGACATAAAGTGACTTTGTTTGTTACTTTGATAATAAACAATCGGATCATGATTATCCTGTGATAGAATTGATAACATGTAGACACAAACGTTTTGATCTTCACAACAGGAAGGGCAAGATCCATATCTAAAACCTCTTCAACTTGACATTTACTTTATTCGTGGAATATACGCAAGTTGTAAAAAAGATTATTTAATCAACTGCAACTCAAGTAATACATAATGACTGATGGACATCTGGATCACGCTACAGGATGAGTCAGGTACATTGTGCATACGATTTCGCTGTGTCAATTGGTAATTGTCATTGAGATATGAATGTGCTTATAACCCATGCGGAGTCTGAATAAAATTGACGCTGAGTGTTTGTCTGGCTGGACGAACAAATATTATTGCTTGCCAATATTTATAAACATAAAGTAAAACCACAATGCGTATTCGTCATGCTCTGGGTCGGTTACTGTATTCATTTATCACACTGTGATTTACCGATTCTACTTCATTATATATGCAAAAATTATAGTTTCTTCACATTTGTTTACACGAAATATGTAGTCGTCATAAGTATTTTATTCGTTTATGAACATGAAGGAGAAAAATTGATCTGGCGTCAAATCTTCATTTTTCTGCGGTTCAGATTTAAATTTGTACTTGAAAGCCCTTAATACTTGTATGTATCCTAATTAATGATTATAGCAAAACAAAAGCCTATGACACATGCAAGTCCCGAAATAGAAATCGGATACATTTTCATGCAATAAGTCCATATGCACCGCAACCTGTATCAAATTAATACGTATCATTGCATCGCTGACGTAAATACATGTATGATTTTTTGCCGTGTCCAGTCTAGTCTAGTCATTCCGTGACGTGACAGAGTTGAGGTGAAATCCCAAAACATAATCTGCGAGTGTTTTATTTATTACCTATCTCAATCCACCGAATGTTATGCAATTAAATTGACTCGGTCGGCTGTTACAAACTATAATAAATAGTAAATAAGCCCTGCTGGCTATTTTAACGATATACTCGCATTTATGAATGGACTGATTAATCTTATTTCCTTTGACGAAGTTAATAACGCACACAATACAAACACCACGTCGGGTGGTTTGCTTACAATTACGACAGGAAAAGTAAGATAAACAAATAATAATGCACTCCATCAACACCTTTCCCTTTCTGAAGCACTTGACATTTGTGTATACTTTATTCATTCATCACTTTCAATGAGTGACACATAAAGTTGTAAATATAATCTAATCTAATACTTACTGATGTACTTTGGGATCACGCTATTGCACTGTGTTACAAGTATGAGTCAGGCATGAGTTGTAGACATATGTTCATGCAGATCAATTATTGTACGGCTAATTTATTAATTCAGTGTAGGTGAACTTTGAGCATTTAACGCACGATTGTTTGGACGTAGCAAAAATAATGGAACAGCAGAATTTCGGTTTTTAACATAATATGTTGAATATAGTAATATAGTTATTATAACTTTATTTCAAGTTTTATGAAATTTGTAACATGTATATTTTATACTTTACAATAAATTATAGTAACAAATCGCGTGATTCATTTTTTTTGGGTGATTATACTTATTTATTTATTTATTGTACACGAATCTTGCTCTCTGTATGGTTTCTGAGCTTTTACATACATATGTATGACACTTGACCTATGTAAGTAAATATGTACATTATACATATACAGGTACATATGTATACATACATTTTGTATCGTACAATTGTCAGGCTGTGTAAACCTGGAGGAGTCGGATACCAATTTCACAAATTAAATATTTTCAACTGGCGCAGTCTGTCCGCCATGTTGGATACAGATCGCAAAAATTGCAAACAACTAGTTGGGATTATTTAGTTTACGTACTACGTAGCTGAAAGGATGGAAGATCTTGTACATCCAAATCCAGTTAATATATTAAAACTCATTTGGATATTACTACATAATTTTAAATTGCGAAATAAGTAGTAATTATGCTCATTTTACGCGGCCTTATTTTTACAAGAAAAATTTTTTACAACGCCACATTCCAATCTTCCAATCACGATAAATTTCGAAGTAGAACATCATCAACTTGTAGTCTAATATTTGCAGTTTATCGCCGCCTAATTAGTTTTTCAACTTAATTAATTTGCAATAATTTGAAAATTATCGAATTCCTGAAAATTTTAACACTAAATACACTACGCTCAAATTTAACTCTTATGCCGGGGTTTATGGGTTCGTGTATGCAACTCCGTGGAACTGATAGTTAGTGACGTCATGTCGAAGCCGTCCACCCACAACTAGTTTTACTAGCTGTCCAGAATTATAGACAATCCAAAGTCCATTGGGAAAGGTCATCATGTTAGATGTTAGATGCATGTTAGGTGCATGTTAGATGGTGCAATATAATTATGTTGTCAGATCAATTCACGCCATTATCTCCATGAAATGTTTTTCCAGGTCCTTCTTATTGAAATTGATACCTTGCACTATTTTCAGTGCCTGAAACTTTGTAACTATATTTGACAAGCACGCCCTAAATGCATAACAGTTATATTTGCAGCAACTTTGTTTGAATTAGCATTATTTGCATTTTTAGGTACATGTACCCGTCTTACTGCTACCGAGATTGTTTTGTCAGATAGATACAACGTCTGACTGCATACATATATTTTATTTATATGTATGTACATACATATGGACTAGTAAATATGCAAGCCTGGAATAATCTAGTTGGGTAACCCAACCAGTTTTTCCAGTCAATTATTAATTTATGTTTAAATCGGGTTACTTGCGGATAGAATTATAGCAATCTGAATTACTTGATGATATAATAATGACAATATAATTCCTCTAACTCGACGCGATTTGTCTTTGCACAGTAGTTAATGAGTATTGACGGGCTTCCAGAGATATCTAACGTGTCAATATATACCTGAAGTAACAGGAGAAGTGTTACTTGATCTTTAATTATTTAGTATGACATAATGGACTCAATAACAACAAAGCGTGGTAGCTTTCCATTGGTTCTTTGAATGAACCTCAAAGATTCAAAGGTCGAGCCGCATGAACCAAAAAGGTTCTAAATAGTTTCTGGATTAACGGACTGTGCAATTTGATTATCCAATTTCTTATTGGACTCTTGCCAACTATATAAAAGCTTTGAGTACTTATGTAAGAACATTTTGATAGAATATCCGTTGAATTTACTTTCCTCTCCGAAAATCATTGAGCCAAATTCGTAAAAATACATTCATCCAGGCAAATGTATTTTTGTATGTAGCTCGCTCACTCGCTATGAATGTGCTTAATTTGTCGTAACCACATTTTCAAATCCGATCCGATAAATTATTACTATGAATCATTATTTATTACTAATCATTACACCATCCGGGCTAATGAGAATAATTCATCATCCAATTGTAATATACGTACCAAGAAACTCGCAATGGCCCTTAATCATACACAAGTACATAAGTATTTCCTCCATCATCGGCTCTCCCCCTCGCCTTCAACTTGAACATTCCTCCGGATTGGAATCTGCAAAATCTTTACAGGAAAAAATATTCTTGGAAATATTTTTTAATCGGAAGTTACACGAGGAAAGTTTCACTGTTAGGAATGTGGAATAAGTCATGCCAAAAAGGATGCAAGATGTTTCATCATCAATAAATATATTAGTCACCATAGCCTAAATATCAAATGTCCTTATTTTCAAAGTGCACGTTACCACACAAAGTCCTTCACTCGTACTAAATAGTATATGCAATATGTATGTATGTACATAGTAGTCGTTTGATACTTAATTTCTCTGGGTTTTCACGTGGATCTTGATAATTACATGCCTTGAGCTTCAATCATAATAAATATTATACAACATTGTATGTATTGTTCATGAATAATAATTCCGTTGCTTGTTGAATGTCTTGCACATGTGGATTGGATTGGCCGGTGTTGTGGCTGTTGTTCTTCTGCATCCGGCTCAAGTTAGCAACTCACACAATATTTTAGCACACACAACAACGTGCACTCCACATTGGCAAAATGTAAAATAAGCTTGTGCAGGTTTGCTTGGTGACTAATCCTGCCATTTTACCTCAGCAGCCTATATCTTGATGTACATGTGTATATGGGAAGTTCAACCCAATCATCAGCGTGTTGGGTGGTTCTCAAATTCTCAAGTGGGGACTTAGTCATCCTCGACATCATCATCACATAAATATTATTATCCTTTTTGCAACAAAACACAATGTATGTACGATAGACTCCACGGTGCAGTATCATCTAATATCTTGCTCGTCCTGAGGTGAGCAAACGAGCCTACACACCTGCCTTAATATTAAGTCAGCAAAACTAGCCACAATTTATCCACTCCTTTGTTAAGGAAGCAATGTATACATGGATACATACAAACTTCATACCCTATGCGCTGCGCATTGCATAATTGGATGCACTACAATTCTCTCTGCAAATTTCAGTGCAAAACTCGACACTTTTTTTACAACTCTACTTCTCAGAACGAGTTATTATCCTCAACTATGTATCTACATAATCTCATGAATATCTTAAAGTGAAATCCAAGGTAAAAAGTGCGTAGTACAAAAATGAAGCACGTACTCAAATCCAGGCAGCAAAATATTGACTTTGACACTATCATACTTATTCCTTTTGATCCCTACGCACTTACTACTCTGCTCTGCTCTATTTCGTAATAAAATCGTATCTGTATCTTCATTCATTTAATAATTTCGTCTCATTTCATCATCGATATCATCATCATCATCCTTAAACTTAATCCAGCACTGCCATCACCACCGCCACCATCGTCTTGTCCTCCTCCACGAAAAAAGCAAGAAATCAAAATGCATAATGCAGCCACTGTCTTATTTATTATGTTGGCTTGTAACTTACAAGTTGTAAGTAAACATGTTTTCTGATAGTGCGGATTGTATCAGAAGAAGAGTATCAAATATGTACATGCGTCACCTCACATCGCACTCTTCTTGCCTCCCTCACATGACGACCGACGACGACAAGTTCATCAAAGTGTTCGCCTTGTTTGTTGCTTACTTCTTGGTAAAATCCTTCACAATGTTCTTCCTTCGAGCCTGCACAAACGTGAAGTGTGTTTGCCTAGATATCTGCGACGACATGATTCATGAATGGATTGGAACGATCCATACGATACTCTCTTAATTGGAATTCCCCACAATCACGAGCAACACTGGCAGAAAAGTTTTAAGCAGCCCTACAATAAACATCCAACCCTTTACTTTACTTTTAGTCACTCCACATCACCATCATCATCATCATCAATAATACAATCTTATTCAATCCAAGTTGGTGGATTGCCGAGCAGCAAAGTTGTTCTGTTCAGTTAGTCGTCGTGCCGTGCAGAATTACCCCCGCATCCACACAGCACCACCACGCCGCAGTTATTTTATTCCTGTTTTAGCATAACTAACCTCACACATTATATTATTAGTTGGATTAGTTTTAGCAAGCTTGGCAACTTAGCAGCAAAACAAGTTGGCCTGAGAAGAAGAAGAAGCTGGAGCAGACCGAATTATTACACGGTATATGTGCACATATAAAAAAGAAGTTGAACCAGAGTGACCTTCACCTGTGGATTGGATATTGGATTGACGAGAGTATGAGAGCTTGCTAAAAGAGTGAGAAGGTTTGAGAACCAGACTGGTTGTTGCGGTTCAGTTCGTTCTTCTCTGTTCTCTATCCTCACCATTGACGCACTTATGTATAATACTTTGGTCGTCCATCCTGACCTAGGAGAACAAACCACAACCACTCAAACCTGCCTTGTTGTTCCATACAATAGTTGTGATTCGCTCTCTCAAGAACTTGGACGGATAATTGAGACCTTAACAATTTGTAACGTAATACTCTCTCTCTCGATCCACTAATAATAAGCACGGTGCAGTCTTACTTTGATCGCGGTTCGCGTGTTGGTCTGAAGAGAGTCACTTATTTTTACTCCGGTGTCCAGTCAATAACTTTGTGTGTCCAGAGGTGGTTATCGCTCTCTGTCCGTGGAAAGAATAAATAAAACTTTTAAAAAAACTTATCGAGACGAGGATGGCAAATAAATTTTTGCAGACCAGAAATTTATATTGAGCAGGAAAACTGAATACGCTGTATCATCCTGGTCATCAACACAATCATTTTTCATCATCTTCACATACATACACTCACACATAGCCTCGTCATCACGTATCAATGCAGAAGAAGGAGAGAGGTGAGTGGAAAAATACTGAGAAAGAGACAACAAGCCTTCATTTCTTGTCTTAATGCAAATGCAAAATACGACAGATTTTGTAACGGACTTCATCAATTTTATATCCATACGAGAGCAAAAAGTAGAAAAATAAATTTCCATAACTGAGCGAGAGACACCAGACAAGCCAAGTCGCATACACGTGGTTCACCTCGGTACACCGGCGAATTAAATGTATTGATCTTTCAATATTTCGCAACCAAGCGGATCCGGTCTATCCGAGAGGGTTACGAAAAATCGAAACATTTTCCAAAGTTGAACAAGTGAATAAACTCAAGACAAGTTTCTGCCGGTTGTTTTTCGTTGGTAGAAAGTGATAATATTTAATGATGATCTTCAAACAAGTTTTTAGTCATATTTTCGTAAGTGAGAATATATAAAAATAATAAGTTATCGTAGAACAATATGTATATGTATTTTTATACATCACATGAAATAAGGTCGTGCAGTGTGGGCGTTTAGTTGTTCTTTCTGGCTTATCTGCCTCCCGGAAGGTGGGTGGCTTATTAATATTGAGTTGACATTGGTCGGGTTATATGTACACATGGTCCGGTCAAGTCCAGTCTAATCATGACAATAGCAAATGATAAGACATGGTAGTGATGACCTGCGATGACAATAGCGTCAGTGTGCCCACTCCTTTTTCTTTCTGGTCCACATGTCTTGGTCTCCCAATAAATCCAGATTTTGTTGGAATTTCCTGGTTTTACTTTTAACAAACAAAAAGAGATTGACGGAATTGAATGACACATCATTTTTCATTACCACGGTTAAACAAACGTGGTCATTCATCTCATTCCAAGTAGTCCCAAGAAAATTAAGTAAAGAGTTGTCACTTTTTATTTCCAAGTATTTTGTCGTATTTCTATTTACACTGTGATTATTAGTTAAATTTAATTGCAGCAATTATCACTTATCGTTACTTGCTCGACTGCTGGAGAGCAGATGCGGGCGGACAGCATAAGAACATTGCATGCAAAAAAAATTGAAAAGGGATTCATGAGTTTACTAGTGCAACCGGATGGAGTTCATGTTTCTGGGAAGAACGTGGCATAATGGCAATAAGTTTTAGCAGCTTTTTTTGTATGTATATATGGACACTTATTGTGGGCTACGAATCATCATGATTAGCTGCGTCATTATTCCTGAGTCATCCACCTTCTCTGAACTTGAGTGCGGGCACACAGACACAGAGAGAGAGATGAGATTTTTACAATTCGCAAAAGCACACTTTTTATTCGCGAGTCTCATTCATTGATGGGATTTACGGCACGACACAGTCCAGAGGTGCTGCTCGTACATATGCAGAGTTTACATAGTTATTGTCTGCCTGTGCGTCATGTGTTGTTCATCATCATCACATTCAAAGGCATGAAATCTGTGACGAAGAGATGAGACTGAATTTGTGATGTGATTCAGGCTTTTTCTTGCGTGCATTCCCTTTTGCCAGGTTTTTTTTACGAAATGTGCATCATCTCCTCTCGCAATCTCATAATAATAATCTCATCTCCAGAAATGGCTCTCTCTCAATTTACTCTCCCAGCTCCGTCTCCATTTCGTAAGAATTGTTTAAGGAAGCGTTAAATTGTTGTGGCCAGAAAGATCCTGCTGAATCTGTTATTGAGAATTTGAGACAAACTCAGTTGTAATTTTTTCCATATTGACAACTTAAATCATGATAAATACTTGGCCTTGTTGTACTTTGCACCAGCAGCAGTCGTTATATTTTGTAATGACGTTGTCGTAGCGTGCTGCTGGAGGTGAGGAGGCAGAAAGAGTTTCATGCTCTCATGCCACGCCGAACGCGGTATAAAATATTGAGCAAGGAAGAGTTGCATGGAAGCTATTTAATTGAATAAGACCGTATGTATACATAGATACACAATCGTAATTGGAGCTCTTAATTATGTTGTCTTCCACACTTCTTGTTGTATAACTGAGCTGATTTCGTTATCTTTATCTTTATTTCTGCAGATTTACACCGGATACCCTGAGTTATTCATAGTCGGCGAAGCATTCATAATTTTTTCTCCATTCCGGATGCCATAACCTACGCCAACATTTCCCATGTCCACGTTCTGGCTCCCCAACCATGAACCATAAGCAATCACCTCCCACTTCAGAGCAACCTGGTTCAAACACTGCAACCTCTCTTAATGACATGAGTACTACTGCTCTCCTCTTCCCAACCACCCCCACGACCGTACCCTCGCCCCGAAGTGGTACTAATAACGGCAACAAGGAAGCCTCCTTCAAATGCGAGCATTGCGGGCGTGGCTTCCTTTTCAAGAATAATTTAAAGGCATTACTTAATTAATCAATAATAATTAAATTATTAATAATCCTTTAAATTATTAATAATCCTTTAAATTAGGCCCATTTACGGACTCACACTAGGGATCGTAAATACACTTGTGATCTCTGCCAAAAGTCTTTCATCTACAAAGAGAGCTTAAAGAATCATATGGTAAGTGCACAAGTGAATTTTAATGAATGAATTGTTCAAGAATAAGGTACACATTTTTATCTTAATTTAATAGCTTCTTCATTCAAACGAACTTCCCTACAAGTAAGTACCCCAGTTTTATAGGATACTTATCTAATTGCTACCTTTTTTACATAAATTTTACATTATTTTTATAGCTGCGATATATGCGGGAAAAAGTTCCGCGATAGGTCTAATCGTAGGAAACATGTAAAAAATGTGCACAAGTATTTGCTCAATCAACCCGCCGGGGGCGGCGGAGATGCAAGTGGCGTTGCTACTCCGAGCGGAAGTGGGAGCGGATCTACTACACCTGATCAAGTAACTAAAACTAGGAGGAAACGGACACCAAAGGTGGAAGGAGGTGGAAGAAAGGGAAAGATGAATGAAACAATTACTTCTTTAGAGGATGAAAATGCGTCCTCTTTAGGATTTGAAATGACAACGCATAAGTTATCCTCCATCCAATTACATCATCATCAACACCACCGTTCGCTGGATGTGGTTTCGTCATCAACAAGTAATCATACCCAGACAAGCTCACACTATAGTCAGAGCCACTACCAACAGCCACACCCACTTTTGCTTTCTTCACCTTCCCTACAAAGCAGTTTAGTGAAAAGAGAACCGGGCGAGGTGTGGCATCCTACTCAAGTTCCACTCTATTTACAAGATGATGGTGGTCATCATCATTACCCACATCATCATCCGCAGCAACACAGTAATTACCCTGGAGGTATTAGCAGTGGAGGTATTAGTGGACAATCTGACACAAAACCAGCTCTCTTGCCTCCTCCACAGGATGACCATTACACGTCATATATGGATCAGTATCATCATCTTCACCAGCAGCAGCAGCAACAACATCAGCACCACAACCCGCAGCAGTACATTCATCACCAATACTGGAATACTCAGGCAGCTTCCAGCGGGGGTCCTTATTCCGGTAACAGCAACAGCAGCGCTGGTGCCCCACCGCCGTCGTATCATTTATTAGGTACCGTTGCGCCAAGTACTAGGTCTCCTCCTGTCCTGGAAGGATACTCATCGTCAACACCCAGCCACCCACACGCCACGCCGACAGGGTCGTCGTTAGCTCATGGGAACAATCAGCCAACGCCACCCGTTACAACTGCTGCTACTACGACGAGCAACGGTGGTGCTAATCCTCCACCCGTGTTTTTGTACAAGGACTTGTCACAGTTCGATTTTAGCTATTTGTAGTGTTTTTCTGAGTGTACTGTATTCAAGTCTAAATCAATCACAAATAGTCAATTTCCACTCAACAAGGAGAATAAGAATGATACTTATTGTATTTATGTCTTGATGCTTTACCCCCATTTATTTTTATAAAGCAATTTTATCTAATAATAATAATAAGTTTGTGACGTTTAAAAGGTGCTTAAAATTTGAGTGATTGCAAAACAATGCGCAATATAGTACATATGCATGTATGCAGAACTACGGATCATGTCACTGGCATCATTGACTACTTTTTATTAGCGACTAAATTTCAAAACTGTCTGATTTTTTAATTGTCATGTAATCTGAGAGAAAGGGAGTTTTCTAATAATTTATTTATATCTATATTTATTACGTACTGCTATTGAAGAAGTGCCGATATTGTCAAACTTTTTGACAGATTTGGTAAAATACTTTTCTCGTTGTTAACAAAACAACTCGTCCGTTACATTTACAATGACTGCCAAAAATCAATCCTATCCTTAAACGGCTCCGAAATCATTTCCGGCCTCCAGTTCAACTTCATATACTTGAGCTCTGAATTTTTTTCTTGTGGGGTCCATACTTTCCCCAAAAATTCCAACACGGGGCTCTTTTTCAATTTCAAATCTAATTTAGCAAACTGCACAATAAGCTTAACAAATTTTTTGGAAAATTCATAATCTACGCTCCCCTTCGGAACGGAAGCCATCATGGGCATAAAAAATTCCATCGCCAGCTCGTCACCGTGGCAAGATCCTAAAAAATTGAGATTTCTTATTAATTTTGTGCCATTATTTGAGAGATTAATAACTCACCATGTCTCTCGATTGTCTGGCCAAGCACCGTAGTTTTGAACCACTTTGAAACCTTGGACCACATAATCTCCACGAGGGGATGGTAACCTCCCTTCAACGCAAGGAGCAACTGATCCAGTCCAAAGTCCCCTTGATAAGCGTAATAGTAAATGAAAAGAGGTGGTCCTTCGACTTGTGCGTGACTCGTCAATGCGTTGTGAAATCCCAAATTCCATAACCAGTCGGAGAAAAGATTTGTTAAATTTTCATAATGAGCCATCGGATTGTTCAAGTCTAGGCCATTTCCGTGCATATAAAACGCCTTGACCTTTTCATACACGACTGGCGGAGTATCTTCAGGCATGAGCATTATGTTTTCTACCGTCTTGTCCCAAGCATTTAAAAGACCGTGAGTTATAGTACTGTTAGCGACGGCGGCTAAAATATAAATCGTTACAAATGCTTAAATGTAACCCAGACAGAATAATATCATAATTACTGATATACCGTAAATACTCTATTTATAGCCGGGGCTAAAATTCAAAACTGAGGGTCGAGGACCCGGCTACAATTAGAGACCGGCTATAATTAGAGACCCGGCTAAATTTTGTTACGCCCAAAATTGTAGATATTACAAAATCACGCATAATCCATATTGACTCAATTTGAGTTTTCTAATTTAGTAAGATATCCCATCAGTAACCCTTTAACTTTAAATCTCCATCTTTAAACGAGGTTTAGCAGTTTTTTTTTTAAATTTTATGTCATAACTATATCCATTATTAACTTGAAATTAATAGGTAAAAATTAGTAGTTCAACTTATTCGTTGATTAGCATAACGTGCAACATTTATCTTGAATGGGCTATGAACGGGGACACAACAGACAAGACAGGCCACAATTAGAGACCCGGCTATAAATAGGGACCCGGCCATAATTAGAGACCCGGCTAAAATTTTGAAATCTTGGTCTCTAGACCCGGCTATATTTGGAGACCGGCTATAATTAGAATAGGGCTATAAATAGAGGTTTTACGGTATTTAGGACTCACGCGCTGACATCATCAACCCCTCTGCATTGTTAACTCCAGTAAAAAATGGGACCTTGTTATAATTTCCACTCTCAATAATTCGTCTCGGCATATCGAGCAAGAATGCCTTTCCATCTGACTTATCCATTTCAACCGTGGGGACAAATGTTGCGATAACTGGGCGCAGATTATCCTTCATCTCTCTGTGAACTTGGACAATGTCCATGGCTTCTTTACTTTTGAGACATTTCACCATTTCTTGAGTATTTCCTACAGGGCAGTTTAGCTGTTGGGCGAATCTCTTTGCTTGTTTGGCAGGATGGGGATAAACAGCCCAGGGCATCGTCGCCAGACCACTTTGAGCGATGGCTTTGTGAAATAATCCTGAATTACATAGTTTAAAATCAGTTATATGCAATTTAAGTATGCAGGAGTAAAGTGCGGAAACAAGTTATTTCACGTCAAACATCTCTACCTTTGCTCATTGGTGAAAGAATTTGAAAATGAACCGATGCACCTCCAGCAGACTCTCCTAAGCACATAAAAATTGTAAAAACAGTTAAAATTACTATTTACAGCTAGCCATTGATATTTATTGTGTGTACCAATTAGTGTCACATCGTTTTTATTTCCTCCAAATCTTTCGATGTTGTCCTGTACCCACTGCAACGCCATACTTTGATCCTTCAATCCCATGTTTCCTCGCACCACACCATCTCCTGAATTTAAGAACCCTGCCACAAGGAAAGAGAGAAAATATACTTATTTTTTTCCAGAGAAGGATTTGTACTACAGTAAGTTATAACCAACCAAAACTTGCGAGACGATAATTTACGGTAACGAGTACAACATCTTCATCCATAAAATAGTCTCCATGGTATGAGTTGCCGCTTCTGTAAATACATAAAATTTTCATAAATGTAATTTACATACGTGCATATATTTCGTTCATACAATTCGTTTCAGATAAAAATATCTATATATGCAATAATTATACCCGAACGCAAAAATGCCCCCATGAATCCACACCAATACTGGTAATTTCGCATCTTTGCCAATCTGAACAGTATGAAATTGTTTATAATTTTTGTAATGATTTTATCGTCGTCATAATTACATAGGTACTCATATTTACATATGAAGTTCATAAATCTTTATTCTGCATACCTTTGGCGTATGTACATTGACGAAAAGACAATCCTCACTCCCTTCAATCCTTCCCATTATAAGATCCATTTGAATGCAGGATGACCCAGCCTTTGTCGCGTCCCTGATTCCATCCCATTTTTTAGTAAATCGTTCTGGTGACTATTTACAACAAATAAACCTCTTTATATCTAAATGAATTTATGACACTAAAATTATGAAAATTTGTGTTTATACCCACTTCGTATCTTAATTTCCCAACGGGTGGCTGTGCATAAGGTATAGCCAAATATTCAAAATAATTACGGCCATCTCTGCTCAGTGAAATTTTTCCTTGCAACTTTCCCGTCGAAATTTCAACAATCGGAGAATTGACAATTGGTGGAAAGTAAGTCGTCCTCACGAGATACGCTATTCCAGCTACCGCAATCGCAAGATATAGTTTGTACCCCATTGCTTATTCGAACTAATGGATGAAGTAAACTAGTAGAAATATATTATAATTTAAATTGGTCCTTCCTTATTAAGTAGCGTAACGTGAGTGAATTACACCGATTCTTCACACACTACTTGAATTGACAGGAGAGTTAAAGTCCAATGTAACAGAAATCACATGAATAGGCAGTTTTGTATAGCAATCAATGGTGTAATAATGACTATATGGTATCAGATTAAAACCTGCTGGACTATAGAGTCCACTGGAGTTTCACAATAAATATCAATGTGAAGGACGACGGGATGACAAAAAACCTCATCAGTAACAAACATGATCTCTCTTATAAGTTTTATTATCACCTGTATATCTACATGCACATGTATTAGGTATGAATATGCACTTCATTAACTAGGCTTTCATAATAATGACAGTTTAGAGTCAAATTAGTTAAGTCATACAATTTATTCCCACTTTATTTGCATTTGAAATTTTGCATATTTACTTAGTAGATACTTAGCATAGTCCGTCAGTATTTTCCCAGCTTGAAACCCAATAAAAATTATTCCGTGCCATGTTAGCAATATGACCGTGGGAACCACAGAGTTAATGATTTATTATTCGAATTGCATAACATCAAGCTAATTGAATTATGCACGAACCAACCATAGTCTAATTTAACTATAAAAAGCTACTGTTTTAAAATTTACGAAGACTTTCGAATTATTAGAATGAAAAATGAAGGAAGGATTAAGAAACATTAAATTAATGCAAAGGTCCCTATTGACAGTTGGGGCGGCCACGTGCCTTTTTTTCGCTTGGATCCATGGGAAATTTAGTTGTGCGGGCCTTTCTTCCTATGTACAATTAGATCATCAATATGTACCTTACAAACATGTATATTTTGACACTTTATAAAAAAGTTAAACCAGGTAGTTCAATTCATGCTCTCATAAATTGGATGCAGACTGCATTAATTTCATACAACATGTCTTAGAATAATATCAAGATTGATGAATATGTAAATGTGAAAAAGGTTTTGGGGCAGATTAAACTTCGTCTCGAGGTGAATAATGAATAATATTGACCTGACACATTAATTACTGTGGGACATCATAAAACTTCAAAAGTCACAGCCAAGGCGACCCTCGAGGGTTGTTTGGGTTCCAACCTCCTTTTTCCTATCAAAAATTCCTGTCTCCTCTAGAACGTTCAATTTTGCACTGCCTCCAGCCAATAAATATGATCGCATTATAACTTCGCAACTAATTTTTGACAAAATTGTCTTTGAATTTATTCATTTATTTTTTAATATATTAACTTAGATTAGGAGCTTCCTTAAAACTAACTTTCCTCCTGGAGCAGGAATTAGGTAGCTGCTCAGTCCAAATTCTCAAAATTGATCCATCCCTCTCATCGCATCGATGATAATGCCGCGCCCAGACTGGAAAATCATTTTTCATATTTTTGAAAACTATTTTTCACTGGTCATTTCGTTTCGCAAAATAAAATTCAATTGTAACTTACGTGCTAAGAATATCTGCACTGGAACTGTCGCCAGACGTTGCCCCCGTCGTTCCTTCCCCATCAACGCCACCACCGGCTCCCTGCTTGTCGGCATGCTTCAAGGATTTCTCTGCCCACTTGGCCGCATTTTTGAGCATTGGGAGGAGTGGAATTTCCAAAAGCCAACACACTATGAGTAACCCACCCACGATCCATGCGATTTTTATGATTCTTTGCTTCTTAGCTTCATAAGCTTCTTCCTCTGGGGTTAGTCCATCCGGCGATACGGCGACAGCAGTGCCTCCAGCCCCCCCAAGCTCCACGTCCGTCGAGGCAGGCGATCTCATGGATTGGGGTCGTTTCTTAGGAGGCTTCATAATTAAACGGAGTATCGAACCGACCAAAAGCTGAGCCATAACTGAGGACACAAAAAGGTTAACTCTTTTAATATTGGTTGGTGGTTATTTAGTGATCTTGAATATTGTTGATCTTGTGAACGCTTGCACCTGACTGACCACACCTTCCGGCACCTTCGCGAATTTTGTGTGTTGCGAGTGGTGTGGCGAGTGGAGTTTTGAGAGAAATATTTTTTTTTGCGAATTTGCAAATAAATTGTTGATCGAAATGAGATTGATTGTGCCCTTAAGAATTTAAAGTGAGACGTACATATACACTTTAACATTGTTGTCTGTTTTATTTTATCTCAGACGGGGGATAATTGCCGGTTACATGATGTCCACGTGTATGTAGGTAAAGGATGAAGTTGTTGACCACGTGATTTATAAAAGCTGCGATAAAGTAAAAATGTGAAACATGTCTGCATAAAAAAAACTTTTTTATTATTATATGTATGTACAATTTTGAGGAAAGCCCTGTAGCGATTCTCTTTACTTTAGTGTCTTCTAAATTAACAAGGAATTTATTAGATTAAACTATAAGTAGCACTGTTTTGCACCTTACACGATTATGAGTATGGAATACATGAACTTGATTTCAAACTTCAGATATTATACGATACGTCAAAATTTAGCATACCCATCATATTAAGGAATCATGTAGGTATGTACATACATACGTATTTATGTAAATGTGCGTATTTCGCAAAAATTTTAAGTGGGCATATGTACATGCTTTAATTTGACACTACGCAGTATTTAAAATTAGACGAAGATGGCAAGATATTATATATAAATATAACCAAGAATAACTGATTTACAAGTAAAATTAAAACTAATTGATCAATTCCAAAAACGAAAGCTGTGCAATTTTCGCCCTACACATACACACATTTATTTTATCCATGGATACAGAAATATTGCATTGTATCAAAATTAAATAATGGAATACAGCTAAATATGAATTGGAATATATATATATTCCAAATCATATTATATATAATGGTACGTTTATGATTCACTCATTACCAACTTGTGGCAATGTTTAAGTTTTCTAATCAGCGCAAGTTACCAAGGAATGAAGTATACACGCAGCTTGTGGAACATAAATAAATCACGACAATGAAAATCATCTCAACGTCTAAATTAATATATAATTTGCTAAATATTTAACTTAATTAACATGACATTTTGCGGAATACCCGATTCATTCTTTTAGTAACTTCTGATGCATTTTTTAGAATGTTTGACATAATCAAATAAATTGAAGCGTCAATGGAATATGTTCCTTTTGAAGGTTTCCTATTTTTCTTGGCACAAGTAATTGTTCTTTAGTTTGAATTAAAAAATGTTAATTTATGCTAGTAAATTTGGACAAATATAAGTATATACCATATGAATACGTAAACTTATTTAAGAAGCGGACAAGCACAATTCAACAAGACGCAATTCACAAAAATCTCAGAAACTCGCATCCAAACTTGTCTCTCCAGCATTCGGAATAGTAAATTTTTTAAATAATTGCATTTGAACTCATATCAGCATTTGACTTGGCGAAATGCTTTACCTTTTTAAGTAGTAAAAAGGCTCCCAGAACGACAACATTTATTACATTTTTTAGTCCTTGCCGACTGGGATTACTCTTCAAGATTTTAAGATCTAATCAAAATTAAGGTTGTTTACTCGCATATTATGTGAAATATGTTCATATTGCGGTGAACCTTATTGCGTTATCCGCGAATGCATAAACAGACTGCTTTCAAAGCATTGAACATAAAACCCGACCTATAACAGCTTTCTTTCAAGGTAATTATTTAACATGGAAAATGATTGATTATACAGCATTGTGCACAAGTAGAAAAGCCAAGAGCTCCAAATTTATCCAAGTACTTCCATAATTGTGTCATTAAGAGTCTAAGATCTTCTGCCGATGATCGACTATATTATAACAACCAATCATTGCATTGCTATTACCAAATTAATATTGTATTTTTCCAGTATATATATGCATATCCAGTATGTGTGTACATATATAGGTAGCTATCAAGGATTATACGGTATTTAAATGTCCACTCCTCGTCTGAGATTTTTGCAAATATGAGAAATGTTAAATGAACAAATACATGACAAATACAAACATAAAGATGCGACTAAATTATTACAGGCAAATGACATATAGTAACATTAGTTTGAAACTATAAACTCCGCAGTTTCAAACCTGTAAATTATTTGTAAGTTTTACTTCAGCGTTTTCGCTCAGTATTGATGCATTATATGAACAATTATATCGGTTCATCATACATCGTTTAATTCTCACGACTAATAGCATACATGAAGAGCTCGCCAGAATGATGAGCAGAATGACGAGACTTATCTCGTTAAAATTATATTCTTCCTCGGAATATGCACTGTTCAAAAATGTACTTTCATTTTTGTCGGTTTCGACAAACGATGAAATTATATTTTCATACTCTTGATTTAGTAACTCACAATTTCCTCCAAGGCATAGATTTGCCCAATCCAAGTAAGGAGCAAGATTAGTTAAAACTGTGATATTAATCCTGCCAGTTCTTATGTATTCGTAGGAGACGAGGCCTCCAACGAAGTCTCCTCCATTTAATTCATCCGTCGTGATGAGCGGACTTCCAGAATGGCCTTTGGATATTGTGTTATTAGGATCAAAGGAACACAATTGCCCGCAGTATTGTTTTTGTCCATGCAATTTCTTGCAATATCTTGGAGAAACCAGATCCACTGGTAGCTGATGTACTGTAGATTCGTTTAGTCCTGAATAGAAGTAGACTTTTGGATCTAATGATAAAAAATTCGCATAAATAAATCCAATCATAGATAGGTTATTGCTTTGTTTATAGTATTACGTAGTTTTGAAAAAATTAAGTAGGGTAAAATTGGTACTGGATTTTTTACGAAAGGTTTCCATGAATCCCGTAATATGAGAATTGCAACATCGTGGCTCTTCAATTTACTAATTACAAAATATCGAAAAATTACAAATAATTCTGAACAACTGTAATTATTTAGGGTGTCTATTTACATAAATGCTTACTAATTAAACTTTGGAAAGATGATTGTGTCATAGTTGTCGGTTTCCCATGTTTTCTGTTCATTCGTGTTAACATCTCTTCCATTGAAGACCAAATTTGGGCGTGGTTTAATCCTGCTTCCATTATCGTGAAAGAAACAGTGAGCAGTGATAAGGACACCAAATATTGGTTTCGTCGCAATGACAACACCGTGGCAGGTTGATTTTAGTCGAACAATGTTGTTGAACTCGACATGCTCTCCCCAGCCAATTTCCTTGTTTGGATAACCTAAATGATAAGGCACGATAAAAGATTATTTACTTCTAAGACTGATTGGGCGATCGACTTTATTTGTCAATGACGCCAGTACAAGAATGCAAAAACGTCATAATTTTGGGAAATTTGAAATATGTATGCACCTCTGCATTTACACATAAATAGTAATACCAATAATATCAATGTGAACTTACCATACGCCGTATTTCCACAAAACAATGGAAATAAAATGCAAATAAAGGCCAATTTTATCATTTTATTGCTTTTCACAAATTACAAGATGTAATCCTAATGTTTCACCTGTGGGGACCATAAAAATAAAAATAATGATGTATTGATTATAAAACCACTAATACGTCCATATAATATGGAATAGTGTGCATTTATAATAAAGAAATATCTGTATGTATGATACCGATTCTTCCAAGTTTTCCATTCGCCAGTGCGAGAACTACGAAGTTGAAGATGAACGAGTGTGGTCTCATGAAGCTGGCATTTTCGCCTTAATGATATTCTGGTTTGACCGAGGCGCAGAAACGGAAATGGAGAACTGAGGGGGAAAATTGAAAGTAGCAATAATATTAACTGCACTACATATAGGTAATCAAGAAAAGGTGAGGATACTTGCTGGCACCTTATTATCTGTTGGTTCTGCTTATCATCTGATGATAACCCACTACATTTGGCCGTTTTTTGTATGCATCCATTTGTGGCGTTCAATGGAACAAAAATTATTATTTGTATCTCCATGTAATCAATGGTACAATGGGAAACCATGTAGGAGTAAACGTTACCGTCCTTTTTGTCCAAGGATTGACATGTATTTATATGTACATGCATAGATATAAATATACAAATGCGAGTACGTGCATACGCAATTGTATCACTTTTATCTAAATTGTGACGATATCCGCTGAAAACGCTCTGCATATGCATATGTATGGAATTGTGTCACCTTTCTGCAATTGCGTGTATGTAATGAGAAACACATTTCCTAGAAAGTATCCAAGTATTCGTAAAAGTCACACTATGTGCAAAATCATGTAGGTATGTATTGCGTAGCGATGGGATACGTGTTGCAAATTACATACTTACATAGATATTCTTTACCAAATTTATGTAAATGGAAAACAAGCATTTTAATATCAAATTAGGTTTTTCAAAATTTCCTCTTAATGCATTTTTTTAATTAAAAAAATTAATAAAGAGCATTCATCAAACTTGATCAAAGGATTAAATCATTCTACGTTAGGGCAAGTTTAGTTGTTCACCTTGGTTATTCAAGTTCTGTCACGATTTTGCAAAACAGCTTTTCAGTAGTTACATTTTTTTAACTTAGTTTTGCAACTGGTATGCTAACATCGTGTTGCAAAAATATATATATTTAATCATGTTCCAACTCATTCCACTTAGCGTACTAGGCGCGTTCTTGTTGCCAAACATCCAGGCTTATCCTCAACAACTAAAAACAGCGGTTACCACAGAAAACCTCTATTTTGTTCTCTCCGCTACGTAAGTGTTTAAAAGTACGCGATTATAAATAAATTTCACCATATGGAGTTCTTATTTCTATCCTTCATTACCTGCATACATATAGCAATCTCCCTTTCAAAGACGTCAATAAAGGTGTGGCTGACCCATTTGCGAAAGTGTATTACGGAATTATTCCTCAAAATCTGAAGAAAAATAAGTTCGAAGGTTTTGACAGAATAGGAACATCAGAAAAACTTAGCAGTGATGCAAATCCGAAATGGAACACGGTTTTCAAACTGCCATATGAGAAGGGTTCTCAAAAAGTAACACCAAATTAGGGATTATTTTTATAAAGAATTTAATAAATTGATAAAAGCTCACTACTTTTCCCCATTTTCTAAGAAACTCTGGATCGAAATTCGTGACCACGACCCCATCAACCCAGACGACTTGATTGGGGACGCTTTCATTACACCCGAGGAGTACCTTTCTCACGGTGGGAAGATTACTGTGCCAATCTGGGATGCAAAAAATGGGACTAATGGAGGATCTGTGAAAATGGAAAAGACTGAACCATTTTCTTTCGTCCTAGAAATCAAGTACATTTAACATGTTTTGTGCATATTTGTTTTGCAGTTTTGTGGAACACATTTGTAATTATGACGTTTCCAAATTTTAGGAATGTACCACACCTTGACGAGTTTGACAGTTTTAGCGACCCGTATGTGAAGTGTTACTTTCTTTCAGATGGAGAAGAAGGAAAGGGAGTTAAATTTTATGAGACTCCTCCTCTCCAAAATGTGGAACATGGGGGATGGGAAATTCCAATCCGATTTGATAATTACATGAAAGGAACTCGTCAGGTCAGAATTTTTGCAAGTTTCCCACTAATTTCGTACCGTCATACATAATTGTTAATTTTTAATCGTCTTTTTTGGTCTACAGTCTCTCCGATTCAAAGTCAAAGATTCGGACGCCATAACTAGCGACGATGATATTGGTGAAGCAGTTATGGAAATTGACCAATTTGTGGAATCCAGAGCACCTCATACCCTCTCGCTTTCCAACTCAAACAATGCCAGTCTAATTGTTCGGTATTGGGATGACAAGTAATTTAGTAACATGCCACACGTACTGTAGTCATATTATCAATGAATAAAAGTTGTCGTTCTAAAACTGTGGGAGAAAATAAACCAAAAATTGTTCCGAATTTAAAAGCACTGACGATCCACACATTCGTACGTTCTTATGACGAAATACCGTAAGTAATCAGACTACACGTTACTTTATTAGTACCTCATGATTAATCAATTTGAATCGTTGCTTGCAAGTTAGAGAAATACCGTGTACTTATTTATGTGCATACACAGAAATTATTTGCAATACACAAATATTTGGATAATCGTACAGTCACTCATCCATCCTTGATAAGTTGTTTTATTACTCGTCATCGTAGTACTCCCCGTCCGAGTACTCCTCCGCGTCATGCTCGCACCTCATACTGCTCTGGCTGTAAACTTCACCATTTCTGCAAGGTTTTGGCATTGGTACACCATTCACACATTCCAACCATCCTTTGTGATCTGAGGGATCGACAAATTTGACTCCATCTTGGGGACAAGTATCTTAAAAAAGAAAATTTTCATGTTAACGTACATCCAGAGCAAATAAATATTTATCGTGTATTTACATCTACGGATACACGCAGTAAGTTTTTGTACCTTTGCAGAATGCGTCACCCGAAAACATGCAGACGCCTTAGTTCCAAAAATATATAATTATATTTTTATAATATTGACTCCTTACATATGTGACATTTTTACGTTTAAAGTGGTCAAAGAACTTTCCCGAAGGGCAATATCTGGTCGCAGTGATGGCACCTTGTCTGAGTAAGAAGTTGTAAATTTGTAAAGAAAAAATGCCATTTGTATTTTGTTGATGAAAACAAATCACAGCCCTCAACTCACTTGCGACATTCGATATATTTGGAACATTCGTTTTTAACCCCGTAACTTCCACGAGTCGCGCACTTGACGGCGGACTGGTGCAGGGCGGCTAACGGGTTGGCTTGACCTCTTAAACCGCGCAGTTCTTCTTCTTCTTCTTCCGGTTCTTGACCCTCTGATTCTTTCGGTGTTTCTGCATCCGATTTTTCTGCTTCCGGTTGTTCAGATTCCGCTTTTTCAGCTTCCGGCTCTCCTTCTTTCAGTTCTTCGGCTTCTGGTTTTTCAAGTTTCTCGTCACCTCCGTTGCCTGTTGTCGGCTCAGTAGGTTGCTCCTCCTCCACGTCATCCTCGGGAGGAGGTAGCCGACTCGTGGTCACTTGCTGAGTGACGAGAAGCAAAAGGACCCCGATTTTAAATGTAAATGACGACTTCATAACTCTCTATGTATTGAGTACTTAGGGATTGAGGTTTTTATAACTGATACAATTTCGCAGTCGTGGTTTGTAATAATTCGATGTAATAACCTCAATTCATTTTTGTAAATATTTATATACCGGTCATTGTATGTAATTAGCATTGTGTTTGTGCAGCTAAAAGTAGTTAATGCCAAGATTCAGTAAAGCTTATGAAGTAATGAATGAGATAATTTTATTGCATTATCATGAAATTTGCATGTAGAGAATTCTGTCACTCGAAACTACGAAAAATTGCATTTTGTATGTATGTATATATGTAAATCCTGTCGTATTCAGGCCCAAGTCAATTTTTCTGAACCATAACACTCAAATTGTGTACTAAAAAATGTAGAGCGTTATTTAATTGTAACACTGGCTTTGAATTCAATATTTCAATATAGACAGTTTCATTACGAATTGTGGTAAAATATAATTTGTATATTCTATCAAGATCTGCAAGATTCCTGAATTCATTTTTTGCTTGTCTTCTCCAATTCAGTCATGACCCTCAGGACGAGTTCTTCTTTAAAGGGTTTTGCAACTAATTGCACTCCAATTGACATTCCAGCAGATTCTGTTACACTCTTTTAGCAATAAAAAAATATTATTTACAAATTATTCTCCAAAGTTTCAACCATTGTTGCATAAGTATTATTTACAACCTCCTTTGCCATCTTGAGCATTGCGTCCCCTTCATCATCATATGCACAAATATTTTTTCCAGACTCTACGCCAAATGGAAGAACTCCAGCCGGAAAATCGACGATATTCCAAATCATAGTGTAAACAACAGCAACTACGAAAATGGTTATTATAGCAATTCTTAAGAATGATGCTAAATACTACAAAATTTAATTTGCAAAACTTACACAGTAATTCTGCAGCTTCAGCCAGTTTACACGCCGGAAATGGGAAGACCGGGCATAAAATGAGATCCAACTCCTGCTCCTCCATTTTATCCAAAATATAATTTCTCACCAATTTTTTCTGATACATCTTTTCCCATAAATCGTCAGAACTTCTAGCATCTAACATTGTTCTGGCCAACATTGCGCCACGCTTTGAACTACCACCAAATATTGGGAACATATTTGCCACCAATTTTCGTTTCCATTCCGGAGCATATGCGTTGGCGACGAGTCCCTGCAAACAAATTCTTTAAAATCAGGATAAAATTATTCATCTTCAATTTTACCTTTGTCGCTAGAGCAATTTGCTCTAAATGGAAGAGTTCTCTAAAAATCTTTCCGCCATCTGCGTGCAGAAGGGCGTTAATTATTCCAATGTAGTGAAAATCGTCAGGCATTTGAAACTCGACGACACTATGGCCCAACGATTCCAGTGCTGCTTTGGCATCCAGGATAGTTTTTCCAGTGTCACCAATTGTTGGAAAAAATGGGAGCGAGGTATAGTAACCGATTCGCAACTTGTTATCAGATAAGTATAGCTATGGATATATATAGAAATTATTTAACCAATTTTTGTGCAATGTAAATGTGGGATGACTGATACCTCATCATTCCAAGGAATTGGCACAGCTCTTGGGTCCTCCTTATTTTGAAGGGAATCCTTCAACAGCTCTTTATACACGAGGGAAACAAAACTAGCAGAATTTCCAATGACTCCAGGAACACCCACGGCTTAAAAAAAGCATATTTAAGCATAAGTCACCGATTTCAGAGCGTCATTCAGTTCCGATTTCTATACTAAATATTCTACCTCCAACAAGTTTATCCATGATGCATGCATTCACCCCTCGAACACTCAGCCTATCAACGGTTCCCCGCAAGGTCACTGCCCCGTTAAAATGGGCCGGAATTCGTAGTGATCCTTTCAAGAAAGAATTTAGAGATTAAGGAGAATTAAATATCCGGAGAATAATATACCTCCAATGTCGGATCCCATGGAAAATACGGCTCCACTTCCACCCATAATTGCTCCCGATCCTCCCGAGGAGCCACCAGGCGAGAGAAATTTATTCTTAGGATTCGTGGTTATCCCATAAATTGGGTTGTCACATGCGTACGATAAAAGTGATTGAGGTACATTTGTCTTTGCGAACGGCACGGCTCCCAAGGATCTCAAAACTAGAGAAGTTAATAAATTTAGCCATGCAATTATTTTTAGACGACAATAAACTAATTTGCATACGTACTTTTCACCAGTACCGCATGCTTCTTGGCTGGTTGATACAATTTCTTTGCAAACCCCAGCGTGCTATCCATTCCTTCGACATCGTAATCTTCCTTAAGAGCGATTGGCAATCCGTGGAGGGGACCTTTCACTGCATTCGGCATATCTAATTCCTCTGCCCATTGCTGTATATGCCACATTGTATTTAGAACGTGATATCATGATCACCTTGTTGCCTGCATTTTCTACCTCACAAATATTACCTTGGCCTGTGGAATGAACTCGGTGATACAATTACAATTGTCCGTGACCTGTAACGCCTTTGCCATGTATGCCTTCAAAACCACCGTCGCCTTCAAGGAACCTCCTCGCAACTTGGCCAACAAAGTTGCATCATCCAATTGCAGGATGGCTTGGGATGCAGCATCATTGTCCAAATTGTACTCTTCCCTCAATTTCTTAAACGATTCGACTCGTTCTGCCTGCCTCTTGAAGACTAATTTGTCCAGCTCTTGACGGGACTAAAAAAATCAGGAATTAAATATATATACTTGCACTTAAGTATATATGCATAAATATTGTGCGAACTAAATAAAGATTAAAGACTTTTCCTTTTTTGCATATATACCTTGACTTCCATAATAATCTTGTATTATTGTATTTGTAATATATCAAAAAGTATCGTAAAGCTCCAAACGAAGTCCAAATTACTACTGAAACTTGGATTTAATAAACCTTACGCATAAGGAAAGTGGAACCTAATTGAATTCAATCCCTAACGATAGAATAGAATCATTACTTTTACATATGCATATGTTTAAGTAATAATTTTCCTGCATGCACTGCAATACATTATCCCTGTTCATGAAAATGATATCTATGTACATATAAATCTACTTCATTCCTACAAAAAAATATCGCGTGCATCCACCTCCTTTATTAGGTGTGTCTTGAATTGAATTATGTAAGTTTAACATGGTCATGATATTTTAATTGTTCTCCAGTTAAAATAGTAGAAATACCACCAAATTTTGTAGTAGGTTTGGATTGGATAACATGAATATCGTGTCGGTAGTAATGTCTAAGTCAGTGTTTCGTTTTAATCGATTTCGTTTTAATCGTATTAATGGTGTCATGGTTTGTAAATCAATTTGTAATGAATTGATATCTATGTATTGACACTTGAATGTTTAAAAGAATACTTTACTTGACTTATTTTGGAGGTCCAAACTCTTTTTGGACTGGCCAAAATTGTCCAAAATTGTCCAAAATAATTTTGGACATCCAAAATTATTCAAATTAAAAATGGAGAAATTTACTACAACTTCTTTATTGATTACTTTTTTTGAAATATATTTACACATATGTAATCTCTTTTAAATTTGGGAAATATTTATAGTTGGTAATACCAATAAATTTGAAAATACTTTTATCTTGTAAATATTCTTATGGGAAATCAGAAATTGTCTTAACCGTACCGTATAAAATATAAAAATGCTCGAAAAGAAGAGGAGATTGCATATTTATCTGTAAATAAATTATCGAAAATGTAAGACCTTGTCTCATTTTCCGATTTTGAATACTTTTGGACACTTAGCATGTCCAAAATATGGTGTCTAAAAGTGTTTAGAACCATTTTTTGACGGCTATTTTGGACGGCGATTAAAACCACAGCGAAACACTGGTCTAAGTAAATGTGAACCAAAGGTGTGTCTGCGGTAAAGTTATGTAGTTACATAATGATGAATTACATAGCTTCACCTTGGTATTAGTTTTTATATGGAAATGTAGTTGAAGCTGACTGGACGGATTAAATAGCTAGGATTTTTGCTATAATCCTTATGATGTATGTATGTAACAGCTAAATATGGAGGTACATATACGCGGTATATACAGATACTCTTAATATATTTCCTCATGCAAGTTATTATGTAATTTAGCATAGCGACATTATCGTAGATTCAATTTGATTATGTTTGTGATCACTGCTAGAACTTTAGTAAAAAAAATGCAAAATATTTACTTGCCTTCTTATTGTTAGCAAGTATTTGTGCATTATGCACTGCAAACAATGATTAACGAATTTAAGTTAACCTACAATTAGTAAAATCTCCGAAGTAACGAGTTTATAATACTAAATTGGAACTAAATCTGAATGATCTATAACAACTTGATTATTTATTGATATTTCCATGCCTTATGTATATATCTTCAAATATCCATTATGCCCCAGGATTCCATTTTGCCTGACTTTGGTAACAATATTATGTATCAATTTATGTATATAATTATTATTATGTTGTTGAATATCAAATGGACAATATACTCAATTAACTTTTAATTTGCAGGCTGACACGTTGACACGTACTTAGCCTAGTCATGCATGAAGGCCAAATCAATGGAATTATTCAGTTACATAAACGACAAAAACTAGCAATAACTGATAAACACCAACCGAACATGGAAACTACGTACTTATTTGTTTATAATGCATACATAAATATGTATGTATTCCATTTGGCCATTGATAGGATTTTTCTAAATCAATGCATTTATCATCGCTTGAATAAATTAATCATGTAAAACAATATAGCCAAGTGGTGAAACAACTTGCGATGGAGTGGAAAACAAGCAATGAAATCCGATTGTATGTCCATAATGGCAATTTAACAAGTGCAATGGCTACATGAATAAAAAACATTAGTTCATCTCATCTCAACTTTCCAATCAGAATTTTAACTTTTGTCTTTATTTTTAATCGTGTTATCAAAATGTTCCAAACATATCGTATATACATGGAGGACGGACAGACAACTCGAAAGTCCATAAAGAGTTATTATTCTTCGGAGAATAGATAATAACTGCATTTATTTTGGGATAAGTGATTTCCTTTCAGCCGTTGTTGGTTGTATATCTTTTTCATCAATAATATCAAATATACAGATAACTGTATTTGTATCTCTTCCAATTGCATTTATCGCTGTTTTTTAAAATAATTATCAATTTCAGTCACTTAGTTATAAAAATGTTACCCAAGGTTTTACAGCCAAGCTCCTTCGTTGCCTCTTCCTATTGACTACTGGGTTGAGTCAAATTGTTACATTCAAATCACGAAAAAATCATCGAATGATACTTCATTTATCTTATTCTACAACCCAGGTTATCATGCAATATCTTCTTGATACCCATTAAGTGCTTAAATTGCACTTTGCCGTCCATGGTCTTCGATATACACATTTTTGTTCCCTGATGCATGCACAAATTCCCAATCAATCCAAGATTAAATGATGCTATCTCCAATGCAAAAATAACCCGTATCATCGATTACATATTTATACTGTACGAATGTACTCATTAACTTACTTTGTATGCATTCTATATTATCCGCAACGTCGGTCTGGTCTGCAATAAATTGTATATTATGTCATTTCAATTCCAATTACTCCAATTCTTTGGAGTGTATTATATTTAAGTATATAAAACATAACATTGCCGATTCTTGATTATGGTCATGTAAACCATTTGAGTGAGAAATTACAACTATTATAATGGATACTTGGTTTAGAAAAGGTGCATGCACTATCCTAATTTTATCCGCTGTCGGATTCATCCATATCATCTACACCGGTGATGAGAATTTTATCGAGGACAATTTTAATTTTTCCAGAGTTTCGTCGCATTTATCTGAATCTGATCAACCGACGCTTAGGTTGGTTGTTTAATCATTACTTATTAATAAAGCATGTAATATTAATTTTATCAGTATTTTCTTCCTCGTAAATAGTCTGCCACCAGCCACAATCACGAAGACAAAATGGATTGTCGTCACGTCAATTTCATATCCAACTGAACAAATTGAAAAGCTCGCTTCCATTCCAGGATGGCAACTTCTGGTTGTTGCCGACAAGAAAACGCCGTCCAACTGGTCCCATCCTAATGCTATTTTTCTCTCCATATTCCTTCAATCCACGCTAGGATACAGCACGGTCAATCTCCTTCCATGGAATTCATACACTCGGAAAGTCATTGGATACTTGTACGCAATTCAGCACGGGGCGCAAGTTATCTACGACACAGATGACGACAATGCTCCCGACGATGTTGCCCAGTTTGCATTAAACTTTCCCTTTAAAACGAAAAATAATACGATCCGTGGCTTAATAATGACCCCAGACAAAGATTCTTCATCATTAGTTAAGAACCCGTATGCTCATTTTGGTCAAGGCACCATTTGGCCGAGAGGATACCCATTGGAAGAAATTGGACGACCTTACAACAACACGTACCGCTTATGCCCCACGCTCCCCACGCCACTCATACAGCAAGGACTTGTTAATGGGGATCCAGATGTCGACGCAATATTCAGATTGACCCGAAAAAAAATGTACCAACCGTTAAACGTTTTCTTTGACGAGGCCGCACCCCCAGTAATTTATCCAGCAAAGTTAATGGCTCCATTCAACTCGCAAAATACCGTTTTCTTGTATGATGCCTTTTGGGCCTTGTTCCTTCCAACCACGGTCGCATTTCGTGTCACCGATATTTGGAGGGGGTATTGGGCACAGCCACTTCTCTGGAAGGTTGGAGGATCGTTGGGATTCTACTCGGCGCACACTCTCCAAATACGAAATGCTCACAATTACCTTAAAGATTTCGTCGAGGAGGATCAACTGTATAAAGAATCGGGAAATTTAGTACAACTTTTGACCGAGTGGAAGTGTCTTCATGACAACCTGTATGGTTGCATGATCCAATTAAGTCTACTCATGGCGGATAATGGGTTCTGGTCACGGGATGAGGTCAACCTGGTCTCTGCGTGGATTGAAGATTTAAAATTTATCGGGTATCAGGAACCTGGAATTCTTGAAGAATATAAAGTATCACCGTGTTTCGATTATCAAAATACGGAAACAGTAGCAATATTCGCAGGTTTGGAGGAAAAACAAGGACGAACGGAAAATCAAGGACGAACGGAGAATAAAAAAGCAAATCCGAGATATCATCTGAGGAATTTTTGCAACTTTAGTACACTCTCAGATTCAAGCAGTCAAAGTGGTACGAATAGCAATAGTAAACTCGTAGTATTCCCCACCACTCTTCTTGTCGTCACATTTAACCACCCGATTTACAGTAATATCTGGCTCCTGGATATCCTGTACAGACCCCATTTTCCAAACATTATGTACTGCGGAGAAGTACCAGATCCCAACATAATACAGAATCTCACGTCTTCGGAAGATTTCATAAATGCTAACGTCACGAAATTCACTTTAATTCATGCTTCAGTTCTGGAGGGGAGATTTGCTTATGAATGCGCTATCAAAGCAATTGAAATGAGTTATTATCAAGTAGAAGACTATATTATATTGAGTGACGATGTGTTGCTAAATTTTTGGAAAACTTCAAAATTTGACAAGGAAGAAATGTGGACTTTCAACTATTTTACTCACCTGAATACCAACCTGCCTACAAATGCCACTCCCACCCTGCAAAAGTGGGGATGGTGGAGAGGAAAATTTGGGAAGAATGCCACAATCAAAGCTTTAGAGCGCATTTATTCCTCAGACAATGAAGAGGTTATCAAGTTTCGGAAAGACAGAGAAAATTTTGGATACGATTTTACGCACGCAGTGAAAGGAATGTCGGACATTTTTAGATTCCCGAGTTCAAAACAGGAAGTTTTTTATCAAGTTGCAACAATAATGAGACAATCTGACGTCTTTTTAGAGATTGCAGTTCCATTGTTAGTTAGTGGGTTGTCATCATCGGAAAAGATTGTTAATTTAACTGGAGTGTATGTGCAGGATAGAAGAGGTGACATTTTAAGATATTTCGATGAGAATCAAAGTATTGTTCACCCAGTTAAGCTTGGGCAAGTTATAAAAAATCAGAAACTGATAAGATCGTATTGTGACAAATATGTTACGAAAGTTCTAAATATGAGTACTTGACAATGGAGATAGTATATGTACATGTTACGTATGTAAATATGTATACATAATGGATCTTGATTAGTGGTGCCACCTGAAAATTTTCTGTCCTAAATAGGTACGTACTTAAATAGTTTAAGTTTTGGTTCTAAGGACAAGTAAATTGTACGTACATATTTATATTTGTATGTATTTGTACGAGAAGGGTGACGAGGCGGAGTGGCAGAAATGCCGTCCTGCTTACCGTCCACCTGAGTGGGCTGAATGGAGGTGCTGGGTTCAAGTCCTAGTGCCTGCAGTGGGTTTTTCTCGTTTTTCCCCACTGCCAAGCTCAGGTACTCTTCTCCCTCCCTGGGTAATGGCCCATTCGTGGGGTCCAGTGGTTGTAATAAAGGTTTTTTTTTTTTTGTAAATATATGTATAGCACATCTCAAACTCGTATAACCTTAAGAAATTCACTAATCGTGGTTCACTATGAAATAAAAAGTAACCGACTGATGAATGAAAAGTATTTATGCAACGCCATTTTTTCATATGCAGTAATATTTAATACAATTATTAAATTAATAAAACTCAAATGAAGAATTGTTCTGTTTAGGTTTCTCAAAATCAAATACTGCAAATGCATAAAAGTGCAGTTCATACCACCGAATTCAGAGTTTGTCTATTTTTCAGAAAGAATGCCAAGTTTTTGCGTTGTCACCGATATGTATACAACATATGCTTATTAAAAGTATCTATCACGTTGAATTTTTGAACTCGCAATATATTATGACGAAACGTTCATGCAGTTGAAGAAATAGGTTGCATATCTAAATCACACAATATCTTGCAAAAATATATATATGTACATATGTACATACTAGGCCCAGGCTAAATGCTAGTAGCTAAGTATATTACTCCTCCTGGAGTTTATGATTCACCAATTGCAGAATATTTATTTTAAATAGAGGAAAATTCAATTCTATTAAATATTAGTGGAATACTTAACATAAGCAGAATTAGTTCCATGTACGATGTACCTATCGTGCAGAATACGATATACAAGAGCAATTTTCTAATACAAGAAACAACTTCTAATTACTCTGTTCTGTTCTGTTCAATCTTTAACGTCTGCGGTATATGATATGTGAGCCACATCGTTTCCAATACCAAGACAGGGATAAATACTGACATCAACAACTACAAGGAAAGGTATAGTTAGGGCTGGCATGTCTGGTTTACTAGGATAGGTACTGTAGAGGAAAGGGGGTAATTATTGAAATTGAAAATTGGGGTGGACGGTGAAACAGGATAGGATGTAAATAAGGAGATATTCAAACTATCTTAGGATTTGGCCAGACAATCCTATGCAGATTATCTGCCGGCACCGAACAGTAATTTGTATTTCCATACCAGTTCGTTCCACATTTTTGCTGCATAATACAACTCAAGAGGAATCGAACTCTCGGCTTTTTGAGTCATGACACTGATGGTCAAGCCTCTAAGCCAAGACGGCAGGCCGAATACTCACATGAGCAAGGTCCGGAAAAATTCACCAGTCATTCAATAAATAGAACCATCTGCATAATTATACAAATTGGCCTCTTCAGGTTTGTCTGAACAACTGCTGATCTTAACTTAAGCAATTATTACACTAGATGCTACTTTAATTTTTCGTTGTGTTCAAAGTTTTCTACGACCATTCAAAGTCCAGGCAGATTAATACTGTTTGCAGGTTTTGTGTACTTGACCATGAACTTGTATTAGATTTCGTTGTTACCTACTCCATGAGTAAGTATTAAAGGTCCAAAGTTCGAGATGTTTTGATTATTTGACTTTTGGTCACTGTTGTGTGACAAGTCCAGTATTATTACAAACAAATTTCTTGGAAACCTTCCTATATAAACCTGCGAGATTTTCGCTTCATCTGTATTATTCACTTAAAAAATTCTTACAATTAGTTGTTCCCACCCTCACAGCAGCAGAATTAATAATGGCCAAATTTTTCACCTTTTTTGCCATTTTCGCCTTTTACATTTTTGAAACAACAATAGCTCAAAGTCAAGCGTATCCTAATTACATCCAACAAGACATCAAATGGACTCGTGCCATTAATGCAAAACTTTGCTCGCCTAATGGACATCATGAAGCCATTGCCCAGCAATTTTACGCTTGCTACAACGAGGGCATCGTTCCCGTAAGCACAATTTCGGAGAATTTAATACTTTTTTTAACATTTGCTTAACAAATATTTTTCAACGTCCAGGGTGCAAATCAATATACCGCATGTCAAAACTCTATTTACGGAGTGCAATTGAACAATGTGAGAAATATTGGTGTTGTTTGTGCCGCTGGAAACGATAAATTACGAAAGGTACGCAAACTGACCATTTTTTTAACCATGCAATTTCTTGAGTTTACTTAATCTTGGGTGTTAAATGACCTATTTATATTTAACCGATCGATTTTAGTACGCTGCGTGCATCGTTACCAGACTCCACACTCAGAGCATCCGTGCTTCCGATTCGATCCACAAGTTGAACGTTAGTGAATTACGCATTTTATTTTAAATATTCAAATTTATGTGAGCAACTTTTCTTTCAGGTGTGCCAAGGAGGAGTTTTGGGTGTATTGCCACCATCATAATCAAAATTAGAAATGCTTAACAATTTGTGAAGGAGCAGTCTTGTTTAGAGATAAATGGGATGGGAATAAAAAGAAGTATTTATGAATGACTCTTCTTGTACTTGCTTACAGTTTAATTGTTAATACCAACTAAAGATAAGCTATCACATAATACAAGAACATGCAGGACTTATCAAAATTGTGTGCGGCATGACTAGCAAGACCTTCACTTTGTATTGCAAGCTTTTGCCATGTCACAATTTCATCATTTCTCATTCGACTTCAGGGTTATTGTGATACATTCTCAGGCGTGGCTTTGTAACCAGGTCAGACCGGCGATTTTTAGAAATTGTATTAAGCTCAAATTTGGCACAGAGACCTATAATGGCTTCCAATGAAAAATATGAAGTGAACAAAATTCAACCAGACGGGCCCTAGCCTCAGACTCACCGATTTGTTGTTGTATGTAAATAGTCAGCTGAAATTTTTCATGGGGACTAAAAATGACTCATGAGTAGCAAGCAATTACATACGAGGTTGGAATTTATGGGAACCATAGCGATATGCGCCATCAATCCTATGTATATCACAAGTAATGCTTAGAAAATATTGATTTCGAAAATTTAGTGCAAAATAAGAATTGACGCTAATTAATGCAGGGTTTACTATAAAATATTCCAAATATTTAGTGGAATATAATCAAACAATTTGACTTTATTAATAAATCCTAGTTCAAGCTAAGCAAGCTGTAATAATAACATTAAGGTTGATTAATCAAGATCCATTTCTTTAGGTTGTTGATCTTCACTGGTGGGAGTATTTTTTCCTGCAGTTACATCCTCACCCGCACCCAAACTCTCGTCATTGGTATCAGCGGCATTGTTCTCCATAGGGGGAGGAGCTCTGTGTTCCGCCTTGGGCTTGTTCATCACTGGATGGACAACGCTCTCGAAGGATTTCCGCTGAAGAATTATTTCCATCGCGTTGATGGGCGAAGTCATATTCGGTTTGACGCTAAGGAGAATGTCTCGCGCGTGGTCGAGCCACTGTTGACTCTCTTGAATGGCATTTTTTAATTTGTCTACGTCAGAAGCTTCCAAGTGTTCATAGCCGGCTTCGTTGGCAAACTTCTTGTCAACAACTTTCCTGGCTTGTTGTATCGAGCCTTCGAGCTCACGGATCGCAGAAGGACGCTCATGGTGGTCGCGGTGACGTTCGAAGATGGGGTCCGTAGTTTTCTGGGAGCAATCAAAATATAAATGTTATGGTTTCTCTACTTTATAAAAAAGGACTAGCGTTTAAGCCCGTCTCCCGGCGGGCAAGAGCTTATTTGATTATCATGAAAATTGAGTGGGATTGTTTATAATTCCACAGAATTAATTTTTTATGGAATTATTGGCATTTACATATGTAATTAGCTGGAAATGTCTGTTTCGGGCCATTCGAAACTTAACTTTCTCCACTTTCACTTCCGTTTCGGAAAATTACTTTCACTTCCGTTGCAGACAAACATTTCCAGCTTATAATATAGATGATTAGCTTTTGAAATGCAAACCTTCAACTTTTCCAAGCGATCTTGGTAAACTTGTCGCTTTTCATCACTGCCATCTTCGTAGAGCCAATTTTCCAGAAAACTGAGCTCCTCGGACAGTTTAGACTTATCGCGCTCCTCAACAAATTGAGTCAAATCGGTATCCAGCTTGTCTCTCAGGAGGTAAACGTACTCTTCGAGACCGTTCTTGGCATCGATTCTCTCTTTCTCCCTCCTATCTTCAGCCATCATTTTACCCTAGGAGCAAGTATAATTTAGTAAGGACAGCTAATTACTATCGACGAACCATTTGACACACTCACCTCGGTTTCAGTCATAAGTTGAATGTCATATGGCGCATAGCCGTAAGAGTTTTGTTGGAAAGGAAGTTCGACAATTTCGTAAGACGTTTTGTTCTCCACGGGCACCTCTGTGTCCTCCTAAAGATATATTTTTTATAAAATGGCAATAATTGCAAAATTAGAATTTATTTATTAATGACCACGAACCTGGCTCAATGGTGTTTCAGCCTCCATTTCGGTATCCTGTTGCTTCGTGGCTGCTCCTTCTGACGGCGTTGCTACGAATGATTGTTCTTGTATCGTTTCCCCATTGGTCCCAGCATCTTGGGAGGTCTCCGTCTCCATCATTTCCTACATATTAAATCATCAATATCATTTAATAATGACATCAAAATCCCATTTAATAAAGACGTTTTCGTAACCATTGGGAAGCTAGTTTTGTAACCTTCTCCCCAACTTTATACAAACTTGGCGTTAATTGCATTTAATATAAACTAAACCTTAAAAAGGATTGCTTAGGTGAGACTGCGATTAAAAGGATGAAATAATCCCCTCCCTCCTCCCACACTGGGGAGAAGGTATTGGTAAGGTGAGCATCACCGCCCTGGGAATGATTCCTTAATTGTGCAAAAATTGTTAGAAGGCTGGTGTATCCCAATTTTGCACATCACATCACACCCCAAGAGTTAAACGCTGATTAATTGATTCTGGGATGTGTAATGAAATACATAAGCCCCGACTTACACTTCCAATAAAGATACGTAAAGTATTCGAGTTTAATTTAATTCTGACAAATTCTGTAATATATATACATGTGCATCAAAAAATATTTCTCCGTCATAGAATCATTCCCAGGGCGGTGATGCTCACCTTACCAATACCTTCTCCCCAGTGTGGGAGGAGGGAGGGGATTATTCCATCCTTTTAATCGCAGTCTCACCTAAGCAATCCTTTTTAAGGTTTAGTTTATTCTAAGCTTTTAATTGATAATCTTAGGGTAATAAGTTAGTAACGAAATCAATCAACCACACTGTAAAAAATCTGGTGGAGACATACATATATACTGGTATTGATTCGGTAATAACTTCCTACCGGATTATTAGTAGTTTGTTTATGTGTGGTAAATTTTCATTACTGCAATAGTACGGCAATGCTCATTATTACCATGCCGGTAGAATCATATATGTACTTTAGCAAGTAGTGATCAAATATCTCGTTTTAAAGAGTGCAACCATAATAATAATTTTTATTTTGATATTTTTCCAATTAATCCAAAGTGTTATTGAGTGAGTATTGCCATGAGACCAACCCCCTTAAGCTATTACTTCCTACCTTATGCAACACCAATTTTATGCCAAGGGGAAAACTTTTTCATTTCTCAACCGATTTTGTTCATCCCAATTTTAAATGAAAGGTAAGTGAATTTATCACATTATTTTAATGAAATGGCGATGATCACCCCATCCACATTTTTATAATAAGCCAAAAAGTGACCCTAGCGACGGTTTTTCCTGGATAACTAAACAAGCCGTAAGAAATCTGGACCGAGACAAAGCGATTATGATAAAGCACCATCATAAATGACTCTGGGTTTTTATCTGATCAAAATCGGTTGAGAAATGAAAAAGTTATGGCCAGTGGTCACTTTTCAGACCGTCATGGAATGCTTACTTCGGTATTTTTTTTCTGTAACCATAGCCTCACCTAAGAAAAAAATTGCCATGTTAAGAAACACTTACATCGGCACTCTTCAAATAAGCCGTGATTGCTTTGATACTGAAAATCCCATCCAAACTGATCCTGGCCTTGACTTTTAGCTTGACAGGGTCCCCATCAGGTGATTCGATATGCTTGATGCAATATTCGGCTGAGAAATTACTCACAAATAAACATTTTCCTGAATAATTAATTGTGGTCTGTAAAGTAATTACCGATTTCCTTCTGAGGGTAGGGCACATCACCCGAGTACGTGGCCGTAAACTTAAAACCATTCTTCTTATAGAAAGTCAAGAGGCGTGAGAAGGGCACGGGGTGGTACAGTGGGAACACTTCCACCATTCTGCGAGTTAATTCAAAAATGAAACCATGTCTATATTTACTAAATTATAATTTTAAAAAAAGCTCACCCGTCCTCCTGCAAACTCTCGTCCCACACAATTTTTATCGGGTACATTTGAACGTCCGAGATCTTAAAGTCTCGAATTTTGTATACAGGCGAAAGGATGGCGCATTGTAGGGCGCAACCTCGTGCAACAACCTCGTCCTGATTCAACGTCGTAGAGGGCGCCTTGTCAAACGTTTTTTCAATCAGAGCCTTGATCGACGGAATGCGAGACGATCCACCCACAATTTCCACAGCGTAGATGTCACTCGGCTGGAGATCTGGAAGGTTTCACAGTTGAATAACAATTTTTTTTTAATTCGACCTTTTAGAAATTTAACTAAAGTTCATTAAGCTTGATAACTAAAATTAGTCAGCTTAAAGACAAAGCTTACATAAATTACACTGTTTTAAAAGTAACTGTTTTCTACTCACTCGAAGACCGGAGACAATCCACCATCGTTTTCTCCACCCTCTGCAGCAAATTACTGCTCATTGCTTCAAAGTCGGCCCGGCACATGTTGCTCGTCACGTCCTTGTCGTCCATCAAGCACTCAATGTTCAACGGGAGCTTTGTCGCATTGGCTGACATTTGCTTCTTGATCTTTTCAATTTCCGTGAGAAGGCGGACGTAGGCGCGATGGTTGGTTTCGGGGTCAATCTTATACTTGACGCGAAACTCAGCGCAAAAATGGTCAGCGAGAACCTTATCAAAGTCACGACCACCCAAAAATGGATCCGCGGTCGAGGCCAAGATCTGCAAGAAAGAAATAATTAGCACTTGAGCAATTAATCCTCCATCCATAAGGATAAGGGTAAAAAGGATTTACATTCAATTTTCCCTTGTTAAAGGCACAAGTCCAGACTTGTAAGGAGGAGTGGCCACAATCCACGAAGACGACATTTCTTGGCTTGTCGGCCTCCTCTGGGAGGTCCTGCTTGTAAATACCGTACGTTAGGGACGTCGCCACCGTCTCATTCAGCAATCGAAGCACGTTAAATCCTGCCATTTGCGCAGCAGCGACCAATGCTCGGCGTTCCACATCCGTGAAGAAGGATGGAACCTTAATAATGATTAGTTTTAAATTTAATTAATTAATTTGCATTTATTGTCTAAAGTATAAAGGTTGTCGTGCTGAAGGTCTCACCGAAAAGACACAGTCGCTAATCCTGGTCTTCAAGCCTGCCTCTGTCGTCTCTTTCAGCTTGGTGAACAGCATAGCAGCAATCTGTTCCATGGAGAAAACACGTTCCTCGCCCAAATACCTAACCTGCACTGCAACCCCGCCACTCTGTGGATGTGCCACGACCTTAAAAGGCATCCGTTTGATTTCCTCTTGCACGTAAGGATCATCGAAACGACGTCCTAGGAAACGTTTAAAACTCCAAATCGTATTCTTGATGTTCGTCACAAGTTGATTTTTCGCCGCCACTCCGAGGATACGATTCTTCTCGCCGAACGCCACCGTCGACCTGGATAATTAGAATAATTAATTTAAAATCCTTGATTACGTCAGTATGTCGAATATGCCTTAAAAACTTACGCCGTAGCTCTCAAACTGTAATCATTGTCTACAGTTTCGATTCCACCAGCCCTCGCGACGGCGACGAAACATGACTCATTTCCAAAGTCTATTCCAATCACTGACATTTTCTTGATCAAGTCACCCACTCTCGTATCAGTTCTAGACGTTCTAGACCTTACTATTGTCGGTTAGTAAAATAATTTAAATAGTAACTTTAAATAAAAAGATGGTATTTAAAAAAGTGCAAGTAAAGTGTGAATGAGAATTGAGAAGACATGAGGCAGCAGACAGACAGAGGAAAATCTGGAAGCCACGTGAATAAAAGTCGGGTAGAGCTTGGGGCAGGAAGAGAATTTTGCATGATTTTCCGAACAAAAATTTATCTGGAAAAATGAGAAAATCGTCTGAAAAATGTTATTTAACAAATCTTTTTATTTAGTACATTTTTATGTGTTAAATTCCATCCGATTAGGACTTTACTATATAAACTATGCCATTGACCTGGAATTCCGCACAAATATGGCATGTTGATGCAGATCAATTCTGTTTATCAGCAGTGGTTGATTGGTACCTGGTTCAAGTGGTTCAGTAAGTTACCATTTGAAAGCCAAAACTGCCAAAATTTGATTCCATTTGTAAACTCTACATACATATAAGCTACATAACATTGTATTTTAAACATTTTATGACAAAAAGTTCAGTTTGAATAACTATGTTCCTTCCTATGACAAATTGATACTGTAGGAAACAAATACATTTTAAATTGAACATTAATAATAATAAATCATATTTACAATTTCCGCTACGTCCACATAATTATGCTGATTATAATTATTCATGCATCCCCACTACCTGTATGACTACGCCTATTTTACAACAATATATTTACCAAAAAGTAGTCGACAAAGTTTACTAAACTATCTTATTTGTTTGAAACAACATACATACCTGATGCATATCACATTGACACATTTCTTGCAAACCATAACCGCCTCTTAGACAAAGGAAATATCCCTTTATTACCTATTTATTAACTAGTAATTTCTTTTTACAGGGCGTTCTTGATCCATATTAGTCAACAATTTACAACAAAATAAGAGAATGTGGATAAAACTGGCCACTGGCCGCTACTACAGTAAAATTAGTGTATTAGACGAGGATGGGAATTAATATCATTCATATGTATTTACCAATCTAAGTGCAAATATGCATTTACAATATTTCTGCCCTTGATGAGTTACCACATAGCAAACCTGTCGTAATAAAATCTTGAATCAGTTATAGTCTCACTTGTCTTATTCGTCTTGTTCACTTGACATCATCACATCAGCAGCATTCACTATTCCTTAACGGATTACCAACTTGTATCAGTGATACTACTTGATCTCGGCTGTACAAATTCTTTTTTACAAAATTTCAAAATGCAGCTAATATTTTTAGTGGCGTTTTTATCTCTAAACTTTATGTCAACTTATTGTCAGCAAGATAAAATTGTGGAGGATGAATTATTGTTAACACTTGACGAAAAGAACGCATTGGGAAAGGTAATCTTATTATTATAAAAGTCCATACTATAAGTTACTAAAATGTCCTTTGAAAAATGTACTTTATAGTTTCAACAAGCTTTAAAGGACGATAAATTCTTGAATATAACAGAGCCTTACATGATGCAAGAAATTTACTTGATAAAATGGCTAAGAGGTGAGTTGCACGTGTCGTCGCAATATGTAATAAAACTCATATAATGTTTGATCTCTTATCAACAGCGGCACATCTCGACACGGCCAAAGCATACAATAATTACAGAATGGTATGAAAATCAATACTTTTGTTAGAAATCCTTACATGATAAATGTATCCACCAATTTAACCCCACAGAATATAAAATGGAGAAAAGAGAACAAAATGGACACAATTTTAACGGAAGACTTTGCCGTACAAATGGAGCACCTTCCAATTTTTATCGACGGTGAAGACAAAATGGGACGACCAAGTAAAACCCGGCTATTCAAAATTTAATTTCAAATTCTCACAAACTGTCACAACTTAATTTTTGTCCTATTTTTATCAGTTATCGCTGCGGACGCTGGTCAATGGGATGTGCGTCGTGGCGTTGTTTCCGGTTTACGTGACATGGCAACACGATTTCTCTATTACGTTATCGAAAAACAATATAAAAAGATTCGTGAAAAACAGTACAAGGGAGAAAATGTGACACAAATCCAGGTCATTGTTGACCTCAGCGGGTACAACCTAGTGCAACACGGGTGTTTAAACTGTAAGACAGAATTGTACATATGTGCAGATATTGGCCATGTTACATAAGTCATACGAGTTCATTCAATTTTAACATGACACATTTTGCAGGTATTCCGCTGTACATCAATTTCATTCGAAGTTTTGACCACTACCCATATCTGGCACATTCTATCATTGTTGTGAATGGTAAATTTACATACCAAGCCAAATTTGAAATTTGTTTACTGTAACCCGTGTACATTTATGAATTTTAGCACCTCCAGTCTTTGAAGCTGTTGCTGACTTGTTGAACCTTCGGCAACCACGAAGATTCCGCGTTCATATTTTTGGCAATAATAAAAGTGAATGGCACAAGTTTCTTTTGACTTTCATATCACCAAACCAGCTTCCAGTATTTTTGGGTGGAACAGCCGTTGAGAACTGAGTTACATGCAAGTATTAATATGTTTAGTAAACTTACTTAATTATCTAGCACATCCATAATTATTTATCTTTTAGAATGCCAATTTATTATAGCAAATGCTATATTTATAATAATTCTATGATTTGATCTGAAGTAATGCAGAATTACAAATATATATTCCCATTAAATATTCCTGAAAGCAGGCAAAGTATTATACAAATATTAATAGTATTTATAGAATTAGAAGAAACAGGAATGTCATATTGGAAAATGTTTAAGCAAAAAAGCGTACTATACATTTGATCCAGGTACAAATAAATACACAAGTATATTAACTATGTAAGTTTACCATTGACTGCACGCCACGTGCATAAATACATAAATTGAATTTTTGGTAAAGTTCTTGAGCTTGTATATTTCCATAAGATCACCATGTATGCGCACGAGTCAAATTGTGGTGGATATTACTGGATATGTATTTACAGTCTATTCGTAATTTTAATCCTAAGTATTTAACACATATTTGTGTACATTATGTACATAAATGCATAATAACATGATACAAATTGTCATCAAATTAAAGAACGTCCGGGAATGAATGGGAATGGTCTGAAAATGTGGTCATAAAATCACAATGAGTTATCGGAATTTTAAACTTTTTGCATATGTATAATACCAAATACGTACCTACATAATTTAATTAATAGCTAAGGCCGCCACACCCCCGTTGGCGACTAGTTCGATTTTCTTGCGAAGATTTTTCATTAAATTTTTTCCCGAAGTTTTTGCCACTTCCGAGGTGATTTTCTTCCATCGTCCTTTGAATTTTCGAAAGGTGTCAGGCACATCTTGAAGCCGGGAGTATACTGACTTAGAACGTGCCCAGAATTTTTCGATTGGGCGGAGTTGGGGTACATTAGGTGGGTTGATATCTTTTGGTACGAAATCAATATTTTTCTTTCTGAGGTACTCGGTCACTTTCTTTGCATAGTGACAAGTGGCGAGGTCAGGCCAAAACAAAACTTTATCATTTTTGTGAAACCTATTAATAAATGCTTCCAATCCAGCCTTGACGCAATTTTTCAGATAAATATCTTGATTGATATTCCCTTCGAGAACTACCGGGTCTGATACATGTCCGTGACTGGAGATGCATTGCCAAATGCAATATTTCTTTGGAAATTTGTCTTTTTTTCGTACTTTTTCTTCATAAGCCACTTCAGAGGGATCCGAGCTATGAAAAAAATGACGCCCTGGAAGATTTGAAGGGTCAACCGGAACATACGTTTCGTCATCCAGGATCACTACTTTTCCACGCATTTTCTTCAACAATTTTTGACAGCAATCCTTGATCCGACTTTCTTGTACGGGCTTGTAATTTGGTGCAGGTTTTTTGGTCCTTGCTTTGATTCCTAATTTATGGACCTTAATTTCCCCCAGGTAGCTTTTGGAAATTTTGACTTTCCTGGCAGCTACAGCTACTGACGTTGATGGCTTGGTTTTGAAATTTTTTTCAATTCTATTTTTCACTCGAGTGGTCGCTAGCTTCGCCGGACGACCAGCTGGCTTCTTGAATTGCACATTTTCGGAATCCTTGAACTTTTTTATGTAGGAATACACATTTGAACTTGGAATTCCTTCCTGCTTAAAAAAGTTCCAGGTCACCTTGGAGTCTCGGTTGGCTGTCGTGTTGTAGAACTCCATCACTCGTTTTGCTAACAGCTCCCTTTCAAACAAGCTTCTTCTACCCTTATCCATTTTTGAAATTTAAGAGTGATATACCAAATTGACCCTAATGAAGTGGGCTTTCAGAAATTTAAATTATTATAGTTCGCGGGTTTATTGATTTGTCAATATACTCGCTAGAGCGTGCATTCCCATTCATTCCCGGACGTTCTTTATTTACATCATCTGCTTCTCACTTTGACTCATTTATGATGTACATATACACAGTTATGTATGACAAGAGAATCTATCTCATATTAAATAGCACTTGTATAGTAAACGCCCACCAATTCATTATACCCTAAATATATTTTGACTATTTAGCTATTATCCAGTAAAAACGCAGATAACTAATTTTGAAAACTTTCTAATAACATTCCTTGAATCGTATGTGGGGACATTAAAATAATTAATAAAGCTGAATTTAGTTTTTCCACATAATTATCTAGTTTGCAATAAAAATAGCCATGCCTTCCCCTTCTCAATTTGTCATCATAGATTGTTCCCAAATTGATGGACAATATACTACAGATCTCGGAAATCAAGAAAATTTCCAAAAATTCGCACAGGACTTGGGAGATGGGCTCAGCTCAAGTGGATTCGTTTACTTTATAAACCATGGCGTGTCCTCAACAACAGTAATTTTATAAGCGATTCTCACTAGCTTATCGATACATAATTTTTTTAAAACTTTGTCTTCAAAATACAGTTTGAAGAGGTATTTCAACAATCCAAACAGTTTTTTGAACTGGACTCCGACATTAAGATAAAATACAAGAAAGTCGATCCTGCTAAAAACTTTCATGGTTATACTCCTCCCACTTCGGAAGAAATGTGAGTGCCGAACGTATGCATAACAAAATTAATTCCTCACAATACTTAACAAAATTATTTTTCTCATTTTCAGTGCAAACGAATCCAACAAGGCATCACGAGATTTCAAAGAATCGTTTAGTTTTGTGGGGAGAGAAATTTGTGGCGCAAATTACCCTTCAGAAACTCCACACCTTCGACAATCAGTCCTTAACTTTCACCACGCTATGAGCTCCTTCTCAAAGAAAGTCATGCTCGCACTCGGACTTTACTTGAAATTGGACGATCCAGAGTTTTTATTAAAGCATCACAAATCTTTGGATGGACTTCTCAATCCTGATATCCACCCCTGGATCGATATCCGAAGTAATAGTTATCTCGCGTTGGACGACGAGGAGATTGCATCACTTCCTGATGATGCATTGCGTCTGACCGAACATAGTGACTGGGGAACACTGACTTTTCTTCTTCAAGATAACGTTGGTGGGTTGGAAGCGAAAATTACTGATAAATGTGGTGATAATATCTGGGTCTCGGTGCCACCTATTGCTGGCTCAATACTGCTAAATTCCGGTTTGATGTTGGAGATGTGGTCTGGTGGTCGATTTCATGCAACGGTAGACTTCTTGCGACTATTATTAGGCGCTGTTCATAAACTTCGTAACGCTGCCTAACTATGGGAAGATAGGGATTTTTCCCTATCCTGCCCATACTGGCCAGCGTTACGAAGTTTACGAACAGCGCCTTATTAGTCATGTTTATACGCTTTATCTGTAATTAGTATGTAAATCAATGTCTTTAAATTATAGGCACACAGAGTTCGTTTGATTAAGGAACGTGCTAAAGAAGTGCGTCAAAGTCTTGCCTGGTTCGTGGCCCCTGATGGAGATACCAGAGTGAACATGTTGGTCGATAAGAAACAAGGGTATGTTTGGAGTCATACTTATCCTCCACCTGGAAATGAATCAGCAAGCGAATATTTTCAAGAGCGGATCAAAGGGATTTATGCTACGAGATATAAATACTAAATAAGAATGCACTTGGATTAATGCTTAGGGTTAAGATATGTATGTACATATCTTAGCGAGAGATAGCGGATTTAAAAATTCTCGTGGTACATAACAAGCAGTTGGTCTGATAAATAAATTGCTAATTTAAAATAAATATCTATGCAGTACTGCTTCAAATTTACTAATTGGAAAAATGGTAAAGAATGTGTCTCTGTTCAACATATTCGTCACTCATCAGTAATTTTTCATGTTATTTTTAATTTGGCATACTTGCATGACTGAAAGTTTCAAGTTATCTTGATGACCTTCGAGCTGTATTTAATTGTTTCAATCACACTTGGTGTGCTTTAACATTTAATTATTACTACTCAAAAAAATCGGTATCACTTTAGGGTCCTTGAGTAAGTCTGAGTCTTAATTAAAAACTTTTAAACCTATTACAATGAAATTGATCTATCAATCAGGAGCATTACCATTAAAGAGAATTTGTTTGAGTTATTACCTACATACATATTTGTCTTCATGCATATTTATTTATTTATTTATAAATGAGTGCTCCAAATATTATATGATTTGCAACCTAACTCTCGAGCTCACCAACTTAAATACAAAACACGATTTACGAATACGATATATGAATACCCACCAGCAAAAAGTTGCGTATGAATATGTGCATATGCAACATAAACACGCAACTAATGGAACATCATGTACAATTTACCATCAATTGAAGGAAAATGGCACACGCTCTAAGAATCTCAGTTAAAATCAGTTGATCATTTTTGCAAATACGAGACCGGTTCTCCAGTTCTTCCAGACCCCAATCACACATATGTATGTATCACTTTACTCGGCCATAAAAACTAGTTTTATGCACGACAAGGTCAGTTTATATTTATGCAAACTAAATTCACCAAAGGAAATCATGATTCACTTTTTAATTGGACCTTAGTTGCAATTTCTATCTCAAACTGAACTTAACACACTCGTACTAAATCCTCTAAATACGTAGCTGCATAAAATGGCACCTTCCTCACATCGAGAAATATTGGATGGCCCACTTCGGCAAAAATTTGTGGATATTCTAAAATCTAATGGAATCCCTGACCAAGTGGAAACCATCACCCTGACCGAACCTGCTGCACTCAAGGGGCAACATTTTTCATCAAATGCGGTTTACATTTTGGTGGAGTTCCAAGACTCATCTCTAAAGCCAAAGAATCTCTTTGTCAAAAAATCGGTCACCAACTCAGGTCATGCTGAATTTCTAAAGGATATGCAATTCATGGACAAGGAATCCACCTTCTTTGTCGAATTTCTACCCAAACTTAAAAAATTCTGTTCGAATTATAAGGGGCAAGTCAAAGAAATATTAGAAAAAGTGATTCAGAAAATTTAAATAAAAAATCATCACTGGTTTCAGATGTGAAAACCTGTTAAATTTTTTCCCAGAAGTGTTGTATGGCGATGATGAAATGATTGTTTTTGAAAATCTGGTATTGGATGATACTTTTATCATGTTGGATAGAGAAGCTAGACAGGATCTAAACACGTCAAAGTGAGACTTTCATACTTTATTTACTCATTTTCAAAGTCATTATACCTTATTTAACCTTCATTGGGCAATAATTATTATCCAAGCTTGTCCATTTATATATACAGAATTGTGTTGGAAAACTTGGCAAAATTTCATGCTATCACACACGCGTTTATCAAAATCGAGTGTAACGGAAGCGAGAAATTTCTATCTGACTGGCATTTGGTATGCTGTGAAAGTTTCATTAATGAGAAGAATCCTATGATCGAAACAATGTTTGATCATGTTGTAACAACATGCATACACTTTTTGAAGGTATATATACATGTACATATTATGGTTTATTTGACACAGAGTTAAGTTAGTCAGTTTCCGTTAATTGGAATATTCGAAAAAATTCATAGGGTCATCCCGTCCCTGGAGATTCAAAAGCCATGGAAATATTGGCCGGATATTTGGGTAAAACGTACCTTCTTATGACCGAGCTGTTAAGGTACAGACCAGAGGAAAAGTTGCATGTCGTGAATCATGGCGACTGTCAGAATAATAATATGATGTTTAAACTGGATCCGGAAACTGAGAAAATAACTGATCACGTTTTTGTCGACCTTCAAGTATGCTTAGTTAATCCGAATAACATGAACTCTAAATGTTAAGATGTATAAATTAGGTGGTTTTGTCAAATTATGTACGTCCGCAGATTACAAGGCTTGCCTCTCCGAATGTGGATCTTGGTTATTTTTTGTACACCAGTGTTAAGAATGCTGTCCGACGACAAAATTTGACCGAGTTACTTCAACACTACTTTACAAATTTTGTAAAGACTTTGACCATGTTTGATGAAAACTGCCCAATCAGTTTTGAGGTATGTATCTTCATATATCATGATTTATGTACCTATGTTTTCCTCCTCTGCTGAATTAATTAATTTCTGCTTATTTCCCAGGATTTTGTCAAGGACTATAGTGAGAAAAGCCAATTTGGTTTCTTCTTCAATCTCAACATTTTGACAGCATTAGAAGTAATGAAGGATATCAACTTTGATAACATGAGTGACGATCCAAAAACGTACATGGATGAATTTACAGCATTAATCAACGACTGGATTGTTAAACATCCCGAGAAATCATCTGAAATCTCGGTTGAAATTGTTGCTGTTATAAATGAAAATGAAAAAATACTTGACGATGCTAGATCCTCATAAATGTAACAATAACACTTGCATTCAAATCATAATTCTCACATTCGTCTTTTAATTACGAAATCTGCTCATGCTAAATAAATAAAACTCACTGGTACTGTACCAATATTGTACTGAATATTTTTATTCATGTGACTTTCTTTCCCCAAATCATCGAATCCATTGAACTACATAGTTTAACTATAGTTTTACGTCCGGTGACGCAAACTATGAAGCATTGAACTAATGCTATAATATCTCTAATTATTGATAAGTACGTATTGATTAATAGTATATAAAATCTTTACCCCTTTTCGTTAATTAGGAAATATATATTTAGCATGTCACCCTTAAAACGTGAGTATGAACATTTACTCGTATCGATATTTCTAGGCAAAGCATTCATTTTTGTTTGATGCTATATTGACTGGTACTGGTGGATTCAATTTCATTAATGAAATATGTATCCGTTTTCTTTCGAGAATAGCACTCACGTTATATCGGTAACATTCTCAATAATTGCCTGCAACATAAAAGCATTCGTTAACGCCATGTCAGCCAATTAAAATGCTTGCCAATTTTAGGTGCTTAAATTGCGAAAAGATTCCAACATGTCACGAAATTATGTGCAATTCGGCCTGTTGCCTGTGTATGAATGGGTACACAATGTAATGCAGATGTACGTATGTATGTTTGTATTTAGTTGGTATGCATGTACTTAAATTTTGAAACTTTTCTGGTATGCCAACAAAGCTAGAAAGCAAAGATTCAAGTACACAATAAAACGTTTCAGCCATCAATCGTGATATTTAAGCTCATTTAATCGTTCCAACCGAAAAAGAAACTATTTGGCAGTTTACAATCCACTTACTCTAACTAGAACAACCAATATTTATCTCAATTTGAAGAACTATCTAATTATGTTCAAAATTAAAATTTTAGAATCATTTTTATCAATAAATTTTGCATGCAAGTTAGAGAAACAATTTAATATTGCTATTTCATAAACATAATTTTTTTTTTGGATAATTTAATCCGAAGATTATGCATGCTTATTATTTATATAGGTTAGCTTAAACGATTAAACGATAAAAAGCAACAACTTAATGTTATCCATTGCATTTTGACGACTTAATTTATTCCTTTTCTGCAGTTGGTTCTGACATTATGGATGATTGTCCGGTCCCGTATCTGCCATAACAAAGGACATTTAATTACAAATTTAATTCCTACATAGATGAACGTAGGAAATAAAGCATCAAAAGTATGTAATTTGTACCCCTTTGGTCCGAAGTTGCCTGCATAGCACTTCTTGCAGTACAGTTTGTCTTCCCTCTAAATACAGAATAAATGGGAATTAACATTATGACAATATCATTACATGATAAATGTAAGAATATTGTAATACGAACGACATAATACCTCATTTACAAGGGTACTATCAAGCGCCTTGGAACAAACCTCTGCGGCATAAAATCAGAGATTATTTCATATACTAAGGTAATAACCAAACCATGAAAAATTGCGTTGAGTATTTTACATTACCGCATTTGAAACAGTTCTTATGGAATTTCTTTCCACCGGCAAGTCGTTCTTCGGCCGCATACACGGATTTGCCACATTTTGGGCATTTTGGATTGTCAATTGGCGTGAAAGGCATAGCTGCTAGGAATGCGGTTGGTTTGACGAGTTTACTACAAAAATAAAATTAGCCCATGAATATGATGAATGTTGACGTGAAGCATGTAAAACATAAATAAACTGCAAATTCAACACTTTTCAGGCTCTAATTGCAATTTTAGGCATTCCTTGGAGACATGTAAAAATGAGATTTTTAGCTAAAAAGAGAAGATACAATAATATTGAAATATCGTAAAATTTAGGAAGAAGAGAGCATGAGAAAATTGGGATCTGAGCCAAGAAACCTGCAGATAAAATTAAACTAGTGTGTCATACACTATTTTAAAATGCTCTACTCCATAGTCATTGCCAAGCCAATAACCCAGTAACACATTTCGTACGTATATCATATAAACTTTACGAATTAATCGATTAATAATTATATTCATTAAGAAAATAAATGACAGAAAATAAAAATTAATCGCACTGGGAAACTAAAGTTGTGCAAAAAAATATGGTAAGGTTAAAAATACAGCAAAAAACATAAATATGTATGATCCCGTTTGAAACTAGAGCATTTCTGGGTCCACCGCCTTAATTAATAAGTAAACACGAGTTTAACTTTTTTTGCCAAATATTTTTTTTTGTAAAAACAAATATTGCCAAAATATGCATGCACCTTGAAAGTATGTAAGAACGGTTTGTTTAGTTTACTAAATTGAGCAGATTTCAACGGCTTAATTTGCGCATTCCTTTACTGTATCATCCTTAGCTAAATATCAGGTTAATTTGGATGATATGTTTCTGATATTGAATTGCTTAGGATGTACTTATCCCAATGTTTTCTCAATTTAGACAGACTTTGCCCTTGCGTGACTTAATTATGCTTATCCTACACACATGTATTTATGTATTTATCTATGCTTGTATTTTTGTGTCACTAAGCACACGTATAAATTTGGAAATCTTTGTGAGATCAAAAATTGATAAGCGAAATAGTGCATACCTGATTTAATAAGAATTAAAAGATGGAAAAATCACCATGTACTGTTTCCACGAGAAGTTGTGCACACAGACTGAAGTTCGCGACTCTACTTCCTGGTGATTTTGCAGAGCCGAAGAAGGATGACCTTATTTGTGTCTTCTGCTAAGCAAATGAGTGGGTAACTTGCTTTGAAACTTTTACAAGGTTGCATCACGAAATCGACTTGACTCCCTCACGTACACAAAGCAAAGCTCTTCCGAACCGATAAGTAAGTGAGATGTGGAATCTTCGAGACGAGTGGGCGTAGGCGTTGCTCGTTTTTCGTACATTTACAAATGTGTGTGGGTTCCTTTGTCTCCCTCCGTAAATCGCATCCAGGAATTGGTACCGATTTTAATCATGATTTCACGAATGAGTGAGTTATGGAGGGTCTGAAAATTTGTCTCAATAATAACCGATATTTTTTACACTTTCAATTCTCATTCTGCAAAAAGTAGCATGCACAGATTTGTTTCTAAATTGAACTCATATTTACTCATTCATAAAAATTTTACCAAAACAAAAAAAACGTAAAATTATAGATTTCTATTATGTAAGAACATATATGGTGTATCGTAAAATTACAACAAAATTATTATCTTATAATAGATTTATAAATTTGCCCATCTGGCGCATGATATTTTGCGAGCATGCAGTCTGGTTCAAGTGCCGGGGAATCGGAACTTAGTACCTGGGAAACGTCACCCAAAAGTTCCGATTCCCTGGTCTTTTTAGTTATGCAAGTTACAGGGAAACGGAACCCACTTGTCGCAGGATTTAGCGGGTGTCGATTCCCCGGTACCCTATTCGACAAAAGTTACGATTCCCCGGAACCCAAGATTTTTCTTCCATTTTTCATAAATTGGATAAAAATCTGAAGAAAATTTGAATTATCTCAAATTAACCTCCCACAAATGAAGAACACTGGATAAAAAAATTAGAATTTTTTATAGTTGCAAAGGTTCCTAAAATCACAAATATCTGACAAATTTGAGGAGCGGCAAGCTCAAAAAGGTCCGGGGAATCGTCACCCCACAATTATTTTTAGGGAACAATACAATTATTTTACAGTTATTGTTACAATTATTACGTTATTATTATTGTACAATTATTTTTCCTTTAAAATAATTGTGGGGTGACGATTCCCCGGACCTTTTTGAGCTTGCCGCTCCTCAAATTTGTCAGATATTTGTGATTTTAGGGACCTTTGCAACTATAAAAAATTGTAATTTTTTTATCCAATGTTCTTCATTTGTGGGAGGTTAATTTGACATAATTCAAATTTTCTTCAGATTTTTATCCAATTTATGAAAAATGGAAGAAAAATCTTGGGTTCCGGGGAATCGTAGCTTTTGTCGAATAGGGTACCGGGGAATCGACACCCGCTAAATCCTGCGACAAGTGGGTTCCGTTTCCCTGTAACTTGCATAACTAAAAAGACCAGGGAATCGGAACTTTTGGGTGACGTTTCCCAGGTACTAAGTTCCGATTCCCCGGCACTTGAACCAGACTGGCATGAGTACTTGCATATTGTTCTTGGCCGATGAGTCACTCTATACGCCTGTTTGAACTCTTCCGTCAAATTGAATTTGAAACTGGCAAGTTATTGACAATCGCCAGAACAAATCTAGCTAATGAATCAAGCCCATTCATACATATGTGTATCCTCCTCCTCCTGTAATAGGATGTCACTCAAAAATCACGAAGTGTGAGTCAATGTCGAAAAATGTGACACCGTCTCGCTGCATTTTAATACGACTAATAATTGAGTATTCCTCTCTGACGGTTTTCATAATTATGTGTTGTACAAGTAGTGTGATTCAAATCGCTTTTACCATAGACATGAATATATACTTAAGTTAACTCTTTTTCTTCGTGATTTATTATGCACGTGTCACCATTCTTAATCACACTAGTCGTATCTATGAAGACTAGTCTACATTTTATTTTGACTTAAAATTTTGGCCCAAATATAATTCATGAAAGTGAAAGTTGCCGGATGAAGGTCTCAAATTATTATTTCCGAGTTTTACTAATAAATTAGGTATGCGACGAATAGAATTTCTGCGTCTCAATTTGCCTCGTCTAAACCAGATTTGAGATTAGTCTGATTTGCTTATGCTAATTTGGTACACTGATTTGATACTATTAGATATACATGGAATTTGTGTAATTGGTGATACATACGGAATTATGCAATTACGAAGACGCAACATGATATTTTAATTTTATAAAGGTGAAAGCAAATTATTATGCTACCAACTTATGTGCTTATTGTGCTGAACGGCAAATTTCATGCGTTTTCTCGGTTTTATACATGCCGTAATAAAGTGCCAAATTGCAAAATCAAATCCGATGCGATGTCATAGTCATAGTATTTAAAATTATTTATTCATGTAAATTATTATAAGGGACATGCACGGCAGTATAGGATCTCGTATTTTCTACAATCAGCACAATATACTCCATATTTATTTCAAAAGTGTATGTACCTTTGTTCAAAATAAAAATAATTTGTTACAAATTCTAATAGTTATTTTAGAGGGAATGACTAGCAACTGAATTTTTAAAACAAATAAACATACATATCTTCCTGTTAACATTTTGGTTGAATAAATATACCCCTTTGAATTGTACAATTTTATAGTTAAAATTAAAGTTAAGCTGTGCGATTGCTAAGTCCTACTAGGAACTGTCCCTTATAATAATATTAATTATAACGCAAGTTTTAGTAGTCCGACCGTATAGTAATCTTAGATACAGGTTTGGTTAAAAGATAATATAAAGCCATCAATTATAATTATTCGAGTAACATCCGTTCCATCCCGTGCGATTCAATCTACTCCTTTTGGGCCGTTGGTTCCGACATGATACTAAGCAGAAACAAAGGTTAGAGTATAAATTAAATTCACCTTCAAATTTGTATACAAACCTGCTCTGTCCGGTTCCGTATCTGTAGTGAACAGAAGAACATTAATTAATTATAATTGTACATTTATTTGGATTAATCGAAGAAATTGCGACAAAAAATAGTACGCACCCCTTGGGTCCAAAATTACCCCCATAGCACTTTTTGCAGTAGAGTTTGTCCTCATGCTCGTTACCTAGGGTGGAGTTCAAGGCAGGTGTAATTTATTAATAATTTTCATTTTCATAGATGCAAAAAATGACAAAAATTGTACTTACAAAGGGTTGAGTCCAAAGCCTTGGAACAAACCTCTGTACAATAAAATCAGCGATTATTTCACATAAAACTAACCCCAAACCATCAATGAAAAATTATAGTTAGGTATTTCATATTACCGCATTTGAAACAGTTCTTATGGAATTTCTTTCCACCGGCAAGTCGTTCTTCAGCCGCATACACGGATTTGCCACATTTTGGGCACTTTGGGTTTTCAATTGGCTTGAAAGGCATGACTTCTAGGAATGCGATTACGTTGATTTACTCTTTATTAACTGTAAAGCAACAATGATCGATCATTAATATTAAATACTAAATTACGGTGAAAGACGAACTGCAATACCAATTATTATAAAAAAATTACCCGGCTCAAAGAAAAAAAACTAAGCAACACTGTGTATGCATATGCTAATAATAGATGTTAAAGTGAGATTTTGAGTTAAAAGATGTGATGATATCGTAATAATAATGGAGTTCAAGAGAGAACAAGAAAATTGGGATTTTTGCCAAAAATCTGTACAAAATTAAACTCTATTTTCAAACGTATGACCAAGCCGTCCATTTTTTATCAGAATCATAATATGAGGTCGATTAATGGCTTTGATTTACTATTACGTACTTAAGATGCACTTGATTAAGTTGGGTGTGTATCCAGAAATTAATTACCGTAACATATAAAGCTTAACATTAGTGTGCGAACCTCATGGATGAAATAAACAAATAGATTGGTGCAAGAAAAAATATAGAAAACCTAATAATTGCTCGCAAGAGATAAAGAATTAACGCGTGAGTTTGCTTCATCTTGCTTAAACTTGTTTGCGTCTTTTCAGTAAACAAAAATGTCCATTTGTGCCAACTATTTATAAAAATACTCAGCTTTACTAAAGAGACACAAACAAAAACAAAGAGGTGCTATTGTGTTCCAATTTACGGCATGCCAAATGTACAACAAACTAATACATAGATGTTCAGTTTCGATGAAATTTATATACATTCATACATACTTTTGTGATATTACGAGCATTTTAAAAAGAAGTGTTAACGCATGTAAATAGTATGTAAATAACGCGATTTTTAATTTTTTTGTTACATGTTTATCATTTCAATTTGGATAAATTCTTTTATATGTGACAACATAAGCTACCAATTAATTGTCAAGTTCAAGTTCAGGTTAGTAAGGTTTGGTTCAAAGTTTAATGAAAAACGTGTAAGTGATCAAATGTACGTGTGTGTATACCTGATTGATAAGGAATTACTAGATGACAAGCTCCATATGTTATCACACCAACTCGTGCACAAAGACTGAGGGTTCGAAATCTGAACCACTTCTGTAATATAGCCGTAGGAAATGATGACCTTATTTGTGTATGAAGGAGTAAGTAGGTATTTGTCTCAGTGGGGCAGTGCCAATTCCACCCGGTTACCGGTTACATCACACATCGGATAACCGACTTACATACATACTTATATGCATTAGTAATACTTATCTTGATTCCCTCCTTTCCTCCCTCACCTACACAAAAACTATCGCGTACTCCGTTTTTCTCTAAGCTGATAAGTAAAAGTAAGAAGATGAAGGAGCAAAAATCTTCGCAAAGGAGGAGTGGGAGACGTTCATTTTATTTATTGGGAGTTATTATTAACTCTGCACAACCAAGCCCACTGTGAAGTTTTGCACTTGGTTGCTTGGTTGAGCATGAGTCATTTCTAAAAGTAAAGTTGCAATTCAGTTAAATCTGTTTGCGGTGTGTACGAGAATATTATGTGTGCCAGCCGGTAATCTTTCATACCAATCTCACCGAACATCTAAAAACATACGATACGAGATAATTGTGCAAAGTTTTCAATCTTTTGAAACCTCTGAATAAAAGTACTATGCAATGATGATCGGAGAGTGGCTGCGGGGGCGAGGCAGTAGTGTCGGGAGTGACTACTTTCTCTGCCACTTTGCCGAAATGACCTTACCCCTGATAAGTAGTAAGAGTAAGTAAAAGTGAATAGTAGCCAAATACTATTAAAAACTTTTATATCGACACTACCCACGACCACACGTGTGTAGCTTTTATTCTGTACACACACACACATCTTATTCCCGTTTAATAAATGTTTTGTTCATGCATACCCCATTATTTTGTAGCATATATTTAGCCAACTATTTGACAATGCAATCTTGTTCTGGAACGTTTATGAGCACATACGTTTTTACTTCCAAATAGAACAATAAGCATACTTATTCTCGTCTACGACTCGACAGAATTTGGAGCTTTTTTGAGAAACAGATAAATGCTAACAAAATAAACGCATACTTTTTTTTAGAGAAATCTATTTCCAGGTTTTTGTTGAATATGTATTTTCGTATTCCTTAAAATGTGTTATTAATTACTTGTACTCTAATTATTTCGGCCTACTGACTCGCAATAACGGTGACATGGAAAAAATAATCGACCATATTTGAATCCTTGTCGGTCCAATTAAAATTCACTCCCACGCAATGTAGAAATCATAGGCCGTTTCAAAGAACAAGAAGACAGCTAAATTTTCTGGCCAAAAACACTATTGCTGGCAGACACCGTTTTACTGCCCTCGTATGTATTCAGTACATACAATTTCACTCCACACCACTCACTAATAACGGGATGCAGATGTCTTTGCATATGTGCAAAATCTTAAAGCATGGCAAATCTCATCACTTACAATATTTTGCTTGTGCTTTTTACGGTCGTTCGTATTCCACAAATAAACGGGAGAAATCATAAAACATTTGTCACTGCTCGGTGTATCCAATTTTTCTTAATATCTATTTTCGTTTGGGTTACATATCCTGTTTCAGGCTGCATTATCTTTCTGTTCAGCTCCATTTGTGAAATGTAATTAATCATGTTCATCTTTCCCATACATACAGCGACAAAGATAGGTCACATTTGTTGATTGTTTTCATAGTATCCGCAAAATGGATATAAATATGCAGATGTGTCTCACTACATAAAACATTCCGGGTGCAAGTGCCCGGGTACATTTTTGCATTCCGGGTACTTAAACCCAATTTTTAAAACTAAATTTCAGTCAAGTATATCTTTTATTGGAGAGAAATTTAAATCAAAAGTCACAAATGAGATCATGTTTATGCATTTATTATGACATTTTTTCACTTCTCACAATAATCCTTCCATCATTTCTAGCAAATCCTTGATTGCCTGAGACTAAATAAAAATCAGCTAAGATTTATATCGAAGTGAAAGCAAATGAAGACTTACGACAAATTAAGCAGGTTTTTATATCATAATTTAAATACAATGATGAATGACTGGATTATTTAGAAACCAAGCTTTTTATGGACAATGTCTTAAATTTTAATAAAAATATCATCTTCATTCTATAATAAATTGTTTAATTGTAAGAACATTGGAATTCAGCAAAATGTGTAGTGAGAAGGAGAACAATTGCATGGATTTCACGGGAATTTGAGACGCAAATAAGACCCGAGGTAAAGTTTAGTTCAGTCTCAACACAAGATTTTGTGGTTTGTTTGTTGCTTTGTGTACCCATACACCATATGACAAATACTTTTCCATTAAAAATTAAGTGTTTTCAGAAACCATACACTAATCAATCATAATGGAGGCAAACGACTATAAAACCCTGGGGAATAGTTGCTTCGTCAATAAGGAATACGCAAAAGCAATTGAATTTTATGGTAAAGGATTGCGAATCTGCAAGAAAGAAGATTCCATCAATTTATTCGCAAATAGGGCGGTCTGTTATATCAAGTTAGACTGCTTCCAGAAAGCTTTAAATGATACGATAGCAGTCTTGGAACAAGATCCGTTGCATGAAAAAGGTATATAAACAATTTATACGACATCTAGGAGTTAATGAACTTTCTCGTAAATATTAAATCTTAACTTGTGTCTATTATAACCTAACCTAACGTAAACAATGCTTGCATCCATTTTGTCTAGGAATATTTCGCCACGTAAAATGTCTTTGGGGTTTAGGCCGCTACGAATCTGCTCTGACCTTTATAAACTCCAAGTTGGCCAAAAACCCTCAGCTCTTTTCCAGCAAAGAACTTCTCGACCTACGCCGCAACACTGAGGCCTGTTTCCATCAGGTATCTAATCTAAATATTGTAATTAAAATTTCAATTAATTAATTAAAGTTTGAATAGAGCAAGACAGGTCAGTATGACATTCTCGAGTTGATGAGGCACCAGCAAGAAAAACCCCTCGAGCCCCTAGAAAATGTTGCTGAATACGTGGGTCCGATTAAAATTAGGGATGTTCCCGGCAAGGGACGAGGTTCGTGTTATCAAAGATATGTATCGCATATCAGATTAATTACCTCAATGTCATTCTTGACCAGGTATCCTTGCAGAGGAGGACATAAAAACTGGGCAACTCATAATGTGCTGCAAACCATTCGCTTTCTATCCATATTCCGACGAAGAAATGGGCAGTAGATGTATGACATTATTTATAAATGAATATCTCCGTGGTTCGAACTTTCTTCATATATTTCTAAAATTTCTATATTTTTTACTTGTTGCAGCCAACTTTGCCTTGGTGGATTGCATCCTCGAAAAACTGTCCATTGAACCACAATTTCGTAAAGAAGTATTTCCCCTCCACACCCCCCTCCCGACAGACTTGTGTCTAGAAATGTCACAAGAAGATCTCGAACTAGCTCAACTTCACGCAATCATTGCTAACAATTCTTTTGAATTTAACGGCAGTGGTGGTCTCCTTCATAGTAACCATACTTATTTTTGGTCAGGCCTTTGGATCTTGCCGTCATACATTAATCACAGTTGTTCAGGGTCAAACTGTACGTGGTCAGTGTACGGTGATACATTTTTCGTCCGTGCGGTGCGCCCAATAAATAAAGGAGACGAAATTCTCATTAGCTATGTCAATATTACATGGCCGTACAAACATCGACTTAGTGTTATTCGAGATCACAAATTTGAATGTGATTGTGACCTGTGTCAATATGAGGAAGGAGAGGATGAAGACACGGTGGAGGAAAGAGAACAAATTTTCGATCAATTGGAAGAAATTTATGACATGGATGGATTGGTACATAAATAAAAATATGCATGTTTTACTTTACTGTCGTATTGTTATTGTAAACAGTTTGAGAATTTAACATTAACCATCTAATTATACTATACAGATGCCCAAGCAGACGATCATAGATTGTTTCAACAAACTGGATTCACTGCGCAATGACTCCCCTCATCTAAATTTTCCCCTCGCTAATGTAAAAGTTATCAGAGTTCTGCAACGATTTCTAGTCGAAAGAGACACCACTGCAAGTACCACCCAGGTCCGCATCATGTTTGAAAGGATTCATTCCGTCACAAAGAACACGGCTCATGCAAAGTTCGTCGTTTCTTTGTGTCTCAATGTACTGAATTGTTTGATGGAGGACGCCACCTCAGAAACTGGGACGATTCAAGGGTGGATTAAGCAATTGAAGAATGATTTAATAGCAGCTCATGGGTCCCCAAAGGCGTTATTATATGTGGGTCCGGATATGTTGGAACTATTGAAAGATATGTTACATGCAAATGACTTCTTGTAGTAGGGTGCAGTAATTATTTACCTAGATAAATTATTGTGTAACTTGTTACTTATATTAATTCAAAGTATTATTTTGTCTTTGTCATCATGTGTTAGTTATCGAATATCAAATTAAGTAATTACCTGTTTAAATTGCTCAATTTTACAATTTGGTATTTATGTATCTTATTTTTGCACATTTGGTATATAAATTTTCTCACAGTTGAATAACTTGGAATAACTTTATGTGTTCATTCCTTTTGATTGGTTTCATTGGTATGCAGAATTCATTTATCAATTGACAATTTTTTAATAAATTTCATGCAAAATTCTGCATGCGAATTCACATCACCCCAACCATTGCACATTGGCGAACACACGAAAAACATTTATTTCCACGTTGCAGCAGATGTGCAACAGTCTAATTTTTCTTTTTTCGTTATTTCGTCAGAAATTGGTGGTATTTCTTTAACGTTATCTTTTCAATAATTAGTGCCCCCAATTGTGAAGTATGCCACCAAAAGGTAAGCGACGATCGAGCAAGCCCAAGGAGACAGAATTCAGTCAACGTGGAAGTGGCGATTTTTCTGGACCATCGTCAACAACAGCAGATGACCAACATGACGATGACGAGCAAAACCACAACATGGGAGCTGGAGGTGACGACGGTAATAATGTCAACTATGTGAATGGGGGAGGAGAGGGAAAGAACCCTGAGGCCGAAAAGTCCCCATCTCCAGAAAAGGAGGAAGAAATTTCATTTTCTTCGCCAGGTATGTAAAGATGGTGGTGATTGATGTATTGGCTTGTAATTACCTAATTGCTTGTGTAATTAGTTAATCTTACTCATACTTTTCATATTTCGTATTAAGGAGAGTTATCATCGTCATCATCATCATCTCTAACCCAAGTAACTGCTCCAAACTCAACTGCAACGACCCTGTTATTGGAAGATGCAGATGACACTGACGAAGAAGAATCTGAGGTAGTTATCTCTGCATCACTGAATCTTGGACAAGATAGCAAAGTCGAGTTGAAAACAGAGCAAGTTAAAGTGATCGAGTCACCGCAATCAGTATCATCATCACCTAGAGGAAAAGAAAAGGAGGCGTCCGCCGTATCGTCACCCAAAGGAAATTCGCAACTTTCCAGATCTGAACCATCAAGTATGACGACTACCCAAGAACAACCACCACCAGCGCAATCATCCCTACCAGCATCATCATCTTCTTCCTACGCAACCGCTAGCACAGTTAACTCACTAAACAGTTCAACCGTTTCAGCCCCACCGGATATCAATTATAGCAATGCAATTTTGACTGATGAGCAACCACCAGAGTTGGAACTACCAGCCACCGTCAGCACCTTGTCCATCAATAATGCGCGAATTTATTTGATTGGTGAGTAGATCATAATGATCATAGTCAAGTAGTGAGTAACAATTTATGCAATTAACTACTTTCTCCAATTCACAGGCACTGCCCACTTCTCCACGCAATCTCAAGAAGACGTGAGCAACGTTGTGAAACTAACCCAACCTGACTGCATTCTTTTAGAACTTTGCCCAAGTCGTAGAAATATACTGCACCTTGATGAGGAGATGCTTCTGAGAGAAGCAGGAGATATTAGTTTTGGTGCACTTTACAATAACGAATTATCAATATAATCGTGCATTAAGTTAATGATTTATTTGTTACTCATTGTGTAGCTAAAATAACCGCAACGCTACGAAATGCACCTCCAGGCAGTTCAAGAGTCCAATCTCTCCTGCACCTATTGCTCCTGTCGATGTCGGCGTCCCTGACCAAAAAATTGGGGATGGCACCAGGCATGTTTTTTTTATTTTATAGAATTAACGAGTCTGCGAAATGTTTATTTATATTTTTATCTACATCAATAGGTGGTGAATTCCGTGCTGCAGTAAAGGAAGCGGATAAGCTCCCAAGAAAACCAACCCTGCTCTTGGGTGATCGCCCGTTTAATGTTACCTTGGCCAGGGCAATTGCAAGCTTGTCACTCATGCAAAAGGTTAAATTGGCCTGGCAGTTTTTGCTGAGTTCGGATGACATTACGTGAGTGCATTTGTATACGTCACATCAAAAATTTAAAGCTTAAGTTCGATTAAAATTTCAAAATATTGCAGAAAAGAAGAAATTGAAAAATGTAAGGAGCGTGACCTGCTCGAAAAAATGTTATCTGAAATGACCGGAGAGTTCCCGTCCATAACAGAAGTTTTTGTGAATGAAAGAGTAAGTCGAAATGCATAACCATGGCATGGCACATGCTGTGCATTGTACATACTTAATTACTGATTATACAAGTATAGGATTATTACTTGGCGCATACTCTGTACATGAGTTCCGTCGCCATCGGGGAAGCAAAACAGAAGCAAGGGGGTAAAGGCGAGGTACATGTGTGATTAGTCTATTTTTGATTAAATTTACCACGTCTTTGCAAAACATTGCAAGATGTTGATGTATACGCTTACTTGCAGGCTGTAGTCGTCGCCGTAGTAGGAATGGGACATGTCATGGGAATCTGCAAAAACTTTGGACAAACAACGGAACAAGAGTTTTCTAGGGTTGGAAGGTAACGCATCTCGCAAATCAAATATCCATGTTCTTTAATCATACATAATTTAAATCCACATTTGCTTCACAGTCTTCCACCAACCTCACCGCCATCAACTACGAAATGGCTCATCAAAACTGGGATCAAACTAACGTTTTACGGAGTAATGACTTATGGTGCGTACAAACTCTTCAATCGGATTGACATTTTCAAGAAATTTGAAAATGGTCTGAAGCTTGGAATTGTCAAAATTAAGTAGATTACTGCCGATAATAATTTATAATGAAGATCTACAAGATCTTACATATTGAGTGATGATAGTTTATTTATATTTAATAATAAATAAATAAACAATAAATATTATGAATTTAATTTAGTCCTCCAAATAAATATGGATTTTCATACAAGTTCTAAAAGTAGTTATCGTTTTTATTTGTCAAGCGCAGTTTTAAGTACACACTGGTTTCAAAATGCTCATGTAAATATGTAAATTTATTTTTCCAACACTATAAACCAAGAATTCCCAATGGTCATAAATTATACGTATGCATGTATCAACGCATCTTCCAACAGAACCGGAAGGAACAAGCCATTCACTTTGTACAACATAAGGGATTTAAGAGCTTTGTAAGTTACGACAAAGTACCTCACAGTCAACAGTGAATGGATCACGGAATTGTATAATTCAAGCACCCATTGCTTGATATTCGCGTGTTTTGGTAACCAGAATAACCATTTAGCGTCGTACTGCTCGCTTCATTTAAATTACATGGCCATTAAAATTTTAAACCAACTCAACAAGTCAGCCCAACATTATAAATTCCTTATCATGTAATCCATTATTATTTAATAGCCCACCGGAACATGCATGTAGCTGGAGGTCAAATTGCTATGCATACATACAATACACTTACATAAGTAATTTTCTCTAAGCAAACAACTAATTCCACCACCTTCCTCCATCCATAACAAGAAGTGAAAGTTATTTATTGCCGACACTCGAAAAGAAAATGAGATCGTTACAAGAACCGAGACCCCTTTTCCCAAACCCCAACCCAATTTTCTTTTATTCTTGGTCCTCAGGCTAGACCAGGCCAAGCCACACAACCCAAGATAATTTCTCCCGTTTTGGAAGATTGCCACCGAATGTATGTATGTATGGTTAGAGCGACTACTTTGATTCCTAGAATATTAGACGAGAAAGCTGAGGAGAAAGCGAAGAGAAAGTGGCTCGGGTGGAGAAAGTCTCACAACATCATAACCACGAGCAGTATACAGAGTCTGTACATTTATATAGCACACATAGCCCTGTAACTAACCTACCGGGTCTTGTGCACACACATATTTTCGAACACAACCCCAGCCCAAAGTCGTCTCCACATACAACTTTCTCCCAGCAGTCTCGTCTGGCAGTAGTGGCTCCTCGACGACTTTCTCTCCTCCACTGCTTCTGCTTTCTCTTCACTCGCACTTTTAAAATTATTCTTCTCTTTCTCTCTAACTGCAAATTATCTCTTACATTTCTTGAATGTGGTCGCTTTTATTTTCTGCCTCTTACATTTTGTTGTCTTTATTTTCGACCGTCTTCAGTGAGCAGGATACGGTAGGAATATTTGATTTTGACCAAGTAGTAGTTACTCCCCATCATCACGTAAATAATTCGCGTTGGGCCAGAGAACATGGAGCAGAGTTGGAAATAAGGACGCATAAATTTCCGTACGGGCATAATAACAATCCCATTACGTCAACACTTTACAATACAAATGCACGTCGAAGAAGAGGAGCAAGTGGAGAAAGCAAGGGCAGATTTCGTCGAAATGCGGGCCAATATCCGTCTCATCAAGAGTTGAAACAACTTTCACAAAATATTACGGGGATCTTGGATGGTTTCAGTAAAAAGTATGATAGGCGAGTTCGGCCCAATTATGGAGGTTTGGCATAAATTATAAATATTTGAATGCATATGCGATAAATTTACATAGTTATGTATTTACATATGTATGACCTAGTAGGTATCTAATAATAAATAAAGTTATGAATTAAAATTGCAATGATCTGTATTTACAGACGAACCTGTGGAAGTGGGTGTAACCATGTTTGTCTTGATGATAAGCTCGATATCGGAAGTATTGATGGTGATTTATACATTATTTACAAGGATGTATATAGAAATTATTGAGAATATGTACATATTAATCATATGAGTTCGTATGTATGCGCATATGCAGGACTTTACCGTGGATTTCTACTTTCGACAAATGTGGAAGGACCCTCGTCTTGCTTTTAGTGGTCCGGAAACCGTAAAGACTCTCAGCGTTGGGAGTGATTTCTTGAAACAGATTTGGGTGCCGGGTAATTATCTGTAACTCTATGTTTAATTATGCATATTCCACATATGTAAATATGTATTACAATTGCATACTATTTAATCAACAGATACATTTTTTGTCAACGAGAAAACATCCTATTTCCATACGGCGACTACATCCAATGAATTCTTGAGAATTTCCAACGAAGGGGATATAACAAGATCACTCCGATTAACGGTATTTAAGAATTTTTTTAAAAATTGATAAAAATTCTTTAATCCTAAATTATAATGATTCATATAAACGATGTACATATTTAACTAGGTAACTGCTACGTGTGCCATGGACCTTAAATACTTTCCTATGGATTCACAGCTTTGCAATATTGAGATTGAATCTTGTAAGTGTTTCTGATCGATTGTGGAAATTTTTCATATCAGAAATTATGCATAAATCAATCATGAATGACTAATCGTCATGTACCTTTCGTAGTTGGCTACACTATGGCTGATATTCGTTACAAATGGGCAAAAGGGGCTGGCTCTGTACGTAACTTTATTAATTTTGGTTTTGATTTAAAAATATCAGACAACTCAATCCGTTTTTCGTAAAGGTCGGGGTGTCGGATGAAGTGTCCCTCCCTCAATTTAAGGTGCTTGGATTTCGGCAAAAAGCATTCGAAATTTCTCTCTCCACTGGAAACTACTCGAGATTAGCGTGTGAAATTCAATTCGTGAGATCGATGGGATACTATTTGATTCAGATCTACATTCCAAGCATGCTCATTGTTGTCATTTCCTGGGTATCATTCTGGGTAAACCGTAACGGTTAGTGAAAAATTATTGTACATAAAATTTATGATTTATTGTGTGTTAGTTAAGGGGTAAATGATATGACAATTTATGCATTTTAGCTGCCCCTGCAAGAGTTTATCTTGGAATTACTACTGTAAGTTGCATTAGTAGACTACTCGATTTAGTCTGGCGTAGGATTTTTTCACAAATATTTGCCAATTTCATTACCAGGTTTTGACCATGACTACTCTCATGTCATCGGTGAATAAAGAGTTGCCAAAAATCAGCTACGTCAAAAGTATCGATATATTCCTGGGGACTTGTTTCTTAATGGTGTTCGCCGCCTTGTTGGGTATAATCTTATTAATTCAGTCATTAATTCATTATTGATTATTTGCATATAAGTAAGTAAAAATCATATGTGCATTTCAATTTTTTAGAATATGCAACCGTTGGATATCTCGCGAAACATATCCAGCGTCGCGTCATGCACTTCGCCTCTCTTAAAAAAATGGCTGACGAATTGACAGCCAAACGACGCGAAGCAGAAGAGGAAGCCCGACGACAGGAAGAAATTGTGAACCAAAGTCTGGAATTAATGTATCACCGCCGGCAAGAAGAATACCGTCATCAGCAACAACTTCGACAACACGCCTCGGACACTGACAGGTCGCCAAATCCGATCCCCACATCTGGCTCGTTTTCCCACCATCCCCACCAGTACAGTTTGCGACAAGGACAGCCCCCACACGGGAATTATTACGGTGGTGGGAGTGGCACAATGACTCCAAATGCTGCAACCTTGGGAAGGAAACGAGAGGATGGGAGCGTCATGGACACTCCTGCTGGTAGAAAAAAGATGGGGGGAAGAAACAGTGCTCTGGAATTCGGTTGTGTGCCAAAACCGGAACAAACAATCCGGCCTGTTGTACCCATAAATCCAAACCAAATTTGTGGAATTACGCCATCTGATATTGATAAGTACTCAAGAGTCGTGTTCCCCGTTTGCTACATTTGCTTCAATTTAATTTATTGGATAACCTATCTGCACATTAGTAACGTTAACCCTGGCGATCTCACATTGATTGGGGGATAAAAATGTGCATGAAATATTTCCCAATGTTAGTCAGACACTGTGCCAGTCAAATCCTTGTAAGGAAATGTAATTCTGTCAAGTTCGATACATGCATTCAAAGATTAAGACTTTGTCCCATTAGTGGGTGTAACTTTAACCGTTGCTGGAGTAACGTAACTAAACTATAATGTTCCACATCCCAATTTTTGAAAACTGCTAATCTCACTGTTGACGAGGGGACGCATTGTAGTTTGCCTTCTATACTTGTTTAGAAAGTAAAAATGGAAAATTAAAAGACTAGAAAGACATATTTCATATAGTAACACACTTCTTCTAGGAACTTGATCTTTTGCATGTGATGGAGTAGACCATTGTAATAAATGTAACAACAAACCTTGTTGGGTGCTCACCCTTCCTGCCTCAAATAATTGATAAAAAACTTATAATTGCTCATACATTAATGTGACTGTATACATGTACATATACAACAAGTACATGTACAAATATAGCGTAAATTTGTTATAATGTTATAGTTAAAATCTGCGCTGATTCATAAACAGAGGAAGGAGTTGATATTTTGGTGAAAGTTCTTCATGCACCATTGTCTGTAGCAACTACTTGCATAAATACTTCAACTTATTGTTAGCATGTGCGATTTTCAGACTCTGTTAGACGTAATAATGTAATAACCTTGACCGTTTTTGCAATAAAATATCAGAAACAGTAAAATTATATCTTCTGTCTGAATTTATTTATGAGAAAGTGTTCTGACATTTCTGACAATTTATCTAATCAGTGCCACTGATCTCACTCTGGTGGGCTAAAAATAGTATGGTAAGTTATATTCTCACGATTTTCATCGATCACTTCCATGCATGCAACGCGTATAAGTAGTCATAAGTATATATACGTATGTACATACACAAGTCAAAGAGGTGTTATCTCCAAAACTCCAAACTACCTCCCAAACCTACTTAGGATTAATCGGTATACATGTGTTTGTACATACAGAGAGGTTACACCGAATTTTCTAGATTTAGAATTTTTTGTCGCGTATAGGGAGTGGATAATCGTATCAGTAGTGCATATGTACGACATTGAACTTATCCAGTGAAATCCATAAACCGACAAGTACGACAAATCAAAGTTATACTTTTTGCAGTGATGGCAGATCTGAATAAATAAATTACGTATGTATTATTCCGATAGAATATGTGTATCTACATAAATATAATACGTACATATATTTATATAAGAGACACATATTAACATGGTTCAGTACTGCATGGCTGGCATTTTTAGCTTTAACTTGTCCACAATTTTTCTCAAACTGCTATTCGGTAATATAAAAGAAATGTGAATTGTGAAAATATATAATATTTTATTTTCTTATATTTATTTTCATCATGCCATGAATGAACGCCAATGGATAAGTTTGAAATATTGCAGACTCCTGATTACGTACTTATTTATATAAGCTGAGTTGTCAAACTTCTAACTCCAAAGCACATATAACTCCATGTGACTATTTTATATTATTAATAAATACATTCAATGGCCCACAGCACAGACCAGATCAAGAAGAAAGTACTCCCCAGTGGGATCTTTATATCGCTTTGGAGAAATCCAACCACTTTCTTTATGCAATATTGAACTAGTTCTCTCTGATGACCGTGTGTGTACTACTCTTCACAAGTTTCACTATGATTTCGTCCCTGAATTCACTGTATATACACACATGTTTGTATTTACGTACATATGTGTTTGATAATCTGTGCAATAAATGCATTAATAATAATTTCTAGACTTGTCATCATCATTCATTTTGCTCATTATAGGCTAGACATGGCCAACATGAATTTTATTCCCATATCCATAACTTTACTTCTAAAATGGGAGCGCAAACCATGTTCAACTCAAATGTTTTTGCCACCCACACAGTTTGATAAACAACGTCTGATGCAGCACTTGGGCCAAATTCAGGGACTTATGGGCGCCGCAACGTGATTTTTCAGGCAGACACTGTGTTATTAAATACTTTAACTCTCTCGCCCCAATTCTCCTCCCACTCCTACTCGAAGATCTGTTTTCGAAAACAGACACTCAAAGACTTTCATGTGCATAGCTCCAATTTTGGAGGGACCAATTTTATGCGAAACATTGACAAACATGCGATTTAAATGCTAAATTTAAATGTTCTAATTTAGACTTGAGAGTGAGAAAAATAAGATTTTGCACAACTGTGGCCATGGAGTAAAACTACAGATACTTGGTGGTTCTTTTTTATGAGATTCCCATTAATGGGATGCTACAGCATAAGATCTGAGAAGGGCAAGTGGTTAAGCTACCTCCTAAACACAGAGATATTCTTGCAAGAACTACCATAGTAATTCCGTATATCATGCGGAATATAACAATATATTTTTGTTCCGGTGGCCGTCGAGACATCAGGAGTATGGGGGACGGAAGGGTTGAAGTTCATCCAAGATGTTGGGAGGAGGATGAAGGATGTCACTGGACCAATGTCGACAACTTTTCTCATTCAACGGATTAGTTTGGCAGTTCAACGCGGGAATGCGGCATCAATCATGGGAGCTGTCCCCAGTCAACGAGGATTAGAAGAATTATTTTATATTTTAAATGATAGGTCGTTTTATTTACAAAAATCATGTAAGGGGCCGAATGGTGATCTCGGACGCCTATCCGGATCAAGTAAAGGTTTTCCCAACCCACCAACATCGGGTTTTTCCTCTACTCCCCAAGCCAACTAAGTGTATTTCATAGTTTATCAATGTTTATGTTAATAAAACACACATTTTTTAATTATTTTTATATCATGCGAAATTACTTTGTAAATGGGGATTCAATGTAATCCATAAAAGTTCAAACAGAATTTTCTTTACATGTACTTACATACACAAATTTATATCAAGTATAGTCTCAAAAAGGTCCGGTTCTGCTAAAGTGGTCGCATGATCCTCGACGTACTTAATTACGATGACATTTGTCAAAATGGGCTCGTTCAAGGACAGCCTTACTCTTACAAATACTTACTGGTGACTGGACCATTGGTATCGCTTGTAGCTACATAAGGTGGAGTAGTCGGAAGGAAATAGTGATTTCTTTCTACAACGTGCTCCGAATTACTACAATCATAAAAAACTTTTCCATGCAAAACCAATGTCCCGCAAACGAATGAACGATTTCATGAACAAAAAAATTTGCTTCTTAATGAATAATCCATTAAAATGCATTATGGTAGGAATAAAGGCATACAAATAACTTTTGCAAGCATAAACACGTAAATAAGTAAGATGCTAGTATGCCCGATATAATTAAGTATTAGCAGGATTGTATTGTCATATTGAATCAAATTTATCTGGCTTATGTATTATTATGCATTGCTTGGTAAGATTAGTTAAGTTCCTTTTCTTTCTCAATGTCACACTAATAACATAAAATATTAAGAACTAGTAATCAAATAAATTAGTCTTGGGAGTTGAATTATTTGTCTCACTAATGAAAAATAGTGCGCATAATACAATTCACATTCCTAATACAATTTAAATATGCAATCCAAATGGCTTTTCCTCCATATTAATTTTAGCCGATCTCCCTCCTGATCCTGACATTATACATATATTATGTATGCATTATGTCCTTGTAAGCATAACAAATTGCGCATTACGGCATTACATCCGAGATTCACATAATGCAGATGGAAGCAAAATATACGCAGTGTTATTTCTACAGAAAAGCCTGTAACATTTACACTTTATCATTCTTTTCTCCAAGTGATCTTTCCAAGCTCCACCCAAAACCACAACAATCAAAGAGCCTCCTCCGACCTTGTCCCATATTTTATGCCTTCAAAGGTGAGGTATTTCTGCTCAGGTTGATCCAAGTGCCTCAATTCCTCTTCCCAAGAAAGCTCAAAATGTAACGTACATGTGATATACGGACGGATCATATTAAGCAAATTAATCCAACTCGTCCAATTACTTACCATCCATTCCCATCCGTCCGTTCAATTTACTACAAAATTGATTGCCATCTCTAACTGTAAATCACACGTCGTAACCAAATAAATCCATCGGAAAGAGCATTAAATTCGCGTTTCTACATACACCGCAGCCGTAACCTTTGCGATGCTGGTTTACTGGTGGCATTTCATGGACTTAAAAAGGTCTCGTGTAGGAAAGCAGCACTGATGGAATTGCAATTTTAATGACATGGGCATCCAAACTAGTTTAGCCATGTAGTTTTTCTCCTACGCGATGCAGCTTTCTCCCTCATGGTGCAATGCAGTCTGGTCCTGCTACGCTGCATGCAGCTCACTTTCTCCAACAAAGTCCAACCTCACTTCACTTCCTTTTCTGCTTTGCGAAAGAAAGCAGATCGAGACGGAATCAGAGAGTACAGCGAGAAGAGAGATAACAAATTTGCACTTTCACTCTGCAACACAATTTCAACATACTGCAATACACCGCAATTTCTCAATCACGGTTTGAAACTTTTCATCTCTCTCACTCTTGCCTTAGCATGTCCAGCAGCGTGTTGTTCATTCTTGCACTGCATATATGTACGTACTGATATCTGCTGTTGTAAACTGTAAAAAACCCTCCATTGTAAATTCAAAGCATCCATAAAATCATACGCACAGTCTGCATAATTTAAAACATTAGACAAGTCCAGCCAAAATAAAAACAAATAAAAAGAATGGTAAGTGCTAGTGTGTCCGGTGTCTCGACGAGATCTAAATCCGGAAAATCCGGAAAAATAGCCCCAGAAGACTTTCCTGCTTCAACTCTCTGGACATTAAATCCTGGAATCGACCCACCACCATCTCCCTCGCCGGGATTCAAGTGCAAGTGTAAACGCTGCATCAAAAGTGTAATCGTACGAGTGACCGAGCCGACAGCCGAAGCACCAGAAAAACTGAAAATGTTTCGAATCTGCGAGAAATTAATTATCAATGGTGACGACTCGGGAAATGCTTATCTCAAAATTTATGTCGGGGAAGAAGCTGAAGTCAATCTCATTCTAAAATGCGAACATATAAAGAGAAAGACACTCGATTCATGCATCATATTCGTGGACGCGGTGGGATGCATCATTTTCCGGAGTGAACGAGAGGGAGGGGTGAGAAAATTTACCAGTAGACAGTGAATATGTGTACTTGACTGACTTGTATCGCTTGATTTATTTAGGTGACTATCGTAAAAATGGGGAATGTCGTCCTTGGTCATGTACGGGGGGCGCCAGGATCTCTCTGCGTGTTTAGAAGGAATTTTGGAATAGTTGTCTCGCCAAGCACTGCATCCGAGCGGAGGATCAAGATCAGAGCAACTGGGTGTTGCAGCAAATTTTTATGTTGCTCATTTTTCAATTCCTTTTATCTCGACGAGTTTGTAATACTTGACGCGGATGGAGATGAGATTGGGTGGATTCGAAAAGTGGAAAAGGCCAAGGGTGGCGGAGCGAGTGTGGAATTTGCGCAAAATATTGGAGACGATGATACTGCGAAAGGGTTAATCTTGGTGGCTGCAGTAACATTGGTGAGTACATGTCATGATTGATGGCTACTTGGGTGTGGCTGTCTAAATATATTATTTGATTTCTTGGTATTACAGTACGAACTCTTCCTAGAGCCTCATCTCGGGTTCAGCATGGGAAAATCTGGCATAGGAAAGGTGATCGTTGGTGGGATAATTTTAAGCATAGTTGGGTTATTGGGTGCCATTTTCTATTTTGAAATTGCGTCTTTATGGGCTGGTTGATCTTACATAATTTATAGGATTACTATATATATACGGTACTGATAAGTAAGTTAAGTACATAAATAGTTCGTTACATATTTCGCCATTTGTCAATATCTATATATATAATTACGACATGAAAGCCAAACTTATAAAACATAGGAGCGAGGTCCAAATTCGCACTCGGGGAAAAAGCTGATATGCATAAATAGGATGATGAGGAGTGCAAAAATGAAATTCTGATATTAACATTATCACTCAACTCAATCCAAATTATACAAATACTTACTTACTACAGATTAATTACAAATATAATGCAAAGAATCTTGGCCTTTTATCTATTTAATTTATATATTATGTAACCAAATCAATTACTTATTGCCTTCAACATTGTCACTTTTCAATCAGTAAGTACAGTTTCGTGCATTATTAAATTACAGGATTTAATAAAATTCAACATTGCTCAATCATACTGGAGACTTAGTACTTACTTCCTAATATAGTTAGTACCATTGGTACTAACCAAGTGAGTTACTTATTCACGGTACTATATAATACTTTAAAATATATGTAGGCTAGATCACAGTGTGAATTAACCTAACTGATCGCATTTCATTCAAAGAAATTGTAATCATTGCGCTATGCTTCTTTTTACTCGCGTGCCTTGCACTTCAATCAAATCATACAACCGAGTGACCATGCGGTTTTCAAAATCATATATAGGACATTAACCTCGCTCTAATTTACAAACCACACAGTTATGGCAGATTAGAAGGATTTAGGATTTATTTCAATTTGTTGTCACTTCAAAAATAATAATTTGAACAAAATTGGAGCGCTATTATTTATAATTCAACAAATAAATATATAATTATTACAAATTGTAATTGTAAATAAAAATGTTGTTTACCTCCCAAAATAACGTATTTACGAAATACAAATTGCACTGAATTTATAATTTTAGCTCATTTCCACCCCATCACAAAAATTGCAATCAATCCAATCAACACCGCAAGGACTACTCCAAACCAAACCAGACCAGAATTTTCATTGCTTTTCTTTTGCATAGAACTAATAGAATCTGCCAATTGTTCCATGGATGATCCATGTTCATTTCGTGATCCAATACTTTCCATATCTGGAAAATATTCAGTGAATAGTTACAAACTAGTCAGTATTACATGAAATTGGGTTAGCAACTTGTCTTACCTCCGACACCTTCCCAACCATCAACAACTTCCTCTTCCTCTAAAACCCCATACTTTTCACCCAAAACTTGACCAAAGCTCTCTAAGCAATCCCTTGGTCCTTCACCAGGGAATAGATAATCACATACGTAAATCTCCTCCTTGCTCAGTTTCACAAAGACTCGTCGTGGTAGTTCATGAACTACTTTTTCTAATCCCTGACTCGCCTCAATGTTGGAATCTTCCTCAATAAGTGATTCGCAATGGAGTTGTAACCGGGCTGATAAGGAACGGAGAAGGTCGACATGTGTTGCCTAAAGGAATTTTTGGCACGTTGTTATTGTCGTTAAAAGAAATACCTTAGAAATAACTTGACTTTCTCACCATCTCTGCCCTTTTCGTACTTTCTCCCTCATTAACATATGCAATCAAGTGCATCTTCCCTCTTAAATGGAGATGGTTAATGAAGTCCCTGTTATCTCGACCCTTCCCCTTCTCCAGAAAGTACGTAGGAAGTTTCGCAACAAGAATAGAGACTGGAGCAGATTCCACATAACGTGTACTTGTCGAGGCGAGATTACCATCAAAGAGTGTCATAATTGTGTCGGAATCTTGAAGACAGTCCTGAAAAAATTTAAAAAAATTAACAGTAGAATATAAAATACCGGAAATAATTAACATTCAAATACTCTCATCATGTAAATATGTATTCACCTTCCACACTTCCACTACTCTCTCAACGCCTTCCTTCACCTCGAAAAACGCACCCTTGTCCCCTCTCCCATCGTATTGTTGTACCCCCACTCCACTTAGCCAGAAATCAACTTGCACCTTGGATAAGACACACTCCTTAAACACGACATCTAATTTTAGCGTTTTATTGCCATCCTTGTCCAGCGTAATCACGTCAAATTTCTTTCCATCAAATTGCAAGTACACCTCAGGGTCGATGAATGGTTGATACGCAGAAAATTTTGTGGATAGATTTTTTGTGAGAGAATTTAACAATGCTTTTGGAGGAGTTGAACTTATTTCAGAGGATGTTGAGTAAATTCCAAGAATATTCATCCCACCGGGGAGCATTCTGAGGAGGGAACGGGTGTGGTGGGTAAGAAGAGAGGTCGCAAGTGTGGCGATTGTCGGGGGTGTGTCTGATGGCTCGGCAGGGTTGGTTTGGGCGAGATGGAGGACTTTCACCGGCGTGGTGGTCGGGTTTTCGGGGTACTGCAAAATAACAGAATTTACAACAAAAATTCCAGCAGATTCGTAATTAAAAATGAAATGCAAGTAAACAGTTTAAACTACTTTACACTTTAACTAAACTATAACTCACCACGCCAACGATTAACCCCACTGACGGGGACGAGACATCCCTCGATTCGAGAAAGTCACGAACTGCAGGGTCAATCTGGATATGCATAATTAGCTAAAAATGAATGTTTAGCCGAAACAAAACAGAAACAGAATTTGCAAAAAGTGAAAGCAGCAGGAGTCAGCCTGTCAGTGTCAACAACAAATATCATCACCACCGCCTGCTCAATGGGCACACTTTAGTTTGGTCTGCGTGCATGCAAAAATTCTACCATCCGCGAATAAAAGTAATAAAAAGTTAAAACGCCAATTTAGGAAGAATTTTGATTTATTCTCATTTTTTAACTCGATAAATAAATCAACAAACGTTTTTGTATCTTTCCAACAAAATTTTTATTTCAGTTGAATAGCCACATAAGCATTTTAAGGACTACTATCATATGTGTAAGCCATAACATTTTTGCTACATATTACATCAAGGAGCAAAAGTGTCATAATTAAAGTTGCACAACATGTCTTACCTCTAATGTAAAATACATATCTCTCCACTAATATGTATGTAACTGCCTCTCAATGGAAACCATTAAATGAATGAATCAATAACCATGAACATAATAATATGTATGTATGTATAACGTCATCAATAAAACCCGTGCAATTTTCAACTTACAGGGTGAAAAGTGAAATAACGATTACATTCAAAATTCAGTCAGTCCATCCCACACTTATAATTATACATATATATTTCTTACACAGTATATTTCAGTTTATACTAACTATGAATTAATTAGGTACGATTTCTTTTCATTAGATTGGATTCCCCGATTTAATCATTTTTATCATCGAATGACATATGTATATCTTGTAACATTTATTTCTGCATTTTTTGTAAATAAAGCTCGAGAATAAATTTCTTGGAAAGTTTGTCTACAGTTTTGTGTACTACATAAAGATTAGTTTTGAAATTTTTAAACACTCAAGTTACACGTCGTCGTTGAACATCGTTCTGATACAAATCCAAAATTTGAGCATTGCATTCGGACACATCTTGAATGCTAAGGTACATATGTATTGCATGAAGTTGTGTCCAAATGCAATGCATATTCAACGACGAAACGTATTCTAGATCTACTTGAAATTACAACAGTAATGAATTGTTTACTAGTATCTTACTAAACAGTAACATCAAACAACATTCTCGCTTTTAGCGTATATACCCTGAATTGAATTAAACGTGAATTAAACAGAACAATAAATCGAAAAAGCTATGGATGGTGTTTTCTTTTTAATACGGCGGCAGCAGCACACAGAATGTTGTAGGGCTTTATGTATGTGTTTTTTAATGTTTTTTTTTAATTTAGCCAAATTAGCTTGTAGTTTCTTTCTGATTTTGAATATAAAGGTGTAATTTTATATCAATGATTTGATTTCTAATTTTGTTCAAAATTGGGGTTCATCTAATTACAATAACCAATTATTTAATTTATAAGAAGTGTGCATTCCATTTTGTCGAATTGAGTTTAGTTGTTGTATTTTGTTTGCAATTAAACCACGTCAGCGATAGTTCCAATTTCCAGTGCTTTGAGAAGATCAGGTCCTTGAAGAAGGTCTGCATTTCTTGACAGCGGCGCATTCACTTCACAATCTTGTCTCGTCAGCTGAATCTGGAATAGGAATGAAAATTTGTATAACCACAGATAAGTATATAGGACCTGAGTTCATTTATAATAAAGTAGTAAACTAATTTTGTACCATTTGGTTTCTATTGATTGTTTGTTGTTCATATTCTTGATCCAATAAAGTTTGAGTCAGCTCATGCATAGACAGTGGGTTCTGGCCAAGAAGCGAACCAACAAAGTTCCGCTATTAATAGACACAAATTAAAATATTAGCACGTTTAATAATGAGTACTTCCTTAATAAAACGATAAAGCAAAGCAAATTTTTATGAAACGAACCTTTCGTCCATGTTTCTGCACTCGGGACATATTATCCATGCTGGCTAATAATTCCTTATTAATCAGCGCCTGTTGTTGCAACTGGAATTGCTGGGCACGAACCAAGTCAACCAAATCAAAGCGTCCACTATTATCAGAAGATTCAGAACCTGGCGAGGATATCGATGCCGTTCCCATGGTAGTATTAGCAGTGGTAGGAGCTGCAGCAGTAGTGGTCGTAAATGAACCTCGTCGAGTTTGTTGAACTGGTACAAGAATGTAAACTTTTGCAGGCTGATCATCACCCCCATCAAGACGCTGTACTTTGTTTGGGATTTGTTCCACAAGATTCCAAGTTGCTTCAGGCACAACTTTTTCTTGCTTCACAACTTGCTGTATTTTTTTCGGTGGCTGAATCGGAATTCGCTGTTCGAAATGTGCAACTGGCTTCTCTCGAGTAATCATCTCTGCTTGAATCGCCACCATTGGAACCGCTAAAGCTAGGTCGGGTGGTAATGGGGACACTGATCCCCTAAAGTAGTCTCCACAATCAAGTTGTTCTGTTGGTGGTGATGGCGACTCGCTCAAGTCGGGCGTTGCCGTTGAGAAAAGAACAGGATCTCGTTGTCCCGAAAGCATGATTCCATCCAAGTTTAACACGACAGGAGGTTTAGGCGGCGGTGTCACTTTTACTTTAGGAGGTAGTGCAACAATGTCGAATTTTTGTACCTCGGTGTCATCGTCCAGAAATGAATATGACATATCATCTGCATCCAGAGAAGCTAGTAAATCCTCCAATAATGGGACATCCAATGGGACACATTCATCCCCAGCAATGGGAGCAAGATGAGTCAGGTCGTCCGGTTCCTCTTTTGACGCGATGAGCGTGTCATCAACATGCATGAGAAAGCCAGTGTCCATGTCTTTTGTTTTCGGCGTAAAGATTTTAGATGTTGAACAAGTCGCCTGGTTCAAAAGTGGACCCACAAGAAGATCAGCAATGAAATTATTTTCCTCTTCAACTGGACTCATAGGTGGTTCAATTTGAATCTTGATGTTATTAATCTTCAACTTCCGGTCAGCGACAGTCCGTTGCTTTGGATCAGCCAAAGCGGTGGTGGTGGTGACGGCGTCACCGATCTGGACTTCAGATAAAACTTGATCCTCTTCCTCCCTCCCACTTGTTATAAAGTGGATGCACACAACAGAGTTGGGCCCCTTGTTTGAACCATTTTGGCCACTGATGACGGTGGCTTGTGTGATGATCCAAATCCAACCGCCACCCTTTGTAAGAAAGCGGTAACGATCTGTCTGATTCTGATCCTTGTCATACACTATGCAAAATTTAAAAAATGAGATATTTTCGTTTCCTAATCATTTCTGCTGATGGCATACATACAGTCCATTTATTTACCATACGACCCTCGACGTCACCACTGCAATGCTATTAGTAATGAGAGTGATGACGTCGGGGATCGTATGGTAAATAAAACAAGAGTATGTATCTCTTATCGACTTACATGATTTAAATGCCTTCCCAATTCCCTCACCATCTCCAGCATGGTTAAATTCAAACAGCGACCGACCAATCATTTCCTCTGGTGTGTATCCAAGCAATTCCGCGACGGCGTCATCCACATAGTCAAACTATAATGAAATAATTTGATCAATTCACACAATCTCAAGCTTATCGTCATCTTGGGGTATTTAATTTACAAGAAAACAATAAAACCGATGTAAAGATGAAACTTTACACACTCTTAGTAATAAATAATAGCCTGGACACAAATTGATAATTTTTGTACACTTGAATCCATGTTTACCTTCATATCTGGGGTATGTTTGCTCAAAAATGTTTGCTTGTTAAGTGGGATATCCACATCAGAAGGATGAAGAAGTGGTTCACAAATGGAGATAAACCATTGATTGTTGTTGCTGTTGTTTTCCTCTTCCTCCTCCTCTCCAGCTGCACCCACACCTTCCATCATGCGTCCGATACAGTTTACAACTTTGTAGTTAGCCGATCTCAAGTGGGCATTTCGTCCACGGGATGACACGGTGCATTTCATCCGAAATAGGGCAGATCTCTTTCCGCCTCCACCTGAACTAGCCTCGGCAACTTCACCGACTTTCAACATGCTTCGAATATCATTGTGATCATATTGGTGGCTGAATTCGAAAATGGACTGCCCCATTATTTCATGCTGAAAGAAACATATGGACGTTTTAGAAGCATGTCAAGTTTTCTTATAGAAAACTAAAATACAGACTTTCTTATCAAATAAAAATCATTATTCGTTGCTGTGTATACCTGTGAAATCCCCAATTGTGTCGTTATCCCTTCTGACGCATAAATGACATCTCCATCCAATCCGAATACAAGAATGAAACCCCCCATTGCTTGATTCATTTGGGACTCAAAGTCGGAATTGAAGAAACTTGGCAATTTAATTTGATCTTTTTTGACCGGGTGACCGTTCCAAAATCCTATTAACACAAACAAAATAATAAACAATTAATTCCTCAATTATCAAAATCAGTGATGTACATTAGTAGATGTCTCAAAACTTACCACTACCATTAGCCACAGCCTTCATTATCTTCTTGAGGCGAAGATTACATAAGGTCAACCGCATAACAGATGCTTTATCAAGGGTCTGGAAAAATAATCACTGATCAGTGAATTCCCACGATAACCAATTGAGTTATCCAATGTACACGTTAACTATTTAAATTAATATTTCCCAATTTCTTGTCAAAATAAAGAGTCAATTTATGATACAGAGAGAGCGAGGTAAAAGAGCGCATTAAATTTTGTTATTTTTTTCTCCGATTCTATTTTTTGGAACTACTTAAATTTCACGTTTACTTTTCACGAATCGTTGTCATATAAATGTCTGCAGGATTATAGTTAATTATTTATTGTTGAATATATGCACGATAAACACAGCGATAAATAGACAAATCGGTATATTTATGGGACAATTCAAATAGAATGCCCGAAACGTGCAGGCAAGACGTCAACTCAACTCAAGACGAAACGTGTTCGCGTTTGGCTTGATCGTCTGCTGGACGAAATGAGCGTGATGCGAGCAAACACTCACAGCAGAGGCCCCAATGCTCGGAGAGAAATGTTTGTGTAGGCTCCGTCACTTTTGCCTCAGTTTGTCTTAAAAGATTTACAAGTTATCAATTATTATAAATAATGTTATTCTGTTTTGAATCAAGTGATTAAATTGTTTGGAGATAAAAGTAAACGTTAATCTAAAAAGTAAATCAAAGTTAAATAAATTGAGGCTTGAGAAAGTAAGGAAACTGATCTTTGATTGAAAGGTGAGTATTTATTTGAAATAAGTCGTTCCTGTTGGTGGATTCAAAGTGTCAAAATTAAGTTGGTGCTTTGCGATAGTTTGTGATTTGATCGTTTACAATTAAAACTATTATCTTTTGGATTGGTCAGTAAAATGTCGAAGAGGAGAAAGGATTCCTCGGAGGAGGACCCGGAGTACTTGCCGGATGACGAGATCTCCATTCTTTCTGACGGCGATGCTGATTTCTGTAAGATTAGTGGTCTAATTGTTTCTGTTATTTTCATCTTATGTTAGTTAAGTCCCTAAAAAAGCATTAATTATGTCATTAATAGTTAAGCCGAAGAGCTTAGAGCATCGTTACACGTCCAACTCTCATTCAGTTAAGAAAAGAAAGAGTACGTTTTCACGACGTTCAAAGCATCTCCACGAGAAAGGTGATTTTTTTTCTTTACAATTAATGAATACTTTTGTGTCGTCAAGAACATATTTAATCGTGTAATTTCAAATCAATTAGCAGTAATTAAAAATTACGGGTACTTTAATTCCAGCAAAAATCTCTAAAAGTAATGATTTGTTCGATGAATTGGATGACGAGGATGAGGAATCGAATGGTACGTATTGTTTTTATTGGTGATGATTCTAATGTCGTTAAATCTTTTTATGAACGTTTAATTTAATCCATTGTTTTACTCAGTAGGACATTACCGGCGTGGCTCTAGCCTAAAAATTCTTGTCGAGCGGCCGAATCCAGAACGGGTACCTCTGAAACGGTTGTGGACGCCCGTGATCATTAATAATTGTGAGTTTTATTTATTCATGTGACAAATATTCGTATAGGTAAATATGTAGTGCATGATTAATTTTTTCATTTGTGCAGATGAAGGCAAAAAGTCCGATATTCCGACCCCCAGTTCACTTAAAATTTTGGAATCATCAAGTAAAGGTAGGGAAATATATGGGGTTCTATATTACTTTCACAAGAAAGCTATTTGTAATATAAAAAGAACTAACGACTGAGCTTCGTTTTCCCGAAACAAGTCAATATTTTGTTAGTTGTGCATAAGTCTGAACGTTTTCATGACTCTTTACCCATGTAATTTCAGGTAATCGAAACGTTAAACTCCAAGATGTCTACCAGTCTCGAGGACGACCCAATGTATCAAGTGTTAAGCGTGGTAATTTGCTTGTAAATTATAAGTAAACGTTTAAATTAAAAGTGCTGTAAAACATTCAAATTTTGACATTGTCTGGTTAAAGATGTTCAAGTTCATCGACTTGAAAGACGAGGTCCTTACCCTTCCACCATAACGCGTCCAGAAAATGTCCAAGACGATGAGGCAATCTTAGGTATGAATAAACAAATTTCCGATGCCGAACTGACCGAAACCCACAAAGGATGGTCCGTCCGTCGAAAGGACAGTCCCAGACTAGCCGAAAGGGTGAAAGGACAGTCCCGGACTGGTCGAAAGGGTGAAACGACAGTCCTGGACAGTCCCGGACTAGCCGAAAGGGTGAAAGGACAGTACCAGACTGGTCGAAAGGGTGAAAGGACAGTCCTGGACTGGCCAAAAAAGCAAAAGAACAGTCCTGGACTGGCCAAATTCTATAAAGGACAGTATTAAGCATGTGTAAGTATATTTTAATTTATTATTTACAGACACCAGTCACGAATATAATGAAATCGACCTCGTGAGCAGCTTTACCCCGATTTCAGAGGACGACGATGAATGTGTGGTTCCGTCTTTGGGTGTAACATGTGACAAGGGTAGAAATTCATGACTTTCTATTTTATCGTATCATAAAAAGTATAACTAAATCGAACTTCGTTCCATGATAACCAACAGGAAAGACTCGATCCACCAATAAAGGACTCCCCAAACCACGCAGCCGTGAAAGGGAACCATCTAAACCAAAGGTGGATTATGACGAACGTGCAACGTCCCGTACGTGTAATATAAATTTTGTGTTGATATGTGTGACGTAGGATATGATCTAACACTGACTTAATTGTCTCTTTGGTATAACTTGCAGATTCAACTGTGAATATTCCCTTACAATCAACTTGTATACGTGCAGACGACGTTGACGAGATTCATCAAATTGAAGGTATTGAAAGAATATAAGCAACATATTTATCGTGTACGTCGGATACCAAAACTTCAATTATATTCCACTGAATTTAGTCGTGTAAAGTATCATTTATTTTTGACGTTCCAACAGATCAAATAATCTCGAAAAATCCTAACGTGATTCTCAAATACGGATTATCAGAGATTGAGTTTAGTCCACCCGTTTCACCAAGGACAATGAATGACCCTCCAGTTTGTTTTGAAGTAATTGTGAAGTTCGCAGATGGCCAGTTAGTGAAACTGAATCCAAAACGTGAGACAAATTCAAATTAGTGCTCCATAAACTTTCAGTTTTTTAATCGATTGCATGATGAAAAATTATTTTTTTGTGGTCCTCAGAAATCAAAACTCCAGTGGAGCCTACACCTCCTTCCTTACCACCCCCTCCACCATCACTTCAGTCATCTTCACTTCCCCAGACACGAGTTTGGTATGGAGACAAACCCAGACATGCAGAACATGGTGACATTTGGGAGAAGGAACAGGGAAAGCGCTACCGGTACTTAGTGACTAAGACTTCCAACAGAAAACAATGGAGATTACTGTGTTCCAAATGTGATTCTCGAGCCAAGGCGAAGGGAACATTATGTATCTCACATACTACAGGAAGGTTCGTATAGTGACAATCACAGCACAAAATAAACCGATAAACGTCAGTTGCAGAAAGGGGTTTCACCCCTTAATAAAGAAACTACAAACTTACATTGTTTAGGTTGGCAAGAAATTCACCACTTTACAAAAATGCAAAACCTGGCGCTATTATTACAAACGAAATAACTGGAAGTAGAACGCAGTTTGATGGGAAAAAGTGGGCACCAATGTGTAGTGTCAGTGAATGTCAAAATCAGATGTTAAGGGGTTAGAGACGGTTTGGATTTTGTCCACAACATTTGAAGAAAAAGTAAGCTTATGTTATCCTTTCACGTGTACTGAATGTAACTATAATTAATAATCCCCATTTATTGTAATGAAGCAATGGAAATGTCAGCATTTGGGGGATGACAGTGAACGAACCAGTCTGGTCCACCGGCATGCACTATTATGAATTACACGGAGTTCGCTAACATACAATATGCAGCTAAAGAACATGTTAACCAAAGAGGATGCACTGATCGGTAGGAAACAGATAGTTGTATACGAAATATATATCTGCTAATCTGTACACGTTTAAAGTGAATTTGTCTGTTCCCTGTGCAGCCATCTGTATAACGCCGGTTATACTCCTGATATAAAGGGAGCTTATGTTCTCATCGAAGTTCCACTTGAGTACAAATATAGTGCGAAACTCGAAGCACGGGAACTGACTTGTTCTATTAAAACATTTGGTCGAAAGAACATTCGAACTTTTCTCCCAGAACAATTAAAGTTACAAATTTCAGAAGCTATTGTACAGAACCTCAAGAAATTTCCACAACCTACATTGCATGAAATGAGTAACATGGAGCATTGGAAGAATCACACAGCTGTTAGTTATCAACAACACCTGCTAATTTTTATAATGTTCACGTTCACGTGTTCTTATGCAAATGTTTATTCTTACAGTTCCAGCAACACCTGAAAGACAACCCTTTTACGCTAAAACCGGATGAGATGGATCTTATAGTACAAAGAGTATATGAAACTATTAACGACGGCAGTGCAGCACCTCATTTGCAAAATAAGGATAACAAGAACAAAAACCAAGAGGAGGGTGAAAGTGACCAAGAAGAGGATGAAAGTGACCAAGAGGAGGGTGAAAGTGACCAAGAAGAGGATGAAAGTGACCAAGAGGAGGGTGAAAGTGACCAAGAAGAGGATGAAAGTGACCAAGAGGAGGATGGAAGAGGTTAACAATATATGACCATGATACGACAGAAAGTATTAAATTATCTATTTTTAGTAAAATTAACGAATAAATACGCGTGAACTTCATTCCTGATAAATGTTTAATACTAGTTGACGAACGAAAGGACATTCCAAAAGCGGACAAATAATGTCGATAGTTACTTTACCATTCCTTTATCCAAGGTGGCTTTTGACGCCTCGAAAATTGGTAGGGATGCAGAAAGATCGTTGAAAATCTCACATTCCTTTCCACGTCGACATCTCGCCGCAACTTTCGACCTTTCACGACGTTTCTCGGCATTCTTTAGGCTAAATTTGGAATGGAAAACAAATTAACGTTAGCATTACGTCGAGAAAATTCCAGTCCAATCATCTAACAATATCCAACAAATTAATTGATATCATTCATTCGTGAGTCATGCTTTTGACGTGTAGTTGTATTTTTGTATTTTCACAAAGAAAGTCTCTGCAAAATCACGAAAGCAGGAACCTATGACATTTTATCAAAAGAACGCATCATAAAAATAAGGCTCGCTCACGCTCGGAGCTCGATCCAATTAACCAACTCCGTATCATCTCTCTCTCTCTCGTTATGTCTTGAAAAGTTGAAAATGTCGAAAACAACTCCAAAAATAAGCTCTCCGCTTTCCTGACATGATTCTAACAAACAACTTCCTTTCCTAATTAACTTTCTCCAATCAGAAAAGTAAGTCACGTTGATAGGACATGCTCGTTAGTCTCTTGTTAATTGCTTTCTCTCTCCTTTCCCCATTTCCCTGTCATTGTAACGTATTTATCAAGTGAATTCAAGCAAAACTAAATTCCAGGAAACACAGTTGTCAACAAAATTATAATTAAAATGTTCGTGCTCTCGCAGACAGAAATCGACCCAATTTTATTTGAGTCAAAATCAAGCAACCCTTAAAAGCAATTAATAGCCAAATATTCAACAAACACAAGAGGAAAGCACGGCAAATATCTATGGACGTCAACGCGATTTCATCATCATCAATACTTACTTAATTATTATTCTCTAACTGCTAGGTCGATCACTATCTCATATAATGTACTAAAATCCCATCGCAGTTACAAACGATGCTTAAATATGAAATCAATAAAACTTCCATGCCTCCATCAGCTAACCAGCCTTGTTCTTGAATGACATTGATGTGGTGATATTGGAGCAGTACTCGCGACGACGTGGTTGATAAAAATTCAGAATGAAAAAAGCACTTTCATGACTAGCATCTAGGTATATAAGTATACGAAAGAATGACAAGTTTTTTTCTTTACTTTCCTCATGTCACATATGAAAAATCTACATACCATGCACAAGACAGCCACTTAAATATTCTTCCCTGCTATTAATCCTAAGGAGGAACTGCATATTAAAATATTTCCTTCCCATGTCTAAAATATGTAAAATGCATTTTTTTGCTACCTTCTTATTAATTGACAATAATTTTTTTCACTCCATGTGTCTCAAGGATCCTACCATTTGTGAATATTCAACCTAAAATTGCATTTTTCTGCAAACTGGTAGTAATCTTTAATAATCCAGTGAGGTCTGAGGTACCCTCTGTAAAAATTCAAACCAGTTCTATATGCAATTTCTTGTTTCATGAATTTCATTAGAGTTGAACTAGTAACTTCATCCAAAGCGGAATATATGCTTCTTAAGATATAAGTTACATTCATTTGTTCCTTTCCTACCAACTTGCCACAAATAATATTTAATGCAGTTTCATGTATAGTTGGTTTGATAAAAAGACTTTTGTTATACGAAGACTACTGAACAAAGAGAACTCGACTCTACATTCAGACATCATAAGCCTTTCTCTTTTATTCAGCCAACCAACATGGTACAATGCAATGCAATACTTTGTTCATGCTTCCCCCACGTGAGTGAACTCGACCCAGTACTGACTACGGCACTTTCCTTACATAAAGCAACCACTGCGAACTAAACTCTTGGTCACGTAGCCACTTTTCAACCAATTCCAGGAGCGTCGCATGCAGATTACACGTCTTTGAATGAGATAACTCCTTATCCGCCTAAACTTGAGGTAATCACGAGACATAATTCTATAATATGTTTGGCATTGAAACTGGTATACATTTTCGGGAAGAACGTCCCTTTCATAAAATATGTAGTGTTGTTGGGCTGGATTTTGGAAATGCTTGCCTCTGTCCACAACGGAACATTTCAATTTTAATAATAACCTATGGCTGGACTGGAACTGAATGGTTATAACTGTTGTTTATTAATACGATGGCCACGAAGGACGGCTAGTAAACACATAGAAGCATATCGCATATTTCACTCTTGAAACTAGAAGGAAAATGAGCCCATTAAACAAGTTCACTACTACACGGACTGAATATTATTTACTACGCTTTGCTAAAAGTCCATTCGTCGAAAAATATTTGTGAATGCAGCAGCCGAACTTTGAGGCGGCTCAAAGTTCGAGTTTTTGGAGAAGCCACAATAATCCCAGAATCTATAATTAATTTATAGTCTATAAACCGGTCAATCAATACAATTTCGTAACACGAAATGAAATTAATGCATGAGCCAAATGATAAATGAAATCCAATTTTGCCAAAGGAAACTTGATGTGTGACAATGACATTTTGACATTATTGCTTGTATTCCTTTTAAAGAGAGACCAATACCAAATCATGAATGACAAAAGGAGAGAGAAAGCCTCTCTGAATCTAATTGAATATTCAAATACAAATAAGTAACTTAAAACTAGAAAATCTCTCAACCTCACACACATTGTCGTTGTCCTTCTTTTTCAAAATTTGCAAAGATCCAAGAAAGACATCAAATATATTCTCTCCAACTTCTTGCAAATTTTGCACTCCAACTCTACTCAGCCCACTTTTCAATTAAACTTTGTGTATTTAAATTTATGAAGCACTGTCAAGTGAAACACACATTAGTCTAACTAACTAACGAACTGAACACTTCAATAAGTCATTCCCCTGCTTGCTACCCAGATGCAATTAAATAAAACATTTTCACACTTTGACCTTGTCTTGATCATGCTGGACAAATCCATGAGAATATAATAATGCTAAAGTTACACATTCGTCCTGTCCTTTGTGTCGGCTTATCTTGGCTTCAAATGAGACGATAAGCTCAAATAAACCCGACATATTCGAACAATGGCCAATAAATAGAGAAATATAATAAAATCCTGCGACGACACCTCCAACTGCTGCCTCTATGTACTTATGATTCCTATCTTACTGATTTGTGATTGTTAGATGCTGCTAACTAACTAACTACGCAATTAAAAATAGCTAACCTCTTGGCTTTCTTCGCATTCGCGTCCATTCTGACCCCTTTCGTCACCGCCGTGGTGTTATTCCTTTTCCTGATGTCGGATTTTTCTACAGGAACCTCCCCCAGAATCCCGACACCCGATGCTGATATGAACAATGAGATTGATTTGATGCTGCTGCTGATGATGATGATCTTATCTTCCTGGTAATAGTCGTCGTCGGTGATGCTATTTATTAAAGTGAAGTGATGATGATGACGATGGTTTCGACTACTGGATAACTTGAAACTTCTCGATTCGATAAATGGTTGGTTTGCTGGTACAATTAGTGATAAGTCGGCTGTCTGATTTTTAACACCGCGTTTCGTATGTATTGACTAAATTGAAATAATAATGCCTCACACTTCAGACAAAAGTTCTTCAGGGAATATACGCTCAAAACTCGAGTTGTTTTTAGTTTTTGCTTGTTTGTTAGTAAATAATTCACTACGGTGGAGGAATAAAATTAAAAAATATAAACTAGCTTAAGCAGCTACAAACGATTTTTTCCTGCGTCTCTTCATTAAAAGTTTTGTAATATCACAAAATAAATAGTCTGTTTACTAAGTCCTCAATGACCGTGGTTCTTTCGCCACGACGAGATTATTTCTTGGTGGGGCGTTTTGGGGGCCGGAGATCCTTGGCTGCTCTTACGATGTTATTAAGTACTTATCGTCATTAATTCGGATGTAACTCGTTAAACATGAATGTTCTTCACCCGATGTCACTTGTCACTCCGTGATTACGACGATGCTTATCTGGTTGGTAGTGGTGCGAATTTGATAAGCGAGCCTAAGGTCTTGGCTTACTTTTTTCCTCCTTCGTCTAATTTTGAAGCAGGTGTTTAAAACGGAAGGTAGAAAACTTAAAGTTTATGCACTTCGAACATGAGACAACGTTCGGCACGTGATAAACCAGTTATCTTGCGGAGGTGAGAACGCGACTTGAAACTTTGCATTTAATTTCTAAACCTGCGACAGTGGATAAAGTCCTGTGATCTAACTGGACATGTTGAGTGATTTTTCTAATTGAGTTGTGGGCACCCTTTATTTAATGGTGAAAGTCTGGATAAGGTTGTTTGGAAATTTTGCAGATGCAGTAGTGAGGTGACAACAAAATATAATGTGCACTCTGAGAAAGTGGTGGATTGAATGTGAGGAAGGAGAGAGAGGAGACAGTTGAGTCGTTTCTATGGTGGTGGCTCTTTGGCTGGTGTTGTTTTTGAAGGCGAAATAAATGGTGGAGCAAAATCTGTGTTATATAAAACGGATCGTGCACAACGTGGGGGTTTGAAATTCACAAATTAAGTGAGACTATAACAATGTGCAAAAATAACCCGTCGGAAATTGCGAAAAGTGTGCCAGTAATCCCGCAAGGGATATTATGCGACTTAATTCGTCCCTTTAAAAGTGGGGTCATGGCAAGTTATTTTTATTGATTTTGAGGACAAATACTTTGAAATTTGAAACAATCACAAACCAATGAATCAGAACAATAGTTACAGTCTAACCTTAATAACAATAACAGGGGAAATGTAGCATAAAATCTTGCAAAAGATCATCATAAAATATCACATGAATGGAGCACGAGAACAGAATAGAAAAGACGAGACAAGTCCTTCGATTATATTCCAGAAGGATCAAACATTAAAAAAATGTTATTATGCAAAGAAATAGAATCTTTACAATTTTCAAAATATGGTGAAATCTCTTCAAAATCTCAAATTTCCCAACTTTACCCAGTATGTCTGCATCCACCTTTTACAATGTCTATAGACACGGGCTCTTGTAACATTTACGTATGTACTTACAGATGTATGTGTAGCACCATATTTTGCTGGCGTCATCTCAGCATTGCATTAACTGTGCGAATATCACAATATTTGCGCAAAATGAGAAGATGAGAATACTATCTACTTAGCATTCCTAATGATCCTCTTCTCGATTTAAGAGAACTTATATTTAAGCCACCAATATCTCATCGGGGCAGTCTCATTTTGTACGTCATAGCTTTTGCCTGGGTTAAAAATTTCCTACGCAAACGATACAAATCTCACCTAAAACTTTATCTGCGGATGAGATTGAAATAATAATAAGAAGACCACGATTGGTTCATATTTTTACTGTTTAATTCAAATGAATAAACAAACCTTTCCAGTCAATTCTTACTTTTTAGTGGAAATGAATAATGCATTTCTATATGGATTTTGGTAGCTTATGCAACTTGTTGTTTAACACATTACTTTATTATTGCAGTTATTATGTTTTGTGGGGTTTAAATTCTGAAATAGTAATGTAGACGTTCTGCAGTAAAACTATGCAGTGGTTTGGCAGTTGGGTATTATTGTGCTGCGTTTTATTTTTAATGTCGTGTAGATACATACATACTTTCCAATAGTTGCTTTTGTATGCAACATGCGTATCAAATATGAAGAGAATGTGTTTTGTGAGGACTTTGTACCGAGATGATGGCATTTTACACACTTATGTAACGAGATCAAACGTGTTATGCAACAGTAGTTGCCATTTGCCAGTCTCTGTTGAGTCGCAGATTTTGCCTCCTGCATGTATGTAATTCGGATCAAGTTATCTGGGTAGTGTTTTATAGATACGTATAATTTTGCGCATGCAGAAAGTTCTAAATTATTCGATTGAGGCTTGGCCGGAACCAAAAACTTTGAAGAAATTTATAGAAATTTAATCGTAATCATTACATCTGGCTGTATAATTTGCATTTAGTTATCCTCGGTATTTATTTGTCTTGAATCAAGATCTTGGTTTAATATTGAATTTGATTTTTTGAATAAATGACTTAAGCAAAATAACCTGATCCTCCTCTTATTCCCATGAACGAGGATAACGCACTTTTGCCTCGATTCTGCAAGTTGTTGTTAATATTGGGTCGCTGTGCGTCACAACCTAAATAAATGCATGATGTACCATTGTTGTATGGTAACTTGTTATTTGGTTGTTGTTGTTGTTTACTGCGCAAGCTGCATCACGGTTGCCAATTACCATTGCAAAATTACAATCAAACTCATCTCATGACTAGAGCTTAAAATGCATCCACTCACTTCCTACTAACCAAATATCCTCTGCATACACATATGTATACAATACTTTGAAGAATATTTAGACACATATACCCAAGCAAACACAAGGCAATGTTGTTGCTTTTGGTATTTCCAATTTATCTCTCTGAATGGTTTAGATATACTTGCATTTATATTATTCATATGACTAAACGATGATTTTTCTAACTCTCAAAAACACGACAATTCAAGCAAACTGTAAATATACTAACATGCAAACATTTTAATATAAAATGTAATACATATTTTGTGATCCAGAAATGTACATATACTAAGGTTTGATATATTTCAAGGATTTTATTGCATGTATTAATAGAAACTGGACAGAGTGGTCTGACAACCTTGAAAATTGAATTCATTATGAACAATTGTTTCCATCTCGCCACACTTGCACAAATAAATATACATATGTAAAATTTCATAACCAATAGTCGGTTGGCAATAAAATTTCGGAATGATAGAATTTAAGTCATGTAAGTGTTATTAAGTTTGCTAATTTCATTTGTTCGTGTAAAGTACCAATAACATTCCAACCTTTGATAATTAAATCCTCCGCTTTTACATTCCTCAGCTTCTTCACCAAGTATTGGGCATAATTGTTGTAATTTTTGAACCGCCTTTAAAATTATTTAAATTACTATGGACAGGCATTAAGTAATTTAAATCCAAACTTTTGTAAACATTGATATATTATGGTACTATTTAATTGCAATTTTAACGACCAACTTAACCCCTTATTGTGGTTGAAGGTTAATAAGTTACATGTTACATACCACATGTGTAACTGTATGATTTAGTGAAAAGTGGCGTTGAATATCTGGATATTAAATATTTTGACTCATGGAATTGTACAATGTAGATTATATAACTCTAATGATACAATTCTAAAGTTCATAATTCCTAGCACATATATAATATACATAAATATGTATATGTATATATACTTAAGTATGCATAATGTGCATAGACTTAAATAATATTGTCTGTATTTAAATCTATGCAACACTGGAAATACAGATAAGTGAGAAAGAATTTAAAATTTCATTTTGGCCATCGTAAAAAGTTTGGTTTATTATCTTTGCATTACTTGCACATCTATATCCACACATATGTAGATATGTATGAGGCATGACAGTCAAATTGGGAAAATAATTTAGTGTACATAAATACATATATGTCTCAACTACTTAGTTACGCATTGCATGTACATATGTGCATACGGGTTGGGTGATCATGAAATTCAGTTCTGCATACATATATGCATATGCTACCCATCAATCTTTAATAATTATCTAATGGATATAATTAAGCGAAATCACGTATTTATTAATAATCGATCAACATACCTTAAATTATTATTTAGTCTCTTGTAAGCTTAATTAAATATGTATATTAGTCTCCCTGTCTGCATATTATACTGACCCGATTTCTTCGTAGGAATATGTATTTGTCCAACTTCTCTTTGGTTTATACATATGTCGCTAATGAAGTTTCAAACAAGTCATTGCGTGTTTAACTATCAATGTACATATGTAAGTCGTCAAAATCGTGTGTTGATATACGAGTACATTCTGACACAAACCACTACTTCAGTACATACAATCGAACCAAAATTTGAACTCCAAACTTCAAGGACAGAACAGAATAATGACAAAATACCAAGTTTCGTTCGGCGTAAAACTTTACTCTAAATTATTGAACTGGATTGCATATTTTATGTGGTGGTTGGAGCTATGAAATAATTTTTGCAAACACCCAATAATAAAAGACATGCCACTCAATGATACATATTTCATGTTTCATTCGTCAACAGCTTAAAATTGATGAAAATCTGTATGTATCTGTATTAATTGCAATCATAATATCGAAGCAAAACTCTCGTCCAATTCATTCTACCATATCGATTTGATACAAAAATTGTGTACTTATTACTAATTGGCGACTTGCACGATTCCTTACCTTCCATGACGACCTCGTAAACATTCTCTTATTAAACATCATCGCAAAAATAAGCAAAATACTTCCCTTGTCTCTAATGCCAGTGTATCTCAGTACCATGCTCAGATGCACAATATATAATCCAGAAATAACCAGAATTTACTGGTTATAGCTAGTATTAATTAGATATAACTGAAATATATTATACTAATTTATCTCATCAAGTCATCCTCTGATTTATTTTTAAATGTTTAGACATGCACATTTTTTAGTAACGTATAATTAAAAACATTATTGGTGTAGTTGAACATTTGCATGACAATTACCATTCAACTGAATTAAAAAACGATAAAAATTATATAATTGAATTTTGGCTAAACATATTTGTAGTTGTAGTGTGGTGAATTTTATAAGATCAGCACACAGTCATTAGGCAATTAGCAAATTTACGTTCTTAAAATTTCTGTAACTTTCCATATCTCTTGAGTTGGGTCAAAATTTACGGAGCCGATGTTGAAATTACTCTTCAGGGTGCTCTGGACATATTTAATATTACATATCTCCGGAAATTTAAAATATCTGTACATGCACGGATGGGTTTATTTCATCTTTATTTAGCTACATGCATAGTAAAATTAAACAAGGTCCCTAAAAAGGGGAAATCTTAGTGAGGGAGTGCAATCACAACTAATAAATAAAATTAGATTGGAGAATTTTTGCATCACCGCTCTCGGTTCCATTCTTACTGGATGCAGTATAAATTTTTCTTTGCATACGCATGAATTCTTAGTTTTATTGAATAAATTGAGGAAGGAATACATTTTTACTGTGTAGTGAACGAGAAGTGGGTTAAATTAACTGAGGTAGATATGTAAGATTTAATGACCAAATAATTATGAGCTACGTATTTGTTTAAAAAAATATACAAATTTCAATTTCATATATTAATTTGGCTACTCTATGCAAAATCATCGAACCTTTCGAGGGAGCAAGTGTTCTATTTAAAGGATTAATGCTTCCAGTAAAAATGGTACCGAGAGCGGTGATGCAAAAAGTCTCCAATCTAATTTTATTTATTAGTTGTGATTGCACTCCCTCACTAAGATTTCCCCTTTTTAGGGACCTTGTTTATTTATAACTTTTAATTGGGTAATTAGATTGTCCATTGGATGACTGCATTGCACTACCCCTTTTCAGTAGTTTGATGCGGAATAATTTTATTAAATGCTGGGTGTTTAAAATTGAATAAATCCGTTATTTCTTAACCGATTTATATCATTTTGGTCAAAATGTCCGGCCTAGATTACTAAACACCAAAAGACCTGATCTGGAGGTGCAACACCAACAACAACAATTTCACGCAACTTACCGAGCATGTTACAGAAGCGATTAGTTGTGCTGTTTACAGTTTTGAATGTAATTTGTTTTCAATTTATTAGTCTTGCGTCGTTGTCAATGGCAATGATTTGTAGCACGAGCAGGAATTTCTGAACTTCAAATTGGAATAACTAAGCCAATTCTTAACGGATTTTGATATATTCATACTTAAAATTTTCGGGATAAACTGCCCTACAATTCGTGGGTATCAAACTGTTGATAACGTTTGCTAGTAACTAGCAATAATTACAAATGTGTTTCTAAGGCTACATTTTTGCCCATAATTCCGGTCAAGATCACGTAATCGCTTAGTCGGATCAGATCCCATTTCTATATTATGTAACAATAATCGGTGCAAAATTTGATCAAAATCGGTTGAGAAATGACTGAGATATCGCAGATGGTCACTTTTTTGGGGTGGGTCAAATGCATACTTAGTAATTTTTTTCGTTGTTAGGTATTTGCCTCACTAAGAATAAAATAAATTCCTGAATGAATGAATGAATATTCCAAGTTTATAAAAAAAAATTTATATTAATTTGAAAAATGCAACCTATCATCACCATCCTATGTTAAGGTCACCTGAATTCTATACAAACATATGCCGTAGTGCGTATGGTGTCATGTTTTAACGCGCAGGGCCCATTTTGCATAAATACAATTACACAGTTGACATGTAAGAATTTGTGTAATAATTTGCTTGTTCTGAACAATTTTGATTTATATACATAGAGTACGAGAACAACTTGGATTATCTAGGATGGAAGTCTTAAAGGATTGTGGCGTGGGCCGATTTCCATGTCCATATTGCAAAATATTTATAAATAAATCAAAAGATGCTCACCCTAGGAGATAAAATGTAAATTAGTACAAATATTTTGCAATAATATCCAGTTAATACTGGTTATTACTAATAAAGCCTAGTTCTTTCTGGCTTTGAGTGTTTATCTTGAGACGTCGACCTGCATTTTTAGTAAAACATTAACTATCTATACAATAAGATTCATAAGGCAGAAAGTAAAGCATGGAAAACAAATTGTGTCACACAACCTTGATTAATGTATAGCAATATTTTGAATTTAAATTTCGTGTGGATTACGATTACGATTTCTCGGAAACTTTTAAAATTTGGTAACTACGATACAAATTATGGGACTTATTAAGTAAATCATGGTAATTTTGCTTGTCCGTCCATACACATTTTCAAGTTAGTTTCATATCGCTTTAGAAATCTGAAATCTGTGGTAACAGTCAACGCGACAATTCACCTTGACGGCTATCATACAAGTGTGTATTTAATCAAAGTCATGGTTATGTCATCTTATCCTTAGTGTAACTAATTATTAATTAGCGATTCATATTATTTATATGTACTTATGTAAATATGTACACATAGATAATTCAAAAACAGTGACTCAGTTCTAAAGTAATGCTTATTGTAAACAATCAATATTTCATGAAATTTGAAACCTTTTGCATATTTATATTGTTAAACCCTTGCCGTTTAATAGAGCCATTGAATTGATCTTTCAAGAAATTATAGTGGTTTTCTCTGAATTTGTGTCGCATAGTTGTTAACGCTAGAGTGATGACCCGACAGTCGGTGACCGCGGAAGCCGTGGGGACATCTGGGGACATTCACATTGCAGAATAGGGGAGCGAGGGGTTTATGTAACATTGGCAAATGATGGGGAGATCGGATAACCGTGGGGACAATGTCCCTCTGTCCACACGTGTCCACGGCCACTGTGGAATGCTCCTGACTTTGATCATATGTAATTCATATTATTCGATATAAATCACTCTTTATGTAACTTAATTCGTGTTTTTATGGATCTACATTCATAAAAACTACTTATTTATCTATCTACAATCTACGTACATATATAAGTAATTGTGTGTTTCAGTCTTCATATTTCCATCCACCTATTGAAACTGACTCGCGCTATAATTTTGCAAAATTCATTATTTAATTTCATCCCATGAATGTTTTGCCTATATATTCAATGACTGTTTGAAACTAAAGGTTAATTCATAGGAGTACATAGATAAAAATGTGTACGTATTACAACATATTAGTTTTATCCTATGCAGACCTTGTAATAACAACTTTCGACCAGTAAATCCTCAGCAATTATGCTTCTAAAAAAGTCTGAAGGTCAACACTTATCTACATTCTCCTACTCTGTACATATTTAGCTTCATCTTTTGCGAGTATCACAGTTGGATATCACTTGGTTGTCTAAGTCAGTTGGTCAATTTTTGACTATTTACTTCTACTTCTAAAAATGACAACGCCAAATCTCTGGAAATCTGTGGGGACATACATGTCTTTATATCAGACTGTTTCCAACTATCCCGTCATGTTTACAAATAGTCGCCCACGTTTGAAAACCTTAACGGGCTTCACCTCCCTACAATTTTTCTGGGTGTCAATTTTTATTAATTCCTTCGCCACTATGTGTGGCATATTTGTAACTATTGGACGATGGTTGAAGATACCGATGTTCGCAGATATTCCATTATGGAAAGTTTTGTTCGTTGGGGGTGTCACTGCAATCGGTATTATTCAAGTGGTGTCACATTTGTCACTGTATGCTTTAGGCGCTACGCTTTCGCTAGCCTTTGACCGGTTCTTAGAAATGGAGGAAACATTGCATCAAGGTATTAATATTGAAATACTGGACGAAATAAATATTTTCAGAATTCTTGGAACAATTTAATCTATGCACTTTTTTTTTTGGGGGGGGGGTGGCATTTGCAAGCTAAACTATCGTAAAAAATATTTTCACAGTTACAGGAGGATTTTCCCCACACGTCGCGAAGGGACATGATTTCCAACCAATGGTACTAAATTGCATCGCCTACTTGGGAATAATCATCCCCCTACCTGGATCCTTGTTCGTTATCGCCATTCATGGCGACCCTGCAGGCGTCTTCATGTATACAGTTTTTGAAAACATGGTTGCCAATGCCAACATAAATTTAGGTCTAACGGTATTTCGATTCTGCACAGCTTTCATAGCAGTTAGGGAAGTGTACCGGATATTGTGGTTGATTTTGTTCTTCTCCGCAACCTTGTCTCGTTTCGTGTTCAAGTTTTCAAGGCAGATTGAAAGGCTTTGGAACCCAGGATTGTTTATTGACATCTACACCCAGTTGCTCATAACGTATAGCATTGTTACCGAAATTACAGAGCTTGCCCTACTCGGTACTATGGCAGCCGGGTTGGTAATTGGAATAGGTGTAAATTTTACCGTGCTAAAACTTTACAACCATATCTCGCTCCTCCTTTACATTAACATTGCTATGCTAACAGTGTCACTTCCTGTTTTGATGAATTCGACATTACCTCTTGCTGCTGAAGCATACGAAAAAACAAGTAAATTGCTCAAAGTAAACTACCTAAGGTATAAAATTTTCAGGAAAACAAATCCAATTTTGATGCGAAGAATTGCAGCATTACGACCAGTTACAGTTTGTGCTGGGTTATTGAATTATAGATTATTTAAATTGCAAAAATCCACCCTTACAATTTATTATAAGAATTATGTGGATTATACAATTGTTGTTCTGATGTACGTCCACGTGTAAGACAGAGGACTCTATTATCATAAATATTGGTCTAGACAATTTTTGGTAAAATCAAAATCTGTAGAAAAATCTGTGTATAATATGTATATAATAATAATAATAATAATATGTATGTATATAACATACAATAAAAATTCAAATGGAAATTGAGGAAGTTAAGGTTACTATTATTTTGTTTCACAGTTATCTGCATATAAGATCTTGATGCCAAGCTTAAAGTTGCTTGTCATGTAATAAATTGAAATTCTGGACCGATTGATTTGTCCCTACAACCATAAATTCACATGTACATCACAATTTGTATCTACGTATTTCCATCCATTCAATTCGTAAGATTATTGTTTATGCTGAATTACTGTCCACGTCCTCTAACAAGCTGTAAGTATACATTTGGACTAATAAAGCGATCAAACATTGAGCTATTTGATAGCATAATTGTTAATAACAATTTGTTGTTGACCTCAATCGCGTGGGAGTGGTACACCAATTGTAAAATCGGTGGTACAAACTATAACCCTGTGACTTTGATAAAACTCGATGACATTTCTGATCATGGATGTTTGTGTACGTCGCAGTATAGCAATGAGATCATCATGTTGTTTGAGCAATTTCGAAAAATTATTTACTTTGCAAAACATGCCATTAGTCCACGGGTCGAACAAATAATCGGTCAAATTTGTAATATAAATTTCCTGGAAAATTATACTCCTCACATGAGTGGCTTCCTCGTTGAGTTTTTCTTTGAATCATATCACATTCATCATGAATTTGGTATTTGCTGGATTCGAAATTGCTGACTGATAAAATACAGGGTTCTCGTCCGCACAATAACTTAAGCAGCGCTTACATTTACGTTAATTGTGCTTCCTACATTCATATAAATATGCATTTGAACGACTCCTTGCTATACCTAAAATATGAATGGCTGAATGTCGAAGTTGCTGTTTCACAAAAATATAAAAGCACGACAGTGATTCGAATAAATCAACAGTCTGATCTTTAGTCTGGAGAAAAATTCATACACAAAGTAAAACTCCAACTTGTATACTAACCATTTTCAAATATTCCAAAAATGGGTCATGCCAGATTATGGAAATCTGTGGCAAAGTATGTGACCCTTTGTCAGAATTTGTCCAACTTTCCCCTCATGTTTACCGATAATAAAGACGATCGAGTAACTTTTATTACGGGATTCCGTCGACTCAAGTTCTTTTGGATGTCAATGTTGCTCTTTTCCTTCTCGAATTTCTGTGGCATCGTGGTCATTGGAGGGAGGTGGCAGCATTTGGGATTATTTGATGACATGGCCTTGTGGAAAATCTTAATCGCTGCAGGATTCACTGCCCTGGGTTTGTTTATCGTGGCCATTAATCTGGCATTTTACGCTTACTGTGCTACTCTGTCCGAAGTCTTCGACCACTGTTTACAACTCGAAAGACAGTTGAATCGATGTAAGTTTTTTTAAACTTATACATGTATTTGATTTTATCAACACCATTTACTAAAACGATGCATGTCTCTTTTCTAGTGCTAAATAGAAGGTCATCAAAGAAACAAAATGTGTTTCCACTGTTGTTAGAGTGCATTGCATACTTGGGGATATTTGTTCCGTTATTTGGGTCCGCATTCGTAATTTTAATCCAAGCAGATCCCGTTGGTGCACTTTGCCATGGACTTTTTCCGGAAATATTTAACAATACAAAATTAAGCCGAGCCTTACTACTCTTTAGATATTGCACATGTTACATCTCTACCAGGGAGACGTATCGAGGTCTATGGATGGTTATATTTTGGTAAGAAACTACTGATTGTGGTGAAAATTAGGTTACGATCAGCGGATATATTTATTCCATTATTATCATTGAAGGGTTAACTGAAAAAAGACATCATTGAAAGTTATACTATGTAGGTCATGATTAACAGAAAAAGACATATCACTACCTGTAATTAATTTGAAAACCTTCTGCATGTACAAATAGTCTCCTGGTCCTACATTATCCGTATGATTATATACTTTATTATGGCGGACAATAGGTGTCCCTCTTCTAGATAATCTTAGCATCTCAGCAACGACCAATGTAGCAATACCTAACTTTTCCTTATTAGTACAGTCATCACCAACTAATTTATGTAGGGAATGAAAACTATCCTTCATTTGTTTATCCAACTCTTGTTGTTGTTTTAGTTGTTTTGGGGTCCACTTATCATTCGGTTTAGTTGGAGTATAAGTAACAATTTCCTCCTGTTCGGGAGTCAGTGTAGTTTGGTACAAAGGGCCAGGTTTATAATTAGCAGTACTGTAATTTATAATACACGTTCATAATGAATGCTAACAACAGGTAAAATTAATTCTAGCTTACTGAGTGTATTTGCTCCCTACTCCAGTCCTATCTTTGGCTTTCTTGAGACCATTGTTGAGCTTTTCCTCCTCTTCAACGCCAAAATAGACCCGTGGCAAAGTGTCGTAGTATGTGGTAACTATCGGAGACTCATCTTGTACTTGTTCGTTTTCGTCACTGTATGAGAAAGTAATCCCGTTCTCCTCCAACATGTTGCATACCACGGCCAAATTAGTAGAGAACATGTCGATGTCATTTTGCAGGAAGATATGTGGTATGGTAGGGACACCTGTTTCAATTCGATTAATATTTCTAAATAGACAGATGAGGGCCACAGATAACTGAAATAAACAACGAAAAATCAGTATATTTACATATAAAGAATGAGGTTCGTCACCTTTGTTGTGTGGAGGAGTGTCTCTCTTTCAGAAGAGGATGAAAGTACCGATTGTTCGTAAATGGGAGTAAAATTGTTGTACACATGGGAAGCTAAGTAATCACCGAACAGTTTCATTTTATTAGATTTCCCGAGCATCATCAACGACGTTTGGTTATATGTCTGTTTCTTTGCTCTTGTGTAATTGATGCATGCATAATAGTGGTGGTCGGATTCATTTTCATCATGTAGTAGTGCAAGATATGTTGTCCTTGTGGTACTGTGCGGGTTGCATAAGTGACCTGAGGATGTTGCTATACTCCAACATTTGCAACATTTTACGCGTGGTGGCAAGAATCTTTTATCCTTAATTTTCCCAAACCTGATAGTTTGTACAGACACATCCCAATACAAAGGTATAAAATCATCTTCATTTGTGTTAATATTTTGTTCTTCTTTCTTTCTTTCCGGTGTAGTTGTGGGTGTAACCGTTGTGTGTGGGTTTGGAATAAAAACAGGGTAAAATTTGTCCTGCCCTTGATGGGAATTGTAATGCTCAGTCCACTCGTCCATCACTAGTTTGAAGTACGAGTTTGTTGTGTTTCCATCCCAAATATTTCCAGTAAAACCCAGTCGTTTCATATCCAAGAAGATTTGATCGAAAATAGAACCCAGTGCACTTCTGTTATACGGTTTTTTGGAAATACTTCCCTCCCCATCGCTGACTGATGTTGTTGAGGAAGGCGAGGACGGTGGAATGCTCATTGGAGATGATGGTTGGTTGACATAGTAAGGGATGACGTTCTACAAAAATATCAAACAGGGTCAACATTCATTCATATTTGCAAACGAATTTTATAAAACTTTGCTTGCTCACAAGATCAATTAGTTTTATCACAAAGGTATTCATCAATTCGTCCACATTTTTCCCAAGCCGATGTAAATGGATATCGACAGGTTGGTTAGTGGTGGGTGACTGATAATCATCATCAACTGCATGAGCAACTACAAATAATATGCAACATATTATGAAATGAGTTACATAATACTGTATAATAATGTATACCATTTCTATCCAGACCGGTTTCTTTCCTACTGACCTCCTTGTCCCTTTCAACATAAACCTCTAAAAATCGCAATTTGCAATTAGCATGATTTTCTCGTGCTTCCGCTCGATCCTGTAGCATAATGACCGTTAATCATCAAAATTCGCAAAGGGGCCACCACACTGATGATGGAAATGTAGCCCTCCTCTGTGAATAATTTTGCAACCTCACTCGCATGGTGGACAAAATGTTCTTTGCAGGGAGTTTTGGCGCAGAGTCCGACAGCAAGTTTTTTCCCATCAATCTGCTTAACCGGAATGTCGTAGCTTTTGAGGAGTCGGGTCAATCTGTCGGAAATTGTCGTCTTTCCGGCTTTTGCAATTCCTACATACATATTTTTGGTATTTAATTTATAGTAGTAATAACCAATGAATCACAATTAATAAGCAACCATCAAAGTGAATAAGTCACATAATTGCTATTTAAATACCCGTCAACAACAAAGTACATCCAGTGGCTGGTATTCTTCTTATCTTGGTCGGCGGTGAACGAAAGGTATACTTACTTGAACTGGGTGATGGGGGAGGATCCATCGTTATTGCATTTTTAAATAATATATAATGTAATCGAGAGATTAATTTTATGTGGAAATGTGCATACATATAAACAGATGAGATTGTTTCTTTCCCTCCCAAAAAGTTCAATTTCTCAAGTTAACATGAACATTATGAGTATGAGAAAGTGTAACAATTGCAATTTTTTGTTTGTTTTTTTGTTTTGCAGGGCGGAAACTATGGGGCAGTGGTTGCTACAGTTTGCAGAACATATTGGTCAACTAAAAAATCCTCAAATGTTTTTCGAGCTTTATATCAAGTACATATTAATCTACACGTTTCTCTCGCCAATTGCAGAAATCGCATTGCTCGGTGGAATGAGCGCAGGTATTTTGAATGGAATAAAAATTTAATTTTTATAAAAAATGATACAAAAAGTAACAAAATGTTTTAACCTGCTTTCAGCTTTTATAATTGGCATCAGCGGAAATTTTGCTGCTTTAAAGCTTTATTATCACGTATCATTTGTTTTATATGTTAATATGGTAATTATCGCAATTGTAATCCCAGCTTTGATGAATTTTACGATTCCTCTCATCATTCGAACCCACGAGACGACTTGCGATGTGTTGAAAGACAAATATTTAAAGTACAGCTATTTTAGACGAAGGAATCCATCTTTAATGAAACAGGTGAAATCGCTCCGACCTCTGACACCCTGTGCTGGGATATCAAACTACAGGCTATACAGGATGGACAAGTCAACAATGACTGTTTATGGAAGGGCATATATTGACTACACCATTAATGCTTTGATGAATGTTCACGTCTAGGGGTACAATAAAATAAGCGTCGCAAAAGTAGGGCGACTTTTTTTTATTATCATTTTGTAAATTAATCAAAAATAAATAATTGTAATTCCCTAAAATAATTTTTTGCATACGGTACTACATATACGTAGCTTCCCGTACTTTTACCTACAAAATCGGCGTCGTCAACACAATCCAATAAATGTGATGAGCATATTTTCAAAACATTGATGCTTCTAACATATCTATATTCCAGGTAAGCTCATGTTCATACATTTGTATGTGTACCAATGGATCGAATGTTCGAGCAATTCGACAAGAAATTGTTGCAAGCCGCAATAAACCCTAAATTCGCATATTTACATATTTACATAAGTAGGTACTCGCGCATATATTTAAATACATATGTAGCTCATACATATACTTATTAAGGAAATATAAATAAATTGAACCCTATACCTTTGACTTTTATTAAGTGTCAGGTTTTTGGCAAAATAAGGTTTATATGTCGTAATTTGTAGTAGTGTATTTCAAAGCACTTCAATATTAAAGATGCATATGTATGTACATAATTATACAATTTTGCAATGTCAAACACAATTACCGAACAATTTGTAACTGATCGTTAAAAATAATTATAAACTTTTGGCTTTGAAATCAAGCTAAAACACAATTTTCCTTATGCATTCTAACATGGTTTGAGGGTAAGTATGGAAGTAATGTCATATACGTATAATTATGAGACATTATTAAAAAATCGAACAAGTGCGCATAGGTAACTATGCTTGCATAATAATTTGATCATCTACATATATATTTTTAGAACTTTACTTTATATAAAAGGCTGAGTGTTGCAGTCTTTTATTGACAAACCATTTTCACACATAAAAATGACATCCTCACAACTCTGGAAATCCGTATCCACATACACATCCTTATTTCAGACTTTCTCCAACTTTCCTTTCACATTTATCACCAATGGGCTCCACACCTCCACCGTCGTCATCATTAAGGAATTTAAACAACTCAAATTTTTCTGGGTGTCGTTCCTTCTAACTTGTTGTGGAACAACGTCTGCCCTCATACTTTGCGTTGGCAGGTTGCTCGGTGTAACCATGTTTCAGAAGCTCAAGCTTTGGAAATTGGTTTTCGCCGGAGAATTCGTTGCAGTCGGATTCTTCATGATTTCCATCAATTTAGCATTTGTCCTGGCAGGTGACATGTTGGCCGTCGGATTAGAACGCAATTTGAAATTTGAGAGAACCCTTGAACAATGTAAAAAATTACGAAATATAATTACTTAGAGGTTGGCTTTCTCTTTCTAAGATATTTAATATTTTGTTTTAGATATTCCATCCACAAAGCAAAAAGAACCAGTGAGCTATTTTTTGCTTGGACTTGCCTTATTGCCGGCACGGGAACATTCATTCCGATATTTGCAACATTTTTCCTCCTCATAATTAATGCTGATCCCGTCGGCGTACTTGTCTATGCTTGCTGGCCGAATACGTTATCGTTTCGGATGCGATTCTGCATATTCTGCTTCAGATACTGCCTCTCCGTTATCTGCTACAGAGAGGCGCATCGAATTCTCTGGATTTCGTTATTCTGGTCTATAATTCTGTTCCAATCCCCGCTCCAGTTTTGCAGAAGGATAAGAAAACTGCGATACGCGGGTTGGTTTCTAAACATGTACAACCAGTACACTTTGACATACTTAAGTTTTTCGGCTTGCACGGAAGTTATGGTTCTCGTGTACATGAGTGGAGGACTCTTGATGGGGGTCGCTATGAATTTTGGAACACTGAAGCTTTACAACCATGTGTCTTGGCTGCTTTATGCCAATCTTATCGTAATGACGGTCTCAGTTCCGTTGTATATTAAAAGCAACATTCCACCGGCTACTCAGGCATACGAGGAAAGCAAAAAGATGCTCAGGTTGCGGTATTGGCAGTGCAAGTACGAGCGGAGAGCGATTTTGGCGAGGAGGGTGGCAGCATTACGACCGATTGCAATTTATGCCGGAATGTGTGGCTACAGACTGTTTAAACTTTGTAGAATTACCATTGGCATTTGTCATGGAGGATATGTCAACTATACGTTTGGGACATTGCTATGTGTGCACATTTAAAATTAAAATATTAACTTTTTATAAGTTAAATACATCTAAATAGGAAAAGACAGTCAGAGTATTATCTCATGAGACGACTGTGATCTTTGTTTCAAGTTTTGGTTCTGTTGCTACATATTAAACCTCAATTGAGTTTAGTATATAGTTTAGAGTTAAATTTCGTGTACAAGGTGACCCTCCTTTTGCGAAAAAAGTTGTCATTACACACAACAGGTATGCAATACAATTTGCTGAAATTACAAAGGTCAACTATAAGTATTACACAGTTGATAATTGATATACATACATGCATATGCATACTATGTAGTTATGCAAAAGTATAAGCAAATGTCAACTGTCCACGGTAATGCATGCATACAGAACACCCAAAAAATTACACGGCTTAAAATTTCAAAACTTTAATTTAGAAAACAGCAAGGATATTTGTAGTTCATTAAAAGCATTCTTATCTTTCTGGGCTGTTTGTTTTGACCATTAATTGTACTCAGACAAATTAATTAACCATGCAAAACCATACTTAATAAAATAGTAACATTTGCATGTAATAAGTATGCATGTGTGTACAATTATATGTACATAAATGCACATGTCAGTACATATGTATGTAGAGATAACAAACTATGAAAATTTTCTATCCGATATTTATCAATTGTTATAACAACTTGAGTATGGCATATCCTGTTGTTATGTATGTAATTAGTATAATTCGACTAATTTATTTCAGGGTGCATACCCATTACGATCAAAATTTCGGCTGTCTAATTGTGTGCTTCATTGCAATGATTCATATTAAAGGGCGACTTTCAGTGAATGATTTTCAGTTTCGTTTTATCTACCGGATTCAAATCTAAGGTGGCTTGTCGAACCCATAAAATAATGACGACTCTTCAGCTTTGGAAATCTGTACAAGTTTATATATCGAAATATCAACCGTACTCGAACTACCCCATCATGTTTAGTCATGACCACCACGTATATTTCATTCCCAAATATGACAACCTAAAATTCTTTTGGCTATCTGTTCTAATTGCAAGTATACAAAGCTTTGCATTTATTCTGGTTTGTGGAGGAAAATGGTTGCACTTTGACACATTTGAGGAAATAGAAACCTGGAGAATTTTAGTAATTGGAGCTGTTGGGGGGTCATGTGTGGCCCTCGTAGCCATCCATCTGCAGATGTACGTCTATAGAACAGTTATAGCTTTGTCCATGGAGGAATGTTTAAGAATTGAAAAAATCCTGCGCAAGTGTAAGTTGCATTAAAAATATAATGCTATAAAAGTTTGGGATATAAATAAGTTTGGGCGTACATATTTTTTCCCTAGTGGCTCGTTCCTCAGGCAAGAACAATGGATACGACTATTTCGCCATTGCATTAAAATACATTGCCCATATCGGAGTCTACTGTCCCATCTTCGTCCCATTTTGCGGACTACTTCTTGACGTTGATCCTTTAGGCTCTCTACTTCAGGCAACTCTTTCCAGCAGCAATTTATCAATATCAATACGAATTGTACTACTGATCATCCGATTTTGCACATCATTCATCTGCACACGAGAATTGTATCGTGCTTGCTGGTTGGTTTTATTCTTTGCTTTGACGCTATGCCGATTTGCGATAGATTTTGTACAATTGGTTGACATACTCTGTGCCCCACGCATGTTTCTGGACTTCTACACCCAGTATATTATTACTTATTTCTCTTTAACGAACCAGCTTCAATTCGCAGTGCTTGGTTCGTTAGGTTTATGCTTGGTGGCCGGAATAATGGCGAATATTGTCGCATTGAAGCTGTCGTCACAATTGTCACCATTGCTTTACGCCAATTTTGTCTTGATAGCTGTGGCAATCCCGATTTTTGTAATGTTCACAGTCCCCTTGGCCGTAGAGGCGTATGAAGAGACGGGAAAGTTGTTAAAGCGAAAGTATTTGGCTTACAAGTCCGTTCGACGAGTTAGACCGTCTTTGGCAAGGACAGTGCTGGCTTTGAGGCCTCTCACCATTTATGCAGGGCTGTTGGACCACAGATTGTTTAATTTGCAGAGGCCAACCCTTCGTCTTTATGGGAGAGTTTATATTGATAATACAATTTTTGCCTTGATGTATATTAGCGTTTAAGTAGGAAATACTGGATTTTTTTACAGTAATAATTATGCGTATCACCGTAAATAAGTTGTCCTTAGTCAAAATTTGTATAAAAATAAAATAAAATAATCAAATTTGCTATTACTATTTTTAACCGTTGACATATTTGAGTTGCACATTAGGTAACATTCATAAAATACACTTCCTGTCACATCCCTTTCTTATCAGAAATTGGCTTAAATTGACCCCGACACTTCCCTCCCTCTCGACAGCGTTAAGTATTTTATGAACGTTCCCTTAGAGTCATTAAAAAGCGTCGCTTGTGGTTTTATAAACCTTTTGGAATTATATTTTTAATTATAAATGCGCACATACGAATGCATAGGTCTACAGAGGGGTGGGACAGAAGAAGGAGCCACTTTGCCTAAATTTATTGCGGCCTTATTATTCGTTTGTGAAGTTTGGTAATTGGTTCAGTGTGAAGCCCTTTAGTTTATCTAACGAGCCTCAGTCGCTTTTTCCAACCAGTCATGACCTTTGACACCATTTTCAGAGTGATTCTGCACCACTCGTCCTGAACACTTTTCCAAAGTGCATCAAAACGTGCGCGTTTTCCTTTCAAGAAGGCTCCGTTTTAAGTACCCGAATCCAAAAAAAAACATCGGATTGATATCAGAGGAACTAACGAGAGTTTATATAGTAGGAATAATTGTTATACCCAAACTTTTTTAAAAATCGTTCGCGTAGGCTGCTATTTTGTGAGAAATAAGTTGGGTTGAGAGCATGATCTCAGGATTTCCTACGAGTCACTTGCTGTAGGTCATTGTGAATGACTCTAGAAATGTTCTCCTACTAACGTTTAACATTTTCGCCATGCAACTATTAGTTGGTGGATTTACCGTTTTGGCGAAAAATTGATTTTCCGGATAAACTTTTTGGTTCAAGCGGATCTTGGGTATCCTTTCCGTGGGGGTGGAGCTCTAACCGCTTTTTCCCTTCGCTTGATTCCAACGTTTTTAAGTACATTAGAAACGTACTTTCGATCGACGATAAATCCATTTGCAGCAAATTTTCTAACAATCGCTCTCTGGCTCAATATGTCGTTGGAAAACACTTTTATGCGTGCCTCGCACTCTGGGGGGTGCTGTAGGGGCATTTTTAACCGTAGGGAAAATCTGAATAGTGCTAAATTTTCGTTAACTATCTGGGTATGACATATGCAAATTTTGAAAATGCCGCGACTGTGCATCACACGCCACCCCTAAAATTCTAGTGGCTCCTTCTTCTGTCCCACCCCTGTATAATTCGTATATTTTTCAAAAGCGTACAATAAAAATTTATATATATATTAACGTTAAAAAGTGATTTAAATGACCCTAATTTCTTTCCTACACGATGGAGACCATTTAACGTACAGAGCGATATCCTCCTTCAATCCCGTTCTTGGACATGACAATTTGCCATAACTGGAATTTGCGGGAGCGGAACACGCCTGCCGCGGATTGAAGATAGTCTAAAAACGGTACAAAACAATTATGTATAATTTTGAAATATGTTGCAAAATCAATGCGTAGATTTTTCATGCTTACAAGTCCACAGTCGATAAAATCGTTTCCCATATCTGTGCTCAATTTTGGGCCAGTTTTTCTTAAAATTCTCGTTCCATGCAAGTAATGTCTTGCTGTAGTCGTGCCCAAAATTATGCCAGTCCTGTTTTTTTAAAAGAAACATAAGATGACATTTGTTCATTATTCATTGTTTATTATTGAAAAATATTAAGGCATTTAAAAATATTTGACGCCATGCCTCAATCACGTAGAGACCTTCGCTAAAGTTGGTAATATCCTGGTAATAGGGAATATATCCATTGGGGAATATATACCTAAAAACAGTTATTGACTTACGTCAAACCATTCAAAATAAAAAGTATGGTCAACATTTATTACTTGTGAAAGAACGGTTCGATTCCAGGCAGATCAGGATCATTATTGCCGATCGTGTGTAAAAGGAATATGCCATCTTCTTTCAAGCATCGATGAACAACCTGGTAAAAAATGTGAAAAAATATTTTTAATGGGGTTAAATTTCAAAGATTTATTTTTTATCAGTTGATTCATGCTTCCACCTCAAAGAAAGTCCTGTAATTATGTCGACCAACGTGTTCCACCATCCCCACGCTTAAAATTCGGTCGAATGTTTCATTCAGGTCACGATAATCCATGAGGCGGAAATCCACCTTTAATCCAGCACAACTTGCCTCCCCATATTTCATGCCTTCCTCCGAGATGGTGATCCCGACACATTCGACGCCATGTTTTTCGGTGAGATATTTGCACAGACCACCCCAACCACAACCGATATCGAGAACTTTCATACCAGGGGAAAGTTTTAGTTTTTGTGCAATAAGCTCCATTTTATTGATCTGTGCTTCTTCCAAATTTCGTGCATTTGCCCAAAGTCCACAACTGTAGTTCATCGACGGGTCGAGGAAACATTCAAATAGGTCGTTACCTAAAAATATTATTTGAGTTAACACGCTATGAAAAACCTGCATGACCAATTAGCAGAACTAATAGTTAGTCACAGACCTATATTGTAATGCTTTTCCGCTACTTCCCAACTCCTGGTTTTAGATTGTAAATTAAAAAACGAGAGTTGTACATAGTTGAAAAATCTGTTGATTGGATTCAAGTATTCCAGAAAGATTCGACTTTTGAAGATACGATAACTAAGTTCGGAAATGTTATCGCAATCCCACCATTCGTCTATGTACGCTTCGCCAATCCCTAACGACCCCTGATTTGCAATTCGACTGAAAAATTGGGGATTGTGAATCTCCAAATCACATGATTTGTCACTTTTTGCATTATTCCCATTCTTATCGTTTTGATTTTCAGAATGATTCTGACTTTTAATACTAACTCCTTTCCCGAAAAATTCAACACCCATCCGATTTCTGTACGAATCAGCCAACCATTTTTCAACGTGGGATGGGATCGCTTGTAAAATGCTTAGTTCTACCCATTTTATAAATGCAACTATAAACGAAGTCACTTTTTGCAGAAATATGTAAAATTCTCCCATTTTATTTACTTGTATGGAGAGAAATTATATTTTGCTCTATGTAGGCAGAGATTCGCTACAATACTGACCATGCATCAAAGAGTTTATTGTGAAATTTTCATGTGTTATCATTTTTTATAAGTTTTTAAGATTTCCAAATTAAAAGTATGGCTAACTACAGCGTTAGTGAATCAGTTCATGTATGTAAACGGAACTAGTTTACTCAATTAGCTCTCACTTTGGTTAATCCATTGTTTGAACCGTGACTTACCTACATAAATTTTTATGCAGAAACACAATCCGCCATCTCTATATAGGTAGACAGACAGGTTGCAAATAATTAAAATAATTGTTTCGAGATTTACAATATCAAGGCGATGAATGATGCAATTTTATAACGTAATAACTATCCATGCGGCACATACTACACCGTATCCACCGTATTTAATACAACAATATATTTGTAGGTCATAGTAACCAATGCATCATATCAGTAAAAGTATGTGGCCCGTCTCATTTTGATCTTCCTATTTTCTAAACAGTCCTGCATTAATTCAACATGTAAAATATAATACACTTCGATTGCTCAACAATGAAGTACCTGTATCAATTCCACAAAAATCCAGTTAAAAATATGCATAAGCTACTGTGCACTACACTTTTATGTAAGTAGGTGATCCGACAAATGTGCAAAGACGTGTAAATGATAAGTGTGCAACAGATTATCTAATAAATATTGCAATATATTTCTAATTTAATCTTGTCCCGTCGTCAATAATTTAACAAGTTAAATCAACAAATCAATCGAAAAATTCAAACTCACTAACAACTAATCCTAAGTCAAGCTTGTCGTTCCTTTTAATCGTCCATCATCATTGGTAATCTTGTGGCTGGACTCATTTGTACACTATGCCTCTGCACATTTCTCACCTAATCCATACATTGTTATTGTTCTACTTTAGGGTATGTAATTAGTTATTACATATGGTGCACATTTGACTGCACTAACTGACATACTTGCATAAATACATAAATCATAAATATATAAATCTCGATTTTCATTACATTTTCATGGTCTTTATCTATTTGTGTATCTTAATATTAGTGAAAACAAAATTACGCATGTATATATGTATATTCCTCTCTTGTCCGAAATTGACATAAAGTTAAGAATGCAATAAAGTTGACACCTTGGCTGGCATTTTTGCTGCATACATGTCAATTATGTTATTATTACGTAACTTTATGATGATCGACAGTGGACACACAACTTGATTGAACCCACATTATTACACTGATAAGCTGCAGATAAAAACACTTTATAAATACTTTTGCATTCACCGATACATATGAAACAATACAAAATGACCAACACGATGAGAGGTGTGAATATTTTCTCATTCATCAGAAGTGGGTTTCATGGGACCAGGAACAAAATCGTGGTTGTGATTTAAAATTTTGCCATATACATGCGTAATTTAACTTACAATATCAAACATATTATTTGCATACGTAAGTGAACATGGGGGCACGACAACGTCACCGAGGCGAAAGTTTCCAATCAAGCCAGGGCAAGTCCAACGACAACAATGTGACTTTAACATTGGATGATACCGACGAAGATAAGCAGTCCACATCTCATAATGATCATCGCAAGAAGAAGAAATCTGTCGACAAGATTCCAGCATCTTTTACACTAATTTCTGTCACAGTATTAATCACTTTGACACTTCTATTTGTTCGCTATATGGACTTGAGGCTACCCGAGGCATTAATGGAGTCTGACATACCAAGCAAACCGGAAAGGTGATTGATTTGAAATTTCGTGGTTACCAATTAATTGCAATTACATTTTATTTCTTATCTGTCCAGTTTCATAGAGGAAAGAGCAAGACGAGATTTACATCAATTGACAAAAGTTGGAGTTCGTGTCTCTGGAAGTATTGCTACTGATTTAATCACGGTTCAGCAGTTTGAGGAAATTTTAGCCAAGATTCAGGAGAATGTTAGCTCTGGGTGGAGCATTGAGAAAAGTGTCCAACGCCCAACGGGTAGCTTTTGGATAGAAGATGATGATGGGCAGACAAGTTCTTATTCAAAGGTTGATACAGACAAACGCAGCCAAATTGTTGCTTATTGCTTAGATTGCATTTAATTAATTGTGGCTACAAAATTGTACGTAGATTGCCAATGTGATCGCCAAACTTGAGCCAAGTGACCCCGCGTTTCGTACGAATAACGGAATATTGCTGAATTGTCATTTTGACACAAAACCAGGATGTCCAGGCGCCACTGATAATATGATCAGTTGTGTCGTAATGTTAGAAGTGCTTCGTGTCCTGTCATCCAAACCACTCCTCGTGAATCAAATTAGGAACCCGATAATTTTCCTGTTTAACGGGGCAGAAGAATTTGGCTTGCAAGGAGCGCATGGTTTCATCAGGGGGAAGGAAGAAGATCCAACTGATGAGCGTTGGGGTCACCCCTGGGCGCAGAATCTTAGTGTGTTCATAAATTTGGAAGGAGCAGGGGGTGGAGGACGGGAAATACTTTTTCAAGCTGCTGGAGGTATGTAAATTGAAGCATTTAGAGAAAATGTACTATTAATTTACTTAGATTATGATTTTATTTGAATTCTATTTCCAGCAACTAGATATTTACAGTAAAATATTAATTTCAGGAACCAAGAAACAGACAGGATGGCTTTTACAAGCATATAAACAAAGTCCTCATCCATACGGAAGTGTCATCGGAGAGGAAGCCTTTACCTCAGGACTAGTTCCTTCAGACACGGATTTTCGCGTGTTCCGAGATTACAAATCACTCCCAGGCTTGGACATCGCGTACATAAAAAATGGATGGGTTTACCACACAAAATGGGATGTACTCTCTGAAATCCCTTCTGGAAGTGTGCAGCATATGGGAGATAATTCCTTGGAAATGGCCAAGTATTTAAGCACTTTGGATTTCAATGGTTTGGAGGATTCTGCAGAACAAGTCGTATTTTTCGACGTGTTGGGCGTATTCCTGATAACTTACTCTAAAACGGTGGGAATTGTAATTAATGTCCTCATATCTTTGGGCACCATCGGGGTCATAATATTCGTGGGAGGTTGGACGCTGAAATCTTTCTTGACGTATGCTACATATTTGGGATCGACTTTATTGGCATGGGGAGTAGGTGCTGGGGTCGCAGCCCTTGTTGCAGTGATGCTCAACGGGTCAGGGTATCCAAAACCGTTCTACTCTTATCCGTCTCTCGCACTGATTTTATTCGGACTTCCAGCCGTGATTGGAGAAACTTTGACCTATGCAATTTGCCTTAAAGGTTCGCCAAAGGATACTTGGCTAGCAGGGAAATTATCAGTGGCAGTTTTACTATTAGGGGTCACATTCTTCACACGAGGCGCCTATGTGTTCCTACCACCATTGATATTCGGAGTAATTCCTTGGGTCTCTTTAAGATATTTAATGAGAGGTAAGCATAATTACAAGTTTTTAATCAAATTTGTGTCAGAATAGTGCCTCTTAAATATGCAAACTCATGATAATTTAGGTTGGCCTAAAACAATTATGATATTCTACATCCTTCTGGGAGAACTTATCCCACTCATCCTTTCGTCTTACTTGATATTCACTCTCACCGATGTGTTTGTCCCAATACTTGGCCGAGCAGGAAGTGAGATGAATGGCAATTTATTTTTTGGAGTGGCACTTTCAGCAATTATTTGTATCATATCAGCCCCCGGACTAATATCACTTTTTGTGAATTATGACAAGAAAGTGTTGACCATATTGTTACTGATTAGCGTCCTCTTACTAAATCCAATGATTGTGTTTGGCTTCCTGGGGAAAATTCCGTATCAAGAAAAGACTCCGATGAGAATAACCATCAACGATGTTCAGCGGATTTGGTACAGCGACAACGGCACTATTTCGAAATCAGAGAACGGATACTGGTTTTGGCCCTTGGACGCTGACACGGACAATTTATTTCCCGAGTTGGCTAAAACCGTGGAAGAAATTGGTTCTGCGTATGACGAAATATTGGACTATGAAAATTGTCCCGATTTATACTGCAAGCAACCTTTCCTCTGGCCCACTACAAACAGAGTTAAGAAGGTTCACTGGATACCAAAATCGTATCCTTTACCACAGGAAATTACCGATTGGGCGAGAATGCACGTGGTATACCAAAATGGGTCATCGGAACTTGGCCAGCGTCATTTTACTCTAGAATTTTCAGGACCACAACATGCAACGATTGTTCTTAGTCCGAAACGTGGCTGGGATGCAAATATCACGATTCAAGCAATGGGTGAAAATTTGCCTGTGGAAAAAGCAGGTAAAATCCAATGGAAGGGGAGGAAAGTATATTTTATTTACCATGGAAGAGGAAATGTCGTGGAACCCTTCAGAATGGATGTTAATCTTGTAAGAACCAGTGGTGACGAAGAAGATGAGCATGTTCTGGACGTTCAACAAAGCGCATTATTTTTTGACGTTACTGAAAACACGACAACTACAGAGTTTTTTGATTTTATGGGAAGATTTCCATCATGGATATTTCCTGGAATGAGTTGGACAGCAGTGATGAAAATGTACACAATAAAGTAGATAAACGCTGAGCTTGTTTTAGGTATTGGAAAGCTATGCAACTATTAATTAATGTGTTATTTGAATACATGCCAATTCGTTAAATTGAGGTTTGCAAAAGGTTAAAGATTGCATACATATCATGCACATAAACACATGCACATATGTAGATTCATACATCTGCATAGTTCTGCATGCAACAAACTATAATGGTCACACACTACAGGTATTTGGTTAATAATTGGTTATGTAATTGCATCACTGGGAAGCCCATAATGAAGGTGCTAAATATGTATTACAATAAATACATATAGGTAGCTTTGTATTTTTTCTTATACTTTGCATACCAAATCGCACTTATATATTGACATTGATCGATAATGTTGCTGAAATATGCAATTATTTCCAAGAAAATTAGACAGAATGGTCTAATAGTGTTTACTTACTAGTACATATTTATGTTTTAAATGCTAATGTTGGCGAAAATAAAACGTCGTTTTGTCAATTCTATATATTTATATTTACGTACACTTATGTATGTACACAAGAATAGTTTTATCTTTTTTTGGATACTTTCCTTTCGATCTAAGACAATGACTTTTTTATATGCAAAATTTATTTTTGTTTTTATTTTAACCGTAATTTTCCATAAATCTTTGCAACAAAGCCAAACTATTGGAAAACCTTACAAATTCGGTTCCTTCTGCTCAGTACGATTTGTCCTCCCATCAACCCATAACTTTCAAGTGCATAATATTCTTGAGCATTGGGAAGAATTTTTCGAAGTGTCAATACGCTTGATTGGAAAATTAAAAAATTACCGAGGTCAGGAAGACCTTCTGGAACATAATTTTAAAGATAATCATAGTTTAAAGCAAATTAGTTTCCTTAATCGATACAATGATCACTGTTACGTCCACGCTTTAATTTTTCTAAAGTGGGAAGAATTTATCCATGTCGTGCAAAAGTCTGAATTTAATTTCAAAGCGCAATCCTGGTTCTTGTGGATTGTAAATGAATCCACACCTTTGAAAGGGTTAGAACAAAATCGAGAAAGTGGTGATGATTTACCAGACAACTGGATCAATATTCCACTTCTCCTGATTAAGATGCGAATAAATATTGCGGACCGTCTCTCCTGGTCAGTGTATTGCTTTGAGTGCTTGCCAAGCAACGTCAATTGGAAGTACGAAAGTTTACTGTATGAATCAGTGATTCCAGAATATTTGGAGCAAACCATCAAAATGAGATCATACAATAGAATCATGGTTGTACAAATAATGGGAACAGTTTTTGAACAAGAATTCTGCTACATGGAAAAATTCATCGTTCGAGACTTATTCAAATGTTCTCCGTTTGAGCCAATTGTAAATGTTTTAAAATCAAGAGGAAATTTTACGTTTAAATTTGTACAAAGTGAATCAGATTTTGCATTTGCTCGAAATCAGCTTTTATTTCAAATCATGTTCCTCCAACACCGCATGTTTGATGAGGATGAGATTTCAAATCTTGTCCTGTCCAATTCCATCATAAAGCATTTGGTCATTGAAAAAATCCGTTTTTTGTATTGTAAATGGGCTGGGACGCTGTTTAAGGTGGAATGGGACGTATTTTTAAGACCATTCGCACCGTCAGTCTGGATTTTTGTGCTGGTAACGATTCAAATCCTAACGTGGTTTGGATTAATGCTCAAAACCATCAAATCTGTCCATCAGTTAGCACGTGACTACTTAAAAACTTTGCTATCGGTATCAATATTTTTTCTAAACGGAATGTTGGGCAAAGGTCAAGCAAATATTCCCGTCGTTATCCTCGCATTCGCTGCAATCATGAATATATTTATGGTGAATGAGTATCTCTCCGTTATGACGACGGATTTTATCGCGTATCCTGCCGAGCAAGGAATCTCAAAACTTGACACTCTCCTCCACACCGAAGGATATCGGTGAGTCGTCTTTATAACTAAATCGTCCTGCTAGATTAACTCTAATCACAGTATTTTAAAACAATTATGCAGGGTTCTAATGGAAAACGGTGCAGACAACGCAATTTTCAGTCTTCTTCAGAAGGACATTGAATCCAACCTTGAAAATGAATATAAATTAACTTTCGGAGCTAATACTTTACAACGAGATTTTAGCACTCGTTTCACTCGAGAAGTGTTCCATGCCTTGGTCGAAACTAAAAGCTGCATGATGACTGCAGCATCAACATTTGCTTATAAAAAAATTGACAACGATCAGTTCACAACTTTGGGGGTGAAGTGTTTTTTCTTGCCGCAGACACAATCTTTGAGGATAAACATCTTTGCAGGGTTTAAATATTTTCATGCAGCCTTGGCCGCTGGAATTATGCAGCATATCGACGAAGCTGGAATTGTAAAGAGGTGGATAGTTTTGGATGGTTATGCAAAAATGTTGATGATGTACACAACACAAAAAGCAGAGTTTGAGGAGGTCGATGAATTTCATAAACTGGATTTAGCATCACACCTCCAAATACTATTTTATTTGTGGATGATTGTATTGTTATTGTCGACGTTTTGTTTTGTCGGTGGATTTGCATATGCAGTCGGTGCACGCGAATTTTTTGTATCAATCTTTGACTATGTATTTTAATCGCACGTAATAAATAAATTTTTATATCCTTGTTCCTTGCTCGACGACTTTTCACAAGTGAACAGAAGGAAGCGAGAAGTAATGAATATTTTTGGTAGGTGTTTATGTGTACACATGCCTCTAATTATTTCTATATTAGGTTTATCATTACTCATAATCTCTATACTTTGCAAATATAATGACAGAATTGAGACATAATAAAAACAAACCTGTCAAGTATTTTATTTTCTAGTACAAAAAATAAAAACCATGCTTTTAAATATATGTAACATTTTCCTCATGTGCACGTATTTGAGGGGTATATGTACGTAAAGTGGGCGTATATGAATGTAAAGGTAATCCAGCTCAAGATTGATAGCACTTCAAGGTTACCGTGAAAGTGAATCGTCGCATAGGTTTTGGAAGATGCCGTTGTGTTAACACAAATTTCATCAGTTCCAGACGTCTAAAATTTTCCAACTAGGCTATAAAGATAAGACTGGCCTTTTTGTAAGCAAATAAAACAACTCTTTATGTATTTCCACTTTGCATGTCCGAAACTAGTTTTTTATATATATTTATTGCGTAAAAATTTTACATAGTCTTTACTTAAGTAATAATCTTTATAATTATAATCCAGTTCTTTATAATTAGTAATCTTTTACATAACGTGATAAACGCCTGCATTGCTTATTTTGCAGTAGCACTGAAACCACTTTTCAGAGTGGACAGAAAATTGTCGTTGTCGTTGACCATATTAAAAAATATTATCAAACCAAAGAAATAAATTTTGGTAGAGAGAAAGGATTAGTTTTTAAATTGATTAGTAAACATCAAATCACTTCAATCCAATTTTCCAATTTTCAGGAATAAAAATGGGATCAGCAAAAGATTACCTTGATGTTCTCATCGTCGGGGCCGGATTCTCTGGATTGCACACACTCAATCAACTTAGAAAATCCGGATTTTCTGCAAGAATTTACGAACGCAGTTCTAGTTTTGGAGGCGTTTGGCAAGCTAACCGATATCCGGGCGCTAGGGTTGACATTGAAATACCAGCATATCAATTTTCTGATAAAGAACTGTGGCAAGATTTCGACTGGAGTGAACGCTATCCTGGTCGTTCCGAACTCCTCCGCTACTTCAATCATGTCGATAAGAAACTTGGACTCAGCAAAGACATTGAATTCAATACGACGGTCGTAAGTTCGAGGTTTGACGAATCGCGTCAACTCTGGTGTGTCAAGACGGATACTGGGCTGTCAACTTGGGCCAAGTATTTTATCCTCTGCACAGGCTTCACATGCGTCAAGTAACTCGATCATAACTATTCACATTAATTTATTTAATCGAGAATGAATAAATAAACACTTCATTCATAATTCAGAAAATTCACGAATAATGGATGAATATTTTTTTCATTGAATGAGTACTGAATATTTATTCATTTCATATTCATGAAAAATAAATGAATTCATTATTTATTTTCACCCCATGTTATCGATGGGGTATATTGACAAATCTGTCTAATAATCAGTATAAATCTATCATCATGTTTGAATGAAGAAATATTTTTTAAACAGGTATGTACCCGAGTTCGAGGGACTGAACAAATTTAAAGGAATCTGGCATCATTCTGCTTGCTGGCCGGAAGATACGGTCGATCTGACCGGAAAAAAAGTTGCCGTTGTGGGGACTGGAGCCTCGGGGCTACAGATAATTCAAACAATTGGTCCTCACGTATCACATCTCACCGTTTATCAACGCACCCCCAACATGGCTCTTCCAATGAGACAATGTTCAAGTAGCGATGAGAAAATAAACGACGGAACAAAGTGGACCTTCCCAAAGAAGGATGAATATGAAAGAATATTTCAAAAGATGCGAACCACATTTACTGCGATTCGAGTTGATTTTACTCCACAAAAATTTCAAGACGCTACTCCATCCGAAAGACGAGCCCTTTACGAGGATCTTTGGGCTTATGGAGGATTTGCCTTTTGGCTCGCGAATTATGCCGAAATTATATTTGACCAAGAGGCCAATGATGAAGTTTACAACTTTTGGTGTGAAAAGACTCGGTCTAGAATTCACTCAGAGAAGAAAAAGGAATTATTAGTTCCAATGAAACCTTTTCACCCATGGGGTGAGTGAATAATTGGACACAATTTTGTTTACATATATACAATGAGGAAATTCATGTCACGGTTTGTTGTAACTTTTGCAAGTGAGTAAGGTTTGTAAACTTACAAACTTTATCAAAGAGGCAATTCACGTCAACCTTCGTAAGCCCGTAGCCACGTAAAAGATGAACTTTTGACGAAACTTACGAATATCTCTAAGGTAATTTTGCTTACGAACTCGCAGAACCTTATGGTGATAAAACGCATTTTCTTGGTTCGTAAGCTCATCTTCGTTAACTTATATGGTTAAGGACTTAAAAATGCTGAGGTGAAATGCATCAATGTTTCTGGTTCGTTAACAATTCGAGTGTTACACACGTAAGTACTTGCATTTTCAGTTGCAATCAATGTTGCTATCGGTCATGACTACGAGACATTTTTTAGCAAAATATGTTCACTAAAATGTTTAGAAAGTTAACTCACGTCAAGTCTACTTACTCACGTCACTATTTCTAAGTTCCGTAGTTACAAATTTGACACGAAATCCCTCAATATAATAATTCATGTATACATATTGTGTAATATTGTACATGAATATGTTTTCACGCTACTGTTAAACTTATATTAAATTTATTTACAATAGGGACAAAACATCCTAGCCTGGAGCAATCCTATTACGAAGTGTTTAATCAGGATAATGTTGACATCATCGATGTGCGTGAATCTCCGATTATTGAAATAACGGAAACCGGAATTCGAACGGAGAAAGAAGGCGTCATTGATTTTGATGTAATTATCCTCGCCACTGGATTTGACACTCGAACTGGTGGCGTGTTAAACGTTGACATAAAAAACGGACAAGGAAAATCAATTCAGCAACATTGGGAAAATGGAATCCGATCTTACCTTGGCATGATGACAAACTCATTTCCAAACTTATTTTGGTGTTATGGTCAACATAGCCCAGCAGCAATTTCGAACGGACCTCAATGTGCAGAAATCCAGGGCGATTGGATTACCGAGCTGTTGTTGAATATGAGGGAAACTGGCATGGAGAATGTTGAGGCAGAAAAAGGGTCGGAGGACGCTTGGGCGAAAATTATTAAGGAAATGTGGTATGCCACTTTATGTTCAAAGACAGAATCTTTGTATCAAGGAACCAATATTCCTGGCAGAAAACCAGAACCGCTTTTTTACTTTGGTGGAACACCAGGATATGTTGTAGCGTTGAAAAATTGCAAAATTAATAATTACCAAGGGCTTAATTTTAAATGATTCTTTTATTACGGTTTTGTAGAGTCGGGGTTTTAAAGTACTTATTTACAGGTTCTTAAATCAAATTTTAAAACATTATGCTCCTTTTAATTGTCCACAATTTTTAAATTAAAAATCAACAATACAATTTTAATATTACGATTATATATTTATGCAAAATGTGAAAATTTACATACATATGTACGTGCTGAACTTACTCAATATTACTTATCCATTCAACTCGGACAAATGAATAAACTCAATTTTAAAATTAGCAAAATAGTCAGAATTTGTGAAAGTCGATGAATTTCATAAATTTGATTTAGCATCACACTTGTAAATGTTATTTTATTTCCGGAGGATTGTGTGATGTTGTTATTGTGGACATTTTGTTTTCTCCGTGGATTTGCCTATGCCATTGTGCAGTTGATGGACGTGAATTTTTGGTATCAATTTATCAGTCTCTGGCTATGTATTTTAGAATTGCAAATTTGAATCGTACGTAATCAGTAAATATATCCTTGTCCCTCGACGACTTCGCACAAGTAAACAGAAAAAAAACGAGAAATAATGAATACTCTTGGCATGTACATAGATATGCCTCTAATCATGATGATCTCAACACTTACGTAGTAAATATAATAATCTGTCCTTTGTAATATAATGACAAAATTGGAAGCATAATGAAAGAATTGAATGTAACAAAACCAGCCTGATAAGTATTTTACTTTCTGGTACAGAAAATGCAAGCCATGTTGGTACATAACATTTTATTCATGTATGCGCATATTAAGGTAATCCAGCTCAGATTGATAGCTCGCCGTCGTCAAGGTTACCAAGAAATTGAAACATTGTATTGGTTTTGGAAGATGATGTTGTATTTATTAACACAAATTATCATCAATTCAACAGGTCTTAAACATTCCAGCTAAGGTTGTAAAGATTAGCCTGGACTTTTTCCAAGTGATTAACACAACTATATTTATTGCAACTTTGCATTAACGAAACTAGTTTTTTTAATATTCATTGGGCAAAAAACTTTTACATAATATGCCAAACGCGTGTATTGTTTCGTTGAACTTATTTTGCAGTGGCATTGAAACTTCTTTTCAGGGTGGACATCAAATTTTCTTTGTCGTTGACCATATTCATATAGCATCAAACCAAATACATAAATTTTGGTAAAGAGAAAACATCAGTTTTCAGATAGATTAGTAAAAAAAAATCACTTCCTTAATCCTTATCCCATTTGTAGGAATTAAAATGGGATCAGCAAAAGATCACCTTGATGTGCTCATCATCGGTGCCGGATTTTGCGGATTGCACACACTTAACAAACTCAGAAAATCCGGATTTTCTGCAAAAATTTATGAACGCAGTTCTGGTTTGGGAGGCGTTTGGCAAGCTAACCGATATCCGGGCGCTAGAGTTGACATTGAAACACCAGCATATCAACTATCGGATAAAGAACTATGGCAGGATTTCGATTGGGGTGAACGCTATCCTGGTCGTTCCGAACTCCTCCGCTACTTCAATCATGTCGATAAGAAACTTGGACTCAGCAAAGACATTGAATTCAATACGACGGTCGTAAGTTCGAGGTTTGACGAATCGCGTCAACTCTGGTGTGTCAAGACAGACACGGGATTGTCAACATCAACTTGGGCCAAGTATTTTATCCTCTGCACAGGCTTCACATGCACAAAATACATACCCGAGTACAAAGGATTGGACAAATTTAAGGGGATCTGGCATCATTCGGCCCTCTGGCCGGAAGATACCGTGGATCTGACGGGAAAAAGAGTTGCCGTTGTGGGGACTGGAGCCTCGGGGGTACAGATAATTCAAACAATTGGTCCTCACGTATCACATCTCACCGTTTATCAACGCACCCCCAACATGGCTCTTCCAATGAGACAATGTTCAAGTAGCGATGAGAAAATAAACGACGGAACAAAGTGGACCTTCCCAAAGAAGGATGAATATGAAAGAATATTTCAAAAGATGCGAACCACTTTTGCTGGGATTCGGGTGGACTTTACTCCCCAAAAATTTCAAGACGCTACGCCATCTGAAAGACGAGCCCTTTACGAGGATATTTGGGCTTATGGAGGATTTTCATTTTGGCTCGCGAATTATATTCAAACCTTATTTGATCAAGAGGCCAACGACGAAGCTTACGGCTTCTGGTGTGAAAAGACTCGGGCAAGAATTCATTCCGAGGAGAAAAAGGAATTATTAGCTCCAATGAAACCTGTCCATGCATGGGGTGAGTGAATAATGTGGACAAAATTTTGCATACGCATATATAGTAGTTGTAACAATCTTGTAATATTTACATATGCACATTATATAAACCCGCTATACTGTTAAATTTTTATAAATTTATTTTACAATAGGGACAAAACATCCTAGCCTGGAGCAATCCTATTACGAAGTGTTTAATCAGGATAATGTTGACATCATCGATGTGCGTGAATCTCCGATTATTGAGATGACGGAAACCGGAATTCGAACAGAAAAAGAAGGTGTCATCGATTTTGACGTAATTATCCTCGCCACTGGATTTGACACTCGAACGGGTGGCATGTTAAACATTGACATAAGAAATGGTCAAGGGAAATCAATTCAGCAACATTGGGAAAATGGAATCCGTTCGTATCTTGGCATGATGACAAACTCGTTTCCAAACTTATTTTGGTGTTATGGTCAACACAGTCCAGCAGCATTTTCGAACGGACCTCATTGTGGAGAAGTTCAAGGCGACTGGATTACCGAGCTGTTGTTGAATATGAGGGAAACTGGTAGGGAAGTAGTTGAGGCAGAAAAAGGGTCGGAGGACGCTTGGGGCAAAAATATTAAGGAAATGTGGCATGCCAGTCTATATCCAAAGACAGAATCTTTGTATCAAGGAAACAATATTCCTGGCAGAAAACCAGAACCGATTTATTATTTTGGTGGAATACCGGCATATGTTGCAGCGTTGAAAAATTCCAAAGTGAATAACTACCAAGGGTTTGATTTTAAATGATTCGTTTATTACAGCTTTGTGGAGTTAAGGTCGTAAAGTACTTGGAGGTTCTTCTGTCAAATTTTAGGATATTATACTATTTCCAATTGTTAGCAATTTCTGAAATTAAAAGTAACCGATAAGTATTACAAGTACATGTTTATGTAAATTATGCAAATTTATGTACAGAACTTACTCATCCATCCAACGGGGATAAATCAATGAACCAGATTTTATCATTAAAGTTTGAATCCCCTCCAGACTTGTAGGACACTCCTCCAAAGAAATAAATTCGATTCAGAGAATTCACATATGCGGCACCGGCCCCCCAAAACTCGGTCCCATTTGCGCCAGGGTGATTGAGAACAGGAACATACTTGGTCTCTAAACTTTGCAGGTGAAATTGCATGATGCTATCGTACGGAAAGAACCCACCAACTCCGTAGCCGTAAATCCCGTCCGTTGTCATAACACCTCTTGTTGGATATTCAAATTCGTAAAAGGTGAAATTCGTCAGAGTTGTTATCTCATTGCTTTCCGGGCTGAAAACCATTACAGGTTCTGCTCCAGGGGTCGGTCTTCTTGACCCAAAAATATACGCGACTTGATTCACGTTATCCCAGAATGATAGCATTTGATCGTATTCAACAGGCATGGGTATGACATCGGTGATGGTGTCCGTTTCAGTGTCAAACTTAATAATTGACGTGGCAACTAGCCCACCGCCGAAAACATACGAAGTTTTCGAGTTGGACTGGAAACTTGCTGTCTGAATCACTCCGTTTGGCAAGAAACTGACCTGCGACACTGTGCCAGAGATTGATGAAAACTTGTAAATTGCAAGTGATTGCTCAAATTCGTCATATCCACCAAAAAAATAGTAGGCTCCTTCGTTATCAGAGGTTACTGCTCCGTAGCAAAGCCCCTTGGGAAACCTGGCAGCTACTTCGATGCTGTCCGTGGATACAGTATAGCGTAGAATTTGGTCGGATAAATAACTTGGTGGACAGGTTTCGTTGTATCCTCCAAACACGTAAATGGTGTCATTTCCATCGTACGCAGCAACAGAATGAGCTAACGTTTGGGGAAGTTTCGACCCAGCTTCGACTGCGACAAGGTATTCTTGTTGTGAGGTAATTAATGGGGAGAGGAACAATAGAAGTCCGCTCCACAATAATAGCACATTGTTTGCGAGAACCGTGTTCTTCTGTCCCTTCATTTTTCGATGATACTGGATTGGAGTGTATCAATTGGATAAGCGAGAGAGCAATGAGACCATAGCATTCATATTCTTCTTCTAAGAGGATGATATTCCACTGTTCACTGACTAAATATGTGTGCATTGCCCAATTTTTTTTGGAGAAGTGATAAGATAAAAACTTTTATGTAATACATAACATCAGATAAAGAAATGGTATAATTATTTTTGAATGCATGCATGTTTGTGCATACATTTGTATATGACTCGTGATCAGCTTATGCTATAGGAACAAGCTACTAAATTAAGTATTTCACACGCCATCGAATAGTTATTTATTGCTTAACAAATGAATCATTTAAAGCTTTATTCTGTGGAGTTATGTATCTTATATAATAAAGTAGCTGACACCATTTTAAATGCATAAATTGCATACAGTTTCGGTAAATACATTTCATCCAGACACGTATGTCCGACGTAAATCCACAAATACAACAAAATATCGACAATAGCAACACAATCATCCACAAGTGAAATAATATTTGCAAATGTGATGCCAAATCCAGTTTATGAAATCCATCCGACTCCTCAAACTCCGCCTGAAGCGTCCTCGATAACATTAGCGTCTTCGCGAAGCCATCCAAATAACTCCACCTCGCAACAAGACCGGCCTCTCCGATCGACTGCATTATACTCCCGGCCCTTCCTGCATAAGAATACTTGAAGCCCACGGAAGTATTTATTTCTATCGACTCATTTTTAGGCAGGAAGAAACATCTCATTCCCCAAATGGAAAATTGATCATTACTGATTTTCCTGTCTTGAAACGTCTTTGATGCACCAAGCATGCAACCCCTCGTTTCCACCATGGAGCGAAACATTTCGCGAGTAAAGTGGGTAAAGTTCCTTTCGACCGTGTCCACGCCGAAGGTTAATTTATGGCCGTTCTCTAATTTGGATTCGATATCATCTTTTACCAGGTGAAATATCTCGATCTCAGTCCCACCATGTCCAAATAGAAGCCTAAAAGTAATCATGAAAGTATTTAATAATTCAATTTGATTCTTTAGTCTTCCATACCTGTACCCTTGCTTTTGAAATAAAGTGCTAATCGTTTTAATCCCTTCCTCAAGTGGATATGCGATAAAATCAGTCGTCATAACGGAGAGATATTCATTCACCATAAATATATTCATGATGGCAGCGAATGCGAGGATGACGATGGGGACACTTGTCAGACTTCTGTTGGGCATTCCATTTAGAAAAAATACGGTGACTGCAACAAATAGTTTAATGTATTCGCGACATAGTTCATACGAGGCCCGGATTGAAATTTTCTGCAATACCAATCCAAGTATTGCAATGGTCTGAATGGTAAGTAAGGTAAACGTCCAGACAGAGGTGTGAAATGGTGCCAAAAACACCCCCCACTCAACTCGCAAGGCAGGCCCGGAATATTTACAATAAATGATTCTTAGCTCATCTGTACCCAAGCTCCTGATAACCGAATTAGTGAGTATGATGTGTGAAATGTCGACGTCAGATAACAAACCGTTTTGTAAGGACATCATTTTAAACTGCAAATGACGAGTTGCACTATATTTTGAGCTGAGTTGATTTTGTACAATTTTTATAGTCAGATTTGCTCTCGATATGACTATTCCGACAAGTGGTTCCAATGGAGTACACCTAAATAGGTTCCGAGCACTGAATTTGTCCAGGAAACAAAACTCCTGAGTGAAAACTGTCCCCATTGTGTGGACGACTATGATTCGCTGATATGATCTGATTTGGTTAGCGTGCCTCAAATATTCTGCATTCACTGATTTGTAAGTCAAAGGCTCAGAGTTCCAGCGAATTTTGTTTTGTGAATTGTCAAAGTAATATATGGACCAGAAGAGTTCTTCGATATTTATTGTCTTCTTAATAATAAGAAGTGGAATGCTCACCAAAATTTCGATCTCATCAGGAACATTCTGTGGCCGAGGAATGTTTGTACTTTCACCAACTATCCAGATGAACCAAGATTGGGCGGCGAAATTAAATCCAGATTTTTTGACAACACTGATGAGCTCGTTCCACTGGAGGTTAATTAACGTATGAAAATAGCAGTTGCTATTGAATCGGTTTGCGAAACGAATATTCTTTAGGTTATATCCCTCGCTAAGCTGGTGGTGAGATGCTGCGTAGGAACTATTCAAAATCTCAATGAGGTGCAGAGGAGACTCGAACAATTCTGAGAGAAAGTCCTTTTCAACGGTATGAAAGTTGTGACATATGCACCTTATCGAACAAAATTGACCAGGTCTGATTGACCAAACAGAATTTGTGCTATGATGTGTTAATACAGGGAGAATTAATGATAAAATTAAAACGAATTTTTTAGAAACAAGCATCATGTCACAACAGGAATATATTAAAACCTGGTTAAATTAGGCATTTATATTCCGATTTTGGAAAATGTACAAAACAGTACGGAATATCCAAGTTAGAAAGAAATGAGACAAATCAGCACACGCATAGTATATGACCCAGAGTGTACGAGACAGATATGTACGAGTGTAATCACCTTTGGTATTAATGGCGTTTTATAATATCTCACATGTAATTTCCGTCGAATAAATAGGATTATTGTAATTTAAGAATTGAACGGACTTAAGCTATGTATGTTTTATACACACGTATGTAAATATTAAATATATTCATAAAATACTCGCGAAATTGGACTGGGAGATTGAGTAGTAAGTATGTATTTCAACATTTATGTATGCAGCATGGACAACAATTTAATATAAAGTAGGTATAGCCAAGTTCTAGTTCAAGTTCTAGACATAGTTGGACAACTTTATATGGAACCGTTGTAGACCAATTTCCTTTTATACTAATAGAAATTTCAATCATTATGATAATATCTTTGATAAATTCTTCGATTTAATGTTGGCAAAATTGTATAAATTTTGCATTATTTGCATAAACTTTTAAATCAAGCAAGATGCGTATATGTACATATGAACATAAGTTAAATACGGAACGAGTCTCGCAATTCTTCAAAGTCAGTTGCAGGTATTATTATGTACGTGAAATTAAAGTTCAGAAATTCCCTACAATTTTTGCGTCATGGATATTGCTTGCTGTAAACTTGAGAAAACTATCAAAAGGTGTACAATTTTGTACAAAATTCCACCTTTATTTCCAAATGTAAATGCAACTAGCCCAAGACCTTCGACTAAATCAAACTCAAAGGAAGATTCACAAACACGACCACAATTTACTACCTTCGGCATCATGTCAATACTCAACCTGGGGTACATCGGGGGAGTATTGATACTTGTGAAATTGTTCATGAATCACAAATCCTACTTGGCAATGGACGTTGGAGTTTTTCTTTTTCAGACACTGCAAGGGTTTAATGCAATATTTAACGCTTGTTTCGACTACAATATCTACTACGACTACCACTTAATCAATCAAGCTTTGAGGGACACCATGAAATTAAGTATCATTACATATCATCCTTATAAATACGTATATATTTGTATTCGTGTGTCTAACATGGCTTCCTCCTAGATGCAGATAATCAAGTCGTCAAACCCCCAAAAAAGTATGGAAAATTAGAGGAATATTTCTGGACGATTCTCCTCCACGAAGTCTATTTCACTTCCGCATTTGGACTTTCTCTTCTCCCCATAATACCATTTTTCTTACAAGTCGACACTGCTTACTTTCTTATACGAGCCTTATCGCCAACTTCTGGTTTTGAGACAACTTTGCCCGGAAAATTGCTCAGAAGTTTGGTTGGGGGGGGTTTCGGCTATCACTGGCTCATGGGTGCTGCCAACGAAGTCGTAGCTGGACTGGAATTGCTGTACTTTGCTTCAGAAATATTGATTTGGCTAATTAGCGATAGTCAGCGTTGTCAAAGGAAATGCTTACGTCAAAAATACATTTGCATGAGCATACTAGTTCATCGATGTAACAACATATTCCGTTGGACGCTAGCACTTGGATTGTGCGGTGGTGCTGGTATATTTGTTTGCTGCATCAGTACGACAATCAAATTTCATGCACAAATTCCTACTTTCGTTTTTGCACTATTTCCCATTCTTTCTCTTGTGATGGTCATAATGGCAGGAATTATTGTACCAAAGGCGGCCAGAGTTATGGAACTCAGTCAGAAATATGTAGATACGCTCAAAGTTCGAATTCTGACTGGTACGAGATCTAAATTACGATATAATGTTAGAATCAATCGAGCAACCCAGTGTGTTTCCATGGAGTATGGATATTTTGGCACATTTAAGAAGACATCGATCTTATTGTGGTATTTCGTATTTTTAGAGAAAACGGTTACTGTGTTGGTAGGGTTGGATTATACGTGATTCGGCATTCTGCATGCAAATTTATTGTGCTAAATGCATGTTCAAAATTCGTTTGTAGAATGTACGTAATTAAAAATAAATTATTATACTGTACAAGGAACATGTTTGATTTCAAAGACGAACAAAGTCGACACAAATGCAAGCACATTCGGCAATTTCGATTTCAATCAGTTTTTAAATCCACAAATATTGCATGAATAACAATCACATATTAAGCAGAATTTGTCCACCAGTAAGGCATGAGTATGAATATAAAAAATGCATGCAAAATTTCAAATGAAATTAAACTAGAATCGTTGACGTGTATACACATCAATGATATATCATTGCTTGACAACTTGGAATTGGGAGATCCACAAGATGACGTTATGATGTTATCCCACCTGGTAGCTTGTTAAATACAAGATAATTGGATAATTGCAAAATAATTGGATTTCCCGTATTAGTTTTCCACGATCGAATTATGGAATTTTGGTGTGGAATTTGGTCTCACGATCGAAAGAGTTTGTTGGAGAAAAGCTGTTACTTTTCTCGAATTTTGTTAATTATGCGTTGCCTTGTTAAATTTATCATCTGATTGTATAATTAATTTCATTTCATGTTAAAGGTACATACCTAGATAATAAAGACCGAAAATGTGTAAACTAAATTTATTTATTTGCGTATAAAGAATACAAATTTGTGTAGGTATGTATTTATGCATGTGTATCTATGCACGAATTTTCTCAATACTTAAAAAATCTTTAGCAACTTTTCCTTCCGTGTTTCTGCTTTTCGCTGTTTCTTGGAGAAACAATTCCAAACCATCGACCCAACACAAATTCATGTGATTGTCGATTTCTTGCTGACTACAAAAAATATCCGACCTGGCATGAACAGAAATATCTACTTCTGCCCCCCTCGTGTATGGTGTGACCATGATACCTAGAAATTAAGCGTCAATTAATGCTTTATAAACTTAAAATATAAATTTGTTAAATGACCACTGATTCGACTTTCTCACCATTTTCATGACAATATGGAGAAGTAGCAAGAAAGTAAATATTCTTTATCTGCCGACTTAAAACATAGCAATCTTTATCCCAAAATGGGAAAGGATTAATCATGTGCTCAAACAGTTTCTGTCTTAGAAGAAACCTTGTCGCAAATTGTATCCAATTGTACGGGTCAATCTGACCTAGAACACTTTGCAGAATATACAATGATTCAGAAAACTCCGAATCAGCACAACTTTTATACAAAGAATTTACTTTCTTTAGTAGTTTAATTGGATCATTTTCATCAAGTGGGAATTGTTGAACTAGGATTGAGCTGAAAATAATATTTATATCACATTTAAAGAGTTAGCCTACGCTCTTATCCGAAATCCGAATTACTTAATCATATTTATGATCTTACAAGTGATTGCAGCAATATTTTCCGTTTGTCTTTACAACAGGATGTCCAGGCACTGCAGTTGGAGTTATAATTTGGCAAACATTCCCTCGATTAGAATACTTGTTGAGAAAATTGGTATTCTTCTTCATTGACCAGATATGAAGAGCAAATACTGTGGCGAGAAAGCTCGTCTTGGTATTCTTCGCAATTTCTTTTAGTTTCCAAGTCTCCACAGTTATCTTTGACATCATTAGTTTACTCGATACGGGTTTTGTTATGTGGTCTTGTGTGATAACTTGTTCCAGTTCTTGGTTTCGTGGAGACAAGTTCTGATAGAAAGCAAGTCGACTTGTCAAGAAGATTTTTCCAATGTGACTTGTGCATTTTATCAGTAATTTTGTCTACAATAAGTAAATTCATTACTTAAGATTAGTAAAGTAATATGCATATTGCAGATTTCTATTATTGATTGGATAAAAAACCTTGTATAAAAATCCACCTTTCCACCCTTTTACAGAATAATGTGACTCGTTTCCGCATAACTTGTCCAGCAAACATCTCAAAGAATATCCGTCTAAATGGGCGTGATGAAATTTGAAAATAATGAACTCATTAATCATTCCCCTCAATATTATTATTTCCCATCGTATAGAATCCGAATGGAAATTTGAGTTGTCAGACATGATACGCCTTAATCCTGCATTTTCCGACTCGTCTTCCAAAACCGGCATTTCTCTGATGTGGTGGTTAAGGTCGATATTTTGTTCCAAATTTGCAACAGCATACATGAATCCAAAAACTGAGACGGATCTTGTGTAAAAATACGGATATTTTTCTTTATTCCCATTATTAATAAATGTAGTTAGGAAATGATTTCTGAATTCTTGAACGTCCAACTTTGCACTAGTCATGGGATTATTTTCTAATCGGATCGCACAACCAATTATTCCTCCATTTTCTCGAGCGTGAAGGAATGAGTCCATAAAGTTTAAAGGCTTGAAAATGTGTTTACTCTTGGAATATCGAAACTTTGCTACGGCTAGGCTTATGCATTTCCATAAGAAGCAGAACAAAAATATTGGACCAGCCACTGGCAAAATGATTAACCATAAAATCAAACCGATGATAAGATTATGGTCAAGAAACATTTTGAATATTTACTTGTAATAAATATTTAGCTTGAACGAACCAAGGTGAAAACAGAACTGGAAGCCAGAAATTGTGCAGAGTCAAAAATGTGGAGAGGATTTTATGTAGGTGAGAGGATGAGTGACGGCTAAAATTGATTTTATTTATTTATGATTATGGTAAAATTAATGAAGGTTGTAACAATATGAGTGCAAGAAGGTGATAATATGCATTTGGAATATGTATTTGTGCATTTTACGCTAATTAAATTAACAGGTAAAAGGAGCATGCGTTAATTGTTTGGCGTCATGATTCTAAGTATAAAATACGTTCATTTCCGTGTATTTTTGTGATTTGACTTGAATCCTCGATCTTCCGTGATAATATAATATTTGTATTGAAGTGCCTATTGTTTTTTTATGCCTACATAAATAAACAATAATTGAATTGTGATGTGCAACTCGTGAATCGATGATTCATAAACGTGCGAGAAAATACAAAGCTAAATTTCTGCATATACAAAATAATGTACGTATTGTGAAAGAAATCTCTGGATTTGTACAAATTGTGTAAAAAATACCAAGGGCAAGGCAACTTATACTTTAATTGATTTAATTATTCTTCTGATGCATTGTGTACAACACTAAAAAATATTGATCGATTAAATCACGTATCCTGTCAATAATTCATTTTCATTAACCGTTTTATGATTTTTTGTTCATGGAATGCAGCAATATCCTGCATTTCTTTATTTACAGGAAGTTACTGGGGACATGTCATCACCTCATTAATCTTAAGCAACTGAATAACTGGCTTTTGAGCATCTAGCATCTAGCAAAAAATGAAATTTATCCGTTTTCTAATTATCCTTATTGGAATTATTCAAATAGAAGGCAACGCAATTAGAAACAAGGTATGCATAAGGAGGAATAAGTAAATTAATAAAACGTTAAGTTTAACAATGGTGTTATACATTTAAGTATCCTCGTTTTTAAATTTTCGTTACTTTGGAATAATTTTGTTTAGATACACGCCGTAAAAGATGGTGGAATAAGTAAAGGGTGTTAATAAAGTCCGATCCCATGCATTTTTTGGAGCGTGGTTGTTACAAATTCAGCTGGAACTTTTGAACCAGTGAAGTTATTTATTTCAAATTTTTACCATGGGAGGAACAACTAAACGTGTAAGTCATGAGCATCTTAGAGTTGAGATACAAACATTGCATCAGCAGGGGCTTAAACCTACAGAAATTGTGCAAAAATTGGGCTGCAGCCGCAGAACTGTTTGGAAATGGAAGAATAAAAATTTTGTCCACGACAAAAAGCGACCAGGGCGACCCAGAAAGGTGTCACCTACCACAAAAAGAATGATTAAAAACAGACTTTGCAAGAAAACCGGTAGTTCATTACGTAATTGAGCAAGGGAGTTAAATGACTCAAAACGCTATAAAGAGAAGAAGAAGCAAATTAACTGTGTGACCGTGCAAAAATTTGTGAAAACTACGAAGTGGGGTCACACAGCTTACAAACTAACCAAAAAAACCTCTCATGTCACAAAAATATATCGATGACCGTCTGAAATTTGAAGAACTCCTTCAGAAAAGTGCCCATTTGAGTGAAAAAAGACTTGGTGAAGAATTGCGCAGTCACATCCTTTGGACTGACGAATCTATTATTGAACTAGGGTCAGTGCGGGTTAGTGTGGACACTTTTCAGCGAAGTAATATGGACTTCCAAATTAAAAATAGTTATATGTTAAAATTAATTATTTTGAAAAAACTGTATAATGGATTAACCATCACACCATATTTTACGAAAAGAAAATTATGAAAAATGTAATTAGAATGAATAGCTATTAATTTTTGAAAATAAAAAACAGGTGTCCACACTAACCCCACCGAATGGGGTTAGTGTGGACACTCTAACCTAATAACATGGAGAATCAACTGTCCACACTAACCCCATTTGAGAAAAAACTTTTTAAATTACTTTTTTTTAATTTATAAAATATGAGATGAAGGCGATTTTTGGATTTCTTCAAACTTATAACTTAGAAGCAGTATGGCTTGTAGTATGAGGTGATATTTTAATTTTTGGAAATATATGATGTTTACACATAAAAATATCCAGTGTCCACAATTGCCTCGTGTCCACACTAACCCCACCCTACCCTATATCCAAAATTGAACCAACAAAATGTTCGTTACAGGACAGAAAACAAATCGGATGTACCATCAAGAGCGATCCCAAAATTCGGGCTTAAAGTTATGGTAGCGGGTGGATTTTGTGCACGTTGCGTGACCCCTCTACATATCATACCAAAAGGCAAATCAGTCAATGCAAAGCATTATATGGAAAAAATATTACCTATCTATTTCGATAGCATGGGGAACAAGGAAATATTTCCGAATGAAAGAAAAATAGTTTTCATGCAGGATGGTGCTATAGCCCATACAGCAAAAGCGAGTTTGAGTCTCATCAAGACGCAAGTTTCAACGGTCTGGAGCAAGGGGGTGTGGGCCGCTAACGGCCCAGATTTGAATCCCCTGAAGAACCAGTGGTCCATACTTAAGGAAAATGTATACAAAGAGCCACAACCCCGGACGAGGGAAGAGCTAGTAAAAAAAAGTTCAAGATGTATGGAATTCGATTTCCAGAGGCACATTGGAAAAATTAGCACAGAGCCTTAAACAAAGAGTTGAGGGCATGGTTAAAGTAAATGGTAACAAGACCAAATACTAAGGTAAATATGTCGAACATTTTTTGTAAGTATCACGGGTAGTTTTTTTTTATACTAGCCTTCACTTTTTTACAGGAAAAATGGGATCGGACTTTATTAACACCCTGTATAATTACCATTAATGCGAATTGCGCCGCCAACTGGCACCAAGACCTTTTAGGTTTTTTATAAAAACTTATTATCTTTATCTCCCTGTATTAGACAAATGTATTGGTTATTTGCATATTTGTAATTTGGGAATGATCGCGTGCACTTAGAGCTTCGAAACTCTGCAAGCAGTTGTATAAACTAATTGGCGAATAGCCGCTCGTCGCCGATTTTTAAGGTCGCCCACAGGTCAAAGGTAAGAATTTTTTTTAGCATTTCAAAATGAGACCCCAAAAAACAAAAGTCAATGGATAATTTTTTTGACTTTTTTATATTTTTTATTGTAAACTGCAAGGTCTTACGAAGAAAATGAGCTATCGTACGACCTTGTACAATTTTTTTTGACGCCCACAGGAATTTTTCGCCAAAAAAGTTTTTGAGGCCTAAAATCGCGACCGCGGCGAAATTAAAAGAATTGAAATACACAAAAGCATATATGAACTTTCTATATGCTTTTGTATATTTCAATTCTTTTAATTTCGCTGCGGTCGCGATTTTAGGCCTCAAAAACTTTTTTGGCGAAAAATTCCTGTGGGCGTCAAAAAAATTGTACAAGGTCGTACGATAGCTCATTTTCTTCGTAAGACCTTGCAGTTTCCAATAAAAAATATAAAAAAGTAAAACAAATTATCCATGGACTTTTGTTTTTTGGGGTCTCATTTTGAAGTGCTAAAAAAATTCTGACCTTTGACCTGGGTGCGACGTTAAAAATCGGCGACGAGGGATTATTCGCCAATTAGTTTATACAACTGCGTGCAGAGTTTCGAAGCTCTAAGTGCACGCGATCATTCCCAAATTATAAATATGCAAATAACCAATACTTTTGTATACCGGGTGTATTTATCCATTTTATTATATTTTAGGAGAAGGAAGCCCACACAGTTGCAATGGGGGTCAAAAAACTTACAAGGCTAGCAGTGAAGAAAGCAACAAAGTTTTAGGGGGGTCATCTAGTAGCAGTAAGAGTGAATTCATCACGGATTCGAAACATGTCGCCAAAGGTACAGGAAGTACTAGTGCATCCGAGGCCCAAGTGTCAGGACGAGAGGAGGAATTAGACAGCGACGCCGACGACAATGACGACCATGCTGCAATGATGTTACAGCAATCTGGGGGAAGTGACTCTATGCATCAATCTGGAGGTAATCTCGGCGAATCTGCAGGCGGATCAGTTATTATGCAACAGCATGTTGGGGACGGTACCCTCTCTTCGTCCACCTCATCACAAGACGGTGGCAGTGAAACTATCGTTATGCAACAAGTAGTCATACAACCAGGGCAGAAGTACATTGTTCATAAAGAAACACGAGAAATCGAAATCGTTTCGCAGCAACCGAGACAAGGTGACGTCGACCAGGCTGGATCTGGGGTATCCTCGTCCCTAAATCAGGCAGGATCCACTGAAGGAGGATCAACGGCTGAGAAATCTGGCATGACGCAGGGGCAATATCAAAGCCGCTCCAACAATGGTGGAAAAGTAACTGGACGATCCAAACAAATTAATAAAAAATCGTCACGATTCAATGCAAGACATGGAGTGAGGTCAGAAGGTAAAGATAGCGGTGGGGTCAACGTTCCAAATAAACAAGGACCAGAAGTTAATATGGGACAACAACCCCAACAATCAAAAGTCATTACTTATCAAGGGAATAACTACGTGGCAGGGTACCCAGCCACTAATGAGCATACCATAATTATACCACCAGGATGGACGGTTGTGCAGCAATCTAGACCACAGGTTGCAACAGACCAACGCCAAGATCAAGGCCAGTCGGGTAGAGAAAGTTCGGTGACGTATGAACGGCACGGTGGAGGACAAGAAGGTGGAAATCAAGTACCTCAGGCACAACAATCATTAGTTACAGATATGCAACCCGGTCAGAAAATTACTATGCAACGGACCGACGCCATCGTGTTACAAGAAACCAAACAAGTTGTTCTACCACCAGGACAACGTGTCGAATTAAAACCTAGTGAAGAATTAGTCCAAGTTGTTCAAACCGGTGGAGAAGGTACAACACCATCATCACAATAATCGATTAGATAAAACTGGACACAAGTTTAATGCCAAACAATTAATTAGCTATTAATAAATATTTACTTAATCTCCCTGTTGAATATTTCCAATCCCAATTTTGACACATATCTATGTACATATTAAAAATACATATTACTGATGCTGACATCTGAGCAAAAATACATGACACAAAACCAACAAAATCTAATAATTCGCACCATGCATCGTAATCATAACATCATAATAATCATTAATTATGTCAGAAATAAAATCCCATGTAATCACATTTGCAGGAATCAGCATATCACATATACGTATGAAATGCTCCATCCAAATAATCCAAATTTAGGCATCCAAATAATTCTGCTCATTCTGCCCATGTTTTATTATTCAACTTCAGTTAAGAAACAATACAAAATGTTGATAATAGTATTACAGGCATGATATTAATCAATTTTTAGTTAACTACCTATGTAGCAGCACATTTTATTATCCTTCACTTCTTGATACAGTCACAATAAATATTTAAATGCATACACGCAGCCAACTTTCTCCTCACCTCTCCTCTTTCCCCCACTGACCCACCCACCAATTAATGGGATCTGCTACATACGTCCTAAGTTCATTACATCATTATACAATACAAAATGCACCTGGTTTAATTTCTGTCTGTTTGCGGTTAATTTACTGATCATGCTCTAATCTAAATAAGTGAGTCTAAATTAAATAACTATCCAACTATAATAATTTAATTATAATGACATGCACATAGTATCGTATAAAATTATTTAATAGCAAACAACTACTTATCGCCGAAATAGGTAGTTACTAGACGTTATGTTTTATATTAATTTATACTTAATATGCCACTGTCTGACTACTCTTGGTTTGGTTGAGGTGTGATGTGATGTATTAAATATTTATTACATTGCGGTGTGTGATTCTTAAAAATAACAAGACTAATAAAACAATTCACATGCAAATATGTAATTAATCATTCAATTTGTTACCAACTAAAATAATAATAATGCATTGCTGACTTTGGCCTGAGAGTGGTTTATGTGATGATGTGAGGTATTACGATTTAAAATTATTCAACAAATATCAATCAATCAATACTGCTGCGACAAGTAGTAATAAGGTATGTGTGGTGGTGTGTTCAGTATTCCTATTGTTTAAAAGTATGTATGTATGTAAGTAGTATATAATAATAAGATAAGGCCGGTGTACATAATTAATACAACGCTGATGATGATAATACTTGAACAAACAGGTCGATGAATAGCAAAAATCCAATAATATGTAAATTATTGATTCACGCCTAGTGTTATGCCTTGGTGGTATTTTGTTGTATACAAAAAACAATCTCCTTGTTTTGCTACTACTGCTACTAGATTTCATCATATCCGTCGAGGAAGAACTATTGTATTTAGTCTACCTTTACATTTGGTATTTGCTGGTTAATACTTGCATGAACGACTCCCTTCTTTTCGTGATGTATTTATGTACTTGTGTAACTTGTTCATGTTCATTCATTGTTGTCAGCCTGACTCTCATAACTGGAAGATCCACCCATTCCGCCGTGAATGCCTCCTGGAGATGGGGGACTACTAAGGTTGGAACTGTTGTTGGAAGTCAGACTATGTCGTGGGGATGCATCACCTACCAGTTCCTAAAATTAAGACAAATAAATGTTACTAGTTGCATAAATCACAATGATATTGCATGATCACAATAACTAACCTCTAATCCATCATGACCACTTCCTCTGCTATTATTTCCTCCTCCATGTGGAGGGTGAGGTCGTAACGGGGGTGGGACTGTAGGTCGTCGTGGTGGAAGACCTGGGGGACTGATATGAGCCCCATTATTATAATGTCCTTGAACGACCCCACTGGGGATTGGTATACCAGAACCGGAACCATGGCTCAATGAGCGTCTCGGTGGTTCTGGGCCCGAAATGGACCCAATTGACGATCTTGGGGAAGACTGCATTTGTGTTGGATTTGGAGAGAATCGATGAGAACTTTGCAGCATGGAGCGGACACGTTGCATTCCTGTAACAAGAGTAACAAGAAGAATGCGTATAAATATAGTGGGATATTCCTCGGTATGTAACAAACATTTATCAAGGACTCGATTATACACCTTGCTGTTGTTGTGGAGTGACAGGTGTGCTATCGGCCGTTTCAAGTGTGGTTGGCAAATCCATTAGACGCTGAATCTGAATACCATCGCCAGGACCCTGAAAATAAAATATAAATTTAAGCATTATAATATTAAAGCAGGAAAATATAGATAGAGTGCTTACCATATGTGAGATGTGATTGAAATTCGATGGAGCTGAGATCATCCTCGAGCGACGATCCGTGTTCCTGCGTCCAAAATCCAAATTTATATAATTAATAATCAATAAATATGGTATCATTTCTCACACAGTTGATAGATAGAGAATGCAAGAAAACCAAGCCAATCATCATTTCTAAATAATTATAACTAAAAAATCAAATAAAGATTTAAAACTAACTTCCGTAAAATAGAAAACTAAAAAAATACCACAAAACCACAAATACATTTTGTACTCTATAAAATGCTAACCGAATAATTTGTTGATTTTCCAACAACAGCTTCAGCTTCCTGCTTTCACCACCACCATAGCAAGAGAAAAATGCAGTATAGAAAGACAATCACCACAAACTGTACATACTGACATCATAATACAATTAGACGCCTATTAATTTTTCACTTACGTCCTCGCAGCTTTTGCGTTTTCTCTGACACTAAACTTCCTTCTTGTCCGATGTCTCGCCAATTCTGGGACACGTACTCTATCTCCCCACATCACATTCGACAAATATACAATGTGTGAGAGTTCATTAGCAAACGTAATGTTGATGGCACCACTGCGACAAAGTGGCCTCGCTTTCATCAACCTGCAAGTGTAAAGTTTTAGGTCACTTAATAGTGTCTTTCCCAGGTTGGTATATAGCCGGGAACAATGAATGTGAGCCAGAAATTTGCACATCTTCATCAGGTTATCATCAATTCCGCACCCTACAAACATTCTACACTGCTAGCATTTTTTTTCGTATTCATACCTAATCGTCTGCATCCACTCCCCACTACAACAGTCAAATACGTCGAGATGTGTCTCTGAATAGAGGAGCAAATTTCCGTCCGAATATGCCACAGCCAACGGAATAGCAGGATACATAATCTCCTTGTCACGACTTTTTCTTCCCATGGAATCCACAAATACGGATAGTGTGTTGAAGACGAGAAGAAATTCTTCCTTTGGGAGTTCAATTGCAGCCAGAGCATCAACTGGGTTATACGCAAGGAAACCGAGCATTTGGTTATCAGGATGAACAAGAGCTACAAGAATAATAATAAACAGTAATATTAAATCTATCAGTTAATAATTAACTAATTAACAACCCACATTGCGGATGTTGATCTCCCATCAATGAATAGATCGTGAAACCTGACTGATACCCAATGCATAAGCGTCCTTCTGAAAAAATGTCTAGGCATTGTGCTTGCGCAGGTAAAAGGACTTCTCGTAATCGTTTATGTCGCGCTTTCATCCTCGTAATTTCATAAATGATGACCTAGAGAAACAAAAATAATAATTACATTATTTATCTGAAAAGCTTCAAATATAGGTATTCAGATTTTGATATAAATAGGATAGTGCATGAGACATTGATAAATCACATTGAGAACTGCGACTGAAATACTAAATTGGTATTCCTACCTGGCTTGTATTTTGTCTCTTGACGGCGACACAGAGACAAAATACGGTTGGTGGGCCGTGTCGCATTACTCCAGTTTCCTGAATTGCATATGTAATTATTTAGTTGCTTAAGTACAGTGAAGAGGGATTGCGCACTTACCAGAGTTATGCATCCTTTTGTCTCAGATACTTTAATCCATTCACACTCATCCCCGTCGAGTGCTCGGACGGGTATTAGACGAACGTGGCGTTGTTTTCCGGATATGACGACTATAATATAGCACATAAAGTGTAAATAAAACTATAAATATAAATAATATAAATTTAAATAATTTCTTTGCAATTCCCTCACCTAGAAGTTGTTCTTCACTGATGTATACAATTTCGTGTATCTTTTTCCCTTCTCCAACCCTCGCAATTTCTACAATAAAAAGAAACGCATGAATTAATGTATTTACTTACATGTTCATAAAAAATCAGACATTGATCACATCGTAACAGTAAGCGTACCATCTCTATCCAAGTCAACACAAAATAGTCCCTCATCTGTCCCAATGACTAGTCGGTCGGCATCAATGATAGCGCCACAGCTTGCTGTCCTGGTCTGTAAAGAATATTTCGTAAAGATAAGTATTAATGAATTATTTTACACTCTATTGATTTATCTTACCATGCTTGTGACGGTATTATCAACCAATTCTTTCGCTCTGTATACCGTTCTACACGGAAGATTGTTGCGTTTCAGGATGCGATGTAACTCATTCAGAGCTACCACCCATTTTGTCTTTTCGCTTTCCGTTTCCGCCAACATGAGGGTGTGATTTTTCAGCCCAGGTGGATTCATAAAAGAAGTAGATATCTAATAAACAAATAAATTAGCAATTGATAAATACTACTGATAATTTGAAGTTCATTTTCATGTTTGTGACTATATTTCATACCCGAAATATGCATGGAATATCCTTCTTATTGGCGTGTATAACATCACTCTCCCTGACGGATGAAACTTCAAACTCCTCATCCCTCATGTCCAACAACGCACTAACAAAGACGGCCGGACTCTGTAAAGAATTGCAGGCCTCATTATCTATGATTTATTGTATGATAATTTGTGTGTCGATTTTTGCTTTGTAACTCAAAGAACTGATCAGTCTGGAGAAGACGAAATGGATTTCCAGAAAAAAGTAGATTTATGCGGATGCTATAAATTAAATAGAGAGACAAACCGTTGTCAATTTCCCAGTAGTCCGGTCCGGTGAAATGTCATAGAGGAACAATTTAAAATCGCAGACAACGACATACTGTCGGATCCAACCCTTTTTCACTCCGCCTAAAAATTTTAAAATTAAATTACTTATACAGCCCCACATTGTAATAAAAAGACGTATAAACTCACCAGGTTTAGGAACACGAACATACCCCTCGTATGCTGTTCCAATACCACGAGTAGGGTCGATACCGAGGGGTCGTTTAGCTACAGTAATTGGTTGAAAAATATTCAGTTAGCCATTTAGCATAAGCATAAGTATATAAATTTATTTGGTATTTGACTCACTCTGCTCTGGTGGTACAGGACAAATAGGAACGACCTTGAAAACAACAAATAAATATGCCATTAATGCATTCAATATGAAATAATTAAGAAATAATTAAGAAATAAAATAGTTTGAGCATTTGAGTAATTGAGCTCACCTTGTCCCGACATCCCATATGACATGCGAAACCACATACTTCACATACGACCCCCTGCCTGGTTAACCCAACCCTGAAACACATAGACATTGTATTACCTGAAGCATTTTTACAGCACTGTAAAAATTATCACTTGATATTTAGTATATTTTTTGATAAACACTTATTTGACAAAGTCATATATAACCTGCTGAAATTATTCTTTATTTTTGACTGTAATATTAGTTGGTCCCTGACTGACATTACTCTCGTGTAATAAACTTGAGTGCTAAATTCTCATAAAACTTACATGAGCGAGGTACAATGGGCACACTTCAATGGAGACGAGAAAGTGCGGACTAGAAATTGGTGGTGGGATTTAGGAAGTTTGTTTGACGAAAGAGATGCCGAAGTCATTGGAGGCATAGACGCAAGGCCCGGGTGGTGTTGTTGCTGCATTTGCATCTGATGGTGATCACGTTCACGGTCACCACTTAGTTCGGACAAATTAGATTTAGATGAATTGTCTTCCACGTCGCCTTCTTCTGATTCGATGGAGCCACCGCCGCCACGCGCCACGAAGGACGACTCTTTGAGAAATTGTTCCAAAAAGGACATTTGGGATGGAGGGCGATCTAAAACTAGCAATGAAAATGTGCAAACCATTAGTACCTGGATAAGCCTTATCCGTAATTCATCTCTAGAGTTAAGTGAATCAAGACAAATTTTGGTAGTCACATCCTTAGTCAACGTCTACTGATACTGAATACCTTACCTACTCAACTTTTTAGTAGTCTAGTTAGGTTTCAAGCAAGTACACCGCAACCAAAAAAACAAATAAAGGTAGAAAGAGAAAGTTACCTATTTCATTTTTATCACAATATATATCCACTCCTACCCCCACATCTCAACCTCACCCTCATCCCACTACTACATATTTATTTTTTAAAAACTTTCGCTACACAAGATAATAAGAAGAACACAATAGTTTGAAAGGGCAGAACAGGCGCAAGGTTTAGAGAACAGAGATCAGATCACAGATAGCTTTTGATGAGAAGGAGAAAAAGACCCCACACGGCAGAGGTCACACCAATAAATACTGGAATCTTATCTGCATAATAGTAGAAATAAATGAATATAAGCAAAACTATAAAGTACGAAAAAAGCATCCCTTAAATAATTTCCTCAGTAAAAAAATAAACATTTTTTGAAGAGCTATTTGAAACTCATCGTTTCTCCAAATAATTTAGCTCATCGTCCCATACTTACATCCATCTGAAGATTCTATTCGTTGTTGGAGGTCTTTAATTTGTGCCTCTTTCTTAAAAGTTTCTCTCGACAGCAATTCCAGTCTTTGGCGATATTCTCGCAGTTCCCTGTAACAACACAACGGAGATTAATACAAAATATTCCTCCCACATCAAACGATAATGATACTCACTTTTGAGATGCCACCTGAACCAATTTAACAGCACATGAAATTTAAATGCCAGAACACATTAATAATTAGATTCTTGGAACAACTGCTGACTACCCAGTCCAATTAAATTTCTGACGTACCAAATCTGATCTAGTTTTTGTAAGTTCTTCGCTAATGGCTTGTTTTGCTTGGATTTCGGATTGAAGAGAGCTCTGAAGATTGAGTAACTCCATCTTATCCAACTTCTGGGACCGACGGTTCCGCCAGTTCTTTTCCTAAAGTGCAAGAGCATGTGTTTATATATGTGTTCTGGAAACGTTGGGAAAATGCTGTTATAATTTTGAAAACTTACAACAGTTGTGGTTGGCGGAAGTCCAGCATGCTTCAAGAATTCTAACTCTTCATTCATCTTGCTAGCCAGAGCTTGGAGGTAACTTCGAGCATCCTTTTCATCGCTTACCCTAAGAATAAATGTAAAGCTCTTATTTCGGAAACAACAATTCCTAAAGACAGAAGAACAGATAGAATAGGGACGTAAATCCTTATGCAGGTTCCATTCATTGTTTAAAGCCATTGTTTTTAATGAATATAGCTTTTAAACTGATCAATGGAGATTTCATAAATAATATTCATTGCAGTTTTGGAAAATATATTTTATATGATACTGTTCGAAATTGGTGCTCAAAAAATTAAGTCGTATTAGAGCAAATTAGAGTATTCTATTCTAGTAGATCTGTACCATTGAATAAGTTCTGTTATTTGGTTCTCCCAAAGTGAAATTGACTCCTTTTTGGCACGAATTTCATCATACTCGTCTTCAATTCCTCGACGCTCATTCTGCAATCTAGCAACCGTGTCGGAGATCTAGATATATGGAACATCTCATTAAATTACAAACCCTCCATACACATAAATGTAATGATGCACTTTAAAAATTCAATACCTTATCCAGCTCCACAATAAGCCTTTTATTTTCGTCTAGTAAATGCATCTTTTCTCTGTCGTGAAGTCGTTTAATTTCTCCTAGAGTTTCTTCACTCTCTGTCAAATTCTCGAGACGTAGGTGATCCATTTTCTCCCTCAGAAGAGACGCTTCTTTAACAACGGAATCTCGTGCAATTTCAGCTTCGGTAACGGCTTCTTTGAGGGAAGATATCTCATTCGTGAAACGCGATTGGGTTTGCATGAGGCTTTCTTTGTACTCCAATTCACACTTTTCCATCTCTGCCTTTAATCTGCGAGATCAAAAATAATTTGAATGTTTATACTTACATATTCAGGGGATGGATTGAGTTTAAATATGAAGCCAACCTCAGTAGTTCATTCGAAGCTTCAGTCTCTTGGAAATTCTGTGCATCAGAAACAAGTAATGGTCTCTGTTTGATGCGTTCCATCTCTTCCTCCATAGCCTTACAATATTCTTCTGACCGTTCCCTTAATTTACGCTCTTTTGATGCTTCTGCTTCCGCTTCGTCAATTCGTGTCTCCATTTCTCGCCTATGTTTAAATAAAAATTGTGTTTACGTGCACATACTGCATAAAATGATTAGATTAGTTTTATATTCTCTGCATACCTCAATTTCTCTGCGCGACGAATATCTTGTCTTAAAGCGTCAATTTTGCCCATCTGGAAAAATGAACCAAAACAGACATGTAGATAGAGAGGTATTTAGATCTTGTTATTTAGTTTATACACTTGTATTTATATATATATATTTATATACCGCTACTTCCAACTCTTCTTCCTTGTCGCGCACTTGACGACTTAATTTTTGTTTTTGTTGGCGAAGGTCAGATAATTTTTCACTGACTTCAGTATATTCAGACATTGCAACTTCTCTTTGACTCAAAGCGTCACGAAGTTCTTTTTCCTGTGCGGTTAATTTTTCACATGCATCACGGACTTCCTTTTGTAGCTCGTCCTTTTCCATACGTGCTTGACGCAATTTGTTACTGTCCACGCTAACTCCGTCGACAATATCTTTGGCAGATTTGGAGTCCTGTGGAAGAAATATAGACATATTGAAAGTCAGTCAAAATTGAAATGCTTTTAAAAAATGTACGCTTGTAGCAGTCACCTTATTTCGAATAAGCATTGCTTCTAGTTCCCCATTTTTCTTTGTAAGGGTGTTAACCTCATCTTGTAATTGTTGTAATCGGCGTATGTCACTCTTGTCTCCAACTACGACACCATTGTTGGTTGATATCAACTCGGGAGAGCGAGAGAATTCTAAAGAAAAAATGTGACAAAATTAATAGTGTAGACTTTTGACTTGTGGTAATTGTTTTCTTCAAACGCACCCGTCAATTTTCGAATCAGTTCTTGGTTCTCCATTTCTAATGTATGCATTCTGTTTTCATACGTGGCTAAATCGTCATAAAGTCCATTCGTTTCGTTAGCCCCAGAAAGGCAACCTAGTTCAAAATATTTTAGTATTTCAGTAATAGTTCTAATTACAATACTCTAATTTACAACACTTTTTATACTCAAACAAACTTGTATTCTTTCTTAGGTTTATTTTTAAACTACATGATAATGATTCACTGTGTATAAAAAATTCTCACCTAAGTCGGATATTTTGCTAGAAATAACAACAACAATTATCATTAGAATTTTAATTCCTAAAGTACCATTTATGAATAGAAATTTCTTAATTGAATACCTAAACTGCGTGAATGTGAACCCCACAAATGGCAAATGTAACGCAGAAAAGATGGCATTCGATGCCGGGGGAATCTAAAACCAAACAGGAATGTACATAATTTGATTTCTGGAATTATAATTTGTACCACCTTTCCTAACTTACTGCATCTGATTCGCGAATGTCGTTATCATCCACGTCAAAATTTGAGGTGTCAGTTGGGCTAGAGACTAATAATAAAGAGACCATGTAAACCTTATGACCTTTACTGTTAGATAGTCAAGTGTACTCACCTTCTGGAATGTATGGAGGAATTCCATTTCGTATATGCTCCCAATCGATCCCAGCAAACCACGCGTGTCGCTATATAAAACAGCACATTTTATTTTTAATACGATTGTCTAGTTGGGTGTAACCATTATAGGCATCTGTTTATGTCATTGCACGTATGCATCATATATATTGATCGCCCACCTTGAAATCATCCAACCCGTTCTGACCCAGTCTAAAATCTGCATCACAGATTAGCTTTCGTATCAAGTCCTTTGCATCGTCCGACACTTCTATCCCATTAGATTCTGGAGGAAAGACGAAGCAATTCTGAAGAAAAAGAGAGAACACAAACATAATCATTGCTTTTTATCCAGTTTGTCCTCAAACAAACAAACTGCATTTTCCCGTGCCAAAATTGGAGAGCATCGTTATTCATGCATCTCATCATCCTTAATTAGCAAAGATTCTTTTTCTGCTCTGCAGATTCCAAGACTGTACGTAAATACTTTTCTTGCTCTCCAAATCCGTCATTGCACTTTACGCTATAGGGTCACTTCATTCTCCTGCTCATTGTTATTCTTATGCAATCTGTACTCAAATGGATGGATTAACAAGGACATGGTGATGCCGTTCATTTCGAACACATTCTTAAGAAAATGCTCCGCTAAACACAAATACTAGACATGTCGGAGGATGCCGTAGCTGGTTGCATGCAAAAAATGGGATCATCTTCATGTTCATTTCATTTCTGCATCCGAGAAGAAGAGGAAACAAGCACAAGCTAAGTAAATGACGACGACCAAACCCACAAAATCCTCATCATCGCTTGTTCTTCTTGAATCTCTCTCGGTCTTCACTCTTTGCTCATTCACAACTTTGTACTTGTACGTATGTGTCTGCAACTATCTAAATAAACTGAAATCCGCAATATTCTCATGTATTTGTGCATACACGGTCCTCATCTATTTTTACTTTGGAAAAAGGACAATCTTATGAGAACAAGAGTAGTAAGAGAGACAGAAGGTGAAGATTCAACATGATTTTACTGCTCTCGTGTTGTAATAAACTCAGGTTTTTCAACATATTCATTTCACAATAAATGCTAGGAGGAAGGAGAGCACTATTTATGCATCTGCTTACAAGTAGAAATATGCAATGTCGGAACCATTAAACATGTGCAATTTTTTCGGATAAGATAAGAAAATGCAGTAACATCGCTAAATTATCACTCATCCCTAACTGCACAATATGCAATGTTCCTAACATATATATATGCACCTCATTGCATGCGCAATACTGAAACTACATACTTATCTGTACATGTGTGCGATAAGGTAAGACAAATAGTGTTGGCTAAAGCTAAAAAAACGAAATGCACATAAACTGGGGAAAGTGCGGAAGTACATCTTCTTTATAGGTCCTCATTAAGGATAAGTTAAACTCTATCTAAATTCTTGTTATTTTGTATACTAATTCACCTTTAAAGACAGTAGTAAAAACTGAACTCCATAATACTTGTGTACGCATTCTCATCATACACGACTAAAACCACAAATGTATACATGTAGGCTATTTGGGTTTAGGTTGAATATGTAATTTTTTTCCACCCACCCAGTGAGGCTAGAAAATGATGATGACCAACTAAAGGGTTTAATTGTTCACGTTTCTTTTGATGTTTTAGTACCGGATCAATTAACACAACCAACTACTAGCTAAATTAAGTAATCAAGAGCCTATTAATTATAAATAATGGGGACATCCTTCTTAATTGAGTGCAGCTGCATTTGATTAAAACAGAGGAAAGGAATTACTATTTTCAGATTAAAAAGACTACGCAGCAGCGACAGGAATGCATACAAATATGAGTACATGTGACAGTAAAAATAGGTCGTGGGTTCGTACCTCACTGCGGAGACCAAATTTTTAACCTATTAACGATTCCCTATTTAATTCAAAAACTAATACTTAAAACTTAAAAATTTCTATTTAATAAAAATGCATTCTCTGACCATGTCACTAGCAAACCTGAAGAATATGTATCGATCAATCACCTAAATACTACTATTCATCTTCGTGACTTGAACAAATCTCGCCACACCACACACTTCCACCCCTACCACAAGAAAAGAAACAGCAGCCATTATGCGGTTACGATTGTCATATTAATGCATAATTCGTCCCATTATGTATATCAATCATGTGGCATGTATATGATGATTTCACTTTTCTGTGGTTTTACCTTGTGGCTCAGGTTTTACCTTGTGGTTCATGGATAGAATAATGACTTTGAGTGGGAGGTTTACCACGATGGCTTAACATGACTGAAGAACAACATTTTTAAATTACGGGGAAATTTGCCGGTAGGAATTAATTTAAATATGTACATTAACATTAGTAAAATCAAATTGAAATAAATTTATTGACTTGCCGTTGATTTGCCGAATTCTAAAATTTTGCCGTACGTTTCCAGCAATGATTCTGCATAAAATGGCGTCTCTCCGTATAACATTTCGTACCTGTAATGAAAACGGTTATGTTATAGAAAAATAGAAAAAATTTGCTCAAGCGCTATAACACAAACTCGTACATGCAAACACCCAAAGACCACCAATCGCATTCCGGACCGTACCGACCCTGTCCGTCCTCCATTGCCTGCAAATCATAACATATTAAACATCGCATTAAAATGTCATCTAAATTCTGGTTTCTTCTTCACATTCTCCCATTAAAAAGCGATCATCTCTCTCCCTCCTTCCCACTTACTACTCACCCTTAATATTTCCGGTGAGATATAATCTGGCGTACCCACAGCCACGTTACTCTGCACAGTCCCATCTTCTTGAAGTCGGAGACAGGAGCCAAAATCGGCTAGTCTAATATGACCATTGGCATCCAACAAGACATTGTCGGGTTTAATGTCACGGTGTACATATTTCAATTTATGAATAGAATCGATAGCCAGCACCATTTCGGAAATATAGAAACGTGCCATGTCTTCGGGTAAACGGTCTTCAAATTTGGATAGTAGTGTGAGCAAATCGCCGCCACAGTAGTAATCCATGACGAGATACTACAATTAATTGGTTAACCAAATTTTAATCACTCAATTAATTAGTAATTGCGAAATTGAAAACATCAAATCAATTAATTCATACCAAATTGGTGTCATCTTGGAACGCGTAATGGAGATTTGTTATCCAGCGTCTGTCCCCGTACACCAAGACATCGCGTTCCTCCTTAAAACAAAATGAAACAAAAATGTTTAAATTTATGTAAAACTGGTCATAATGTCTGGATTTTTATAATTTAGTGATTATTTACTTATAGGGATATGTAATATTATGACGTTTTGATAATAATTGTTGAAGTAAGAATTCTTGACATACCTTAAAACATGCTGTTTCTGCACGCTTAAGCATTTCCCATTTGTTCAAAATTTTCATGGCAAAGACACGCTCGTTGGTTTTCATCTTGACAACCGCAACCTCACCAAATGCTCCACGACCAATGACTTTTAAGATTTCAAAATCTTCTGCCGTCAAACGAAACAATTTTACGCCTGTGACAACTGGTTTTACTGGAAAAGAAAACAATACCAACTTGTTACCATTATTTTTTCTTTGGTATATTGTCTAACATACGTACATAGATATAAAGCATCATAATGTCAACCTTAACCTTGACATTCAAAAATTGCACATTTAATGCGCATCTTGGAATTTGATCAAATTACTCATTTTCATGTTGCTCAATTTAAAAATTATCATTGAAAATTGTCACCCCGGTACCGTCCTAAAAATATGATTGCTCTCATAATAAACTAATCGAAAGCGTGCTTTTAGTTGTAAGCAAAGTTAATGCGATATGTCAATTCGAGGTACTATATCATTCCTTCCTGTTATTGTTATTTCTCATTTGACTCCACTCAGCCGGAATGAGTTATATTGCGATAAATCAACTTATCCGGTTAAATTATCAAATTAAATACGCAAATACACACCTCTGTCATAGAACGTGCACGAGACCACCTACATATGTATCGTTCCACTAATCTACCGTCTCACGCATTTTATGAGTCATGATGGCATAAAATGTCCTTTGGAGGATTTTCAATTTGTCGTCGCGTCGCCTGATGTGCGAGCAAATATAATTTAGCTCTGACTCCATTGTTTGTTGGCTAAAAAAGAGTTCGCCGTCGAAATGCAATGCGTTGTCCATATGTGCATAACATAGAATAAATTGTACGTATGATATGCTTCTCTATTTTCCTTCGACGGGATCAATTTACTGTACATTTGGGATGCCGATGTGTTAACTTTAACGTGCTTTAACAAACATGTGCAAGTCAAATCCATCCAAGTCGCAAAATTTCGCACATGCAAAACAAACATTGTTATCTATCTGTTTATATCGCCTTTTTAGAGTGTGTGCAATGTCTTAAACCTTAAACATTTACAACTAACTACAAACAGAATGAATGGGTCCAGAGATAGAGACTTTGTTTAACTTTTTTTCTTGTGCAAAAATACGGACAGGAAGTACAAGTGCGGCTTGGTTATTTTAGCTCAATTGTGTACATAATATTAGGCATAGTGTATATGGGGTCGTGATTAAAGTGAGGTTTCCTCCACCTCCTGGACTCTGGGGGTGTGGTAAATCGTCAAATATTCAATTTAACCTCTCAGTATCGAGTGGCATTTGAGCTATTCCATTAATTTGATGAATTTATTTAATAGATCTGCTGTGTGCAAATTAAGGTTTAATTCTCCTGTTGAATGACAAGCTTCTCTACTAGTTCTTATCCCAAAATGAAATTATGCAAACGAATGTATCATGATTTGGACCACTTCTCTTATTACATGTCAAAATCTTGAAAAGTACTTGTACGACATGATATGAAGTGAAATGAAACAGAACTACGAATGATATTAACATTAACTTCCACCTGGTACATACATACTTATGTACGTACATATCGATTCTTTAATCAGGGTTTCAAACATACACATATACCATTTTTATGCGTATGCCAATCTCCTCGTTACTTGGTGTTACAGAATTACACAATAAAGATGAGTCATGGACTTTATATGATATGTATCACTTTACGGAGATATACGATGCATTCCCTGTAGAATAAAATGACAATACAGGTAGGGTAGACTTGGAAAGAGCGCATTAGGAAGAAAATGGAGTGTTTGCTAAATAAAGTAAAATCCATACGACGAATGGAGGAAGTCATGCTTATAAATATGTTGTTATGGAGAAATAAACCATGCCAAAATATTTGCATTTTGATGTTACCCTCCTGTTCTACTGTTTGAGATTGAACAAATTGTGAATATTATATGTTGTACTATTATGCTCCTCTTCCGCTCCTAAAACAAACAATGCGAATTATATCATCTACATACAGCACATACGCCCTATGATCTGAACTACTGCACAAACTAGGAAAAATCGAGGCTTATTAGAATGCATCCCCCACAACACCTGGTCATAAAACCAAAATATTATAGTTTATAGTGCAAAGTCTGCAATGCAGCCATAGCCTTAACGACTCTTATGGACGCCAGGCAGTGTCATACATACGACCTCCAGGCAGTGTCATACATACGACCTCCAGGCAGTGTCATACATACTTTCATACGCCTTGCTTATAAGTCCTGCATGCAATGCATCAACTTTCTACGATTATCCGCAAAATGATCCACCCCCATGGACCATTCTGCACTGGACCACGGTCAAAACATAGAAACCCGTTCCTTAAAGGACGATGTGTACCAAACTTAAAACTATCAAATGCTATAAGTCTAATGAGAGTTATCTGACACATACACAAAAAGCTCAAAGGGGTTAAAAATGGTGTGTATACAATATGAAAAATTTTATCCTTTTACATAACATGATATGTATACTCACGTAATATTTAATTTAATGACATACTTATTCCGGGAACTCCACATTTTTGTAATTAAATATGAGCTCTATATCAGCAGGTACGCGTTTGGAATACTAATTCCCCTTAAATGAAACAAATGTGGTGACTAATTGTACGCACTTAAATGCTCCTGTATCATTTACATTCTGATCTTTAATGAAACCTTCAATTAAATTATACACATAAATCATATCTACATATGCATATATGCCATGATTCATGTCCTTTTAAACTTTAAGGGTGACAATTTTTTTTATTTTCTCATCCGTCTACAAAATCCACAAATTTCATTCAAACTACTCTCTCCAAAATGCAAATAAGTCCTCTCTTTGTGCTTACCGAAAGCTAGAAAGTCGTTGACAGTTTTCTCCCTTCTTAACGAAGAGTTGCAGCACTCGTCATAGAGGAGGAGCAGGACGTCAAGGAGTGTTTCGATGGAAAAGGCGCAGGGTCCATCGCCATCGACGAGCATGGGAGCCGCCGCCCTGGTAAGGGGCCCACTAAGAAAGAGGGACTCCAACTCCTTCACCCTGATGGAGGGGTCACGCTCCTCCCTCGTCACCATGCTCACCTCCATGTCTAAATCGACCCCACCACCACGACCACCACCTTTGACCCTCGTCGTCTCACCACCAAGTTCCTTATCCACTTTATAACCTTATTTTCCAACTTGCTTAATTATTCACAACAAAATATCACGACCACAACCACACGCACACTATTGACGACGACCACCCCTCGACACTCTCATAATGTCGACGAGAACAAGATGATGAGCATGAAGAAAACAAGGCATCCTCCTCCTCCATTATCTTGGTAAAAATTAGTGTGTCAAACGTATTATGACCACTTATTTCTATAAAATGGCAACTTATGTCGACAAGATTTCTTCTTTGGTCACATATTTGTTATGTTATCTGGTCGGAGTAGTGTATGCAGTTAAAAACGGTCCTTGAATTTGACCCTTCAAGGTAAGGTAACAAGTACAGAAGAAGTAGAAATGATTAAGTAGTTTAAAAAAAGTTCCTATTCTTGATAATGAAGAGTTTAATTTTGATTCAGAGACCAGACCAGTTCTGCTTGTGTATTAGAGCTGCTCCTGCTACTGCTGTTGAAATGAGATGAGAGTGAGTAAAGTAAAAAGTAAGTTGTAAAAGTTGAATATAGTAGTTTAGTACAATTCAGTCAGTTGTGTGCTCTTCTCTGTGCATTCATTTGGTGAAGATTGAAGGGAAAGTTGGAGATGTGTGTGTGTGTGTAGTGTGTATTGTGTATCCACCCGGCCAAAGCAAAGGCTTCCGCAAAGGACCGAGTCTCAATTGAGTTTTGAGATGAGCAAGAGCAACGCGACACGGTGGCATGGTCATGAATAATATTGCCAAATTCGCATCTTTTAAATATTTTACTCGTAAAATTTAAGGTAATAAACTGCCTAGTTATTTTATGTATGTCGTCTTACACCCCTTCGATGATCTCTCATCATTCTAAGAAAGTTAGTAGCACTGACAAAATTATTCATAAAACAGAAATACTTGGAAATAGTAATAGAGCATATGATTAGATTTAATTTGTAAATTTTGCAGGAAATCTGCCCGAAATTAGGAAGGACAAGGTGATAATATTCTATCTGCTAGGACATTCCTACTTTAATAGTTCAATTTCTATCTAAAATTCTGCATTTGAAAAGTTATCTGTCAAATCAAGACTGCGTTGCAAGCGTGCTCACTGGTCTTTTTGCTCAGCGTTCACCCTATTCTCATATTGTTTTGGTTTCTCCCTGGCCACCACCGTTATAAATTTCACACATGGCACGAGAATCAACTCCACAAAAACACAAATAAACCCATTTTTCACAATCATGGAGAAACATTGGAGAAATCAGCAACCAATTTGTTATAGTAATTACTTACTCTATACTAAATGGTGGTGGTGGTGGATGATGTGATGTTACGTACTCTGGACTGGACTACTTTACAGCCAGTCATCTGTTTGCCGTCATCAATTCATCATTCATGACCCAATCTTATCATATTAATTAATTATGAGCTCATCTCATAATCTCATCGTCCAACTTGAATTACAAGGTTCAACCAGCCAAGTAAAGGTACGCATTATTATGCAATTTCCAAGTCACTTGCAAGTGACCTGACTTGTCCATTTTTAGTACTGATTTCTGCTATTTTTTTACTACACTTTTAGAGGCCGTCCCAAATTCCAAAGTTGAAAATGCACTGATTCTAAACTATCTATCGTACTATAATTCCGATAGTGTGATTGTTGAAGTACCATTTTTTATATCGAAACCGCGCACGGTATGTCCATTTCTTAATTTATAATTCATATCATAACACTTCAATTTAATTGCAATAGTTTATCAAATTTAATTTCAGAAAATTCAATCCCATCCTACCTAACCATGGCAGGTTACATTTTAGGTCGGATGTTTGGAGTAGAATCATACAAAGACAAGACCACGGCGCTTGTCCTGACAGCACAAGAATCCGCCTACAAAGCCCTACTTGTGGTCACCACGTTCACGGCAGTGTTATGGATGAGCATATTTCTCTATGCTAGTTTCTATTATAGTTATATGCCAGCAATCTCACATATTAGACCAGTTCATCTCCAATATCAGTAAGCTAAAAATATATCCGTTCGTCTATCATTAATTTCTAAATAAAAAGAGCATCTTCTTAATCTTCTACATAGATCTTGCGGACGATCCCCCGGCCTGTGCTCATTCCCATCAGCCAATGTCACACTTACTCAGCGCCAACAATTACTCATGATTGGTCAACCCTATAAAGTTGTCGTGGAACTAGAACTTCCAGAATCACCTCATAATCAGGCGACTGGAATGTTTCTCGTGTGTGGTAAACTTAAAGGAGCCGATGGTTACGTCGTGGAAGAGTCGTGTCGTTCTGCAATTCTTCATTATAAAAGTTTTCTCCACAATATTATCGCGACCATGCTGTATACTCCATTTCTACTGGCTGGGTCGGCCGAAGAGAAGCAGTTGGTGGGAGTAGAATTATTTTCCGGATTTACAGAACATCCAGTACGTAAACAATTTCACTACCATGATTGTCTGATTCAATTCATAATTATTGGTTTGTGTTCATTAATAGGACAACCCAGTCATTGAAACTTATATTGAAATACAATCCCAACATGTTCACATTTACCAGACATATCTCAAAATTCATGCTCATTTTACGGGACTTCGCTACTTTATGTACCACTGGCCATTCTTAGCCGCTTCTTTAGGAGTCTCGATTAATTTCTTCTTTCTTACTATGATTGCTTTCTTGTCGTGGTAAATTAATAGCATTTTTTAAGATTTTATTATTATTCGTGTATGAGCTAATTGTTTGCTTTTACTTTTAGGTACAAATTATTCGTCCCCAAACAAACCATTCTGCATGTCGGGTATGATGCAAATGCTGCCCGATCTGTGGAAGAAAAGCGACGTATTCTTGCCAGAGAAAAGTCCATAAAAGAGCGTAAGCGAGGAACAACTTCATTTTCATGGAATGCATAATATTGATTCATTGATTAATTATCGTATTATTTATTACAAAATGACAGGTGACGAATTATTTGCCATGCAAAAAATGGAACAAGAAGAAGAGGATCAAGAACAATTTATTCCACAACCTAAAAAGCACCAAAAGAAAGTGAAAGACAACTCAGACGCCAGGTCAAAAATGGAGGAAGACGAACTACCAACGTTTCCCTCAAGCAAACCTGGATATGAGTCGTCAGAATTTTCCAAGAAAAAGGGTGATATTCCTACTAGAAAGAAAAGAGAAAGGTCCTCAGATGAATTTGAGGTTTTAGAGGATGCTAAAGGCGTCGAGGACTATTCTGAAGAAGAAGTTGAAGCAGAAGATGACAAGGAGAATAGAGGAGAAGGGCATTCTAAAGAACAGAAAAAGAAGCCCCTAAAATCGGACGAGTCGTCATCTGGCAGTGGGGGTGTGAGAAAAAGAAAAAACTAAATTATTCTTTTTGGGAATGGTTCAATTTTCCATTTCATCATCGAGAAAACATTGTGATGTATATTGTAGACTTCTTGCCAAAAATAGTGTTAATGACAACATATCCGACCAAAGTGTACTTAATTTAGTTATATATAAATGACGATACAATGTGACAAGTTACCAACCAGGAATTTATGGATTTACGTATGCATTTATAGTTGTAGTTATTACGATGCTCACAAGCTACTTAGCAAATATTACAATTTACTGTTCCTATCATATATGTACTCTAATATTGGAGTTCCATAAATCATTCTGTCAATTAACTATTCCACAACGAGTTGCATTTAATGTAATTGATATTATTAATTATTAACTTCAACTGAAATTAATTCAAATACATATTTAGATAATCAAAACCAGACTGATTAAGTAGTTTACGTATACTCATTTAAAAAGTTCACATGCAAGAGATTTTACTAATGTGAGTTTTGCCAAGCTTTCATTTCGCCTGTCTCGTCTACATATAATGTGTATTGTATCCTCATCATCGTCAGACTTTGACTACATCTGCAGGTTCTTTCGTCTCGTCTCTTTAAATTTCCAGATATGAATCAAGATCAAGATTTACTCATCTCCAATTCCTAGCATCATATGTATATCAAACAACTCCGTCATTCACTCCCCAGTTGACGATTCATAGATAACGGGTCAACTTTTTCGTAAAATAACTGTTTAATATCTGCACAAATAAAACGACAAACCGGTTTTTACTATGATGCAAGTTGAATAAACCCAGCAAGAGAAGAATGCGGATGGATATGTATTCGGGATTAGTTTCTCGTCAACTTTGCCAAGATGCAGTTGTCCCTGTCCTTCCTCGTCTTGACCGCCGTCGTCGTCCTTGGCGTGACCATTAGTGGGGGTCAGGGCGCCTCGATCTCCAAAAAGGCGAGACAAGAGGTTCCAGGTGGGAACTTAGCGAGCAAGTGTATTTCATAACCTATTTACAAATACCATATTTTTTCAGCCGTGGCGAGCTCACCAACCGTGGTCACCATTGCGAAAGAGTCCACACCCTCTGTAATTACCAATGTCCCGGAACTCGTCCCAGCCGTAGTGGATCCAAATCCTACCACAGTTGCACCACTAGTTGTAGCTAACGTGACAACAACGCCAAAACCTGACGATGAAGATGATTCAAGCGAAGGTAAAAATGGAAGCTATGCATTTAGATAAAAAATCGATATGAAAATAATTCCTAATTTTGCATAGAAGAAGAGGAAGACGCCGACGAAGATGACCAAGATCAGGATGACGATGCTGAAGAAGAGGAAGAACATGACGAGGAAGGAGCGCCGGGTGCCAAACAGATTTACCTTCCTGGTTACCTGACTGCCCATGGTGAACTATTGGTCCCGATTGATGCCGTTCAACGCTCAACAGGGGATAGGGTGCCCTACGAAGTCATTGAAGGTGTGATGATGATGATGACTTTAAAAGACTTAGAAAAAAATAAACCGGTTGTGTAAACATAAATCTTTTCAGATCCTACATATCCTGCCTACGCCCAATTCGCCAACGCTGCAAACAATGAGGATTCTTCCGTATCCGTTGGTGTGAGTGGGGGAAGCAGTGCGGGTGGAATTAGTGGTGGTGATGGTGAAACCGTATTGGGTAGGATACTTTACTATGCATAAGTATTTAGGATAATTAACTATATATATACAATCCTTGCTTATGTATGCCATTAAAAAATGCATAAACTTCAGAAATTCTTCAACAACCCGGCGTCGGTGGTCCACCATCTGTCGCTGTGGCCGTTCCATCGCACGAAAGCTCGGAACCTTCGGAAGAGGATCAACAGGGTCAAGAACCAGCCGCTCCGGAACAAGTCAATGTAGTTCAAGAACAGCAAAGACATCTTTGGTTGGGTGGAAGCAACCCGACTGATTTTGGATTTCATTTTTAATTTCAATTCCAAATTTTTCGACGAGGTTGTTGCCAAAGTATAATAAAATATTTATTGCTGATCATCACAAGTATTATTTTTTGCTGTAACCACTTTTACCGTAATTAAAAATGATTGAGTATAAATTTGTAATTCATTTCGTACTTCATCACTGTGAAGCTTTGTGGGCTTCTTTCTCTGTGAACAAAAAATCCAAGTATTTACACAAATATATAACATGCAAGATTCAATTTATGGAATGGCAATAATAGCCTTAAATAGATACCGTCTAAAAGTCGCGTGCGGTCAGGAAGTGTATTCCTTGGTATTCGAACGGGTAAAAAGGCGTCGGCAATGGAGGCTTCGACGCATCGTTCAATGTTTAGCAAATGAGTGTCATAATGATCCCCGAGTAACCGCACCCAGAACGGATGCCCAGCGTGTTGGTTGCTCCTAATAAGACATCATATTTCAATATGGTAAATTTGTATTATCGTAATTTGTGTTTTCATAATTTACGTACCACCGAACTCTAATTTCTGAACTCCACAAATCAATGATTGCCCTGCCATATTGGTGGTACATACGGTAGCTTTCTATCCAAAAAATTCAAAATATTTAGGTGATGGCGTGAGAACCATAAAATAATTTATCATAGTGTTGAGCAAACAAAAATTGTGTGTGCCTCGCCTTCGAAAAAAGGAAAACAGTGAGTGTGAGCCATCTCAAAAGATTTCCAAATGATATCCACCAACGGGTCCGTCCGACTAATCTTGGTCTCCGAATTCGGATTTGTACAAATATACTCGGTGCAATTGTCGACTGCGATCATCTGTAAGCCAAAGTTTCTGTAGACACTTATTCATACATGTAAAGTATCTATTTCTTATTTATTGTACCTTGTCGCCACAATTGTCTGTAAGAACGGGAAATGGTTTCACGCTGTTTGCACATTTCTCCAGTAATTTTAGAATCCATTTATAGTCGGACATTTTTAACACTTCCGTTCGACCTTGAGACGTCATCCAATGGACTTCATGAAATAGTTGATACGCAGATTGAATTAATTCTGGGGGTATAATTGGACACATTTTTGTCAAAATGTCCGTAGATATTTCCAACAATTTGAATCCATAATTTGGTGAGTGGTCCGGAACCTTATACCCGAGGACGCCATTTTTAATCGCGATATCGAGGATCCTTTTATTTTGTGAATTTATTTTGTATTTAATGTCATATGTTGAATTTGTCGTCGTTATATTCTGTCTAAGATCTGAACCCCTAAAAGCTGAACCCTCACACGAGGCGTTATACTCTGCCTCAAAATCAGGAATGATGGGACATCGATCTCGATTTAAATTGACAAAGTTATGTAATAGTTCTTCCTCAGTTGGGAAAGATAAGCTTTTGTTGTAAAGTTCTATGTCATCCACAGGTAGTTGAATACGTGCTCCAGGTTTTTTCGGAGAAATATTCTTTTTTGAACAAATCACATAGTTTTTGTTCAAGCAATTGGCCGTGTGAACAAAGAATCCTTTTGGTGGAATGTACCCCAGCTGACCACAGACTGGATGGATGTTGTCATGAATTTTTATTGGATTCATGACCTCACTTTTGACTGTTTTATCATCCGACCATTTCAATTCTGAGTGAGCAGGTCCATTTAGATTAGACGCAGACACCCAGTAAATTTTTCTAGGGTCCCACCCTCGATCCCCGGCTGTGGCATCCTCTTTATTAAATATTATTTCAATAAGTACAAACTTTCAATGTGCACATATCACAAAAATAGGGTCTTCCTTACCAAACATTATTCGATCCATTGCAGACTTCATGTCACGGTTCTTAAGCGATAGCCCCTCCATTCCATGGTCTTAAAATAAATAAGTTGCAATAAAATTTGGAGTATAAAATACTTGGCGTTATTTATGTATGCACCTTTACAACATTTCATTGATGCAGCCCAAGACATCTGTGGAACAGTATTATGTAGTTGAATTATTTTTTGAAAAAATTGTACCAATAAATTATGCTGCTCAAAAAATTACTTTCTGATCTCCAGCATGAATTGTGTGGTCCAAGTTGTTGAGGTTTTTGTTACCTTCCTTAACCTTCATGAGCTTAAAATTTGCAGACTTGCAGCTTGCCAAATCTAGATATATTTAAGTATTCTTAAACATAAAAAAAATGAATCACACAATTAGTAAGAGATTAATAAATAGCATACCCTCTTGAAAAGTATCCAACATATCGTAGGTCCTAGGTTCTAATGTGCAAATAGAACTTGTGTGAAATATTCTATAATCTAATTTCAATATTTGCACCTTTAGTTCCCATTGAATATTGCTCTTCGACTGGACACTTCGGGAATGTGTCACACATTATCGACCCCGTTTTAAAGTCACAGTCGTAATCTTCCCCACTGAATCCTTTTTCAGAATTTTTATCCGTATAAACCAAACAGTTTTCGTTTCCCATCTTATTATCCGGGCTGGTAACATTGGTTGACTCGTCCATGTACCAATCTAGATCTTCGGCTTGGTCGCCACACCCCCATTTCCAGTTTCGAAATTCTTGAAAATCATTACCGCTTGTCCAATAAAAGAGCTCTTTTGTTAAACCAGGTCCCCATGGATGATTGGCTGGAATAACGTGATTTTTAAGACTCATCCCAATATGCACATCATGTGTATGCATACAATAAAACCACATATGTATTATCAGATTATGTACATATATACATACAACGTATACAATGTTTTCAAAATATACCAATTGTCTCATAAAACTTTTTTCCTTTGTTTGCAATGTTATCTACTAGACTCCATCCTTTTGCCTGGCAGCACATACTCGCAGTTCTCCAAGTCCCCTAAATTTTAACAAAATGCAAAAATATCATATTACTCGATGCAAATAAACATTTCATGTATCAATAATAATGAATTACAAGGGATTCGAATATTTTTAAGGAAGGATATCCCGGGACATCTGTAAAGTTCGATCCCATGCAGTTCATCAGTTCTATATGAATCACGAAAAAGTTTTTAAATCTTTCAAACATTGGTTCATATTGTTAAATTTTTGTACCGGTAACAGTGAGATCTTTTCCACCAACTTTCGCCTCCACTAGAAAAATACATTGGTTACAATTATCATGCACACTCATTAATTTATTATCATCATTCAAGAATTTACATATGTAGATTACTTTCACATATGAAGGGATGCGTTTCTTTGTCACATCGTGCACTTTTCATAAGAATTCGTTCATCCTCAGCCTTAATCACGACACATCGTCCTTTGCCAGGCTCTCCTTCTGACCACGAGTGATTGTCCCATTTATACGATCGCAAATCTCCCTCGTCCACCCCCTTCCCACCCTCCCACACGAATTTGCCTTTCTCGACGAAACTGTTGGCGGACACCCAGTACAGCAAGCCTGCAGAGTAATTTTATGCATAAAATAATGCAATCTTGAAATTGTAGTAAAGCAAGTGGACGCAATACTTTCATCAAGTTTTTCTTGCATCTGTTTAGAAAAAGTTTGAGGTTCGTCCATCTTTTCTGCCGTGTAGAGGGTCATGCCTCGTATTCTGCAGCAAGAGTCCGCAGACCTTCTTGTCATCTTGAGTAATACACAAAATCATGCAAAAACATGCAAGGATACGTGCATATACAATGTATGGTTTACAGAATTCTAACTTTTTCAGTCGACGCTCGACGATTGGTTGACACCTTGGTGAACTTCATCCTCTTGCATATTTCCCTATCTTTTATAAGACAAGGTTAAACTAGAAATTTACTGCTGAACAATGACAATTTCATACATACCCTTCAGATCGGTAAAGTGGTAAATTTCGGCATTTATTGTGAGACCTAAAACAGAAATTATCTCTATATGTAGATATTTACATATACAAACCTTTTTGATTAGTCTTACTTTGATATAGTCCAAAAATTCCAAGAAATATATACTTTATCAACATTTTTGGCAGTTGGATAAATTATTCGATTGAGAAAATGTCAATTAAATTTGTTCGCCAGGTTTTGTATACAATTGAAAAATACTTTCTCCTTTGTAAACACTCCGTTGCAATAATAACAAGTCATTTCAAATTGTCTGACTTCTTTTTGCACTAATTGTTTATATTAAATTTATAATACCAATTGATTCATTCATCGTGGAATATAAATATGGATATGAAATACATAAGTACGCATACATTTATAGGTAATATGTGTACATCTTACTAATATATTGAGATCCGAAGATGGGAAGTATGCAATAGGACCTTCATTATTAGCGATATTCATGTATTTTATTTATTACATATTTAATAGACAAGTTAAAACTCAATATTTTTTATATACATACATAAGCCATAAAGTTACATACATGCGGAGCGTCAATTTTTTCAGCTAGCACTAATTACGCTCGACTTCACGTCGCCGTCAGATTTCTTCATCGGCTCGAATCTTCTGCACGGCTATAATATTCTAAAATTCATAACACCCGTCACACAATAGGTTCCATGTTTTTGTACCATTATAGTTTGCAAGTCGCATCACGTCTGTCCATCGGAATAATTAAGTAGTTAAAAAATACACAACAATTAGCACTATTTTTTAGTTGACGTATTTCCAGCATAGAAATCACCTTAATATACGAATTATGTATTTGTTTGGCTTCACATTCTACATGAAAAATACTCCATTTCACTGAACGTCCAATATGACTTCTAAGAATTGTGTAATTACATTATTCCAAATGGTTTCCATTGTACCCCATAACCATAACCCTTCTCTTATAAATGTTGAAACCTTGCACTTGAAACCACATTATATTATTCCATTTCAAACCTTCTCCCGAAATCATGTCGAAACCAGCTCATATTTTAATTATTTTTGCATTCTTGCCCTTCTTCACATTTTCGCAATCATCACTCCTTCCGAAACCTACGACTGAAACTTTTTACAAATATATTTTAGCAAATTCGCTGAAATATAATGATCCTTGCACCTGGGAGAATGAACAGTTCCGTCAAGAAGGTTCGAAAGAATTGAAGAAATACCCGAAAGACAGTACACAACAAGACCAAGTATTTTACAAAATTGTAACAAGCTCAGTCAATGGAGGGAGGACCTTTTGTAATGCTGCGGACATGTTAATGTGCAGTAAGAGTGCTGGCAAATGCGTCTGCGGAGAACCTTCAGCGCAAGTAAATATTTAAAAAAAAATAAGAATTTATCGTTTGAGTTTATCTCAAAGTATTTTTACATGTTTATACAATTAAATACAACAACATCCCAAATTTGCATCAAATTTGTAAATTATTTGGATTATTTTATTTGCATTTAGATCAGCCTCGGAGACAGGTACAAGTCTTCTAGTTATGACATGGAGCAGGATCCCACGACACATAAATCGATCTGTCGGTGGGCTCGTGGTGCAGCCTGCTCACCTCCTCCAACGACGCCACAGTCGTCAAGCTTGGCCACGCAGGTGGCACAATGCGCCAAAGGATCGGAGTGCGTCTCCACCACGGACGGAACCACGTGCACGGGGACAACGGTATCGAAATTTTTAACAGCCTCCATAATGAGGCAAGAAACATTTGATACCTTCATGGATGGCATGCTCATGGGCAAAACGTGCGTCTGCTCGGATGGGAAGAAATCTGCGAAGAGGACGAAACGCAGCAGTTTGGAAATACATGAAGAAGACGCGAGAAGAATTTCAGCTTTGTTGTAAACGGTTTTAAGTTAACAAGATTACTAAAAAAAAAAAAATAATAATAATAATAATAATAATAATATATACTTAATGATAATAATAATAATAATAATAATAATAATAATAATAATAATAATATATACTTAATGATAATAATAATAATAATAATAATAATAATAATAATAATATATACTTAATGATAATAATAATAATAATAATAATAATAATAATAATAATAATAATAATATATACTTAATGATAATAATAATAATAATAATAATAATAATAATAATATATACTTAAGGGCCCGGGGGAAGATTTACTTTCGAAAATTGATTTTATGTTAGCAACAATAATTGCTAGGAATCTAAGATTATTTATCACTCCATAAAGTTACGACCACGATTAATTGACACGGTTTCTATGGTACACTCACGTCCAAAAGCTTTTGTTTGATCACTTTTCCCTCAAGTTTTTGAAAAAAGTTGTTTTCTTTTGTTCCATGGATACTCAAAATGCAATTCATGCCATCAGTTTTGCAATTCTAAGCCAATTTGTGCTTACTTTATGACCAGATATCTCCACTGCGCAAGAGGGCACATTGTCAAAAAAAAAGTTAGTAAAACCTAAAGATATAACTAACAAATTAAACATAATTTGAAAAATGTGCCCTCTTGCGCATTGCTGAATTTTATGATCAAAGTTGACATGATTTCTAAGCAACTTCCCCCGGGCCCTTAATGATAATACATGCATTTACATATAAACCCATCAAATGGTACATGGATAAAAGATGTTCTACGAAACTCAAATAGTGACAAGTGGTACCCGATAAGGCTAAATACATACTTACAGACGGATCATAAATAATGCTCAAATTTATTCCTTGATTAACAGTGAATGTAATGTAAATATGTAAATAGATACCCACGTAAGCATGATAACCATAGTTGCATTTTAAAATTCGGTTATTTTTACACCGTATCTATTGGAAAGTTGCTTTATGTTTCTTATGAAGTGAACCAACTACATAAGAACAGTAATATCAATGTTAAACCGCAAATCATTGATGAATGACGTAAATTCCGATGTAAGTATGTATACATACATATGCATGTACATAAATACATCTTACACATGTACGAGTATGAGTAAAATTATAAAGACTAAATTGGCGGACCGGACGCCCACATCCTTTTCTCTACATATCTCTGTTGCTTTTTCGCTGAAAATGACCTCAAATTTACGCATTATCTAATTCAATGCCATGTTCAAGTAAGATAAGTGCATTGAATTTATTAATACAATACTAAATAAAATTTAAACGTTGATCAAAACAGTAGAATTTAAAGTGTTGTCGGTGTATTTTCATAGCTCCACACATTTTACACTCGTTGCATAAATAAGTATTTGCAATGTTTATAAAATACTTGACATTTGCGACACTTTCTTTTGTAGTTGTGTCCCCCAGCCCAGAGACAATGTACGTAAATAAATCATCCATCAAGCTGGTTGACGTCGGTCCGTGGAATTGCAGCACGGTCTGTCCATCTCAAACGTGTTGTATAATCGAAGAATCTTTAGATGACATCACTATTGGCTGCTGCGGCGAAATCAATGCTGTCTGTTGTTCTTGTGGGATGGCATGTTGTCCTGGAGGATTTACGTGTGGCCTTGGACATTTATGTGTCCCTGCAGAACGATCTCTTGGGACATCTCTTTCAAGACGGGAGAAAATCACCTTTCATCTCTATCTCCTAATTTCCGTGTTTGTAAATCTGGATAGTTTGAAGTACTAACTCTAAAAAATACAGCCCACTGTTAAAGAACTTTTTTTATTTAATGCGTGTAAAACAAATCTTTGCTAAAATAAACATGTACTGATTTTATTATTCACCTAACTTGTACACGGTTTGGCTATTTCATGGCAACGTTAATTAACAAATTTTGACAATTTAATTAACAAGCAAATTACTAGAATGATGTCATCGTGTTCCACATCATCTGTCTAACAATAAGAGCATATAGTGCCTGCATTTTTAAACGGAGAAGTGAATATTTTTTTAAGCTCATTTCACCTTACTTGTTAGATAAGTGAGGTACATATATTTATGTTTAGTATGTATATGCATGTGGTGATTAATTTTTACACATTGCTCATATTGGTTCAAATATTTTTACAGTAAAAAATTGTATACAAATAGACTCTTTCTTATTCCGGACAACTACACATGCAGAAAATGTATGATATCAAGACAGAAATTTATATATTGAATTTCTGCTTCGTTATTTTCTGGAAACCTCTACAAATATTTTTTATATTTGCATTATTTACATTAATTTAAAACAATAATTTCTTGCAACAGGTCATTTATAAAAAATATGCAGTTTATTGAATCAAATTATTCGAATAAAATACAACATACATATGAATTGATTGTCCAATGTCTGTCCACCACATAAAAACTCATTGAACGAATTGGATTTATCTAAATTTTTCGTAAATGTGTCACAATTTTAGTGCTTATAATGGCACTTACATATTTATGTACCCGTCTCAAGTCTTACACCATAATATTGTATCTTACATAATTCACCAAGCTGTAGTAAATTTAAGTCATCTACAGCTATGTCCAATTTCTGCGTCAAACCTCGGATAGTCCACATTAGGAAATATTTTCGAGATCCTTTTAACAAGAGAATCAAACTGACCTCTGCTCCCCCAATTTGGCAATTCCATGAAAAACATTTCAATCTGCGGAATCTCCACATTTTTGCGAATATTTGAAAAGAAAATGTCATGAAACCGATTATAACCACCACACAATTTCAATTCCAGATGCGTCAGACTTGGAAACTTCTTCGAAAAGGCGACTTGACCTCCCTTAAAAAAGGAATCTTGTTTAGCACCCATCCTATAATAAAATTGACTAGTAACGGTAAAAAGTATATTATAAGTACCTCAATTATCTGCGAAATATTCATATAATCCAAAAACGACAAGTCTTCTAGTATGGCCAAAGCCTCGTAATGCTTCGTCATCCCAGATCCACACCACCGCGATCCACTCAATAAATGAACAGGCACTGCAAAAAACATTTTTTAGATAATTATATAGATACCCAACCAGTTTCCAAATTTCTAAACTATTTAAATATGTATATTTCCATATAAATTGGTTCAAATAAAAATTTTTGTCTCACATTTCCCAACAGCATACACCAATTTCCTCAGGCGAGGAAGAGTCGGTATATCAAACGTGGAGGGTTTCGTACAACGCGTATTTGGCGACAGGGTGGTTTTTGTGCTAACTTCGACTTCAAGAACGCTTAAAGTCCCGGAATGCTTTGCCAGAGCGGTTCGTAACAGGGCCAAATCCGACCAAGAAACGACCCCTACTTTTAAAATTGTGAGTGAACTATGGCTCAAGGTTAACTGTTTTAGGGAACTTGTTCCGCTGTACATGAGCTGGACGTTGGTTAGCGTTTTCACCTTCCATCGATTAATTCTATTCATAACGTTCCCCCCAATCACCGAATTTTTTGATTTGTCGAGTATCTCAACTTTCTCAAGTTTCCAGGGGGTCGAATCGTTCGGAAAAAATGTGTCAAACACGGGGCCAATTACTTGTTCTGCTTGTTTATTTGCAACATTTGCAAACATGAAGGCAATCGTTTTTAACGACGAGGTTTTAAGTTTCGTTAGGTCGCTGTCACAATTTTTTATTTCCTCATCACCATTTTCTTCTACTTTTGCATTTGAACCCACAATTATCTCCAAAGTGTTCAAGTGTGGCATCAAGCATAGCACACGGCGAAGAAATGCCAGGTCTGAGTTGCCCATAATTATACGCAGGAATCGTACATTACCTAAACGTCGTTCGTTAAGTATTTTAAACAATCTTAAAATCGTCTCTTTTCGTTGAGCTGAATCAGCATAATTTGTATCGTGACAAATAGTGAAGTTTGAGTGTACAAATATTTCATTGTCTGCTTCCATTAATTTCATATAAGGGATAAGCGTCACCAAATTTGTTTTCATAAATGACACTTTTCGCAAAGATGGGAGCCCTTGATGCGACCATGATTTCGACACGAGGCGGAAATTTTTTATGTCCGATAATGAAAGAAAAGACAAAATTTTAGTGGTGATCTGAAAAAAATATATGCAAACTGCATTATCATTAACCATTCTTAAATTTAAATTGTGTATGTAACACGTACCAATGAATTGCCAAAAATAGATTGAGAATACAAGTTCGGGGCAATATTTCCATCCATGTTATTAGAACTTTTTCAGCGTATGTATGATTTTACGAATATGTATGAAAACCTGGTACACAAGTACTGATCCGAAGAGTGGAGGTAACAACAACACTCTTCTCCTTTTACGGCAGTGTGATAAAGCTTATCTTGACTTATGAAACGCGTGCTTAACTATATTGGCAGTTTATGTATACAATCATCTATTGACAGTTTTATGCAATTAATTATACATAATCAAGCAGGTTAAAGTACGAGGCTATTATTCGCTGACAGTTATAATTGGCCATTAACAAATCAACTGTCAACGTTGAACAAAATATAGTACAATGCGCATATATGGAAATTGAGTAATTGAAAATCCAATTATTTGATAAGAGTGTTTAATCAGCCACATTTAAGACGGTAGTGAACGATGTGTGACATTTGTTATCGAAATTTTCAATGCTTTCTCCAGTAAGCAGTGTGACATGGTACACAAGTGCTTACTAAGCACTTGTGTACCATGTCACATGTACTTACTGGAGATATGTATGTGTGTGCGTACATTTGTAAATATGCATGTGGAGTTTGCATGGTGCTTCGTGCTAAAATCTATGTTGATGCTGCTGGTTGGATTGACCTTCTTCATGTGGCATGGCTTTCCCTTTCCCATGGCTTTCCCTTCCGGTTAAGTTAAGTGAATGCAACGGTTCAGTCCAAAATAAGAATATACGCGAATTAATTCAGGGGATATTTTTTGCTCTAGGCGTACGTATTTAAGCGACACTGTAATAAAATGAAGCATAAAGAATAATAGCATTTAATTACAGGTTCATTTGCAAAATAAATAGATAAGATAATAAAGATATGGCCAGATGCGTCATGAGAGCAGATGCGTGTACATGCATGTGTACGTATATAAGCTATAGATATGTACATACATAGATTTAATTTAAATTGTTTAGTGCCTTCTCTCCTCCAACCGATGTATTCAAGACATCTCCGTAAAATTCCTAGCTGACACAGAATCATTTTAAACTAAATCATAATTCCATAATTTGGGAACAGTGAAAAACAAAATTAAAGTACGAACAAAAAGAAGTATGCTGTTGTTACCCAGAACTATTCTTCTTTTGGTTGTGAGCATATTCGTATCAGGTAAAAACGAGTCAAATATATTTACAAACGTATGGTTTCGAAATATGAAACTCAATTAATTCTTACATGCGTACATCTTTTAATACTAATCGTAAGTTGGAGCACAATCACCTCAACCGTCCATTCCAGTTTTACCTTATGGGGAAGACCCTGAACAAATCATGGACATTTACCTTCCATCTTCTGAGACTGAAAGGGTCACTAAAATAGCTATTCTTGTACACGGGGGTGCATGGGGACGTGGGAATAGGACGGAAATGGAGGAATTTATCCCATTCCTTCAAAGAGACTTTCCGAACATTTGTATCGCGAACATGGAGTACAGATTAGGTACAGGAAACTGAATACTCTTTATATGGACTGGTCACTGATTGAAAGTGTCAACCTATTTTGACCTGCAGAAAATGAATGCATGAATCAAATGTTATGAAACTTTTGTGCAATACTAACGGTGACCAGACCGAAGTTTTCTTATCCTTCAATGGTCAAAATATCCCTTCCCTGCCGGTGGAGAGAAGGCTTTGTCGCATGCCTCTCATGAGCGGTTTGCCACTCATTTTACCAACTTCTACCCAGTACCCGCAAAAGAACTGTTATAAGAAAAACGCATTGTAGCATTGCCCAGTTTATTGAATTTCGAAAAAATAAGTACATAAGTGAAAAGCCAATGAAATTTCGTATAAGAAACACTATTCACTTTTCAAAATGTCAATCTTTTAAGGCGACATGAGCGAGGAGTCTTGGTATCCACCACTCGATCGGAGTACGCAGGCGTTCCAGGGGAGATTGGGCTCATTTTTAGACCGTTGAATTTTTTATGGATTCCAAACTTGTGTGGGGTTTAGCACACATATCTAGCTCCAGTTTGGAAAATATTTCATAGTTCAGAAGCCCAAGCTTCTGCGACAGTGAATTTTTTCTTGATCCGAAATGGAGTCAGGAATTTGGGATTTCAACTACCCAATTACCATCTTGACCACTTGAGCAGGACCTAAGCCCTGCTTGAATGTCACTTCGCTCTTTTTTAACAGGTTATGGTTCACGGGTGTCACAATTCACTTGAAAACGGAGAAAAATTATTTTTGATACCAAATTTCACCCCCAGAGTAAGAAAATTCACTTTTTCGACCCAGTCCAACTTATGTCCAATAAAAAAATCGTAAAACCGGAATGGTAAGTACGATGAACATTTTTGAAATTTTTACGAATAGTCTAGACTGGTGGGGTGTAAAAACGGTATTTTTGCTATTTTATTTGGCATCACCCATAAAGTTTGGCTCATTTGTTGTTCCATTTTTCAAACGCGTACAGCATGATCAGCGCCCGGGTTCTGTCGGGCCTGTTTTTCCTTGTCGTGTAGTTAGGGAGTATTTCTCCTCATGTCTTGATGGGATAAGTCCAAGGTCCAGTTTATGGGCCCGGGAAATGGTTTTACTTGATCCATTCATTTGCGAGGGAAATTTTCCTAGGGCTCGGCATTGATTTTGGCGAATCCAGTTTTTTCGCGCCTTGATGAATTTTGGTGACCTTTTTGGCTATTCCACTCCTTTTGCGGTCGTCGACGCTGCCAGTGTCACTGCATCATTTTATGGTACGGTCGACCATCTTGCAATCAATTCCGATTTTTATTGAACAATTTAAAATTGTCAATTTTTTATGTTCACTAAAATGTTGCTGAAAAATTGAAACAGGTCATGTTCGCTGCTCTATCATTTTGGCACCTTAGATCACAAAAATTTTTGAAACATGGTGTCTGGCGGACAATTGCATGGAGATTTCAATAAAAAATAGTACAACTTTCTAAAAAATTGGTCTACCTGCTTAATTTACCCGGGAAATCTTATAACAGAACTTTAGCGGGTACTAGGTATAACCACTTTCTTCATAACCCGTAGAAATTTTTTGAAATTTGTTGGTGTCCTTTTTTTCTAAGCATATTGTTTCTCTGTGAGTGACCAGAATCATGCAATTGACCGACACTGAGGTACGTTTGGAGCAATGTCTTTTTTCTCGACGAAATCAGTTTTTTTCACTCGATGGTACCCTGTCACTATTTTGGCATTTTAGCACGTACCCATGTCAGACCAAAATAGAACGCGTGTGATATTGATAGAGGGGGTCACTCTTTTGATGATACACTCTTTAAAATAAAGTTCAAAGTTCACATTCTTCGTGGAAACGAATGAATTTGAGACGTTCCCATTTTCGTCCTTCGCCAGCCATTTTATTTATTTCATTGGAAATTTTGCTTGGCTTTGAGTTTACAAATCAAACGAACGTCATTTTTACTTCAACATGAGCAGAACATTACCCGATTGACGCCTCGAGGTCAACGGGGCAGTAGTTTTCATCATCCACGACGAGAAACTTATGGGAGTCAATTTTGACATTTTCTCAACAAGTTGTTCACAAATTCTTTTGGCTCCTCATTTTTTGTCTTCATTGTATTTTGGCGCGGTTTTTGGTTTGTAAGTTTTGAAGCCCATCTTATTGGCTTTGATCTTGCGAAGATAGGTTTTTGAAATTTTTAGTTGTCTGGGTGCAACCCTCACGGATATATTGGGGTTGCCTCCAAAAGATTTTTTTACGTTTCGCGTGAGTATATTGGTCTCCTGGCGGACAGGTTGACAAGGCCAAATTTTATATTTTACATTTTCACGATCCTTAGATATGTCTAGTGTATGACTAATTTTGTCCGGGCCATCCTTTGAAGAATGAAGTGGTCACGAGCCCTTTTCCGATTCCAGAAAAATACTTTTTTGACCGAGTGGCAAACTAACTTTTCCACTTCCTCTAAACTTTGTGCTGTCATTTATTAACGAAAAGAGATAATCAAATTCTGTTTTCAGTTTCAGAAAGCTTATCAAATTTGCCACTTTTTATGCTTTTTCACATGTCCGAAATTAATTTTTAAGTGGTCGAAATAATAGGGGGAACCTTGACACTTTCAATCAGTGACCAGTCCATAATGTACACAAATTCATGTAGTTTTAATTATTTTCAGGAACCCATGACAATCCTGGATTTCCAAAACAATTGGATGACATTGGGCTGGCAATTTCCTATTTGATAGGAACATTCACACAAAATGTTACATTTGTTTTAATGGGAGGCAGTGCTGGGGCACATCTTTCAATGCTGTACGGATATGGGTGGGATCGTATAGAAGAAAATATCAAAGCCATTGTCAACATAGTGGGTCCCGTTGACCTCAATGATCCATCCTATTCTCAAAATCCACTCTATTCTGAGCTATTTTACGACCTTGTTGGTCCCTGTGCCTATTCAGAATGCCCTGACCTACACAATGCTTCAAGCCCAGTTATCTATGTCACACAAAATTCTACAAAGACAATCGGGTTTTATGGAAGCCTGGACTTTCTCGTTCCGAGTACTCAGATGCCGATAATTAGGGATAAACTTGACGAATTTGGTGTCACGAATAAATTTTTTGTCTATGAAGGGGGACATCATTGGAATTGGTCGGATGAAGATAGGGAGGATATGCGGGTACAGATTACGGAATTTTTAAATGCTCATTGGTGAATTCGTGAATTATTCAGAAGGACCACGCGTGATTTCGGGTGCTGTCGGGCCACGGGTGTTTATTTTTTTAAGATTATTATAGAGTAATAATAAATAAATAAGGATTTCATTAATTGATTATATACATACACAAGTTAAGCTCGAGCAATTATGTAATTGGTTAATAAATATATGTTCAAATTTTCATAACATGTACATTCTCCATAATTTGACAAATTCCATATAGGTAGTACATGTTTATAAATTCTTGTAACTCTCTCAAATTATTTAGTCCACTTAAATAGTACTTACAACTTACCTATATTTAGTGCACCATGTACATCTATGTATAAAATTTCTATTCAAACCTGACATTAATTTTGTTACTTCCTATACTGTTTATATGTATTCTTTGTCATAGTTGCCTATTCTAATTAATTGGTTAATAATCAAATACTACACGCACAACAATGACTTTTAGAATTATGAATTTCGCACAACCCGTACATATAGATTTATTAGTACATATCGTATGTGCATATGTATATGTATGTAATTCATGAGCCCAATTCCATAATATAGGTTTGCATGACATTGCGAGTAGTTGAGTTACATACGACAAAATATGTCTTGGAACATGGAAAATATGTCTAACAAAGCTACATTTCTTATCGTGTGGTTGAGTTAGATGTTCATATAGGTAAACTAGGTATGCATATTACATAATACCAATGAAAGCACTTCTACCCGACGAACTTTGTGTCCAGCAATCGTATCCAGTATTACGTGTTTCCAGTAACAATAGTCATATGTGATGCATAACACAAACTTTTTCTTCGGAGCTCAAAGTTAACTAGATAAATATTATCTCTTCCACGGTCATTTTTTACAACACATCCATTAAAGGTTGGTCAAAACACACACTCGTGAATACTCGTGATCATCATCATCGTTTTCAGAGTTGCTTAAATATCCATTCATTTGACATAAGTGGATTTATAATCGTTTTCACTCTACGACTGTCCATAGTTAGCCAGCAAGACTGTGAATTTGCCCTTCACAATCGGTTTCTGATTGTATTGAGTCCTCCTAGAATTTATTATTTAGGAAAATTTTGAAATTTCCGACAATGGTTTGTTCTTCGTGCACAGCGGTTTGGTTAGGAGCGCTAGCAGTTGCGGTTTACTTCATTTATAAATTCATCCAGGGTCGGCTCGCACAAAATAAATTGTAATTTTTTTTTACACATTGTCAATTATCAAAATTTCGATCATAAAAATCATAACGTATTTAATTACAGGGATCGATGGAACAACACACCAAAAGATTTAGTTATTCTGCATGGATTTGAAGCAGCAAAAACAATGCCAAATGCATCTCCATTTGTTTTAAAAGTTCAAACATATCTTCGCATGGCAAACATTCCACACAAGGTTATTTATTTTTCCTGACATCATTGAAACATGTTATAAATGCGGTATACAGGTAATTCAATAATTTAGATGGACTACGCCGATGCAATGGGGCCTAAAGGGAAGGCCCCCTGGATATCAATCAATTCGCAACACATTGCAGATTCTGAACTGATAATCGATTTCTTACGAAAGTAATTTGTGATTCACTATTTCAAATCCTAAGAGATTTTTCATTTATTTACAAATACTAACACTTGTAGGAAATTTGAGAAAAATCTTAATGGAAAATACACAGAGAAGGAAATTGCTATCGCATCCACGGTTAATGTCATGCTAAACGAACACTTCCTTTGGTACGTGAATTATTCACAGCGGAATTTTTTAAAGATATTTGTCCCTACTTGTTTCTCCATTGGCAGGGGAGTCGCATTGGAACGATGGGTTTATGGTCCTTCCAGTCGACTCGCCAAAGTTTTCGACATTCCATTTCCAATCCGAGTCATGATCGGACGCACGGTGAACAAGAGGGCAAAGGGACAAGGAATGGGTCTTCACACGGAATCCGAAGCCGTCCACTTGGCATCAAAGGATTTACGATACGTCTCCACCATTCTGGGAAGTAACAAATTTATTTGTGGTGACGAACCTTGCGAGTTGGATGCTGGAATTTTCTCACAACTTGCCATGGCTTTGTGGGGCGTGCCAGACTCTCCTTATGAGAAACTGATGAATGGTACATATTTATTTATCATTCAAGTTATACGATTTTTCTGATTGTTTGATCAATAAATTTTAAAATAATTTGAATTAGGGGAACTGAAAAATTTGAAGGAATATTGTCTCCGAATGAAGGAACGCTACTGGTCAGACTGGGATCAGATTTTGGCCAAAAAATAAAATAATTCAGATTTTTAATTGCAATGTTTGAAGATTTAAGACAAGTATGAGCTAAAAAATGATTGACATTTAGAATATAGATGGAAAATAAATAACAACTAAATTTCCTGTCAATGTTAATTAGATATCTAATGCATATGTCATATATATGTGTACACATACACACTTAGGATTAGTAAATATCTGTCAGTAAATATTTGTCACCAAATGACTTGAGAAAAAATATTCCATAATAATAATAGGAACATAAATGATATACCCGTATTTCTCTCAGAAGTTCAAAACCTATTTTCCATACATACTTATATCCACGTTTTCCAGACTTTCAGTTCAGATTCAGAATTGATGCATGATTTGTAAAATATCAGACTGACAATTTTTGCAAGAAATATGAAATTGTTAAAAATAAAAATTTTCATATATACATATGCCATAATCACCTTTACTACAAACATATAATAGTGCAAATAAGAACAAAATTAACGTCAAATCAGCAAATAATTTTTAATATGCAATAAATTCATCAGGTAGTTCGTTATTCTAATATGTAGCACATATATTTGTGCAATCAAATTAGAGAAGACAAGAGTAAATATAATCGGAATGTAGATTGTAGTTCTTCAGAATGAAAGACATTTTAGTTTCCTCAACCAAAGGGCAGACCTCCCTTCGAAATGAAGTTTCGTCATATGAGTCCGTATACTCGACAGCGAATACCGGTTTGCCACTGGATATAAACCCGTCAAAGTAGAAGCACTCATCATATGCCGCACATTGCTGTAAATATTACGATACGACATAAATTAATGGTTCACAATTTTCTATTAATCGAATGGCAAAATTTTTTATGCAAACCTCCAACACAGCGAAATCCACCGCGTCAATGAGATCCGATGCCTGCTCGTTGTCATTCTTCAGCCCAGCCAACATTCCCAAAACTCTGGCTTCCGCAGAGACGTATCGATTATACACGAGCTGATTTTCATACGAAATAGGAAATCCGGTATCAACCGACCAGCCGTTCATGTTATCGGGATCAATTCCTTGACATCCTTTCGCTGCCGCAATTCTGTATCGGTTTCTCATGAGGGGAAGAATCACGTCGGTGTTTCGAATGTCCAACCACCTCTCGCCTGGCCAACCATCGTAATCATTTCCGAGCACAGACTCTGGAAATAATTCCGCATCTGATCGCCAATCTTCCCATGCACCCTAATAAATACATATTTAGATCCGGATTATACCATCTTAACATTTGTAGGAGTTCATCGGGTGTATGTAAAGCTTACCACATTTACATAACAAATTACGACTTTTCCTGCACCTAGGAATCTGCGGATGTCACTTTCTTCCATGTCATAGTCAACAAAGACAACATCGGCTGCTGTATTGTAAAAGCTGTTGGCTCCGAGTACGTAGTCGAATGAGTGAGGTCCGGGACCTGTCCATGACTGGCGTTTGCCCAGCAAGGTTCGGTTAACGTGTTGAGCCGTCGAGGGTACAGATTTCCTTGCTCGATGGCCTTTTTTCAACCCATCACAACTCGGGAGCAGTACATTCGCTTCACAAATAGTTTGAGCACTTAAAATTACTAAAAATAATATCTTTATTACGTAATTATAATTGGTCAGTACCTCCTACGAGGATGCAACACGTAATCGTTAGTAGACTCGCGGGATGTCGACTTACTAACATCATCTTTATTTATTTTATTAAAGCTATGCCTGAACTAAATGCAACTATTGAAAAAATAACTAAATTTAAGTTGAAGGTTTTATTTCTCGCCAATAAATATGTACCGATCAGAATGACAAGTGTTTTTATTGCAGAACTTTTTTTTACCACAAAATTTGGAATTCTGTGAGGATTCGACATAATCGGATCAATATATATGCAACTTATGAATAATAAACTTTACGACCCGTGCCAGCCACAAAAGACATAAATCATTGATGAAAGGTATCAATTGATCTGTTTTAAATAACAAAGATCTCAACATATTGATATTGGTGTGTTGCAACTGTTCAAATAAAGTTCACCAGGTACATACATATGTATCCACTACATCAATTTAAATCTGCGATTTAATGTATTCTCCCACTGAATAATTGTCAACTATTTATCGTAGTAGATAAATGTATCACTACTTATCAATGTCATTTTTAATTCCCTAATAATATTTATGCTAACTATTATTACCTGAATTACACGGAAGTTTTGGTTTAAAACGAGGAAAATTTTTATTTTATTTGACAATATTTCGAATGCTATCTGCCATTTATTATCAAGACAAACGTAGAAAAATAATATGAAATATGAAATATTCTTTCACAAGACCCGACCCTTCATTTCTGTATTGCATGTACACCTATTGTATGGAAATAGCTTTACTACAGATATATCCTGGTTAAAATTTGTGTTTACAATAAACATGGACATTCAAGTCTATGCACATATGCATAAATAAATATAGTATTTTATTCAATGGAATATATGTAAATTATATTCGCAGAGTAAGCATTATTATCATTTTACATCATCATTCAGAAAAAGCTAAGCGACCAGCGCCGAGGGAATAGATTAATATGTATGTACATATGTCGTACATAATACATTGTCAACTGTTCATGCATTTATTTTCTCAAATGATGTGACCACTCTCAACACCAGTAATGTCCTTGCGTTTCTATGCATCATAATTCCCCATAAAAAAGTTATTAATGGATATTCCAACTATTCCAAATTAATATATTAGCTTATTTAATGGCGAGGTCGGAGGTAAGGATACAGAGAAGCTCTTCAATTATATAGGCTGGAAAAACGAAGATTCGAAGTCTACCTCGCATGTTTGGATAATAGTTTATGTTTAAGTTTTAAATTAGACTATTATAACATTTAATTTAGTTGGAAATGTATGATTTTTGTAAAATTCTGGACTGTTTGAGTTCAGAAGAATTAAGTTTATGCGTTAAGTCAAATATCATTCACACTCTTGAGTTTCTGTGTTCCGACGTGAAGTATTTCCAACAAGCTTCTTCTTATTCGGTGTTCGTCATCGTTGTCCCAATAAATAATTCTAACAATCCTCCAGTTGTCCCTTCATCCGTCGTAACTTCAACCTGGGCAAAAATCCGATAAAAATATTGGGCATTGCACATCGTAATATATTTTGATTTTCCTCACCTTAATATTATGGATGATCAGCAACCCACCGATTGTCAAATCTTTGTACGATGGGTGATCCCTTTTACTTGTAAATACTCCTTTTACACAAACGTTATTGTTTCCCTCATTGAAATAATCTTTATTAGTAATGAAACTGTCCAACTCTTCCACTTCTGTCGAGTAATTTGCAATTACTGTCTTTAACAGAGACACTTTGACGCATTTAGCCAGAACCTGGGAGACATTTGTGCCGTCTTTCTCAATTTGAACATGAAATGCAATTTCTTCCTGTTTCAAGTAATTAGTTTTTGGAATTTGTAATGCACCCGATATCCCACATCCGGAGAAAGGTTGAACAACTGGATTTTCCCATAACATCGAGGATAATGGTTGTACTGTTTGAAGTGGATTGAAACCGTGGAAATTGATCAACTTTTTAAACCTATCGCCCATAGGTTTGTAACCGTTCTCTTGGGTTCTCTTGTACAAAATAATGTTGTAAGTCACCTCCACATATTTTCCACTCATGGAAGGTGGTAAAGGACGATTTTTAGGGAGAATTAACTGAAATTCGATAATATGAGATCCGGGGAGGACAACGCTCTTCAATTTTGAGGGTAGTGTTCCTTTCTCAAGTGCTGGATAAAATATTATTAACCAAATGGATATATAAATAACATTGTACAAATAATTGAAAGCATGACCTTGGTTAAATAGCAAATTACCTTCGGCACATCCAAGAATCTGACAGTAAACTTGAGATTTTAACACTGTACTTGAATTCTTGTCAACTCCAAAGATATGTTCAATGTTCCTCGGTCCAGTGGTGAATTTTACTAAACCACACAATTCGATAACTAATCCTAAATTAAAATATATGCATTTATTTTTCTTATCGTACTTCAAGTAAACTAGTAAATGACATAATAAATTTAAAAGCGTCGTTACCATAATAATTTTCAATCGGGTAGGTATTTTGAATTTGAACTTTTCCTCGTATTTGATTAGGTTCCTGAGTTGATGCCAAATGTATGAAGGACGATGTTTCAGGAACAGAAAGGTTCACTTCCCGAACATAACGGTAATGTAGAACGGATGTCATCTTAAAAAGAAGATTTAGTGAATTATGTGAATTTAAGTTTCATAACGTCGAGAGACATATGGTGGGTAGGCACCGAATGAAGGAAAGTAAGTCCATAGTGTTTTGTAAAATAAATCGGTGAAAGCTAAATACTTGTTCCCTATGCCAAACTCCGGGAAAGTATTGCTACATATGTACATCGGTTGGAGAAAGCCAGCGCCGCCGATTGAGCCAGATAGCACCTCTAGAGATACATAAATACATAAATATGCGTATACGCATTTATGTAACGCTTTTTATTTTTATTTTTTCATTTCTATCTCGATTGTGTATTTATGTACATACATATAAATATACAACTTCTAAGACGTGTATGTATAATTCTTTTGCATGTTTTACAAAAGAATTTATGTATTTTCCTGCGCGTATGACGTATAAAGAGGCTGGAAATTGGTATATGCACGCTTAATTTTGAGACATATGTAAGCAGAATTACGATCGAAAAACATAAATCTATGCATAAATGTGTACTTATAAATAGTAGTGTGTACGTGCCAGCATTACACTGTACAATTTTTAAATGACCCCAAATTGGCAAGGTTGAATTGGCAACGAGTTCATGATAGCATCCATGAACGTGCTCATTGACACGAGTAATGTGCCTGCGTACTATTTTGCTCAGATGTAGCGGCACATGCTTTTTTAAACGATTAAATAAGTATATGTGCTTATTCGCACATTGTTCAAATTCTTTTAATTGTATTTAGAATTGAGTGTACACTGGTACACGCTCAATTCAATTAGAACAATAAGAATGAACGCTCATTATAATTGTTCTCCAATTCTTGATAAGTAAAACTACCATATAAGCAATAAAAAATTATCGCCCATATCACTGCAGCAAGTCCCAATACTGATATCGTAAAAACTCTTTCTTCCAAACCGTTTATCGATCACTCGTCATCTACTCGAATCATGTCATTTCTAATAAATCATAATGGAACGTAGTACATACCATGAAGAAATGCACTAAATTTTAAGAACATATCTATATGAATAAATGTAATTTTCATGTCACAAAATTTAAGCACAGCGATTACGTCTTTTCGAACGACATCCAAAACCTATAGATGCGTGATGTAAACCCAAACGTTTGGTTTGCAAACCAAAAAGTTACGTAGGGTCCAATAACTTGGAATTATTTAATTAAGCATTATATTTACGAGTTTCTCGTAAATCAAGGTCTATTTTCCAGAGACACGTTTCCTGCGTATACATTCTTCCAAGCCCTTTATAACCTCCCATTGTTTTTAATTTATGACGTTTTCAATTATTCAAAGTGTTTCGTTATTTGCAAAATATGTATATATGTACATAGGCTCTGATTGATTGCCTTGTCACTTCTTACACTCGTATTGGACCTGAAACAACTTTTCCAGCAACATGTTGTCCATGAGGAGAGTTTCCATTTTTTTCTTTGTGGTGCTATCCATTGTTCAAAATTCCGTAAATATCTACAATCTCAATACTATCATTTTATCCTATTCGCCAATATAGAGCACTAATAAAATTATTTTTTGTTAATTATTACTTAGGAATGTGGCAAGAAGAAGAAGAAGTTCGATGTCAACAAATTTATTGAAGAACACTCGACCTGCAATGGAGAAACCCCTGCCCTCCCCATTGACTGGATTCCCAACGCCATTGCTGCTGCCACAAAATGCTTGGATATCACCGATGAATATGTACGAGCAGATATAACTTTCTGGTTTTAAGTAATTTCAATATGAGGTCTGCTCATCTTATATGTATTTTCTATCCCATGCAGTGTGCCAAACTTTGTTTGGCCTACAATTATGACGGATTTATTGTGAACAATAAACTTGACACGAAATGGCTGAAGGGTAAAGCCAAAGAGTTAAGCGTTAGTAAAGCCAATGAAAACGCAAAGCAATCCATCGTTGTAGCTGTAGACGGTTGTGCGAAGCCTAGTAAGTTATGTTTCGCAAGCCATCAACCTGAAAATTGATTGCAAATTTCTCACTTTTTCTCATTTAGATCCTGCATATACAAGGCCAACAGAAAATACTGAGGAATGCCCAGAATGGCAAAAATTTGATGATTGCATGGACGACGCGTTCAAAGTTGCTTGCAAAGGGAAAAAACCAAAAGTCAGCGATGATTTCTTGGACTAGAGTACACACCTAATAATAAATATATCCACAAAATTAGTTATATCTTTATAGTGCAATTCATATACGGGTTTCCACTTATTTGACTTGATTAACCTTTAGAAATTAATAGTGGCATTACACTTATGTAACTAGACAGCCGTATTTGTTTGTGAACTAATTTGAATAAAGGAAGAGAGCATTGGTTATTTTCTGGTGAAGATTCATAGTTTTTAGCATTTTATAAGAGGAACCACGGCTTACTAATTAAGCACTTCCAAACATATTTATCAACATAACATGTAATTCCCAGCTTAATTTCAAACTAATAAAGCTAAGCAGTGACGAAACCTGAAATTGTTATATGTAAGTACCTCTTGTTAATCAATATGTATATTCCAATCAATTCTCCACATCGTCCAACCCTGTTTTAAAACATCCTGATAACGTGGCCGCAATCGTTTGCGTTGCCGGTTGGCACTTATTTTGTTTTAAGAGGTGATTTAACAATTTGAACTTCAGCTTTTAGTTTCCAGTTTACGATATGCAATCGTCTGTATTTATGACTCTGTCGAATCCTTATCTCTACCCATGACATTCATATATCTACATAAGTAAATATGTACATGCGTGTTAATTTTTGCGTTAAATTTAGTGTCATCTTAGCTTACACAAACCCAATCCAATTTTTAGGATGATACAATTCGACTTCCATTCACACGCCCAATTGCCAGGTAAATTAAGTCTACTACTAACGATGGAAGTGTTTGAGGTTATTTGTATTATATTTGGCATTATTACACTTTTCCTAGTTGGCTACAATGTGAGTTCATCAAATCAGATCTAACTCGTAATAACTTGTGTCTATCATTAATTATGTTCAATTTTTTCAGTTCTTTGTCTGGATTAGACACACAATTTCAAAATGCAGGCAAACCGATCCGCCACCACCACCCCCACCAGATGAGGATCCAAACAATATCAGAACATGTAGAACATCCAGCCAGACCTCGATTCGAACCGACCATTCCATTTGGATGGTCCCCGATTACGAATCTGTCGTCAGCGATAACTACTCAACTAATGTCAGCCTGGATTTCGACGACAGCGATTTCAGCGACACACCTCCCCCTTCTTATGCAGAATCTTTAATATTAGAAGGGACGGATGACGTCTGGAATTAGTTTGTGCATATTTTATTTTTGGTCAGGAACAAGATTCCTGACCATGATTCCTTCTTTTTTAGTAAAGGATCTAGGAATCTTGGGTCAGGAATCATTCATTCATTTGAATCTCACTTCGATTTCAAGAAATTTTTGCACTGAACTTGATTTAAATGCAAAATTGATAACAACGCAGTAATTAGCCGAAGTGTATTTAACCTTTTAAAAACGGATTCCACCAATAAGGTGGAGGGCGATTTCGATCTCTTGGCGACGGACTACACCAATAAGGTGTAGGCCAACTTTTTCTCGTTGGCGACGGATTCCACCAATAAGGTGTATGGTTACAGAATTCCGTTGAGACCGGGCTACATCAATAAGGTGTAGGAAAAAATAAAAATAAAATGACCGAGAAAATTTTCTCAGTTCCATTCTTTCCTCCTTATTTGTCGTTGGTTTTTCTTCAAGCCTGAACTAATTTTTTTAGAGTTTAGAGTTGTAGTTGTAGTGGGGGGAGGAACTCGGAGGAAGTGCATCAGAGGTCACGCCGCGCCCCCGAAAAATTATCCAACATTGGCGCCGCTAATAAATTGGTCGGCGTTGACCTCTGACCTGTATCATGTTGTAAATATGATACAGTTCATATTTTTTTAAAATTATCACAACGTTCTCTTTAGCTAATATATTCGCAATAGTGTCACCACCGATCGGAACAAGTCACAGAACACTGAAGGACAAAATTATAGCTAATAACTTGTTTAAAATATAAAATGCATCCCAAAATCAGTGTCATCAAATTGATGACATGAATGATGACGATTTATTCGTTTAGTTTATTTTTGTAGTACTATCAAAATCAAATCCGATCTTTTTATCAAAATTAATATCGTGTGTTCATTTGGTTCAGTTGCAATTTCATGTTAAAAATGTATTATGTTCTAATTTTTGTTGTCGAATCAGTTCCAGGTCTCTAATAAATCATAACTGCATCAGTAGAATATTCAAAATCGGTTTGCATTAATTCAGTCCCCAACTGATTTTATCACCGCCCCACAAGTCGGTCTCAATGGTATTCTGCCCCCCAGTAAATCCGCCCCCAAATGCAATAGAAACTATTTTTAACCATTTAAAGAGGACAAGTAAAAGTCAAGATGTCCATAATTCGTGTCACCAGGCGACAGTAGAGTTACCTTAATTCGTGAGGGAGCTTTATTTCTAAGGGATCATTATTCGTAACCAAAAATGCCAGTCAAATATGTTACTCCGTGACAACATTTTCATAAAAAATTTTAATTTTTAGCCCGACCCAAGGCTTATGTACCCGTGTTGTCCATCTGTACAATGATAACTCTTTTTAAAATTATCCGATCGACTTGATATTTTCCACACATATAGACCATCCAAATACACAACTCGAGTTCGAAGACTGGTTCGATCGGTCAAGTGGTTGGCCGGTAGGGGTCATATGGGTGTTGGGGGTCAAGGGTAACGAAAATTAAAAATTTGCGTGAAAGTTTATAATGACTAGCAATGGAGGAATATAACGTAGAATTAAATAGATTTTTATCTTGAGGTACTCTATAGGGTAAATGTTAATCCTAAGTTATTTCTCGACTCCATACTAAATTATTTCAGCTGATTATATCAATTTTAAGAAATCGGTGTGGACCACCCCCTAGTGTCCCTCTGCAAATTTGTGTTCATATTTAACTTCCTATTATTTCATGAGAAGGCAGTAAAGATCTCTGGTCCTAATTTCAGCTTTCCATGTTAATCCCTGAAAATTGGTGGGGGTCACCCCATAGGGTCCTTCCAGATGAAAATTTTCCAGATTCCAATGTATATTCTTCCATGAAGAGCGATAAGAAAACTAAATGCCAAATTTCAGAACGATATGACGATTTTGAAAAATCAGTATGGGTTAGTGGGTCACCCACCCTTCCAGATGAAAATTCTACCAATTTCATTTCATATTCTTCCTTTAGGCCCCATAAGCAACCTATCCACCAAATTTAAGTTAGATATGACGACTTTGAAAAATCGGTAGGGGTCACCCCATAGGGTCCCTCAAGATAAATTTTTCGAATTTGAGTTCATATCCTTCCTTTAGGACCCATTTACTCCTCTGCACCAAATTTGAGCTTTCTACGACAATTTCGAAATTTTGGTGCATAATTCCCAACCACCCAGATGACCCCTACGGGTCAACCAGTGGACCGATTTTGCCCATCTTCGAACTCGGTTCCTAACTTTGTCCAATATGCATCTGGTAAAAATTTCAAGTCAATCGGCCAACTCGTTCCAGAGTTGTCGAAAGAAAGACAGACGGACGGACGGACATGACAATTACATAAGCCCTGGTTCGGGCTAAAAACAAATGTCAACGTCACGAATTATGGCGAATTTGCCAGGGAACGACAAACGTCTACGTCACGAATTAAGGTAAGGTTTTCTGTGGCAACATATGTCGTCGTCACGGGTTATGGAGCGGATTTTGACGATGACATATGCCTTTGTCACGAATTATGGACAAGTCGCCAAAGCGACATATGCCACTTTCACAGATTAAATGGTTAATTCCGTTTTTAAATGGTATCCAGGTCAAAATTAATTAGTTTTTATAAGGTTAATTAAAAAGTATTCATGAAATACGTACGCAATAAATATCTTGGCAACCCATGTTTGCATCTTGTTGTCAACTTTTATTTGACTTTCTATGAAAAAGAAAACACAGTTGACTGTGACAAAAACAAAGTTTCTCAATTTGTCCGGGAAGTGAAGTGCGGCTGGAGAAGTCGAGCGATTTTCGTTGCATTGCAATAATTGACAATCCACACGATCAGTCGTGGAAAACTTGTAAATTGTTTTATACTACGTTGTCTGAGATAGTTTTATGAATTGACAAGACAATCTGATAGGACTCATCTTCTTTTCCAGTCATCCTCTCGGCCATCAACAAAGCGACGGCATTCATACAGGTTGCATCAGTTTAATGGACGAAGATACAAATTGCATATTAATTTATTTCGGTGTTTTGTTAATTTAGTGTGGCGCATTGCGCATATATTGAAGATATTCATTTGCGCCACGTTTGGATTGATCCATCACCACGATGGACGCCGTGCTTCAGCCTGGGACATCGGCGAACAAGAATCTGGAGACTGATGGGCGAAGTAGATTAAAAGTAGGGGATGAAGTTTGTCGTTTAGTTGAAGACGAACTAGTATTCGGTACTATTCAATATAAAAAGGACAAACAATCTGCTTCCGAGGATAAGTCCTCAAACAAGGATGATGAAACGTGGGTAGTTAAATGGATTCATGATCCAAGCATGTCTGTCGATGCAGAGGCGAGTGGCAGGGACGTAAGTCTTTGTATAGTTCTATTTAAATATATGCACACTATTTAATTTTAGTGTGACGAATATTTAAAGCCAAGATAAGATTTCATTTCTACTCTGCTTTTTCAGTTGATTCCAACTGACCGTGCAATTTACAAAGGGTCTCGAGTACGAATGGGGGAAAAGCGTGGAATGTGTCGCGCTGTCTTGCATAAGGCAGATGTGCGCATTCTTGGAACAAATTCGGTCCTACAGGCTGTAAATATTGAAGAATTTTCACACTTGAAAGTAAGGGTTGGCAGAAGTGATACAATAAGTTCATCAAAGCTTGACTACTTTCATTTTCATAAGTATTTTTTATTTATTTATTTTTTATTTTATTTTTAATTTAGGAGTTTACACAAAAGTCTGTGGTCCACTATAATGGATGGCTTGGAATCGTCCAATTATGCGAGAGGAAAGTTTCTATTCGTCTTAGTGATGGCTCTCTTTCATTGTATGATCTCAACACTGTCCTTCCAACTGGTCAGTTCCGTCTCGAGACACACTGGATAAATGAAACAGTAGCCAACTTTTGTTTGAATGGAGGAATACTTATTAAACGTAAACCACAAGAAGCTTCAGACTCGCTTTCAGTGATCTCCCCCCCACAAGAAACAGACACCGAGGGAGAACCATTTGCCAAGAAGGCAAAAGGAATAGGGTTTATCCGAGATCTTCAAGTGGAAAGCGTCAAAGTTCAATGGCTTCATCAAATCGATCCAAGTTTTCCCGATAAGCCAAGACAAGAATTCAAAGAAGGGCGTCAGTTACAACTTGTTAAAGAAAATGTTTCAGTTGATGATGCATCCTTTTCATTTGAAGTTGGAAACTTGGGTCGGATTCGAGCAAGAAAGTTTTCAGACGAATATCTCCGATGGGACGCTTGGCAGAAGAAGTTTGCAGCACAGAACATTTCTACCAAGATGGCGACGCAGCTAAGGTCTGGATTGGAGTATGAGAAATCTGTGCGTAGCAAATATTGGAGAGCATATAATAGGAATGCTGGGGATGAACTAATCGGCGTTGGTGCTTCTGGTGGTGGGGACGATAATAAAGAGAACGTACAAGGATGCATTGACAATGAAAGAAAAGAGGGAGGCAGTGGTGACGAGGTTGAGCAGTTTGTTTTAGTTGAGATTGCACATATTTCAACAATTCCAGATATTGTGTGGGAGGTTAGCCAACCTTTGCAGGACATTGAAATTAAATTAATTAGTAATTTATTATTATTATTATTATTATTCGTCGCAGGACAATACATCAGAGCTTCCATCTTCCTCCCTCGATCTTGAAATAACTGACGACACAATATTCAATGATGCCGAGCCATGTCCTGGCGATTTTATAACTTCTCGACACCTACCGTATCCAGTCGACAAGACTTATTGCGTGGTCCTCCGCCAAGAATTTACAAGTACTGGGGTGAAAAGCTTGGTCGTCAGAGTTCTCGATACTGAGGTACGCTAAGACGCCAAATGCCAGAAATAAATTATTTGAATTTTTTTATCGCTTTAACTGACGAATACTCCAACACCTTGTGATTAAAATAACATTTTGTAGTTGCATTATTTTAATATTAATAGGTAATATTATTAACAGATTCCAGGAAAAGTTGTAGCGGACCAGGCCTCCATCGTTGCAGCGGATCTCCGTCTTTCAGCTTCAGTAAAATTTGTGGAACGGCACCCTGTTTTTCAGTATTTCAACGAAAGCAACACTATTGTTGTCGTAAATGAGGAAAGCCCTGGTGGTAATAAGATACGAATTGGGAATGTTATGAGGACAAACCTCTTGGGTAAAGTTAACGTGAGGTGGGTAACGAGTATTTACATACAACATACTTAATTAACAGAGTCCCAATACCCTTTATTAATTAATTTTTATTGATTTTTACTTTAGGTTCTTGGAAGGAGGTTCTAATTACAAGGAGGAGTGGATATGGCCTCAAATTTGTGCTATCTACTCGGCAAAAGGATTTGACCTGGAGTGTGTCAAAAGTCACGGTGAGGTTTTTACTTATTGCATTTAATAATATTGAAGATTTCAGTTTTTAAATGTTTTTCAAGTGACGCTCATATTTTGGTGTGTTCTGTTTGATTTTAGTGGTGGACAGTGATTCAAGTATCGAGTTTGAAATGAAGGTTCGTAGCGTGTTGGAAATGCTGGATAACAAAGTGGATCTAGTCTGGAAAAATGCGTCAAAGTCAGAAAAAGATTTTGCAGTTTCGTTGAAAGAATTCGATTTTATTTTCAACCAATACAAGTGAGTGAAGTAAAAATATTGCAATTCAACTCATCGGTTAAATACCCAAGTCCACTCGTTGCACAATTACAGGGCTATCTGCGTCCGCGCATCTCAACCCTTCACTCACACTGCTTATAACGCGCTCACTGCGCACCTTTCCCACCCGATTGGTGTTGATGGCCGTCTATCCTATCTGAAAGGCAACGATGTTCTAATTCAGCTTGTCAGTTCTGCCGTCAAAGAAATCGTTGCAAACGCACATGCTGTACTCGGAATTAATAATGACGCTCAATCTTCCGAGGTGGAAATGATTGATTTAACTAAAACTGAGGGTAATATTGGTGTCACCGACCCATTAGAGAAAATTTTTGCCGAGACCATTGCCCTCCTCGAACATCATCCCGTTTCTCATCATTATTCCCGATCGACTGAATTTAAACCGGATCACGGGGCAAGTTTCAAAAAATCCGTAGCGGAAGAATTTGACCGGCTCAAGAGAATTTGCTCCACTGAGACAAAAGCGGAAATGGGCATATTGTCAAGATGTTTTGAAGACAGAATGGACCTACTTTCCTTTGTTATTCGTGGTCCAGAGGAGACGCCCTATGAAAATAGCCTGTATCTTTTTGACGCTTATCTGCCGTCCAATTATCCAAATGTTCCGCCAAAGTTTCACTTTCATGCTTTCAGAGCAGGTAGACTTAATCCGAACCTTTATGCCGAAGGAAAGGTTTGTGTATCTTTACTTGGGACATGGGAAGGAAGAGATGAGCGTGAAAAGTGGACAAAGGATTCTAACATTGTTCAAATCTTGATATCAATTCAGGGTAAGCACTAAATTATCTTATTATAACAATATGCTTTGTTTCTGCTATTTACGATTAATTTTTTGCAAATGATATCCAGGACTTATACTGGTTAAGGAACCTTTCCATAATGAACCAGGATATGAGGTCAACCAGTTCAATGCCGACAGCTCAAACGTACAACGTCGGAACTATAACACTGTGCTGATGCCACTGATCGTTAAAATGATGATAAATCAGATTACCTTCGGAATGGAGCCATTTACTGAACAGATCAATGATTTCTATCGTCTGCAAGTGCCCATGTAAGTTTGACATTTAAGAATACCACCTTGTTAAAAAAACTATAACAAAATCTAGACTTGTGACCAATTTTATCCACAGTTTCCTTGCTCGCTGGCGCAGATGGTTAAAAGTTACTAAGAAATCTGAGTTGGAGAATGGGAGTAAACCACCTGCTTTTGAATTGTATCCTATCGATTCCAACTTCAAACGTGTTATGACAGAAGAGCTGGATAGTTTGGAGAAACTATGGAAAGACAAATTGTCCAAGTCAAGCACGTGAAGATAATCAATCAGTCTAATTCTATTCCATTGATTGGACGCTCAAATTCTTATATTTTGTAATATTTGAAGTAGGAAAGTTTAGCCTGAATCTGAAATATTTTTTTCATATTCATATTTAAATTCACAGTGACCAATGAAATTGTATGCATTCAAGTTTTGTACCTTAAAGTATAATCATAAAAACTGAAAAATGAGACTTTAGTACATATGCAATTAGACAATATATATACTTAGAATAAATAGCTTTGCAACAAATTTGATAGAAGAAAGCTGTGTTATGTATGTACCCTTGATTATGAAAAGCGCCAGTAAATTTTATGAGGCCTTTATTCATATTGCAAGATTGAATTATCACTTTGCAGGTTTCAAAGTCCTGTACATAATTAATTTATAGTAACAAAATATATGAACCAGATAAATCTAAGCTCATTCGTTAGATTTGATACATTTTAGCACCGACTACTGTGATAGCTTTGGAATTAAACTCATCGTTAGTACAAAATTTGTGAAAAATACTTTTTACATAAATTAGTTTTAACGATTTCATGAAAAACTAGTTGTCTTATTTAAATAATTTACGTCTTAGGCAATCTTGTTGCATACAGTATTTCAGACTTTTAGTTACTACTAATGATAATCAGTCTTAATTGACCATGAATTAATTGGATGTAATAATACAAAAATAATACTCAATATTGAGATTGACAAAAAATATAATTTGTAATGACTTAACCGGCAGTTGAGGAACGCCTAATAATAATCGAACACACATATTTACTGACTTGAATAAAGAAATGTGACAATAATTATAATAATAGTTAAATAACAATAATTGAAAGCTCTTGAAAGTTTGGTTTAGCACAGCTAAGTATGTTTGACCAGATTGATTATCAATCTTTTTTGCTATTTGGACGGGTTTCCTATATACGAGATAAGACTTATTGCTTACAATATTTGGATTGTAGTTTTCACTAGTTTTCAGTACATTTCAGTCAGGATATAAATATTATTTCGTTCGACTTGGCCCCTGACCAAGACCTTTCGTTTCAATTTAAATTTCCATAACTTAATGTTCCTTTGGTTTTTCTTCAGTATTAATCTTTTTGGACTTTCCTACTCCACTTGTAATAGTGGTGATAGTGGTGGTTGTAGAAGTAATAGCTTCATTTTTTTCGGTTTGTGGTTGAGACTCTCCTTGATGCTCTTTTTCTGCTGGAACAAAAGTACTACTACTAGGTTTTGTAGCAGTAGGATCCACAAATGGCTTTCCTGCATTGATGACGACGGCGTCAGGAGGGAGAGGATAGAAGACAGTGTCCCCTTCATCGGATGGATAGTATGTGCCAGTCAATCCGAAAAGACGACCATTGTACATTTCATCATCAATCATATTTTCAAAGTACATCTGTAATGTGCAGATAGTTCTAATAAGTGAATATTTAATCTTCAAATACAATATATCGGACCTTACTCGAAATATGTATATGTACATACCTCACGCATTTTGAAATAAGCCAGACCAGTCAAGAGCGAGTCACTGCCAGCTTGGTGGGACGGACCAAGACGAGTCACTCCAAGCTCATCGGCCAATTCTTGCAATCCACCTTTCAAGGATCGACAGCTTTTCATGAGGTACTGTTAAAAAAATAACATATTTCAAACTTCTGTCATCATCTCAGTATTAATGGTATTTACAACAAAGTCTCGCCTTAACGTCGTAAAGAAATGGGAAGAACAATTTTAAAATGTCGAAAAAATCGCCCACTTCAGGTGGAACTGGCTGATCTCTTAAAAGACGATACATGTATCCAAAATCGTATCCACTGCAATACGAGTATGTTAATTTTAATTTTGACATGATAATATTAATATGTAACAAAACACCAGGTTTTGGGATAGCTCAATAATATCCATCCACACGCGTACCTATGAAAGGATATCCATCGTACACCGTCATTCAACACTAGATCAGAACTGTATAACAATTCTGAAAACGTGAAAGGATCGATTCCGTCAGATTCCATCCGATGAAACTGAATCCCAGATGACTGCAAGAGTTCAATACTGTCATTCGCATACATGTCGTCACTACGTATAGGTTGGTAAAATTAAATTTAAGAATAGTTTGGTCATCTATTCAAAATTCATTACATCATAATTCCATACTCACGACAAACTAAATTTAAAGTTGAACTGCCAAGTGCAAACGCCTGGTGGAAGATTGCCACACTCGTCGAGCAGAGTGAAGCCAAGCTGAATTAGTCGTAGAGAGTTGCAATTTACACGAATAGTTTGATATTGGTATTCTGAGGGCGACTCGAATGTCCCAACTGGTCGAACAGGAGCTCCTGGAAACTCCGTATCCTAATTCAACACGAGAACCTTGTTAGTATGAATAAAATATGCAATCTGACAAAAATTATAAATACTCACGACCGCTACATAGTTGTAACCATTCCTTGAAAGTGAACGAATTTGGCGAAATTCTTCCCTTAAATTGAAACTCCACACGTCTCTAATTCCTGTACTTGACTACAGTAGAATAATAAACAAAATAGTTTTTCCTTCCATTTTTTTTCTTACGTTAATTATCCATGCAAATTTTTCTAACCTCAGTAGAAATCTGAATGCAATTATTGCTCACGTTCACATTTTGTACTGACTGAACTCCATTGAGCAACATTTGTGCCGCTGATAAGACTCCCGAGGAACCGCTCATCCTCTCACCCCCAGCACCGAGAAGTCCATTATCTCCAGAACCAAGCAGACCAGACCCAGACCCACGCATCGCCGCAAATCGTCCCCCTGGAGCATTACTGCTACTGCTGGTGGTTGGATTGTTGTTAAATGTATTCGAATTATTGCTGTTGGCATACTGTTGCTGGTATGGGGCATATGCTGCCGCGACGACGGAATGTTGTTGTTGCTGCTGATGAAGAAAAGTTGCATTTCCAATAGAATTATTAAGCTGTTGTTGTTGTTGTGCTAAAGAAAGCAAAAAGATCAATATGGCATCGACAACAAGAGAAGTAATTTCAATTTCGAAACTTACAATGCTGCTGCTGATTATACAGCATGCCAGGAGTTAAACAAATGCCAGGCTGTCCAGGACTATGCGTGGGATGTATGGGCCGAAGAAAATTTCTATTTCCGCCACTACCAGTGTAGACTTGCTCAATATCTACAAGACAATTAAATATTTAATTTATATTAGTTAACTGAAATACTATTGCAATACTAACCACCAGTGCCACTGGGAATATGTGAATTGTTAGAAGTCATCTCGTCGATGACCCACTAGAAAATTAGCACCAAAAACCGCAGTACCACCTAAAAAATAAACACCTCCTCAAACAAGCCTACATCTACCTACTCTACTAATTAAATGCTACGGAAGATGGAAAAGAAGAAAGACAGAACTAAAATATGCATACAAACCTAAACCGAATGAAAACTAAGAAGGCAGGAAGCATGGACAGATCAGAGCAGACAACAGACTATGAATTTGGCAGAGTTGAGAAATCTCATGTTCTTCATTCTCAATAATAACGAACTTTCTATTGTACTTACTTAAATTTTATTTCCACATATACCATACCCCAATATTTTATAATTTACAATAGTAGTGTGAGAAAAATAACTAGTATTATTACTTTTATTATTGTTAAAGTCTTAAATTATAATGACCAACGTCGTCCAACAATGTCCAAGAAAAAAATAACAAGGACTAATGTAATGTATTGAACGGTCATTTATACTGGAATTATCAAAAATTAATATTAAATGGAGAAATTGAGACCAATCAAGTTTCCTATAGTCAGTTCAAGAAGTGCTTCCTCCTCCTGTGGTCGCACCAACAGCCACAGTAGCTCCACCACCAACTCCCCCCACTTGTGGTTGACTTTGACTGGCCAGCGTCTTGGCTGCCTCAAGTCTCGCTTGTCGCTCGGCTGTGGCTGAGAAATGCAATAAGATTATCAGATAAGCACTTGGATAGAAGTAAATGATAATCAAGTTGACTATATAGATACCCTTTTCTCTAGCCTTTCGCTTCTTCTTGCGTTCCTTTCTCTCCCTCACTTGAATCCTTCCCTTCACTTTCATCCACTCTTCACGAATGTCTTGCATAGATTTTACAACCAAAGCGATCCGGTCTTCGGGATCAGTGACACCATCTTTATAAGCATACGAAACCGAAAAAAACGTTAATGGTACATGTAATATGCGTAACAGCACAATAAGCAATGCCGACTCACCAAAATTTGCATACAAGTGATTAAATTTCTCTGAATGTGGTTTCTTTGCCAAATTCACAGGAGGTGGAGGAGGACCACGAATGGCTTCATGGACATCAATTGCTGCACAAGAGGACAAAAGGACAGTCACATTAAAAAATCAAACACAATATTACCCGTTGCTGGCTTACAAGACTGAATTTTTCTCCCACTACTCGATCGTATTCCTCTGTATCCAAATTGTCTGGCGTAATCATCTGTAGGACTCTTTTTCCTTATCATTCTCCTTTTCTTTCCAAGCGGACTGGACATTGGGAGATGTGGCCGACTATTTCGAGAAGACATTTTAGATGACGTGGGTGTATCTGTTTTACTCGTTTTGCGCGATGGGACACCTGGACCTAGAAAGAATAAAAACGTCATGATTGGATGAGTTGCGTTGGATCAAGATTTTTGTAAGGGGGTTAATTTGGAGATGATCATTAATCATTCCCCAAAGCAACACCCAATTACAAAAACCTCGTCGTTGTTGGATAAATGATAGATATAGATAGATTAGTTCATACTTCCACTGTAATAACTTTTGGAATTGACACTATCATTATCGCTGCTTTCTTTTGACTTGTCTTCCTCTTCCATTTCGCCGAGCGGCCTTAAGAACAGATCATAATTAGTTAATTAGTTAGATGCGTGGGTTTTTGTGTCATAATAAATTTGCAATTTTGTCATGTCTAATGTTCATTTTTTAATTACACATGTGGGGATCCCGTCTCTGTTGAGAACGAAGCCGAATCGGGCGATGATGGGGGCGAATCATGCATTACGACCAAACTCTCACTTCGTTCCACAACCAGTCTTGGCTTATTATTATTGTCCATTTGTGATCCTTTCTTTGGAAGCAGAGTTGGTCTAGATGAAGCGACACGTTTCTTTTTCTTATCTTGCTCTTCGTCCTCTTCTTCGTCTTCATCCTCCTCGTCCTCCTCGTCATCTTCATCATCTTCGTCATCATCATCGTCACGCTTGCCAAGTCCACGAGAAAAGTCAAACTTGCTACTAGCGTCGCGATCAGGGGCTGGACTGGTGACAAGGAAAATACAAAGTATTAATTATACATACCATACGCAAGACTCTATATTGTGAGACTTATTCAATCAATTGAAATAACAGGAAAGTTTAAGTAGATAGTACGATCATAATTATTTTGCAATGTAGCGTATACACTATATATGTACCAACCTTCCTGGAATTTCCTCCTCACACAAGAGTGAACTGCACGATTCTTCCGCAGAATCTTTAATGCTGACCGGAAGCAGGACTGCTTTGGCGGAGAGGGTGTATGAAATCTGCGAACTGTTCCTACTTATGTTTCCACCACCGCCCGTGGTGGTAACTTTCTCTGATTCATCGTCCTCTTCTGGTTCAAGTACTTCTTGTGATTGGAGAAACGATGGGGTGAGTGGTCGAGAAGATTGCTGGTGAGTGTCAACCACGTCTTTCACCAACTTGGAACCAACCTTTCGTTCTGGTTTGATTGGTTTCTCTTTAGCTTTCTCTGGTGCTGGTGCTAGTGGTGGCGGTGGTGGTTGTTGTAGAGCGACAGTTATTGTAGGTTTGGTCACGTCATGAATTTGCCTAGGCTGGGGAGATGGTTTAATTTTACCGTGTTCGACAGGAAGGTGTTGCTGTTGCGTCACGGTGGAAGGAATAGTTGGTATGCTAACAGAAGGGACGGCTGCAGGCTTTTGTGATGGAATAACGGCCGCAACATGTGGTTGAGAAGAAGATAGTGGTGGTTTTTGATCACCTTTCTGCACTGGACCCGTTGCTCCAGCTCCTTTTACACCACTAGATGAAATTTTGTCCTGCTGAGTTGTTGACGGAATGACCAGTTCAACGTGTTGAGGTTTTCCTTTGATCTGTGGTGCTGGTGGCAGAACAGCTTCTTTCTTGTGTGCGGTAGGAATTGAAATCACAGGGGGCATAACAGAGGAAGTAGGAGCTGGCGCAACTGTTGAACCTGTTGATACTGGTACTTGAATTGGACCAGTTTTATGCATTAGAGTAGAAATGGTTTCGTTGATTTTTGTGATGGCAACGTGACCGGGGGCTGGTAGAATTGTTTGTGCTTGTTGTGGTTTGGGAATTGTTTCCTTGTTTATTCTAGGAGTAGTGCTACTGCTACGTTCCAATATTTGAGTAGTAGTAGTAGTAATGGTAGTAATAGGAGTAGCAGTAGTAGTAGCTTGGTGGTATTGGTTGTGTTGTTGCTGCTGCTGTGGACCAGGAGTAGAGGCAATTTTTTGCATCTTTGATGGTGGTGGGCCAGTTATGCTTGGAATAGTTCGAGGTGGACCTTTCGGAGGAGATTCTCCACGTCTCTTTTTTGGTTTTGGTGGCGTAGCTTCCTTCTCTTTCGGCGTAGCAGCAGGTTTCCGTTTTTGCTCTGGTGAGTCAACAGAAGGCGGTTGTCTCGGTTTCGACGGGGTGCGTGGTTGCGGTCGCTTTTTCTTAGCATCAGGGGTTGCAGGAATGGGATGTTGTTGAGATGTCACTGCGATTGTTGGAGTTGAGTGGTGTGGATCACCTAAAAGGATTAAAATTAATAATCTCATGCGCCACTAATCCTCAGTTCAACAAGGTAAGTTTAATAAGATACCGTGCATGTCCCGTGCTACGACCGGTTTCTGTTGCTGTCCCATTTGGGAGAACCCTTCCTGCTTAAGAGGATACTGTCCTGGTTGGCTTGGATGTATTACTGGCTTTGACGTCGTCAGTGTCGAAGTAATAGGCGTCATTCCTCCGGGAGTTAAAGAGGAACTTGATACAGTTGGGGCTACTACAACAGATGACTGTCGCGTACCTGACGACGTGACCGGAGTTCTCGTCATGCTTACATATGGCGATAGTAACGTTCCAACTCCCGGGCGTGGAACCACAATGGGTGAGTGCTAAAGAATACCACATGATTAATTAGCACGAATTTAGCAAAACTTGTGGATAGTTCGTTATAAACTCTTACTATCGGAACTGAACCGGATCCACTGGTCACTGTAAGGGCAGAATAAATCGGTGCCACATGTGGTGTCGTGGTCGAGGTTGGGGGCCCAACTAATCTTGGCATTGGCCCAACGCCCATCACCACTGGTGGGGCTGGTCCTCTTCGCCTGTGTTGTTGTTGTTGCTGAGGAGTAGGATGAGGTGGTGTTTGTACAGCCCTCCCACCACTCGCTCTGGGTGGACTCCTCCCAACCGTCAAGGGTGGTGGGTGCGACGTAATAATGGGAATGTGGAGAGGTTGTGGAGGGACGACTCCAGAAACGGTAGGTTGCTTCGAAATTGCAATCTGAGAAGGAATAGCTGCTCCAACCGAACTGGTTGTTGTAATTGTCTGCGGTGTTGTTGATGCAGTAGTGGCAATAAGATTAAGAGCCGCCTTCCCTTTTGATGCACCGGTAACTGGAGTAAGCATGACACCAACTGATGATGTTGGTGGTGTAGTCGTAACGACCGCCTTCTCCTTTTCTTTCTCGTCCTTATTGTCATCCTTTTTGTCTGGACTGCGTGGTGAAAACATTTTCAGTTTTGGTGCTGTTTCACTTGTATCTTCCTCAAATTCGTAAATATCCAATTTTTGTTCTCCACTCGTAGTACCCCCTCCCGTAACCAGATTCGGTGGAGATATAGAAACTTTGGGAGCCGTATTTCCTGTTGTTCCTGGAGTGGACGACGATAATGTTTTTGCTTGAGTAGCCACCCCAGTCTTCAAAAGCTTATCAGAGCTCTTTGACTCTGGCCTGGTGGATGAGGAAGTATCTGGTGTGGTGGCGTGTTGCTCCTTTCTTGGAGCACCTCGTGCAGGAACATCACCCGAGGGTTTGATATTCTCTGGTGTTGGTGGAAGGAGAGTCGGTGGTAAGGGTGCCTGTTTCTTATCCTTATTCGCCTTTGACCGGGTCGGAGTTGGGGTTCGTATTGGGGGTGGTGGAGGTGGAGGGACGGCAACTTTCTCTTGTTCTGACTCCGAATCGGATGTAGCATCTGTAACAAAAACATAATATTGACATACCAAAAATACTCTTGACTACTTAAATTTTGTAAACTTACCAGATTTCTCGCCCTTTTTATAACTTCGTTTAGTCTTCTTTTTTCCAACAGCAGTAGCTGTGACCGGTTCATCACTCGCAGTACTTCTTTCTGAAGTGGAGAGGCGTTTCCTTTTAACACTGCTACTATTCGATGGAGTAGGACTTGGTGCATTGGCTGCTGCGGATGCAGTCTTACTTCGCGTCCCTGTTGATGACGAAGTAGGAGGTGGAGTTGGTGCGGATGGGGTCACACTTCGTCCGCGTTTCTTGCCTTTTCCTCCTTTATCCTCATCTCCCATGTGAGAAGACGGTGGTGCACCAGGACCTTTTCCTTGAGCTTTGCTTTGATAGTTTTCCCTCAAACTCAGATTTTCAGCAATTCTTTCACGTGAAATCCATTCTAAATAGTTATATAGTAGATTATCAAACGACTTATGGGCAATGTTAAGATAACGATTTACATCAGTTAGAAGAGAACTCAACTCATGAAATGGGTTCAGAGCGTGAGCGTGGCTTTGGGACGCCACAAACAAATATAAGTAAGGATCGCATTTTGTTCATCGCAACCAGTTCGCATTTGGAGTTTGGGGAGAACGTTACTACACTTGCTTAGCACGTTCATCCATCATCATGTCGGAAAATTTAAGCGAACCAAATGCACAGCCTCCTGTCACAGTAACACGACGGAAAAGTGGACGACAATCGACATTGCTGGCAAAAACTCCAAATTTGTCACACGATCAGATAGCAGTCAAGTTTAACAACCAACAACTTATTTTTATTGCCCCTGACGATTTGAAAACGAAGGATCCATCAGAATACGAATTCCAACTTTTTCTTAGTGAGGCAAATACCTAACAACGAAAAAAATTTACTAAGTATGCATTTACCCCACCCAAAAAAGTGAAATAATTCTATTTCTCGGCCATTTCTGAACCGATTTCGATGAAATTTGGGGCCAGATCATTGTTACGGAATTTAGAAACGATGTGCAAGTCGACTTAGCGATTTTTTGATTTTGACCCGAGTTATGCCCCAAAATGTGCAAAAATTTTCACTCGTAGGCACGTTTCTATCCATTATTCCATTTTGGAGCATAATATAATCCTAAGCAATTGCAAAAAGGTTACACCAACTCGTTCTGAACATTTTAAGACCAAGTTGACCGAAATCGGTTAAAAAATGACCACGATATTCAATTTTGAAAACTAAAAATTTACTAAAATTACTCTGATGTAAATGTAATGGCGGTGGTGTAGTGCAAAAATGTCGTTGACAACCAATTACAAGTTCTAAATAAACAAGGTCCCAAAAAATGGGAAATCTTAGTGAGGCAGTGCAATCACAACTAAAATTAGATTGAAGAATTTTTGCATCACCGCTCTCGGTACCATTTTTGCTGGAATAATTGTGAATTTTCTTTGCATCCGCATGAATTCTTAAATCTTAACTGGAGAATTCAGGGCAGTTTCATACTACACATGACGTACATAGACATATTTAATGGACGAGAAGTGTGCTAAATTAACTGAGATCAAATATAGGTATAATGGATTAACAATTGTGACCTATAAAATTGCTTAAAAAATTGCAAATCTATAATTTCATATATATGTATATTCTGTATTTCTCAAATCACCTTTGAGGGGGACGAAGTATTCTAACAATGGAGGTCTCCCAACGTATGCGCACAGATTTGGACCAAACTGGCGTCAATCTATCACAAATATAATTAGGATGAAATTTTCAAATAGAACTATCTGCCAATGCGCAGGTTTGGCGGAGATATTTGCATAAAAAGAGGAGAAAACCACGAAAAAGCCCTGCAAATTTTTAATTTTCCAAATTTGCTGCACATTTTTCCCGCTTTGGATGCAAATATCTCTGCCAAACCTGCGTATTGGCAGATAGTTCTATTTGCGAATTTCATACTAATTATATTTGTGATCGATTTACGCTAGTTTGGTCCAAATCTGTGAGCATACGTTGGGAGACCTCCATTGTAAGTGATTAATGCTTCCAGTATAAAATGTTACCAAGAGCGGTGATGCAAAAATTCTGCAAATCTAATTTTTGTTGTGATTGCACTGCCTCACTAAGATTTCCCATTTTTTGGGACCTTGTTTATTTACAAAGCAAAGGACAGTGATGACGTCATTCGGTTGGAACAGCAACAAGGTAAACATTTCAAATATTATGATAAAATTGTTTTCGTTTAGCAAAGTACATACTTGTAAGAATGTTTTGTTTATAATTTGACCATTTATTGCTAATTTCTCAAAAGTTTCACCAGAGTGGAAAGAACGACCGGAAGGAGTTCCGAAGTCAATCTTTGACGCTATAAAAGCACATTTACGGTGGGGTCAAAATCCAGGAGAGACCGACGAGACGATGGATTCAAGTCCGCAATTTTTATCGTTGATGGAGGAAGTCGGAGACAGATTGACTCCGCTATTTTGCAGCTTCACTCACCAAGACGGGACAATTACGCCTATTCAACACAACGGGAAAGACGTCTGCATTAGATGGTACAAGGAAAGAAACATCCTCTACAAAGTTAAAGACGACCGGAATTTTGGATGGAGGGGAGGATCAAATCAAATTTGTTGTATTAGTTCGTGCTGGACAATTTCAAAGGTAATCAAAGCATAGTTAAAAAAATCATCTATTGAATTTATTAGAGAGTTGGAGATTTTTTGTACTTTTACTTGTACTGTACTGTGACTACAGTACAATACAAAAATTAGTACAAAAATCAAAAGACCTGGAGAATTTCATTATTTTGTACTCTGAAAAAATTGTATTGTAAAACTCCGCGAAATAGATGAGTCAAAAATTGAGACAAATCAACTCATGATATACAAAATGAGAATCCCTCCAACATGTGCGTTTAAAACGATCAAACCAAAAAGTCGAAATTTTTTACCCTTGACCTCGATTAAAACGGTCACCAGGCTGATATAAGCCGAAATGATAGTAATTTCTGAAATCCTCGCTTCAAAGTGAACTACGTCTGCAACGGTTGAAATAAAATATTAACATTTTTGACCTTTGACCTCGTGAACATGGTCACGGGGTCTTCATACGTTAAAGCTATGCAGATTTCTTAAATTCTCGCCTTAATACACGTCTAAAACAGTCGACACTTAAATTGTGACCTTTGACCTCGTCCTTTCGGTCATTGGTTGGTCGTAGGTCAAAAGTATTGACGACTATAAATTCTTGGTGAAATTTCCTTTAAAATGATACCGCATATGAAAATTAAGGTACAATTTTGCGTTTACTTCACGCCAGGGTGACCTTGACCTTGACCACAGGGAGCCCATCTTCGAACTCGACCTAGGGTCAAAAATTAGAAGCAAAATGGCGAAAACGGCGTCTGATTACATTGAGGCGTTCTAGAGATATCCTAGTTGCCAACCCTTGATTTTTCCACAGTAGTACAAATTGAGCCCGTGTTTCAATTTGTCTACTGTAGACTGTAGAATTAGTACAAAAAGCTGATGACGTCATCATCTAGAGTCCACAGTACAGTCTACAGTCAGAGTACAAGGAATCTCCAACTCTCTATTATTAATCTATAAATTATTTATACAGGACCGAACAGTGGGCAAATGCAGACTCCATTCGGAAAAGTCACAAGAAGTGATGCTATTGCGGGACGCAAATAATTACGATAACCCCACCATTATTATTAGTTGCCCACAATTAAAAATGACCCCATATTCAGAGGATGACATAAATAACATTGTATCAGCATCCTGGTTTCGAGAAGTGTACTCTACTATCGACCGTTATATGACACAGCGAGGAGGTTTATCAGCCCTCCTTGTTGCCCCTTGTGAGCCGCCCTTGTTCGTGATTGATCGGTCAATTCCTGTTCCAACAACTTTATCAACACGTCAATACAATATTATAGGGGTAAGTCATAAATATTTATAGTACAAAAAAAGCTTTTTATACACATATTGTAATTATTAAGGGAAAATAATTTTTGTGCATTTCTTTATAATGTAGGTTGGTACATCTCTTCTGGTTTTCTTCCACAATTACGTATACAAAGACTACAACGACCCGATAGTCCTACTTATGGAGCAAGTTAGTTTCATGGGAACAGATCTTGATTTTTGGGATGAAGTTCACACTTTCCTCAACAACAATGGACTTGATTTCAAAACTTCACCCGTTTCATCATCACATGAAATTCAACCAGCTAAATTTTTCCCCCCACATATTGACATGAATAAGCCATACAGCTATATTGGACACAATCGTCAAGGAGGTTTATACGACGGTGCGTCTACATCTCTAAAAATCAGAAGTATTTGTTCCGGAAGCAGCACTCACTCCACAATGGAAACATCAATGACCCCATACCAGGACACAATTATTCCCTTGTTCCAACAAATTTTGCAAGATGAGACGGAGATGACCAAGTTGGCGTTGCAAGCAGAGTATTTGGGGACCTGTGCCACAATCATTGCGACTCTTTTGCATTTGGAAACTAATGGAAGAAGGATCTATCCATTCACCCAACAAATCGATCATCATTTCGACAGTGTAGTACATCCGGAGCTACATTTCTCACTGTTTTCAATTAAGACAGGTTTACAATTAGAGGTAGACATGAGTCAACTAAATTTTGACAATGGAAAGCCCGAAATTCTATTCTAAACTAGTTTTTCTGAATTAATTTGATTTTGTATGGGCACTTTTTTATGTTCAAACTACGCTATAAACGACGATGAATTGTAATAATTGCTCCCGTTAGTTAAAATATGTATTGACTGATTTATGAATTACTGACTACCTACTAAATATAATTATTTCTTGATACATACTTCTCGTGTTTGGAGATTCTCTTGATTTATAATACTTAAGTTTAATAGCAGTTGCACTATCATAATGCATTTATAGAATAAACTTACCATCGTAGCGAGTATTCCAGCCCAAATAGTGGACAAAATAGGTACCTGTAACCTCCTTGACGTCGACGACCTGAAGTAAAGTATATGTATAGTAATTAGTACACTATTAATTTCAGTTACACATTTACACTCTCAATTTCACCTTTGCATCGTATGTCACATTATGATCTCCCTTGGGATAAATAACAGAAAGTTTGTCGCCCGTCTGAATATTGACCTCGTTCCCAATCAAACCTGGCAGAACTTGTTCGTCCACTTTGTGCTCGACTGTAGATGATTTAACGACAGGGACTTCAACACTAGCTGCTTCTTTACTTGATGCAGCAGCGGCAGCAATTTCTTTTTTGCTCTTTCGCTGACTTGGTCCCCGCCCTCCAGTACTTGGAGTCGGTTGCTGTTGCTTGCTTTTAGAGGAACCTTGAGAAGAAGGTGCTGGTGAAGGGGGTCCGTCTTCTGGTTCAATAGGAGCACGGTCACGTTGCTGTTTAATTGAAACAGATGACGTTAATTCTTTCTCTTTGGTATCCTTGTCTCGTGCGGATGATTTGCCACGTTTCTTTAGCTCTGAAAGAAAATAGTAGATAATGTCAATACAAAATGATTTGAGTGATCAGCCTGACTCTAAATAAAGTTTATTTGTTCACCTTTCTCTTCCTCGACTTCCTTCTCTGTATTTTTGGTTGTAGCTGGCTCCTTTCTCGAACGCGAAGAATCTTGACGACTTCGAGACCTTCTCGGTTCAATGTCGTCTCTCTTCTGAGGAGGTTCGTTGTCAACAACTTTTTCAGCAGATCTCTTCTCTTCCTGAGCAGCTGTATCTACTTGAGCATCTTTCGACGCAGCCGCCGCCGCCGTTGCTGCTGCTTCTTGTTGGTCTTTCTCCTTTTTGGTAAGAGAAGAACTGCTCCCTGCAGCTGATGACGAGCCTGAAGGTGGGACAGGAGTACCCGTTTGTCGGTAAACCGTTCGAGAATTTCGTGGTTTCGAGACAGCCGCAGTGTGAATGTTGTATCCTAATTTTTTATTAATTTCTTCAAAGTGTAGGAGATATCTAAACCACGAATATAATAATTCATCAATGTAGAGAACATTCAACAATTTAAAACAAAACAATCTCACTTACTTTTTATACGCTTGTTTAACCAAATTGATGGTACTAGTGGATGGAATCGCACCAAAGCCCAATCTTCCCGTGATATTCTTCCACTGCCCACCATTTGTCACTTTGGAGTAGCCACCTTGATCGACAACGACAGAGTATAGTTTATGCAGGTCTAGATCTTTGTTACAAACGGTAGGTGCCTTGTTAATTGGGGTTGCGCGTTCTTCCATAAATTTATATAATTGTGCAACAAAATTGTCCTTCTTTTCTCGGACGGCTTCGCCGGGTCCCTAAAAACATTTTTCACCATCATAATTTAAATAATGAAGAAAGCTGGTTGATTCATTGGTTATTAATTTTTTCTTCGTACCTCAGAATCGGAATCGTCGTCATCGTCATCACCCATCCCATTAGATCCGAATAATGCATCTCTATCCCAATGTGGGGGAAGTTCATCCTTCTCCAAATACGACACAGCTTTGTCAACCGCTAATCGTATCAGTATCAAAATAATCAAAAACATTACGTCGCGATTCGATAAATTATATAAATAAAAAAGAAAAACTTTAGATTTTTACCAGATTTCAACCCTGACGAACTAGGCTCCCCTTTTCCATGTTGTTGATCCTTGGTAAATTCAGTAATTTCCTTTTTGGGTACCGTGTAGCTGTGAGATTAATTAGAATAGTAAAGTTACTGATGCTACACTGGTTATTATTTAGAATCACGTACTATCTCCCATCCTTAAAAGATCTCACAAGACATTCATCTTTTACTCTTATTTTGACCGTTTCCTGCGCCGCTGGTGAAACTACAAGTGCCGGGAACCAAGAATCTCTGGAGCCCTTCTTTTTATCAGAGATTTCTACCGTGACAACTCTTCCAAAATCTATTTCGTGGGGTTCTATTTTTTTCCTTCCTCCGCGACTAGGAGATGTGGATACTACTTCTTCGTCAGAAGAGTCATCCTTATCATCCGCACTGCAACAACAAGAAAACGAAATGTCAATATCACATTGCCATCGAAGCAACATTAAACCCCATTAATAATTTTAGATCTTACTTTGCCACCCTCCTCCTCACCCCTCTTCTTCCTCCCACAACTGGATTAGAGAAATGCTCGGGATGTGTTAGTGGAAGTTGGTCCAAGGTCTCACTCTCGTTAAAATGACGACCTGACTTGAGACAAAGTGCGGACCGGCGCAAGGTCGTGATATCACCGTCATCAAAGACGACTGTGTATTGAGAACAGTCTTGAATTTTAGAGATTGTTGCTTCACTATAAGATCCACGATCAGGGTGCTTTGCCTCCACCGTAGCGCCGACTCGTAGCGTTCCTTTCATAAGGTCGTCAGAGATAAGGAACGAACCTAGGCCGGATTTAAAAAGGACCTGATCCCGAAAGATTCCAACAATTAAAGTAAACCAAAATTCACTATAATAATTAATTAAGGTAGTTATTATAGTAAGTACCCTGCATTTCACTACTCGAACAACCTTCCTTATCTTTGCCTCACAAAATGCCCCCTTATATTTGGCAGAGACCTCCGTCCCCACGGTGAGGTAGGGTGGGTCATCCTATAAGCAAAGAGTGTCACAATTTAGTTAATGATTAAATAATTATTTAATTGAGCTCACCATTGTCGTGTGTTGTGTTGGGTTTGTTGTTTACGAAATACCGATGCACCGTTGTAGAGGGGAAATGTTTTTGTGTAAACCGGTGATTGTGGCGGAAGTCTAATTTCGCCCCTTTCAGAAATGAACTCATTTTTCATAATTATTTTGTATCATTTTCTATGCATTTTGAAAATTAATTTGAAGTCTATTTAAAGCTATATGCTATATATAATTTTCATGAAATGCTGGGCATTTAAAAACATAAACAAAATGAGATTTTTATTTAGGTTTCAAAAGCTTTTATTTATTTATTAGTATATTTGCTTTATTATCGTCCTGTCACCCTTGCCCAAAATTCTTTCGGTGCCACTGTGAACCCTTCGACCGGTGTCAAATCAGGCTTTTCTCTACCGGAGTCCAATTCCAACCTAAAGTTTTGAAGGATTACCGTGAAAAAGTCGAATGAGCTCATTCTCGCGAGAAGTTCCCCAAGACAAACACGTTTGCCTAATCAATTGCAAAGAATGTTTTTAAAAGTATAAAGTACAGGGTGGTTAAAATGTCACGCTACAATGGGAAATTTTTTGATGGGAAAAACCCCTAAATCTCCATTAGTTACAAGATTTTAGATTGAGATTTTAATAATTATTATCAAAACTGATGGAGCATTGATGACGAAATTCTTAAAATGTTGAATTTTAGCGATAAAATTTCGGTAACTAATGGAAATTTACGAATTTTCCCCATCGAAAAATTTTCCATTGTAGCGTGACATTTTAACCACCCTGTACAAAAACTGTGTGCATATTTCCAACCATGTCCAAAACCCATCAGTCTCTCTGTCTTGATAACTTTCCCATCATCTCCAAGGAATCTCTCCGGTCGAAAAACTTCAGGATCTCTCCAGTAATCCTTGTCCATGTGGACTGAGGCGAGTGAAATGAGACAGAATGTGTCCTATGAATTGCAAATTATTAGCCCCAAAAAGAATAAATGTATGTATGGACATGAATTTAAATAACCTTGGGCACCGTCCATCCCCTAATCTCTACATCCTGCAACGTAGAATGTGGTACAGTTATTGGAGCAATGCTTGAAATCCGCATCAATTCGCATAGCACTGCTTCACAATATGGCAAGTGGATGCGATCTTCGTACACTGGGAGTCTTGCTTTCCCGACGACTTTATCCAACTCTGCTTGAACCTTACATTGGACTTCGGGGTATATAATCATGTATAAGAGGGAAAAAGCGATTGTATTTGTCGTAGATTCTGCACCCGCTGCGAAAAGGTCGTGCAAGATGACGAGGAGTTGCTCTTCTAAAATATGATATTACATGTTAATAAGCATCAATTTCCAACCTCAGAGACAACAATAAGTCACACCAGTGAAATCGCTGTCCAAATTGCCTGCCAACTTGATTGCATTAATCTCTTTAAGGTATAAATCTATAAAGTCTCTTGGTTGGTCGTCCTCGTTATCATTTAATGCAGTCGAGTGGGCACGTACTTCTCCCTTCAAAAATTAGTTAATCAAGTGCTTAACTGACGTGCCTAATATGTTTACAATAGCATTGCTTATATTGAGTAATTACACACCGCTAACATTCCCATCAATGCATCCCTTCCATCCTTCATCTTCTTAAACTGCTTTGACCAAGGTGGGAAAAACCTTAGAAAAGGCCAATCTTGCAACGCACCCCCATCCGCATTCCCACTCCGAAAGACTTCGTACAGAAGGTGCAGAAGACGCAGGAAATCTGGGTCATCGTGGGGCGATCTACAGATATTTGCATATAATGAGAATGACTACGTATGTATTTTTTACTTGTACCAAATCTAAATAAATGTTGCATATGAATATTTATAGCACATTAATTAGTAGTAGTTAGTATTTTAGCTAACCTCTTTCCCGATAAAATAACCCACAGCACATTGATAACTGGAGGTCCGAAAGCATTGTCCAAACGTACAGGATTGGGGCCAGATTTTAATCGCATAATAAGTTCAGATATCTCCTCATGAATCACAGTTTCCATCGAACTTTTTCCAAACCCAAAGCCACGAAGGTGTCGCAGTGTGAAGCGACGTTGATTTTTCCAGCTCTCCCCCTCACCAAATATTAGCCCTAAAAAATTGTTGAATGAATGCTTTATATACGTATTACTGAACAATTTACCAAGCAAATAGGTTATTAAAAACTTAGCATACCCAGCTTTCTCCCTTCGCCATAAGTCAATTTATTCAGAAAAATCTCGGGTCGTCCTTGAAATTCGTCCCGGGACAAAACCTCCTTCACCGCGTCATAACCTGTGACCACAATCGAACGCATTTGACCCAGGTGTATTCCTGTAATGGGGCCATATTTGTGACCTAGTTCTATTAATGCACGCGTAAAATTGGAGTTCAAACGGGAGAAGATATATGCACCACCAGCCAGAGGGTAGTTTGCAGGACCTACATACATACGTATGATTAGAATCAGCGACTCATCAAGTTATTTATATATATACGCGTATTATATTAGTTCCTTACCTGGTGGGAAGTTTGGTGGGGTAATGGGTGTGGTGAGCCGGTAGATTAGATATATAAGTAGGGGGAGAAGGAGAGGAAGAAGGATGAACATTTTTGCGTTTACCTATTAGTTTATGTCCATCAATTAAATATACTTTATGTTTGGTGGGATGAACAATCATATGAAATGAGTGGCCTCGAAAAGAGTCATTTCAGCAGCGAGTGGTTAATTATGTTTGTGTTATATAAGTGTTAGGTAAAAAAATCTGAGAATGATGTAATATTTGCCTACAATTCTGAATCATGACTGGATGTTATTCAATGCAACGTCAATTTAACATCAAACGACTTAACATTATTAAGTAACAAAATACTTTGTTCATTTCTATACTGTCCCTGATGATAACGGTGAAAAGGAAAATAATTTCAAACTTGCAATGAACTACAGTAGTAATTATACACTATGTAAAATGTTGATTGTGAAGAAAAATTGAATTGTGTGAAATTTTTATCAAGCAGAGTTGGTGAAACTATGAAATATCGCTTTCTAATAAAATAAATCAGTCGAGGTAACTGTATGCATGCATTTGAAAAAAACCATACACTGTACAAGGTTACGACTTGTATGAAAAGTTGGTACAAAATTTCATGAATACTTATTTGTATAACATCCTGTACATAAATGTAAATTATTTTTTATTCGTAAATATATCCAAATGTAACAGAATTAAAAAAATCATGAACCTAATCCTTAGTCTAAGGAGGCTATCCACAAATACTTTATATGACTCCATTCTGCTCCTTTTTTATCCCGTAGAATAGCAAATCCTCTTGAGAAAGATCGCAACATTGAACTCGTATGTTATTGAGGGAGGTGTCATCAACAGCTACAAGAAGGTCACAAATTCAGCTATTTTCAAAATGGCTAATATATTTACTTGACTGTCTTACTTATTCCTTGTCCATCTTGCACTTGTGTCTGCAACCCGCAGATGTACTCGTGACTATCGCAAATCCTAGGATTCGTCCATTCTCCCCAACGCTCACCTTCCAATTCAATAAATCCATTGGGACTGCCAGAACATAAAATGCGCAGATTATTCGTAGCCGTTTCATCAATTATTGCACCTCCTTCTTCCTCGACTCTGAGCATAAATCCGGTCATGAATCCATTTCCGTTACAGGAGTGGACTGTAGGTTTGTAAGATCCGAACTGGCCAACTTTGGAAGTAATGTTTCTCGTGACACCCCCACCAACCTGCCCACAAATGAGTTTTATCCCATTGAGACAAGTATCATCAATCAATCCACCACTCCATAGTTCTACTTTGATTTGGGCTGCAATCACTGCATTTTAGACATCAAATTTAGCGAATTAATGCGTTCTAGTAAATATTTATGTATATTTACATACCTATATTGACAAAAATTTATACTTACCTTTTGACCCTTCTGGGCAATACTCAAATTCGCCCCAGGTTCCCCAATTAGTTAGCTGTGGAGAAAGCAGGACTTGAGCAGCCCATGATTCTCGCAAGTAACATAGTAAAATTGTGTACAATAAAATTTTCATGACTTTTTGTAACACGTTGAAATTTATGATCAAATGTTCAATTTTCAATCTCTTGCTAGAATGGGATTCGCACAGCATGTGTAGTTTCACCTTTCATTCACCCTGATTTTATTTACATATGTAAATATATATCTGGAAATTCCATCCGTTGATAATTGTTTTGATAACCTGAGATTAAATCATTTATTAATTTGTGGCCATATTTTGATGAGTTGTCAACTTGAGGTGTGTCAGGCCATGATGGGTTTTAATAGTTATTGCGTAATTCGTATTATTATTCATTTATGTATGTAAATAATTAAATATGTATGTATATGAACGTATGTATGTATGTATGCATGTACTATACATATGTATTTATCATCGGCAAGACATTTATACATACAGCTAAAATTGAGATTACAATTAAAACTTGAAATATACTTTGGCTTGCTTTAAACCTACAATTCACTCTAAAGAGTCTACGAAAGTAGGAATCTTGCCTCCATCCTCACGCCAAGTTTGAGGTTTCTACGCCAATTTATAAAATTACTCATCCTTGCTTATTTATAAACATCGTTACATAATGTAGATGCATGAATGGAATCAGAGTACTTCTGCACACATATGTATGTGTAACAACAAAAGTATCGTAGAACTGTAATGCGATTTAACTCTAGCTTCTGCTACCTTACCAAAGAAAATCTATTGAGCAGAAATTTATTTCCTAAACTTTGACAACCTGATTATTTATTAAGATTTACAATCCATTGCATATAAACTGAAGTACATACATATATAATTCTATAGTGTACATTCCTAAATGTTTCATACATATGAAAATTTATAGGAAATTTAGTGTTAGCCAACAACCATTCGTGCATTTAATAAACGATAAAAGAAAATGATACGCACGGAACTCCCTCATTAATTTGTAACAAAGTAAAAGTTCTCAATGAATATCTGGTGTCCATGAATATTGATTTTTCTGCAGTTTTACATATAAGTGATTATTTATGTAATGTCCAACTTATTTTCTCCAGCATAAGACCAAATTCCATTTCTGCCCTTCTTAACCAATGTCGTCCAAGAATAGCTTGGGATTTCCAATAGTTTCCAAATTGAATCCAACATCGGTTTATGAACTTCCTTATTAAACCCTGGATTGGTCCATGGTCCAACGAAAATTGCATTTAAGCTGTTGTGGCGCAACAAAATGTCAAAATCTTTACCATGAATCCCTTTCACAGGTCCAAAAACACACCCAGATATTTCAAGATACTCAATGTTTTCGAAATATCTCTGAAACTCTGCAATAAAATCCTCTTCCACTTGACACATCCATATTTTTAATACTTTAACGGTTTTAAACGCGCTTGGAATTCTCCCGTCTAGGAAAATATTGACATATTTGAACGTAATGCTTTGAAGGGAGGAATCTTGTGGCAAATCCAAATCTATAATGCTGAATCCGGCCTTTGGCATTTCAGCAAGAAATTTAAAAACTTGCAGGCCATGAATGTTTCTTAGTAATTTTCGAAGGGTAGTTTGTTCAATGTTGACAGAGTACAATATCAGCTCACGGACCCATGTGCAATCACTGAAAGGATTTTCTACAATTTTCTGGTCGTGCAGGATGATTTGCTTATTGTAAACTGAGGCAGCGTTGGAAGTGGAATCCTCAACATTATGGATTTGATTATCACCCCGCTATAAACTTAGGAATAAATATTCGATTAAAGTTTTTGTAGAAATTTTTGTAATCAGGTTCATATTTTTTTACCAGTTTAATCAAATTCTTCTTTAATTCATCTATAAGTGGAAGGATTCCTGACAAGTTCATAACTTGAGTTTGTCCCCGAACATCTTGTATTTGAATATTTTCAATAGTCTCCGTAACTGCAGTCAGATCAGACTTAATAATTTCGAGAACAGAGATTTTGGAACTCGTGTCAGCTCTTGCTTCAAATTTAGGATAACTTAACGAAATACTGTTGGCAGGAGGGTCCACATCCGGAGCATTAAAGTCTCGGTTGATTAATTTTATAGCTGTTTCTGCATCTATTCTCTCATTTGCATCAAAAGCTATCATTTGTGCCACAATTTCTCTCTCTTCGATAAATGGGAGGAGTTGTAAATGCTTAATATCCCCTTGCTGAATATGCATCTCAAAAATGTCAAGTTTTTCCATATCATTTCTAAACGGGTGTAATAGTTCCAAGTAAATTAAGCCGACTGAGAAAATATCCGTTTTTGAAGTGTACGTTTCTATCGCATCTTCGTCTGAATTCCGCTTCATCATTTCTGGGCTCCTGTAGTACAAGCACCCTACTGGAACAGAAGTCAGAGACACGGGGTCGTCAATTGACGCTTTATTGAAGAGATGCTGACGTGATAGCCCGAAATCTCCAATCTTAACTTGTAGTTCTGTCCCGGTAGATAGAAAAATATTGCTCGGTTTTAAATCTCGGTGAATTATATTTTGTGCATGGATAAAGGCAAGCCCGCTTAAAATTTGTAATATTATTCGGTTTGCATCAATTACAGAAACTTGGTGGAGGTCACCGTAACCTTTATGATTGCGATTTTTAATCCATTCGCTTAATGTTGTATCACAGTATCCCATTTTTACGTACAGGTGTGTGTTCATTTCAGCCGAAGTGATTTCTGGATTTCCAGACGAGTCCATGGAGTACAAAATTTGCCTGCTAACGGTTGGATTTTCTTCATCTTTATTGTTGGAAAGTAACAAGGTTTCAAAGTAGTTTTTGAGAGGTCCCTCAATCCAGAAATCGTAGTATCGGACGACATATGGACTATCTCCAAGTTTGATTAGGATTTGAACTTCTCTAAGGATTTTTCTTATCGCTTCTTCCGCTGATTTAGGAGTTGGACGAGTTTTGGAAATGAAGCTACCAATGGAAATTCGTTTAATGGCGTAGCGAACTTTGTCGTATTTTCCTTGTGCTAAATAAACCTCACCAAACGAACCTTTATTTATAAATTCAATGCAACTTAAGTCCGTCCTGATGGACCAAGGTGATTCCATTATAAATGTACGTTAATTTTTGAAACAATTATTTAAGAATTACATATATGTATACTTGCAATTCTAAAATATTCCTGGTGGTGATCAGGCTTGACTTGTTTTTGTATTATTAATTGGCATACCCACTACTTATAATATTGCTAGTGCATATGTACATCGTGCATAGCCAGATCGTATGAATATGCATGGGTTGGACTTATACATACACATACGGGTTTTAATCTCACCTTATCTGGGAATAATTATCACTCGATATTTTGCTCAAGTTTTTGAGTAACAAGGCGCTTAGTGATGTTCACATGAATTAATTGAACAGAGGGTTAACTGCTACATAAATATTATATGTCAGATATAATTACAGGATTGTGTGTGTATAAAATCTATGCAATGTGTTTGGTTATATGTCCATTAATGAAATACATGTTCAAGAATTTTTAAGCTGCATTCAAAGCCCCCCAAAGCCTATTTAATTTGGTAGCACGTGTTGGTAGCATTTTCTTAGGTTAAGGTACCACAAGAGGTTGAATATTTCAATTTTTTATGGACTTAGCAACATGATTTTTTAGAGAACTTGAGTCAAGACATGAAGTACAGCTCCGCATAGAAACAAGGGCATTGGGGTATTTTTAAGAGCTCCCCGAGATGGAGGGGGAGGACTTTGAGGTCATAATGGTTGTTATTTGGAGTCGTTATATATTTCTGCAGGGTGTATAATCGGTTTGTGGGCTCATTTGTGTCGGGTAATGAGATGTGAACCATTTTTGTCCTCAGAAACATAAAATAATAGGGAGGGGCAAGTGTAGAAATACTATTTCGAAAAGTATGGAGGACAATATGGAAATGAGACCCATTATGCTCCCCATATACAACTATTTCGCACGATATGGGAATCGTCGCACATTTGTGCTCCGGATGGTTTTGACGCTAGGACGTTTTAAAAAAAATCATCACGTTCGACTATTTTGGCTATAAATACTTAAGTATAAGCAACAGCAGAAGGGGACATTTACCAAAATTTAGAGCAGTATATTTTTTACAAAATTTGTATTTGAACCAAATTTCTACCTACTATAATTTCTGAGAAAATTACAATCAAAGTGAGTGGTATAATTCCTTGCCAACTCTCTTGTGGTACCTTAAGGCCAAAGAAAATTGGTAGGAAATTTCGTGTTAGCTAACAGCCGTGTGGGCATTATTAGCTAGTAAACAATAAAAAAATAACACGCATGGAACTTGCTCGTTAATTTGTAACAAAGTAAAAGTTCTCCATGAATATCTAGTTTTGCACACTCTGCTTGGACAAGCGATCAATTTAAAAAAAGTTGTAAGTACATTCTGCATTGTTCGAAGAGTATTATGTACATAGTTTGAACTGCATTCATGTTTTATTCCGCATTTTATGAAAGATTTCAAAAATCGGATAAATGCATATATAGTGTGCTCGTCTCACGGAATTCATGGGTCACGTAGTCCACAATCTGGCGTAACTTCAGAATGCGCATCGAAACATCATCATTATTCGTCTTCATATTCTTATGTTTCAGGCCAATTTTTGTGTATTGTTACATCTTAAAATTGTATTCTAGCCTGTTTGAAGGATGTGTCCTTAATATTTTAAGCAACTTTGAAAACAAATATATTAATAATTTGCATGTTGTGAGTGCATCACTTTTACTTATTTCGATAAATTCTTCCACGTTTATTACTAAATTTCCTCTAAGTGGTTCACCGAAGAGGAAGAAAATCACGACCAAAATTGGGTGTCCGTGTTCCGTCGTGTTCATCGACACGTTCGTCCTTCCTGGATATTCTGACTTGGACATTTTACTGGACGGCATTACCTACAATAATTTGGACCCAAGCTTCGTAATTTTATTGACAAAATCTGATGTGACAAAGTTTCAAACGCTGTATAATCGCCACTCGTATTGCTTGACATCAAAATTCTTGTTGTTACACCCTGTCACAGGATTCTACCACCTTTGCAGACACTGTTCTCTTCAAGTCCCACTAATTTCTAGAACCGAAATAACGATACTAAAATTCTACGAAACTCAAAAAAGGGTCGAGTCAAAGCTGAAACAAAGCGCAAGCTGGATTTATCACACTTTTTCGCACATAGTACCCAAAAATCCAAAATATTTGTCGTGCTCTTACTATTACTACGGCTTAGATACCTCAGTATTCGAGTGCGTCGCCTACGTCCTCAGTTCTCATCTCAACTACTCACTCGCACCAAGATATCCAGGACATCGCCCCCTTTCCCAAGTCGTTTTTGGAGAGCCTTCAGGCAAATCATTCAATCGAGCTAGGTTTCTAGATCCTTCAGTCCAGAAACATGTGTGGTTCAACTACGCCTGTTCATATAATCAATATGTCCTCGTCATGTATTCGGCGAAAGGTCAATTTAACTTTTTAAAGTTATTTCAACCCATGGATTCCTGGCTGTGGATCGGACTGGTTGTTTCGTACCCTTTGGTGGGGGTATTAATATGGGCTGTCGGATGCAACACGTGTGACATAAAATATACCACTACCTCCATATTCAACTCGTTATTCCTCACATTCGCCATCCTTATGGAACAGTCCCTTATTTTCAGCAAAACGTTACGAAACAACAAAACCACGATGGTTCTTTTATCCTCGTGGATTTTATCCTCCTTCATAATTTCCACTTGCTACAAAGGCGACCTTTTCTCACACCTCACGATGGAAACACCACCCCCAACTCCGAACAGTTTTGAAGCAGTTGCCAACAGCAGTATCATGATTGCGACAAGCACAAAGCATTTCTACATGGGACAACCTTACTCAACTTTAAAAGATTATGTGCTTGCTGATTTAACCTATGGAGAAAGTTACTCTCAGTTTTATGCAAAATTTCGGCATTACGCGAAATTATTGAAGGGAAAAATCCATACAGTTGTGCAAAATATGAGCACCAATAAACCAGTGGACACGGATTGGGGGTTGATTCATATGCCTCAAGTTTTTGCAACGGCGAGCACAAAGAGAGATTCGGACTTGATGAAAGTGCTGGTTAGTAGACATACAGATTATTTCATTCAGGAGAAAAAAATTGGGCCGAATCCTTACTTGAGTAGGATGCCGTGGTATGGGATTAAGAATGAGTATACGGAAATGTTGGTGACAACATTGGGACAACTTTACGAGTCTGGCATTTACTCGAGATGGCTTGCAAATTATGATAAGAAAATGATGATTGATGCACTGCGGAAGGGGGACAAAGTTATGAACGTAAGCAGTCTGAATTACTATTTGTTGCTTGTGATGAAAGGAGAGGGTGTTATTAAGCAAGCTGATGGTGCAGGATTTGTGAAAGTGGAAAGCGTGCAGATTTGTTTTGCATTGTATGCAGTGGGTGTTGTTGTGGGGGTTGTTTTCATCCTAGTGGAAGCACTACGTGGCTATAAACGTTCGTCGGATGAGGTGTCAATATGGGAAATTTAAATTTGACAAAGGCAACGGAATAAATAAATGCACAATTAAAATCCTTCACTGGTACATTTTTGACTTTCTTAAGCATCAATAAATTTGGCAATGTTTTGATTAATACACAATTGCTGTAACTAAGTATGTTTAAGGCTTTCTGATGGAATTGTATGTTCGGTTTATAAATAAAATTACAAGTGAATATCGACTGAAAATATTTTTTATATAAGATATTTTAATTAATACTTAATAAAACTTCACACGAACGTCATGCATATACTAAATAATAAGTAATAGTTTTGGGTTTATACTGTATGCTTTAATGGAAAAGGGTCAACCCTGTGAGCAATTACCTGCATAATTACCATGTATTACTTATATCATACTTTATCATAGAAATTCGGAATTAAAAATTTCACTGCATAATCTTAGAATCATGTCTTTCATTAATCCACTGGCAACTTTCCTTCGTGTAGATTTCAGTTATGATTTCTCGGATTGAATCTCAACTCCAAATCGGCAATCGGCCGATTTAATCCCACTTTGGTATCAATTTGGACTGGGATCGGTGTTTTTTCAGTAGGCTCAATTTGGAAATAGTATGCAAAATAGGCGATTGCGACCTTTGCTTCAATTAGGGCGAATCTCATTCCTAAAGGAACATTTAGGTACATATAAATAAATTTCCTTTATTCACAATTTTTATTTATTTTACCAATGCAATTTCGTGGCCCCATCCCAAACGGCAGATAAGAATAAGGGTGCCGTTTCGCCTTATTCTCTGGAGTGAACCGTTCCGGGTCAAATTTCTCTGGCTCTGGGTAGATCCTTGGATCCATATGAATCCCTTGGACAGAGACGGAAACGATCATATCTTGCGGGACGATAACATCAGATCCTGGTATTTTATACTCTTTCACACATCTCCGTTCCAATCGGTTGGCTGGTGGATATCGACGTAAGATTTCTAAATGTTCCAAAGACAAGATTTGTATAAAAAAGTTGAAAGGATCTGGGCATACGAATTCTGAATAACTACCTGAAATGAACATGTCCATGTACTCCAATCTGCTCACCGTCTCATAGTCAATTTCCCCGTCACTTTCCTCCATCGAAGCTTTCACTTCATTGTAAAGCTTCTCCTGAACATCTGGATGGGCAGCCATGAGATATGCGGCGAAATTAAGGAGAGCTCCCACGGTGTCGAAACCAGCAACGAAAAAGATAAAACTTTGCGCGAGGGTGAGATTGTCAGTAAAAATTTGTTTGCTGTTGACCGTTTTTCTGGAACCATCGTCCTTGAGGATGGCTTCTTTCTCAAACGTGTCCAACTCTTCGTCCCCTGTCTCCGATTTCAATTCTCCTGCTCTGGCTTCGACCATGAGTTGGAGAAAGTCGTTGCGTTTCTCTCCAGTCGTTTCTCTGTGCAGCATTTAAACAATGACAGTCATGGAATTAATTACATGCATATACGAATACATATATCTTAAATTCTCACCTGTTCTTTAAAGCACCGTGCAAAATACTGGAAAAGAAATCCGTCACGTCCTTATCGAAAATTCTCAGCCCAATTACATTGCAAATTTTGGGGACAACTATGAATGCCATATTTTTAACAAATCTCCACACCGTAATGTTCGAGATACGATTTGCCATTTTGAGGAAGTCAGAGTTACTATCTTTAAGCGCATTCGTATCCATTCCGAAGGCCGTGGCTCCTATGACATCGACCGTGAAGCGGTTAACGACCTCTTGAATATTAACGCGATGACCATTACTCGCGTCTAGTGGGTAATCTTGAACACATTTCACAAAACCTTGCCCACATTTGTTAAATTGTTCAAACATTCGCTTCATCTTTCCCGTGGTGAAACTAGGACTTAACACGGATCGGACATCTTTCCATTTTTGACCTTCGAGAATGACCAACATTTCTGTGAAGATGGGCTCATTGCCAAACTTTACTCTGCGACGGTCCACAAAATAATCGAAATCTTTGACGAGGATTTGTTTAATGAGGTCCAGATCTACGATCATTAAGGATGGCGTACGAAATTCCATAAGGCCTCCATATCTGCAGTTTGGATCGGCTGAGATTTTTTCATGGTAGGCTTGGTCCATGCCAAATACTGTTTTCTTTTTGGTGATAAGATCCCATAACGAGCCCACTTCGGAAGGAAGGACAACTTTGACGCCACGCTTCGGCCAGTATGAGTTGTTCCCTTGGGGATAAATTTTGAAAAGATAGTAGAGCAAGGCGACGGTCGCTATGATCAGACCGAGAATGTCCCACATTTTGAAATATTAATTAGTGACAATTTTATACTATGTCTATTTTTAGTTTACATTGAAAGTGTATTATTTCATAAAACTGAAAACTATTCACGGTCTCAACAGACTGATATGGACTATGGAGTTAGAACTACAAAACATTGCTTTTATTTATTTTAGAGGGATGTATGTATAACAAGTTGAGTATGTAGATTACTGCACAAATAGCATGTTATGCATATGTGCATATTACAGAATGATGAGGTTATTTGGCACATCTCGCATCTCTAGCCAGGGATTGGATGAATGCAACGTTTTATAAAGTGTTTTTTGTTCAAAATTTATTAGTGAAGGTTACGTGTACTATACAATAAGGCAGAATGCCATGACATTGGCTGTTGACCATACGTATTTGTACGTATTTGCGTACATTAATACTTTGGCCATGAAACGATGAAGGACTGGACAACTCCAATGCAATGCATGTATTATCTATTTTAACTTTAACATAAGTATTCAACAATATGTTTATGTAGCTTACCAAGCGTAAACGCAGATTTATCCTGTCTATATGTGCATATAAACCGAAGTTACGAAAGAAATCGTTAGCAATCGTTATTTTGTACACATTTTATGTACACAAAACTAATTTAATTCCCCTTCACACATATGTATGTTGTATGTATGTATCTGACATATCTATGAAACTCTGAAATTTGCAAGTAAACCATTGATACTGTTGAATAAAACTTTGCCTAAATTTATTAACCGATTTATAGAAATTATGAATTTAATTATCATTATGAAAGCAATACCATATGTATATGATGACATTATTACATTTATTCAACAACCTTGTTTTACATATTTACAATAGCTAACCATTCATTTAAGCAATAATGCACTAAAAGCAAATGTTACTTAATAGTTAATACCATCAATTACCACTACATTAAAAAATTATTTTGTTCGTCAAGATTTCATGCCTCACTCTGTCTTCCGCTTTAAAAATTGATTGTACAACATTACTTCCGCGCACGCCAAAGTCGCCAGCCCAATCCCGACACTGGCTGCGGGTAAAACTCCACCAAACGGTTTCCTGAGCAAAAATCCTGCAAGCAGTGCGCCTACACAATACAAAAATTACAGTTAATCATCATTATCTTAATTTGCATATGCATTAAAATAAATGTAAGTATCCCACCATCCAATGCAATATAGTCCCACTTGGTTTGTCCCCAATTATAGGAAATTCTGTACGCTCTGTCCTCAATCCCCACCTTCTCCAAGGAGTAATGCCTCTCCGCGGCTGTCAACCCCATCAAAACCCCACCCACAGCGGCGCCACGAAATGCAATTTTGCCCACGGATGCCAAAATTCGCCCCCTCCTTCTCGCTATGGCGAATGGAACCGCGCCCACGAGGGCGAGCGTCGCACCGGCGAAGACACCGCGGAGCGTGATGTGTTGGGCTAATCGCCATGGGTGCGATTCTGGATAAAGCCAAAATGACTCGTATTTCTGTTGGAGCTACAAAAATTAATAATGGGGACCGAGTTAAGTAATTTTAAATCATGAGAAATAGTGAACCATATTTCAATTAAATTAACAAAACAATTATGTATATTTTACAAAAGACTTATTCTTATCCACGAATGGCTTTTCTTCTGCTGACTCTGGTACAGTTTGAGTCTCCTTTGATGATGGTGAGAGTGCCATGTTATTATTATGTGTTTTAATTTTTTAATAAGGTTGATTTTAAGTTATAAATGTGAAATGTAAGCTCGAAACAATGGACAAAAACTGGTGATTGTGATGCTTTTTATTGCATCTTTTATTCACATATGTAGTATCGTAACAAGAGGTTTACTGGTGCATATGTTTGCTTTACTTAATTATATATTTCAGGACAAATATTATACGAATTGACTGCCCAATATCTTGCTAAGTTTCATCATATATCCTCCACTTCATGTCATGTGGCATTTGAAGGACAACACACATTTACCTTGTTTCACTATATGTAGCTAACCCGGGTTTTTGCCCAACTTTTGTTGTGTTTGTGTGTCATGTTGAATGTAATGTTGAATGATCATAAAAAACTGATATGATCTCTGGCAGAGATTCTTTGCTCAATTCTCAAAAAAACATTTTTCATATCTAAAGCTGCGTTTATACTTCATGATTGAACGATAACTTTCTTATTTTTCAATGTTATAGAAATAAGAAAATTATCTTGAAATCATGAAGTATAAATAATTCATGAAAAATATTGTCAAACAACAGTCGAAATAAATTTGAGTGCATTTTCATGAAAACTTATTGACGTCCTCGATATCTTGGAAATCGAAATACTCGATTCTCCGCACTTAAAATGACCATGAATGTATGTACATATATGTTCCGTTTCATCATTTAATGAATTTGTCGGTATCGAAATAATGATTTATTCAAAATCAATTTATAAATATTACACTGTCAAATTAAGGTTTCCACCATTACTTACTGCTATCAAATGCTGTATGAAATATCCAATCTGATTCATGCGTCAGGCTCATAAGTTTAAGATGAAGAGCAATAGAGCGAACATTCTCCTTAGCAGCCGAGCTTATCAAATATAGTCCCCTCCTTAACATTTCTTTTACCAGAAATTGGGCGCATTTGGTTCCGTACCCTTTCCTTCGGTGTGGCAGTGATGTGACTAAGGGTCCCAACATACCATGACTTGAAAGCATCCCAGCAGTTACAAGCTCTCCTTGGTGATAAACGCCGGCAGAAATATTGTTTGAAATCATTTTCCTTAATCCAGCCTCACTCCGGGCGTAGGTCCAATTCTTCATCATGAATGAGGTGCCCTGGTCAATGTCAAGATTTCTTACGCATATACCGTCTTCCTCCCCATCGGCATCCTCTTGATTTCTGAGTGAAAGTTACAAAACTTAGAAATATGGATACCAAATATTTTATCAGGATATTTTTAATCGTATTTTCAAGTATTTACAGTAGTTCCTTAAATTCGAGGCTAGCTACTATCTTCGGATCCACCCAGTAAGAATTGGTTGGCGCTAATTGTACTGTGTTCCCAAAGGTGAAAGATCCGATGTCCAAAATGGTGCTGGATAATGATCGTTCAATACCCACGAACATGTAGGATCCCTTCCAATTTATTATTTTCGTAGATCTCAACGCCTCTTTTATTTTTGAGTCAGCTACAAATCCGTCCGGTATCGACGTACTAATATTCTGACCGAAATCCTGTAGTAGATTTATTTGGATATATGCAATTACTTATTAATTTATAATGCGTATCATAATGCGTGTTCATAATTTTGAAATTATTACCAATGTCTCAATTATAATTAAAAGTAATGCATTTGAAGTCAAGTCCCCGTTCAATGTGAAACATTTCGTACTTTGTTCTGCTTCAAGGTTGTCTAGTGTGCGAACTATGTTATACATCTGTAAAAATGAGGTCAAAATGTGCTGATTTACTTTCTTGTTTCATATAAAACTAATTGATCTTATGCCTTATTTACATATTTGCTACACTTACACCTCCAGATTGGGGAATTCTGTGTTTCAAAATGTCAGTCAAAATGGAATAATCTTGTGGCATAACTAGTTTAAATGGTTCTGATAATTCTTCGGCAGTGTCCATTCTTCCGATCAATTAATATAAATGAAGAATATCTTGCTTTATTCTGAAATGTTATCTTAATGTACTTATGTAATTATGATGGAATGAATTTCCAGACTCCTGACTGTTTTACTCGTATGAATTATTTGATCCAATTTCGGCAACTGAATTATCATTGTCTTATTTACAAGACATATATAGATAACTTATCCTCAGGCATGAAATGAGCAGCAGATCAAAATTTATCAGTTTCAGCTACAAACATTAAAGGTTGTTGACACACATTGTGTGTGGGAACGAAGCTTGTGTAGATAATTTTCAAGAGAAAATATTTAAACAAAAAACTGCAACCTGCATCGAAATTTGCATAACAAATTGAACGTTACATGCTACATTTGCCGTATCTTTAATTAATCAAATAAATATTCCACATATGCATTTTTACCAATAATCGATGTACAGAATAAATTACTGACGCCATCATACACATTCATCATAATTATTTTATAAGCGTTATAAATTGTAAATACAATGATTCAACCTTTGTTATGTATACATAGGTAAATATGTAAATTCATGTATACACCAAACTATTTACATACTTGTTCTATCCGGATCTCAATTATTATTAACCAAGGTATCTAAGGGGTTCATCAAAAGTTGCGGCATTCTTCGCATAAAGGCTTTTTCGACGCCGATATGCGGTCCAGATGAAAAGTACTTTGGTTTAATTATGGTTTCACCAGTAATATTGGCAAACGACCGGATCAGTTGAAAAATGGAAGAACTTTCTGCCTCTTCCGGACTTGGAGTCCCTTCATCAAAATACGATTTTCTCTCAGGTGGGGATTTGATGGCTGGGTTTGTAGCTGGTGGAATTGGTGTTGGTGAGGTGTCTGAATTCTGCTTTCTCCTTTCAGAAGATGAAATGACATCCTCATTTTTAGACTGATTTGACTTTGTTGTATTTTGCAATTTCCAAAGATGTTGATGCATTTTATCGACTTGAGCCTCGGTCAGATTCAATGGAAGTCCTTGATGGAGCTGCCCCACAAGGCAAAGTTCTGCGAGCTGAGAGATGAGCTGGACGAAAGTCAATAAATTAGGTTAATGTTGCATTGCTCACAAATTTTGTGTTTATTTATAAAATTCTCACCCTCGGAAAAATTTGTCTCCCCCTTGCTATACCATACTTTGATATTAAATATTTTTGCAACAATTCTGCATATACTTCTTGAGCAGAGTTAATTTTTTGTCGATCATCAAACACTGACTCCTCAGATCCACCAGAGTCTGAAAATATGACTAGTGGAATAAGTAGCATTATACTATTCTCGTCAGGAGCTATGTTTTTAATTCTCGAGTAAAGTTGTATGTGCATTTCAAACAAGTCTGATGGGAAGAGATGTGCTACTTCGTCCAACTGGAAATGTCACAAAATAATAATTTATTCAATTTATGCAAATAAATACACAAATTATATACAAATTTCCACATTATAAATAATTTGTGACATACCCCTAGTTCTGGGTAATTTTCTGGGTAATTTTCATCCAAACGAAATAGTGTATTACTTTCTATATGATATGTGGCCGCACTTCTTAAAAGTATTATTTGAAGGACTGAATTCTTCAACAAATTTGTTTGATCGATTAATGAAAGATTATTAAATTCAGAAATCATCCTCGCAAAGTAGACGAATCTATGTCAATATTTTTAAAATATTGCAATAGTGTCACCAAACAAGTATTTAAAATAAAATGGATTTAATTAAATGACCTCACCTCCTAATTGCCGTCGATAATATTCCAATAATTAAAATCCTAGATTTTGTATTGGTTAAAACCTCGTTTTGACCACGACATGGAAAATTGTAGGGAATTGCTTCACACGATTTTTCATAAATCCTTGAAAGATTTTCAATTTTCATCAAATCTTCATCAGATATTCTAAACTGAGGGGAAATTGCTTTTTCTGTCCGTGGCTCAGGAGTACATGAACGGGTCAATTTGTCATCTTTTTTGTCTGGTTTATTGGTTTTCTTGGCATGATCTGACACCACCCACCGGACATCCATCCCAATTTGTAGACATTTGTAGAATCGACAGGTTTTGCATTTCTTTCTCGAAACTTTGTCGATTGAACAGTTTCCTTTGTATTTACACGAGCTGATTTTTGAGTTGGGCTTTAACCTTTGAAGTACGAAATGCCTGCAGATTGATATTAATTAATTTTAATTTAATCATTAATGAAATTAATGAAATCTTGAAATGCCTGAAAAAAGATTTGCAACAATGACAAGACATTCCACCGTAGTTACAGGATTTTGCTTGCTCTCCACAAACATGACAAGACTGCAAAATTGTAAATAATCCTCGTGAATAATCAAATTTCTAAGTCAAAATTCGAAATCAAAATACCTTTTGTCCTCCAACTGCTCTTCTTCCATATTTTGGTTTATTTTCAGGCACAGAATATCGATTTTCTGGTGTCACCATCATTTCTATTCGTGTCGCCATTATTTCCTAGCTTTTTTGCAGCATGCAGCCTAGGAACTTGCACAAGTTTGTTTTCTCTTGTCAATTTGTAATATTAACGACAAAATTAAGCAGAAAGAATAAAATCTAAACCAGATTTTGTTAAATCTTCATAATAACCTTAGAAATGTAATGCGAAAAGAATAAGACTATCCCATATGAAATGAAAGCCATGACCAAGGTCTGCAAGAAGAAAACTTATGGTAACAAAAAGCTGGTTGACCTTCTCATACATAATTTGCAACTAACTTTGTTAAAGAAGCCAAAAAACTACAGACTCGTGTAACTACATACGTACGTATACGCATATACATAACAATGTTTTGCTGGTTTATCGCATAAGTAATATTTTGTGGTCACTGAAGCAAACCTCAAAAATGGGAAATGATTTAAATACGCATAATGCCAAATTTTAGACTTTCGTTTCAAATTTTTTACAATATTACCTAGTAATTAATCCAATCGTTTAAATGATTAATTACTTAACACCTTTGATAACATTAAAATTTGACTAACGCTGATTATGCTAATTTATAAATATGTAAATAATGGAGAAAATGTGCTGCATATCTTTAAAAAATGTGTGAAATACCACTTTCTTGCAAAACATGCAAATAATTCATAGTCGAAAATAGCTGACCCCTCTGCCCAATCTTCACAATAACCTCACGCTGTAGAGTGGGTGAGATCAGTCTGACTTTTACGTAAGGTGAGAAAAGCAACTCAACAAAAATTGAGGAGAACCGGTTTTATTTTTTTGGTTGAAGTGACCAAAGAAGCATCGCATAAATGACGTACGTGTACATATATTTGTTATTAATAACATCATATTGAGCAGACAAACACAAGTACAAAGTCAAACCTATGCATTTTTCTGTGTGTCATGCATGCTTGAAACCTATTGGTACTTTCCTCCTCTTTTGCATGCAATCTGATCTAAACCAGGTAAAATCATATCTGACTCATCTTCCTGCAAAACCTATATAATGTGCAATCTCTTCAAGCAAATCACTCATTGCTTCACAAGCACCAGTCCGACAGAATTATCAAAATCTTCCTGTAACTAAACTCACTCAAAATGACAAGTTGTCTCAAGTTTTCTCTGCTCTTGGTCTTTGCAACTGTTGCAATTTCGGTAATTATTTTCACTATCTGTTACTAATAAAGAATATATTTATACGTGTTTAAACCGTCCAATCAGAATATACTAAATAATTACAAATTTTCATAGATTGTCTACACTGCGCCACCTCCGGAACGAAAATGCCGCACAGTTTGGACCGATCTGAATAAAGAGGAGTTGAAAAAAATTGGAATTTGTACAAAGGAACTAGGATGGAAAAGTGGGAGAGAAAAGTCTCAAAAGTCAACCGTGAGTAAAATTATCTTTGTCTCAAAATTCGTTCCCTTCAATTTAATTCAAGCAGCTATATAAATAAAACGAAAATCTGTATTATTCCAGTGCACAATGAAATGTGTTTTGATCAAGGAAGGTTTGGTAAGCTTTTTCATTTTTGAAGAGAATTTAGTACGATTATGTGTACAGAAAAGAATTATGCAATTATTTTTATCAATAGATCCAGGAAGATGGTCTAATTTCAATTGCGAACTACAACACTTACATCGTTGATCACTTTCCACCATCCCTCCTTGAGCGGTCAAATTCGACGTTTTATCCATGCTTTAAACTCTTTGAAGGTAGATGCTCGTCTTAAATATATATTTATTAAGTGATTATGTAGTAATTTGGTCTAAATTAAATGTTCATTTATTTTCAGGAACAAATATTGAAGTAGATCCAGACTGCAAGGAATACGAGCCCTTTACTAAATGTCTTACTAAACGATTTGCTGATTTATGCAAAGGCCTTCCATGAGCGATTTGGACTGTTGGATACATTTATTCCTACATTTCATATCTTATATAAACAATTATATTATAAATACGTACTGATACACAATTTTATTAAATAATTACTATAGATTAATGAAATAAAATTCTTGTAAACTGCAATTCCTTTCATGGCATTCAAATACTTTTCTTATTTTCCAACAAAATTCAACACAATCTTGCACATCTTCATACATACAGACATGCATACATGGATGCGATGGTATACACACAATCATAGACGGCGGATAATTGCATATAAGATGCACATTTGTTAAATTAATTTAATCCGATTTATTAAAGAAATCAACACTTATTTTCCCATAAAACAATAATTTAAAAATAAAATGTTAGTAATTCAGGAATCTTTCAAAGCATCGAATGGTTTTCTTTTCATCATTCATCCATCTACGTCAATTTATGTACATATCTGGAGACTGATGGATTACATAATTTGAATGATCAGTATTACAGCATCATAATCCAGATTATATTATTTTCCTATGTAATTCATTGATTTGAAAGCATACGAGTTATGTAAACGTATGCACACCGAATAACGCAAAGATTACTCATTCATCTATAAAAAGACCGAACGTGTTGGATTTCATGACCTATAAATTTGCAGGAAAGGGTTAAATTTGATATGTACATATGTATGTATCTATGTATATAAATAAATTTGCATTTTTCTTAAGGCGGAATAGCATGCTGGCTGATGCGGGGTTTTTTGTTTGAATTGTTGTGTCTCAACTTTCCCTTCCTCCATGTATTCAAATGGCGATTTTGAAAAATGTTCACCGCCTTTCGTTTTTAACAATATGAAGATATAAATGCACCTAAAAATCGGTAATTTTTAGGCTTACATAGTTAGGAGATAAAAATTTTGATTTTTTTCTTCAACAAGAAGATAAATATAAAATAGATGAAAAATAATCAATAAAATTTAAATATTTCCTCATTGAAGAAAAAAATCAAAGTTTTTATCTCCTAACTATGTAAGCCTAAAAATTACCGATTTTTAGGTGCATTAATATCTTCATATTGTTAAAAACGAAAGGCGATGAACATTTTTCAAAATCGCCATTTGAATACATGGAGGAAGGGAAAGTTGAGACACAACAATTCAAACAAAAAACACGTGATACAATGCCACGTTAATACATCAAACGCCTGTAGTTTTTATTATTAGACCATCAATTCAGGAACTGAATTCATTTATTTGGAAATAAAATAAATTAATCCAGGAAATATGTACTTATTGTTATGTCAAGCTATAAAAATTATTAAGAACTGAAAACCATAGGCATCAAACCACACTAAATTTTGTAGAAATATCCGCAAAAAATATCTATTATTATTTTTTTATTATTTTGTCTCATGTAAAAATTTCTTCGCAATAACCCCAAAAATCGCGTCATAATGGAAGAAGAGGACAACTACTTTCCACAAATCTTCATGTTAACCTTAACCAAGCCTAAATTGTCTGCCAAGTGTTGCTTTATAACCGGTATTTCAACCAACTACATAACTTCTTGTGTAAAATGGGTAAAGAAAACAAATATATCAGACGCATGCAACATTTTTTCAACTCATTTTTAACATGGTCAGAAGCAGACTCAATGTTTTCCTCGTTGTTCTCCCTTTACTACTTTTCTACGATTCCATAAATTGCTCAACTTTCGCATGCAACACGGCTCATAATAATGAGCTAAATATGCACTAACTCCAGTCCATAGTTCAAGTTCATGGATCTATATAAATCCAAACTTTGCTAGCGTTCTGGTCATTCTTGTCGTGAAAGTAAATCTGACACAATCACAGGTGACACTCATCCTCAGTACATAAATCCAAGGAAAGTAATTAAATTAAGTCGACACAAATAGTAAGAGGAAAAACATGGACAATAAAATTGTGTAAGTAAAAATCTGATTTTTTTAAAAAGTGGCACATGATACTAAACTTATACAGAACGATGTTTCTGTTGGAGAGGAATTTTTTTAAGATTAAATTTATTTCGTGGGTTAAAAATAGTAATTATTTATATGTAACACTTTTCAGCACTCCATGGAAAAATCATGGAAGTTACAACATCCCTGCGGCTCATGACAACCCGGGCTATGAAATGGACACAAATTCATACTCTGCAAGCCACAATGGGAACGGAAATAGTGAAAGAAGAAAGAGCAGCAGCGTCTCTGCCGCCGTGAGAATTCAGCATGCCTCCAAAAGTTATGGATCTGGCCCGAAAGTCCTCAACGATTTAAACATGACCATTGAAAAGGGAACAATGTAAGTTGTTTTTACTGTTTATGAGATTCATGCACTGATTTGTATGTCAAAGGGTCTTTATTACAATGGAATGTTCCATTATGCTTATTCCAGTTATTCTCTTCTGGGCTCATCCGGCTGTGGGAAGACGACCCTGTTGTCGTGTATTGTAGGAATTCGCAACTTAAATTCGGGAGAAATTTTCGTCTTTGGTGGAAAACCGGGTTCTCGCGAAAGTGGAATTCCAGGCAAGCGTGTAGGATACATGCCCCAAGATCTTGCATTGTACAATGACTTCTCGATTAATGAATCAATGCAATACTTTGCTGCTCTGTATGACATGAGTGGTCGGGACTTGAGAGAAAGTCGCGATTTTCTTATCAAATTCTTAGACTTGCCTGACGCTGATAGACGCATAGGAACGTTGAGGTTTGTATATTTGCATGATACGAATGTAAAATTTGCATCCATGAATTAAAGTAAGGTTTCATTTCGTATTTTAGTGGTGGTCAAAAAAGAAGAGTTTCTCTAGCACTTTCTGTAAGTAGAAATATTTCAGAACCAGCTTTTATTAGTACTAATAATTTTTTTATTGCACAGTTGATTCATTCTCCTGAATTGCTTATCTTGGAGTAAGTTTCTAATTTTTATGTTTAATTTAAATTTTCAAGTCAAATTTAATTTATGTGTTTTCGTTTATTTCAGTGAACCGACCGTAGGGGTCGACCCGTTACTCAGGGAAAAGTGAGACTAATTTTATTTTAATTCGAAACGTTTGGTTTAGTTATACCATACGCCTTTATTACTTTGTCATAGCATTTGGAACCATCTCTTAAGTCTCGTTGCAACAAAGAACACGACTGTTATCATTACCACTCATTATACGGAGGAAGCACGTCCATCAAATAAGGTACGTATGTAACATTGCAACGCATAAGTTAAAAAATTATCTAATACAAAAATTTGCTTCTCCACGTAGATCGGACTAATGCGAGGTGGACGCCTCATCACAGAGTCCAGTCCGCAAGAATTGCTGGACAAACATGAAACCAACTCATTGGAAGATATTGTGTTAAAATTGTGTCGAAACGATGATATGAACATGAACACTCCAAATTTCCAGGATAGAGGAAGCTGTACGTTTAAAATATCTCGACTTAATTTATTAATTTAATTCACTTTCCTTGTATTACAGCCATTCGCTCTTCACTTAAATCTGTCTCAAACATGTTTGATTATCGCAAATCTTCCTCCATCGCGTCAATCCAGGACCAACCAAGTTCTCCGTACGAATCAACTACGTCTTTCCAACGGATTAAGGCTTTAGTGGCCAAAAACTACGTGGTCATGACGAGGAATATAATCCTCCTCTTGTTCATGATGATCGTCCCTGCAACACAAGTTCTCGTCATTTGTCTGGCCATAGGAAATGATCCAAAGTATGTGGTTTGGTTCTCAACTCAATGGATTTAAATTAAATATGTATGTACATCAAATTCAACTAAACTTTACACCTCTAATTTCAGACCGATGTGGATGGGGGTTGTGAACCATGAAATGAATCACACGGCTTGTCCGCCAGTATCATTAATGGATCGTGTTACGAAAGAAGGATGCGACGTGGAGAACTTGAGTTGCAAATTTCTTGCGGAAATACCATCGGATACGATTTACCTGGTGTGCATATAACGTTAAAAATGTAGCATTCAGACAACAAATCAAATTCCTAATTCGTGTTTCTGCTCTTAATTCCAGAGAGATTACGCAACGGACGAGTTAGCCAGAGATGCAGTGAAAGCTGGAAAAGTGTGGGGATTCTTTTCATTCCCAGAAAAATTCTCGGATAACGTGTACGAACGCGCTGCAGGGGCCAATACGATTGAAAATGAAACCTTGCAAGGATCCTATGTCAATGTGGAGATGGACTACTCAAGTACTTAATTCTGAACTTTTTCAAATTATGCAGCATTAAAAATATCCGCTAAGCAAACTCATGTTTCTCATGTTTAGATAAGCAAATCGCTTCTGCCATCAAAAAAGAAGTATACGACGCGTTTGAAATATTTCTGAAGGATATGTTAGTCAACTGTGGATTTTACAAGGAATTGGCAGAGTCACCGATTCGGGTGCGTATTAAATCTCAATGTTATCATTTTTATCCTATGGATCCTTACAAGTTTTGCTTCATACTGCAGTACTTGGACCCCGTATATGGCACAGATGACACAGATTTTAAGGAATTTATCGCACCAGGCGTGCTATTGGCGTGAGTTGGAAATTGAATTTTGTCAAAAAATATTGATAGTTTGTTTACAAAATTTCATTTACAACTTTTCAGTATGGTTTTCTTCTTTCCCTTGTGCTCAAGTGGAGTGTCATACATCTGGGACAAAAAGCAGGGAACGTATGTGCACAAAATTGCTGAATGTTGTACAGCATTTTAGTATAAAATCATTTTATTAAAATGTATTTATTTTAGGCTGGAGAGGAGTATGGTCGCCGGAGTGTAAGTAAAATTCACTAAACATTCATTACAAACTCACTTTATATTCTAAGATTTGAGCAAACATTAAGAGCTATTTCTTACTTGATACAGGCAAAGTTGGGAAGTCATGGCATCATTTTTTGTAACCGAAGGAATCGTCCTCGTGATCCAGTGCATTTTCTCCTTTTCCATAATTATCTATTTGTTCAATATCGAGATCTTGGGAAGTACGAGTTTAGCCATTGGAATCACGTTTATGATGGGATTGGGTGGAGTCTCAATGGGTAAGTTTAATTATTATCAAGATTTTAAAGTAGTTTTGGCAGATTGCTTAACTAAAGTTAAATATTTTACAGGGTTTTTAATTGCTTCGTTCTGCGATGAGGAAATTGAGGCAGTGATGATTGCGATAGCCTCATTTTTCCCAAATATCATTCTGTCAGGTTGGAATTACTACTAAATCCGCACAATTAAAAGTAAGCAATTGAGGTCTAATTTTAACTCGAAATTTTAAATTTCCAGGAATTATCTGGCCCACTGAAGGAATGCCGATTGTCATGCAATACATTACTTATCTACTCCCATGTAAACTGGCGTCTGAATCGATCCGTTCAATTGTTAGTAGAGGCTGGGAATTCACCCATATTGGAGTTTGGCCTGGATTTGCTACAACGGCGGCGTGGATTGCCTTGTATTGGTTGTTGACTTTGTTGATTCACAGATATAGGTTTTCAAAGAGGTAGTTCTTAGCCCTAACAATTTTCTGAGCTTAATAATAAATATATGTACATACAGAAGTAGTCAATATAAATCAAATTATCTTTGTAAATAAATATTGAAAGAATAAATAAACCAAGTGCTTTATAACTTTTGCACACATAAAATTCCACTCATTTGCAAATGCAGTTATTTCAAGTTCATAATAACGACATAAATTTATTTAGTATTTTAAAATTTACAATGGAAAGGATCAAATGTTGCATAAAAAACCCAAAATATTTTAGACGACGACATTTCCAAACGGTACTGAGGAAAATTAAACAAGGTCAAGTTACTTGTACAGATTCACAAATTCACGTACTTACTTAGCCCCCGAATTGTTGCAAGTATGGACTAGAATCCTCCCGTCGGTGATGGAGCTGTAGCCATCGACATGAATTGGTCCACCCAGCACCACGGCGTGTTGCATCCTGACGAGTCCCCAAAAAAGTTCATCATCGACATCGGTGGCATCATCATGTTGTTGGGCGTGGCTCCATTGTACATGTCGGTGAATCCATACACCGGTTTACCGTTTACTACAGCACCTCCAGTCGATATCCCAGAAAATACTCCATTACCAAAGTATGGGTACGGCGGATACATCATTTGTCCTGTAAGACGCTCAAAATTGAGTTTTTGAACCGTTTGAATTGTTTACCTATTAAATTTGCGTCGAAAGCTTACCGTTAATCACGCCGAGTTTAATGAAACACATTAAGAAAATTAAGAACTTCATTTTTTTAATTTTCAAATTTCTCGCGATACACTTTTGCATGAAGTAAGCTTTAGCTTTCGTCTGTTGGTTGAAGTTTGACTAAGAAAAGGAACTGGAAATTGTGTGCTAATAACATTTTACAAAAAAGTAGTTAAAGATATTATTTACGACGCATTCAAGGCATTATGCGAATAAATCAAATTGATACTTGTCATTGTTGTGCATATATGTGTTAATACATAAATGTGTAAATGATTGCATAACACATTTTTACCAATTACAAATATTCTTGAATGCTTCAAGAAGTTTCTTATTAGGTCATTATTTTCCATTCGTTTTTATTATTTTCAATTATTAGTACGTACATAGCTTGCCAATTGAATATACACATGTACATATGCAAGCCACCAAAAGTAAATGCATATGTAAATAAATATGTTCAAGTATAGATTTTGTCGCATGAAATGAAAACATGAACCATAGTATAAAATCATTTTATGCTAAATAAATTCTATCAAATGTGGGGAAGAAGACATACATATACACGTATGCTTATTTATTGTACTTATCTGACTAATCCTAAATGACTGACTGTACTAAGGATAAGTACATATCTACATACATTCCTATCATGTTAAACTATGGAGTTTTCTTTTCCTATTTCGTCAAATTGATTCGCCTTGGCAAGCCTAAAATTCAACCAATGAATTGTACAGACGTATTTTGTTCGAAGTTTGTAACGTCATAGAAAGGAACAAATTATTCATGCTTATCATACCCATTATCAGAATCAGCATTACAAGAGATTGGACTACACTCTTCATTTGCACTTCTTAATCTCGAGTGCCTGGTCGGAAAAGTAATGCCGTCTCCTAGACTAGAAAATATGGGGAAAGCCCACTTTCTTTTATCACGCCCAAAAACTTCCTCTATGTTGTCAAAGATGCCAAGATAAAATCCCTTCTTGTCCGGACCATGGGTAAATATTGCAGGGTGAAAGAACTCGACAGTGCTCCGGTTCATGGGAAGAAGGTACAAATGCGTGGAAAATAACGGGGTCACTAGGATCTAGAATTTCAAAAATAGTATTTACTACAATTTGCAATGCATGTACTTACTCATGTAGACTAGATTTCTAACCAGCCACATAAATACGACAGCGAAACCAGACATGATGTTATAATGACCAAGAGTGCGGATCTCTTCATTCCATGCCTGAATAAAGTACGGTAGTGCTAAACATGTGACCAGGAAACAGTAGGTGAAAGCATAGTTGACAAACAAGACGAAAAATTTGTAATTGTCAAAGGCTATGCAGTTGTTCACCCAGGCTGGAAAATTAAACAATTATCTATAACTTTACCATTTTTTAATGCAAATAAAGCGTTACATATACACATGTTCTTACGGCAATGATGATCACTTTTCAGAAAGCAACGCCCACAAACGTTGCAATGATGACATCGATCGGGTTTAATAATCCAACATATTTCACAATAACGTATTTGATTTTTAATAGATCTCGTTTCTAATGTCAACTCCTTAATGCGCAATATTCAGTTAGTTTTCGTCTGTATTTTGGACAAATTCGATGTTTTTTAAAACATTTACCCGGCTTTGTGTAAATTTTTGTAGAATCTCTGAAATCTCTTCGTCACTTTCTATAGTTTTGATCTTATGCACTACATCTATTCGCACAAAACAAGGTTATCAGATCACATGGAACTTGATGGATCCCATTTTGGCTTTTGTAACGAATAGATTTGCTGACCTTGAGGAATTTTGAATTGGGGAGGAACAGGTTTGGAGCACGTTATCATAGTTTTAAAGTAGGCCCAGAAGAAAAATATAAATGACAAGTGATAGACGATCAGTGTGAAGCTCTTTAATAATCATACATATTAAATTAGCAATCAAATTAGTAAAATATTTTTATATCGTCAATGATTTTGATTAAAAATACCTTTTCCCAAATGCTATCCATTTCAAATAAACAAATTTCAACTACAAACACATAGTAGCCCCATGACATCACCACGACAATAAATATCACTGGAACCCATCTTAACACACGAAATAAGGGAGTCCCCCAAATTCCGTTGTTCCTCTCCTCTCCCATTGTCTCTAGTGGCCTGAAACATATGCACACATGGATATCGATAAGATTACTTGTAACTTACAATGATGGGTTGGCTGAAATAATTCGAAACGATTATTACGTTTGGATACTATGCAAATATCCGACGTAATTTTTGTATTAAATTCTTAGCACAGGTATTGAAAATTTGAGTGTTATACTCAAAAATAATAATATTTTCTAAATGTGTGAAATTCAAAACACAAACACTCCAGCATCTAAAGTTGTTTAGTCTGTAGTAAATTAAACTCCAACATTATTCTCATATACAGAATTTTACATACATATGGAAGTATAAGAGTGCGAATTACACAACACAGACTTTGCGTATGACATATGCAAATATGTCTTGCTTAGGCTCAAAAACCGGTTTAGATTTCCTTATTTCGCTGAATGTATCATGGCGTATTTCCACGTGCTAATCTTAACAAAAGTACGTAAACAATGAATAAATGGCTATGGCTTCACAAAGATTCCTGGCTGTGTAACTAGCCAATTTTATTGCTCTTGTTCCTAAATTTCTGGTTAATAAAATGTGAAGAACAATCTGCTAATGGCATTTATTTTTTCAATTGATACTTCCAATTTATTTAATCTGGTTAATGGTACGTCATACCTATGTATTTACTTGTGCACATCATTAAATTGTCTGAATCAGGAATACTTGAGCAGGTGCATATATGTACTAAATTTAGATATTTGAAGCGGTCATAAGTACATAAATAATTTTTATAAGAGGAATCAAATATAACGAGGGCGGCATTAATGCAACTAATTGCAATTCCTGATCGATGCAAATTGAAGTAGTTTTTCTCAGTTCCTTATCAATTTCAACCGTTCCCTTGAAACTGGATAAGTACAATTATGTACGTTGTGACAGTTCCAACAATCTGTAAAGAAAGAAAATGCATACAAGGTTTATAAAAGTGTAAATTGAACAATTCACGTCAATGCTTTCACTTGATTGATAAAGAAGTCTCACCGGTGTTACAAGCCTGAGATTTAGTTTAAAGAAATCAGTCTGTACATATAAAGGGCAAGGTTTCTTAAACACTGGTACTTTCTAAAATTAGCAACAGTGGAATGAATCATAATATAATAAATACACTATATGTTGCACATATTTATTTATACAAATATTACTCACCTTAATATTCATTAGCATTTTTAAATCCCGGACAATACCTTTACTTTCACTTTCTAACTCTGATCCCCTCTTACAAACCAAATATATAATGTAAAAGTAGAGTCCAATCGTCATTAAGTCATGCATAACAGCCACACGGCTTGGAGAATTGGCACTAGAAGTAGAAACGAAATAGGCCGAAAAAACAACTCGCGAAAGACTATGAATCATATCAAGGGTGATCCAAAATTTAAAAACTCGATTAAAATTTTGAACCTGAGACTCCAATGAGGCATATATATTTAATATTAATTCAGGATTTTCATCATTTTCATGCCCTTCAACCTTCCCGACACTTGGGAAATTCCTGTATTTTTCCGTAACAGCGAACTTTAATTGCAGTAGCAACTCCAAATACCAGTTAAGATAGTAAACCACGACAAAACTAAATATAGAATGCAAGTACCCCAGAGCGACAGGTGTGCAATAGATATAAATAAATCCAATGCTGGCTGCAGGGTCGAGAATCAGGTTATAATGGACTTCTATGATTCCGAGCGCAATTAAAATCATGAATATGGCAACTTCAAAGACAAACGATTTACTATGACGGTTCGTCATCGGTGCTCTGATACCGTCGTCACCACCAACGACATCATTCCGAATGAAATTCCATAATGAAACGGACAGCGCGTGAATGTCGGAGTGCAATTGTGCCAAAGACTTTCTTTCAAGAAACATTCCAACTTTGATAACGACAGCACATACGAGATGAAGACTGGACTTGAGTAGGACTGACATGTACAATGTGTTGGATTGGCTTTGTCTCTTACGAACATGCAAAGGTTGGGATTTTACTTCGCCGAGGAAGAAAACTGCAATTACGGACACGGCCACAGATGAATAAAATACAACGGGAAAAATGGAAGCCCAGAAGGAAGATTGAGATGGCTTCTCGTGTAAATCGGGCAAAGGTATAATAGCTGAAACTGAATTTCTTGGTTTGGTGTTTATGTGAATTGGAATTGGAAAGTATCCTAAAAATTTAAAAACCATCTTTGGAAATGTGTCCATGATTTTGATTTATTATAAATATCTGAAATGCGTGTATTTTTTAAGCCTGTTAGTCCTTCTATTCGCTTCTGAAATAGTTGGTGCAGTATTAATATAGAGTCAAGTTTCTTTCTGATGACCAAATGAAAAATAGGAGTAGATTAACTAGTAATCAATTTAATGGGAATGGGACAAGTTATGTATTAGTGGGTAACCATATTTTATAGAACCAATTTCATTTCATGTGTCAACAATATCAGTGATCAAATTAATTTAGGTAATACATAACTCCATTTATGTACTTGGTATACTACCAATGAAAATAGAACGGAAAATCGTTAATTTCTAAATCATGTTCAACCAGGAGTGCATCCGAATTTAAATATATATCCTGTATTTTTTTCAAAGTACTTAACTCAATATAATTCATAACTTTACACTTTGCATGTTAATGAGAATGTGTATTAATAAACATCAGAGGAACTGACAATGAGAATAATATTCTGTTCCTTCAATATATGTGTGTATGCATATTTATTTATGTAGTACGTCCTTATTTATGGACCCTTTATTACATAAGTTCAAAATAGTGTACAAAGTTGATTTACATCTGTGTGTACATAAGTTTTAGTACAAATGACTCATTTTGTTTGTGCATCAACCTCCCGTACTCATACGAAACATGTATAACTTCTAACGGTCTGAAATTGAATGCAATCTCAAATAATTATTTACACTTACAAAATATGGATTGACGAGAATACTGGCTGCTTTAACTTAATCTACATACATATAGTTTGCTTAGTGTAATCTCGTAATACATAAATAAGTTTATTATCTTGGTACGTATTTTTTACTGTAACCATTAGCCTCCACTTACATACATCCATGCATACATTTATCTATACTGCCAATGCAAAATTGTTGTTTGCTTACTTCCACACATGGTAAATTGCTTAAATGAACACATCCAAGCATCATTACATAACGACAGTATTACCACCGTCGCCTTCCTCAACATTTCAGCAAAATAATGTCGCATCCAATGCAACCCCCATCCCCTTCCGGAAACAGTGCTTTTCCATATTTCCCCCCAATTCAGCCAGGCCGTGATCCCATTTCCGAACTTAAGGAACTTGTTGAGCGAGAAAATAAGGAGCGTCCACTTGATAAACGCATCGTCTTTACAACTCCCGATGCCGACTTCATCAATAACGAGTGGGTGTCGGTGTTAGAGTACACGAGCTCGAAAACTGGGAAAACTTATCGTGGTAAGAAATTCATTAAAAAATTACGATAATTCACTACCAGACACGAAATACAGTTTAAACATTTTACAATCGAAATGACAGAGATTGGTCGATCAATTGGGAAAAAGAAATTGGCAGCCAGTGAAGCATGTCGACTAGTCCTCTCAAAATATCAGGAAGACACCCAACTGAATCCATCATTTTCCAGGATGGCAATTTTGGAAACGCGAACTCCAGTCACAACAACCCCAAGTCCCACATTAGTGTCTAGTAATTCTGCACCAGAAGTATCCCAAGCACTTGACACATCCTTATATTCGCCAGTATCGTCATCAAGGTCCCTTCCTTTAAGTAACCAGTTGGTCTCGTCAATTAGTCCAGACTTCAATAGGAGTAATTCCTCTCGTAATTCCACAATTGTACACATCTCCATAAAATTCATCGCTATCCTTAACTAATTTAAGTCTTTGCATGCCTATACATAGTAGATGAACAACAACACTCAACCCCACAATTGTCTAACCATAAAGGAAATGCGACACAAGTAGGACATTCAATATGGATATACCCAGACATTATCCTTGGTAAAGGAGGAATGGGCCGTGTATACGAGGGTTATCATGAGGACCCCTCTAAACGGGCTGCCGTGAAGAAGGTGAATCTGTCCCAAAGCAGCAAAAGCAATCTTGAAATTATTATACATAGAGGTTTAGATCATGCCAATATTGTCCGCTATTTCGCATCCAATCCAACTCAACTAAATGGAGACACATTTATCGCAATGGAACTTGGAGACGATACTTTACAAGATGTAATTCGCTACGAGAAATACAAATCTCGCTATGACTTGCGAAAATACATGACACAAGTTGCACAAGGACTTTCCTTCCTTCACGAAGCAAAAATTATTCATCGGGATTTGAAACCAAGGAATATTTTAATTTTCAAGGGAACGATTGCGAAGATTGCTGATTTCGGGATTAGTCGAGAAGTAGAGAGTATTGATGAAGGAGGGGTGACAATGCACGTTGCTGGATCACATGGGTGGATGGCACCTGAAACTTCCAATAAGTATTCTGGACACGGGGACATATTTTCATTCGGGTTGATAATTTTTTACACAATGAGCTACAACCATCGACACGCTTTCGAGGAAAAGGGGTACAAAAGTGAGACTGCTTGGACGAGTAGCTTAAACCAAAAGATATCCACAAATGACAGTCCGCACTGGCACTATTTGGAGGAAATTGAGGACGCCGTCTCCCTTCGTAACTTGCTCACCCCGTTGTTATCTAAAGAACCAAACTCCAGGCCAAAAATTGACCTGGTTCTCGAACATCCATTCTTCTGGGATGGTTTGAAATTCATCAAATTCATCACGGACACCGCGAATGAACTGAAAAAAGTTAAGAAAGAACTCCGCAGTGAGCTTGATGAAAAGTATGACGCTTTTTGCATGACCCTGTTCAAGACGCATGTAAATTGGAAGATGCGACTCTGTGATCTCGTGAGGTTGAATCTGCTGGTTAAATCCAATCATAGCAAGACTTACGATGCTGGGTCGGTATTATCGCTCATTGAATTTATTCGAGATAAGGAGCAGCACGCTGTAGAGTGGAGGCAAAGTCAAGATTTGGTCGAGTTAAGGGATGTTCTGGGAACAACGGATGAAGCTTATGGAGAATATTTCACTCAACATTTTCCTGAATTGGCCACTTTTCTTTATACGCACATGCAAGAGATAGAGTTTCAAAATGTGTTTGTTAAAGTGAAGCAAGAATTTTATAAGCTGAATTGCAAATCTATATTTGATAAGTTGTAATATCTTGAGTAAGGGTTTTTACGCATTTACATAATTATCTACACATTTAACAATATTACAATTCATGACTTTGGGAGGACTTAGTTGTTAAAATTCATAAGATAATCACATATAATGCACGTTTTGCCACATGTTTTTATTGATGTATGAAATAAATATACGAAATGCATAAATGTAGGTCATAAAACATATTTATCTATGTACATACATGCAGCTACATATTTTAATCTTTATGCAAATTCACCGAAAGACTCTAAATGTATTGGTAGATGTTGGCTGTTTCCTTTCAGTAGAGTTATTTCACAGAATTTGTTAAAATAAATTCACAATACTTCTCTTATCAGAAATTAATTAAATGATAATCGATTACGTGCATCAATACATTTTTGGTGATAACTTATTGGCCGATAAATAGGCCAGTCTTTTCACTCATGCAAATACATAAAATATGTGGACTTAATTTTCCTTGTTCATTACTCAGCATATATTTGATGAATGTAGTCTGGACTTTAAATAAAACGTCGTGCACTCTTGACTAAAGCCATTGATCAATAAATTCATTATTGACGTAAAACTATTCTGGGCGACATGGATCCTAAGATATTAGTGTCTGCGATATTGCTACTTTTAGCAACGCCGTCTTTGACAAGAAGGGCGCAGGTATGAATACATTTTAAATATTGCAACAATTTACAAAATATTGATCCGATATAATTATTTTTGACATGACGTTTTTTGTAATTATGCAGAGTGGTCGCGGTCAGGAGATAATTGGACCGATCGATTTCGATTGCCCACAAAACGGCGTCTACCCCAATCCAGACGACTGTTCTCAATATATCGAGTGCTGGATGCAAGATGCTAATCTTTGGCAGTGCACAGATCTTATGCTCTTTGACTTAACTTACAATGGATGCAACTACGCTCAGTATGTCCACTGCCAAGGTAAATTTATTTCAAGGGAGTTTACCTAAAGATAGTTCAGAACAGTTAGTAAAGTATTTCATAAGCTCAATATTTTTATTTCAAGAACGACCTAGGCCAACAAATGTACCGTCCCCAAACACCACACCCTCCACAATCCCAACGACAACATCCAACGTCACAACAACTACTACGCCAAGGCCACCAGAAGATTTCGATTGTCCGTCGGACGGCACTTTTGCACATGAGGAACGCTGCGAATATTATTGGACTTGCTGGGCCGGTGTGGCAGAATTGATCCACTGTCAGTTAGACTACTTGTTCGATAGGGTTTACATGGGCTGCAATTTTCCAGAATTAACAGGTAATCAAGCTCTTTATTGAATCTGCATGCTAAATATAAGTATAAGAAAATGCACTAGAATTTACGCATCTCACTTAAAATTGTGTAGATTGTGACCACCGGTTGAGACCAAATGGGAGTGCTACAACTACGGCAAGAACGACGACGACACGTGTCACGACAGTGCCAACGACACGCGAGACGACGCCATTTGATCCGACCGCAACGACGGTTCCTACGACGACCAGGACTCCCGGTGGCGAATTCGAGTGTCCCCCAGGAGTAGAGGGAGATTTTCCTGATCCGGAAGATTGTGGGGCATTTTATACTTGCGTGGGTGGAATTCCGTATCACAATTTTTGTCCCGACGGACTTCATTTTAATCCGATTACAGACTCGTGTGACTATCCGGACAATGTGGATTGTATGGATAGACCGTCAAAGTAATATTTAGGATGCCGATGTATCAAGTGCATTTATCATACATAAAAATTTTGCAAATTTAATATAAACACATCTGAATCTGTGGTTCTGTATAATGTTATTAAAACTTAGAAATAATAATTTGGTAATGCTCTGGTCAGCAATCAACCAGAAAATTGACATGTGTAAAGGTTTATGTCATTTGAAGAGAAGAAATGAGAACGTGACGTGTTTTTCATACTTGAATTGCGAATATTTGCACTGATTACATATGCACAAATCAAGTGGGTTCAAAAATTTGTCGTTGTCCACATGCATGTGGAATTATTATGACGCATTCATAATATGTAACGCATTGTTAAAATATGATAAGATTGCAATATCAACAAATTAACTTGATTGACATTATTCTCGATACACGAGTTGCTCGTCATTTCCAAAAACTGGAAAGGGTTTGTATGTACATAACGTTCATTCGTCTATGCATGCATCTATTCGCCTACGTATCCATGAGATAATCAATATTTTTATCGTATGCACAATTAATGTAATTTGCTCAATTATCAGGAAATAACTTCGATACCAATTTGGTCAAAATTGTCAACCCATAGACGAATTTTCATTAATTTGTCACAAAATTCGACAACCTACATAAATGTAAATCGAGTTTGACATTCTTGAATTGTAAATATTTATATGCATCGGTAAATTACTTGAGGTATGTAATGCCGCAATAATTATTGGTGTAATAATGGATAACCTAAAATATTCTATCGTCCAATTTAAGTAATATGTTACTCGTATTTATCTAGCTGCAAAGTTATTGCTGAGATAAATACGGTGATGTGTAACTCCATAATTGAAGGGTAGCTAAATCAGGAAATTGGAAATATGACACGGTGATGACAATTTAATAGATCTATTTGAACAACGGACTTTCAGGCGAATCTAATACATACCTAGTAAATACAGATACTTACTCAATATTAGCTACAATTACTACTGATATATACATAGTTCGTACACCATGGTATTTATTTCGTGTGTACAAATTTTCGTCAACGACTAAATAATTTCTTTGAATGGATGATGACAATATTATACATTTATTTTATTTAGTAACTACAACCTTGGACAAAATGTTCATGCTGTGAATTCAAAATTACGATTAAAATGATTTTGTCCCCGCGTGCATTGAAAAATTTTCAAAATTCAGTAACTTTCCTAAATTTTGGCTTCGTTCCATTTCATTATAATGTGAAAACCAATAAATTCGTGTCCATCAGATCAATAGCTTTTAGAACTGCAAATTTGTTAAATATATTTTTACACTTCGGCAAAGTCTTCTACCTTATTTTTCATCTTCACCATTCGCATAATCAGAAAAACGTTGATTGTGTTGAGAAGTTTTGGTTATTCATTTTTCTTATCGCTACACTTTGGACTTTAGGTGAGACTTTTAGCAAATGGTTTTATCAAGAAGAAGTGTTATCTTCCTGGAACAAAATTCTTTACCTTGATGCTCAATCTATGCAAGGTGAATACATCAATTTTTTGATAGCGTCGTTGTCAGTGCAGAGCAGACGTTGTCGGATAAGAAATCAGTTGGACATCAAAGTTGTCGAATGTTATTTTTGGAGATGTAATATACCAGCCATTACTACCTTTATGTATAACACGTATTTGTAGTCACGTCCCCTACAGTTTCATCCGACAAGTTCTTTCTCCAAATGATTTCTTATCCTACAGCTACACGAAATCGAATTTGATATGAAACCTTTGAAAATTTAATTGCAGATTTCCCACGCACACTTAGCGAAAAAAATGCAATCGACATATTTTATTGGGACATTCTCTTCTTCAGACTTGTCACATATTCTACAGCAATTTTAATATCACTATTTTATTTGGCCAAACCTGCTTATAAACAATTTTTATGCAGCGTTCTGATTGTAGAACGACCTCCGCAAATATTTTCTGTCATTAAATGTTATCCCTTCGAATTATACTGTCAGCTCGCCCTCACATTTCCGTTAGGTGTTGGACAAATCCTACATTTCTCGGTCCTACTTGGATTCATACTGAAGGTGCTTTCAATACTGCGGTAATTTAAAATAATAGGTCAAGTTAAATTGTTGATTTATTTGCTAACTAATATTGCAAAAATGTAGGAAATGCAAACCTGGAACTAAAATACACGTGAAATACATTAATCTACTTCACATTCTGATAAAGGATTACACGAATTGTGGTTATATGGATGTGCCTTTGGTTCTCTGGAGCATGGGGCTAATTTTAATGTTCGGTGTAACGGCTTCTATCAGGTTCTACGGAAGAATTTATCTCATCGATTATCTTGTAATTTGTAAGGCATATCATACCTCGTACATGTCATTTGGGTATCTTCATTTTATTGGGAAAGTGGCGAAACGGAGTGAAGATATATTATCTGCAGTTAAAAGTGATGAAAGGAGAAAGTTCTGGAGGAAGAAGCTCAAGAGCATGAAAATCTTAGGCCTTCGGAATGGCCCTATTTCAATTTTGAGGTACAATGCTATCCACTATTTTTATTCGGTATTGATCAATGGAATCGTTACCATCTTGTCAGTGGTTCATCATTCTTAGAAACAACTAGTGCTTAATTGTCGACGACAATTTGTCGTTTCATGGTAAAAAGATCTTAAGAAACTGAAATGACTAAATGTAATTACCTAAATCGGAAGACATTTATCGTAATTATTAGGTATCTAAATAAAAATTTTATAAATGAGTAAGGTGATCAAGTCATGTGCATATTCATGCACTTATAAAATCAGATATATAAATAAATCCTGGTTACGTACACAATTATTATATTGCAACTGCACTTTTGTCTTACAACTAAATAATAAACCATTACAATAAATACATATAATCATAGGATGTGAGTGAGTCGTACATACGTCACAATGGATACCATATTGCTGTTGTCCGTTGAAAATGTTAAAATTTACCACATGCTTCAACCATGTCAAACTTTGTGTAATTTCTTTGTAATGAAGAGTACAGTAAATTGAATCACAGTTTAAAGCTGAATCCATACTTCATTGTCTTGTGCTGCTCCTAACCCGCTTTTTTGTTTGATGTTTTACTCAAAAATATCACAACGACAATTACAAATTTTGACCAATAAAAAGTCGGATTAGGAGCAGCATATGATAATAACGGAAGAATGTATGAAGCTTAAAGCTGGACTTCCGGTTTCTGTTTTATTAACGCAAACATAACTTTAAATTATGAAATTTTATTCAGAATATATTATATACAATCATAAGATTTTATTATTCAATTAAAGAGTCCCAGGTTCCGACATTTCCACAACGAATCCCAGCGACAATTTGACATATTCGTTAACCTGGGTGAATCCCACGGATGCAAAGTTATCACCAACCTGATAATAAATTAATTTCAGCACCATGAGTAAAGTAATGTGTTCATCTTAATCATACAAACATAGTAATATGAGAAAAGGGTAAACGACCAGCGCCGTAAAACCCACCGAATGCATCCTGGGGTGGAAGACGACCTCTGCAGGGAACCCTGCTGGGAATCCGTAACTGGTCCATGACGCGTGATCCGAGCACCCATATCCGCAAGTCTTATTGACCCAGGTGTAAGTGCAGTAGCCATCAACTAAAAGTCGGAGGAATGCAGTCACTTGAGCGTTGACGTTGTCAGTGTAGATTCCAATTTCGTCCCTCCCTGAGACATAGTATCCCGGGACGTCAAAGTTCACCATCCCCACGACGTTGACCCTGTTGGTGCTGTAACTCGAGGCAATAGCTGCAGATCCACGGAGACCAACCTCTTCCGCGGCATACCAATGAAACTCAATCGTCCTCTTTGGAATATATCCGCTTTCAACAAGAACGCGAAGGGTTTCCAGCACGACAACAGAACCACTCGCGTTATCATCGGCACCTAAGTACATTCGGAATGCAATTAGGACCTCGTGACAAATTCCACGTACAAACCTCTATTTTTTAAGGCCTACCTGGGGCACCGAGCGAGGAACCAGCAATATTTATTGAGTCTTGATGAGCTCCAATGATGACAATTTCGCTCCTAAGAGTGGGGTCGGAGCCAGTAAGCCGGGCAACGATACTGCTTTGGGGTCCGAATGTGTGCGTCACCTCATTGACGGTGGCAGATCCCGCGTAGTTTGCAATGCTTTCCTGAACTTGGGCGAAAAGCCATCGCTGGGAATCAATTCCGGTTTGGGCTTGGTAGTACCTGTTATGGTAGCTGCTGAAGGTCCTGATAAAATCTTGCATCCGGGTAATGCTAGTTCTTCCAAGAAGGCCGTTTACGGTAGATTGGAATCGAAGAGTGGTTGGAATTGCTGTGGAGAAATTTCCAAATCATATTTACACACATACAGATATAAATTGAGTTCGTATTTATACTAATCTGCATTTCTATAAATCTTACCTTGGACATTGACATCTCCCTCTTTAATATCTGGGAAATTGTGGTCCGTGATATCCATAAAGTTTTGATGCTTCGAAATCAACCCCCAAATTTCGTCCTCGTCCATCCACTGACCGGGACCTTCGAAGGTCGTTTTAATGAGACGCTTCCCAGCTTTGGCTTCTTCATCTCCGTGTGGGCATGAAGCTACCAAAGCAACGCCCAAGGCTACAACTAGCACGAACTTCATGTTAATGAAATTGCAGTGAAATTTGTCAATCGATGAGGAAAAAGTGACCAAGTAAAGTTTTGAGCTTTGTTTTATAGTGCATGAAATATCTGGGGAAATAATGACGATACAAATGTCAAGTACTTGAAATTGTTGATAAGATTTGTGCATATGGATTCCCCATCAATGAAATACATACTGGTAATAACTGATCATGGTACTTTCTAATTTATGGATGTAGATATGTAGGATTAAGAACTAATGCAAAATATGTAAACGCAATGTTTCATTGCGTTAAAGGATGCCGTAATTTCAAAAATTTGGGATGCCTATGCAATGGGAACAAAGCTGAGATAAGCTTCGAAAGTTCGCACATAAAGTTCCGTATTTTGATTGGAATTTCCTATACATAGAAAATTCCCATTTCCAGGTTTAAAGATGTTCCAATACGTGGTTGTCGCATTAGGCAATTTGTAATTCGTTAAGTCCAATTAAGAAATTTGACAGCTCGGATAATTGATTAAGTGACTGGACAATACATTATAATATCTGAGGATTGATCGATCTGTTGTTGGGTTGATGACATTGCAATATTGACAATTTTGCACACGGAACTAACAACAAGTAACTGGAATTACAGATATTCGCGTTTCGCATCACCTGATGTAAATCATATAAAATAAAGACACAAACTTTCCATATTGCATAAATCCGTACGTTCGGTTAATCACTTCAAAGTCATTGCCAATGTCACATAAGGCCATATTATGCAGCTTATATACGTGCAATCGGTACATTAATCCTGATTGATTTGTTACAATAAGCAGAAAATAATTAATGACCCCAAAACAACGTACAATACGTGGTTTTCCTTATTAGCCGAGTAAGGGCAATAACATCAACGGAGTGTCGGATCGCCAAAATTGTTTTTTTTTCAAGCACCAACAACCTTCAATAATTTTTGTAAATTTCATATCTTATTTATTATTACTTAACTAAATTCATTTACATATGCATAAAATTGTGAATAAGCATATTCCTTAAAACAACCAATATTTTTAATGCTCAATAAATAAACTATGTGGATTAATGTGTAATTCCTAATTCCATAAATAATACATATAAGTATGTGCATATAGGTACAAATACATGAGTTCATTCATGAGTCATGACATGAGTTCATTCAGCATATCGCCCTGTTTTCCCTGCAAACTTGCCATCGATAAAGTAGTTGTGCTCCATGGCGCAGTTGACCAGCAGTCCCCTCGGTGGTCTATATTCTTCTAAACGCTCAGATCTCAGGAAACTCGCCTCCATGCACCGCTCCGCCCAAGGCTCCGCTTCCCCATTGTAAAATTCGCCAATAATCCATTGAAATATCAAGTTATCCTTTGGATTGATCCTAATTTAATTAGTCAACAGTCAAGAATCGCATATAAGCGTATGATCCAAACGAAACGATCCTCTCCACCCATTTTTCTTCTCTAGCTCTCAAAAAATGTCAACATTTTCTGACAACACTTTCTGGGGAATTTAATAAGATGTGTGAATTTAAAAATCTAATTGACATTTCTCTAGATACATATTCGTTCCAAAATAAGAAGACAAAAGCAGATAAGTTATGAATCGGGTTCATCGGGCTTAGAAATCATTTGGATCACACGCATGCGTACATATATGCATTCATAATCCCGATCTACTTATAGAATTATGCATACCAAGTTTCTCTCAAAGGGATGAGAAAGTCTTCAGTGAACAGTGAATGGAATTTTGATGCGACGTGCGGGATCCGATCTTCCCTGTCGACAACGCAAATTCCAAGAACTGTGGCGAAAATGCGCCATGACATGTCAACCACCCAGTTGAAGACAAATTCATTGTCGGCCTAATTAATAAATTATTTATTGATTCGCTTTGTATAATTTTTAGTTCAATATCTTTGCACTTGGCGGTTGCTCTGGGGATGAATTTGATGTCGTAGCATCGAATTCATCTCCAAAGCATCCCCCAAAGACCTTTTAGTCACATGATCATCATCATCCGAACTCACCTGCTCCTTGTGTGGTTTGATCAAAATCTCAGTCAAGGTTCCATTCTTTTCCTTTTTCACCCAGACCCATTCCCCCCGCTTCTTGTTCTTCATTTTGGCCGTGAGGTCTCTGAATACGAGGCTGTTTCCCTTCCCAAGCCGACACTCTTTCAGAATTTCCATAATCTGATCCCAAAACTGTCTTCGCTCTGTGCCCTGTTCGGGAGAAGGTTTCGGATTTGGAGGATTAGGGGGCGGTGGCAATTCTGCGTACTGAACGCACGTTAAAGATGTTGTCCCAGGTGCTGCAAGTCCAATTCCGAAAAATAATTTATGTAAGTAAATAGCTCATATGTAATTCACTTTAATCTATGAATAGGTATTTGGGTATGCCCTAAATTGGTTACCTGGCTGCCTTAAATTGTAATACTCGTCCGATGTCAAGTAAAAGCTCAAAATCCTGTGGACCATAGTTACGAATCGAATCCTGTCTGGCAAGTAGGGACATGCTTGGCTAAAAATTGCTCCGATTTCATGTAACACGTCCCCCTTCCAGGAAGCGTCTGCATCGGTCTGCCACGTAATCTGGTCTATACCGAGGCTCGTCTTGAAGAGAGTGCAGGCGTGGTCGTACGTCGGTTTGCCCTCAGCACAGACCACGCTTCTGAGTGGAAGAGCATCACACTCAGAAATCTCGTACGTTTGAGGGGAGCTCATCCTCTTTTTGGGGTAGGTAACTCCCTTCTTGCGTTTTGCTTTCTTCTTCCTCCCCAATTTAGTTGGGGTGTAGGAAGTAAACTTATCCTGCAACTCTGCCACTATGACAGAGGCGACGGAAACAGCGTGTCTCCAAGTGGAAAGTGATTTCCATGCGGTAACCGTAGATGCAACAGCAGTCTGTTTCACCTTGGCCAATTCTTCCTGTCAAACGCAGACATCATATTATTTTCCTACTCTCAAATGGAATTAGGTGCGTATCACTACTAAATTCTACCTTTGCCTTCTTGACGTCACCTTCTAAACTCAAACTATCCCACGCTTCTAAATCTTCCAGCTCCTTTTTTGCCTTTACAACAGCTTCGACATCGCTTTTGGCTTGCGTCTCGAACCCATCTGATGGTTTGACCACGGACGACATCGCAGTCCCCGCGGCTGCCCACAACTTGCCAAAGGCTGCATCTTTCTCTCCCTCCGTCTTGATAGCGGCCGTCAACTGGGTCTCTTGCTCCAACAGCTTTTTTAGCACGGCCGGCTTTGGTGGGGGTGTGGCTGCTATTTTTCCCTGCACAGACTTCAGTTCAGCATCAAACCCGTCCGTGGTTGCCTTAACTTTCGCAGAATAAGCTGTGTTCCATGCATCTTTCGTTGCCTCTTGGAAAATGGTGTCCGCGTCTTTGAAAATTTCTTCAGTTGCAGTTATGTTATCTTGCAGGGTGGCATCGTCGAGGAGTTCAGCCCCACAAGTTCCCTTCTCCCTACATAATTAGGAATTCAGATGAGGCTGATTACATATTTCTGTCATAACTTAGCTTAGTTTTTTCTGAATACCAACCCAATCGGTTCATCCCTCACCAAACCCCGCATTCTCCCATTCTCCACCGTCCCATCAGGGTCTGTATTACCCACTGATGCTGCGACTGCCGCCCTGAGCACGTTAGAAAATGGCTGCTTGCAAACGTAGCCTAGTGTCTCTCCTGGAGTAGGATTTGAACCGTTTCTTTGAATGTTAGGCTTAAAGGTCAAGTCCATCTTGACCTCTCCATCTGACCCGTTCCCCTTCTCCACGACGCACTCAGTCTCTCCAATCAGGGCGATGGACGTTGCATTTTGGAAATGCGCTGGGAATCCCATCATATATTCGTCTTGACCAAAAAAGTATGGAGCGGAGAAGGGTTGGACGAACGGGCGGCGATAATCCGTGGGGTCGCCGTATAGCAAAATACCCATCAGCTGAAAACAGCAGAATAAGCTTCTACGAAATTGGACAAAATTTTAAAAAAAATTGAAACGCTCGGATGTAAAACAGCCTTCGCGACAATTAAAAAAAATTCAACCTAGTTACATTTAAATACCGTTTTGTAAAAATAACTAAAAATAATTTAATTTCAATTTTAGCCCGAGTCAGGCTTATTTTGAAAAATCAGTAATAATCACTTTGATTGCACTTTGCTCACTTTTAACTTCATATTCTTTAATGAGAAGCCATTAAGTATCATTGTGCCGGATTTCATCTTTTTAAACAATTTCTAAAAATCGGTATGGGTCACCCCATCGGGTCACTCCAGATAAAAATTTAGACCCCCACTGGTCAACCACTTGACCGATTTCGCCCATATTCGAATTCGTTTCCGAACTTTTCCCATTATGCATATGGTAAAAATTTCAAGTCAATCGGTTCAGCCGTTTTGGCTCTATCGTGCCGGACAGACAGACGGACGGACGGACGGACGGACGGACATGACGGTTCCATAAGCCTTGACTCGGGCTAAATAATTTTCAAAAACGGTATTTAAATGTAACTAGGTTGAATTTTACAAAAAATTGTCGCGAAGGCTGTTTTACATCCGAGAGTTTCAATTATCAAATCAATTTGTCAATTAGGTACGTGGAAAACGAGAGTATTATACGACGCTCCTTTGCGTGGAATGACGTTGTGTGTTTCGCAAGTGTGCACAAAAATCTGCGACGAGGGTGACTCGTACACTGTGCCGAGACTCGTGTTCTTCGAGTAGTAAAGGTAAACCCTGCCAAAATATTTTAAACAATTCCCGGAAATAATGACCAATAAACAATATCCAATATTACACGGAAGACTCACGGTCCATTAATACACACCCACAAGTTTGACATGGAACCCGTGGGATAAAATCCTGGACCCCACTCCTGGAGCAAGGCGCCTTTCCTCCCTTCATAAATTCTTATGTACGGTTTGTAAAGTTCGACGTCTTCGCAAATGTACTCAAATATGCAGGACGCTGGAATGATGCTCAATGCAAGGATATAAAGTCGGAGTAAAAATTGCAATCTCGAACTTTGTTTTTGGAGGAATTGAAAAGGGCGAGAATTCTGCGGCATAGTGGTAAAACAACGAGTCAAAATTGGTCAGCATGTTGCAACAAAAACAAAATCTTAATGGCGATACGTATGTATTTATGTAGCTACATACAACATATGGATGGTACAAGATGAAAATGAGGTATGCCAATATTTATAAACATACAGAAACAATACAAGTAGTCGGACAATTACAACGTGCATCTAGATAATTTACATACATATATGCAAAGTGTGGGTGGACGCATGATTAAGTAATTATTATAACAATTCAAGCTGCTATAAATTCAGAGTGATGACTATTTACAAATTTTGAAAAATTTACAAATCAATGAATAATTTTTCATAGGATTTATTTTAGATTTGCAATAGTTTCAATCAGATAAATTATTAATAAATTATTAACATGTAACGCTAATTTAGATCAATAATGTGTTTTTTCTAAGGTGAGGTAAAAAACTATGGTTACATTTACACCTTAGTATGCATTCACCCCCCCTTCGAAAACCTTGACCGCCGCCTACAGCCAAGGGGGTGCGTTTTAGAGAAAAAAATAAAGAGACCGAAAAATCAATTACGGACATAATCTAGTGCTATTGAAAGGGATTTTTCGATATGACCTCCCAGAAAAAAGTTTTGATGGTGGTGAATGGTTGCGTTTCTCAATTTAAGTATGAAGGAGACTACCTACATAGCTGGGTATCTAAATTTATGAAAGATCGCCCCCACTTTACTATAAGGGGAAACAAGAATTGGGTCAATTGGTTGAGAAACCAGCGACTTTTCCTTATAACGAAAATTTCCGAGTGGTTGCTATATAGTAACTATATAGTTACACCCTCGCTATGGAGTAATTTATACTCTTAGCCCGTGTCCGGGCTTATGGGACCGTCATGTCTGTCCGTGAATACGATTGCCTTGCAATTTTGCCATATTCATATTGGACAAAGTTAGGAAACGAGTTCGAAGGTGGGCGAAATTGGTCAAATGGTTGACCCGTGGGGGTGCTAAGTGGGTGGGGTGCTATGCACCAGATTTCAAAATTGTAATAGAAAGCTGAAATTTGGCAAACAGATTGTTAGTGGCTCCTAATGGAAGAATATGAATTCAGATTGGAAAAATTTTAATCTGGAGGGACCCTATGGGGTCCCCCATACTGATTTCTCAAAATCATCAAATCGAGCTGTAATTTGGTAGAGCGTTTTCTACTCGCACCTAATGGAAGAATATGAACTGGAATTGGGAAAATTATTATGTGGAGGGCGAGGGACCCTTTGAAGTCACCCAAACCTTCTTAGAAATTATCAATAATGGTCTTATATATAGCTTTATACATATGTCGAAGCGCAAATTTGACTGCGTTAGGCATATCGGAACTTGACACCTTCAACTGGCACTTTTACAACGTGAATTTCAACTAACTAAATAAATTGGCTCCGATATTCGCAAGACTAACAGTGTAAATGTTTCTTTGCAAATAGTGTGTAATAGTGGTTACGTTCTATATTTGCTTTTAAAATTCAAACCTTAAAAGAATTAAATAAAATATAGCTTGAAAAAGTAAAAAGTTCTAAGGTGAGGAAGTGCACTTAAAAGTATTAAACAAGCTCCCTCCGCCACCCAGATAATTTTACTTCGCCTGGGCTGTCTATTCCATGCAAAATATCGACAATAATGTTTCGGCGTCATGTAAGAAAAGAAGGATTAGAATTAATTTCTTGATCCAAAGTTAACTTTTGAATTGGTTAATATCCAGCCAGATTAACATTGCTGTATGTATGTATGTATGTACTTTGATGGATTAGGTATAAAACCCAGCAGGTCAGACCAGAGATCTATTTAACATTGCTGAGTTGTAAGGGTATTAGCAATTATCATCATTTGGTGGTAATTATTACATATTGTTCACCCGTCCTAAAGATTTATTAATTATTCGTATAACTAGTTCGACATCGTGCTCGTTGTGCATTCAAGTCAGAATGCATGTACTGATAAACCGATATATTTTAAACCTATAGGATTGTTCTTAGATTTGTTGGGTGACTCTTTGAGCGACTTATTTACAACCTATTTTTATTTTGCATGGAATAGACAGCCCAGGCGAAGTAAAATTATCTGGGTGGCGGAGGGAGCTTGTTTAATACTTTTAAGTGCACTTCCTCACCTTAGAACTTTTTACTTTTTCAAGCTATATTTTATCTAAATACATGTTATAATGATATGTATAATAATGTACATATGTACATACATCCATTGTTAGGTTACCTACGGTAATATTCAATTTTATTAGAAACACGGAATTTTGTTAATAACTCGTCACCTTGTTAGATTCCTACCGTTGCAATTTGTGAGATCACAACCGCATAAGTTAGCACTACCCCAAGAAACTATATAAAAAATGTATTAGCAGAAATCAGAGATCAGCGACTTTTGATCACATACCGGAATGGCATATTCTAAATACACATTTTAGATTTACCGTTCCCAGAAAACCAAAGTCGACACGAAAAAGACCAAATGGTTGGAGTGAAATTTTTGAATTTGTCAAGTCATACAACAAAATCTGCAGGTTCGCTGAATTCAATTTGAGATGTGATTCATTCTTACGAACCCACTTTTCCAAGTCTTGCTGTATCTATGCACATAAAAAATCTTAATTTGTAATGTTTCAAAATTATTAATTTATTAATTCTTACTTTACTCGTGGCAAACCCAGCGACACAAATGGCCATAAATTTTACCCCGATATGCAAAACAAGAGACAGAGTATGGATTCGTGAAACATTTGCAGGCTGCTTGCTACTGAACATTGCAGAAACGGTCCAACTAATTATTGGAATCGATCCCATCGTGCTCTGAAACGAGATTGCACTTGTGGCTTGATTAATAGCTTCTGTAATTTCCTTAAGCCATTTGAACTGCTCAAGTATCTGAATCACAACACAAATTTAAGGAATTTTAATTACATACAAACATGCTTAAATATTTTGGGAAATTTGACGTATAAATTTCTAACCTCGTCTGGCCTTGCACGTGTATTGAGTAAAATGAGACAGAATTTTAAGACGAGATCATACAAAAGCGTCGCACTGAGGAGAAAGTATAAATCTATAAAATGGTAAATATACCACGAATAAAGGAAAACCGGAAGTAGAATAATGTTCAAGAAGTAAAACATAAACCCAGAAATATTATTCGTGTCAGGTATCAAATAACACGATGAATTGTCATTTTCTCCACAAAACGAATCTCGGACCGCCGTGATAATATTCCAATTATAGAATTTTAGCCCCCTCATAATTTTTATGGACAAGGATGTGAAAACCATTCCAGTTCCAATGATACAAATCGCAATGGCCTACACAAATGCATTTATTTAAAACGTCTTACCGGTATTCGTTACATACGCACAAACCTTTCTGCTGGATTTTTGGCTTCGACCGAATTTCCTAAAATACAGTAAGTCATGAATGTCAAAAAATGATTTCTGCTCTCCCCAACAATTCCAAAGTATGGCGAAAAGAAGTGACAGGTTGAGTGACATTTTTAAAACCATGTTCACACTTGGGGGTTTGTCATTTAAAACAATTGCATATATTTCTGGAATCGCGATGTATGGAACGAGAATGAACTGCATCATAATGACAGCACTCTATCAAAAAAGGGAATATATTGTGAAGGTTTTGATTTAGCACAAAAAATGAGATCAGCTCAAAATTATGTAAAATGGATGACATTATGTACAAAATACATATCGAATACCTTTTGAAAACTTGATGACTTCCACGCATATGAATTTGTCACAGTTTCTCTCACAGAATGAAATGGTATCATCAAAGTGTAGTAAGACAGTGAGAGAAATAAACTCCAAAAGTGTAATGGTACTGAGTAATTAGTCATTTGGATATTTGGCGACGTGACTACCTTGAAGATATCACTGTTGGAACCCATGTTTTCAAATACTCTGAAAAATTTCAGGTCTGACTAAATAGGTAAAACCTGTTTAAAATTAATAGGTGAAATAAGTTTGTTTTAAATAAATACACATCGAAGTAGCTGTCAAATGCGAAATTTTCTGAAGCAATGATCAACAAAAACACATTACAGATATGCTAATATTTGATCCGTGCAAACAGTTCCTGAATACCTCAATAATTAATTTAGGCATGCTTTTAGTAGAATTAGCTCAATTTATACGTATCATCATAATAGTTATATATGCCTAGGTAGTACCTACCTATTATACATTTGTATGTACATAATGCCAATATAGGCATATTGCTACATATATGCGTATATATATGTTTATATTAGTGTGTAGATTAACATGGACAAATTAAGTACGCCAACAGTATTTGGAATATGAATAAATGCACATGCATAGTATATACATGAATAATCCAAACATACTTATTCCCAAAAATGTTACAGCTTTTGAATTGGACGTAATTCGACACTTCAGATCGAAAATTCGGTGCACTCATAATTATGCACATGATACACATGATATCTATGCACATGATATCTCGACAATCAGCTATGATAAATACGATACGTACATACATACGATTATACAGTTCTATGCAAAAATATATGTAAGTACATATCTTTACTTTGATTTATGTTTTAATAAAGATGGATCAACTTAATTTCATTCTTTGCTTCTTGTTGTGCAATAATTTACTTAGAGCATACAATATTTTGAGAAAGTTCTGACATTTTTATTCAGCCATTGCATTATGCAAAAGTTTCAAATTTTCAACAGACACCAACCAATATTTACAAGGTTCCAGGTTCCGAAAGTTCCACTGCGAATCCCAGCGATAATTTGACAAATTCATTAACCTGGGTCCAACTAACCAAGTCAATTGTGTCACCAACTCTATGCATTTGCGGATTGTCGACCAGCTATTTAAATATTTTTTAAAGTATTAAAATTAAAATTGAAATTTAATTTAAATGTAACTTAAAATGTTCTCTATTTCCCAACCTCAGCAGGAAAACTGGATGGAAATCCATAATTTGTCCAACTAGCGTGATCCGAACATCCATACCCACAGACTCTGTTCCTCCAGGTAAAAGTGCAATAGTTGTCGATTAAAAGTCGGAGGAATGTATTCACTTCCGCGCTCACGTAATCAGTATAAATTGCAATCTCATCCCTTCCTTGTGTATAATAACCAGGAATGTCAAAGTTCACCATTCCCACGACGTTGACCCTGTTGGTGTTGTAAGTCGAGGCAATATCTGCAGACCCGCGGAGTCCAACCTCTTCCGCAGCATACCAATGGAACTCAATCGTCCTCTTTGGAATGTATCCACCCTCAATAAGAACGCGAAGGGTTTCCAGTACGACCACAGAACCACTTGCGTTATCATCGGCACCTATTTATAAAGCATACAAAATATCTGGGATGATGCTTTGAGGCACGCTGCGACGCATGACTAACCTGGAGCAGTGCGCGTTGAACCAGCCATATTGATGGAGTCAAGATGAGCTCCAATAATGACTATTTCACTTCGGAGAGTGGGATCAGAACCAACAATTCTGGCGATGACGCTACTTTGTGGCGAGAATGAATGGGCAACTTCGGAAACAGTGATTTCTCCGACGTAATCTACAGCAGTCTGTTGGACTTGACTGAGCAGCCACTTCTGAGAATCTATACCTGTCTGCGATTGATGGTATCGATTAAAGAAATTACTAAAGGTCTGGACAAAGTCTAGCATTCTGGGGATGCTTGTCCTCTCAAGGAGTGCATTGACGACCGATGGGAATCTAATTCCGGTTGGGATAGCTGGAAAACAAATTAAAATCATATTGCATATTCTTTATATATAAAATATCTAAGGGACATGCCTTTAACGTTGACATCTCCTTCCTTGACATCGGGAAAGTTGTGATCCGTGATATCGATAAAGTTTGCATGTTTTGCAATCAGGCCCCAAATTTCGTCCTCGTCCATCCACTGACCGGCTCCCTCTTGACTCGTTTTAATAAGACGTTTTCCCGATGTAAATTCATTTCTTTCAAATGGCGACGAGGACACGAGGGCAACACTGAGGGCAAAGAGAATTAAAAGCTTCATTTTAAGGGCATTCTCTTGAACAATGACCGAAACAAAAATAACGCCATGCAAATTAAACTGAAGCATTTTATTCTACGTGAGTGTGGAATGCTCTTGGGCAATCGTCAACTATCTACTTGAGTTGGAGATTAGATTTATTCACTGAAGCATCGCAATACTAATTATATGCCTTTATACACAAAAAATACGTGCACATTGATCATTGTTACTCTTCAAAATGTCAATCCTAACTTTGACAAAGTTACAAGCTTTTTTTATTCTAGTGAAAACTGGATTTCAAAATATATATGTATATGTATATATGTATATGTATCTGTATATGTACATTATTCAATATATACCTATTAACTTTCATATAAAGCATAACATCAAGACATTGGATTATTTATGGATACGTCGATTAAGAAATGTATATAAAGGTGCAAATTTTTTTTAAATTCCACAAGATATCCAACATTACATTAAAAGATTATGCCAAATAATCGAATCATGATGGAATTTCCAATCAGTAAACTTTAATCAATCGTTATTTAGTGTTGGAACATTCTACACTCATCCAGGTTATTATCGTGACTGTTTGATCATAAGTTTTAAATAGGAAAAGTCTGACACGATGAATATTTATATAATTGATGGATTACTTAAACTCGGGATCGATGACTGTGCGGACATATTTATGTGCACGGACTCTGTACAATAAGAAAATTTCGGTGAATATAGGTTGAATATAAATACTTATTAAAATACCTACATGTTTAATAAAAAAATATAGAAATCTCGTAAAATTTTATAGTATAAAACAAGTATGTACAAATGCAAGTGTGCCTGTCTACGTAAGCAATTGCATACATATGTAGCTCAGAACAGTTTCAAAATAATCAGAAGTATCAAACAAAAAATACGAAAAATAAATGCACGGTTATGTTTATGCATGTACTGGATATATGTACATGCATACAGGAGAAAGTCAACATTTTCTTTTTCCACTTTACATTTTGGGTACGCAGATCAAGTACAAACATTATTATCCGGTTCTTCAAGTAACTGATTCATAAGCTTGCCATAAATGTTCATAAAACCATTTGACAATTTACACAAGTTAGACACATACTCGGAGTAGCGTGTTGAACATAATTATTGCAAATGTTCCGTGTTATCAAAGTACTTAGAAACAAATGCAAATTTACAATTGTTTCTATTTATACATACATGGTCTTGTCAAGATACTATAAGGTAAGTATCTAACTAATGCAAAATTATAATCCAAGTCCTGTCCGCATTTTTCCTTACTGTAATCAACAAAGTATGGCTTCCAGAATTTTTGTAATATGCAGAATTGCTTATATCTTTTGTATTTATTTATACATATAGATTCCTCCTATTTAGTCATCTAGCAGGTCGTAAAACATAAGCTTAACATGTTTACATAACACTTTTCTTTCCCCGTTCGCTGAAATTCGTACACTATGATTGTGCAGACATATTGTCCGAAAGTTTACATGATAAATATACCGTTTTACGGTTACCCAGAACTTTGTTAAAAGATTATTATATCTTTGTCATGCTATACATACATATGTCGGACTTGAGTATGTTTTACATTATTAATGCATACACTGGCTATTCATTCGGGTTCCATCTTACACAATATACAGATAGTTAACTCACCTCAAAATCCGGACTCCTGGCTAAAAAAATTATTCTGATTTTCGGTCTAGCTACATACGTATGTGTGTAGTTGTTGTATACATTGTCCCGATTGTACTAAAATATCATCTTTGCCAATTTATAATAGCAACTATTTAGTTTGCATTTTCGTGTAGAAGAAATCATGAATTGTTGCGGACAAGACTTACAAACTATAGTGAAAACTATGCAAATCCTCCAAATGGTGAGTTACTTGAAATATTTAGGGAATTATCTGTAATACGTATTACAGGTTTTTATATAATAATCTTTGCTTGGTACACTTATTTAGCTTGGCTATTTCGTCGCAGCTTCATTTTGTTTTGACGTTGGAGTCAATTTTGGTCTCGAACATAGAAGTAATGATCGTATGAACTTGAATTTATAAAAAATAAGATACAAAAATGCCAATTTTAAACGTTACTATTATCTTTGTTTTCAATTTTTCACAGTTATCTTGAATACGGTTGTACTGCTTATGGCGATAAGTTCTACAGTGGGACTCATCACCGCAATTATTTTGTTTATAGGCATGAATCTGGTATGACATTAATCTTTTATGTAGAAATACCATCTCTTGATCAATTTATTTATTTTATAGGAAAAACCTTCCAAATGGAAAACACGGCTAATTTACAATTCAGTCTGGATGGCGTTAATAATTCCCAGTAATGTATTTATTTTAATTGGTAATCCAGATCCATTGGTGCGACTCTACGCGAGTTTGGATTTGGGAATTTTCACGTATTGCATATGCCTTCTTTACGCTTATGCCAAAGAAGTAAGAAAATTGAAAGCAAAAGGAGTGGATATATGTACTGTTCTCGATAAGGCTTAAATAAACAAGGTTGATGCAGATATTTCTTGTCAAGAAAATAAAGTATTAGTTGCAAGATAGTCATGCAACATATACATACATATTTAGCGAACAGTTAGTAGCAAATATAATTCACCAAAAATATTTTTCATATAAATTCTATATTTTGCTAAGAAAATAATTCAAATTTGATTTAGATAAAATTAATTATATACAGAATTTGAAGAGACTAGATATGCTCAAAAACAAGCACAAATTACGCTATTATTTACAATTTATGTAGTTGTTTTTAATATTTATTGAGCATATAATTTTTAGTAGCACACAGATTTTACACAGATTTCTAAATACTTTCTATTTATGTATGTATGAAATTGTGAATGTACAGAACGTATAATTATTACAGTCTAGAGAAGCGTCGTATGCACTTGCATGATCTTAAATTCTAAAAAGTTGAATTATAAGCTACAGGACATATTGCAATCAAACTAAACACCATATTTCCATATCGGGTTTCTCATGTATTTGCATGTGTCTATCATGGACTTATTTCGATGATCAAAATTCTATTTGATGCTCTATAAAATATATCTCCTACTTTTTTTAATTCAAAAATTACTCCATGCTAAGTATTTCAAAAATGTCGCATAATTTTCGTTTTTTAATTATAAGTCTTCGGCATGATAGTATTTCTATTATGGATGAAATGATTAGTTCATTGGTAGGTTTTTGTACACTTCATTTATTTTTAGTATTTCAGTTACTTATTCCCAACTCCCAGAGGAACAAGGAACACAAGGGTTTACTGGCGTTGGAGCTGTTGGACAAAAACATAATTTTTTAAAACTTTTTAAATGAAATTATGACATTTTATTAAATATGTTTGCATTGTTCTATAATTTTACCAGTCCATCCAGCTCTGCTATAATTTCTACCCAATCTTTGATCCCCTCCAGCGTTTGTTCAGTCTGCTCCTTTCGTAATAACGTCAATGATCTTTCAGCGCACGCTTTCAACGCCACAATTCTAAATCTTTCCACCCCTTCGACATTCACTTTCACCCAATTCAGCAAAATTCCACGTACATTTTTATAATCGTCAATAAAATTTGGCCAGTCTGACGTATTGTTTAATCGTTGAGCCATCGAGATTCCGGTAGAATTAATCAAAATCGAGAAATCTTCATCGCTCGTCCGATTATCGCTGACGCAATCGAGCAGCAAATGAATAAAGTTTATCTCTTCACGTGGTTTGTTGTCCTCTAAATTAATTGCTATGAAACCGGGGATGTCTTTTGTGGCGGAGGTGATAAGCGTGGCAGACCCGGCGATTAAAAACTTATTTTTGAGAGGGATGGAAAAACTCTTGACTTTGAAAATGCTCTTCCCCCTCCATAACCCAAAAGGCTTATAAAATATGGCAAATAGTGTATTAAATTTGAATCTTTGTTGCGACTGGCTGAACTGATTATAAAATTTTCCAAAAATTGGAAAGGTTTTGAAAATGTGTGAACCCATTTCGTCTTAAATATTTCTAAGGATTTAGTTGAGAATATAAATTTCACTGTAATTGTCGAGATTAATGCAGAGATTTTCAATACAATGAAGTGAAGTTACATAAACTCTTGTAACGATAACGCTGCTGATAACGTAAAATAATTTACACAAGGTGATGGCATAGAAGACTGTCCACATTAAAGTGATAAACCAGTAGTGAGTACAACATACATAGAAATACATTGGTCTGATCTGCAAAAATCCTGTAATGCATTATTTAAATGTCAACTTCAATAAGTGTGTATCTATCTATTACCAAGGAAAACGTTGAAGCTAATGAAGGTGAATGGGTTATTGGCTTCACGGCAAAAGTTGTCAATATGCAGGGGAGTAATTTGATGCCGCTAAATGTAGCTATTTGGCCATAACTTCATTACATAAACTATTGGTTAAAATTACTGTTATATAATGTATTGGTCTACCTAAATCCACAGATGGAGAGATTTTGTAGTCTTACAAATACATATGCAAAATAAACGGATGAGTACTTAATTTAGTAATCTGGTAGCATTTGATGACTTTATTAATAGTAATACAAATATCATACTCGGATTTTACAAGTATCTACATATGACTTCTTAAATACACTTATGCACATGCTTTATCTAATCACTTTCAGTCAGACTAGAGTTGATCAAAACCATTATTAGCAAGCTAAAGTCTTGTGAATATCACAATTTCTATTTCTCAAATACTTTTTCATCTTGTAAAAAGACGTCTAAAAAATCTTTGTATAAAAATCCCACATCATATGCAAGATGACACAAAGTACTAGAATAAACACAACAATTGTTTTAATACTGCTTTCACTATTACCGACTAATTCATAGTATATTCATTTCGACTCCTTCCTAGCTTCATTTAACCAAGGCTCATGCACATTCGGAAACATCTTCCCCACTTTTTCTCCCTTAATATGGGGGATGTGCAAATATCTTAGCGATTTACACACGGTTTCCCTTCCCTGCAACGCTCCTGGTGTGTCCAACGGTACAAAAGACTGAAAGAACCACTTGTCTTCCTCCCAATCTTGCACTTCTTTTCCCCCACGTAAATTTTGAGTCCAGACCGTTAGCGATACCAATGAGGGAAAGTGGGTCTCGTAATTAATTCCATTTTCAATCCCATTCTCGCTGTGAAATACGAAAGTGAAAGTGGGCATTGGTTCCCGGTTCTGTTGATCGGCTAGGCCTCCTCCAATCCCAATTCTCGACACGGCCACTAAATTGCCAATGCTTCCCCTCCGATAAGCCATGTACTCCCCGACGAGACCAATGCTCAGCTTTTTCAAGCGTGGAAGAGGTGGAAGTCTTATCCGGGCGTGTTTCTTGGGTCGATGCAATCTCAACACGAGAACTTCCAACCGTGTCAAGTGTTTCTTTAATAGTTCATCAATCCCATTGTTTAACACGATCTCCTGCTCGATCGAGGTATTGGTGTGGAGTTCTAATTTCCTCAATTTAAACCCCAACGGCATTGAGAGGACGAGGCAGTAGCAAGGAAGCGATGGATGGTGAAGAGTGAGCGAGTCCAACTTGGATAAATTGAGCCATTCATTTTTCACCTCTTCCATAAATAACTGATCCACTCTTTGTCCCCCGTTCAGATTGAGGCATTTCAGATTTTTCATCCCAAGAACAAATGGTGGGATCCATTCCCTCATGAAAGTTGACGTCGCTTGTTCCGTGTCCTTTTCGTAGTTTATTGTCACCGTAAGCGTGTGCAGGGCAGGGAATGACATCTTCATGTCTGGCGGTGTTGATATGTTTCCCCTCGGTTGGAATTTGCGGATAAAATCGGAACCCAGACTGATTTTTATTTCAAGTTCCTCCAGCCCGGGTTGAGAGGTGGACACTTTGATTAAGACGTTCATGAAGAGGGCGAATGTTGAGGAATAATTGAATGGTCCGAACAAGGTTAGTTTCTTGAGATGGTTGTCGTACTGGGGACACAGGAAGAGATTAATGTCGTGCCAAATGAAAGCGATTCTTGATCCGGTCTGAATAGGAAATAATTCCGGAGCTGCTGGTTTACATGGAAGATTTGCATCCTGGCCAAACATTGATTTCATTTCTTCCTCCACATCGAAAATTGATTCTCCGTCGGAAGTAATAATATCATCTAACCGTTCAAGATTTGGAATGTAGCGATCATGAAACCGAAGCAGTTTAATTTCAACGTTGGGATGGAAGAAATTTTTAAATGAGTTGATTTTTGAAATGGAAGTCAGGCGTGAATTTTTTCTGCAGATCGAATAGTCTGTAAAGTCCAGTTTTAACTTGGATTTCTTCAAAAGGAGGGGAATAGCTTCATAGTTCCAAAATTTGGAGACGAGTCGAACATTCTTTAAATCAGAGGATGGCGACAAGTAATCGAATATCTTGGACAGGATGAGTGGAATTTGGAGTGGAAGGTTAGACGAGATAGACTCGTTGAGAGAAAGTTTGTCCATAATCTGTCAGACAAGTGAAATAAATAACATGTTAGTCATGTATATATGTACATATGTATATAAATCAAGTTGTTGTCAAATGAATGCTTAATGTACATAATCGGACAATCGTATCAATTTTTTTTTACAAATATTACATTTACATAAATATATATTTACGTAAATGTAACATTCTAATTTTAGAATTCCGAGAGCAAGAAGAAACTGTCTCAATTTTTGATACAATGTTTAATTCAATAATACTTGATTTCTTACTTGAATATCTTCACAGTTAGGAGCAGTTTTGTGTAACTGAATGTTTCTCAGAATGGCTACTTATGTATGTAAAAGTTTAATACTTGTTGGGTTAAACTCGAATTTGGTTTTACTACAAGTGACCTTATAATAAATAAATATTGTGTAATTTGACCCGATCTTGACGAACCAGCAATTCACATTTCTTTAATAAATACTTCAAGGGTGGTATTTATATAGTTCAAATTACTCGTTGAATTGTATTGGTGTTAATGTGCTTATGTACATATCAGCTTTTAATTTAAAATATATGAACATAAAATGTGTAGTATATTTAATGCTTCTATTGTTAAAGTTTTATTGATTGATTTTATTTTAACATGTGGCAGTGAATCCTGCTTATAGCCTAGCCTAAAAAGGACTTGAAGTGACTCGGATTTCGCTTGATTTAGATGTGTGTAGGAACCATGTAGGTACAGTATCTAGGAAGGAAGGAAGTATCGTACAAGGTAGGCGGTAGAAAGCACATCAGTACATATTAGTTCACACACCACTGTTTTTTACTTTCTCCATGATATAGGCTTTCTTAGGATTAGTACTATTGCATAATCTTTTCTTCACTTAAAAGCAAAAGCTAAATAAGATATAAATGATATGAATAACAGGGGTTTTCGTAGCCAAACAAGTTAATTGTGATTCCGAGCGGATAAATCTGCATTTACATTCATATGTACATAATTCTTCTATGCTAGCTAAAACGATGAACACGTATTTTTTACCCTGTGGCATGAAAAACATGATATCATCATTTATTGCATGACATGGCATACGAAGGCATCTTTTTAGGAAGATTACTTTTAGTTTGGTACAATTCGATTTTATTTCTCCTTAGATTAGACCCTTTTATTTCTAGATTAAATATCCATATATCAAAATATATACATTGAAAAGGAGATTATTTACAAATCATGCGATAATTTATGTATAGAAGAGCGTGGTTGACATTTCCAAGTAAATGAAAACACTGGAACCATTAAATAATTCGTGTGATTTTTATTAGACGTAAATTTCTTGATAAAGAGATAATCTCGTCGGTACAATCGTTAATAAATACTTCGCTTTTCTAATAATTTGATTGTGACGGAATAAAGCAGTTGATTGATGCATGAATTGCATTAGTTAGGATAAAATTATGTAAAAAAAACACTAAAGAAGCTGGAATAAATACAGTACTTTGCTTTCATTCTCGAGATAAAATTAAACTGCCGTTATTTATTGACCTTGTATAGGCCTTGACACTATTGATACGTTTATGCTCCATTGTAAATAAATATTTTTTACATCAATTAAGTATGTAATCAGGAAAATTAAATCCTCCGCAAATTTTCAGAAACATAAAAACATAGTGATTAGGTACACTACAAATTCAAAAAGGGGTTTGGAAGATTTTATGATATGTCATCAACAGAAGGTCATATAAATATTAGTAGACCACAGGCACCAAATTAGATAAATTTACATCATATTTAAGGATTATGCCAAGCTAACCCATGTACATATATGTATGCATATACAAATATTAAGTCATTTGTCGATACGATATCATATCTTACTTTCCGGTAATATATATCTTATTGGATTAATGCCTTCAAATTTGCGGACTATAAATTGAAATTTCCGAGGACGCAGAATCACTTGATCAGAATACTGAGCTAATTGACAAGTACTAAAGGCCAGCGTTTATGATAAATTCAAAATGAGGAAACTTTTATCATTTTCCCTATGTTTCCTAATTCCGTTTCAATTCCTCGCAGCCAAAAAGACAGTGGCCGCTCCTTCCCTTCTGATATTGATACGTCTTCTAATCTGGAAGTCAAGGTTACTGAAAATAGTTGTATATGGTAACAAATCTCTCATATCTGTATCTTAAATTTTAGCCACTTTCATCAGCCTCGTATGAAGGAGGCGTTAACAGAAGGCGTCCGCACTGGAATTCTGGTATTCTGCGTAAACACATTGTTAATGAAACTAATTATTAAGAACATTTTTGTTTCAGTGATTACACGAAATTGTGCCGAAGTTCTTGTGTATTTTCCTCAAGCTCCCAGTGGAATTTACACAATTCATCCAATTCCAGGAACGCCAGTCGAAGTAATAAATTTAAATAAAATAAGAAGGATGTGATCTACTAAAATTTAGTAGATTAGTAAATTTAGTAAAATTGGTGCAATTTTGTGGGAACATAATATTACTTGCATATGCACATACATATATAATTCTAGTATTTAAATGAGCCGTTGTCGTGAAGGTTTATTGCGACATGGATTATGATGGAGGTGGGTGGACAGTTATTCAGAGGCGTGGTGCACCTTTGGAACGTGGAGTCGTACGACAAGATTTTGCTCAAGGCTGGTCGGCATACGAGAAAGGGTTCGGAAGTGCAGAACAAGATTACTGGATTGGTAAATGGTCCTATTTCTTAGATGGGACAGTTGCACGAAAAAAAACGGTCTTTTGGTGCAATATTATACATTGCAGGCTTAACAAATATTGCTGCTATGACTCGGATGGAAGACTCTGAATTGGTATTCGATTTGGTTGACTGGGACGATGAGGTTAGATTTGCCAGCTACAAAGTGTTCCAGGTATCAAACAGTGCAGATGACTATAGGCTGACCACGGGTGGTTATGTTGGCAATGCTGGTAATGAAATGACTTATGAAAAATATATAAGAAAAGTTAAGAGGTCTTCCATCGGTCAAATTTATATTTTTCCCTCATATGACATGACAGGAGATGGCTTTTTCGCACAGAATAACGCCACATTTAGCACCAAGGATAACGACAAAACTCTCAATGTCGGCAATTGTGCTTCGTTATATCCTGGTGGTTGGTGGTTCACAAAGTGTCATTCGGTAAATATTTTTTTAATCATGATTAAATAATGTAAAATATTTATGTGAAAGTCGCGTACTGAGTTAATCAGCCCTATACTTGGTGGTGATATCCATGAAAATTCACACGTATTTAGAATAAAAATGGATATGTATATATTTTTTAGTCGAACATTAATGGAAACTATGCTGCTGAAGGGTCAAATGGCGTCGCAGAATATGCCCAAGGGATTACGTGGTCTAGATGGAAGGGCTACTATCACTCTCTAAAGCAGGCACAAATGCAAATTCGAAGCAAATCTTACAAACCATTTTGGTAAAATAAAGTACTGTATGCATAATAAATTAAAGCATATGATGTATTTTAATTAGAATTAATTATAATTCCTTTGAAAAATGTACTTATATTTTCAAAAGTTAAAAGTTTCATGGTATTTAGATTTAGTAATCTATTTAAACGAATAAACGGGCGTGAAAAATATATTGTCGCATGATGATATTTGAATGGATTGTCAATCTGCATATTTAAGTGTATGGTCAATGGTCACATTTTCTTACTAAAAAATTGCCATAGTCTGGACTGTGCAATTTAGTATTTAATGTACAGGGTGGTTAAAATGTCACGCTACAATGGAAAATTTTTCGATGGGAAAAATTTATAAATTTCCATTAGTTACCGAAATTTTGTCTCTAAAATTCAATGTTTTAAGAATTTTGTCATCAGTTTTCCATCAGTTTTAATAATAATTATAAAAATCTTAATCCAAAATCTTGTAACTAATGGGGATTTAGAGATTTTTCCCATTGAAAAATTTTCCATTGTTGCGTGACATTTAAACCACCCTGTATTTCATATGTATGTGTCTACATATTCCCAACAAAGAAAGTTTTGACTACAAATGACGTTAATTTAGTTCCATTGATGTGAAAGCATGTTCAGCAGATTTTATTGTACCACACGTGGCCTTTGACCTTCTTTACACTATGCTACTGAACAACTTAACTTACTTTTATGCTACAAATATCTTACTCAAAAGTATTTGGAATAATTGTAAAGCCACAGTTGACAAAATAAGCATGTAAACCACAATGAATTAGCGATACAATACAAATATACAATAAAATTTCTTGTGAAAAATACATGAGTTATATAACAAAGGCCTTTTGTACTTCAATAATAAAATAGTTCAAAAAGCAAATTTGTCTTGGGGACTCTGTCTCGACCGAAACTTCGCAAGGACCGATTTACTTAAATACTTATTTCCATATAACACATTTTTCACTACCATTCAAGTAAATTTTATGTAGAAAAATATATCATGGACAACAATGTAAACTATTCATTCTAACACCATGAAATACACAGAACAATACATATATATATGTACATATGTATATATTACTATATACATTTATTATTCTTTCATGAAAATTGTACCTCCTTCATTTTATATCTTTGTGTATATATATATCAGTGTATTTACATATGTACATAGAAATGCAGAGATGTATATGTATCGCATTTGTTTTAAATTTCAATGAACAGTTCCATCCATACTTCAAGAAATTTCAATATCACCTACATACACCCTATGGATTATAATTTTATACGCATTTGACTACAAAACGATTTTCCACAAAATGAACTTAACGTCGTCCCCCACACCCACTGATAACTGTTTTCTTGTTCCAAAATTAATTTTTGGAAATACAGTCATGCAACACCCTTCAGTAGACGTGTATCTGCACCAAACTAAAAGCATTATTCTCGATTTCTACAATATGTTTGAGAATGACGTCGAACGCGTCGTGAATGTGAAAAATCGACACGAAATGATCGTTAAAGTGCTAATAGAACATTTAAATCTGAGCTTGACGGTCTGCGGAGATTCTCAGTATCCGCCTCCACCACTTCGACACATTGATTTTGCCCTCACAAGATATGATCAGCAAAAGGAAAAACTGGGCAACGCTACCCTCTTTCACTCGAGAGAATTTTATCAAGTTACGTTCGCCGCAGTGAAAACTATCGATGTTTCAGTATTATTCGCCTCCTTGATACGTCCAATAGGATGGAGCGTGTTCTTATCCAGTATCGGTCTCCTATTAGTGCTATCTTTGTTTATTTCCGTCTATTACAAATTACGGGGCTCAAAAATCATCACCCAATTTCTTACCGTGACATATTTTCTGCTGCGGGCACACATTGACCAATGCGCCAACCGCAGGAGGACCACTACGCTGTTGAATCATCATTTTGACCTAAAATTGATTTATGGAACTTATCTGTTCTATTGCATTCTCATAATTGCAACATACAAGAGTAATCTTGTTCAGGAATTGATGCAACCAAGTGCAACTATTAGTGCAAACACATTTGAAGAACTTGTGTTAGATAATAAACCTTTAATAAGCTTAGGATTTGACAGGGGTGGACAGGCAACAGATTTAAAAGAATTTATGACCATGGAAGCTACACGAAATCCAGTGTTTGTCAAACTCGTAAAAAAACGTACACGAGGAGCTGAACATTTGGACCCAGTGTTCATAATTAAAGGAAAAGTAAATATAATCGATGATGGCACCGTGCTAACTGCGTTAATAACCATGTTGGAAAGAAAGTTTCAAATCACACATTTCCGAATGGGGAAAAGTGTAGTGGTAAATCCTGAATTTTGGGGAATAAAAAGAAGTCGGCATGAAGACGGAGTTGTGAAAACCTTGAGGCAATTGGCAAGTTCTGGAGTTCTGGATCATTTTAAGTACGTATTTAATATTTATTTACAGATACATAATTAAATGATAATGCCACACTAAGTATTAGACGATTAAATCTGCATTGCTTGATTGTTATGTTGACAGAGCGCAACAAGCCCAAATTGATCAAGTCGTCGCCCACAAGATGGTACGAGTTTACCTCTCCGGATTATTTCAGAAGGACGATGATGCCGAGGAAGACACTGATTCTGATGAAAGCAAAACGCAAAGTTTTATTGAAGTGTATAACACAATGTTGGATAAGTTGAAATCTATTGGATTGGAAACGTCAAAAGGAGCAGAACCAATTCGACTCAACAATTTTCTCGTCCTTTGGATTCTACTTGGCGTTGGTTTCATATCTGCGTGGACTTCGTTTGCAGTAGAGATTTTAGTCAAAGCCAGAGGAAAATGTACATTTTGTAAATTTTGTAGAAAAAACATGAAACATGGTAGAACTGCATATATAATTGTGCAAAGTAAACAGAATGACGAGGGTTAGCGAGAGAATGTGCAAAGTGCTGGATTGGCATGCAAGCGTATAAAGTATAGCGTTTTGTTACTAATTTTTTATAAGAGAATTATCATTATGGCCAAAGCATTGAGTTTTGTAAAGGTCGGAAAGTTGTAAATACAAAATGCAGCTGGAAACCGAACGTTTAATTTGTATTCTGTACATATATGCAAAAAGAGTCAGACACTGTCAGACATACATACTCAGACGCGATAAAAAATTGATTCAGTTGCAGTACAAGCGTTGGACGCAAAGCATATTATGTGCAACATTTTTATTTGGAAACACATTCATTTCCACGATGACTTTCTTGATTGTAATTTCAACCTTAGTTGTGGTTTTGGCAATAATAATTTATCGCAAGTGGCTCTATAACAAAATCGGGTCGGATAATCGGAAGAGGTACAGAACAGTTTTATACATATTTCAAAAATCATGCTTTTTATTGATAAAACACTGTATTTGGTATCATTTCATTTATATTTTAGAAAATTTTACGTAAATGTGAAATATTAAATTATCAATTTCAGATATTTTGCAGAAATTTTTAAAGAATTCCCCGAATTTTACAATTCCAAGACGGGACATATGAAGCAAAAACTTTTTGAATCTTTGATAAACACAAACAAGGACATTAACATTTTGGAAATTGGAATTGCCTCAGGTAAATTTTTTAAACGTCATAATATGTATAAGTGAGGAATTGATTTACGTGATCCACTTTCTGAATGTGTGATTATTAATAGGTGGAAACTTTGACTTTTACCCAAAATCAAAATGCCACCTTTTCGCAAATGAACCGAACCAATATTTCCATCAAATTTTGTCGGACAATGTCGCCAAAGTAAGTTTTCTAGCTTATTACATAAGTAGTAAAAATACTATACTTATAACATTTTTCCAGTATCCACAAATAACCCTGAGCCGAATTTCATCCTCCTCTGCCGAAAATTTACAAGACATCGAAGATGCTACGGTGGACGTTGTCATAAGCACAATTGTTTTATGTAGCGTTCCCAACGTTGCAAAAACATTGGACGCAATTCTTCGTGTTTTGAAGCCGGGTGGAAAATTCTACTATATGGAGCATGAACTGGACCCTAAATTTACTTGGTGGAGAACGCTTCAACAATTAATTGACCTTTCCGGGATTTGGCCCTTTCTGGTTGATGGTTGTCACGCCTCACGAACTACGGGAAATCTGATAAACAATTCCGGCTTGTTATCCGTGAACCAGGACAGGTTTGACCTTGATCCGGTGGGGTTTTGGGGACTATATATAATTAAGCCGCACGTTTATGGGGTGGCTATGAAGCGGGCGACGAGCAGTGGCCAATCTTAATTGTTTTGGCTATGCACTTTACAATCCAGTTGAACAAAATGTGATTGCCTAACGACAGATGTATTATTAACGGACTGCACAAATATCATAAATATCAATTTTTGTCATTTTTCGGGATTTTCGTTTTTGATTCCTAAATATCATAAACTTCTAGATTGCATAAAACTTTTGTGATTATTCGTACATATGTAATGTACTTCGTAAAATAGCTTTAACTTTGTCATTAACCAATCCATATAAATTGACCAACTTTAGTAAACACACTATCTTTATTTCAACCACTTTCCGGGGACTGAAAAGGTAAAATTGACTTATCATTATGATTAAGAATATACCAATGCGAATGGAAAAACTTGTGATCTTTTCTCCCGTTAACTTTTGCCTCTTAAAACTAGTTTAACGGTTTACTAATTTAAATCGGATTTAATAAATTATCATATTATCATGCATTTTATATTAGTGGCTGATGAATACTGTATCAACACATCTAATAAACTTAAAAACATCTCTAATCCTAAAACTAAAAATAATACTGGAAATAAATCTATTGCCTTTCACACAAAGTTACGAATTTCAAAAAGTTTGTTGAGAACTGCAGTTATTTTCTGAGCTTCAGAAATTTTTGAAAAACACAAATTCTGCATAAAATTAATAGTGTTCGAGTCTTGTACGGTATTTACCTACTCTAAAATTGTTACAATTTCTGAGATTGTATGCAACTTCCACTTTTTAAATTTTTTATATGGCGTCATACTACATGGATGGGATCCGGACAAAATGAATATAAAATGAATGTGGATAGGACGAAATGTGGGTGGAAAAATGTGGATGACCATAAATATGGAAAGGTCAAAACGTGGATGCCTTGAATGTGGAAAACTGGTTATAGGGATTATGATATTCTTGTACTGGCCCTTCTAATCCTAATTTAATTTGTCCCTATGCACAGTGCAAACTATAAAAATTTCAGGACCACGCCCCCTGAGGGCTAACTCCTCAAACAGGGGGTGTCATCGGTAAAAATTTTTGACGTATTTGTTGAGTCCCCCTGATTATAAATATGCATATACTGTTCAGGTTACACCCCCATGGACTTTTGGGACGTGCCCTGGTATTATATTATACTGTTTCATGTCTGTTCTAGAACCTTGGAAGTTCTCATTACAATTTGAGACCTAAACCCGCACACATTGTCCAAAAATGTCGCAAAGTGTCTCAGTTTCGGTGTTACACCGAAAAATAAGCCTCGTCTTCCGTATAAAAATTACGCATAAAGATTATGTAATTCCTATTTAAAATCTGCTGCGGAGTATGTAAGCAACTTTCTACATAAACTATACTTCTAGACTACCATTTACAGTGTAAATTTTACACCGAATTTTAGGACGGAGATGGGAAATTTTGGGTCCGATTGAAGTCGGTAATCCGGCTCTCAGAAATCTCAGAAATCTAATGATAGCTCCATGTAAAACTGTTGCACCAGTCAAAGCTATATTTTTAATTTATCTAAAGAATTAAATTTTCCACGTTTTTTTTCATCCACATTATATTGCTATCCATATTTCTGTCATCCACATATTTTTCAGCCATATTTCAGAGGTGATATTCCGTCCTCTCCACATTTCGTCCCTAACCCTACATGGATATGCATATATGTATGACACTTGCATGAACTCCTTTTAATCTCATTGCAATGCATTGCTGATTTGGCCATACACTTCATTTTATTAGAGATTTTAATCAAAGCCAGAAAAAATATAAATTTTGCAGAAAAAGCATTAAACTGCATTTGTACATAATTCTGCAACCTAAAATTAGTAACGAGAATATCACGGGAATAAAGTGCATACTTAATTGGCATGCATGCATAAAGTACCTATTTTGGCACTAATTTTTTCATGAGCATGGTCATTATCACCAAAAAGCATTGAGTTTTGCATTCGTATGTAAAGATCTCAAAGTTACAAATACAAAATTCAGCTGGACTTGTGACCTTGAAAATATTTGATCTTATCCTTTGCATACATCCAAATGTGAATATACTCATTCACGATATATACTTCTCTAGTATCGGTTGGAAACATAATTAAATTGATACATGTCACTTTTCATTTTGAAACTCAATCATTTCCACGATGTCTGTGTTGTTAGTAGTTTCAGCTCTAATTGTGGTATTGGCTATAGTTTATCAGAAATGGCTCTACAAATATATCGGGTCGGATAATCGGAAGAAGTACAATTTCATTGATTTTCACTACGTATTTCATAGATTATACTAATAATAAGAGCTCATATGTATGTAGTATATGTAGATATTATATTAAACACTGTTGGATATTTTACCTCTCCAATTACAGATATTTTGCAGAACTTTTGAAAGACTTTCCCAAACTTTACAACCCAAAAACTAAACCTATGAAGCAAAAACTTTTTGAATCTTTGATAAAGACAAAGGAGGAAATTTGCGTATTAGAAATTGGAATTGGCTCGGGTAAATTGTTTAAACGTTATAATTTAGTAATTAAATAATATTATTCATTTTTTGTCTTTCCTTAGGTGGAAACTTTGATTTTTACCCAGAATCAAAATGTCGCCTAATCGCAAATGAACCGAACCAATATTTCCATCAAATTTTGTCGGACAATGTCGCTAAAGTAACCTTTCTAGTTTATTACATGTAATCAGAGACTGGCGGATTAAAGATATCGGGATTAAGGATTGAGATTGAGGATTAAATTTTAAAATCTTGGGATTGAGATTGAGGATTAAGGATTAATTTTAAAATTGTGGGATTAAGGATTGGGATTAGGGATTGAATTCAATCTGGGATTGGGATTAATTCGGGATTAAATTTTGGCTATTTTTCTGGGATTGGGAATAAATTTAGTCCTCGATTAATTGTTTGCATTAAATTTCATTATGCCAGATTTTTAAATTAATTAAATGAATCTGAACTTCGGAACAAGAAATATTTTGAACATTTCACATGCAAAATTAGATCGTTTAGGAATAAAATTTTTAAATGGCAATTGAATATTTTTTGCACTAAAAATTATATACGGGAAAAATGCTAAATTTACTCTAGGTACTATTTTTAACGGAAAACTTTGACCAGAATTTGAGCAGAGCACTCACATTGCTCACACCAATGTTGAAAATTGTTCATTGAGGACACCACGTTATGAGTAGTTTTGCAAAATGATGTGCAGTATTTTTAAATATGTGATAAAAATGAACGAAATGCAATCAATTCTTGAAAAGGGAGCGATCTTAAGAGAAGTTAGCTTTTAGATTTTTCATTCATTGCAAATTTAATCCCATTTTAATCCCATTCTAATCCCACTTTAGGATTAAACTTGGCATAGAGGGATTGGGGATTAGGGATTAAGGATTAAAATTCTAGAACTTGGGATTAAAGATTGAGATTGAGGATTAATTAATCCCCAATCCTAATCTCAATCCCCAATCCTTAATCCGGGATTGACCAGTCTCTGCATGTAATAAATGTGCTGTACTTGTAACATTTTTCCAGTATCCACAAATAATCCTGAGCCGAATTTCATCCTCGTCTGCCGATAATTTACAAGACATAGGAGACGCTACGATAGACGCTGTAATTAGTACAGTTGTTTTATGTAGCGTTCCCAACGTTGCAAATACATTGGACGCAATCCTCCGTGTTTTGAAGCCGGGTGGGAAATTCTACTATATGGAACACGAATTGGACCCTAAATTTACTTGGTGGAGAAAGCTTCAAGAAATGATTGACTTTTTCGGGATTTGGACGTTTTTGTTCGATGGTTGTCACGCCTCCCGCACTACAGGAAATCTGATCAAGGATTCCGGCTTGTTGTCTGTGGACCAGGATAGATTTTACCTTAACCCCGTTGGGTTTTGGGGGCTTTATATAATTAAACCGCACGTTTATGGGGTAGCTATGAAGACAGCGATAAAGAGTGAAAAAAGCTTGGACTTGTAGTCAGTCAGTAATGCATTACTGACTGTTATAATGGTATTGTAATATTATACACATCTTACTTTTATGTACATATGTACAGTGCCGTTGGAAAGCAAAATGTGATTCTAACGAAAGTACATTATACCTATTTAAACAATATTATATTATTAATGGATTGGAAAAATAAAATTGTCAATAAAAGCTTCACAAACACAATATCAATTTTCATTCACTTTCAAGGTGTAAGAAAGAAAGTCTCAATACGTCTCAATTTGCCTAAATGAAAGGCTCGTCTCATTTACGTGCACATGTGTGTACTCATTTACTCATTTAGTTTTATCGCATTTCATTCATTCACATGCAACAAGCATGCTGTCAAATCAACTGTTTCATGTTTATATTGACAACGTATTTAACAAACTTGGATTTAAAATTTTCTGGGTAATGGCACACCAGCAAAGGAAAACCTCCATTAATTAAGCATTCTAAAGTTCAAGGTTTGACAAGTATATTTTGCATTTTACGTTTAATGTCTACTAATGAATTTCACTGTTTAAAGTTTAAACAGTTTAAACTTTAAACTATTATTATTATAGAAATACTCAAAATGGAGTGCTGCCTTATATGTGGGGTTGATCAAACTGCCACACCCACCACGATTTCGGGAGAGACGCTTGGATATCTCTGTGACAAATTGAAGTTATCTTATCCGCTGGGTTGTCAAACGCCAAATCTCTGTGCACAGTGTGCCCATTTGTGGGAGGATTTATGCCCCCTATACTCTCACATGCAAGGTCTTATCAGCTTGGTGGATAAGAAAGTTGAGCAATTCCGTGAGCGCAACGATATCAGGAAACAAAATGGTAGGTCTTACTTGTTCTCATATTAAATGATCAGAACACAGGATAAAAATAATCAGAAATTCGAAATAAACTGTTTGTCCACTTGCACTAATTTAAAATTATTTCAGATCAGTTAAGGAAGAAACTGAAAGAGTCAGAATCTACTTTACGTGATTTTGTTCGAGTGAAGATTCTGAAAGAAGAACCAATCGAAATTGTGGGTACAGATGAAGAGACGGATGAAACTTTTGCTCAAGTTAAGTCGGATGACAATGCTTGTTGTATTATTGATGGTTCCGAATCCGAAGGCGACGATGGGGACCAAGATACTAGTCCAGATTTTTTTCAATCAATCTTATCACCAACTGAAAATGAGTAAGTATGAAAACTTTTAAAAACAAACCTTGCACTTCAAAAACGGTTTAGTTTTTATGTCGATTTTTACAGGATTTCAAGCCCCTCGCCTTCCCCCATTGAACAAAGTAAGGAACAAGAACAAAAGGCAAACGACTCTATTCGTAGGACTAAAAGGAAGGTTAATAATAGCGACGCTAGGGGATGCTTAGCTCCATCCAACAAGCGACAGCGTCGTGAAGATTTCAAACTTCCAGTGGGAGAAACATTTCCAAGTATACATGTTGCACAAGCCTTTATTTCATTGACAAAAGGGTGGAGGTAACAAATTGAAATTAAATTATCGTATGTAATAACAAATAAGTGTATTATCAATTAATCAAACTGTGATTATGTCAGTCCGAACAAGGGTTGGACGGATGCAGAGGGAAAGAAGTTTGACTATTGTTGCAAATATTACTGGTGTGGTGCTTGCTTGCAAATTGTTGCCCCCGTCAACTCAAAAAAGTGTCATCTGGAACATATAGGAACGGATCATGACCATTCTGCTAATGTTAAGAGACCAACCTACGGAATCCCTTCCGTAATCAAGGAGCAAATTATTAAACTGGTTGAACAAGGAATAAAAGAACACAAAGTAATTATTGAAATACTTTCAAATACTGGATATCAACCTCCACCTCAAACGATTTTGGTCAGCTATCTCGGTATTCTTTGGAAGCAAACATGGGGAAAGGAAAAAGAGTCACGACGAAAGTTGAGCAAATCGACATTACCAGCAGTTTAGGGTTGACCTGAATTTTTGAATAAGTCTGATATGAACTTACTTTTAGGCTTTCCCACGGGACGGGACGGTACGGGATTTCGATGTCCCGTCCCGTCCCGAAGATTAACCGGGACGAGACTTTCGGGACGGGACGGGATGGAGGTCATCCCGTCCCGAGTCCCGTCCCGACGGGACGGGACGGGATATCCCGAGGTTTTTTTATTTAAATTGAAATTCAGCTCTTTATAAATGTGAACAAGCTTGGCTGTAAGTATGGGTTGCTGCTTTATTTTCTAACTACATAAATCACACAAGATATGTTGGCACTCCCACCGACCGGTCAAATCTCAATAATTTCAGTGTTAGTTTTGATTATTAAGTAGCAATAGCTACTTATTGTGATCACTTTGTATTGTGCTTCGAATTTTTAGTTCTCGGTCGAGTTCGATAATGGAGTCAATCGGACCACCCCCCACAGCGCCAAGGGGTGTGGTCCAAAATTAAATTCACGTTAATTTTCATATGTGGTGTCATTTTAAAGGAAATTTGACCCCGATTTCAATAACGTTAATATTTTTGACGTTATGACCAAGAGGAGGAGGTCAGAGGTCAAAAATATATCATTTTCAGATATGATGTAATTTTTAAGGAAATTTCGATCGTTCTGACGCTATTTTTTATATTCGTTTGTAAGGGTTTATTTATAGTTTAAAGTTGAGAAATCGTCTTCATTTCGACCTATATAATATTACATATAACCTGCGTATCAAAATACATAACTATTGTTTGTTTAATCTTAAAATGTAAATTTGTTGATTTTTTGTGGTGAAAATAATTTTTAGGTGATATGTAAATACGAATTACTTATTAAGAAATATAAAAACAACAAACACCAAAATTCAACTAACCGTGTCAAATTTTTAAACTGTTGGGCATGATATGAAAAACTGGCTCAAGGTAAAATGTCAGACATGTGTATGTAACTATATGCATATGCATATGCTTAAAATACAAAATTATAGTATGTAGGGTCAAAGCATGCGAAAGATTTCCATACGATATGGTTAGTTTTGTCAATAAAGGGAGTGAATTTTGAGAAAAACATTGAAGTTCACGTCCCGTCCCGACCGGGATTGACCGGGGCGGGATGACCTCGTCCCGTCCCGAAGCCTGTCCCGTCCCGAGATTCTTCGGGACGAAAAATCTTGTCCCGTCCCGAGTCCCGTCCCGTGTCCCGACGGGACGGGACGGGATTATCCCGTCCCGTGGGAAAGCCTACTTACTTTGTAATACTTATTAGTTTTTAAATTCAAGCTATTTTTAAACTTAATGTCTTTCCATGTCGAAATTGGTCGTGTCGTAAATTACGATTCATAATATTGAATATTACTTTATTATTAGGTGGATAGTTTTACTGGGTAAAAAGGCAAATGTGTGGCTATTATAATATTACTGACAAACAACTTGTTAATAATTTCGGCATATACATAAATATGTATGTCATTTAAAAACAATGATAAATGTTTTCATACAAATAACTCCGCGATATTATTACTAATCTGAAGTACATGCATGCATTTCTCTAAATCCCCATTCACTTCCGTGGTGATTTAACCGGCTGACAAAAACCCGCAGCAAACACCGAATTGACACGCTAAAATATAAAGCATCATAAATAAACACAGAATTTGTGTATAAAAATAATTAAGTTCTTTATTTTTTAGCTACCACATTCGTTGATCATGGGTATTGACTCGAAATCGAGGGAAGACCGCAGTTCGTCCGAAGAACGTGTGGGGATGAGAATGGTCGATGGAATATGTCGCAAATTCCGCGTATCCAAAGTATTTCGAGAAAATACTGACCGCATCAACTCAATGTGTTTCGCCCCCGGTGGTGACCTACTAATCAGTTCCGCGGAGGATGACCAAATCGTTATTTACGATTGTGAAAAGGGAACGTGAGTTGTGACATTTTAAAGAATACATTTAAATCGTTTATTTTATTAATATTTACATAATTTATTTCTAGGCAAAAACGTGTCCTCAACTCAAAAAAGTATGGCGTTGACCTCATTCACTTTACTCACGCCAAGAACACGGCGATCCATTCGTCGACAAAGATTGACGACACGATTCGATACCTATCCCTACATGATAACAAATATCTACGCTACTTTCCTGGACATACCAAAAAAGTTACAACATTATGCATGTCGCCCATGGACGACACATTTTTGAGTGGATCTCTCGACAAGACGTTGCGACTTTGGGATCTACGATCACCCAATTGCCAAGGATTGATGCATCTGTTGGGGAAACCGGTGGCCGCATTTGACCCTGAAGGACTCATCTTTGCTGCCGGAGTTAACAACGAGAGTGTCAAATTGTATGACTTACGTTCATTTGAAAAGGTACTAACATAATTATATGGGTCGATTAATTAATTCTCATCACATAATTATGTCATAATGATTGTATCAGGGTCCATTTTCAACATTCAAATTCGCCTATGAAAAAGATAACGAGTGGGCATCGCTTAAATTCTCACCGGATGGAAAGACGATAATGATTTGCAGTTATGGATCTATAATACGATTAGGTAAGAGGAACTGTTATCAATTAATTATTGACATTTTATTCCGAATCAAATTATTCCGAATTCCTTTATGGATCTAGTTGACTCATTTCATGGAACACCCCTCCAAACGTTTACTGGATTCGTAAATAACAAGAATTTACATATTGAAGCCACATTCAGTCCAGATTCACAGTTCGTCTTTTCTGGAAGTTCGGATGGGTTGATTCATGTATGGAATGCAGAACATGGACATAAGGTAACATTGAAAAAATAATACAAGTAACACATGTTTAAGCAAATGAGATGGAGACTGTTGGAGTAGTTCTGTAAGATAAGAGAATAATGAAGAGGAGATAAGAGCGTTGAGATAGTTGAGATTGAGACGGGACAAAGAATGCAAGAATTGATAAAATTATCATTGAATTGATAATGACAAGAAATGAATATCGGACACAACAAAACTTGTTTCTATTCTTTATTCATCCACTTTTTCCCAGTCGCTTAGCAGAAGTACTTCACAAAGGTGCGAGTGAATTGTTGTCGCCCTAACGATGACGGCTCTAATTCCGTCTAATCTTACCCAAGTATTAAGTTTTCCGACCTCCCACTCTTACAATAATTTCTGCTGGCTTTGTCACACCCCTTTTGGAGTCGTTGGGTTGAAATTCAAACACCACCTGTTAACCGCTACTCCGGGCCTATTCGAATTCTCCTGTTATCTACAATCACTTCGTTCTCCAAACACGATCCCTTTTGTTGACCGAAATGAGACTGTGTGTGGACCTTGTCACAAATCTCTGCTGAAGTCCTTGAATGAACGTGGAATCCCACGCCGTGTGCAAAGCCAAATCAGAATGAATAAACAATCCGTTCAAATCGCACAGCAAAATGTTTCGAAAGAGGAGAACATGACAAGGATGAATTTTCATTCTGGTTTCATTTTTAATCAGGTAAGCAAGTCGTGATTCTTGACCGACTTCCATTAGATTTCAAATGCAATAATTTGTCACGTATAATGTATTAAAAATCTTTCTAGGATCATATCATGAGGATGACGAATCACATTCCATTTCTACCACCACCACCACTGTTTGAAAGCTTTCCTCAACCAGTACAACCACCCAAACTTTCCTACTACACCCCCACAAATTCTGTCTCCTCGCGTAATGCCATGTCGTCCCTATTACCTCCTGATACTGTCATCTCGATTGGAAATGTGGGACGCGCATCGCTGGAAGCTGTCAGAAATCATATTCCGCCCGAGAAATTCTCACATATTTTTTCATCCATGCGGGTCCCTCAAGCTGTGCCTAATCTGAAGCAAAATCAAGCTAGACCAGCACCACCCAGAGTATTCAATATGTCTGCCGATTGCGTTCCAGCAATCTCCCCTAGCATTTCTATATCCCAGCTTCAGTCACCCGATCTCCCAGACTACTCTTCAAATTTCCACCCTAACCAAAACTTCAACATTTACGACACCTTCTCATTCTAACCTAGACAATATATACATATGTACAATATAGTGTGTTATTCAATTTTCATATTTAGCTCAATTAATTTGATTTTAATGTCTCCAAGTAATTTATAAAACTAAATTAATTTGATTTCTTTATTTCCAGGTATGCGTTCTCAACGGCGATCATACCGGTCCTGTACAGTGTGTTCAATTCAACCCTAAATATATGATGATGGCGACGGCCTGTACAAACATGGTGAGTCGTGTTTCCCATTGCTACAATTATAAATGAATTCAATATGCTCATCATAATTTTTTCTTTCAAAACAGTCCTTTTGGATCCCCCTCATTGAGGAATGATCAAAGTCAACCCAGTCATACTATCATCATCATCTCATAAATATTAGAGTGACGAAATTCTGGACCTATATCTGATTCTAACCACTTTTCGACACACTGACAGAATTATAATTACAGTTTACATATTACCTAGATAAAGTTTAATTTGACTAATTTATCATTGATTAAATAATTACTAGTTTTATACATATTGCCTACATAAATATATACACACATTACAGTAGCTTGTCATACACATAATTTGATCCATATATGTCTATTTTCTGTTATATTTAATAAATTGTCAAATGATTTCAGAATGTCTACTCTGCTACCAGTGGCGGCGGAAGCAGGGGTGCATTGTCCCCCCAGAAATTCACGAAAATCCTATCTTCCTATTTCACAATGCTAATGTTCCCATATTCCCCCACCTTCCGCCGCCACTGTCTGCTACATATTTATATTTATTTGATATAGTGAAAGTTTTTCTTTCATTATTTGAGATTTACTAAAATATGTTACTAATTAGTAATTGGCATATACTTCTAAACACTGGACATCAGAAAGTAGTTGTACCCGTCTTTCAGTGGGTATTCAATATTCATATGAAATTTTCTGTGTCGGTAAGTATGTACAGGTCAACGAGATAGATATATTATTAAGTACAGATCCATGCATGGAACGTTCAACGTTAGGTTAATATTAGCTAATATTAGCAATACCACTTTTTACCCAGCAGCCACACTGTATATAGCAAATTGCATCAGGTTCTGATATGCTAAAAGTTACTCATCCTCATCTCAAGCACATGCTTGTACATACATATTTATTTATATTTCCATGATTCAGCTGTCCTGTGCTTCAAATTACACAAAACATTTAGATTACAAAGTGATATTCCTGTTCTTTATTTTATCTTTGCGGTTGTAATGTTAAGCTTGAGACTAATAAGATTACATAGAAAACAAATACCAAGGAATTGCATAGGCATATTAACACAAACAACGATAGATATCGAGATATTATTTCCAATCAGAAGGTCATATTTCCGATGGATTCCCACATCAGACAAAGAATTTGCAGAATCAGAGAGGAAGCTGCTAACATGTAAAAACATAATTGCATGCAAAATTTGAATACTTTGTGCTTTGAATATAGCTAAGTAATTTCTATGATTATACACAATATGCACATAGAGCGGGTCTTATATATACCCGATCACTTGCAACTTCGGCCTGAAAATTGTCAAAAATGAGTTCTGAAATCTCAAATTTCTGTAGAATACTAAAAATATATCTAGCCCAACATATCCAGGAACAAATAGGGCTTTAATCCATTATCCACTTTGCATTTAACTTTTTTCTTCACACCCGCCGTTATTGATTTTTTGGAAGACTTTGGAACTTCATTGTCAATTTTCTGCAACCGGAACCAAAATTTTCTAAAAGTATCGACTGTTTCCCAAAGCTGGAAGTATTCCTTCTGACACATAGGTCAAATTTTTTTATTGAGCAAAGATGAGGGATGTATGTAGGGTTTCCATTTTTCGACGTCAAACTGAATTTTTTTTCGAATTCTTGCTTGATGGTTGTTGGAATGTGGAATGGTCCAAGGTCGATCCAAAAATTGCATTTTCTATTTTATAATACTCCTTGATGAAAGGAATCAGACGGTCTATCCCCCATTCCCGAAATCAAACTTGTGCTTCCTCACAGCCCTTTTGAACTGAAGGGTCCGCAACGTGCCCAAATTGCCCGAACGCCAACCAAACCTGAAGTTTTTTGAGAAATTTCGAAAAACATTTGAATTTCTCTACGGGTTTCAGCTGAGAGATATATTTCCCATGAAAAAATTATCTTCCCGGAGTTTCTGTTACGTTTTTAAGAAAGTAGGACTCGTCGTCAGTGACCAACTTTTTTGGTGAGATTTTGTTGTAAAGTTTGGGAGGTCGTGCGATTACTATTTTTTCTTCAGTCCCCCTTTGTTTTGCTGGACATTTCTTTGCATACACTTTGACACCCATTTTATAGGCCTTAATATGATACAAGTGGTTTGTATTAATATTTGACTTCATGGCCGCATCAGGCACCGACGTGGATGGAGAATTTTCTTAAACAAATTTTTCGTTTTTCATTCTCTGAAGAGTCGAAATGATGGTTTTTTCTTATCCTGCGTATTTGGGGTTGACATTTTCGGATTCTCCATACTTTTTTATGTATGTCTTAATTTTTGCACGGCCACATCCCTCTCAGTTAAAATGTAGTCAGGCCTTCAACGAGTCAACGTCGAGCAAAGTTTGGGACTTACAAAAACTTATTTCCCGACTTAGTAGTTTTGAAATGGTATAGGAAATTTTTCTTTCGAGGAAAACTTATGAAATTTTAGGGACACGTAGCCAGATATATTTACCTTATTCCACAATAATTTCAGATTTCAAAACTTGTTTTTGACCATTTTGATACCGAAATTGCAAGTGATCGGGTATATATAAGACCCGCTCTATTTACATAGGTTTGAAGTCACCATACGAAACTTGCTTCGTGGACGCTGGAGAAGTTTCGGAATTTCAAAACCTAACCAAACTGACGAATATAAAGATTCAGACCCTGGCAGTAAACAAATTGCGACAAGGAACTCCACTCGTACTCTTGCATGGAATGGGTCTAGGACTTGGCTCGTTGTTATCTATGATTAACGCCGTCTCAAGTCAGTATCAAGGACCAATTTATGCCTTAGATTTGCCTGGTAAACGTTTATAACCGTTTCTGATCAAACTATTTTGTAATCATGCACTATATTTGTTTCTTCGTATGAAACGCTCGTATTACTATGTCTTCATACATATGTGAAAAAATATTTGTGCTAAGGTTTTGGCCGCAGTACACGCTTAAACTTTCCAACCGATCCTAAACAAGCAGAGGAGACGTATATTAAATTGTTGGAGGGGTGGCGACGTGCCCTTCATCTGACAAGAGTATCTATTGTGGGGTACAGTTTAGGGGGCTTCTTAGCTACATCATATGCTCTCAAATATTCTGACAGGTACCCGTATGCAATTTTATTACATAAATAGTTTGTGTTTGAATGCAATAGTTTTTATTATTCACTGTCCTATATTTCAGAGTTCGAGAACTGGTTTTGTTAGACCCGTGGGGATTTCCAAATAAACCAAAGAAATTAACGTCACTTGTAGGAAGTCGAAACCCTGTCGCAATATTTGCTACAATATCAGTTACAAAACTAATAAACGTTTTCGCCACATTAAGACTGCTCGGACCCTTGGGTAAATCTTAGACTTCAAACTGAATATAAATTAATCAATCTGATCTAAACTTTATTCAGGTCCTCTTGTTCATCGTGGCAAAAAAGAAAGTAAACTTTTCTGCAGAAACTTTGAAATTCATGCTCGAGTATCAGGGTCAGGAAAAAACCTGAGTGAATATTTGTATCATTGCATGGCTGCGAATCCAAGGCAAGTTAACTTGTATGCAATTTGTATTAGGATACATACATTCTAATATCTATTTTATTATAACATGTATAATATAATTCTAATACATATGTAGTGGGGAGGCTGCCTTTCGCTCATTAATGGATTCAATTGTGTTCGCCAAAAATCCAATGTGCCAACGACTTTATGATCTAAGGGTACCTATGACCATGGTTTATCCGCAATATGACTGGTTCATCCCTGGAATTCCGAGCAAAGAATTGCAACAACTAGCCGGACGAAAATGTCCCCTTCGGATTCATGTAAATTTATACAACTTGTTATCAAGATACATATTTACCTATGTACATGTTTATCTTAAATCTAACACAATTTCCAGACAATTCCTTCGACGAATCATGAGACAATACTTTTCGCGAAAGAAGTTGAACAATTACTTTGTGACATGAATGCAAAAACTGAAGACTGCAGTAGTTAATATTTTGGAACAATGTAGTTATAATATTGGTAATTCATAAAAGTCTGACCACCCAGTGGCATATTTTGTTATACATGAATGAACGTACTCAAGGCGACATAAGCTATTGTAGTTATAGAGAGAAGTACACGCGCTCGTATATACCGTATTCATTTTATAAATGTATTTATTTTTTTAATTTGTCACCTCCTGATATAATTTTTTCCATAACTACAATCTGTATGTCCCCTTGGCACGTGTCAAGTACTTTAATCAATTGAAGTCTTGGTTATTTTAGCCAATTTCAATTTATTACTTTCTCGTAATATCTTATTCATTTGAATACCGATGTGTTATATATATGTACATCATGTACACCACATTGCGTTATTTCTTGCCTGATTTTGCTGTTGTTATTTGTATAATGATAATGTTTTGTGTGAAGATGCAAATTACTATGGATTCTTAATTAGATGTTGACCTAGCAGAATCCGAAATTATTGACACCTTTGTGTTTAGTTTTTACGTTAAAAAAAATCCAATAAAAGAGTTCATTTTGCCAAGAAGATTGATAAACCAAAGTTCACACGTACATTTTTCATTTACATATGTATGCACATAAGTATAAACAAATAGTTCATAAGTTCAGATGCATAATAAAATATAGCTTGAAAAAGTAAAAAGTTCTAAGGTGAGGAAGTGCACTTAAAAGTATTAAACAAGCTCCCTCCGCCACCCAAATAATTTTACTTCGCCTGGGCTGCCTATTGCATGCAAAAATATCTGTTGCAAATAAAACCAGGTTGTAAATAAGTCGCTCAAAGAGTCACCAAACAAATCTAAAAACAACGGTTGTGTTGTATTCTATACTATAGGTTTAAAATATATCGGTTTATCCGTACATATATTCTGACTTGAATGTACAACTAGCAAGATGTCGAGCTAGTTATATAAATAACTAATAAATATTTGGGGACGGATGAACCATATGTAATAATTACCACCAAATGATAATAATTGCTAATACCTTTACCACCCATCAATATTATCTGGATATTAACCAACTGAAAAGTTAACTTTAGACTAAGAAATTAAGTCTAATCTTTATTTTCCTACGTGACGCCGAAACATTATTGTCGATATTTTGCATGGAATAGACAGCCCAGGCGAAGTAAAATTATCTGGGTGGCGGAGGGAGCTTGTTTAATACTTTTAAGTGCACTTCCTCACCTTAGAACTTTTTACTTTTTCAAGCTATATTTTATTTAATTCTTTTTTAGGGTTGACTTTTAAAAGCAAATATAGAACGTAACCATTATTGTACGCTATGAAGCAACATTTACACCGTTAGTCTTGCGCATATCCTAGCCAATTGAATTCGCTCAAATTTACATACATTTTAGAAGTGTCAGTTGAAAGATCAAGTATCAAGTATCAAGTTTTGATATTCCTAACCACTCTCAAATTTGTGCTTCGACTTATGTGTAAAGCTATATATAAGACCAATGGTGACAATTTCTAAAAGGTGTGGGTGACTTCAAAGGGTCCCTCCACGTACAAATTTTCCCAATTCCAGTTCATATTCTTCCATTAGGTGCGACTGGAAACCGTTGTACCAAATTACAACTCTATTTAACGATGTTAAGAAATCAGTATGGGTGACCCCATCGGGTCCCTCCGGATGAAAATTTTTCCAATCTGAATTCATTTTTTACCATTAGGAGCCACTAACTATCTGTATGCCAAATTTCAGCTTTCTATGACAATTTTTAAATCTGGTGCATAGCACCCCACCCACTTGGATGACACCCGCATTTGACCGATTTCACCCACCTTCGAACTCGTTTCATAACTTTGTCCAATATGCATATGGTAAAATTGCAAGTCTAACGTGTTTGCGGACGGACGACGGTCCCATAAGCCCGGACACGGGCTAAGACTCCATAGCGAGGGTGTAACTATATAGTTACTATATAGCAACCACTCGGAAATTTTCGTTATAGGGAAAAGTCACTGGTTTCTCAACCAATCGACAAAATTATTGTTTCCGCTTATAGTAAAGTGGGGGCGATCTTTCATAAATTTAAATACCCAGCTATGTAGGTAGTCCCCTTCATACTTAAATTGCGATATGCAACCATTCACCACCATCAAAACTTTTTTCTGGGAGGTCATATCGAAAAATCCCTTAGGATAGCACTAGATTAGGTCCGTAATTGATTTTTCGGTCTCTTTATTTTTTTCTCTAAAACGCACCCCCTTGGCTGTAGGGCGCGGTCAAGGTTTTCGAAGGGGGGGTGAATGCATACTAAGGTGTAACTGTAACTATAGTTTTTTACCTCACCTTAGAAATATATATGCATTTATTAATTGAATATAATGAATGCATACATAAATATTTGCATTCATTCCAATTCCTTCACATTTAATTGCATAATTGTTTCCTCGTACATTTATGTACGCATTTCGCTCAGCTTATTTAAGCACAGTTAGTCGTAATCAAAGAATTCATATTCCTAAGTAACTAAATGTTTATAGAGCGGATAACGGCGTCATGATGTGCCAAGGGCTGGAGTGTTACCAATTTGGTATACAAATTTTGTTTGTATAAACCAGTTCTGCAATAGATCGTCAGGAATTCAAGGTGACACATTTATCCACATGTTATAAATAATCTATACTATTAATTTATCAACAAATTCCAATTATAAGCGTATAATATAAATCATATACAGGATCTTGTTGCAAAATATAGTTGTCAATTATTTTACACCAAAGATGTCTGGAAATAATCAAAATTACAATACTATTGTGGGCCCAAATAACATTGAAGAAATTAGAGCACACAGCTCCAGACGAAGGTATGGATAGTATGTATATATTTATTTATGCATATATAAATTATAAATATGCACATATTATAAGTTGCGAAATTATGAGAAACAAGCCTTGGTTAAACAATTTTTAATACTTAAAAAACATGTACAACGATGCCATCTCAGATTTGGTCTAAGATGGATACCAACTTCTGCACAGGAATTCGAAGACTCAGAAATCAAGTTACTTAATTGTGAGCAATTTGTAGTAAGAAAACACGTGCATACATTTATATACAGAAATATTTTGTGAGAATGATTTTCATACAGGCTTAAACGTTCCTTATGAAATTGGTTTCGTCAACGCCGGACAAGTTCTTCAACCTGGATTTTGTTGTGGAGTAGCTAAGCTGATAAATGTGAAAATTCGGACCCTGGTCGTTAACAAAACCAGACCTGGGACACCACTCCTTCTTCTGCACGGTCTTGGTTTAGGGATCGGTTGTTTCGTTCCAGTAATTCGTGCAGTGGGACAGCAATTTCGAGGTCCCATTTATGCACTGGATTTACCAGGTACTCATGTATGCGTTCAATTATTCGTATGTATTATGACGTTACTTGCCAAATTGGAGTTTGGTTCAACCAGACTCTCGTTTATGTAGGTTTTGGTCTTAGCACACGCTTCAACTTCCCAACTGATCCAAAAGAAACAGAAGAGACGTACATTAAATTATTGGAAGGGTGGCGACACACCCTTAATCTACAGAGGGTTTTTATTGGGGGCCATAGTTTTGGGGGTTTTCTGGCTACATCATATGCCCTCAAATATCAGGATAGGTCCTGTGATTTCGGATTTCAAAACATTCCTATGCATACAAATTATATACATACATACGGACATACGTATGCATCTTAAAAATATCATTGATATTAACTCATTAAATTTTCAGAGTTCAAGAATTAGTCCTCTTTGACCCTTGGGGATTTCCAGAGAAGCCAGAGAAAGTCTCTTATTTTGCAGGATTTCAAAACCCATTCGTAATCCATTTCATCACATTAGTCACAGAACGAGTCAATGTCAATGCCCATTTTCGACTACTTGGACCTTGGGGTGAACTTTGCATTGCTATATAATTTCAATTTTTTAGTACTTCAGTATTCAAACTGGATACTTTGACAAATACGCCAATTTCAGGTCCCAAGTCATTTGCCAGTGCTATCGAGACAACTTGGTCAGGTTGTAGTGCATCCAAATTGTTTGAAATCCAATCCGGCTTAGAAGGCTCGGACAGGCTTCTTAGCGAATACATGTATCATTGCATTGCAGGAAATCCAAGGTTTAAATACTCATCGTAGTTGTGCAATTTAAAAGTTAGCTATACATACATATTTGCAAATATGTCCTTCAGCGGAGAAGCAGCATTCCGTTCCATGATGAACTGGTTAGTTTACACCAAGGAACCAATGGCTCGACGCCTCCATCGGCTAAACACACCTGTGACAATGCTGTACCCGGAGGATCACTCCTTCGTACCTAGCATTCCCGATGACGAATTGGAATGCCTAATCGGTCCTCTGTGTCGTCTGAAAATTATTGTGAGAGCTACATACATAAATAATTTCTATTATTTATCAAGTGAACTTCAGATTCAACCGCAATTAGAAAAATGTTTAAATCTTAAGAATACAAATTACGGTGCAATTTTTCATTTTTTTGCAGATAATTCCATCAAGACATCATGAAAATATGCTTGTCTCCAAAACAGTTGAGGATGTCCTCCTCAATCTAACGTAATATTTCATAAAAACGATTTCTTATAAGACGTTAGACATTATTTAAATTTCAAAAGTAAAGTAGGGCTTAGTGTATTCTTATTACAAATGTACGTACAATACTGAAGTTTATCAAGTGTCCCTAACACATACATACTTAATATGTAATCTGAATTATAAAATATGAATCAATACATGAATCCGTGGTAAGATTGGCATGTGCAAAATCTAATTTCATATTTTAGCATCTAAACCACTTTCAAGGGAACCTTAAGTACTGTCCCATCTCGATTGCCTTTCATATATTAAATAGTCTTAATTGATAGATAATTTAGCGTACTTAACTTAAACTTTGTCATAGAACATATGTAGAACATACATACGATACTACATTACCCTATCGCGAAATATTTATTTGGCGAAAGCTGCACCGACACGTGGAATCTTCCAATGATTTTAATATAGATAACAAGCTTCACAATGATGAAACGAAGTTTTTAAATTACATGCCTGTCCGTAATTTCATGCTGATCACCAATATTCAAAAAAACGATGCAAAGATTTGTCATTTTTTTAAACTGCGAAAATCTGAAAAATTATCTGAATTCCGTCGTTTCTTTGAATTTGCAACAAAATTTAAATGTTAAACTTCTTTTAACCATTACCAAAAAGTTTTAACAAACTAATTTTTATATTAACGTATTTAATAGTATCGTAACGGGCGAAAATTAATAAATTCAAATTAAAAATTTTTCATGAAAAAAGGTGACATGACAAATGCTAGTCTGTTTTACTTATTTTTCAAATTGTTAGCTATAGCTAACAATTTGAAAAATAAGTATAGATATTTATTTTTGAAAGTTGCAAAAATTTTTGGACATTTGTATCGCCAATTATTAAAGTGTTCAACAAAATAACTTTTCGAGACCTCGTTCGAGCTTTTAAGCTTTTGGAAAACTGGAAAAAAATTCATCTGGGAGGGACCCTATGGCATATATACAGAGTGGCTGCCACTCGTCTTTTCGTCAGAATATACATCCGTATTCATACATATATAAAAATTTTTGCTCATGTCTGCTCTTATGAAAATAACTCCATTCTCTTCGTAAAATTTCTTATTTCACTTTTTAGTATAAAATTGGTATGACTAATCCTAAGTTTGTAATCCGGGTTTCGACATCTGGCATCTGCACATTCAGTGCCAATAATCTTAGAATTCTTTTGACGCACACTACGGTTTCTGTAAACCATTTGTCCTTGGTGACATCAAGACAAAAGTTAATGAAATATAGAGGCCATTAGTCCACGGGAATGGCGATTTCGCAGGTGTGTCCTGTACCAATAAATTACACCATTCCACGCAATTTCACCCCTTTCCTCGACTTTAATCACTTTATCTGCGGTTTGTCCCATCTGTACACACCCATATAAATCCTGCCACCCTATACACTCCATGGTCACTCACTCACCAGCTACCAATCCACACCTTGCCTTGTCCGCCAACAATATGAAACTCTCTTCAGTAGTCGCGACCTTCGTGGTCGCCACCCTTATTGGCGTCTCCTACGCTCAAGTTCAAGTCCTCGACGTTGACGAAATTCTCGGCGCCCAAGGCGTATTTAACGGTCTGAAAGTACCATTCGTTTCTTTCGGTGCGTTTGACGCCGCGGTGTCACAAGCAGTCTCCAAATTCAGCTCCGTTCTCCAACTCGGCGCCTTGGATGCTGCTTATGCAAATTTTGCCTCAAAATTCGGCAAAAGTGGGGGCGAAGGGACCAAGAATATTTTCAAGACGAACATCCTTGAGATTTTCGGGCACAACTTGAATGCAAAGGAAGGTCGAAAAACTTTCACGATGGGAGTCAATAAATTTTCCGATTTGGTATGATTTTTAGTAGATCTTCGTGAAATAGTTTTTCATATCGTTGTCTTAAATTTTAATTTCCAAATATTCCAGACTCTTGACCAAGTGAAGGCCAAATTCACTGGTGCCCAAGTCCCAAACATCACTAGGCGAGATCTTTTTGAAGAGGCCACCCCAGTAAAATTGCCCTTAATGATGAACCGCCGACAAACCCGTGCCGCACCTGCTAGTAAAGATTGGCGTGATTATGGAATTGTGACCAAAGTTAAAAATCAAGGTGGATGTGGTTCATGTACAGATTTCGCAAACTCTGGTAAAAAATGGTCACAGATTATTATTCAAGTCTATCAATGTATATAATCCTTTTGTTAAAAAATTATAACAGGTGCTCTCGAATCTGCCATGGCTCTTTACAAGGGAACAAACAATCTCGACCTCTCCGAGCAAGAACTTGTCGACTGTCCTGCCAATGTGGGCCGCTGCAACGGAAACAATCCCGACCAGATCTTTGAGTATCAGAAAGCTGAAGGTCAAGTTTCTGAGGCGTCATACCCATATGAGGCTAAAGTTGGGTCTTGTCGAAACGGAGGAAAAACTAAGCTCGCAAAGGTCTCCAACTTTTACAGGATGGGACAAAAGGATGAGAACACGATGAAAGAATGGCTCGCAACCTATGGTCCACTTACGGCCATAATTGAGGTGAACAATGACTTTTACAAGTACAAGAGTGGTGTCTTCACCTCTCCCTGCAGCAAAAATAGCTATGACCACGCAGTTATGATTGTCGGGTATGGTTCCGAAGGCGGAAATGACTATTGGATCGTCAAAAATAGGTGAGCAAAAGAACGTTTTGTCTGTAATTGTATTATTAATTTTGGTTTAAATTAATCTTTACTTACGACGTAGTTGGGCCGATAATTGGGGAGACAAAGGATACATCAAGATGCTAAGAAATAAAAGTTTCTGCATGATTGACATGTACCCGATTTTAGCTCAGGCATAATAAGCATGCGAAAGGGAATATTAACTAATAAAACTGGTCTGGAAATGATTAATTAAGAAATTATACATATGTTTGTGTTGAAAAATTAATTCACCCCGATCGGATTTCATGAATCGAAACATATTTTATATAGTATGTACTATGTAATACATACTATGTATGTAGTCGTCTATGCATATTTATGCATGTGTACATAGTGTACATAATTCATACGTTCAAATTTATCGGTAGACACGATCGATGATGTAATGAAATGACAGTCGAAATTCTTGGGAGACAAATAGATATCTATGTACATAATTGCATGCGTATTTACATACTTTGTACATACATGTTACCAGCAGAAATTAACCAATTTCACCATGATAGTAGCAACATCACTTACATCACCCAGCCTCTAACTACAACTAAATTCACAAGTTTTCAGTCAAATTTTTTACAAATGTAAGATAATACTAGCATGTACAAATAAATCAATCAATTAATTTTTGTCAATATACCAAATCACGCTGCTTAATTTTAAATATGTAATTACCAATGTAAGTAATGTTACAAACACAGTATAATAATTCATTCTACAAATCGCATCTTTTCTCTATTAAAATGTTGTTTATTACTTAATTTCATTTCATTGTTGAATCAAATAACAAAAAAACAGGCCGAGAATGACAAACAAAGTGATAACCAAATAATGGTTTATAAATTATTGCAGGTATTTCATAAGTAAACAGTACAATTTCAGAAATTGAAGTCAAACCCCACACTTTCAAGTCTTATCTTCTTATTCATTCTTGTTCATAAATCAAAAAACAGTTCTTCATAATACCAAAGTTATAAATACAATTTTAAGAAGTGACAGTCATTCTTGTTGCAATTATGACTTGAATCAATTACGATCTGTTGCTCGTAAAATTTCCTCGACAGCTTCCATCGCTGCTTCTGATGCATCGGTAGCCTGTGAGATAAATTGAACCAATTATTAAATTGCTTCATATAAATCATTTTGTAAGGCATCAGTCCTGTGATTTTCTTACTTGAATGTACTTTTGTACGCCGACTAAGGCCTTCTTCAAGGCATCAAAACTGGACGAGTACAACATTTTCTTCTTTATCTTTGCAGCATCGGGACACCACAACATGAGGAACAGTTTTTGTTTCTTGGAAGCCTGCAAAGACGATCAATAATTAGTCAAAAATTCGTAAATTTTCGCAATTTTTATTCTAAATTTAGTTTTAGCTCAACATTAAAAATACATGACAATACATGCGATAAATGCTAATGCAACTTGGATAATTTAAAAAATCATAGAAATTAAGCTCACCTCCGTGGTTCCTTGACACTGATGTGTGTACTCAAAGTCAAACAATCCATATCGGCAATCCCCACTGCCCCCTTTCTGAAGATCTTCCAAAAATTGGTCGTATGCAGCATCTCGGGAGCCTGGGATATAAAAATATGTTAGAACTGCCTCGACCAAGTCAAAGGGTGTAAAACTGTATTATTAATAATTCATTGAGTTTGTAACTTACCTATGGTTTCCACATCAATCTGCTTCTCATCCTTAATTTCGAAAACAACATATCGGTGTTTTTTATCCTTCTTAATCTCCTCGTAGGTTGTTTTGCAAGTGTCGGACACGGTAACGCCTGAAGCCTTTAGTAGAAATATAAAAGTATATTTTTTTTGCATAACCCTTATGACATGACATAACGCTCAACAGTCTAGTCACGTAGTCAAATCATACGAAATTTTTCTGTCTGGATGTTCATCATAAATGCATTTATAGTTATGATTATATCTAACAGAAATCGTAATTTAAGACACTTCCCATCAAGGCAATGCCATTTAAAAAATTCCAACCAGTTATAAACAACTGTCAAATTTATATCGCCAATTTTTTTATCCGGCAACTTTCTACTAATTTCCTCACTTAATTACCGCATAATTAATACCCTTCCCATCAAGCATACTACAGCTTAAATTGATAAAAATTACAATATCAAAACTAACAACTCCATTAATTAACAAACTATTTTAATTTAAGTCATTAAAACTTTAATATAATCAAAATTCTTTACCATTTTAGTTCAACTTGACTCTTTCCTTCCACACAAGAAATAATCGTCCAACCGACTAGATACGCAGGAAATTTCCTCCTTTAGTGACAACAATATAAAAATTGTTTCCAATTTATACCACAAAAATTGTTGGGCACAAAAGCTACGGACCAAGTTGAAGTGAAGACTGAGTCACAAATCCAAACTGTGAATGCAATGCAATCCAATCCAGTCACAATACAGGCAAAAAGGGAACGACCAACGGAGAGCGTTAAAAACGAGGCAGAGAGAGATAGGCAGCAGCCGTAATGAAATCATGACTTGCACTCATATACCGGTATTCTGTTATTCTGTTAGTTGAATCCATCCCACCATTTCTGTCAAACGTTTCAAATACTTCGTAAAACAATTCCAGACATAAACCCCCCTCCAAATAAATTTCTGGGAAAAATTTCCCCTCAATGGGACTCAGTTTGTGGCACGAAATTGCATGGATGATCCATCTTCCTTGCATCTTTTACTTTGCTTTTGGTTGCACGAAAATATTACAGAATATCGAGGGGATGTAGGGGGGAGCGAAATATTACCTTATATGGCAATGGCGGCAGGGGGCCAAGCGACCATAATGCATCGTAACCAAGGCGTGATAAGACATGGGGAATATGTCGTATTTCGAAATTTTGCGAAAATGTGCGAAAAGTGTGATATTGAATAAAGTAACCCCGCCGCCCGCATCAAGTTATCCTACACCCCGCGGGGCCCATGGTATCAATATCAAATGTATTAGGCATAATATCGGCTACTTCATCTTTCAGCAAGATAAAGCTCTACTTTTAAAATGCATGCTATAGTCTGTGTAACTATCAAAAAAATTTATCACCGTTAACAAAGCAAATAACTCGACAAACAGTAGATTTTCTTAAATTTATGTGTCAGTACATACAAGCGAAGGTCTCATTTTGCTAAGAAGTCTCACTTTCCCCTTCCCCTTGGGATTTTTGAAAAATTTGAGATTTGCAGCACTACATATCAGCGAAAATCGCATTTTACCCTAAAATCTCACATTCCCCGTGACCACACCCCTTTTGGGATAAATTTTTGAGGGTGACGCGGTAGATTTAGTATGGTGCGTGGTAGCGTGGTATCTTTATGCGGAGTTGTTTGACGGACGAGCGGAGTGGAGGATAGCTTGATGCGGGCTGCGGGGTAAGTTTACTCACATGTGCAAATGACATCCGCAGTGCATGATCCGACCTTTGTCTTTGTTGGGTTTGGTTAGTTGTTTGACAAAAAGGTTGAAATCCAAGTCTTACATTGCATTACATTATTATTTTGAACCCATTTCCTTTCTGATGCTGAGTCTCTGCCTTTTTGCTATAGTATTTATTTAGTTGTTGGATCAAGTAATGTCATGATCATCATCGTAAAATAACATAACTAAAAGTTTGAGCTAGCAGGATTGCCTTATTTGGTAAGATAGTTTGAAAAGGGAAATTTTTTCTCGAGTCCGGTATGAAATAGGAACAAATTTCATGCAGGAGTGACCGTAATCATTGCATATATCAGATGCCAATTCATTCACGTAATACATCCTGAAGGTGAATTATGAGTCAGTATAAGGTGAGTGTGGTAATCAGTAATCAGCCAGCTTTATGAATGAATATATATGTATATTAAGTGTAATATTAACGTTTAACACGATCGGTTTAGGTCAGGATTTGCAAACCTTTAACGTGACGCCAAGCATGTTTTTCTCTTTTTATGGTATTGAGTTGAATCCTCCTTTCTTAACTAGACGTGTATTGGTCTCCGTTTATATTGACTTGTGACTTGTGTGGTTGGTTGGTTCGTTCGTTGGTCAACATTGCATTTCATTGTGGATGTGGTTTTTTAATAGGGTGCTACAAATTAGGAAATAAATAACGTATGTACATAAATATGTACAGCATATACTCATTATGTAAAGGGTGGCCCAAATGTATCTCCCGAGCCATTTTTTCGCAAAAGTCAAAGATAAAATCGGCTGTAATTCCTGAACCAGTTAATGTTTTATTTTGAAAATTTTACCATAAGTAGTCCAATATGGAAGGTCGATCGTGACTATCGTAGAATTCAAACAAAAATTTCGGTTGCGCAGCAATAAAAAATAAATCAAAATTTGGAGAAATTGTTATATGGCGGGAAAATGGTAAGGCTACGCAGCAGCAGACATTTTGTCAAATACAAAAAGCGGCCTGACCAATGTGGAAAGATGTCACCTACCCGAAAAACAACAATTAAGCTCAAGATTTACCCGAAACCCGAAGTTCGGTACTTACTTATTCAAAAGAACGAAGTGACTCAAAATCCTTGAAAATTATTAACAAGTAAATTTACGATACTACAATGTTAAACTTTGCAAAATCAACGAATTCTAGTCAGACAACTTACAAACTAATCAGGAAAACTTTACTATCTCCATAGAACATTAATTACAGTCTTAAATTTGGAGAAATACTTCAAAAAAGTGGCGATTTTGGTGAAAAAATACAAGGTCAAGAACCATGGCGTCATTTCCTCTGGACCATTGAATCCCGAATTAAGCTGTACGTAAAATTCAACCTACACAGTATGAGATACAAAACCGCAAAAAAATCGGATGTACCACCCATACGTGTGTTACAATTGGTATCGAAAATTATGGTTGCGGGTGTTTTTTTGCGCGTGGCTTAAAAACCTTTCATATTATACATGTATGGCACATATCAAGGTAAAAAATTTTATAGTGAAAATACAACCTAAACACTTAGATAGCATGAGAAACAAGGAATTTTTTCCAAATGTTAGTCAGTACTTTTCCTGCAAGATGGTGCTGCAAGTGACGCTTCAAAAATCACCATGGCGCTAAATGAAGGGCAGGGTAAAATGGTTTGGGGCAAGGGGGTGTGGTCTACTAAAAATCTTGATGTGGGTGTTTTGGATAACCAATAGGCAGTACTTAACTAAGATATGTATATGGATCAGAACCATGCTCGACAGCAGAAATAACAACGAAAGTTCAAGAACAGTGTAATTTCACACCAAAAATCACTTTGGAAAGATCATCATAGAGTTTCAACAAAAGCGACGAGGACATTGTTAAGGTGAATTGTTGAAAGACCAAATACTAAGGTATGTGCGGAAATGAACTTGGGTTCGCCAAGTCACATGGTTTTGAAAAATAGGGTCTAATTCTTTTGAAAGAAAAAGTCGGGAGATACATTTGGGCCACCCTTTACATAGGACCAAACAACAGGATATGAACAGAGTTAGCGTGTATGGTTTTTCTGATAAGGAAAAAGCAGTATAGTCACCAAATTCTGGGAGAGATAAGCAGCACCATTTAATAAGTCTTATCATATTAACGAGAAGGAATGTTTGAGTAAAAATGATTGTTCAAATCGTGATTAAAATGAATTTTATACAAACTTGTAGCATTTACAGATACATAAACGGAATATATATTCAATTATCTCACCAAATATTACACATTTGTCAATACGTAAATGTATCTGCAAAACACTACGTCACCTCTCCTGCTCATTATCCAGATTTGATACGAAATGGAAGAGACAATGACTTTACCGATACGAGAAATGACAATGACACCACAAACAAATCATAATACAAATTTCGCATCACCAAATAAATTTAACTGCAGTAAACGTTTATTACTCTGGTAATTGCAAATAGATAGAAATTTGTGGTTGAGAAGCATCACATCACAATTCTAAATATCGTAAATTCTAAGTGTATGTATAATAGGCTTTGATTATTTTTATTACTATCTATCTAATAGACATATTTATTACTGACGACTTATTTTAAGCGGGGTGAACATGTGAATTTAAGTATTTCTTCCTGAATTACTTAGCATAATAATGATGATGATCGCGAACTAAAAATAGTGCTGCCAGGTTCACGGACTATCTAGTCTGTCAAAATTAATGTGATGATGACAAATTAATGTTACTGCATATGAACATAAATACATAACTGAGGACAAGTCATGTCCACGTACCCAAATCTAGAGATGACACAAGTGAAATACTACTCGGTGACTCAAAACTTCAAGATTAGCAGATACTGGGTGGAATATTTTTCTGACCAAATAATCACTCCTCTAAATAACTATTTTATGTAATAATTCCTTCCGCTATAAATGCAAACAAGGCTAGAACAAGTATCCCTTTGTTCCCATTCACCAAAAGAGACGCAGCATCTCCGTCGCCCGTCCTCGCATTTGCGGAAAGGCAGCACGTCCTCTTTGTATACGTGACGTGAGGTTCCGTCGGGCAGCCCCACTTCTCCCCCGTCCCCATGTCCGCATCTTCGTACCTTTTCCGCATACAATTATGCATTACATTATTTTACTTTACCATAATTTTTACCATCCACATACCCTTTCGGACACGGATCTCCCTTCCCAGAGGAGCACGACGTGTTAAAACAAGGCGGCTGATAACCCTCATTGCAACAGAGGAGCGTGGTCATTCTTGGAGCCAAACCTCCACAAATAACGACGTCCCTGCTCAACTCGGCCCGACCTGCGGGACAATCGACCCGATGGGGTTTGCATTCCGTATCCTCACATCCAGCAATGTGATGACAGCACAAATTTCTTTGCTGACCGAGTGGACAAGCTACATGAATTAGAAACACAAAATATTTTTTAAACGCATTTTACAAAAAAGTATACCGACTCACCGTTCTTGTCCACCAGAATTGCATGATGGCCGGGTTTACAAAAGGCATACGTTTGACATTTCGTCATGTAACAGCCACCTTCTTTTAATCCTGTGAAATTTTTGATGAATTGGTGTTCGTCCCGAGTACTCGTGCCAGTGGCGGATGTTGAGGCAATAATAATTGCTATGATGAAGGCAATCAGCATTTCTCTAATCTGAAATTACCAATATAAATTTCATGACATTTAAGATGACTTTCTATTTATGTAATCTACACATAACTTTAATACAAACCTCGTTCATAGTACTCCTGTTCCGTCCAAATTGCTTATCAAGCAACACAATATGTTAAGTGTTTTCAGGCTTTTTCCTGATTTTTATGGTATTGAAAGAACTGAGTTGAGGTGCACCACTTTTCTATGAAGTGAAAGTTGGTGTGGGTGAAAGCAGTTGCGTTGGGTCAGCACACTCTGCTCAACTCGACGCTCCCATAATGTCTGTCAGTCAATTCGTTTATTAGGCCAAAGTAAAAGAGCAAAAGCAGCGTGTTACGTATTTGCTTGCTTTCCTTCTTTCTTTTACCTTTCTATTTCTTAAAAGCGTCATTCGTTTCGCATACTTCTACCGAATTTTGCTATAGGAACTGCAGTGACCACTGTAATCAAAAGTTGCCCGGATTCTGGAGATTTGTTCGATTCAACGTCACGTTTCATAACGTAATATAATATATGCGTACTATGTCCAGCGTAATGTTGACCAGGAGTCGTATTGCACGGAATATGATATGATGCCATGTCGTTCATTCCGCCCGGAAACATGAACACCTTCCGTGTGTTAGTCCAAGTACAAAGTGTTCAGGTGTTTGTGGATGAAAATAACGAGCAGTACAATAACCTTGTTTTAGGGACATGTTGCATGCAAAAATAACAAGGACTGGACAGGTTCAATCGCCATACATAGGTTTTCTTCAAGGCAAAAATGAAGAGTATTACCTACTTTTTCCTTTGGTAAAGTGTAATTAATTTGATCGACTAAATGCAAAAATGAGAAATTCCACGACCAAGTGTTGAATTGCATGTATTTTTCATCCGTAACAACATATAATTATAACATTCGTTTGAATCACTTGTAAATGTATGTACAACTATGTACACACTTGCGCATATATACGTATGTATGTACATACATAAATGTACATATATTTTTGTATGTATAACCTATGTATACCATATATAGCATTTTGATTGAATGCCAGTGTAAATACATATGTACAACGCCCCACGGTGAAGAAATCGGTTCAAACTGCATATGTAGTGTTTAATTAATTAATTAATTAATGCGAAGTCACTTGTTTGTTGAATTATTTAGATGAATGACTATTAAATATTTATAATATGCACCAATAATATTAGTGTTTTCCCCTTTTTACTCAGTCTCACCTAAGCATTTGTCATAAATTATTTTATTAACCGTTATTGCGGCATATGACTTTACTTACATACGTATTTAGACTAGGTCAATGGCAACAAATTTATTACTGTACATATGTATATTAGTGATTGCCTTGAATTTGTAACCAAATATTTTGTACTGTCATATGTGGTAATTTGAAGCAACTACAGACTTTATTTTGGGACATGTACATATATAATTGGCAGCAAATATGACAAATGATGCTTGTAACTAACATTATGGCAAGGTTTGCTGCAAATAAAATTATGGTCTAAATAAACCAAGATGCTATGATTTTCCTTAAACAAATATTTTCAACGTAAGGATCCTCTTTTGACTACATTGCTTAAAGTACACACTTTTTCCCATATTGCTCATAACCCTCTACTTTCTAGAAATGTTGCAAGCTTAATTATACAAGTGATTACCAATTGGTCCGATAAATAGTTCGATAAATAGGACATGGTTTTTGTCATATTTTTTTGCAAAACCAATAGTATGGCTGAACACAAATAACTTAATACCTGTGTACCCACATTTATGTATGTATGCACATACATACATCCTTGGGCCTCGGCCAGACTTCTCCGCAAAAATGAAAATATAATATTATCTAAATTGGTAAACATTTCTCCGATATCAGCGTAGCGTAGCACTGCTGCAGGTTGCAAGTTAAGGCCAGCTCAAATAAGTTTATTAAATCACTTTGCCCTAAAGTCAAGGTAAAGAATATCGATATATGCAAATTCTTTCGTCCCTTTCTGTTGGATTTGACTTTCTCCCAACGATTAATACTCGATTCCTACTCTCTACAAACATAAGTAAATACATTCAAGATCTAACTCTCTCCCTCTCTTTCTTGCAAAATGCCTAATAAATGCATGCTCGCAGCATTTGACACCTACGCCAGATTAATGCAAAGGTTCTCCGATCCAGTGATAGAATGGGACATATCAAAGCAAAGTTGGATTTATCACAGGCACCTTAAAACCACGATTGTCTGGTATTATAATATCCTGATTGTCAATGGAATTTGGATTGCTGGTGCAGTCCTACTTTTGATATCTAGACTTTATGGAAACGCCGACCCAATTCCTCTCCCAGTAATTTTACTTAACGTCATGATAATGTGCTTCTGTTCGATGGGTGTTGCAACTTGCTTAGCAGCTACTGCATACGGAGACAGGTTTATATCTGGCTGGACGGCGTTACTCAAGTTTAATAGAAAATTACAGTCTCAGGGAAATAAAGGTATCAGTACAAACACATATGTAAATGTAAATTTATACTTACAATGAAGGTCATCCAGCGTATTCTCTCCGATTTTGACCAAATTAGTGTTAATCGGTCACAAATTGAAGTAGTACGAAATTTGCAAAAGACACTATCTGCCAATGCGCATACGCTGGGAGACTTCATTATCAGATAGGTTAAAATAAATTTGTAAATTTTTCAGGAGGAACTAGCACATGCACTCAAAATAGCTGGGACAACTTTTGGAAAGTCATGCCATGTTTGGTATACCTATTTGCAGGGTATCAAGTACTCGCAGTCCCTGCGATCTACATATTTAACTTGGACCCCTTGGATCACATACTGGGAAGGATTAAAATGTCTTATAACAGTTTGAATATTTGCACCACAGCATTTCGAGTTTTCATTGGAACCGTTTCAATTTTCGAATGCAGTCGGCTATTCCCATTCACTTTCCTCCTTGCATTCTCATTTATGAGGATGTTTAGCACAATTTTTGAAAGCTTGGGGAAACCGCATAGAAGTTTCATGCTGAGGATATCCGTGTTCGAATATTTGCAAACTCTAATTATTTACTCAGAGTTAAATTTGCTTGCAGAATATGGCGTGGTGTGCATGATGAGTGTGGCCTTGTTTTCTAATCCCGTCATTGCTTTTGTATCTATTCGAATGCATCATACCTTTCCTTTCTGGTTCTACATCATCTTTCCAATTTTCAATATTTTTATCTTCATTTTTGTCAGCATTTCTTTCTACATTTCTATCGATGTTCGAAATAAGTCTAAGGCGTTGCTGAGAATTTGGAAAACTCGAGCCACCACGAGATTTAGAAATATAGATCGTGTGATACTGCAGAAAAAATTAAAGTCGATGAGAATCCTGCAATTGAGTGGGGGGATTAATGACGTGAGGTTTTTTAGTTTAGATAATAAAATTAAAGTTAAATACTTTGACAAGATTGTGCTGTATACGATTAATTTATTGCTTCTTGTTAGCATTTAACGTAAATATGTAAATACACGAGTTTAAATATGTGGTTTTAATAATACTTACAATGTAATACTATATCAGATCCCCAAAATGGATTTGAAAATACATGCTTACATATTTATGTATTTACTGGAAACTTAAATAAATTAACGATAAATTCAGTGTCAGTATAGTAGGCATTACATTACTCTAAAAATATATATGACATACATACATAGCTTGGGGATTACATTTGTTTCATAGAAGGGAGATTATTATATAAATTTAATTCTGTACAATACTATGGCTTGATTAGGATAAGCAATTTCGTAAGGTTATAAATACCTAATACTTATTAGTCTTCTGAACTCGAACATTTCCTCCGTAACTTTAACATTACACCATTTTAACGGCCGGAAGTAAAAATATTTCTGAATGAATGAAATAATAATGTCGTAACTACCAATTGAATTCTGAATGGGCAATACCTACCACGATTGAATTGACAATGTAACCAAGGTGAAAGTGAACTTGGCTTAAGAATAACAGGGACAATGAGCGTGCGTTTTATGATGTTAATAGGTAATGTACATATGACATATGCAATTGTGTACTTGATTGTGTAGTGGATTAAATTACAGTCGGTTCAGTTCTGGATTTAATGAATATTAGCACATGTTTATCTGTTTAAATAGTAAATTCCTCCATGATATTTTGGTGCATATTAAGTAGTTTTATCTGCTGTGGTTAATACGAAGTCCTTCACAATGCAGTTTCCCAAAGTTTCATCTTTCTACAGTAACAGTGGTCCCCTCGGGATCCATGTATTTGAAGGTTTCCTGTTCTCAGAAAAGTATCGAACGACGTCAACCTACTTCAATTCATGGCAAAATGAATGGAAACTTATTTGGCTGCGACCTTCCATAAAAACATGTTATTTAAACATTAGTAAACTTCGAGGAGAAAATGTTGCGGAAAATAACAAGCCAAAACAATGCCGGTACAGCCGTTTGTATGACATTGAAGGAAAAGAAAATCTCATAATTCTGGAGGAACAACGGGTGCTTGAATCCTTTTCTAACATCGGGGACTTGATGGACTTCATGTAAGACTTTTCGTAATTGGAAATATATATTACATTAATTTTACAGTCACTTTGTTCGTTCAGTCCGTATCATGTTACTAAACACTAGGAAAAGTACCACCACTAGCAAATTGGATATGCAAGTTAAGCTCCATGTGGATAAATTGAATACTTTGATGAACAAAGGGTTACCGGAATTAATATATTTTGACAATCATCTCACATCATCGAGTGATTGTTTTCTGGATAACTTTGATAGTCCACTTTCCCTCATGGACAACCGTATGCACAGATTACTACTTGCTGTTAGTAGTGATGTAACTACTCGAATTTTTGTTTAATCCAGTATTTATTCAAATTCTAGTTGATCAAGAAATCAAGGAATCAGTTGTGCAAATTGGACCAGCAGGACTTCTCACTCCCCTCCAGCACGGATATCATGATTTACCGAATATTCATCTTTGTCATGTTGGGTGCAAATTATGGTTTGCTCATATTGAAATTAATTTGAACTTAAATAATGAGGGGTACTCTTAATCTTGTCGCAAAATAACTTGCGACATTTGCGAAGATTGTGAATACCCTTATTTTTTCAAATTGAGCATGTACAGATTGTAAAATATAATGCAGGATAATTATTCACCCATCTTCACGCATGCAGTTATTGCAACGGGTGTCTGACTGTTTTCATCGCAGCAAGAAAGGACCACAGGCAACAGTCGATGTCCACTGCATTCTTCGAGATGGGGCTTTTAGCGTTACTTTTGATCAATTGGATTCCTGGGAAATTTTATACACTGTGGTGAGTGGTGTATTTGAAGCAAGAACTTTTAAAATTTATATACGCTTTTAATGACTAAATTCTGCCAATGTCCAGTTATTACAAGAGGACGGCGATATCCTAATGCTTTTACCTGGAGTCATCCGTTTCACTTATAATCCGACTTTTTGTGTGACAACTTGTAAGTGTAAATTTGGACTTAATGATTTACAAGGCTTGTCAATTAAGAAGCCAATTTTCTTTAGCCATGAACTATCTCACCCTCTCTCAAGAAGATGCTCAAGTTGTACAAAACCACAAAAAATGTACATGTTTTAGATCAAAAATGGATCACCAGGCTGAGGCTAGGTAAACATGTCTGGATTAATTAAACGTCAGACTCAAACCTAACTTTTAGAATGCCTCCTTAGACATGGGTACTGGAATCCTTCAATTCCTTCCAGCATCAACTCGGTCATTTCCACCTGGATGTATTCCACCTTGTTAGAAATGCACCCCGTTATACCACAAGACCAAAATGTATACCAAATATCCTGATTAGTTTTAGTTGTAATGCTTTAAATAAAAATTGTTAAGCCTTCTGTTGCAGATAACGACACAGCTTGAACCTCATGGGAAGCAGAAGGAGCTTTGCAGCATTGGAGGTGTAGAAACATCGCCCAATCCCACCAACGACGATACTTCAGATCTCGGTAAACCAGTTAACCAAACTCTTCTTCAGTCCTCGGACCAAAATGATGTCATCATTAAACAACAAACCACGACTTCGGGTTGCATTTCCACTCAGGACTTCATACTCTCAGAAAACATGCTGATCTCAAAATCAGCGTACGACATGACTGATAACGACGTAATCCTATGCATATCAGACGCAGCTCATAACGAGAAAGAAAATGCCCACGAAGGTTATTCCAACCTTTATATGGATTATCGCCAAATTTGCTCCGATTTGGAACAATTCTTTGAAAATTATCCTAGTCCAGGGGTACACATAATGGAGTCATGCCTTTCAGAAGTTGTGGGGTCAGATGAGATCAGTAGTAGTAGTAGTAGTAGCATCTGGGAGATAAGTTCGAGTGAATCAGACAGCGGAATATCTTCAATAATGCATCACGATTTACCCGAACTTGTCACAACAATGGGTCCAGTATCACCAATTGTTCCTAATAATATATCATCTCCATATAAAGAAACATCTCGACAAAAATCATCAACGACCACCAGGAAACAAAAGAAAAGCTTTCCGTGTTCAGAATGTCGTCAAGTCTTAAGTACCAAAGCGCACTTAAATCGTCACACATATCTGAAACACTCGACTGCAGATATTTCCGTCCAATGTCCCATCTGTCTCAAGAAGTTTGCTAACGAGATGAACCTTCAACGCCATAGACGACTTCTTCCTCCATCTGAGGAGGGTTCGCTCTGGTCGACAAAAAGGAAGAAAAATCTGTGCCGAGGAAGAGATGAGAGTTTTGCTGCAGAGGATAGCAGATTTCGATGTGAAATTTGTGGACAACGGTTCATCCTCAAGAGTGGGTATAATCGGCATTTGAGGAGAAAACACAGCTAAATTAAAAAGAAGTCTATTTATATTTACGAGTATGTAATTATCAGTTTCAATGAAGGCACCGTGCCATCAATTCATCCCACATAAAACGTAAATACTAGAATAATGCAAGTAAATAATTTGTAAACCAATTAAGTGTTATTTACTCTTATGTGCACACAAATACATCGTTGCTCCCAATCTCGGTTAAGCTTGAAATTATTGCATTGTCAATTGTAATAAAATTTGACACGTGCCACTAGCTGTCAATATTAATTTGATTACCCTTTGTCTCAAATTTATTTCTTAATTGCCACCGAATGGAATTAAACAGCTTATTAATTCAGAATTCATAATTCTTACGAGAACGCCTCTAAACTATTTTAAAATTAAATCCGGAAAGATATACATAAATTACTGCATTAAAAATGGAATCCGCTACATCCATCCTACTGTTATTAGCAGTCATTTCAATTTTCATCCTCCTGATAAAATTTGCAGCCCAAAAGAAAAAGACAACAATGAACCACAAAGTTCCTCCCACAGTTTCCTATTCGTTGCCAATATTTGGACACGGCATTTACATTTGCTTCTATCCCCGACAATTCCTCAAACACTGCTATTCAAAACATGGCGACGTGTTTCAAGTAAAAATATTCTCCAGACTTGTCACCATTGTCTGCAATCGGGACCTAGTTTCAGAAATTTGTAGTTCAAGTGAAACCGAACTCTCATTTTATAATCATTTGGAACGAACATTCGTCGGGATGGCAAACGGATTAAAGATATCAACACGTGCCTCCATCATTCGAAAAGCTACCGTCAAAATTGGCAGCCGCCAAATGGGGTATTCAATCCTGCCCGATGCTTATGAATTTGTCGACAGACTTAAATTCCAATCACAAAATGCAAAGGACAAGATCGATCTGAAACTGGAGATTTCTCGCTTTGTTATCAAAGCAACGGCATCCGCTCTCCTCGGGATCGAGTTCACTGACGCAATGGTGGAAGAATTCAAAACTTATGCGTCCCTACAAAACATTTCGGCAATGGCGACAAGAGCACTGCCCATCCAGTTAGCGAGACTGTTGTTTAGTACAAGATTAAATATGAGGATGAATCATATTTGGACAGCGTTGGAAAAGCAGATTGCACTCTATCGAGAAGATTCGAGTCTCAGGGAGTCGCAAGTTTTGAGGTACTCAAGACTTTTCTATGGTAAAACTTGGGGCACCGTCAACTGGTTTAATTTGACGTTGAATCTTTTTTAACTAGAGCTGCTGTCGACGCTGTCAATGACCGAACCCAGTCTCCCTTGACGGATCATGAGATCACCTGTGTCCTAATGGGGCTGTTATTCGCAAGTACTGGGAACACGTCGCTGTGCATTTTGCATACTATTCTCGAAATTTCAAAGAATCCTGAATGTCTAAAAAGAGTTTTAAAACTGGTCGATCTGTCCTTTGATTCCGGAGATGTGACAGATATCCTAAATTCGGATTATTTGCACTACTGCATCCTTGAAGCAGCACGATTGAATACGAATATTATTCTGGTGGAGAGGATGCCTGAGCAGAAGTAAGTAATGCGTTGAATTATAGCTGCGTACTTAAGTGAAACTATTATTAAAATCTGCATGCATTTTATTATTTGACAGAAAATACATTGGAAACTACTACGTCGGGCATTGTGACCTCGTCGCAATTGCAGGAACACTAAATCATGTTGATGGCTCTGCGCAACAATCGTTCCTCCACCCACACGATTTTAATCCCGACCGTTATGTGGAAAATCAGCAACTTCAATCTCAAGTTATGAGTTGGGGAGCTGGAGGACACGCATGCAGTGGACGACTTTTTGCAATAGTCATGACAAAACTGCTGGTGGCAAATTTTCTGAAGAACTTTTCACTGAATTTGAGGAGTACGAGCGTGTCTAAACCTAATTTTAGATATCCAACAGCATTTGTGGATTTAAAAGTATTGGCAAAACTTGATGAGAGGAATATAGAGTAGATTACATATTACATACAAAAATAAAAAAGCTTATTACTATAAAAATTTATTTACACGTATGCTTAAATCATCATTCAAGAAAATGAGTTTTTTAATGTTTTCTAAAATTTCGCAATTTTCTTAGACCTAGGAGTTCGTCGAAAAAATCGTAAAAGTATCTCAAAATTTATTTATTTATTTATTTTAATTTTTACTTAAATTTTCGACTTTTATGATTATTTTAAGCACGAAAATGCAACATAAACTGCAAAAGTTATAGAGCTGGTCGAAAATGAAGATTTTTAAATTTGGCGTCACACCACTGCGCAAATATAAATTTTACACGGAAATATGAATGGATCCTTCACGAAGGGTCCTAGTAGATTTTAAGAAAACATGGTGGCTACCCTCGACTCAAACGACACCTCGTGAGTGTCCCTTGTGAGTATTTATTAAAATGAATATATACTTATAGCCAATGACTTCTGGACAAAAGTGCAATTTTTTTTACATTTATGTGTATTACGCAAACCAATAGCTTGCGGTATTGTACCTCCGTGCATGTGGTACCCAAATATGACGCTTATACACAGACATGCGTGCAATTTTGTGCGATAATTAATTATTTGTAATGTGCTGATTTTCATGCATAATTGTACTCTATCAAATTATAATAATTTTCAATATGCAAAGTTTCAATCCCAAAGCACACCCCATTTTAATTAGTCCTTCTTACTTGCACATGTAACCATATCATCGCCAAAATCGCGATAAGTACCCCCAATTCTGTCCCAAAATGTAAAATATTGACCATAATTATAATTGTAGTACAAATGATGAGCTGTGTGTTGATGTGGTCCATTAAATACACGTCTGAACCATTTAGGCATGCGATAATTCCCTTCATGGAGAAAGACGGCGAAACAACTTCCAAAAATGAGCATGACCAGAAAGACATCTTTGTTGAGTGGGAAGAGGAATCCGTATAAGTGAAATGGTGCACTTTGTAGGAACCCATCTCTGCAAACATAATTCATGTAATTTATGAAAAGTGCGTGAAAATATCTCTTACAAATTGTCTCAAAAGTTAATCTTACACTGGATGGAATAGCAAGCTTGCAAACGGCGTCGGTATTTTTGACATGTGGTGAATCTTGTGTAGCTTCTTATACAACAATTTACAATGTGTCAAACGATGAATCCAATAGGCCATAAAATCCGTAAAGAATGCCAATTGTACTGCTTCCAGAAGAAAATCAGCAGCTGCCAAGTCGTGTTTGGTGTATAGTTTGGAGAATCCATTTATTTGCAAGAGGAAAAGGGGAACTTGCATAAGAGATACGATCGGTAGGAGCAGGATACATGTTTTTATCTCGGTTTTAACTTGGTTCTGAAAATATTTATTAAATTTTGATGACAATTCGTAAGATTAAGATTTAAGGGTAAAATTTTAATAGATAATGTCACCTTGAGAAACAGAGGATGTTTGCATAACTCTTTGTCAAAGAAAAGAATGTATGCTATCCCAGATGTGATTAAGTAGATTCCATATCCTCCAAAAATTTCTATGATGGACAGACTTAAAATTTGACGACCAATCGAACCCTGCTCGAGGCAAAAGTCCTCCGGGTAGATGTACTTATTAAAAAACACTTCTTCACAGTAAAATAATACCTCATCCATGACTGAGAGACGATTTGAAGCTGTGGGCTATCTCAGACAAACGGTTGTTTATGCCTTTACCTTCATTGTCCCATATTTTCCAAACATATTCATTTGTATTACTGCCATTTTAATGTGGTAATTCATAAACTGAAACTCGACAAATACATGGATGCAGAAGTACGTTTACCATCCTGTGGCACAATATTTCGTCACATCAGCATTCAATAAAGTAATACGTGAAAATCACACGGTTAATAAAAATTGGTGAATATTTACTTATTTATTGTTTCCAAGATGGATTTCATACTAGCAGCTTTTGTCATTGTGATATTACTCCTTTTCATACTTAATTTGACAAGCAAATTTGGCAATACCAGAAACCAGGGAAAACTGCCACCGGGTAAATTATCTATTAACCAAACTCAGATCAGCATGCAAAAATATTTGAGTCATACATAAATAATTACACATCCTCCACAGGTCCAAAGGGTTACCCAATTATTGGCAATGCTGCCCAAATTGGTAAACTACCCCATCACACGTTTGCAAAATGGGCGAAACAATATGGAAAAATTTACCGTGTGAAGCTCGGAAGCAGAAAGTGGGCAACATTTGGTTTTCACATTTTTCTAGAATCAATAGCCAACTTTGTAATTTCGTACGTTCTTATTAGCGTCATCGTGATAAGTGAACCGAATTTGCTACGGGAAGTATTTTCACAGAGTCCAGATTTTACTGGGAGGATGAATTCTGTCTGTATTCATGACGCTTACGACGACTCTGATAAACCTCATGGTAACTAAGAATTTACTAAACTATTCACGTTTATGAGTTTCAAACTTTCTTACATCTTCGCTCCGTTTTACGTTTAAGGACTTATAAACACTGAAGGCGATGAATGGGAAGGGCTGAGGCGTTTCACAATGAAAACCCTACGAGATTTCGGAGTGGGAAAGCGGAGCATGGAATTCTATATTCGAGACGAGGTGGACGCCACGATTAAAAAACTTCAAAGTTTCCAGGGTGAACCTGTAAGAGACCTGCATACAGTTTTCAGACTCCCCGTTATTGGCTCCTTGTGGACAATTGTCTGCGGGGAAAGAATTCAGGCAGAGGATGAAGAAAATTACCACAATTTAGGGAAGATCATTGACCGGTGCGTATAATAAACTAATGAAATTTTTTTCACATTTTTTGCTAAAATAATAAAGTTTTTTTTATCTCGCAGAGCATTTCGACAAATGGCTGAGAAAGGTGGAATCCTGTATCTGGCTCCTTGGTTAAGACACATCGCTCCTGAATGGAGTGGTTTCAATGGATTTCGATCAATGATGAGAAATTTGAGAACGGTTTTTAACAATTTGGTGACACATCATCAAGAAAATGATGCATCACCGAGACATCGGTAGATATTTTAGCTTACATATTTTTGTCCGTGTTAAAATAAGTTACTAATTGAGTTTCAATATTTTCAGAAATTACATTGATATATTTCTACAAGAAATTTCTAAAACTTTAAATATCGATTCCCCATTTTTTGGAAATAATGGAGGTATTTAATTGGCATGATAATCGTCGTGTTTATCACATGTAAATAATGTTTAAATTAAAGAGTTATTGATATTTTCATGCAGAAAAACACCTGATAGCAACTCTGATAGATTTCTTCATGGCTGGGACGGACACTACGACATCTTTTTTCCTCTGGACGATATTTCTTTTGGGGAAGCATCGCAAAGTGCAGGCGAGATTGCAAGCAGAAATTGATGCCTTTGCTGATCAAGAAATGGATGCTAGAATTACTCTGGAACATGCGAAAAAGTTAGTAAATACACAAATGGCTATAAAACCCGATAGAAATTAAATTAAATTATATCCTGTGCCCATATTAGGATGCCATACACTGAGGCAGTAATCTCCGAAGTTCAGCGTTTTGGTTCAGTTCTTCCTCTCGGCGTGCCCCACCGGGCAAGGGTAAATTCCACCATTGGAGAGTACATGATCCCCAAAGGCTCCATAATTTTTGCAAATCTGCACTACATCCACCATGAAGAAATTTGGGGGGATCCCGGCAACTTCAGACCTGAACGATTCTTTAGTGACGACCACACCTGCAAAGCCCATCCCGCTCTGGTACCTTACTCCTCTGGGAGAAGGCAGTGTCTGGGCGAGGGTTTAGCGAAAGCATCAATTTTTCTCTTTATCACGACCATCTTTCAAAACTTTGACGTGCATGCGGAAGGAGACTTGGAAGATGTTTCTGAAGGCATTGTCGGGGTGACGTTGCAACCAAAAGCGTTTTTGTCGACATTTACCAGACGAAGGGGTTCATGATATAAGAAATCAAATCCAGTTGTTGTACCGTACGCAAAATAACTCGCAAAAAAACAAAATTACAAACACACAATAGAGTTCAATAAATGAAAGTACAATGGTTCCAAATAAATAACACATTTTTAATTGTCTAACATGGTAGAGAACAGTGCAATCCTGGACTATATGTAAATATGCATGTATGCGCATATTTGCACACACGTCTTCTTCTCCTTTAATTTCCTTGCCAACGACTCTGAAACTTTCTACCCAAATCATCATGGGTTTTTTCAAAACAGTGCTAACTTTCATACTTAAATGCTTAATTTTTGACTCAATTTTCCTCCTGTACTTAATTAACAGCGTGATCCGGGCTTTTACTACAATCGCTTCAAACATATTTCGGCCTGACCTGTTACAAATTGTTGACAAGCATTTCACCCATTTAGCTTGTCAGGTTTATTCAGAAGCAAATGTTGCCATCCTAGTGAGTGGGAAGTTCAGGGGAGAGCTTAACAAGCAAAATGTAGCAAATAACGTTAAAAGAATTTTAGAAAAACCAGAGTATCATCGATTAAAAGAGTGTATCGTGCCATGGTGGGGACACTTATTTTGGAAATTGGATAAGAATTTTAACATCAAGGAACATATTTTAAAATGCAAACTGGGTAAAAGTTTTCAAGTTACAGATTAAGTCCTATATTATCCAATGCATAAATACTTTATGTTACTTTTCACCTTGCAGACCCCACATCACCCACTGCCCTGAAAAAATTACAGCAATCCGTCCTCTCAAAACCATTCCCCACTGGCAAGAGCCCCTGGTTCATCTACATAGTCACAAACTCCACAAAACAGGAAAATGAAGACATTTTTATGCTAAAAATCCACCATTCACTCGCTGACGGTCATAGCATTTTGAAACTTCTGATTAATGAAATATTCGACGAACCATCAACCTCAGTACTAAAACCGGTAGCAGCAAGATTGCCAAAATTAGTGGAAATTTGGCTGGGATTCACTTTTGTATTAAAAGCAATAAATTGGTTGTCGAATAAAATTATTTCGGGCGAAGATCCTGCTTTGACACCATCTGGAGGGTTAGCCTCACCAATGAAAACTCTTGGATCTGGGGGGAGAAAGTATTATTCCGTGGAAAGTCGCGAGATTTCTGTGGATTCGATCAAGTTGGCGAGAAGACGTTTAAATGTTCCCTTCATGGGAATAATTCTGTCTGCGTTGTCGCAAGTCTTGAGAAATGTTGCGATTCGTAAAGTTTCGAGGATGAAGATTCCATCACATGTGACTTGTGTATCTCCATTTCCAATAAAAAATCATCCTGGAGGGTTGGAGAATCATTGGCAAGTGATTTTAACGAGTTCATAGTAAACGAGACGATTAATCACGTAATTAGTTTTTACAGGTCGGTTCGTCTATTTCCATTGCCAATCGGAGAACAAGATGAATTAAAAGTAGTTAAAGATGTCAGAGCTAATCTAACCAAGAACGTAGTTTCAAATGTCATGATGATGCGTGCCCTCACAGGAGTTGTGGGTACTATGCCGTACTCGTGGGTTCAAAAGTCTGGGTTCACAGATATCATCGGCATTCCGCTCGTGGTCTCCGAATTTCCTGGACCAACAAAGCAAATCTCGGGATTTGGACTTCCTTTAGTAGAAATCTCATTTCAGGTTGGATTTCATAAAGGCAATTGTGGTGAGTGTGGTTGAACATTAATTGGTTCATTTCCAACCAAATTTTGAAAATCGCCTTTACTTATTAATTAATAATTATGTATATAGGTTTAATGTTCTTTGGAACAAGTTACAAAGGAATGTGGAGGATGAAATTAAATGCAGACATCGATGTGATTTCGACAGAGGAGGAAGCACAATCAATTGTCAACGGTGTCGTGAATAACATTATTTCATATTCTAAGGCCCAATGAGTACTTGAATTTGAATGCTATTTAATAAAATAAATAGCTACCTTAATATATACAATGACTAATTAAAATAATGTGATCTAATAATAAAATAACCAGATTAACAAAAATATTCCAATCAATGTGACATGACCATTTAATTAGTCATGTATATAAAAGTAAATTGAATACGTAAATATGTTGGCTGTTCTCAGATAGTTTTCACATTTTTTCCCAATAGTTGTTCAGCAATTTAGGATAATCTGTTATAATTCCATCCGCTCTTAGTTTTTCACATTCTAAAAATTCTGGCCTTGAATTAGCTACCCAAATGTAAACCTGGAGAACCATAAATCATTATCAATCACCTGAAATTTAATCACTGGTTTAGTTAATTACCTTAATTCCTCTTGCTTGCAAATGCTTAAAAAGCATTTTGTTGGCAGCAAGTGAAGCAATTATCCGATGCGAAATTATCCTCTGCCACTGACTTATTCCCCAACTTTCCGATAACCTGACAAGATACAAAAACTCTGCCAAGTTAAGATCAACCCATCTCCTCACCCATACATACAAATAAAATCTAACTTATAAACTGCACTTGGGAGCCAAATGGAATAATGTGTTTCATTGATGTGTAAGTAAGGAAGAAATCCAGTTAGAAAGTAAATCATGAGAAGAAATACTTTTCGCAAACCCATGAATTGGTTGGGGGCCTTTGTATTCACATTCATCAAATTAAAAAAGGTCTTTATTTTGCATAAAATAAAATTATTTACATCTCGTCGACACTCTCCACACAAGATGAACTCTGTACTTCCGAGAATTACGTAATCTTCCAATCTTCCTGAGTCTTTCAGTAATTTGGTCACTTTACAGCAAAACTTCCCACAAACATCGACATGAAGTGGGATGCGTCGTGGAAGCTGTGACAGCACTGTGGACAACAGCGGAATATTTCGTTCATCCTCCGAACATGTCGTGTCCTCCACCAACGTATCTGAAACACTTGGATATTTTATTTGCACATAGATTGGATTGGAAAACGTTCATGTTTAGCTTGCATTATTCACTAACTTGGTTCGGAATCCATAGGTACAATTCTTTTAAGCTTTGGCAATTGTGAGAAATTTGTATCGCTGACATTGATATCTACGCCACATAATCGTGTCAAATTCTCATCATGAACAACAACCAGAGAACCATCTTTGGTGGATCGAATGTCCATTTCTAGCATGTCCGTCCCAACATTGATTGCCCTACATATAACTTTTTAATTGGATTTCGTCTACTCTGCTTATCCTATTTAGTAAGTACATTTCCGTTTATTTTATTACTTTCGAAATGCGGATATCGTATTCTCATATGCTTCTCCACCCCCTGGAAGAAGACGTAATAAATTAAACATTCTTTATGCCAGTACGTACATACAGCGATAAATAAATAAATATACCTCCACGATGACTAATAGAAATACATCGTCTCGTAGACGAATAGATAACATTTTTTCTTTTCTTGAAATTATGAATAAGATTCGGATAACACCAAAAATAGTACGAAAATGACACGTGAAGTAATACCACAAGAAAAAACCAGTCCCACATTTTCAGTCTGATCAATGCATATGTAATTTATCCAATTGAGCATGCACAGTATAAATATTGTGTAATTAGACCCAGCTCTTGGCACAGGAAGAACCTTCTTCGTCATATAAAACTTTGGTCCACTATCGAATTCAGCTGCATACTATCCTCGTATTTAGGCGTGTCACCTCATTTGCATAAATCTTAATTTTCGGCAATACGGGCTTTCCATGTTGAATACATTTTATGTCTCTCGCGAAATGCGTCAAAATATGTAAATGAGGTGACCGCATATAAAAATTCGACAGTAGTGATCAATATTATTGTCCGGCGTTTCGTAATGCGTGCCATAGTTTTCGGTGGGTCCGGAGCCGTGGGAATTTCCATCCTAACCGCAATAGCCGAACGCAGGGACAAATTCCAGAACGTAACTCTTGTCCTACGACGAAAAATTGATAACTTGGAAACACTTTTCTTCCCGTCCGCACCAGGAGACGGTTCTTATTTTATTCAAGTTATTGTTGATAACTTCGACTCGCAAGATTGGATGACGGCAAAACAATTACAGACGGATTTTGATGTTGCATTTTACGCACTTGGGGGTAAACGGAGAGAGGTTAGAAAATTATAGTCTCCACAACTGTACATAAATTGCACTATTATGCATGAAATTAACAATTAAACATATTTTCACCTAGGTGGATTACGATACTTACAGAAAGATCGAGTTGGAGTACCCCAGAAGCATTATGGCTTTCCTGAAGCGTCGCAATGTGCAGGAAGTGCATTACATCTCGTCTTTTGGGTCATCCCCAACGTCGTTTATGTCCGTGCTGAGGTACAAATACGAGGCGGAGGGGATCATATCCAGGGCAGGAATCAAGTGCACGTTCATCTATCGAGTTGGTGGAGTGCTGACCCCAGACAAGAGAGGAATGCATGCTTTTCTCCAAGTATTGGCCAGATTCACGGATCCATGGCACAGTTGGAGTATTCCATCGGAAGTGTTGGGGAAAGCAATTGTTAATAATTGTTGTTCTGGGGCAGATTCCAGAGAGGAAATTGAGCTTCGAATTATTGAACATGATCAAATCATAAAGTTGGGAAGTGCAAATTAATAAAATGTTTTATTTTCAATATCATAAAAATTAGAAAAATTAATAATTATTCTGAAGCATTAAGTACTTAATAATTAAGTTGAAACAATTACATTATGCAAAATACTAAAAAAATAAATCCTAATGACGTCTCACAATCTCACAATTCAATTCAATTCAACGATTTACGTAACTTAAAAGGCTTATTATTGTGTAAATAATATTTATCAAAAATATACCTCACTGCTAAAATGTATGTATTCGTCTAATTCTCCACCAAACGAAGCTTACACGTTATCTTTTTCTCTGAAAATGCTTTCGGAGCAAAGTAATCTACAATAATTTCATTTGGATTTTCTATGATCAAGTCGAAATTCATAATAAAAAATATACATGCCGTCTTAATTTCGTTCAAGGCAAATAGTTTGCCTGGACATCCGTGGACCATATTTCCCCACCTAAAATTATTAGTAAAAAACTCATATATTCTCAAAATAACCCTTTCGTTAAAAGTTCCCATGTAAATAATGTTTTTGATTAATAATTACGCATTTATTGCTGGTGGACCCTGTGGCTCCTTCTTTTCCTTGTCAAAAAAACGCAGCGGGTCGAACACCTCAGGATTTTGAAAAATTTCTCCAGCAGAGCCATAAACCTGCATCAGAGAGCCGCACAAAATAACCGAATCCACGTTATCAACATAGTAGTCTCCTAGCACAATTCTGTAAAATCAAGATGTTTACTTAAATGCACACAAAAAAATGAAATTATCAAAATAATGGTTCCATCAACTCACGGAGATTTTGGTGTTCTTCCAATCGTAAAAATTTGTGGATTGATTCTAATCGATTCCATAATGCAACTCGTCAATAATTTGTTTCTCAAAAGATCAGTCCACTCCCCGGCAATTAAAGTTCCACGAATTTCGTCCCGTGCCCTCGCATACAACTCGGGATGGAGGGCGAGGTCAATAATTGCATTCGATAACGCTAACGCCGTGTTTTCCGAACTTGTGTAGAGCAAACAGACGAAGAGATCTCGAATATCGTCGTCACTCATGGATGACCCATCGTCACGTCGTATGTCGATGGCGTACCTATTTTTAAAAAATAATTATGTATTACACTTCTGGCAAATTATGAATATTTAAATTGTGAACATTAAAAAATCACCTTAAAAATGGGGACTCGTTCAACCCTTCGTCTTTTCTATATTTTGCAATTTCTGGCATAACGACTTTGCCCACTTGAGCCTTAAGTTTCTTTAGCGTCCTTCCATACGCAGTGAGAGAAGCCATGTCGGAACAAAATATGACGAAAGCATTATCTTATTAACGATCTGGCTAAAATCGTGTAAATCATCGAGATGATTTTGATTAATCTTAATCCCAGCGATACACCAAGCACTCGTTCCTGCCATGAAGTGGCCCAACTCTTTCACCAGGTCAAGTTTTTCCCCCAGCGACACCTGCAAAATGTTGGATTATTTTCATTCTTCCAGTAATTTTTGGTCTGTATAACAAACCTTTCCTCGCAACGATACAATTAATCGGGCAGCCTGTTCATGTATTTTTGGAAGAAATGTGTCAAATTTGTTCCCTAGTGAATTTTTGATAATGTTCGTAAAGTATTTGATGTCTGCGCGGTTTGGGAAGAAGGCATCGATGAAACCAAGCCTCTCCAAATTGTCGTACATGGACATTGTGCTCTCCGGTGTCTAAAAAATACTGAGTCAGTTATGTTATGCAGTATGCAGATATTTCGTAATTATAAATTAATAATTGCCGCACCTTATAAAACTCTGAGGCATAACCCCTGTCGCAAATAACGACCATGGAAAATCGAAATATCTTAATTTTGAAAATCTTCCCATATTTTTCATAACACTGTCGCACAAATCCAATGATGTCTTTGCTAAATGTTAGTCCATGACCGACATAAAAATAATTTCCAGAAACTGTTGGGACTGCTTGACATCCGGCAGGAATGCTTTTCCGAAACCACCTCTTCATTAAGACTACAAAGATCATGAGCAGAATTATGAAGGGTAAGTAGAGCAAGGGTTGCGCGAATCTGTGAAAGAAAGACTGCTTATAAATTAGTAAAAATTTGGTCATCATCAAAAATCTTACTTTGGTTCAATTATTTTCAAACTTTCCATCGTTTTAGTATCAAAGGTGTGTATGCTTTTTGGCAAATCTAATGTTTGTGAAGATGGTAAACTCATCGCTCAAGCGGAGTGGTGACCTTTTTGGAGGTTTAATGATCTTCTCGTCCAATACTTTAAAACACGTTCTCCTATTCTCGTTTACTATTTTTTGTTGAATACACAAAATTATAAGCTCCTATTTATTCATGCGATATAGAATTAAGGAGAATTGATTCTCGTCGATTTTTATCAACAATGACGTTCATTTTTGCATTTACTAATGAAAGCATGACCAAAAGCACATCGATTTAGCAAGGTTAAATCTCAGGAAGTTGCACGCTTTATTTATCAAAGTGAGGGAAAATACCATTACAAATTAATTACAATGTAAATGTAAACGACTTTTATCCGTCCGGTTTGATTTTTAATATGAACGAACGTCGGTCTTTGTAATATAAATATGTACGTGGGCTGGTCAAAATGCATGTTCATAAACAGTGATAACCATTAACATAAAATGTAACGTGTTTCACATTGACAGTAGTAACAATAGGTCATTGTAATCCGAATTGAAATATTAATTGCATTCCCTCTCATTCAAAAATATTAGGAGTTGTGACCCGTGTCAATTACGAAGAATAAATGGGAAATGCAAAATCACTCGTCTGCAGAAAAAGAACAATTGATTGAAAATCACGAAAAACGTTGCCAACTTTTTTGGCACTTTCACTCTTAGAATTGCAGAGTGAAAAAGAACGAGTAAAATTGCATGCTAATTCAATACTAAATATTCACGTTAGGATGATACTTTATTTTTAAATATTTAGTGCATTTCAGTATTACTTGCTGAAGATATACATATTTATACATTTTCATTTCGCGTGCTGCTTAACTCGCAAAATATGTGCATATTAATGGCTGGCACGTGGCACAATTAAATTTCCATCAAATGGAACATTTTGTCATATCCGTCCAAATCACACATAAGCGACACCAGAGTAAAGTTTCAGGGGCCAGCAGATAGCACAATAATGCCAGCACATGGCACCCCAATGAATACGTAGAGGCATTGATGGCTGGCACGTAGAACAATTAAATTTCCATCAAATGAGGATAACAGATTTCGATGTGAAATTTGTGGACAACGATTCATCCTAAAGAGTGGGTATAATCGGCATTTGAGGAGAAAACACGGCTAAATTAAAAGAAGTGTAGTGATACAAATACATAATTATCAGTTTTAATGAAGGCACTGTGCCATCAATTTATCCCACATAAAACGAAAATACAAGAATAAGGTACCGCCTCCATTGTAATAAAATTTGGCACGTGCCACTAGCTGTCAATATTAATTTGATTAGCACTTGTCTCAAATTTAGTTCGTGGTTGCCACCGAATTGAATTGAAACAGCTTCTTAATTCAGAATTAATAATTCCTATGCGAAAATATCTAAACTTTTCTAATTAAATCTGGAAATATATAAATATATAAATTGCAGCACTAAAAATGGAGTCCGCTACACTCATCCTCCTGCTACTAGCATTAATTTCAATTTTCATCTTCCTCATAAAATTTGCAGCCCCAAAGAAAAAGACTACAATGAACCACAAGGTTCCTCCCACTGTTTCCTACTCGTTGCCAATATTTGGACACGGCATTTACATTTGCTTCTATTCCCGACAATTCTTCAAACACTGCTATTCAAAATATGGCGACGTGTTTCAAATAAAAATATTCTCCAAACTTGTCACCGTCGTCTGCAATCGGGACCTCGTTTCAGAAATTTGTAGCTCAAGTGAAACCCAACTCTCATTATATAACCATTGGCAACGAACATTCGTCGGGATGACGAACGGACTAAATGTAAAAACAAGTACCCCCATCATTCGAAAAGCTACCGTCAAAATTGGCACCCGCCAAATGGGGTATTCAGTCCTGCCCGATGCTTATGAATTTATGGACAGAATTGAATTCCAATCACAAAATTCAAAGGATAAGATTGATCTGAATCTGGAGATTTCTCGCTTTGTTATCAAAGCAACGGCATCCGCTCTCTTCGGGATGGAATTCATATTTATAATTTATCACAATCGGAGTGCAAATTGCTTTTATAGAAGATCATTTTTAGTCCCAGAAGGAAGTGAAAATGAGCCTGTGGACGCAGCCACGTTGCAAAAACTGTTTCTCGACCTCCTACAGAAACCCTTTGAGCAGAACAAACCACTTTGGGATCTCAGCATCGTCAATCACGTACAAAATACGGCCATATTCCTCCGAATGCATCATATTTTAGCGGATGGATATTCCATAATGAATATGCTACAAAATGGGCTACTAGAATTTGAGGAAGGGATTCAAAACGTGGCTAAGCCATCGGCGGAAACGACTAATCGCAACATATTTCAAAAAGGTCTGGTCTGGATTCTCTACCCGTTTCACTACATGTACGAAAGCATAGGGACGAACGAGGCGTATTTAGATACTGCCAGTGCCAACACGGAAACTCGGAGGCAGCCTGATAATCCCGATAAATTAGGTAATCATATAACCAAGTATATACCGATAATACAATTTTCATTTTATTATTGAGATGCAGACCGCAAGCGGCGTCTCCTCGTCCAAGTTTCCGATTCGGTGCCTATAAGCTACCTAAAAGCGATTAAAAACCATTACGGCGTAACATTCACCAGTGTCTTGCTCTCCACATTTGCCAGATCTTTTAAAAAAATCTTGCCAAAATCTTATACCGCGTCGTACGTCGCAACATACGTCGTCATGCCTTCCCCCAACCATGGAGACGATCTCAGCAACGAAATGTACATGCATAATTATTTACTAGATTGTTATTACTCTCATAAAGTGCTCTACACATATTCCCATTGAAATACATATGCATTCCAGGTCTTCTGGCACAGCTTATCTCACCTTGACTGAGAATAGCGATGAGAAACACCTCAAGCTTTGTCACCAAGAATATGAATCGATTAAAAGTTCTACGGTACCGCTCGGGAATTCCATCATGATAAAACTGATGGGCGGATTGCCTCTCCCACTTTACGAGGGCCAAGCAGGAACACAAACGGTGATCAAGGCTGCAATTGGCAACTTTCCTGGACCGAATGCGTGTGGCAATATGAAGGGGAGAAGACTTGTAGATTGTTTCTTCTCTGGTGGGCTTTACCCTGGACTAGGTAACCTTCGCAATTGCAGCAATTTATCAAAAATGCGAGCATACATATAATCTTGCAAAATTGCATTCAGAATTAAAAAATAACTTGTTTAATTTATGGATTTCCGAAATTTCCATTACATAAAACCGTACCGATAATGAGTCATCTTTCAACTTATCTAGATTTGGACGTGAGCGTGCTAAGTTACAATGATTCCATTCGATTTTGTATCCTGGGTGATGGAGAAGCTGTCTCACAACTACAAATGCAGATATTAACAAGTGGCATGGTTTTGCACTGTAAAACATTATATGAAATGTCCAAAAATATTTAACTTTTAGTGGGAAGTAAATTTGTGCAATTGCATAAAATACAGTAAAAGTCAAATATGATTTTATTCCAATTACTTACAACTAAATAAACATTTATCTAAACTGTAATATGTTTTATAGTTAGTTCTTTGTGGCCATTAAAATTTGACTACCTGTAAAATAATCTGTACAAGATGAAGGCTAAAAAGTTAGTTCCAAACACGAAACCCAGTCCGCCAAGAATTACATTATCCTGATCTCGACAAACTAGTACCCCATCGCTTAACTTTTCACACCTTTGTCCCACCCCACAATCGTAATCCTTCCCACAAATGCAGTAATCATGCAAAGCACACCTCTCCATTTCCGGGTCGACGTCAGCCTCACCAATCTCCCCAGTCAGTCTCCTACCAAACTTGTTAAGAAAGACGCCGTCCGGATCAAAGTTTTTCATCTCCGCAATAAAATTGTCTCTATTTTTCTTGAGCACATTTTCCCCCAAGAAATGCAGCCCATTTTTCCCCCAGTGAGGAATCCCGTCAAAGTCTCGCACCATCCTTTGCAAAATAGCTTGAAATGTCCCCAGTCCCACGACGGCATCCAAGTGCCTCCTTGTCCTCAACGGGTTCACCCATTCCACGCTGAACGTCTCTCTCCCACTCGACAAGGACAGGTATGCTTCAGACTTGGGCATAAATCTGATCAGGATTCCGGACATGTAGAAACACGTGGGCATTTCCCGTAGCGTGTCTTGAATCATGGTCATCACTCCTTTGAAATGCTTGGTGTCAAACGCGATGGCAGATTCCGTCCCGCCCACGGTCGCCCAGGGATTGTCCCACCAGCACGTTCCAGGTCTGCATTGGCTTGACAGGAGACGCCAACCTATTCCCACGGCGGGATTTTTAAACGTGCCCCCCTCTTCGTAAAGTGGTCTTGCTGTGGGGATACTTTTAAGTAAGAAATCTCTCATGTATCCCTCCAAGATGGTCAATCCTATCTGAGCCCAGTTACAAAATTCGTAGAGGACCGCAGCAAATCGGGCAGTGTATTGGGTGACTTCGGTAATCAGGTTGTTAGTAGCGTTACCTTCGAAAGTGGTATTTTTGAGAAATGGTAAATAATTTCCCTTGGCGACCACGACTTCCTGCAGGGATGGGAACCACCAGAGTTGGAAATGATCATATTCTCGCGCCCATTCTAGGGCCTTCCCACTCGTTAATATATCTATTTCTTCCACACTGTTTTGAATAGACATTTTGAAAATGGGGACAATTTTTAACGTGACTTTGACCACGATTCCAAGAAGTCCCAAGTTAACTCGGAATGCTTTCAGTGTTTTTGTATCGTTTATGTTGACCAGTTCACCAGTTCCGGTAACAACTTGAAGCCCGATTATTTGATCTGAAATTGATGCTGGGTGTTTGAGAGATGATCCATGTGCGCCCGTTGCTATTGCACCGGCGAGAGTGATCCCTCCTTGCATAATTTGTAAAAAAAATATTGTGAGTAGAATATTCTGTTGGAAAAATTGTATGAATTTCTTACTGTAAATCGGGATATTAATCAAAGTACGATTCCTTTCTTGTAAGAATAATAAAACTTGGTCCAATTTTATGCCAGCCTCAAAAGTTGCAGTGTTATCTTCGTGGTAGTACTTTTTGGTCAAAAGTTTCAGTGATATTGGAGTACCGTCCGTACAGATGATATCCGTTATGGAATGTCGTGACCCTATCGCTTTGATAGGTACGCCATCCTTCCTCGCGTTTTTTACTAGGCGAACGACATTGGATATGCTTGAGGGATATTGTATTGCGGTTTTAGGGTAGCAGATAACCGAGCTTTGATACGAGTGGTACGCATATTTCGGATCATTATTGCGTGTATTTCTGTAAATTAAAGATGTACACATTTACTTACTTATTACAAAATGAATTAAGCATCGACTTAAATATCTTAATGTTTTTGACTTACATGGCAATTTGATCACAGGAGGTCCACATATTTTTTGGAATTAGAACGAAAAATGTGAAGATCAATTTACAATTTATATTTTTAGCACCCATGCTTTAATTGATCAGTTATAGAAATCAAATTTACAATAAACAATTTAGTCTATTTAGAATATAATGCATACTTTCAAGTTTTATATATTTTGGTAAAGAAAACAAATATGTACTTAAAAAATGTATGTAAGCATCAACTCAGGATCAGCTTATACATTCATTTTACTGGGTTAAAAATATGCACATAGGAACAATTAAATATATTTAATGTGCTTTTGACTGGAAGTCTATGGGGTTAAATTTAATGCACCACCGAATAAGATGAAATTTGCCAAAAATTTTAGTTGAATTCACCACCGGATGAATTTTTTCCAACTTTAGCCTTTTTAGCCACCGATTTAGATGGTGGTTACCACAAATTTAGATGAGCTGCCATCACCATATTTCATGACGATAAAACATGGGTATACATATTTGTATTTATAAAAAAATATATAATCACCATAATGTCAAGAAATCATGCTGATTTCCTTTTGCATGTAATTATGTGTGTATATATTTGTATATCATTGACTAGACTGGGTAGGAGAAGTGACGTATGTATTTATTACCTTTCACCTTACCTTTCTTGACACTGAATCCTCTCTTTCTGAGGAAAATTCTGCCAAATTTTAGAAACGCAAGCCCATTTGCGTCTAATATTCCATTAGAGATTAAAAAGGATATCCGACTTAACCGGATTAATCCAATCCGAATCCGACAGGGTAGGATCGGATCGGATTTTTTATGACCCGACCAAGTCGAATCGGATCAGATTGGATTTTTAAAAACATCGATCCGACTACATTATAGAGAGCAGTACTTAGGATATAGAATGTAACCCGATTAATCCAATCCGAATCCGCCATGTTCGGATTGGGTCGGATTATTTTAGGATCCGACCAGGTCGGATTGGATTTTTTAAGGATCCGAGACAAGTCGGATAGGATCGGATTGGATTTTTAAAAACATCGATCCGACTACACCCTGGTTTCCTGTGCTAGTAGTGGGGGTCTCTTAAAAAACCGAACTTTTCACCCAACCAGTATTGCCGTAACGGCTGGATAGATATCTATTGTAGGGATTGGATATCCCCCACCCGACGATCCTACTACTCGGCACACGGAAGCCACCGTGGCCGAGTTCGACTGTAAAAAGGAAGAACCTCTCTCCAGCTCAGACAGACCGACCCGAGGATTCCGAGTGTGAACACCTCCACAACTCTTCTCTCCATATTTTCTTGCACCACGCCTTCTGCGTGGCTGCCATTTTGGAAATACATTATTATAAAAAATTAAGTTCCTAAAATTCATTTATTGTACACGTTATGATCGTTTAATGTAAGGAGTAAAGATTTCTTAAAACCTTGTCAAGTGAAACTTATTGTGTGCACCGATATTGAACAGTTTATTCGGGTCATTGTTCATAAAAAATCGTACATTGAGTCGTGCTAGGTGCAGTTTAGTATAGAAACGGTGCATAAGTGGAAATCGGAGTAAAAAAAAACAATACAGTATTTCTAATTGCCAAGCGAGAGACAATTCATCCTCCTCCCCGTGCGTCGTAGCTCCCATCCGGCTACCCCCCTGTGGCCAGTGAAGGTGTCCCGTGATCAGAAGCGTGTCGCATCCGTCCCCCAAGGACCCTGACGTCCGGTACTCGATGACTCGCGCCCATATTCCCCTACCGAGCCCACGGCGACATCATCTTCTCCGCCCACACTATAATAGATATCTAGCAATTTTAAATTTCTGTTGGAAGGTCTGAAAAAGGGGACGAAAGAAAATAATTGGATAAAAAATTCAGAATCCGATTTATGATGTTAGACCGGAAGCGTAAGAATTGTAAGGTTGCGAAAGCTAAAAAAGCGCTCATTGTTATTTAATTTCACGTGTATTGTTAAAAAAGACGTGTATATAGATGTATTATACTATAAATAAATCATATTATTGTAAATTATATTGTTTTTATATTCCTATAGTCATAAAATATGGTAATGACAGCTCATCTAAATTTGTGGTAACCACCATCTAAATCGGTGGCTAAAAAGGCTAAAGTTGGAAAAAATTCATCCGGTGGCGAATTCAGCTAAAATTTGTGGTAAATTTCATCTTACTCGGTGGTGCATTAAATTTAACCCAAGTCTATGGTGCGATTGGCTGGTAATGTTAAAGGTACATATTTATGTTTCTCTCAATCTGGTCTAACGTTTAACCCAAATTCTGAAATAATTTTTTCATATAAATCTTGTCATTCTGTATCTGCCAAAAAACTATTGGTCGCATTCACTGCGTTGTATATACCTACATAATGAATAAAAAATGTGTTGATTTGGTTATAATTTATAAACATGGAAAGATTTATTCATATCTGTTATTTATAAGTAAAATTTCTGAATCGAATTGCTTATTTCACACGTTATTTCCAAGCATTTTAATTTCCGAGTGACACAGCTCATAGTTTCCCTTTCGTCTTGGAAGTAATGAATTTACAACCACCGCTCTTCCCACAACATCCGCATCGATATTTAGAAGACGCCAAAAATCAAAATACTTTGCAAATCGTTGTTGAACTGGGTGCATCATCCCTCGATATCCGGGCGCAATCACACCACCCATTTTGTAGATGAACGTGCAATCAAATCCCTTCTTTTCCAGGTATTCCTCAGTCTCGTACTTCATCCTTTTATGGATCAACCACGAGTTCTTATGGACAAACATGCATGAAATTAAATGCACCGAAGGTGTTGTTCCGCCGTTTGATAACATGTCCAGAATTTCGGATGACAGTTCAACCTCAACTTGATGATAGTATTTTGCGTCAACCTGGGTGAATGAGCACTTTATAAATTTTTTGATAATATGTTTGCAAATTAGATTTGAATTTTAATAAATATGTGGGCTTACTTTCCTTGAACTGACCCCGATTGCGTAGAAAGCGGTATCAAACCGTTGCTCGATTACGTGCCTAAAGTCTTGAATTCGTTCGAAATTAATAATGTGGGTCTCAAATTTGGAAGGGTTGAGCAGTTCCAGCTGGAGTCTTCTTCTAACCACGAGCGTTGCATGAGTGTAGGCCTTGGCGTCGTCTAACGCCCGGATTATTGCAGTCCCCACAGCACCGGTGCCACCAAATACGATTGCACGCATTTAGTTATTAACTTTTGATGGGCCTGTAATTGATTGAATTTGCGAAGAGTTCAAAATATATTCTGACTAAAAAATTATTTTCTGTTGGACTATTTAAGGGAATGAAATGGCGAGTTGAACAATCAGTTAAATAAGCACGAGTCAAACACTGCCACATGAGCATTGAATAATATAAGCTTTACTTGTATAGTGTAACGTTGTGGCCTATTATTATGTGTACATAGCTGCTTTTCTTAAGGTGAAAAGATTTGCCAGTCAACAGCACTTTTTTCAGGCAAGGCTCTACACATTTGTTTGTATAATGCTGTTATCTATAAATGATTTATTAAATTAATTGGGCAACAATGCCCTTTGGCTGTAGATTGTAAAAACTGCCTTCAAATGTGATATTCGTTTATGTTCATCACATATCTAATATGCAAATTTTGTATGAAAGATTACATGATTCATGATATGTCTACAGTACGAAGTCAATGATCACAAAGTTATTTAAGCCTAATTTTTCGAAAAGCGAAGCTAATTGGATGCATTAAATTTATCGTAAATATTTCATGAATCGGTCAAACATAACAGTACATATTTTTATTAGTACATTAATCGTATCTGTGAATGATCAAAAACTTCCAGCCTTTTTTCCTTCATTTCTTTTCCTTTCATGGTCAAAATATTGGACACAATTGCCCTTCCCAATCGTTCCGTTTCAATATTTCCAAACCGAAAAATGTCCAAATATCGGAAAACAATCTGCCAAAAGACGTGCATCCCACGCGAATCCCAGCTCAGGACGCCTCCCGGTTGATAAATTGAAACCGATCTGAATCCTGCGTCCTTCGCGACCTGTTCATAGGAATGGGTTCGGATCGGATCGGATCGGATTTTGGGGTCTTCGGATCAATCCGACTCGGATTATACCGGGTATCGGATTGATCCGAGGCGGATTGACCGACCAATCCGATCCGATTCGGATCAATCCGACGGATTTCGGATCGGATTGGATTACTAAACCGGTTATATCGATATAAATCCAATACTTACAATAATTACATATGTACATATGTAATACATATTATGTATACCTACTTAAGAGAGGATAATAATACTCACCAATATGCCTTACATATATACAAGGTTCAATAATTAATTATTAGTATATGGTTACTAAAAACCGACAAAGAAATCTAAATTTCACCCTACATATTAAACAGGCAATAGTTAATAGTTGGGGCAAATTAAATTGCATGATGGATAAACTTTTCTATCTCACACAATGGCCACGATAACAGCCTGAAAATTTGCAGGGTAGTAGCCCAGAAATATTGGGGTTGGATGCAATTGTCACAATTTTTGACCCAAAAGGTCAAGTTTCATGACGATATGTTTCTTTAGAGGCTTTACATATTTTTATCGATAGCGCAGCGAAATGTGAACACTTTTGATATCTTGTACTATACACTTCCGTGCGATTTTTTAAACAAAATTTGTTAGCGAATTTGTTAATAAGGCGAGTTTTGACAAATTTTTAAAATTCGCCTAATTAAAAAATTCACTACTTCAAAAAATCGTCCGGAAATGTAAAAGATATCAATATGTTCAGATCCAGTTGAGCTATATATTTGTCAAGAAATAAAGGCCCAAAGCAAAGCAAGTCACAGCGAGAAGAAGCGCGCTTCTTAGTCAAAAATAGTGACCTTTACTGTTTTTGAAACTTTTCAAAAGTAGGGACGTGATCCAATCACATTATTTCTGGGATTGCACCCTGCAAATTTTCAAGCTATGATCGTGGCCATCGTTTGAGATAAAACAGTTTATCCATCCTACACTTTAATTTTCTTCAGTAATTAATAACTAGTTACCGGTCACCAAATATTATAAGCTTGAAAAAATCTAAAATGCTTCATGACAGATTATTTCGTAGTGTTTTCGAACGACCAAATAACCTCTTAGAAAATTTATCATGGAATTGCGACTATTAATATTAGCTGAACAAGAATTTTTGACTTTGCCCAATCAATTTTAGGCGCATGTGTTGACAAATTATGTTACAGGTAGGAGAGAGAGAGATGGTTTTTGAAATCTGTCGTAATTTTTCAACTATTTGGGTGAAAAACTGTGGGGTGAATAGAGGAAGCAAGCCGGATTGATCCAAATAATATAATCCGAAATCCGATCCGAAATCCGATGGAAAGCCTCGGATTGATCCGATCGGATTTTTTAACCAATCCGATCCGACCGGATCGGCCTCGGATCAAAAAAATCCTTAATCCGATCCGACATAATCCGACGGATTAGGATCGGATCGGATTACCCATTCCTACCTGTTCAGCTTCTGATTTTATCCGCAAATACGGAAATATTGATGTCGAGGAAGCATACCGGGCCGAAACGTAGTGCAATTCTTCAATCCCACATTCCGTCAAGAGGAGCAATAATTTTATCAAGCAAGTTTTATCTCCGTATATTTGTACGTCTCCAAACTATCCTGAAATTTGAAATTTCACTCTGTAATTGCATTTAGCAGCTAACCCAATTAAAAATTAAGCATACAACTCACCCTTCGATAACTCGCACTCAAGGAATACACGGCGCAATCAAAGTTTCCTGACTTAATAAACCCACGGTAGCTGTCAACATCTTCCACGTTGACAACTTTTTGTGTAATTTTTTCAAAGTTTTCCGCATCATTCGATTTCGGGAGTAAAATCTGTCTACGCTGAATGAGGCAAACTTTCCTGATTTCTTTGCGCTCTGCCAACGCTTGGACCACGCCCGCCCCAACCACGCCTGAGCCACCGAAGACGACAACGCTTTTTCCTACCATTTAGTTGGAGTTGCTCTCAGATTTTTATATATCGAATTGCAGAAAATTTGTATAAATATGATCAGTAAAACTATGAGTTGCAATTTGTCATATGAATGGGAATCATAACACAATGCAATATTTCGTGCAGGAAATTTACTATCCTCACAATGGCACCAAAACCCAATAATGCCAATACTCGTACATACGTAGGCAAATCACAATCAGCTCCTGGCACATTCTTCTATTTTCCACTTTTGGGCACTTCCTTTCTCCATTTCTCAAAGTCGTTTGTCAAGAAACGTCTCAAAATCATTTATTAATTTCCCAAAAATGGAGCTTTTAACACTTACCTGTATTTTTATAGTGTGCTTTGCTATATCTAAAATTTACTTGAAATATGTTTCCACCTCTGCATATTTTGAGACTCGTGGCATTCCATTACATGGGTTTGAGCCTATTCGTGTACTTAGAAACACATATCATGGAATTGGTCTGAGTGAAGATACTTTAGAGAAATATAGGCAAGTTAAGGCCAAGGGTGCAAAAATAGGCGCTAGGTATGCAAATAATAATAATAATTTTAGTATATGTGTGTACATATATAAATTTATTGCATATTGATTTTATTGCATGAACTAGTGTGGATTTTAGCCAGAAAGCGTACCTAGTCTGTGATCCCGTCATTTTGAAACACATCATGGTTAAGGACTTCAACCACTTTATGGATCGCCAGCTTTTTGAGGTGCACAAAGAGGACTTTCTCTTACAAAAAATGTTGTTGGTATTGACAGGTAGGTAGAAAAAATATGCTAACGTGTCATTTTATAAATGTATGTATGTACCAACTTCATTATACCCTTGCCTGCTTTTTATCAATAGGTCGACCATGGAAATATGTGAGAACAAAATTAAACCCTGCATTTTCTTCTAGAAGCATACGTCGACTTTTCCAAGCTTTTGATGACTCTGGCAAAAAATTTGTCGAATTTCTTGAGAAAACCCCGAAAAATGGGGGAGAGCTGGATTTAACAATCGCTATCGACAAATTTTTAACGCATGTATTTGGAAGCGCTACTTATGGCATTGACAGCAAAGCCTTTGACCAAGAAGGACCATCAGAATTTCAACACCACGGAAAAGACGCCTACATACATTTCCACGGACTAAAGGGTATTAAAATCTTCCTTCTTGCTGCCCTTCCAAAACTGGGGTATAAATTAGGCTTGACCTTTCTCGGCCGGGATAACCAAACATATTTCAACAACGTATTTCAATCAGCCGTAAAAGATCGTTTGCAATCCAACACTAGCGGAGAAGATTTCGTGCAACTCATTCTCGAAGGTAAGGAGGCCACAAATTTGGAAAAAAGTGAGGACGAAGACGACGAAGAGTCCAATACGTCGTACAAGAAACAGCTTGCACTCGAAAATCACGAGGTTTTTGACGACGAAGGCATCGCCACAAATTGCCTACAATTTATGCTTGCAGGATTTGAAGGAAGTCAGAGCTTACTGCTATTTTCCGTCTATGCGTTAGCCCTCAACCAAGACATTCAGACAAAGTTAAGGCAAGAAGTACTGGCTGGACTTGAGCAGGACGGAGGCGAATTTACATTTCAAACCGTTAATGGGATGGAATATTTGGAAATGTTTGTAAAGGGTGGGACAAATAAAATGCGACAATTTTATGCATTACAGAACAATATGTAAATACATCCAATGTATTTTCTCGTTTAGAAGCGATGCGTTACTATTCAAGCGCTGGTGTCACGGCTCGTTCATGCGTTATGGACTACACTTTCCCTGGGACCAATATTACAATTAAGAAGGGCGAAGGAATATTAATCCCAATAATTGGATTGCATCACGACCCAGGCAAGAACTTTGCAACCTTGTAAAATTAGGCAGATTTATTCATGGACATGATTGATCTTGTTAATTTCACACAATTTCAGAGTACTTTCCAAACCCGGAAAAGTTTTCGCCAGAGCGTTTTTCCAAAGAGAATAAGCCTAACCTCGTTCCAAACACTTTTATGCCTTTTGGTGGAGGGCCGAGAGATTGCATCGGTATAGATGCGTGTAAAATTACTTGATCAGATTCCAGTTAACGCATGTTTTACTAACTATATTTTTGAAAACCTTCAGGTCGACGATTTGCCGTTATCGAAGTGAAAGTCGCTCTCTGTCACTTGGTGAAGAACTTTGAACTCGTCCCATCAAAGCGAACTCTGATTCCGCTCCAGTTTTCAGACGGACTTCAGAGAAAGCCGAAGGGAGGCATGTTTCTCGCTCTGAATAAAATAAACTAAAGAGGAATTAAATAAAATTAATTTGCTTTTGAATTTCTTCTGTAAATTCGTAAATTCTGTAATTCAAGAAAATAGTTCTCGGGAAGCATTAATAAAGATATTTGCAATAACATTTTATTCTTTGAGATTAGTTAATTGTAATACTTTTGATAATTGGAATGAAAATCTAAATCTAAATGAATTATGCTGTTAAGCTGTAGATTTATAAATATTATATGTATGTACATAATTTTCTGGGATTAGACAACGTGCAAAATATAATAGGTAGATAAATACATATGAAAATAAATTAAATTTGATCCCAATTCCCAATTTTTCATTTACTACTTCATAAGCAAGAAGTCCATAGTTTCAACGGTGCAAAATTCCTGAATTACAAGAGGAGTAAGACAATCTACGAAATTTTCTCCAAACCAGATCTTCAAGGGTTCCATGGATCTCAGAATTTTTCTTTTGACCTTTCCGTTACAATCATTCTTCTCCACGTTCCTCTTGACCGCCGTCAACCAAGCTTTGCTCTTTCCATAAACCATTCCTGAACAAGTAAAGTACACAATCATCGTATCCACCATTATAATTACAGCAAACACAAAATGTGCCATGCTCATCGAATCGGAATGTCTCAAAACAATGAAGGATGTCACAACTTGCATAATTGGAGCGATTGACAAATGCTACAGTTGCAAAAATCCTGTTTCGCACGCATGAATTTAGCAATGCTCCAAGCACCTGCAATTTGCGATAATCTGTTGTGAAATTTATCTTTCGAAAAATTAGCACAGATTCTTCCATCAGATATATTATGCCTGAAAGAAGAATGTAAATTCCGTAGAAGAAAGAAATCAGTATTATGCAGAGATTGAGGATTGATTCCACAGCAGCCAGAAGAACCCTGATTATGATTATTGATATAATTGTAAGAACTTCGTCGTTCAAATTGACATGACACGTGGGGAGGATTAGAGATCCCAAGAATGGCAGTTGACATGGTCGAATTAGCAGAAGTACTCCTATGATACATGGAATTATGACCAAGGTTGACTCTGCCAGTTTGTACCCCAGTCGGATAATTCTTGCAAGTAGTAGTTCAGAGACAGTCGGAGCTTCTGAAATCATAATCAGTATAGTTTTAAAAGTTTTTTTGTATTTTTTAGAAAAAAAATTATTTACTTGTTCCATTTGATTGATCTGTTTTACAAATTGTTCTCAAGAGGAGTATGCAACTTTGGTCTGGAGTCCACTCAAATCGTACTACGAGTACAGCAATGTATGGGAATGTTATCAGGTTGATTGAATTCTTGCCATGGATGTTGATGCCGATCCAAAGATTGAAATCAGTTGAAGAAATATGTGTATCAAATTCAACAAGGTTGTAAACCGGACAAAGTTTTGGACATTGTTTGAAGAAGGAGTTACTCGTTGTTTCGAATAGTCCCATGTATAGTGAAGGCATCGAAATTTGTTGGCATACAAAATATGGCGTTTTAAATGCGGGGTAAGAATTTCGGAAATCATCTGGCCAGTTTTAAACCAGGGCAAAATTTTGCATGGGAGGATGTCCTCTTTTAGCTTTGAATTTCTAAGAGAAGTAGTGATTCGCAGTTCTCTACTTGCATTCCAAACCGACGATTCCACTGGGTTCATCATATTTAGCATTCATTATTCACAGCCACGTGCAAAGTACATATTGACTTATTCTATAAAACCATTTCAATCATGCAGTAAACTGTCAAAATTGTAGTTATACATAAAATGAAAACCGTGATCTTGGATATCACACTTAGGATTAGGATAAATTTGAAGAATATACATACATAAGGTATATACATAACTAAATAAATATTTGGCGTTCACATAAGTAAATAAGATAACTTTGTTCATGGGACACAGCGATATTGTAGAATACTGAGAGTAGTTTCGGTAGTTGAACATGTTTACTTTGTCGCATCCTGTTTCTAAGGGATACGGGTTACTTGTCGAATCCTATGTCGTCGAAATCAACTTGTCGAATGAAAAACTCGTCAGAAAGGCAAGTCGTCGAATTTAGGTGGCATGAAACTCGTCGAATTTAGGTGGCATGAAACTCGTCGAATTTCATGTAACATTTTTACTGATTTTACACTCCGACCGGGCTCATTCCATCTGAACCCACACAATCTTCGTCGCACCCACATGTGATATCTTGTCCACAATCTTATAATAGATGCATAATATAAAATAAAACATATCATAAAAATCAAAATTTGAAAATTAATTTTCCCCGCAAAGAAACAGCAGTTGAAACAAAATTTGGAAATGCATTCATAATGGTTTCGTCGCGAAAGTGTAGATTCAACGGGGTAGGTTACATTTACGGATTTTATTCATTTTTTATTCTTTGATAGAAAAAATTTTCAAAAATTCCAAAATTCGAAAAAATCCGAAATTTGAAATGTATTGAAAAACTCATTTATCAAGAAGACGGACAAAAATCGCTTATAGGGAGATAAGCCAATCGATGCCTTTGGGCCTGAGGAACCAAAAACGTTTAAAACCTCACGCGATTTTTGTCCGTCTTGGAGTTTTGCCGATTTTTCGAAAAGATAAAATTAACATGGGCTGCTTGTGTAGACAGCAGTAAATAATTCTGTGTTCCTACGTGGCCGGGAACATTGACAAAGCAGAAGTTGTGTGGTGTTCTCTTACAAAAGAGAGGAAAATACATGGCCAAACCCAGCGAGCAGGGTTTAGCACCTCTATTTTCTGGTACTCGATCAAACGTGTTGCTTACAAATGGAATGAGCCACCGGTAAAACCAGGCCACCTAATATTTTTCCTAATTTCTCAACGGCCCTTCAATATATTTAGCTGTTTCTTTCGCCATTAAGTACTACAGTGCCTAGTAGTCTTGTCGTAAATTTTCCTTAAAATTAGTGCAAGGGCGGAGGAATTATCTAATAATATGTTGAAATCAGGTGGCCAGTAAAACAAGGACACTTTTGGAATTATTTCCACTTTAATTAGTAATGTTGTGCTTTGTCAATTATCTTTTACCTCAGTATTCGGTATAATTACCCCCTTTATTGATAACAGAACAAAATCGATTCTTCATTTACCCCACGTGCTTATCTACAACAATGATTGGCATTGAATCGCATGCAACAGGGATTGCTTGTTTCCGTTCCAAAACTATTGAATACGGTCGACTATTAGCATAACCCTGATGCAATAAATATCCCCACATAGTTTCAATCAGATTTAGATCCAAACATCTCAATGGCCAAGGCAGAATGTTGATATCCTTGTCTTGGAACCATTTCTTTGATCACCGAGGTGCATAATATAAGGTATTATCTTGTTGAAACAGCCGTTTTTCTTCCAAATTTTGGTTTCCGAGGAACATCCGAGGTCCATGGACCATCTGAAAATTGGTCCATGGTCCATGATGGACCATTTTGGTCCAGTGGACCATGGTCCATTGCGAGTTATGGTACAGTGTACGATCCATCAATGTTTCCAATACTCTTCTGAAATGTGCACCAAAGTGTATTAGATAATATTTCCAGAACCAATAATGCAGTGGAGGCCTGGAACAGGCGGTTTGGCATTCTTTCTGAGAGTTATTTTGAGAGAGAATGTTATTTTATAAAACTATAATTTATATTTAGAATCGTACTTTATTTAAAAAAAATACTTTCGACAAGTATTATTTTCGACCACTTGCCCAAGCGACGAGTTACCCTTCAGACGACTCGTCCTCGACGAGTTACTCTTTCGACGACCATGTTTTCGACGAGCTACCCTAGACCCGTTTCTAACGAGACAATTTAACTAAATGAATAGCGTCCTTAGCATATAATCATTATGAGCATTTACATATTAAATAAATAAGGTTAAAAAGAGGCTTAAAGAGCCTCCTTTACAAAATTATTAAATTTGATTACGAACATGTCACAGTGTGATCATTTTTGTCTCAACTACGACTTGAATTTAATAATGTAAGAAGAATGAATGTACTGCGGATGAATGTCGACAAGTCTAAAAATTCAAAAGATTGGGTCTACAAAACTTACTTAAATAAGTACGTAGAGTATCCGATCTGCTTCGTTAGCAAAAAAAGTCAAATAACGAATCTCGTTGGGTGACTATTTTGGTAGTTCCTGGAACGAAATAACAAGCTACCTTCAATACACATCCGTCTTAATTTACAGAGTTTCCATGTAATGGTTCTACATACATAGGCCCAGAGCCAAAAGTTTGCTTTCTCTCGCAATATTCGCGACGAGAAGAGAAAGTCAGCCAGCCATAAAAGCGAATTGTGCTCTACAAAAGAACTTTCCCTGCTTGCCAACTTCCTCCATTCTCGTCTCCCATGTAATGATAGGCTTTGAATTCAACACTCGGAGAAGATCGATATAATACCGTCACATAAGCTGTCTTATCTCATTTATTTCGTACTCGTCCTCCCAACCCACTTTCTCGAAGATCTTCCTTTGTGAATCTTTCAACTCGTCACTTCGTTTCAAGTTACTTGACAATCAACATGTCCTGATTCTCCAGCCCATCAAAGCAACCAAGCAGAAGCACCTTTTGTGAAGCCCAGGTAAATATCCTAAAACCTAAATACACGAGTTGAATAATGGAAGACGTTCTGAATAATGAACTGGTAAGATGAACTGCAAATTAGTACTATTCAAAAATTTTAAATTGCTCAATTTAATTTGCACATTTATTTACTTTTCAGTACATCAAAAAAATCCTGTCGTTCTCTTCACTTAACGAGCTAAAGATTTGCTCCTTGCTAAATTCCAAGTGGAATAAGGAGGCCGTTGAGAGACTTCATGAAATATCCACTACTCATCTGAATCTTGATTATTCCAATAATCACGCCAGACTTCGGGCATACTTACGAATGGTGGAATGTGCCGGTGGTCGAATTGTAACTCAACATCCCAATCTGTCAGCTCGACTAAAGTTTGAACCCAGGTCGAGAGAGGAACAGGACGACACGATTTTATTCCTGGTCGACGCATTTCTGAAATTCGGGCAAAATGTGAGAACCCTTTTGATCAGTGTGGATTTTAATAAAGGGTAATGAACAAAATTATCTTTGAACTATTTATACATTTATATGTACGTACTTTTATAAATGTTTAATTGTTACTGTTGTTATTATTGTTAGCTTACCAACTCGAGCACAATATATGGAATTGTTCTCCACCCTGCAAAACATAGAACGACTTCGGGTTTCTTTACAAAATGAGACGTGTCTCCAGATTTCATCATATTATCCGTTCTACTGGAATCTGCCCTCCTTGAAAGAGTTCTGGTTTGAGTTTTCTGGCCAAATTGAGGGAAGCGAAGTGTTATCCCGTGTTATTGTAAATCCATTAATCTCATCTGCCAAACAACTGACAACCCTAATTTGTGAGAGGTACGATGTCATGAGACCAATTCTGCGCGAAGTCAAGAAGCTCGGTAGGCTGGGGCAAATTGAAGAGATTGTGACGGGGTCACCTCCACCAGGCGTTGAACTAACGGATTCTATCCTTCTTAATGTTCCTCACTTGAGCCATATCGAGCTAATTATCAGGACGAGTAAAGATGTTTCTTCGACCAACGTGATTTTGACCGAATACGCAGATAGGCTGACAAGCTTGTGCTTAACATTGGAAGGAAGTTCTAATGACGAAAATGTCCTGATTTTTCCAAGCATGCAGAAACTCAGGATTTTAGGTAAATGTAGTTTTTATTTATTTATATCATAGTTTTTTTAACGATTGCTAAATTAGATAATAGAATTTAATTTTCAGGAATTAAGCTGCGTACACCAACACTGCTCCAATTACCTTTGACAATAAAAGCATGGACCGGAAGCTTACCCAAACTCCAGATTTTTAAGCTTTATGCAAACAATCGACAAATATGTCATGATTTTTGCTCCAAGATATTTTCTTCTTTGGGAGCCGAAACAGAATATCAACTTTGTCAGGTGGCAAAGGTCATATTTTCATTGGAAGATGCGAACGAAGAAAATGAAATTGATACCGAGTTTATTAATCAAATGCAGAATTATTTTCCAAATGCTCAAATCATTACTGGTTCCAAAAACCCATAATACAAAAGGCGTTAGGACATGGTTTTGACGAATTCGCGGTTGAATATCTCTGGCGGGGAGTTGAATTTTGAACTGATTTTTGGTCAGTTGCAAGATAATACTCTCAAAAAGATATATTTAAAATTTTGGGCCGATAGCTTTATAAATGCCCCCTCCAGTGCCCCCAGAGTTTGAAGGAGCCAAAAAAACACTTTCCAAACTGAATTACTCATATAGCATGATAACCTAAGAGGTCAGAGGTGAATGATTGTTAATATTACAACCCTAGATAATCATTGCATGTAATAATAAAAGAATCCACAATGAATTACATAACGTTGGGCCTCCATCGTCGCTGATACGTTTTCATGAAAAATGATCAATCGGACCGTGCACAGGAAAATTGACCTGCTGACCTTTAAAGCGGACCCACTAGGTCAAATGAAGATTGAGGGCAAAGCTCTAAGTGTCTCAAGTAATATTAAATTAAACAGTGAAGATTTTGTGTAAACAGTTTTGGAGAAGGACCCTAGCTAATCAGCTGACGGGGAATAGTAAAAAACTCGTGAACTAATTTAGGAAAATAATGGTCAAATTTTGTTGAAAACAAATTTTAATAACTTTTTTGTGTTCCCTGCTGCAGAACTATTTTACCTACAAGGTACAAGTGACAAAATAATAAAATTACTGCGTTTTGATTAGTTAAAAAAATTTAAAGTTCCGCTTCAATTTCGAGAACTTTTGTAAAAATTTTATAGGGTTTGATGGAAACTCATTTCCTGGGGTGTAACCACTTATCAAAATTTTATCAAAAGTACTTACAATGCAACATACAATTTCTACCTTGGATAAAAACCACGTTAGGGATTTTTAGCATCAAAGTCCTAAAATGTGGGGGCCTTTAAAGTCGAGGAGTTGCGTTCAAGAGAGCATTCCATTAAGACAAGTATGAAGCTAGACTACAAAAGGGACTTAAAAGATAAGCATGATACAAAAGTGGTTTTATATAGTGAAAAGCATGCTAAGTCCCTTGATAATAGTCGCAAAGACGATTTTTGCACCAGGACCTCAGAAAAAAATATTTTGTTCAACGCCATTTTATAAGAACACTGGTTTGGAAAACTAAAAAAGGACACCTCTCCAAATTTGACCTTTCCTCATTTCGCAGAGTACATAAAATCGGAAGCCAGATATGCTTACCTATAGTTTGAGACATGGGCTTTCAAATAAAAAAAGTTAGAAATCTTTACGACTAAAAACCATCCCGCAATTAAGGTATGAATTCGTCAAAACCATGTCCTAACGCCTTTTGTATAATGATGAGCTTATCACATTGTAACAACTCAGAAATTTATAATTATCTATCTATTTATTTAATTGAAAGGTAAATAATTTTAGCAGGATGGCTATTTTTTATACAATATAACCTTTTTTTTGTTTTCAAAATTTGTCTCAACTTGTTAAAAATAGTCCTACATATGGGTCATTCATATTATTAGAAATTTTAATTTTTTTTACATGCAGCCAAAACTTGGTACGAGAACAACGGGTATTGACAATTTTCATGGAAATGCAAAAATGTGGTTTTGGTAGATGATTAGCATTTTTTAAACTGAATTTAGTCCCAATTTTAGATTATTGGTGACCAAATATTTGGGCGAGAAATAACGTACAGAATTTGGGTTATATTTTACTCAATGTAATTAAGGATGTGGCGAGGCGATTCTAGCCTTGTAAAGGAGAGGAATACAAGTTTTTGCTCTTGAAAAAGTAATATAAGCACATATAAATGTTTAATTCGTTTTTCAAATTCATTCAAGTATAGTTAAATATTGATATTAGTTCAGAATAGTTATCTATAAATTACATTACTTGAATAATATTCTGAATGTAAAAATTGTATTATATATTATACTACATATAAATGCATTGCGAGCATTACTACGTATTTAGCTACATACATAATGACTGCGTAGCTCATGCATATACGCATGTCACTTTTCGGGCAAGTACATGCAAATTAAATTTAAAATACACTAATTTAAAACTATCCCGTCACCCATACATAAATATATATGCACTTTGTGTTTGCTAATTACTGATTTCCTTGCTACAGATGAAATGAAATTCATAAATGCGATATTTAAAGCCTACAGAGCTATGTAAGGACGAAATTTTCAATACTGGTCAATTTATCGAAGAACAATTTCAGCTACCTACAGTCATTTTGGCATTTTTTCAGATTTTATTTCTCGCTATAAGAGTAAGAAATAATACACCAAGTCAAAGATTAACAAGCACCTAGTCATGGAAAATTGTGTGATAAACTGTGAAAGCAAACATATATATAAAAACCTTCACCAATAAATACATTGTGCATAGAAAAGATGTATGTGTATATACAGGTAATTTCGTATTGTGACTCATTCGTGTTGAATCGATAAACCTAAATTAGAAATAAGTATGAGTATTTTGATAAATTTTCGATTTAAATATTTTATTTAATCTCATTTTTTAAGCATGTTAAAATTCACTCAAATTATGTGACTTAAACATTTTAGCGTATTGCGATCTGATAACATTTCAAATTTATGCAGGTTAACAATAAAGATTTTTTGAATTAAAATTCCAATCTCATTTCCTAAACATCACTAGAAGTCTCGTTAAAAGCGGATGCGCACCAACCTCCCCCTCCAGCCGTGATATCGACATAAACCGCAGAAACGTAGCCAGGTCCAACCAAGAACCAGTTCGGGTTTCCATTGACAACGGTGCCAGTCACCCTTTCGAAGATATCCAGAGTGGCTCCATTCGCATACGACGCCACAACGAAGGCCGAAGTGTTGGGGTCCTTCCTGCAGTTGAGCGTGTCAGCGTTGACCCTCCCTCTGCAGGTCGTAGGACAACCGCCGGACTGGCAAAAGAGGACACGTTCCGACTCCCTCCTCCTCGCCAAACCGAGAAGCGGGCTGCCTCCAGCGTTGATCCACTTCCTGAACTCTAACGAGGCCCCCAAGGTGTTCCCAGCGTTTAACAATGTTCTTAAAGTCGAGCTCTGGAAACTTCCGCACCCAAGATTGAATGTGAAGGATACAAGTGCGGAGAATTGGTCTGATTGGAAAAATTCGTAATTTCCAAAATTGTATACCTTGACAAACTAATCAAAATTCTGAATAATCCAAACCTGCATTTAGTCCAGTGTACGTGTTGTAATTTCTGATGCAGCTCTCATAATTTCCATTGACCAGATCATCGGCGAGTAGATTTTGTCCATTGGCCAGAGTGAGTGGAACGCTGTATCGGCCGTTGAGGGGGACGCTGCAGTCCCAAACGTGACAAGCATGACCGTATCCGATGGTGCGAATACCCTAAGTTTTAGTTAGAGGGTACTTAATTTAAAAGTAAGGATACCATAAAAGTTTGGCTTTGTCGTTTGGTTACCACGGGGTCCGTGTAGAAGTTTGGGTACCATCCTTCGTAATACTTGATTAGTTCTAGGCCTGCAGGATTCGTTGGTCCGTTGTAGCCAGCTAAGCATAAAAATTTCCAACGTTACATAAATAGGTTTTCTTGGGAAAGTGTAAAATCTGTTGACTTATGTACCTCCATTGGCTAGCCCAACCACGGCCAAAACTACTGGCAGAAGAATCAATTTCATTTTTATGGTATGTGAACTTGTAGAGACTCGGCAGGAACTAAGGCATTGACAGGAATTTTGTGAAGCTTTATGGATATTCCAAAGTTGAATAACGAATGTACATTTCATTAAAAATATCGGATGGTTGATAAGAACAAAATGATAAGTACACAATTATTGATCCCAAACCTGATGGAATTTCAAGTAGGCCACAAGTTTGAAGTGAGCAGATGTTTCTAATTTGTTATATTTGTACGAGCTTATATAAGTATATACGAATAATATAAATCCTCATTTGCAATAATAATTGTCACATTATCGATAACCATTTTTTTTATCTGGGCGTGTTTAGTATACAGGATGCTTTATGAGGCTTGTGGTGCATTTGAGTATTTGTTGGACACGTGAAAATAAAAGCCCAACATTTCTCCCAATTTTTTGCTTGGTATTTTTTTCCTTTTAATGGAGTCTTGCATAACCGATTGTACATTATCGATTATAATACTGTCGGATAACCAAACTAAAAATAAACCAGGTAAATCTGGTCTAGGCGTTTCGACGTGCATATGTACAAACATACAGTCGATAATGGGATGGAGTATGATTGAAAGTGGCGTGTTCGGATATCTTCAAATGACTTGATTAATCAGCAAAACAAGATAAAAGTTGAATAATAATACGATAATATGAGTGTAATACTCATGTTATTGGTACAGCTTGATTTATAATGTGCAGCTTTTTGGACTTGGGAACGAGAAACTGAGAACAATAGTTAATTGCTTGACAGCTTAAATACAACATTCCATATTTCAAATACAATTTTTTTCCAAACCCTGACGAAAAAGAGTAAAATTTTTATACTTTATCGATAATTTATAAATTTATAATAATGAGTAATGATATGTAGGTTAAATATGTAGGTGGATGTGTCGAATATATTGTGAATTGTGCATAAGGTGCGCAGGTATGCATTTAAGTATGTGCATTGTACATGTACTTCGACTTCAATCAAGTGACTGATTTATGTGTCGATTATCTCCCATTCGAAAAAAACTCATTATATGTAGTTTGTCATAAATATATAATAGTATACATACAATTTATTCTTTTAGTATATTTATGAATGCATAAATCGTTCAAACAATAGAAGAAGGATTATCAACAGAGGGCTTATTTATTTCCTAAATAATCTAAGACAGCAATACCAAAGACACTGTTTGCGTCAGACAAAAGTTGAGATAAACCAATGGTGTCATTTTATCAATGTAATTTGTCGACCCAAATCGAATTTTTATAACCTTTGTAGCCTTCATAATTTTAGTAATAAATTCTCCCCTCCCCAAAGTTTTCCCCCACTTTGGAGCGTCCCTTACAAAAATGTGTGACCTCGTATACACATCAGCTGCACTTTGTGAAATTAAAATCATGGACAATTCGTCCAACGCCAAGAGAGGGAAGAAAGCTAATCCTGGCATTGGGATTTCTGAGTGAAGCTTTATGCAGGTGTAAAGCCCGATAATGATGACGAGACACGCCGCCGTCATCTGCGTCGGGATAAAGACAGATTGTAGACAAAAATTGTACAATTTCGCGAGCAATTGTATATGATGGTAAACTCGGAAGGAGGAAAGAATTGTGCTGCTTCCAGACTTTTTATTCCCATCCTTGCAAATTCTATGCAAATCACAACAACATTTAGATAACATATACATATCCTAAACTTGATGTTATCTGTTTCTCACCCAATCACCAACTTGATGTAACTTGCTAAGCATTTAATCCCAAGATAGTAAACTTGGAAAGCAAAAAAGCAAGCGGGTGGGATGCAATTTGACCACATCCAAGTGTCAAAGACCAATATGACCATTCTCACGGACCATCCCGGCACAGCACAGATATTTCCCGTCTTCCAAAATAGTATAAATCCAAGGTGCGGTGGTTTGCATGGGGTCACGAGAAGCATGGTGCACATCAAACCTGGCAGTCCTGCAGAAGTGAGGAGGCCAAGGGTCATCAAAATTTGGGAAATTTTATCCCCTCTATTCCACCCAGATGGCACGGGTGCTTGAAATTATGGTGTAACAATTATTGTAAATTTTCTCTTGTATTTAATGATTTTTCTTTGTACATAAATCTCACCAGGAAGAAATCTTGTCTCAAATTGTACATAATCATTCACTAATTGTACTACTTCGTGTCTATTATTCCAGAATGTGAGTCTGGTCAGCATGGTAGTCCAGAAACAGACGAGAAAAGCCAAGCCCACCATTCTCGTCGAACTAGAAATCTTGTCTTGGTTTAGAGGATTGAAAAAATTTGCCGTCATGAGCAGCGTGTACCCGATCTGCATCCCCATTTGTAGCTGGCAAATCTTCAGGCGGCTATTTGACCGAAGTAGTCGCATTTTGCAGTGTGAGGTGTCCCACTCGAAGGGAATCGTGGCCATGAGATTACACAATTTCAACTGCTGTATAATGGAAGGGATGAAGGATTTGAAAATTGGTGGGCTTGGGAGACAGATTTGAACGTCTTTTTGTATGGATCCAAGATTAATCCAGGCAGATTTTTTCGTAACTTTCTCCATGATGATTTTAATTTTTACCTTTTTATCAATTAAACCTGGTAATGCCGATATGACATGTTGAAATGGTTGATGTGTGCCTAATTTCTAAACTAGGCAATAACAAAGGCATTTCTTGCTTCATATCAAGGAAGCGAAGCCAACGTGCGTTGAGGAGGTGATGTCACGAATTATTCATGTCATGCTGGATGTTTGACTTCAAAATGAACTTATGATTAAGCGTATGCTAAAGTCATACAGGTTAAAGTGAGCCAAAGTAACTACCCTCAGACACAGGAACAACATTAATGCGGAGAGAAAATCTAATGATAAACAGATAATTGGAGTGGGTACCAAACTTCGGACCCCACGCAGCTCCGTATTGAGCAATAAACAATACATATTGCTATATCTCTATGTACATACTTGTATAAGCTATTTATTCCTCCCTGTTTTGCTCCCACGCGGACATGTTGACCTCATTGCGACGATGGGGTTTCGAATGTTTCGAATTATTTGAGTATGAATCGATAATTCTGTCTTGTTCCGGGCGGTCCACCAACATTCACGATCAAGGTACCAATATTACGCTTATCTTTAGATTTCACGATCTGCTTGCCTTTGACATTTATGCAGAAGAGTAAATAACCATAGGAGGCACCAGTTCGAGCAATCCATAATTTAATGATTTCCGCTGACTTCACCACAAATGCATGTAAGTACTTCTGTACGTTATAAGCAAGAATGTATTTTGTTGCCAACCTCAATTGTGTTAACAGCATTATCTTGTATCAAGTTTCCTTATTCGTGTTTGCTTTCACGAGCACTTAAATTTTGTATGTATCCTTACAAGTTTTTGTGTATAGCCACAAAATTGCTTTAGTGAATATCAATGCAACCTTCTGAGCAGATTATTGGACAGTGAACTTTGCAGTTAGTACATATATTTCTGCCATACTTAAAGTTAAGGTTTCAGGGTGCATGAATCTACAAATTAGCATCCATATTTAGATATTTTTCTTGTGCATACCAACAATGAGGTATTGAATAGCATCAAATCCATTACACACTTTTTCACTACATAAATAATTTAGCATATTCATGCAATGATCAACTTTCGAACTATTTGTTAACAACATCTATTTCTACACAAAAATACTTTATGCATATGTAACATGTCCAGGTAGTCATTAAGTACTTGTGCGGAAGTCTGTTTTACGACCACATTGAACCCGTGGTCACGAGAATCGAACCCAATTGCTATGGCTATACATATGAATGCATTCATAAAATTACCTTTATTCAATGAGCATGGCCACTCGCCGTATTTTTACCCCAATCTTATTATATCTCGTTAACTTTGAAATTTTTTCCTCTCAAACAAACAATCACGAAATACATCTTCCACTATCTTTCGATCGGTGTACATTTGCCATTTTAAGCAATTTTTATAAAGACGACAGACCATTTTTCAAAATAGTTCCACAAGTTGGTCCCAATCCGAAGTCTCAGGCCGTTTTAATTGACCATGTTTTCGTAGCAGATAACTCAACTCAGGGCTCTCCTAAAATATCAAAACTACCTGGCGTGCTTGGGCTGAGAATTCCTTCGTCAAAATATAGCACGTGTAATGCTCTTGTTTTATACACTTTTTGGAATTTTCGCACACCACCGATATCGATCACTGCTAAATTACTCTTAAGGGCACAACAATCCTCAAATCCACAGCTTGTCGTTATCCAGTATGAAGCAAATATTTTACCCCTGATTCACCTTATCCAACTTTCATCAGTCTTCCTAATTTTTTGTTCAATATCGAACACTTTTATTTTGCCATGCTTAGCATGTAAGTGGAGAACGCCTCTGTCTACCCAGCCACTGATTAAATTTACAAATCAAATGTCAATTATGGACATTAAACGACAATGGTTTCTCGCTAATAAAGATTTAAGTCGAAATTCCATCAATACAAACTTTGGTGGAAATATGAATGTCGACGGCAAAGATTTGGGACTTTGTTCTTTGCGAAATAATCCTAAATTTGCAAACACAAATGCGGACAATTGTGTTGAAATGCAACTTTCTGAAACCTATAATTACACAGTTAAGCAAACTGCTCAATTTGGATTAAGTCGTAAAACATACGGTCACATTTTAAGTGGAATTCCTTCAGTGTCAGAGGTCAATAAACTACTACTAACATTTTCTGGAACGGGTGGACCTGTGTGGATAATCCATGGCGTAAAAATCGAGCCTTATCATTTCGCTATTATAACCGATCCATACGTAATGAATTTATCCACAATATTCATGCCATTTGATGGTATAACATGGATTCTTTTAGGCACGATTTTGACACTGTTCTCAATTTTGTTGGGTGTAAGTCATACCAAATTTGAACTAACGAGAGTATTAAAAGTTCACCTGTTTTGGGCATCATCCGCCTTTTTAGAACAATCAAATCCTAAACCATTTCAACAAACAGCACGTCAAAACAGGATGCCCGTACTAATACTCCTTTGGCTAATACTGTCCTTCTTTTGTGGCGTGTTTTACAAAGGATCTTT